ATAGAAATTTAGTATTCCCAATAAAATTAAGATATTCCTAAATTCAAGGTAAAGGATAACCATTTTTAATCGTAATAGCGTTTAACGCTTAGTAATCGATATATATCCTCCACTTACCTCCTAGTTTTTTAACGAATAGGATAGAGAATCCCTATAGAGACGTAGACTCGCGAATAATACTCTATTGTAGTATCTATATAATCTACTAACTCTACTCCACAATATATATCAAGGAGAGAGGATATACATTAATATTAATCGACGCGAAATTATCTATAGAGATATAGTAATCGTCCTAACGCATAGAGAGAAGGATAGTAGAAAGTTCTTCCTTAAAGATCCCCTTAAATCGTTTTAAAAGAGTATATAACAATTTATTTTAGTCTATAATCGCTAGCTAAACTAGCTCCCTAGGAGTAGTAGAAAGATCTTAACGAGGATACGATCCTTTAATATACCCTAGAAAGAGACTAGTTATCTTCTTTCCGAGAGCCCTAAGAGTCATATAAAGGCTTAATAGCTAGATAGTATCCGTATTAATACGAATTAAGTTAGATAGATTTACATCGATAGAAGAAAGTATATAGAGCATTCTAGATTTATTACGGACCTAAATTCTCATTTATTGCTAATCGATTTTAGGATTAGCAATTCATAATCATTCGAAACCAAGAATTAGATTATACCCCGAAATTTTAAGTATACGAGCCATTAGATCCATAGAATACTAATAGATACGGAGCGTAAAGCGAGCTCTTCCTAGACTAGCGACGTATATACCACTAGCGACTTAAACCCAATATAGTAAAGGGTTGGTTTCGATCTCTACCTATAGCTTATAAGCAATATCAGTCGAAAAGTACTACTTCGTAACCCTCGAGTTAACTAGAACTTATATAGATACGAAAGTTTAAGTTATACTCGCTATACCTCGTAACTAATAAGTAACGGTATCCTATAGATATATCTTAAGGATATAGACTTATTCTACTTTACGTAATTAATCGAATTAGTTAGAATCCTTTTAATTCTACTATTAGATTACTAACCTAATCGTCTATAGTACTCCTCTATCTACCTATAATTCCCCCTAACCGTTGTAAGGTCCCGCAATAGTACGTAACTTTCCGGAACTCTCTGGTTTCCCTTTATTTTTCCACTATAGTTAAAACTTTCTAATCTCTTTACTCTACTAGGGTTATCGCGCACTAAAACCTCCTTAGCCTCGATAGAGCGGACCCTTACAAGTAGTTAATACTAATTTCGTATAACTACAAAACTAATGGTCGATAAAACTATATCCAAAGCAAGCAGTATTCCTTCGACACCAATCCCACTACTCTTTCGTATCTTTACTAGATATCGCGATAGTATACGCTATAGTAAAATATATTAGCTTCCGTATATTATCTTAACGAAGTATTCTAGAGAAAGTAAAGATATAATCTATCCTATATTATCCTACTCTCTTACGGATATATACTTTAGTAGTCTTAACCTATTATTATCGATCAGTATACTTAATGTATTTAAATAAGACTAGGTCGTTCCATTTAAAGTGTTCTACTATTCCTATTTAGATAGTATTATCAAGGCTAGTACGAAAATACTTCTTAATCTCTAATGCGGCCTTTTCCGGCTAAATACGAGCTATAAGGTAAATTAGGTCTTAAGTATATTTTATGGTAGGGCGGTCGCCCTAGATATATATATATCACTAGTTATGTAGTCGAGATTATTTATTATTATCCTTAAAGGTCTCGCGTAACTAAGTAAGGTAGTTAATAATAGTGAGTATAGAACCGTAAGTTAATATATATATCCGGTGTATACGTCCTATAAGATAGATAGACGCTATTTCTACCTTCTTACGTTTACTTATTTAGTATCCTCGTTGATTATAGAAGTTAATCTAGTTCGTAACGTCTCGTATATAGTCGTCGAGTTAACTATTACTACGGTCGCTATTATACGCGCGTAGTTCGTATATCTTTAGCCCTTACGAAATAGAAGTATTGTTTATAACGCTATAACGTTATTCGCTAATATACGTATATATTCGTAATATTTCGTTAAGTTATTCAATAGTAATACTATTAGACTAAGTAAAGAGCGAAATACTATATAATATACTAAGAGGATTAGTATTAATAGATATAGAGTTCTTATCCTAGCTACTAAGGTCGCCACTACTACTATTATTAGTATAGCCGACCTCTAGGGAAGAAGGGAGGTCTATTCTACAATAGAAGGGTCTAGAAGAAAGAAGAGTTAAGGCGTATCCGTCCGTAACAACGGGGATCCAGCAAACCCTTCTTTATTTTGTCCTCTTCTTTTTTCCCTAATATCCTTATCAGCTAAAAAGTCTTCTTTTCCACGAGACTTTAGCTTCTCCGCGCCGTTACGTCCAATTACTATATATTTTAGGGGTTTTAGAGCCTTAAAGTCTACCTTGCCGACTCTCCCTTCCCTTTTTGGAAACTAGATATATATAATTACGGCACAATACGAGTAGTTTCGTCACTACTCTACTAATCTCTCTAGTAAAAATCCCTTACGTTAAGGTATTGGAATCGAGGTCGCTATTATTATTAAAGTCATCGTTAAGGGTTATCGTCGATATAGAGGACAATAAAGGATCGAAGCAGTTAGAATCGTTGCGGGCATATAAGACCCGCTAACTGCCCTTACAAGAGAACACGGCCGCTCTTGTAAGTAGGTTCGTTGCTACCACCTATGGTTGTAGCGGCGGAAGAGATTGATTAACTAACTAATCTAAGAGGGAAAGACTGGCCGCTATATGTAGTCACTCGTAACTGAGCGCAAGGAGGGGGAATACTAGGCTGGGCAAGTATCCCGACGCTAATATCACAACAGTATGCCGTCACGTGGCGGAGCATTGCCAAGATCACATGACTTTAGGTAGTTAAGCCTTATTGGGAATAGCGTTAACATCAACCATCTGGACGCGTTCTGGTTGAGCCTCTCCCCGACTCTGCATTTCACTCGACGTCGGGAATGGAAGGCTTCAGCAAGAGAAGAGAATGGTCCAACAAATGCAGCAACACATCCGCGCTGCCTGCCTCCTCGTTCTCGTCAGCTTCGTCAGACCCCAAGCTCCTCTAAAGGCGAATCAACTCTGCTGACATCCGTATGCTCGTTCAAGCCCCACGCCGGAGAAGTTGAACCCTGAGCAGTTGCACGCCTCGAAGCCGTCCATCTGCCAAAGGATTGAGACACCAACAGCTCGGTGCTCTGTGCAAGACTTCACCTGAATTGGCTAGATCTCCGGTTGATGCAATAGTCTGCTCTTGCTGAGTTGGGTACTGGTACAGCTGACCGGCCAACACTTACGACTCTTCCGAGTCAGGTCCCCGATATGATGGACATTAAAAGTTCTCACAGAGCGCTAGTGGCAATGATAAAGGTAGTACCGACCCACAGGACAGTTGAGCACATTCATATTGGCTAAATAATCAGGTGGGACAAATTCTGGAGAATGATCAGTCCAGTGAGCTGTAAGACGATTATTGCTCGTGAGAGCTCTTTCACCTCAGTCGGCAGGTCATCATAGGAACTCCATGTGTCAGCAAACTCTTGACTGCTCAGGACACCCTTGTACAAGCGCTACTTTCGATGCAAACGCAAGGTTCCATCACATCACAGTCAAATGATGCAAGCATACGAGAAGCATACAGACCCTCCATTTGCAGTCACGGCCGTCAAGCAAATAGTATTACCACGAGAGCTGCAACAACTGTCTCGGTTGGGAGACTTATAAAGACCTCGGACTGGTGTCCACACACCACGACCGCACTGCGACAGGACCGGAACCGGTGTCTAACCTTCTTCCTGAGCGGCTTCAATCCTCCGACATTCGAGACGTTCGGTATGGCTTCCGGCAACGCATTCTCGTGAAGCCTAATGGTCGCTGGAGGCGTTCAGTGAGTCCGGATCATACCAGTCAAAGGGAAATACCAAAGCCAGTATATGCCGGCGCCCACTCTCTCACGTCGATATCGACAAGTCTCGAAGTTGAACCCTTCCTTGGCAAAGAAATCACATGCTGCTGGTTCAGAGCAGGCCACAAGCGGCAATCCTTGGGTTTTCGCTAGTTGAAAGCATATCTGTACCAGTTCATCCTATACCAAGCCTGCGAACCGAAGGCTTGACCCAAAGATGAGTGACTTCTGGTTCGTCGTCAGCAAACGCTGAATCGAAGACGAGGCTGCCAAGTTCTACTAGTACCTCAAATGTCATACTCGTACGCAATCTTGAACTTGGCTCCAGCTTGGAGGCTGCAAAGACGCGGATCTGAGCAATCATAAGCGAGCAGAAATCGATTCGGGATGAATGCTACCTCAGACCGTTCCGTTATTAAGCAAGCTTGTTCGCAGCTGAAATGTGCATGCTTGTGAAGTTAGATAAGCCTCCATCATCCAATGATGCTCATTTGGCAATCGATGTTCGCCCGGGGCGAGGGAGCGGACTTTACCTAGCTCTTCATGAGCAAGCCCCTAAAAATAGGCAGTCTGGCCCTTGGAGACTCCCCTACTTAGGGCTAGTCCACTCCGGAGGCCCCTATGATTCCCCCTGAGGCCCCATCCACCATCCCCATCATCGCCCCATCATTAAGTACCTACTGTGGGTATAGGGCTGCCGCATTCTCCTGGACCTTGGCGTAAACATGGCGTTTTGTTCCGGCTTTCTCTCCCTCAGCGAGTCAGCCGGTAAGTCAGCTCGACAATCGTCATTCTCATCATCCGACCAACACATGCTCGCTTTTAAGGCCTCATGCCCATGCAATCTGGGGATCCACGTATATGTGATTGAAACTTGTACCTTCGTGATGTGAAAAACAACCGAGTACGGTTGTTGGGAGCGACTCAAGCTACGACAGCTCCTTCCGTGGTGGACGACACGAGAAGAACTCAGCCCAACTGTGTTTCACTTCCTCGAAAGGATTCTTGGTTTTCTTCTTCTTCATCCCACTACCTTCATGGATACGAACACGAGGTCAGGAACTTAGGTCCCGACCACTCTGTGTACCAGCTCGCGGAGTTGCCGAGATCTGGGCAATACTGTTATCGCCTCAACGACCAGTCGTCGAGACTCTGGCGTGTCCCTACGTCCCATCATTGTGCGGTACCTTCATAGCCCCGAAGCTGGCGTGACTCGTCATGTCAGCCAGGGCAGCGTCTGGCAGATTCGTCAACTCTATACGATGCCTACCCGGATTGCAATGTGGGTGCCTCGACCAGTGTCAGCCGAGATGACAAGCCCAACGTCCAGACTTTCCAGCACATAAACGCCAATAATCCACCGGTTCGCTGACCGTCATGACAACAGTCAGATTCGGAATAAAACCTGGTAGGCGTCACCATCGTATTCGATTTTCAGCGCCTGGGCTGATGCATAGTCTCTTTAAATCAACAATGCAGCCGCATTCTGGGCCTGGCTCCCTCTCAGCGCCCCGTTCTGTCCTAAAAGCCTACTACTGTCTGCCCATCTCTGCCCACTGAGGAAGTCCATCTGCTCTGTGCTCAAAGCCTTCCAGAAACTAAGGCACATCCCATGGCTTCCAGCAAATTGCGTGCCATTATAGTTGGTGGTGGGATTGCCGGACTGACATTAGCCAACGCTCTAGAAAAGGCAGGCTTCGACTATGTACTCCTGGAAAGATTGGAGGAAATCGCTCCTCGTGTTGGGGCGTTCGTCGGCATCACAGTCAACGGGCTACGCATATTAGACCAACTTGGCTGCTACGAGGCCATCGAGGACAACAACGCTTCGATAGAGATGCTCTACAATCGCAGATGGAAAGATGGCAGCTTTGTTCGAGGAATCGATGCATTGATACGCGATCGTAAGAGGTGAAGCAGCTCGGCCGCGCCTTGGTGCTTTCTCTACTGACTGCGGTCTCAGGTTCGGCTATCCTTTTCTTGTGATGGACCGACATTTCCTCTTGCAAACATTATACGATAATATCGAAGACAAGTCTAGGATAGTTCCCGGCAAAAAGGTCTTCAAAGTGGAGCATTCCGATGAGGTTGTTTCCGTGGAATGCAATGACGGTTCGACGTACACAGGGGACCTTGTAATCGGTGCCGACGGTGTCCACAGTATCGTACGCCAGGAGATGTGGCGACACATGGATGAGAGCGGGGCCGGCCTGCTGGTCTCTAAAGAGAGGACCTGTAAGTTCGAGCGTCAGCAATACTACTTATTAACCAGCCCTAACTCTTTCAGTGATGTCCGCCGAGTACAAGTGCATGTACGGTGTCTCGCCAGCTACTGAAGGCTTCAGTCCCGGGACTTTCAACAGCAACGTTGGACGAGACATGTCCTTTCTGTGGACAGTGCACAAGGATGGTCGGGTATTCTGGGCTGTCTTCCAGAAACTGGATAAGAAATATCACATGCCCAACATACCGAGATTTACGGAGAAAGATGCTCTAGCTCTTGGGGAGCATTGCAAAAGCTCATATATGACCGAGAAGGTCAAATTCCGAGATTTGTGGGAGAATCGAATGAGTCATATTCTCATCCCCCTCGAGGAAGCATTCTACAAGCACTGGAACTGGGGCCGTTTTGCGTGCATCGGTGATGTAGTGCACAAAGTGAGAGATCTAACGGTGACCATTGAGTGTAGCTGACAGTTCCCAGTGGACTCCCAGTACGGGCCAGGGAGCAAACAATGCTATTGAAAGCGCGGCAGCAGCGGCCAATGCTCTCTATAGACTCGCACGTCGCAAGACGCCTTGTTCAAAGAGAGATGTTCAAGAGGCACTATCCGAAATTCAGAAACATCGCGAGATTCGAGCGAAGAACCATTTCACAGCCACTGGAGACCTGACAAGGTTGGAAGCGATGAAAACACCCATGCATAGATTCATGATGACCTACATTGTACCTCATTTGAGCGACGCTCTTGGGGATCAGCTGTCATGGGCCAACATTGGTGCTGAGAAGCTCGAATATCTCCCCGATCCACCAAAGTCTCTGAGCGGAATAATGGCTTTCAACCAGAACTACGGACCCGGCGGTAAGAGTCTGTTATTGCGCAGGATGGTCTTTGCCTGTCCACTTCTGATGCTGTCCTACTTTACGTACGCAATCTTCAGCAGCATCATCTCCGAAGCGGCAGTCCGGAGCGCCAACCGCGCGAGCACATCTTCTGGCAAGCTCAACAATGACAATCACAGCTGGGACGCACCTATCCGGATTAAACCATTCATTGACTCGCTTACGTTCTTCTCGCCTTCGCTCTTCAACATCTACCCTGTTCATCGGTTGCAGGCGATAACACTCTTGATCGATCTAGCTCCGCTGTGGTTCATTTGGATTCTGGAGAGCCACCGCGAGGGCAACGCTATGAAGCTTATCACAGTGCCTATAGTATTCGGCTTGGCGTTCCAGCGTTTCGGTATCGGTGTTGTTGGACCCATCTGGTTCTTCCTGCACTACATATCGTGTCCATTGTCCGACTATGCAGGTCTTGATTGGCGACTAGTGAACGTTGCAGCTGCCAAAACCGCTCTGCCGGCAATTTTGGCTACGACGACCCTACCGACATTGGCAATGTACTTTGATCCGAACTTCCATCGGCGACTGGCTATCAACGCCGTATGGCAGGCATTCCCACTATGGACCAGTGTCATACACTACATCCTACGCAAGACGGCCATCGCCGACACGACCAAGCATGACCGCATCTACAATGTCTACGCGGACCTGCCGTCCATCCGTTTTGCGATCAAGGTACTGGCCGGCATATCAGGCCTCACGTTCAACTGGGTGAGATGTACATCACATGTCCCTATTTCGAGGATCTTCTTCCCGAACTGGGCCCTCATCGAGACACTGCTTCGATCTGCGCCAGCCAGTCTCGATTTCGTCCCTGCCATGTCAACATTCCTCCAAGTCGACGAAACTGTATGTTTTATTGGAGCCTTCTTCTGGATGGCACTGCTCTTCTATGACCTTAAAGAAGCGGAGATGATTGGTACCAGCTGGTATAGGTTGGCATTGTGTGCTTGTCTTGGGACGTTTGTGGCAGGCCCGGGAGCCACGGTGTCCCTGGGCTGGCTTTGGAGAGAAGAAATACTGGCTGTCAAGAAGGCCAAAGGATCAGTGGGTACGGAGTACCTGGTTCAGTCGGAAATAAGCATTGGGAGACACGCGGGATCTTTGTAAGGCTGCATCAAAATGCAAGTAGTACCTAGTAGTATTCGATTTGGGGCGATTGTGTGGATGGCTCGTTTGAGAGAACTACTTTGAGGGGATGATGCGCTTATGTGTTATTTCATTTGAACCCCCGAAACGAAGGCTCTCGTATCGATACTACCAGGATACTACGTACCCCAAAAACTTGAATTCGATCATGTTCGGATCAAGGCCGCCAGTAACCCCCGGTTGGCTTTCTCCCTTAGGGAGCCCTGGTGAGCCTCAAATACCAGGCCATGGGACTCCAATGCACGTACCTAGGTACTATTATTCATTTTGGTCTGGGCATACTGGTTATCACGATCTGGATGTACTTACTGTATGGAGGTACTACTATGGTAGTCTACAAATGTAATGCAAAGGGCGACCAATTGTCGTGCAGGTTTGAGTGTGGAAGAACCATGGTGCAGCGGACTTACATGCTAGTAGTATGCAGGCGGCAGAAGCTGCCCGTTTCGTACAAGTCCCCCCCCCTTCTTTTCCGTATGGTGTTCCAGGTTGGGATATGATGCGGGCCGTGGGAAGCCTGACATAGACCATGTGATAAGACGTACGAGTACGAGGTACCTGACTCACAGGGCGCGATGATGCATTTCACGATCTATCTTACTCCATGTCGTTGCGACTACTTTACTACCAGTAGTACTCACCGAGTAGAAAGTGGGTAGGTCAAGTAAGTCAGTACGAGACCGCCGCCTTCTGCAAACCAACGAAAACGAACGAACGACCTACAGTAGGAAAGTATGCGATCTCTTCATCAAAGAACCCCCTAATAACACCAACTGACAAGTACAATAGGACGACTACTAGTAGCTAAGGCATCATCTCACTTGCGCCAGCCAGCAAATACAGTAGACAAGGCGTAAAGGCGGGCGTAGAAGAGAAGAAGCCACCCTGGACGCCCGCAAAAAGAAAATATAAAAAAAAAATGGTTCAATTACCAACCTTTCAACTTCCCAAGGTACGTACCTACAACTACCACTACTACTACTACTAGTACGTTCTGTACTATACTTTCATGTACTACTTACTGGCCCACGGCGACACGCATACTACTACTACTACTCCTACTACTCCTACTAACGTTCTGTACTTGCTGGCCAACAAGGCACAAACTGGTAGTAGTACACTCTGACTGACACATCTCGCACCAGTATATCGTGGCGCACGTGGGGAAGGCCAAACATGTCCTTGCGGGAAGCGCCACTCCGTACTTGTCCATCGAGGACCTGATAGCACTGTCCTCCGACCCGGACACGACCGCGAAAGCGTTGGACGTGCGCTCGCTTAAGCTCGGCGGCGACATGCAACGAGGTAGTTTTGCTGTGCGGTCTGCGATTGCAAGGCTGTACGGTAGTCCTAGTACAGAGTACGAATCCGACGACCAAAAGGACAACACAAAGGGGTCTGGTTCGACTTCGATTTCAATTTCAATTTCACCGGAACATGTCATGACGGCGATTGGCACGACGGGCGCGAATTTGACCGTATTCCAGGCCCTGCTGGATGTCGGCGACCACGTCATCTGCATGTATCCGACGTACGGTCAACTTCTGGGCGTGCCCAGGGGGTTTATTCCGTGCGAGGTGTCGGGCTGGCGGATGGATCCACAAAGGGGATGGAGTCTGGATCTCGACGAGCTTCGAAGATTGATCAGACCGGGCAGCACGAAGATGCTGGTGTTGAACAATCCCAGCAACCCGACGGGCACGCACATGGACGCGGACGTGCAGAGGCAGATCCTCGACATTGCCCGCGAGCACGATCTCATTGTGCTGGCCGATGAGATTTTCAGACCGTTGTTCCATCAAGCACCCAGCCAGGAACCCGGCCTAGGTGGTGGTCGAGGTGGCAGCGGCGACGGTGCAGGCGCAAAAATAGTACCACCAGTACTACCACCACCGTCGTTCGTCGAGCATAATTATAGCAAAGTCGTCGTGACCGGGTCGATGAGCAAAGCGTATGGTCTGACGGGAGTGCGGGTGGGCTTTCTTGTGTGTCGAGACGAGGCCCTTCTCGAGCGGTTTATCAACGCACGGTACTATACTTTTGCTTCGGCCAGCGCCATTGATGAAGTCATTGCCACGGAGGCGTTGAGCGAGCGGTGCCGACCGGCCATTTTGAAGCGACATCTCGGGTACGCGCGGAAGAACCTGCAGCTGCTGGAAGCGTTCGTCGAGAGGAATGGGGACATGTTGTCGTGGACGAAACCGACGGCCGGGGCGACGGCGTTCATCAAGCTCTCCTGGAACGGCGAGGCGATCGACGACGTCGAGTTCTGTCAGGCGGTCCTGGAAGAGCAGGGCTTGTTGCTGAGTCCGGGCAGTTTGTGCTTTGGCGAGGTCCCAGGGGAGGAAGGGAAGATGGACTTGCAGGGCTATGTGAGGTGCCATTTCACACTGCCGCCCGAGAAGATGGTGGAGGGTCTGGAGGCGTGGGATGGGTTCATGCGGAAGAGACGAGCGGCGTTGTCGTAGGCTTGACTGCCGTACCAGTCAGTAAGTTACTAACCCCCACGTAAATTCGACCGCTTTCACACGTCAAGTCATAGTAGATAGCTCACTTAGCTGTAGGAGAACGTGCTGAGCGGGCTTGAGAAGGCGGCTTGGCGGTATCTGAGGAAATGGGCATGATGGGTTTATTACTTAACAGTTAAACACCTAGATGGTTAATGGGCGGGAAGCGCCCTCAAGGTCCCAAATCCAAATGTCCAAAGGTGTATCCGTACTTAGTCCAGAGTCCAAAGGCCCCTCGTCTAGGTGGTCGCTACCCAAACAGTTGCCGTTTCTGGGTCTCGCGTCTCGGCGGCAGCCCTACCATCGCAAGCCACACACGGAACAGATCATCCCCATCACCAAGCGAGATATCGCGACCACCTAGCGACTACGGCGACTACAGCGAACACGTCCCCAAGAGCGTCAAGCGCGGCTCCATACCACCCAATCACTCGTACAGGGGTCAAGCCACGTCGACTCTCAGCTGCATTCTGGCATGTCGCCATCCCAATTACAGTAACCGTTGGCCGTACGGAGTATCCAGCCTTGACCTGTTCGATATGTGAAGCCCATCAAACCCACTTGGCGTGATCGACCTGCGCCATGTGCCTAAATGAGGCTGCAGCAAACTAGATCAGCGCGTGCATCTAGCCGATGGGTGCCATTCAGCCAGCCTCGTGAGGGTACAGTATGTGGGTTTGACAAACACCACACCGCCCCTTGGGCAGACCGACGCGACGCCATGGAAAATGAAAAAACTATATCTACCGCCAGCATGGCACTTGTCGAGACGGGAACGTCAAGCAAGGACTTTCCAGAGCTCGTCTGCCATATACATCTGCAACACAAATAAAACCTCCACCATGGCCCAAGCGATCAGAGACACCCCGGCCGGGCAGTTCCTACGGTTTGTAGGATTCGGCTCGTGGCTGGCCTATCCAGAGGAAGTCGAAGGTTTCGAACCTCAACAGATGCCCACGGTGGCAGAAGAAGTCTCGACCCCAAGTGAGGAGGACCTCGAGAAGACACTGTCCAGAATCTCGGCCAAGATCGGCACCACAGAGGGAGAAATCACGAACAAGCTGTCGGAAAAAGAACTTGCCGATGTCATCGTGGTTTCCTTCACCAAAGACGACCAAGGCAATCCGAGAAACTGGTCACAGGCGAAGAAGACCTGGACCTTGACGCTCATCAACACCTACACTTTCGTCGTATACCTCGCGTCCTCGATCATCACGCCTGACGCGGAAGCCATCATGCAACGTTACAATGTGTCCATCGTCGTGGCAAGTCTCGGCCTGTCAATGTACGTCGTCGGTTGTAGGTTTACCAGTTAAGACTTCGTCGTCTCAGCAGTGCTGTCGCTAACATCGAGACCAGATGGCATCGGTCCCATGTTCTTCTCTCCGCTCAGCGAAGTGCCTAGCATTGGCCGGAACCCACCATACCTGTACTCGTTTCTGGTCTTTGTCGTCATGTCCATCGCATTGTGCTTTGTGGACAACTTCGCGGGCCTGATTATCCTTCGATTCCTTCAAGGCTTCTTTGGCAGCCCATGTCTGGCCAGTGGTGCTGCATCCATCGAGGATGTATATGACATGTATGGCGCCCCATACGGTTATATCTTCTGGGTGGCATCCATGTATTGTGGCCCTGCTTTCGGTCCTCTGTTGGGTGGATACGCCGTCGTGGACAACTGGAGATGGCCACTATACGAGACCGTCATCATGGCTGCCATTATCCTCCTTCTGCTTCCTTTCCTCCCGGAGACAAACCCAGACACCATCCTCCTGAACCGAGCCCAACGCCTTCGCAAGGTCACCGACAACAAACTATTCATGGCGCCGTGCGAACTGAAGACCATCCCGTTCGGTGCTGCGCTGAAGGAAGCCATGGTTCGGCCCTTGGAAATCAGTATCAAAGATCCCGCCATCGGATATGCGTGCGTGTACGGCGCCATCGTATATGCGACCTACTATTCCTTTTTCGAGGCGTTCCCACTGGTGTATCTTGGCACTTACCGAATGTCCCTCGGCGCAATGGGCCTGGTCTTCACAAGCTGTGTCATCGGTTGCATGTTTGCAGTCATCTGCTATTTCTACTACCTCCGGTACTTCTTCATTCCCCGCGCAAAGAAGCATCATGAGCAGAAGGGCGAACCGGTGCAACAAGAACAATGGCTCCGTCCGGGCTTCGTCGGCGCCTGGGGTCTGCCTGTTGGCCTGCTCATCTTCGCGTGGACGGCTCGTGCCGACATCCACTGGATCGTACCGACTATCGGCATCACCATATTCGCAGCGACGTCTTTCTGGATGTTCCAGAGCCTGGTGTGCTATGTCGCGCTGACGTACCCTCGATATGTGGCCTCGCTATTTGCGGCGAACGACTTCACCCGGTCATTGACGGCAGCGGGCTTTGTGCAATTCTCAAGACAGATGTATGTCAATCTGGGGATCAACAAGGGAGTCTCGCTCGTGGTGGGGCTGTCGGTCATTGGCATCATCGGCATGCACGGCCTGTACCATTTTGGGGCTCTCTTGAGGGCGAGAAGCAAGTTTACTGGTTGAAGGGTCGTTGGTTGTGCTTCCCATTATACGAGGCGGCACGTTGCGGCATCGGCTGCATGATTTTTGGGATCTTTCTGTTCCGTTTAGCAAGCAAGCAAGTGTCTGATTTTGAATGGTCCATGAGCTACGAGTAGATGAAGAGACAACTCTCGAATATAAAGCAATCATTGACGATCGATCTTGCGCTTGTCTGTTCTGTATTTCACGTTGTCGGCCAACCGATTAGGATCATCCGGTAAGACTGTGCAGAAGTGGGTTTTCGGGTTTTCCCTCTCGGATTCAAACTGGCATTGGCATCGTCAAGTTTGCTCAAGGTCAAACAGTGCAACCTCCTACCGAAGGAATGAAGACATGTTGCAAGGAAGAAGGCGAGGCTCCATCGTCGAACGGGTGGTCCCCGCCGTCAGCTGATACCGACAGCCGTGCGGCCACCGAGATCCGGAACGGTTCCGAGCGAAGAGAACCTACACCACGGTCCGGGTGTCTTTTCGATAGTCGTCACAAGTATTGCCTTTTCCGCATTGAGCATGCCGAACGTACCGTACCGTATCGAGAGACTCATCAAACCAGTTGAGACGATGCCCGCTGCCATCTGCATCCCGGAAAGAGGTGGGAAAACGGGACAGCAAACAAGCGGTGTGTTGTGCGTGCAGAATGGATGTGCGCGCACACGTAGCTGCCTAAAGTCCGAGTCTGAAATGTTTGCTCTGATCCAGTTCTGGTTGGAAGGGTGTGGCACTGGTGACCACTCAACCAGAGATGAATGGGAGACACGAGTAGAGGTGCTGGTGGAGTCAACTTGGCGTGTGTCCATGGGAAAGCATTGCCCTTTTCTTCTCGAATTCGCTTTGCCTGTCGTCGTATGTCAATGACGGCATTCGGCTCGTCGGCTAGCACTAGACCACCGTCATGCACTAACTTCTCTCCACGAAGCTCCCCGACGCTTCTCGAGGAAGGAAAATCCGGGAGCCTCGCCCAGCAAGCGAGGCAAGTGGAACAGGGCCCCCGGCGACGGACTCACCACCTACTCGCTTTTTTAAAAAGGTCCCTGGGAGCCGTCGTTGCCATGTAAAATTTCCTGCGTGCGCCGACAAACCTCCTCGACAACAGGCCTGTTCTTGACAGAAGTCTATACCTCGCCCAGGGGAGAAAAGCTCTCAACCACTGCGATGGCGACACCTGACATTGCCAACATGCCCACTGCAGACGAGGCCATGGCCACCACGACGTCCCAGAAAACCGCTCGAGATGCCCTCAGCCCGACGCAGGCCAAAGCCAATACCCCGGCGACACCTCGCAACGAGTCTCCATCGTCGAAATCGACATTTGGCAGACTGCGACAACACCTTTCCAGCCCGATCCGAGTCAACATCTTCGCCGAGATCGAACTCCTCATCCTGACATTTTGCACGGGCATCCAAGATGCGACCACGTTCCCGGACTACCACTGCTTCGCGTCCAACCAGACGGGCAACACCGTCATGCTGGCCATGGCGGTCATCCTTCCCGAAGCCACTCACGACCTCTTCGTCACGGCCAACATCGGCATGTCGCTGGGCTGTTTCCTGCTGGCGGGCTACATCACCGGCCAGCTGAGCCACATCATCGGCCCGCGGAACCGCGCGTGGATCGTCTTCTGCAATTTTTTCCAGACGGGCCTGGTCTTCATCGCCGCGGCGCTGCAGTACATCCACGGCGTCCATCTTGATGGCTCGATCACCGTCATTATCATCGGGCTCCTGGCTTTTGCGGCTGGCAGTCAGGTCGTGCTGTCCAGGTCGCTGAGCATGACGGAGATCAGCACGGCCATGGCGACGGCCGCGTGGGTGGATTTGTTGATCGACAAGAGGTTGCTAGCTGTGCATAACCGACCCAGGACGAGGAGGGCGAGTTTCCTGACCGCTTTGGTTGGCGGTGGGTTCTTTGGGGCATACATTTATCGTGAGGTCGGGTCCGAGACGGCCATTTTGATGTCGGCCGTGGGTAAATTGGTGGTCACCATCATGTTTCTGTTCAATGGCATCGAAAAGCCGAGGGTTGGTGAGAGTGCTGTGTAGGAGACTGCATGGTCATCGACGGAAGGATGGAGCATGGGCTGTGCGAAGTAGCGCGTGGATGAGCATTGCATTTGAGAACTGTTAGCGGAACATGATAGATGATTTTCCCCAGCGAAGGAGCAGGATGGCGTCAAGCAGCTTTTGGGAGCGGTCTTTGTAATATCAGCATGGAAAAGGACAAGAGTTGGCAGATAAAAGGTCGTAGAATCGAATACTTTCGCCAGAGTCTAGCGGGTGTTTCTCACTTGTAGTCTGCGCAACGCATCTTACCATTCATTTCGCTGGATAAGAACTTCGGCAGAAGGTCTGGGATTCCGCTTATATGCCTCGCAAGAGAATATGCAATGAAGAAAGAACATCAAGACCTGAGGATGATTGTCCTTGGTGGTTTCAGCAAGGGGGGGTATGGCGCCATAGTGCCGCTTGAGAGAGACGGCTTCACCGTAGCAATCCGGTGGAGCATTTCTGCCTTGAAAATACAGGAGGATCGTGGAGGATACATAGGTATGCACTCTCGCGAAGACACCATGACCAGCCACAGAGAGAGCCTGAACAGTCTTGGACTGGAATGCGTGGACTCAATACCTCCCTTACGCACACCTCATCCCGGACCAGAAGACAATGATTTGGGGTGGGGGTTGTCAAGGACGACTGCAAGGTTATGAACAGAATTGATAAGAGGAAGAAGGCGAACGTGGGCAGTGAGATTCATATGCTTGGGATTGATGCCTTCAAGGTGTTCAAATGAAGGAATACTCTCCATCAGGGATTTGCATTGAAGAAACATGTCTGATCTAGTGCAAGAGTCCTATGCTTGTCTTCAGTCGCCCTCCTCGTTCCCAAGCTCCTTCCTTAGCAACTCAATTTGATATTTCAGCTTTCGCCAAAGGATATAATCGTCCAAATCCTTGTCCTTGTCTGCAACATCAATCAGATCCCAATCACCCTGCAACTCGCCCACCACATCTCTTTCTTCCGCCTCGACGGTGCCCTCCTTTTCCCGAGCAATGGACAACAACGCGGTCACAAATGCCTCCTGAATATAAGCAAAAGAAAAGCCGTCCGTGATCTTCGCCGCGGCCTGACAAATCTCATCTGGGAATTCGATTTCCTTGTTATCACGCAACTCTTTCTGCCAGTAGTGGCAGTACTGCACTCTTTCGTCGATGCTCGGATTCGGAAACAGGAATTTCCTATCGAACCTCGACGGGCGCTTCGCAATGCCCGGGTCAAGACGGTCAAGATGCTATACCTCTCGTCAGCACTGAAACGGTCTATTGAGATATAAGGAAGCGAGCAAGCATCAAAAGCTTCTGCCACACTGTCGCAGGTTTTTCCGCTGAACCTACATTCGTGCTTCCGATCATGAACACTCCTTCGTTTTCAGAAATGCCGTCCACAGCATTGAGGAAGAAACTGCGCAATCTGTCCGTCACCAGGCTGTCCAGGTCCTCGAAGACCAAGTAACAAGGAGCCTCCTGCCTGGCCTTGGCGAATACAACATCAATACTGTACTGGTTGAGGAGTACTTTGACATACAGCGTTGGGATTGGCGGATCGCGTTTGTACAGAGTCCGCATGGTCGCTTTAATGGAGAGCGTTTTGCCGTTACCTGGAGGCCCGTAGAAGATAACGCCCCTCTTCCACGGCACGCGGAGCCGGTGATACTGTTCGCGAGAACTGTAGAACCGTTCGACAAGTTCTATCAGGTCGTCTTTCATGTCTTTGTCCAAAATGACGTCCTCCCATCGAGACTTCATCACGTTTTTGTACAATTGAGAGTCTTTCATCCAGCGGCCTTCGAAAACCCAGACCTCAGCGTGAAGAGACGTCTGATATCGGCCAATGGTTGCGACCAGCGTGTGCACGGCGGACTTGTCACCCAGGATATACTGGTTGCGAACCTGTGGCCACGCATCCGTCCCGTCTCTGCCGTCGACGAGATAGACAAGGAAAGTCATGTCCTGCCACTTGTACAGGTAAGACTCGAAAAATGACTCCTCGGCGATAATCCCCTGATCACCGTCGAGACGTTTGACCGGTGGGACGAATACAGTCCATTTCAGTGCTTCCGGCCAGATCCTTTTGTTTTTGTCATTCCTGCTTGTCTCGCTTGTTGGCAGCTGGTCGACCGATTCCACCGTAGCATGGCCAGCGTTCGCGTAAGCTTTCAAGTTGCAATTTCCTTGGGGAACGATAGTAATGGGAATGTCTGGATATTGTCTCTGTATGACATTGAAGGTGTGTGCATCAGTGTTGATACGGGCGGCGTTGGCATTATAGAAGAAGTGCCGCGAGACTATGTTGGGTGCGTCAGAGGCATTGGGCACATCATGAGATGACTTTTCCATTGCAACTGACGTCTCATGTAGTTCGTCTGTCCAAAACTTGAGATGCAAGAGAGACAGTGTACGTAGTAGAGAAGCGTGGTTCGAGTTACATCGAGCACATCGAGCTTCTGCAGGCACCAGCTGCCTTGAATGACGATCTCCTGCATGGCGAGCCCGTTTCCAGAAAAAAGGCCATCGTCTGACAGGGAACATATAACTCCAGCTTGAAGATAGGGAGTCTGCTGACGGTAAACCACTGGAGTTATGGTCATGGTACCATAGTACTAACGGCCTTCCGTGTGTCAACGACTTGCGCTATAACGTTATAGACGAAGGGTTCCGGATAGACAACGAGTACCACGTCAAGGACTTCCGTGTGAAGCCGACGAACTCCTGCCGTCAGACAGTGCCACCCTTCTTCGAAACCGGCTCGATGGGTGCAACCAACTCCGCATGGGGGCCAAAATCTGAAACTCTCTAGCAGTTCAGCCTTGGTTTGTCATGGCGGAATCGACGATGGTTTGAGACACGCCCTCTTTCCTGAGTTGGGCTCTGATGAGTTCGTCCAACCAGGCCCACGCAACTTCGCGAGCCTGTGCTGGTTTGTCCTGAAAGTTGTCCCAGGTCCTTGCTTCTCTGGGAGGCCTCCGCAATGCTTGCTCGATCATGTGCTCAAGGTAGCCGTTGATTCTGACACCATCGACCAGAGCTTTGTGAATGTCATCGAGGACAACACAGCTCAGTAGATCGAGCATACGGAATCTTCTGGCATCCCAGGGTCTGCCTGTCTCTTCGCGTTCCTCTTCGTCGTCCATACAGGAATTGCACAGATTCCATAAAGCAAACATCTGTACCAGGCGCAGTGGATGATATGCCTGCTCAAACATTGCAGGGTGGGTCACTCGCGCCATAATTGCTGACTGTAAGAGAGCTTCAGAGTATTTGCCTAAGCCGATGAGACCGGCAAGAAGCTGAGTACGCAGCTGTGGCCACGGATAATGATGGAGGCGCCAGGATGCGGTCCCAGCCAAACCTGCCATAGCTTGCTTGATTTTGTCAACCTGGGTATACTCAAGACCTGGCTCCGATTGAACATCCGAGTGCACCTGTTCGGCGTATTGCTCCGCCTCTTTGGCCTTCGAGTTGACTATAGACGTTGTATGAGAAGGATTTGCTGCAGCCTCTCGCTCTTTCGTGCACAACTCGCACGAACACGTGAAGAAATACCTTTCTTTCAGCTCCTGCTGCCTCTTTTCGAAGGGATAGGTGCCGTCGACGTACCCCAGCGTAATTTCCTCGTTTTCGTGAATGTCTCGCAATGCGTGAACCGATATATGGTGTTGTCCAGACTTTTCGGGCGCAGACACGCTTTTGAAGACGTCGAAGCGTACGAAAGCATTCGGACGACAAGAATGGTTGAACTGAGATGTTTTGGGGTGCAAGGCCAGGCCCATAGGCTCGGATATAAAGTTTGTCAGCGTGAAGGAGTTGATGGTAAGCTGCCAGCATCAGTAACAGAATGATCATGGTGAACCTCGGTCCCTTACAATACACAGCAGCCGTAATATCAGCTCTGGGCTTTGATCAGATTTAGAGTAGGCTTTGATGCCCTGAGTCATCAACGAAAGATCCTCCCAGCGCTCACCTCCCGCACGGCCTATTTCTTCCATATGACTTTCGAGTGAAAGGAGATGCATCCATTCTTCAGGAGGAATCTGGCCGGCTTTCTGCTGTTTCAGCAGACGGACCATGGCTCGGACGTTGCTGGGAAGAATTCGCGGGTACAGTCTGGCGTAGAGCTTGCATTCCAAACGATGATACAACCAAGCTTGCTTCTGGCATATCTGCCACGGACATTAGCAATTTTCCAGTACCAAGGACACCGGTCGTATCCCTCACCTTATCGCAGAATCTGACAACTTTGCATCCACTGCACCTTTGCAAGCTTGGAGCTTGACCTTGAACATCCCTGGGCAATTCTCTTGGAGTCCTGAAGCAAGAATAACAGTTGACTGCAAGATGGGGAGTGTCCAGCGCGATCAAGAGTGGGTGGTCAACGAGCATCAGCTGGGATTTAGCTGTGATATCCCTTGCAGCAAGGACGGAACGATCACCCTCTCCTGCTGAGTACACGACACGAACATTGAGGTCCTCGATGACGATATCTCTGTCGTTGAAAGACATGGTTTGTAAGCTGATTTATCTCTGGACAAAACGATTCTCGTTTTTCTCGACAGAGAGTACAGTTGACAGGAGTGACGCGCATTCGAGGCTGGCATTCTCCTGTCCTGGCGGTGAGAAGAATCGAAAGAATCTTGACCAACCAACCGCGACCGACAAAAATAATTTCCTTCGCAAGGCTGCAAATGCGGGGAAAGTAGCTGCGAGGCTGACAGCCTGTGGCGCCTGTGAAGCGCGCTTGAGGGCGCCCATCATTGGTTGGGTTTTAACTAGCATCTTAAGCCTAAAGTCCGTGTCCGCCACCAAATAATTTTTCCTGCGCTGCAACCCGCAGTCTCTTTCTATCTAAGACTTTCGACGCCGGCGGAGGAGGTGTTGTTGGGCTCTCGAGAAACATGGAATCACAATCCAATAGGCCTCACAGGGCATCGAAAGAGAAGAAGAAACCACAAAAGGGAGAGAAAAATGTCAAAGCCTTTGCCGTTGCAAATCCTGGCCGGCTGGCGAAGCAGGCCGTCCGGTCCAGCGATATCAAAGAAAAGCGACTGCATGTTCCACAAGTCGATCGGATCCCAGAAGAAGCTCCTCCCATTGTCGTCGCAGTCGTCGGTCCCCCCGGTGTTGGCAAGACCACACTCATCAAGAGTCTCATTAAACGATATTCGAAGCAGACCCTGTCGCACCCTACCGGCCCTATAACAGTTGTTACTTCGAAGCGACGGCGACTTACCTTTATCGAATGCCCTTCAGACTCTCTCGCTGCAATGATCGATGTCGCAAAGATCGCCGACATTGTGCTACTGATGATCGATGGGAACTATGGCTTTGAAATGGAGACAATGGAATTTTTAAATGCCCTTAGCGTTTCTGGTATGCCGGGCAATGTCTTTGGCATTCTGACACACTTGGATTTTTTCAAGAAACAGAGCACATTACGCATGGCCAAAAAGAGGTTAAAACATAGGTTTTGGTCGGAATTATACCAGGGTGCCAAATTGTTCTACCTCTCTGGTGTGATCAACGGGCGGTACCCCGACCGAGAAGTTCACAATCTCTCCCGGTTTTTGTCTGTCATGAAGAATCCTAGGCCTCTGATCTGGCGGAATAGCCATCCTTATTGCCTTGCCGACCGCTTCCTCGATGTTACGCCTCCGACGCAGATTGAAGAGAACGAGAAATGCGACAGACAAGTGGCACTTTATGGCTACTTGCGAGGGACGAACTTTCCCGCAGAGGGCGCCAGAGTTCATGTTCCTGGCGTAGGCGACCTTTCGGTCAAAGAGATTGAAGCACTGCCCGACCCTTGCCCTACACCCTTCCTCGACCAGGCAATGGCCAAAGCTGCAGGAAAATCTTCGAGGAGAAAGCTGGGCGAGAAGCAGAAAGTACTGTTTGCGCCCATGTCAGATGTTGGCGGAGTTCTGGTAGACAAAGATGCGGTTTATATTGATGTCAAGACGAACACGTTCGATCGCAATGCAGATGACGCCGAAGAAAGAGGTCTAGGCGAACAGCTTCTGATGAACCTGCAAGGAGAACGAAGATTACTGGGAGAAGTTGAGGGCGGTGTGCGGCTTTTCCAGGGTGGTCGGCAGCTCACTGAGGGTGACAACGCTGAGAATGATACGGGCCGGACTACAAAAAGAGGGACTCGTTCCTTCGGCCAGAACAGCAATCTTGACAATATCCATGATGAAGAGGTTGATGAAGGGTTCGTCAGTGGAGAAAGCGACGAAGAAGCAGGAAGTGAAGAGGATGAGGTGGACGACTTTCCCGAACATACCGGTCGACCTGGTCTTGCAGCTGGGGAAGAGTTAGATGGTGAAGAAGCCGAGGGTGATTTGGACTTTGCCGAGAGCGATTCTGACTTGGGGTCTATCTCTAATGACGAGGATCTTGGACAGGACTTCCCAGAAGACGAGTTTGGGTCCGACGAAGATGAGGAGGATGGCGGGCTAAGGTGGAAGGAAAACCTTGCGGCAAATGCTCGAAAATTACATTCGAGCAAAGTGGCATTCCGTGCTGCCGATTTGTCAAGGCTGATGTATGATTTGACGCTGTCACCCGCAGAAGCGATTGCAAAATGGCGAGGCGAACAAGCCACTCGCAATGCCGATGGCGAGGAGATTGAAGAAGAAGATAACTTCTTCAACAAGGCCAAAACTGAGCAAGAAGAGGAATTCGAAGATCGACAAACTCCACGATATGATTATGAGCGGTTAGCGGAGAAATGGGAGGATGACGAAAACATCCAACAAATCATGTCTCGTTTCACCAGAAACTCCGTCGCGACCGGAGCCAATGCCGACTCTGAAGGCGAAGAAGATGGTGGCTTCGAGGGCGAAGAAGGTGATGAGTCTGATGAGGGAGACGGCGAGTTTGAAGATCTGGAGACAGCCGCTGAGCAAGATCCAGCAGCCCAGGCCGAATTGACCTTGGAAGAAGAGCGCGCAAGGAATGCGCAACGAAAAGAAGAGCTCAAGCTCCGATTCGAGGAAGAAGATCGTGAGGGATTTGCCAATGGCAAGAGTGAAGTCAAAGCCACCGAGCAGGAGTTTGGAGAAGATGAGTGGTACGATGCTCAGAAAGCCATGCTCCAAAAGCAACTTGATATCAACCGCGCCGAATTCGACAGTCTTGACCCGGTAGGCCGGGCTCGAGCAGAAGGATTCAAAGCCGGCACTTATGCACGGATTGTCCTGGACCACGTACCATACGAGTTTGTTCGCTCCTTCAATCCCAAGCTCCCGGTGATTATTGGAGGTCTGGCGCCAACGGAAGACCGGTTTGGCTTCGTCCAAGTGCGCATCAAACGACACCGATGGCACAAGAAGATCCTGAAGACGAATGACCCTCTTATCTTTTCACTGGGTTGGCGAAGATTTCAAACGCTACCTCTATATTCCATATCCGATTCGCGCACACGGAATCGCATGCTCAAATACACGCCCGAACATATGCACTGTTTCGGCACGTTCTATGGACCACTAGTGGCACCAAATACTGGCTTCTGCTGTGTACAGTCATTCTCAAATGCCAATCCTGGATTCCGAATCGCGGCGACGGGTGTGGTACTGAATGTGGATGAAACGACCGAAATCGTCAAGAAACTCAAGTTGACGGGACACCCGTACAAGATCTTCCGCAACACAGCTTTTATTCGAGACATGTTCAGCTCATCGCTTGAGATTGCCAAATTTGAAGGAGCAAGCATTCGAACCGTTTCTGGTATTCGTGGGCAGATCAAGAGAGCTCTCAGCAAACCAGAAGGACATTTCCGAGCGACGTTCGAAGACAAGATCTTGATGTCTGATATTGTTTTCTTGAGAGCCTGGTATGCAGTGAAGCCGCATCGTTTCTACAATCCTGTCACCAATTTGCTGGACGCTCCGCCTAGTGGATCAACAGAAGATGGAGAGAGTCGGGGTGTAGATGATGGGTCGGGAGGGTGGCAAGCCATGCGGCTGACGGGCGCTGTTCGAGCATCTCTGGGCATGCCGACACCGCTTGTCAAGGACTCTGCTTACAGCAAGATCGAGCGACCGACAAGACACTTCAATCCTCTACGAGTACCTCGTTCTCTCGCAGCCGATCTTCCCTTCAAATCCCAGATCACCCAGCAGAAAGCGCGGAAAGCACCAACATATCTGCAGAAACGAGCAGTCGTCATTGGTGGGGAGGAGAAGAAAGCTCGAGACCTCATGCAGAAATTGCAGACCATGAGGAACGAGAAGGCGGAAAAACGGGCCAAGAAACAGGAAGAACGACGTGCTGTGTATCGGAAGAAGGTTGCTGAGAATCTGGAAATGAAGGAGCAACGGGAAAAGAGAGAGCGAGATGAGTTCTGGAAAAAAGAAGGTGGGAAGCGAAAGAATACAGACGAGGGTGGTGGAAGGGGAGGAGGAGGCAAGCGGTCGAAGCGACGATGAATTGGATTTCTGGCAGCTTTGTAAAAAGTGTATAGATGTCGACATGATACCCAACGAGCATGGCAATGAAGACAGTGTTCTCGTGTCAATATTGATTATACGGAGTAGTCTGCTGTCGGTACTCTGTACGGAGTAGTCCGTAGTGGTCTGTGGTTGTGCTAGTTGTCTATTTACAGCCATAGTTGGCTTGATAGCGAGTGAAAATTTGGATGGCTGGGAGAAGGACGAGCGAGGAGGAGGAGGAGGAGGGCGAGCCGGGAAGAGCAGCGACCAGCAGCCTCGCCAGCCCAGCCTGGGAGCCTTATTAGTAGCCCACGTAGCCTGGTGAGCCCTATTGTAGTAGCCTAAGCAGGCCTAGTGAGCCCTTTGACCGCCTGACCGGAAAAAATGGCGCGTAAAGAGAGGGCTCATCGCGTCTCCCACGACTTCCAGACTCGTCCATGCTATCCTCCGTAGCTACTCGTGAACGGCGAGATGGCAAGTTGAAGTCTTGATCGCTATCCGTATTCCTCCATCTTCCCATCTTTAGCAATCTGTCACAACAACGCGTCGGCCTTGAAACGCCTCACATCGCACGCGTGTCGACGTAACCCGGCTTCCGACCCCACCAGCTCGCATCTCTACCCAACTCGACTCGTGCCAACTCCACTGTTACCACACGACCAGACCAGGCGAACGCGACGACCCTCGTGATCGGTGCCTGTCGCTAACTTACTCTTCTGTTCTGTCTACATCTTCGCTCGTTCACTCTTGCCGGATCTTCTTTGAGTCTACAACACGACGTCGACTCCGAATCCCATCAAGTATTGAGGCCCATCACCGACTCGACCGATAAGATACGCCACGAGCATGCAACATGCCGCTACGCATGCGTCAACCATGCTGGATCCACAACCGTTGACATCTGCACCTTTCCCGGCCGATTCGGGTTCAGCCAACCCTCCACGCAGTTCTCAAGACTCGAACCTCTCACCTTCCTCTCGGCCGATCACGCTGAACATTTCTACCAGCGATGTCTCGAGCACAGCTTTGCCAGCGGTCCATCAGGAGGAGGATACACCACCTACGTCCGCCATATCCAGCCAGCCAGACTCGCAGGCGCCCAGGTCTCCCGGGATGTCAGAAAAGGAGCACACCACTGTGAGAAGTAATGAGAATGGAGCTGCGCAAGTGCATCGCTCCAACACGAGCTCTCAAAGTCCACCACCGAACAGCGTCTCCGGGGCGAAGAGAACATCCAGTGGTGAGGTGAAACGGTCCAGCGTGACGGGACTGGGAGATGTCGTGACCAAATCCAACGGGATCAGTCATGCTCGGACACCAAGCATGGTCTCGAATGGGAACGTATCTGAGGTAAGGAGGGCGACACTTTTGGTGGGCATAAGCTAACATATTGCAGCTCTCACAACAACTGCGCACGAAGCTGAAATATGCCATGATCAAAGTGCAGAATGGCTGGCAGACACGGTCTCTAGACGAAATCGAGTCCCTGGCTTCTCAGTCACCACGATCAACTACCTCGGGATTCCAAAATTCTCCTTATCCACATAGCTTGTCGTCTCCGAAAACCGTCATGTCCAGAAAATACCAGCGCGAATCGAGCGAAAGCGACTCATCCGACAGTACAGGAGCCCTTGAACCTCGAGGTCTGCCCAACATGGGTAGCCCTCAAGTATCATCACGTCGGGCCCTTGCACCTCCCGTCGATATCGTGCCCAACTCGCGTCGACGGACAACGGTCAATGGTTCCTATCACAACGTAAACGGCCCTCAATTCCATCCTAGAGGAGTGCATACTTCGCGACCGCATGCAAACCAGCGAACGCCCAGTCAGAATGCTGCCATGGAAGCGGATGCCGTTGAGACACTCTTGTTCATGGCCAGTCCAAGCAATTCAGGCTACAATCCGGCATCGTCCCAAGAATCGACACTTCGATCCTCCCAAGTTTTTGCCTCCCAAACATCTCCACTCCGGACCCAATTCAGCCAAACTTCAATGGCGTCACCAAAGAAAGTTGCCTTTTCTGACAGACGGCCACCGTTCGACAAAGCCACCATTATTGATCAGATGCTGAACGAACTGTCGGACGGCAGCGACGAGGAGTTAGAACAAGCATTCAGACTTGCGGGCGCGGGCAAGAGCACGGCGACAGCACCAGTGTCGACCTAACTCCCTGCATGGAGGTTTATTGCCGAAGGAAATGATTTTTGGGCGTTGGGAGGTTGCATTGGTCTGGCCCAGCATGTTCACAATGCCCGGAAGTGGCTATCTTATGACGGATGATGATTGTACAGCCGGGAATTTAGTCGTTGACTGTTGACTTTTGAAACTTACCAAGGATACCATCTGCATATTTTGCATCTGCATATTTTGGACTGATTTAGCACAATGGCACCATTTTTTTGGGAGATGTCGAATTGACCGTCGAAATGACTGACTCGGGCACCCCCCTTTTGAGCATTCGCTCTGGCACTCTCAGCCTCGGTCAATGTATCGACCACCCAGTCCACTGTGCGTTTCCCCGCAGATTTTTGGGTGTATACCAGATACATCGCTTCCGCTCAGCATCCGGATTGCCCGCCCAGGTAGGTATTGGTATGTCGTCTGACGTCTCATGACAGCCCTGGGGTCATGATATATATATTGAGACGTTCACCCATGTTCTTCCCTTTTTCTGGCAGAGCAGGAACTGAGCTAGTACCTGTTACCACATCCTTTAGCAATATCCCCAGATTTGAATCTGCGCGGGACTAATCCGAAATTACCTAGGTAACCAAAACAGGAACAAACATCGTCCCCATACGACCAAAGTTGGCACTGTTGGTAACCTCAAGGTACTCCTCAGCCCTCACACTGATGGCGGACACGAGTGCAGCATTTCTCGGCAACATCGCCACGCTCCGTGACAAAGTCGCCCTCGTCACCGGCGGCTCGAGCGGTCTAGGCCGCGCCATCTGCCAGGCCTACGCCGCCGCGGGCGCGTACGTGGTCAGCGCCGACTTGAGCCCCGACGTGCCGAGCCAGTCGGTCGTCCAGCAAAAGATCGGAAAGGACAGTGATCTGGTCACGCCGACGGTGGAGCTGATCAATAAGAAGTGGCCGGCTCCTGATCCTCGGACAAAGGACTCCTTGAGTGTGCACGACAAAAGCAACACCCATGCGGTCGAGACCGTCCAGAGGGCCATGTTCGTCCAGTGTGATGTTGGTCAGGAGGACCATGTCCGACGTGCCGTCCAGGCTTGTGTGGAGAGGTATGGGAGGTTAGATGTCATGGTCAACAATGCCGGTATGTATACCTTACTAGGTGCCTACCTTTGAAAGTGCCCTGCCCTTTTCGCTTTCGTTGTCAGTCTAGCACCCCTTTGTCTTGGTACTCGTAAGGGACTTCCCTTCTTTCCCCTTGTCAGTCTAGCACCCTCGTCTTGAGACTTACGGCCCTGACTCTGCCTCAGGCATCTCCGCCGAAACCACAACCCAAACCTACACGGGCGCCTCCACCCGCACGCACGAAACGGACGTGTCCATCCTCGACCGCACCCTCGCCATCAACGTCCGAGGCGTCTGGCTGGGCACGAAACACGCCGTCCAACAATTCCTGACCCAAAAGCCACACCCACTTTGGGGGCAATCGCCGTGGAACACCAGCAACGCGTCAGAAGCGTCCCAGCTGTCCGATACCAATCCTTCCGCGAACAACCTGTCCGGGAACCCCTCAGAGACGTCCGAAATCCACCGCGGCTGGATCATCAACATCGCCTCCATCCTTTCCAGCGTCGGCCTCGCCGGCTCCACGACCTACTGCGCGAGCAAAGGCGCCGTCCTCCAACTCACCCGCTCGACGGCACTCGAGTACGCCGCGGACGGCATCCACATCAACGCCATCCAGCCCGGTTTCGTCGACACCCACATCCTCGAGAGCATGTACCAAAACGTCCCCGGTATCGACCAAACCCTCAAAACCTTGCACCCCTGGGGCAGGACCGGGCGGCCCGAGGAGATTGCACGTATGGCCGTCTATCTGGCCGGAGAAGGCGCCAGTTGGGTCACGGGGAGCAGTATGGTTGTCGATGGTGGTTATTTGGCGCAGTAACCTACCTACTAGTACTACGTTAGTAGTTGAATCCCTTCTCTTCTCTCCTGGCTAGGCACCGAGCCACCTCAACCAGACACCTGAACCAAAGGTTGGGGTTTCAAGATGAGCACCACTTGTGTTTGTGGCGACTACTAGTATTTATCTGTACGAATATGTCGATATCGCCGTACAACTACGCAATGTCATTTCATTCGGTCTGATACTCCTCCCCATCGTCCGTACAATCGTCTCCATGTTTAAGGGTCCAGCAGAGTGAGGTACGAGGAAGGAAATACAGTGCCATGATCCGAGATTCGTGATTCCCTGCCTGGTCATATGATGCGTCGATGGCCGTAGGAAAGAAGCTACTAACAGGAAGAGCAATTGCAAATTGATGGTGATACCAACTCTTTTGGGGAACATTCTGAATTCTACCACTAGAAGAGCTTGCATCAATGCTTGTTTAGTCCAATACGCCTTCGCCTTGTTGAGGTTCATGCTATCAACGATGCCGGTTGACTCCATGCTCAGCAATTCATACCTGCTAACGTCCTCTTCCGATGGTGTGCATTTCCAATTTCATGAACCTGTAATCGTCGAGTCGAAAAGAATGACCTGAATATCCAATCCACATCTTAACAAACTTTTGTCGGGTCGACCTTGGTGAGGATTATGGCTTTGCCGAGGGAAAGAAAGAGGGAGAATCATGCAAATCATGCGCGTAGCATAAAAGTCAACAATACGATGACCCGAAAGCAAAACCAAATTCTGTCTGGCGTGTGGCACCGTGAGCAGTCTCATACAAGGACACCGTGAGCGCTTCAAGTGTAACCTATTCTAGCGTTAGCAATGACCTTTCACATTCAATAGGTCAACTCACTTCTCATGGCCTCGCTGTAACCGATACCGCCCTTGAAGTCAACGTCGAAACTCTCTGCAACATCAATCACGCGTCGAATATGTTCCATGGCGAGTGCTACATTCTCGTGGATAGCAAGCGCATGGGCTGCACGTATTATATTCTTGATTTGACGACCGTTCACATCTCGACGAGCCAAGTCGGTGTAATCAGCCTCGGTGATCTGTGCAACGTCCATCCCTTCCTGGCTCTTGACGCGATCGATGAAGATCTTCCAAACGGATCTCTTCGCTTTGGTATTGAGATTCTGAAAGTGTAGTGAGAGGTGGATTCGAGAGATGAAAGCCGAATCAAATGTGCGTACTCGGTTCGTGGTCAAGAAAAGAATGCCTTGAAAGTACTCCAGCAGACGGAGAAAAATGCTGACTAAGGCATTGCGATGAATGTCGTAAAGAGCCCGTTCTTGAAGAAAGACATCAGCCTCGTCCAGGAGGAGGATAGCGCCCCAGCTATGAGCGATGTCAAGAATGGTTTGCAGCTCCTTTTCGAGTCGAGTAGGATCCGTCCCCAGATCTCCAGCACTGACCATGTACAGCGGACATTTCAAAAGATCGGCAATGCCTTCCGCAGTGAGGGTCTTGCCAGTACCAGGAGGACCGTGAAGGACCGCTACCAGGCCGCGACCTTTCCCGGTGATGATGTCGTCAATGCTCTTGTGAGGATGAAAAGCGTGGCTAGAGACCAATGCCTTGATAAGCGACTTCTGATTTTCGGGAAGCACCAAAGACTCAAAAGCCTGATCGTTGAAAACAACCTCAGATATACCAGAGACTTTGAATTCCAGCCACATCTTTTCGTTGAAAGAGAAGCCGAAAACGACAGGGCAAGCCACCAGAAGCTCCTCTTGGGTGAAAGAATGGTCGTCATCTTTGGCATCAGCCAACGGCTGTTCCTGACCAGCAGTGGTGTCTTGTTGAGACCCGATGTCGACAATTGTGTGCTTACCATCCGGCGTCTTGATCAGGCGATACCTCTTCTTTTCAGTGAAGGAATTTTCGGAACGTACTTCTTGCTTGTCTGCATCGTCCTCCGAAGGGGTGTCGTCGCGGCTGCTATCCAATATTTGATCGCCAAACCCGATTATGAGACCCTTCGATTTGAATGTGGTGAGATGATAATTCGGGTTGATACGGCGATGGACAGCTGCGTCGACCATGATCCGTCCTTCAACATTGATTCTCAACATTCCCTTCTTAGTTTTGGTGAATGCCAAGCCGTTGTAGAAGCGGTAGTTCATGCCTTTCAGAGCCACGAAATGTTTTCCTCGTTCAATGAGCCGGGCCTTCAGTTCGCCGGCGTCCTGGTGATATTCAAGAGGGTAGCATTCGAGCGAAGTAATTGAGCGAGCACCTTGAAACTCAGGTACTTCCATAGCGACCGCTGCCATGCCAAACGTCTTCCCGTTATAGTCAAGGTACTTCCCGTCAATATTGTACCATGTCCCCTTCGTGAAGTGACTCATTTTGCTGGCTAGTTCAACCTTGAAAGCTCGTGGCTCGTCGTGATCATCATAGGTGGGGGCGTAGGCAATGCTGTTTGGCTTGAACAAAGCCCATAGGAGGTCCCAGGTGATCATCTTCTTCTCCAGCAGTGGCTCCAGGCTCTTTTTGGTTTCCTCGAAGTCGTTTTCCAGGAATTCAATCATCAAGGCAAGGTGTTTGGCCCGCAGCGCCACTTCCTGCATCGTAAGTCCATCAGGCACATTTGGCATATTGTAGCCTTCAGCAGCCTCCAACAGGTCATTCCAGTAATCTACGAGATCTTCGAGGAAGAGAAAGAGTGTTTGGGGGTCGAGATGAGGTGTCCCTTCCAACAAGCTGACGCCAGAAACATCTTTCAATACGAATTTCAAGCATTCTTTGAGTGGCTTCGATTTGATATCCACGAGCGTTCCAGTGTATTGCCCATTCGGGCTAAATCTGCGGCGGACAATGAATATGTACTTGTCCCATGCTTTTTCTCCAGTTTTCTTGACCGTCTCAGTGAGCTTGTACTGGTGGATTTTGGGGTCCCACAGCTGATCGACTCGCTTGTATTCCAACTTCGAACCGCTCTTGCTCTTCTTGGTGTGAGTGCTCTTCTTGCTCTTCTTGCTCTTCTTGCTCTTTTTCTGCTTGGCTTCTCGAAGCTCCTGCACCGAGCTGCAGTCGTCGGACAAGGGATCCGCGTCATTCTTCGCTTTATCAGCGGAAGAGCCAGGAGCGATGAGGTTTCCAAGGACCGTCTGAGCTTGTGGTGGCTGGAACATAACCAGGCAAGAGGGAGAAGAGGCGGCAAAGTTAAGACCGTGCAGAGCCGCCTGAAGGTCGTTGAGGTTGGTCGTGTAGTAATCTGCCTGGCCTCGAATCGTGCTTGATTCTCCCTGATCTTCCTGAATCAGCTGCGATTTCTGCAGCTTCCGTAATCTACTCTTCGTTTCTTGAATCAGCTTCTCCTTCCCAGCAGCATCGAGCACTGCCAGGTCATCGTCCAAGTCCGACGATTCTTCAGTGGTTTCCGCTTTCCTCTTGGCCTTCTTGTCTGGTTTCTTGCCTTTCTTCGGTTGTTTCGCCTTCGACTTGGCCTCCACCTTTTCCGCTTTAGCTTTAGACTTCTTCTTGCTCTTTCGGCTGGGGGAGGAAGTGTCACTCTCTGATGAGTTTGAGTTGTCAGTCAAGGCCTGACCTTCTGGAGAGGAGCCGGATGATTCGCTCGAGTCATCTTCAGTATCTGATGCTTTACTCTTCTTGCGGATTTTCCTAGGCTTCGACTTGTCATACTGCTTCTCCGATTGACTCTTAGACGATCTGGTGCGTTTGTTGCGTTTCGATGGGCTAGGGTCTTCAGAGGGTCGGGAAGGTCTCCGTTCACCAGATGGTCCAGCATTTTCGGGCTGTTCAGGCTCTGCAGGGCCCGTAGTCTGATCCATGTTTGGAATGATGCTAAAGGAAATATGTGGCAAGGAAGTCTGGGTGCGAAGGGTGAGGGAAGAAAAGAGGTTGCTTAAGGGCAGGGAAGTTGCCTTTTGAGTCGGTTCATCTGAAGGAAGGCGGTGAATGATTCACCGCGGGAGTCACCACAAAGCAACAAGGCAGGCAGGCAAGCAGAAGTGAAGAGTCAATGAACGGGATTAAGTATGTTTTCACATGGTTAGAGCATAACAATCTTTTGTGGCCGGAATGGGAGCCTGGTCATGGGCACTGCGCATGCTAGACGCAAGACATGAGTGACGGCGCAGCCATAGTAAGAATTGGAGACCTGAAAAGCGCCCAAGATGCAGGCTTCTGTGGTGTTTGCCTGATATGAGGCAGCAGAGGTCGAATGAATGCGAGACAGGTCACGATAGGCTTGACTTGGGCGGGGGAATCGTTTATAATTGTTTATGAATGGTGGATGATGGTGGGCCTCGATCACCGGTTTGATGCTCTGTCCCGCTGCTCCATGTGTCCACGCACACGGCCAGCGCGTCGATCTGGGGGCTGATCCTTGCATCCTGACCTGACAGGCTCACGGGGGAGCCTATGCCTAGTAAGCCCAACACGGTATTCTCTTCTCGCTTTAACTTAACTGCTGGTTCGTACCTTACCTACCTAGGTAGGTAGATACTTTGGTGACGCCTGTTGGGCGGAAATACTACTACTACGTAGGAATATCCAAAGTGCTAAGGCAAGGCATGGACGTGTCTGGGTCTTTGGCAGCACCACCGATTGTGACCTAATTGGCGCAATGATCTTTTCCTTACTCCGTATTGATAGGGACTTTGGCTATCTCTTTACTCAAGGCTTTGCGACTACACCGGCCGACGTAGAATAATCTGTACCAATACTCCCTTCACTCCTTTCGCATCTCTCTCAGTATGCTATGCTCCTCAATCCCCTGGCTGCGCTGCCACGACCCGAGCAATCTCCAAGTCCTTGATGTCATGCAGTCCGGTCTTGATGAACGAACATTTGAGATTACCACAATTGTTATTCCCCCAAGGACACTGATGTCCGTAGAAACAATCCTGCCGACGACATTTCGACCCCTGAGTACATGGAATGCTTCTAGCTTTGTATCGAAGAGTATTCTTCATGCCAGCATCGATCGGGCCGTGATCGTATTTGCAATTGTAGGATTCGCAATTATCTCGCAGGTGGTGCTCATTACAAAGTTTGCGGCGCACGATACGACGTTCGAATTCCTCCATCTCGGCAGTCGTTGGTACACGGAGCTTCCAGTCGATTCTCTGTCCGAAACGATTGATTGGTATCCCACTTTTGCCCTCTCCAGTTCGATCGCTCGTGATAACTGGTTTAGTTTTGGCTACTTCTGCTGGTGGTGGTGGAGGTGGTGGCGGCGGCGGCGGCGGCGAGGTGAGTTGTGCTGCACTCTTTGTGTTCAGGGTCAGTGGTGCTAAAGGTGTCAGTCCGGATGGACCAGTGTTTGAAGATTGGCTAGATCGGCTCGCAGTTGGTGTTAGCTCGTGGGTATGTTGTTCCGCTGGTGACCTGTCGAAATAAGGTGTGTCAGGAGGCGGCGTGAAATACGAAGTGTCAGCCTTCGATACCGTTTCCAAGCCTGAAACTTCGAACACGCTATCAAACCTCGTGTACTTGAACGGCAGGCCAGCATAGGCTCTAGCAGCCGATGGGGTCTGCGCAGCATGAATCAACATAACCTTGGGCATTACGATCATGTCATGTCGATATTTGTCGAGTTCAGCAATATAGCCGTTATCATGGGAGCATGCTAGATAGATACGTTGACACTGGGCATTATGTGCGTAGAATCGAAAGGTGTCTTTCAATCGTGTCAGCGGGACCAAGAGACAACTTGGTGTGGCATGCTTACCGCGCAATTTGGCATCAACCCTCTCCTTTCCTGGACCGCAATCGATGAATTGGAACAGACTCCGACTCTGTGTGAATGAACAGAAGAACTGATCGATCTGAGATGGAAGATTGATGTAATCACAAGCCACTAGAGTTCTTGCGAGGCCAGCTTTGTTGGCGTAGATATTGACGAGCACGTCGCAGTCGGCATTAATGCCTGTGAAGGAATCTGCACTTTTGAGATTATTGAGCACTTCCGTGTATAGTTCGCTGGCAGCCTTGGAGCCCCCGGATGTTGCGAGGGCATTGTAAAAGGATTTTCGAAACTGGTATCCGTCACCATCGACGAGAACGACGACAAATTTGCGTTGGGTTGCTGCTTCGGCTTCTTCGGCTCGCTTTTTCCAGCTGCGGCGGGTGTGTCTCTCATCGTCCAAATCACTTTGCAAGGTGAGTCTCTCGGTGTCGAGTCGTAGGCAAGTTTGGACTAGAAAGTCGACTTCAGACTGTCTAGCGTCGTCGAAAGCTCGATAGTCTTGCAGTCGTTGTTGGAGATCATGATGATTAGGGAGGACGGCCATGATTAAAGGCGTGCAGAATCGATTCGTGCGGCACCAGACAGCAGAGAGACACAAGATAATATTGAAGCTTAACACAAAGCACCAAAAGGCGAGTGAAATAAACAAGGGTGGTGTCAGGACAGGTAGTTCAACGACAAAGCAGGGTTGATGAGGCCAATTACCGGCCAGGCAGAATTTCAATAGCAGAGATTGAGGCCCCTACCGTGGCTCAACTGTGATATTGGGAGACAAAAGCAGGCGCGTGTTGTGGTGGAAGATGAAACATCAACCCATGGAAAGGCCACTGCAAGTGAGATGTGAGTAGGTGAGTACCAAGGTAGGTGAGTAGGTAGCATCAGTAGGACTCAATGAAACTGGCGGTGAATGGCGGCCTGCAGGTTTTGTCCAGGCTGCAACTGTCGCGGTCTGAGCATCACTGGCGGGAAAGCAGGACACGCCAGAATCACCCGAGTCACCCTCCACTGAGCCACCACCTACTGGAGGCGCTGATGGTGCCCTCTAGGAAGCTGCTTTATCGATAAGCCATCACCACCCTTTCTGGGCTTGCACCAGCCTTGGAGGCACACTGAGGCAGCATCTTCATTCTCATTCTTTTCATTGTCCAATTGTCATGGGGAGCACAGTCGTTATCACACCACGCAGATGTGCAATGTCAGAAAAGCGGAGGCATCACAGCATTCAATGGCACGGCAAAGGCACGGGCACGACGGGATTACTATTCGCCGTGTTACCAATAGACGACGGCATCAAACAAGGTACCGAGGCTCGATTCTATGCCCCATTGCTTGCACGGCTGGCACTGGCTGGGTGCCATGCTATCAAAGGTGTTGCTTACAAAACAATCCACCTTCAAATGGTCCCCAGACACCACACTCGCATATAATACTTATATTCGAAGACGCCAATATTGACCGGAGTGAATTAAGAACCCCTTGAGAAACCCGTGAACACCTCTATCATCGTCCCTAAGATTCCCCACAGACCAAAAAAAGACCCATCTAATTCCTCCTGTCAAATCACAATGGTTCAGAACAAAGCGTTCATATACAAGTCCGTACCCGATGGTTGGCCAGTACCAGGCAAGGACCTGGCCGTCGAGGACATTGGCTTCGACGAGTCGACTCCTCCGCCAAAGGGCGGCTTCATCACCAAGAACCTCTACGCAACATACGACCCGAGCCAGAGGGGAAGGATGCGAGACCCCAGCGTGAAATCCTACACTCCTGCCATGCAAACAGGCAAGCCTGTCCTCGCAGTCACCGTCATAGGCAAAGTCCTCAAGACCGACAATCCCAAGTTCAAAGAAGGCGCCATAGTCCTACTCTGGACCCACCCGACCGAGTCCTACTCGAAAGTGGACGAGACCCAAGCCGGCCGGGCTGAAGTTGTCACCCCAAAACCCGGTGTGCCTCTGACAGCATATCTGGGCCTCCTGGGCATGACCGGCATGACCGCCTACGGCTCCCTGCTGGAAATCGGCCAGCCGAAGAAAGGAGATGTCATTCTGGTCTCTGCCGCCGCTGGCGCTGTCGGCCAGATGGTCGGTCAGATCGCCGTACGATTGGGTCTCCACGTATGTCTCCAGACATTAACCCACCTCTACCCTTTTTATGGCCGTTCCGAAGTTAATGACCTCAGCAGGTCATCGGCTCCGTCGGCGACGACAAGAAACTAGACTTCATCATCAATGAGCTGGGCTTCAGTTCCGGGTTCAACTACAAGAAAGAGAACATGACCGAAGCGGTCAAAAGGCTCGCCCCCGACGGACTGGATATCTAGTAAGTTGGTGCTTTTCTTGTCCTTTTCCCAAGGCGCCGTTCAAGACGTAGCATGTTTCCCCGTTTACATGACCTCCTTCCATGTGAACATCCGCTGACCTCGAATCCTTAGCTTTGACAATGTCGGCGGCGAACTTCTGGACGTCGCCATGGCAAACGTGAGTTCTCATTCGTCCCTCCTATCAGGAACCCCCTTACAGCCCCTCCGCGGAGCACTGTCACGATGACTCGCTTGGTGCTCCAATCAATACGGGTACCCAATACTAATTCGCGGCGCAATGATGATATCCAGATGAAAGATTTCGGCCGTATCATCGCCTGCGGCGCAATCTCCACCTACAACAACGGCAAGGACACGACCCCTTACGGCCTGAAGAACTACAGTGCCGTGGTCCGCAAGCGCCTGCGCTACCAAGGCTTCATCGTCTATGACCCGAACATCATCCGCTGGAAGGCCGAGCGCGACGAGAACGTGTCCAAATGGATCGCCGACGGTAGCTTCAAGTCCATCGACCACGTCACCGTGGGCATGGACAATGCCGTCGATGGGTTTCTGGGTATGCTCAAAGGCCAGAACCTGGGGAAGAGTATCTTGAAGATTGCGGATGAGTGATGCTGAAGCTCAAGGTCGGGTACATGCACATGTGTGGCACACTATTTGCTGTTCCATGCTTTGCTCCCTTGATTGAAAAATGAAACCCTTACCTAGGTATTCTATGCTAAGCTATGCATGCCGTGCCATGCCGAAATTCATTTGTAACTGGTAACAGCTCATATCATTCTCATTTTTTTTCTGCGGGAAAATCATAACTTTCATAAGGGTACCGTCGCCCGGCGCGCTTTCTTTCTCTCCTCCCCCGGACCAGCCAGGCTTCAAGATCGGATGCCTCATTGTTGGCATTGGCTTCCTCTCTTCCACTCTCTCATCTGACCTGCTTCTGCCCAACCCAAAGACAGGCTCCCACGGCACAATGCCTGCAGCAAAGAGAGAGAGAAAGACGAACACCCGAAATAGCCTCCTTCTTGCGGCTCGGCCATGCAAGCACAAAGCATCCGGCCCGCGTCTCATATCATTTCGTTTCATCCCGTTGCATCTTGTCCATCCCAGTTCAGATATTTCAAGCCCCTCCGACAACCCGCAATGAAAAAAAAAGCATGTCACCGCCTTCCTTAAAATCCTGCAAACTCCGTGATTTCTCTTGATCCTATCGACCGCCCATGCGTTGTTCGTCAAATCATTATTCCTTAAGCCAGTGTCGATGTCGATCCAGTTGAACCCATCACCACCGTAATCATTCCAGTTCGTCGCCAGCCGTTGATTGTCGAGATATGCAGAAAAAGTCCTAGGGTCTCAGATGACCCCAGCCTCTCCCTCTATCCAAGTCTTGATGTACCATCGGTGGAACCACCACCTCTATTGCGGACGAAGGGGTCCGCGCGCGAGTCCCTGGTGAGACATCCACGCGGCTCCGCACATTCTCGAGGCAGCCCATGCAAAGCTCCAACCCGCACGCCTCGCAACTGTGCAACGGCTTGTGTTCCAGGCATCCGTGGCACGCTAAAAATCCCTCACCCAGAGCCGAAGTATGTCGATGAAAGCAAGCAGGACGACCAGCAGGATCCACGGCACGGCGAAAATCCGGCCAGTCTTCTCCATCGCTCTCGTCTTCGTCTTCGTTCTCTCCGTTCTCTTCGTCTTCGTCGTCCTGCCACGAGCCTGGGGCACACTCACATGAGTCGTCCTCGTCGAAAAGTCTACCGCACCGGTAGCAAAATTCGACGCCACAGATGCAGTCCATATGATTACAGCCGTCCGTGCGCTCGACCATAGTCAGACACGTCGGGCACTGTTTCCATCTCTTCTCAGACCCAAGCGCGTAAAGAGCAGCCTCGTTGTCGTCTTCCTTTGGGCAAATTCGTTCATCGGCATCCCAGATCCCCTCTTGGTGCTCGTCCATGAGTCGGCGGCATCGCTTGCACGTGACCCTCTCACACTTGAAGCACACGCCAACCTCATGATCAGCGAGGTGGTTGTTCTCCGGCAGAAACGCAGAACAGTGCGCGTAGGCACAATACAAAGGTCGATTCGCAGTGAACTCGGCCTCAATCTGCTTGTACCGGTCCACGAGGCCGCGCTCGAGCATGCCTCCCCACACGGAAATCCTCAGTGCCTTGCCACAGCATTTAGGTGGAAATGATGCCATATTGGCGCAGCCTGCCTCAAAAGCATCTTTCAGACATTCTTGGCAATATCGACATCCACAACCAATGTTGAGCAAATCGTCCCGGTTGAAGTCATCCATACAAGCGGTGCAAGGAAATAATCTACGATTGGGGTTCGGAGGTCGGGACATACGACGCCGGTGAAAGGCACGTTGCGCCTGTGCATGCTGGCCTGCATTATTTTCAACAATGCCATAAATGCGAGGAGCCGGAGGTGAGGCTGTTAGGTCGTCGCGGAGAAGGCGAGGAATTCGAGAGGCTGTTGAGGTTGCAGAGTCATCAGAATCATTTAGCATATCCGCCTCGGTGGACAAGATTTTCTCGCTGGAAGATTGATTCCATGTACCCCCTTCAATGAGTTCCAAGCTGTCTCGAGTGCGCAAAGTGAACGTCGATGACGGCGTACTCTGGCGCGTCTGTGGGCTTTGTCGCAACGATCGTCCTTGTGTAACGGAGCCCTGGCTTCGGCCTTGATTCATATCTTGACGTAATGGAAAAGGAGCATCCAAGCTGCGTTCGGATCTTGGGGACGGGCGATTCGTCTCCATGGCAGTGGAGTTGGTCCGAAATGCGGGAGTGAGTGGAGGTGGCGTGCCGGATCTCGTGGATCGATGATGGCCTTCTTCGATCCTAGGGAAGGAGATCGGTATGTGTGGTGGAGGAGCGAGTATCAATCGCGTTGCTGCATCTGTAGGCCTATATCCAGGGCCATAAATTGCGCTTCGCTGGGGCAGAGGTAGAATGAATGGATATCCAGGAGGAACAGGTAGATGTCGAAAGTCTCCGAAGGGACCTGGAGTTGAAGGGTGGCGGTTATGGACCGGGCGATCTCCAGCTGGTGGTTGATCGGTTCGAGTGTTTGGGTTGGAGGTCGCTGGATTCCGACGATGTTGTTGTTCTGCGGCAGCTGGCACTCTTGAGAAGCTTGGAAATGGTGAACTGTAAATCAAGCCCGGATCGGACTGTGGTGGAAAGCTGTAACGAGGAGCAAATGGAGGAGATCTGAAGGATCCTCGACGATCCTCAGATTGTGTGTCCATCATCAAGGCGTCGCCATCTCCATCAACAACGAGGGGTTTAGAGGCGTAAGACATGGTTTCCTGCCGGTTTGCAATTTCTAGGACAGTTTCGCCTAGACAAGATCATGGATCGGTTGAAGTGGGAGGATGCATCAGTCGGTGAGGTTGCACGATCAGGCTGAAGTTGGCGTGATGGCGGGGTTGGTCGTGAAGTTCGGTCAGCGCAGATATTCTTCGCCGGTAGATCATTCGCTGCCTAGACCACCTGTTGAGGCAGTCGGGTAAGGGTAAGTTGAGGTCAATAAAGAAACGACAACTTCAAATGGTGTTGACAAGATCAAAGGGTAATGTCGAGCTCTCAGGCTGTGAGCAGTTGCCTGTTTCACTGCGGCATACCCTAGGCAGAACAGTGAAAGCGACAGCAGCTTATGCAGGGCGGCAACACCAACACCTCTAGACTCGCATCGATGCCAAAACTATCGACATGTAACAGTCGAGGTGACTAAGTCGCGAAGAAGTTGAAGCTGAGCTTTTTATGATCAAGGCCAAGTGTGCGTAGTGTGCGTCTGGCCGCCCAACGTCGCTTACCCGTGGACGTGGTGCATACAGGTGTAGCACCCTTATTGGACGCCCATCTGCACTTGACCGCAGACACGTCCAGCCCGCAGCTACACCGGGCAGTGGAAAGCAATGCATTGTGCTTGTTTACACTATGCCACCGTTACTGAAGAGGCCATGCCACCCTACGCGCAGTTTCACCAACAGTTGCCTAAAGGCATGGGCGTTCGCTTCACCCTGGCAACTCGTCAGATCATGGCTGTGCATTAAGACGGAAACGACGTATTGTACTTTGATTGTCTTGCTAGGTTGGATACAGCAATAGAAAACAATTGCTTCGAGGCAGGCAAGAATATCAGTGGGAGCACAGGGAGGAGTTGGTTGCAAGCCTCGATATTCTATCCTGTCAGAATGCTAGATGAGAGTAAACTCCTTGTCTTCATGTCTGCAGAATCTTTGCTTTTGGTACACACGAGCATCATCCGTCTTGACCGCTCAAACTCGTCTATGGGTTGGCCTTGACGAAGTCGATACCCTTCTGGATGTTCTTCTTCAGGTCTAGAATCGCGTTAGCTACAGGTCACGAAAGTGACGTCCTGAGTGAACTCACCTCCCAGGCATGCCTCAAGCATCTGTTCTTCCTGTTTGCTGAGTTTACCAACTTCGTGGATCTTCTGGACACCGTCTGGGCCAAGCTCGACCTTGGACGCGAAGAATTCCACGCCTTGGTCTTTGTACAATGGGCTATCGACGAAGGTGCACTCAACAACACCCTTCTCGCCTTGCGAAGCCTTCAACAAGCTCTCAGCAAACCGGGCACCAGCCATAGCCATGGAGAGAGTGGCAGAGCCTGCACCGTCCTTGGCCTTGACGACTTCGTCACCACCGAATTGGATGCGGTTGACCAGGGCGTCGAGCTTCTCGCCAGTGATATCGGAGTGGCCGGATTGAGAGATCAGGGGGACGATGGTAATACCAGAGTGACCACCAACAACAGTGATGTTCTCGTTTGCGGGATCGGTTCCCTTGACCTCGGAAACGAACCGGGAGGCGCGGACGACGTCCAATGTGGTAACACCAAAGAGAGTCTTGGGGTTATAGACTCCGGCATTCTTGTACACCTCGGCGCAGATGGGGACGGTGGAGTTGACCTGTAATCTCGTTATCAGAATATAGCCTTCTCTTTGAGGGATTGTGAATCTGTACAGGATTGGAGATGATCAGGAGCTTGGCTTCAGGAGCGGCTTGGGCGGCGGCCTTTGCAAGGTCACGGACAATAGTTGCATTGGTGTTGAAGAGATCTAGCAATTGTCAGGTGTGCTTTCCAAATCGACTGAGCTTTCCCTTACCGTCACGGGTCATGCCAGGCTTCCGGGGGACACCAGCCGGGATGAGGATGATCTCGCTGCCCTTCAAACATTCCTTAAGGCCTGAGGGTGTCGGGTCGTAACCCTTGACTGTGCTGTTGGTGTTGATGTGGCTGATATCCGCTGCGACACCTGTTCAACGTCCGTTAACCATCTCTTCTCAGCACTCTCTGCGGACCAACGGACCAGGACCGAGCTTGATATCATAGAGAGCCAACTGGCTAACACGAGGGTTGAGCTTCATCAACAGGGACAAAGGTTGACCGATACCACCAGCGGCACCGAGAATGGCAACCTTGGAGGGCTATGCCACATGATGGTCAGCTCAATCGAATTCGACGAGTTGATGGAGATTGAGCGTACCTGTCTGGCCGTAGCTGAGAAAGCCCGGCGCTGGACTTGGCCGAACATCTGTCGTGCGAAGAAAGACATGTTGGCGAGAGATGAGTGAGCAAAGAGTAGGTAGCAGACTGAGAGGAGCAGTGAATTGGACGATGAAAAAGAAAACAAGAAGCTGTATTCACAAAGATTGACCGAACAGCTTCACAATTGCCCGGAGAAACTGCGCCGTTCACCCCCGTTCGTCTCCAATCATCCAATGCGTTCTTCCTTCGCTTGCTGGTCCCGTGACCAAGGGCTTGGCACCTCTCACCTTTCATCCTTGAATCCTTCCATCTCCGTACAGCCGCTGTCACTCCTTCACCTCTACCAAATTGTCCGTTCCCATCAATATGTCTTCCGGCAGACAAATTGTGACGTTCTCGCTGTCTGTGCCGACTGAACTATGTCCTGTATAGCCGCGCCAGGGCCATTCCAGAGCCATTTCCAGCTCTAGCACCAACGCTCTTGACAGCTCACTTTCCACGTGGCGGTGCACATCTCTGTCAACCATGCTCGATGAGCTCAACGGTCTCCGGGCCTCGCCAGTGTTGTGTCTATGGCTTTCCATGCTCAAGTTTACAAAATATGCGTCGCTTGGGCAGCCTGCCATTGGCGCGAGACGTTTTCCTGTCTCTTCAGGCTAGACGTGCTTCTCAAATTTCCCTGATCCTATCTCATATCAGTCGAACCTCGCGAATCGATGCCGGGCTCTGTCATGTGCCTCGAAGCTGAATATACTTCATGATATGTCGCCGATCAAAAGGTTTCAATTATCAGGCAAAAGCGAAGCTACGACCATCTTCATCTTCATGCACAATCACACGACTTTGGCTACCTGCACCCCCTTCTCATGGATATGGCACTTGGCATGCGTGTAATTTCGAGCCCGGCCTTTTTCAAACAGAACAGGTATGCGAATATCTGCAACCAACTTCTTTCGATCAGAGGGGATCCCCTGCTCGTGCATACGGGAATGCTTTTCCCTTGAAGGAAGTGGGCCGCTCCGTTCCGATCCGAAGGCCACTTGACGAACAAGGTCACCCTATTAACCCTCGCAACTCCTTCACTGCGGACTACGGTAGGTATACATTGCACATGGGTACTCCGCCATTCTTTACAGCATGGTTTACGCAGCTCCATCGCCGATGATGCGCGTCTACTCAAAATTATCGAGCAAGTTTTCACATGACTGCTGTTCCATACAGCATCATTATAGCTTGCCAATGGTCTCGAAGGCTGAACCCAAAGAAGCGATGTTTTGCTTGTTGATCAATCCACTTTGTGTAGTGGTGCAGTACTGAGACAAGGAGTGCTGCATGGAGCTTGTTGTCCACAGATACTGGAGCGAAAAAAGAAAAACATTTATACTTCCATTCCCCCACCTTTCCGGCCACCTTTGCGCTCTCATCCATTATCTGAGTAGCGAAAATATCGTGACAGGACAGGTGGTATGGCGTTTGATCATGAAGAAGGACAACCAGGTATTGATGACGATGGCCATCTGACTGCCGAAGACAGCTCGAATGTAAGGTACTAATCCTCCTGCACTCATCCAGACCATCTTATCGGTCATGGTATAGGTGCCTACAGACGACTCGGATTCAGCCTTCAGCGACGACTCACAGACTGTCCTCAGTAGTTCACTGCGGTCGTCCATTTACAATCATCGCTACGAAAATGGGCGAACATATCATGCGTTTAGGGACGGACAGTATCCCATTCCAAACGATGAGGAGGAGCAAGCACGCCTGGATCTTCTGCACCATCTCTTTACAATGGTCCTTGGTGGAGAATTGTATACTGCACCCTTACCTACCGAGCCACAACGTGTGCTAGACGTGGGCACAGGCACAGGAATCTGGGCCATTGAAATGGCGGATCGATTCCCAACGGCCACTGTAGTCGGCACAGATCTATCACCAATTCAACCAGGTTTTGTGCCTCCCAACGTCCAGTTTTACATCGACGACGCCGAAAGTGATTGGATTTTCAGAGACTTCGAGAAATTCGACTTCATCCACGGTCGAGCCCTGTGTGGAGGCATTGCAGACTGGCCAAGGTTATACGCCCAGGCATATGATCATCTTGAGCCCGGAGGCTGGATGGAAATGCAAGACCATGAGTGTTGGATCAATAGCGACGACGGTGGCATGGAGAGAGCTCCTGGTTGTACTGAATGGATTCACGAGGTTGACAGAGCTAGTGCGATGTTTGGTAAACGATTGAACATCGCACACTTGCACCGACAGTGGATGATTGATGCTGGGTTTGAGGGCGTCACGGAAATGGTTCGAAAGGTATGTATTCGAGGACGTCGGTCAAATGGAGCTCACCGACTGCAGATCCCCATCGGTTCTTGGGCAAAAGACCCCAAACTAAAGGAAATCGGCAAACTCATGAGAGTGCAAATGATCCAGTCAATACCTTCTTTTGTACGTGCTGCTCTTCGAAAGTTATGCCGTTGGTCACGCCCCTTTTTTGTTTTGATCTCATCTTCAAGGGGCCGATCTGCTAACGGTCTGAAGATGCTTGCCTACTACACCAGAATCCTAGGTTATAGTATGGAACGTACTGAGGTCACTATGGCTTTGGTGAAAAGGGAATTTTCAGACCGAAGTCTGCATTTGTATCTGCGCTGGCACTTTGTCTACGGGCGGAAACCGACCCGATAACACCATGGCGTGCGGTCAAGACCTTCAAGAGGTTGCATTGCCTAGGTACGCACGCCTCTGCAGACCAAGAGAGTGCGCTTGAGCAATGATTGGTACTGAAAAGTCGGCATTTACCAAGACCCATACTCCCGTATGCACGCATCCCTTTTCCACCCACGCTAAACGAAGCTAACTTTCATCCCATGCAATTCCGTGCACGCATTCTCCAGAAAAAATTCTCCAGTCATTATTCAGCTACTTAATTCCCTTGGTATACCTCTTGCGCAGTTCAAGCAGCAGGGGCGCTTACCCAACGATTGCCAGCCCAACCTTCTCCACTCTGCCAGGTGGCCGCGGATGCAAGACGATGCATAAGTGTACCTTCGCTGTACCTATCATGCAAAAATTCTGCGCCCAGAACATGTGCAGACACTGCCGGTAGTTGTCAACCCCGCTGGTCTTGTATGAAGTCAAAGAGGATGTCCTTGATCTCTGTGCTTGAAGCTCTTTGCTCACGGCCACTTCCTATTTCTCGCGGTCGCCTGGCAAAGTTTGCATTCTGATATCGGGTACCGCAATGGACATGGAACTTTCCTGGATCCTATCACACCCCATCGCAACGCTCCTCGTCGCGTACATTTTCTACGTCCTCTGTCTAGTCATCTACCGACTTCATTTCCATCCACTGGCCAAGTTCCCCGGACCCAAATATGCAGCTATCAGCAGATGGCATGAATTTTACTACGAGGTCGTGAAGAAGGGACAGTTCACGTTCAAAGTCCAGGAGTATCACAAGAAATATGGTCAGTCCCCGTTCAGCACCTTGTGGCCATTTGTCTCTACTCGACGAACTGAAACCTCTGTCAAGGTCCGATTGTCCGCATTGTACCAGATGAACTCCACATCCAAGATTCGCAGTTCTATGACGATCTGTACACCAAAGCCGGGCGAGTTGACAAGTATGAGTGGATGGCAGGCCGATTTGGGTGCGACACATCTGTGTTCACCACTAGCCCTGATGAGCTACATCGTATCCGTCGTGGTGCCCTGAACCCCTTGTTTTCTCGGGCTCGAATAGTCGACTTGCAAACCATCATCCGCGAGAAAATCAATCTTCTCCTCGAGCGAATTCGCGAGTTCCAGGCGGAAGGGAAGATTCTACCCATTAACCGCGCTTTCATGGCACTGACGGGTGATGTTGTGATGGAGTATTGCTTCTCGATGACCTATGATCACTTGAGAATGCCCAACTTTGAGAAGACGCTGCATGAGCCATTCATGGCAGCGAGCATAAGCGGCCATTTATCGCTACAATGTCCATGGGTGCCAAAATTGCTGTTCATGCTGCCCGAGAGCATGCTTGTCAAGATCGAGCCGCTCTACGCTCTCGTCTTCCGAATGCAAGCTGTACGCAGGAGATATGCAAAGCTCGTCAGACTAGATATGATGTACTGATATGTTATTGCAGGACTTTCGCAAGCAAATCAATGCCATGAAAGACGGCAAAATGGACGACGTGCTCGAGAAGTCTAGCCATCCGACCGTCCTCCAAGAACTCATCTCCGGCAGCATGCCAGCGTCGGAGAAGGAAACTCGACGCCTGCAAGACGAAGCCCAACTTGTTGTCGCCGCCGGTGTCACAACCACGGGGTGGGCTCTGAGCACCGCGACGTTCCATTTGCTCAACAACCCTAAGACCCTAGCCAGACTTCGTGCAGAACTCGGGGCAGCCATTCCCGACCCGAAAGCTACACTGTCCTGGACCGAGCTCGAAAAGCTGCCGTACCTGACGGGCTGCGTACGTGAAGCCGTCCGGATGTCCTACGCGGTGACGACGCGTAACCCTCGCTTGTTCAGCAAACCGCTTATTTACAAGGACTGGGTGATTCCTCTACGCACGCCAGTGTCCATGACTATTGTCGATATAAACGACGACGAGGATATCTACCCCAACCCTCGCGAGTTCCAGCCCGACAGGTGGATCAACCCGCCCAAGACGAAGGATGGGAGTAGTTTGGAGAGGTACTTTGTCGGGTTTGGCAAGGGGAGCAGGAGCTGTCTGGGGATCAAGTAAGTCTCGTCCGGACACCTCTTCTCGAAGCCGAGCATGGCTTCGGGCCGGTTGTCCACCGCGTCATCATACAGGTTTGGAGCAGCCCAGCGGTGCTAAGATTCGTTCCAGCCTCGCTCACGCAGAGTTGTACATGACTCTTGCAGCCGTCTTCCGCAATTTCCAATTCGAACTGTACGAGACCGACATCACGGACGTCGAACTGGCACATGATTTTTTCTTGCCCAGTCCGAAGCTAAATAGCAAAGGGGTCAGGGTCAAGGTGTTGAAGGAGGCATGACGCCGGTTTGATGGATGTGTGGAGGTGGAGCACCGGTTCGCCTGGCATGCTATTCCCAATTTAATGAGAGTACCCAGATCCACGCAATGCAGAGGCATAAATGATATATAGGCGTCTACCATCCCGTCAAGTAACATAGTAATGTAGCACGGTAGATATGTACCATGTAGGCTTGGTGCCAAGGGCTTCTTTTACGGGACAGACGTTTAAATGCCTTGGCCTCTTAGCCTCCTGGAGCTTGACCTCTTCCTTTAATTGCACCTTCACCTTTCCACCTTTCGTCTACACAAGCCAAAAGCCCCAGCACCTTAGTACAGAGTGTCTCGTCTGATCTTATATGGCCATTCACGGTCTGAGATGACCTTGTGCAAGCTCTCTGCGCGACTTCTACCGGATCGGCTCCGTTCACCGACGATCGCCTCAGGAATTTCCTCGTTTCCTCAAAAACATTAATGATTTGATGATTGACACAATCTCACAGCATTCCCCGCACACTGGTACCGAGTCTCCTCAAGACGAGGGTGCTCAGTGGATGCCCCATGGAGATTGTCCGGTGGATTCGTGGATGTCGAGTAGCACGAGTCTTTCGGTCCTGACTCGGGCCTGGTGGATGGCCGCGCCTGAAAACCGCGAGATGGTGAGTCTAGAGATCAGGCACACCATGGGATGAGATCGACATACCGACTACCGAATAGCTCGGGAATGTGCCACTCTGGCAATCTTATAACCTCGGGTTTCGAGTTGGAGATTTTATCATACCCGCGGCCAGGACGCCTACCAGCAGCTACGCATTAATTAGAAGATGATCGCTTTGTGGGAGCCCTGGTCTGAGTGACATCTGTCTTGCTCTCTCCCCCTTACTTTCTCTCGGTACTGTATCTCTGGTCTGATACCCCCTCTCTGTGTGCTGTCCCTTTGATCGTCAGTGGTCACCATGCTGAACAAAATCATCGTCAACCAATATAACCTGTGGCTTGTCATATTCGTTGCCCTGGGCACGATATCAACAGCCTACGGTCTGGCCGTCATCGGGTCGACTGTTGGTCAACCGAACTTCTACACCTATTTCAATCTTGCCACTGCTGGTGAGCCCGGCTATGCTCATACCACGAACATTATCGGAGCCCTCAATGGAGTCAACTCAGCAGGAGCCATTGCAGGTTGCATCTTCCAAGCCTGGTCTGCAGACTACTACGGTCGAAAACGCACATTGCAGATCGGCTGTGTCATCCTCATTATTGGAGGTGCTCTCTGTGCCGGTGCTTACGACATGGCCATGTTCCTTGTCGGCAGGTTCGTTGCAGGAATAGGAGCTGGCATTCTTGCCTGCGTCGTGCCAATCTATCAAGCCGAGGTCTCGACACCAGAGACCCGCGGCGCCATGGTCTGCGTTACAGGTACGGCTCTTTGTTCTTCTAATCTAGCTTCCAATGTTCTAACAATGTTACTAGGTATTATGTACGCATTCGGCTACAGCTTGGCAGGATGGGTCGGATTCGGATGCTACTACATGAAAGCCGATGACCCAGCGGCTCAATTCTCCTGGCGTTTCCCTCTTTCTTTTCAGATCTTCTTCCCCATCGTCGTCCTAGCAGGGAGCAGATTGATCCCCTACAGCCCACGTTGGCTCCTCTCCAAGGGTCGCCGACAAGAAGCACTGGACATTGTCAAGAGGTTGCACAGGACACCGGCAGACCCCGAGGACACCAAGGCACGTCAGGAATTCTGGCTCATGGAGAAGCAATTCGAAATGGATGCACAAATGTCTTTTGGACGTTTCGAACTCTTCAAGACTCCTGCCAACAGGAAACGAGCTCTTATGGCCTTCATTTTGATGTGGGGCGATCAGTTTCTGGGCATCTTTGTCATGACCAACTAGTCCGTATACCCTCTTCTGCAGTTCCAGGACCCCTACTGATCTCTCTATAGTGGTGTCTTGATCTACGCCAGCCTGGGTCTGAGCGGATCTGTGCCCCTTTTACTCAACGCCTGCTGGACAACCCTGACCATCATCGGCAACACATGGACAGCATTGTACATTGATCGCTTCGGCCGTCGCAAGTTTATGCTCATCGGGTCCGCCGGCTGCATTACCGCCTTGATCTTCCTCTCCGCTCTGACGGCCTCCTTCCTCAACACCACCAACAAAGCCGGTCTGAACGCAGCCGTGTTCTTCATCTGGTTCTACATCTTCTGGTGGTGCTTCTTCATCGATGCCACCCAATACGTCTACGTCTCCGAGATCTTTCCCAACCACCTCCGTCCCTACGGCGTGGCTTTCGGATTGTCAGCATTCTACCTCGCCAGCGAAGTCACCCTGGTGGGTGCTCCCGTTGCTCTCAACAAGATCGGCTGGAAGTTCTACCTCGTCTTGATCATCCCTAGCGCCTTCTACTGGGTCATCATTTTCTTGTTCTTCCCTGAAACGAAAAACCGGACACTCGAGGAGATTGGTGATGTCTTTGGAGACGATATGCACGTCGCCAGTCATTGGTACAGTGCGTCACCGGAAGAGAAGGCCCGCATGGCAGAGCAAGCCCTCAGGGAGACCGAGGGTGGCGTCGTACATGAGAAAGGGTATGGCGAACATAATGCTGAGGCTGTGGTTGAGAACGGCAAGACCGAAGCTGTTGAGGCTGAGGATGCTACCGTACCTCGTGTGTCGTGAGGCCGGCGTCGAAAATCTCTCCACCACGCATTGCCTCATATACTGCTGCGGTTGGGCACACACGTGGCGACACCCTTTGCGTTGATCTACCAAGGAGGTGTTTGTGGGTGACATACCTACCAGGCTAGGTTTGGAGAGAGGATATCGTTCATGGTCTAGGTACCCGAATCAAGAAGAGAAAAGGAGTACAACCATGATTGCCTATACTAGCGTCAGATGTCACTGGATCTATATATAGCTGTATATAGGAGGAAAGATGTTTAAATAAATGCCCATTAGGAATTGAACCGCCTTATGTTTATTGCATTGCATACTCTTTGCCTCCTATGCTTAGAGGCGAATATCGTGACTAGCTTATCTCGATTACACAAGCCCAATTCCTTCAAATATTGCTGGGTTCGGGGTTGAGGCTATCGAGAGCTGGCTTGCAAGGCTTCTTGGTGTACATTGGCGAGGCTGCCGTGGTATGATCTCCTTCACCGGGTCCCTCTCGTTCGGCTCCATTCGGAACTTGTGCTGTTAGGAATCTATTCCTTACAGTATATCTATTAGATTAGCGGAATTCTCCTCTGAATTCTGCGAATCTCCGTCTTTTTAGGGTTTGGGCCTACGGGCTATTCCTGACATGCGCTTCGCACCAGCCTGACCAGGGTTTGTGCGGCCGCCACGCTGGACGGGTGGGATGAAATGATCCAGAAGTGGTTTAGCACCTCGCCGCGGATGTATACCCTTGGTGTTCCTGGCGAGCTGGACAGTTAGTCCAAGCCACCTTCTCAAGCTACGAGACCTCACTGGGGGCCACACCACACGTCGCCAAAAGATCTACTCGTTGCTTCGTGCTTGATCTCGCAAAGGGACGTGGGAACGGGCCGTCACTGGCCGTACTCGGTAGAGGAGGGGCAACAGGTTGGCCGTCCCTTCCCTGACCCTTGCCACCCAAGCAACGCCTACCCAGGCTATCACATCGACCCCGGAATTGCTGCAGGAGGTATCACACCGTGCCAGCCATGTCTCGTAATTCTGCGGGATTTGCCATTTTCGGCCTCAACTGGCCAAGGATGCGTTCTCCGTTGCCTGAGGTGCATTGGCTCTCACGGATAGGGACGGACGAGCCTGACGGCTTGACTGAGTTGTTTTTCCTTCGGGTCTCTTCATTTCCAAGTCGAAACCACGGCGATTCCCATGGCATGAGGCTCAGGTCACCACATATCGAGCTTGACTATCTCGAGAAGTTGAGCACACGTGCGAATCAGGCACCGTCTAGCCAGAAAGGCGAACAGAGACACATACCATTCACTTCCCACATGCGAAATGGCTGTCGAATCCTCCTTTGAGCCGTCATTTCGGGAGATGCTAAGCAAACCCGCTCCGGCCGACACGATCTTACTCAGCGATGACGGTTCAGAGGCCGAGTCGTCGGAACTCGAGGATGGAAGTGATGATGAGGATGTGCCTAGACCAGGCGTGAAACAAATCGGGATAAGCAAGTATTACGTCCCATCGTGGACAACTGAGGATGCATTCCGGGAATTGTATCAAAATTGGTATGTAATCGTGCAAGTACTTGCATGCTCCGCACACTCTGTTGACGCTCTGTAGGAAAGACGCGATCATTGCATCCTTCAATTTGGACCCAAGGTCCTTCCGGCCGGTCTTCAAAGAAACCCCTACGCAGATTCACATCACCATCCACAGAGAACCCGGCGAAGAGGGGGACCAAGCATCACGGGAGCTTCTCGGATTCATCCGCTTCAATCGAAAGGCCGGAAGTGTCGAACTGACCAACTTTCAGGCGGAACTGAAACGGAAGAATCTCTTGATGGGATTGTCGACGAAAAGAGGCCATGATGTATTTGCAGGCTGCCACGGCGAGGGCTTCAAACTCGCTGCCATGGTGCTGCGCCGGGAGGGGCATTCTGTCCGATTTGCAGCGAGCGAGTACTATTGGAACTTTGGACTGCGTGGCCGGGACCGGTCGTACCTCGCGTGTCGGCTTTCGCGGGCCAAAGTCGAAGCCGTGGAGAAGAAGAAGCGGGATTTCGCTGCAAGGAGCGCGAAGCCCAAGTTCAGGAGAGGTCTGACATCGAATATCTGGGAGGATGTGACAGTCCGGGTTGGCAAGGCCAAGGGAGATTGGGGGGTGTTTGTCTCGGAAGAAGACTTCCGTTCGTGGCTGACGGTTGCAATCGATCTCAATCCGCCCTCGCCCACCGATGTTGTGCAGACCGCGGCCGGCGACCTGATCCTGGACGCTCGATTCGAGGGGCATATCTATCTCAAAGGCTTGCGAATCGTAGGACATGGAACCGATTTCGCACACGGCTACAACTTGGCACGCGGTACCATTGGCCGTGATCGAGATCGTTTGAAAACGTCGGCAGAAGAGGACGAAATATTGAATGCGATCTGGGAGCAAGCAATTCTCACCCGGGGGCCCGACGCCGTCGACACCTATATCAAACTCGTACACGACAGGGAGGGATGCCCAGAAGTTGGTTTGACGGGGCAGAAGCTGCCAAAGTCAGCTGTGCTGGTTATATGGGCCCGGTTGAGAACGTTGAACCCGAACACTTTCTTTTATCCCAAAGGTGGCCCTTCACAGCTTCCCGCCATCGACCAGGTATATGATCCTTCCTCAATACACGCACACCAAGAACTGATAATTGTCCGCCAAAGGTCAACTTGATTACAGACGAATTAAACAAAGTGCCGGTCGCAGTACCGAGTGCGTTGTGGAAGTTGTTGAAGAAGTTCTCGCTGGTTCGCACTCCACAAGAAGAACGCAATGTTGTGTTCATGGCGTCGAAAGAGGTAGTCTTGGATCGAGATGCTTTCGGAGCACACATCGTCCGAGCACTGAAGGCGTCCCTGGCATTGCACCCCAAGCTGCGTGATTGGGACCTGAGATTCGTGGATGGTGGCGGTACAGACGTCGAGATTGTCTTCAACAGTGGAGAGAAACAGGTCCTGGTCCACGCCAAATGGCTCCAATTTCAGACAGCCCACAGAATGGGTTCGTGTGAGGTCCTACGGTTGACAGATGACGGCCAACTCGGTGGAGAGGCATTCTTTTGTGACCACGTGGTGGAAGACCTGTTTGAGTCTCTCCTCGGGGTAAGTGGTCGCGGACAACGAACCCTTTTGCGGCGAAGAATGCGAGAACTGCTCCGGCTCATGCCTCGACTCGTCCAAGTCACCCCCACAGAGTCGCCAAACGAGCTCGAAGTCCGCTGGATTGGCAATGAAGGGGGACTGGTGTCGACCTACTACAACCGCCATATCCGCTATCTGGTTATCCTCCATCGGCTGACGTCGTGCCAGTCGAGGTCGAACGATTTGCTTCACAAGTATCGAACCGGTATGTATCAGTGAGCTCTGACTTGCTGTTCTGGCCTAACGTTCGTGGATGACCAGAAAGTCCTGTGGCCAATGCTGCGCCCTCGCAGAGTGAATCAGATTCCCGCGCAGAATCGGTCGTATGTGATTGTCCGGCCCAGATCGTCCCCCGCAGTCTCTCTCGAGCAGTTTTCACCGGATTAGATCACAATGAACAGTATTTTCCAATGGTCGCAAGATTTGACGATTATTCATTCTTCGCAACACCTCCAAGCCCTGTCGCACCCCTTGGGATTGTCGCGCCATCTTTTTCGGGTCCCTCAGACGGGGGACATCCTGACCTAGCCACCGAGGGCGTCGACTTCAACAATGTGCCCGATATTTGCGAGGATAGGCATGCGACTGATCAGTATATGGAAGGAGTGCAATGGGAGGCGCCGGAAATCGATGTTAAGCCCCCAGTCACCGATTTTGAAACACAAAATCCACCGACGTCGCAGCCACCCAGCTTGAGAGGAATCGAGTCAATCCCCGAGGAGGTTGATGCTCTGCCACTGTTTGAGCGAGACCATGATCATTGGCGGCAATGGCACGCCGAAGAGCTGCCGCGAGCGTTTTCGAAGCTCCTCGCGCACCGTGAACGTAACGGCCTTGTACGTGCAGATCCAGCAGATGCGGCAGGGATATGATGGATTGAAGCTGACCAGTCGCAGCGAACCCTCCACCCAGTGGCCGGCCTTGAATGGCCTGACCTGGACTTTGAATTCGTGAAAGGTGAGTATGCCCTAATCCGCATTGGCAGGGAGAACCCGTCGGAGCATGTCATCTTCATCCACGAGATCTCTTATTGCGCGGAGGAACCCGAAATCAGCAGCGCGAGTCTGCTGGTCACCAAGTATTCGAAACTTGTGTCGACTTATCCCGTTCGCCAGCAGCTCGTCGGGGAGGATGAGGATGAGGATGAGATCGAAAAGTGCCGAGAACTGCTGCTCCATTTTGGGGACTTTGGCAACATGGGCACGCGCCACGATGCTGAATTGATTCGGTTAAACGATGTCGTCTATGCGACAGATCTGACGGCCGGTGTGGACCATGTCCTTACACCCCCTTCAGGTAAGCCGACAGGATTGAGAGATGGCGCACTGCACGGGTGCAAGGCTGACCGTGTCATTCTGTTATAGCTTTCGAGCATGATGCCATGTACTGTCGTTTTGCAATTCAAGGCTCGACATCGAATGGCCCAGTTGCGTGCTGGACGCCGTTGTCCTCTGACTTGCTTAGTCGTCGCGATCGATGGCGCGGACGACAGTTCAACAATGTGTCGAAACCGGCTGTCGTGGACTTCACACCTGGCATCCTTGGGGCTGCAGAGGGATTTTCGCAGGCTGGGTTTGACATCCAAGCTGCGATGGGCTTTGATCACGAGCGCCACTTGTCCTGGAAGGTATGAGTGGTCCTTTCCTTTCACCCATAGCATTGATGTCCCAGCAGGTTCCGCCACTGACACTGCTTCAGATACGGCACGCTCAAAGTCAAGTCTACGACGGTTCACCGAGAGATACTCTTGACGACATTGACTCTAAACGACTCCGTCTGCCATGGACGTCGGAGCCCGCGCCTCCTAAAATAGCGCTGGTGGCTGGGGGAAACTCACCCTTTCGCCTAAGCGAGGCCAACCAGAAGATGCCGTCCATAGAGCAATTCGTCTCGCAGTCGGATCTCCTCGACGCAGCTTTTAAGAGTCCCGGGAAGCCAGATTTCCTGGTGATGCTTTGCTCTCCAGCAATGCTCCACCAGTCAGTGGTACCCCGGCTCATCGTTGCCATCCTCAACCTGCTTGAGCACAGACTGTCCGTCCATATGAAGCTCTGTCATCTCCAGGACCATGGACTCCCACTGAGACGGAGTATATTCATCATGATCGCCTCACCCTTTTGCGCCCCACTACCGTGGTGTCTGCACTCGCCGTCCGTCCCTAGTAGTCTTGGAGCACCATCCACCACACTCGGTGATCTGATTGTTGACTTGGCATTTGAAAATCCTCGTGCTGGACTAGGGCCGCTGCAGCGGGCATTCGTTTGTTCACCACCGCTCGACATGCATAACGGGAACGTGCCGCAGGCCGAGAGATATGCCAGTCACGTCTACAACCACCAAACCGGGCAAGAATCGGCATCATCCTGGAGGGTCCCTCTTGCCTGGGAGACTGATGTACTTGTGGGCTTATCCTGCGACCCTCAACCCTGGACACATCCCGGTAAGTGACCTGAGACGGATCTCATCAGTATTTTCCCGTTGACAACCATCGGTCACTATCTTCTATGCTAACGCCGGGCATTCTGCCAGTTCGCCAAGATCTCCTCACCGTGCGGGAGCTCGCTCGGCTCCAGGGATTTCCGGACGATTTTGTCTTCTATCAGTCCTTGGCCATTCAGTACCAGGATGTATGGACTGCCCTGCCTCCGATCGTCACGCGACTCGTGGGGAAGACCATTTTGCAAGTTATCCAGGGCTCGCTGAGGGCAAAAGCAGGTGATCGTCAAGAGTATTTGAGGGCTTCGAAAAGACCCAGGTCTGAAAGCGAAGTGTGAAGCCCCTCGATGTGTGCCATTGTCAACTCGGGTCGACTATAGGGAGCAAAGGTGTCAAGAAGAGATCGTCCACTCGCTTGCTGCTCTCACAGTCCCAAAAAGGGTGTCCAAGGATAGGTGCTACAGTATGTCGTCGCTGAATACCAAAAAATACTTCTCGCCTGGTAACAACTACCTAGAAGTACAGACAAGACCACTCGCTTTTGTGGCTAAGTCAAGTGAGACTCGGTCATCTGCGCAGTTAACTACGATCTGATAGGTACATCGTGTAAGTTTGGCGCCTAGGGTGCCCATTCGACATGCGACATACAGCAGCGAGCATAACTTACGTAGTAAGTGGTAAGAGGGGCCGCATCTTGAACGTAAGGGTCCAACTGACGAAATCAAGCGGCAACTTGGTTTTGCAACCCTGGTCAAGGAAGTTTTCAGTACACGATATACTAGTACCACAACGGAGAACCATTGTAGTTAAGGTATATTGGGATTTAGATGCGTCGTACGGTTCGAGGCCCGAATCTTCGCCCGCCCTCTCGTCCCCTTGAGACCTCCATCCTCACGTCCTCCCCGTACTCGAGATCATCCCGCCGTCGACCACGAGCTTCTGGCCCGTCACATACCGCGCGGCGACGTTACTGCTCAAAAAAACGACGGCGTTGGCCACGTCAAGCGACGTGCCCATCTTCCCCGTCGGCACCTGCGCATGCCTCGTGGCCACGAAGCCTTCATAATCGCCGCGGGCGTATTTTTTCGCAATCGTATGCACGAGCGGCGTGAACATCAGGCCCGGCAGGACGGCGTTGAGCCGGACGCCCTTGTCCGCGTACACCACGGCGGTGTGTTTTGTGAACTGCGTCACGGCGGCCTTTGTCGCGGAATAGGCGACCTGGGGCTTGCCGATGTACCGCAGGCCCGCGATGCTGCTGATGTTCACGACGGCGCCGGACCGTTGGCGTTCCATGATCGGCAAAACCGCGTGGCACAGCAGGTACACGGATTTCAGGTTGATGTCGACCTGCGCGTCCCAGACGGCCTCGGACATGTCGGCCGGCCCGCCCTTTTCGCTGCGGCCCACGTTGTTGACGAGGATGTCGATGCGGCCGCCGTGTTTGTGTGTGCATTGCTCAACGAGCTCCGCGACGGCCGACGAAGATGTCACGTCCGTGGAGATGACGTCGACGACGGCGTCGGGGACGAGGGCTTCAATGCGGGATTTCGTGCGTTGTCCGGCTTGAAGATTGATGTCGCAGCCGAATACTTTCACCCCGTTCCGCGCCAGGGCGAGCGATATCGCGGCTCCGTTGCCCCAGTTGTCGGTCAGGTCGGGCGGTCCGTCTTGCCCGATGCCTGTGACCAGCGCGACTTTGCCGCGGAGGTCGGGATAGATGGGGAGGTCCGAGTCCTGGCTGGACATGTTGGATATGTTGGTGGTTGGGTCTGTTGGTGGTGGTGAAGCTTGTTGTCGCGGGGGGAGGAGGAGGAGGAGCACTAGTGAGGTGTGTCAAATTGCAGGAGAAAGAAGAGCTGTTCCCAGTCGCTCTTTGCGCAAAGTTGATATTATCCAAGTACCCTACGTACTTCTAGATCCGGGTTGCATACGGGGGCTGAGCCCTGCCCTGCCTTGCCTCGTCAGGTGGAACATAAATACCCTGCGGGGGGACTTATTTGTCGTGAGAGTGCTGTCTGAGAACTCCACGAACGGTGGTTACCAGACTGTGGAGGAGGGAGTCATGGAGAACAACCCGGCGAGTTACTCCTCGGCTATGGGGAAGTGTGGAGTAAAAAAGGGGGAAAACCAGCCCACCCAGGGTGTACTGTAACTTTTAGAGTACCACCAAGGTGAGTTACTACGGACTATTGGTGACTGGTGGTTAGTATTCTCCAACTCCATGATCCGACAATCATGGTCCTATCGTGAAGTCTGATATGGTGCAGCTACTAGGACTGTAATACAGTTTCGACGTTTGCCAGAGGGAGGGTACTGTGAGCTCGCCTGGTCTACGTTGGCGGGAAGTGTGGCCCCTTGCTACCTACCAACATCAATACCTCCCGAGAGCACATCAACATGAAATACAGGCTGCCGACCGTGTGAATTGAACACAAATGCGACCATGGATGATGCACGACCATCTCGACGGGTTTGCTATCACATCATTTTGTCCTCGTTCACATGGACTCCTCTAGTAGAAGAAGAAGAAGAAGAAGAAGAAGAAGAAGAAGAAGAAGGAGAGAACCATCCCGAAGGACATGGCGATCCCACAGCACAATGTACATACTCCGTATAGTCACCTACCTACTCGGTAGCACAGCTTAAAACCTCAGCTCCCAACCGATACCAGGACCCAGTCTAGGCAACTCATCCGCCACCTCTTGCACATCCTTATCACCCCTACCGCTCAAACAAATGACAATCGTCTCATCCTTCTTCATCGTCTTGGCCACCTCCATCGCCCCATACACGGCATGACTAGACTCCAAAGCCGGGATGATACCCTCGGTCTCACTCAGAGTGCGGAAGCCAATCAGGGCCTGTGAGTCGGTAGCGTTGATAAACATCGCGCGCGAAGTCTCCTTCCAACTCGACAACTCGGGCCCGACACCAGGATAATCCAGCCCGGCCGAGATCGAATGCGTGTCGGAAATCTGCCCGTGCTCATTCTGCAGAACGTACGTGCGCACGCCGTGCAGGACCCCGACTGACCCGCCAGACAGTGTGGCCGAGTGCCTGCCAGTCTCGACACCCTCGCCGCCGGCTTCCACGCCAATCAATTTGACCGAAGGGTCCTTGCTGAAAGGGAAAAACATGCCCACGGCGTTCGAGCCGCCGCCCACACAAGCAATGACCGCGTCGGGCAGTTTGCCCGTGAGTTCCTTCATCTGCTCTTTCGTCTCCTGCCCGATGACGCTCTGGAATGTGCGGACGATGGTTGGGAACGGATGAGGCCCAATGGCGGACCCGATGATGTAGTGCGTCGTGTCGAGGTCGACGACCCACGCACGTAGTGCCTCGTTGACGGCGTCTCGAAGCGTCCGGGATCCAGCTTCGACAGCGACGACCTTCGCGCCGAGCAGTTTCATGCGGAACACGTTCAGTGCTTGCCTTCGCACGTCTTCCGCGCCCATATACACGACACATTCCAGGCCGAACTTGGCGCAGACAGTGGCGGTCGCCACACCGTGCTGGCCAGCGCCAGTCTCGGCAATGATTCGGGTCTTGCCCAGTCTTCGTGCGAGGAGGATCTGACCGAGTGCGTTGTTGATTTTGTGGCTTCCAGTATGGTTCAAGTCTTCTCGTTTCAAGTATATCTGCGCACCGCCGACCTTTTCCGTCAAGCGATTCGCCAGGTGAAGCGACGAAGGTCGGCCCATGTAGGGATAATATGATCTAAATTCTTTCCAGAATTCCGGGTCGTTCCGTGCTTGCTCGAAGCCCTCCTCAAGCTCTGCCAGACAGTCCATCAATGATTCCGGAACGTATTGGCCACCAAACTGGCCAAATTGAGCGGGAATGGCGTCGGGATTCGGTGTAGTACCATTAGTAGCGGAGTTGAGAGCATCCAGTTGATCTGCTAGGCCGGGTTCTGAAGGGACATCCGCATCTGTGATGACCTTGTCGACTTGGACTTGATGCCCATTCAGGCCGTTTGTGGTGGCATTGGGTTCTTTGGCGGCGTCCATGGTCTCGACAATCCCAACTTCTCTCGTCAAGCCATTCGTGTCGTTGAACTCGCCCACTTTTCGTCCGGTGATTTGTGAACAGTATTCTCGTACGGCCTTGGCGCGCTCGCCTTCCTTTGCTTTTCCGAGCTCTATTACGATTTGACTGCCAATGACCACACCCTCGGCGATCTGTGCGACGCTTAAGAAGTGCTCTCTTGTGCTGACACCAAATCCAACAGCCGCTGGCACTCCTCCAGAATATTGATGTACCCTTTCCAGCAGCTCGGGAAGTTTTGTGTTCAACGTGCCCGTGGCACCAGTGACGCCCATTCTCGAGACAACGTATATGAAAGAATCGGCGATTTTGCAAAGGAGCTTCATCCGCTTTTCTGACGTTGCAGGGGCGATCAACGGTACGTATGACAACCCGGCCTTTGTGCAGTTGTTTCTGAATCTGACAGCCTCCTCGGGTGGCAGGTCCACCATGATGAATCCATTTACACCAGCTTCTTTGCAGTCTTTTAACATGCGGTCTTCACCGTAACGAAGGAGAGGGTTGAAGTAGCCCATGAAGAGCACGGGGACCTTGAGGCCACGTTTCCGAGCGTCTCGAACGAATTGAAGGCATGCTGATACCGTGACGCCATTCTGGAGAGCGACAGTGTTTGATTTCTGGATGGTAGGTCCGTCTGCAATGGGATCTGTGAAAGGGAGACCGAGTTCGATGATGTCTATATCGACACGTCAGCGAAAGATCAGCTGGACAACGGCTTTCGAGCAGCCTTACCTACGCCACCAGCCTGGAGGCCTAGCATGATATCAGGACATTCCTCCTTTGTGGGATATCCTGCTGTGAAGTAGCCCACAAGGGCAGGCCTGTCCTCCTTCTTGCACTGTGCAAAAGTTGTCTTGATAGCGGCCGCCATCTTGAGGTTTGGATGATGTGGAAGAAGATGAAGAGAAGGAGGGTTCAACGGGAGTGAAAGCACAGATTTATGGACAACGAGATTGACTCATAAATCACTCCTGCAAAGGATTGACTGCTGCTGCGCACAGTACCCGTGTGATAGCAGTAGAAAATCAATCAATATGCGGGCAATGGAGACCGCAAGACCGCCACCCAAAAATGCTAGTACTGTTGCTGTACTGTGGTAGGTCGTAGGGTCCAAAAAGATCGAGGCTTGTGCCTTGCATGAATTCCGATTCCCCACAATGTCGGCAAAGAGAAACTTCTAACGTTAAGTTCTTGGCCTTTGCCGCCCATCGAGAGCCTCGTGTCGGCACCATCAGGCACATTCAATCTTTCAGACTTTGTTGAAGAGCTTTAGTAGTGAGACCCTTCCAGAGCCGCGCTGATCCTTCTCGCTGTATACTACGCTTCCAGTCTACAGGCAAGCCATTTCTAAGGAGAACAACATCCTCTACCTGAGAGCGGTGTGAACTGTATGGCGGCTAATGCACTCGACACTACCCGCCCGCAATCTCAACACCATTTGAAATAACCACAAATTACATCCGTCCTTTCGTGCGTACCAAACATGACTCATATACCTGTTGAGGAGTCCCAGGGACATAGCACGTCCTCTCGGGATGGGGACTCGCAAGAACCTGAACTCCCAAAGCCAAAGGGAGAACCTTCAGCGCTTCATGGTCAACAGGCAACGCGAACATTATAACTACCTGGGTATCTAAGACACCCAAGGTAAGGTAAGAATATCGAGATATAGTCCTCCTACCATGCTCACTTTGGCCTCATCAATCCTCCATATCCCGCAGTGTCTGGACATGTGCGAGCTTCGGTTTGACCACACCTATTGTCTGTCCATCTCCAGCCTCCTCCTCCCTTTTCTCTCCAGAATCAATCCTCACCTCCTCGACCTCCCCAACTCCATCCCCTATCCTGCTCTCTCTTCTCCTCTTCTGCCTCAACTCCCACCACTCCAGTCCCTTATTCACGCACGCGGCAATCACCACAAGACAAGCACTCACAACCGGTCCCCACTGCCCAATCGCAACGTCCGCCTCATTCACCGGAAATCCACCACTCAACAGGGTCACCTCGTTCAGCACGATGTTCGTCACCATCAACGGCAAACACAAGACATCAATCGCAAAACTCAACATCAACCACGGCAACAGCAAACTCGCCCAGAGCAACTTGATCCAACTCCATCTCACCCGTCTCACGTAGCCCAACAGCACAAAGTATCCACCATACCAACTCTCCATGCTCGCCTTGTACACCACCTTGGTCATCTCCTCCTGTCTGTACCCATTCCCGTCCCGTAGCAGATAAGCCATCACATACCTCTGACACATGATGCTAGGCGTATGCTCCAAACTGTCCAGACTAATCGCCGCATATGCTGCGAACTGAATCGGTCCGACCAGCACCAGCGCCAGGTGCGTGTACTTGTTATCCAGCATGCGATGCGGCACAGCCTGGATCTCGCTCCGCTGGCGCAGCGGCCTGCTCAGCCCAAAACACTTGTAAGTGCAGTTGAATCCGGAACTAATAAGCTCAACGGGCCACACCAACAATTTACCGTCTGTCGAGTAACACGCCGGCTCAGGCGGACTCAGCACCGCATCGAACAACAGAGCCCGTCCGAAAATGAGTCCCATTCCGACCAGGATGCCCCACAGGATCATGACGACTTTTGCGCGTGAGTTTCGTAGCGTAGTCGACCAGTGCATCATGCCAATATATCCCAATGCGCCGGTCGACAAGATCGCCCATGACACCATGATGTCCAGATCAAACACGCCGACGCGGCTGCGCACGAGGGTCATCATATGGATGGCAGCGGTGCCTGCGTAGGTGAGTGCGCTCACCAGCGCGCCAATGATCAGCCATTCTCTACTGCGCCCGAAGATGGCGGCCACCAGCGTCACGTAGAACAGGAGCCGTGGCATGAGGCCGTAGGTGCCAGAGATCGGATAGACGCAGTTGATATGCGTGACGGCGCCGTAATTGGGTGCCCATGTTGTTGCATTCGTTGATTCCGACATATTGGAAAGCCTGGCCTGAAGCAGAGCTCTTCAAAGAAGGTCCAGGTTGATGAGTTGAGGCTTTCGATTGGGTTGTGCATCAAGCAACGTCCTTGAATTCAGTCACATTACGAGCGAAAAGGCAGCGCAAAACACCCATCGCTTAGAGGTTGGTAATTGTCCCGTGCAGCGTGAGCGCAATAATCCAAGGCTTTGCATGGGAATTGAAGAGAGAAAGAGAAGGAGGTAATTATCGATCGAATGATCTCCGCCTCTGCTTTCTTGGGTTGCAATTACTGTAGTTAGTTCCCTGCCTGACAAGCTCGCTGGGTGCCTAACACAGTAGAGGCGGGAGAATACGAGACCACCACAAGGAAACTCCAGTCATGAGATCCACACGTGCAAAGTGCTTGGCCAGCTCGAGTTGCTGAAAATAGATGCTCCAACAAATGTTAGCATCACTTGGTATCATTTTTAACAGGGTTCAGCTCCCAGAGGGGTATCTTGCCCGTTAACCCCAGTCAACCAAGGACTATATCCTTCCATTCGGGCCCTGGATCGAGAGCTCTGTCCAGTCCCTCGACCATTATACGCCCCAGGCCTTCCCGATAATATATGCCGGCTCTCTTTGAAACCAACAGGACAATATAAACACCGTAGTTTCGCCCAGCCAAAACATCTTCAACATCATCAGGCAAAGTGCCTTCCCAAAAAGCAAGTTCATCGTCAGTAAATCGACTGACTTTGGACATGACCAGGAACTCGAAAGGTCGCCCAGCTCGGCTCATCCATATCATGTCGAGATCGATCGTGCCGCACCATAAACCATGTTTATCTGCAATACCCACTCGAATAAGACCTGGATCGGCTGGCGCTGGTCGGACAGTTGACAGCGCACTTGGCCCAGTGAGCCTCTTTCTCAACGGCGAAATCACCGATTTGTGAATAAGTGCTGGAGATGTAAGTCTGAAATGCGCAGTAATTGTGCGGAAGTGCAATAGTGGGAATGTCTTGCTCATATTATGGCGAGACATTGGCCCAGCAGCGCCTGGTCGTTCGATAGGGGGCTGTATCAGCTCGCATCCTTGTTGGGGAAACGAATGGATGCCATCAGCCTGATCAGCATGCCATTCTATCCATGAAAGTGCAGGCTCGGTATACTTCCACTGGATCTCTCCCATCCAGCCTGACCAAGACCAGCTTGGGAATCCTGGACGGCGAAGCAGCCGCTTGTTGGATTCCCAAATCAGAGACGAGTTCATCATCGTCTCCAAAGAACCGTAATATATGTTGGCGCCTATCCGTTTCTCGAGAACAAGTTGAACTCCTTCAAAGGCATTCAAGATATCCGCAGGATTTGTGAGTTCTCGTCGCGTGTACAATTCCACCGCCGAGGTGAATTGGACAAAGGGCTTCATTCGGAATATTCGGGTGGGCATGTCGATCGAGTCTAACGACCATCCATTGTTCTTGGGCATCTCGATGTCCTCGCAAAAAGTCGTCCGTCGACATTGATAGTAGATTCGTCCATTCACGAATAAGAGACATCGCCGAGATAACATGCGTTCCTGGAAGGTCCAGGCTCGTGAATCCCACTGTGAGGTTGAGATGTAGTCTGAGATTGTCAGCACAGAGCCCTTGATCTCGAGGATAAAATCATACCTTCAGCAAGGTGAGACACCATTAACCGTAAGCCCGGCCTAACCTCCTCGATGTCCTGGTGGAATGTCCTCGATTCTTTTCTCACGCCGGGTAAACCTGCATTGGCGTCCTTACCAGAGCCAGCCACGACAGTAACGGTAGCACGAGCATAGACCCAGTCATCGTGGTACTGGAAGCCATCATCATGCACTAAAGCTAGACTGTCCGTCCACAAATACCTCTCCCCGAGCATCTTGGTCAGTTTGATGGTGTCTTTGATTGTTCGCGGAAGCTTTTCTCTCTCCAATGCTCCTGGCTGTGATAATTTAGGGAGATTTTTGGATGTTGTAAAGAGTTGAATAAAATTCTTGCCCCATAGGTAACTCAGCGCAACGTATCTCGCGGACTGAGGCACCGCAGCGATGCACATGTTATCCACGTCGATTGCCCGAAAGACATTTTTGGGTTGTCCCAGCAAATCGGGGTGTACCAGCGACTCTTCACACTCTTCTCCATGCGTGGTTTCACAGACGTGAAGCCATTCACGCAGGACTTCCGGGTCGAGGAGATCGGGCGATGTGATTTGGCGTCCAAAGAACTCGCGACTTGGGGCATCATCGGCCAGGAGGACAATGTACCCGTCTTTAAAGGCTTGAGGGTCGCTGTAAATCAGCAATCGGCGGGTTTTGGGTCTGAAAATATGCTCTCCGGGTCTGTCCGGGTCCGGTCCTATATCTTCTTGCCCGTCCACCACCCATCGTGCATAACATACAGGATCGTCATCTGCGTGTAGACTAGGGGTTCGTTGGTCGGAGGGTCGATCTGCTATTGCTAGAACAAGTCGACAGAAAGGGCAATGGGTTCGTCTTCGTATTTGAGAGAGTCGGCCTAGGTAGCGGAATTTGTGTTGTCTTTCATATTCGTTGTCGCCAGGCTGTACGCAAAAGGATTCGATTTTGAGATCAAGGCGCAGGCATGTATCGCAAAGGTAGGAATCTTCAGGGGGTGTTCGAAAGTCCTGAAGAGACAGTTAGCGGCCAGATCACTCGTAGACCACAAAGGCGTGTTCATACTCCTGTTCTGACCCAAGGACCTAGTCGTCCCAGATTCCTGAACTTTTTAGTAAGGCTTATGATGGTGGCATTGGTGCTGGACCCGTCCACAGGATCTGGAGTCGACATCTGCATGCATTTCGTTGTCAGTCAGGAGCCCAAGTGTGGAGGTGCTGATGTTCCTTACGGAAGGGACATGAGTGGAAAGAGATGTAATTGTCGAGGCTAAGATGTTGGGTTGCGTGGATTGTGTACAGGCAGGTGTCAGTGTCAATGCGGAGGATGCTAGTGATGGAGAAGAGTGGCCCGCAGCGGAAGGCACGAGCCTAGACGAAGGAGACGTCATTCACTACGAGGTAAGTATTTAGTTAACGAGGCCTCAATGAGTTCTTGTGTTTACTGTTTACAGATGGTATCAGGTTCAAGTCAACAGATACAGTGCCTGTATGAATTCAATCTTGGGCTCTAAACTGTTATAAAGCGTCTCACCATTATATTTGCCTCGAGTCACTGACATTACGTGATCCACCCCTTATTTTCCCCGACACCTTCGTTGTGTGGCAAGGCACTGTCTGCCATAAGAAGAATCGCTGGAGCTGACTGTGGCTGGTGTGAAACAGAAGCGACCGGCTAGACTGGCTGTGGATCGCCTGTCACTGGCCTGAAGAGCCTCACAGCCCATTGAAGCAGGCACAGCAGGCCAGCACCGTAGGGTGTGCGGGCGTGATAGGGCTACTAGGCTAAGTCAGGCCCCCAAATGAGCCTCACTAGCCATTTTGCCTCACTAGCCATTTCCATATCCATCGCAGGGTACGATTTCTGCATGTTCAATCTCCTCAAGCTTCGATCACCGTCGTTCAAGTAAAGAGTTGTTCTTAGATCATCAGAGATGGCCAAGGGTGTCAATCTGGGCAAGAAGATTTTGTTATGTCTCCTTCCTTAAGAGATGTGTTCGTCAGTGACTTCCAGATCAGATGAGCCATCAGCCTATCTGTACCTTAGTGGGCCAGATCTGGGGTCTCATCGCGCTGCAAAGATCGACGAACTCGCCAACAGCAACAATAAGGTAACGAGTCAAAGTGTGAGATGACCGATAACGGGGTGAACAAGCACCCAAGTACTTGATAAGAGTTGGCAAGCAAGTTCGGTTCAGACCGAGAGAGAGAGGCACCATCATGCGCCCAGGTGACAGGCTCACCCAGGCTGCTCCGGGGCCATCATGGGCCATCGGCACCAAGTCAGCGCCTGTGATGGCGTCATTGCGTGGGGTGAATTCCGATCGGATTGCCATGGCATCGTGACTCGTGGCTGTACTCGTAACGTTGGAAACCACTACCTGAACCACTACTATCCTCCCTCTATCTTCACCACGCTTTATCTCCCTTCTACACCCATTGATTTTTCAGTCAGTCCAGCCTCGAAATTCTGCATTTGCATCTATCTAGACTCTTCTTCTCTGTCCGACTCAGTAACAGATTCCTACCTACCACTCCACGCAGGCGCCAACATTTCTACACCTTCACTGCATCCAAGATGCCTCTCTTCAACGTACGGACCCTACTCCTCGTGCCGTTCTGATCCACTGACTTTCGCAGGTCACCTTGAAAGAAAACGCCTCACCTGAGGAACTCAACAAGGCCAAGGACAAGGCCAAGGCTGATGGCGGCACAATCAAGCACGAGTTTACCTTGATCAAGGGTTTCACGTACGTGCAGAGTTCTGCCATACCTTCAGTCCATGCCTGTAGCTGACCCCGATGTACTACAGTGTCGACTTCCCAGACGACAAAGTCGGTGTCCTTCAAACCAACGATCACATCCACGTCGAGCAAGATGGCGAGGTCAAGACTCAATAAGCGCACGAACCATGACCTTCTAAACAACACATTGTTGATCTTCCCATAGCAACCATCACGAACCGCAATGGTTAGGCACTGGTCAAGACATAAGGATCAAGATCGAAGTTGAAGCATCACATCTGGGCGTCAGCCAGGAACATTGGCAAGTTTGGGCTGACCTGCGAACAAAAACGAGCTCTCCGTACATAGGAGCATATACAGACCAAGAACCGCTCTGCCTGGGGATCTGACTTCAGAGTTTTGCTCTCATTGACCGCAATACGAGTGGTATCTGAGGGCTTTTGCATCTGTGAAACTCTCCTAGACATCAAGCTCGACACTCAGTTCCCAATCTATGATCTTCGACCACGAAACCAATCGTCCCTTCCAACATGCGCCTAACAACTCCCATAGCATATATCATACATCTAAAAGTCTGTAGTCCTCCCATTATAACTCCACTCCCCCGACGCCCCCCATCTCAGCGGCTCATTCTTCGGCCCTCCAACCTCGCCCGTCTTAGGATTCACATCGCCTTCGAATTCCGGCCGCGCGCCCCGGGCGACGTCGGGATGTAATTCTTCGCCTCGCCCTCTCGCCTCGATCACCCGGTCATATTGTTCTTTGAACTGGGACATACTGTTACTGTGCCCGGCGTCGTCCTTTCCACCCTTGTTCGGTTGCTGTGCCTGCAGTTTTTCAACCCTTGCTTGCACCGTACCCTGCGCGTCCGCGGCCTCGGCAGGTGCAGAGTGCGGCGACTGATTTATCCGCGGCGGTGTCCTCCGGGGCGTGGAGAAAGCGCCCGTTGATGCGCGCTGCAGAGATTCAAAGATTTCTTGGTCTTCTTTTGGTAGTTTCGGTGGCGAGGGGCCCCCAAATGGGAACGGGCTGGAGGGAGGTCTCGAGTCGGATCGGAGTGCGGCAGAGGTGCTCAGGGTACGAAGACTGGATCGGGAGGATGTGAAGAGGTAGCCTCGAGGCGCGGAGGCGAGTGCTCGAACAGAGGTGGTGGTCGCAATCGGTTGCATTGTGGCGATGTCTACGAGTGATGCTGGGCTTGCAAAGCTCGGGTGGCAGGACACCTTGAGACGGATAAGGGATAGAGATCACGCCTTATAGAAACGGTAGGATCGAGTTGGTAACACGAGCGGGAGATAATAGGTTTAAGTCAATGCCACTGCGAGGGCGAGTGTCTGAAAGAGGACCAATGGAAGAAAGTTCTCGACCGCACCGGCTATTCTCCGGCAACGTCGTCAACTCCGAATTGAGGCTGCACCGCTGGAAAAGAAGCGCTCAAGGAACAGACCGTCTTCATAATAAGAAAGATGGAAGTAGAAGATTGTTCAACTAGAAGACAACGTGCAAGCAAGACCTTTATCCCTTGACCTCAGATTGGCCTCACACCAACCCGACAGAATTCAGGGATGACCATTCCGACAAGAGGCTGGCATCATGCACTGCCCAACGATCCAAATAGCACGGTTGATAGCATCATTGCTTAGTGACGTGCGTTCGGACATTGGGGGTTCCCGATATCGGCTTCCCACGCAGCGCTGTTGAACTCGGCATACACCTCACTGATCTGACCTTGAGGAGTGACGGTGAAGGTATCGATGCCCTTGACCTCATATTGGCCTGACCCGATACCTTGTGCCAGCCATCGCCAAGCAATCTTGGTGCAGCTGAAGAAGATATCGAGTGTGGCCAAAGATGGAATGGGAGGCTGCTGGCCTTGTCCGCCAATGAAGGCCGCCTTGCTGGGGAAGGTCAGGGCGCTGAGCTAGTCCAAGGATTAGCACGTTTCTCTCTTGGACAGGAGTTGAGATTCCGGTCGTACATTCTTCCCTGCTAGAAAGTTGATGGATCCACTGGTGTCTGTGAAGTTCGGGGCCAGTAGAGCATTCGCCTTTGAGCTGAAATCCGGTGCTTGAGGAGCCGTCAAGAACGAGGCAAATGTGCTGACGATAGAGCTGGCCTGGGCGGGGCTGATGCAGGTGTAAGTCGGAGCCGTGTATCCAAGACAAGAGCAAGCGCTGCTATATCTGGCATTGTTGCCACAGGCTGATGCATAATTGGGCACGGTCGGTGTTGGAACAGGATTCAAGAAGGCAGAGCAATCAGCTTGGCGAGTGGCGAGAGGTTGGCCTGCATTGCTACCCGTGACGGCCCTGAGTACTGTTAGTACGAAGAAGAGCATGCATGGTCCCACCATACCTGGCACAATTGTCCGCATTGCACGTTCCTCTGTGCTCCAAGAAAGGGTTGGCAGCAGCCACGGCCAGGAAGCTGACGAATGCGGCGAACAAGGCTTGCATGTTGACGAACACTGTGGTGAGGCTGTGGAGGACTGTGGACTGGATTGTGAATGAGTGAGAGACGACCTCTTTCGACGTGGCAGGACAAGAGAGTCGGTTATATATAGACGACCATAGCAACAGCGGGTGTGAAAAGGGGTCCGAAGCCTCATTTCCGTAGCTCTCGAATGCAAAACATCAGCTGAAAAGATCACCCAAAACAGTGTCAAGTAACAGGCAGTCGGATGGCAAAAACCGACAAAATCATGGCTCAAACCACGCCTCTGGACCATATTGACGGCTTGTGTAACGTGGCACTCATCGCAAACACTGGACGAGATCGATCCTTGCAGGAGGTCATGATGACTTTAGGCAGCTTGCAAAGTAAATGGATGGGAGGACCCTCCGTCGAGCATCAAGACGAGTCTGGCCATCGCGTACCTGGTCATCGACGGCGTGCCAGCACGGTCGACTGAGGTGTGGCTTGAGACACATCGGCAGCCGTCCGGTCGGGTTTGAAAGCAAGGAAAATAAGAGGCGGAATGTGTCAAATGATTTACCACCATCACGCTCCCTTGCGGACAGCGTTTGCAAAAGTCCGGAAGTCCAATCTTATGGTCTCAGACTCGAAATTCCGGAGCGGTGTATGCTGGATCCGCTGTGCCTAAGGCACAAGAGAGAGCAAGGGAGAGAACAAGGGCAGTGAATTTAAAATGAAGCCCCGAGAGCACATCAGAGCACATCATAGCACATGGTCAGAGAATCTAATCTTATCTCCTTACCTAAGCAGCTCCATCTTATCACTTAGGTGCTTATCGCTTATCGTGGTCGTCATTCTCCGCAAAGAAATTTTTCCGACGCAGCTCGGCCGTGAAGTGCAATGACCATGAATGACTCGTCTCCATGGTCGATGGCTTCTTCTCCACGCTTTGGTGCACCAAGAAGAGTTTTGCTGCGTTCAATCGCTAGAAAAGAGCCTTCACAGCAGGTCCGTCCTCTAGCAACATCGATATCTTATTCTATTAAGTCTCATGGCCTTCTCAATTGGGAAGCGAGCTGCCCGCTCGCAACTATCCCGATTGACAACCCCCATATACCACCCATCTGCCCGGCGTTATGCTGCCAATGCTGCTGCAGTTCCGACAACCTCTACAATACCTGCCCCAGATCAGGCACAAGTCCGACGAGAAGCCTCACTACCGAACCCTGATCCCTCCTCAGACTCTCCTACAGCAGCCTTCCTCAATCAATCAGCCCCTTTCATGGTTCCCACCTACGTCCGTCCACCACCTATGATGGTACAAGGCGAGGGATGCGTGCTGTATGACAACGAGAACAGGGAATACCTTGATTTTACAGCAGGAATAGCGGTCAACTCTCTAGGCCACGCAGACCCCGAGCTCTCCAGGATTATCGCCCACCAGGCACAACGACTCATTCACGCTTCAAACCTATATCATAACCCTTGGACACCCACCTTGTCCAAACTCCTTGTAGAAGAGACCAAGAAGCAATCTCCCGGATCGCCTCTCACACAAGTCTTTATCTCCAATTCGGGCTCTGAGGCCAATGAAGCAGCGATCAAATTCGCGAGAAAGGTTACATATGCGAAGGACCCTGACACAAAACAGAGAGATATCGTGTCTTTCCACGGGTCCTTTCATGGCCGTACATACGGCTCACTCTCGGCAACTCCAAATCAAAAGTACCAACCGCCGTTTGGCCCCATGTTACCTGGCTTCCGGTATGGTACGTACAACGACGTTGCAGGCGTAAAAGACTTGGTCAATAAGAACACAGCTGGTGTGATTGTTGAGCCCATTCAGGGTGAAGGAGGTATCAACATGGCTACTCCAGAATTTTTGCAGGCACTACGCAAGAGATGTGACGAAGTTGGAGCTGTGCTGATCTTCGACGAGATTCAGTGCGGTCTATCACGCACCGGGGATCTCTGGGCCTATACCGCCTCAGAAGTGCATCCTGACATTCTCACATCCGCCAAAGCTCTTGGTAATGGAATCCCAATCGGAGCGACTCTCGTGTCTGGCGAGACTGTTGCACCTTTCATTAAGACAGGCGATCATGGTACCACCTTCGGTGGCAACCCTTTTGCTTGTAGAGTGGCTCACCATGTCTTCGGACGCCTGGCCAAGCCGCAGCTACAAGAGGAAGTCAGGATCAAGTCAACTCTTTTCTTCAGTGCGTACGAGACGATGAAGGAAAAATTCCCTGGTGTTGTCTCAGAAGTCAGGGGCAGGGGACTGATTGTCGGTTACCAACTGAGCGACTCTGCCAAGGACAAAGCTACGGAAATCATCACGGCTGCTCGAGAGAGAGGTTTGCTCATTATCACAGCTGGTGATGGCGTTCTCCGAATTGTGCCTCCTTTAGTCATTTCCCATGAGGAGATTAACCGTGGTCTCGCAATATTGGAGGAGGCTATGACCGTGGTCTTCAACAAGCCGGAAGATGTCAAGGCTACAAAAGGTCAACAGGAGATGGCGAGCCGGTGACGATATCATGGCTCCCCAAGAGCCAGACTTTGATCTGCCCTTTCCGACACCTTATCTCTTGTCTCCTTCAGGGACTGTCATGCCGTGAGCTCCACGGTAATCTGGGCGTTGGGCGGTTTCCCATTTCCCGGCCAAGATCTTTGCCTCATCCACCATTTTGAACACTTCGACCTTGAGTGGTCGACAACAGTTGATCATCTCCTTCTCGCTGTCGCTGCCGAACCCCCACAATGACAGGTCTCCGCCAGGACATGTTGACAATGCCATCAACAGGTCCTGCTCGGCAAAGAATTCGATGTAGTCGCCCGCGTGCGCCGGGGAAGGATTCATGAAGTACCTGCCCTTGTTGTCCAACCCTGTTACCTGGAACAAGTTGATGACGTCGTGCACATCGTACTCGGTGAGACCAAAGGGCATGACAGCTCTGGTCAGGTTGGAATGGCAGTGGTAATCGTACGAGGCTTCCGGCCCGGACAATAGGGTGTTGATATACGGATCACAGCGGGTTCCGAGCAGATCGTGGACGCGGCCACCGGTCTCGTCCTGACCGTACCAGGATAGCGAGTCGGCGATGATTGTACATAGAGGACGCATGAACGGAAGGCATGACCAGAGACGATCATATGTTGTAACGTGGGAACAGTGCAATTGCTTCGTTCGAGAAGCCCAAAATCTCTCCCGTGGATTGTCCGCGTTCCAGATGTTCAAGTCCCCTGTCGACCTTAGTATCGTGCTCTGTCCATGGTGCGTCCACACACTTACCCACCTGAGGCCCTTCAGGGGTGCTTATCCTGACGATGCTCTTGGCCGGTGCCTTCCACGCGCGCCCGGAACGGATAGGTAACGTAAACGATTCAACCAGCTCCCTCGGCCCCTGCTGGATGGCCTTGTACAGTTCTTGGTCGACCGTCAATGGCGACCCTGCCGTTGGCAGATATCCTGGCTGCGGCGGCGCCAGCGGCTTCCTGGCCCGGAGACGTTCGTCGTCCGACATCCGGATTGACATGGCTTATGACCCAAGGATGCGGGACAAAGTGAGTCCTATTGATGAAATGCCCCTAATGGAATACTGTCCTGAGGTCCAGGAGCGAGATGACAAGATTGTGCATGACGCCAGGTAGGTTGCTTGTGTTTTTATGTCCACAGGAGCAATTTGAACCTCGCGGACATGTCCGACTCAAGGTAATGAAATGGTAATCCCAAGACCTGCCACAAGACGGTGGAGCAATGCCTGAACGCTATCTCGCTATCGAAAGCGACTGCCTCGTGCGTGGCATTGAGATCCATCATCTGCTCGTTCGGGTCGTGAGTCTGAGTGACTTCTGCGATATGGCGGCAATGATGGGCGCAAGCATGACGATCTTAAGGACTTGCCGGTGGATGATGGCCCCCATGACTTAGGTGACCATCATGCCCTGCTAAGCACAGCCTCAGGCGTCCCGCCAAGCTGTTGCGAACACCCCGGCTCTACGCTTCATCGTGTCAGTATATCAGTCCTTACCCAACACGATACTGCAGTCCGACCAGACATGATCCTACCCACTTCAGCCAATCCTACAAACCCCAATCATGTCCAGCCAAGGGAGACATGGTGCCAAAACTCGTACTGCATGCCTAACCTGTAAAGCCAGGAAGGTGAAGTGCTCCGAAGAGAGACCAGCGTGCAGAAGATGCATTAAAACTGGCAGGACCTGCGAAGGATATCAATTGGTGCTGGTCGACGGCACGTCAACAATTATCAATCGCACAGCCAACCTCCCAACGATCAACGGCTCCGATAGCCTACTGTCGGCTTTCAGCGCCACGGAAGACGAATGGCAAGCTTACCGTCTCTACACTCAAAGCATAGCATGCAGACTCGGTGGAGCCTTCGACACCGACTTGTGGCAGAAACTTGTCATCCAGATCTCCCAGGGGAATGCCACCGTTCGCAATGGTGTCTTCGCTCTCGGCAATCTGTTCAGGCATCGAAGTGATGAGACCAATCGCCATATTTCGACATGCTCCTGTTCTCACTGCCTTCACGCTTTGAGATCGTACAACAAGTCCATAACATCATTTTCGAAGAATGTGGCACGACTCGACGACCCTGCCTCGGTGAATGCAGCTCTGGCTTCATGTGCTGTGTTCATCTGCATCGAATACTACAGGATGAATGATCGCAATGCAATTGCCCTAATCGACAAAGGTTGTGGCATGCTGTTCGAATCACGCCATGCAACCCCTGATGTTCAGAAACGCGGCATACATCCCGCATTTATCAATTTGTTCGGCCGCCTTCGCGTTTTGTCTGCCACATTTGGCTACACGGTGGCTCGGCCACTGCTAGGGCAGGCTTCAACAGGTGGCGATATGCTCCAAAACTTGTCAGATCGCTTGGAACGAGCACGGAGTTCTCTTTACGACATCATGGCAGCTACTCAGGCTTTGAGGCTGCAGTCCTTTCAGGTGCTAGTCCCGCTCTGGCCCCTAGGCAGCCCTTCGACCTCGATCGAGGCCTTACATAACGACCGCGAGGCGATCATGTCAAGGTTGCAAATTTGGGAACAGGAATTCGCGGAGTTGCGCAAATTACTCTGGCCAAAGCCTCTAGAGTCGTCTCTTCCTGCCTTGATTCTCCATGCGCACTTTCTGAAAACAAAGATTTACACGGAAACAAGCATGGACTTATCGCAAGCTCGATACGACAAATACCTCCCGGAGTTCCAAGGTATCGCAGAAGCCGCTGAACATGGTCTTCCTCAGCTACTACCAGCGGACGAAACAGCCAATTTCTCCTTTGAGACCTGCTTCTTGCCGACCCTCTACCTCAGTGTCTTGAAATGCCGGCAACCAGCGTTACGAAGAAGGATGTTGGCGTTGATGCGCCTCTCAAGGGAGAAGGAGGGCCTCTGGCACCGAGACGAATCTATCCGAGTTGCCACAAGGGTCATAGAACTTGAGGAAGGTCGTTCCGATTTCGTCCCCGACAGCAACGATCATATTGACAGGATACCCAATGTGCCGATCCGTTTCCACGACGTCTTGTGTGGAGTCAACTATGTCAAGGACGGTAAAACAATGGTTGATGTAACTTATGTTCTGTATGATGACCATTCTGAGCATCAGTGGCAATCGATGAAAGAGACTCTGCTGGTAGATGAGTGAGAGGATGTAAAGATACTGGAGCTACGTGTCCAGTATGCCAGTTCTCAACAGCTAAGGTGCGATGTCAGTGTCTGAACCACTACCGTCTGCTGACGGAAGGCGGCCGAGATTTTACACCTGAAGGGGTAGTAGCGGCAGGCTAAGGTCTGAACTCTTGCCGACAGGGTTAGCCAGTGGGTGATCAGCTTCTACAGTACGGAGTACCTTACGCATCTGTCGGCAAGACCTGTCATCCCTTGTCCAGTTGGCTATTCGGCCGACCCTGGAACACGCGAGCCCCAGTGCCTGGATCGGCATTGCGCAGACGATGAGAATCTAAATTGCGGCGTGCTACGGAGCTATACAGATCGAAACTGAGACCCTGTACAGACGAATTGGCCATCAACACTAGTTACCAGTAACATGGGAGCCTGTGTTGAGTTGACTCGTCCCTAGGACTCGTCCAACAGTCATTGGGATACTCCGTACTACGTACCATGAAATGAATTGGGGTCCAAACAGCTGCAGCCTTGTCGCTCCATCCCCCATGCGGTCAAGTATCCGACATCCGAAGCCTGGCGGCTCACTGGCTCAAAGTATATCACTCTCTTGCACAAGCATTTGGCCTCACCACCATGCGCCGATCGGTGGGTATTCTTTCACGTTATACCATCTTGCTGGAGAAGTATCAGCCAAGTCCGATCCACGGTGGTGGTCATTGAATGCTTTTTCTCAATTCATCTCGGATTCCTTCCCCCTTGCAGGCCGCCCCAAGTTGGTAGTGTCGTCGTCGAAATTCTTTCATTTCCCTTCGGTGCCTGCATGGTGCCCACGAATGCACTGCTGAGCCACAGCTCGATGCTACCACTGCTATGTCACTGACTTGGACAGAATCACCACGTGTCCACATTTTGTTTCGGGAGGACCGATATAAAGCAGACCGCGAATTGATAAGCTTGTGTTCTTCAACTGTTTCCATCACCGCTGCCTCCACGCCGACCGCGGCCTAAACTTTCGTCTCGCTTCTGGCCACCATGGTCGTCTGCTGGCAAAGAATTGTTTTTGGCTTGTTCCTTCACTACACGCTCCTCTTGGCTCAATGTCCACCACTGGGTTCAGTCTTGCCAGCTCCGACCGGTCTGAGCCAGAGTTCGGTATTTCAAGAGCTCGCCACGCAGATCAATGCACAGTTACAGAATACTAGCTCTACCCTCAACCAGACCGCTGTCTCGATTGGAGTGCGCAGTCTCCACGACTCCGGCCCTCTTGTGAACTTCCATTACACTCCGTCCAAGTTCAACACCACTGGCGTGCACAAGGTCGACGGGAACACCGTTTACCGTATTGGCAGTACTTCCAAGCTCTTCACCGCTCTTAGTATCCTTCAGCTGGAAGGGAAGGTCAATCTATCCGATTCAGTCACGAAATACGTCCCCAAACTTGGCGATCTTTCCGGAGCCAACAAAAGCCTCACAAAGGTGGATTGGGATTCGGTCACTATCGAGGCATTGTTGAGTCACATGGGCGGAGTTCCTGCGGACCGTAATATTATGAAACCCTTGTTTGGTACTGGGACGAAAAGCTGACATGTGTATCTGATAACAAGTTTCCAACAGCGCAATTCAATATGTCCCAGGTCTTACTCAAGAAATTGGGCTACCACAGTTGCCGCAGTCTCAGCAGTCGCTTCCATGCGGCGATGCTCCTGGTGAGCCAGGATGCACCTGGGATGGTGAGTAGCCATATGGATTCGAGCTAAGTTCTTCCGACGATAGGGCTAACGTTCTTATTTCTATTCTAGTGTTCCTCAATAACATCGGCCGGAGACCTCCAGTGTATCGACCATTTACCACGCCTGTCTATTCCAACGTCGGCTACGCAGTCCTTGGTCGCGTTATCGAGAACGTTAGTGGGAAGACAAATGCAGAGTATCTTCAGCAGAATATCATCAACAAGGCCAGCATGAACCGTACTACGATAGGAAGCCCTCCCGCCAGCAGCCTTGGTTTCATCCCAGCCGAGTCGAACTGGTGGGGTAATTCTATTGGATACGAGGATCCGTAAGTTTGTGATCTCATCGCGTCTGGCGCAACGTGCAGTAGTAGTGCAACACGCAGCAGAGTTAGTATACTAGTACTGATCTACTTATGTGTTTTAGTTCCGGCGGTATCTATGCGAGCAACAACGACCTCCTTTCTTTCGGCACGGCAATCTTGTCCAACACTCTCCTCGACTCCGAACGAACGCGTACATGGATGAAACCCGTCACTTTCACATCGTCGATGGGTGTCGCCGTCGGCGCGCCGTGGGAAATCGCTCGGGGACCCAATCTCACCTCCTGGGACGGTCGAATCATCGATTTCTACACCAAGACCGGCAATCTGGGCGACTACACGGCCATCCTCGTGCTTGTGCCGGACTACGACCTGGTCCTTGCCATGAACGTGGCAGGTCCGGACGGCACTATCGGAGTCATCCAGGTCATTTTCTCGGCGCTCGTCCAAACCCTCATGCCGGTCGTCGACCAGATCGGGAAGAGCCAAGCTTCCCAGAAGTTCTCGGGCACGTTTGCTGCTGCTGCTGCTGCTGCGAAACAAAACTCGAGCCTCTCGAGCCTGGCGTTGTCGGTCGACGACAAGTTTGGTGGACTGCTCGTGTCGAATTTCTCGGCCAACGGCGTCGACGTGGCCAAGGGGTTCTCGGCACTGAACGGTTACGACCCCGCGCAGGAGCCGACTACCATCCGCTTGTACCCTACGAATTTGAAACAGGGCAACGAGTCGGCGTGGCGGGCTGTCTACACGATCGGCACGGCTGATGCGCAGCTGTTCTTCCCGCAGGGCAGTTGCCAGACTTGGACGGAGATCGATCTGACGACGTACGGGTTGGAGGCTCTGGATTACTTTGTGCTGACGGAGAATGAGAGTGGGAAGGTCGTTGCCGTGGAGCCCAAGGCGTGGAGGCTGGTGTTGGAGAGGGCGGATTGATTCGAGTTCAAGTTCAAGTTGGTGAGACGTTATTGTTCTCCGCACTAAGTACTACTAGTATACTAGTAGAAGGTCTTTATCTCCTAACGTCAGGGTCCTGACATAGCACGTCGAGGACAAGACAGACACCTTAGTACTACTACTACTACTACTACTACTACTACTACTACTACTACTACTACTACTACTACTACTACTACTACTACCACCACCACCACCACCACCACCACCACCACCGCCCGCAGTTCGTGTAAGCTTTAAAGGGCTTCTTCGCACGCCTTGTCGTCGTCTGTCATGTTAGCCGGCCGACCGATCAAGGCTTCAAGAAGAAACCCAACGCATTTACCAGCAGTTCAAGTAGGTACCAGCTGTGACTTGTTTTGTGCGAGGGCGTGGTAAGCTCCCGACTCGTGTGGGATGCACTTGGCTTCGAAACACCATTCTTGCTTTTGACATATGCAACCCAAGGCTGGGTATTGAACAAGGGACATAGTCGGCAGGCCATGCTTTGCGGAATGGCATGTGGTCAGGTAAGCGTGCAGAAAATCCCCACCCCGTGCCAGACTGTAGAGTGGCAAGGTGGGTGATGCGGAGCCAAGAGGCACAGGCGCACATGTCTCGCGCAGTGTGTGCAGAGAGCAAGGGTGAGCCTGAACTCGCCCGAACCAGGTATGAATCGTCGGCGGTGAGTGGGCAGTCATTACTTGGTGCTTGGCTCATCTCTTCTCTGACCAAGCTATGCTCACCTCACCTTCCAGCTGGCACAGCGCAGGCTATGACCCTGTAGATCTGTAGTGAAATCAAGGGCGACGGCGCGTGCACATCAGGCGCCCCGTGTTGCAGCGAGGAGAGAGAGAGTCACTGAGAGCCATCATCATTCGACGAGAAGCTTCTTGTCGGAAATATCCCGCGGCGGACGCTATGCTTCTAAGGGGCAGTAATTCGGCACTAGGCGTTTCACGGTTAGCGTGTTATTATTAAGCCATTGACCGGGGCGAGATACTTTTGTATAGCTCGTCTGAAAAGGTGCCAGTGGCCATTGTATACCTCTACGTCCCATCGGATGCTGTGCAACCGAGACCCCAGCCTCACCTGATGATGTCAATCCCACCGCGAGTATCTCCACACCGGCCCAACCGAGCAACCGAATTCGAAACTCCAAGGTCGGTGGAATGGATAGTCCTTTCTCACCCCGCATCAAAACTTGGATGATCGACGTGGCTGAACCTTTACACTTGATCGTGCTGAAGCGGGCACTCCGTCAAGATTACCGACAGAGGAGACGGATAATCGACATTCTGGGAGAAAGGTGTTGACGACGACGACCACGGCGACCACTCCGACATATAGGGAGGCAAATACCGCCCGACGAATGTTACCCCCTAGCTACTAGCTACGATTGAGATTCCAAAATGGGCTACCATGGACTCCCCAGCAAAGCTTGTTCAAGCTGCAGGACCAGGAGAATCAAGGTGGGTGAACCGTGGCATTGGTCTGTCGGCCTTCCTAATGTGTATCGTGACAGTGCGACCTTGCGCGCCCAGCCTGTGGACAGTGCGCGAGAGGCCGTCGGACCTGCTCCGGGTATCGCGAGGCGGGCCGACCTACTCTTTCGTGACCTGAGCGAAGAAGTGGCCCGCAAGGTGGCGCGCCGCCAGCCAAAACGAACTCCGCCAGAGGCTGCCGCCGCCGAGACTGCCAGGCTGACTGCCACGACGGGAGCTCCCATCGGGGGTTCTCACTCGACGAGGGCCCTCTCCCCGACTTCGTGGGCCAGGCCAATGACGCCCGAAAGTCAAGCTTTGTGTTTCTTCTTCCGCAACTACCCCGCCCTGTCGTCGTCGAGGAACTTTACGACCATGTACGACGTCATTCCAGCCGTCTATTGCTCCGCGACGCCCGGCGATAGTCCACTGTTTTGCATATTGACGGCCCTGGGCCTGGCCGGCCAGTCCCATCACACCGAGACCGCGGGCATGGAAGTCGCCGCTCGCGCTTGGTCCGACCGGGCCTTGCACAAGGTCAACCGCGACCTTCGAGATGGCCGTCGGGTCAAACTGGATGAGACGATCCTCGCGGTGCTGCTACTGGGATTATACGAGGTTGGTGGTCTGAACCTTACCCTGGCCTTTCCCCCCAACCACAGAAGCTGACACTCGTGTCAGACCAACACGTGCAACACGCCTCGATCGATGCGATCCTGGCTGACCCACATCAAAGGCGCGACGGCCTTGTTAGACCTGCGTTCGTAGTCTGTTCGTCCAGGCGCGCATACACGTCGTCACCGGCTGTTACCAGACACGGTCGTCCGGCTCTCTCGAGCATGTCGCCGCCGCCGTACGAGTCCCGCCGCCGTCGACCCGGCCGAAGACCTCAACGCGATCGTCACCGAATTTTGCAACGCTCGATCTGTCATACCTTTTCGCCCTCCCGTGACCCAGTTAGAGTCGATGACGAGAGCCGTCATCGCCCAATACACGTCCATCGGCGAAGCCTTGGCAGATTGGTATGACGCGCTTCCCGCCACATTTCACCCATCGACCGTCTACTGCGACGACATGGCCAATCCCGACATCTTATCAGACCACTATGATGTCTACCCGGACATGGGGACCACCAACCTCGCTAACAACTACCGGGCAAACACCATCCTCATCCATGAAGCTTTGTTGAGTCAGCTGGATCTCTTGCGGGTCCGATATGGCCACGACGACCAACTGGTCGACCGAGTCAGGCAATCACGCAACACGATCTTATCTGTCATCGACACAATCTGTGCCAGCGTGCCGGACCTCCTCCAGCCCAACGTTGGCGCGGCGGGTGTCGGACTCCTCTGGCCACTGTACGTGGCGGCGCAGCTCTCGCCACGCACCGTTCGGGTGCCAGATGCCACGCGCACCTGGATGATTGGACGCTTGGAGAAAATTGGAACTGAATTGGGCGTGCGCCAGGCGACGATGCTGGTGAAACTCTTGTACAAAGACGCCGATGTCTCGGAGCTGTTAAAGGATGAGGAGGAGCGGGCGATGAGCTATCAATGAGGTCCAGTCGAGGATCCCCCGGCGAACACATGGAGAGGCGATGGGGCAGTGGTGCGTACCTTGTTAGCTAGAGCATTCGCTCGTAGAATGTGTAGATCCTTGCGCCAGGGAGAGGTACGAATACATGATGGAATTCTCGTTTTCTCTACGGCCACATTCACCATGGTCCACTCGCCTTGCGGCGGCCCGTGAACTGCGAAGACCCACGGGGACCGAATGAGCGTACTTCCGGCGGTGCCGCTCTCATCTAAAATTGATGAGGTGTCTAGTATATCTGGAGTGCTGGTTTAACTGCGAGTAATATATGACGCTATGCTTTTCCATCCCACTGAGTATAGATGACTTTCAAGCACTTTCGAGGGTCAATGCTTAAGGTCGGTATTAACAGAGGTGGAAACAAGCTTTGATGGAAGGCTAACCTGGGAAAGTCGCCTGCCGTTACCTATGCGAATTTTAGTGTGTCTACTCTGTACCGCTCCGTAGATTGGATCTTAAAAGAGGAGAGATGACAGGGTCCCGAGTATCGGCATTTATGCTTCTGCCCATGATTTGACGGGTATAGACGCCGGGCCCTAGCCGGATATCCCTAAGGCTTGGTAAGTATAGGGGCCGGCGTAAATTATAGGTTAGTCTATATACAGTTGGAAGAAACCAAGTCTTCTAGGGCTTGATCACCGCAAGTGGCCTCTACCTCTCCGGAAAACAAGCACGGGGTAGCACGATGGACCTGGAAATGAGTGCGGTCTAGTGTGTAAAAAGGTGGGAACTGCGACTATATGGCATACGAAGATACAGGATATCGTCTAAGCCTCGTCATGTTAGAGGTACAATTGCCGGAAAATCGAGGCCGCCAAAGGACAGAATTCCGCCACTCAACCTTCACTTCAGGCTTAACGCTCAGTATATTTGCTTTCGGACTTACTATTCGCCGGCTTCATGTGGTGGAGTGGCTCAATCCGTCGTGAAACGGGTTACTAAAGGCCCAAGGTTGTAAGGGAATGCACAACCCGAACTCCTTACGGACGGATAATCCGCGAAGCATAATATCAAGCAAGCCACATCCGAGGCAATCTTACAGTGTGAACACATTCTTCCAAGTTCTTTCCATAGTGGCCTCTCCTACCCGCGTGTTTTCCCTTGTGTTGCCAGTCCTCTCGGCAGGAGACGCCAGCAAATGCTTGATGATCAGGCTGCCAAGGTTACCGGCACCAATGAGGAGGACACGGTTGAGCGTCATTGTTGGCGTCTCGTAGCTTGATGGGAGTAAGCGTGTGTCCAAAGCTCAGAGTGCTGTTTCAGGAGTTCCAGGGTGCTATTGATTGATATTTCGTCTGGACACACCGGTGCCTCGGGGAGAGCTGGGGTGGGGAACATGTTGCCATCAAAGACAATACGGGGTTGTCCAAGATACCTCAAGGGTTTATGAAGGACCTTACTATATGCACATTGTCCTCGTATGAACCTTGTCCAACTGCCGACTACGACTAACCCCTAACTTCGCCCCGCGTAACCTACAACTACAACCCCATGTCCTGCATTCTTGAACTACCAATCTCACGCCCGCTCGATCTACCTACTCCTTTGAACTATTCTGCTTCTGCTCAACCTCAAACATTGCATGCTGGACCGGTGTCTGGCTCTGTCCTTCATCGCCATGCATATGCACAGCAGTGTGGTTTGTCAAGTACCTTGACGGATCCCGGATGAAGCAAGCACATATCACGGCGATGATACCAAACGGAATCGTTGCCCAAAACACGCGTCGGAATGCAGCGGCGTACGCTTCACGAAACGCATTGCCGACGGCTAGTTTTAGACTCGGATTCACGTCGGGCACACCGTCGAAAGCATCCGGAATACCGAGCGCGTTGTTCACGACGGCCGGGATGAGGAGAGCTAGGTTGCTGGCATCGTAACCCTGTGAAGTGGCAGCCACGGCAATACGCTTCGGTAACTGATCCTGGACGACCGAGTTAAGGATGGTGCTGAAGATCGCGTTGCCGACGCTCCCGCCCGCGCTTCTGAAGGTGCCAATGAGCCCGGATGCCAATCCTAGATAGCGTAGAGGGATGTTGAGCCCAGCGATAACGTAGGCAATCGAGGTGGTCAACTGGAATGCTCCCATGCCGAAGAACTGCAGGGCCATCCATCCTGCTCTGTTGTAGGGGATCACGGTCGAATAACAGGCGGTAGCGATGGTCTGGACGGACAGCATGGCAATGATCTGCACCTTCAGATGACCGATGTGTCCCATCAACAACGTCGCGAATGCGCCGAAGAGCATCTCGGCGATACCACTCGGCAACGCAATGATGCCGATCTCGGTGGGATCGCTGGTGAACATATAAAGAGACCCCTGCGGCAACAGGGCCGACATGGAGTAGAAGACCATGCCGGCGACAAAGACGACGACCAACAAGACCGTGTATTCGCGCAGCCTCCGCAGCAGAGATAGAGGAAAGAAGGGTTCCTTGGCCAAGGTGAAGTCGTACAGGAAGGAAAAGACCAGGACCACAAAGCCAACAACGATGGGAGCAACCGCCGAGGCTGATCTCCAAGGATGGTCAGTAGTGCCTGCCCAGCTCATACCGACCAGAAAAACAGCGAGGCCTCCAGTGTACAGTAAGCAGCCAATATAGTCAATCTCTCGGATCTCTTGCCAGCGAGACTTTTGAAAGTCATGCTGGGGGCGTATCGGTGGATAGTAGAAGACAAAGGTGCCAACTAGACTGATCGTCCCATAGATGATGCCCATATAGTAACACCAGCGCCATCCGGCAGAGGTGTGGGAATTCAGGCCGTTCGCAATGAGGACACTGGTTGCACACCATGGGATAGTAATGCACACCTCGGTCAGTCCTATACCGAAGCCGCTGAGATCGTTCATTAGTGACATATCTCGGAAGAACGGGACCATTCAAGACCTACCGCCATTTGTTTGGCAAAAGCTCGACGATACCCGCGTAGGACACAAATACAATTCCACAACCAAAGCCCACGACGGTCGAACCAGCAGCGAGTACTAGCGTCCGTTGTGCGGTGCAGGCCACAATCTAAATCGTTGTCACAGTGATTCAGCCAAAGAATCTAGAGCGCAGTAGGAGGGACGGTCTTACACAACCCACAATACAGATGACTTCACCAACCAGGATAGTCCAACGGCGGCCAAAGATGTCACTGACCTTGCCAGCGATTGAGAAGGAGACCGAAGAAGCCGTCGACCATCCCGACACGATCCAGGCGATGTTTTGCGTATCACCTAGTTCCGTGCCCACGGGTACGAGGATCGCTGAGATGAGGAAAAACCCGCAGCCGATAGGGCAGACGTATGAAAGAGCCAGGAACTGTTTCACCGCCTCCGTCAGTAGGCCCGGGGGGATATCCAGGGAGTCATAACTTACCATGACGGCCAGGAGGGTTCTCAAGGGCGGTCGTTCTGCGGTTTCTGGGTTGTCCTCCAGGGCAGCACGGTGAGGATCCTCGAAGTCTAAGGGCACATGGTCGACGTGTTCGGCACGAGCGTGCTCAGTCATCTTGTGCAACAGACCAATTGTGATGCTGAACTCTGTGCGTTGATGCTTCCAATGCTGTCTGATTCTTGAGCCTTTTGCCGATAAGGGCGTCTTCGAAAGAGAGCATGCCTACATATTCATAGACCCCTGTAACGCCGCCTTATGTATCGATCCAGCAGCTCCTTGTATTCCACCAGCCCCTCTATATCAATCCTGATGGCCCCGCAGCTCTCCCGCAAAAATTTTGAAGGAAAGTTCCGAAGCAAAAATAATATGAGCGAAGAAACAGGAAGTCAGTGTCCGCGATATTGACCTCAGGGGCCCCGAAGGGTGCGTAGGACCCACGTTGGACATGCCAAGGTCAAACCGGATATGCTGAAGCATCCGGACGATATCCAACCACGACGGACGTCCCACTCACGGTGGCTGAACAAATACCATACCTGCTGTATTAAACGCTATAGGTATCCACATCAGACATGCTACAAGAAGCAAACAAATGTGTCTTCAGTTGCCCTTCCACGGTCGTCTATGTCCTAAAGCAGACGGCATCAACCCGCAACGCTCGGCCAAAAATATGTTGCCGACGACTCCTGTGACACACGGAGAGCTCTGTGGGGCATGTGTCAATGCTGAAATGCCCATCAACAAGTCTCACAAGCTTTTGTATCCCGTAGCAGCAAGCAAGGACGGACCCCCCTACCATAGTGTCGAACTACGAAGCCGTGCAGCGTCAGCTTCACCAGAGCTGAACACCCATCAAAGCGTCGCTGACTCATTGCATCACAATGTAATCGGCCAAGTTGGTCAGCCCTTCGATGTTTTCGAAGCAATGAGCGGCTGGCCGGAGGGCAGTCTCATAAGGTTGTCCGGTCGCAAAGTAAGGGGCGTGACTGCTGCAAGGCAAATGAATGGCAGCTGGTCTGACTGAGCCAGCCCGTCACTAAGTCGTCATGGGATGATGAAATGTATGACTCGCTGGCGCGCCATCTGAGGCGCGAGTCGTGGGAGGGAGGACGTTGGGAATAACATGGGGAAAGCCCACATCGGAGATATCTGTGGGTTTCTGCACACCCCGCCTGGTTCAGTTTCTCCACGCGGCTCAATACGAAGCTCGCGAGCTTCGAACTGGGTTTCGATCTCATACCCCATGGGAGAAGATACGCGAACTGTCAAATGGCGAATAGAAAGAGTCCTGCCTCGGAACGTCCAGGACTCGGCTGTTGTTTGGAGCTCCGGAGGTAGGGTTTGGTGTCGGGTCGGAGGCAATTAGCTGTACAGCGACTCGTGCAACCGTAGCTGCCTCCGGAGCTCTCGTCCTTTGTGGCGAAGTCCTATGTTCGAACAATGCCTAGGACGATCCACGGCGTTCACGGACCTTATCATACGAAGCAGGACTACTTAGGAGAATACCAAGGTACTTCGTCTCCCAGCTGTACTGATATCATTGCCTCTGCAAACAGCGTCATCCCCATCTCTCGTTCCCTTTCAATCGGTCTGAGAGAACGCTTCTAAAAGGTAATTGACGTAACCCATATTCTCGGTATCCATGCTACGCAACTTCTCGGTTTTGAATAGGCCACGGGCCTCCGCCTCCAGGAAGATGTATGCAAGCTGGCAGAATTCCGGACCAGCATCCCTCATAAAACCAAGCTTCTTCCATTCTTCAACCGGCAGGTTGCTTACTTGCAAATCCCATATTCTGGTCCAGCGGCCCAGGGCCTGCTGAAATGCGGGATACATGATCTTTCCAGTACCGTTCGCGCGCGACGCATGAATGGCACAATGGAGGCCTGGTTCCTGGCGTGAGATAATTGAATACATCAAGGGGGAGCATACATACCGCAGAGAACGAAGAAGAAGTTCATCGGCGAGAGGTGAACCAGGCTCGCCTGTCCTGCAAGATCCTTTCGGCTCTCCAAGAGTTGAGATAGACTAGTGTAGAGAGAATCCGTACCAGACCTCATTTCCTGCTTCGCGTACTGCTCGCATGCACCACTCGAGGTGGCGGAAAAGCATATTTCGCTGCACATGGGATTCCCTGTCATTTCGGAGACCGCCAGTCTCGGATAGTGCGCGTGAAACATGGCAAAGTTGCATTCGATTCCAAAAATAAGGTATGCGAGCCTAGGTACAGCATGAGACACTGGGCGGTGAAGGACTGGAAGATAGATTTACCTGATTTTCGACTCCTTCACCACAAACCCACGCCAGTCGAATTCAACACAATTAGTTTGTTCGCGATCGAGATATTCATTCTTACTGTCGAACAAATTCAGTGCCCGAGCCGCCTGAATCACCTCATTGTATCGTACATTCCTCACTCGTCGTCGAGATTTAATGTTTTTGCCACACATTTGCAGTAGTACCATCAAGTATGCGGCTTGAAGTGGCTCCAGTGAATGAGAAGAAGCTAATGAGGAGGGCGACTCGTCTTCCAAAAGCTCTCTGAATTTTGGGTGATTGAACGTGTATGCTTCGGCGATGTCATAGTAAGCTTGAGCCAGGGAAACCTCGTGCGAGTATGACTCTCCGATCAAAAAGACCGCCAACAGCAGCGGAGGATGGAGGTTGGTCAGATCAAAGGTTTGACGATGCAGAATGGGGCAATGTGGACTCCAGCGGTTGAAGTACAGCTCTGTAAACTCTGCAACATTGTCGTGGGTGAAAAGAGACTTGAATGTCTCCTCATCGAAGAAAGGTGCACCATCATGTTTTCGGCATTGCGATCGATAAATAGTCGTGAGATCGAGAGAGACTCGTGTCATTCTCGATTGAAGGTGGTTGTGGTCCAAAGTGTGAGCGTGACGAAGTGAATTTCGCGTGAAAATGATCTCGTCCCACCACTGCTCGTCGCAATTCCCAAAGAGGAACGAGTTTTCACACAATTGACTAGATTCACCCAGCCATACATTGTCTGCCGCCCCTTCGTCTTCAGACTCATCCGGCCGGTCACTTGGCGTGTCACGGGCGCACTCGTGGTCGGACGAGCGCTCGTCAACGCCTTGGGCGCTTTTGTAGTAGGCTGAGAGAGAATTGGTTGCAGGATTGGTGTAATTGAAGAGAAAAGGCATGGCGGCCCTTGCACTTCGGTTGCTCGAGTAAGACGAAGAACTTTCTGCGCGAGCAGGACGCCTTGTCACAGGATCTTCGAGTCCCCCAGCCGCATCATTGCACGCAACTGCTCTCTGATCTCGGTACGTACACTTGTTATTTCTCCTGAGACATCGGGTACATGGTAGTTTCTCGTCACAAGCCACTTTAGTTGCCGCACACGATTCACATGCCTTCCTCCTTCGGCCACGAGGGCCAGGCCTGGGATTCGGATTCGAGCCTTTCTTCCTACATGATTTGGAATGACGGTGGGCTACATCGCTTGATTGTGGTCGTGTTGGCGGCGAAGAGAGAAGTGATGATCCGGTGTGAGACTCACCTTCTCGCAAACTTTCGAGGACAAAAAGCACACGGGAATGCGTCGCCAGTAGTATCTATGAGGATTCAGCGGAATCGTGATAGCACCTGAGTGACGGTACATACGTAGTTTTTCGTGGCGACGCAGGTGGCTACTGTTGGAATATGTCCTTTGACATTGTTGACATTGGTAGACAGAAGGCATTGTGGATTGAACGAAGGCGTCTGCACGCAAGAGACTGAAGAGGAATTATCCGGTAAAATGCTTGAGGGTTTTGGAAGGTTTAAACCCACAGAAGAAAACGCGGGGCTCCAGGTCTCTTATACTTAAATCGCCGGGGCTAAGGGGGCCTAGGGAGCCTCCCTAGGCTAACTAGTCTCACTGTCGTTTAGGGCTAGTGAGGCCAAACCCAGTCTCCCACCAAATAAAGTACTTAGATTATGAGCCCGTCATTTTATAGCTTCAAACCTGGAGCAAGGAGCCGTCGCAGTGAAATGTGACAGATTATCCAAACCAACGACTTCCATCCGACAAGTCAGTCACGGTAACTCTATGCACAGCACGTCAGCCGGCCTTACTCAAACTCAAGTCCTTGTATAATGGCAAGGTACAATTAGCCCCAGCCCCATCTTGCTCCTAATCCTCTTGATGCAGCCGGTCAGCGAGCTCGTTGCATGGGCCAGCCCATCACTTGATGTCCAGACATCGTCCGCACGGGGACCTGCGAGTCTGAAATCGAACCATCCCGCTCAACATGGGTCAGATCTGCACGGTCTTTACTGCGCGGTCCAAGACGTAGGGTTGATGGAGTAGGACAGCCCCGCGATGTGAGTACCAGGATCATGATTTTGACAATCAGAGGGTTCTGTTGGTTCGTGGTTTGCGATATAAAGCCCGCTGAGCCCTTGCATTTCCAACTCGCAGGACCATTGTTCGTGAGATATTCCCTCTGCACCGAGTTGTATACAACATGGGTCTTTCATTGTCAGGATCAAGCGTCTCGCGGATGCCTCTTTTCCTCGTTGACTTTAGCCTCATCGCACGCCTTATTACGGTTACAGTGGCAGCTGGTTTCGTTTTGCTCGTTGTCGACTACATCCGAGTTTTACGTCTACGTCGTCAACTGCCTCCGGGGCCTTTCCCTTTACCAATAGTCGGAAATCACCTCATCATACCGAAGGTCAAGCCATGGGTCGCCTTTGAAGACTGGAGCAAGTACTACGGCGATCCACTTCTCACCATCTGGCTTGGAAGACGACCGATCATTGTTGCCAACGATGCCTGGTCCGCTTCTGAGCTCATGGAGAAACGAGCCAACATCTATTCCTCTCGACCGAACATTGTCATCATGGGTGACATGTTCAACTGGACTGTGAATAATCAGGTATGCCAGGTCTACGGAGACAGATGGAGGACTCATCGGAAGCTTACCGTACACGTTCCCCCCTGTATTGACTGAGCCCTCACAATTGACATGTTTGCAGCATTCGGTCGTGGGCTCTCAAGCGGTCCGTAACTATCGCGACATTCAATCTGCGGAATCCAGGGTCATGACGTGGAACATATTGAAAGATCCGGCGGACTATGTCTTTCATCTGGAGAGGTACGCGTGCTCCGTGGTCTCCATCATTGGCTGGGGACGTCGTATAGTCAGGAAAAATGACTACGTGGCTAAACAAGCCCTCGAGGTGATGGCCAACGCGGTCGACGTTATCATTCCCGGACTATACTGGATGGAATCTCTACCATTCTTAACGAAGCTACCCCGATGGCTTTACCCGCTGCCGCAAGCCATCCAAGACCAAGCTCGTCTGCTAGCACAGTATTTCTACGCTCTGTCTCTTGAGGGATCCAAGGGCGAAGAGGACAGCTTTTCCAAGCGACTCATCCAAGAACAGAATTCCAATGGTCTTTCCGACGAGGAGATTGCAAGCTTGACCTCCAACTTGATTGGAGGTGGCGTTGATACAACCAGCAGTACCATCATATCGTGCATTCTAGCCATGTGTGTCTTCCCCGAGGTTCAGAAAAAAGCACAATACGAATTGGATGAGGTCGTAGGCCACGACCGAAGTCCGGATTGGTCCGATGAAACCTCACTCCCATATATTGACGCGATCATCAAGGAGACGTTGCGCTGGCGCTCAGTCACGATCTTGGGAGGCATCCCTCACGCTCCAATCCAGGATGACATATACAATGGCTATCGCATCCCAGCTGGTACGAATATCACGGGAAACCTTTGGGCTATTCATCGCCATCCACGCGAGTTTCCCCTCCCGGACAAGTTCGAGCCCGAGAGATATTTGGGAGGCCTCCAGTTTGATTACCCCAACGCTCGTGGACACAATGCCTTCGGCTGGGGTCGGAGGCAGTGCAGTGGCCAGCCACTGGCAGAAGCAAGCTTGGCGATTTCTGTTGCCAGACTTCTTTGGGCATTCGATATCAAGCCTGGCTTGGACGATCAGGTAAGAACACCAAGTCTGGGGTATCCGTCGTGAGTAACGTGTTTTGCGACACAGGGCCGCGAAGTTGAACTTGACATATTTGCCTACACAGATGGTGAGAACACTCGACCATTGCCATTCCGTGCACGCTTCCATCCTCGATCCGAGAAAATTGCTGCGTTGTTGGAAAGCGAGCGGGATAAGGCCGAAGGGTTTCTTGCTCGATACAATGGGGAGACGAAGCTCACTTTGGCTGATGTGTCTTGATGAAAGGAATACCGTATTGGAAGCACAAGCAATTGTATTTGTTGGCACATTAGCATACGGACCAGGTCACGGCGTCCCAAAAAGGGCCACTCATACCGAACGCTTGCGATTGCATGTTCAGATCGTTAAACGATATCTCGATACTCACCGCCTTACTAAAGTATGCTCATGGAGCCTCGTATAATGAATGCAAGACAACAAGTTTTCAATCTTGTCGATCATTTTCCAGTGATATAGGTCGTAAGCATTAAGACGGACCTGGATCACTGCGTTCCGCCCGCCGGGTATGTGCACCAGCTTTCTCTGTATTCATCATGTACCACTAGTTCCCACAAAGAATGGTTGTTGCCAATCACAGTGGGAATGAGGTTTGGATTCGACATCCGAGACCCGCCATCATTGTGGGTCACCCACATGCATTTTCCGAGAAACCCTGTGTGGAAACTTTGTACGGAGGCCGACTTACAGTATGGTCGAACTGTTGACGCCACCAACGCACCCCCCAGGATTCGGGACAGGTGACTTATGACAAGGAGCCCCGGGAAGTCCTGGGAGACCACCCCGGTAACGCTCTGGACTGGCTCCCCATGACCCCAGCTCCTTCTGATTGACACGGCCTCCACTTCTCGCGACAGCCGACATCGTCGTGACCACCACAAATTCCATGGGCATGGCGACCTGGACGTGGGGCTACCTAAATGGTCATCTGAAAGGCCGATCGTGGAGTCAAAACGTCTAACATCTGAGGCGGGTCGCTGGGAAGACATATAAATAAGTCAAGAACCACTGCAGTTCCTACACAACCCAGATTTTGGAAGAAAGGAAACAGAACGGTACACTCTTTTCTCACATCACGCTGATGCGCGATTCCCACCAAACCCTCAGCCGGCCATTCGATGGAGTTCTCGTCGTTGGCGCCGGTCCCTCAGGCCTCATACTCGCCTATGAACTCCTTCGCCGTGGTGTGCCGGTTCGCCTGGTGGAAAAGCGCAAAGGGTCCTTCTCGACGACACATGCTCGGTCGATGGAAATGTTCGACCACATGAGCATTGGCCACCGATTGAAGGAGGCTTGTGTCGGGGAACATATATCATTTCCCGGGCATGCCTTTAATAGTTAATAAAGAGATATTAAAGAAGGATTGAAAAAAATATAAAGAATTTCGGCGATTTAAGGACTCGATAAATTATCTACGATATATTAAAGAGGTCCTAGCTAAATTTAGTAGAGGGACTGTTACTGATATCGTATATAAGTATTAGATACATTAAAAAATCGATTTAAAACACTATAGGTAGGTATAGTAGTACTAGTCTTTCCTTTCCCTTATTAGCCTATGGAGTCCGAAGACCTACTAGTACTAGTTTTAGAGATTCAATTTCGACTTTGCTTTTCTAAGGGCGTCGATTGAATGCTGTATTATCTGGAACGCGCCCTTTGTCCTACAAGTACTACTAGAGTGTCCACCCCTATTGTTTAAAACGATAAAGATATAGTATCGAGACAGTTATAATAATTATCGAGTACTACCCTACTACCTGTAGGAGGGTGTTTAAAACTGAGTCTAGCCTAGGCTAGAAGCGATTTAGAACTGATTTACGATTAGGTCGAAACCGCGTTACTAGCAACTAGTATCCATTCTTGTTAAACGTACGTGGTAGGGCTTACTAGTAGTACTAGTACTGTAGTATTAGTGTCATATTTCAAGTTCTTATTGTCACCACTCGCCGGGAATTGTATCAACGATTTTCGCAAGCCCAACAGGTCGAACTTTTCAGCGGGGATCTCGCCGGATCATACAATAGACGCACCTCTACGGCTCGAGCGATGGCCCATCCAAATAAGCATTGCGCCCATCACCGCAGATGTCAAGAACAACAGCATCCCAGCCAGGTCCACCCAACATATATTCTGCATGTTCTTCCAATGATTCGCCAAGTGATTGCCGTACTCCTTGCCATTGCGTGTCGGGTCAGAGGTCCATACACCGCCACTGTACATGTTAGCAGTATTACCGAAGAAGTCTCTCATAGCCCCGAACTGCAGTTTCAATTGTCAGTCAGTCGAACTTCACCTTCCTTTCGAAGGAAAACTTTACCGCAGCAGAATAAAGAAAGAACATGATCATGTCCCATGGTGCAGCGAATGCGACGGGCCGATAAGACAGCATGAGGGGGATGAGGCCGAGGGCAATTGCCGTGAGGATAGCGAGAGCTCCGACTGCAAACTCATAGTGCTAAGTAGCGCAGAAGACGGGTCAGCTTTTGTTCAGGAGTGGCGGAGGAGCAGGTTGGAGAGGACAATGACCTTCTGGCCGCCAGTGTTCTGGGAGAGATCTGGGAGCTTCATCTTGCAGAACAACTTGAAAAGATGACTGAAGAGTAGAGATTTCGACTGGGAAGTTGTAAAGTACAACTTGGAATGAACACGGCAATGTTTTTATTTTGGCCCGGCTCGCAGTGAAGACTTCAAAGTGAAGTACCACTGGAATTTGTCAAAACTTGTCGCAGCGATGCAAAGCACCCTTGGGCAATTCAATTGTTGGTGTCACTCACTTTTTTGGCTTGCCAAGGGACCGTACTGCTTTGCAAAAGTCGCAGAGGCGCATTAGAATTGTGACAGTTAAATTTCCCGGCATGGTAACAGATCCGCCCGGTAGATGTTGATGTACTCCACTCGCCCGCGGCAGGTGTCAGAGTTTCTACCACATTTTTCTGTGGCAAGCTTGCGTGCGATTCAAGGGTCGGAGTGACCGTTGTACAATCGAATTATGGGAAGCACCATTCTCTGCAGTACACTATCCACAGCACGTGAACTTGCCGCATGTCAAATGATGGGGACGAGGTCAGACAAGGCGGCATGCATGACAGGAGTGGAGATAGTAAGTAGACGATCGTGGAGGTGCGGAAGCGGATTTTCGGAGGTGATCGCAAGAGGAATCGTCCCATGGAACGCAGAGAGGAGGACGCAGCAGGAGAGGAGGACGGGCTGGCGGTAGGAGTCAGTAGGCAACCATACTAGAAGCGGGAGGTCGATGTAGGTGGCCGCAGGAGAGACTGCAGTTGACCATCCTTGTGCGAGGCGAGAATTCAGCAGAGTTGAATCACACAGGATGAGACCTCGTCCTGCACTGGCCAGAAAGGGTCACGCCGCCCGGCCAGACTTCAACTCCAACCTGCCGATAGAAATGGCTGTGGATTCACGTCAGTAAAGTGTCCCCCATCCGGCTAGCCCAAATACTACTAACTGATGTACACCACTAGTCCAGCAGGTCTCAAACATAGACTAAAAGAGTCTCAAGCTTTCTGGAAGCATGCGACAAGAGCGTCGACTTTGTTGTTTCCACGGGCCAAGTACCTGCCGCCGGCGAGACTCTGACGGGTACTTCTCTCGATATCCACGCTGGTGGGAAAGGTGCCAACCAGGCCGCCGCTTGTGGTCGGGCGAGCTTCTCCCAACGACAATAAGACGGGTATACAAGACGCCACGGTCGAATTAATCGGAGCCGTAGGCAAGAATGATCCTCACTGGTCTGCCTTGGTGAGACCCGAAATACAGCCAGTGGCGTAGGGATTGACTACGAGATGGAGTGTGACGACGGCGAAACAGGCACGGCCACGATATTGGTCGAGCATGCGGCCGAAGGGGAAAATCGCATGATCATCATCATTCTTGGAGCAAACCATGCTGGAATGGATGTTGAGCGTGTCGAGGGGCTTTTCGGGTGCGATCGCGATCGGCATAGCTCGCCTCACGTCGTCGTCATCCAAGGCGAGCTCCCGCGGACGACGACGCTGGCGCTAACTACAACACTTCAGTGCGCAAGGTCACCACTGCGGAAAGACCCATGTGGTTTTCAATCCGGCGCCCGTCTTTCCAGAAGGCATTCCGCTCAAGGCTACTTTACGGGCTGGCGGTCTTGGTGGTAAATGAATTGGAGTTCCTCCAGCTTTATAGTGGCGTCTCCGAACCTCATGCCCCGAGAGACGACAAGCGCACACAGGACAGGGTTCACTTGTCAGAGGGGCAGCTCCAGATCCTAGTCGCACAGTTTCAGGAGGACAACTCTGTTTCCGTGTTGCTACTACTCGGACCTTGCATCAGGTCAGTGTGGCCTGGTTCCCGCCGTGATCGTGAGCGACGTCGTCGATACCCGACCGCCGCGGGAGATACATTTGTGGGATACTTTGCCGCGTCATTAGCGAGGCATCTTGTTCGGGTCAGAGAGGGCAACGGTGCATCGAGCAAACTCTGCCGCGGCAATGTGCGTACGGAGAGCTGGGGCGATGTGTAGTATTCCGTTCGGATATGAGGTCTAGTTAGCTTCTACTATCAAGGAGCGAGCCTTGTGCAGAGATCCTTTTCCCACGGCATACAGTATGTACCAGTACTAGCGTGGGTTGCGATCACTCTGCGATCACTGGCCCGTATGGAAAGACGGGTTGTTCTGAGTGAATCTTGCCCGGATGGGACAGGTGGAAAATTGATATGGCCTGGAGATCTGTCAGCAATACTAGGTACGTCGTCAAACCACTGATGAGTACTGATCATGCCACTCCCCGTAAGCATTCTCGTGGGACAGACCATCGTTTTTGTACACGAGGCTCTAGCTGGCGTAGCTCCCTCCAGCCATGGGCGGAGAAGAAGATACCGTGTAGGAGGTGGAGTTACGGCCGGTGGAGGCTTTTCGAAGAAGAATTGGTCTGATGATGGTCCTCTGAAGGCCGGAGCCTATTTCGGGCCTCCTTCCACCCTTACGGCGCTATGGAGTAGTAAGTGCCCCGATTTGAACTTGGCGGAGAACAACTCCGTGTCTGGAATGCTTCTTCGGTGGTGTGCCGATGCCTGTGAGGCCAGTATCTCCCTGGTTTTACAAAGGCTCAGGCCCTTAAAGTCTGTGGGCTCCGTCGTGTCAGTGTCCAGATTTGAGCGCAGTCTTTCTTTAAAGCAGCCTGATCGACAATATGGCAGTTACATTGTCAGAATGTCGACCTCAAAATCATCGAGAAGAATCAAGACATCGGAGGGACGTGGCTGGAGAACAGATATCCCAATTGTGCCTGCGATATCCCTAGCCATGCGTACTCCTTCAAGTGGGCTCTCAACCCGGAATGGCCGAGGTTTTTCAGCAAGTCCGAGGACATCTGGCAATACTTGGACAAGATATGCAAGGTATTCAGCCTTCGACGGTACATGACCTTCAACGCGAGTGTTGTTGAGTGCCGATGGAAACCTCAACAGGGAAAATGGAGTGTCAAGTACGAACAAATCATTAATGGGGAGACGCTGGCTTTTGAGGAAACCTGCGACATTTTGCTCCATTTGACTGGAGTATTGAACAAGCCAGCCTGGCCGTCAGTGGACGGCCTGGATGTATTCAAGGGAAAAGTCTGTGAGAACCGTGCCGGAGCAAATCATCTCAAATAGCAGGGACACTGATCTCTTCATCAGGTGATCCACACTGCATCGTGGCCGAAGGGCTACAACCAAGCCCAATGGCAGAAGGAAAAGGTTGCTGTGATCGGTAGTGGAGCATCCTCAATCCAGACCGTGCCTGGGATGCAGGTGAGTGAGGCCTCGAAGTTCGAAGTTCAGATTTGGATGCTGACCTACATTGTGTGCCAGCCATTTGTGCGACACATGGACATCTTTGTCCGTACTGCGGTTTGGTTTGTCCAAATTGCCCGAAACTACGGCCAGAATTATGAATACTCTCAGCACGATAAATCCACCTTTCGAAAAGACAAACGGCGTATCGTTGAGCATGCCAAAGATCTCGAAGACCAAGTCAACGGGATTTTTGATGGATTCTTCCGTGACTCGGACGCCCAAAAAGACCTACGCGACACTTACACGGCGCGGATGACCAGCATGATCAAAGATGAGAAGTTGAGGAAAGGCTTCACGCCCAAGTTCGCGGTCGGTTGTCGCAGAGTCACCCCAGGGTATGTGATGCGCGATGTGAAAAGATGGAGATTATGTGACTGACCTGCAGGGCAGTGATCCGTATATAGAAGCGGTCCAACAACCCAATGTCTCTGTCCATTTCACGGATATGCAGAGATTGACCGAGAACGGAGTCGTCGGGATGGACGGTATCGAACGCCAGGTTGACACGGTCATCTGTGCAACAGGTCATATATATCTTCGTGTTAGCCGTGTTGTGCCAGCGCTGACGACCCTTTTAGGCTTCGATGTCTCTTTTCGACCTGTTTTCCCGGTCATCGGCGAGCATGGTGTCGACCTGGCCGCAAAGTGGAAGAAGATACCCGAATGCTATTTGGGTATCACCATACCTGGCTTCCCGAACTTGGCGACCTTTATCGGTCCGACATGGCCAATCTCGAACGGGTCTTGTTTGGGACCTCTGGATGCTGTTGGCAACTACGCCATCCAGATGATTTAGAAACTTCAGGCCGTTCCTTCGATACAGTCATTTTCCCCACGGCAAGACCTGACAAACGCATTTAACAATCACGTTCAAGAATGGATCAAGCACACGGTTTGGGCTGATAGCTGCAGAAGCTGGTATCGTAACAACGAGACAGGTCGCGTTAACGCAGTGTGGCCTGGTTCCAGCCTCCATTACATCGAGGCCATAAAGAATGTACGCTGGGAAGACTACGACATCACGTACAAACAATTCAGAGAAGGCGCACCCGAAAATCCCTTCAGCTGGCTGGGCATGGGCTATGCTGAGGCGAACCGCACAGAAGGCGCTGATAGAAGTCCCTACTTTAGTGAAGACGCGATTGATGAACGGTGGTGGCAAGCGGTCGCTGGAGGAGAGCATGGCTCGAAGGGGGCTTAGCATCTAACATCAACACTGCTACACAAACACATGTCGTTTCCGCACGTCTATAGCTATGATAGAGTCTCTTACAATTTGTTCTCATGTCTTGATTATGGTGTCTACTGTGTGGTTAATGCTCCACGATCGGATACCATCTATTACCGCTGAGTCAGATCTCCAGGGGCTGTTCATTGTTCCACTAAGTCTAGAAGCTTGGTCTCAAGAGTCCTGGCCGTAGATTAGGGTGTTCTACTCACTGCAATGCTCGAGACATGTAGAGCCTAGTTCAGGGTCTCACCTTTGAATGATCGGGCCTACTTCTACCGGAAGTACAGACACCAAGATTCCGCCTGCGAGCGTGATTTGTCATCATGCCTGTCTGTTGAGTTAGGTAAAGACAGAGCGGCCAAGATAGTCCCCAAGCTGAGCGTGAATGAAGCGGCCGGGGAAGATGGAAGTCTAGGCCCAACGTCCCTACTAGTATTCGTGGCCATCAGGCGGAGAGACGCTCTCCGCAGTGCCATATTACCCTTTCGGCGATCCACAATCAACAATCATTCGGACCATGTCCTTCGAGGACTTGGTTTTGAGGGTCCCGAGACCGAAACGCTTGTCGAAATGGAGGTCCCTCGACCGAACGACATAGCCCCCAATTATGGTTACATGTGTCAGGTTGCAGAGCATGGATGAGCTCGGCCGGCCTTCGTAAGTTTCCTTAGGGCAGGTATAAGACACCATAGAGTATTGGGATAGCAGCTGCACCGCAAGGACATCTAAAACGTTTGATGATATAGAGATTGGCGCAGGAAGAAAAAGCATGCTCAACATTGATCTCGGTCCGAGGATGATACTTGCAGCTGCAGCTGTTGTCTTGACCGCGAGCTCGGCCGGGCTTCTATTCTATTTTGTACTATGGCCAGTCCTCGACTACTTCCTCGACAAGAAGGGCCTCCGCAAGTACCCGGTATGAACTTTGCCTGTGGTATCACAAATCTAGGCTTTGTCTGGGAGGCGTTCTGTGGACAGCGAACTTGGAGACTCCATCAAATGCTCCAGACACAGCCCATCATCAGGCTCGGTCCACGTTCACTCTGCTTCGGCGATGCCAGCACCGTCAAAGATATCTACGGCCATTCGACATTGTGCAGGAAAGACGATCTGTACAGAGTTACACAGGGAGCAGCACCGCACATATTGGATGTGGTGGAGAGGGACGAGCACTCCAGAAAGAGATGGCTTGTTGCAAACGCCTACGCCAGCCGGAATGTGGAGACATGGGAATACAAAGTCGCAGACAAGGTTTTCAGGCTCATCACACGCTTCGACGAGCTCTGCGACAGCCGGGAGACAGTGGATTTCCGCAAGTGGACCAACCTCTTCACCGTTGAAGCCATCGCAGACATCGGACCCGGTCACAAGTTCGGCTTTCTCGAGAGCGGCAACGACCTGGTGACAGTCCGGCAATCAGACGGGTCCATCTGCGAGTACAGCTTCATACAGAGCCTCCACGGAAGCAATGCTGCATCGTCCAAGGTGGCATGGGAAACCGAATGGTTTTCGCCCCTTGTTAAGCTCTGCAAAACCTTCATCCCGTCATTTCGAACGCAGGCACAAGGCGGAGAGAAGTTTGGTCGGATCGTGAAGTTTCTGCTTCAGAAACGACTAGCACGAGGCGCGCTGGATGGTGAAAAGATTGACGACTTCTTTCAATGAGCTTGTGGTCGATCGGACAGGAGCACATCGAAATGTGGACGCTTCCGAGCTCGAGGCCGAGACCACATTGATGAGTATGTGGCGATTCCCATCCGTTTGCCCCCCTCGAGAATACCGTAAGAAACCGCTGACAATGTACTCTTTTCCAGTGAACGCTGGAAGCGACACCACTGCCATTCAGTTAACCAACGTCATGTATCAACTGTTGAAGAACCCATCGAAGCTCGCAACATTGCGCAAAGAGCTGGACGCCGCCTTGAAAGATCAGGGCCAGGATCAGGATCAGCCCGTCGTTGTACCATACGCAGAGGTGAAAGCACTACCCTACCTTCAAGCTTGCCTTGACGAAGCCCTGCGGATCACGCCTCCCGTCGCATTCGGTCTACCACGTCGAACACCGCCGCAAGGCGCCATGATCGGAGGTACATGGGTTCCGGGAGACGTCACGGTGTGCATTCCAGCTTACACTGCCCACCGTGACGAAAAGTGGTTCCCCGACCCAGAGGCTTACCAGCCAGAACGTTGGTTGAAGGAAGATTCGGCCAAGCTGCAGTCTCAGTTTATCGCATTTTCGGCTGGTGCACGTGGATGCCTGGGGAGGAATATCTCCTACCTGGAGCAGACGGTCTTGTTCGCTTCGCTTTTGCGCCGATACAACTTCTCGTTGGTCGATGAAGGTTGGTCTCCCGAGAGAAGGGAAGATTTTAATCTCTTGTCTGGGACTATGCCTGTGAGGATCAAACGACGGACTTAGTTATAAGGAGTTTTTTTGGATAGTCGAAAAAACCGCGAGATACTAGAATGTTGGTTCCATATAGGAACATGATCTCGGAGAGCATGTGAATAATTAGCTCTCTAACATCCAAATAGTCTGCTGGGATTCGAGGTAGGTTCGATGGAGCGGGAGTATAGTCCAACCCCCTATTTTCTCAGCCTCGGCGGTTCTATTACGATAAGCACCAGCTTGACTGCGAGACTTGAAAAGCTTTAGGACTTCCAGGGGCAAAACTTTACGTGTACTACTTAAGACCTAAGGGGATTCCCCTCCACGTTGAAGACGTAACACCTGACTGACTGATGAACTGCGAGCTGTGGAAGATCGACTACCAATCACACAAAGCAGTTCGTTTAAAGAGAACAATCTTCTTCACTTGTCAACTCTGCATAAGTCTCACATACAAGCCCCTTCTGAGCCTTCCACCAGTCCACTTTAGATATGCTTATGTCCGCAACAATCTTTTCTTCACGGCATCAACAGCCGACACAACTCTGCATTCCACCTCCAAGGCCACCCATGTTTGTATTCACTCCCGTCAGGTTGTTGTATCCCTCAGTCACACGTTGCATTTCTGACTTTTACTTCTCAACATCTGCGTGATGGCGGCGCCGAAGAATACTTTGAGCAAGATCCAAATCCGTCGCCCTGTGGCCGTCAAAAGTGTAGAGACTTGGGCATGTCCGTCCCGCTCGGCGAAAGATGTACGTCTTGAACCACCAGGGAAGCACCTTGGAACATTGATAGCAGATGAACCGAATGCTTGTTCCAGCTCTTCCAGCGTGCGATTCTGGATTTTATCGAGTCAGGAATGATAACCCATCGAAAAGCATTGACCATAAAACGAGGGCTCCAAAGCCTACCTTTGTCTCGGGAACGAACAGAAAAATCAGCACCAGCGCGACCAAGTTCAGGCCAGCAAAAAAAAGAAAGGCTCCCTGTGGCGTGAATGCTGCAAGCAGACGTGGGAAGCAAACTGACAGTATTGTCGCCCAGAACATGGTCGTAGCCATTGCAAAAGCCATTCCGACCTCTATCGATGAACAAGTCAGCTCAGAGAAGCCATCATGAGGCCGGGGGAAGCATTTAGGGAGTGAAGAGTGAAGAGCTTACCCCGGTGCGAAAGTGGGAACACCTCCGCTGCATAGGTAAATGGCACGGGCCCTTCGCCCAAGGCATAGACCGCTGTGAAGAGGTAGACAAAGAATACTATCAACCCAAGGTGAGCCCGGCTTTCCGAGGGAATCCAGAAGCAACAGCCGGTGGCAAGAAGAGTCCAGAATGTGTGAGGGAATGTCGCCAACAGAAGCGACCGGCGCCAAAGGAGTCAATGTTGAACACTGTAACCCATGCAAACAAAAAGGCGATGAGCCCAAACCCACACGTAGCTGCCAGTGCGACCTTGATCGAAGATCCCGCCTCCACGAAGATCGTACCGCTGTGGAACGCGACCATGTTGATACCGCAAATCTGTTGCGCGAACTAGGGTCAACAGGTCAGCTGAAGTCCCAATCGGAGAGTGATTTTGCCAAAAGGGTGCTGCAAACTCACCATCACAACAAAGGCACCAGTTGTAGCGCGACGGACTCGAGGCACGGTAAAAAGCTGGGCAAAACGAGTGAAGTAGTTCCCATCTTGCCGGACTAGGGCTCGCTCAACCTCGAGCTGTGCATAGGTGTAGTAGAGGTCTCGGGCAGCCTGTAATTCGGTGTTGCGGAGCCGCAACATAGACTTGAATGCCTTGTCAACACGGCCCTCCTTGAGGTACCAGCGAGGACTATGAGCCATTCAATACAGTGATCAGCCAGTGTCACTCAGTCGAAGCGAAGAATGACTTCAAAAAGGGGCTCACCTTTCCGGACAGAAGTATATCCCAATGGCCAGTGGAACTGTGGGTACGAAATCCGAGCCCAGCTGCAGCCGCCATGATATATTCCCCGTGTCTTTCACGGCCAGATTTGCGCATGTTCCAAGAAAGATCCCAAAACAATTCCAAACGAACCAGGAGCTGGCAAGGCTGCCTCGGATAGAGGTTGGACTGTTCTCCGCACAGAAGACCGAAGTGATGGATCCTTTCAAGCCCATGCCGATGCCCAGCAGCAGACGAGTCACGAGAAGCTGAACCCAGGTCTGGGAAAGGGCGGAGCCGATGGCAGGTAGGCAGCAGAAGATTGCGGTGATGAATATCGCACCGCGACGGCCGAAGTAGCTGTTGAGTGGATCACTTACCCAGCAGCCTCTGAGAAGAAATATAATCAGCATGGACATAGAAAAGCCAGAGGATATAGCCTGGGCGCACATGAAAGCCGCTCCTATATATGGAGCAGCATTGATGACCCCCTGGATCCTTTGATTCCTCGCTGCGTTTGGATTTGGCAAGTCCGAATCTGGCACTGTAGGACCAACAGGAATCCCCAACGCATCCGGAAATGAGAGGTTGGCTCCATTGGGACCTGTCTGGTCCCAGCCTCTGCGCCGTTTTTCAGTATGCCTGGCATCGGAAAGGAAGGATTCATAGTTTCTATCAAACTTACTGCACCGCGGCTCCAATCGAACAGACAGCAATACTCAAGTACAGTCCTGCAGGTTGACGCCATTTGTGAGGCACCTCGTTCCGGATCGCTTCGGTCTCTCGCGCAGTTAAATTGGGGACCTCAGTAAACACAGGTGGATCTCTTGCGATAAGTGCACCCTTGATCAGTATAGGAGTGATGGAAGTCAATCCGTGAGTGGATGCGAATACCTCGACATCGCGAGAGACCTGGTCAACAGAACGATGCGCCAGCGGGTTTTGGATTCTGTCACTGTTCTCAACATGACGCCTTGTCGACAAGGGGGATTGTACAGAAGTGGATTGACTTACAGACTCTCAATACCGTCTGCTCGACCGCTCACAGTCTCGTCCATGTGCTCTGATCCGATCTCGACGTGATCCAGTCCACTACCTAAGATCAGCTCTTCAACCCCCAAGAGATCTTGCGGGGAGCAAAACTCACCCTTTCTCTACAACACTACCTGCAAGCTCGTTTCTTCCGATTTTGTCCGCCATCACAGGTTCTTCCCCTCAAGTCACGATCCGACCTGGGATACTATTCAATAAGAGGAGAATGGAAAGGTTGTATCACCATTCATGAAGGTGCTCGCCTCGACACTTTATACCTCCTCACACAATTACGAACCACAGGATTCGAGACTCCTAGAAATGAATACTCTAAACTCCATACTCTGATCCCGGACCCTCTTCTCCACATGGAAATGTACCTGTAGACAATTGTTTTCCTGGCCGGAGTCTGGGGTCGGATAGCCGCACATGCCAGGCGACCGCTCGGAGAGGGGCCAGCGAAACCATTCCAGCCACAAACTTTAGCAGCAGCCGATTGATAGAGGTGAGAGACACCTAAAGGTACAAGCCCACAAGTTAGGTCTGGGGCCATACTGGATGGAGTACGTAGGTCCGATGCTCGCTCTCTTTTGCGATTGGCTCGCAAACGACCACCCGCAAACGCAACTTGAAGATGAGGATGTGATAGTGGAAAAGGCGCTGACGACTGACAGTTTCCATTTCATAAAACCCGACGAAATTGAAGCTTGTGCTCCCTCGGAGTTGGTTCCAAGCCTTTTAGGCCAGCATATTGTATAGAGATTGAGTAAGTAGTAATGGCGAACCAATAAAGTGACTAAGACGTATTGTCCGTGGAGTTGAGTTAGCTCTTCGAGCGAGAGAAAGCACATCGGTCAAGGTTTCTATTTTCCGACCAGCCGGAAGTCCTTCTATCGCAACCCTTAGAGCTCGTATACCAATTTTTGTCCACTAACCGCATCTTCCTTCAGTAGCTCAAGGCCCTTCAAGACCCCTTCTAATCCTCCCTGCCCGATCTTTGGTGTATGTGGTTGGATCCGACCCTCTTGTATAAGCCGCTCTGTAACAGCAACCCAACGCTTCGCGAATTCAAAATCTTTCGTGTCGCCTTCTTCCAATATGGCCCAGCCTTTGTCGTACGGGTCCCCAAAGGCAGTGTATGCCAGAGTATGAGTGACCTTCACATCCTTGCGTGGAAAGTCGACGGGCAGAAGGCATCCGTATCGGACATCATTGTCTCCAGAAGTGAGGGCGTCGGCACATAACTGCGCGCTCGACTCGCTTGAGATGCAGTCCCACGCATAGTGAAGTGACCCGTTGGTATACTTGGAGATCTGTTGTGCACAATCCGTGTCGTGATAGTCAAATGCAGCTTTTGCACCGATGGAAGTGACATAGTCAAAGTTATGCTTCGAACATGTAGTGATCGGTAAGTATGTGACCTATTGCGTGCGTGTTAGAAGAGTGGTTCATAAGCATGTGCTTCGTTACAGGGGCTCGTACTCTCGCAAGAGCTGGATTCCCAAAGCACCCGAAGCTGGAAAAGAAGGTCAGCATTCACATCATTGTCACACAAAGTAGTGCCACGGAGCCGAACCTGTAGACCCGCCGTACACGAGCACGTATTTTCCAAGGGAACTGTGGTCATGCTTGTTGCCTTCTTGACTGCTTGGCCAGGACAACTGCATCGCCTGATACAGTCCTTGCCCTGCAGTGATCATGCCGAGTCCCAAGGTTGCTGCCCGAGAAAAGCTCCCATCCGCCGGGATTTTGATCTGGACGTCGGCCTTCACAACGATATACTCGGCAAACGCACCGTCCTCTGCTTGCGACCGGTTCGACCCATGAGTCATCCCACAGATGCGGTCTCCTCTCTTCCATTGCTTCGTATATCCTGACCCGGTCCGCGCAACGGTGCCGGCATAATCGCACCCACATAGTGCACCCGGTATGTTGTGGAATTCTATATGCTTCCAGTCGGTAGGATTCAACGCCACGGCTTCGACCTTAACGAGTATGTAGCCAGGCCGAAGTGCAGGAAGCGGTCGATCGTTCACGAGCGCAGCCTTTGGTGCCGCCTACCATTACAATCGCCTTCATAATGGACAATTTTGACAAAGTGGCCTATGCTGAATCAGCAGTGTATGTAAGAGAAAGGGCACACTGACTTTGCATCAGGTACTATATGTTCAAATAATGACAAAGTTGGTTGTGGATTTGGTCCATTTTCCAGCAGAATTGTCTATCACATTGAGTAACTGTAGGCTCGTGGAAACTTGGCCCGTTGATGCCCAGATTTATCAGCACAGCTTCTGCAATTACCCGTCGTCGCTCTGCCACATGAAGATCCAGTGCGAAAGATCGAGTGTTGGGCGGTGCACTAGCCGTCATTAAGACATCTCTCCGTAAATTACAGCGACTGTGCGGGCCGAGAGAATCGATTGTCGAGACCAGGAACTGCGATTCATGCAGCATCTTTTTGATGAGGGCGGATCACCGAGCTCCTTGCGGTTTACTCGCAGCAAAGGTCCCACGCCCGAAGGACAAAGCACTGTCCGGCTCGCCGTCCGCCACGGAATAGGGCTTTGAAACGTCATCATGACTTCCCATTGTCTGCTAAGGTGAATGCTCTGTAGACCTAGGACTTCGGACATTGATCCACGAAGCCTGTATCCAGCTCAATGGACATAACGGAGCCTCATGATACAAGATCCCAGGACGTCTCCGGCCAGAAATCTTGCAGCCATGGATCCATTTGATTTTCTAGAGGTCCCCTCCACACATGCCGGAATGCCTCGCTATCGAATGTTGTACCAGTCTCCCCCTGGTTGTTCGGTGAGTGCCCCATCAAGACCTGGTTGATAATGTCCAGCATTGTCGTCGCACGTGGATGCTGGTTCGTCAGACCCTCGAGCAAAACTTTGATTACCTCAATATCGGAGAGCAACGTTGCCCTGTAGTCCTTCAAGGAATCGAGGTTTGTCTGGAGAGCAAGTATCGAGACCAAAGCACCTTGAATCAGACAATATCTAAATACAACAAACTTAGCAAAGTGCCTTCAACAACACAGGGCTTTCCTTTCCACTTACTGTGCGTACCAATCTCTCAGGGGGTTGGAGGGCTCCATCGTGAAAAAGTTGTGGATGGAAGTGATGCTCGCATGTGCGTGATCTATAAACACACGAATTGCTTGCTGGTGATCGGCATCCGGTAGTTCCACAGTTGTTTCTGTGTGTCTTCGAGCCAGTTTGAGGAGGATAGGAAAGAACAACACAATCTTCAAGCACCTGATCCTCCAGAAAAGGTGGTAGGGGGCAAACTTCAACCACGAGAAGGCCGTCTGAGGAGGAATCGCCTCCTGCAGATGCGGTGGTAGAGCCTGTGCCCAAGTGGTGACCTTGGAGTCGAAAGTGAGAAGCTCCTTGACTGGTACCTCCGGGTTGTTGACGTAGCGATTGTACGTGTTGTTAATCATCAAATGGAATTGGACTTGAGCCAGCAGATTGGAGTATATTGTGAGTCCTGGAAACTCTTCGGAGAGTACGATTGTTCTTGTAGATAGCGCCTAGAGGTTTCTTTTAGCACCGAAACCGAACCTTCGCCAAAAAAGTGATAGACATACCTGTTCTGGGATGTTCAAGGGTGGCTTTACGTCCATTGCACCAGCATGCGGCAGGGGAATTGGCCTACCCATGGCAATAGACTGGCCGCTGTCCAGGACGAAGAGACACCACCAGACTCTTCGCCGCATCTCACGATCCAGCAATGAGATGTTCCAGTCCGGAAACTCGCGATGGAGTCCCAGACTCATGCCCATCTTGACCGCGGCGGCAAGGTATATGGAGGTCGTGTTCGGTTTATTCTGCTTATGCAGATAGCAACCCAGCAACGTCAAGGCTTGAACCATGTGGATAGAACCGGATCTTAGGAGATCTATGCTCTGGAAGAGGTCAAGACAATCCGAAGTTCCACTGCCACGCCCAGTCGAGATTCTGCACCCTGTACACCAGGCACCAATGGCAAACACGGTTCTTATAAGTAAAGACCAGGCCTCCTCAGGGGGTCTTGGAAGAACCTCAGCGTATTGCGCACGAAAGGTTGCCTCATGAAGTATGGGATACGCCGTGTGGAAGTGGTGAAAGTAGCCATCCATGAGAAGGTCGGACAACCCACCCGGAAACGAGGGTTTCTCCAGTTCTTCCCAGGGGATCTCATTTGAACAGTCCCTTGCCAATTGTGGATGGGATGCCGACACCGGGACGTGCCTCGAAAGCTGGCCGCTCTTGTGCAACATACGGAATAGTGCGACATTTGTGAGTTTCCCTGTAACGGCCTCATCAGTTTGGCGATTTGTGACTTCAATGACCGTGTCCTTACCTAAATAGCCGACGCCCTCTGTGTCAACTGCGATGATGCCCATCCCGTCGACCTGTTCCGACAGATTGTAGCCTTCTTTGCCCCAGTCAAAGCCGCTTGATCCGCTCGGCAGAGGCTCCGGCGTTGGATCCCTGGCTGCTGTAATACTGGAGTGACTTTGCGACCTTGGGTCATCCTTTTCTTCACTCGAAAATACGAACGAAGAAAACTGTGTTTGAGAAGCGTGATCATCGTTGGTGCCATCATTGATGGCTTCAAGGTCGATTTCCGGGTTCATAGTAAGCAATCTCCGCTCCAAGCTCTTCACTCTTCTCTCGAGGCCTGCGACATAACTGTGCGTTATATCGTGTTAGATTTTGATCTATGAATTCAAATTCCAGAGCTTGGGAATTCGGTGACGTACGCTTTCGTGAGCGGAGTGCGATTTCGTTTGGAGTAAGCGCATATTTTCTGGTGTTTCGTGCAGAAGTCACATTTAGGCCGTGATCGAGAGCACTAGGCTTGGTGAGCATGTGATCCTGCAAGAATACCCATACGTACGCCTATCTTTCTTGCTCTGCACTCGTCGCACTGTGGTAGATAGACGTGATTAGCCCCCTTGGTCGGTCCATGAGAAGGTACGCAGCATCTTTGGCGACTCACTGCAGGTTTTCCATGGCCGCGATCAGCTCGGCTCGCTGGAGGTCGGAAGAAATGATTCAATAAAGAACTGCGACAACACCCGGGTTATGGGAGTGGAATTTGAAGCAAAGAAACACTCCGAGTCGAACAATCTGGATCGAGAACTTTATCGATGTGAAAGACCTACACAGGACCGCCTGGCACAGTCCTCCTTTGTGACTCAGTCCCAATTCTTACCGGGAGACCAACGTTGAAGGCGGAAGATGGCGGGGAAGTGGAGGAGTAGCTGGAGTAGCCAAGGGGTTACGAGGGATTATGCTTCCTTCACAGGCTAGTGACGCTGTAGTTTGAGAGCTGACGGGCCTTCTCTGGCCGATATCCTCGCAGACTGTCCGCACTCCTTTTGGCTAAACACATTGTCGATTTCTAAGAAGTATACGCCGGAGACTGATAAATATTACTACAGATGAGTCTCCCTGATCTCTACCACTTTAATTGTGATTTTGTTATACAGTTTTGTTGTGGAGAATCCATTCGAAACCCTTGGTTGGTTGCCATCATGTCCGCCTACAGTCAGCTTCCCCATCCTCCCTCCTTTGAAATGTCCAAGTTCACTCTTGAGACGCCGCAAAAAGACCAGGAATATCTTGTTGAGCTGCTGCGACTTTCCAAGCTTGGGCCCAAGACGTATGAAAATATGCGCTCGGATGGAAAGTATGGTGTCACATATGAGTGGATGGCCGAGGCAAAGGAGTACTGGGAGAACCAATTTAGCTGGTAAGAGAGTTCATCGAGTTATCCATTGCATTGCAGTCCCGACAGCCTTGCTAGCCGACGCTTCAGCTACTGATTGTCGTACAGGCCTGCAGTCGAAACGCACATTAACGGATTTCCCAACTTCATGGCACAGGTTTCGGATGATGATGGCAAACTATACCCCATCCATTTTGTCGGCCTTTTCTCCCGAAAACGGGGTGCAATTCCCTTGATGTGCATTCACGGCTGGCCCGGTAAGCTGCGAGGGGGTTGTCTATCGAAAGCCGAAGCTGATCTGTGATCTTTTCCTTGTTCAGGCAGTTTCCTGGAATTTCTGGGCGTCCTGACGGCGCTTCAAAACAAGTATACTCCTGATGAACTGCCCTATCATGTCGTTGTGCCCTCACTACCGGGATATGCGTTCTCGGCAACACCGCCTCTCGATAAAGACTGGGTACTAGAGGACTCGGCACGCTTGATGCATAAACTCATGCACGGCCTCGGGTTCGGCGCGGGCTATTGCTTGCAAGGGGGAGATATTGGCAGCTATGCAGCTCGGATAATGGCCACCCTCTACGATTCTTGTAAAGGTGAGGATTTTAATCGCTTCTCTCTCCTGCTAAGTAAAGCTACTGACAGCTTGAGGGTAGCTCTGCATCGTAAGTAATCAGACACGCCCCCAAAATGGCAAGATGACTCGGGACCACTTACAAGACACTTGCAGTCAATTTCTGCATCATGACTTCCCCAGACGAGATGGTGCATGGCAGGCTGCCGATCGAAAGCTTCGAAAGGGAAAGTCTGAAGCGAGCTGATGATTTTGCCAAGTTCGGGACAGCATATGCCTTGGAGCATTCCACGCGGCCCGCTACTATCGGCTTTGCTTTGTCGTCCAGCCCACTGGCTTTACTCGCATGGTGTGCTCTACACCGGGCTCTTAGCAGGTCATTCAAGTCCTAACCATTGTGCAGGATTGGAGAGAAATATCTCAAATGGACCGACAAGACGCCTTCTCTGGATGAAATATTGGCTTCGGTGACGCTGTATTGGCTGACCGAGACCTTCCCACGCGCAATCTACCCCTATCGGCAAGTATGCTACGGTCTTACCCCTTCCAAACTGATACCTGCTGATGGCCTGACCAAAGGAACTTATTGAGAGCCCACAGCAGGAGTGGACCGAAGACGACAGCCGCAAAGTCTTCAACCAAGGGCCTCATCGCTACATGCTCCACCCCGACCCGAAGTATTACTGCCACAAACCGTTGGGCTATTCCTGGTTCCCAAAGGAGATCGCACCGGTCCCCAGAAGCTGGGCGGCGACCACTGGAAATATGGTTTGGTTCAAGAGTCACAACGAGGTAAGTGGAGTTTCTCGACCTTGTGAAGAGATCGAGGCATAACTGGACCCAACATAGGGAGGGCACTTTGCTGCGATGGAGCAACCAGATGCTTTGCTCGCGGATGTTGAGGATTTTCTAAGTCAAGTGTGGACCCGAGGAGGATCTTGATTTTCTGTCTACGAGAAAGTCGGGATGAGTTGAGAGAGTCTTGAGTCCATGGACTCAGATTGTATGTAGTCCACCTGGTACAATTAGCTCATAGCATTGACGGACAGCCGGAAAACTCACCGTCGATCACAAGATCCGCCCCTGTAATATAGCTCGAGGCTGGGCTACACAGCATGACAACCGCGCCCATGAGCTCCGAAGGCTGACCCATTCGACCCATGGGAGTGCGCGAGAGCCAAGTCGCCTTGATTTGGTCCATCGCAGGACCGTGATTGAGAATGGTGTCCATATAGCCAGGACTGATACAGTTCACCCTGATGCCATGCACTGCCCATTCCGCGGCGAGGGACTTTGTCATGTGAATGACTGCAGCTTTCGACATGCCATACGCTGCTTGGGGTTGAGGATAAACCACGAGATGGCCCGAGACGGAGGCCACGAAGAGGATGCTACCGCCACTCTTCTGCTCCACCATGATCCTGTAGGGAGAGAAGGTTAGAAAACCCTGGCTGCCTTGTATCACCTCCTGACAGGCTTACCTAGCTGCAGCTTGTGCGCTCAAGAATGATCCGGTCGTGTTCACATCGATGGTCCGCCGGAACAGTTGGGGGGATATATCAAGTCATGGTTCCGTGCAGACAACGCCAGCGAAGCACAGCACGATATCAATGGAGCCAAGCTCTGTGCGTGCTTCAGACATGATAGTGGCAACATTGTCGGCATTTGTAACATCGATTGCCTTTGTGATGACTTTGGCGAGAGGGAATTCCTGGAACATCTGGCAGGCCTGGGCTTGGGCGACAGACGGGTCAAGATCCAGAAGCGCAATGCCGGAACATCCTTGCTCTAATAACGCTCGAGCTGCTTGCAGTCCAAGTCCACCACAGCCACCGGTAACTTTGAATGTGTCAGTTCCCGCGATAAGTATGGCAGGGTAGGCCTATTATGGGAACATTGGATCGGACGAACCAACTGCATTCCCCGTGATTGAGAACACATCTCCTCTTACTCGTCCACTCGTGGCTGTTTTCGGTGGCGGAATCAGAGAAGAGATCGATCCATCGGAGAACACCATCTGAGGAATGGTACTGCGTTCCAGCAGGGCGGAACGGTCAGCCATGTGTTGTACACCGATCACTGGTTGTATCGCTGATGTAGCCATGGTATTGGCGTAATGATATTCCGTGAGAATTCGAGGAGTTCAGAGCCTGAGAGATCTTGAGCCTTTTATGAATCGATGCCGTCCCTCGAGTATACGCAACCAAGTGCAGATATTCAGATTTTAGCGAATGTCCTATTGTTCATTTGGGCAATCACATAGCATCCCAAATCATTATATAGTGCGTAGCCCGCGGCTGCATGGCAAAGAACAAAAGGGGAACCGTCTACCGACGCCAAAGAGTCGGGCCACGTTACGCCGCCTACGACGCTACGATACTCCAACATATCCTCCATGGCAGCCTGAATGGCACGATAGCAGCCATCTTGTTCATACTCACGGAGGCGACAGCTATGTAGCATTTTGAGTCGCAGCAGCCATCGTCCGAATCGACGCCGTCAGAACGGCGCTCTGCAGACTCTTCCACGGCTCTTCTTCATGATCATCCAGCTGAGCGTCCATGTACCCGTGTGCCGTCACCGAGCGAGGCAGTATGGCAAGAGATCGCCCTACAGTAGGTGATCGTCATCAGCATTTCGTAAAGTCTCAGTGATAAAGGCTAGCCCCCTTACCGTTGATGTCCTTGTCACAAGCAATTCGCAGCACAGCAGTTGTACAATCTGCAACTTCTGCAAACTCGATTCCCCTGGAGACCAATCTCTCCAAGACATGGGGCTTCAGGATCGTCGTTTTGGTATACCTTGGGCAGATATCAGCATATTTGCCCATTTTTCTCCCTCCTCGGAGGCGGGTATCATGATCATATATACCAAGGAGCAATGTAATTCACCCTGATTCCTGCCTGCCACGATGTCCATCTCGCACTCCTCATCAACCCCCTCAGCGCGAATTTCGAGGCCGAGTACTGGAACGAGCCAGGTTGGTCCAGAAGCCCGGCCACACTGCCCTTGAAAATGAAGCAGCGGTCTCGCTCCGGTCCTTCGGGCTGCACACGAAGATAGTGCTGGCCCAGCTTGAATGTGTAGAATGCACCGGTCAGGTTGAGTTGAAGGATTGGCAGGGACGGCTTGGTAGGTTCGGAAGCGGGATCTGGGGCTCACCCAAAATATGTCAATGTCGCTGGCCTTCCATCGCCCTCCCCGGGCATCACACAGTTAAACTAGGGTAGGCTGCTTACCGCCAAGCTCAAAAATCTCATCTGGTCCCGAGATGCCTGCGTTGGCGACGACAATGTCACAGCTTTTCGCGGGCGAGTGGGCGATGGCTTGCTTGAACATGTTCAGCTGGTCATCCCAGGACGTGGCATCGCACTTGATGAATTGGACGTTCCTCCTTCGAGTCAGCAGTCGTGTCGTGGTGCTGTCTCTATCATCTTGTCCACTTACGGACCAAGTTCATCAGCAAGGCTCTTTCCTCTGACTTCATCGATGTCGCCGAAGGTTACGAATGATCTGCCACACGGGTTGCCCGTCCGTCAGCGAATGAATGGGGAGGATAGACGACTATCACGACCGCGATAACTCACCCCGCGGCAGCAAATGCGCGGACATGACTCTCGCCAAAGCCGTTTGCACCTGATCGAGTATCCCGTCAGAAGGACCGCTTTGATACTGACGAAGTAGTAGATTCGATACCTACCTCCTGTAACAACCACGCTTTTACCCTTCAGCGTTCCCGTATCTGGCTTGACCGAGCAGTCAACTGGCCCGTTATTGGCATATGCGGGTAAAGGCATGTTTGTAAAGAGACTTCACAAGACAAGGCTAAGATCATCCGATGATTATGGACCGGCCTGACCAGGTGGAATTACTCCCAGGTTGATATAGCCATGTTGCCAGCGGGACATCTTCTCCAACAGTCCATCTCACCCGCAGGCTTCTTTGCGGGGACGCTTATTAACAACCGAGCTTACCGGTCGTAATGGTTTGTTAGTAGCTAGCGAGGCCATGATCAAGCTTCTGATGCCTCGGTTCTGGAAACAAGTGTGTGTCAGCCTGTTGATTTCTGAGTCGAGAATCGAGCTGCTGCACCGGCAGAATCCCATCGACATGGATAGATCCAGTTTGACCATTCAACCCATCTACAGACCGCTCCGAAATCTGTCCTGGACGCTTGTAGTCAGCTCATTACCGTAAACGATTCATCCCGAAACGAATGTCGTACGATTCCCGAGCTCCATCGTACGAGTTCGCATGGAAGGAGAAATTACATTGTACAAGTAAATGTCTAGCATAATGTTGAGTGGAGTCTAGCAATACCAATACCAAAGATAATATATACACCGAATAACGAAGTTCCCAGAACCGACAATGATCAGTAGATATGCCACAAGCCAGTCCTTCACACATTGTGGACGCTGCATATCTGCTGCTTCCCCTTCGGCATCCTCACCAAACCACCGTCGCCCAGGTACTCCCCTCCTACAACTTTCTCTTGCCCTTCGGCATCCTCACAAGCCAGTACAAAGTCAAAGCGGCCGCGATGTTGAACGCAATGTAGACCCACATGAGCCCAAAATTGCGCCATCGGTCCTCATAATGTGAACTGATGCCCGCCAGGTACACATTCGTCTCCTTGATCTTGCAGAACTTGCAGTCACTCGTTGTCGAAGGATCCAACAGATACCCACCGGCCCGGGTGATGTAGTCGGCCATATACTCACCGCAGGCCTGCCCGTCAGGTGGGTTCAGCGTGATGTACTCGTTGCTGGCACATGTCACGTCGACGTTCGCCAGGCCGGTTGACAAGACCGCCGAAATCCAGTACGACAGTGGGGAGACACGGTACAGGAAGACCCAGAATTCCGGCATCTGGTCTTTCGTGGCCAGGACGCCGCTGAAGAAGAAGATCAAGATGAACAGAAAGTTGGCGTTGTTGCCACCCTCGTCCGCTGTGTCGGCAAAAGATATACACATGTGTGCGAACGTGCAGGCGAAGAGCATGAACACCCAGAACAAAAGCCACATCAGCACACCCCTCTCCGTGCCTTGGCCCGCGGCATCGGCGTTCTTGTAGAAGCCCACGGGGTAGTATATGAATGCCCACGTGAAGACCGAGGCGAGTGTGTTCCAGGGGATTTCGGCCATGATCTGGCTAAGCATGAAGATTTTCCAGGAGTATGTTTTGGCAGGGCGTTCGCGAACTTCGTACAGCGAGCGCTGTGTGACGAAGTGCGGCATCTGCTGTTCGACCAGTTGCCCGAAAATACTGGATAGTTCGAAGATGGCGAACATTTGATTCTGGAGGCCTTGGATGGACAGGGGGGCGTTGACAAACACCAATCCGACGAATAAGCTGGCCGTGATGCACAGAGAGATTTTGGAGTAGATGTAGGTAGGTGTGCGCCAGTACTGTTGGAAGACCCGCTCCGTGACGACGAGGAATTGTTGCCAGAGTGGCGCAGCGAATTCGCGGTATGAGGCGAGGTCATGTTTCTCCTCTACGGATGGCCCCTCGGCACCTAGTGCGCGGAGACGAGCGAGTTCGTTCTGGACGGCCTGGTACTCGGGACTTGAACGCCAGGTGTGGTGCCAGTCGGTTTCGGAGGAACTGCCTGGTGCCGCGCCGATGGCTTCAAGCATCCATTCTGCTGGGTTGGCGCCGGGCGGGCACGGTGATGCACCATTGCGTTCGAAGTAATCGGTCAGAGTCTCGGAGTTGTCGCCAATCTCACCTGTGCAGCCGCTCAGTATTGGTCGACAACCAGGCAGACTCTTGAAGAATGGGCACGAAACGACAGAGTATGAGAGTTTGAAGGAGAAGGAGCACTTACCAAAGTAGACCGTTTGACCACCCTCCTGGAGTAGGAGCAGGCGGTCGAAGCGTTGAAACAGCATTGCCGAGGGTTGATGGATGGTACAGAGGATGGACTGGCCGACTTTGGAGAGCTTCTCCAGTAAGTCTAGGATAGCCCAGCTGGTTTGAGAGTCAAGGCCCGAGGTCGGCTCATCAACAAAAAGTAGGAGCGGCGGTTTTGCAGCCAACTCGACACCAATGGTCAAGCGCTTGCGTTGTTCGACGTTAAGACCTTCACCTAGTACGCCAACGACGGCGTCGGCATACTCTTGCATATCCAGCAGCTTGATGACTTCGTCCACGTAAGCCAACTTTTCGTCCTTCGGGATGCTGGCCGGCTGGCGAAGAAGTGCTGAGAATTTGAGTGCCTGTGGCAAAGTCAGCATTCATCAAAGTAAAATCGAAACCGGCTGCGAAAGTCTCACCTCCCGGACAGTACTAGTCTCGAGATGCAAATCTTGCTGCTGAGCATAGCCGGTTTTCCGCTGGAAGCTCTCATCACGAATCTTGCCATCTACCAACATCTCGCCTGTGAGGACACCCACTCCCGTGCGACGGTCGGCCAAACAATCAAGCAGAGTTGTCTTGCCAGCTCCGGAGACGCCCACCAAGGCAGTCAGCGTGCCCGGTTTGACCCATCCATCGACGTTGTCCAAAAGACGCCGAGTTTTCTTCTTGATCTTGATGTCGTAGCACACGTTGTTCCAATGGAAGACGCTTGTGGAGCCGCGAAAGGTTCCCTTCTCATCACCGGAGATGTGCCTATCTGCGTTTGCCACTACGGGCACAGGGCCAGAGAGCGACTTCTCGACATCATTCTTAATACCTTTAATCGATGATCCCGGAACGAAACCCCGGCGAAAGACCAGCACTTCACCCTTGGACTTCTTGGCCGTCACATACTCGCTACCGATGAAGTACACAAGGTGGTTGAATATCACCATGGCCACTATTATGCCCACGTTGCGCCATTTGTGGCTGTGCTCATATCTGTACGCCGAACTGATGTAATAGTCTCCGTTCACATAGGACTGGCCAGGATTGGCTCCAATAGCGTCGCAAGCTATGTTTTTCGCAGCAGCATCGGCATAGTCGGGAATATAGGTAGAGCAGGTAAAGTTGCGGCCGTGGAACTCGTTGATCATAAGCGATTCGTAGCCGTAAGCCACGGGATCCAGATAATTGATCCACCGACACCATCCTGGCATATAGTCGACCGGGACAACAAAACCAGTAAAAATGAGCAGGGCCAGCATTAGAACTGCGCCGGGAACCATGGCTTGCTGCTCTGTGCGTGACACTGAGGCGCTGGGAAGATGTCAGTATTGCGCAGACCCTGGCTCAGGGCCTAGACTTACACAGATCTAAAGACACCAGACATGGCCATAACAATGAGGAATGTGACAAGGAGATAGTAGAAGAAGGCTCCCGGCTCCCGATTGAGGTTGGTCATGAAGTAGAAAACAATGTTGAAGCAGATGCAGCTGACTATCTTCGCAGGCAGATCGACCAGGACGGAAGCATATGACTCAGCAGAAGGGTGGTAAAAAGCGTAGCGGGTTTGCTTTTCCACTATTGGTCGTTGAGCGTACAGCGTTAAGATTTCGAGCATGGAGGCAAAGGCGTTGAATAGGATGGCCACGAAGAGAACAACAGCGCGGCCGTAGAAGGAATTCGTGTTGGTGCTCAAGTTGAAGTACAAGGACGAGATAATCAGCGCCATCTGCACATTGTTAGAGGGAGTCCTTGCGTGTGCTCTGTGATAGGAGAACTCACGACCGTGTTTCCAATCCCCATGGTAAGTGTCAGTGAGGGATCGGCTTTGAGTCTTCGAAATCCACGCCAAATACAAAGCTGGACCTGTTGAGAGTATGTCAGGGTGTAAGGCGACTTCACTCGTTGACCCTTGGCCTGATGTGCCTTCTTGAGATGTCGAAAAGTCTCTGCGTCAGGGCCGTCAAAAGGATGCTGCTTTTTGTACTCGTCAATCTCTGAGAGCAAGGCCCTGTATTGGGGACTGTTCTTCCACGCAGTCGCAAATTCGTCTGGGGCGCGGGGTGGGTTATAGCCTGGACGGATGACGCGTTCGGCCGAGAAAGTCATGGACGTGAGAAAGTCAGGCGTAGTCTGGCGTGCAGGACACTCGAATCCGAGATCCTCGAAATACTCCTTGGCCGTTGACGCAGATCCAAAATAGATCTGACGTCCTTCATAGAGCACCGTGACTTTGTCGAATTGCTCGTAAGCAGTCTGTGGAGCTTGGTACATGGATACCACGCAGGTTTGGCCGAAAAGTTCAGACTGGAGTCTCAAGGTCTTGCAGAACTCAATGGCATTTGCAGAGTCCAGACCACGCGTCGAGCTAGAAAGTCAGTATTTGAATCCCATCTACCAAGTCACTCGACTTCCACTCACTTGTCCCAACACTGGAATGGGGCGTTGGCCAGCGTAGCCTCGGCGATGGTGACTCGTTTGCGTTCTCCTCCAGAGACCCCTCGCACATATTGATCTCCCACTTTGGTCTGCAAGGTATGTGTAATACCATACATGGCCATGACGACATCTCGAAGGTGCTCACAGTACCTGTGAAGAGTGTGGTCAGTACCCCATCCTAAGTGAGTTGGGTTCAAGGGGAGGCGTACTGGTTACGATTGATCCCTTGCGGCAGTTCTCGTTGGCATCGTGCACGCGACGCAAAAGTCAACGTCTCGCCGACGGTCAATTTCGCAAAGTGAACGTCGACTTCGGCAGTGTAGATTGCATCACCTCGGTGCGCAGTATGCATCTCTTTGGCCGACATGCCCTGATAGTTGAAGTAGGAGCCCTCGTTGACGTAGAGGCCGTTGGTCTCTCCCGTGACAGTCTTGAGGAAGGTCGAACAACCGGAGCCAGGAGGTCCCAGAACGACACACATCTCGCCAGGACGGATGAGCCCATCAAATTGACGCAGGATGTCGATACGAGTCTGGCCTGCTCTGCTGGAGAGGAGGCGGCGAGCCATACCAGGCAAGGCCAGCCAAACGTTGGCAACATCTTTCTGAAAGTCGGTTTGTGTGCCGTATCCGAAAACATTCAGGTTCTGGAAGCACAGCCCAACCCGACGGAATTTCTGGCCGCGTTCGCTGGCGACTTTAGCGACGTTGGTAGCCCAGGCACGCGCGTTGAATTTTTCGCCGCGAGGATTGAGAGGAGAATCTGGGTCGTCGCTTTCGAAGATGGCTTTGCTCTCAGGATTGTTGCCACTATCCTTGGTGTATGATCCTGCCAGCTCCTTCACGATGGAGTGCCGCGTTTCCATCGATTCCGATTCTCCCGTATCCGGTTGACCTTCATCCGTGCCTTTGCCCTGGAAGGCTCTTTCTGGCGGCCAGGGGTTGGGGTGTCCATTGACTCTGAAGTTGCCAAAAGCCGTTGACATACTGGACTGCTGGGCGGATCAGCCTGTTGACCTGATCTTGAAGTTGAGCCCACCGCAACCAGAAGTCGGACTTCTTGGGGTGGTTGGGAGCAAGCCGCGCCTGTTTAATGTAGGTACGGCAGCTGAAAGCTCAATTGGACTGTTGAAGAAACTTGCAAGGGGCATCAGAATATAATTGTCAGCGAGGGAATGTTAATATTGCAGGTTGCGACATTGTTGCTAGCACCTTATACTCGATCGGACTTGTCAAGCTCGACATCTCCGCCTACGACCGGCCACACTGCTAGTATGGGTCGCGGGTCGGACTGACTCGGCTGGACGTGCAAATTTTCTCCCAAAATCGCGGGACCGGAGGCCAAATCGAGTGTAGTTTCGGCGAGAAAGAAAATAGGCACCCATGTTGGCGATGGAAGATGCTGTGGAAGCGGGATTGATTGCCTGTTGTCAGAACAATGGCAGTGGATTAGGGCGGATTGGAACCCTAGCCGAGAAAAAGAGTATGGCCGTCCGAGGTTCCATTCTCTTATTACCATAACTGCATTCTCGATCCGCATGTGAATGTTCAGGAATCAAAGATCCGACTTGATCGCGACATGGAAGAATCCAGGTCTCTTCTAAAGCTTTTAACGTTATCCGGGCGTGCAGCCTCGTCGAACTTATCTTGTTATAGCGGCAAGTCCATATTTGAAGTTGAGCTAACTTAGTAAATCCAATCTTCTCCGCCGCTATAACTTGACAAGGCTGTACCCAAGTTGCGGGTGAGACTCCGGAGACAACAACAGCAACACTTCTTCTCCCTCTAAATCCACCAACTACGTCTTCCTCGAGGGATCATCATGACGTGAAAAGCCACTTGCCATTCATCAGGAATATCTGGTACGCCAATCCCCGAATGTCGACAAGATTTATGGAGAACGGGCATGATCCTCGCGTGTTAAAGCGGACAAAGCTTTCACCGAATATGCCGCCTACCTCCGCTACCTCATAACCAATCTTGCAACCCACGCTTTGACACTTTACGCCCGTGTCATGATATTGTCTTGTCCAGGTCGTGCACGGTCGTTGCTGTTCAATGTATCATTTGCGTCTTATATCCGCAAATTGCCGCTTGGTCCGCCCATCGCATCGCTGGCTGGAAGAAAAGCCTGCTGGCCACGCCGTTCCTCTGCTTCTTGTATTGTATCCATAGCTTACCACCGTCCGGATCCCAAATGTTTCAATACGGCCGAAAATCCGATCAGCGTCAGCGTTCCATGGAGCGACAGCCTCGCCGACGTCGCAGACCTGCCCTGTCATGCCTGGAATGCCGCCGGCGGAAGATCAAATGCGACCGGAACGAACCCTGCGCGCATTGTGTCTCGGCCAAGATCCAATGTACCTACAAGTTCTATACCGATCCTCCTATCGACCAGCGACAACCTGCAGAGGGCAGTGGTGCGTTGCGCCCGACCTTGAGTCCGTTAGCCTCGGCGCCCGCCTCGCCTTCAGCTTCAGCTCGTGCCTCGCGGAATGACTTAGACAGACCAAGACCAGTCCCTGAGAACTTTGTTCATCCGTGGGGGCCTCGTGCGACAGCCGTAGCAGGACCACAACAACCACGAGATGATGACCCGAAGGCCACCAGCAGCAACGACAACCGACCACAGAATGATCACCCAGAGACAATCGACCGCAACGACACGCGAACACAGCTTGGGCCCGACGAGCAACCGGATCTCCGAGATCTTCTGCAGCGTGTAAAGAAGCTGGAAGGATCTGCAGCAACTACCAACCCCCTAAACGCCTTATCCGAGACAACCCAAGACATACTAGCGCGCCAGTCCGGACTGCGGGATTCGCAAACGATGTTGGACAAGTCGAGAATCGTGCGATGGAGCCACTGGATGGGAACTGCTCCAGAGGTTAGTATTATATCATATCAGTGGAACCACCTATACCATCGTACCATTCTGCTGACATTGTCTTGCAACAGTTCCATCTCATTGGTGATTGTTATACGGAAGTTCTGGGCCACTCCAAAGCTTTCTCTGAAGACGCCGAAACGGAAGCCCTGGTCGCTCAGATAGGCGACGGGCTCCAGAAATGCAAAACCATAGCGAAGCGCATCAAGCTGGGCCGACCGAGCAGATGCCTGTCCTGGCGTGAATTTGGATTGTCGACCCCTTCCCGCGAGGTGGCAGACGTGATGGTCAACCTATACTTCCGGTCATTCGAATCGACGCACAGGATCCTACATGTGCCTACCTTTTGGTCCGAGTACCAGCGATACTGGGCCGATCCCGAAAGAGGAACAGCAACCGACCTGCGGCTCAAGATCCTTCTCGTCATCGCCATAGGATCGAGCCTGTCCGAGTACGGGGACACCGACGCCGGATTCCGCAGCATGGTCCACCAGTGGATCTACACTGCTCAGGCGTGGCTTTCGGGACCCCTGGAAAAAAATCGCCTCAACATCACCGGTCTGCAGATCCACTGCCTGACCATCCTCGCTCGACAGACCTTTTCGATCGGGGCCGATCTCGTCTGGATGTCGATGGGCTCCCTCGTCCACCGAGCCATGCAAATGGGCCTCCATCGTGACCCCAAACACTTACCTGAGATGTCCGTGTTGCAAGCGGAGCTCCGTCGAAGGCTCTGGGCCACCATCGTCGAGATGATCATCCAATCTTCACTCGACTCGGCCATGCCACCGCGAATCTCCTTCGACGACTTCGACACCGAGCCTCCATCCAACAACAACGACGATGAGATACAAGTAGAAGACGAATCTCTCACGAGCAAGAGTTCGGCACTCCAGCCCCACCCCAAGACCGTCTATACCTCGACATCGCTTCAACTCCTCCTGCTTGACTCGTGGCCCACGCGACTCCGGATCCTCCAGCTTCTGAATGGCCTGCACTCGGAACTGTCGTACGTTGACGTCCTTGCTCTGACCGCACAAATGACCGACGCCTTGAAGGCATGCAACAGCTTCATGCAGGCCAATACCACAGCCTCCAACAACGACAACAACAATAACCAGGACGGTGACCCCGACTCCGGCTCCAGTCCCAGCGGCGGTGGGGTGACGGCATTCCACCGCAACCTCCTCGACTACCTAGTCCGCCGATTCATGATCGTCCTACACTGCCCGTTCGTCAGCAAAGCCCGCGCGAACCCGCTATTCTACTATTCTCTCAAAGTCAGCCTGGACTCTGCTCTGGCGCTCATCTCGCCCGAACCGGACGCCGGCTTCTCGCACCTCATGACCATCGGCGGCGGCTTGTTCAGGGAGGGCCTGTGGTACGCGCAGACGGCCATCACGCTGGAACTCCTCGCCGAGGTCGAAGCCCAGCGGCGCGACGGCACGCTTCGACGAAAAATCTCCCCTTACCGCGACCTCCTCAAGAAGGCCACCAGGGACATCATCGCGCTGTCCGTCGAGCGCATCCGCCGCGGAGAGACCAACATCAAGAGCCACATGTTTCTGAGCATGGTCCTGGCCCAGGCCGAGGCCATGGAGGCAGGGGTCTCGTATCGCTTCGAGATGGCCCGCGCCGCCGTCGACAGCCTCGACTTCTGTCACGCTTTGCTCGAGAACCGTGTTGGAAATACCACTGGCGGCACGGGGGCCTTCCCAAGTCCCAACGACAACGATATGGGCCGTCTCACGTCAACCTCAACCAATCTTGGTGGTCGGGGCCAAGATGACTACGGCTTGGATTTTGATCTGGACTTGGAGTTTTTCTTGCCAGACGCCGGCTTTACCTGACTTGGTCTACCTGCGAACTACTACTACCATGTTAACTGCCTTTCGTGAGCTTCTGGCTCCCTCTTAAAACCTTTCACACGGTCCGACAAGCCGGACGGACACCTCCTCACCTCTTCCGAAACGTCTGTATATCCATCCATGGTGGGACACAGTGGTCATGGAAAACTCGGCCCAAATAGATCTAGTACGATCTTGAACCACTCCCCCACCAGTGGAAGATTTTTTTGCCATGTGCAATCTGGACGCAATGCGTGCCTGCTGAGCCGTCGACACGCTTCTCGATATATCTCCCCCAACGGTCCTGGATGAACGGCCGTTGTCTGCCCGTAGCGTTACCGACTCGAGTATGACCACGCCGGGGCGAAAGGGAGCCTAAAGGTTGGTTGGGTTTCGCCTGATCGAGGAAACGAAGTCGGGCGTTTTTGTGCAAGCTCCTCGGCCTAGAGTTGGTTACTGGAAGGCGCCTGCGACGGAGGGAGAGTATTCAGTGTATTGTGGAACCCAGGATCTTTGGTCCTGCCCTCAAATCGTGGGTATGCATCATCGAAGACCGCATAGTGTGTCTTGGGCAGACAAACAGTCGATATAGGGGTTGTGTACTTCTCATGTCGGCTGTATGCCGCCTTTGAACCCTCAAGCGGCGCCGTCTTTTTCGCTCTTTCCATCATGTTTGACATCAGCCTTCTCCTCCCCTGCTCCTTCAGCCTTGCTTTGGGACTTTTGTTCGCCATCCTTGTTGTCCTTTTTGTTATCACTTGGCCCTCCACTGCGTTCAGGGGCGTACCATGTCCTGGCGAAATGATGCTGGATATATCTTTCCCCGTACGCGGGATCGCCGGCATGGCTGTGCTTTTGATGGCCGGCGAAGCCATTGATAGGTAAGATGAGCACGTCTCCATAGAGTTTCGGTTCTCTCTGGTCATGCAACGTCGCCCAAGTGACATTTTGACCCTGGTCATTCAACACCTGCATAACAGCATCGGTGATCATTCCTGGCCCAGTAGCTTCGAGGGTTTCCATCTTGTCGAGAGTGAGCTCACCCAGAGTGACCCGTTTCCGGCGGGCGATGTACTCCAAGTTACTCATGACTCGCTGAACGGCAGTCTCAAAGATGGGGTGGCCAGGTTTGGACATCAATGTCCACTGGCACAGACCAATTGGGCGGATAAACATCTTGTAAGTGTGGTCGTCGTATTCGATGCCGATAATCGCATTGATCGTGCTGGCCCCCAACTCGATGGGAATCCACCGGTCCGGATGAACGAGATTGGACGTGTCGATGTCACTGTAGACGCCTCCTACCGCGAGCATGACCAGGTACCGCAAGAAGTCTGCCTTGAGGACCGTGGTATTCAGTCCTTTCCAGAAATTGACAATCGAGGGCCGCGACGCGAAGTGTTCCTCAATGAATGCCAAAGCATCGACTTCTGTAATCGCTTAGTGCCTTCGTCAATGTCATAATCATGACGTTTACCTTTCAAGATTTTATGTTCGAAACTTTTGACCTTTTTCCAGGTCTCGGTTCTCTCCGCGAACTTTTCGTGACCATGCTCATCTGGTCCCAACCAGGCCTGCCAAATGGTTCGAGGAAATCTCGCCGGATAAGATTGAGATGGTGTAAACGTTGACTGAAGAGCTTCCGCAAGATGCCGACCTTCGTCCGTGTCCATGTCGACTCTCGCCCTTGACGCTCCGACTCCCTGGTCATACGTGGACGACTTGGGGATTAATGGCAGCATCTCTGAGTTGGATAAGTGGAAAACCACGTAGAGAACGCATAACGCTATGGCTGTGAAAGCCCAGTATTTGCTCATATGGCCTGTCGATAACATGATTGCAAGAAGTTGATGAGATTGGTTTTTCCTGCTGCGAATTGAAAAAACGCTTCAGCCGCTATTCGATTAGGCGGTCAATAGAACGACCAGTGTTCAGAGTATTGCATGGATTATTTGCAGTTTCGAAGATGTTGTTTGATGGACCTTCGCTACGCAAATCGGCTTGGTGTTGGCTGTCGCAAAAGCCCAAAAAGGATGCTTATCGCACGAAGTGGATGCTCAACCCGTTCAGGAGGCGATTACCTGAGGACGCTGAGCTTGGCTCAGGAATGTCAATGCCTCTACCATGTACTAGGCACCTACTAGGGGCTGCACAGAGGCAGATTGCAGCGAGCCAGGAGGATGACAGATGACATCGCGACCACGCGCCTCGAGAAGAGTGAGTGCCAACGACCGCGTTGAAGGCGATGTGGCCATAGCTGAAAAGACCGTTCTGACACTCAGGAAAAACTGTGCTAAAGACCCGCCAGGGCAGCAGTTGCAGTTGACAACATTAGGGGGTGATAATCTGACGTCTGTCAACTGTGTCGGCGACCTTTCAGCACTGATGAAGCCTAGCGTGGAGCGTGGAACAACAAGTCTCAACAAATACTCGAGAGATGGTACCCAAGTCTGCAGTATGAACAAAGAAGCTTCTGATAAGTTGGTTTTCTGTGAAGCCAGAAAGGCTGACTGGTGCTGAAGGTGCCTGTTAACAAAGGTGTAAAGAGCGCAAAAAGGCAGGGCGAGACGTTGCCTAGGCTTGGTGAAGCCGAGCAGCGCCGGCAAGTATCGCCCTGAGAGCCCCCATCAAGCCCCCATCACCCCCTAGATTGGCTTAGTACAGCCGAGCGGATCCCCAGACACAGGCCTGCACCAGCCTCAAGTCGGCGAACCCACTACTTAAACCTTTAACGGCGGGCGCCCGGGAGCCATTCAGTCTGGAATCGAATTGGCTCCAGCTTCAGGAGAATAGGACCATTGCTCCTCGGCGAAAAGGCGTCGGCTGATCAAACTAAGTCCTGAAGAATTGACCCTTACTTCATCTGCATCCAAGAACAATATACTTCGACAACATAACATACACATCAGACCAACACTGCTATATTCGACCGCTAGATAGCCATGTGTTTTTGGTGCTTCAGAGAGTCGCTGTATCGCAGTTAACAAAATGTTTGGAAAGCCGAACCTCAAGATCCTCAGCCTTGTCACCACGACAATATGTGCCTTCACGATATTTTCCGACTTTATCGGCATGTTGCACCGTCCCAACAGCCTTTCTGACGCCATAATAACACGAGGGTCGAAAGTACCTCGATCGAGTATTGCAAAGCTTTCCATGCTGTATGGAGAGCCAAATCCTCTTTACGAACGAGCGCTGGCCGCTCACACTCCGCACAACCGGAATTTTGGATACAGCATGTACGTCCTCCGGGAAAAGACACTCCCGGGATATTGGTCAAAGCCAGCATACATCCTGGACCAATTGCTTGCAGAGCTGGCTCTGCCAGAGGAACAGCGATTGAAGTGGCTGGTGTAAGTGGTTTTGTGTAGTTTCTGTCAAAGTCCACTGACTGAGCATGTCGATAGATGGGTTGATGGTGACATCGTCCTAATGAATCCCAAAATCCCTCTGGAGATCTTCCTTCCCCCAGAGGACAAATGGGGTCATATTCATGCCTTGGTCACGAACGACCACAGAGGACTGAACAACGGGGTGTTCTTCCTGAGGGTCCATGAATGGTCGGTTTGGCTGATGACGGCGACCTTGGGGCTAGAAATATATCAGCCCGATGTTGAGCTGGAGTTTGGTGATCAATCCGCCATGGGGATCTGGGTGAAGGATGTAAGAAATGGATGCTCCTCTTACAAGAACCGTATCAGATTGCTGATCAAATTCTTGCAGGAGAGATTTCGCGACAACATCATGCATGTGCCGCAAAGGTGGTTCAATGCCTATGCTGGCAATCGTGGAGAGACCAATGGATTATTTGCGGACCCTCTGTCGCCGCAGACCAAAGTGCACGCCAACAGCATTAAGGAAGGCGACCTTCTCGTCCATCATGCAGGGCACAAGTCTTTGCGGGCGCAGCGGATGACGCCCTGGATGGATGTTGCTGAGCAACATTTACCACAATGGGAACTCGATCTTGATGAAACCGAGTACGAACAGGAGATTAAAGAATTCTGGCAGAACGAGGCACCGAAAGAGAAAAAACGAGTAGACAATATGATCAAGAAAGAGCAAAACGACAAGATGAAGAAGCAGATGAAGGAAGCTGAAGCTGCCAAAAAGATAGAAGACGCGAAAAACGTGGCTCAGGACAAAAAGGGTCCAGGCCACGAGAAGCAAAAGGATCTAGAGCGACGAGGATCGTAGACTAAATAATTCCGCGAAGAATTGTGTAGTATTAATATCGATGTGTGTTCATTAAGGTAGTTCTTGAGAGATGTTTGATGATCGTTGGAAGATAAAGATCAAGAGATGAAGAAAGAGAAGTTGTGAGGGTTGAAGTTGAAGCGGCATTTCTTGGCCGTGTGATATTAGCGTCGGGATACTTGCCCAGCCTAGTATTCCCCCTCCTTGCGCTCAGTTACGAGTGACTACATACAGCGGCCAGTCTTTCCCTCTTAGATTAGTTAGTTAATCAATCTCTTCCGCCGCTACAACCACAGGTGGTAGCAACGAACCTACTTACAAGAGCGGCCGTGTTCTCTTGTAAGGGCAGTTAGCGGGTCTTATACGCCCGCAACGATTCTAACTGCTTCGATCCTTTATTGTCCTCTACGTCGACGACAGCCCTCGACAACAACTTTAATAACAATAGCGACCTTAATTCCAACATCTCAACGTAAGGGATTTTTACTAGAGAGGTCAGTAAAGTAGTAACGAAACTACTCGTATTGTACCGTAATTACGTATATCTAGTTTCCGAAAAGGAAAGGGAGAGTATCGACAAGATAGACTTTAAGGCCCTAAAACCCCTAAAACGTACGATAATTAAACGTAACGGCGCGAAGAAGCTAAAGTCTCGTAGAAAAGAAGACTTTTTAGCTAATAAGGATATTAGGGAAGAAAGAAGAAGACGAAATAAAAGGGGGTTTACTAGATCCCCGTTATTACGGACGGATACGCCTTAACTCTTCTTCCTTTTAGACCCTTCTATTGTAGGATAGACCTCCCTTCTTCTCTAGAGGTCGGCTATACTAATAATAGTAGTGGTAGCGACCCTAGTAGCTAGGATAAGAACCCTATATCCATTGATACTAATCCTCTTAGTGTATTATATAGTATTTCGCTCTTCACCTAGTCCAATAGTATTGCTATTGGATAACTTAGCGAAATGTTACGAATATATACGTATATTAGCGAACAATATTATAGCGTTATAGACAACACTTCTATTTCGTAAGGACTAAAGATACACGAACTACGCGCGTATAATAACGACCGTAGTAATAGTCAACTCGACGACTATATACGGGACGTTACAAACTAAATCAACTTCTACGATCGACGAGGACACTAGACAAGTGAACGTAAGAAGATAGAAATAGCGTCTACCTATCTTATAGGACGTATATACCAAATATATACGTTAACTTACGGTTTTATACTCACTATTATTGACTACCTTACTTAGTTACGCGAGACCTTTAAGGATAATAATGAGTAATCCCGACTACGTGATTAGTGGTATATATATATCTAGGGCGACCGCCCTACTATAGAATATACTTAAGACCTAATTTACCTTACGGCTTATATTTAGTCGGAAAAGGCCGCATTAAAGATTAAGGAGTATTTTCGCACTAGCCTTAATAATACTATCTAAATAGGAATGGTAGAACACCCTAAATAGAACGACCTAGCCTTATTTAAATACATTAAGTGTACTGATCGATAATAATAGGTTAAGACTACTAAAGCATATATCCATAAGAGAGTAGGACAACGTAGGATAGGTTATATCCTTACTCTCTCTAGAATACCTCGTCGAGGTAATATATAGAAGCCAGCACATTTTACTATAGCGTATACTACCGCGATATCTAGTAAAGGTACAAAAGAATAGCGGGACTAGTATCGAAGGAATGCTGCTTACTTTAGATATAGCTCTATCGACCATTAGTTCCGTAGTTATACGAAATCGGTATCAACCACTCATAAGGGTTCGCCTTATCGAGGCCAAGGAGGTTTTAATGCGCGATAACCCTAGCAGAGTAAAGAGATTAGAAAGTTTCAACTACAGTAGAAAAATAAAGGGAAACCAGAGAGTTCCGGAAAGTTGCGTACTATTGCGGGATCTTATAACGGCTAGGGGGAATTATAGGTAGATGGAGGAGTACTGTAGATAACTAGGTTAGCAACCCAATAGTAGAATTAAAAGGATTCTAACCAATTCGATCAATTACGTAAAGTAGAATAAGTCTATACCCTTAAGATATATCTATAGGATACCGCTACCTATCAATTACGAGGCATTACAAGTATAACTCAAACTTCCGTACCTATATAAGTCCTAGTTAACTTAAGGGCTACGAAGTAGTACCTTTCGACTAATATTGCTCGTAAGCTATAGATAGAGATCGTAACCGACCCTTTACCGTATTGGGTTTAAGTCGCTAGTAGTATATACGTCGCCAGTCTAGGAAGAGCTCGCTTTACGCTCCGTATCCATTAGTATTCTATGGATCTAACGGCCTATATACTTAAAATTCCGGGTTATAACCTAATTCTTAGTTTCGAATGGTTGCGAATCGTTAATCCTAAAATCGATTAGCAATAAATAAGAATTTAGGTCCGTAACAAATCTAAAATACTTTATATACTTTCTCCTACCGACGTAAACCTATTTAACTTAATTCGTACTAATATAGATACTACTTAGCTATTAAGCCTTCGTGCGACTCTTAGAGCTCTTGGAAAGAAGATAACTAGTCTCTTTCTAGGGTGTATTAAAGGATCGTATCCTCGTTAAGATCTTCCTATTACTCCTAGAGAGCTAGTTTAGCTAGCGATTATAGAATAAAATAAACCGTTATATACCCTTTTAAAACGATTTAAGGGGATCTTTAAGAAAGAACTTTCTACTATCCTTTCCCCTACGCGTTAGGACGATCACCGTATCTTTACGGATAATTTCGCGCCGATTAATATTAATGCGTATCCTCTCTCCTCGATATATATTGCGAAGTAAAGTCGATAGATTACGTAGATATTGTAATAGGGCATTATTCACGAGTCTACGTCCCTATAGGGATTCCCTATCCTATTCGTCAAAAAACTAGGAGGTAAGTAAAGGATATATATCGATTACCGAGTATTAAACGCTATTACGGTTAAAAATGGTTATCCTTTATCTCGAATTTAGGAATGTCTTAATCTTATCGAGAATACTAAATTTCTATCGAAACTGGATCTTATATAAGGATACTACTAGATTTAGGTATATCTCGATAGTCGTGAGAAAACTGCGTTTAATACGCGAGAAGGAAAGTTCGAATACTGCGCTATACTATTTAGGCTCTATAATATATTAACTACGTTTTAGGCGTTAATGAATCGTATTCTACGAGAATATATCGTAAAATTTGTAATTATATATCTTGATGATATACTTATCTACTTTAACGATCTCCTCGAGTATTTACGATATCTTACGAATATCTTCGAGATACTCGAAATATATTCCTTATACGTTAAACCCTTAAAGTGTCAATTTCTTATAAAAGAACTCGAATTCTATAGCCATACGATTAGAAACGGATAGATCCGACCTCTTACAATAAAGGTCAATATTATTCTTTAATGGCCAGTTCTAACTAACGTACATAAACTTCGATAATTCTTTAGTCTAGCTTCGTACTATCGTAGATATATATAGGGTTTTGTATATACTTATATCCTATTATTTCTACTTTTATAGGAAGCGGATATTAAAGAAAGAAAACGTAAATTTCGGAAAATTAAATAGAATACTACAGCGAAGAATACTTTTCAATCCTTAAAATAAGCCCTTACGAATACCTCCGTCTTAATATAGCTAGATACAATACGACTATTTTTCATTAAGACAGATACTAGTAAATAAGCTATTAGTAGGGTCTTACTTCAAGAGGATTACGACTCGAAACGACTTCGTCTCATTACTTACGAAGAACGGAAGCTTACGCTCGTAGAAATTAATTATTCTATTTATAAAAAAGAACTACTCACGATTAAATACACCTTAAATATATAGCGTATTTATATTAAAAACGATTATTTAATCACAATCTTTATAGATCACGAAAGTTTAAAATACCTCTAAACGATACGAAACCCTACGAAACAACTCGCTTATTGGATTACTAATTTCTCTAAATATAACTTAAAGATTTACTATCGGAAAGGTTCTTTAATGGTTACTCCGAATGCTATCAGTTAACGTTCTAATCTTATAGAATAAGGACCGCGGAACCTTACGGCTTAATTCACTACGTTACGCGGCCTTAAAGAGAATAAATAGACTAAAGCAATAATTAAATTACTCTAGGAAGGATAACAGCCACCTACGCGTATCCGCTCGAAACTATACGAAGATCGGTTCTTATTTACTGTTAAGGATAATACACTCTATCGTGTTAAGAACGACGTCTAAAGTCCTTACATTCCAATATCTTTTCGTACAGACTTCCTCGAACGAATGTATATCGAATATAGATATCTCGAATACCCTAGTATTCTTAGTGTTATCTAGGGACGAGGATAGTGGTCCTCTCTTTAAGAAGATATACGTACCTTTACACGTAGTTACCTATAGTATTAGGTTTCTTAACGTAGCCATCTAGGGCAAGAGAGAGAACAACTATAAACCCTCAATAAGGAAACACTACAAATCTTTAATAGATAGGCGATTAATCTAATCAATATCCTACCGAAAACACCCGCAGGTAACCGTTGAATTATTACGGCGATCGAATATCTTACTAAATAACCAATAGCTCTCGCTATACCCGATGCTAAAGCCGAAACAATTACAAAATTCCTCTACGATCACATTACGATGATTTACGGAGCACCACGCGAAATTCTCTTAGATAACGGACAAAATCTAACGAGAGAGGTAATAACCCATTATATCTCGCTATTAAAGACGAGACATCGCGTAACGATACCGTACCATCCGCGAACGAACGGAAAAGTCGAGAACTTCAACGAATTCCTAGGGATAACGTTAACACGTCTCCTTACGAACCAACCCACTATTCTATAGAACCAATATCTACCTTAAGCCTTATTTACCGCACGGATTAGAATCCACATAATAACTAAGAAATCTCCGTATTACCTCTTATTTAACTATCAACCAAGACTTCCTACTAACGATAATAATCCTCGACAATTAGATATCTCGAAAAATTAGGAGACAACCTTACAAAGAATCGAGGTACTACAATACACTCGTATATAAGCGAATCAACACTTAATCTATCGCGCTATCGCAGCTAGTAAGGTTCGAAAGGAACTCGTTAAAGAGAGTTCTCTTCCTATTGATCAATAAGTCCTAGTTAGAGCCGAAGAACGCAATAAGTTCAAAGGACGCTAATTCAGTCCGTATTAGGTAGTAAAGGCTATACCGTTAGAAACTTACCGTCTAGCCGACCCAAAAGGCAATAAACTTAGGACATTGATCAACGGCTAGAGACTCATTCTAGCTAGATTACGAGGGGATCGAGTCGAAACGCTCTAGAATTCTTCGAAAATCCAGGGAAGGTTGCGTAAACAAGTTATTCAAATCGATACTGCTAGTCCAGAAGTAGCTAAACTCTTTGAAAAGAAACAAAACAATACTCCTTCTTACAACGAGTTAGCCACTATTCCTCCTAATTTAGGTAAACGTTCAGAAGTATATTTAGATTAGATAGAGAAGGAAGACCAAGACGAATAGGAGATTCCAACCTTACAGTTCCAGCCCTTATAGTTAGATACGATTAAAATTAACTAGGATCAAGAAAATAAAACTATATTAGAAGAAAAAGAACTAACACCTAAATCTCCTCCCAAGGTCCTAGTAAAGAATATTAAACCTAATCATTATAATCCTTTAGTTACGAACTCTTTCGATCTAAGATCTACTATTACGATTAATAGTATAGAGGGCATTAAAAGAGCGACGCCTATTCCAATATAACAAAAGGAATTAGTAGCAAATATTGCTCAATACCAACGAGATACAACTCGTTACGAACTACGACCTTAGTCTACGAAGAAAAGGCTAGAGGATAGAGAGTAAGAAAAACACGAACTATAGTTATTACCGAACCTTACGGTATCTTACGAACGGAAATCTTATATAATTATTTTATTGCTACCTATTACGCCGCGTTTCGTATAAATACGCACTCTTTCTAAAAAAGAAAGAGATCACTCTACGGTAACAAACAAACACGCGCGATTATAGGCCCTTACGAACCTTTTTAGGCCGTTACTAATATAGGCGAGAAGTGGTCACCGGTTACGCCGGCCGACACACTATTGCGGTCAATTACGAAAGGTTTTATACGAATTACGAGTACTTACGATTTACCTTTACCCTTATCTTTACGCTCTTTCCTACAATTACTATCAGTTACGAATTGATACAAAAAACCAACGGAAATTTACTTAATACGTTTACGTGGCTTAGCAGTATCGTAGCGTTCTAGCACGTTAATATACGTAACGAAACGGAACGAACAGTATTTACTTTAGTTAAGAGAGTAGTCAGCTATACGCTAGCCTTAGTAACAATATACACAAGCTATTTCGTACGGTTACGAATAGTCACGAAGGAATACGGAGTACTTATCACTATTAAGTTCATCGGCGACCGAATAGCAAGAGGAGAAGGGACCCTATATATTTCTACACTAAATATAGCCTATTACTATTAGTTACTAATGGATACGTAAGGAATAAAGAGGAAATTTACTGAGATTATTGACGATTCCGACCGATTGCATATAGTATACCTTAGTATAATCGGTACGGTCTATTACGAGCGTTAATAAACAGTTTCGAACTAAAGGAAAGGAGTTTACTTACGATTGATTACGGACTAAATTTGGTCGAGGGTACGTCGGAATATAATAGATTGCGTATTGGGATGGTTAGTAACTAACCGACCCAAGCGACGTAAGGTCGCGATAATGGTAAAGTTAATCGATACATTGTATTGTATATTATTGCTAGCCATTACGAATTATTATAGATCACTACGAAAGTATTAATTAAGAATTAAAGAAAGGATCTTACCAATTCGAAGCGAAAGCTCTCGAAACGATCTACAATAACTATAAATTAGTATATCTTCTTGAAATTGTAGTGCAATATAAGGGGACGAGCGCAATGGTTAATTGTTAGTTAGAATCTAGCGAGTCTAATTAATAAACTATACTAGCATGGTTATAGGGATACGTGAAAAGGGTCCAAGATCGACGACGACGAGGTTCGAACCCCGTAGGACCTACGCGAATCTACGCGTATCGAGCTGGGAGGGATGCTCTCTACGGGATATAGGGATATCCATAATATCCAACTAGCCGACGGGATATCAGAGGCTAACTTAAGGGATTACTGCTCATTCCCATCTCTTTTACGAGATATGTCTACTCTTTTCTAGTCGTAAGAATACGTAACGACTTAGGTTATTATCGCGCATTGAATTTATTAGTTACAAATAGCGCAAATTAAGGAAACTATAAAAGGGCCAAAATAAGAACTTCCAAACCTTGCGAAAGGGCCAGGGTCTAAGGGTTTCCATACCTCGCGCGGCGTCGTCGCTATCGTTGCGAGCTATTCTCGACCTTAATAGACCATTGCTCCCCAAAATACGACATAGTAGAGGAGACAACATACCTTTCATATATTATAAAAGAGAGAGAAATGAGATAAAAGGAAAGAAGGGAAGATATAATGCGTTACAAGCCCTACAGCTTAGTAGAACAACAAGAACACGTGACTCGCAGGTGCTCGTAAGGAAGTAGAGGAGGATGTGATATTAGCGTCGGGATACTTGCCCAGCCTAGTATTCCCCCTCCTTGCGCTCAGTTACGAGTGACTACATACAGCGGCCAGTCTTTCCCTCTTAGATTAGTTAGTTAATCAATCTCTTCCGCCGCTACAACCACAGCCGTGACTTCTCACGTGACTTCTGCAGTTATACCACCCCCTGAGCCACCCAAACACCTGCTCTCATCTCCTGCTTCTAAACACGCATAGCCTACGAAGAGGTACACAATATCCATCGACTGCCATGAGTATGAGATATTATTTTCCTGCAGACATGAGCATCAGTCTCAATCGAACAGTCCCATGGCCCGACACATTCCTCCGCTTCCCCTTATCCCACATACCAAGACGTCAAATTTCATTGGGTCCTGTCCTTCCGAGAGGTTGACGCATGTCTGGCTCTTTGTGGTCTTGCTGCTTGGCCTAGCGTGCCCTCACAAAGTCCGATGTTTCAAGCCACGATGGGAGATTCATATCAGAACCAGCCACTATTACACCGACTGGTCAAGCACGGCACGTACGGGTAATTATTGTGGTCGAATTAGCAATCCCATACTCACGTCCTTGGAATGCTCGTACGCGCGACGTATTTGCACGTTTGGCGTTCCAAGTCACAAGTTATGTCAACGGGAAAGCAAAGACCTTCAGTCCCTGAATTCCGACAGACCTCGTGCCCGTGCCACCCACCCACCCCTTAGTTACAGCGATGTCAACATCCAGTTTGAACCCTCCGCCAGCGTGCGTCGATTTCCATATTCTCGAGCAACAGTGGCTTTGAGTTTTGTTAAACTGAAGATCTGCCACTGATCAAACCCTTGTGTCTCTCGAGGCTCTGCTGCAACAAGCCCCAGTCTTATCTCATTTTCAATGGCGGAGGGACGGCAACAGCCACCTGAGCATGTCTACCTGGACATCGAGCACGAGGCTCACTACAGCGAGACAGCGCCCTTGAATCCTTCATCAGCAGGACCTGCGCTCGACTTGTCACCCACCACAGGCAAAATCCCAATATGGTACGATTTGTCCAACGTCCGCTCATACGGCCGTTTCAGCGTCCTCGGCAGCTTGAGGAGACTGGGCTATGCCTTGATCCCAAGCTTCCTCACCACGCCGTCGGCCACCATGCCATCCAAGAGCGGCATCTCCGCGCTCGACGGCCTCAGAGGAATAGCCTGCCTGTTTGTGTTCGGCGAACACTATGTCATCTGCTACCAGTCTCGCGCCACGCAGGTCTGGATCATGAGAGTGCCATTCATCCGCCTGCTCTACTATGGCAAGGCAGCCGTGTTTCTGTTCTTCGTCATCTCCGGCTACGTGCTCAGCTGCAAGCCTCTGAAACTCATCCGAGCCAAATCGTACCCGGCATTCCAGAAGTCCATCTCCTCCAGCTTCCTTCGCCGCGGCATGCGTCTGTACCTGCCATGTCTGATCGCCAGCTTCATCGCATGCATCCTCACGATCATGGGCGCGTTTGACCATTCCACCTTGATCTACAAGCACTTCAAAGAGTTTGTCTTCTTGAAGGAACGACCGCCTCCACACGTGTCGCTTTCCGAGCAATGGAAGGCGTACACTGCAAACGTCGAATTCATCTTCAGCGCGACCATCCCCTTCGACAAAGACACCGACGTCCTTCACTACCACATGTACGACGACCACCAGTGGACCATCCCGAAAGAGTTCCGCAGCAGTATGGCAGTATTTGTCCTGCTGGTGACAACGTCCAGGATGCGGAGCGCCTTCCGAATGATGACGGTTGCGGCGATGACCGTTTACGCGATCAACACCGGCCGTCTGTACACGGCCCTCTTCTTTGCAGGCGTGCTCTGTGCCGAGCTCGACCTCGTCCGCCAAGCGTACTACACGCGTGCCAAAGAGTCCCCCCTCTCCCTACCGCACGAGAAATACTCGTCCGAGACAACCCGTTTTCACTCCTCTGCTTCTTCCCGGCTCATCGGTCGACTAATGCACCTACCGAACAAGGTCTACAAAATCATGTGGATCACCTTATTCACGCTTGGCGTCTACATGATCTCCTCGCCGCAAGAAATCCAAACCACAAAGAATTTCCTCCCCGCCCTGCTCGAGAGCTGGGGCGTCACCGGTAACATCGACGACAAGATCTTGACCTGGGGCTCGATCCTCGTGGTCTGGAGTGTGGCCACATGCCCATCTCTCGGCCCTCTGTTCAACAACCCCTTCGTCGCCTATCTCGGCAAAATCTCCTACGCCCTGTACCTCGTCCACGGCACCGTAATCAAATCAATCGGCTATGACGTCCTGCCCTGGACACTGCGCATGGCCACCGGCACACCCAAAAGCGTCGAGATGAACCTGGAGTGGTGGCAGACCGTCCCGGACTCGCGAAAAGTCCTCGCATACCTGTTGGGTCTGTCTATTGTCGGGACCACGTGTTTCTGGCTTTCGGACTTATTCTGGAGATTCGTCGATGTTCCTTGTGTCAACTTTGCCCGGACCGTCGAGGTCTGGCTCACAAAGGGTGCCGACGCTGACAACAACGACAACATGATGTATGGGAGACGGTCAACAAGCTCTGGTGTCCACCTGCAGCCAGCAAGTGCAAGTGCAACTCCTTCCCACGGAAGCTCGAGCGAACGGTTCGCCAACCCTGGCGGTGCAGGCGAGCTAGGGCTGGCAATAATGCAGAAGGGTCAAAGTCCCAAGAGGAGGGACTAGGATACTAGGATACTAGTTAGTATAGGTCTTTGTTGGAGTTGGACGGTGAAGGGAGAGGGGGAGTTGCCAGTACATTTCGCAAGATGCAAGACTTGTAAGCATGATTCTCTTTGTCGACTGCCCTTAGGCACGGAGTACAGCACGGCGTACAGTATCATTGGCATTGGTATTAGGCTAGTACATTTTCTTGCATATCGCCTGTAAACAGTGGACGAGTGATGAGTGACGATGATGGTGCTCTAACTTGGTCACTCAATTTCAATTCGTTGCGGTCCCAATTCGTTGCTCAAGTGTATATACCTAGGTAGGTAGGTAGTACATATCTCATTGTTCTTGTCATTAACCTGTTTCCCGTCTATCTATACCCTTGTCGTTTCATGATTCTTTCGTATCCCCTTTCTAAGATAGTACTGGATATCTCGTACGCCATGTTCAACCCCCCCCAAAAGCCGTATGCTAGAAAAAAAGAGAAATGCCGCCCAAGTAAACACTCCGACACTCCCGTCATACTCAATTCAACTCCTCTCCCCAATATTCCTTCGCGGCAGGATCATACTTCGGCTCGACCTTCTCGAACCCATCATCCCAACTATCCGCGGTATTCTCGACCTTGTTGTCAACCTTGTCCTTGACCTCGCCCTCATCGAACTCGGGCCTCTTAGGCCCCTTCTTCGGTACCCCTTCGTCACCCTTGTCTCCCACGGGCTTCTTCTCTTTCGTTAGCTGTTTCTCTTTCTCTTTTTGTTTCACCTTCTTTTCCTCATGTGCCTTGTCTTTCTTCTTCTGCTGTTGCTCCTCCTCCTTCCTCTTCTGGTCCTCGTCCTCCAGTTTCTTCTTCTGCTCTTCTTCCTCTTTTATTCTCTTCTCCTCGTCGGCGAGTTTTACTTTTTCGTCTTCTTCCGCCTTCCTCCTCTGCTCCTCTTCCTGAATAATCTTGACCTTCAGATCCTGCTTTTCCCTGTCCTTTCGCTCATTATTTTTATTATGCAGATCCGAGCTGTGCCGGACATACTCCAACACCGACTCCTCCAGACAAGCCCTGACATCCCAGGCTGCGGCGTTCGCTCGCTCGAACGAGTCAACGGCCCGGATCCGTTCGTCCTGCCACGCATCCTCGGCATGCTCAATGGCCGGAAACTCCGGGGCGCCATTCACAGACGTCTGCTCAAAGTAGCCCGTCAACGACGGTAGACTCTTCAGCAGGTCCCAAATGCCGCTCAACCGGAGAACTTGCACAGTCGAGTCGTCGACCGACAGCGTCAGCGTTATGACGTCCGTTTGAACCCCTCTCGCGTCGTGCGCGTTCATATCCCACCGCGCAATGCTGTTCGTGATCATGATCCGGCCCCTCGTGCAGACATCCACAATCGTCTCTTCGTCCATAACCATGCCTGCGCCGAAATCGATGACCTTGGACCCGTAAGTGAGGTAGAAATGCGTCGTATTGGTCACCAAAACTGCCAGTTCCGGCCGGTAAACTGCCATCCCACAACCGCCAGCGTTTTCGCTGTGCGTCCTCGGAAACGCCGCGAATGCTTGGACGCCCGGTGAGCCGAATGACCCTGGGTTCTTGTGCGACATTGGGACTGGGACCAATTGCGTGCCCCCTCGAAGGCTGGCGTCATGATCGTCGTGATGACTTCGCAGTTCGTCCAAGACCGTTTGCTGGAAGACGATATCGCACATTCCGGAGATCAGATGGCATTTCAAAACGGTCAATGGCTCGAAGCGCCAAACGAAATGTATGTAATTGCTCGGCTGTCGTTTCGAAGTGGAGCTCTGGTCCTCGTCAGCTTCGCGGACGAAGAAAGGTGCCCAGTTCTTCTCCGTTTGTGCCCGCTCTGTGTCTCTGACGGTAAGGATGTGAGAGCGTTGGGAGAACGGTCGGAAGACCCAGATTGCCCGTCTCCAGTCCGATTGAGTAGAGATCATGTTGAAAACGACGACAGGCTCGGCCCCCTCGACTCCTTCCTCGATGATGATGCGGGCATCTTCCGGGCCGTAGAGCGATCCGCCTATATCGTATTCGGTTTCGGTGTCGAAAATCTTCGGGAACACGATCTCTTGGTCCTTCCACTTCAGTCGATATCGGTCAAGATGAATCCAGCTCTCGCTGAAAATCTGCCCCCTCAAGAAACTGATTCGGCACACATCCTTCGATCCTCCAGGGTGATAAATGACTCTGGAGACGCACAGGTACACGCCATAGTCCGACATGAAGACGCAAGCAGTAGCAAGCCGATCCCAAGAGTCGTTGACAATTTTGGAAAGTGCGTATCTATCCTGATCTATCCTTCCGACTGTCGGCCTGTAGTCAATCATTGGGTGTTTGTCCAAATCGGCTGCGATTTCCATGAGATTGTCGTGGAGGAAAAAAGACTCTTGAACGCCAACCGACGCCGAATGCGAAAGTGACGAGCAAGACAAGTTCTTGCCGATATATTCTCCACCAGGGGCTCCGGTGTTGTCGAAGCCATGTATGCGGTAAGGTGTAAAAGCTCCCCTCTCTTCATAGTCGAATTGCGTTTCGAACTCGAGCACCGGTTCGTCAAGGTCGGACTGCTCGGACTCTTCTAAGGGTTGTCCGAATTCATTGAGCGCAGGTTGATAGACACCAGCGGAGGATGATGTTGCTGCTAACACCTGGATATCTTTAGTAGCCTTCTCAGAGTCCAGATTTCGCCAAACTCACATCTCCAAGCATATTCTCGCGCACATAGTAGGCATGGTGTAATAATAACGACAACAATATCAATGCTATACACGTAAGAAGGATCCGCCTGGTGACAAAAGGTCGCAATTTAACGTTGAACGAGGGACTGCTCGGCCGAGGGTTCTTTTCTGAGAGCATGGTGTATTCAATATCAGATTTCGTATCACCTGCTAGACTCATGACCAAGAATATTCAGAACGGAAGAAAAATGAGATAACCGACATTGCATGGACATTCATCAGTTCCGAAGTGTGCAGATGCGCGATAATGAAATCTCGCGCGGCCCCAAAAAGGGTCAGTGACCACTGCTTGTATGATTTTGTGGTGGTGCTGTCAATGGTGTTTTGACTGCTCTGTGACACCGACCAGGCTTACCGTAGGAATTGTGGCTCTGGCGCTGACTATCGTGCAGTGGTTTATCCCTAGCATATGCGTGAATTGACGTCATTCCTGCGAAGGTATGTGCCCGGCCACCGTTAACAGCCGTAGATGAACCTCAATTGCACTGCGGTATCTCCGAGAACGCATCCAGTGCAGAAGCCGAACACGATCCTAAAGGTTTAGGCATGCGAAAGTGGTAAGCCGGTAAGAGTCACTCAGTTTCTCAGTGGAACACTCTTCGAAGTCGCCTAGTGAGGAGCGTCACAGGATAATGGGCTCTAGAACCCCACCGAGACTGGGCGTTGCACGACAATGTGATCCGAGGGGGTTGTCGACCCATTTCCCCCTGGCGCGAACCCAGGGGGCTGTAAGAGATCCAGGCCTGCTTGAACAGACAATTTTCCATGGACGCTACATCGGGTTGGTACCGGACGTGGTTGACGGCTTGATAGCTGTCAGACGCGTAGCTTGATCGATCTCCTGAAAACTTGACAGCCACAAGTTGAAACACGCATGAGGAATCGCAATTTGGACCGAGATGATCGAGATGAATTGATGCAGATCTGTCCAACTGACAGATAAGCTAGAGATACGAAGCCAGATTGCGATGAAGTTGATGAGAAACAATAATGAAGAAGACCAGATATTTGAGGCGGCTCGCAAAACATGACTGTGACTAGCCTTACTAACTTAAGCGAGCTAAGGATCACTAGGTAGGACTAGTGTAGTAGCGCGCTGTAAAGGGAAGGAATGCCGCCAGACACCACAGTAAACCTGGGAGAGCAAGAGGCAATTCGTCAGTATCTCAAGCTGTTCGACTTTTGTCTTCTACAGTCATGAAATGTACTTCTGCAGTGTGATGGTTGCGGCTTTAGAGTTATGAAGACGGACTTGTCAGAAAAATACCAACACTCGGGCCTCAACCGTGGTGAAGAAGCCAAAACTCGTGCTATCTGACATCCAACTCTGAGATGTGTCTTCTCAAGCCACTTACATCGCACAAGGTCCAGTCTTAAATCGCCTGCCAAAAAGCCCTTTCAAGATTACCATACTCATTTTCCAGTCCAAGCTCAGCGAGGTGGGCGCCTCGGCAGACATGAGTCATGGGAAGCAGTGACCTCTAGACGAACCTTGGACGCCGTGCATTTTCATAAGTGATAAGGCCTTCGTATCCCGCTACGCTTTCGCGCATAGGGATGACTAGATCCTCGAGGGATAAGAATGTCAACCTCGGCGGTATTCACCATCGCTGGATCGGCTTCCTCTAAACTGGTAAGTCCCGATAACTGCATGGCTGTCACAACTTCCTCTTTCAGTACTGAGAGACGTAGGAGATGTTAGCCACATCATGGAACGGGTGAGGACGAATATGAACTCGGGACGACTTACGATTGATGAGGTGCACGACTCCTGGCTTGCCATAATTCAGAGCGTAAAGGAACGGGCGTCCTAGTCCCACGCCGCTTGCTCCAAGACACATCGCCTTCAGAATGTCGGATCCCCGCCGAATGCCGCCGTCGATAAAGACTTCCATATGGTCGAATACCTCCGGACACTCCTTTTGCAGCTCAAGCAGCACAAGGATAGCTGCTGGCGCACCGTCAAGCGCCCGTCCTCCGTGGTTGGAGACAACGATACCTTGACAGCCCATGTGCATGGCAATTCTTGCATCCACAGCAGACTGAATCCCTTTTAGGACGATTGGTAAAGCAGTATGTCGTCGCAACCAGTTCAGATCATCCCAGCAGAAGCTAGGATCAATGAAAGAGCCAACACTTCGCGCTAGACCAGATCCCTTCTGGTCACTGGACGACTGAGAGCCGCTCAGACTGCTAGATAAGAAGGTATCGTGCTTCAGACGTTCATCGGCTTCTCGCTTTGAGACGACAGGGAGGTCGACAGTGACGAAAAGAGCCTTGATCTGCGGTTTGCTGTTAACAACTTGAAGCAATTCCTCGGTTTTCCTCCTGTCCTTGTTAATGTACAGCTGAAAGAAGAACGGATACTCCGGTGCAGCGTCGAGAATCTCCGTCAATGGGAACGATGAATTGGTCGATATCTACCAATATCAATACTGATGGTCTCTGTACTGGGAATGGACTTACTGTCTGGATGATCCCTGTCTCGGCTGCTGCTTTGCTCAAAGCTATTTCGCCTTCTGGTCCACCAGCTTTGCCAACTCCGGTTGGAGAGATCCAAATTGGAAGGGAAACATTGCATCCAAGCATCGAGCCTTTGGTCGACACGGTGGCGACGTTTCTCAAGGTTCTCGGTCTGAACCAGATCTTTTGGAAAAAGTTCTTGTTTGCATCTCGTGTTATGTTGTCGTTTGACGCCCCAAAGATGAATGCCCAGCTCTTCTTCGAGATAGAATGCTGGGCTGCCTCCTCGAAGTCATTTAGGTTGAGCAGTGCATCCAGAGACGGCTTCGCTCCTTGCTTCTGCGGCAATGCTGACCCTGAACTCGTTGATGCGTCCGGAAAGCTCGTCGTTGGGTCCAGATCCCCAATCGCTTCCTCGGGTAGGAGATTAGACTTGATGAGATTTGGCTCATGTATCTCGTTGTAAGCCTGAGAAGCGTCACGGCCAGCATAGGCATAGATGACTGCCATCTTGTCAGTGGGTGCAAAGCACGTGAAGGAATATACCGACTTTGTGCACCTCCAGGATGCTCCGGGGCAAACCTGGTAATGTCGTACACCTTTCCATCTACCACAATCCATATGTCGTCCGCCTTATTGTGCTTTTGCACCTCGGAGGCCTTGATGATGCTCGGCGAGGGTGACATTACTCCTCACGATCCAAGTACTGTCGCCTTGTCTGCTCGAGAACTTGCTATTGATCCCAGCACCCAGGGACGGCCTAGGACAGCCTCGGAAAACTCCTAGTTAGTGAAAACAACTTTGATATTCTCCAAATCATGACCCATTCCCCGCATCATCATCCTCGGATCAACTTGGATGAAGAAGGAGAAAGATTGCACGGGCATGGTGTTGCGGTCCTATGCAATGATCGCTGGCGGAACGGAAGCCGAGATCGCGAGGCAGGAAGCACCAGGCATCACTCGAAGCAAGTCAAAGACAATCGCGAGGCGGTACATAGATTCGTTGCCACATACGGACGCGACGGAGTAGAGTCTGAATGCATGAGAAAGGTTTCCCCACAAGCTGTGTTCGTGGCACGTATTCAAGAACGCCACATCAACGGATGTGCCAACATCATGATCCCAAAGCTTCTGGGGAATATGGCTGTGAGTTCATCACCAGCAAGAGAGATCCCCGCGGTAGTGGGACTTGCCGCCAAACACTCTGGGGATCGGAAGGTACCACCCAGCAATAATGATGGCGGTCCCTGTCCGGAGCACGACCAGTCAGCTGACTTCGAGGGACAGCGAGACAGGCACTGCCAGCAAAGCATCCACGCGAGGGAGCATCTGTTGGTGTGATTCGCTGACAGTGGAGGCCAAGAGAATTGCGGAGGATCAGATTCTTTCGTCTAGTCTGTCGTTCGTATCGCCTCACGACTTGCCAGCATTCGAGGCCTGAGAGCAGATAATTTCCACAGAGTCAAAGCATCATGGTACAAGGCCGGCTTGAAGGCAAAGTTGCAATAGTGACGGGCGGTGCCAGTGGGTTTGGCAAGGGTATAGCGGCCAAGTTTGCTGCCGAAGGAGCCAAAGTCATCATTGCGGATCTCTCTCAGGAACCTGCTGAGGCGGCAGCAAAGGAGCTGGGATGCCATTTTTCAGTAGCAGATGTCACAAAGAGGGAACACTGGCAAGCCCTGTTGAAACTTGCTCTTGAACAATTTGGTGGTCTCGACATCATCATCAACAATGCCGGGACAACCTATAAGAACAAGCCGACTGTTGAAGTCACTGACCAGGACTTTGACCTGGTAATGGAGGTCAACGTGAAGTCCATATATCTATCGACAAGCGTCCTGGTCCCTTACTTTTTGGAAAATAAGAGACCGGGTGTGTTTATTCAGATAGCCTCGACAGCCGGTATTCGTCCTCGTCCCGGCCTGACCTGGTACAATGCTTCGAAAGCAGCAGTGAGTAATGCCACCAAGACGATGGCGGTTGAGTATGGCCCGCAAAAGATTCGGTTCAATGCTGTTTGCCCCGTGGTTGGGAGTACTGGCCTGTAAGTCCCATGGTTCCCTCCACTTGGATATCGTACTCAATAACCACTGCTCAGGACTCACCTCTTTATCGGCAAGCCAGATACCGAGGAAAATCGAGCTTCATTCGTCTCCACAATACCTCTGGGCCGTGGAAGTACTCCCGCAGACATCGCCAATGCTTGTTGCTATTTGGCGAGTGATGAGGCTGAATTCATTACTGGCGTGAACTTGGAGGTAAGGAGAGTCTTGGAGAGAAAGTCGTGCCGACGCTGACAACACATTCCAGGTCGATGGAGGTCGCTGCGTATAGTTGGCATACTCGGGTAGGGGAGGATTTCTTGCAGTGACCAGCAACAGCGGGAAGAAGCTGTGTCGATTGGGCTGCATGACACTGGCATTAGTTGGACAGATCTTCGGAGGTCGTAGAGTGTAAGCTGGTGTAAAATGACAAAGTTCCTCTTGCCCTCCGGATATCCCTGCGTCGAGCTGAGTGATATAAGTGATTGTTTGCATTATAGCACTTCCGTCTGCGAGGCTATGATGTGAGGTAGGCTCTCGGAATGTCCCCCCATGCAGCAAGAATGTAGCAGTCGCAGCATTTGGCTGGCTTCTTAAACCCTGCACCACGACAACCCCGACCTTCAGGCATGCTCGTGCAAGTTGTGGTCCGCCCGGTTCGTGGTCGATGAAGGAGATGTCGTCCGGTCCGCAATGGCCAGGGTGTGCAAGTCCGCATTGTGAGCCAGGACAAGGTCATATAAGCAGGCAAGACACATTCATCGACTCACCTTTCGAATATTCTCCCCTCGACTCGGCTTTGGGCTTCAAGACACATTTGTCAACGGTACAACGTGTTGCTTCAGCTCCGCCGTCTTCGTGCAATATCTTCTCGCTTCGTTGCCTTTTTCATCGTAAGACTAGTACGAAGCGAGAAAGCTATTGCAAAAAGTCGATGCAGATACAATGGGTTTCATCACACTCGAGCAGCCAAGGCATGAATCTGAGTAAGATAAGAGTGAGTTGATAATCCTGATGAAGGTATCGAGATTCCTCGTACATTGGCGCCCGATGTTGCGGATGACTAAGTGTATGATAACTCCTGCGATGGGCGGCGGGATGCCTGGAATTGTTTTCCTTCTGGCGTTGAGCTCGGTCTATCCGTCTCTTTCCTTCCCCAGATTTTTGTTTCAGGCCCGCATCCTCCATCCTCCCACCGTCGTCCACCATCCGTAGGTCGGCTGGAATCCAGCATCGATCTCCATCGACACTGGCCTTCTGAACGGCATAGCACAGCACGGCAGCCTCAACCTTGACGCCTCTCTCCTCTGCCTTGATTGACTACGGCGACCGAGTCGTCGTTACTCGACTTCTACGCGGCAGAATTCCCCTGCACCGTAGCCGGACATGTGCTCTCACCCCGTGAGCCTTCTGCCAGCACGCCCGCACACCTTCGTTGACCAGGGTTGAACGGCTCGTACGTCTTGAGATCTGTTATACACGTGCTCCAAGCGTAGATACTGTATCAACCTCGTTTTTGAAGACACGAAAATGGTGCGTCGAATGCTGAGATACCAAACTGCGCACCTCCAACTAACCGCCCATGCAGACCGAAGTGAAGAAACCGCGAACCTTCCGTTGTCAGGAGTGTGGTCTTGTTGTCGCCCGTCCAAGTCACTTAGCCCGTCATCTACAATCCCACCTGCCTCCCGCTCGACGCGAGCACTTCTCTTGCACGCAATGCGGCCGCCAGTTCTCTCGCAACGATGTCCTGCTCAGGCACCTCCGGACGGCTCACCAAGCATATATCAGTCGGAAGAGATCGGCCCAAAAGTCGTGTTTTCGTTGTGTGAAAAAGAAGCTGAAATGCGACCGGGCTCAGCCCTGTGTAAACTGCACCAAGTCGGCCGCTACCTGCGAATACCCTATGGACGATTCCTCCGCAGATGGAGAGCTGCTACACGAGAAGGCAGAGTCGGATGTCTCGAGCGGCCAACAGATCCAGGAGGAAAGCACATGTCAGAGTGATGGATTCACAACCTCGGACTCTTATCAAGATCATGCCAATCCACAGCTTCCCATCCTCCAGACGAACGCTGTGTACATGCAGGATCATGATCAGCGCCATGCCGGTGTCCAGACCTTCACGGAGAATGCTCATTACTTCCAGCCAACTTCAGAGTCCAATGGTCTAAATATGATGCCTCCGGACATGGTCTCTTACCCTACGGCAAGTCCCACGAATGCTACAACAGATTTCGCCCAGTCGTTCATGGGATACGAGAACGCGTACTTGGCAGGCGATTTCAATTACATGCCTTCTAACTCGGCTCCCAGAGTCGTGGGTATGGCCGAAGGAGGCGTGGACTGGCTGGGCTTGGAGCTGGATTCCCCCAACAACGGTGACATGAGGGCGCACTCGATGGGCCAAGTCTTCTCTCCTGGCGCCATGCAGTTCGTGCCTCACCAGCCTGTAGCGCTCGGTAGCCCGGAAATGCTGTTTGGCAGGAATCAGCCTAATGGTGCTGGGTTTCAGCAATCCAGAGCTCAGGGCTCCAATGGCACCTTGGTCAAAACCTCAGAGTCTCAGGCCGTCGCTCAACAGTGGCCGTTCGATCATACTCGAAACCATGAGCCCCAGAAACATCGTTTGCCACCCTTGCGAGATATCCTGCAAGGGACAATTGCGTCGAGTGACGGCGGCAACACGATTCGATGCCTGATCCAGCTGCTGTCGACTTCCTACGTACCCGAAGTCGACTTATCCCAAGATTTGAGCATGATGTCGGCCATGGAGGTTCTGAAGAGCTCGCTGGATCTTTATTTCAGCGAATTCCATGCCGTCCTGCCTCTGGTGCACATGCCAACGTTTAACATGAACAAAGTCCCAACCGTCACATTGGCAGCAATGTCTTGCATTGGAGCCATGTACTCGGACGACCGGCAGGGTACTGAGCAATCTTCATCCTTGAGCGAGATGTGTTTGCAGATGATTGCTTGGCTGGTGAGACTTTCTGTCAAATTGTCTAACCTCGCTAACCAGACTTCTAGGGAGGTTCTGATAGCACTAACTTCTACAAGCCTGCTTACCTTATAGCATGTTGCCTTCATCAAATCTATTCACTTGGATCCGGCAACAGGCGCCTTTACCAGAATGCTGATTGTAACCGAGGCATCTTGATCGGCTGTCTGCGCGGAATGGGCATACTCAAGTCTCGTGTCAGCACCGAAGTGGAAGAGGAAGACATCGAGAACGCCTTGACACTCGGCAACGCCACGAGTGAATGGCTGCGTTGGAAAGACCAAGAAGAAGAAAAGCGCATCGCTTGGTCTGCGTTCGAATATGATTGCAGCCTCTGCACTTTGACCTCGAGAAGGGGCGCCGTTGACCTTCCGGAACTCCCCAGCCATTTACCATGCGCAGAACCGCTTTGGGATGCTCCTTCGGCCCAAGCTTGGGCGGCACTCTACTCTCGACTCTCGAGTACTGCTCGTGGTGCCCCTACGTCGAAAATCCTTCGCAACCTCCTGGCCGCCAAGGCAGTGCCTGCTGATTTACCGGCTTGGAGCAAGAGACTCTGCGCACAAAACATAGGGCGACTTCTATGGGACCTCAAACAATTGGACATAATGGCAACCAACGAATATTTGGGACTCCCGTCAATGTCTGCCGCCCAGAGACAAACCAAGTCCATGCTTCTGCAAGGACTCAATACGATTTGCGAGTCAATGTATTCTCCAGGTACCACCGCGGAGCTGATTCATTACAAGTAAGTGCACGATGGTCCCCTCCGAAATCTGGGGCTGACAGGGGGGTTACAGCATCGCGTCTCTGATCTGTCATTACTCCCATCTCTACAGCGCAGATGAAGCTATGGATCTTATTGTCCACATCTTTCGGACCTCGGCTTCTCAGTCGAAGTCGCCTGATCCCAGTCTCCTCTCCGCTAAGCGACGGCTGGCGTCAATATTGGTCAAGAATCCTCAGAACGCCCGCAATCTAGCATGGCACGCGGCACAGATCATTGCCGTTGCGAACGAGTATCTCGTTTCTGCGCCATGCGAAATCATGAGGGTTTTCATGGGCTACATTTTCATTCTCGCCTTTGCCAAATTCGGCCCGCAGCCCTCTTCGAAATTCAATCTTGATTCAATCCCCGTTCGCCTGGATTTGTCAAATCGGATCGAAGGCCAGAGGACTGTCATCACAACGTGGGTTGAAAATGGCGGACCCGCAAGCATAGGTTTGGTGAGGAATATATACAGCAATGGAGGCCTCAAAGCTATCAGTTCAGAGGCTCAAACAATGTTGCGAAGGTTGCGGTATTGGGGTCTTGCGAAGAAATTTATTCGAATATTGGAGAGCTTCGATTTGACGAACTGAGCATTGGTCGTCAGACTTGGGACGAGCACCACATTTGCAAGCCTGTGTCTGTTATCGATCAATCGATCCGGCACTCGTTGGCGAGTGTAACTCAAAATGACCGCAACGATGCCCAAAACGATTGGTCAAGCAATACATTATTTGGGTGACTTCTTCGACTTCTACGGCCTGTGTTTTCTAGGCGACGAAAGTCAGCCAGATTGACTACTAGTGCACCTTGTTGGAGCGGTTCGCAGGTCTTGGACATCGCGTGACACCAAAGACATCTCATGGCGTCCTAAACCCGAATTTCGCAGGTTATTTGTCGCTGAATTCTCCAACGCATATCTGTGGTACGTCCGAACTCCGGATGTTCACGAACGCGGAGGAACAGTGGAGCGTTACCTTTCGAGCCACGGAATTGTGCCTGGGTCATCTGAGAGACTGGGCCGTCTGCCATCTCTGAAATCATTGGTCGATCATTGGGTGAATTCTCGAAGTCGAAATCTTGCGAGTTTCTTCCGATCGAGTAACAATATTGGTGTGGGAAATGCGAACTTGATTGACCATTCGCCCGCAGGTACTCGCTTGGTTTGTCGTCAATTCGAACAACTTCTGCTTCGGTTGATCATTCGGCCGAAAGGACAAACACGTCCTTCGTTTGATATTTTGGGACCCTTATTTACATCAGACTCTGTTTGCCTCTCGCCCGATACGCTGAGGGACGCGCAATGGGTTCTGCGTCGCCGTTGATAGCGAACCATCAGGATGAAGTTCAGATTGATTCTGTCCACTTCGCATCCTTCGATTCTCTTCCAAACAAGCGACAATTATGGCCGGGATCACCGGGCTCGCGCGAAGAAGGACTTGGTCGATTGGTGCTTTTGACGCCTGAAGTTGTCGCAGCTGCAGCTGCGAGTTCTATTCGTTCTGGTCGCCGTGTGAGTGTCGGCTGGGAGCTGACCAAGCTCGAAATCGCCAATTTCAACCGGCTGCCGTGCGAACATCGGATTGTGCCATTGCTAGATGGCATGGCATTTGACGATATCTACACCTTCAATCCCCAGCAGAGCAGTCAATGGGATGGCCTACGCCATTTCTCGCAGCTGTGCCCGACCGACTTGGATCCGAAACGGAGGCTATTTTACGGCGGTGTGACGAAAGAGGAAATCAGAGATCCCCAGAATCACCGGATCGGCTTACAATTTTGGGCTCAAGAAGGCATTTGCGGTCGAGGCGTCCTGCTCGATTATGTCTCGTACGCGGAGCGGAGAGGTGTCTCGTATTCGACCTTCAGTGATCACTCAATACCCTTGTCGGTACTGCTCGAGATTGCGGAAGAGCAGAATGTGACGTTTCGCCGAGGAGATATTCTTTTCGTCCGCGTGGGCGTCACGAAGGAATGGGATACGCAGATGACGCCTGCGGACAAGAACGCATATGCCGAGTCCAAAAATCCACAGCACGCAGGAATTGAAGGCACAGAGGAAATGCTCCGCTGGATCTGGAATACTGGCTTTGCTGCCGTTGCCAGTGATGCCATCTCTTTCGAAGTATACCCTCCCAAGAAGTCTTATCCTAGAGCCAATGGACAAGAAGTCGAGGGTTTGTTTATGCATGAGTATCTCCTCGCGGGATGGGGCATGCCGATTGGCGAGTTGTTCGACTTGGAGGGTCTAAGCCGCTTGTGTCAAGAGCACAAACGTTGGGAATTCTTCGTGGCCAGCGCACCACTTAACATGCCCGGCGGGGTGAGCAGTCCGCCGAACTGCATTGCGATTTTTTGAAACCCGCCAGCGCCATCTGGTATTGGCGCTCCAGGTTGGGTGCAGCACCGCATGGGTGAGTTGGGGGAAAGGAGCAGTTGGGTGTTATACCTTGCCTGTCGGCGCAACCCATTTCACAGGAAACGGCATCTCCCCTGGCCAAGGTGGCACATCTCATCCGCATGCTTTCGGACAAGTCTGCCTAGACATCTCTTGTCCATCGACTGCACACCGTCGTCTGTGATATGTCGTAACGGTCTTATCGACGGGTTAGATATCTTACGATTTACTATGCACTTTTAGTATACATACAATTAGATATATATCTTCCTCGTCATCTCGATTTGGTCTTGATATCTTGATGGGACATGATATACGACCGACAATTGAATCCTAGCTTTTCTTCCGCGCCTTTTGCGCCTTCTCACAACTACTGCTAGCACCCCGATCCATGGAAATGGTTAAGCCCATCTCAATACCTTTCTGAGAAGGTGCAGGCCCTCGAACGGAACCTCTTACAAGATCCAGACTGCCCAGCCCTGCATAACAGTCCCTTGACTTTTGAATTTTTGCGGATCTCGCCCATTCATTTACTACTAGTATACTACTAGTATGTAGGTTAGACCTTGGAACCCTTCTCATTGATCTCGGTGGATTGCAGCAGCTGCTGTTGTTGTTGCTGCGAAGCCGCCATTGCTTGTTGGTCGTCGGCGTGCACAATGTCCCTAGTCTTGAGGAACTCGTCGAGTTCGCGGCGCTGCTCCTCGCTCACGTCGTTGACATGGACGGCGACGTCGTCGCCGAATTTGGCCGAGATCTCTTCGAGACTCAGGCGCGCGGTCTCGGGCCAGAAGAAGTAGATCATGGGGAGGTAGACGATGCACCAACACACGATGACAAGATAGTACTTCCAGCCGACGTTGTTGATGCCGATGGGCGCCGTCTGCAACAGGATGATGGTCGCGGCGAACTGGCCGAACAGGCTGAAACCCATGCCGATGGGGCGGATCTCGGTGGGGAAAATCTCGCTGACATACAGATACATGGTGGTGTCGCAGAAGGTGCCTTGGAAGGTGAGGTAGAAGAAGACGAAAAACACGCCCGCCGCGTTGCCCGCGTGGTTGGTGGTCCCCGCGTAGCTGGCGATCATGGCGCACAGGCACGACGTCGTCACGAGGCAGCCGGCTATGCCGATCATGTACATTAGACGGCGGGAGTTGACTTTGTCGTGCAGCCAGGCGCCGCCGGGGTTGTAAAGGAGGCCTGTGAGAAAAAGGGGATGAGTTGGGTGGGACCTTGAAAGACAGAGAAGAAAAAGAATAATCTTAACAGAAGGAGAGGAGAGAAATGGAGTGGAGAAAAGGGTGAGTAGTGAGCGCTTGCTTACCAGCCGTTGTGAGCCAGAGAGCGGATAGGAGGAGAGGCATCGAGCCTGTTTGGCCGAGGTTGGTGTACAAAATGACTGAGTAGTTGTTCTAGGACACGGTGATTGACGTTAGCAGTAGTCTCGAGATATTTGGAATGGCAAAAAGTCAAGAGACACCACGGGCACGTACAATGACAAGCGGTCCGGCGAATTCGGCACCCCATTGAGTCAGAAATCCAATGATCATCCTCTTGCGGTAGCTCTTCTTCTTGATACAGGCCATCCAGGGCCCATAGCCGATGGTCTTCAGTTTGGCAGCGTCAAGCGCAAGCTGTTCTTTGGTCTGGTAGAGCTCCTCCTTTGCGACAAGGTCGTCGGGGTCGTCGGGGGACTTGCGCAGTGCTCGGATCACGGTCCAGGCTTCTTCGATCTTGCCCTGCTGGAGCAGCCATCTCGGTGACCGGGGGATCCATATCGACGTGACCATCAGGACGAGCGGTGGCAGGGTCTGGACGCAGAGAGGGAACCGCCAGGCGAAGGATTCGTTCTTGGACGTTGCAAAGTAGCAAGCGTAGCCCAGCCAGCCGGAGAGCATGTAGCCAAACACGAGGAAAATGGCATGGTGTCCGACGAGCCAGCCACGGTTCTCAGGAGGCGCAAGCTCCGAAAGATACATGGGGCAGGCGGTGACCAGGATTCCGATCCCAAGACCTGAGATGACTCGACCGACGTGGAACATGGCCAAAGCTGCGGCGCCGCCTTGCAGCGCACCGCCGATGATGGCTAGTATAGCTCCCAACTGGATGCTCCGTTTGCGACCAAGAGATGTAGCCGACCACATGATAAACAGACTTCCGACGGCTCCGCCAGCACTGTAGAGGCCGTTGGCGGTGGCAATGGCGTCTGTCGTCTTCCCCCCATAGCCGGGCTCTCCTTGCATCGGAAGATCAAAGTACGTGTACCAACCAGGCTGACCAATGGTACTTCCAATAATGGCCGAGCAGTAGCCATAGGTCTTTTCAAGGGGTCAGTCGCGCGTCGCTGAGACCAGCAAAGAAGGGTCGTGGTGGGAAGGAAACGCACCATAGACCCAAAGGCCACAGCCACAGTCACCAGCCTGTTGTAGATGCTCGAATGGGTCGACGCATGTCTTTTCTTGACAGTCATGGTTACGGGAATTCCCCAACGAACAGCGGATGGCGTTCAATTGATGAGAAGATACTTCCGCGACATGAGAGGGATGAAGGGAAGTAGGGAGTAAATTAGTAAGTATATCCAATGCGCTGGTTTAATATGTCATGTAGCTACCCCAACAGGTCGAGGCCGAGGCTGAACTTATGACCGTGCGGTACGGAGTTGTGAGCAGGACCACCCAGCAGCACTTGTCCTGCGGGGATGGATCCGGGGGTTTTACCCTTCTCATGGGCTTGGAAGAAGGGCGCCAGGCGTCCATAGACTGACCGTAGCTCTGTGATTCGCGTTCTCGAAGAAACGGCTTCTTCGCCAGGAAGCATAGTCCGCTGATTCCGTGGTCCACCAGAGGTGGCTTTCAGGCCCTAGTAAGACCCTCATGGTGGTTTTAGCTGGAGAAAAAGATTGACAGCTGAACAATCTTTTCCCTTTCAGGTGCTGAAGAATTGTCCGGCCTGTACCACAACAATCTCCGGACGCCTGATTACTCGTCGCTAGGGGTCCAGCGCCCAAGCTAGGCATTCCTCCTGGGACCTAGCTAGGCAGTAGCCGTGGGATGTTCAACCATGCCAGGGATCTTTTTGGGTGAGTTGTTTCATGCTTGTGAGATGGGTGCAGCCAAGGCGATATGGAGATAAAGAGCCTCGTCGCCTTCATCTCTCCCGTTCAGAGATGGACAGCAAAGGGGCATCTGAGCGACATATCCATGCATATGCACACCACACAGTAGTCGCCTGCTTATCGGCATGCTAGCGGTTACAGCCAAGACCGTTGAACCGTAAGTCGCTCGTATAAAGGGTGCACTCCAACACACATCAAGCCTCTTCTGTGAAGATTGTTCTCGGTTGGATATTCGAGAGTGACTGCCCACGATGGAGGCTGCGAGGTGACATTGCCACCCAAGCTTGATGTAGAGAGCTGTCTCGAATTCTTTAGGGCGGATGCGTCGTCGTCAGGTGCACATGCAAACAGATGATGATTAGTATCAAATCAGAGGTGCTTGAGTTATCGTGCCCACGCCTACGATGGGCAGTGGGCAGATGGATCATGGCAGACCACGACGCCATCACGCTTCGGAGCGAGGCGCAGTGCATGTACCTAGTACATCCCGAGTGTGAATGCCGACATGATGAGATCAAGGATCTGACCAGATTAATATTGTCAGACAATGGCTCAACAAGGTACAGTAGTGTCGCAATGTGTGACTTTGCAGGGGAGGTTGAATGCCTGGACAAGATCTTAGCGAGGATAGTGCGAACGCCAGTATGCACGCTTCTCGAAGGGGAATTGCCATCAGCAGTGCATCAGCCAGCAAGAATTGTGCAGATATACCTCCGTACATCAAGCACAACCATCGCGTCTCTATCTCTCACCACATGCTCGACAGTCCTCGAAAGCCCAGAATAAGGATGATGGAAAGAAAGAGGCCGGGTTTCGATGGCCCTTCAACCACGATACCTCGATGTTTCACCTGTCGCTGCTCCTTTGAGATGACATCTGATGGTCTTGTTCGGATTTTTGGATCGAGCTCTCCGTACTCTGTATGATGCTCGCAGATGGCTAATAAAGTAAGTTAGAAGAGTTTCTTTCAGGTTACAAACTTGCTGAGACGGCACGTGACTTTGTCTCTTTGGTCCGGACATCAAGCACATCGACGACATCTACGATTGCCAAAAGCCTCACAATCCTCCACTTACATGCTGGAAGGATTGTTACCGCATCACTGCCCACGTTCCCTGAAAGTCTGTTTTCCTGCACATTGCCTGAGCCGAAGTCTGACGTTGTTCATCATCCCCTGGTCCTTGGTCCCAATTGACAACTCGCCTTCATATTCCATTCGATATCCAGATGTCAGATCGATTGCCCTTCCTACAGCAGGTTTCCATGGAGCTCGTCTCGTTCGGATGATGTTTCGAGTTGTTATGATCGCCGCACAGTCACACCATCCATTTCTAGCTCGTTGAGAACTGTTATCAACCTGGGAAATGCACTCCGTAAGCAATTCACGTCGCCTGACACCTTATCGCGACTCGACTCACCTCTCCAAACCCAACTTCAGCTCTTCCCTGGGCGATGCAAAGGTCAACCTAAAATTACCGTTTTTCTCGCTCCCAAAACTCGCGCCCATAGCTAACCAGACACCTCCCTTAGCCATACGCCAATTTAACTCCAGCTCAGCATCCTGGCTATCTTCCTTAATCCACCGCGATAGGTCAAGCCAGATGAAACTCGTCACGCTTGCTGGGTTGTACGGGATGTTATGGTCCCTGAGAAATGACGCCGTGTACTCGTACGAATCGGTCATACGGGACTGGAACAATGGGAAATACCAGTCCAACCACGCCTTGTCGGTAAGCAGATTCAACCATGCGTGCTCAGCGAGCTGAGATGCTCGTGTGAAGCTGGCTACGGAGCGGAATGATCTCATCAATTGCGGGTTGAAGGGCGAGATCAGGGCACCTATTCTGGTTCCATTGGCGCAAAAGTCCTTGCTCATGGCGTAAATGACGTGGACGAGAGACGGGTCGATGTATTGTTCGAGTGGAAACGAAAGAACTGACACAAACGGTGCCGGGCTCGGGATATCCTTGCTGGGAAAGTGCGATTTGGCGTAGACTTCGTCGGATATGAGGTGGATGTTGTACTTTGAGCAGAGCTTCAATATGCCGATAAGGAAGTCGTTGTCATAGGGGCGGCCGAGCGGATTATGTGGACTGGAGATCAGGATCGCTCGAATGGTAGTGCCGGACGCGTTGGCGCGGTGTAGAGTATTTTCATAGGCGGCGACGGCGGCTGCGGATGTCGGATTCACATCGCCGAAGGGAACGAGGACGGGTTTTATTCTTGTCCATAGTTGAGCTTCTGAATCGATGGTACGGAGTATCGGGGAGAAGATCAAATGGAGAGACGCACTTACTTCGCCCGTGCTTCTATGTCTGGAAAGAAACCTACATACAGTGGTCGACCGACGAGGATACCGTCGCCTGGTTCGCCCATGCAGAAGGATAGATTGTCGACGGCGCTGCCTGCTCCATTGCATATGCAAATGTGGTTCTCGGTGATTTCCGTCGACGGCTTGAAGACCTCCTGGACGAAGCTAACGAGAGCTCGGCGTAACGCTGGGTCGCCGTTGGGACCTTGACCGTAAGTCAGATGCCATGGGTTGATGTTCATATGTTTGTTGATGTGTTGGCAAATCTCATCGCGCATCAACTTGTTCTCGGCGATGGCCAGAGCGACGATGCCATTCGGGTTGTTGACTTGGTCATATTGGTTGTGGAAGCAGTGTGACCGAATTTCTTGGAGCTTGTTGGGGACGAGATTGTCCAGAGCACGTTTGGAGATGTATCCCATCCTCCTGTACTGTTGTCTGAACAAGGAGGGAAGGGACATTTCTCAACCGAGCTCATAGCGACGGAAGGGATGGAGATAAAATGTCGTCAAGATGTTGAAGTTGCTTATCTAAGCAGGCTTTTAGCGGAAGCGATGGAAGAGAAGAAGTCGTAGAAGTCATGATACCAGACGGAAGTATAACAACGACGGTGGTAGTTGTGATCACGATGATCTGGGTGGAAGTGTTAACATTCATAGCACCATGACGATGCCCAGTGTAGGCAATATATCACTTTTAAGGAATAGAACTGTCCACAGTGCTTGAGAGAGTCACGTCTTTGTAATATATTCAGAAAGGGAATACAATACCTCGTCTACTGGAAAAGGCCACCACTGGGTGTTCAGTCTGGCTGAGTACTATTGAGACTAATACATCAAGTGATGTCGCCTTATTGCCTCGAGCCGAAAGATGCATCTGCAGGTCAAACTAAACTTTGCCGCTGTGCAGGGGATAGCCACAGCTGAGTGAATGTATTGGTACCTGCAGGCTGATTCTTGAAGTCCTATTCACCTGATTACTACCTATGTTTCACTGTCCGCAAAGTGCCGTGTGTCACTGGCGTGAATCATCATCTTCGACCGCAATCCTCACTCACGTCGAGCTCGCTTCTCGCTACATCTGGCCGCCCGAAGGAAGTGCTCAATGTTATTCAGACTCATACTTTCAATATGCCGACCATGACCAATCTACAGAGATTCTACTGGGCTCGCTTCAGTCAGGCAAGTCCCTGCTTCCATTGTCTCTTGAAGTACTGACCTTTGTGCAGGCTGTCGAGAACATTTGCCATGGCAACACCAGCAGCTCCATTGAGACATTCTACGACCTTCTCTTCCAACCGGACCTCAACCCAATGTTGCGCGCATCGGTCAATTCGTGCATTGCAATGCATGCAGACATTGGGCGCCACCCAGATAAAATGAATTGGATCATCGAGGCCAGACAGATCTTGCATGAATTGAAAGACTGGGCGACGGACTCGAAGAGTAAAGAGCAACTTAACTTTTGGAGAAGCGCATTGACGGCGCAGAGGGGATAGTCAAGAAGCAGGTTGAAGCCACGAAGTCAACGCGACCTCATGCGGGTGAGGCAGCAGAAGGAGGCAAGGAGAAGTCCTAAGGGGCTCACTCTAAGAGAATAAGATCTGACACTTGGAGCCATCGAAGACTTCACCATCGGATCCCTGGAGGAGTCACACCAACCATCACCTCCAGAGACAATTCCTTCATCGCCTCCAGACCTCATGGACTTTGTCGAGGAGTTTGAGCCTCGATTGCGACCCCCTCTGCCCGCGCATGCTCTGGCAGGAAGATCTGGCGATATGTTGATGACTCCAGAGCCAACAAGTGATCTCCGAATGAATGGTCGCAACGGCAATAACAATCATGGACATGTTACGGGTCATGGCAATGAGTCAGGCAGGTGATTATGCCCATGTCGCGATGTAACAGCATATAGACGGCCTGCTCCTCATCAGCATCCTCATCAGCAGCATCCTCATCGCGGGGATGGAGTGAATCCTTAGCATTCCAGGGGCACGACATGGACGAATTATGATTGAGCAAAGGATCCGGCGTACTTGGCGCTGTCTCTTTCCAAGAGGATTGAGCTTCTCCAGGAGGATATGTCGCGTTATTGTTACTCTGACGAACAGAGCATCGAATGCCCGGGAATAGGTCATTTTCAGCTGGGCTCCGAGTCACCTACTAGTAGACAATGGATGGTAGCACAGCAAACTTATGGTGCTATAACGAAGCCAACATTGACCTTGCCAACATATCACAAGAATTGAGCAATCGACTTTCAACGATTGGCATCGAACGTATGGCTGTTCATAAGGTATCGATGCTGAAAGCAGATAGCGCTGGAGTTTAGCTTTTAGTAAGGTATGCAGGTTAGCGATGACCACTGTCCGCCGAGCCGCGCCTAGTTAGTGAGCCCTAATCTGACCTCCTCACCTCCTCGAGACGCCCCATGCCTCCGTAGCCAGGCCCGGCAGGCGCTAAAACCACATTTCAACTCACTTCATTTCAAGTGGTTACAGTATCTTCAACATTCTGCATTATTTCCCCCCACCACTCATACGAAAGCAGTGCTAGTCTATGTTGCCATGGCGTATCATTTATCGTCTGTCTCTACCCGAAGCCAGCGTATTGAGGCACGCTCTTGGTCGCATAGCCGTAAGCACCCTTGCTGCTTTCACGCGATACTCTCGAAGCGGTATAACCTCAGGACAAATACTCAATCAACCTTGTAAAGCGATGCATGATGTTTACCAGATGCTCCTCGCCGGTTTATTGCCAGAACGGTGCAATTGCACCCGCATAAAAGACCACGAGGGCTCCAGGATTGAAGCATGGCCTGCATAGCAAGAAATTGTGAGGGATGCCGCCAGAAGTTCTATCCACATGGTTGAAACTGAAGCGACCATTCGCTCTTGCGCATTGCAGGCTGGACCAACGGCTGCTGACGATAGTCCTTGTTGCCTGTGGTTCGCCCTGCATCGGGTGGGTAGCAAACTTGCTGGCAGCAAGTGACTCTACCTTCCTCCTCAGTCAATCGAACAGGTCAATGCTGAAGGCGATCCTCCTCGCCATTAGCAGTGCATGAACGATAATATGTGAAGGCGAAGAGATATTGCGACTACAAATTGGGCGGTGCGTGGATTCAAGGCTGGTGGCCCTTTGCAATCAGAGATAAACACTCCTTACCACTTTCTAACAAGACAAGACTATTTCGCTGACCAACCTTCATCCACCCCAAAACGACGTCAGGAAACGCACATCTGCTCACAGCTGACCAAGGGCCTGTTTGTCCGTCCTGAGGGCGGTTGGGGGCTTCAGGGCTTGCCACAACCTCTAAGCCTAAGCCTCACAGATCAACAGAAGCAGCCGCCGCCACTACCTGGTGATATAATCGCGCCCTCTTCTGCTACTCAGCAAGCCCCGAGCCTGAACCCCATGAAGTCGTTCCTTCGTCGCCCATCCACGGCAAGTTTCCGAGCTCCAACCGCCAGCAGCCTGGCTAGGACTCAACGGATTCAGCAAAAGCGATCAACGATATCGTTACGTCCAACTGCGCCAACTGAAACTCCGTCGAGGTCGGATCGCTCCTCTTCCCCGACCAAGGGTAAATCTGGTGGTAAGTTTTTACTCAGCAAGTTTGGATTTACCAGCAAATCAGGATCAAAAGCTGGTGGCGAAAACGAGCAACCGGGTGTGCGATTTGACCGGCAGCCTCAGTTCAAAGACAACTTGGGCTCAGAAAACTCCCAAAAAGAAAACAGCGGGGAAGAAGGAGAAATGAAGGAATGAGACGATTGTTGATAGCTGGCGCGGTGTGGGTGTCATGGGATGCATTTGGAGTAGGGAAGATATCATGATATTGCAGGACGATGGACAGGTTTGGTGGGTAAAGCAGGAAAACTGTGTGATCACGATGTACAAAGATTTTTCTTAGGTCTACTACTACTATGGGTTTCCAAAAAGTTTCATATCAGATTGCCTACCTATAGGGAGAAAGAAGTTTACAAGGCTTACCGACAAGTGTAACTGTTCACGTACAAGTAGGAATGGCGCCATTCGGGAATAAAATACTGCTCATTCTCTGCTCAGTAAGTCCGTTCACGGAAGGACCCGACAATTAAACGTCACTGCTGTACAATCTGCAAAAAGAACTTCAAAAAGAAGATGCGATCATTGTGGATCGAACACAAGACCTTCAGATAAACTGTAACCGAAGTTGAACTTCAGTCCTGGCGGGGCCGTTAGGAGCTGGTACTTTGAGAATTTGAGTTGAGTAGACTCACTGACGCTCTCCCAACTATAACTGGAAGTCAGTACAATCGTCCAATTGAACTTTGAAGTGGACATTTTCGCACCTGAGCTATGATCGCTATCATCGCTGATTGCCAATTCGACGTCTGATGGCCGATTGTTGACGACAATTCAGGGAGTATGATTGATGAAGAAAATTTTTCCAGCTCCACGCTAGCGGCTTGGGAACGTGGGTCGTTCAGGTACGCCTTGACGCCTTCGACGCCCTGTGTCTTCATGATGAGTAAGCATGTGCGCAGCGCTATTGAACAAGCTTGCCGGAGTCCTCACTGCTTCAGACACTCATTTGAAGCTGTTTCTATACTCTTCGTCATGTGCGCTCATGCACAGCCTAGTATGGTCACATTCCACGAGACAGACGTTGCAACAACGACATCACGACATCACGACATCACGACATTGCTACCTGGTATTCTCTGTTCTCCGCACATCTCCCTCTCCACAGATTTCCTCTCTTTCTCTTCTGCGGAGTCAATCGGTTGGTCGGCAAGCATGGTGCTCTCCTTGACCTTGATCTACAAGGGCTACAGGATATACGTGGCTCTGTGGGCGGGGGAGCCACTGCACCAACACTCGATGTGTCCAAGCCTTCGGCATTGCGACCGGCGGTAGACAGTCTGCCCAACGTCATGGACGGAAAGGCCATAAAGGAGGCACGAGACCACCTGAGTGACCATGTAATTCTGGGTGTATTTTGAAGGTGAGTTGTCATCTTGACCTTACACCATACCTAACACACCATGTATCGGACACTCTCAAAGACCTTCTGTCTCGTTCTATGCCTGCCGTTGTCCTGGGCCCAAAGTCAAATCGCACACCCGGCTCAGACTCAAAACACCACCTTCAACGCGACATATGGCAAGCTTGACCCCTCGCAAGCCGAGATCCTCATTGCAAATGCAAATCTATCCGAAGAACTGTCAAATGCGATCTTGGTGGCTGTCAACTTTGAAAGATCCAACTGGGCAGGCTCATCGACTCAACTCGACCCTTTCTACGTGGATATCCCTTCCAATGCCTCTCACGCCCAAGCCGGTTCCGTCATCAAAGTCGAGCAGTACACCAACACTTCGTTCTATACCGTGCCACCCAACGTGGCCCTCTCGCGTATGGTGTTCATGACGAAAAATCTAAACGGCACTGTGATCCCCGCATCCGCCTACGTCTTGTGGCCCTGGTTCCCGCGGCGCTTCAACAACATTACCGGCCTCCCCGTCGTAGCCTGGGGCCATGGCACAAGCGGCTGGAGCGGTGAATGCGGTCCAAGCCACATCCGAAATCTGTGGTACCAGTACAGCGCCCCCTTCGTCCTCGCTCTGCAAGGCTACGTCGTCGTCGCACCTGACTATGCTGGCCTCGGTGTCGATCACGACTCAGCTGGCAATTTCTTGCCGCACCAGTACCTTGCCAGCCCTGCTCACGGCAACGACCTGATCTACTCGGTCCAAGCCGCGCAGAAGGCGTGGTCAAGCCTGAGCAAGGAGTTCGTCATAATGGGCCATTCGCAAGGCGGTGGAGCCAGTTGGGGTGCCGCTCAGATTCTCGCGCACAGCCCTGTCAAAGGATACTTGGGCACAGTAGCAGGCTCGCCGGGCACATCGGTCCGCGCGCTTGTAAACGGCAACCTAGGCAACCCTGCATCGCTGGGCTCCCTGCTGCTCCGGATAGGGACAGGTATCAAGTCCGTTTTCCCTGGTTTCCAGCCCTCGACGTGGCTCAACGATAAAGGCGTTCGGTCTCAACAGCTCCTACAAGGCCTGCAAGGCTGCCAATCCGTGGCGCTGGAGCTGTTGAGTCAGCCTGACCTGTTCAAGGACGATTGGAATAAGACATGGTATTTCGACGCGTTCAACAATTTGACGCATAATGGAGGGAAGCCTTTCGCTGGTCCCATGCTCGTGCTCCAGGGGACGGCCGATTCTAGTGTAAACCCCAACGGGACGACGGCGGCCGTGAATGCAACTTGTCGGGCGTACCCGGACAATGCGTTGGAGTATGCGACGTTCGAAGGAGTGAGCCATGTTCCCGTGCTGTATGCCGGGCAGCAGTTGTGGCTGGACTGGATTGCCGATCGTTTCAACGGAGTGAAAGTCCAGAGCGGATGCAAAAGGTCCCATTATGCGCCAGAGCTGGATGTCGTGGCGTACCAGAAAGAAGTGGCTCTGTTTTTGGAGTATCCTATGTATGGATACGAAACGGCGTGATTAGAAGGTGAAGAATACAGGTCGAGCAAATGATCCAATTGCCATGCCTTCCAGCCTGGGCACAATGCCATGGTATCAAGGGCAATGAAACCCACTTAACCAGGGTGCAAGACGGCTGCCGCTTGAATCGTCGAAGCAGCAGTTGCACCTCACAATGAACAGGGTCCCCGCCTACCATATACATTGTCCTGGATCTCGTCTTGAACAAGAGTCCCTCCTGCCACACAGATTGTCCTCGTTGCTGTTTGTCATCGAATGGCACCTAGCGCCAAATCACACGATCTACCCATGAGACCTCCCGCCAGTATTGAGTCAGGAACTGGGTGGATTGAAGTAAGTAGGAATAAAAAAATATATAAATATACAATGACATTAAATGGTCAATATAACGTGCCTAGCAGCTCTGTAACAGTATGCCCTTCAATAGCATTGACCATATCTCGAATCTGCGTCGCCCTCCTCTCCCTAAATACCGGATTTACCAAACTAAAGAACTTCGCATCGACCTGTTCTCTCGTGAATGGATGCTGCGTCTCGCCCAGCGGGTACGGAATATCGACTTCCTCGGTCTTGCCATCGGCGTACTCGACCTTCATCCTCGATCCGAACTGCTTGATCGCTTTGTCCCCCTTGCAGGTAATTTTGTCGGTCAACGCCCTGATCTCCGGGTCCATAAGCCGGTCCTTCTCATAACACCGCACGCCATTATCCGAACCGTACAGGAAGCTGTTCGCCGTGGTAAAGTACGCCGAGAACTGCGCGTCGACCATGTTCTCCGGATGGATCTTATTCGGGATCGGGGCGCCCACGACGCTTACATTCGCCGGACTGAGCGAGAGCGTTATAGATTTGACGTCGCTCGCCTTGGTGTACCCGCGTTCCCGGCCGAGCTTGGTCGCGTTCTCGATGAAGCCGTGCGTCATCCGGCACGCGGGGAACGGTTTGAGCGAAGTCTCGAGGAACTCCCACCTACTGCCTAGCTCGGCCGTGAGATAGACCAGGTCCTTGTCCTCTTTGGGCGAGTAGGCGTTCAAAAACCCAAACGTGCCCTCGAAGATCTTGGCCGCGCCAATGACGCCTGCTTCGGCCAGCGCGACGGCCATGAAGGCATCGTGCGCCGCGAATCCCGGGTGCAGACGTTTGTTCCAGCTGCCGTTCTCGAGATACTGCATCGACCCGGCGGCCTTGGAGCCCGCCAGACCAAAGGCGTTCGAGATGGTTTCCGCCGGCAGGGATTTCAGCACGCAGATGGTCGCAACGGCGCCGAAGATGCCGGCCGTCGAGGTATTGTGAAACCCGCGCGAATACGCCTCGTTGCCGAGTTCCTTGCCCAGCCGGCAGGTGATTTCGTACCCGATGGCGACGGCGAGGAGGAAGCGGTCCATGTCGGCTTGGTCGCCGAGAAGTTCGGCTTGGGTCAGTCCGGCGGCGATGGCGGTGACGCCAGCGTGCAGAGTGCCTTTGGCGTATGTGTCGTCGAAATCGAGGCTATGGCCCAATGCGGCGTTGAGGAGGCTGGCATATTGAGGCGTGAAGGATTTGCCCTTGCCGAGGACCGTGGATGATCCTGTAGCGCCGCCTAAGGCTTTGACTGCGGCCAGGATTGGCTGAGTCGAATCTGAGGAATGGCTGGCGGCGAGGGTCACGCCGATGTAGTCGATGATGTATTCTTTCAGTCGGTCTCGCACATGCTGGGTAAGGTAGTCGGTGCGGGCATTGGCGACGAAGGAAGCGAATATACTTGTCACGGCGATAGGTTTGGCGAAGTGGGTGGCGCTGTTGACGGCGTTTGCAGTGCTGCCATTGACGGCAACCTCTGTTGTTAAAGCTGGGGGCATATTGACGGGAATCCCGATTATGTGCTTGGGATGGATACCACGGTGTGATTTTTCCAAAATGCATGGTTTTCGAAGTATATGAGGCCGAAAGTATGCACTGCGAAGCAAAAGTTGGAGATGCCGCCTCCACCTCCACAAACCCCTCGGTAGCAACGGGAGGCGAGCTACGGAGTAACAGGCCTCGGAAGCTTTGCGATGCTGGATCCGGCAATTGGAGAAGAGAAAGGGAGTACAGGTATGCATCTCGAAAAGACACGCGGGAATAGCCGAACAAGACCAGTTCGAGTCCGTTATCGGAGTGGAGGCGAGACAAGCAACGATCCATTCAGAATGTATGTACAGAAGAAGGATCAGCTCCTACCTAAAAGTCGGTGCTCTTGTCGATTTGATTTCGTCTTGCCGTCTACTCTTCCTGATCGCAAGACGCTGCTCACTGGGTCGTTGCATACGTGGCGAGCGCGGTTTGATTGTAGTAAAGATCGCATGCATGTGGATGCTGGAGGCAGTATTTGGGCACCAGAGGTGCAGCTTGAATACCATTTGCCACCAGATACTCGCGGAAATTCAGGATTCGCTGCGTCAACTGGGTGGTGCGTTTAATGCCCGTCTTGGGATCTTTGTTACCGGACCAGGCAAGCTCAGCCATAGCAGCGGCGCGAGGCCACATCTTTGACGAGATGACGGTATCGTCGACTTGCTCGGACCAGAGTGGTACTTCAGTTCCAAGGACATGGGTTTTCTCCTGGGCTGTGAGGTTCAATGTGAAGTCGTAATCGTAGATACGTTGCCAGCTCTTGTAAGGTGCGCACCATGAACCTCCATTGCCTCCGTAGTTGAAAGTTGGGACTGAAGCATTTGGATTGGCCATTTCATTGTATCGAGGATCGTTGGATACCCACCCACCAAAACCACAGTCGAGATAGAAGAAGTCAGCCGAAGAGACCACGATGTCATATCCTTGTGAGGTCAAGTTCTTGATGTTTTCGAGCCCATTGTTCCAAGTTTGCAGGATGATATTTTTGGGGACAGTGTGGGCATGAGGTGTCGCAATAAGAATATCCTCCCACATCATCAACGTCTTGTTCGCGGCTGATCTAAAGGTCGGGATTGCTCGATCGACCCAAACTTGAACTAGGTCGTCGTAAGTTCTTGATTTGTTGTGAGCGAAATACTGTTGCACAGCTGTGCTGAAGTTGTAACAGCCTGTTTGAAGTTCGTCGGCTCCGACGTGGAAGATGTCGTCACTGAACAGCCCGGCGAGCTCCCCGTAAACGTTTTTGATCACCTCATATGTCTTGTTGTTCAGGATATCAAGTTGTCCTGGATTCGGTTCCACCGCCGTATGTAAGGCCCAGTCGTCTACAAATAGTCAGCAGTTCGTCAGTGGACAGATGAGATCAAAGCCTAAGGCTCTTCAGAGCTTACCGTTCGACCACCAGGAATCTGCGCAAGCCAAAATACTAGGATCGACCGAAGTCCAGCCTTGAGACGCATGACCTGGCATGTCGATCTCCGGAATGATACGTACACCACGAGCACGAGCATAGGCGATAAGATCTCGGATGTCATTTTGCGAGTAAGTACTCTGTGGCGAGTATGCCCCTTGTGTCATTTGCGGATAGACTTGCATTTGAACGGGCCATGACTGCGCATCGGCCATGTGCCAGTGAAGCACGTTCATCTTGGACAGCGCCATTCCATCGATCTGCTCACGGATTTTTGGTAGACTGATAAAGTTACGCCCCGTGTCAATCATGGCACCTCGATATGGGTAGTTGGGATGGTCGATAATCGAGACTGGGTTTTCGACCATGAGACCTCCATTTCCATCCGAGATGATGAGTTGCTGCAAGGTCGTGAATGCGTGAAGAGCACCCCAGACTGTCTTCGCCGTTATGTTGACGGCTTGCGTAGATTGAATTATGTCGACTGTGTACGACTCATCGACACCATGCTGCAAATCAGCCGCACAGTCGGCAATGGTAAGATCAACCTGACTGAGACTTGAGTTCCACCGTTTAACTCTGGACGAGGGCGCGTCGGTCGGAAAAGGTTGGAACTTGGGAATAGGAGCTTCAATTGCCGCAGGCACCCACTTTAAAGTACTGATAGTAGTCCAAGATCGGTTCCAGGCATCAGTGATGATTTGTTCCGACTGTGTATTTAGCATCAGATCCGTCCCGACTGCTATCGGTCCCGATGAGCCCCATGTTGTTGATTGAGGTGCGGGCAGAGGATTCACCTTGATAGCATTAGTGAGAGTTATCAGAATAGCGACTGTAAACACTGCAAGTCTGCATCCAACGCGGCCCATCTTGTCCGATTGTACACCCTGTGAAAAGGTTAGTAGGCAAGGATTGAGGAGCAATTCTGTTGATTAAGACGGGACATGTGGCATTGTTATGTCTTGACGAAAGTGAGTAACACTGGACCTTTCGGCGCGTGACGAGAACCGTCCGTGCGACGTTGCCTTCAAATGGAGGCTACATATTGAAGCATTGATTCAGGTTATCATGTAGCCGAACATCTAGTAAATGTGCGGGAGTTCTTATGCAATGTAACTCGAATGGTGCTTTCTTCTCTCGCGCGATTTGGAGACTGCAACGGTGACATCAAAAGCTCACAGCTTCCGATACAGAGATTGTAGCTGAAGATGCCAGGATACAGCCTCATATATTGCTAGTAGTTCGTGCTAGCTTCCACTAAACCGGATACTAGCTTTGTCTAAGATGTGGCTAAGTGCACTGGACACCCGCTTATCTCTTATCTTCCCCGCATCTGCCGTGAAGTTCTTCCACCTGCCACGACCAGCCCATGGATGGTACCTTGACATTTCGCTCATGAAACGTTACAATCCATCTTCTCCTATCGGTGAATACACCGGCTGCTGTTCAGAAACGGAAGCCTTCGACCAGAGCAAGAACAATTCTGCCTTTGTGGTGGTTGCTCTTCGATGTCAGACTTCTGAGTCTCAGTATCTAGGTAAGCATCATGCCGGATACTCCTCGATCGACTAAAGGCGTATGTATGAAACCCGGTGCAACCTCTACTGGGATAACTGTATGCCGTAGCCTTTGTGAATTGAAGTAGAGCTGCCTTGCTGCATTGAATGCAACTTGGGATTTTCCAAGATGCCGCAGCCCAGCGATATGGGACATCAGTCATGGTGGTAGATGAGGCTACTAAATATATGATGATGGACTTGTAGCTTCAATGCCTGGCGCAACGCTTACAGGATGCAGAAAGTTAGGCGGCTGAGCGCCATCCTTTAAGCCTATTGAGCCCATCAAGGCCTAAACTCACGCACCAAGCCACTAAAGCAAGCGTGATGGCCTGTTGGCCAACGATTGGCGTTGATGACCTAAGCAAAAATTGTTTTTGTCCTTCGCGCCTACGGAGTACGCCTAGTAGCAACTTCAACACAATCACTACGGGCGTGCAGCATGAAAAGCCACGGCGCCAGATACTTTACCCTATTTCGTCTTTCTGACATCTCTCGGTAGCGTGAGCTGAAGTGTCGGTCTCCATAGTCCCATGGTCGGCCAGGAGGCATCCGACCTCCAAGTGAGGGAAGATTCTCATGATGACTCCAGACCGGCAAAGAGGCAGCGCAACTTCATTGCACGACAGGTAAGTACTGAATCACCACTCGAAGACTATTCGACTGCTAACCCTTCTAGGCCTGTGAAGCTTGCCGTACAAAGAAGACGCGGTGCGATGAAGACATGCCATGTAGCTTGTGTCGGAGTCTGGGGATCGAATGCACCTATGTCGAGCGCAAACCTACCAAGTATGCCTGTCTCCAGACCATTTTCTTTGGGACGAACTGACGGCTTCACTTCCAGAAACGAGACCTCTATGGGTATGATTTTCAACACTCTGAGGAGAATGGAGTCCAAGATCGACCATCTCTCAATCCCAACCGCTACTAGACCTTCGCCGGAGGTGTCTCATCGAAGTGAATCAAATCATGCTCCTATTGCTAGCCCGTATTCTATGGAACCGGTTCCATCGAACCGAACCTTGCCCTCACCACAAACCCAGACAAGCAGACCTCTGACTCAGCCGACAGCCAGCGGATCGGTACTGTCCTTCAGTGCTCATCGAACTATTCATTGGCCTGGAGTCCATGCGTCGCTGCCACCGAGTCTTTCTAGCGCCATTGAAAACCTGGAGATAACATACCCTACTCATCTGGAGTCCGAACGACCGTCACTAAACCCCATCATCCAAGCAGCAGCTACAATGCCTACAGGCGATTGGCTGTCCTCGCTGAGTTTGTCATGTGTTAAAGAACTGTCCAACGCCTATTTCGACACCTTCAATCGGGTATATCCTTTTATCGATCGAGACTACTATTACCTAAACACACTTGCTGTTGTGGTTCGTGAGGGATTCGGCTACGACATGGAATCATGCCTCGTTCTCAATATCATGGCATTGGGTTGTATGGGGCTCAAAGCTTTTGAAGAAGGTGGCTTTGACACATCCCAGCATGCTCCGATCACGCCGCTCATTCGTCACATCATGGAAGAAGAATTCGCCGGACTGAGCTTCTTCAACGAAGCCCGCAGAAGAGTAGGGTTCTGTCTCTGCGAGCGAGACATTCAGAGCTGCCAATATTATCTGTCATCAGCAGTCTTTTTCGCCCAAATCATGCGCCCAGTCGATGAGTGGATGATGACCAATCGAGCATCTGTCAGTTGTGCTGCCTTCTGGAAATGTCCGCCCAAGCCTCTTGATGAATGGCTGTCCGACATGCAATCGAGGTTGTTCTGGAGTGCGTTGACACTCGAGAGCGTCATCGTGCAAGAATTGGAATTACCATCCAGCGGCTTGAAAGAATGGGAGGAGACAGTCCCGCTGCCAAAGTTCACCACATATCCGTACGTCAGCAAGTCACGCGCTCAAAACTCGGACGACTCGTATTACCATTATCACTTTCTTGCGCAGATCGCCGTGAGAATCATCTTGAGTCGCGTGCGTGAAGAATTGTACTTCAGCAATCCTTCAACGGCTCTTGCAGAGGAGCTTTGGCACCAATTGTGAGTTCGTCCTTTCGATACGCTAATCGGGGAAGACACTGTAGCTTCTAGTCTTGGTTTCTCTTGTGTACCAGAACAATACATTGACTGTCGACAGGGAGCAGTGGCGTGCCAACCTGCCCGAAGCGCTGCACTTCGCTGAGGACGATCCGGAGCCCGTCTTCGACAGCCCCAGCGATGCCGTGGTAGTCGCTCTACTCCAGGCCCGGTATCGCATCTCGACGTTCCACCTGGGCCGGCCTTTTTTGTACAAGGCATTGCAGAATCCATCAGCAGCTACGGACAATGACCTGAAAATGTGTTCGAGGGCATTGCGGTTTGCAATGGACTGGCCTCTAATTTGGGACCGTCTCCGCGCCATGCCAAATTTCATGCCACTGAAATATTTTTGTGCTGGTCAACTTTTTGGTCAACTGTTCATTTTCAATGCATTCAAAAACTCGACCAACGAGCGACTGCGGAATGCACTCCCTAACGGGTACGATCTGTGGTGCACCAGAATGCTCAGATACATTACCGAATTCGTTGGATCCAGTCCGACGATGGCTAAGAACCTTGAGCTGCTTTCCACACTGTATCAGCCCAGGGACACATGAAGCTGGTGCGCCGGAACAACTTGTGATTGCATTGTGGAAGCTTCGCCAAAATGCGGCCCTCTTATGCGAGGCCATCGTGGCCATCTTACTGTAAGCCCCGTCGATCGCTTAAGCGTTATTAGGCGAAGTTTGAGGCTCTTAACTAGTGGCGGACTTTTGCGAATCACGTCCCAGTGCTAGCCACAGAGTTTCTGCGCTGACTTTGGGTACCTACCGTGCCGGCGGCACCGACGGCCCTTCCATACGGAAACGGATCGGAGTACAGGAAGTTGTCCCTCTCTAACGATTTCCCAGAATGTACGGAGTACGACCACCCAAGATCAGCATTGCGATTCGATGTGAATCGGCGGGGTACGCCCTTCTCAATCCAATGGTTGGCATACAGGTAGCTCGGGTGCCGACTGTGGCACCTTGGGTTGCCACTGGGTTGCCAATTCTGATACCGAACCTAGTGTCGCCTCCAGCAAGGCGCACCCGCATGCACCGCGTGTCCGAACTGCAACACGAGCAATCACGACCACTTCAAAACCATGATATAACGTTCATTGCTCTCAACTGCGTTAAGATATTCCTATCTCGGGTTCGTTATCTCGGTCGGCTACCACCATCTTCATCTAACGAATCAATCGCACATCATGAGCGTCAAAGTCCAGTCCGCGACTGACCCAAATGTAAGTGTCACTGCGGATTCGTTGCTGTTCCCGTCTCTCCCATACACACCTCTTGGTGCTAACCACACGCACAGCTCACTCTTTCCAAGGACCGTTGTGAGCCTGGTTCAGTGAATATCCCACTATGCAAATGGCCAAAGACAGCGGAGACCACATCTTCTGATCCTAATGAAATCGCCACAAAGATTGTGGATGCATTCAACTCCTCGCTCAACAATGGAGACACCAAGGCGATAGCCAATCTGTTCTTAGAAGACGGATACTGGCGGGACCATCTCGGCGTTACATGAGACCTTCGCACGTTGAAAGGACGCGACAAGATCTCCGACTTCTTGGTCGACGGGTGTCCGTTGACCCAGATCGAGATTGACAAGAGCACGCCTTACCGATCACCACAATTTGGAGCCTTCGATGGTACAGGAGACGTCAAAGGCGTACAATTCTTTTTCAATTTCACCTCCAAAACAGGGGTTGGCCAGGGTCTTGCTCGCTTAGCCGAGAAAGACGGACAGTGGAAAATCTTCACCTTCTTTACGACACTGCGTGACATCAAGGGCCATGAAGAAGCTACTTACCATCGAAGACCCAAAGGTGTGGAGCATGGTGGGAAACCTGACAGAAAGAACTGGCAAGAGAGGAGAACTGCCGCCATCAATTTCCAAGGCAAAGAGCCGACAGTATTGATTGTTGGTATGTTGACGCTTTGCCTGCTCATCGAACCACCACTTACAATTCCTCAGGCGCCGGCCAGGCCGGGTTGACGGCAGCTGCCCGTTTGCAAATGCTCGGAGTCGACACTCTCATTATTGATCGCGAGAACACAATTGGCGACAATTGGCGAGGCAGATATCACCAACTTGTTCTACACGATCCAGTTTGGTAAATCTTTCCCACCGCCAGGCCGTGCCATTCAAGCACGAGTCTAGCTTTTATTCCTATCTGGACCTGTACAATCTTCTAATCATTTGCAGGTACGATCACATGCCTTATTTGAATTTCCCTCCGCATTGGCCAATCTTTAGTAAGTTTTGCTGTCCCGGAAACTCTGCACCAACTCTGCAGAAGCCTTTTCTTGTTTCCTCCTATACTGGTACAACGTTCTGATGTTTTGTAGCGCCCAAGGACAAACTCGCCGAGTGGTTCGAATCATATGCCAAATTGCTCGAGCTAAATGTCTGGGTCCAAACCTCGCTGCAATCAACATCCTGGGACGACAAGAAGAGAGTATGGACAATAACAGTCAAACGGGCAAAGCCGGATGGTACTACGAAAACTCGCACACTGCATCCCAAATACGTGATCCAAGCCACTGGACACTCGGGCAAAAAGAACTTCCCGTTTCATCTCAAAGGGCTCTCGGACTTCAAGGGCGACGTGCTCTGCCACTCTTCCGAATTCAAAGGTGCAAGGCTCGATGGTAAAGTCAAGAAAGCTGTGGTCGTCGGCTCATGTAATTCCGGGCACGACATCGCTCAAGACTTTTATGAGAAAGGGTACGACGTGACACTTGTTCAGCGATCAACAACGTGCGTCATCTCCAGCGAGGCTATTACTGAGACCGGTCTGAAGGGCGTCTACTCCGAGGACGGCCCGCCCGTCGACGACGCAGATATGTGGCTTCACAGCTTGCCTAGCGAAGTTCTCAAGGCATTGCAGGTCAAGATCACGGCGCTGCAGGCGGAATTCGACAAAAAAAAACGCTTGACGGTCTCGAGAGCGCGGGCTTCAAGACTGATCGCGGACCCGAGAATGCGGGCCTGTTTATGAAATACTTCCAGCGCGACGGTGGATACTATATTGACGTCGGTGGCTCGCAATTGATCATCGACGGCAAAATCAAGGTCAAGCAGGGCCAGGAGATTCAGGAAGTGCTCCCGCGAGGCCTCAGATTTGCCGACGGCTCGGAATTGGAGGCTGACGAGATCATATTTGCGACGGGCTACTCGAACATGAGAACTCAGGCGAGAGAGATTTTCGGTGATGAGGTGGCAGACCGCGTAGGAGACATTTGGGGGTACGATCAGGAAGGCGAAAGTAAGTGATCCCAAAGTGGGCTTGGGATTCGGTTCTCTCGCCTTTCCCTTTGCCAATTGACACCGAGTCAAGTTACTCGATGCTGACAATGATCTAGTGAGAACCATTTAGCGCAAATCGGGACATCCGGGTTTCTTTTTCATGGGCGGCAATCTCGCGCTGTGCAGATATTATAGCAAGATCCTGGCGCTGCAGATCAAGGGGCTCGAGGAGGGGCTTTACAAGTACTGAGAGGTCAAGAGGCTAGCAAGGAACAAAGAAGGAGATGGCGAGATGTCGGCCGTGGCATGTTGTGCGGTGATTTCGAGATGGACGCGTTGGCGAGAGAATCCCTCAAAGTATGACTTGAGGAGCGACAGTCGCGCAGTCGCGCAGAGACAGCAACAACTGAACAAATGGGATGCTTTTGAGATGTGATGAGCACATGGCACATATTTCGAGAAAATCTGGCTCATCAGTCCACGAGTTTGAAAAGGACGGGCCGCTTGAAGTTGAGGCAATAGCCCTCCAGATCGACTTCCTGGCGTGCAGTATATGATTATCGAGCAAGCAATCTACCTGGATCCCTTTCTCATACATGCCAGCCATTCCATTGCCATACACACAAAGATCCGGAACTCCCAACCGCAACCAGAACGAGACCCAGCATCCAACATCCAACAGCGGCTGGCTTGAAACGCAGAAATTCTCCGTGGACTCCAACGAGTTGATGGAACCCGCGATATTCCCTGAACTTTTGTTGATAATGTTACAAGTCTTCTCATCTTCTCGAGACCATGTAAGGCTATCCCTTAAGAGCCTTCATGAAGCACCCTTCCCTCCAGCCTCGGCCGCAGCCTCAGACCTAGCAACGTCCTCCAACGCCGCAATCGCATCCTCGTCGTCCTCTCCGTCAAACTCCTCCTGTTCTACAATTGCCACCCCGTCCTTCCGCTCTGGCAACTCGGTCACCGGCCCATCTTCGTCCGCTGTCTTCTCCTGACTGTCCGTAACCTTGACGGGCTCCTGCACGTCCGGCTCGGGCCCCTTGATCGGCTTCGGATGCGTCAAATCCCAATCGATTACACCTTCCGCGCCATACCGGCTCTGGAGCCAGTCGTTCGTCTTTCTAAAATGCCCGCACTCGAAGAAGCCCTTGTGCGCACTGAGCGGGCTCGGATGCACGCTCTTCAGCACGAGATGTCTCGCGCCCGTGATCTTCTCGCAGCGCTTTTGGGCCGGGCTGCCCCACGCGAGAAAGACGACGCCGCGAGTGCGCAGTTTGACGACCGTGTCGATGACCTTTTGCGTGAATCTCTCCCAGCCGCGCTTCGAGTGTGAGTTTGCCTCGCCCGCGCGCACGGTGAGACACGTGTTCAGCAGCAGCACGCCCTGGTCAGCCCACGGGGTCAGGAGTCCGCCGTTCTTCGGGGGCGGGTTGAAACCGGGGTACTCCTTCTTGATGGCCGTGTAGATGTTCTTCAAGCTCGGGGGTGCCGGCGTCGGAGGCCGCACGGAGAAGCAGAGGCCGTGGGCTTGGTTGTGCCCGTGGTACGGGTCTTGTCCGAGGATGACGACGCGGACTTTGTGCAGAGGGCAGTGGCGGGACCTGTTTATTACCGAACGACGCAAACCCTTCCGTCAGCCCAATGAATGACTTTTTGTGGTGACGTGTGACAGTGTGTGTGCATAATAAGGGGGACTGATGATGAGCAACAAGGGAAGGAGAGGGTGTATATAAGGTATATACGAACCAACTGTACACATCTTCCAAAGGCGGGTAGATTTTCTGCTTGGAATCGATCTCTTTCTGCAGGAACCGCTTCAAGTCCAAAAACTCGCGTGATGTGACCTCGTCTTTCAACTGGGCCAGCCAGCTTGCATCCAACGTGTCGATTTCGAGTTTGAGTAGTTTCCTCTGCTCCTCGTTCAGGCCTGCAGCCCATTTGTCCTTGTCGAACTTAACCGGCACCGGATCGACGCCAGCACCGTTTCCATTAGTCGAAGAAGGGAGAGAAGCACCGTTCGTGGCTGGCTTGGCTTTGGGAGGGCCGAAGAAAGAGGTCAAGTCGGCGTTCTTCTTGGGTTTCTTTGCGTCATCAGTGGTAGAGGAGGTCGGAGGGTCTTTGCGCTTGAGTGACATGCTGGGAGAGTAGAACCGCGGGTGTAGCTTCTGATATGAGCGAGACGCTAAAGTCGTTTGAGTAGGACGAGAGCAAAGCCTCAGCATACAGCCTATACACTTAAGTAGATTGGGTCTCGGATGGCGAGGTGATGAATCGGATTGCTACAGAAGGGACTTTCGCAGTCAAACTACAGAGACGCCAGGGAGGTACTCCGCTAAAAGACGCGTTCCATTGACGCGTTTAGTGGCAACCTAACTAGGGAATACTTATTGCTCCGTACCCCAGACTTCAGCCTGACCAGCCTGACTAGCAGCCTTGCGCTCTATCTGCATGCAAAAGAAAAGGATGAGCACCGGTCAGATTGCTATCCTACTCTCATTCGAGTCGTATCTAGCTCCTCGAGCAACACCAGGCTTGCAAGAACTTCTATTCATTCAAAAATTGGCAGGTTGTCATAATGCCAATCAACATTCAGCTTCCTTGCCTCCCGTTTGCATTAAAGCCCAGTCCATAAGGGTATTTTGCGTAGTCAACAAGCTCTCCGGTGAGCTAAAATCATGAAATATGAAACTCCCCATCCCTTATACACAAGCTGGGTCACTAGTCCAGCGTAATGACCTCTGAATTTCTGGCAGTACCCGTCGAACCTTTGGTAGCCGCAACGGGTCTGCTACCCTTAGTATTTGGAGTCCGCTGCTGTTTAACAGGCCCGATGGGCATTGCGTTGCCGGGCATCTGCAACTTCCCCGGTGCTTTGGGCTTATTCATCCCGTTGGGGAGGTTGTCTTGTCCTTTCGTAGCTTTGTTTTGAGTTTGATTGCTTTGAGTACTCGCGGCGTCTGAGTCTGTAGACTGTTTGGCCCAATTGCACAACACTTCATGGATTGATTGTAACAGCGCTTCTGGCCGGTCTGCCATGCACGCCGCGGCGTTGTCGAGAGCAAGCCACTTCGACTCATTCTCTGACCGAGCAAATATTTCTTGCCGCAATTTGGCCCGCAAGGCTGGAGTAGTGTACGACGGTCTTGTGTAGGACTGGAAATCCTCAAGCGCAGCCCGCACCAGCCACATTGGCTTGTCTGATGAGTTAATGTGTTGCACAATTTCAAGTCTTGCCAGCAGATGCGGTTGCGAATTCGGTCCAACATCTTGAGGAACTCGGGCTGCTGTGGTAAAGTATTGGACTGCGAACGCCGTGGCATTCCTGACAAGGACATGTACCCGGACACCTGATTCTGGGTTACGCGTATCTGGCTGCTGAGGTCTTGCGTTGAGCCCAAGATTTCGTTGGAGGGTTTGCAAAAAGGTTGTCAATGGGAGGGTCAGTATTAAGGAGGTTAGGAAGTCTCCGACCTTGGCTGCGAAGGGAACATGCGGTGCCTGAAATAGTCTCGTATACTGCGAAGCGAGGTGAATATGCGGATTGACTTCGCGCGGGAAGAAGTCGATCCGAGGTATTTGCGATCCCACGCCCAGGTTGATATTGACACCGAGTTCTTTCGGTCCATCGTGCTGATAAGTGATCGTGAAGGAGGGATTCGACATGGTCTTCAATTTGAGGCCTGGGAGACGGTAGATCTGTTCCATGGTGGCCAGACTCTTCTCAAGGTCCATAGCTTTGTCCACAATGGCGGAAATTGCTGGTTCGGATATTGAGCTCTGTACACGAATCGTCAACGTGCCATGCTGCGAATCAAGTGTGACATCGCCATCCAACATCGACTTGTCCAAATGTTTGAGGACACGCTGACTCGCTCCATTCTGGACTTGCGCAATTGTCAAGACTCGACCGGTGGCCCTGTCTATTCCGCCAAAGCGAACTTTGATGGTTTTATGCACGGCAGTAGCATCCACACTCCCGGATATGGATTTTGCCATACCTGGCGAAGGATGCCGCTGACCAGCAAAAGCCGGCTTGGACATATCCAGCTCAAAAGACAACTCCGGCAGAACATAGTGCTTGTCGAAGGCCGGAAACGGAGCCAGTTCCAATTTCTCTCCTTTCTCGCGCACGAAGTCGGCGTTGCGCTGGAGAGAGATCAAACCGTTCGCATAGTCCGCAAGCCTTTCGAAATATGCAGGAGATAACTCTTCCTTGACATGGATCTTCTGTGTGCGCAAAACCTGGAATTGCGCATGGGGATTGAGTCCATTGACGGCTATCTGCTGTGATAGACACCAGTGGTCGCCGTCGTGCGCGTGAATTATCGCTAAGAAGAATCCCCAACCCCATTGACTCTGTCGTACTAGGTTGATTCGTACCACCGGTCCTCCGTACATGGTCTTGATTTCGCCTTGAGTGAGTCTGAAAGCGCGCAACGTCTCCCAACTCGTGCCTGCAATGCTTGCAAGGACCACGCCCTCCATCACACTGCATCGGAAGTTGAGCAATTTTGACACGATTTCATCGGCCACATTATGTACACGGTTGATTTCGTACTGCAACCGCTCGCTCCGTTCGCTGACAGGGCTGATTACCAGCATTCCTGTTACCGCATCCACTTTAAGCTGCAGATGTGAGCCTCGCGACAATTGTATCGTCAGGGAACATTGCTCAGGGTCTTCGTCCGAGGTAGCTTGCTCGACTAGTAGTTCACCACTAGCGAAAAGTGGTGTGAGAACCAGCTTATCGAAGATAGAATCGAGGTGCTGTGTAGAATGTTGTGCGATGACTTGACGAAGAATATCCTCGACGCAGAGTACTGAGTCATCCAGCCGCAACAGTAGCGTATCGACCTTTTTGCCATGCCGCATCCACTTGATCTCGAGACAAGGGACTGGCTCTTGTCCAGATACATGGTTGGTGCCGCGACCACTACCGATGCCGAATTCGATCCAACTCTTGCTAGACGGCCTCTCCGTCCAGTATTGTATTATGAGATTTCGGCGAATCATTTCCACGCGAAGATGGCCAGCCCACTGACTCCGGAATAGGTCGATTGCTTGGTTGTGGAGTTCAGCTAGTTTGTAGGACAAGGTCAATTCGTGAAGAAATAGATAACAACCATGCAGCCCATCCCGGTCGATGTTGGAGTTGGCAAGGCGTTCGATTTCTGCGTGCAAGGCATCCGTGATCGGAGGGGCAGGCGAAAAACGGAATCGAAAGTCCACCATTCGGAAATGCGCGTCGACACTCTCGTCCAGGATGGACACATCAAGCTCAAATTCATTAGGAACTGTGAAAGTTGCACGGCCGTCATGAACGCGAAATTTACGAAGTTGTCGTGGTAAATCGTCGGCAAGCGCGAGTCTGACGCTCAAAGCTTGATTTAGTGATCTCAGTAGTCGTAAGATTTGTTTGTCGGAGAGGTCTTTTTGAGGGAGATAGGCTTCCAAGGTAGGAAATTTGGCGACCTTGCCTTTTGATAGGACCTCAGCTGCTACTTTCAGATCGGGATTGGGCACTTGGAAACCGGCAGAGTCTTGCTTGAGCAGGGCCATTGATGAGATCGCATTCCAGTATGCTCGTCGGCGATCCATGAGCCAGAAGTTGATGGAAATCGTCTTGCTGACATCATCCACATTTTTGCTCCATTCCAAGAGGACCAGTAATTTTATGAAGTCGGCCTTCTGATCGTTTGCGAACCTCAGCAAGCGATCTTTCTTGTCCAAATTTGCCTTGGTCTGATTATTCGGCAGGTTGTTGGGCAAAGTCTTTGTCTGATCTAGAGGAAGTTCGGGGACTTGCATCGTTGCCAGCTGTTCCACCATACTGGCCAAGCCATTCCAACACGTTTGAGAGGCTCTACTGATGAGCGCAGCCATCGGCAAGTAGCTGTCCTTCGGTACCAGGTCCAGAATTTCCGGAGGCGCTTGTTCAAAGCCATTTGCGACACTACGGGGGTGGTCGCCATTTGGAATTTGACTTGCGCCATGCTGACCGTTGACTGGAATGGAAGAGCCATTCTTCACTGGAGCCGGAAGAGGTTTGACATCTTGCACCTGTTTTGTTTGTCCAATGTGTGAGGCTGAGTTTGAGACGTCGTGTTGAACGCCATTGAGAATGCGCTCCCCATTGACTGTGGGCCTATCCCCGTTCATGTTGACACGGCTTGTACCATCAGATACTGCATGGCCGGCACACTATGAAGCGCGCTCTTGCGGCCGACGCAATAATGTCAAATTTGTTGACCCCTTGTACCTCCTCTTCAACGATCTAGGCCGTTCTAAAAGAATCGAGTGTTGCAGATGGCGAACAGATTGATGCCGTTTTTGAGTCGCAGACTAGGTGAGAACAGTGAGAGACGTAGGGTAGGAGTCGTCAGAAGCCAGCTTCGTAGAAAAGAAGGCGGCAGGGAATAACAGGTGAAGAATCGAAGACTGCGGCTGGGTCACTGGGCCGTTTGCGGAGATGGGGAGAAAAGTATTAAGTGGCACGGCAAACGTGGATCGAAAAATGAAAGCGGCAAACAACTCGATGTTGGTGCGAGAGACAATAGACTGCGGAAGATGGTGATAGTATTGTGTTTCGAAGTGGTGTGAATTGTGAAGGGATTGATTGCGGTTGTGATGAATGACACGAGCGGAAAGTCGGCTGTCAAAGGCCTTCGTTGGCTCACAGATTCGATTCAGATGGCCAAGTGGGCTTCCGTTGGAGTAAAAGCGGCAACCTACGTAATTAAATGTGGCATGGCTCGAGCATGGCTTTTACAACCTCGCGCGGGGCTTATATAATCCAACACGTGATCTCGAATATGCTACTCGGCCGCAGAGATCTTCGCCTGTGATCTTTCTGCTCTTCCGTAGTTCCCTTATTTGGTGCCCCCCAGACTTGCCCACGCCGCCCACTTAAACTCACCCTCACGCAGTAGCAACAATGACCTGCAGCAGTGGATATGGATCCTTGTTGGTGCTACACAACATCCCGTACAAGGCTTCTGATTGGGTTCGACGGTTGGCTCTGCGGACATCGTCGTCGTGATCATCTGCAAACCATTCACAAGCGCCAACAGCGGCCAACCATGGTAGCTATCAAGTGGCCTCGGAGGGTGTGAGGTCCTCAGATTTTTGAGGTCTAGCTGAGGCCGAATGATGCCAGGGATGCGTCTGCTAGCCTTTCTCGCTGTAGTTGGCGAGTTCCAAGTGGTCATACCATTAGTCCTAAGACTTTACGGAGTACTTGGATACAGGTTCGACGGACTAGTGGTGGTTCAGAGAAGATAAAGACAAAGATAATCGGTGCATACTTCGGACGGACCCAGTTGATTTCTGTACTGTGACAGTAAGTCGAAGGCAGATCCTCGATTTGTCTCTGGGACTGCTGCAACTTGCAAGCTCTAATCGAGTGGCCCGACCCGTTCGCTACCATCTCCACCTCTAATCAAGCCAAACCAGCCTATATCTCAACAACTACGCGTGTGCAAAATCCTCCTCCTAGGCTGTCTGCACGCCTTTCTATTCATTCTGGTCGACTGGGAGGAGGAAACGACAGAAATCGCAACAATGGCTCGCTGGAGGACCCTGACGCCTGGGTGGTGATAGGCGAGAGGTCGGGGTCCAAAACAAAGATGGTCTGTTCCCTGCTCCCGCCAATCGTCATACGCACCGCAGGCATTTCCCCATCTCTCCTGCACCTCAGCCGGCAGCCTTCATCCTTCTGACACTGTACTTTCCAATTCATCTCTGTGCCTCTCTTAATACGTCCCCTCGAACAGGTCCCTCGATATGAAGAGCCGGCCTCTGCCACACGTCCCCTATTGCCTCGCCAGAATTCACATTCCAAAGCGAGCCTAATTTCCCCGACACCTTCGGACGAAGCAGATGACGAAGAGTCCTCCTGGGGTTATTCGGGTTCCGAGATGGATGACGACTACTCGGATCCAATAGCAGAGACAGCATACGCAGATGAAGATACCAGGCCGACGAGCCAGAAAGAGCTATGGGGTTGGTATTCTTATGGCTGGGCGGCTGAAGTGTTCGCCATCTGCGCCATGGGTAAGCATTGATTTGGCAGACGACAATAAACTCAAACCGCTTATCGTGCCACTCAGGATCCTTTCTCCCCATCACCCTTGAGCAGCTTGCCAGAGATCAAGGCGTGTTGTTAAAGGACAAGACGACGCCGTGTCGCGCAGGCTTGCCGGGCAGTCATGGCACCACTCCGAACACAACAGTCTTCGAAGAACCTAAGCACAGGCATAACGAACTTCCAGCATGTGTCATCAACTTTCTCGGCGCTGAAATAAACACTGCCAGCTTCGCAATGTATACCTTTTCCATCAGCGTCTTGATCCAGGCTCTCCTGATCATCTCCATGTCCGCCGCAGCCGACCATGGTCGATTCAGAAAATTGTTCCTCCTCATCTTCGCCTTTACCGGGGCTACAGCGACAGCGCTTTTCATCGGCGTGGTACCTAAAGTATATTTGCTCGGAGCACTATTTGCGATCATAGCCAACACCTGCTTCGGCGCATCGTTCGTGTTACTCAACTCCTTCCTACCTGTCTTGGTTCGGCACCATCCCTCAATCGACAGCGGCAACGAGCAGACGGATGATTTCTCGGAAGACCAGGGAGAGTCCCACGAACACGAGGACCATGCTATGACAACTTCGACATCTGGTCTGCTACCTCGGAACCGGCCTGACCATACGTCTCCTGTCGAAGAATCTCCGGCTGCCATGTCCCCGGAGTTGAAGCTATCTACCAAGATATCTTCCAATGGTATTGGTATTGGCTATATTGCCGGCCTATTCGTACAGACCCTCGGTATACTTATCGTTGTTGCGACAGGGTCTACGACCTTCTCGTTGCGGCTAGTGCTCATGGTGGTCGGACTTTGGTGGTTCGCCTTCAGCATACCGGCAGCCCTGTGGTTACGGCCCCGACCGGGCCCGCCCCTGCCGGATGAGATGAGAGGACGATATGCCTGGGTGGGATATGTCACATTCGCATGGAAGGCGCTTTTCAAGACCATTGGTCATGCCAGAAAACTCAAAGATATTGTCATCTTTCTCTGCGCATGGTTTTTATTGAGCGATAGTATTGCTACAGTGAGCGGGTGAGTTTGAGGTCTTCTTCCAGGTCCCCAAAATGCTGATGATTCTAGAACTGCGGTTCTGTTCGCGAAAACTAGTCTGGGGATGAAAACCGAAGCACTTGGTCTTATCAATGTCATCGCAACGATAGCCGGCGTGCTTGGAGCGTTTTATTGGAGTTTTCTTTCGCGGATATTCAACCTGCGCCCGTCACGGACAATCGTGGCATGCATTTGCCTGTTCGAAATCATCCCGTTATATGGCTTACTTGGGTTCATTCCAGCCGTCAAACGATACGGCGTGTTTGGACTTCAGCAACCATGGGAAATGTATCCTCTCGGTGCGATCTATGGGTTTGTTCTGGGAGGGTTGTCGTCTTACTGTCGAGCATTCTTTGGCGAGTTGATTCCTCCAGGGTTTGAAGCAGCATTTTATGCTTTGTATGCGATCACCGACAAAGGCTCAAGTATTTTTGGACCAGCTATCGTTGGAGCAATAACGGATCGATATGGGGAGATCCGACCAGCGTTTGTCTTTTTGGGTGTGCTCATTGCCCTCCCACTGCCGCTGATGCTGCTGGTGGATGTTGATCGTGGCAAGGCTGATGCATATCAGATGGCATTGGAATTGGAAGGACATCGGAAGGGTCAAAGTGTGAATGCCAGATATACTACGATACCCACCATCGTTCTCTCGGAAGACGAAGACTGAGATCGAGAAGTCTATGTTTTTGGATATGTGGCTTGGTGTTGTATAGTCATCATTGCTTAGAAATACCCGTCGGAGGTCAAGACCTCGACATGAATTATTGCAGTTTTACGGCCACTTCACTGCTCCTTTCTCATAGTGACTGTCTTTGTATAGAATTGGCCTCATCTGCATCTGACCAGGAAATTTGTCACTGAGAGAAACGTTCGAATTGTCAAGACCCCTGACACTCATGAGGCTGAGAATTCTGCGTTTCAGGGGACACAGGAGGAGGCGAGTCACTTGGCAGATAAGGGGTCCGCGGACGCGTAGATCCAGAGAGAAGATGGATTCGGCTCGTCGGTTGTAGTAGTTGACACCTCTCCTTAAATGCTTCCCATTCACTTTTCTTAGCGCATCTTCACTTGACTGGGCTGCAGTTTATCGCCGTAACCAAAGCCCGCCGCATCTCTTCACGCCTCCCCTGAAGTGATACATCTTCACCCTTCAGTTGTTCATCTTCTCTTGTCTCCGTATTTTCCTTCAGTCCATCCTTTGTACCTTTCCCACCACAGCAGTAATACAGATCGGCAACCATGCGAACTTTCGCTTCTCTGGCTGCGGCCAGTCTTGCCCTTGTCGGGCTTGCGTCTGCCAGCAGCGATGTCCACGATCTCAAGAAAGACAACTTCAAAGACTTCATCTCCGAGCATGACCTAGTCCTAGCAGAGTTCTTTGCCCCCTGGTGCGGTCACTGCAAAGCCCTCGCCCCAGAATACGAGGAGGCCGCGACTACGCTGAAGGAGAAGAACATCGCCTTGGTCAAGGTCGACTGCACAGCCGAGGGAGACCTATGTAAAGACTATGGTGTTGAAGGTTATCCCACCGTCAAGGTCTTCCGTGGTCTTGACAACGTCAAGCCATACCCTGGTGCCCGAAAGGCCCCTGCGTAAGTCATTCCTTTGAACCTCCGTCGGGTCCACGTTCTGACCTGGACAGAATCGTGTCCTACATGACCAAGCAGCAACTCCCTGCAGTGTCTCTCCTGACGCCCGATACCCTCGAAGAATTCAAGACCACCGACAAAGTTGTAGTGGTGGCATACATCGCTGCCGATGACAAGTCCTCGAACCAGACCTACACTGCGCTTGCCGAATCTCTAAGAGACGAGTACATCTTCGGAGCCACAAACGATGCTTCGCTTGCAAAGGCTGAAGGCGTCAAGCAACCTGGTATCATTCTCTACAAGGACTTCGACGAGGGAAAGAGCACCTTCACAGATACCTTTGATGAGCAGGCCGTTACCAAATTCATCAAGACTGCCTCGACTCCTTTGGTTGGTGAAGTCGGTCCAGAGACGTATGCCGGTTACATGGCTGTATGTGTAATCGATCTAAGGTGGATGCTCAATACTAATGGAGTTACAGGCTGGCATTCCGCTCGGGTACATTTTCGCGGAAACTCCTGAAGAACGCGCCTCTTTGGCCGAGGCCTTGAGACCCGTCGCGGAGAAGTACAAGGGAGTCGTCAACTTCGCAACCATTGATGCAAAGGCTTTCGGTGCTCATGCTGGCAACCTGAATTTGCCTACGGACAAGTTTCCCTCTTTCGCTATTCAAGAGACCGTCAAGAACGAGAAATACCCCTTCGAAGGCAGCTCGCTTACCGAGAAGAAGATCGGTGCTTTCGTCAAGGACTTTGTTGACGGCAAGATCGAGCCCAGCATCAAGTCTGAGCCTATTCCGGAGAAGCAAGAAAGCCCTGTGACCGTCGTAGTTGCTCACTCGTACAAGGACATCGTCCTGGACGATTCCAAGGATGTCCTCGTCGAGTTCTATGCTCCTTGGTGTGGTCACTGCAAGGCGTAAGTTATAGTTCCTCCGCTTCAACCGCATCCATTACTGACAATTCATAGCCTTGCTCCGACCTATGAGAAACTGGCTGAACTCTACTCTTCGCCCGACTTCTCCTCCAAGGTTACCGTGGCCAAGATCGACGCCACTCTGAACGATGTTCCTGATGAGATTGCCGGCTTCCCGACCATCAAGCTCTACCCTGCTGGTGCCAAGGACTCGCCGGTCGATTACTCTGGCTCACGAACCATGGAGGATCTCGCTGCCTTCATCCGCGACAATGGCAAGCATGGCGTTGATGGGTTGGCCGCTAAGAGTGATGATGACGACGATGTGATGGAAGATGTTTCGTCCGCTGCCAGCGACACGATGGCCAAGGCCGCTCCTGCGGCTACCACCGTCGCCGAGGAAGCTAGTAGCGGTGTCAAGGAGGCCGTCAAGAGCGTCGTCAGCGAGGCAGTTGATGCTGCTAAGACGGTTGTGGCAGATACCGATGCGGGTGGTCCACAGGAACACGACGAATTGTAAACTATGTACCTTACCAACCGGCCACCAGCTAGGCAGGTTTTCATGATGAGTTTCGGGACCACGAGAGCAACAATAAAAGGATTGATTTTCATATTTTCAAAGCATCCACGGGCTTCTTTTTTATGAATTCACGGGGCACCGAATGGTCTAGGATAACCCGGTTATGTCACGTACAGAGAGAGGAGTGGATGGGTTGAAATTTCTGAACCTCGGAAGCAATCAACGGAAAAGCGAATCAATATTAGTATGGTAGTACTGTGCTATACCATGCGATGAGACACCATATTAACCAATGCCGTGGCCCCTGCCCGTGCAATGCCACGTCATTCTTGTCATATATCTTGCAAGAACCCGCATTATAGTCGTCTTCGTCCTCTACTGGTCTATCACGTCGTTCCATGCCTATACAGTACCATAATATCCCAAGCCACGCCTGCGCCAATGAATTCAGTCCGGTATTATGGAGGAACCTCGTCTTCAGAAAGTCACTCAACTGAGCCCAATGTCCGGGTACATGGTGCGCTGTGCTCCGCGTGCTGGTGCTCCGGGTCCCGTGGTCCTGGACGACGCGAGCCCAGACGCAGAGTTGGGCATGATGTTTGTAGTAGGCGGCATTGGTACTATGGCGGCGCCAGCAGCTGCTGCAGGAGTCATGGTGTGGAATCGCTGCGATGTTGCTGCTGCAACGTTGTCCAGCTCCGTGGCCGTGCCTGTCCCGGCAGCAGTCGTGTGGTCGGCTTCGTCACCAAAGCCCAGACCCAAATCAGCATTCATGAAAGCGTCGCCGTCGAATAAGGGGTCCTGAAAGATGGTCGGCATGCTGAGGTCGAAGAAGCCCTCGAACAAATTGTCCAGGTCGTTGAATTGGTACTGGTACTGGTCAAATGCCGATACGTTCAAGGGGCCGGCCGTGTCGGCTGTTGTGGCCGCGCCGAACTGGTGCGGTGTCGGCGGCAGCGGCGTTGGCGGTGTCATGGTCTGCGCCTGTGTAGAAAATGGTGCTGATCCCGGCGTCGCGCTGACTGTTTGGCCGTGGTGATGACTTCGAGCGCCGCTGCCGTCGTGGCCTGGGCTAGTGGTCGAATGAGTGGCCGCTGCGTCGGACAGTACGTGCAGAGCATTTCCCGTGTGGGTGCCCGTCTCGGCTTTGCTGGTAGAAGAGTTCGGCGCCGCGTTGGATTTTCTGTCGAACGGGCCGAATTTGCACACGGCGACTTCCGCGTCCATGGCGTTCTGGATATTCGCGACCGAGTGCTTCCTGACCCCGGGTTGTTGGAGACTCTTCAAGGCCTTGCGGCCGAGCCGAGCCATGGCGTCGGCGGTCCACCAGTACGTGGAGAGTGCTTCGAGGGTTTCGCAGCGCGTGGCGAGGTCTGCTTGCGCGCGCTCGAGGTCAATATTGGCGTTATCTCTCAGACAGCGGTACACAACGGTAAGAGAAAGGCCGACGGCGTACGGGACGAGGGGGATCGGAGGGATGTGCGAGTGTCGACCATCAGCGACGAGGTATTGAATGCGATCCGCGGCGGAGATGCGGCGGGCATACGAGGAGGTGGTGGGACCGCCGGCGCGGCAGGATAGGATAGCGATTACGTGGTAGCATATTTCCAGGAGGCCTGGATGGGAGATGGGGATTAGCGGAAAGAGTATGGAGAGAGGAAAGCAACGAAGAGTGGAAAGAAAACGTACTTTGTTCGCCATCGGAAAGCATAGAGAGATCGATATCCTGAGTCAGTAAGGTGTAGGAAGGGAAATCTGTCTCCCAACCTGTGGCGTCAGGGTTGGCGGTTGGGCGGTAGAACTCGATAACCTCATCGAGAAGATTGCCGAGGCGGAGCCAGGCGTGAATGACTTGGGATTTTGCACTGGATTCGAGAGGTGGTTCCTTTATGTCGATGTCGCGGTTTGCAATCATGATGGGACGACCACCGAGACAAGCGTTGAATTTGTCGAGTGTCCATATCGTCCACCACAGCATGCTGGCTTGGTCGCGAGGTGTGCGGCCGGGAGTTTGGATGTGTATGCCTGCTGTCCAGGCGTCGTGAATGGCTTGGGACAGGTGGAGGGAGGATTCCTCGATACCTCCAGGCCCGTCGTTGTGTAGGTGCATCAAGGTCAAGATCTGGATTTTGGTGACCCGATCGGGCTCCAGGTCTGCCTTCATGGCTGCGTCAAGACCCGTGTGGAGACTCCGTGCGAAGGGGATCGGTTCGAGAAGTGGTCCATCGTCGTAAAGTCGTAGGTAGGGAGCCGCCTCTTCGGTTTTGCAGGTCACTAGACAGATCGCTTGGATGAGGAATATTGAACAGCGTCCTTCTGTCCAGTCTCGCAAGAGTTTGGGACCGTATAGAATGGGCAACAGCCCATCCAGGCACGAAATGTACGTGGTGATCAGCGCATCCTGCGTGGCTTTGGGAAGGACTCTGAAGGCACCCACGGCCTGCAGGTAGTTCCGTTGATGGCCGGTGAGGACTCTACGGCCACCCTCAAACTTGCCATACTTTTCGACGTTGATGGGTGTCTTGTTACACGACCGTGCCGGCGGACCCAGGTCTTCTGGAGGGAAGTCATCTTGTGGATGGCGTGACTGTTCAACCCAGGTGCCAACACGACTTATACGTGTGGCACCCTTGGCTCGAGATGACAGGTCTGTCAAGATCGACTCTGGATTCGTATCACCAACAAAACGGATGGGTTCTTTATGCGTCAGGTTGGGCAGCACCCGATCAAGACCATCGGAATCGGCTTGTTGTTCGGGAGGACGCTGAAAAGTATGATGGCAGCGCTTTTTTGCGGCGCGACATTTTGTGCAAGCCCTTGCAGCTCTCTTGCGATTTGCAAACGCCGCTGTGTCTGCTTCCCAGACGACTTGCATAGGGATTGATATGGATTGCTCACGATTGCTCTGATATCGTGGGAGAATGGCGGAGGAGATGCTGAAAAGAGTGATCGTCCCGCCGAGGCAAAAATCATCCAAGGTGGCCAAGAAATGCCTCAGCCTTGTGCCCAGCGAGCAGGTACCATGTCCACCATGTCGTGCATGTCGTGCCAGGTCCTGGATGATGCAAAGTGGAAGCACCAGGCGAGCAGGTCTCTCTGAGCAACCACAACAGAATCGTCTGTACATTGTCTAATATCTTCACTTAGTTCGTATCATCTATCTTACATGGAACCCTCACTGGAGGCTCCTACACCCCATTTACCCACCTCAAGCATGGCCTTCTCTTTACCCTCGGCCAACACCCCCCTTCCATCCCCCATAAGTCCTTCCAGACACAACCAAGGGTCTCTACCACCTCCCCAACGCAGCACTTCCTGCTTGAACCTCTCTCCAGATGATCTGTCCAGAGCGCCTGCACTCTCACCGTCCTTGAAAACGGCGCGCCACACTTGTCGTGCGATTGCTCGGTCAAACAGATACGAATAATAACTGGCCCCGTAGCCGTACAAATGGCCGAAAAAGCCTTGCCACGCAGTCTCCTGCGGCTCCGGTACACTTCCATACTTGTTCCAGATCTTGTGGTAGACGGCAGTAGAGTTGTAATACCCAATCTGGAGTGCATCGACGGGTCCATCCGAGTGGTAGGCCTGGTCAAGAATAGCCATCAAAATCTGACTTTCATTATTCCACGCCCCAGTCTTGGTGGCTTGTTTCAGTCTCTCATCTGCAAGGGCGGTAATCATTTCATCCGGAATAACGGCACCCGTCTCCCAGTGTCGAGCGAACATTTTGAGGACCGCGGGATCCGTTGCAAAGTATTCCATTAGAACAGAAGGAAGTTCGGCAAAGTCAGTCGCACATCGTGTGCCAGAAATGCATTGCATTGGCGTGCGTCCCAGGATACTGTGGATAGCGTGGCCCATCTCATGGAATAACGTGGTCAGGCTGTGAAGCGACAAAAGTGAAGGACCTGCAGACGAGCTCGAGTCTGGAAAGCCGCAAACCAGAGCAATGGTTGGAATTTGGTGATAAGCAGTGACGCCAGATATAGAATTTGGCCCAAGGTAGGTGGGCATCCCGTTGTTCAGAGGCTCGTCCTTTTCCTGACATTCCCGAACCTCTTCCTCTGAGATCTCTCTCGAGCAAAGAAGCGTAAAGTGGGCGGGATTTGGTAGTTTTCCAGGCCGAGAAAACAAATCGCAGTACATAGTAGCGATATGCTCTTCTTTATCGGTATACACATCTAATCTCCTGACTTCCGGATGCCAGACCTCGCCTTGCTGTGTTTCTTTCGGTACAAGTCGAACACCATACAGACTCTCGAAAAGATTCGAAAGTCCTTGCAAAACATGTCCCAAGGAGAAATATGAGCTGGCGCTTTCCTGAAGGCGGGACTTTGATGTTCGAGGGCCAGAACTTGCCTCTGCCTGTGCCAGCTTATTCAGGAGATAGGTATGATCCCACGGCTCAACCGTTTTCGCGCTCTGGTCCATCTTGCGTTTAATTTCCAGAAGTGGAGCAAGCTCCTTCTGTACCTGCGGCCTATTGTTCGCATGCAAGGACTCCAGAAAATTACTCACAGCCTCTGGTGTCTTGGACATCTTATCCGCGAGCGTCATCTGTGCGTAGTTATCGTAGCCTGTGAGCTTAGCTAGCTCGGCGCGGCGAAGAAGGAGCTGTTCCAGTTTCCGGACAGTTTGCTTCGATGCCGTCCGCTCAGCAATATACAACTCTTTCCTCGTTGCTGGATCGTTTGCCGAGTTCAGTATCATCTTGGATGCCGGGCTGTACACCGGAACTTGAGCTCTATGCGAGGCTCGGAGACCTCTGACGAGGGTGGGATCCACGCCCTGTAATTGCTGAGCAGAAAAGGAGATGTGTTCTCTGGCATGTTCCATCTGGTTCACGAAGTCCGTTCCAATCTGAGCGATCTCATTCGATAATGACACAAATTGCTTCCTCTGTTTGTCAGGAAGGTCGATCCCGGACTTCGCAAAGTCCTTCATTAACAACTTGGCCACCATCTTTTCTTCCTCGCTCCAATGAGATCGAACGTCGGGCATATCCCACGCCTTCTTCAACTGCTTGTTCAGCCCAGTAGTTGTGTTGAGTTCATTCATATACTGAAACATTAGTGAATACGACGCCGTAGCGGCTGCAGCAACGGAAGCATCTGGATGAATACTCCGTATAAAGTCGGACAGATCTATGACTCGACATAGCAAATCACTAAGTCTATCAAGATCTTTCGGGATAGCTCTGTACTGCTCGAGTGTGGATGCAGCCAGTGTTCTCTCCACCAGTTTCTTGCACTGCGCTACCGACGTCTCGGCAAACCTCTGAAAGCCTCGAGGCGTGGTCAGGTAGTTATTCCCTATCAGGCCTGAGCTCTTCTTCGCCGATGTCTGCCAGCTCGACCTGTTATTGAAAACTTCTCGTAACTGAGCATTATCGCTCTGCCGTGCAGGTGACCCGCGTACGTAGGCGGCGTCGAAGTCATTGTCTTGCACTGTAGCCGTGCCTGTGCCTGTTGAGTTGAATCTTTTCTGCTTTTGTAGGCATCTGGCACAAGTCCATGGCTGCCGCCGCAGTACTCTGTGCATGAGACAGGAGATGGCAGAAATCGACGGGAAGAGAGGTAAGGAACGTTGCACGACACTCGAGCCGCCAGGACACCGTAAATCGTCCTCCTCTTGTCTTTATCGACCTGTCCTTACACGACGACGGAGATGTGCATGTGCAGGCGCAGGCGCAAATGAAGCGAGGCGTTGCGTAGGATCACCTATCAAGAAATCCGGTCCTCGCCAAGCCCGGTTCGCCGCGAGCTCAATCGCATGAATGTTTTCTCAAAGTCGAGGTCACGCCAGCTGCAACAACAGCTCAACCTCGACAGCCATGGCTCGTTTAAGAGTACTGCGAGCTGTGAGTACGCTCCCCAGGGCCGTAATGTGTCACTGACAGCCTTCTTAGACCGGGAAAGCCGCATTACTGGTGGCCGGAGGTGCGGCGGCTTCCCAACTACCTCTACGATTCCCGACAGCTTATGCAGAAGTTCCCTCAAAGGATGAAGTACAAATTCTTCAATCCGGAATTATGGCAATTACTGACCTTCCCAAAGATCCCAGAGAAGAAGCCAATATATTCTCCCTATGCTCCCTCTCCTACAGCCCCGACACTACCCGCGGACTCGCCAGAATTGAAGCCGCATCATACCACTCCCACCCCTACAGACCGACTGGCGGAGCAAGTTAAGGAGGCTCGCCTCTTCCTCTACAAACAGTCTCTTGCCGCCGAAGATGGCATCAACGATTTGTTGACGTGGGCATTCAAGAAAGAAACCAACGTTGCAAACACAATCGCTTCTTTAGCCCCTGCGCCAGAAACAGGAGAACAACTACTGCCAGGAGCAATTTATGTTCTAGTCGCAACAATGACTGGATCAATAGTGACGCGCAACCGAGGCATCTTCCTCAGAGCCACTTTCCCATTGGCAGTTGGCATCACAGCAGGCTGGTTGTTGATCCCGGTCACGATGAGAAACACTTCCGACCTGATATGGGAATATGAGAAGAGGGTGCCGGCCGTCAGCGAGACACACCTACAGATCAGACACTTGGTGGAAGAGACCTGGAAGCAAGCAAGGACCTATGCGCAGGGGGCGTCTCAGTGGGCTGACGAGACGGCCAACGAGACGCGGAAAAGGGTTGAGGATTTGGTGTCGAAAGGAAAATAGACGGGCCAACGGCTAAGAGTTTTTGTTGCTTTCAGGCAGGTTTGTCTATGATTTGACTGGCTGCTGACCTGCCTTATGTACAGAAATGCATTTCCTTACAGTCTTCATCCTTCAAATCAGCCACTCGCGTGACCATCCGTATACTCTGTACCGCAGGACCACGAGAAGCGCCAGATTGACTACCTGCAACGTCAACAATCTTTCCAAGATAGGGCTGAAGGTCTGAACATTGTGGATTATCTCTTCCTGCCGCAAGCCCGCAAGACCCACATACCCAGAAGCTTTCGGGGTGGCATGGGCGTACCGCGAGCCACGTCTACAATTGTCAAACATCTCAAGGCCACGCCATTGAATGCTTCCTTCCCGATTCCGTTCCAATGCTGCTACCCTTGTCCATCACGGGTCGAATGAACCCAACGGGCAGCGCTGCGAAAGGTATTATCCCTATTGTACTGCCAGCACGTGACAAGGCCAGCCTTTCCGCAATTTCCGCCGCACCCGCATCCGCATATTGCATCAATTACTAACGACACAGCGTATCGAGTCCCCAGTTTACGCCCAGATGTGGAAGGTCGGACCAAATGAGCAGTTCTGAAGTTTCACGATCGCCTCCTCTCCGACTAGACCCTGGAGCAGCCTATGACTCACACGGCCATACATAAAGACAGAGCCAAATGCAGAACATTGTTCGGAAACCAACATCACACCCAGACCAGCCAGCGACTCCTTCGGCATGACTCAACCAAGCTATTCGAGCAAGACCTTGAGCAAAGGGATCCACGCCTTGGTAGGAGGCTCAGGCACCCCAATCGTCTGTATTCCCGGCTGGCCACAAACGGCAGAAGCTTTCGCGGACGTCTTCCCACTCCTGGCCAGCGAGCATCGCGTATTCGTGCTTGACGCTCCCGGTCTCGGCAACTCCGCACCAAGCACTGAAGGATACACCACGAAGGCCATCAGCACGACCCTCGCCGCCGCCGTGGAGGCAGAGCTTGGAGAAGGCACGCGCTATCACCTCGTCGGCCACGACGTCGGAGCTTGGGTCGCCTACCCCTGGGCCTGTCAATTTCCGTCTTCTCTTCTGAGCGTCACGTTCATCGACGCCGGCATCCCCGGCCGGACGATCACGATCCCCTCGCCCCTTCTCCCCGACGAGGCGAATCTCAAACTCTGGCAATTCTCATTCAACCGACTGCCCGAGCTGCCAGAGATCCTGACCCAAGGCAAAGAGCGCGAACTCCTGGACTGGTTCTTCGATCTCAAATGCGTCCACCCGGAACGCATCACGCGCACGAAGCGAGCCCGCTACGTCGAATCTTACAGCAGACCGGGCGCCATGACGCATGGGTTCAATTATTATCGCGCTTTCCCAGAGAGCGCGCGCCAGTACGATGAAGAATTCAGCAACTCGAAAATCGCGGCCCCGGTACTCGCTGTGGGCGGCCAGAAAGCCATGGGTGAGGCGATGAGGGGTGTTCTCGGATTGTCCACTGCGAGCGAGCAGTCTAAGCTGGTCATCGTGGACGACTGTGGGCATTTCGTACCGGAGGAGCAACCAGAGGTCACCGCTAGGGAGATTCTGACATTCGCTCGCTATGCTGAAAGGGCGTCTGGACATGTAATGTAACCAAAAGTTAGTAGTGCCCTTGATCGACCCGGGTGCGGAGCACCCACTTGTTGTGCGTTTCCCTTCGTCAAGTACTCTGTACTACACGCATCATTGGGACTAATGACGATGTATCTCATACCGTTCCCGTCGAAGGAGGAAATATGAAGTTGTACTCCGTCCTGGTGGGCCGATTTGTCCCTCGATGATGGTATTCGTCGATCTTCAATCAACATCATGGAATGATATAGCATTGTCATGTCCAAGTACGACTAGAATAGATCGCCCTGAATATTCCCATAGATATTACCCTTTCTCTTCATCCCATCATCTCCCTGCGAGGAGAAGTAGCGCGTGCCGGCACTCAATTTTGCGCTACGAAAACGCCACGAAAGGGCCCTTTAGCCTGATATCCAACAGCGTCCCCTGTTAAGCTACAGCGGGCTTGCCCTGCGAACTCTCCACCTGCATCATGCCAGCCTTGTCTTGCATGACGGCGTCTTCGACCGCGAGATCGTTCTCATTCACCAACACCACCTTGTCGCCGAATGCAGCTGCGACCTCTTCCAACGTCTTTTGCTTTGTCTCACTGCCAGGAGCTGTCAGCTTCCGATACATCTCACAGTTCCGAGACTCGTAGGACGAAAACACTCAATAAGCGCGAGGTAGGACTTACGGGAAGTAGAGGTATGCCACAACGAGGAAGAAGGCCGAACAGGCTACGAAGACGTAATAATAGTTCTCGTGGATATTTGCGAATGCTGCAGTATTTCAAGGCTTGTGTCAGCGTGGACTGCAGACGAGCGCAGAGGAATGGGCCTTAGGTAGGGAAGCCAGTCAAAGTCATATTGCTCGCAGACATCCACAAGCCCCACGTCAGTAACAGCGAGTGACTTACCGCTTGGTCCGGCTTCAGTGACTGTAGTAAAAGAAATACACGTTAGCTTGATCATAAACCGACGATCAGGGAAAAGTGATCCCACGAAGCCACTTACTTCCGACATTGACAATAAAGTGGGAGGCGGCCGCCAGACCCATGACTTTGGATCGAAGAGCGATAGGAAGCACTTCAGCGCCATATAGCCAGGTCGTGCTGTTCAACATGCCGTCTGTGCAAGATTAGTATATTGCCATTTCCCACCGATAGGAGCTGAAAGGCGTACAGTAAGTCACTACGAAGAGATAAATTCCCAACACTGCAAAGCCTTTGCCGACTTTATTGTCGGTATTCTGGAATTCACGCTGCATGACGGCGGCGTAGATCTCAATGATTATAACGCCTGAAAGACCAGCGAGAATCATCTTTCGGCGACCCCATTGATCAGTCAGGAATTTTGTGGTAAGGACATTGGAGGTGAACGCGAGGGTGCCGTAAATGGCGGCCAAAGCCAGGATCATATGGCTGTTGATCCCTAGAGACTTGAACAGAATCGTCTGGTAATATTGGATCTGCAAGTTGTTAGAAACCCGCTTTCGAAAGTGGCTGCGGCTCGAAGCAAAACACAGATAGGTACTGGCCCAGCAAGTAGAGAAGGAGCAAACTTACGACGTTGACGCCAGTGAGACTTGTCATGGTCTGCACAGCGATGGACACAAGGGCTCTGTGGCGGAAGAGTTTGAAGACTTCACTCAGCGACTTGATTTCTCGATGCTGCTCAAATTCGATCTGTGCACGCATGAGGGCGAACTCCTCGTGGACCTCGTGACTGGCGAGATCACGTCGGATGCGCATGAATTGGCGACGGGCTTCTTCGATCTTGCCATTCCTGATGAGCTGACGAGGTGAGTTGGGCATGAATGTGGCCAGACCGATGAAGAGGATGATCCCCCAAGGGACCTGGACGCCGAGTGGGAGGCGCCATTGTGTCGGACCGTAGGAGGCATAGCTGCACGCGAACCCTACCCAATTCGACATCATCGTCCCAAGCGAAATACCGCAGCCAGAGATACCGCCAATCAGACCACGATGCTTTGGAGCCGAGATTTCGCTGAGATATATCGGTACTGTTGCAACCATTCCTCCAACTGCGAGGCCAGCCAAAGCGCGACCAGCCAGAAACATGCCCATGTTCTGAGCAGCAGTCTGTATTACAGTACCTACTGTAACAATCACACACATCAGTTGCATAAAGCGGATACGGCCAAGGAAGTCGCCAATAAAGGTTTGAGTCAGGGCGCCGATAGCCTCGCCAGCGATATAGACGGAAACGACCTAGCGAAAATCAGTGGACGGCTTTCGAGGCAACGAGGTAAAACATACTGCACCCGTCAGACCCTTGGATGGGTGATTCATGTAGTCAACCCATGATTCGTGACTAGAAACATCCAGAGGTCATGTCAGTTCTGCTTCAGGGTCCGTGATGTGTCTCAGTCGATGAAGATTATTCAGAAGAGCTGTTCACTTCCGGAATGCTGTAGTCACTTACGCAATGGCTGGAATTGTCAGTCTCTTACGCACAAATCAGACGGTCGAACTCACTTGTGGTAGCAATGCCAGTATCAAACCCCTGAGATTCAGTCAGAACAACCTCAAGCAACCTAGAGGAGGGAGCATACGAAGAGGAAGGTGCCAACCGCCGCAAAGCAGGACACCCCTAAGGTATACCATATCGAGCCTGCCATGTCGGGTTCAACAGTTTCTCGCAGTTCTTCCGAGTCAATATTGCGTCGACAAAAAGAAGATTTTCAGCACAGGTAGCGAGGGGTTCACGGGAGGAGTGGAAGCAGCTTAAAGGAAGGATCAGCTATGGAAATACTCATCAGCACCTTCGGCTCAAAGACCGAACATGCGATTGCCGTTCAGCCACGTTTTGATAGCACGAGGGGGCATGAGTGTCCGTTTCGGGTTATTGAGAAGCGATCGGTCCGCTGGCAGGCTCTGCCAAGTACCTCGTAGCGTGCTCGTCGATATGTAAGTATGTTGTTGGTTGGACCAACAAAGGACAAGAGGCATAAGACCAATTTAGACAAGCTCCCAGCCACGAAACAGGTCAATTGCCGATGCATACCTGCTAGGGACGGAATCATGACCGATGTGCACCGTTGAGGCAGGATCAACAGCCGGGCGAGCACAGTAACCTTGGCAAGGTCTCTCGATTCGACGAAGCTGGCAGTCGCTTGAACGACGTTATGAGATAGTGGCATATTCCGGAGAAGGTGTGAGGGGATGAACCTGTGGGCGACTGGGAGTAAGCAAGCAATGCAAGCTATGGGGGTCACGGGGAGTTAAGCGAAGGGTGGCCCAACGGTCAAGTCGCCACGAGCTCCGTGTGGCACGGTCCTGTCGGTGTAAATCCATCCGGGAGCCAAACGTCGACGACGTCCGCTTCAGGACTTCTGACCGAAGAGTGTCGCGGCAGGGCATAATCAAGCTCATATATTGCATGTGCTGAATTTCTCTTCGCAATCGACCATAGGATTTTGTGGAAAACAGGACTTCCCGTTCGCTCAGTCAATACTTAAGCCACATGCCGACGAGTCAGTAGCAAAGTTGGTGACAATTTGCGAATCCTCGTTGTTGATTGTTGCTTTTTGCTTTTTGCCATCTCGAATGAATCTTTTACCATATGGAACGAATCCTTTTTGCCATTCCAGTGTCCAGTCGATTTTGCCAGGATTGCTTGAGAGCCAGTCCTCATGGAGTAAATACTGGGAATTCGGAGCAGGGCCGCTTTGACTATGATGGTTATCATACGGGTATTGACCGCCGAGCCTGACTCCCGTAAGTACTCGATCGTTGGCTCGCTGAAGACAACAAGTTCATTGTTGAACAAGAATGACACCTTTCTTTTGGGAAGACGGCATTGCATAGTAACCCAAACACTGGGTCCTAGTGGTAGGCCAGGAAGTCATTCCCTGTTCTTCAGGTCCCTCTCCATTCACTTGAGCCTCCAGGGCTTTAAGCCCCAGAGAGAATGGACTTATACGGCAGGAGTGTTTGACTTAGACCTCAATTCACCTCTAGTGGGAACTTCGGCGAGAATTCGACAAGCAGCCATGAGTGGGGGAACCCAGATCGAGCATGCGCTCGCACTTCTTGACCTTGAGGAGCGCCAACTACTCATCGAGCGAAAGAAAATAGAACTGGACCGAAAGAGACTAGCGACGTCTCCAGGCCATCACTACTCAGAACCCTGTCGATCTCACCGTAGACATCATCAGTTGTGAAGTCAAGCAAAGACATGGTCAGGTTGCGGACGAGGGTACGTATTCCCCAGAGCTTTACGTGCAGCAGCTGCTGATTCTTGAACAGGAAAAAGTGCTGTAGCCGCCGCCGTCAAGCAAAACGAGAAGAAAGAAGCTACATCCGCCGTCGCCGAGTCCGTAGTCGCATCCGCGCCGATTTATGACTCCGCTCAGAAGCAGACCAGTAAGCACCATCGAGTTACACCGTTGTTGACAGCTGTGATTAGTAACAACCCAGCAGACTCGACCCTGACGCAAGCTTCTTGGGACACTGCTAGCTCTGGAACCGTTGGACCGCACGATACCACGGCCCCCGCCGTACGACAGGCGGTTGCTGAAACGTTCAGCCAAACCCGTGATATTCTGGATACTTCACCTCCGCCCGCAAGAACGATCACTAGTCTTCCAGTCTCAGTTCGACCAACCTTGGGAAAGCGCCCGAGAACAATTGACAGTTCAAGTTCGGAAGAGGACGAAGAATATACGCATACCTACGCCCGTCGAACTCAAGCTGCGCCTGACAAGCGAGCACGGACGAACCAACCACGTCATGTGTACAACTCAGCAACGAAAAGCTTCACGCTTGTCTAGCAGCACTTCGGCAGACATCCTCACTTCGGAAGCGTCGGTCAACTGAGAATGGTGGTACGAAAGCACGACTTGGGATATTCAACCAAGCTGGCATGACCTTCGGAGATCCGAACGCAAAGAAAGATCGCGCAGATTGGACTACTAATTGAGTGGTGAGCAGCTAGAATGCAGCAAGGCATGCCTGCATAATCAACAGAAGGAATCCGCATGCTTTTTGCCTATCAAGTATATACTCTCATCGCTTCATGGGGTATCATGTTGAATCCACAGAAACCATATTTTGTCCAAATCCAGCTTTTGTTGAAAAGCCACTGGTGACAATTATGCATATGCATATGTTAGGTGCCGTACTCACCCTTGTTGACCCCAAAACTCAACCGTGGTCGCCTCATCCAAACCGACAACGATGCCTACCAGGTAATTTACGGCTCTCCCCAGATCTCATCGGCAATCTCCCTCACGAGCGCCAACTTCTTGCTCTGATCCTCCATGCTGAGCGGGTACCCGGTCTCATGCGTACTGAACCCGCACTGAGGACTGATGCCGATCCGCTTGAGCGCCTCCTCGCGCGTCTGGCCGGACCCTTCAGCCACAAAGTCCGCAGCCTTATATATCCGTCTCTTCGTCTCCTCTTTGTCCTCCAGCTCCCGCAACTTGGTACTGATACAACCGACGATGACATTCTTGTTCTTGGGCAGGAACTTGAGCGGCTCGAATCCGCCGGCCCGCTCGGTGTCATATTCCAAATAGAAGGTGTTGACGTTCAAATTCTCAAACAACTTCTTCGCAATGATGTCGTACGCTCCCTCGGCGAAGTGGCGGCCACCGATGAAGTTGCCTCGGCACAAGTGCACGCCTGTATGCATGTCCTCGGGACAGTTGGCTATTGAGTCGTTGTACAGTCGAATGTACGCGTCCAGCAAGTCGTCGACACTGCCGGTATTGTCTTTATCTTCTTCCCAGCCTTTGCGGAAGGCCGTCGAGCAGAAGTCTTCACCCCCAGAGTGTCAGCTTTCATATCCTAGAATGCCGAACGTCAGGCGTTCAATGGGAAAATTACGTGGGACACTTACAAGCCAAACCTGGATCATCGAACTGAACATTTCTCAACCCAGCATCATACAACGTCTGTAGTTCTGCAGAGTATGCTTTGGCGACGTCCTTAAAATAATCGGTATCGTTGGCGTATGCTTCAGGTGTGTAAGCTCGGCCTTGCTTGTACCGCATGTGGAACCACTGGGAATCCATTGTCAGCCTCAACCTCTCATACAATGCAGTCAGCGTGAAAACGCCATCCGCCTGAGAGCTAAGTGCATATTCGGGCACCGTGTCCAGCACAGCCTGAGAAGCCATCTCTTGGCTATGCTGCTTCTTATCTTTTTGCCTTGGGAGCAAAGGTAGCAACTCCACCAATGCTGTCTCTCACCCCTTCTCACATCCTACTCCCACCACCACTCAAAAGACCGAGACAAAGCTTTTCAAAAGGGACTCACCGCAGGCGTAATCATTGTCAACTTAATGTCTCCCCACTGCTGCTTCGGCACAAACTCCTGCACCAACTTCAATTCATGCAGATTACTCCGCGTCCCGGCCTGAGGATACTTGATCTTGCTTCCCGCGATGACCGAATCGCCCGGCATGACCTTGCGATCCCTCTCAATCAAGCTAACAACGTCCGGATGGTACAGCCTGAACATACTGGCCTCGGCATCCTGCAAGCGGGTCGTGCCCTCGAGCTCATCCCAAAACAAGCCCCAGAACCGTGTCCGGTTGAACTCGCCGCTCGTCACGCCCTTGAAACCCAAGTCCAATTGAGTCTTCACAATCTGTCCGATGGCCTCTTTCTCGACGGCGGGAAGGCCCGCCTCTTCCTCCGAAAGGCCCTGGTCACGAATGGCGGCGCGGACGTCCAGCAGCTTTTGTGGTCGGAGCAGCGAGCCCATATGCTCGGCCCGGAAAGGCGGTGCTCGGTGAAGCTTCGAAGACGCCATGCTTGTGACCTGGTTTCCGGGATCAAAGAGAAAATGGGGTCAACTAACGAAAAGAGTGTAGACTACGTGTCAGGAAGAAGGAAAAACTCGATTCAAGCTGGGCCCTCGCAAATCCACATTGGAGCCCGTTTTGTGGGAAATTCTGGCAGAATGCTTGCAGCTTCCCCGCAACTCTTGCGTCCAATGAAAGCGACGAGCCAATCGCCCACGGGGCATTCATCGGATAAATCCCACGGTCACCACGGTATATATCATGACCACGGTGTATGAACAAGGACGCAAAAGAAGAGAGGCTGGACAATGAACCAAGATCGAATAGCCTTCAGGATCTACGGTGATACAAAGTATTATGTAGCTCGAGCAACTCAATGCAATCCTTCGTCGCCCACGACAGCATCAATACCCCGAGATTTGCTGCATTGTATTGACACTTTTTCAATATCTGTGCGTCAACCGTCGCAACCCATTTAAGAAACGCGCACCCCAAGAGAATAGACCGTTGATGGTCCAGCCTGCAGCTCATTGAGAGCCTGTCGCCTAGGCTCATCCCCTCCAGCTTTCCATGAATGTTGGGCAATGCCCAGAAACCATTCGAGAACGACGAGGCGTCAAGGGCCTGAGACAAGTAGCCCAGGTAGTAAATGAATCGGCCGTTAGATACGATGTTTCTCGCTTTCTGAATTCATTGTCAGCAAGCTAGATCCAGCGGGTATGGAGGCTGAGACTCACCTAATCTCGAGTAAAGCATGTACAGCGCCATTTGGTTGCACTCCTGTGTACCAGTAATGGTGACCAGACGCTCATTGCTGTTATCCTGAGGTTCGTTGATTTTGATGACACTGCCACTGAGATGTCGAATTTCGTTGATTTTGGCCCCACCTTTGCCAATGATGGCTCCAACCATATCGTTTGGAATGAAGATCTGCTGAGTGATAGGTTGTCCCGGAATAGCGTGCGCTGGCTGTGCTGGCTGACCATGTGGACCCGGTTGAGGTGGCATCTGTCCATATGGACCAGGTTGTGGAGGCATGGCACCATAACTTGGTGTGCGTGGTGTCGCTGCATATGGCGTGCCATGTTGGGGATATGGCTTTTGAGGAGGCGCATGCATTTGCGGGGCACCATAAGATTGTGGTGGCATTCGTTGAGGGGGTTGAGTGTTGTGTCTCTTGTACATGTCTGGATGGCCGAACTGGCCTCCAGCAGGTTGCGGGACATATGGCACTACTTGCATACCACCAGGGACAACACCAGCAGGACCACCGCTTCTCGTGGCGTAGGCAGAAGCAGCCGGGCCACCAAAGCGTTCTGTCAACTGTTCAACCAAAGTCACAGCAACATAATACGTTGCGATGTGGACGGCATCGGCGACACCTAGCACCACCAAGGAACGCTCGGTCGACAGTGGCAAGCATGAGTCAGAAGCATTCAAGCGTGCACCCGACGCTTCTTGGATCTCACGAATCCGAACGCCAGATTTGCCGATAATAGAGCCAATAAGAATATGTGGAATTAGTAGTCGCAGAGGGTATGTCTTGGACTGGGCAGTAGAAGGAGCCTCGAGGGGTTCATTGTTGAGAGTACGAATGATGAGACCAAACGCCTGGAAAAGTCAGCAGAGTCGAATAAGCAAGAGTAGATTGCTAACATACCTTGGCGACAGCATCTTGAGCTCCACTGACCGTCAAGATACGCTCAACGGCACCACGGGAATAGTCACTGACAGTGCATTTCGCACCAGAAAGCTTTCGAATCTGGGTCACGTTCTCGCCACCTTTACCAATGCAGGTGGCAGCTTCAGCACTGGAGATGACAGCACGAATATGTATCCATTGTGTCTCGTCTTGTGATGCGCCACCAGGTGCCTGAGAGCCAGCTCGATCGTTTTGAGAGGTTATGGGCGGAAGTGGCAATGCGTCTGCAGGTGGTAGGATTGCGGCTCGGTTGCCCGCTGGAAGAGCTGATGTCTCTGCGTCTGCCTCTGCAGCACCATTTGTCACTGGGGCTGGTAGTCCTTGTTCTTCTGTTGATTTTGTTCCTTCAACCACAGTAACTTCAGCATCCTCGGATGCTTCTGGTGCAGTCTGTTCTTTGACCACCTTGTCAAGTGCTGGGCGCTTTGCTTCGGGCAGGTCAGTTGGGGCGGATGGAGAGGAGGGGTCCTCCAGGGGTCGTTTTGCTGAGGACATTGCTGTGGTGGATGTGGGTGACGCAGACATATCGCGTGGCTTGGAAGAATCACCCAAGTGGACAGGGTTTGCTCAATTTCCTTATTATTATTGTTCTTGCGAGAACTTATGTACACCAGGGATGTCGAAAGAAAATGTGCTGGTGCAAAGGAGGGTCGGGGATGCCAAACGCGACGACAGAGACTGTGTAAGGGTGTTTTTGAAGCTTCGTGCTAGGATTGGTGGTGGACTGAGGAACGTTCTGTGCTCTTGAGATTCCGAGGGTGTAAGAAAGGAGGTGAGGCGGTGAACGAAGGTGTGAAATCTTCAACGGTGAGGTCGTAGGAGGAGGAGTAAGAGGGTGATGGTAGGAGGAGGTGAGGTTGAGTAAAACAACGCCTTGAAGATGCTCCCGTTTCCCGTACCCAGCAGTTGCAGGGTGAACCTGTACTTAACTCGAGAGACCTTCGCGTGGATGAAGAGAAAGGCAAGATAAGTGAAGAGGCGTGGGGAGAGGATGGACGACTGAAGGGTAGCGCGACTGATGCCACGCAGCGCAAAGGCAGGATGTAGCGAAGGAGAAGGAAAGACCCAGTCGTGGGGCAGTTTTTGATGGGTTTGAAGAGACGCGCAGCAAAACTGTCAGTCTGAGTGAAAGAGGAGTAGATGTCAGAAAGAGCAAGGGAAGTTGTGTGTCGTCGATCGATTCCCTCCTTTAAGTCGAAGCGACGCCGCCTAGTAAATCAAGAGCCGGGGAAGGACGAGCGACAAGATTTGCAGCTTCGTTAGTGCCAAGCCTGTCAAACACATCTGGTCACATGACATCCACCACGTTCACGTGCCCTCTCGTGCCTCTCCAAGCTGGCTCCATTATTCCCCGTTGCTACGAGTACAGGAGGTGAGGAGGCAGGCCGTTTGGCACCTATTGCCCCCATCATCCCCTACTGACTATCTACATCTAACGACGCTTGGGCTCCTCATGAGTCCTGACGCCCCTGCGACTGCCGCTTGTTCCAACTTGGGATCAACAAGACGCTCGTAGGTGGTAGATCACGCGCATTGGCATCATGGCAGCAGTCGAAGGAACGGTGAGCTTGCATCATGGTAGCATTTCCAGATAGGTATGTTTGCGAAGCCTAGTGTGCCTAAGTGGCCTTCATTAAACATTGATCCTGCTATTTAGACAAGAAAGACACTGCAGACCGCTTTTCATTCCAAATCTGTGGTATCGCTGTTGAGCCAGATTCCAATGTGCCCAAACACTGGAGTCAGCTGCCTCATCTCTTCGCTCCTGCTGTTTTTCGCTTCTCCTCCAAAACAGTCTTTAACATAGTTGCGGCTTCCTTGCGACGATGTGCTTGCGCCCGACATCGTTCTCTGTCCTCTGCTGATATTAATGAAAGACCACCATTCTGACTAGCTCTAAAGCTCTTGCTCGAACGGGTACTGCTGCCAAACTTGGAATCGGGGGTATGGTAGATGCTCCCTGCACTTCCTGGGGTGGTGCCATTCGCCGATCGACTACCATGTACTGGAGTACTGGGGCTCTTGACCGCCTCGCCGTTGCTGATCATTGAAGACGCCAACGAAAGATCCAAATTCTTGAGCTGAGCCTCGAGAAAATCAATGTCTGCACTCTTCTGCTCCGCCATCGACATCATTTTGCTGACTGTCTTTGTCACAGCTTCGACTGTTGGCTTCTTCTGCGACACCGCTTTGCCCACAATGCTACTTCGCCTGCCGATCGTGTCGGTGGGCCTAGATTGGGCGAGCTTCGCACGCAGAACTGAGATGCATTCTTCCACCTGGACGAGCTTGGTCTGCACCGAAGTGAATGCTCTGCGGAGGTCATGCTGGATAGAAGCTTGTTCGGCAGATAGAGGCGCGGCAATTCCACTCTCGGACGAGGATAGAGCGTGGATGGTTTTGCGTACAGAAGTGAGCTTGGTTCTTAACTCAAACAGATCGCGCCCAATCAGAGCCTGACACTGCTGGACCTTTCCACCAAAATGATCGATTTGGCTGTCAGCAAGAAGATCTGACAGAACTGCTTGTCCTTCGTGAAGTCGCGTAATGTCGGTCAGGAACCACTCGTCGTTGAGAGCATCCATAGGCGTTTCCGACTGCAGAACTGACGGCCAAGATTTGTTCGTGGCTTCTGGTTGCTGGTATTTCATGAAAGCAGATAGTGATCGGCAGTTGATACCCAGGGTGAAGACCATGGAATTGATGTCCGAGTACAACCGTTCAATCTGTGCAGGTATACCCGTTTTTGTGGTTTCTTCTGGAGGCTTTGGTTGATAGGTAATGAAGTCGTCCAGATTCGCCGATGGAGAAACAGGTCTAGCGAGCTCCTGTCGTAATCTCTCATCTTCATCATCCTGAAGGGGTTGGAGTTGCTCGGCCTCTTCCTGCGCCTTCTGGCGGGCGACAGCCTCGCGCCGGGCTTTCTCTTTGGCTGCTTCCTCTTCTCTTGTCTTGGCAGCTTGAGCAGCAAGCGCAGATTTTTGGTATTCGGCTTTTCGTTGGTCTACAATAGATCTGGGATGTGCAGGCGCGCTCACAGATCTGGCTGACTCTACTCTCAGCTTCTCGGTAGGTAGAAGATGCCGCACCGGGCTCGGTGAACGAGGGCTCTCTTGTGGTTTGGGAGGAGCAAAGACCGGTCCAGAGCCGACCTCGCCGAATAGTGGTCGAGCGGGCTTCTGTGCCACGACTTTCGAAGACACCTTGGTGAAAAGACCCCCAGTGGGGCTCGTCTCAGTACTTCTTCCGCCGCTCTTGAACGAGCTTTCTGGTGAAGTTTGCAACTGCTCGTGCTGCTCTTCCGTCGTCTCATCTTCTGAACCGACCTCACCTGTGACTTCCTCACCGCTACCCTCAAAGTCGGAGCTGAAGTCCTCATCCTCCTCCTCTCCTTCACTCGGCAATTCTGGCTGCTCTTCGTCATTGTGGGCGGCTTTCGCCACGGGGAGGAAGTCTGGAGGTAACGGAGCCTCTTCTGGGGAGCCTTTCGAGCGATTTGAAGAGCCTGAAGTATCTCCAGAAGCATATCGTGGTTTGCTCACAGTGTCTGGCGGAAGAGGTGCCTCGGGAACGTTCGCTAAGTCAATCGACTCTTCGTCGCTAGGTGGCTCCTCTTTGATCTTGGGGCCATCTTCAATCTTTGCAAAAGTATTCACTGGTTCGCTTTTCTGGACAGCGGCAGGAGTAGCGGTTGTGGCTGTCTTAGTGCCAAACAGGGTCATGTGAGGTGCGGGAGTTTCCTTTGGTGTCGTAGAGGGTAGGGCTCCAAACGACCAGCCTGGCGTGGTCGTTTGAGGTTGTGGAGTTGTAGTCTGGTGTGATGGTTGACCGAACAAGCTGGACACGGGTGGAGCAGGCGTAGCTTTCGACTGGGTCAGCGTAGAGGGTGGCGTTACCAGTGTTTGGGGAGGATTGAAAGTTGCAGGCGCGACGAAACCTCTGGCTTCCTTTCCCTCCGATTCAGCCTCGCTCGCCGCACTCTCCTCCTCCATCTCGGCCTCTTTATCGTGTGTTGGTGAAAGAGCACTCTTGGATCCGCTCAGCATGTCGCCGAAAGATGTTCCGAAGCCAAATCCGCTGGGTTCTTTGGGTTTGAGGAGGTCATCTTTTGCGCTTCCATCGCCCTGGAACGTTGACTGTAATTTAAATGCACCAGCATTGCCGAACGAACCTTGGCCTTCCACAGGTTTGGCTCCTCCAAAGGAGGGTGCAGCGGGCTTATTTGTGCCGAACGCACTTGTAGATGGCTCCCCAAATGTACTTTTTCCAGCAGCTGCTGCAAATGGACTTTGTGTTCCTTGGTCAGTGCGTCCGCTTGCGAATGAGCCAAAGCCACCTCCTTTAGAGAATGAGGCGAAACCTGAGCCGCCCGACGCACCGCCGGCGCTGGCGAAAGGACTGGAAAGTGAAGAAGCTCCGAAGGTGGAACCACCGCCGATATTAGAGGATTGACCAAAAGGTGGTTGTCGAGAGCCCAGTGCACTCGCTGATCCAAATGCAGTGGCTGCACCAAACGCTGGCTTGCTGGTAGCCGCTCCAAAAGTGTCAGAGCCACCAGGCCCAGCAAACCCGGTAGTGGCCCAAGAGGGCTTGTCAGAGGCAATTGGTGATGAGGTACCAAGGGGTTTTGCTGTCAGAGCTCCAAACCCAGCCTGAGTGGCGGGTGCACCAAAAGTCGCGGTAGGCTTCGCGAGCGGACTGGCATTGTTTAGCTGCCCGAAAGTGCCTGTTGATGGGCTAGGTCCTGATGACGCAGTAGAAGTGGGCTTGCCTGAAGAGCCTCTAGCCGCTTCCACGTTTGCAAACCCCGAAAAGGCGGTCTGCTGGCGGACGGAATCATTGTAGATAATCCACCATGACACCAGCAGGCCCTCATTGTTCAAGATTACCAAGCTAGGTACGGGTCCTCCAGTTTCAAGGATTTCCGCATCAGATGGGATAGGATTTGGAACCTTTTCGGTGCTGGACAGATCCAGGGCCATGCCAATTGGAGAGGTATCTTGCATGGTCTCAGACAGCGGGAGCTGTGCGCGGCGCGTGTCGTCCTCGATAGTGGTGAACGTGAAAGCGGAAATTACTGGATCTTGTTGAGAGAGTGCCTTGTCCGACTTGGACAAGAGGCCCACGTCGCTAGCTGTGCTGGCCGATATAATCAGCAGGTCTTGGAGATGAGGAGGAAAATTCCGAAGTCTCGCTATGAAATGTGTAGATGGCAGTCGTTCAAGACCAAAAGGTGCAAGCACCTCTGGCAGCTTCTGGAACGTGTAATTGGTGGTCTTGGGTTCTCGATTTACGATATAGTATTCAGACGGTAGAATACCATCGCTTGTGTCGTTCGGTGTGTAGATGATTAGAAAAGTGTCATTTTCGAGCCACGAAATGCCGGAGACGTGTACATCCGACGAGATGGATGTGGACTTTGGAATTTGTGCCACCACAGTCCCGTCCGGTTTCATTTGTACAGCTGTGCCATCTGCCATACCAGCGACCAATTGTTTGCCTCTGTTACTCCAAGACAGACAGCTAGCGCCATCTTTCAGAACTGGTCCGTTGCTTCCCAACATCATACTTCCAGCCTTCAAGTCCAGCAGCATTAGGTCGCCATTTACCGTAATGAGAGCAAAGAGCTCAGCATGTTCCGGGACAGGATTTGGCACCAATGCGCGCAGGCCTTGACCATTCGTGGAGAGCTGTACTGCGGGGCCGAGTTCTCCCTTTATGATGCGGTCAACCTGGAAGGCTGCCAAACCTCCGTCTCTTTCGCTGGCGACCACTAACACACTCTCGTCGGATGAGAAGGCAACGTGTGATAGTCGCGGCTGAGGAATCTTGATTTCTGGTTTAAGCAATCTGATGGTTCCAATCTCTGGAGAAGACTGGAATGCGTCCCTAACTTTGTCCGTTGTGGTGAGATACAAAGCATCAGGTCCAGCGGCCGCTAGAAGTCCCTTGGCGGAGGCAATACTGAGGAGAGAGGATGAGGGAGGCGGCAGAGCGTCTGATGGCCATGGGGTAGGGAGTAGCCGTACTTTGGTTTCGCCATTGAGAGCCGCGAATCCAAGTTCGTCGGTTTGTATTTCTTGTAGCTCCGGCCCATCTTTGACAGTGGTTCCGCTGGTAGTGTTTGTACCAAAACCCGACGCCCCAGATGCGGCACTTGCGAAGCTGAACGCCATCCTCAATCTCGGAAGCTCTGCGGAGAGCGATCGTTTTGCGTCAAGAGGTGAGATGGAGGATGAGACATGCGGACTTGACGGTGGACGGGTTGGGGTGGAAAAGTTGAAAGAGTGTCGAGGGAGTACCGTAGGCCTCCAGAAGGAAGGGGAACGCTTGTGGTCAGCAATCTTGAGCGGAGGTCATCGAACACAGGCAGACATTCTCTAGGGGACGGTCGAGTTGGCTTGAAGAATACCGTGCTGGGTGCCAGGCAGTATCATGGGGACAACATTCAATCCACAAATTCCGCCCGCGGCTCAAAGTTCCAAAGTAACAAGCGGTCGCGCTAGATTTTGCGTTTGGCGCGTCTAGCTGCCAAGAATACTCCGGCGTCGTACACTACGGTGAATCATTTCGGCCAACTGCTACAAGCCCCTGCGTGCCCCTGAAAGCCGCACATTGGTGGCACACGGGGATCCGTCCGTTATCGACTACTACTACTACTACCAACACCATGGTTTGGTTTGGCACCTACATTGTCCCGACAGTGCCAAACGTACAAGAACCCCAACTGCGATGTCGTTTCGGGTGCATCAACCTCGGTACACTTCGATGTCGGAGACCCTTGGCAGGCCTTGGCTTTTGCGACAAGAAATCTATATCCGAGTCCGCCACTGTATTGTTTTATCAAGCCGAGTTTCTCGGGTTCAAGCAATATCGCCATGTACAGGAAGCAGTCAGGCAGACACCCTCGAAACAAGGCATGTTAACAAGTGCATAGCATTTCCTAGCACTCGCACCGGATGGTATTTCCTTTTCGGCGGTCCTTGACCTTGCTACCTGACAGAATCAGTCTACTGTACAGCCCAGTCTGGACCCGAGAGTTTGGCAGAGTTCCATTGACTAATGGCTTCGACTGGAGCTTTCAAGACTCACCAAAACGGAAGCACCCGGACCTGACCTCTTTCGAGATATTTACCTCGGGTTGTGCCACTTCCCCGCAAGTCTGGGGAATTGGTGCCATCCGCGTATATTCCCCACGCAACTGGACCTTCTCCGGTCGACCTCGTATTGGGACATGCGGAACCGATGCTCGAGGTGAGACTCGAGCTTGAAGGACCCTATAGGAGACGAATATCGCCCTCACTTTCCCAATTTTATCAGTTCCTGATCTTGGCAGGGATGGTTCGATTGCTCCTGACGACTTTGCACGGTCTAGCCTCTGCTTGTTTCCGAGATCGAGAGAAGCGAAGTGGGTACAACTCACAGTTGGCGACCACTAAGGAAGACAGACTCGAATCCAGCTGTCTGGTAGGCGAGACACTAGACAGAGTGCTCGGATGCTGAACTGAGGTCATGTATTGAAGTTTCGTGGACTGCCTCGGGTTCACGGAGCTGACTCGCATGGACTCGCACTCTCGCGATCAAGTCTATATAAGAACCCCCCTGCTTGAGTCCCTCATCTTCCCAGGTGGGCTTCGAATACACAGCTCCCATTCCCACGAAGTATCTTCCGCATCCGATTCCCTTCACATCGGCTCCAGTTGACTTCTCGTCATGGGCAAACTTATTCCCAATGCGTTCAACCTTGCGGTTGTGATTTACGTTGCTTTGGGTTCAACGGCATGCAGCTATGGTATGGCCATCATCGGGTATGTATGAGAGTCTTCTCCCGGTGATGGAGGAGCTAATTATCACTAGTTCAACCGTCGGTCAGCCTAGCTTCTACAAGTCTCTCAAGCTCGCACCTCAAGGAGAACCAGGCTACGATCGCACTTCGCAGTATATTGGTGCCTTCAATGGCGTCAACTCCGCAGGATCTGCCATTGGAGCTGCAGCTTGCGCGTACTTTGCTGATAGACTTGGTCGGAAAGTAACCATTCAGATTGCCGCCGCAATCCTCATTGTCGGTGCCGCCATTTGTGCAGGTTCGGTCAACAATGCCATGTTTATGGTCGGTCGTGTCATAAATGGTCTTGGTATTGGCGGCTTGGTGACTACGATTCCTATGGTAGGTGCTGCGATTGAATACGTCCGCGATCCTCCCTTGTGATCTCAACATGTCGGGCTGTCCTGCGTTATAGTGGGTAACCTCCAATTGCTACTGTGAGGACAGTCGGCTTGGCGGAGGACTTTTACCCAGTTTTCCCCTCCTCCCATTCCCTTTTTCTTCATTCTCCATAGCGCTGTAGAGCATGTGCTAACGTTGCCCGTTATGGCTGAACAGTATCAAGCTGAAGTCTCCACACCCGAGAGTCGAGGTTTCATGGTATCCATGCACGGCGTCATGTTCGCCATGGGATATACTCTCCAAGCATGGATTGGCTTCGGCGTGTATTTTATCACCGCCAGTGGCTCGCCATCTTCATTCCCCTGGCGATTCCCCATCGCCTTTCAGATGGTTCCAGCTGTGCTACTGCTTCTTGGCTCACCTTGGCTACCCTTCAGCCCGCGCTGGCTGATGATGCGTGACCGCTTCGACGAAGCTCACGAGGTCATCAAGCGGTTACACAAGACCAAAGGTGATCCACATGACGCTCTCGCTCGCAAAGAGTACTATCAGATGAGGAAGCAGGTTGAGCTTGATCGCCAGATCAGGGCTACAACCTCCGGCTTCGAGATCTTCAAGACACCTGCTAATCGCCGGCGTGCTATTGTGGCCTTCATACTTATGTGGAACAACCAGTTTACCGGCGTAAGACTCAGAACCCACGTATCCCATGACACCGATTCTGACAATTGATAGGTGCTTATTATTGCAAACTACGGTATCCTGCTATATGTCAGTCTTGGAATGTCCGGATATTGGCCTCTGCTCCTCACTTGTCTCTGGGTCACATCAACTTTCCCAGGTAACATCTTCTGTGCGTTTTACGTTGAGAAGTTCGGCCGCAGGAGATTCATGCTCATTGGACTCACCGGTATACTGGTATGCCTCATTTGCGAGATCATCTTGCAAGCAGAATTCCTTGGGACGAGCAACAGAGCAGGTCAGAATGCAGCAATCTTTGTAAGTGCCCGCCACCTGCTAACCTTGGCACCTCTATGATGCCTTGGGCTTCTTAACTCGCCCCCGCCGGCTCCCGCACTTCCTCTATCCTCCGAGGACATTTATCTGACGACATCCAGTTCTGCTTCCTCTTTATTACTCCCTTCTGGTCAACGTTCCTCGACGCCAGCCAATTCTTATATGTGTAAGTCCTCTGCTTGAGGTACCACCTGAAGTGCTTCAGCTAATGTCATGCCAGCTCCGAGATATTTCCTACACACATACGCAGTCAGGGCATGGCGGTTGGCATGTCTGGCCTCTACCTTGCCGATATAATTCTGCTAGTTGCGGGACCGATCGCACTCGAGCGGATTGGCTGGAAATTCTTCCTGGTCTTGATCATACCAACTGCTCTCCACATTTTGTTCGTTTTTTTCTTCTGCCCGGAGACCAAAGGCCGAAGTTTGGAAGACATCAATGCTCAGTTCGGCGAACAGGTTGCTGTGCACTGGTATGGAGCTACAGAGGCGGAGAAAGCCGAACTTGAGCAGGCCGTAATTCAAGATGAGGAGAACGAACGTCGTCATTCCACTTCTGGGGATAAGTCGAATACAGTGCAGCAGGAGGAGATATCCGGAAAGCAGGCTTAGGAGGCAAGCTTGATACAAGGAAAGCCTGCTCTGCTGCAGGTTACCTACAGGGGTGGACCGCATCGGCACCCAACAGCATGAGGTTGTCAAGGTTGTGGAGAATGGACCAGGGGGAAAGTGGACAGCGACATTTATATAGGAGGCGGATGAATGCAGATATCTAGTACCGAGATTTGACTTCGGTGAATTCAGCCGCTTGGTGATGATCCCACCACTAGGTCTGATTCATTTTTCGTGGTCGCCTACTATATTACTACCTAGGTAGGCAGCACCTTCGAGTAAGGTAACTAGAATTAGTATCAATTTTCTAAGGTAACCTTTTAAGCCTCACAACCTCTGAGTAACTCTCAGCCTCTGTACCTCTCAACCTCTCACGTCGCTATGTACCTCTTAAGCTACGACCCTCGACGCTACCTTAGGACCTCCGGGTACGCTTTTAGTGGAAGAAGGGCATCATAGGGGTGGTTGTTGACTCCTGCCGAGCCTGTTGCGCCATAAAGCGCCTACATACACCTTCTATATTACACCTCTCGACACCTCGATACATCTCTTACATATCGACAAGCTTATTTAGAACGGTAACTTCGCTGAGCAAAAGTACTTACTGCACTTCTACCAGGCACTTGAGTGATGGTTAGAGTGGTGGAGCGAAGGTAAGAAAGCCACGTTGCAGCGCAAGGGTAAGACTCTGGGAACACCTGGACTCGTACGGAGATCGGAACAAGAACCCTGTGAATGGTAACGATGAAGAGGTAAGCTGGCAGAGTGGCAGCCGGAAGTACGGCCTACGTGGTTGCTACAAGCCTTGCGTGAGGTGTCTTCAACTTGCGGGCTGGGACATCGGTAGAGAAATAGTCCAAGGCAATAGTTGAATACTAGTGCTGCTGGGTATTAACGGGAGAGTTCACGTTGAGAGAGAGTGAAGTCTCCAAAGTCTGCGTAACCGTGTCATTACTCGAAGCACACACAGATCTCATCAACTCATTGATACGTGTCTATATGACCATTTTGTTTAGATCATTGTACTCCGTACCCTTTGAACTCCAACCATTCACCTGCTCAAAATTGAAGCCTAGCATTGTCTAAATGATTATTCCTAAAGAGGTTAGACCAAACTAATATGCCAAGCTCAGCCTCGCGCCGCGTCTCGCAATTGGAGGTGTTGCGCATCTCTAAGCTGCCTTCGCTGCAGCCCGTCTAAGATCTTGCATCACGTCTACACCTCACCGATTCCACCTCTTTCAAAGCTTCGCACAATCCTTGAGTTTCAATTCTTTGTCCCTTGCCTCCAGATCTTCGCATTTCTCTCCAGTCGCACATCCCGTCAGCAGTCCACGGCTTCGTGCCTTTGCCGCAATCATGCCCGGCTTCGATTTCAGCAACTACAACCGCAACGCAGCTTTACATGCACGAGGAGTCCCTTTACCGAAAGCCACAAGTACCGGCACAACAATCGTAGGATGCATATATGACAATGGTGTCGTGGTACGTCCACACCATTGGGTTACTGACAACTTCAAGTTGCTGACGTTGACTTGGGTAGATTGCCGCAGATACCAGAGCAACAAGCGGTCCCATCGTCGCTGACAAGGTGCGTCCATTTGGCCTAGAGATGCTCTATTGTCCGTTGACTGACTGCGTGGGCATAGAACTGCGAAAAACTACACTACATCTCGCCGAACATCTGGTGTGCAGGTGCCGGTACTGCTGCAGACACAGAATTCACCACCGCCCTTATCTCCTCCAATCTTGAGCTACATTCTCTATCGACAGGCCGGACACCGCGAGTCGTGACGGTGATGACATTGTTGAAGCAACACCTGTTCAGATACCAAGGCCACATCGGCGCATACCTGGTCGTTGCAGGAGTCGACCCAACAGGTGTGGGACTATTTACGGTGCACGCCCATGGATCAACAGATAAGCTGCCGTACGTGACAATGGGTTCAGGTTCATTAGCTGCGATGGCAGTATTCGAATCGACGTGGAAAAGAGACTGCACAAGAGACGAGGCTGTCAAGGTATGCTCAGAAGCCATCATGGCTGGTATTTTCAACGACTTGGGTTCAGGTAGCAATGTCGACGTGTGCATCATTGAAAAGGACAAACCTACCCAACTCCTGAGAAACTACATCAAGCCGAACGAGCGGGCCAAGAAGGAGCGAAACTACAAGTTTGCCAAGGGAACCACAGCTGTCTTGAAGGAGAAGGTGATCACAAAGGAGGAGATTGGCCGTTACGTGACGGTGCACGAGATCGGCAATGGAAGCGATTCTGACAGCCTGGTGGTTGTGGAAAAGATGGATGTGGATGAGGTATAACCGTGATGCGGGTTGGATGGCTTGTAGAAGGCCCGGTTTCTCGACATTGTATTCGAACTGCGACGTCGTCTGGGAAAAGGGACAATATCGGCCCAAGACCGTGCTGGGGTTTGGGCGTTGCAGGCTGAGCAACTATGCATTGTGGACTGTGCCATTATCTGAGGAGTTCAGAGACCACTTGAATAGCCCATGACAGAGACTATTCGAAGGCTCGATTCCTGCCTTACTCTGTTTCCATGTCTTGTACTCTCGCGGTTTGTTTGCAAGTACAGCGTGACTGGCCTTTGCCCGTCATATCGGTTAGGTCTCTTTTTGACTGGCAATAGTATTCTGATGATTGTCTCTGGGCAGAGGCGAGACGAACATGTGGAGCAGGAACCAATGTTGTGGAGCTGACTCGAATATGCTCATTCGCTTCACAATCGCCAATGGCCACATCTCCCTAGACAAGGCTAGTCTTTTGCTGCTCGTACAACTCGAAATGACCACTGCTTCGATGGTACTGTCCGCGCAGGGCCTGTAAGAAGTTCAAAAGCTGTCTCACGATTACCATCTGCTCTGATCTGCTATGAGAGAAAGAGAAATCGCCCTAGAACAATAGACCCTCCACTCACCACGGATCAGTCCAGCCAGGCTGGACTCTTTTTGTATGAATCCTAAGACGCTACAACAACTACAAGTATACCGAATATGGCCGACTTGGCTCAGTCACAGTCACCCGGAAGCGGCACTTTACTCCTGATCTTGGTTCAGGTTGCTTCCCGAGTGCTCACATTCATTGGCAACCAAGTCCTGCTCCGCTTCCTGTCACCATCTCTACTCGGCATCGCTGTTCAACTCGAGCTCGTCTCTGTAACGAGCTTGTACTTCGCCCGCGAGAGCCTGCGAGTTGCGCTCCAACGCCAACCGCCAGCGGCCCCTGATGCTGAACAAGGACGACGAAACGCGCCCCAAACGGCCGTCAATCTCTCCTACCTTGCCGTCCTCCTGGGCTTCGTCATATCCACGGCTTTCGGATGGTCTTACGTGTACAGCGCGCCATCAGCAGTCCTAGGCAGTCCGTACTTCGACATCGCATTCCGGATCTACGCAGCTGCCACGGTCCTCGAACTTCTCGCCGAACCCGCCTTCGTGGTCATCCAGCAGAAAGCGCTGTACGGCGACCGTGCCCGAGCAGAAACTCTGGCTGCCATGGCGCGCTGCTTCTCGGCATGCATCGTCGCGGTCATAGGTTACAAGCGTCATATGGCTCCGTCAGTGCTGCCCTTCGCCGTGGGACAAGCTGCCTATGCCATCGTTTTGCTGGCGTTGTACCTGATCCCCGTGTTGCGGTTGTCGAGGGGCGAGAAATTCAGCATCGCGCTTCGAAGACTAGATGCCACAACACGAAACCATACCTACTACGCACAGCGATTCCACAGAGCGATACTTGGCCTTGCAACGACGATGTACATGCAATCCGTATTCAAACTCTTGCTCACCCAGGGCGATGCCTTGATACTGTCCTTCTTATCTTCACTCGCGGACCAGGGTGCATTTGCACTGGCGTCGAATTACGGGGGTCTATTGGCACGCCTGGTCTTTCAGCCCGTCGAGGAGAGTAGTCGCAATATGTTCGGCCGGTTACTCTCGTCGACCCCTTCCTCTTCTTCGTCCACACAACGACCCACCGGCACGAATTCTGACGCAGCTGAACACACCAAAATCATACAGGCATTAAAGTACTTGAGCAATACACTGCACTTCTACACCATCCTCGCGCTGCCTTTGATCAGCATAGCACCACACGTACTACCCCTCGTGGTCCGCCACATCATGGGCGCGGTGTGGTATACTCCCTCCACTGCATCCTTGCTGGGTGTTTATTGCTACTACATCCCTTTGATGGCGGTGAACGGGATCCTCGACGCCTTCGTCACTTCCGTTGCAACCCCGGCACAACTGCGTACACAATCGATTTGGATGCTCTTGTTCACAGCGTTATACGGCATAGTGGCGTGGGCGATGCTCACGAAGTTTCAGCTCGGCGCTGCTAGCCTGGTCGGAGCGAATATGGTCAATATGGGGCTTAGGATCATGTGGAGCATCGTCTTTGTGAGGCAGTGGATTAGACAGCACGACAGGATTGACAGTGACAAGGGGCTGTTGAGTTCGATGGTCAGAGACTTATTGCCAGCCGGGCCTTCGGTCGTCGTTGCTGGGTTGCTTACGGTAGGACTGAGACTCCAAGCAACGGGTAGAACGGACGCAGGCATTGAACTGGACCGTCAGTTCCTGGGATTACTGACAGCAGGAATTGTCTTGTTGGGTTCTACTATGTGAGTCTCTCTTGTCCTTGAGCATGTCTTTGCGTAATCCGTTCTGAACACTTTTCTAGTCTTTTCGCCGAGCGAGACTTTTTGCTGCAAATGCTACAATCTATCGTACCCCAACGCCTCGCTGCAAAAATACCTGGCCTGGACAAACAATCTTCGACCAAAGCGCGACCGAGTAATACCACGAGCGATCCAAACGCCAGTACATAAACATTTCAATCATCAAAGGTGATCTTTGTGGCTGTCTTTCCATCCTCTGCTTCGCGATAGAACGCACCATACGAATCATGCTGCTTCTTCTTCACGGTCGTACCAAACTTCATCAACGCCTCTGGTACATCTTGTTTCGCAGCTTTGAGAACATTGACTAACGCTCCTGCGAGTGGTTTGTCCTGTTCAGTGAACATAGTGATGGCTAGACCATCTTTACCAGCACGCCCGGTACGACCAATCCGATGAACATAATCTTCCGCTGTCAATGGGAACGTGACGTTGATCACGACCTTGACTTCAGGGATGTCAAGCCCTCTTGCGGCGACATCAGTTGCCACAAGGAGACTTACGGAGCCTGACTTGAACGACTCAAGACTAGCAATTCGTGCAGACTGTGACATATCGCCATGAATCCCGGCCACATTGAAGCCGCGGCTGCGAATGAAATTTTCAATTCGGAGAGCCTCTTTCTTGTACAGACAGAAGACAAGAATACGGTCGTTCCGCTTCATGCCACCCGTGTGTTCTTTCAGCAACTGCAGAAGTCGTTGCTGCTTTATCGAGCCATCGACGACCTCGACTTTCTGGACAATCCGTGTGTTAGCACGAAGCTCGCCTGAATCATCAGCATCATTTCGGCCGATGGTGATCTTGACAGGCTCCTTCATGAAAGTTGCAGCAAGCTCTCGGATCGACTTGGGCCATGTAGCTGTGAACATGGCTGTCTGTCGCTTGCTCGGAGAAGGCATATGCGAGATGATGTGCTTAATGTCATCCTCAAATCCTTTGTCGAGCATACGATCGGCTTCATCGAGGACTAAATATCGAGTTTTCGAGACATCGATGGTGCCGTCAGACATGAAGTCCTTCAGCCTGCCAGGAGTAGCCACGACGATATTGGCTCCTTGGAGAGTCCGTCTCTGTTCGTCCTTGTTGGTCCCGCCATAGATGCACGTTGCCTTCAACTGGTGAGCAGTCTTGCACAATTTGTCAATCTGCTCAAACACTTGAATGGCCAATTCCCTTGTGGGTGCAACAATGACCGCTCTTATGCCCTTCCTCTTTTTCAACGCCGAAAGCCGCACGACCAAGGGTAGGCCGAAAGCGATTGTCTTGCCGCTACCAGTCTCTGCCACTCCTACAAAATCCCGACCTGACAGCAGGAACGGCCATGCGGCGGACTGGATGGCCGAAGGCTTTTCGAAGGATGAAAAGATGCTCGAGAATTGAGTAGCCAGCTCAATAGGAAGGTGGGAAAACGCCAGGATTGGCCTTAGGTTTGTGTTCCGGGGGTCGCTGGTCTGGACAGACTGCGACTTGAAGAAGTCGTCAACATCAGCTTGAGGGAGGGAGTGGAGGGCGGCATTGGGTTTGTAAACGGCCTCTTCGCCGTCATTCTCTGGTGCCGGTGTCGAATTGGCTGTAGCGTCCGTGGAACTTGGGGTGATATCCTCGAAGCGGACGGCTTCTTTGCGGTCCTTCTTCCTCCTTTTCTTTTCTTGCTTGGCTAGTTGCGCCGAATCATCGCGTCCGTGTTTGCCCATGATACTAGACCTTGTCTGGTTATTGCCGAGGACGAATGAAGAATGCTGACCCAGTAGTCAGTATGATCAATGTATCGCAGGAGCGAGCCACAAAATTTGGGGCGATGGCCTTTCGTGAACTTTTTCTGCCGTCCGCAGGGAAGGCGGTGAGCGGAGATTTTCTGTGTGCGTCGAGCCGCTCTTCAATTCATTCCCACCACATTTACAATGGCTTGACCACCTCATAGAACCCTTCAATCTCTCTGACCGCCCTCCGTCATCTTTTAGTCGGCCTGTTCCCACAAATGGTCCCTCGTTTGAAGTCCTGGTCCTTGCTGTCGCTCCGTCAACGACTCGCTGCTAAGCTATCGAGCCACCCACAATGGCCGCAAGTCCAACACCTCTTGAGAGCGTCCAGGCATGCTGGGCTCGGATTTCGCAGGGCTCACCGATCTACAAGCTTGTCCTCTCGGATGTCGTTCTTGTTAGCGCCGAGAAAGGCTCCATGGTGGCCAGCCTCGAGGTGACTGACAAACACATCAACTCGAAGAAAGGTCTACACGGCTCAGTTTCAGCCACGATTGTTGACTGGGCCGGCGGCATGGCAATCGCATCGACCGGCCTCGAGAAGACAGGTGTGAGCACAGATATACACGTCTCATATGTTTCGTCGGCGAAAGTGGGTGACACCTTGACTATAGAGGCGAAGGTCTCCAGAGTGGGTACGAACATGGGCTTCACAACCGTGACGATATACAAAGGAGAAGGCGAGAACAAGAGTGTTGTCGTTCATGGCACACACTCCAAGTACATTCTTCGCGATCGAGAAGCGAGCAAGAGCTCTTGAAGTGATCTCTGCAACAACGCTTTGCTTTTTGAAAAATTTCAAGCCCTAGGATTCGATTACAACCGGCGTCTTCTTTGCATCAGGCATGACACACTTCCATCGTGCTCTCTGATTCACTCGGATGTCGGAGAACAACATCACACCTACAGCTTTAGATCTCCATGGACCTGCATACCATAGGCCAAATGGAGAATTATGGTGTGAAACAGATCAAGGAGTCAACCGGCCTTCACTGAGCCACTCTGTCCACGGTCCTCCAACGTCTTTCGCCAGGTCTGCTGGTGCCCTTCCTTCGCTGTCCTTCAACGATCGAAGATCCGGTTCACCACTTCTGTCCTCCTTCTGCAATCCCAATCCTTCCATGGCTTGAAGAACAATAGCTGGAAATTTGTCCCAGGAGAGCTGTGAACCAAGTGCTAGCAGCAGCCAGGCCACTTCTTGCCGTTGATAACGAATTGCAACATGAAGACCGGACCCTTCAATACCCTCGAACGTCCCGCAATATCTCAACATATCGGTATGCTCATCAGCCTCTTCTCCTTCGTCCTCATCTCCATCCTTGATCATGTGAATGATTGCGTCAATGTCGCCCTCGCGGCAGAACTCTAGGTAGGCATGGCCTTTTCTTTCTTCGGGGTAGGCTCTGAGGTATGCTTCTTCTGTGGCAGCGGGCAAGATGTCGTACCCTTCTTGAACACCGCCTTCGTTCCGAAGTGTGACTATGACTTGTTGCGAACCGCTGGGAGACAGAGAAGAGATGTCTTTGGAACAATTCGGACATTGAGTGATGGTGTAGGCATCTAGAAAGCATTCCCTGGCAAAATATTAGGCCTTAGATAGAGCATAAACTCATCAACTGTAACATACCAGTGGTAATGGCAACCGCAACTAAGTTCAACATCGTCAGGCACGCTTTCGACTTGCGCTGTTGCTTTAGAATCCTCGACTTCACTGTCTGGTTCGACCTCGATAAAGAGAGATTCGTGACAACTTGAGCAGGTTTGGTCGGTCATAGTGACAGTGACACCAGAGACAAATATCAGTGATATCAAAATGTTCAAGAGTAATCAAGTTTGACGATCTGCTTCTGTTTGATATTCTGAATTTCTCCCGAAACTTTTTTTGACAGGGGTCCATATCCGATATCCGTCCCGCTTCGCTTCGCATGCGGAACCTCTGGCACGAAGGACTTTAAGGACACCTTCGCTTCATGTCCCGAGTCCGGCTTATGCGCACGAACACACCAAGTGGTCAACGACAAGGCATCGCACCACCTTGTCATTCGGCTACTGCTGTCATCATCATGCACCATGTCAACGATGGAAGAACGACCTGACGCCGTCAAAGCCCCTGAAGACACACCGTCCGATACCAGCCCTCCTCCTCCGTCTAGTCCGCCAACGATCAAACCCATAACTACGTCCTCCGCCATCGATGCGACACTACGGTTCTTCGCGAATGCCAGCAATGAAACGCTAGGCGCCTGTGCCGTCGGACTATGCGCCTCAACTTACCTGGTGCTAGGACGCGTCGGTCTGGTCTTGATCGGCGCAGTTGGAGGCATCGTCCTCCACGCAACATGGGAGAGTCAGCAAGGAGACGGAGCCAATGCGCAGGACGGTGAGGGCAGTCGCCGTAAGAAAGAGCTTGGGATAGAGGTGGCACGCAGGGTTCTGGACTGGCGGGATAAGAGAAGGAAAGACAGAGAGGAGGAAGACGTCTTCGACGAAACCAATCTCGACATCGATACGAGCACGAAGACGTTGGACTATTCAGACTTTCCAGCAGAGACCGGCTTGGCTCTCACGAGTCTGACGGACGCTGTCATACGAGACTATGTGAAGTACTGGTATAGTCCAGTACTACCAGACGAGCAGTCCTTTCCAGCCAGCTGCAGACAGACCTTGACGAAATTCATCATCTCTTTCTCGAACCACCTTTCGCGCAAACGTACTGCAGATCCTTTCCTGGACTTCGTTTCGAATTCGACTTCGATTGTGATTGTCTTCCTGAATGAGCTGTCAAATGCTCTTAAGGCGTCACCCAACAATGACGCTGAAACGGCGATCAAGACATACTTGCAGTTCCGTCCCGACAGCAACTTAGCCAACGTGCTGAGCAGAGATCAACAGGAGCGCAAATTGATTTTGGTCGCCGATGACATCTTACAGAACTTTCTCGATCCAAAGGCATACAATTGTCCTCCTGTAAAGGCATTCTTGCGTCAGGTCCTGGCTAGCCTGATTTTAGAGTCTACTGTCGAGGCTTGCTCAAAACCAGAATGGATCAATGGTTGGATAGTATATCTGTTAGAAGACGGAGAACCCGAGATCATGAACGCGATCGATGCTGGCGTCGAGGACATGAGCGGAGCAATGTCAAAAGCCAAAACAGAGGTAGCAGCTGGCCAAGGCCACAACCGACGAGTAAGCAGAGCAGAAGAAGCCATGCAAGAAGCGATGCGAGAAGCGCAAAGGCTTAACGAGATGATCGCCGAAGACGAAGCACGCCGCAGGCGCGGTTTACCTGCAAGCGAGCACGAAGAGACCAGCTCCGTGGCCACAACTGACCTTGGAATTGCCACACCTACCTCATCCGACAGTGACCGCAACAGACCTACGTCGTCACTGGACACTTCTCTAGTCTTCGATATTGATGGGAACGCCATCCATTCAGCCGCTCCAAGTCCGAACAAATCTGCTCCTGTCACACCGAGCAAGGAGCATGCTCAATTCACGAACTTCGAACAACTCGGGAACACCACACTGACTCCCCCACAGCCTGTGTCTAGTGCTCCGGCGCCAGTTGAGATCATGGTCGCAGTCCCTCTAACCTTGCAGAATGCAGCCATCACGATTCTTGACCTGGGCGACGGTAATGAGAGGGCTATCCTCAAGCAGAAACCGAACAGCGAATACTTGCTGCAAATCGAGCCAGCATCGCAGCGCTACCCGGGATGGATGGTGACACGTCGATATTCCGATTTTGAACCGCTACATCAGACGTTAACGACCATTGCTCGTATCACCGGTGTGCCCGGGTATGGACAACTTTACCCAGCTCTGCCGACATGGAAGGGCCAGACAAGCACGTCTTTGTTACAGAGCTTAGAGAAGTTCTTGCGGTTTTGTCTCAAATACGAACCACTAGCAGAAACCGAGGCTATGAAGAAGTTCCTGGATAAGGAGACTGGTCTGCAGAAAGCGCCCGCCCAAAGCAAGAATGTTTTGGTTCAAGGCGGTGCAGCGCTAGAAAACGTGGGCAAAAATTTCATCAACGTTCTTGGCCAAGGCGGAAAGAACATTGCTGGAGGCGGCAAAGCGGTCTTTGGGGGTGTCCAGGGTGTTTTTGGTGCCGTCGCTACTGGAGTTGGTGGAGGACCAAAGAAAGCCGCCAGACCTTCGCAGCAACTGTCCAGAACTGACACTTCATCCAGTGCCTCGAATTACAGGTACAGTCAGGAGCTGCCGAGGCAGAGTACTGAAAGTCTTGAAGTCAAGCCACCACCACTCCCAACTCGGCGGGGAAATAACACTATCGGCACGGAGCAGCCGTCTGACTCTGCGCCTGCTCCGGTCGAGTCAAGTCGTCAGTCAGAGGAAAGTATGCATTTCCCTCCGCCACCGAGTGTCATCTCGGACGACTACTCCCCGATTACGCTGCCGGCATCTGAGACGCCGCCACGACCTCGTCAGGATACCATCGTTGCGAATCCCGCAACAGCCGCTCCACTGTTCAATGTGGAAGAAGCGAATACGCCAACGACCGCGAACGTGACAAAGACGCCCTCAAGAAGACCTAAGCAAGATGATGTGCCTATTTCTGAGGAAGAGACTCGGATATGTATTGAGTTGATCTTTGCAATCCTCACTGAGCTATACTCGCTTTCCGGGGCTTGGTCTATTCGACTGTCTCTTCTAGGCGCGGCGAGAACGTTTCTCCTCCGACCAAACAATCCACAGCTCGAATCTATCCGCCTACTTCTGCAAGAGAGCGTGATTGAAGCAAACTTCTCTGACAAAGGTCTAGCAGCGCATATCAACAAGTTGAGAGAGAATACGCTGCCCACGCCAGAAGAAATGGCCAAGTGGCCCAAGGAGCTGACGCCAGAGGAGAAGGAGGAATTACGCATCAAAGCGCGCAAACTGTTGGTTGAGCGAGGAATGCCGCAGGCTCTGACTAGTGTCATGGGAGCTGCGGCAAGCGGCGAGGCTCTGGGTAGAGTATTTGATTGTCTGCAAATTCAGCATGTGGCGAGAGGTTTGATATTTGCGCTCCTGCTCCAAGCTATTAGGGCTGCTACACAATGATTTGACGTTGATCTGTGAGCAATGATGGGAAGAGCACCAGTGGTGGCTTCAGTGTACAATAGCGGTGGATTTTAAAACGAATGGCGTTGGTGGCATGACATGGGCTTGACTTGGGCTTTCTGAGATGCCTGCAGGACCCGATGTACCATTAAGTAGACGCTGCAATCGAGATGCCAATGAAGGAGAGGACGATCAACTACTGTGGTTTTCTCCCAGGTGTTCCAGCTTGTCGAAACAATCGTAAATTCTGATGAACCTACAAGTGGTGCTCTGATTGGAGGAGTCCTCCATGACGAGGCTGACCAATGACATCGTATGACTCACTCCGGATTTGGTTCCAAAAACTTCATCAAAATTGGTTTCTTTTTGATCACGATCACCAACACCACAATTTCGAGATTACGGCGCGTATTGCCAGGAGCAGTCCGACAGATACCAATCCGTCGCCGCCATGGCATTTCCCTGAAAAGTTTGACTCGATACTGAGTTGCTAAAGCTCACCTCATCAGCGCCCTGGACCAACATGCCCAAAGTCCACCTGCTCGACTACGTGGCGGGCAATATCCGTTCGCTGGTCAATGCGATTGAGAAATGCGGATACGAAGTCGAATGGATCAAGAGTCCTGAAGATGTCAAGACTGCAGATGTAAGTTGCTATTACAGGAGACTTTGCACAAATATGGATTATTTGCGAGGGGGGACAATATCGAATCTTGAGGAGCCATATCCCAATACTGGCAACTCACTCAAGCATGGGCTTTCCTTTCGAAGACTGCCACTGATGTCCCGATGCTCATGTCATGCTCCAAGCTCTCTAGACTGGGGGTTGACAGCATATATGCTTGGCCGATATTGCCCTCATCGTTGACCTTTCGTGCAATTTTTCCATTTCCGTCCGACTCCTTTTCTCATCCGGCTCCTACTAACGTGTCGGCCTAGAAAATAATACTCCCTGGCGTCGGTCATTTCGGCCACTGTCTCAAATCCCTTTCCGATGCCGGCTACCTTCCAGCCATCCACGACCACATCTCCGCCGGCAAGCCCTTCTTCGGCATCTGTGTCGGGCTGCAAGCCCTGTTCTCGGGCTCCGAGGAAGCGCCCTCTGTTCCTGGTCTCGACCTGATATCCACATCACTGCGACGCTTCAGCCCCAGTAACGCGGACGGCTCACGAAAGTCCGTGCCGTGTATAGGTTGGAACGATGCCTCCACGCTCCATCACGAATCCTCCAGTGCCAAAGACGAGGGCGGTCTGGGCAAGAGTTTCTACGGCCTCAACCCGTCAAGTAAATACTACTATGTCCATTCATACTTCGCGCCCTACGCGCCCGGACACCTCGAATCCCAAGGCTGGACGGTCGCCACCGCCCGCTACGGCGACGAAAGGTACGTCGGCGCCATCGGGCGCGAGAACATCTTCGCAACGCAATTCCACCCCGAAAAGTCCGGCGCGGCTGGTCTGAGAGTCATCAAAGCTTTCCTCGACGGGGGCATGTGGTCCGACGCGCTGCTGACCTCTCTTCCGGGCACCAATCTGCCTCCCTCCTTCGTCGCCAACGGCGCAAGTTCGAGTGGTGGAAGTATGAACGGCTTGACACGGCGAATCATCGCATGTCTCGACGTCCGCACCAACGACGCCGGCGACCTGGTCGTGACAAAGGGCGACCAGTACGATGTGCGCGAGAAATCAGAGGGCGGAAATGTCAGAAACCTGGGTAAACCCGTCGACATGGCTCGCAAGTATTACACCCAGGGCGCGGATGAGGTCACATTCTTGAACATCACGTCCTTTCGCGACTGCCCGATCACGGATTTGCCCATGCTCGAGATCCTCCGGCGGACGAGCGAGACGGTGTTCGTGCCGCTGACCATCGGTGGCGGGATCAGGGATATGGTTGACCCCGCGACGGGGAAGGAGGTTAGTGCGCTGGACGTGGCGAAGTTGTATTTCGCGAGTGGGGCGGATAAAGTCAGTATCGGCAGCGACGCTGTACTGGCGGCCGAGGAGTATTGGGCGAACGGCGGCAGGGGGAATGGGAAGAGTGGGATCGAGACCATCAGTGCGGCGTACGGAGCTCAGGCCGTGGTGGTGAGTGTCGATCCGAAGCGTGTGTATGTCAGCGACCCGAGCGAGCTGGAAGGCAAGAAGAAGCACCGGGTCATCAAGACCGGGGATAAAGACGAGCAAGGACGCGAGTATGTCTGGTTCGCGTGCACGATCAAGGGCGGGCGCGAAGTGCGAGATCTCGATGTCGTCCAGCTTGTCACGGCCTGCGAGGCCATGGGCGCCGGCGAGATTTTGTTGAACGCCATCGATCGCGACGGGTCAAATCGGGGCTATGATCTGGAATTGATAGCGCTGGTCAAGAGCGTCGTCAATATCCCCGTGATTGCGAGCAGTGGCGCCGGAAGGCCGGCTCATTTCGATGAGGTGTTTAGGCAGACGGATGTTGATGCTGCGCTGGGGGCGGGCATGGTGAGTTCCTTGCTTTCTTCCCCCTTGTGTGGTTTGTTTGTTTCTCCATGGGAGGGGTGATGCTAACGGGTTCAAAAACGCAGTTCCATCGAGGAGAATATACCGTCGCCCAGGTCAAGGAACATCTCGGGCAGGCAGGGTTGCTGGTTAGGCCGTTTGAGGAGTTTGAGCCTTGATGAGGACGATCCAAAAAGAGGAATCATTGCTATGGGATCTCTGGGTATGAAGAGTATCATGCGATAGACCAAGGCCGACAGAATATATTGTGAGTCCAACAGCACGGCCGATGAAGTTTGCTAGTGTATGTGAGCCGCCGAGAGCTCCTCGATTGGGCTCCGTACAGGACGATGAAACTAGACGACCCATTCCAAGACAGTGAATGCTTGCATTTAGGGGTATCTGATGATTTCTAAATTCTATCGTGCTCTCAGGTGATGCTATGCCAGTAAGTGCTTGTGCTCGTAAAATCCGTCAGGGGAGGATACGCCATTTCATCTTCATCAGTAGAAGATGGTGCATTTATCCTAAGAACATCGTTTCTCGTAAGGCATCAATCACCTCTCATAAATCTTATCCATCTGTAACCCGCTGGTGGCTCCCATCATCATACGCCGTCTCACCTAACGCTGTGGGGGCTTTCTTCGACATCTAAAGCCATTTCTGGTGGCATAGATACATAGTCGAGTCTCAAATCCGTGACCGACTACACCGGAGCGCTGGAGAACTATACGAGACGGCCACCGCTCGCCGCCCCATTACTGGCAATTGGCGGCTGGAATCTGGATCGGCATCCGAGAAGGGGAACTTTCTGTGGTATCATGCATCAAACGGTCGCTGTTCCGCAAGTTTGACCGAGCTTCGTGCTCTGCTGCTCAGAGTTGAGCCTCAGTCCCAGCAGTACTTTTCCCTTCTCCGCCGTCGAAAGCTAATAGTGCCTGTAGTCTGGAGGGCTAAAAATTGATGGCCTGTGCAAAAAAGATCCTTTGCCTGGTGCTCAAGAAGTCTTCTTCGATTCGACTGATAACGATCTTTGGTCCCGGCCCATGGCGGCTATGGCGTCCAGCATCTTCTCGCGTGTGTCCCGAGTCAAGTTGTCGACATCAGCAGGAGTGAGCCCTTTGGTCGGTATCGGATCGAGGACTATTGCACAGTCAGTAACTCGACTCCAGAGTAGAAACCAAACCGAAAATTAGACGTTACCTTTCACTCGAATTGTCCCACTATTGAACCTTCTAGCCTTGATGTTCAACACATAGCTATAATTCTCCGCCACTATGGGAACAATCGGCACACCGGCCTGTACTGCAAGATGAAAAGCACCCTTCTTGAATGGGAGCAGCATTGGCTCAGCGGAGTAACTCCTCGTGCCTTCCGGAAAGATGAGCACGCTTTGCCTTTTCTCCTTCATGGCCGTAGCAGCACCCTCAAATGCTTTCATCGCCTGACTTCTATCCACTCTGTCAATGAACACCGTGCCGGACAGGGTCATGAACCAGCCCAAGAAAGGAATGTTGCGCAGAGATTTCTTGGCCGTAACGGAGCAGTGTTTCGGCCATATCCAACCCAGGAGCAACACATCGAGCTCCGTCTGGTGGTTTACAATGAACACCGCGGGCCGGTTGCTGTTCAAAATTTCCTCGCCGTTGTCAAGAATGTCAAATTTGATGCCCATGGTGTAGATGCCCAGGTATTTGAAGGCCTTCGCCGTCGTCCACTGTCCGTATGCATAATTTAGGCCCATGATCTTCAGTATGGCGGAAGCAACTGTTCCATAACTTGCGCAGATGATTAAAGTGAGGTAGGCAGACAACGAGCGGGCTATGAAGCCGAGGATCCGTGGAGGATTGGGCATGTACGTGTAGAGACCGAAGCAGGTCAGCATGATGGCGAGGTAGAAACCGAGGAAGTAGAGCGTCCAGCGGAATAGGAAGAACATGTTGGTAGACTGCTTCGGGCTTGTACGCAAATGATGAATGTAGCAACCGGAGCAGGCAATGAAGGTCAGGCAGCTGTGCAAGGCGGGCTCTAGGAAGGCAGACAACTGTAAAGATGAAAGGAGCGTTGCAGGTCGTGAGGTCTCGACATGTGGACAGGTTGTGCAGGGGAATGAACACGGTCACAAGCAACGAATATCATCTGGCGGAGAAGAAGGCAATCTTGGTGGTTGCTGGGCTTCCCCCACAATTCAACGCTTGCCACGGCCACACACGGCCTACCCACTCAGCAGCTTTTTTTCTACCAAACGTCATTTTCACTCCTCAATGCCTAGGCATCTCTACGGTCACGTGTCGGTTCGATAGACGCAGTCGAGGGGCACACGGGTGGGTGACAGGCAAGCAGGGTGGGTGAGTGATCTTATGCCTTGTCTATCGAACTTGTCCATAGGGTGACACCTTCTTGCTTGTCTTCCCCCGGTTATTCAATGCGTTGCTGCGCTTTCAGGCTCGGTGAGACCGCACTATCTCACATCTTGACCTATACAGATGAGCTTCTAAGCCCAAGGATCTTAACCCATATCATAATTCATTCCTTTTTCATACATTTTTGCTGGTTGTCGATCGTAACTGAAGAATCGAGGTGCAGTAGCATCAGGACAGCAAGGAAAAGAAGTAGACATACGCTGTCTTCTTCATCTCCTCTGCATCCACTGCTTTGACCACCTTCTCATCGTTGAACAGGACCCATTGCTTCTCCTTGCCTTCACCAGGAATGACTTTCCGAGTAAATGCCACATAGTGGCCGGCATGGACGCTGGCCCCCTTGTGGCATACAATGCTTTGTAGCTCATATCTGGCTGGCAACGAGTCACTGCCTGGTAACGGCTTCGGTTCAGCCGGAGCAGAAGATGTATCCTCGCCGAAATCGCCTTGATCATCTGGATGACTGAAGACCCAATCCAGAGCTCGATTCACGTCGCCATTGCATTCTCGCAAGGCTTTTCGTGCTTGCGGGACGCCGATGCCCATGTCGCCTAACTGAGCAATTTTATCCGGGTCGGCTCCCGCACTGCCAGCAGCACTACCACCAAGGTTCAGCGGTTCGTCAATATCAGGGTCCTCCATGTGCGAAAATAACCAGTTCATCGCGGACTCTGCATCAGCATTGCCAGTAGCGTGGAGTGCTTTCTCACACCGGATTCGCGGAAACCCCATCCCCTCAAGCATGCTCAGAGCAGCCTCATTGGGCACAAATGATGCTGTAGAGCTCCCACCTCCTACATCTGCATCCTCTGGCAATTCTTCCTCGTCTGGCTGCAGACCCGTCGATTTGTACCTGCTTAGATCCAGGGGTTGATCCGTGACCTGTACAGGGATATCGAGTTTAGTAGGTACCCAGTTGATGATTTCGAAGCGGAGTGGGTTGATAGCAAGATTCTTTGGGAAGGTCTTGAACTTCGATGATTTCGAGAACCCATCCTTGGAGCCGCAAGCTGCGCAGGTCAAGCCTCCAACCTTCTCTGGCGCCGTAAGAATGTCCAAGCAATCTTCTAGCGGTACTGGTTCAAATTCACCCTTAGCTTCATCGCCGTTAACAGCAGGCTTCCGCCGGACTGGCACCGGTATTGAAATATTGTCTTGTTCATCACTTCGGTACCGAACACGCTTGCAGTTCAAGCAGGCCAAACGTTGTTCAAGGACAAAGCGGAAGGACTGAATGGGGTCCTCTGCTGGTTTGGAGTTGTTGGAGATGCTGATGAGTTTGAACATGTGAAGTAGAAATTCAAAGGCGTCCTGTTGTCTCATTGTGGAGAATTCTTCGTGCCCCCGCCCAACGAGGTGCTTAAACATTGCAGGAGAGAGCCCCTTCTGATGAGGTACTTCGGGATTGTCCGGAACCGCATGGACATTGTCGTCGGGGTGGGAGTATCTACCAGATAGTATACCATCTGCTAGCTTTCGGAGTTGGGTTTCGAGGTCCTCAGCGGGAAGACTGGCGTTTGGAGGAGCTTGATCCGGATGATAGTAGCGTTGTTGAAATTCCTCAAGCGCGAACAGACATTGGACGGTGCTGTTCAGGTAGCAGCTGTTTCCAAGGTTCTTAAGACCCGTAAAGCCCTGCCCGAACAAAGGTAATAGTTCTTTGCCATCTTCAGTTGTCATAGAGAAAGCCCAACTGAGATTCTGTTCAACTTGCATCTCCATGAGACTCTTCTCGGTCTTTTCCCGATCCGCGATATTGATCCCCCACTGAGCGAGGTGCTTGGCGAGCTCTGTGTCAATTCTTTCCTCGTTGCATTGATAGCAGTAGACATCAGCGTTACCTTCTGGCGTGATGGAACCTAGTTTGACGGCAACAGCGTGGCCAGTCTCGGTGGCGTGCGCCAGTCCATGAGAATTGCCACCAACACCCCCAACTTGTGCTCGTCCACAGCCCAAAGCGCCGCATTCCAAGCAGAGCCAGAGGTTCGCTTTGAGATCACATTTGGAGCACGATCCAAGTTCTTGGGACGCAATCTGCCTGCTTTCTTGCTGTTCAAGACACAGCGTGTGCTCACAAGGTGTAAATTCTTGTTCCCAGGCCTTGACTTCCTCCTTGTTGGCAAAAGTCATGGCGTTCATGACCCCATCGATGACTGCCGGTAGATTTCCCGAACTCCTGTCCACATCTTGTATTTGACATGCATAGCACTTGACTTTTGTAGTTGTATAATATTTATCCTCTTCTGTCTCTGCGGCAATGGCGAGCTTGGTCAGCTTTGGCGGAGGCTCGTCCCGTTGAACGTGTTTTCGGGTGCGTTTGATGTTCAAGACGAGAGGATGGCCTGTGGAAGAATGATGTAGTAAGGCATGGTTTCGGTCGCCAGCGCAGCCACCGTTGAAGCAAGATAAACAAACATCAAGCCCGGCCTCGTCGTCTATTGAGTCGAAGCACTGTGTACAATCTTCTCTGTAGACGCTCTGGTTAGGTCTGGGAGGTCGCAGATCCGCTGACTGAACATGAGGACAGGCCATATCTGTTCGTCAGAGGGCTGGAAGGGGTAGATAGAAACAAGGACCAAGCGAGGAAAGTAGAGGGAGAAAACTCAGAGCGGCACAAGAGCAACCGAGAAGGTGAACGCAAGCAAGGCTAGCAAGGCTATGATGTATTTCGCAGGCAGAAGATCTCCATCCTTGTGCATGATTCTAAAGCCGGTTAAGTCCATGTCAACCCCCTCAATCGTTGGCTTGGAAGTCTTCTTCTACAATTCATCTCAAGACAAACGAGTCCCATCACCACTGTGCGTATGGAATCATCATCTCCGAAATCTATACACCGCGTTTGATGCCACACATGGTATCTTCTTGCCTTTAGTCAGTAACGCTGTGCGTCGACCGGGCTCTCATGATTACACCCTCATCTATTTGGAAAGAAGCCCCAGCCTCGCTACGTAGGCCGTCTTACTAGACATGGCTCTCCTACAGAATGAAGAGTAAGTGTGCTCATTTGGCGATCGTCTGTGTCGTCCTGTGCTGGCATATCCCAGACATCAGGCATGGCTAACTGGAGCAGGTTCGCTATATGGTATCTACGGACTTCTTTTCTGGCCAGCGTCAAAGATGGAATTGCGGAGCGCTTGGTCAGTGTTAACAACTCAGTTCTCAACTCTCCGGGTTTCCGAGCTGCCGGCTGGTCCGCAGATCCTGTTCAACGAACATATTCTCCGCCAATCCCAACATCAATCAATACCGAATACTTCCAAAACGGAGCAGAGCTTCAACTCTTGAATTCGCAGGGCGATGAAGAGGAAGAAGGTGGATTGGTGACTGGCAGGGTCAGTAACGACACTATCGGTCCTGCGTTCAACGCCAGGCGGAGGAGGAGAAAAGAACACGTCGACGACGATGACAGTAGTGACCTGACCGATGAATCGGAGGAGGAGGCTGAGGGAGCACAGCGCGCTGCTCAACAAATACGCTTTGCAAAGATGCCTGCTAGAAATAGAGCTGACTCATCTCCTATTCGAAGTACTGGACCAGATATCATAACGACTTCACCTTCAAAACCAACAACGGACAACAGGAGGAGGACAGGATCTCTCGGAGCTGTAGAGGCTGTCAAGGCTCGTGCGAGGGCTGATACTGCGACAAGCAGTGACTTGTCCTCGGAGAACGAGGTGGACCCATCGTACTTCCAGAGGCGCCAACTTAACGCGTCCCGAACATCGAAGTCAGCACCTCTCTCAAAGGAAGGTATCTTGCGACCAGGTCGAGGTCAAGTCCAGGACGATTCTGACGTCGAATCTGTTGGCTCAGCAATGTCGTCGGAACTGGGCGAAACAATTGATTCCACGTCCCTGCTAAACACCATGGAAGTTTCCAATCTCACTTCTTCCCCGCCATTACTGAGCAGTTTAACAGCGTCGGGGTCGTCTGCACCACGTCTTTCTCACCCAGAATCACCCAGAAGACAGAGGACATTGCCGATTCTACACGAGCTACCCCCTCCTCGGCCCATCAGCTTCATTCAACCCAAGAGTCTACTCTCGGCCGCCTTGAATGCGGAGAAAAAGGCACCCAGCAATCCGCTACAGAAGTTTGCCGGTTTGTCTGGCAAAGGCAATCCCAATCCCCTTTGGATCAAGATCTATGCACCTTGGTCCAAAGAAGCTGACGAGCCTCTTGAGATGCCTTTGGCGCGAACTTCGAAGGACGGCAATCCTGTAAGTGTGGCAGAAGCAATCGGTCTTAGTCTCTGGCGATATCAGGAAGAGGAATTAGAGCCCGCTCTCACACCTGCACAACTTGATGTCAATAAGTGGACGCTTCGAATGGTGGAAGATGGTGAGGTGGACGACGACTTTCCTCCTCTTGTTCGCACACGTCCTATAACCGATTTTACCTACAACAACAATCGCGGAGGAAGAGGACGATCTAGGGATCGGCCGTTTGATGAATTCGCTTTAGTGGAAGCATCACCGGCTCAATATGAAGCCAACAAGAAGGAAACGCCTCAGTATGCAGCAGCCGCGGAGGCAGAAGTTCTGCCTGCTCCAACACCTGAGCCGATCATCTCACAACCACAGCCACCCGGTCCGCCGAAACAGACACAATCCAGCAGGAACCTCCTTCTAGCTGGGCAGCCGTTCGCTTCAGCTTTGGCTAACGCATCACTGACACCTGCAGATATGCCCGCTCCTTCTGCCCCATCAGCCACTCCACGTATGGGCACAACCAAGACGATCCGAATACGATATTTCGATATCGATGTGGCCGCACAAACGATGACCATGGAAGTCTCAATAGACAGTTATATTGCAGAAATCCTGGACCACGTCTGCAAGAGATGGAACTTCGAAAAGGCTGGCTTTGTCTTGAAAGTCGCAGGCACAAACACCGTGGCACCGTTGGATAGGACGGTGGAGGCCCTAGGTCCTCGGTCTGATTTGGACCTTGTGCGAAGACGTTTTGGAGCAAGTGTACCGACTTTGACAGGATCGCCGGGCAGTTCGTCACCTAACGCACCTCTTCTACTGGACATACAAGGCCCGAAGAAGACCAAGAAAGGCCAGCTGCATCACCCGTTGGCACAAAAGCAGGATCTGGTATCGAGCGCCAGCAATTTCAAGAAGTACTACGTGATCCGGAAGCAACTAGCACCATTTGCGCAAGGCAGTCAGAGAACTCTTGTATTTGATGGCGACCTGCTACATGTGATGCCTACAGATCCAGCGACAAATGCGAAATTCACCTCATTCCCCTTCAGCGATATTCTCCGATGCAAAGTGAGCACCAAACACTCCAAATTGTTTCGGGTTTGGGTCCGGAGGGTCAACGAAAACAAACGATATGATTTCGAGGCACGAACGGCGGCAGAAGCCCAGGAAATCGTGGACGAGATAGCCCGGGAGATGAGACAGACGCGGGCATGATATTTGAGGTACCCCCAGCGACAAGAAGTTGATTTACTTCCTCTATACTCCCGTATATAGAGTCCAAGTCTCCGTATTACCCTGAGGATGGCTCATGGCGAGGGACCCTGGTTTGCGCCGGCCCCTCTAGAGGGGTAATCAATCTACGATTCGGCCACCCACGGCCATGCTTGACGTGTAGAGTGACATACGTGGCTGAAAGGAGCGACCAAATGGCCCGGATTGCTGTGTAAGAAAGAAAGAGCTTCCCCGCGTCCAGGTCCAAGAATTGAACAGGCACAAATCCATTGCTGCAGTCAAGAGGGTAATAGCAGGAGAGTGCCGTCTATTCGCTGCGTGTTCATAGCTCTGGTGCTATTGTAACTCTCCTGCCCTGCTCGAGTGGTCAGTGGCTGCTCCGTCGCCAATCATTGTCCGTCAACTTGCATCTCAACTCGGGCCTCTGAGAGTTCCCGTGCCAGCTGTTGTGGCAGGGCCTCGATTGACAGTTCGTCAAGCTTTCAATTGACCTGCCTACCTACCTACCGCACCTCGATCCAACTTGTTCACTTCGGTGGAACACCGTCAACAGATCGATTACTCACTCAACCTCTGCGAGTTCATATCCATCGTTTTCATGTTGTACACTATCCATTGATTGCTGCATACTCCGCCCATCGGTTGGCAGCTTATCTCCCTGCATTGCAGCTTCCAGCTCTACCGAAGCGAATCACCTCAATCGATCCTTGCTTCCTACCCCTCCTCCCCACCATCTCCTTCCCTCGTCTATTTCAAGCCCAACTGGTGAACAGGCCAGTCCAAAGGGGCCTCCGAAAACCACAGCAAATTACGCCGTTCCTAACATTCCAGTAACCAGGGAACGTGCGCTTCCCTCGGCCGTCCAAATGCCAACCTTTGGAGGTCTCCTCAAGAAGAAGAAGACCAAAGAGTCTTCGGAGGATAAATCGGCCAACAGCAGCGGGAACTACCAGCCCATTCAATACAAGTCTTCACAGAAAACTGATACGTCCTCCTCTGCACCCTCACAAGCCACCTCCAATGCACCCACTCAATCGACTGCAGGCACCACCACGACCGTGACCTCTACCCCCGACCCCACCGCCAAACAGCCTGCAAGCAACGGCGCCAACAACATGAACGTCGCCAACCTTGTCGCGCCTCCCTCGACCGGCGTGGTGGATGGTAAAGGTGCCACCAGACAAACGAAAGGCAAATACACACTGACCGACTTCGACATCAAGAGGACCCTTGGAACGGGCTCTTTTGGACGAGTGCATCTGGTCCAGTCGAAACACAACCAACGCTTCTACGCTATCAAGGTTCTGAAGAAGGCTCAGGTGGTCAAGATGAAGCAGATCGAGCATACAAACGACGAGAGAAAGATGTTGTCACGAGTCAAGCACCCGTTCCTCGTTACCCTTTGGGGCACATTCCAAGATTCCAAGAATCTGTACATGGTCATGGACTTCATTGAGGGTGGTGAGCTGTTCAGTCTGCTGCGCAAATCACAGGTAATTGGCTCCAATTGACCCGAGCCTTTCTCTGACACTGACATTGAGATAGCGCTTTCCCAACCCAGTCGCCAAATTCTATGCTGCCGAAGTGACGTTGGCCCTTGAATACCTGCACGAGCAAAACATCATCTATCGGGACCTGAAGCCGGAAAACTTATTGCTGGACAGACATGGGCATGTCAAGATCACAGACTTTGGATTTGCCAAAGACGTGCCTGATATCACATGGACATTGTGCGGCACTCCGGATTATCTTGCGCCGGAAGTTGTTGCGTCCAAGGGTTACAACAAATCTGTGGATTGGTGGGTTCTACTTTGCCGCTCACTCATCCGTCACTAACGGTTGACTAGGTGGTCGCTCGGCATCTTGATATTTGAAATGTTATGTGGCTTCACTCCTTTCTGGGACGGAGGATCGCCGGTTAAGATCTACGAAAACATTCTCAAAGGACGCGTCAAATATCCGCCCTATATTCACCACGATGCTCAGGATCTTCTTGTCCAGCTAATCACAGCAGACTTGACAAAGCGCTTGGGCAACTTGCATGGTGGCCCTGCGGAGATCAAAAATCATCCTTGGTTTGCTGAGGTAACATGGGAGAGGCTAGTAAAGAAGGACATCGATGCACCATATGTGCCACCCGTCAAAGGCGGAGCTGGTGATGCTAGTCAATTTGACAAGTATCCAGAGGAGACAGAGCAGTACGGAGCCAAGGGAGAAGATCCGTAAGTCATATCATACCCCGTCCCAGTCGATGCTCGCATGCTTACAGCTGCTCAAGGTTCGGACACTACTTCACGGACTTCTAGGCTGGTTCCCGCTGTTCGAACAATGATGGCGAAACACTGCTCAACAGCAGCTCAGGTACCAGAGGAAGAGCTGCTAAGGGAAGGGCAGATTGGTATGCATTATGCCTGCAGCAATACGTTACTCACCGCATTTTTGGGAACAATAACTGCCGCTGATTCCGTGGTACGTGTATACCAGTTTGGGCCGGCCGTCCGCTTGTGGTGGGAGTCTGCCATCATGCACCTCATTGAATTATCTGCAACGTTCCAGGCTCGTCGGTGTCGCATGTACCTGGGCTTTTCCAGGTTGTGGAAGTGGAAGGTTGTTGTGGAAGGGTGATGTCCAGCAATGGACTGATATTGGTGACTCCAAGGGAGTTTGTAGTGTACACGATGAGACGACAAGCCCTGAAAAGTGACGAGATCCAGACTGGTCTGTTGCTCTCGGAGCGCCCCTGTGCTTCTGTGCTAGTCTGCATAACAAAGAAATGAAGTCCTTACCTAACTAATGTTCAGCTTTTGCATGGTCTATATGAATCACTTTTGTTCCCCATTGCCAACAATATGACATATGTCTTTCTGTTAACGTGTAAGTCCTGGGCTCTGTGGCTGTCTTTTGCGTGGTATGCCCAGTAGCTCATCAGCTCATCAACCTGGAGATATCGATGGAGGAGGAGTGAATGCACAAATGCGTGCTAGAAATGAGACTATCGTCCTGGCGACAATGTTAGAGAAGAGACTGTCATTTTGTTGTTTTCGGTTACTCTGTCTCGAATATAGTACAAGTCGTCGGAGCGACATCAATCCAAGATGCACAGTCATGGTACATGGGTTTCCGTCTCGTCTATCCCTGCATATGCCAGAACATCCGATCTCAGTCACAAGCCTCAGTCACAAGACCTCTCCCTCGATGTTTGAACAACAAAACAGAACTGTCAGGGCCTGATTATGACTGGGTGCTGCAAGCTCGGGTAGCCGTCATCGTGGTAGGAGTAGACGGCTTGGGCACAAGTTTGACCTTTGCCAGACTAAGTGTAAGTGGGGAGAAGTGTCGAACGGGATTGGGCCTGTGGATGGCATTCCCAAGACGCTGTCCTCGGGCGTCAAGTAAATCCTCGACCCTTAACATGCACTCAAGCCATGGACTCGACTGGCAATGCTCTAACACCTTTTTTCCTTCGCACCCACACGTCTCCAGCCCAGCTTCCAATCCCAGTCCAGTCGACTGACCAACTTATCGGTTGACCTCATCAGGTTACAGCACGCAATGCCCTGGAGTCGCCTGTCTGGGACGTCATATTTAAAACAACTCCTTTCCAGCCGGCCCTGCCGTCGCATTTCCGACCATCGACGCACCTTCTTTCTGCATTCTTGTCACGTAGCTACGGTGAACCACGTTCCAACCGTCGAAGTACTTCTCCATACAGGCTGTGAGGCACTTGTGTTCGGACGATGAGAGCGAGGAGCCCGGAGGGTTTGGTATACAATGGTCAAAGCAGTTTTCGTTGACTTTGGCGATCAGGTACCGTGCATTAGCGACGGCGCTTTGTTGGGTGATGGCTGTCTGGATGCTTTGAAGGGTGGCACTGCCGGAGGGGCTGGCAGCGGTTGGCAGAGGCGAGCCGAATGGTGACGAAGAAGGCGAAGAGGAATCTGAGGATGAAGATGAGGAGGAAGAGGAAGATGACGAAGAGGAGGAACCGCCAAAGAGGCCACCGAACGCCATGCTGATATATTCGACGAGGAGGATTGAGGTAGAAGGTGTGAACCGAGGTGATGAGTCTCTTGCCTGTATTATATCGTCCAATCTGCGGGGTATGGACGATTCGGACAAGTCGAAGATACGGTGAACAAGTAGGTAAGGTGGTTTCGGCGTCGACTGTGATCGTTATGGCTGTAGATTCAAGCTTCGAGAAACGAAGAGCATGCAGAGCCTCAAAAGATTTCGTTTGCGTAACAGAGTCGGCTGGATCTAAAACGGAAGGTGTTGCGGGCTACTTTCAAGGCATTGGAGGCGTGTCCAGGGGATTGTCTCGTCTCTCCGCAATAACGACTGGCCGCATTTTATTTGTTGGCGGCATCATTCACTAAACTGGACACGCTGGTAAACTCCTGGCCTGCAGCTGCACATTTTCAGGTGGTGAAGTGTCTGTGAACAATAGTGCCATGCAGGGTCTGTGATCTTCGTTTCTTGTATTCTATTGCAATATTAGGAGTCTGTACCTTGGGGCCCGGTCGCAAGATGTGGATCTCCAGTGCCTGGTCATCAGTATGGCTGCTGGCTGCATGTGCAGTCGGTGTGCGAGGGGCTGTCGAGGCAGACTCCTCTATGAAGAGTATTCCTGTGAGTTCGTCTCCGCGTTTGTGGTATGTCGTATTGACCATGGTTCGCCCAGCTGCGCACGCACAGTCTGGCACCTCCATACCTTGACTCCGACATGTCAAGTCGATGGTTCGACTTTGGCGGCGACACCATAATACGAACAGACCAGTACATTCGATTAGCATCAGATTTACCTTCACAATCTGGCTGGCTCTTCTCCAGAATACCACTCACCGCGACGAATTGGGAGATTGAATTTGAGTTCTCAATAGAGGGGAAGGGACATCTACATGGCGACGGATTTGCTCTATGGGTCACAAAAGAGAGAGCTCAGCCAGGTCCAGTGTTTGGACATGCCGATAGATTCGAGGGACTAGGACTGTTCTTCGACACATACAAGAACAACCGACCTGGCGTTGTGTTCCCCTATGTGATGGCTATGATGGGAGATGGCAAAACCACCTATGATTCCGCGAATGATGGCAAAGCCAATGAGATCGGAGGATGTTCGGTGAGGCAGAGTGCAAAGAGATGGCAGGATGTTAGCTGACCAAAAGACCAGGCTCGAGGACTGCGCGGCGCTTCGATCCCGACCAAAGCGAAACTGACTTATTTCCAAGACAAGTCGCTGTCACTGCAACTACAATACAAGGCCACAGACTCGTGGATCGATTGTTTCAGCTTGGAATCGACCGCAGATGTACCTCTGAAGATGCCTAACACTGCCTATCTCGGTTTCAGCGCCCATACTGGCGAGTTGTCGGACAATTTCGACATTATCAGCGTAGAGACGAGGAACTTGTACAACCCTGTGGCCGCGAACACAGGCAGGGCTCAAGCCGCCGCTGCTAGAGCCAGCGGACGAGGGAGACCCGATAAGAAGAAGGGTGGATGGGGATGGTTTTTCTTCAAGGTGCTGTTGTTTGGTGGCCTTGTGGGTGGCGCTTACGTCGGATACAACAAGTACAAGCAAAAACAGCGGTACAGTGGATTCTAGACGCTTCCTTGGCTGAGGGCAATAGCAGGCAAAAAGCGCATGTGTACCATCAAGCATCAGCAGAAAATTGACTGCCGAGCTGATAGCGAGGAAAGGGCTTTGTGTCACACTTGTCTGACATGCAGCACCACGTCTTTCCCAGTAGGCTGCTATTGTGAAGCTGTTCAGCTACTCTGATCAGTGTGAGATAGTACAGCATGTTCAAAGAACATCATGCGCAAGTGTGTGGGTATGTACCTTGGGTATTACTCCATGTTCTGTATTAGCCTTGCATCACATGATCGTCATCACATTAGCGCGACTGATCTTCCAAGGCTATCTGCAGATTTAATAACCACCAATCAAAGCAATGCAACAATTCACCCTTCCAAAGTGTCTGATTCCATGCTTGTTTCTCGCACTTCTTTTGCCTGGCCTTTTCTGCCTTGGATCATTGATTCCCGCCAAGCCCCAATTGATCTCTCTTATTGTCAACCTCTTTCTTTCGCTTATATTCCCCCATTCCTCCTTCCCGTTTTCTGCCTTTTGTCTTCTCCCTCCTTTTCTCACCTCTTAAGCTTCACTCCACCACCTTTCAGCTCTGCATATCATCAACAAACCATCAACAACTTGTCCAAGTTTCAACTCTTCATCTCTCAAACACTTTCATCAACATGACTGGACGTAAGTGATATCCTCTAGCTGCTCTTTATTCAATTATCGTCGTCGCGACGCTGTTGCACCCCCTCGTCGTCCTGACTGCGCGACTTGACGGCCCCACGCCACTTCACCTCAACAACATACAATCATTCAAATTCATGCAACAGTTTGCTAACATCTCTCTCCCACAGGCGGCAAAGGTGGCAAGGGCCTCGGCAAGGGTGGTGCTAAGCGTCACCGAAAGATTCTTCGCGACAACATCCAGGGTATCACCAAGCCTGCCATCAGACGTCTCGCTCGTCGTGGTGGTGTCAAGCGTATCTCTGCCATGATCTACGAAGAGACTCGCGGTGTCCTCAAGTCCTTCCTTGAATCAGTCATTCGTGACGCCGTCACCTATACCGAACATGCAAAGAGAAAGACCGTCACCTCTCTCGGTAAGTTCGACACGTATAATACGAGTGTGGAACAGGCTAACAATGACTCAGATGTCGTCTACGCTCTCAAGCGACAGGGCAGAACTCTCTACGGTTTCGGTGGCTAGACTTGTTCGCACAAGCATCACCTCGAATTGTCTTATCACATATGGCTATGGTTTTATGGAGCTTACGGAATGATGAAACGGCGCATGGGTCTTGTATTCAGAACAATTGACATTGGTTTTGATGGGTACACAGGGGAGATTTGTGTTTTGCTCAGGAAAGATGCAGCCATCAAGGTGGAACTGAGTCCTTTTCTGATAGAACCTCTTACCACAAAGAAAGACACATGGTCTATTGTGACTGCAGTAGACCTCAATTGAAATGAATCAATCGCACTGCAATCCAGATTTATCCTCTTCCTTTTAGTCACATAACTTCTTAGAAATGGACGGTCAGTGTGAAGCTGACTTCGATGGCAATTCTCCCCTTCACAGCCTGGAAGGTACCTATTTTGTCAGGCAGCGAGGCAGGGAGGCGGGCACGCGGATAGGCTTTCATAAGGTACCGCCCAACCAAGCAAGGCGAATGGCGGTTCCCAGAGCCTGCAATATTGTGAATCAGCTTTCCCAAGGAATCCAGTGTCTGTCCAAACACAACCCAAGGCAACAGAATTCTTTGCAGACTAGAATTGTGGCTGGAGCCAGTCAGACGATGCGGCTGACTTCGGTTTCCAGGCGTCCTCGTTTCTGAGTCCGGATGTGGCGAAGCTTACCTCGAATCGGAACTCAGGCAACAGGAATTCCTGGGACTTCGATATACGCGGCCTTCGCTCACCCCGCGCTCTTTGTCCGCCCCCAATCGTAACACTTGATCACCAAACCACAGCCTGAACAGCGCTGTGTGTTGTCTACATAGTTCTTGCTCGAGTATATTGACATGTTGCACCTAAAATGAAGAAGCCCATCCAAGACTAAACACTACCATCGGGCGCCGCACCAACACTGCACGAGTCAATATGTTTGCACGCCGCGGCACTCGGCTGCAAGGCCTGTCCAAATTGTATTCCGATGCCAAACAGTCATATGAGAATACCAGAGTCAGCCCGGCCGTCGCAAATATCACAGAATCACCCGAACTTAAGGAATTACGGCGTGGCTTCCAGATTCAACAGGATAGATTGCTGGCTTGGGGCTTGCACTGGGCCGACAATGGCCCTCCTGACTCCAAACATGCGGATGTCGATATCGACAAGAAGATCAATGAAGCAGGATTGGGTGACGTGGTCAGCAGCGTTATTACCGAGATTCAGGGAATCACCGACGAGATCAGACGGATGGGGGATCGTGGAAGACGATCCGAAAAGAACCTGGCGGCTCTGAGAGACCCCGAGTGGACCGTTCACGAGATTCGAACACGAAAGTCATTACTCGTTCGACTGACCGAGTGCCTCGACCTTCTCTACAGTCTGGAAGAGACAAGGGCAGCGGACGAGAAGGCAGATGCCAAAAGACAAAAGCACGCGCACCAGTCTTCCGAAGCTACAGCCAACACCGACGTCTACGATCACCCTCTTCATATCGACTTCGGAAGCCTGGAATTCAATGATTATACTTCGCAAGCAGCAGATCCTCCACCCTATGATCCCTCCAGTGGTGCGGCTTCTATCAAAGAGAGGTCGACGGCTTATTACCGTGCTGCATCACAGTCTGTCTTGGTCGATTACCTTCCGGCCGACACTCCTTTGTACATTATCGGAAGCGCCGATGATGTATTCGAGGTTCACGAACTTGGTGAAGAACTCTGTAAGAACATATCATTGTCATGGTGCGGCCACCTCAGACTCCTGGGCTTCACCGTCAATCCTGCCGGGCCACGTTGCGCCATGGTCTATGCCTTGCCAGAAGGCCATGACCACCAAACCTTACAGCAACATCGGACCTTGAGCTCTCTCATCACTGCGACAGCAAGCGACCTTAGTCAGGATGCTGTGCAACCACCTTTAGAGGATCGCTTTCGACTGGCTTACAATCTGGCATTGTCAATCATGGGTTATTTCGCCCATGGTGAAACACATCAGCACATAAATGGCAGCAACTTCCTCATTTTGGGCTCGAGCGAGCATATGCATCGCACCAAGTCACCCAAGGAGATGAGATCTCCATATCTGCTACAGTCTTGTCAGGACTTCCTGTCACAATCAGAAACGTCCGAGTCCTTCGCAACCCATATTTACAGACATCCGGAACACGACGCTCGTGCTTCAGAAGTCGTTCCTGCCTATGACATCTATAGTCTTGGACTATTGTTGCTAGAAATCGGTCTGTGGATGCCTCTTTCCAGGTTTTGGAAACCAAAGTACAACCGCACATTGTTCATGGACAGGATGCGGAGGATATATTCGCCTAAGCTAGCCTCCAAGTGTGGAAGCAGGTATATGCGTGTCGTCAAAAGGTGTTTGGAGGCACCAGCAGAATTGCAATTCAGAAACAACTATGAGGATGCTGGATCATTCCTGTTGCAAGTTCTCAAAGACCTGCAGCAATGCTGTGCACTGGACGAGAATCCGCCTCCGCCTTCCGATATCGAGACCTTCGAGTTGTTATTGATCGAGCAAATGTACAAGGCGGAAACAAAAGCCGATGAGGAGAAAGCCAAGGCCAAAAGTGCAGACTTTGAAATCAAACCACCGCTGCCGAAAAGAGCACTGTCGAAACGCAAAATAGATACCATTCAGCAGCCGCCCGAGCCGGTCGAGACTTCTTTGCGCAAGTGGCCCCAAGTCGACATCCCGCAGGAAGACCTTGATCAATGGAACACGGCTCTGATGCCGAAATTGGGCAGAATACTGCAAAATGCCCTGAAAGATTCCCCAGAGTCATGCAGCTTGAGTCTGATGATGTTTGGCTCCACGCCAGAGAAAGCAAGGACCACAATATGCGTACAGTGTCCTCAGGTCAACAAAGTCCGCGACATTTTGAGACAGGGCTTAAAGTTGAAGAAAGGTTGGGGTCTTGTTCTGCTCAACGGCGAAGTTAAGAGAAGTGGTAAGAGGAAAAGTGCCAAACGATCGGGCTACAATTCCAGACGCCAAAGCTCCAAAGTACTAGCACGAAAACCACGCGAGCAAAAGTTCCAACAGTATCCTTCGAACGGCGCGAGTATCGGTGCCTACAAGGACAACGAGCACCTGCCGCCAGTGTCGTTCGGCGGAACCATCCTCGTCGACGGCGAGCCGTTTGGAATGACAGTGCACCATATGCTTGACGTCCCCAGCGACGATGAAGAAGATGATAAACCCATCATCCGCGAGCAGCCAAGACGATCCGCAGGCCACCGAACAATTCCGGGACAATTTGATACCTCCGCTGATGTCAGCCAGATGGACTCCGAAGACGACCTTTCACGATTTTCCGATCTGGAAATATCCGACGACGAGTTTGACGGCAGCGATGATGAAAGCCAAGCCAGTACAATCCGCCCCGACTATTCTATCATGGACGCCGATGGAAACGAGTTCTGGTTTCTAGAGGACTCAACACCCGAACTAGACGACGACGAAGGTTCTGATGACGACGATGTATCGTCCTCATCGAGTGATGATGTCGATGATGCAGCGAGTATTGGCGATAAGATTGGCGTTGCGCCCTATTCGGACGACGACTTCTGCGTGACGCAGCCGGCTATTGATGATGTTGACGAGGACTTCTTTCCTAACGAAGAAGACCGTGACGATGATCATCTGGCGAGTCATTCGTTCGGGTACGTCTTTGCTAGTAGCGGGATAAGACGTGTCATCCGCGGCGAGATGAAGCACGAAGTTGACTGGGCGCTGATTAAGGTGCATGAAGAGAGGTTGAAAGTTGACAATGCGATGCCAGAGAAGATGACTACAACTTCCTCGACATCTGCGAAGGCGGGGCCGAAAGGTGCAAGCACGGACACATCTACAGGCACGGCGAATCAGCAACCTGTCTTGACCAAGATCATGCCGTTGGCCAAGCTGCCTGGACTGCAAGTTCACTGTCGCGGGCGGTCGAGCGGGTTCAAGAAGGGCCGGATATCGCAGGCCATGGCACTGGTCAAGATGCATGGGCGCCAGTCGTTTTCGATATCATGGTGCGTCGAGGGCGGGTTTGGTGTGCCCGGCGACAGTGGCGCGTGGGTGTACGATCCGATCTCCGGCGGCCTGTGTGGACATGTCCTTGCATGGGGCGAAAGGAGTAAGACGGCGTACATTGCGCCGATGGAGGTGCTGTTTGAGGATATCAGGGGACGATTGGGCGCGCAGTGTGTCGAGTTGCCGGTCCCAGGGGCCTTGAGAATGAGTGTTGGTGCTAGACAGAAGGATGCGGGGATTGTTATTGAGACCAGCACGGCGTGTCAGGGTGATGGTGGCACGGATGGTGGTAATCTCGCGGAGAAGTTGAGACGGCTGAAGATCGAGAAGGAGACGACGATGAGGACGTTGGTGATGGCAGGGCCTGTTTCGTGATTGTGAGCATGAACTACCTAGTTACTTAGAGCGTGCATTGGTGTTGGTGTTCTTGTCTAGCGCCTCGATGCTGGTTTACGATTGTGCTTGCACCGTACCTCGATGAGGGCTGGCCGGGCACCCAATACCACCTTGATACCAATTGATATAGTCTTCTTTTCCTTACAATGCTAGCAGGTCTTTTGTTCTAACCTGACCTAGACGCATTTGGTGACACGGTACGACGATGTGGCACTTCAAGCAAAGTAAGGAGCGTAGAATGTGCAGGAGTAAAGTATGGGGGTATTTTCGGAGAGAGATTTTATCATGAAGTTTGACCCTTGTCAGGGTAGCAGCAATGATACAAGAGTATTCATATAGGCATTAAAAGTACAGAGACTGGATAATTCTATCGAGAAATTCCGCTCTAAATGCAAGTCCTCACTCTCGTCCTTGCTTGTCATTGATCCTGAAGCCCTGAGTATGCGATGTACAACATCGGTCGGGCCAAAGAACTGTGCGACCTCAGCTCTCGCTAGTATTCCTTAGTAGGAAGTCCAAAAGTCCCTACTGCTCAGCCTTTGGCGGAAAGAGCAACAGAGTTTCTGATCCTTTTTCACTTGACCTTTCTTTTGATCCCGACCCTGTTGTCGTAAGCTTGAATCGATGTGGAAGGGAGATGTGTCCCAGTTCAATATCCGATAACCCAGCTGGGACCTGGGCGGGAGAGACGCCGTGAAGAGGGACTTCTAGTCAGAAAAAGACATTCAGCTGTGTGTACAGCGATGGCCTTCCAAGTCGGCACTCTAGAGTAGTTGAGGTTTCAATGGGCTGCGGATACATCTGGACGCGGCTGGTGGAGCGCCCGAGCTCGCGCAGATCCGCAATGGATGAAGTCCCTCTAGTATGCCCTTTGTCAGCACCATCCTCGGGTACTTGATGCAAGGTATGCCGATCGATGAAGCCAATGTGAAGCCGTCGAATGCTCCCTTCCCGAGCTGACTGGTGTAAAAAGCTTTGGTATATCGTCTGTCTCTGGGGTGATCTTGGCCGTCGAGGGTGACAGCGCTTAGGTCTGTGGAAGGAGGGGATGGTCGGTGTCAAAGAAAGTCGTTTAGCCCGCTAGTCTAGGGTGGATTTGCTGGCTGAGCAGGAGGAGCAGGTGGTGTTACCGATGATCGCTTCTTGGGTTTGAATAGCAGTAGGATAAACATGCCAACGACCAGCAAGAAAAGAAGCAGAAGGATTTTTCGTTTCGTGTTGCGGCGTTGATAATTCGTGGCTACAATGAGCTCTTTCTCGGCGCCCTTTACATCGACTGCCATGCGCTCAACATTGTAGTCAATCCGGTCCAGCATAGTGCCTTGATCGATAACCATTGCTTGCAAATCACGGAAAATGTCGGCCAATTCGATGATACCTTTAGCAATGTCGTTGATCTCGTGTTCCCTCTGAGCAATGGCAGCGTCATTGTTTCTCAAGCGCTTCTGTGCGGTTTGTTGTAGTGTCGACTGACTGATCCTTTTGTCCACCTCGGACTCCATTAACGCTGGATCGGCATATGGGTTCTGCACAGGAGTGGAAGATCGTCCTATCGGTGATTCAAAGCCTCCTAGTGCACGGAGTTTGTTCAAATAGGTGCTTTGCTTCTTCCGAAACGTGGCACTGACTTCTTGAACTCTCGATGCGAGAGCAGTTTGGATGTTTTGTGCCATGACCTCGTCTCCCTTCTGAAGATTGCCTGTCTGCTTCGCCTCTGTGACCATACCTTCGATTCGCTTAATAGCCTTTTGACATTGCTGAAAGCCTCTCGTGATCTCCGTGGTCAAGCGCTCGATCTCTCGTTCCTCCTGCGCCTTGACAGACTCGTCGTCAAACCCCGGTAGAACGTGTTTAGAATGGAGCTTTTCCAGCTTAGACGCTTTGAGCGTTATGTCCTTGAGAATATCGTTGATCTCATCTTGCACATCGATCCAGCGAGGTGGAAGCAGATCCATCTCTATAACAGCGTCGCCATCATTGTCGTATGCCCCAGCGGACATAAGACCTCTTGTCTCCTCGGAACCCTGATCGGCGAAGCCATTGGAAGCAGCTGGATACCTGGGTCTTTTGGCAGGATGATGTGCGTAAGAGTGTCGGTATGAAATGTATCTAAACACTGGTCAGTAGGGTCTTGCTTGGAGGGAAATGATGCAGTACAGATTGGTACGATCTCTCCACATCTTCAAAGCCCCGGGAATGCTCAACGACTCATGTGCAAGAGTCGATTCTTGAGTGGATTTGACCAGCAATGGCTATCATGCTGATGATTGAGAGCGTCTGATCGGAGCTATGCTGAACTCATGTGCTGTATGTACACGCAGTTTGACTGGCATTGCAATGACAAGTTGTCGTTTCCCCGGAGCATTGGCAACTGGCCTGCGCGACAGGCTACCGGAGGATTGGTTATTGGGAGAGCACGGCAAAAGGAAGAATGATTTTCCGAGCTGGTGATCGTCCCGCATCGTTCGTCCATTGCGTTTGACTGCAAGGGGCCAAGTTTAGTCCAACTCACTGGCGACCTGCATTTCAACTTACGCTGTTCTTCAGCTACTGTCATAATACACCTTTCCTCACCACAAAACCACCTAGAGACCTTCTTGCACCCGTTGAAAATTGACCGATCCCTGCGACTCGACCACCTTAAGCGACCCTCCTTTACAAGACTTCCACCATGGTACGCGTGGCTTTCAAGTACTCCAGATTGTGGTTGCGATTGTGAAACACTTCGTTTGTTTCTCAGGAACTAACACAAGGCAATCTGCAGGCTGATTCCCTAACCGAAGAACAAGTCTCTGAATTCAAGGAGGCGTTCTCTCTCTTCGTAAGTTACACCTTCTACTCCTCTGTCTAGTTGCAAAGCTGACACGCTGTACAGGACAAGGATGGCGATGGTATGTTGCGCTCATGACGGACGAACTCCAGCGAAACCGGGGACTGATAACTATTGCAGGCCAGATCACAACAAAAGAGCTGGGGACTGTCATGAGGTCACTGGGCCAAAATCCCTCCGAATCTGAACTGCAAGACATGATCAACGAAGTGGATGCAGACAACAATGGCACGATTGATTTCCCAGGTACGAGGCGGAGTGCAGCTTTCTCACACCCTGCATTGGCTTAATAGACTGCAGAATTCTTGACGATGATGGCCCGCAAAATGAAGGACACCGACTCTGAGGAGGAAATTCGAGAGGCGTTCAAGGTGTTCGATCGCGATAACAATGGCTTCATTTCAGCAGCTGAACTCCGTCATGTCATGACTTCAATCGGCGAAAAACTCACAGACGATGAAGTCGACGAAATGATTCGGGAGGCTGACCAAGATGGCGACGGCCGCATTGACTGTCAGTTAAGACCTCCTCTCCGTCCTCCTGAGTCTGGCATCCAGGAACAGGCCAACGCTGATTTTTACCAGACAACGAATTCGTACAATTGATGATGCAGAAATGAGTGATGACAGTCAACCGAGATGTGCAGCACAAAGCTTCAGGAAGTTTAGAGCGGATGGAAGGATCGAATATTTCGCTACCAATATTGAAGGCAGGAGCAGCACCTGCTCCGCTATCATAGAACCACAGGGGTCGTCAAGCAGAGAGCTTGCCTAGCCAGCAGAAGAGACCATCAGAGCCAATCCTATTCGTATCTCCGCCGCTTCCCTTCGTGGCCTCTTGGATCCATATCACATCGGATTCGTTTACACATTCATGGGTATCCTAGGTGGTCGTAATGTTGACAGCATTGTTTTCGTGCAGCAGCATAGCTATCTCGCAAATTGTGAGAGTACATCGTGGCCAGCCGGTTTCAATGAGACTTGAGCCAGTCGAGCATCTGTTTCAAGGCTGATGCTTGTGCCTCTCTGATTGCAGGTGAATTGTAGTCTCCGTAAACAGCAAAACCTGGATAGTCAGCGTGTTTTCTTCGAACGTGCCTTCTGACTCACCATGCGGCACATTAGAGTACGTCTTGATCTCATGTTCAACATTGCTCGTCGCGAAATGCTTTCTTCCATCCTCAAGGATCTCCTCGGGGAACAGTGGATCGTTCTCTGTTGAATAATTAGCTGAGGCTGGTGAACTAGACAAGAGTAACGCAAAACTTACCGACACAAACCATCGTCAACGGAGCCTTGACGGCCTTCAAATCATCTCGAGTCACAAGCGTTGCATGAGCGGCAGCGCCCGCCTTGATCAATGGTCCTTGCTGGGCCATGCCCGCTTCTTCATCCTTTGCGGCTTGACCTGCCATTACGGAATCGGGATGCGCGCCAGCAAGCATGATTGCGTATTTACCACCGAAGCAATATCCGACACAGTAGATGCCTTCCCCATGTGCTACAGCGTCCGCATACTCGGCTTTCGCTGCTTCAATGACCTTCAATATGATCGGCATGACTTTCTCCGGGGTCTGCCGCGCCAGCCACATATCGACGAGGAATGACTTCGCCGTTTCCGCTGCCCTCAGCTTGAACTGCTCGAGGATGCCTGGATTCTCTTCCGGGGCCGTAGCCTTCGAATTGGGTGCAGAGTCTCCCTTGAATTGGTCTGGCATGATCACCACGAAGCCTTCAGCCGCATACATATCGGCTTGAACCTGGTTGTTGATCGAGCGCACGCCCGTTCCGGCAGTGAGGAGCAGCAGCAACTTGGCGGGAGAGTTGGGATAGTCGGCCGGTTTGGAAATGTAGACGTCAATGTCTCCAAACTTGGACATTTCGCCTGATGGCTGGCGATTGTCCGGGTTTGGTCTGTCTGTAAGGCAGTGCTCGCCCATGCTTGCGCCAGTCTGGGTTTTGGAGTCTTGGGACGAGATTGCGGAGGGTTCCATGGCGTCGGATTCCGGGGCCTTGGTTGCTAGTTCTGGGTCAGACATGGCTGGAGATATGGGTTCCGAATATGCGTCGTTAGTGTCTTCTCGAGAACGACTTGCGATGTCCCAACGTCACGTTTGAGGGTCATTGAAGGTCGAACTGAACGCCAGTTGAGTGCCAGCATACCACACTCGCGCAGTAGGTCTGGATAACATCTGTTTTCGGAATCAATCAGGCGCCGCTTTAATTGCTGTGGCCTTACTCGATCCGCTTCCTCGTAGATTTATACTTAGCAATTGATTTATAAGTGTCAGGACATATCATTCTTCTTTTATTCTACTCGTAGAATGGGTCGACTAACACGGTAAGTCTATCGTTCTATGAGAATGTGTTCAGTCGAATTGATCTCCGCCTGGGTCGAGGTCTATGATTTGGGAGCGCTTACGTCAGCATTGTTAGATTTCATGCAAAGCGGCGATGGCGCTAAGGCAGCACTTTACGCCCAGACGCGTGTTTTCACAGAACGCGTCGTGGTGGGGTTCTCAGGCAGTTTACACATTGCCACAGGCACTTCAACAATTCTCAACATCACGAAGCGATTGTCTGATCCTCGACCACACTGGCAATCATGAGTTCCAACCCTGCTGCTGCGCTGCAGCGCATTGATGCCGGCTCTTTGCGAGACATTTCCGAAGACAACCCCAACCGTGTCCAGCAACCTGTTATGCAATGCGTTCAGATCAAGCCCATTGCCGCCACGACCGGAGGCGTCGAGCGCAACAGAGTGATACTGAGTGATACGAGAAACTACATTCAGTCAATGTTGGCTGTACACCTGAACCACCTTGTTGAAGAGAAGATCTTGCGGAGGGGGGTGCTCGTTCAACTCCTCGCTTATTCCGCAAACAAGGTCAAGGCAAAGCGGTAAGTGTTGCAGGCCCTATCGTGACTCCATCTCTAATGAACGCTTCTAGTATCCTCATTGTCACGGAGATAAAAGTCCTCGAAGAGTTCGGCGAACACGAGAAATTGGGCGACCCCAAAGCCTTGGAATTAAAAGTCGAAGACGAAGAGAAGCCCGCCCCTAATGCCATCTCAAGCAATGGCTTTTATGGTGTCAAACAAGAATCGCAGAAACAGGGCAGACCCATGCCGAGCCATACCAGACCATCCTCCTCGATGGCCCATGCGAACATCTACCCCATCGAAGCCATCTCCCCATACTCAAACAAGTGGACAATCAAAGCTCGGTGCACAAGCAAGTCGGACATCAAGACATGGCACAACCGCAACGGCGAAGGAAAACTGTTCAGCGTCAATCTGCTGGACGAGAGTGGCGAAATTCGTGCTACTGGTTTCAACGATCAATGTGACCAGCTGTATGACTTGTTCCAAGAAGGGAGTGTTTACTACATCTCCAGCCCTTGCCGGGTAACATTTGCAAAGAAACAGTTCTCAAATCTGCCCAATGACTATGAATTGCACTTCGAGAAAGATTCGACCGTGGAAAAGGCTGAAGAACAAGACGATGTGCCTCAAGTTCGCTACAACTTCACCGGCATTGCAGATCTTCAATCTGTGGAGAAGGATACCACAATCGACGTTATTGGTGTTTTGAAGGATGTCGGAGAGACCTCGCAGATCACCTCAAAGACAACCAGCAAACCCTATGATAAGCGAGAGCTCACCCTTGTGGACGACACGGGTTACTCTGTGCGTCTGACAGTATGGGGTAAGGTGGCATCATCTTTCGACATCCCACCTGAATCAGTCGTTGCATTCAAAGGCGTCAAAGTGTCGGACTTTGGAGGACGAAGTCTAAGTCTGCTGAGTTCTGGCTCGGTCACGGCCAATCCTGACATGCCCGAGGCACACAAACTGAAGGGTTGGTTTGAAGAACAAGGCAGATCTGGTAACTTCACCACACACGCCAATGTCCAGGGCACTGTCTCTGCTGGTGGTGGCCGAAGTGACCCCTTCAAGACCATTTCACAGGTCAAGGAAGAGCAACTCGGAATGTCCGAGACCCCAGACTTCTTCGCTGTCAAAGCATCGACACAGTACATCAAGCAAGACAATTTCTGCTATCCTTCGTGTCTATCCGAAGGCTGCAACAAGAAAGTTGTCGAGATCGATCCTGGTCAGTGGCGCTGCGAACGATGTGACAAGACCCACGACCGACCCGAGTACCGCTACATCATGTCCGTCAACATTAGCGACCATACCGGTCAACTGTGGGTAAGCTGCTTCGATGAGACTGGTAGACAGATGATGGGAAAGAGCGCGGATGAACTGATGGAGATCAAAGAAGTTGACGAGAAAGCGTTGACAGAGATCTTTTCGGATGCAAATTGCAGGACATGGAATTGGAAGTGCAAAGCCAAACTAGACAATTTCCAGGAGCAGCAACGGTAGGTAACCCCTTGGGAGGGATACAAGATTGTGAACTGACTTCATACAGGGTCCGGTACCAGGTTACTTCGGCGTCGGCGCTGAACTTTGTGACGGAGTCGCAGAAGTTGATTGAGTTGATCAAGCAGTATGGCACGGATTGAAATGCACACTTGCAGGTAGCGGAAGCAGGCAGAGTCAGTTGCGGCGAAACTTGAAGTGCGGGATGAACATCGTTCCATGTTCAAGGGGCGCAGGTGTTCATGTCCGCCGGACTACAGAGATTGTTCTGGCCTGGTAATGTCTCTTTGTAACGTGGCAGTGGTCTCAGAGATGGAGCTGCTTAGTCAATTATGTGTACGGGTATGATACGAATTGCTGTTGCTGGTGAGATTTAGTGGTTGTTGCGTCATCACCACATGAGATGAGCCGAAAACCGAAATGGAGTTCTCGCAAGTTCTAATACACAGAATAACAGAACAACAGTCAGTAATCTTGAACAAACACTTGTCAACTTCCCTCAGTATCAATAGTGTACATAACGGCCGTAGGTAGATTAATCGCCCAAGCTGGAGCTGGAGTTGGAGCGGAGGGAACATTCTCCGGCATCCAACAAACCACATTAGAAATCACTCGGAATCAGAGCTTTCGGCTATTTGCCCGACACGGATCCCCGAACACATTCTCCTACTCTCGGTCACCAGCACCATCCGGACTAGATTTTACCAGATTGAAACGATCAACGAGACTTCACAGCTTCTCGACCACGAGACAGACGCAAACACCCTCCAAAAGACAACAAGCAACAGCAAGCATGCCTACCATGCGTGCGGTCGATATCAAAGGCGGCAAAGGCCCCATCGATTCCATGTACATCAACAGTGAAATACCTAAGCCTGTCCCCAAGGGCAGCCAGGCGCTCGTCAAAGTCAGATATTTCGGCTTGAATCGTATGGACCTCCTACAGCGCGAAGGTCTTTATCCATTGCCTCCACAGGCCGGACCGATCATGGGCGTCGAATTCTCCGGGGTGATCGAGTCTTTCGGCTCTGAGCCCGAAGCCGGGTTCAATGTCGGCGACGAGGTCTTCGGGCTCGCCTACGGTGGCGCATACGCAGAGTATATCGCTGTCAGCACGCACATGCTTATACACAAACCTAAGGAACTCAGCTGGGAAGAAGCCGCGGGTATCCCGGAGACGTGGATCACCGCCACACAAGCGCTTTATTTGGTCGGCGAGTTCAAGCCGGGTATGAGCGTGTTGTGGCATGCTGGCGCCAGCAGCGTCAGTATTGCGGGCATACAGCTTGCGAAAGCGGACGGTGCGAGCGCGGTGTATGTCACGGCCAGCACACAGGAGAAGATTGACTTCTGTAAGAGTCTCGGCGCAACCGAGGGCTTTAGTTACAAGGAAGGCAACTGGGCGGAGGCGTTGTTGAAGTACACTGACGGCAAGGGGGTGGATTTGATTGTAGATTTCATTGGGGCAGGGTATTTCAGTCAGAATCTCGATGCGGCGGCAAGGGATGGGCATATTGTCAACCTGGGCACTATGGGTGGGGCGGTAGTCAAGGGAGATGTCGATGTTAGTAGGATCCTGAGGAAGAGGTTACGCATCGAAGGGAGCACGTTGAGGAGCAGAGACGAGATATATCAGGGGAAATTGAGAGATATGCTGGTTGAACATGCCCTGCCGAGGTTTGTGAAGGGCGAGTTCAAGGTGCCTATCCATAAGGTGTACCAGATGGAGGAGATTAAGGAGGCACATAAATTGCTGGAGTCCAACAAGACGATGGGGAAAGTTATTTGTAAGGTGAATTGAAGGGGATATAGCGTGGAAGAACCCATGGTTGGCAGGACGGGGAGGATGTCTTCAGTGCAAAGGTGCAACGGGACGAGAGGGGGAAATGTCTTCTCGAGGCATTTCAGAGTCGACGATTTGTGTTGACGTCCACTGATATATATTTGCTACCATGAGGGAGGAAAAGAAAGACTTTGGCTGATACCGAAGGTGAGAAGCCAGGACCATCATGGACTAAAGATTGATGTTGCCATGGAGTCTCAAAGGTCCGCGGTAGCTAAACTTTTTCGCACTTGAGCCGTCTGGCCCGTCTGGTGGACCAACGCCCAGAACATGACCCGGACTAACAGTGTCAGGCGCACATACAGACCACCTAGACTGCCCCCGGCTCCTTCAGCTCCTTCAGCGTATCCTCGTACTCGGCATCAATATCATCGGTCCAAACCCATCGCATTCGGTTAATGACACGCTTATGGATTTCCGGCACACATTGGTCAAAAGGTAGATCCTTCATGATATCCGCCTGAGCTTGATAAACCTCGACAGCGTCTCGGGATGTTCGCTGAACTTTCTGGGCTCGTGGGAGCCGCACACCTTGGTACAGAGCCATCCAAGGCTCGAGGCCGTGTTCTCTTGAAGAAGGTGAAGCTCTGAAGTAGTCCTGCAGCGCGCGGCCTAAAATATACCCGTCCTCAATCGCCTGGCCAGCACCAGCGCCTTGATTGCTTGTCAGCACAATAAACACCAAAATATGCAAGGACTGACCTTGATGAGGCGTCATGGCGTGAGCGGCGTCTCCAAGCAGCACAACCTTGCCTCCCAGATATACCCACTGATCCAGCGGTTTTCGATCATTTATCAGCCATTTTGATGGTTGCTCTGGCATGAGCCGAATGATCCTCTGGACTTTTTCTTCAAATCCTTCGAAAGCCTCAAACACGTCCTCTCTCTTACCGACCGCTGTCCAGCTTTCCCTTAGATCGCCCAGATTCTCTTCGTCCTCGGCGACAAAGGCAACAATGTTCAGTGTCTTGTTCTGCGAGATCGGAAAGCAAAGGAAATGCCTGTTCTTTCCCAACCATGTTACCGAATACGTCTCGAACCCCCACCAGTCCTCGATTTCTGATATGGGCACCAATCCGCGATATGCGATTCTTCCACTATACTCGGGATTATCCCTGGTAAATTGCGCCCTGACAGCAGAATGTATGCCGTCACAACCAATGACCAGATTTGCCTTCGCCTTTGTTCCATCCTCAAATTCGATCAGAACCTGGTCTCCCTCCTCCTGTACATCATATCAGCTCGCCACATCTGATGTCTTTGACTGGCATACCGTAAGTTTCCGACATCGCTTGTTGGTATGGAGTCTGGCCGCGTTCCTCTCCTTTACGGTGTCGACCAGCAAATCGAGAAATTCTGCTCTGTGCACCGGCAATTGCTTGACTTGGTCTGTATCTACAGATGGTACTGTCACGACATCAGTACCGTCGTCAAATTTGCGAAAGGTGATCCAAATGCCGCTCCTCCTGCCTGCAATCTTTGATACAGTGTCACCGAGGCCTATCTTATGGAGCAACTTGGCAGCATTGACACCGATGCCGACTCCGGCGCCGATTTCTTTGTATTGCGGTGCTTGCTCATAGATGTCTATATCGAGTGCACTCCCACAATGGTGGCTAAGGGAGAGAGCCGTGCAGAGCCCACCAATGCCGCCTCCAATTATGGCGACACTCAAAGCAGGGTGGTAGATGGATGCAGGCATTTTCAGGTGATTGCTGCATCAGATACTCGAGCGTCAGACGACTCAAGTCTTTGGCTCACATGCAGGAAAGAACATACCAATTTGTTTCGAAATATTCCTAGAAGACCTTGGTAGGCGCGTCACCAAGTATCATTCGCAACTCATAATCACTTTTAACGAGAAGTCCGGCGAATCTGGCCCGCGGCCTCTGTTCGAAGGTGGTCTTCTTTCTCGGCTTGAAGTCCCCTGGGTATGCTGGAAAAGCAGTCTCTCGCTCAGGGAATGCTCTCAATGCCGTGGACACAGTTGGTTTTCCGTGATATTTACTCTACGGATTACAAAATGGACTCTTTGTGCGTGAAGCAGCTGAGTTATGGTTACAATTACCGCGGTAAGTCCTCCCGCCCACCACAAGCAAAAATGTCGCTCTTCTTCCCCGTGCTGCTCCCCTCAATGACTGAGCAGAGTCTGCCTTTCCACAGCAAGTGCCGAGCTCGTCAGCCGCGGCTGCGAACCGCAGAAGAGGATGTACTGTACGATGCATACCCCGATTCTCCACGCTATACCCCAATATAGCCATCTACTTGCAACTACCGACTGTGCAGATCTTCATTCTCATTACTTCTCTAGGCAGGTGCTACAGTTCTGCTTAGTTGTGCTCCGCGTTCTGCTGGACCGCGGCGCTTCATGGCTGCGGAGGAGACATCAATGGCTTCCTGCTAGACATTTGCCGACCTCCTCACTTGTGCAAGAAGCCTTGCTTTCTGTTGACCTGGAACTCTCATTCTATTGAATTCATACGAAACACTATGGACGCTACACAGAGCAAGGCTGAGGTTGTGCACATGGAGCAAGACAAGAGGGCTGCTCGAGATGCCGCGGACAAGGTTGAAGAAGCTCGTGAACTCGAGAGAGAAGACGGTACATCAACACTCAAGCTCGACAAGCATGGTCTCCCCCTTGTACCGCAACCGACCGAGCGCAAGGACGATCCACTGGTATGTACTGCGGTTGCGAAGCCTGCTGGAGCACGGCCTTGTTACTCGTATGCTGATCAAGTATAGAACTGGTCACCATTGCTCAAGTTGTTCGTCCTCTTGCAAGTCAGTTGGTTGGCTTTCCTCGGACCAATGGCTGGTGCAATTGTCAACCCAGCCTTCGTGCCGCTCAGCAAGGAGTTCGACATCACTGTCGTCCAAGCTTCTTACGAGCTTACAGTGTATATTGTTTTTGCAGGCATAGGACCTTTACTCACAGTGCCACTTGCCAACGTTTATGGTCGAAGGCCAGTCTACATTTGTGGCAATCTTCTGGCGGCCGTGACCAATATCGCTGCAGGATATTGTACCACATGGCCAGGGATCATTGCGACCCGTGTGTTTAATGGCATTGGCGCTGGGAGTCCGACCGCTATCGGGGCAGCAACTATATGCGACCTATATTTCCTGCACGAGCGTGGCTTTTATATGGGCATCTTCACTTTTTTTCTCACCAACGGACCTCACGCCGCCTCCTTGTTCGGCGGGTTTATAGCCCAGAAACTGGGTTGGAGATGGTGTTTCCTAATTCCAGTAAGTCCGACGTGGTGGTGGCTATGACATCTTCTAATGGACTTTGTAGGGCTACATCCAGCTTGGTACATTGGTACTCACCCTCATTTGCCTACCAGAAACGCTCTATTCACGTCGGTCCGTTACCGGCCGACGTGAGCAATCCATGATGGATCGGCTTCTCTTCAGGCATTCGGGCTTGCAGAACCGCAAGCTGCATTTCGGAGACTTTCTCAGGCCGTTCTACATGTTGAAGTACCTCTCCATTGTGATTCCAGGTCTTTACTATATGACAGCCTTTGGGTTCGGATCGGTCATGTTCGCTGCAACTGGATCGAGTCTATTCCACTCATTATACCACTTCAATGTCGCGCAGACTGGGATGCTCCTTAGCATACCGCTTCTCATAGGCTGTCTACTCGGCGAAATGAGCGCAGGATGGCTCACAGATTGGATGGTATACCGATACGCCAAAAGCCACGGGGGTCGGCGGGAGCCAGAACCACGCATCAACATGGTCGTGCTGGCTGTCCTGTGTCCGATCGGAATCATCATCGATGGCGTTTGTTTGTCGCACTACAAGACCGTCTCCTGGGTGGGCGCGGCATTTGGCATGGGCATTGCAAACTTCGGCCTGCAGATTGCAACCACAGTCACGTACACTTACTGCACGGATGTATGTGACAACATCCCATTTGCGAAGGATTAACACTGACATCGGTGCAGTGTTATAAACCCCAGAGTTCAGAGATATCCAGCATTCTGAACGTCTTTCGCAACATCTTCTCCATGACGATCTCTTTCTACGCGTGGGTAACCCTATTTTCCCGACTTTCTTGACAACCAAGATACTGACACTTCTGTTTAAAAGTATCCCATTTGGGGAAAAGGTCGAGTATCAGTACGCATGGCTGACTTTTGCCTTGATTCATGTTGCTTTCCTGGTTCCAATGGTTGTGCTTCGGTTCAAAGGCATTCAATGGAGGAACAGTGCTTGGCAGAAACCTCCGACGTTCCACAACGATATCTGAGATCATCAATCCTATATTGCTAGTTTTCTGCGGCTTAGTTAGCGATTGTTCGTAATGCAACAGCTGAATTATCTATCTCATTCAATTGCCCCCCGAGGTCACTAGGCAAGCTAAGCTCTTGTGGTATAACGACCTTCGTGTGACTCATATGAACCTTGACCGTTCTCAGAATCGTCGCTACCATTCAGCACTCGCCGCTTCTCCAATACACCCGGATGTCCTGGACCCTCGCGAGGTGCTCTGATCTCGAAGTAGGTTATCACACAAACATATGCCAACCAAATGACTCCGCTGAAAACCCCATATGCAATGTAGTCTCCGCTTCCGGCATTCGAAGAAAGCTTCAGACCCAGTCCACCATTGACCATACCCAACGTTATCAGGATTCGGCCGAGCCACATATGTGCAGCGGCCAGAGTCGTACGGCGTTGATGTTTCTGGAACAAGACAAAGTGGTTAACAAAAGCCATAATTATCTGGAGCCAGATGACACTGAATATGACCAGTCCAATGATCGGGTGGTAGGTGTTCAAGCTGTCTGTGACTCGAGCCATCCATATGCCCATCCCCATCGCTGCAGTGAAAACAATGGTCGAGAATCCTTGAACGGCAGCATGGAGCCAGATGGTGTTCGGGCCGGACATCATGCGCATCAGCACGGCTCCCAGAGGGAAGAAGACGACCCAGGATACGCTGGCAAGCACGGCGTGGGCAACAACGACTCTGTGATAATACGCAGGAGGTCCATCGCCGCCACTATCGTTGCCAGAGCCCCCGTCACCGCCGGCGTCCTGAGCGTATGAAAGAGAGGCTGCGGCGGTTAGGCACGAGACGAGATGAATCGGCATAGAGGTAACTTACCGCAAAGCGCCAAGAGCGTCCAGAAAAGTTGGGAGCCAGACATATTGACTTTCGGCCGGGATGTTTTGTCGACGAATTTTGGCTTATGATGATTGTCATTGATGCGGTTCTCCTAATTATATAGATGTCGTTTGAACAGATCTGATTCATTCGAGTCATGACGTTCATTGGGAAGCCGCGGGCGATGGCCAGACTCGTAGGACTTGATGTTTTGGATCCTCGATAGTTGGAAACTCTTCATCATGACTAATGACGACCTTGTGCGAGTCTGTGCTTGATGACACGGGGCAGCTGGAGGGCAACGAATATATAACCGTGAGTGACATTCATAACCCTCAGGACGAGGCTCCACGGACCTCGTCAGATCTGCAACAATTTGAATAGCGCCGGCGATCTCCAGATTTGGATGTGATGCTCGTGTCCGATCGGTATGTGGGACAGGGGAATTCGATGTAAGTCATGACGAGCTCGATGGCTCATATCCAATCATGTCGAATGAGGATGTCTCGGGCACGAGAGGATCTTATATCACTCACAAGGATGCAATGCTTTTTCTCTGAACACCTTCTCTTTGGGAAGGTGGAAGGATGGTGGAAGCCAAAAGCTGTCATGACACAGGTACTCGAACGCGTGAAACCCTTGCAGTCCAGGTCTGTCTGAATTGATGCCTCCAACGTCTGACAACGAAGCAAGACTCTGTGAAGAGCTGGTGTTTCAGCCCTGTGATCCTCGAACCGTGAACGGCACCTAGGTGAACGGCACAGACAAGGACGCCTGTTGAACGCATGCGTGGCAGGGTCTTTTGGAAAGGACTCACCATCTCGTGTCTCTCGTTCATATTACGAGGTATCAGTCAATTGAGATTCAGAAGATGATTGCTGATTGGTGGTTGTCGGGGTGATTTGACTAGACTTGATTTGGAATCGTGGTAAATAAATTGACGTCATACCACTTCGATTTCTTTGGTGTCTCATCGGCGCAGTGAATTGTGAATTGAAGCCCAGCCACCATCTCTGCCAGCCTCCAACAAAGTGACCAGCCAACACAACCACTCTGCGAAATTTCTGCCTGCTGTCAAACGTGAGTCTTTCTTCTACTCAAATCTGCTCAGTCCTCTGACAATTGTCAAAACCTCCCTGTGCAGCAAAGAAGCTCGAGCCAACCACGCTACGACCATATTGTGTCCTTACACTTCTCAATCCCATCCGTGCACTGAGCAATTCACTCGGATTGATCGAAGCACCAGACTAAGGAGCATTGTGCTCCTCTTTGCCTCCATGGCACCAGTCTCCTCTTTGAACAAGTACCTCGACTTCGATGACCTCAAGTATTCCTCCCTCGAACTCGATGCTCGGTCTCCTGAGGAATTGGCAAGAACCTCTTTGAACAGACGCAATGTGATTGACAATCCTTTCATTCCGCGGAACGATGACTCCAACCCTATCCTCTCTCCTATGGAGAGCTTCAAAGTCCTTACAGCAAGAGACGCAAAGTCAACAGACAAATTCAACCCAGGGCAAGGCTCAGTGGATCCAGAAGACATCAACATGAAAGGCCTCCAGGCATTGTTTGCCATCATTGGAGTTTCGTTCGTCCTCGGTGCAATCTGGTTCTTCTTTTGGGCCAAGAATGGCGGCTTTAAATGGCGCAAGGGCGACTGGGAAGAGTACAAATCCACTGTCCTGCGACGCAAAGGTCCCAATGGCACCACCCTCAGTAACGCCACAAAGAGCACGATCCTCGGTGGTGGAAGCGTTGTTGGAGACGGCTATTCGGACAAGGACACTGCCACTAATACCGACGCAATGACTGAGACCATGACGGACCTATCCTCTGAAGCACCCATCCTCAAGGAGAAGCCGTCCAAGAAGAATAAAGCCACCAAAGAGACGGCCAAAGAACGGAAGCTCCGCCAAATCAACGAGGCAAGCTGGGAAGGAGGTCATGACAACGACGTCCGGAATTATCGACACGAGAAGCCTGCACGGGTCGGCGGCCTCAACAAGGACTCTGACGCTCAGTTCTACGGTACCGATTATACGGCGACAGAGCGCAGCGCGAGCGACATGAACAGCAACTACAGTTACACTTCACCTCAGGGTCCCCAATCTCGCCAGTCCAGCCCCGACAAGCGCCAGAGCCGTCGCGACTTCTCGTACGGACAAGAAAATGCATTCAGCGCTGCCCCTTCTGTTCCTCGTCCAGCACGATATCATTCACCTAACAAGAACGCCAGTCCACAGCGACCCATTCGAACTGTGCCCGGCTCCTTCACCCAGCCTTTGGACTTTGACGTGCAGAGTCAACATACAAAAACCTACCACCATCACATTCCAGGGCTAGGTGGGCAGGGAAAGGCAGGTGGATATCGACGGGACAGAGGGGATAGTCTCGACGACTAGATCATCTTGGTTGAGTGAGTCGACTTGCAAGCTTGAGCGGATGCAGAACCAAACACACGAAATGGACGTGAAAGTGACGACCAAATTGTATATCACTATTAAGCGCATCAAACAGACATGGCGTGAGGGCGTACAGGTTATGGACGGGAACTGGGAATAACCAGTGATGAATCTGTCTGGCTTGCCTCCCTACGGGAAAAAGGGAAAAGGAAGAGATCCTCGGGAATAGAATAGCTCGAAAGGCATGGGCCAAAGCATGCTTTGCAAGTAGACAATGATCAGTATTGAAGGCTTGATTTCCAGCAGCATCTTCTTTTCCATTTAAGGATTCGTCAGGCTCATGACCCGTATGGCGCTATGAGTCTTAACTCGCCTCAGCGCGTTCTACAGAGGCGTCGCGGCATAGACCCGGGAGCGTAGGACGTGTCGAAGTCGTCCCGATATCACAACAAAACCAGCCATGAACGAGGATTCTGAACATCACTTTCATTGGCAGACTATCAACGTTGAACACTAACCACTTGCGCCTAGCCATTCATCTGAATTGAATGTACGGAGTACTGTACCGTATCAAACAGACCGAGGCTTTGACACCAAAGGCATCTGTTGCACGACCTGATCTCGGGAGAAGGTTCGGTCCAAGTACAGTACACTCCTGATGGGGAACTCCCTTCGAGGACTGTCGTCGCATCACTCCTAGATGGCCTTGACCTTAGCGGTCCTGCTGTTCTTCCCATCGGTGCCTTTCATCTTCTTCGTGCCGGCCGCCTTCTTGCCGGGCTTTCGTTCGACCGTGCCAACGGCCTTGTCGACTGCGCCCTCGACCTTGTCCTTGAGATTGGACTTCCTCTTGTGACTTGTTGCTGGAGCGCGCTTCTTGGTGACACCAGCGCCAGCCGTGCTCTTCTTGGTAGTCGTGCCAGTGGTCTTGCGCTTGCGCACTGGTTCGGTGGAGATGGGTGCGAAGACTCGAGGCTTCGCATTCCCAGTAGCGCCGCGTGTTTGGGCCATTGTTGACTCGTTGAATTTGGTTATGGAACGTACGTGCTTCGTAGGGTACGAAGAACAGGGAGACGACGACTAAACGCTTGAATTTGTCAGCTTTTATACTTGGAGTTGGGCAAACAGTCGTTGACACGGACGAGGCGGGGAAACGGCGACGCGGTCAGTAGGAGTGAGATATGGCCACAACTTCACGTAGGGGCGTCGGATAGAGGTGATATGGACAAGAGTGATGGGTTATATGCTCGCGACAACACAGGTTTCGCGAAATTGATAGAAAAGGGAGTGTGGAGGGCGATAGGCAGGCAACAACGTAGAAGTGGCAGAGCAATGGGTGTGATGAGAACGGAAAAAATGTTTACGTACCTTGCGATCGAGCTGTCGCAGAATTTCAAGAAATTGCTGATAGGTAAATAACACCTATGCGACCGATTTCCAAAACAAATTGGACCAGGAGAAGGTGTTGTGGTGGAATGATAAATGGAAATGTTGAGTTGGTTGAGGTTGGGTGAAAGTTCGCCTTTTGAGCCAACGCCAGCTCAGCTCGCTGGATGATCACATCTCGAAACAACAACAACACCTCCTCCTTTGTCAGCCACCACAACACTTCTTGATTTGTATTTTTTGGGACGCAATTGTATCCTTCATCTTTCTGGCTTCCCGTCTTGGTTGTATTTGATGCATCTGGATAATTCATTCAATAGGCCAGGATGCCAGGATCAGGTCGTGGCCAGTAAGCGCCCGACCAGTGTGGCGCTTGTCACGCAAGCCATCGCTCGCGTCGCGTTTTGACTTGCGGCAGTCCAAGGTGATCGCATGCGTCGTTTTGCATCGTCGACAGTAGTCAGACTTACTCTCTAGTCGTACCAGTCTTTCAGTGCTCGGTCATCCTGTACTGGACCGCCTGCAAGCTGCAATGCGTTTCGCACTTCCCACTCAAATTCGGCAAGCGCTCTTAACTCAGATCCCACAAAGAGAAATCCAATGAGCCCATCCACGGTCCCGGCCATCAATCCCAGACTGCTCAGGAGGATCAATAGGAAAGAGACGAAGTTCCGTGGCGACCACCAGACCGCAACAAAGCACCCAATCGAGACCAATGCAGATCCAACAAAATGCAAACACCGATATCGTCGCTGCTTTCTTTCCCGAAGATTGTACTTATGTATCATGGCTAGAATATCATGGTAGAAATCTTGTCCAACATACTGGTGCGTAGGTTGTTGGGATATCGCGGCTTTAAAATCCTTGTCTTCAAAATCGGCCATTTCAAGGTTCGGATCTTCGGTCTGCGTATCATGCAGTGCTCCGTGAATTTCCAGTCCAGCAGGAGTCGGTGGGCTGGTCTGCGACCTTTCTATGTTGGCATACACAGCAAAGTGATCACTCAACGAACACAGCAGCTTCGGATGCCGTTCAGTGAGAACCACCTTCACATCGGCGACTTTCCACCCATTGCCGACGCCATTGAAGAAAATGTAGTCCAGACGATATGAATTGGGATCTGGATCGGTGGCTGCAATATGTTTGTCGTGCCCCCTCTCCAGTCGTTTTTGATCTTCCTTGCTCCAACGCCACGTGTTGAAGATGGAGTCACACGTGTGACCATGGTCTCGAAGAATGCTAGCCACGTCCGAGACAGGATGCTCTTTCACACGCTTCCTGCGCTCAACCTCTGGCAGGTGGTGGCTTTTGCCAATGCTGCTTCCCGGCTTGACCACTCGCCATACATCCTTGACGCCACCTCGACTTTCAATCAGGACATGGGCAAAACTCAACGGTACCATGTTGAAGTCGCCGAGCCCAAGAACGAGACTGCCTCGGTCTGAAGCTGCACGCATGAGTTTCGCCATCTCCCATGCTTGAGCTGTCCGATGACAGATGTAGCTGTCGTTTGGCTCCCGATCATAAGGTGCATGTAAATGTGTATTGAAGACCTCAATCATTTGTCCATCTGACATTTGTATTTGAGCACATGCTACACCCTTTCCAACAAACCAGTCCCCTCTGAAGAACGCGGTAGGACGACCATTTAGCGAATACCGGAACATAGACGAGTCGCTGATCGGCCAGCGACTGAAAACAGCCAAACCTCCACCAAAGATGCCGGAGTGATAGAATTTTGCATACGGCAGTATAGATCTCGTCCGATCTCGGATTGCTAGATAGTCGCCAAATGTCCAGCATTCTTGCAGGCCAACAATATCGAGTTGAGGAGAATGACTGGCAATACGGTTTCCTATTTCGGATAGTCTTTCTGTCCGGTGTTTGGAGAGATATTTGAGCCCCCAGCAGTTCAAGGTGAGGACGTTGATCGACGTGGGCCCCGATTCTTCGGATTTCTGTCGGATAACGGTTTCCATTTCGTAGTCCAGATCGTGATATAGCAGAGGCTCCCTAGTAGATTTGTCCGGTTGACTGTTTTTGCCAAGCTTTTGTAAAAAAGAAGCATTCATCAGATTTGAAGATCAAAGGAAAAGAAGAGGAGAAGGCTGCAGGCTACGACGCAGTGGAAGACTAAAAGATAGAAATACAGCAATCGCAAAAATAATGTGATTTCATGTGAGCATGCTAAATGTTGATGGAGAGAAAAAGAAACAATGAAATCGAAAGACCGCATAATGACGAGGTGAGCTGATTACATAAGACAAAATACACTAATCCAGTATTGGTCTAGCATGCGATACGAAGTACGACGAGGCTGCGCCCCTCAATTAATCGATTGTTTGCGAGCGAAGGATTTTCTCCGTGTTGCTTGCATATGCCCTGCTAGAAGTCTCAGGAAGGCTAGGCCGCCTCAGTCTAGCCAACGCATGCAAATTCAATGGTTATGCCACCACATCTGGTTGCAAAATAAAGAGTCGGAGATAACGGTTCCGATCGCTCATTCCATCCAGCCTTCCATGAAGACGCCCTTCTCCTGTGCCCAGAGGCCTGGAGATGTCAACCGATAGGGTTCTCTTCATGCTCTGACTAACGACTTGAATGTCTTGATATGGGCGAGTGGTATTATCATGATCCAAACTCTTTCTCCGCGTTTCGGGGCTGACGATCACGTCCTCTGAAGCGATTAGTTCTTGATTCCAGCAAACCGTTATCCAAAAGCTCCAGCGCCCGCTCAAAGCGGATGATCCTGCACAAGGCGCAAGTAATGTACTTGCCGCCGGCATCAGAAAGAGCCCTGTACCGCAGCCGGGATAAGGCGTATCGTCTTCGTCATACAGGCTTGACAGCGCAACTGACGAGCACCAAGCACAATCTGTAAATGAATGCCAAACAGGACAGAGTTGGCGTGTCGCTGCATTCTCTTGCTCCGAAGACGATGGCCCGAGCGCTGAGCCTTCATAACATGATGTATCCCAGAAAAAACTGTTCTATCACAGGTTCCGCCCGAGAGTGCAACTAGTAGATGACATCGTCTTCTTGCCCAAGTTCAAGCTCTTCACCGCCGTGATCGTCATCCTTACTGACTGGCCTTTGCGTCTCATCTTTGGCTTTCCGTTCAGGAACTCTCTCCGCGTCTGAGCTCACACCAGTTTGCACCGTCGTGGACTCGTCCTCTCGCTCGGAAGATTTGGGCTCATTGCCCGTTGAAGTCGATGGCTTGTCTTCATTTGATGTTCCATTGGCATAGTCTGTTTGCCGCGTTTGGTCATTTTCAGCATCCATATCGCGGTCGTGCTTGCATTCTGGAGAGTTCAGGCCGGGTCTGCGCTTCACCTCGGATTCGGCTATCTCGCGACGGATCGTCTCTTCTGCTTCATCGATTTGGCGCTTGATGGTCTCTTCCTCTTGTTCTCGAACTTCCCAAGGCTTATAGTACTGTGTCGCCAAGTCAGCTTAAGATTATACTCCATGTCTTGTCTGATAGACTTACCAACGGTGGCTCCGCTTTGGTCTTTAGAAAGCGTGCAGTTGCCCTCATGTTTCTGTGCCTGATTTTCATACCCTCCTCTTCCCATCGTCGTTGTTCACCTTGTCTGACACGATCCAGTTCCTCCTTCTTTCTTCGGGCGTTATCTACCAACTCTTCATTTTCCCTTTTCAATCGTTCTCGTTGTCGGTTCTCAATCTCCTCCCTCCTCGAATTGCGTACAAACGCAGCATTTGAGCCGGCGGCTGATTTAGAAGGGCGTGACGACTGCGACAGGGTGCCCAGTAGGGCACCAAATAGGCGACGATTGCGCGACTTATCCTGCTCAACGTTCAACGAGGATTTCCTCCGACTCGTGTCTGGCTGGCCTGGAGGGGACATAGCCTCTGCGCCATTACGAGTTGTGGGCGGAGAATGGGTGCGCGAAGCAGAAGACGGTGAGTCTGCGGCACCGTTCGAGGCTGGCGCATCCAGCCGAGGTCGTTTACTTGATTCGGAGGATACAGATGACTGACGACGCTTGCGAGACGTGGTTTGCTCTGGAGATTCGGTTTGGGACTGAGGTTCGTCCGGGATTGCGACAGCAGAGGAGATCATCTTTCCACGGTGCTGTCGCCAGTATGGATAAGTAATAACACAATTCCTAGATCACAGACTCGGACGACATATCCTGGAATGATAATGCTATGTGTACACGATGTCCATCTTCAGCCTCGAATCGGGTGAAGAAAAGCTCCGCAAACTGGGCCGGAGCACGTGCTTTTCCTCGTTTTGCGGAGGAGGCGCAAGGCTTAGAAATTCTCTCGCAAGGCTGACCTGCTCATTCCATTCTTTTCTACACGGTCCGTCGGGATCACAAAGTATCTCTTCTCGACAGCCTCAATCTTCCTCCTTCACCAATTCAACGCACTCCGATATCTCAGAAAATCTAGACAACGCATACTACAGTCCTTCTATCTCAAAATGTCTCGCCACCACCCCGATCTCGTCATGTGCCGAAAAGCACCAGGCATCTCTATCGGCCGGCTCTGCGACAAGTGCGACGGCAAGTGTCCGGTTTGCGATTCCTACGTTCGACCGACAACTCTAGCGCGCATTTGCGACGAGTGCTCGTTCGGTAACTATCAAAACAAATGCATCGTCTGCGGCGGCGAGGGCATCAGTGACGCCTTTTACTGCTTTGAATGCACAAGACTGGAAAAAGACCGCGACGGGTGTCCGAAGATCATCAATCTGGGTTCGTCGCGGACGGATTTGTTCTACCAGAAGAAGAATTTCAGGAACCAGCAATATTGAGACCAGGCTGCATCTGAGTAGACGATCCTGATAAGAGACGAAGAGGATGACAGCTGTCGCGCACCAGGGAAGTCAGGATTGAGCCGGTGCGCCGTTCGACTTTCCTCCCACGAGTAACGCGTGCCGGTCACGGCAACAGACGTCAGTGAAGTCGCATGTGAGAGGCTGATCTCCCGTGGAAGGCGGCTGAGGTTCCGAATCAATGTGGGCAAATAATCCAAGAGGCAGAGCGAGGAAAATGTCGCAGAGAGGATCCAGCCCTGATCCGAAGCACCAGCCTGCGATCTAACCAGATAACACCGGAAATCAAGGTGCGAACTTGAAGTCTACCAGACACACAGATACCACCCGAAATGCCCAAAGATGGACATGGTCGACAAGCACTCCATTCTGTTGATGACGCCAGGTGGCCAAAGTGGTCAAATGGAAAAGCGTGTGAATGAAGCCAGTTCTTGCCTCATAATCGCGCGGTTGATTTGTGGTAAACGAAGAGTGGAAAGAGTCTGCTCACCAATTTTGCAACGCATGTCCAGTATGGCGAAATCCAGCGGCAGCTTTTAGTCGAACTACAGACGAGCTGTGCAGCCGTTTGTCGATGAAGAAATGGAGTTGCATGGATTGTTCATGGCCCTAAGGCTAGGACGACGTGTGCTAGGTAGCAATATCAGAGTTAGAAGCTCAGTACTGCTTCATTCCGCTTGCACTGCTTTTTCATTGTTTCTTGAGGCCGTCACAGGTCTTCCCCATTCTTTCCATCGCTATGCAATGCCGACTGGCTCCCGGCCTTTTCTCAGTAGACTTGTCATGCTGGACATGAATTCAATTCCATGCTGTCATGCGCCACTCCCAGCCTTCACGCAACTCATTCAAGTCATCACATCCCTTCCTTTTGAGGTAGACTTTGCTGCCTACCCCTATCGCTTGCCCGGCCTCTTGGGCCTGGCAAACCCACCTCTACTAGGCGTCGCAGTCCCGGACCCGGGCGCGCTCTCCTCACCCTCTGCCGCGTCTCCTCCAGCACTCTCCCTGACCAAATCGCGCACCTCCTCCTCCAGCCGCGCACTCACCTCGTCGGGGTCGCCGGCCTCCAACCTCTTGAGAACCTTCACCCCTTCCCCCTCGGCGATATGCAGCAGCCCGCGCCTTGAACTCGCATAGACCATGCGTTCCTTGACCTTACTCGACCCGGGACACACATAGATGAACACCACGCCACTGCCCACGCTGTAAAATGTATAACTCGGCCTGTGCCCCGGAATCATGCCGGCCACATCGCCCACGCTCACACCCTCCTGCCTGCCCAAAAGTGTCAGCGTCTCACTAGACACTTCAATGCCCATCTGCACCACCAGTCCACTCGCGCCAGCCGCCACATCGCCCAACGCCGCCCTGGCGTCGTCGTCAATCTTCATCACAACACCGCTCCTTGCCGCGCCCGTCCCGTCCCTGGCGCCGATGACCCCACCACTGCCGGCCTCGCCCATCAAATCCCGTCCGCGCGTGCCATGTCGTTCCTCCTCCTCGGCGCGCTTGACGGCTTGTAACTCCCTCTCCTCAGTACTCAGTAATCCCGGATCCTGCTGTCCCTGTCCTGCTCCTGCAGAGGCCCAGCCGCCGGCACGCTCGTCCCACTGCGCCGGCTCAAGCACCTCCTCCCTCTCCGTCAGGAACACCGTCTCACTGAACTTCTCACTGCCAAGTTCCCTGACCAGCGTTGCGCGTGTCGATGCAAACAGCGTCTTCTGCCGGACAGGTGCGCGAGAAGGGATATATGTCACCGCCACCAGTTCCGACTGGGCCTGGATGGTCGGTGCGCGGCGGAGAAGGAGGTACAATGGTGTTGTAGGTGTGAGGAGGCTGTCGAGACCGGAGACGGACGAGGAGAGTGTTGAAGAACCGGATGGGAAGGGGATAGAGGACAAAGGAGTGAGGGATTCGGAGGTTATTGAGACTGGAAGGCAGAATGCAGATGTGTCGGAGGTAAAGGTTGTGAAGGCATCGTGGAGTTCGGCGGATGCTTTCAAGGGGTAGTGTCAGCCATGGGTCGAGATAATGGCCTTAGTGAGGGTGCAAAGAATACCTGTTATTCCGGACTGCATTGTGAAAGGTGTATGCCTAGTAAAAGGAAGTACTGGTGGTCTGGCAACTATTGGTGTTTGTGAAGACCGAGTCTGGCTTCAATTGATTTGGGTGTCGTAGCTGGTAGAGGACTCGAGGGAAATGTTCGATGGATCTGCTGCGAGATAAGGAGTAGCGGGCAACAAGGGCTATTTATACGCGATAGCTCATTATGCTGTCTTCAAATCTCAATGCCAATAGAATATCGGCCGAGAGGGTACATGCAATGAAGCGTTGTAACTTAGGTGGAATGCCGTCACAACGAGGCTGATTACGACTCGACGAATAGCGGGCACAGCGCGGGGTCTGCAGCCTGGTTAACGAACAGTTCCGGCGGATTAAATCTACACATGGGGTCAATAGAACTTTTTCAGATTCTCAGATTTTCAGATTTTCAGATTTTGAACTGGCGGCCACCACAGAAGGAAGTACACAAGCCCTTCCCTGGCCTTGCACTGCCACACCCAAACCTGACTTCACAACTTCACACGAAGGAGAAAGCACTGGAACATTGTCAAGAGTGTCTGTAGATTTTGCTTCAACCATAATCAACCTGTTGTCGCTGGTCTTCATAGTCTCTCTCGCTGTTTGGTACCACCCAAGCATCTTGCACCGTCTCCCCCGCCTTTGACTGAAGTGGTTCTGTTGAGGAATGGTAGGTTCTTTGTGCACGATGGACGATAGCCATCATCTGGGCAAGCTTTTGACCAAACATTTCCTCCATGGTATCCTGCAAGGATCGACAGCGAGCATGCAAAAGTATTTACCACGCGAAAAGCTGTCTCTGCAAAAAGAGATATATATGAGGCGATTCCAGTTATGGACTTCAGAGGGATGGCATACCTGGGAGATTGTTCTTGCAATATTGGACTGGCTGACACGAAAGTAGGACATGCTCGAGTCCTCTGTCTTGCCACAGACTGTCACAATATAGCGCCGACGACGAAACCCTTGGATGTCGGGCTGTTTGCTTGAACACTCCACCCACAGTCGCAGATGCAATTGAAGCCACTCTTGAAGGTTTCGTCTTGGTGCTGCGTACTCACAGTATATCTGATTCCGAGCACTCAAAGATTACTCGAGAAGGTAAGATATCGTCGATTGGTACTGTGGCAAGAACACAGAAATGCAATTGAATTGATGTGAGAGCTGTAATATCATTACTGAACGAGTGCTCTCATGAATTAGTATAGCCTGGCGAGGGAAGAGCATGAGCGAAAATGTGAAGTGAAGAAAACGTGGCCCCAGACTGCGCTGCGCTCAAGTCTCAAATACAATTCTGTTCTCTCATCTTTCTTCCTTTCTCTCTTTCTTCGGACCACAGAAGAATTCTGTAAGTGCACCTCTTCCTCCTGTTCAGCACTGTTCGCGTCCTCTCACCGTCTGTTTGCACTGTATCTCTATCGTGTGAAGCCTTTACCTGCACCTCATCGAAGCACATCAGTCCCAAGCCGGCCACTACCTCGTCTCAATCCAATGCTACCAAGCCCGATAGCAGCACTTCCTGGTCTGCAACACTGTTCGCTACCCAGAGCATCTCTGCGTTCTGGCCCCAGCTCTCTGTCGAAGCTCCGAAGCATATCACCAGGATGGCCACCACTCACACAAGGCGACCCTTGCCCAGCTCTCCTTGCCCAGCTCTCCTTGCCCAGCTCTCCTTGCCCAGCTCTCTTCCTCCACAACCATCCGCGATACACCACAGCTTGTTTGCTGGAATCTTCTATCCTCACTTTCTTGAAGCGACCTTCAACTCCCCGAAGCAGAACACTTCCAAAACCCACGATCAAATGTGAGTTTCCAGGCTTTCGCTTGTAGGCCGTTGAAGCAGCAGTCGGACCTCGCATTGAACAGGAGGCCATCCTGCCACATAAATTGTCCTCTCTACTGTTTGTCGTCGAATGGCACCCTAACGCTAAACTACAGGATTTGCCTATGAGACCGTAGTAAACCGTCGAAGCAACAGTTAGACCTCGCATTCACTGGGAGGCCCTCCTGCGATATGAATGTCCTAAACCTCGCCTTGAACAGGAGACCCGCCTATGCGATAAACTGGCCTCGCTGATCTTTATCGTCGAATAGTACCTTAGCGCCAAAGTACACGATCTACTTTTAAGACCGTACTAGTGCTCCGTACGTATAACAGGAGGAGCTTAGAACGCTATATACCATTGTATACTACGATCCCATATAGTGAATCGTGTAATTTAGCGCTGAGGTGCTATTCGACGACAAATAGTAGCGAGGACAGTTTATCAGATAGGCGGATCTCCTACTCAAGGCGAGGTTTAGGACATTTATATAGCAGGATAGCCTCCTAATCAATGCGAGGTCCGACTGCTGCTTCTACGATTCAAGCGGCAGCTGTTTAGCACCCCGGTTAAGCGAGTTTCATTACACGATTTTACCCTTGAGACCGTAGTACTTTTAAGTCCTCGCTCCAGAAAATGCCAAGACATGTACCCATCACGTGACCATACTCCTCTCCTCCTCAACACCCCCCCTTGTCAAGATCACTCTTCATACTTCCCAGTCCCCAGGTTTAGCCAATTGCTATCCTCGATGTGCTTCTTCAAGAACTCATACACCGTGAACGTTACTGCCTGGCCAGGCGCCACTCTCATCACTCTCGGCGTGATACCCTTATAAAACGCCCTCGGACCCTCCTGCTTGAACATGTCCTTCGTAATCAGCACAATCCTCGAGATAGCAGTCTGTCCAGGCTCAGCTGGAGTCTTCTGAAGCCGGGTCTTTATCGTATCTATTGGGGCGTTCGAGAAAGGACCCATGGCGCCAGATATCAGGCCGATCAGAGTCGTCTGGTAACTCGGCAAATTCTTCCCCTGGTATTCCGGCTGCCATTTCTGCAGCAACTCCTTGAACTCCGTATACGCTGTGAAGTTGACGGCCTGGTTCGTCCCTTGTCGCAAAGCGGTCAGCGATACACCGCGATACAACGCGCCAATCCCCTCTTCCCGCACCACGCTGAGCAGCGCGTGCGGCGCGCTTCGGTATTTGGGGACGTCGAGAGGGTCGGAGAGACTGTGATATTGAGCTTGAAGCCGAATCTTTACCACCTCCATGGGAGTGACGACTGCAACGGCCTCGGTCACGCCGGCGCACAAACCAGCTGGCACATATCAGCAAAAAATTCCGACCTGGAGCCGAACCGAAAACGTACCTAGAAATGTCGCCTGGGACGTGACGACCCCGTCCTTATTCGCCAGTAACTGCTTGTACCACTCGTACGAAGTAAACCGGATAGCCATCTTAGGAACGATGCCCGTTAGCACAGCTCCTAGTCCCTTATATAGACCAAACACGGTTTCCCGCTTCACAATATCTCTTCCTGTAGCAATGAAACCACGCGATTTCGTCCCTGGTGCCCGTCCTCTTCTTGACAGTTGCATTCGCACTTTGATAGTGTCGAGCCAATGACACGCGAGGGCTTCCATCATGCCGGCACCGCCTCCAGCGATCAAGTTGACGGCCGCGGAGGCTGGCTTCTTGCCGCCCTCGCCTTTTACACTTTTGGCGGACATTGTATTGAGACTTCTACCCGTAGGGAGCTCGGCTTGAGTGTGCTCGTTCGAGGCTAAGTATAGGCTCCGGTGCTTGCTGTGGGTGGGCTCGAAAAGGCTCAAGACTGGCTTAATCGTACGAGAGCCCGTCGGGATGCGCTGCCGTCCTCACGTTCTAGTCGTGTAGATGAATATGTGGGAATCGTTTTCCAAAAGAAAATCATATATTATACAAGCCGGAAACAAGGAAATGATGCTCTGGCCAAGATCAACGCCGGTTGCTTGACAATCAGCAGAGCGGAGAGAGATGATCAGAGAGGAGAGAGTTTTCCAAACAGAGAGCACCGCAGCAGTAGATGGGTGAGGTCACTCTTTTTGAGAAGCGAGGATCTAGTAAGGACAATCATACCAAGCCGTTCCAATCCGAGAGAAGGTGAAGGTGGGTGAGTCGAGTGGTCGAGGCACTGGCACGCGTTGGCAAATGGCATATGGAAGATTTTCTGGCTGCCTTTCCGCCGAGGTACGATTTGAGTGGACACTTGGGCAAAGCTGCGGGCAAGGGCCGGGGGTGAAGACTACTGGAGACCCATGGGAATTTGCATCATTCGTCCAGGAACAGGACGAGAGGAGCATCGACTTTGGCACGAGAATGGTCAGTTGATTGCTTCCGGTGGGGAGAGACATTCATTCTGACGCATGTGGAGGTTCTGGGCTTCCGTCAGTCACTGCGAGTAACTCGAAATGGGCGACCATCGTTCCATCGTAGGGTCCCGGTCAACTTTCCGGCGTGGGAGGCCAGTAAATCGTGGGGAATCACAATCACACTTGGAACTCGGCAAAACAGTTATTCCCATCCGGCTCTTTTCTGGCGTATTTGGAGCTCGATACCTATGTACGGAGTAGCTCTACACTTCAACGCTTACAGCTCACCATAACCATGCGCTTCCTGATGCTTTGCTGGACAAACTGTCTTCTTGCGGCTCTCCACGTTGGCCGAACCCTAACCGAATGCCCGAAGTACACCACCTAAGTAAGCTTAGTCTGGGACCCGGGGACCGCCCCTTAGCCTCTCCCGAATTCACCCGGACCACCGGAATTGATCGTAGTCCCAACTTCATCTCCTCCCACGGTTCCGAGTTCGCGGAACCTATTTGATGTTGACTCATAAATGTACGTCCAAGTCGTGAACGGCTAAAATCTCGCAGCCCAGTGCAGACATATGGCTTGAAGAAGCTGGGCACTACAACCTCACGCTCAAAATGCGAAGGCTGGTGCGCGGTATTTAACGTGGTTGCATCTTCCCAGACCACACAGTGATGTTTAGCACGAGATTGAGAAGTCAACAACTGAATTGTGAAGTTAATGTAATGATGAAGAGGTATCCTATTGCATTGGACGTCTCATGAAGAAGTCGGTCTGCCGCCATTACTACTATGGTCCCCAAGCCACCACACCTGCCGCGAGGCAATCACTTCTAACAAGAGAAAGAATTTGTGACACCCCCCTCCGAGAAATCAAAAACCTCGTGGGTTGACCATCAAAGTGGACCTCATGACAAACAAGCAACCATCAATGCCTCATAGTACTTGTCAGTATGAATCTCGCCCTTGACCCTCTGGATTAGGTCCTTCTTGTACCGATGAGCATAAGCGCGTTTGACCTGGTCCAAGTGCGCTCGATCCCAGTGCACGCGCACCACGCGTTGGACGAGGAGAACATCTTTCGTCCCGAACCCGGCCATGGCATCTTCCAATTGCACCGCATCGGACATGATGCGGTCGCAGGCGCGACGTACCATGAGGAGCAAAGCATCCTTCATGTGTCCAGAGAACTCTGATTCAATCACTTTCTCAAGACCGTTGTGGTACTTCTGCTGCCAGTGATGGGCCAGCGCGCGAATTTGGCCGTCACTGCGCTGCGATAGGATACTGCAGACCGTGACCTGATCGGTGCCAACACGAGCGTCCATTGCCCGATGAAGCTCAGTAACATCACGCTCGAGTTCGTGCGGGATCACAGGCGCCGACTCTTCACTTCTTGTAGCTGCCATGACCATGCTGAACAATCTCTCGGTCTTCATCGATAAATCGCCCTTGACATCTGTCTCGAGGGCGCGTCTGTATGTCTCTTGATACGCTTGCTTGATTGCGCGCATATCCGCATTCGACCGGCCGAGCAGCACATCGTTGAGGACGGATTCTTTCGTTCCCAAGCCCTTAATCGCTTCGTGCACAGAATGTACGTCATGCATCAGCGGTCCTTGAACAAGCGCCACCAATCCCTCACGGAAGTATTTTGAGGTTTCTGATCTGATATCTTTTTCTAGGTCGCGGCGATGACGTTGGTTGTATGTATTCTTCAGCAGCGCCATTTGTAGAGGATCTGGTTTCGCGAGGATTCGAATGAGCGCGTTCTCGTCTGTACCGAATCCTTTCATCGCGGCTCGTAGGGCATCAGCATCGCGTGAAGCATCACCTTGTGCTTGCGCTCTCGGGTCGTATCCTGGTGAGGGCATGGCTGGTGGAGGACCCCATTGTTGCTGCTGCGGCGGGAAGCCACCTTGGGGAGGACCGTAGCCGGCGTGTTGAGGAGGTGGAGGGTATTGACCTGGAGGTCCACCAAAGCCTCCTGGTGGTCCTCCAAACTGTTGCGGAGGGCCACCGTAACCTCCTTGGGGTGGAGGGTAGCCGCCATGTTGTGGTGGACCCTGTTGAGGGTAACCCTGGCCATAGCCTGGACCCCGCGGAGGATAACCTCCGTATGGAGGCTGGCCTTGAGGCGGACCGTATGACATTCGCTGTCCTGGAGGTAAAAGGCTCGTATAAAGTGGGATGAGGAGGGGTAATTTGAAGCGAAAGAGCACTCGTAGGTCGGGTAGTTGTTGCCTTTTCAAAAGGGGGAAGATATATACGATCTTTGTCAGGATGAGCCAAGGCAGCGCCAGTGAATGTGACGCAGATTTTGTCCGCTGAGTCGCATGAACCAGGATACTAGCGCTACTCGAGGACACAGCCCTGCCAGAACGCGCCGGTCATATCCCTGCGATTCCGTCATGCGGGGTTCATTGAGATGCACCGCCACGAGGCTGAGCCCGCGTCATTTGCAGTTGGCGTGGCCTTGGCAAATCATGCCTTGGCGTTCCTGATCCGTTTATCCGAGATGCCATTGGATTATGTATGCAAGATCAGACTTCGTGACACATATTATCATTTGAACATTGAGTATTATTAAAGATGCAGTGAACGGAGTCGGTCGATATACGGTAACAATATCATGGCTGTCCTGATGACTAACATAACTTCACTCTGCAGGTTCATCCTCATGAAAAACCAAAGCTCTCACTTCGATACTCTCGCGCGAATACTCATTGACCGTGTCCGGGTTCACAAACGCAGTATGAGGAACTCTTCTCGCCCTTCCATCCAGCTTTGAGTCAAAGCACTTGATCAGCATTACTTCCTCCGGTGTCTGTCCGTACAGGTAGTACCACCTGTGCTCCGGGTTGGGCCGCACCGTGTAGGTCTCGCCTCGTCTATCAGGGTAGATGAGCCCAACACCAACCAGGTCCGAGTCCGGAACCGAATGAGCATCAGCGACTGCGAGAGGATCTTTCAAAATCTTCTTGATCGGTCGCCATACGTTGATGATCTGGTATCGGGTTGACAGTAGTCTATCAGCTTCTTCAGGTAGGTGGTGCGGCACGCGGCCCTTAGCTGCGCTGTAGCTCTGGTCGATGTGGACACGATTGACAGGTCCTCGAAGATTGACAGTTGTGGTCGGACCTCTCTGGTCCTTCGGGGCACGGCGAATTGTATGGTCGAAGATAAAGACACGAGAGGCTCCGGTCCTATTGCTCTGATGTCAGTATTCTCCGCGGGCACGCAGCTGGCAACACGAACGCATCCTTCAACAACTGTTCAGTCTCTGGGTAGTACTGGGCTTTGATCTGCTCGTCATCAAGGAAGTCCTTCTCGACGCTCTCCCGAACGAAGATCTGGAATCCGTTCTTGTCGAGGGTATAATTATCCCGTTCGCCACGAATATCACGAATGGTCACGTCCAATGGTTGGGCTGGTCTTTCATATGTCTCGGGCTTGCCAACGTAGCTTGGCGCCGGAGAGCTTCCGTCTCCAGGATCCTTGTAGTAGTTCAGCGAAGTCTGGACATGGTGCTTCTCTTGCTGCGGTACAGAGGTGCTTTTCACTTGAGTCTGTAGTGGCTCAAAGGAAGTCGAGTGGCCGCCGGGCTGATGAACTGCTGCTGAGGCCATTGTTAAAGCTGCCGAGAGCATGCTCACAAGCAAACAACAAAGAGGTTTGTCCCCCTACTTATGGACGATGCCATGCCCATTCCTGATTTGTCAGACAGCACGCAATATGTGAGACTTCAGTCGCCATAGCCGTATATTGTGAGGGGTATGTTGCGAGCAAGGTATACACACGAGCACTTTAGCCAATGAGAGCAGAATTGATAGAATGACGTGCCCTTCGGCCTATGCTTCGTGTTGACTTAACCGAGACATATCAGGAGACACGTGTTGATTTGGAGCATATATATGTTGCTTATCAATCCACAATCCGGTTGATTATAATTCCTTGCGTATCAGTTTGGTGATCGTTGTACCCTCGCCGAGAATATCTCCTTCTTCCTCCAGTCTGTAACCCCTGTACCGAGGCAGTGCAACCGTCCAGATGAACCAATAAGTTACTCCGAAGAGGATACTAGCGGCAAGGTCAGCATTATTCGGTTTCAGTTGATGGAGCGTCTTACACGGCAAGACCGACAAGTGCATACGTCGCGTAGAAGAAATTGACGTCAGATGTCCCTTTCTTCGGTGGAAACAAAGGCGCTGCGATCAAGAAGAGACATAGCAGAATCCGTAGCCAGACAGCTGGTAGCCATGCTTTGAATGGGCGGTGCAAGTCCGGCTTTTGATGGCGCAAGAGTATGATACCTACCCCCACGGCAAGAGCAAAATATTGACCGGCATAGCCTTCGACATCTGCGATGAAAGAGTAGACCGTGGCAGATGGTGGCAGGACGATCACCAGGACGGAAGGCACGTAGTGAACGATAAGCCCGCCCATTGGGGACCCAAATGGTTTGGAGGAAGCAAGAATTCCCGCATATGGAAGGAATCCTTGTCGAGCAATTTCTTGGTTGACTCGCGCCTAGTATATATCAGCAAGAAGATCGAGATGGACGTTGCACATACCAAGCTGAAAGTTACCACCATGACGTTCCCAGCAGCGCTCAGAGCAATACCAAGTGGAAGGAATTTGTTGCCAAAACCGGCTCCGAATACTCGCTCAAAAAACAATGCGGCGATGAGTTCTCTGCTGCGCTTGATTTCGTCCAGAGGCACCACAGCGAGATAGGCAATGTTGACCAAGATATACATGACGCACGCTGTCATTAATGCGACAGGACCGACTGTCTTGAGAGTCCTGACCGGATTCTTGACTTCATTGAGGACATTGTTGACATTGCTCAGTCCAGCGTAGGAGTAGAAGATCTTGAAGAAGGCAGTGGATAGAGTATTCCAATCCCACACCGACCCAGACCAAAGATCGTCCAACCCAGCAGTGGCAGATACCGTTGGAGACGTAGCTGACGTTTGGGGTCGAAAGATGACAACGATGAAGCCTGTCAAGATCATGAAGATGATCAATCCAACCTTAACCCATCCAAGGACATTCTGAATCCAGATGCCCGTCCTGTAAAAGCAGCTGTGGACAATGGTGATGCATGTCAGAAGTCCGACTGCGAGTAGTTTGGTGTTCAGGTCGCCCGGAGCGTTCCCGCTGGCGAACAGGGTGTATTTGGCAAAGACAATGCAGTTGCTTGCGGTGAAACCAAGCAGCACCGCTTGGACCGCGACCAAGGTAGACGTAAGAAAGCGCGGTTTGCGGTACGTATATTCCAGATACACCTTGACTCCACCTGAGCGAGGCAACATGCACCCATATTCCATGTCAATGACCAGACCAGCCCATGCCACGAAGGCGCCCACAAGCCAGAGGACCAAAGCAAGGCCAGGACTTCCAACATTCTGCACAATTGTACCTGGCATGGCAAATATGCCGCTCCCAATAACTCTTGAGATCACAAGCACATATGCGCTGGCCCAGCCGATGTTTCGACCAGAAGTGGATGTTTCTGGGAGCACATCGTCGTCGATCTTGCGCTCAGGGGCTGTTGTCCGTATCTGAGGGTCGCCTGCTTCCGGTAGAGCATCGTAGCTAAGCCTAGGCGAAAGTAAGGGCGACGTCTCGAAGTCACGCATTTCGAATATCTCTCATGAAGTCGCAAAATCAACCACATTCCCAGGATCTGAATTTTGACTCGTTAAAGATGAGAAACTGATGGAGGGATACAAAGTATATCAGCATGCTCGGAATACGAGCGGCCGAGTACACTCGGGAACGACGCAGCTTGAAAATTGATAAGACGGGACGAGGTACATGCTGACAAACGGAACAACAGGACAGCAAAGAGGGCATAAACTCAGGCCATCATGAATGTGTCTCAAGTCATGTTTTGAAAGGTCATAATACAGGGGATAAGGTCCCCGTTGCAGGTAGTGTACGCGATTGCTCATCTCGGCCTGACATCACGCAATTGCAGGGGTCTGGCAAGGCGACTCGCGCCTTATCGTAGGATGCCACTCGTCGTGCTGACGACTACCATGGCACAATATGCATATGCAGGACCTTGCTTCATGCTCGTTCGTCTGGGATCCATCATTTTGCCGCTGTCAATAGTGCTGTTTTGGTTGATGTAAGAAATCGTGACAGATGACATAGGTAGCTCGGTTGGTAGAAGGAGGACTTACATGGTAAATGCACTTTCGCTGCCAAGGCTGACACGTGATCACGCGTTGTGAGCAGGGCACGAAGTGGCCTTGAGCCTAGCACACTCAGTGCACACCACAGTGGCTATGAGTGTCAGGCATAGCTTGGTGGATATCTCTTTACATATCTGCGATCTGAGGGGATGTCTCTTGGACAAGTCACCAGCACAACATCAGTCTAGCTCTTGATCGTAGGAGCTATGCCAGCAGCCTTGTAGGCATCAAGGTAGAACCCACATCTGCTATCCAGATCTGCAGCTGTTGTCATCGTCTTCAACATGCCATTACTGCCCAACTCTGCGACAGCAGGCACTTGTGCCCAGCCCGGTCCAGCTTGAGGATGCTTTGCAAAATCCGCCCATGCCATCTGTATATAGTGACTCAGCGCCTTCTCCTCTTCCGTGGCACCCACCCGCGAGTAAGTGCCATACACGAGCTTGATCTCGCTGCTGTGGAAGACTCCCGCATCTGGGAGGCCCGTGAGATTAATATTCGGAAAGCTCGCGTTGTAATAGTATCTCCAAGTCGGCAATCCTGCCGTTTGACTGTCATTCGTCAATATGCCTACAGGGCACTGAAACGTGAAATCCGTTACAATCTCAGGAACCTGATCGGCCGAAGACCCGGGATATGATGCAAGTATAGCATTGTTGATGGCAGGTTGATATGGCAACAGAGCGCTCAGGTAAGCACTGGCATTGGTCTGGCCGACAACAAAGAGAGTGGCTTCGTTGGCGTTCGTGCCTGCCATGATCGGTACGTTAGCTGCGGACCTGTTAAGACGGGCGTTTTCCGGGTAGCGGAGGACTGTGACATTGTCCGTGACTGGCCGAAAGATCAGGGCCTGGTGCTCTATGATGTTCTTCAACGTCGAAGCGGTCTGATTTCGTATGCACGTCAGATTCGAATCGGGATGCGTGGTGGTACAATTTAGAGCGGCTGCTAAGGCAAGCCACGCAGTGGGTGCGTTCGTTGTATTGACGTAAGAAGTTGCCTGTCCAGACTCCATGATAGCCGCCCGGAAGGGTGGATTCTTTGCAAAGCTCGTCACTAGGACATCGACACTACAGGGAAATCATCAGTACCGGAGGCATGTCGACCTAACGTAAGAGATTTGGAATTCACCTTCCGGCGCCAGCTGATTCGCCGAAAATAGTGACCTTCTTTGCGTCGCCGCCGAAGGCTCCTATATTTCGCTGGATCCAGTCCAGTGCAAATCCTGACTTATTAGTGGACTCGTACCGCGACTGTTGATGATGAGACTCACTCTGGTCCAAGAACCCAAGGTTTCTTTCGGTGAATGGTATTTCCGCAGTGTTAGGAAACCCGAAAACTGATAAGCATTAGCAATCCAGAAGCAAACAAGCAATTTTGGAGGCCGAGGAAGCCTCCTGAGAACGAGACTATTTGCTCACCGCAACTTACCATTCGTACGGTAGTTTAGTGTAACAATGATCACATCCTGGTTTGCTGCGAAGTAGGAGCCATCGTAGTCGGGCAGAGAGTTAGCTCCAATCCTTAGACTGCCGCCCTTGAACATATGTTAAGCGTGCTTTCCAATTCATGGAGCTTCAACATACATAAATCCAGGCCATGACCGTTTTGTTCTTCCCAGGTAAACCAGGCACATAAACATTCACGTTCAAGCAGTCCTCGCTCTCACCTGCTGGCGGAGGAGGCGTATCGAACCATGCAATCGAGGCATTGCGCGATGCTTCGGGATAATTAAACTGTTGAAAGCATGCTGGTCCGTATTTGGTGGCTTGAAAAGGCTTCTTCCATGGCGTGGGCCTGACTGCAGGGGCGAAACGGACCGGTGAAGCCGCAAAAGGGATTCCCAGGTATTTGTTCACTGTCGCACTTGCTCCGGCGGGAGAAGTTGAGACACCGACGACCACTCCAGAGTCAATCGTGACTGTAGGCGCCGCCGAGGCGGTCAGGACTACCGCATCACCAACGGAGAATAAGCAAGCGGCCACCACAGCTAGCAGGCCAACGGTTGACTTCATTGTGGTCTCACAGAGATCGCTAGCAACAGGTCAACAATCTGGGCTGGCAATCGGTGGCGATCTCAGTTTTTTATGTTATGAAAGCCGCCTTCCACGAATGTAACGATTCCTCATCTTAGCAGAGTTCTCCGCCATTAGTCTCATTGCGAAGTTGGAGCCTGCAGGAAGAGACAGCAATACTAACAGCATATTAGTCTATATTCGGAGAAGGCACCAAGGAAACGAGCAAGGGCTCTCGAGCAGAAGCCTGGGGAGAGCATCATGCCTTCCTCATCGAGGCAGGTCCGGGAGATGGTTGTGGAGATGCGGAGAGGTCGACAGACCATGTCGACGAAAGCAGCTGGATTTTCGGTCCTCGGACGTTTCTACTAAGAAACCTGCAACCCTGCTCAGAGGGATTATTATCGTCAATAGTCTCCGAAGTCGTATGGCGCCGTCGATAGAGCAAGAGTAGCAAGATCAAAAATCACGGTTTCTCCGCCATTCAAGCTCATCGAAGCGTGAACTGCCGACTCAAGAGTGCAGAGCTTGTCGAGGCTCAACAGCGGTTTGAACGGGGTCATCAGCCCGTTGCCTTGCGATATCGAGTCCATGGATAATAAGTCCATATGCATGTCATGCTGCGCCCTTCGCGGCCAAAGGCGAGATGATTTGAACAGTATTTGACAGCATTTGGACATTTCTGGGAGGAAAATCGTCGAGATCTACTATGTACAATCGATGCAACAAGGCGAGTTCTAATGCCTCCCCGCAGCGTGGCACGTGACTGATCAGTTCGTCGCCATTTCACCGCTCGTGCCGCTTTACTCGTCACACCGTCTACCATCTTACATCTTGTCGTCTGTCAAAACCACGTACCTCGGCACGCTCGGTTCTCAAGACCCAGTACCTTAGGTCGAAGCTCGCAGACACAGCATTCAGACGACAAATACCAGACAGCGCTTCAAAATACCTCTCATGGACTAGCGTTCGGGGGTATCATAAGGCGCCCAGCAGGATCGCATTCAGCCAGAGCTTCGCAATCTGCCCGTCAGCTGCATTTCCGAGACCGGCTTGAGCCGAGGGCAATATCCCAAAAGAGTCTCCGTACACACACACACACATACTCTCTGACTGTGTGACTGCTACAACCTCAAAAAGCTCAAACGATCTACGACGACAGGACAGCAACTCGAACCAGGCCACTGGTCATCTTTCTACCCTCCAAGTCACCTCCCGCAAGAAACAGCCCTACCACTGCAGGATCCCAACTTTCGCCATGGCCATCGACAAAATCAAACCATACAACGACCCACGCATCACTTTCCGCTCCGCACACCTCAACAGCTACACGTACGGCTACATCTACAGTCCCGCCGCCTCCACCCCCCACCGCGGCACCATCTTCCTCGTGCACGGCTTTCCGGACCTGTCCATGGGCTGGCGCTATCAGATCCCATTCCTGACCTCTCTCGGCCTCGACGTCGTAGCCATCGACTGCATGGGCTACGGCCGAACCGACTCCCCGCGCCACACGCTGAAAGCCTACACCTACAAGCGTGTGTCCGACGACATCGCCGCGCTCGCCCAGCAGCTCGGCCTCACGCGCATCATCCTCGGCGGCCACGACTGGGGCGGCGCCATCGTCTACCGCGTGGCGCAGTACTACCCATCCCTCATCACCGCCGTCTTCAGCATCTGCACGCCGTACTTCCCGCCAACTCCGAAATACGAACCCCTCGGCCTCCTGGTCCAGTCCCGCCTCCCCAACTTCGGCTACCAGCTGCATTTCGCGTCCGGCGAGATCGAGGCCGCCGTGCAATCCAAGGCCGAGATCCGCCGGTTCCTGAACAACATGTACGGAGCGCGCACGCCGGACAAGGAAGTCGCTTTCGACGCCGAGCGCGGCGTCGACCTCGACAAGATGGCACGCCTTGGCAGGAACCAGCTCCTCACCGACGAGGAGATGGACTACTACGTCGACGAGTACGCGCGGCACGGACTCAATGGCCCCCTGAACTGGTATCGAAATCGCGAGGACAACTTCATGAACGAGTGGCGTGATTTCTTCGGCAGTGGGAAGAAGAATCCCGAGCAGGTGGCCAAGGATCTGACCATTAGCCAGCCAGTCTTGTTTGTCCTGGCGACCAAGGATCAGGCGCTCAAGCCATTCATGGCGGACAGGATGGGTGAAAGAATCCCCAATTTGACCAGGAGAGAAGTGGTCTCCGGTCACTGGGCACTGTGGCAACAAGCGGACGAGGTCAATCGGCACATTGGCGAATGGCTGAACGGAAAGGTGTCTGCAAAGGTTGGTGGAGGCAGCAAATTATGAATGCTACGAGCCCTGAGGATTGGGCTTCTTGTACGACCCTGTAATAGGGCATTTCAATCTCTTGTGGGGATTATACTACGGTGCCATGGGTAAAGCGTGTCATTTGACGTTAGGGTGCCATTCGACGACAGCAGCGAGGACAGTTTGTGTGGTGGGAGGGGCCTCTTGTTGAATGCGAGCTTCAACTGCTGCTTCTCGTAGTATCTCTTGGGTCTACGGTATCACGACTTTCTAGCAACGTTTCGCGGAAAACTCTACATGATACTTGTTCATCTTTCTTCTGGACTGTGTCCGACCTCTCGCCAATCACCTGCCCAGTTCAACACAAGACCTGCCTCAATTTCATAGGTGCACTCCTCGAACATCACTAAGCAACAACTCGGCCACTGGCTCCGTCAACCTCTCATCCACGCTCAAACTCATCAACTTGCCAATCTTGACGTTGATTGCACTCTTGCGATCGTCCACAATACTCCACAATCGATCTTTGATCTCGAATTCGGTCTGATAATCGAGCAACAACTTCTCGATGCGAGCTCTGTGATCAAGTACACTGAGTTGAGGGTCAGGGCCCAATAAAATAGTGATTGTATACTTGTCCAAGGCAGGCACATACGGTACATGAACAAGCATCGACGGGGTGTCGGGGAATTTCTCGATCGAGACTTTTGCGTCTGCGGTGCGGTCTTTGCCATCAATCAGCACCTTCAGGTCCTTTGGAACTTCCGTGATGGCCAAAAACCGGAATGTCCATGTCCGTCCCGTAACGTGCGCAGTCAATTCGCCCTTGTCTTGGTGATATTGGACCAGACTTCCACGCTCACCAGTTGATGGTGACTCCTTCTTGACTTGGTCCGAGTCGTCGGCTGGGTCTTCAAGTATGCTGGTCTGACCATTGCGACCGATCACGACCAGAACTTCAAAATGCTCCGGATTCATCCCGCCATTACCTGGTGTGGCATTTGCGTCGAACGGTATGATACTACCCTCATGAGCCACGACTGGTATCTCATGCAAAGGTCGGTACATCTTGAGTTCTCTGTCACCATCGTAAACCGTCCCAGTGAAGATATCGACATGCCGATGCATGGGTGGCAACCAGACATCGACCCAACCCAGATTTGTCCGCTTGTCTCTGGGTCTGACAATTGGTGCCACAATGAGTTCTGGTCCAAAGAAATACTGATTGGGAACTGAATAAGCCTCATTTCGAGCCGGGTATAGCCAGTACATCGGCTGAATCAAAGGCATGTCCTCGGTCGATGCAAGCACATTGCGCGTGTAGAGGTATGGTATCATGCGGTGGCGTAGACGCATGTACTTCTCAATGATGACCTCACTTTCCTTGCGGTATAGCCACGGTTCTTTGGAAGACCAGCGGGAATCACCAGAATGCAGTCGCATCATAGGACTGAAGACGCCAAATTGCACCCATCGAGCCACCAGCTCATCATCACGGCAACCTCCAAAATGACCACCAATATCGTGGCTCCACCATCCGTAGCCAATGTTGGAGGCTGTCGCCGTAAACTCGGGCTGGAACTCAAGGGAAGCCCATGTCGTCACGGTATCACCCGAGAAGCCCACGGGGTAGCGGTGGCTTCCAGGACCTGCGTAGCGAGAGAAGATGATCGGGCGTTTGCCTCCCAGTGCATTGTCGAGGAAGTGGAAATGGTTCAGTAGCCAGAGAGGGTCGATGCCCGGCACTTTCGTATGCGAACCCTGTTGCCAGTCGATCCACCAGAAATCACATGCTACCTTCTCAAGGTTTCGGTGCAGGATAGTGAGGTAAGCTTCCATGAACTTGGGGCTGGTCGGGTCGAATAGTATAGGATTCTTTTGGGAGGTATCGAAGTCCAAGAACTTGGCCATCTCCTCGTACGAGTCTTCGTGGTGGTGAATTCCATGATGTGGATGGTCGTTCAAGGTGATCTTCAAATTCCGGCTGTGCATCTCGCGTCCAAATATCTCGGGCTTGGGAAACAGTTTGTCGTCCCAGGTATACCCTGTCCAGCCGGCATGTGGAACTCTCGGGTCTCTGACCAAGTGCCAATCCATGTCAACCACGGCAACCGACAACGGGACTTCGTTCTTGGTAAACTCATCCATCAAGCCAATGTACTCGTCCTGGTGGTACTTGTAGTAGCGACTCCACCAGTTTCCCAAGCACCACCTTGGTAGCAGAGGTTGCTTTCCACTCAGGGCATACAAGTCCCGTATAGCAGCTTTATAGTCGTGCCCGTGGCAGAACAAGTATCCGTCGATGCGGTCGCCAGGACGCCGCCCAGCCACGAAACCCTGGCCGTCGAATAGCATGGACTTGCTATCGTCAATTGCGGCATAGCCATCTCGTGAGATGACACCGAGACCTAACTCGCACCTTCCATCACAACCATCCAGTGTTCTGGCTGTGCCGCCGAGATTCTGACCTTGAGGAGCGTTTGGGTCGTCGTCATATCTCCATTGAGACCCCCAGAGAGTAATCTTGGCTGCGAAGCTACATAGCAGGCCACTGGGACTGAATCGCTTTTTGTCGTAGCTCAGGTGGAAGTATTCGTTGATGATCTCCAGTTCATCATTGCGCTCGACCACTTGGAATTTTGGCGCGGGAAAGTTTCTGTTGATGGCGAATGTCGACGCACGATCTTCGAATTTACCATCGTGAGACCATTCGTACCGGATGACACGGTCTGTCAGGACTGTAAATCGATAATGGGACCCAGAGACAACAGCCTCGGGTTGAGCTAAAGGCTTGCTCTCGAAGTGATAGTCCTTCATCTGGATGGTGATATTCCGCAGTCGATGAGTTTGAGGATGGAGAGGAGAAAATTCAAGATTAATAAGGGATTTCACGTCAAACGATGACAGCAATGGAAGCCACGAGGCGAGAGATTTCTGGTCCTGCTCTGCGTTTGTCGATGCAAATATCCGACAGGATCACCTCCAATGCAGCTGCCCGTGCAAATTCGGTGTACTGCACGTGGAAGCTCGGCCACGGTAACGAGTATTGGTCGCTACAGCTGCTCATAGCATGAAGATCGATCAAGTGTAAACTACAGCGTCATCATGATCAAGATTATATCCTGGCGGAGTATTACTCGGTGAAAAGATGGAGTCGGCCCAAATCACGACGCTATCATGACGATCATTGCGTGGATCCATTGAGCCATCAGTTGGTTAGTCGGGATTGAAGTGGCATGTGTAAGGACTGTGGGACTGTAATAAATACTTGTAGTTGAATGTGGAAACTCGAGGCTGAATCTGATCCAAAACGAAAGAACCCAACATGAAGTCTCATAACCGCCTGTATCATGTTTGAATATCTACTAAAACCTCCTCCACCCAGAAGTGATATACCTTGGAGACCTATTCGTGTGTCCTCCTGTGAATAATGCCCAGACTACGATACCAAGCAAAAGTGCATTGCTTCAAAGACATTCATTTTCGTGAAGGCGTCCCTCTGCATTTCCCATTGACGATCCGGCTCGCTTTGCGTTATATCAACGCCCGATTGAAGATCCGTATGACTCTTCTCGATAGCCCAAATGAAACCTGTTCGTCAAAACCATCCGTTCGTTCATTCAAAAATCCGGACCCAATGCCAAATAATCCCGCTCTTTGTCCAACCCTATTAATGCTGTTGCCTGCAGTTTGCGTTGCCTGTATCTCCGTCAAGTATACGTCTCGTTGAAGACGTTGCACAAGATACTGGCCTGCCGAATGAAGCAAGCAAACTTCCTCATTCAGAATCTGTCTCTGTGTCCGGTGTTGCAATCCCATCCATACCCGCCCTGGCATCAGCAAGGATAGAGGAGACTTCTTTCAATATTTCCGCAATGGGCCTCGCTTGATCAACAAGTGGCACCCCTTGCTTGAAAGGCTGTAACATGTGGCGAAGCTGGAGGGTCGTCGCACATGCCTGCAAAGAAAGGTCAGCGCTTCGCCGGAAGCTTTGTTGGGGCTTAAAACTCACCTCTACTCTCGTGACCTGATGCTCCAGCAAATTCATCATGAAGCCATCGGTCTGTACACCGCCACGCTCCTTCATTCTAGTAAGAAGGCTGAGCTCGGGCTTGTGCAATCCAACGGCACGTTCTGGAGCTTCAAGACAACTGCACAGCATCTCCAGTCTTAAAGCAACGTCCCAGAGCTTCCACACCTCGTCTAGGTGTAAGTCCTTGAGCAGGCTGTCTTTGCCTAAGGCTCCGGGTTGTGCCTTCTCGTCACCAGCGGCAGGTGCATCTCCCCCAAGTTGTACCTTACTCTCCGCGCCAGGTGGAATGGACAATCGACCTGCCAAGGAGTGTGGATACATCAAGTACAGAAACTCGGGGTTTTCGAGACCTTTCAGCTTGGTCTCTCCAAGGTCTTTGACCTCGAATCCTTGACTGCTCAATTGGCGCAACTCGCGGCGGATCTGGCTTGACAGTGGATCATCGTTCACAGTGTCGTCCGAACCAACAGAATCTCGTCGATCGTCATCGGCATATGCCTCCAATGTCCGCTGCACCTCTGTAATAAAATCACTGCTAACAGCAATCTGCCCGCCGTCTGCGACGGCAGATACTCGAGCGGCTTTGTTGACCATTGGACCAAAATAGTCCATTCTTCGAGTGATTGGATCCAAATCGCACACCGGTTGACCCCAATGTATGCCCATTCTCACCGAAAGACCGCGGTAGATGATGTTCTGATCAGAGTCGAGCTTTTCCTGGCAATGGACGGTCTCAAGGATCTCTTGCGGCCATGGCAGCTCCAACAGATGACTTTGACAACTGAACGACCACAACAGCGCCGACGTAACCGTCGGGAAAGAAACCATGAAAGCATCGCCTTCGGTCTTGACTTCATAGCCACCGATGATTCGAAGCTGTCGTCGCATCAATTCATTGTGCATCATGATGGCAGACCGCATGGGAACAGGCAGGACCTCCCACAGAGCAGTCGAGTTCTTGATATCGGTGAAGACAATGGCAACTTCTCCGACAGGAGGTTGTGGTTCTTCCAACCGGGCAAGCCGGGAGTCACCGACAAGTGTTTCACCTTTCCGTCTGGCTTTTCGAGAACTGGGAAAGATGGCACCTTCCTCGAGGCCTAACTCTTTTGCCATGGACAGGCTGGTACCACGAAAGCGGTGATTTCCTCTCTTTCGAAGGTCGGAGATACCGAGCACCATGACCATGATCTTGTCTCTAGCACCAAAGGCCATTGCAAGGTCTCGAAGTTTCTGTGCAGCGAGCATCAGATCGTTCTTCTCTGCTCGAGCTGCGTCAACCGCCACATCGACAGTGACATAGTCCCAGAATTCTTTGCTAGCCATGACGATTAGCTCATCCGAGTCGTTGACCTGGCACTTGAACGTGTGCGGCGCAGCGACGACCGACGGCATGTGGCCGTAGTAACCAAAAGCCCTGCTGACTTCAAGAGTCTCGTTAAGTTTACCCTGACGAGAGACATAGCCACCGGCTTCCCGGATTCTTTCGCGTTCACTTGGTTCAGCCGGGTCGTGCTTCCTAGTCAGTTGGCGATGTTGGCCATTGGACTGGATCAGGATTGCTTCAATGTCGCCGACATTGGCCACGTGGAGGTCTTGACCATTAATATACAACACCGTAGCCACACCGCCAGACGTCAGATCATCCGGCCCAAGGATATTCGCAACCGTAGAACCGCGGTGTCCGTTAATCAACCTGTGTTCTTTGGTATCGTAGTTGCTGCTCGCAAAATTGGCCATGTCTTTATTGATAGCGAGGAAAGTTCTTCGGAGTGCATCGATTGGCGTGTCATTCGCTAATTCGGCTTTCTTGATCTCTTCATAAAAGACCGCTGCAAAATTCTCGTGCAAATATTTCGCAATTCTAGAACCACCACTCGACATGGTCTGACCGTCAAACATACCAATAAGAATCTCGCCATCATGGCCCCGGAAGTTTGGCTTGAGAAGATCCAGAGTTGAAAGATGCTCGTTCTTACCAAGCGTGTCTGCCATACCGTACATCAATGTTCCAACCAGCGACGCTGATGTTCGGACACGCCGATCTTCATTGTCGTCCGGGATCGTGTTTGTGAGCAATGTCACATCCATCAGCCCTAAGATTCGGAGGTATTTTAGTGTGTTGAAACTTGTCAGGTCAGTCGTGTCATTATTGCGGTTCATAGCATTGAACTGTGACTGATTTTGGTGCGCAGCAGGCTTGATTTCCAGGCGTTTGTTAGCTGAGAAATTCAGATATTTCAGGTTGGTGTTTCTGTTCCAATTCCAGTCGTACGGCCAGTTTGAGACATTGTACTTCAGCGAGTTGCTTCCGACATCCAGAGTAGACAGTTTATGCACATTGCAAAGTTCGGCAGGCAAAACTTGGAAACGATTTCCATTCAGGTGCAGCACTCTCAAATTACTGCTCTCTTCCAGGTCGTCCGAAGGAAGTGACGTGAGCTGATTACCAGAGACATAGAGCTCGCTCAGCTGCGGCCAACGACGGAGAATGCCTTGCGGAAAGTCGTCAAGTTCATTGTAGGATAGGTTCAGGACCCGCAGTTCTGGCAAAAGAGCCAGCTCACGGAACACGTCATCTTCAAGTCGATTGTCCGCCATGTAGAGATATCGAAGAGACCCAGCAAATGTATGCTGAAGTCTGGCTTGCGATATGTTGGAGTCTTTCCGGGTCGTGGTGCTGAGGGAATACTCGGTATTGGTTCTGGAGATGACCGACGCCTTACGGTAATTCTGGTAGGTAGGGATCGAAGTCACTGAATTCTTCCGGCCGCTACCTGGGGAACTGCCGATGCTCATCATCCCAGCTGAGGCTTGACTGGGCCGACGGGCCTGGAAATCTTCAAGTTTCCCGAGATCTTCAAAGCTCGGAGAGCCGGAAATACCTGGAGTCGTGACAGAAGCGTTCTTTTCGAGATCGCTGGGAGGTGGAGCTGCATTCTGTTTGGGAAAGACCTCGAGAACGTTAGAGGAAAGATTGAGAGTTTCCAGCTTCCGGCAATACCAGATCTCTGGGGGCAAACTCTTAACGTTACATTCTCTGAGGTTCAGGAACTTCAGCTCTAAGAGACTTCCAATGGACGGTGGTACAACATTCAAAGGATTTTTGGCCATGCTGAGAAACTCTAGCTTCGACAGTCGTCCGATCTGCGGGGACATACTTGACAGATGATTCTTGTCCAGGTTCAGCTTCTGCAGATTCGGCATGAAGCCAAACATGGTTTCCTTGAACTCAACGAGTTTCGCGGAGGCTATGTTAAGGCTCATCAGCGTTGGGACTGGTTGGTCAAGTTCGAATGAGGTGACAGGACAGTGGTCAAGGACTAGGATACGGAGTTTCGGAAAAGTGCCTTTAAATGTAGTGATGTTGTTGTGTCCGACTAGCAGTTGTTCCAGGTTTGGAAGTCTGGCGACATTGTCAATGTTTGTGATGCCATTGAACCGCGCGTCGATTTCTTTCAGGTTTGTCAAACCGGCAAAGCTTTCGTTGAAAGCGCCTTTCAAATCATTGTTGGTCACCCACAGCCGCTCCAACGTCGTCAACTGGGAGATTTTGGGCAGAGAGGATAATTTATTAAAACTTATGTCGAGGTCGACCAGAGATCTTAGGTTGCAGATATGTTCAGGGAAGATGGTAAAATTGTTGGACGATAGATTGAGACTGCGAAGTTGACGAAAGTGAGAGAATGAAGGCGGTAGTTGAGATAACCTGTTGTTTGCCAGCTTGAGGCTGACCAGAGCCATCAGTCTGTGCAGTTCTGCCTGATCTAATTGCTCAAGCCGGTTGTTGGACACATCGAGCACGGTCAATCGGCTTGCCCAGGCCAGACTGGGTGGGAGTCTCCAGGCTTCATTGCCGGTGAACTTGATCTCCCGGAGGTTGATGCAGGCTGTAATGAAATCTTTCGGCACCTTGAGCGCAAGATTGCGGGACAAATTGATTGAGATAATCTCGGCGGCCTTTGTGTATAGGATGATGGGTATAGTCACCAACGACTTTGCCTGTAGATCGACGTGGCTGAACTTTTGCATCTTGTTGAATGTAGGATCGTTGTCAAGACCACTTCCAAACCCGGTCTGTTTTTCATGAGTGAACGTGAATCGAATGAGATAGCTGTTGTCTTCTCGGCCAACATCCTCGATGTGATCACGCTCATCATAGCCTGCCAACTGTAGGAGTTTCTTTTGCATGGCCACAGGTCGTTCTCCCGTTCCCAGCTGCCTGGACAATTGATGTTTGCGCATCAGCAGGTGATAGTTGTCGATAGAGTCGTGCAGAACAGACTTCTTCGCAAGAGACTGCAGTACCTCTCCAACCGTCGCGTTTATAGACATGGACAAGGTTGCAAACGTGCCATCAGATCTGAAGACACGCATGAAGTATGAAATGCCGTCTTCTTCCTGAATAGCAGGGAGCCCATCTTCGTTGGCTTCCGGCAAACGGTCGAGTACTTCGTCCTCTTGACCTTTGACCGCCCAGCTATCAGGTGCATCCCAAGCCGGAGCTGATTGTTCTGTAGCTGGTGTCGCGGCAGCCTTGCCCATCCAAACTCCCCCATCTGCAGGTGCTTTAGGTAGTTGAGGCTGTGTGATAATGTCTGACATATCATCGAAATTGGTATCTAGGCTGAATACGCCGGCTTGCATAGGTGCTTGCTGGGCTGGGGCTCGAACTTTCTCCGACGTCTCACTGGCATGGCTGGTCACACGGTGTCTGCCGTGACGGGTGAACCTGCTAGATTTGGACGAGTTTGTGTATGCGCGGTCGAGCTTGGGTGAAGGATCAGCGGGCTTGATTGTCGAGGCACTGTCAACCGAAGCAATGCTTGTCTCCCTGTCTCTCTTATTGTCAATCTGATCCAAGGTTGCGACGCGCGTTGACGGCGCTCTACCCTTTTTCGGTTCCTCCGGCGGTTTTGTAAGTTCGACATGGCTTCGACTAGGTTCTGGCTGCGGTGCTTGTTTGTCTTTGTGACGAGACTTCAGTTTGTGGAATATCGATCTCTTTTCCGACTGGCCGGACCCTTCTTTACGAGACAGAGGAGCCGGGCTTGCAGTCCGCGTCAATGTGGAAGATGAGCTCATCGGTGTTCCGTTTTGAGGCGTGTTCCGGAAGTGTCCTAAATTGCTCGTTGATGACTCGCGGCTCGTGGCAGGTCTGGCTGGGATTGACGTCGAGGCTTGTTGACCTTTTGGAGGATCTTCCTTGCTCCGTGTATGGCGATGTAGGAGACCGCGCCGATGCGAGGAACTCGTAGAGGTCGGCATGGGGGATTCCGGCGGTAGCTCTTGCCGTATGGGCGCCGAACCAAAATTGGAAACGTCTTCAAAATTTTGGTAGGCCCAAGGGGTAACATCGCTGGAAGGAGGTGGTGCAGGGGTTTTGGGTCGTTCCTCCACATTGTTCTGTGTCTGCACTGAGTTGCTCCGCTGAGCAGGCCTCTCCGATGCCATGCCTTGTGATCCTGTCTCTTGCAAGGTTGTTGTTGACCCCTTTCGTGTCTCTGTCGGGTCTTCGCCAAAGAATCCCTTCAAGCTTTTATGGTACCGTCCATTTGCAGCGCTACTTCTCGAGCCTGTGCTACTGACCGTCATAGCACTTGCAGCGGACGGTCGCCTCGCATTCCCATCGTAGTCATAATCCGACGTATTTGTCCTAGCAGTTTCCGGCCGTGCCGAGAAGCTTTGTGTGTCACGGCCAGGTGTGTCATTGAAATATGTCTGATTTAATGAGCGAGAGCCTGCGATCTGTGCCTGAGGGTCTCTTTCCCAGGGCGCTATATCGTCCTCATCGTTGGTAGACTGGGTCATCCAGGGCGCGATATCAGAGCTGTCAGCGTGCTGGGCAGGTTGCTGAGGCCTTGAGGAGCTAGGGGTGACATTGTTGCCGAAGATAGCCATCTTGACCCTTTCAGCCGAGCTGAGTCTGACCTTGGGCTAATTGTACTCGGAGGCCTCGAAGACCGGGACAAGAGAAGGGCGAGGAACAAGGGTTCGTCAGATCTAGGTCAAAGTTAGCGACCAGCCGAGGGTGCGTGATACCGCGCAGGCAACAACCACAGGAACCCTTCTTAAGCAGGTGCCAGGCCTGGAAAGACCAACCAATTGGGCCTACTGATTGATATGCAAACCAACAGGCCAACTGACAACTCAGTCAGGTCTTTCTAGGCCACGACCAACAAATGAGGCTCGCAATGTTCGTGTGTCTGCGGTGGTTCGAATTGAGCAAACGCATACCTTCTCCTCCCCACAGCACTGACTGTTCAATTGTTCGACTATCCGTCTTCTTTGCTGACGTCTTCTCAACTCATTGTGCCATCAAGGAACTGGTTCTTGCGTCTTGCGCTCGGTTTCACTATACCATGCTCCAGCGCGCACCTGACCAGCTTCGAGATGTCTTGTCGAATCAGACAGTTGCACTGTAATCTTCACCAAGAGCGTGTTTGCCACTCGGAAAGGGCAAAATGAACTGATCGCCGGTCGGGGTTATGGAGGAATTGGTGAGGATCGATTCTCTTGCATTGCGGCTTATTCACTAGATCAAATTCGCTGGTGGACAGGCGTTGTACTGTCTCAAACGGGGTCATGGAACTTCGAGAGCGGAACCGAGGTTGTCTGCGTTGGTAACAAACGAGGGCGGGAAAGGTGGTCGACGAGCTCGAATGGATTGAGGCGGATGGGGAGAAAACCGTCAAGTTGATTGTGAGGATGAAGATGGGCTCGAGCAGTATGCACACACATGGACTGTGGAGATGAGGCACTAGAAGGCATTGTCCACAGCGATCGTTGAATCAGGAGCGGGCATCTCTTTGAGCGCAGGCGGCAGAGTGGCAGTGTAAGTGGCCGGTGGTGGCCCCGTAGGCTTCGCCTTTACTTGTCGGTTCTGTTCATAGCGAATCGGTTTCGCAGCTTTCCTTCTCCCCCGCTTTGAGGTGCGCAGTGCGTGGGCCACTCAGTAAATGTCAGTCTTCTAACTTCGACACCATCAAACACCAAGCCTCTGTTGGTCTGGATGGCCGAGTAATAACCTGTGCCCACTGACCACTCACTGCAACCTGCACGCGTACTACTCGTGCTACTCGTACTACCGCTACATCAGCCCCAGTCTGTCAGTCTGCCTCACCACTGTCCGACCATCGTGCGACGACCGAGCAAGGTTCAGCGCAAGTCAAGACGAACATCCGAAATCTGGTGTTGAAATGGCATCTTCGACTTCGGACCGATCGGAAGACTCCAAGCGATGTGCAGAGAGAATCGGCCTCTAATAAATCGGGAGGATATCCAAGCGGTCTCAATGGTCTCAGCATTTGTGCCCTCCGGTTCGGGATCCATAGCTTGACACAGATCTGACAGGCTTGAAGTTGAAGCATGAAAACAAGCTGTCCGCACTCGTCTTTAAGACGTGACAAATGGTCTCAACATTGAACCCAATATACTCCGTACACATGGAATTAAATAGGTATCATAACATGCTGCATCTCAAACTCTTACGCCGATGAAACTCCCCTTCGCTTCTTTTTCTTCATGTTCCCTTTGAACCAGAGCACGTCCTTTCCCGATGTCGTCAACATATCAGGACTGCGAAGGGCAGCTTGTGAACTTGGCCGAGGTCTGCTGGGAGTCTCAGCAGACCGTGTCATCGTTGTTATCAACAATTCGGGTCGTTCAAAAGCACCCGTACCGCCGCCACTGAAGAAGGTCTTCCACCCACTTTTGCTTCCAATGGCGCTTTTCTTCTTCTGCTTGCGTTCGCCTTCGAACGCCCCTGCGGTCGCGAAATCGGGGTTGACCATAGGTCTCCCTCCGGGCGCAGGAGGTGGCCGCGCCTGCCCAGGTGGTCCTAAAGGCCGTGACGAGCTGTATGACCATCGCTGCGCCGAACTGGCGGATGCCCAAGAATTAGACCTGGCATGAATAGGTGAGCCCGGAGGCGTGTCGGACATTGTGTTGATGATATCTGCAACGGCGCCGAGCCGAGGATTAGAAGCTGGACTGTGCAAATCCCCACTGTCAACCTGTACAGGCACAAACTTCCCGTCTTTGTTCGTTAGCTTCAATCTCAAAGGCCGGATCGATTCGTGGGCATTTGACATGCCAAAGTCCTTTGGCTTCATGCCCGGCTTGACCGTCATTTCGGTTGGTAACTTGAAGAAGTCGTCCAGCTGATGTATGCTAGCACGGGAGGCTTCTCTTTCCGAGTCCTTCATGACTTCGATTGGTCTCGGGGGCAATCTGAATGTTTGTTGAGGTGCTTCCAACTCAGCAGGACCGAACTCTTTGCGAGGCGATGGATTCAGGGTTTCGGGCACAATCGCTTCCAGTTCCGCTACGAAGTGTATCTGAGTGCTTGAGGTATCCTTGTGCTCATTGGTGGGCTTGCCCAGTCGATCCTGATGGCGTTCTTCCGTGTCGGCCCTTATCGATTTGTCTGCCTTATTTTCGATCTTGGACTCTCCACATCCAAGACTCGAGCCATCGGCCTCCATCTTGGGCTCCTGAACCAGTTGTTCTTGTTTTGCTTGTTGACTTTCCCCGATGTTTTGCCCTGCCCCCGCGAAGGTTTCTTCTTCCGCAGAAGCTGGGACAACGGAGACAGTAATGATCGATGTGTCGACGAGTAGCATTGGATCAGATACTGACCTTGACCTATTGGTCGCACCGTCTGTCAATTCAGGGCCAGGTTCACCGAAACTTGACGGTTGCGATTGCGAGCGATTCCTCGGCTTTGAGGTGGAAGCTCGATCGTCTTCTGGCAATTCAGTGGGGAGCTCGGCAGGAGGAGAGGCCATCGCCATTACAGAAGTATGTGAGGTGAATGCTAGATTTGGTATTGAGGATCGACGAATTCCGGCTGCCGACCCGACGACCGAGTTAGGAGTCGAAGATTTTGCGGCTCTGGGTGATGTCTTGCTGGAGGGCATCCCCTTCTTGCTGTCTGTATCCGGCGTAACCACGCCGATTGAAGGACTCCTCTCGCGAGACGAAAAATAATCCGTCTCAGCATGAGATGTGGCTGCAGGGGAGCTGACCGCGTGCACCGGCGTGCCCTTTGCTGTCATGGACGGCGGCGTCAACAAAAGATCGGACATTTGCGGGGATTTCAGGAGATCACCCAATGCTCTCGGATAATAGAGGCTGGAGACTCGATGATCCGAATAGTCCTTTGGCTTCAGACCCAGCGTCATACTCAGGCGGTTCTTGATTGATACAGGGGCTTGCCGGAGCAGCCCCTCTGGGATATCCGCTGGAAGCTCAATTGGGTTGATATGGGCTGCCTGATTGAGCACCTCGCATAGACCGTGTGCAGCTCCGCTGTCCTGCTGTGATCGAGACTCCTCAAAGGCTTTGGCGGCAGAAGATTGAGACTGCTGCTTGAGCTCTGACCTGGCAAAATTCTTCGAGGCTGTCGAAGGACGTGTGGGATGACCAGCAGAAGAATGTGAAGTGAATCCTTGACTTGACTTGTGGCCACTGTCTGGACGGCTGGAGAGACCCGTCAACAGAGTGCTATGAGACGAGTTCTTTGACGAATGCTTCCGTCCGGGCTCTGTCGGCAGAGGCTTCTGGTGTGCAATAGAGCCCAACTGTGAAGGTACGTGATTGCTCTTTTGCGTGCTGATATGTCTTGATTTCTGGGTTCGGGCCTGCTAGTTATTAGACCTTAGGGAGATTGCAAGGGCTGGAGACGCTTACCACAAGATTTCTACTCACAGCCGCCGCCCTCCGTTGCATCTCTGCAACAACTTCGGCAAGCTTTTTTAGTGAACCGGCCAATTTGTTGCCTTGGAGATGCAATTCGAGGAAAGCACGACGCCATCCTTCTGCGTTACCTAACATGGCGACGAGAACAGCCTCGTGTTCGGGAGACACTCTTTTCCACGTCGAATTGAGCTTCGAAAGATATTTCTCGAGGACGTTCGTCGCATCGAAACCTTTCTGGACGTCCTTAAGAGCGTCTCTTGCTGCCTTCTTCGTCCGGCTAACCACGTGGTCGATCTTCTCATTGCCATCCAAGATTGATGCTCGAAACGCACGATCCTCCAACATGCGATCGAAGACTTCTCCATGGGCCAGAGGAAGTTTGAGACAGCGTATTCGTTCGTGGATGTCGCTCTGTGCGAGTTCAAAGTCTTCCGTGGTGCGTTCCAAAAAGCCATCAATGTCATCGACGTGAGACTGCAGTATCCGCATGACTTCTTCTTCCGATATGGCCATACCTTCTGCCAACAGATGCATTCCGAAGGACATTTGGGCCACCAATTTCCAGAGCGGGTGATAATTCTCTCCTCGCTTCTGCCTCCATCTTCCTGCAATGACTCTTTCGTAGGTTGGCGCTTCGAGCAGTATGGTCCTTCGGGTCATGGCGTCCATGGGGACCTCTTGGTCTGTTTGGTCGTCGACCGACTCCACCATTGACTCCTCGAACGGCTTCTGGAGCTGCGGTACCGGGTGGGTTGGAGGACGTACGAGTGTCTCGCCGCCATGGCTGTCTTTGTCGATGGACATCTTCCAAGACTGCTCTCGGCGAGCGTCTGGATCGGTCGGAACAGGACCTCAAGGATGTTCTGCCCAAGCACAGTATATGCTCTTCCACCTCTTGCTCATCTTTGGTACATCACCATCTCTCTTCTCACTGTGTTGGCGTTGCGGACTGGGAAAAGCTTGCACGGCTTGTGTCCCAGCTCAATGCGTAACGAAGGGCATCCGAAGGCGTGGAGGATGACCGAGGATTCTGTGTTACTCAATGACTTCACCTGCGTTGGACTTGTCCATGACTTATGTTACTGACAGGCTTAGAATTTTCGCAGGCGGGAGTCGCGTCACGACGGAAAGGATTAAGTGAAAGAATTAAGTAGAATACAGCAAAGTATGTGCACAGAAGAGTGTCAATGGAGGGGATAAGATGCTGGCTCAGGACCTCAGCAAAGAGCGGCCAGAAATTGATGCTCTGCTCGGACTGCAGATCGTTCTCGTGCCGATGGACACGGTCAAGCGAGGAGGACGAGACAACCAGATGGCGGAGGAGAAGGAGAATGGGAGTAAAGCAATTACATGTAGATCCATCCAGCAACAGCTACATCGCGTGGTCCAGGATTCTTGAATTGATGCCATGGAGGGTCTGAGGAGCATGTTACTAGCATCGTTTCAGCCTTCGGCGTGGAACTGCTGCACGGCAGCTTCGCAGGTTCATGGAGGGAAGATGCCTTTAGTGAGAGGGAGCGAAAAACGGATTGGACCACGGGGAAATGGTGAAACCAAGCCTAGTGAGCCTGCATTCGGGTGGCGCCAACGATAGGCTGGTAATATCCCCGAAGAGTCATCATTCAAATCAAATGAGCGGCCTAAAGATAGCGAAGCATAGAAGGGAAGCATTAATCAACAAGGTCTTTTGGGCGTCACCATCTCCATGTCTATCTCCAATGGCCATGAATATGAGCGGCAGACTTCACGGGGAAATATCTGCAGAGCATCAACTCTACATGAAGGTATTTCAGGTTGAAGAAGGAAATTGTCCATTCCATCTCCTGAATGGTGCTTGATATTATTGCTCATCACCCTACATACGTATGCATCCCACAGCCCCTGACCCAGAGATCGGAGCTGGCATTGGAACCAGAGCTCTCCACTCGGCCTGATCCGCCCCCAGTCTAATCAAAGATTGACCTATAACGCACCGTCACATTCTGTGCTCTATCAGGCTCGCAGGGTAACATAAGTGTCGTGGGCGGAGTTAGGCGTCGGCTTCCGATCTGGATTCTTGAAGATTGGCAGGTCATCAAAGTCTGAAAGGTTCTCTGGGTCGACCAGGTTATTGCCCTTCCATGACCACGTCAATCGTTTGCAAGACCTTATCGACGAGCATACTAATTTCACTTTTGCCCATAGACCTTACACAAACAAGATTCGCTCAGAGTTGGTCGGAAATCTCCATCATGTCAGTGGCCGCCTTCCCGTTATCACCAAAGGAGGCTTTGGTAGAGTCCTATCAGGGCCAGTCTCTCCATGAAGTGCCTATGCCTGCCGCAGTCATAGACGTGGCAAAGGTGAAAGCGAACTGTCGGGCTATGCTCGACGCTGTGGAGGCTCATGGCGTCAAGTTTCGAGCTCATGTTAAAACCCACAAAACCTCAGAGATCACCAAACTGCAAGTCGGTGAGGATTGCAAGGATGTCCGGCTGGTTGGGTCAACCTTGATTGAAATCGAGCAGCTGGTACCGCTGCTTCTTGAATACAAGCAGCGCACAGCGAAAATCAATGTGCTCTATGGTATGCCTCTGGGTCCTTCGCAAGTCCGTCGTTTTGCGAGCATCGCTCGAGGACTGGGAGAAGGGTCTGTCGCCGCCATGATCGACCATCCACAACAGCTGGAGACTTTGAAGGAGTTCAAGGATCTCGCAGGGTTTCCAGCATGTATATTTATCAAAACCGATTGCGGGTACCATAGAGCAGGGCTAGGTCCCAGTTCGGCGGAGATGCAGGAACTCGTGGAGCAAGTAAGCCGCGCTGAGCTGGAGGGCATGCTCCTTCTGCTTGGTTTCTATTCACACAACAGTCTCAGCTATGGAGGGTCATCACCGGATGATGCCATGGACGCGCTCAAAAAGGAGATCGATGTTTGTCGCGAGGCTTCCCAACATTTCAAACCTGACCGGCCGTCACCGCTACTTGTGTCGGTGGGTGCCTCGCCTACCGTGCTGTCTTTACAGAACATATTGCCTTCGAATTCCAGCTCCTCGAATTCTGCCAATGCATTGATAGACTCGCTAGAGCTGACAAAATCGAACCTCGAACTCGAAGTTCACGCCGGAGTGTATCCTATCTTCGACATGCAACAGGTCGCCGCGTCCAGCCGTCAACTCACCTCTGACCCACATGACACCATCGCTGCATCAGTGCTGACAGAGGTCTGCTCGATATATCCGAAGCGTACAGAGCGATCGGAAGCGCTTGTTTCGGCAGGAGCTCTCGCTCTGGCCAGAGAGCCTTGCAAAGATTACTCTGGCTGGGGAGTCGTCAGTCCCTGGAACATGCCAACAGCTTACAGTATCAGTAAGCAAGATCGTATTATTGTCGCTCGCATTAGTCAAGAGCACGGAATACTAGCCTTCGAGGAGCAAAACGCCGTGAAGCAGCTACCTCTGCAATATGGGCAAAAACTTCGCTTGTGGCCGAACCATGCTTGTATCACGTTGGCAATGTTCGGCTGGTATCTCGTGGTTGACTCGAGCAGCGACGCGCCCGACAAGATTATTGATGTCTGGGTGAGATGGCGAGGGTGGTGAAGGGGCAACGGACGAGTACTGAAGTAGTCTGGCCATGCCCAGGGACTTCTCTTGCGTCTTTGGTCCAAGAATGTTGCAGGCGGAATCTGACAATTAGGCCATTCCATTCGACCAATATCCCTGCAGCGCCGCTACGTCCCGTTTCCCAGGCCGTCAGGAGCAGCCTGGTCGAACACTGGGCGGAAGTATTATCCAGGAGATGTTGGTCGATGGAATGCAATCAGTTTCCACGAAAGGCAATCAAACTTCCCCTCTGAGCACAAAGTCGAAGCTTGACAGCAAGTCCGCCAAAGTCAGAACGGTCCAAACCACAAAGGAGTGGCCGGATGGTCGTGACATGGACGGCTCCAGGCATAACATTGCAACCTCGTCAATGCACGGCAGTGGGAAATAATTCCGACTTTGGTCGAGACTCTGATCGCCCCGCCAATTGGATGGCCAGGGATTCCCATCTGCTGTCGATCTCGATCTCAAAATTTGACCACTTGTGAGTACTCGTACTCGTACTAGCGGGTGACTAGGGGAACAACTTGATGGAAGGTGTCTGTGTGCTGCCAATTTGTCCCTTGTTGAAGCTGGCCAAATATGCAATGATCCATTTGCGAGTACCGTTGGCGTGCTACGTGCAAATACACCATTGAAGAGTACGTGCAGCTTTCAGGAGCCGCAAATTTCCTCGAAGCCAGCCATGCCTTCGAACCATGCCGCCTCCAGCTTGTGGAATAATGAAGATTGGAGAGATAGTACGGTGAAGAGAGGTCGAGCTCCGGTAAACAAACAGCCTTCATTGTGTGGATCTGAATTCCACCAAGATGTTCCGTACTTCCGGAGTTACAGGTGAGGTGCTCCTCGACGTCTCTCGTCAGGTACTGCAAACATCATGGATTGGAGACCTTTGCATCCAACTGGCTGCTCGTCTTCTTGAAATGATGTCGGTGCAGTACGGCTTTCCTTCTCCTTAGACTGGGAGATTGCAGCTTAATGGTCTGAAGGCTTGCAACGGTGTGGGCGACGAAGACTTTGCCTGATGCTGAGCTTCCCACTGTCCCCATTCATGCTCCTTCTATACCTTATCTTTGGTCTTCGGTCTTTCTTTCTCTGGTTGCTGGTCAGCTTTGGGAGTCGCTCTACATGGGCTGCGGCAAGTCTTTGTCATGCAAGGGATCGGTGGGTTTGGTGTGTTGGGGAGAAGTTGCCATGGCGAGGCTGACTCTCCTATCCATATTGCTCAGGAGGCTATGTCTCGTCGTCGGTATCCCGTCCACAGCCGTCCGTTGTCCTGCCATAGTCAGCTACACTGGTCATCGACTGTCGTGATAATTGCATCCATTCAATACAAAGCTTTGCGCAAGTCGCCGTTCACGTAGCAACGCTTCGCTGGACCAAATCGCCATAGTGTCTCCTCGCTCGCCCAGGGGCCGCGCATCTCAATGCCTCAACGCCTTGCTGTACCTCGTCGCCGTTATGGCGCAAACGCTTCGCCTTTTCCCAGAATGTTATATCTGTCGCCTCAACCCTCGATCATTCCTTCTCTTTTCTTTCTCTCCCAGGTTCGACAGCAGTCATTCAGGATCAAACACACTTTCTTCCACGAAACAAGAACAGTCAATCTCCAAACATCTTCAACACCACAGATTGTTCCTTGTCTTCAGACACAGATCCTCAAACAACAGACATCATCATTCCTGCTTTGTGACCATCTCAACATCACATCGACTCTGTCATCCTTGCTCACAGACCTCTCGACTCACATTCTGCCACACCGGTGAATTTTCTTTCGCCCGGTGTACTCGACTTCTCCCGCCAAGCGCGATTCTTACCTCAATACTCTCACATTCACTTCACTTCACATCACCTCACCTCACCATGTCCGCCGCCTACCCGATGTTTATATTTGAGGCCGGCAATGGTTTCGCCGCCCAAGCTGCCGCTCAGCCTGCCGCACCCCAGGTCACCGCCCCAGTGAGGGTATATCCCGACCCATCTTCCATCTCAGACACTCAAATTCTTCACGCGAACGGCAATCCTGTCTTCGCTGGACAACATTTCACAATTGCAGACGCAGACGCTCCTATTACAATCAAGATCTACCTCCATAACACAAACTCCCCGATCATCTTCCTCAACACACCAATCACCATCACACTACCATCACGCTATCTCATCCTCAACAACCTCTTCCTTCAAGTCCGCTCAGACATCCACCACCGCCACAACATGGCGGCACACTATGGCACTGTCGACGCGGCGGTCACCGCGTCCATCCCTGCCACTCTCAACGAACTCCTCTCCCACGACACCATCGACTTGAGATGGGCGCGGGACGCCTACTGGACAGGGGCAGCACACATCACGTCCGCCTCCCAGCAGTACCACGGCATTGAGGGCCTGGTACGAGTCCACCTCTTCGAGGTGGGTCTCCTTGCTGCCATTGCGGGGACCGTCGGCTGCAATCAGGTGCAGCAATGCAACCTGATGGCGCTGGCGGCCTCGTTGACAATCGACGAGGCATTGTACGATGATATGTGGCGGGAGCTGGCGACATTGAGGATTGACGCAATCAACAATGGCCGTGTGCCAGTCTTTCCTCAAGCCCTCATCAACACGGCAATCAGGACGGTCGCCATGCGTGAACAGACGCTGGATTGTCTTGAAGCTGGTTGCCAGAGGGCTGGTACTCTGTTGGCAGAGGCCATGTCGCCGGGTGACATTGCCGAGGCGGTTGCCCGCATCAATGCGGTGCACCGCGGGGTCCAGGACCTCCGAGCTGCCATCAATGGCGGGGAGGAGAGCTCTGACTCCTCCGATTCCTCCGATCCCTCTGGCTCTTCCTCGTCTGACGAGGAAGAAGACGAGGGTGAAGAGGAGGACGAGGACGAAGATATGCCGGATGCCCCGGCCGTCAATGTCGCCCCCGCTCCTGCTGCCCCTGCCATCCCTGCCGCCGCCGCTCTTCCTCTTCCTGGTGCTGCCGCCGCCCAGTACAGGCACATCCCGGGTTCCCCGGGTGACCTGGACTGGGTATGCCTCCTGTGCAACAACCACAGGGGCATCAAGCACAAGTCCTCGCTCACGAGGCACTTTCTCCTGACGCACCAGTTGGCCGTAAACGTCCAGTAGTGGACGGGTCTCTGGCGTGGACGGAGTAAGTCGGGAGGTCCATGGAAGAGGGTGGGGTGGAGGGATGAGGCTGTAATCGTCCTCGTGTGACGGGCCTCGGAGGTGGAGGGTGAGAGGCTGGAATCGTCCCGTAGGGGACGGGCCTCGGTGAAGAGTGGGATAGGCTGTAATCATCCTGTAGAGGATGAGCCTTGAGGATGGGCCTCGGAGGAGGGGAGGGAGGGAGGCTGCAATCATCCTGGCGTGGATGGGCCTGGGGAGGGGGAGAGGCAGTCACCAATGGGGGAAGGGTTTTCTTCGCTGATTAGCTTCAATATAGGTGACCCTGGGATCAGTAGGCTGTACAGCCGAACAACCAGGCGAGTCCTTGAGGGCGAACTCAGCAAGTGGCCCTTCCCTTCGAGGTGGGCTGCCTCGCAGGGGGCGGAAGGAGGGAGGCTGTAATCATCCCGGCGTGGATGGGCCTGTGGGAGGGTGTTTGTTTACTACTGCGACACAGATGTATGAGTTTCCATGCATGTCGCGCAGCTAGATGCTGCAGAAAGCTCAGTCAGACAGCTTTCATTGAAACCCCCGAAAAAAAACAATCTTTTCCGAGTCTGTTCGTGTAACCGTGGCCCCAACTTTTATTGGCTACGCGTCATAATCATATGAGCGCCAGCCTTGCGCAGCCTTGCATCAGGATGACAAGGGCAAGAGCGGCATCGTGAAACGAGTATCTAAGCACCAACAATGATATTGACAGTAACGCCTTGACCAACGCCATCCCCAGGTCGGCCGGTAAGGTTCGAAGGCGACCCTCAGCAACCACATGGCCACTTCTAACATGTCGACCGGAGATCTGCCTTGTGTATCTATCCCTTCAAAGCTCGACCCCTCAGCACAACTCGACGCCGGGTATTGACTTCCTGGCGACAACTATGTTCACTTTGATCAAGTCGAGACATGGCATAAAGTCGTGTATTCCACGTTCCTTGGATGCCCCGGATCGCCTCCTGCCCTCACACTTGAGTCCTAGACGACCACCATGCCCAACTGAACCAAGACGGCTGCACACAGAGCGCCACTAGGTGCAATTTCAACTAGACTTGTCCACGGCGGACACACATAGCCAACTATGGCACCCAGGGGGCAAGAATCAGCAAAATCGTCTGAGAAAAAGGAATCCCCAGCATCCTTCCGCGAGTCGACGAGGGCAAAAAGAAAAAAATGAATATCTACTTCGAGATGGAACAATGCCCGTGCTCAGATTCGAACTGAGGTCTCTTCGGTTACTGCCTGGAAGCCATCACTTCCAGTCTAGACAGGAGACTGGAAAAGCTGGCCTGGCCACAACGAAACGTGCTCACCACTGCACTACACGGGCCGGCAACATCGACGACGAGAGAGAGGTTTCATGCCCAGTTTTCCACATGATGGATATTTGAACTATGTCAAGGGAGGTGACCGACGGCGGGTCCGCGCGGGCACATGAATCTTGAAGCTGAGGCTGCGTCGTGGTGAAGAGGAGGCAACGCCGAGCAGGCGAGCGAGAGAGAGAGAGAGACGTTTCCGCGCACGACACGTCTAAAACAACAGGCATCACACGTGTCAGACAGCAAGCACGGCTGACCGACGTAACGGGAACGTGCATGGCGCACAAGATCTGCGCAGGAACCAGGGTGGAGGGGGGAAGATGCAGGCTACCGTGACAACAAGAATGAGAACGATACAAAGCCAACGACAGAAGATGACATGTACGGTCCGACTTTCACGGTGTGGATGTACACTATTCTCAGCATGTGAATGTTCATCGCCAACTCTGCTTAAGCCGACCAAGCGTGAAGACACGGACAGTCTCACAAGTGACATTGATACAGCCATTTACAAATGTTCGAATGGAGGATATCTTTGACCTTGTCAATGGTCACGACGGAGTTATATTCGCATAAAGACGCCAGATCTCGAACGAGGCGCAAAGCCAGGAGCAAGATGACCACCCCGAAGGAATGGAGAGACTCATCGACGTGACTTTTAGAGGATCTACGGCGAGAACAAGAGCCATGCCACAGAACAGCTCTTAGCATAGTAAGATCTGGATCCCTGCATTCATTCGTCCACATGAACGACTACCATTCGAAGTGAACAGGGTAAAGAGGCTACTCCCGTTGGGCCCATGAAGCCCAACAGGCTTGACCGCCAATATTTCAGATCAACCTCAGTAATATTGTAGCAAGCAATCCAGTCTCACTTTCCAGCGCCCGACTTCTTTCCCGGCACCGAACCCGGTGGACGTTTATATTTCCTCTTCTCCTTCCTACTCATCAATCTCTTCTCTCGTGTCCCTTGACCACCTTCCCAAAACCCACCAGCCGCTTTCCGCCGTCGGATGACACTCCTGCCACAGATACCGCAATCGTCGGACCTGAACCGCTGCTCGCGGCTGCACCAACCACAAACCATGCGGTCAGCATGCTCATTGACATGAGACTCGGCCGCATCATGGCACCGATCGCACGGATACACCCGCCCGCAGCATCCGAAGCGGAACCAGCGATAGCTGTGCCTGTAGTGCTGGCATGTTCCATTGTCGGGTAGCGACGTCCCCGCAGAGATACCCAGATTCTCCTTCTTCGGCCGGCGCAGAGGCAGTGCCGCGGAATGGTGAGAAACGCGCAGGAATTTGACCTCGGGAATGGTGAAGCTCATCTTCGCGTGGCACGAGCGGCAGACTTGGATTGGTTTGTCGCCACGAACAGATACCATGCCGGGGGGTGTCGGGGAAGTGCTCGAACATGAAGAGCACGTCGGCTGGAAGACGCTTGGAAGGAGGTCGGTGATGGTGCAGCCTGTGATGTCAATTGTGCCAGCCCGGATGGTGTTGGCGTGCAAGTGGTTCGGGATGAATGAGATCGTGAAAGGGGTTGTGCATTTCGAACAGGACTCGGTTCTCGTGCTCACTGTGGACGACTGAACAGGATTACTTGCTTTGACGTTGTGAATGTCAAGTGGAGTTTTGCAGCGGAGACATTTGACCGAGAGGGACAGTGAGGTAAGCGTCAGGAGCTCAACGTTGTATAGCTCCAAGCCTGGAAAGGACAGATGAATGCCTTTGTCTGCAGGGGCTGATGAGGCCGGCAGAGCGGCACCTCCTTCGCTGGTCTGATCCTCTTCTTCTTCGCTGCCTGATTCTGTGTAATCATCGGATCCATAAGATGAGTCGGAGCCACCTTCAGAGTCTGTGTCTTGGTCCCATTCTGGAGGTCTTGTGATAGTTTTTAGATGAGGGCGGTCAGGATCGATGACTTTACCTTCGCCTTCAGAGCCTGCATCTCTATAGGCAAGAATGGCTTTTTCCCTGTCAGACTGCGTGTTCTCTGGAGGAGCTTGGGGTAGGGGCGGTGGCGGCGTCTTCTCTGCTGCTTCGGAAGCCATAGAGTGAATGTTCTGGGTCAGATAGTTGACATGCGCCATAAGCGTTGTCGTACGGTGTGCTCGAGCATATTTCTCGAAGGCCATCTGGATGTTCTCGACTTCAGTGCCGCTCACACCTTTCAATTGTACAGTGCATGGCTCGAGATTGTATAGCTTTGGTACAGCCAATACTACCTCCTTCAGCTGTTGCAGACCAGTTGAAAGTCTGCCTGGTTTTGCGATCTGCACGGGGATGGTGAACAGAGTACCATCAGCGTTTTTGGAGAAATGTTGCAGACGTCCCATGCGCGCCTCCAATTGCCGAATGTCGGATTGCCTTTTCGCTTGAGCATCGCTCTTTTGTTGCGGAGTCCATGACGGAGTTTGAGGAGCTAGTGATAAAGGAGCCGATATTGACAGGGGTTTAGGAGGCAGTCCTTGAGCAGACTCGGGAGCCTTCTCCTTCTGCCCAGCATTGGCAATGATCTTTATGGTTTGTGCCTTTTCCGAAGTCAAGAATGTTTCCAAATTTCTGTCCAAATCATTCATGAGGGCTAACAAGGTCTTCCCTGGTGACTGATTAAGAAGGCTGTCAAAGCCTCTCTCGACGTTGATTTGATAACCTCGTGGCATGTCCTCATTGGTAACGCGAATCGAAGGCCTGCCGTTCGAAGGGTATGAAACTGGAATAGTCAAGTTACAATGGAGCCCCTCAAGCTCAAACGGAAAATCAGGGTCGGACGGCTGCAGCGTAAGAGATAGGACAGTAGAATCCTCAAACTCCATGCGCGTAGGTGAAAACCGTTTTATGAGCTGGCCGACCTGAAATTCCCGCGGATTGGTTTGTCGGAGTTGAGATGTCGGCTTCTGATTTGGTACCGGCGTCGAAAGGGTTGTTTTGGTTCGCTCAGGCAATGTCTGACTGTCGGACAACGACGCCGTATCTGTAGAGTTGACGGCATTCCGCGTTTGATCTTGCGGCTGAACATGTCGGTATGGACATTGAGACCCAGCACGACAACCTATGTAGAGTGAATTAGTACTGGAAAATCAGCCTGGGCCAGAAGCATGCTTGGTCATGAGCTAGGAATGGAGCACTTTGAGGCGTTGTTGCGGGCGACGGAGCAGCATTGACACCACGCCCGAGGTTTGGCTGTCCCAGAGGCTTGCAGCAATGTCCCAGGGCAGTTAAGGGCACACTCACCTCTAGGAGTGTTGTAGAATCGGCATACTCTAGAAGATTTTCGACTCTGATTCAGAGTAGTACGTGGCGGCTGCCCTGGTGGCGACGCGATATGTTGACTCACAGCTCCTTCAATGTTCGAAGTGGACGCTGCTGAGGCCATCTTGTCAAGGACCGACGCCACGGATGGGGTAGCTGTTGTTGCTGGGTATCACCAGCTACTGAGGTTTGGGATTTGTGGGAGGCTAATTGATCTGACTTGGAGTACGACAACGAATTGAAGCGTCAGGAACAGGTATTGATGATCATCTACGCAAGTGGCGGGCATGAGGCAACAGTCATCGTCAACTAGCGCCAAGGCTGCACCCCACATCACGTGAACGCCAGTTCAGCCTCTCAGCCTCGTAGCCTCGTAGCGGTATCCAATGTGCATTTGGCAAAGCATCGGCACATGCCTTGAAGACCATGATTGCTGCTTGTTAGCAACGCGATTCAGGTAAATGGGTCATGAGCACTGATATTGCAACATGCACAGCTGCTGAAGGCACAGACAAAGTGTACGGTTCTGTGATCAGTTGTTCTAAGCTCAGCAGCGAATCAAGCCCGCAGAATGGTATCATCTTGCCTTCACTTTGTGTGATCTTATCTATATCACTTGAGCGTGGTCGTGCCATATGACCGTTGAAATCGGTGAAAAATATCAGGGCATAGGTTTTGGCTCGGGACAACGAAGACAGCTGCAGAACCATGGATCGCCACGGTGAGAAGCAACATCTGGATTGGAAGCGCTGTGGCTCGGGACGTCGACGACGCGGAGAAAGATCGGCCCCAAGAGAGACCGCAGCAGATGTTTTGGCATTCGGGTCCAGAGTCTGATGAATGGCCGCAGTTAAGCCATGGCAAGGCAGAATGGGACGTTAAGCAGGCTGACAGCCACGTCCACAGCCAACAGCATACTGCTGGATTTGAGAAAAGTCGTCAAGTGATTTTATTTCTGATGAGCTGGCAAGCCCAGAAATCGGACCATCAAATGTCCGGAAGTTGCCTTCGATCGCCGTCCAGTTATGGCGTTTAGAGATGCTGGTGGTTGGGTAACAGCGTCGGACAAGGATGTTCGTTTATGGCGACAAGTGAGGAAGCGTGGAAACTCCGTCCCGGATTTCTCGAATTGCCATCTCGATTGAATCGAGATCATGACGAAACTGGGCAAAAACAGGCGGAAGGGGGAGCGAAAGTGGTCAAGTGACGATGTTGCAGCGTTGATCACCTACTCGGTCGGAAGGGGGTTCTGGGCGGCGCTTCGGCTATGATGAAGGGCTTGTGGTGCCTGGACGTGGTGGATCTAGGGAGGCTCTGTGGTTGACGTTCGGCGCTTCGTGGCTCGTACTAGGTATGATCACCCACGTCGGGCCCCTCTGGTTGGAAGAAGGATCCCGATCCTGATCCTGTTATCCTGGGTCCATTCTGTACTGACATTGACCGACATCATCCTCTTGCTGCCATTCTCACGATTCTGCACGCTCGACGAGGTTCAGTCTCAGACAAAGCGAAGAGCGCAAAAGGGGACGTGCGTGACCGGTTCCGGAGTATTTGGCTTCTCGTAATGCTGCCAGTGACATCACCAGGAGGTGATGGTCGTGAGGCTATCTCAGACGCACGGAACTTAATCGTAGGAGCACTCGTGATGAGCCAGCTGGACGACAGCCTGTTTGTGTGTCCAGTTGTTTCGTCGTCAAAGGCGCTGATCTTTCTTTTTCCTGCTCATCAGTAACCGACAGTGTAACAGGGCCAAGGTATTGTAAATATGGGCTTGCCATTACAATTTGCCAAACGACGAATACCGCGGCACCTTGAATTCCAGAAATGATTGTGCAACGTGACCAAATTACTGGCTATCTTTGCTCAATAACCGAGTCACTCTCATCTCTTGTTGTGCTTAAGGTGCGTAACAAAGGCCCCTATCCTGCCCAAACCATTTCTGACCAGGTCCAGGGTAGCCCCCCAAGATCTATCTTTGAAACCATCATCACCATCAATAAGCAATAAGTAACTAATTTGGCCCCTTTGATATCCCTCTCTCACAAGCAAACACCCGTCCCACGAATCAATGAGACCCAAGCCAATGGAGATGCCTTTACTCGGCCTTACTTGTGCAATCTTTGAGCTGCTTCAACCTTGGACGAACCTATGAAAGGGCCTCAATCAAGTCTGTGTATCATGTTGGGGCCAGGGTGCAGAGACCTAGTATCCCAGCCCCTTCCTATCATGTGCTAATTCATCCCATCCTTCGACTCCGTACTCCGTTCAAATACTTGCATTATCATCCCACGTGGAACACCAGCACGCCCATCCCCCACTCGGCGCAATCTATCAAACCGTTGCATCGGGAACCAGTACTTCCACCCGGGTAGTGGAGCGCCCATGGCGGATACTGCTAATGACAACTTCATATCGCTGGTCCCCTCCTAAAAGGATGGTCGCATATCCTCTCATCTCTTGAGTGGGATGAGGCGACGGCCGAGTTCGTTCTCGCAAACCTCCTTCCACAGCTGGCTCAGCTCTATCTGGAGTCTGGACGTCAGCTGCTCCTGCTGACCTTGAACCAGCACTACTAGTAGCTTCCCGCGGCTGCCTATCTCAGGCCGGTCGCCTGGGCTTGGTGTTCACCTACTATCACGCCACGGTCAGGTTTGGAGGACCCTAATTACTTGTTTCTTTGTGCTTCAACGACCACCACACCATCTGCAATCAGCAACGACGTTCCAATCAGGATAGAAGTGCATTTGCGGTGGCCCATGAGAGCTGCGGTCATGGCATTCATCCGAGGGGCTGTTTTGCATACTCAACTAAACCTCCCGGCCGCGGAAGGGTGCGTCCCGCTCGATCATCACGGGTGCGTCGCCTGATCTGTGTCATTGGGCTCACTAGGCCTGCCATAGGTAGGGCTCACCGACGGACCGCCTGAATGTCGATCCGTGCAACTGAGGACTGCATTGAACTTAGCATATCTGGTATGCGTTGAACAGAACTTCATGAGGCTTGGACCCCAAGTGTGCATTGCAAGAGAGACGGGTCACAAGGTAGCACAACTGACTTGCAGCACAAGACACTGACGCGTTCGGATGCTTGTGGTGCAGGAACTCTGTCTCATGCTGTCGTATTCGCACTGGCCGAGTTTCAAATCGCAGGTACGGATACAGGCCGCTCATACTGCTCAGTTGTCGCAATTTCAGATGCAAGGATGTAGATCGGTGGCTTTGCCGACAACTGTCGGTGTCTCTTCATGTCAAACCTCGCCATTACATCACTTTCTTGTGCAGGACCAAGGTTCGTGGTGTCCGGCCCTGGAAAGTGCCAACTAATCGAGTCCAAGCGACTCTGATCTGTATCCATAGAGGCAGGATCAGGAACGGAAGTCCTGCTCTCCGCGCAAGATGACCATATCAGATATGGAAGTAACCAGACCGTCCCCGAGAGTATCGATATGGTTGTTCAGGAAGTTGTTCCTCCTCGAACTGATATGCCCATGCTCCACCCCTGGTTTCTCAAACTCTTGCATCGCAAATTGGATGTCAAATATTTGCTCCTTCCTGACAAGCCGGGCAAGGAATGGCACCTCGCCTCCAGCAATGATACCTTGATCCAAGCAGGCGCGGTTATCAAGTGTGGTTCACTATCCAGCCATAGCAGGTCAGTCTTTGCTGTGGTCACCTTCCTTACTGGACTAGGACTGACTTTAAGGCCCATTTTCCGGGATCCCCTCGAATCCAATTTCGCTCACCCAGCCTCTTGTCGACTAGTGTCGTCCTTTGGGACAGAGCGATACCAACATCGGTCATGTCCCACAATCGATAACATCCTATTCTCCACGTGTGTAGTGGTGAACCTGCCCCAGTACCTCGGTGCCGGCCGCTTGTCTGTGGTTGCCGACTTGCTCAATGAGGCAGGGAGATGGGGCGGAGTAATCGAAAGTGTCCTTTGAACTGGTACACGATGCTGTACCCCGTACAACGGGACTTGCTTCAGGCATGGCCTTAGGCGGGACTGTCTCGTACCGGAAGCTTCCACATCTCCCTCATTAGCAAGCATGGCGCTTTACAACTTAGAAAGGCCTTCTCAACACTCCATTACGAAGCTCATTGTCTGAGCCTCGATGTAGTGACAACAGGCGACGTGGCTTCGGGTTTGCTCTCAGCAAGCGGGTGTACGGTACAACCACAGCTAGACTCCTAGAACACAAGGAGTCATTCCACTGATGCTCGGACTGGTAGTCTCACTCCCTCAGGGATTCTGCATGCGGTTAGATTTTGATACATGGCAATTCTGCCTCGGCGTTCGCCAGATGACGATGATGTAGCCTTGCATTTGCGGAAAAGGGCTACACCAGCCGATGCATCTGTGGCCGCCGTTTCAAACAGTCCTTGCATGCTCCACAAGCCGTTGGTAGCGTCTGCGGAGGATGCAACACTTCCATTATTCTTTACCGTTGCGTTAGCGGCATGGGGAAGATGGCAAACGTCACAAGGACAGGTTACGGAACGATCTCTGAGTCTGTCAACTTGACATCACAGTATTCGTACCAAGGTCATTCTGCTCCGTTGGGTGCTCCGCGCCCTGAAAGGTAAGTGGACAGGTAAGGACTGCAGGATAGGCACATTACATTAGTACGTCCGTAAGTGAGTCCGGAAGTGAGTTCCCCTTCTACCCCGGGAAATCCATCTTGCGGAGAAAAGGAGCCTCCTCTTCTTGCATCACCCAAGTCACCTTCGTGCTTTCATCACCCACCCCACAACCCGGCATGCCGTCAGGAGGCACGCTGTTGACCTCAAGTCGCTGGTGGTGGTCCGTTACTCGGTGATGCTAGCTCTGGACTTTCGTGACGTCTCGATATAGCAGCTCGCAACGGTCATGAGGACAGGTTGTGGTCAGGGCGTCTGCAAAACATACGTCCACACGAAAGCCGAGCAAGGGCTGTCATGCCTCCACTTGACGATGTGAAGACGATGCGACTTTGGCTCGCTTTTCGATTCGGGTGACTCCCACATCCAGGACACAATCCTCCGCCCACTCGGGCTTTGCCAAAAATGCTTTCGCAAAGTTCCTGATTCTGCGATTCCACCATCTTATCAGATTGCAACAAGGTAAGAGCACCGAGGTGTCGATCCCTTACGTCGCTCGATTGGTCCATCAGGGCACGAGACGAAGTCCTCACAAAGGATCGAGTATCAATGTGGAAGTTTTCCTTCGACCGCAAAAAGGTTTAAGCATGCTTCAGCCTCGTCACGAGATCATGCGAGACTGCATTACCACCATTGCCCCTGCTCAAGCAGAGTCTCCAGGGCTGCGACGCCCTTTTCTCGGAAGCAAGCATACACCACGCAGTAGGGGGTCCCCTCAAGTATTGCAGTTGTCCTGACGGTAAATTTCACCCGGGCCCAGGTACGTCTCGGAACGGTTGGGCAGCAATGCCTGAGACGGTCGGGATCAAAATTTGCATCGGAATGCTGCCGAGATAGCAAGTGCCAAAAGCAGCTTGATCCGTACAATTTGTCTTGCAGGGCAGCCATGATCCCGAGGGGGTTGTGAATCAGTTCTCCTTTACGGGATGTTCGTGCTCTTTACGGTACTCCCTATTCCCGATGCCTGACCAGTGCACCTAGTCAAGTTCTACTCAGAGACCCCAGCACAAGCATTGGACAGAGCAAAGCTTCTTACGAGATGTGCTTGCTTGGCTTTCTGCACTCCAAATTGGCAGATGATGAAGAATACGAGTGTCCCGGACGAGAGTAGGTTGCCGAATCCGATATCCCAGCCCGAGCCTCGGCCAACTGCCGCGCCTCACGAGCATAACCCGGAAGTGAATGAAACTAGTAACCAGCGGCACCATTCCTTCTTGACCATGAGCAATAATGCCCAGGAATCTATGGACCACCCAGGGCTTACAAGCAAGGTGGCGGTGAACCTCGGTGAGCGAGGCATTGCACGAAGGAACTTCACCCAGCAGGAAAGATCTAGGATCTGAATCACTCGGAGAAGACATGTCAAAAGACAAAATCCGATGCCTGGGCTCTTACCATACACTCCACATGGATTACCATGGACAAATTTCAGACTGGAAATCTTACAAGACTCGTGTGGTGGCAAGTCAGCACTTTAGATCCCTAACTCGACAGCCGCATGACCTGTGGAGGCAAAGAACCACATCCTTCAAATCTTGACTAGCTCCCAAGCGTGCGGCATCTTCCTCGGTCGCCGCGAATTGCGCAAGGATGTCGACAGTTGAAGAGATCTGTCATCAGCATTCTGCACTCAGGTAAAAGCTCGAATATGGGGTAAGAAGTCCCTGCAGCGTTTTCGTTGTACAGTTACACGAGGCAGGTACACTGCGGAGGACCTGCTGCATCTCGGTGTTTTGGACCCGAAAGAAGATCGCAATGATCGCCACTTATCGATTACAAGGAGTCCATCTGCGAGAAGGACGTGACTGCACAAGCATATTGATGGCGAGTCCTCTTCCGTGGAGGAAGGGATTGTCTTCAGCAGGAACGTCGGGGTGTGTTGGAGGTGGTATTTCGCCCGAAGTCCTCCAGGCCAGGATTTGCCAGCAACTCCCCAGTCCTTAATCAGACTTTTTGATACTGTGACGCCTCCATCTCGAGAAAGTCATTTCACAGTGACCTGGTTTTGTCGGACGATACGCAGTTACACAAGACACGTTGAAGCATCATCTTGATCCGCATTTACGACCAGGCCATCCTTCAACATATTGATGAAGGCCGAGCCAGAGTGTTCAGCCTTGCCTGGACACTTAGCGGTCGCTGTAGTCCACTGGGTGAGTCTTGAACGTGGAACCTCTCTGACAGTTCTCTTTGTCTAGGATTGCTCTGCTGTTCCTTGAGACTCCAAGAATGACACGCGTCTGTTCTGCAACTGCCGAATTATTGTGGCTATTGCGCATACACAGCCTGCCTTGGTCTCCCCAAATGAAGTGTTTAAGTCCCCCATCAACGATCCAGACCCGGTGGATCACCCCATCAATTGTTCTAGAATTATGCCCGACGGTAATATCCACAACAACACGGTCTGTCCGTCTTGGGACACTGACAAGTCGCACCATAGCCCACTTGGAATATCGACGGGCCAGTGTCTGTCCAAAATGAGGCGAGGCTGGTCCCTAAAGGCAATACTGACCAGTGCCGGATTCCATGGGCCACATGACAGTGGTTGTTATTTCTTCGTCCCAAAGCGGCTCTCCATGTGTCCGGCGTTGCAATCACACGCAAAGTCTTCAGATGTCAGCACTGATGATTCGTTTATGCAGACACGGCACGCGGACCGTAGGCCGTTTGTTTGTCCTTTCTCTTTTCCAATGAGAGCGAATTTCCTCCGCCCTTTCTTACGATGATCGGCAGGGAACACCCTTGGACCATAACAGCTGCGTGACCTGCATATACATTCTTCAACCACTAACATGAGCGCCTGTACACTTCCCGTCTCGCCTATGCCAGCGTCATACGAGGGACCGTCAATCGTACCAATCCTGGAATCTTGAAACCTCATCCCAGTTACGAAGCACACCTCCAAAAGTGCAAAATACTCGCAAACAGTGCAATCACAGACACCCTTTCCTTTTCCATTTCCTACCCTGCGTCCTCGGAAGCGCCAACCATGGTCCATAGGCAACCTCAGACGTTTCACCTTCTGGCCAGTGACCGTGGCCACATCGTACTCGCACTATAGCACGTATATGCAAGCGCAGATTACCCACGCATCAATCATACTACTCGTACTGTGTCTAAGTTATTAGTCGCCTGCTCAGTCAGCAATATCTATTCCCGAGCACCAGTAATTGCGTTCACATGACTCCGTATGGACTTTTCTCACATGCCTCCCGTGACCTGCATTTGTGCCCATTTGCACGATCGATCTGCAATTACTCCATCACTCTGCTTTGGTGCCCACGCTATGTTCTGTCGCAACGCCTACCACAGTTAGTCCTCCCTGGAACTCCCTTTTCTCGACCGGTCGTGACCGGTCTGGCTGCAAGCTAGCTCCTTTACCCAGTGTGCCAGTCAGTCCCAGACCAAGAGATTCCAGATCGTTGATTCCGCCTACAGGTGGCACTTCGCTCTCGCCCTCCCCCGCGTACATCTTAGCCGGTCTCTACTGCAAGAAGAACGTCCACTCCAGCCCAGCCATGCTACGAGTGTCACACCATATTCCGACAACTTCAACTTTCACCCGATCTCGATATCTGGCATGCGGATATGGCAGGAGGGAAAAAGAAACGAGACCCCCCTTTTTCCACGTTCTCGTCACATGCCTACGACTAAGGTACTAGTACTTACTGTAGCAAGTCGTCAACACCCAAAGTCATGTCCCATCACACATCCAAACTCTGCAGCGCGTGTTGTTTCGGCTTTCACTGTTCCCGTTCGTCTTCCGCGTCCCGAGGTGACTTGCTACGTACACCATCTACTATTTGTGTACACTACGTACACTCAGCCGATAATCAGCCCTTGGGAGTCGTCGGACCAATTCCGAACCCCCCGCTGCCCCATTCCGAGGTGTAACTCAGCTCTAGTGTATCCCTACCCAAGTCCCTGCTAGGTAAGGTAGTCAATGTCAGGCATCAATCTCACTCATGTGTTGACTGGCCGTGATACGGTTACCACTACTAGCACATACTGACCTAGTAACTCCCTCGACGTTTCTCCGCACACGACGCTTCGCCTGCATCATGCTCAGCCTCACTCCAACAAACTCCCCCTTTCTATTTCGCCTTGCCTTTCTGCCTCGCCAGCCAAACTCAACCCGTGCACTCCCGTGATACAGTCCCACACACTGGGCACAGTTCTCTTCAGCCCAGACAGGCACGACACGGTGGCAGATGATCAACTTGCAAAAAAGGGTCTAGGAGTCCCCACTCAATCCAAGTACTGGTTCCAGAACCCAACGAGTCGTGCGAGTACTCCGTACCTAAACACCGGACTCATACTTGAATGATTATGGGCCCCCCCATCACCCGTGAATTGCCGTTTTCGTCGCCTAAACTGGCTCCCCTAGGCTACCAAGTTGCTCACGCGCTGAGCCCTCCATACAACTCCTACACTACCTTCCTTCTCCAGCGCGGCGGCGGCACCGGCACCGCTACGGGTGGCTTCATAGCAACGGCTGAATAACAAAAGAGATCACCGCTGATAGTCCACGTACTAGTACAAGTAAGTATCCTTAGTGCGCACGAAATAAGCATGTGGCCAATTGCCAGGTCCAGCCGAGACAGCGAAAGTCTTGAGAAGCTCACATGAGCAGGTCTCCATGCTTATTAGGCTTTGAAGATTTGTGTGAACAAATCGTAGATGCTGCTCCGTGGTAGGTACTCGGACAGTACAAACTGCCGTGCGAGTGCGTGCCCTACTGCTCCACAGGAACTCCATATGGGGGCGATATTTTCGGCACCACTGGCCAATCACGCAACCCGCAATTCAATAAATCGATACAAGCAAGAACCCCGGTTAAGACAATGTCATCTGTTGACACATACAATACTATTGATACAGGCATACTGCTTCAAAACTGGGAAAAGGGTATGGTGGTACGTCGTGATATAGTACAAAGTTCGCATCATGTGATGCAGATGAAGGGATAAGCCTTGCCTTCCCAACCACCCTCGAATTGCTTCGACGTAGACCAGAGGCGAAGATGGCATGATAGATCTTTCTCGCTTTTGGACCGCCCGAGAAACAAACAAAGAGTTCCGAGAAATGTGCCAAACAAAGACCGGGATGGGGCGTAGCCTCACCATCCATTTTTCCATTTTCCGCCTGCCATCCGTTGATAAATCAGGTATCAGGGTCATAAACACATACACAGCGTGAACCCGCTAAGAACGCAAGACAGGAATCAGAAAATACAAATGCAAGTATATACAAATCCATAGGTCGTAACACCTCTACCAGCCTTTGGTGTGGTATTCCCAAGGATTGTCAAAGTAGTGGTTCCAAGAGTTGTTCTTGGACGTCTCCTGCAAGGCTGTTGGTGGGGGAGGCTGAGAAGGTCCCGCAGCTGGCATAGTATGAGATTGAAGGTTGGCCATGCTTTGAGCATTCCGTCTCTTCAGGAAAGCGTTGGCAGTCTGAGACTTTTGTTGTCTTTCCCATAGCAGGTTTTTCCGGAGAGATTCAGTCAGTTCTGTGGACAACATGTTTCTCCTGGTGGTCCGAGGAGAATGTGCCACGCTCTTAGCGGATGGGTTTGGAGGAGGAATCTGTATTGGTCGCCGCCCGGACGTCTGCATCATCATCCCGTCATCCTCATCAGGCGAGACGGCCAGGCGCTCGGCTTGTGTCGACCCTGTTCGATTCCGCTGTAATGCAGGTTGTGAATACGCGTGGTTGAGCCCGGTTTGGGATTTGTTGAGTGCTAAAGTCAACATGGAGCGACGTGAGACCAAGTCAGGACGACTGTCGACGCGTCGGAAAACGTGAGCTTCTTGCACGACCTTACCATCGTCTGAATTTGAGTCTTCCCAATCGTCACCGTCTTCTTCCTCGTCTTCGTCAATGGCCGACTCCATCACCTCATCAGTATCATCCTCTTCATCACTGCTTTCAATGGCGCCTTCATCATTCTCAGCGTCTTCTTGTATTCTTCGTTCAGCAACGACATCTTTGAATGACGTCCGCTTGGGCTGCATCTTCGACTGTGACCCTGGTTTCAGATTTGTCTTGCTCAGGCTTTGTGACAGCGAGCTTTTGGGAGGTGGAGCTTTGTGTGAAAGTACTCTTTGCTCAAATGAGGACTCATCGTCCTCTGAAGATCCGCCAAGGGTGAACATGCCAGCCTTGATAGTGGGATTGGTTTTGGGTATTAGTTTCGATGAAGGCACTGGTTGCACGCCAGTGCTTTGCTGTCGTGAGCGGAAAGATGATGCAGCTGGAGAGAAGCCGTGCACAATTGATCCGGACCGAATCAGACCATCCGAAGAGACCGAGGTATCCGAGTCACGATGTTCGATTTGACGAGCTGTTGTACTTCTAGTGGCAGTGGTAGTATTGGACAAACACGAGTCAGTCGAGTCATGTAGAGGTCTGGGGTCGGCTTCAGTCTCGACGTTGGGAATAGGTGCTGCCTTTGCAAGGTTCGGGAGACTGGCTTCGATCGAAGGAGACAAAGGACATAATTCGGATTTTTCTTGTATCTTGACCATAATTTTTTCGAGAGTGTTGGAAGTCAGGTGGCGTGATTTTGAGAGTGAACTGGCGCATTCATCCTGTCCATATGACCTAGACCGGCTTGAAAGCGGCTTCTCGTGCAAGCTGTCGTCGGAAGAGAAGGAGTTGGACAAAGATGGCACTCGGGATGTGGCTGGTGGAGAGTCGACCGGCGTCACGCAAAGTGATTCTCGAGACCATACTCGCCAACTCATGTTTTCATATCTGTGGCCCTCTTTGATTGTTTCTGAGCACTTGCTGAACATGGTCCACATGGCCTTTAAACTGATGGCATTTGAAGGATCGATCTGATGCATCTTGAGGGCGTCTAATTGTAAGACTTCGGGGACCGGACACGATTGCATCTTGAATTGCATCTATCGAGCCGAAAGGGGGTTTTGAGGCGAGAAGGATAAGCGCAAGGGCAGGAGCGCGCCTTGAAGTAGGAGTAGACCGTGGTATTTGCTCGTGATTTGCAATGGCCGCAAACGGTGGGATCTGGTGTGATGGGCTTGTGACGCAATCGAGTGCTCGGTTCCGATCAGTTGGGAACAGCTGTTCTGGGGCAACCAGGGCTAGAGATCCGATATGGAGATGAAGTCGATGCTTCGAGAGCGGGTAGAGCGTAAAGCGAGGGTGTAGGCCATAGACTCTGGCGTGTGAGGGTGTTTGTGTGCGGTGCGGTTTGGTTTGGTGAATGAAGCAAGTGGGAAGGCGAGGCGCTGGGGAAGGGAAGCGGTATAACTAACAAAGAACAAACCGGGGGCAAGATGCACGCAAGTGCCAGTGGGCCGGGAAAGGGCCATGACCAGGGAGGGCCATGGATGATGGGGGCACAGGGCAGGGCACGAAAAAGAACGAGCAGGGGTCCGGCATCGGGTAGTTTTCATGGCGGACGCAGAGGTCACTAACTCACTAACGTTAACTCACTAACGCTGGTGCAGGTGCAGTGCAGGGAACTGGGGGTGAAAGGATCTGCGAGACACGAGGAGAAAAGGACCTGCACTGACCAGACTGACCTGGAAGGGGCCGCCATCCACTACGGTATAGGTTCACTAGCCTCAGACTGTTTGCAGGACGGGAGTTGGGGAAAGACGTAACGAGGCGCGTAATGTGAATTGCATTTGAAATGACAGGCTCTGTTGCAAGCGGCGACCCGGCTATCGGACGGATTTTGGCTTCTTTGGGTAGAATTGGAACGCTGTTTGGAGCCCCACAAGCCAATAATTCTTCATTCTTCATTCTTCATCCTGCAAGCCCCAAAGCCCTTAGGTTAGGTCAAGTAGGTGCCTGCGGACCCCCAGCTAGGTGCCAAGGGTGCCCGCTGCCCCCCAAATGTCGGTCAACTGTTCGGTCCAGGCACCGCTACGGATACATGCTCGCAGCCAGGCATCAAGTCACTCGACAAACCATTTGCAGAACGATGGAGGTGATTCCTCTGACCATTCTCTCATCATTGTAACCTCACAAGAGCAGCTGCAGCTAACGAGACCATCGATCCCACGTTGGCAGCAGGGAACAGCATGTGGAACAAGCGATAAGATCAACACAGGATTTGTTCGTCTGCTGGTCACATGCGCCGATTTGTGTGTTGTCGCTCTTCGCTCTTCAGCCACTTACTACAGTCACGTCCACTCGTCCAGTGCACTTCCTTTACAAGGTACCTCACCTCCTACTGTCCACCGTCCAACCTGGAAAGAGATCATCCCCCAGGTGGCAATGCTTCTGGAAATGCACACTACAATGCGTTGTCGAAGCAGCTGACTCGAACTGCAAAAAGCAAACAACGCAAAAGAATGAATTGAACGCCTTTTCGAAAAGTCAAAGGTCACCAAGCGAGTGTCATTTTACCATTTAGGCGGGCATTATTCGTCCGTCTTCCCCGTTCGACTAAACGCGTCCACGTGCGACTTCTTTCGGTCCATTTATTCTCTTCGTTTGTGTGTTTTCTGTCCAGCTGACAAGCTGCCCCCAGCGAGCTGGCCACTCATCAAACCTCGTCCAGGTTCCCACTCAAATCGCCTTTGCTGTCTCACTGACATGTGCAACCCGACCCTCAACGCAGTACACGCCCTCGACGCTCAAGCTCACACACTGAGAAACAGGCCACTCGGTTATCGCTGCTTTAGGAGGAATCTGTGCCCCAATGCTCTGGCACCGACGGATCTTGCCCCGAATGCGGCCAACACCCGATCGCAGTTGTGAAACTTATCCACACCTTAGGTATTTTGCCCCGGTATCCTCGAGACTATTAATCAATTATACTGATGCTCCAGCAACTACGCAAGCAGTCGAGCACGGCCACTTCTTAATCTTGCTCTTGATTTCGGTCACACTTCGGCCACTCCGTGACCAATACTGTACTCCCACCTGCTCCCAAGCCACACCGCTGTGACCACACCGTACTCTTGCTTACTCCCACGTCTTCATATGTGTCCATCCCACTGTGACTGCCGGCAGTCACAATAGCCGGCGGCCCCTGCAAATGTGGCTGAAGAAGCGTCCATTAAGAAAAATGCCAAATTGGAGGTGACGACTTCTGCTGCAATGAGGTTGTTTCGATTGGGTAAATCGCAACGAGCAGAATTCTTTCATTCGTCCTTTCTATTTCCTTTCGTTGCCACAAACTCACAAGGAACTGGATAGCAGTCACCAGGTCACCTGCCCACCTGCAATATCATCGTATACCGCCAGAGCCAGCAACGATCGCCTCTGCGTTTACGAGCTGCCACAACACAATAAAAATTCATGTCCCATGCGTCTTCTATGGCAGCTTCTCGGAACCGCTCCTAGTCGGCCCTTTACTTTTGCTACCGACCCAAGAAACGCGAGTTGAATCCCTCCTCCGGGAGCCCAAGCCTATGCATTAGCCTGTCTGTCATGATCGCTTATTGACGCTTTCACTTGCAGTGGCTGGCACGCCAACAGCTCCTTACAGTCAAGTGCCCCGGGCGGAATGGTTTTGCCATATGCCGGGCGGGGCTCGAATCAAGGGGCTTCACTGGCTCGCCAGCTATGCTTCCAACGGCTTGACAAGGGGGGTGGCCACCACCATCTCAACCATGCAGTGTGATTTCACGGGGCTGCATCATTTTTCCCAAAGTGATCAGCAACATCTCGGATATGCCTGCTCCCAATATGATCTACTTCCTCTTTGCCATTCTGTGTGCTTACCGTTGCTTTCTCGGAACACCAATAAGGTTGTGGGGATATCCATATCCGCCACAACTGCAATTGTGATTCTTCTCGATGTACGCGGATACGGAAGTATAACAACGGTTGAATACTTCCGGTCTGCTACGATACGAGGGTCACGGAGCCGCCTTTTGTCGGTCCTGAAGCTGCCTTTTAGGCTCACACCGTAGGCAGCTGTCACCCCTGGACTCATCTGTTACAATCCTTGCGATGGATGTTCCAAGACCATCCGAACTTTTCTGTGTCTCCAAAAAAAAATCGTCAGCGGACATCCTTGACGTCGCATTCAATCACCACGTCAAATTTCCGTCACTGTGGTCGCGACAAGCCCAGAGACCCGATCGCATTCCGCATTTCTACCGCTGTCAAAACTGCCTGACTTGATCTCGCCAATGGCAAGCCTGATCAGCCTCGTCATGTTATTTTCGTGGTCCGCTAATACATTCCACCTGATAGCATTATCCAAATCTCCAGGAGTAACACTTCGATATAACAAGGGCGTGAGAACCCGAGGCCTTGCACATGCCATCAACTTGACGTACATGTATCTGCACGGTCGTGACAGGCTTAAAGGTAAGAAGGACCTAGGAACTCCTCGATTCCCCAGATGCACCCAGAAGATCCTTGCATACTACTCGTACCACGAGATTCCCAACAATATGTTTCGAGCATCACTGGGGTAGCTTCACAAGCTGGATCATTGGATCGCTTCAAATGAGACTGGGGGTCAATATCGTGCTACACGCCAATGTACGTCACAAGCTCAATTTCGAGGTGCGTCGGATCGTCATCAATAATGACCAGATATGTAGATACCTCGTACTCGAGCTGCGGCAAAAGTATCCGATACGATTCGGCAACTACTTTGTATTGCACCTAGATACATTACATCCACTTACATCCGCAGGACCTCAGGTTGTCCACCGGAGTTGTGTTTGTGGCCTCGACAGACCTTGTTCGTGGCTTCTCTAGCCAGTCCCTTTCATTCAAGCTTCATATTTGTCGATGCCAATATACAGGCCCGTTCTGAAACTTTCTTGGCTCGCATAGAATTTGGGGACCAAAATCAAGCATCGCTATGCGAGCTCAATTGCATCATGGGCGCATCGTGCGCCCCCCCAGTATTTCGCGAAGCTCCATTGCCCCCTCCCTGAATCCCCTGAACAGATCTTCTTGATAACTGAGGGAAACCGTGCAAGCATTCGAACATCCTTGCTTCGACTTATCACTGACAATCCCTCTGGCGGTCAAGGATCAGTCCTTGGCAGAGAGGCAATATGTTTCTGCAGGCTCCGAGAGAGAGGGAGAGAGTGATCCTCCCATGCTGACGGTCGTAGGCTCGGAGGAAGGGACGTGATCACACCCTCCGTCCCAGTCAAGCTCATAGTACGACGGAAGATCACCGTCGTGTCGTGCTGCGGCAACTGGCGCACTGACTCGACTTCGAAGTCACGGGCTCAATGCTGGCCGCATTCCTTCATGTCATTTGTGCAGTCCAAGCCTGGCCTCTTGAGCAGTTGGCTTGTTCTCGTCCCAATAACAGATTGCCTCGGCTTGTGCGTCGTACGGGGTGTCTTGATATCGACGGACATGAAAGCTTCGGTAGTGCCTAGTCGCATTACGCTTCGCGGATGTACAGGCGTTAAGCCAATCTGGTCGCTACTAGTATAGTCATAATATTCTGCGTAAAGCGAGGGTGAATTCAATGGTGAAGTGTCTGCAGCACCATCATTCATCGTGAGAAGCTTTACACCATCATCAACTCTCATATGAATAGTTGTTGTAGTAAGGCATAGTTGTATCAACTCCATCCATCAAATTCTCCGGGGGCATCGTTTCATTCCAGGAACCCCATCCCATAGATGGCAAAGCCGCGGGCAGAGCGAGGTTCTGAAATACGCTGGATTCCATAGTCGAGGGAGTCATGCCAGGTGTCATAGACTGACCATAACCTTGTACCATCCCAAAAGTATTTGGATCCAGAACGGGGAAGATGGATGCTATCCGACGTTCCAAGGACTGATCGTCAAAATTGTACGGAGTTGAATCAGTTGTCGCAGTCCCTTTTTGAGATTGATCCTCCAAAATCATATTCCGGTACAGGGAAATGAAGCGAGGTACTGGTGGAGGTTTCTGGGTGCTTTGAAAAGTCGCTTCTCGGGCCTCCCAGGCTTTGACCGTAAGATTTGCCAAAGCCAATTGAATCAGAATTGTCTTGTGCCTTTTCTTGATGAAGAAGGGCTGTTTATCGAACTTCATGCGTGCTTCTGCACTTTCGGAAAGTTGATGCCAGGCATGATCTGCGAGTTCGTCATTCGTTCGATCGCGTAGCAACCATGCGAGATAGATGTGTGCCGGGAATGGATAGTTTTGTAACATATACCAAGTAAATTGTTGGACGGAGGGGCTTCTGATCAACGTGTTGTAGTACTCAAGCATCTGCAGTCTAGTTCCAATGGCATCAGCACAACGATCCCCCAGCACGTCTGCAGAGATAACATACGAAAACTGAAATAGTGTTGTTTTGTTCGTCTGAGAGAAGCGTCTCGAATTTGATTGAACGATAGGTTGTCGCAATGATATTCTCAACTTGGTGATACTCGATTTGGAGGTCATGAGGGACATCAAGTGTAAAGGGATCGTCGGATCGCAATGCTGCCAATATACCCGCTCGAGCCGCTGCTCGAGATCTTCAATTGCATCTTTTCCGAGGGCATAATCACCAGTGCGAGCTTTGGTCTGTTGGACAACCTGAAGCACCTCACATCGAAGCCTCACAAACATCATTTCTGTGATACCAGGACCTTCAACCGGCGGGGTTTTCATATCAGGGAATAGAGCGCTATCGTCGGTATTTGCTGGGAGTTTGGTGTCCCACGTATGCATAACAATAGAAGGTTCCGCACCAGAGACTTCCGCTACGCGGTGCTAGATGCCGGAGGAATTAGCAAGTCTTTCATGCGGTATGTTATGCTCGCGAAATCATTCATCGAAGGCACAACTCCGGAGACGGTCGCGGATTGAGGAATCTGTTCTTGCCTCTCAACTTACATCAAGCAAAACAATCTGCCACCACAGTCTTCTTCTCATTTCAACCTCAAAAGGTGGCATGGTGTAGTGCGTTCCATCCGTGCTGAGTCCCATTCTTTGAGCGATACGGACGATGATACCAGTAAAGCAAAACAGAGTTCGCGGTTCCATCGACATTGAGAGGCAAGAGAGCTTCAGATTGTCAATCAGCAAAGGCGAGGTTTGGAGCATTGGAGTTTGACATACAACGTAAAGTGTGAAAGCCTGAAGAACAACAAAGTCGGACGATCTGAGGCAACCCGCATTTCTAAGAGCCTGTTGGGCTCCGGAATGGAAACGAGCCAAAAGATCTGTCTTGTTTTCTTCGAAGAGCTTCTGACACCATTCGTCGTCCATTGACATTGTGGCCGCAGCATAGATACTGAATAGCAGGGCTTCAGTATTTTTGGGAATGTTTCCGAGGTCGGCAGTGGCATCTAGGACCTTCTGTTGTACGGTTGGTGCGTGGAAGATTTTGATGAGTGGATCGACGTTATCCAGAAATGTCTGCCAGAGCCTGAAGATGAGTACTGGAGAAGGGTGTAGAGCGTTCACATTTGCTGAGGTATTGACGGGGAAGAGGAGATCCCCTTCATGGTCGGTGTGTTCCTCAAAGGTTTCGCTAATCGGATTTGCAAGCACTTCATCATCGGAAGCTCCGCCCAGAAGGACTTCAGCATCACGGTACTGCCGTATGTCAGTTTTATGCTTAGGGTCCGATCATGAAGAGATAGATGGCGCAGGGCTTATCGCGGAGGCACACATACTTCATCACTAACACCAAGGCTTAGACTGCTGCAACTGTCAGCGTATTCTTCAGTAAAACGAGTCTGGCCTTACGTCTCGACGTGTCTCTGAGCCTTCTTCACTGACGCAAATCCGCCCAGATCCACATCATGACCGAAACTCTGTGGGCCAGGATGCAAGTTGGTTGGAGTATCACGGATGGACAAGCTGTCGGTGGTAGAGCACTCTTCTCCCCTAGTACCTTCATTGTTGATTGCATCGAGATCTGCTCCGTATGCTCTCAAGTGATGTTCATATATTCGTAATCGTGCAAGCAGCACCGCTTCTGGAAACCGCCGTTTTCTCTTACGAGGTGGAAGTGTGGCAGCGGAGACGCATGCGACTCCGGCTAGAATGCAGTTCCTACATGGCTCATTCCGATCGCACTTGACTTTCCGTTGCTGACACAGAACACATGGGCGCTTCCGATGCTCGCGGGAAAGATCTTGTTGTTGAGTGGCTTCATTAGAAGACATAACGCTGAAGCGCGCGAAGAGATAGACAGCGAGAGACAGGTTGTCTATAACGGGAACTTAAGGATTCACCGTAGCCTTAAGTTAGAGTCACGTGTAGAGCGATGTTCCCCGTTCGGAAACTTGCTCGGAAAATAGAAACGAGCGAACACGTCCACGCACGTCTCACCATCACCGACGGTCGCGCTCTGGCCTTTTTTGGTCATAATGGCCTCAACTCGCTTGCGACGTCGCTGCCAGCAAGATCCCGAGCAAGATCCTGAGCACAGAGAAGTCGACCGTCCAAGTGCCGAAATGGGATATATATATCCTTTGTCACCAGTCCCAGCCGCAGTTATGGTCTGTACGGCAAGAACCTCCTCTTCCACCTCTCTCAGTCACAGGAGATCAGTATCGTCGTTACTAGTATTCATTTCAAATCGCCATCGATTTCAGTCCTTTGGGAGCCATGATTTTCTCGTCTGCAACGCCTGAAGATACATCAAATGTCCATGAAAGAGACGATGGAGACGGCGGAGACGGCGAAAATCAAACCCTTACTACGCAGCCGGAAGAAGAGCATGTCTATCCCCAAGGCCTAGCATTGGTTTTGATCATTGCATCGGTTTTGTTGTCAGTCTTCTTTGTTGCTCTGGTGAGTGTTGTGAAATCGATGATTTGAAATCTTCAGCTAACAGCCAACCATTGCAGGACCGAACGGTTTTATCGGTTGCTATACCTAAAATCACCGACCGGTTCCATTCGCTCGACGATGTCGGCTGGTATGGAAGTTCTTACTTACTTACCAACTGTTCAAGCCAGTTGCTCTTCGGACGAATCTACAAGTTCTACAATACCAAATGGGTACATGCTTTCTCTATTGCCATTTTCCTATCGCTGATGTTTCCAGGTCGTTGTCAACTGTATTGTGATCTTTGAGCTCGGCTCTGCCCTCTGCGGCGCGGCTCCCAGTTCTGTGTGCTTCATCATCGGACGCGCTATAGCTGGTCTGGGCTCTGCAGGGATATTTGCAGGAGGTATGATGACCATATACTACGCCGTACCTCTCGGCAAACGACCCGTATACACTGGGCTATTCGGAGCCACCTTTGGCGTCGCATCCGTGATTGGTCCTTTAATAGGTGGTGTGCTTACCGATAAGTTGACTTGGAGATGGTGCTTCTTCCTGAACCTCCCTATCGGCGGCGCCGCTCTCGCTATCATTGTACTCATCCTCAAGCTTCCTGACCCCACGGGCGAAAAGCTGCCACTACGCCAACAGCTGGTCCAACTCGATCCCCTTGGTACCGCCGTATTCTTACCCAGCATGGTCTGCCTGATTCTGGCTCTGCAATGGGGCGGTACCACTTACGCATGGTCATCATGGCGCATGATACTTCTTCTCACGCTATTCTCTGTCCTCATCGTCATCTTCGCAGCAACACAGGCCCTAAAGGGCGATTCCGGAACCCTTCCACCACGCATTCTGTTCCAGCGTAGCATTGCCGGAGGAGCATACTTCACATTCTGCGTATCCGCCGGATGGTTATTGATCATTCAATACTTACCGATCTGGTTCCAAGCCATCAAAGGAACATCTGCGCTCGACGCCGGAATCCATTTCATCCCAACGGTCCTGGCCCTCGTACTAGCAGGCATTCTGGGCGGGAAATCCACCCAAGCAATCGGATACTATGTTCCAGTCATGTTTCTCGGCCCCGCTCTCGCCAGTGTTGGAAGTGGTATGCTTTCCACCCTGAAGCAAAACTCAGGACATGCTATGTGGATCGGTTACCAAGTGATTGTTGGCTTGGGACTTGGAATCGGGATGCAAGTCTCCGGCTTAGCCGCTCAAGCGGTCTTACCCCAAGAGGATGTTTCGATCGGCACGGCCATCATGATGTTCTCTCAGCAACTTGGAGGCGCGATTTTCGTGTCCGTTGGCCAGAACGTCTTTTTCAACGATTTGATCTCCACCCTCTCAGATATCCCGGGCCTGGACACAGCGATTATCCTCAATACCGGCGCCACTGATCTCCAAAAGACGATTCCCGCTCGGTATTTGACCCAGGTTTTGGCCAAGTATAACCATGCCTTGACCAGAACTTTTATTATCTCCACCGGGATGCTGGCGGCGAGTATTCTTGGATCTTGCTTCATGGAATGGAAGAATATCAAGACAAGTAAGAAGCCAACCGGTGGTCCTGCTGCTAGGGAGACGGTGGACCTGAAGAAGAAGAAGGGAGAGACAGGTGACAAGGAGAAAGCAGTCCAGGAAAGCAAAGCCGAGACTCATGTTGTTTGAGTACGCACTCACCTCAACTACCGTAAGGAAGTGGAAAGGGAGAGTTGTGAAATCTTGTTACACTGGGCATCTATCAACGCATCCTGCCATTGCCCATTCATTTTCGTTCTCTGGTGGAGAATTACCATTTAATAAAGATATTGTACTAAATAGAATAAAAACCTGTCTCAGTCAAAGCAACAGCTCATCTCCGCAATCCTGTCTCAAACGAGGACTCGTTTACATTGCAGACCTGCTTCCAAGGCCTGCGCGCACCTCTGTCGCAAGCAGCGCCGAGCCAAAGAAACTTAGACATGACTTTCTTGAGTTGATCAAAGCTGGCCACTTCCCGTCGCTTTAGCTGCATTTTGAGCATGTCGATAAAGAAGACATCATCCCTCGTGTGCGAAGCGGCCATCGCACCCATCACAGCCACCCAGAGCAGGAACTCACTTGGCTTGGAGATGCTCGTCGTATCGTCCTCGAATACCCCTTTGAGCTGCTTGACAAGACTCTCGAGCGGTCCATGGCATGCAAGAGGATAAATCACGCCGTAACTGAATGCCAATGCCGCCAGACGACACAGTTCTGCCTCGCCCTGCATTGTCGGCAACGATAATAGCTGGAATTGGATCAAGTTCCGGTACACATTCGTCTCCCAGGACGTGGCTAGATTCTGGACGTGCCGCTCATCGGATGAACTTTGGATCAAGCAGCAGTACATTCGCATGTCGAGCAACAAATCCTTGAGATCGTCGTCGACACCTCCGAACACCGCAGCACGCTCCCGTGGCGGTCGCACCATTTTGACCTGATGCTCCAGCACATGGCGGTACAGAGGTCCCAGAGCGAAGTTCGGTCTCGTCATAGTCAAACTCGACTGCAGAATGTCCGTGGACTGGACCTGTTCCGCGATCCCGGGTGTGGTGATGTTATCCAGTCCCCCGCGTGCCGCGACCAGGCGCTTGAGCGCACTGATATGCGTTTCGGCCCAGCGGAAGTACGAGAAATAGTCCAACCACCCGAGCGAGCGGAACCCTGGGTCGAAGCCGCCGAAGCAGCATTTGTGTCTGTCCTGGTTGTGCGCGACAATGGTCGGGTCCGTCTCGCTGATGGTCAGCGCCAGCACGGCGAAGATTACCGCGTCAGTGACGGTACCGGCATCGATGTGCTCGCGCACAGACTTGACGGCTTTGTTCTGACATGAGAGCATGACGGCATTGGCTTTGTTGTTGTTGCGTGGCCCGCTGCCTGGCGAAGAGTCATGGTGGAGCGACATTTCGAGGGCGGCGGTCCATACGAATGAGTTGAGCAGGAGTTCGTCGGTGACGCTGAGCCGGAAGAACGCTGATGTGAGTGTCTCGTTGGTTGAGAGGATATGATGGCCGAAGCCGGGCCAGAGGACAGTCGTGGCGTAGTGGTGCACGCGTCGGACATCTATGTTGAGAAGGATCGTTGCGCAGCCCGCCGAGCCGAGAGGAGAGTTCGGTTGATAGATCAGAGATGGAGAGGAGCGAATCGCTGGCTGTATATGCCGTTTGGAGATCTCCTGAACACGAGTGGCCTGATACGAGGAGGAGATTGTCTTGCTGGATCGTGATCTTGACGGTGAGTCTGATTCTGGGGACTCCGACTCAGCGTTGTCAGGCATCCGAGGAGCAAGCCTCACTGGAAATCGATCTGCCTATGCGTGCGGCGGACGCTTTGTGAGCTTCTGTGTGCAGCTCTCCTGCGGCCTATATCTCGATCATGCGCCTGGTTAGCTATCGTAGGTGTTTAAGCGCGTGAACCAGGCAAGGCTAAAAGCTGGTGTCGACGTACGGTAAGAGCGCTGATTGAGTCGATTCTGGACCCTTTTCCTGGCTTTGGCGTCGCAGACGCCAGTCCCGTCGTCTTCATCGGTGCGTGCTTCTCTAAGGATCTTCCTCTCGAAAACGATTGTTGCGAATGGGCTTCCATTGCACAACGAGACTTGGTTGTTATTTTGCAGCCCGCCCACTAGCAAAGGGTAAGCCTATATTACGAGTTCAGGCCGTCCCCCGCTGTAGGCGATATCATAGAATCAGGCTATGTCGTAGACCAGACTGGATGTATGTTTCGCTGATATGACCTGCGAAGTGCCATCAACATCATAAAAAGTCACTAGTACATTGTGAACCCAAAGCTGACGCAGGTTGCTCTACGCCCGGCTTTCGATTGCATAGACTGTTTAGTCAGACTCGGCTCCACCTGCAGCCTTGTCATCATTCTCCTAAGTCCGGTTTGCCTAGAGCACGTGATATTTGCCCTGTTGCTCCGATATGGAAAATGGCGCCGGATCTGCCGGTAAGGTCCGCAGTGATGAGATGGCATGGTTTGGTGAGCATGAAAACAGACATCACAACGAAGTGGGAAGGTGAAACAGAATCATACGACGACCAACGCGATGGTGGTCAACCAGTAATTGTCCATTTCTATCCCACGTTCGAATTTGGGTATCTTTTTGTACAGTCATGAAGCTTGGTTCATGCACGCTTTTATCTGTGGCGAACGCCTCGAAATGCTGGTCTTTTTCATCAAGGAGGTCTAAAACTCATTGTCATCATCGCCCGACATGATCACATTGTTGATCTTCAACACCTGCAAACCTGTCAATAAAGTGGAAATTTTCAAGAAAGAAGTCACCTACCATTCGGCATAGCTGCGTTGCCAGCAGTAATTGCGACCGCTTTCCAATCAGTGGGTCAATAACAAAGTGTTCGCGCATATCTACAGAGGCATCGTTAGCATAGCTCCAAACTATCTCGGGAAAAGCATACCATTGCTGCCAGTGCTCATGCAATCCACCCCGAGGCGCGAGTTTTGCTCCTTAACTTGTCGTGACTTGACCGCGGCCAGAGTCTCAATCGGGCTGAGACCAGAGTTTTCCGCAAGAGCCATTGGGACTGCATCAAGGGCATCGGCGAATGCTCTCATAGCATATTGTTCCAAGCCAGGTGACTTGTTGGCTGCATCTTCCACAGCAAGTGAACAAGCAATTTCTGCTGCACCACCGCCATATACGACTCTGTTGTCTCTGACGAGGTTTCGGACTACACAAAGGGCATCGTGCAATGATCTCTTTGCTTCATCAATGATCATCTTGTTGCTTCCTCGGACGAAGACTGTCACTGCACGCGTGTTGGCGCACTCTTCAATGACCAGCATCTTTTCGCGAGTCGTCCCAAACGTCATTTCTCTGACGACGCCAGCCTTGCCGAGCTTTTCACTGCTCAGATCTTCGAATCGGGGCACGATTCTTCCGTTCGTGGCAATGGCTATCAACTCAATTTCGGGTCCGCCAACCCATCGCACGGCTGGTAGATGGTTTTGAAGGAGAAGGTGATTCGCTTCATCGTCGAAACCCCACTGACAAATGACGAGGTTGGCTCCTGTCGCCTTGATCATGTCAATCATTTCGACAAACTTGTTCTGTTCATATTGTTGCAATTTTTTGAACTCTTCCACAGTAGAGATATCGAGTTTATGCTTAGTTTTCGGCTTAGGTGGTTCAAATGCGCACGTCAATATAGCAAGTTTTGCATCGCGCACTTCATTCGGCATCTGAGGGTGGGAAAAGTCCTTGTCCACAATGACACCTTTGACAAGCAGAGAATCCTCTATTGAGCCGCCGGCCTTGCCATCGACCTTGATCAGCTCGAAGTCGACGTCTTTTCGTTCCAAGTCCGCCACTGACATGACAGCGTCGACTGCAATCCTTGCAAATTGATCATGTGCTTTGCTGACGATTTTGCTTCCCAAACATGTCTTAGCGACCTTTATCAGATTTTCTTGCTTCTCCCTTGTGAAGGGTATCTCATCACTGATCTTGTCGAGTTGTGCCACCGCAACTTCACATGCTTGATCGTAGCCGTCTGCAATCCGAATAGGATGAATACCCTTGTCGATGAGATCCGCAGCCTGGTCCAGCAGAGCAGCAGCCAAAACCACCACACCGGTAGTGCCATCACCAATTTCCTCGTCTTGAGACTTTGATAGTTCAACCATCAGTTTCGCAATGGGATTCGTAAGTTCCATCTCAGACATGATCGTGCGGCCGTCGTTTGTTATTTGGATATCACCATCTGGCGATATGAGGATTTTGTCCAGTCCTCGAGGGCCCAGCGATGTTCTGACAATGCTGGCCACCGTTCTTGCTGCCACAATATGTTGTTTCACTGCGTCCGTGCCATGTGTTCGCTTCTTCTTTCCTTGGTCTCGGACCACAATGAATGGTCTTCCGGACTCATCTTTCAGGAGCTGCGCCTGCGACAGATCTAGTTGCATCGCCATGTTTGAACCGAGCCCCGAGTGGCGGCGTAATGTTGGTCAATTGTTCTCTCGCAGTTCGACGACCGTGGTTCCCTTCGGCTCGTTCAGTATTCGCAGGTGTTCTCTTCGCGGATCAGGGTTTTCAGCGACCTGAAATCAGGAGAGGGGGTTCCTATGTATGTGTGTTCCCTGTCGCAAAGAATGCACCAAGTGAACGAATGCGTTGTTGAGTAATGTGTCTCGGTGGGATGGTTACCTGAAATTTTTGGGTCTCCAAATAACGATGGGCAGGAACCCGCGGCGCACTGGATAAAGTGCCAAGATCACGCTGCCACAGCCTTGTGCTTGACCCCCTTCTACTCGACAGCCTTGTCTATGCTACACCTACCTACCAGGTAGGTAGGTAGATATCAGCGCGCACCTTTCAAACATGCGGCATCTCATTGTCAGTCACAATGCCTCAATAGATTCTATGCATGGCCTATTGTCTGCTGCTGCTGCTGCCGCCGCCGCCGCCAAGGACTGGTTGAGGGATTGCAGATGCATTGAGTGATGCCGCGAGTCTTGCCGTACCCTGGGAAACAGGTGCGGCAGTACAAGAGATATATCTTGTACTCCTCAATTTTCCTTCAACAATCTGGACAAAGCCATCCGCTTCTTGACCACTAATGGTGTAGGTGGTTTCAAAGTTAATGGGCGCTAAGGAAGAAGGATTGCTTCTCGTAGTACACTATCAAAAACTAGACCCTCGAAAGAGGCGCCGAGTTTCACTTCCCATCCGTTAACCGTAACCCAGATAAACCACTTGGCCCCAAGGGGAACAACCAATGTTTGAAACCTGGTAGGGTGGAAAAAGTTTTTGCATTTTTTGCGGAAGTTTTGAGGCGTAGTTGATGTTTTTGTGATCGCCCACAGAGATCTGCTCAGAGTTGTGTGGGTAAGGCAGAGGGTACATCTGACCGAGAAGTGCGGCAACAAGCCATAGACTGTGTGGAATTCAAAGTTCAGTAACTAGTTCCCCTTGTCAACATTTTGGATTGTCTCACGAGGTGTTCTGGAGTCCTTCAATGAGCAGAGCATGGGAATGTGGCACTATGACAGTCTGTACAACAGATGTCTTCATACTGATGCTCTCGAACGAATCTGGGGTGCGATTCGATTGAGTAAGACGGACAAATCGAAGAGCTATTGCGAATCCTGGTTCATCGTACACCAAGATGGTTTGTTTCTTCTGCACCCGCTGCCAATCTGCCTGCCGTAGATGTTGTACTGCTGGTAGGACAGGGCTCAAAGGACATAGCAGGTTAACATCCGTGATTTTCATTCGGCGTTTGACTCTACCACTCGATCCTCATCATTGAAATCAGCCATGCTGTGTTATCTTGTGGAAAGACTGATGTCCTAACATTCCTTATATTTTGCCGCCTACACAAAGATGAAGTATTCTGTGTCTGGGCGCACTGCGACGTCAAACTGAAGCGCAAGTGATCATGACTTCGTGTAATGCTGGAAATTAAAGCTCATTGAGGTAGGTACCTGGATGAAGGTAGCTTGGTAACTTAGCATGGCACAAGTGGTAATGGGGATGAAGCCGCACGTGACATGGAATAATTGGCGAGGTTGGCCGTGAGCTCGCTAAGTCGACAGACAGCCTTCTCCATCTCCGTCTCCATCTCCATCTCCATGTTGAGGGTCATTACATTGACCAGCTGCGCGCGACTTGCTTTCACTTCCACGTTCAGCTACAAGCATCAGCACACTCATCACGCGTATGTCGTCTCAGTTCCTCACTCTCTAGTCGCCTTATTGTTCTCATTGGACTATCTTCACAATGCCTAGAGTTGTGAGCGCAGACGGTATGTCCAGCCCTCACTTTCCGCTCAGATTCAATTGCGCGTTCTGTCGCAAATTTACTGCACAGCTACTGATCTTATGTCCAGATGAGGCATTTTCCGAAGACAGCGACATTGGTGACATTAATCATGGCGATGAAATTCCCGCTGACGCTGAACCCAAAACCCAACTAAACGGTGAATTGCACGACGACGCCGAGGAAGCTGCTCAACAACGATCTTTGCCTGCCAGAGCAGAAAGTGAAGACACCGATGTGAGCAAGCCTGGTGAACCGGACGAAGAGTATGTGGTAGAGGAAATACAAGGCCACCGCACGCGGAAAGGTACCGTGGAATACCACATTAAATGGGTGGGTTATGACGAGTCTGAGAATACCTGGGAGCCCGAAGACCATCTACTTCCGTGAGTCTAACCCTCTGGCCGCGTAAAACTTGACCTTACGGAGCACTGACAAAGCTCCTACAGTCACGCAAGAAAGGTCCTTACCAGCTATCACAAGGCCATCGGTGGCCCACCAGGCGCCACTAGCATCAAACGAAGCAAGTCAAAACAGTCTCGGAAAGCACATTCATCTGCAGATGACACTCCAGAACCGAAAAGAAGGAAGAAGAACGGCGAGACTGCTGCGAGTCCAGAACAAGAAATTGGCACATGGACACCCAAAGGTGACAACTGGGAGCCCCAGGTCGACAAGGTTGAAACTATTGAACGTAATCAAGCTGGGCAGCTGACGGCGTTCGTCCTGTTCAAGAACGGGAAGAAGTCGATCGTGTCCATGGAGAAGGTCTATGCTCACTGCCCTCGTCCCATGTTGAAGTTCTACGAGGAGCACCTGAAATTCAAGTATGTCTGACCTTCTCTCTTCGAGCGGCAACCAGCTAACGAAAGAAAACTAGCTGAAAACTGTCTTGCCGCCGAAGTGAAGTTGGCACTTTCTCTCCAATAATTGTACATAACTCTACCTACTTCCGACATCTTGGGTTGGGTTCTCATGAGGTCTTTGTTTTTAGCGTGCTTCGGAGCATGGAGTTCTGTGCATAATGCGGGATGAAAAAAAGGAGGGTGGATGGGCTTGAATTCTAGCCACCGATGCAGCACACCGCAAGACAGATGGCGGATTCGCTGAAGAGTTGCTTTACCCAGTAGCGCCATTGGTCGAGCAGCTGGGAACGAAAGCAGTCAACCGTGAGCTTCACGTTGCGTTGAATTCAGAGGCCGTGGGCTAAAGGAGCTTGTCACGGAGACACTACTCTGTGGGAACATAACAAAGAGCTGAGATCGTCAGATCGCCCGACTCGGCTTGGGAAAAGATCAGTATCACGATGCAAGCTTCAAGCTACATAAGCTGGCTTGGTAATGAGAAGAAGCTTCGAATGATCCCGTCACGGGATCCTGTCCAAGTAAGAAAGAATCATTTCGTTGACCCTGCTCTGCAGACCACGGTCGCATTCCCACACCATTGCGCACCATCGACATCGCCATGGTTCGCGCGCGGTCAGCCAAATGACATGTCCGGCTCAAGCCTATGTACCCAATGTCCACCAGCTGCAAGTCCGTGTGTCGAAAGGCCTCGGACTCCCCGCATAATGTGATTAGTCTGATGGGTAGAAGTGACCGTGGAACTTACGTACCCTATACCACCTGTGGACCTATAGACGCATTGGATACCACACGCCAAAAAGGAACAACCAAGAATCTTGTATCTGGAGAGCCACCAAGCTCCCGGAGTTACATAGGAGAAGCCTACATACGCAGCATACCTGTAGCTGCATTCACACGAACGGCCGCTCGAGGACTCCAGAGCTTTGTAGATTTTTGAAGCGAGTTTGATTGGGCTTCTCTCATTACAATTACAATCATGGGGTATCTCATTAAATTAGAATCGTTTCGTCGTCAACACCCTTCGTCGTGTTTCTCAATACCATCATTATGCCCAGTACTTGCACTTGTCCGCTCCCACCGGTCACAGTGGCTGGCACAGTCTGTCTCATTCCGGTGCTTGTGCGTCCAGAAAATCAATGCGCTGATCATATGCCCTGTGTCCATGTTTGTCGAATATGCGCTGCACATCCGCAGGTTTCGTACTAAAAAGTAAGCGATCGTCCTCATCGGTCCAGACACCTGGCATGTCTTCGGGAACGACGAGCTCAGCCTCGGACACCGCCGCGTAGCTTGATGTGGACGTGCGCCGTCTCTTCCGCCGCAGCTGTTCCAGAAAGCGGTCCACCAGCTCGCTTGCTCGGGGGAAATCACACGATGTGCAATAGGCAGCTTTGTACAAGATGCGTTCCATGTTGCGGAGATTTGGGTATCGAGCCTTTTCCTGCTCCTCCCATTTGTCCATCACCCACTCGCCCCGCTCGGGATCATTGTAGTCGATGTTTTCAGCGTCAGCATGTGGCGGAGGCCGTGGGTCGAGATGAGTGCGGTTTTCCTGCTTGATGTCGATGTCCGGCTGTACGTGCTGTGCAGTGCCAGGTGCTCGTTGCTTATGTAGCGATTTCTTGCTTGATGTTGTGGGCTGATGATCATCCTCGATAGTATCGGCGGCTTCGGAGCCAAGAATGCTGTCCCAACCACCTTCGGGCTCTGGGATTTCAAGATATGTGGACATATCCGCGTCAATATCGGGACCATCGAACAACGCCTGCGTTGAAAGACGTTCCTCTTCACGATTTCGCTTTCGTGGTTGCTCCGGAGCTGTTTCCCATTGATCCATTGTTTCTCGACTAGTTTCAAAGGATTGGGAACCTAGCTCTACCGAAGTTTCGCGAACCCCTGAGATCGGTGGCTTCGGATCTGCTTCGTCTCCATCCTCGTCATCCTCTTCCTCGGGACCATAGGCTGAGGTACCCGAGGAACCGCCCCGAATTTGAGCAACTGGCGGCTTCACATCTAGCTCTTCGGATTGATAACTTGACGATCTGGACGATGCATCAGCCGCAGGCACGTCCCATTGGCCTTCGCTCATCAAGTTGAGTCGCAGGGGACTTGTCAATTGTTCGTCGTCTGGAGGCACTATATCTTGTTGTTCTGTATCCTGTATTTCTAGCTCTTTGAATTCTTCATCTTGATCATCCTGTGCCACGAATAGCGGAGAGAAATTTTCTGGTTGTGGCGGCAATGAGCCTTGTGAACGCGACGGGGATGGAGCAAAAGGTGGTGAAGATTCTAGCCCCTCGGTCTCAGTCGAGAGATGGATGGCAGGCGGTTCTCGAGGAGGCTCTTTGTCAGTACTGAGGGAAGAGTCTTGTTGGATGTCAAGATTGCGAGGATCGTCACGTAGCCGCTGTCTGTGTCGCGCATGGGTCGTGGCAAAGCTGAATGGTGGTGCAGCCGTATCGAGTTTGAGCTCCCTTGTGTCCTGGTGTTCCTCAGGTGGTGGCTGAGCCTCTTTAGATTGGGCCTCGCCCATCACTAAACCAAGGGAGTGTGAATTGGTCTGAGCTTGACTTTCATTGCTGGACTGATTTGTGCCTTGAGTCGACTGCGACTGCGTAACGCGTCCAGCACTTCGTTTTCTCGCTTCGTTTGGCTCTGGAGGTCGGCTCAGTATGGGAGACTCCGGTTGAAACGACGGCGATCTGGTTTCGCGTTGTCCTTCCGGAATTTTAGATTCGTCTCTTACGGCACGATGAAGATCCACAGAAGGAAGCTTTGGTGACACTTTGATAGAACTGACGATTGGTGTGATGGCGAATTTTGGAGGTGACAATAATAAAGGCGTTTGAGGCCCCTGCGGCTCAGAGTCTTCTGCTTCACCCAGCGCATCGAGACCCATGGTAGACGGCCTGGGCACGCCGTGGGTTCTCAAAAAGACTGCGCATGGCTTGCACAAAGCCCGCCCCTTTTTGTCGTAATGCCATTTCTCAGCTTCACTGGCGTAGCAGTTGCTACATGCAAACGCTTGTTCTAATGACTCAGCCGGCCTGTCCCCATGCTGGGCGTCACCAGTGTCACTGGAAAGCTCCTCGTCCGGTGCGCCATTGTCTTGCTGCATGAACAAATAAGGCGCAACTTCTTCAATCCGTAAGTCTTTTTCTCTGCAATAGTCGGGCAACACTCGATACTCAAACCAATGCTTCCACTCTTCCGCGCTATGGTGCTTGAAATCTTTTGATGAAGCCATATCTCTCCAGACGTCGAGGAACTGCCCAGGTGTCATGTTGGTCAGCTCTGGCACCAGTCTGTAAAGTTCCAGGGAATCCTCCTTGGAGAATGGCCCTGTTATGCCATCCAGAAACTGTTTTTCTGATTCTGTAACCGATTCTGTATCCTCATTCTCGTGGTGAGCATCGCCCTCTCTGCTCCGAACATCAGGCTCATTCTCAGGTTCTCTCGCCTGAGTCTCAGGCTCAGTACGCTCCACCGGTCGCTCTGCTGGGGACCTCTCGGTCGATGGCTCAATCGCAGCAGATTCGACAGATAATCTAGGGGTTGATTGTACCGGTCTTTTGGCCTTGCGTCGAGGCTTTACTTCGGAGGCAGGTTCGCCCTCGTCCTCAGCAAATGGTCGCCTCTTCTTCTTGGGTGATACCGACGTTCTGGGCTGTTCTTGTTCTGGCTCCAAAACCGAACTCTCGCGAGCTATGTGTACTTGATCAGGCTCTGGTTCTGGTCCGTCTACGTGATGTGGCCTTGTTGCATGAGAATTCGTGACTGATCTCTTCTGGTATCGCGTGCTCTTCAACCATCTGTCCCGCCAACTTTGGAAGGTATGTCTTGGATTTGCCTGTTCGATTTGCTTGTAGACCTCGTTGCCCTTGTATGCACCACCGTTCTCTTCAAATGGTATCATCCAATTCCACAGAAACTGGTCGTCCGCTTCCGTGTAGGGCACCCTTCCACTTCTTGGAGCCGTGACCGTGCTTCCTACGGGCCGGGAGACTCTTGTAGGGGCCCCGACTGCATGAGATGCGAGGTCCTCCAGCTCGCCCCTCCGGATGGACAATTCGACGTATCTGTAAGAGTGTGTGCCCGGAGCCTGGTTCTTTCTTGCATGATCAACAAGCTTGATGTCTGCCTGCTTGTCAATGTCGACAATGGTGGCCCCGTTGAGCCTGGCATTCTCGATGAGCCATTGCCGCTGTGGAATCGTGTGAGCGAACCACAGTTTCTGGCCGGTGAACAATTTGTGAGTTTCACTGTGGTCTGCGGTTGTATGTCTCTCAGCACGCGGAACATCAACATAAACGATGTGCGAGGTCATGTCTCGGCGACCTCTACCGGGGCATTATGGTGTCTTTGTCGTCTGGATAGCAAGCATCTGACCGGACAAGTTGTGCGATTCTCGTGAAGCGCAGCAAAGGTGGGTGCGTCGCGCGGCCAGACAGACCTGCACTCAAGAATCGCGAGAGCACGTGATTTAGCCGTGTGAGAGGGGTCTCGGAAAGACAAGCAGCAATCGCGACGAGTCCCGGATCGAGGCACTGGGCCCGAAGATACACCTCGCAAAACGGAATTCAGCGCGATCGTCTATGGGCCAGTTTGGTTTGCATGTGGGGAGAACAAGACAGACAAACACAGGCAGATTTGGGGCATGAAATCCACCCGGTACTCGTGCTCGTCTCGACTACTGGAGTCTGGCAGTCCCGTGGCTCTCTGCCCTTTGAATTGGCCTCTTTCCGATTCGTGCTGCCGATAGCTTGCTCTCCAGCCGCTGCCAGTTCTAAGGGTGACCCCACCGGCCTTTCCTGCCTTCCTGCCTTTTCTCGTGCCCTGAGCAAGTGAACATTGGCAGTTCAGGGACTTGCGCTCAAAGCTTCCCGACTGGGTGCCCGATACCGACACAAAGCAGACCACCGACCACGGATCAATTTATTTGTTCCGTCTCAACTTCCTCTGCCTACCTTACCCTTCCAGCGTCCCTCGACTGCGCTCTACACGTTCACTTGATCTCACCTCTCATCATCTCTCCGCCAGGTCTATCTCCAGCTGACTCTCTACTCACCGCCTCAACTTCCTGTGCAAACACCAGACAATCCCCCAAACCTCCCCTCCGGACTCTTATCAACCATGTCTTCAGATCTCACCTTCGCCGAGGTGTCCAAACACAACAGCAAGAAAGATCTCTACCTTATCATCCACGACAAGGTCTATAACGCCTCATCTTTCGTCGATGAACATCCGTAGGTCCTCCAAATCCTTCCTGTACCAACATATCCTAAGCATCGATATCTTTCATCCCCCACCCTTCAATGCCCCACATTGATTTTGAAATCAATATTCCAAGACCTCCTACCAGGAAGGGTGGAAACAAAGTGATTAATTTTCGGTTTCTAGTGGCGGTGAAGAAGTCCTCCTCGATGTCGGCGGTCAAGACGCTACCGAAGCATTTGAAGATGTCGGTCACTCAGACGAAGCCCGCGAAATCCTCACAGGACTCTTGGTTGGAGATCTGAAGCGGGTTCCTGGCGACCCAGCTCCCAAAATTGGTGCTACCGACAAGATTGCTGCTGGACCTGGAGGGAGAGATGCTGGTACTGGTATGGGTGTTGCTATGTATGTCGTCCTGCTTGTTGGCGCCGCAGCTGCATACTTCGGATACACATATATGCAGAGCCAGGACTCCAAGTAAATTTGCGCAAGTACAAAAGAGCGAAGATACAGAACGGCCTTTCAGTGGACAAGTCCCCCGGGTGGATCTGGCGGTAATGATCAGCAGTCTTTGATTTTTGGTTGGGACAGATATGCATTAAACGGGCATGTTGCCATTTCCCAGCCGGCGAGATGAACAGCGTGCATTGCACATTTACTAGACGAGAATCCATCTTGCGCCTAGCTACGTAGACAGCAAACCACCAGAGCTACAATCTTCAAGTTCAATCCTTGTCGTACTCGCTAATTCTGACAACATGGGTATAATTGAATTTCAATGCTTAGCCTTCGTGGTTTTCGTAATGTTTGGATCTCGCTGTGATCATCTCCCAGGGGCGCAGTACTACACTTTCCAAGTTCAAACAGGCCGGAAATTGCGAGAGTGCTTCACCTGGCGAGAGACAAACATACAAAAAGGCGCGCTCAATTTGCATCGCATTCGTTCCCTGGCCAATTTCAAGAAGTTCCCACGATACTCTCGCTATCAATTCAATCCACCCCAAACTCTCAGCCCTTTTTCTTTCTTCGACCTCCTACCGGTAGTAACTATACCTGCCTTCCACACCTCCCACACCAGGAGCCTGCGGCGCCGCAGCCACGCTCGTCGGCCGCTGGTTGTACGCCTGGTATTGCTGACCGTGGGGATTGGCATTCGAGTTCGGAGAGAAGGTAGGGTACGGCGACGACTGGGCTAGGGGGGTCACTGGACGGTCAGGTCCTGCCCCTGGTATCGGTGGTGGCCCATGACTCGGTGCGATTGGTTGCGAAGGTTGCTGACTGTAGTCATACGGCAGCTGTGACGGCGCTGACGATGGTGGGTAAATTGGATTTGTGGGAGCCTGGTAGGCTTGCTGTTGTTGTGGTTGCGGTGGAGGAATCTGGGTTTGCTGCTGGGGCGGAGGAGGAGACATGCCTTGGTTGTGTAGGTCTTCCGTCGAGTAATTCGAGGGTGAGTAGTCCTTGTTATTGTCCTGATATTGCAGTTGCGTGATGTTCGGCGGCTGCACGCTGGGATACTGAGACTGCTGCTGCGGTGGCCGACCGTCGGATGGCGGCGGTGGCGCATTGCTAGGGGGAGGGTATGCCGCGTACTGTTCGGGCTGCGATTGTCGACGGGTGGGCGCCGATGGGTATGAAGGGTAGTTGCCGTCCGCTGGAGGTTGAGAAGGTGGCTGATTCGCTGGAGTATGACTTTGTGGAGGTGGAGAGGCTATAGGGTAGGGAGGCTGGAAGGGCGTTGGGTTCCCGTACGGTACGGCGTTGTTAGGCGGTTGACCATCTGGATGAAAGGACTTAGACATGGCTTAGGGTTCGATTGAGCTCTGTTACTCACCAGGAGTATAGTATCTCTGCGGAGGATAGCCCTGTGGCGGTGGGCCTCCTCCGTACCCGAATGCTGCTGGGCCAGGACGGGCATATGCTTGTGCTGATTGAGCCATAGACGTCTCAAGCAGCGCCTCGTAGTCTCGTCGTGCCTTGATGAATTTCTCGTTCAATTGCTGGAAGTCATCTGTGAGGCGGTCAGCGGGCTGCTTGTTCAACGGCTAGGCTTCTGCACAGACCTTTCTTCTGGGTATACTTCCCAATCAACTCGATCAGCTTTGGCCTGATTGATAAGGTGCTGTGGTACAGCTCTGTTATTTCTTCGTTGTCTCTGACATTCACGTCGGTAGCGCTCGTGCTCAACAATGCCAGCAGCTTCTCGACGTTCTTGATTTGTCCAAACACCTCGGCTTCCATTTGCGCCTCCTTCTGCAGCTCGTCTGGTGTCGGATCTTGTAGTTTCTCAACGTAGTTCAATGGAAATATGCCGGTTTGACCTCGGAGTGAGCCTTTCCACCAATCCTTGTACACTGATTCGAGTACTGCAATTACGTCGCCCTTGCGGAACTGTAATTCACCCGGCTCGGAGGGTTGAAAGTCGAAGAGTGCCCGCACTCGCGAAACTGTTGCAGCTGTCGTTCCTGAAGGGACTGGCTGATGAGCTGCTGGCTGCGCCGAGGAGGACGGCTGTGCTGGTAGTTCTGCCGCAGGGCCGGAAGGCTGAGTTGTGGATGGAGCTGGCGTCTTGTCCTGGATTGATAATCTGAGGGCCATCTGCAATTCTTCTTCCTCTTTTTGCCTGTCATATTCTGTGATTTGCCTCTTACCGGGGGCTTGTGGGGGTTGTAAATTGGGATCTAGACTCGTCAGTTATCTGCGGGCAGGCCTGCTCTTGCGCGTCCAACTCACTTTGTGCCTTTAGCCTCATGAATGCCTGTTCCATGATACCCAGTTCGGTGTTGCTAGAGAAGTCTTTGGACCAAGACTCCATGCGTTCCAGTATTTTCGACTTGACTTGCTGATGCGTATTCTACATCCTGTCAAAAGCCATCTCTACGACGGTGTAGACTGCTTCGCTTACCCTGTCATTTGCCAACCTCAGAAGGGCGTCTGTAAAACTCCTTGAGGCCAGCTCTCTGTGCATGACGATTCCACAATTCTGTGCGAGCGAATTCGCAAGCTCAAGTGTGTACAGCTGAACGTTGGCATTGCGATGAGCCAGTCGCTTGATCATACCAGCCACTACATCTTTCGCTCCGGTGTCACTTGCTGATACTTTGTCGCACACGTCGAGGATATACTCCCAGTTCTCGGAGGTCAGGTTCTCGTCAGTCGCCTTAGCTATCGTAGGGTCAGTCGATGCAATACTAGGGCTGCCATGAAGCTTACCGACAGCATCGTCAAATGTGTTCTGCTGTGCCCGGAACATGGCGGGCGAAAGACTATGGCAGAGTGCTCGAGGTCGTGAGAAATGGACAAAGGGACCTTATATACAGAAAGAAGAAAGGATTCGCTTGGGATGTGTTTAGAGAACGATTCTCGTGCTTCTTGTTGGCCGCAGCCTAATGTACTTGATTTGGAGAGTGACGCAAGGCCAAAGCGGGTGAAGAAGGTTCCACATATCACGCGGAAGCTAAGAGCTGGACACAGCCACACAGCCACACGGCCTCTACGAAGCGACGAGGGACCACGGATGCCCGAGACAAAGAATAAACGATGTTAAGGTCTCGGAATAGACATGCTCTCTCATATTCGAAGCTGTCTCGTTTGCATTTCTTGTCTCCCTTTCTGTTACACATCGAGGTACAAGATCCTACCTATCTTACGCAGTGTAGACCTCTAGATATCGCAATGAAGTCTTTCTGTGCTTTGCGCTAAAACCCGATCACGGAACAGTCCATACCATATCCGATATTCGACCAAGAACTCCATGGCCATCGTTCAATCATAATGCCCTCCTTAGAAGACCGTAGAAAAGGAGGTCCGCTCCAATATCCTCCGGGCTACGTGAGCAGAAAGAAGGCTGCGGAACACATTTTGAGCCGTAAAATCGTGAAAAAGTGTAGCACACCAAGCAAAGTCTCTTCCTATAACTGGCTTTCATGTTGTAACACAGGAAATGCTGTTCGGTGCCTGTGGAGACATTAAGGGACGTCGAAATCCCGTCTGTATAGGCGGATATTGGGCCGTATCGCGCCTGAACACGCCAGAATAGGTGTCGCATTAATTGTACAGAGGAACCGAAAGTGACAACTATTAGTTGCCACGATTGGCCTTTTCTGCAGCCCTGCTTTCTCGAGCTGATTGTACAAGCGGAGCGAGGCTGATGAGTGGTGCACAGTTATGCATGAAAGGATGCTGCGGAACGGGTTAGAGAGTTACCTGAAGGACAAGTTGTTGACTTACATGAAGCAGATCATGAGCACTCGCTCGCTTTTCGGGCTCCACCCTCAAGGCGAAATGCAGGAAGTCGCGTAAGACTGGTGACAAGTCGCCCTCATTCTTGATCTTTGGTGTCCCGTACTTAGCGATCAGATACAAAGCTCGTAGAGGCGACTCGGTAAGATAAGGGGGTTCTCCTTCGATCATTTCGATAGCCATAATGCCCAGACTCCAGATGTCAACCTTGCGACCATATTCTTTTCTTGTGACGACTTCTGGTGCCATCCAGTATGGAGTTCCCACCATAGTGGTCCGTTTGTTCTGACTGTCATTGATTTGTGCGCAGAAGCCGAAATCAGTCAGCTTGATTTCGCCTCTTTCAGATAGCAGGATATTGTCAGATTTGATGTCCCGGTGGATCACGTTCTTGGAGTGTAAGTGCTGGAGGCCGTATAATGTCTTAAGACAATTAGTATGGTGTCAAGTTGGATCCTAACATGCACTTACTTCTCTGCAGACAGCGGCAATCTGCGCCTCACTCATGACATTGAAGGTCACAACATCCGTAAGGCTACCTCCTTGCATGTATTCCATCACGACCCAGAGGTCACCTTCGTGCAGGTAGCTGTCGATGAAGTTGACAATGTTCTTATGCTTGCTGTCTTTCATGACGATAATTTCGTTGATGATGAGATCCTTTTTGGGTTGCTGTTCCAGGTTCATCTGCTTAATGGCAACACATCTCCTCGTGGCCATCTCATATGCGGTGAACACTCCTCCTGAAGCACCTTGTCCAATTTTGTTGAGACTGTTGTATTTCATGGTGGGATCACCGGGGGTGCAGATAGCCTGTAACCGAGCGGTGACATCCACAATGTTGCTTTGCTGTCGTTTTGCTCGAGGCCGAGGACCCGGCACCGGGCCGACCTTGGCCAGCTGTGCCTGACCTTGTAGGTTTGGTGATTCCCCCGCCGCAGCAAACTGAGTTTGAGGAACATGGGGACTGTACTTCTGAGGGAGTATTTTGGGTGGGACCTCGGGAGCTCCAGGGGCAACTTGACGTTGACTTCGGCTCCGGTCAAGCTGCTTGCTCTGAATGGCTTGCTGTGCTACCATCATCGCTTGCTCTTGCTGTTGCTGATATTGGGCAGGTGACTGGATCGCCGGCTGCGCCTGCGGCCGTGGAGGGGATGACTGGAGAGCTTTGGTAGAATTGGAGCGACTGAATGCTTCTTCTTGCGCAATCTGCGGCGAGGAGCTTGGTATTGTTCCGGCTGGTGTTTGAGGCTTTGGAGATTGCTCGTAAGACCGAACCGGCAGATCATGCTTGAACGGGGGAGGCGGCGCCGGTCGAGCTGGTGCCAGATCCCTAAGATTGTGTGTAGGAGGTTTTGGAGCTGGTCGGTTGGGCATCATCATCGCAGGAGATTGGCCTGGCTTGCTACCCATTGCAATGGTTGAAGGGCCCCTCGGTACCGGTGGTGCGGCTCGAGGATTTTCGAAGCTGCCTTCATGATTTTGAGGGAATCGAGGGCTTGCAGGCGGCGAGATGACGCCAGCAATAGGCGAATAAGCAGCCGGGTTGGTACCGATATTTGGTGTTGTCATTGTTGGACTTTGATAACTGTTGGTACTGCTCTGTGACGAATCCGATAGTTTCGCATGGTCGAATTTCTGCCATACTCCATCGTCCATTCCGCCAAAATTGCTCTTGTACGTTTCGACGATGTTCATCATCATCTGGGGATTTTGATCCTGCTCATTCTTGGAGATACCACTGTCTGAGAGTATTCGCTGCCAATCCGCAGGAAGTCCCTATGGTCAAAAATTAGCCAGGAGACCCAAGGACTAGATTATGCTCCTACCGTAAATTGCCCAGTCTGATTGTCGTAGCCAACATGAATCATGTGCATAGGATTCTCTGGCGCAGAGATCTTGATACTTCTTGGGGATCCTAGCATGTTGTTGACGAAGCTTGAAAACCCGCTCTTCTTTCGAAATGGCCCCGGCGGCTTTGTGCCATCACCAGAGAAGCGCTTAGGACTGAGGATGCCATTCTCTGATTTGGGCGGAGTGACTTCCATCATGGCAATGCCGGAAGACGCCGATGTCTGTGACAGTCCGCCCGAAGGGGTGCGCGATTCGGGGCTCGTGTGGTTGCGAGTAAGTTGTGGATGTTGTGAGTTCTGCATCATGGCATTTTGTTCCCTGATTGTTCCCGTGGCTTGGAATGAAGAGAGAAGTCCCGAAGCGTCAAAAGGCGCGCCTATCAAGTCGTTGTGACGTTCATCTGAGGTTTGCGGGGTGGGAGGATAGTGTTGCGGTGGTAGGTATGTGTCGCCAGTGGCAGGGGCGAAGAAACCGTTGGCGGGAATGATGGGAGATGGACTGGCGCTGATCTGTTCGAGAGAAGAATTCGATCCGTAGACGCCGGATTGAGATCGATGGTGGAAGTCGCGGGCAGATTGTGAGGCTACTTGCGTGCGCGGGTATGGAGATGGTGCTGATGGTGCCCGTTGGAGAGTGGCCGATGACTGCGGTTTTCGTAGTGAAGGGAGCTTAGAGGGAAAGGCAGAGGGCGGAGGATTCTTGGTAAGGGTTGCTCGACGTCGTTTAGTCGAAGCAGAGGTGTCAGGATGGATGTCGGAGTTCATGTTTTGAACTGGCAGGTCGTTGAAGTTGGCAGGAAGCGGGCAATTGAGCCAACCACACCTCTGACTCGCGATCGGCGGGCGAGAATGAGAGGCACAGCGCTTAACCAGGAACAGACGCGCAGACCATGTAGCTGTCAAGGGTATTCAACGGTGTGGGCAGGAGCGAGCATCGTCAAGATCCTGGTTAAGAGTGTCCTGTGTGTGTAAGGTTAAGATGTTGTGGGTGATGTGAAGAATGAGAGGAGTCTGGTCTGGTTGATTTGATTTGGTCTGCTTTGCGTTGCGGCCCAGACAGCGGATCACACAGCACAGCACAGCCTGGGACAAGCTTCTCGACCAGGCACAACCCCCGGAGCTGCAGAACGTAACACTTGAACTAGGTAAGGTTCCCTTTCTGCCACGCCTCTACTAGTATGTAAAGTACATAGTGAATGCTTCCTATTCAACAGCTGTCAGTTTATAGATCCTCGCGCTATTGTGGCTGCTGCTTGCCAGTCGGGCAGCCAACCCAAGCAAACATATGCAAAGTCTCATCTATGATAAACAAACATGAGCAGAGCCACTTTTTACCGCATGCTCTCTCCTTCATATGGAGTACTCCGTATGGCAAGTAGCCTGATCCACAACGTGATCCTGGCCAGGCCAGGCCTCCTCTGGTCAGTATTTTCCAAAATGAGTCTATATTTCGTTGTCGACGACAGTGTCGGTGACAACAATCACCAAGCCACCAGGTGTTGCCACCAGGATGCTGTCACTTACCAACTGCCTATCCGCGGCTGTGCTGTGATGCTAGATGCGTCAGGTCTTGCATAGAGCACTTGTCACCGCCCCGGTCGCAACCATCTCCACTATCCGCTGAATGGACGCCTCTATTGCCATCCATTCAATCGATAACATGCACCTCTGAATATCGAAATTTCCCCGATGATCATACTGGTAGGCATGATCTTCAGCCGATCACAGCCTGCGCACACCGGGCTTGACAGACGGCACTGCCACCTCCACGTGTGCTACAACGTCCAAATCAACTCTAAAGGCACGCGCAATGTACGAGCGTACGATCGACGTCCAGTTTTGAGCTGAGTGCATACACTTGATGATGGCAATCCTCCATGCTCGAACGTTTGCGTCAGGAAAACTTCAACATGCAAGCCTCCAATACTCCAATCAATCTAGAAGCTCCACAGTGGACAAACATGGGTGTCCTGAAACAATTGAGGCGCCGTCACCAACCCAGTCCGCTTGTTACTCCAATAACAGTCTGGAATCATTGCTGCTGTCAAAGCATTTCCGGGTATGCTCACCAGGAACATCCGCTGCAAGGGAGCCTCATCCATTGGACACTGAGAGCTACGAGTACGGGCCTGCCGGGTTGGGTTTCTTTCGCAGTGCAGGGTGCCATTCGAAGCAGAAAATCCTCTGCCCATTTCCGATGGGGTTGTGGGCGCCGCAAAATCTCCTCATCGAATCCATACAAGCCTTACTTTCCACCTTCATCTTTCTAATACCAAACAATCTGCACCATCACAGGATGCTAGACATCCAGGGCTGGGATCCCTTGCCTGAGCACTGATGGAATCCCAGTGTGGAATCTCATACATTTTCTCTCTGCTCGTTTCATCCCAGGGCTTCTTCATCTGGATACACAAACTCCGACAGGTCCAAGGATAACAATTCCACAACTTCAAACTTTGTCAAATTGTCACACGTTTCGGATGTCGTGAAAGGAAGTACCGTGTAATCTAACACAGCTTGCAGCTTGCACAAGCGCCTACGACTTGATGTGGCTTTGCCTTAGATAGAAAGGTCATGCACAAGGGAGTCCGACCTCATTGACATGACCTCACGAAAATGACTTCATGAGTTGAGGCAAGGTATTTTGCACAAGCGAGCGGTGCTGCCGCCAGATGCTTTTTCATCTCGCTTCCACGAGTCTCTGATACGACTTGCCCGCAAGACTGAACCTGTACAATCCTGTGGCGTCGCTTATATCTCTTGAAAGGTATCTTGCAGGTTGTTCGAATGACCCCATCATACCCTAAACGCTGAAGTGAGAAAGTTCGCATGCGCAAATGCGAATGGACCTGGCATACAGGATTGTGCACAGGACTTACCCTCTAAGGATTTACCGGGCAGATTGTGAACGGAAGATGTGGCACCTTCTAACAAGGACGGCATCATGGCAAGAGAATATCTGGTCGGAAGGGGCCATTCTCGCCGCCAGACTGTCCCATTTCGCGGTGGTCAGGCTATCGCTTGACTCTGAAGATCAACCACCTGGCATCACGTATCTCCCAGGACCTTGGCCAACTGACTAAGAGGAACTTTAATGCAGGGGCAAATGACACCTGCGCAGGAGAGAAAAGAACCTCAAATGGGGGAACAATCCATTGCGCTTTGGTTACCGTACGGCGAATGAGCTTTCCAACTTCTTGCTCTGAACAATGGTGCTGAATACCACCAGATTATCTACACTTGCGTGAATCTGGAATCCTCTCTTATTTCTAGCCGCTATTTTCTCTTATAATCTATCCAAACGACGCCACGCTTGTTCTAATCTAACACAAACCTGGGATGAAAATGTTCAGCTCGCCGCCTTCGCGGCAATCGCCCGACCGCCAAAGCCCCAAGAAATCTGGTTCGCAAGTTGAATTTCCGTACCCAACTCCTCTGCGAAAGTCCATACTGTAAGGCAAATCGTCAGCACGCTGTGTTGATAACGATGGGGACGAAGGAAAGGACCATTGTTTGAGCGGCACAATCCATTGGTGAAAGGGGAGACTTACCAAGACCGGGATTCTTCTGGAAGTAGCGGCCGACGAACACTGCATCGACGCCAGACTGCACGATCTCCTCGGCCTGCGGGCCGTTCGTAATGGTGCCAACGGCTGTTACCAACAACTTATCACCAACCTCCTGCTTGACAGCCTTCGAGAACGGCACTTGATACCCCGGCCCTCCGGAGATCTTCTGTTTCGGATGGAGCCCGCCTGAACTTGTATCCAGCAGATCCACACCGAGTTCCGCCAAAACCGGCGCAAGCCGCACCGTATCCTCAATCGTCCAGCTCTCGGGGAACTCATCTTGGCCCTTGAGCCAGTCATCCGCACTGATTCTCAAGAACAACGGCATATCCTTCGGGATAACCGCACGCACAGCCTCGACGATCTCCCTTGTCAAGCGAGTTCTGTTCTCCCACGACCCGCCGTACTGATCTGTCCGCAGGTTGCTGACTGGGCTCAGAAACTCGTGCAGGAGGTACCCATGAGCATTATGGATCTCGATAACATCGAATCCGGCCTCTATGGCGCGCTTCGCCGCCGAGACGAAAGCGTCCTTGATCCGTTGTATGCCTTCAAGTGTCAAGGCGTTCGGGTGCGGGAATGTCGGTGAGAAGGCAATTGCGCTCGGTGCGAGTGTCTCGTCTGGCCAGCCGTTTGCTTCCTTGACCGCGGTGTCGCCCAGGCTCAGCCACGGCGCGACGGTGCTGCCCTTGCGACCGGCGTGGCCGAGCTGAATACCGATCTTCTGGCTTTGGCTGTGGGCAAACTCGACGATGCGCTTCAATGGCGCAATCTGGCCGTCTTCCCAGAGGCCGCCGTCCTCAGGGGTGATGCGGCCTTCGGGCGTGACGGCATTAGCTTCCACGAGAGCAAACCCAGGACCGCGTTGGATGATTCCTCCGAGATGGGTAAGGTGCCAGTCAGTCAGGTAGCCATTTTGCGCCGAGTATTGACACAGTGGGGAAAGCCAGATGCGGTTCTGGAAAGTGACGCCGCGTATTGTCAGAGGTTGGAAGATCTTAGGGATAGCACGTCCATTGGGTTGGGTTTCCTTTGCCGTCCCAGCCGGAGGGATTTGCGCTGGAGTGAAGTATGAGATGCCTTTGGCGGCTTGGTTGACAATCAGGGGCCTTTCTTCAACGGATCCCATGGTGGTGGATGGATATTTCACAGATAGGCAACGTGCAGGGCGGATTGGGAAGGATACGATCGAAAGAAGGGCGGCAACTAAGGACTGCTGGCTGGCGTGACGATGCAAAGATGAAGCCCTAGTGGGGAGCTGGAGTGGCATTTATATGATTTTCCTACCTAGCAAAGCCTTATCTCAGGAAGCACGGATGGGCAACCCGATATGTTGCAAGCCGTCAAGGCTTTGAAATCCAAATCCACAGATTCTTTCTCACAGACAACCGCCCATCATCCGCCAATCATCTTGAGCTGAACAATGATAATGGCATGATCGTGGCCATTGGCATTATGCAAAGTGATGGTTCCAGGCTCCACGCCTCAACATCCGAGACGTCAACTACTCCGAATTACTTAGTTGAGGATCGAGGGATGCAGCCCCCTCCGAGTTCGGGAACGAGACGTCTTTTCCATCCCCTAGGTAGAGATGACGTGACATGAGCCCTTTCGAGAAAAATCCTTTTGAAAATGCTAACTACACAGTAGGTGCTTATTAAGCTCGTAGGGGTCCTCGCTGGGTACAATGTCAACTTATTTGGGTCGCCGAACCCTGTCCGAATGCTTTTGCTTTCGAATGACGAACAGAACCGCCGGTCAAAAAGTCTTTTCTTCCATTTCTACAGTGTTCGTGAGTGTTCTACTGCGTCTACATAGTAGTCACATTACTCGTGACTACTGTGGCTGCTTCGCCTGACCATTCACCCTCTTCCAAGTACGAAGGTCCTGTTCGTACATGCATCGCCACCTCAGGATGTCCGGAAGGCGCAGGCTTTGGATTATTACACACACCTGCGAACAACGTCAACTCAGCGGCAACCTAACCGCGGAGTCAGTCTTGTCGCAAACACGAATGGCTGACAAAAAAGCCATATCCCTTGTTGGGGACACTGGCCCAAAATATTCCATTTGCGCATCACGGCTCTTCTCTCTTTTCGTCCTGCTCATCAGCATTGTTGGTGAAGTGAATATCGAATGAACAACTGTCTACCATCTCATAAACGCTATTGTAGGAAAATCGCTCAACGATGGAAATCGCTCGCAGCCTGGCTCTGATACTCCAGTATACTAAAATCGTAACTCATCTTGCCTTCAGGGGCCGAGTCGCTGCTGGGTGCGAGCTCAACCTCATTAACCATACAGTCCCATGAATCCCGGCGGCAAGGACAAAACTCATGGCCGTCAATCAAACATTCCCAATAACAACCATATATCTGAGTTTACCTTCTTTGCTGGTCTTAGCGGAGTCGACGCTAATGCCGTCATCCAGCTGCATCTGGCTGCTCTTCCAACCCCAGCTCTTACTCACATCGAATCGATCCGGGGCGCTTTCGTAGATGCTGAGAAGTCGACCGGCCTTGCTAGGCGAATATATCTTGAAATACGTCCGAATCGTTGGTCGCGAGTCCATGTAAGGCGGCATGGTTGAAACGTTGTATTTCCTGTTCCTGCGCACCAGCTCTTCATCTTCTCCATCCTCGTCCAACATCTGCGCGCCAGAGAGGATACTAGTCGATTCTCCAGTAAATGCTCCTGCGCTACTAGGCGTTTGGGATGTCTTGTTGTGTGATGCTGATTCACCCAGCCCCAGCCGACGGTTGGCTGCGGTGGTGTCGACCTCGCCAGAACGGACGTCGGCAGAATCGAACTCACCAGACACGAAAGTATCATCTTCACGGTCAGCGTCTAATCCTCGAGCGTCTTCGTTTGCACGCCAGATCTGGTTCCGCCGCTCGTTCTTACGAAGCAGCATTTCACGCTCAAGTTGTCCGATCCGATCATCGACAGTAGCGGGTATAAACTGAGCCAAAGGATCATCATTTGGATCCTTATCTTTGGCACGGTGCAAGTAGATGCCCAGCTGTTGGCTTTTGGAGTTGTTGACTCGTTGGATGTACAGATTCCACAAGCTTCCAGCGTACCAGACGGTCTGGGAATAGACTCGTTTCTTCTCTTTGAGTGATCTCGGATTTGGAAACTCGGCTGAGAAGCGGAACGGCGGATAATAGCTGAATCGTGGCGCTCCTTCCGGCGAGTAGCTTCTCGATGGTGGTCTCCCACTTTCGATCACATTTTGGCCGGTGAAATCGAGCGCCCATGCAACATCAGTCGGTTCGAGACTTGCCGACAGTCTGGCCGCATTTGTGCTCCAGTCGGCGCCGGTCGTCGAGTTTGACGCTACACATGCTTCGCGTGTCCCGCCCATCACACAGGACACATCATGGCTTGGTATCCAGAACTTTCTGGGCTTACCATTACCATCCCAGGAGCCCGACTCCATTTCCTGACCGGCTTCGCTCCTCTCATCTTGCTCCCTTCCTTTTCCCTTGATCATGATCGAGTCTTGTTCAGCCAGTACCACTTCATAATCATCGGCGACTTCACTCAACCCGAGTTCGATGTCACCATCTCTGGAGTTGAGCACCTTCTGCCGCAGCTCCATCGACATCCACAAAGCATCCGAGATCACTTTTTCTGGAAGTATCGGTACTCCGAGTATATCCCGGTGTGTGCGAATTTGCTGTAATTGCTCAAAACGTAGATGCACGTAATGGATGCCTTCATCAAGCAGCACGAGTAGCGGGGCAATTTCCGTCGCTGTATACAACCCAATCCAGGCTTCATCTTTCTCGGACACATACCGGTTGTGACCTGCTATACTGTATGGTGCATCAAATCGTACAGCAAAAAAGCGAAGACTTTTCGGCTTCGGATGAAGGTATCTTCCACCAGGCGAAACCAGGCCATTTTCAATCGCCTTGGCCCTGAGACGACGATTGAGCAGCTTTGTGGCTAGGTACCACCTGTCCCATTCGCCAGGGACGAAGAACGGATCACCGCCCACTATTTCGCGGATGATCTCAGCGGGTATCTCGTCCCAATACTCATAGGGCATCTCCCAACCCTCTCTGCATAGCATAGCTTTGGCTGAAGCAAGAATGCGATCGCCGGACTTGCCGTAGTAGTTGTTAGTCACCAGTTTGATCAAGCCGGCAAGTGTAGAAGGTTGCATCTGACGAAGAACAGTCTCCACGCACGAATCGACCAGGTCAGGCATGTCGAGCCAACAAGCCGTCGCAAACAAACCAATTGCTTCTTCCTCTTCCTGCATTGGAAACTGCGTACCATAAATCCTCTTTAATGCAAGCTCGAATGCCGATCTCGTGATGTTTGAATCAATTTCTTCTGGCAAAATGGTCATCTCCTTGGCACTGCTCTCTGCCCAAGAACCAGAGAACGCCGACGCGAAGAAGGGGACGCGGTCAAGGAGCAGTTTGTGGAGCCTATAGGCCCGTCCAAAAGCGTGGATGGTGATATCAGAGTGGCGCCCTTGCTCAAACCCATAATGCAAAAGGTGCCCAGTCAAAGTCGTGGTGTCGCTCAAGCCGCGAACGATACCTGGCATGGGACGCATATACGAAGGACCCCTAGAAATCCCTGGGCTGGGTGCGTCGCCCGGAACAAAAAGACGAGAAACGGTGGCAGGAGTACTCGCAGGGCCAAAATCGAAGGTATTGGTGGTCGAGTTTGTGGTAGGATCGTCGACATCCTTCTCCGGGTTAATCATAAGTTGCCTGCTGTTTAGGCCTGGAGACAATGTTGAAGCAGCATCGCCAGCACGGCCGTTGATTCGCCGGCTGCCACCAGCGTTGGTCAGAGCAGCCAATGGCCCTGCATTGCCGGATGACACTGCAGCACTGAGGGAGGCCAGGGCTGTATTTGCCGAGATGGAAGCAGTAGGCGGACCAGACACGAATATAGACCGCAATGGAGGCTCGAATGAAGCGGCCGGAATGCACTGGTCTACATGAGTCGCAGGCAAAACTTGGCTCGCAGAAGCTGTTCTCCGTTGGGAGAGAGGTCTCGAGGTTGGGGCACTACTCGTGGCCTGCTGAAGTGGTGACCTGACGATGCCCGAGCCGGATGCGTCGACAAGATATTGCGATGCTTGTGAGGGGCGTGCTACGCTGTTCTGTTCATTCCATGCTGTCCTATGGATTTCCGGGTTGGAAGCGGAAGCCTCATAACCGCCAAAGAGTCCTTCCAGATCATCTCTGGGAGCACTCCAGCCAGGGAATCCCTCCTGATCCATTCAAACACTCAGGGTATGTTCGCGGATGAGTAGCGAGAGCGCTTTATGTGGTTAGTCTCTGCTTCATGGCAAATGAGTTGACAGGTAGTGCCGATGTCAGCTCAATGGCTCATCAATGATATTGCAAGTTCGCAAAGGCCAGGATTTCAAAACCGAGCAACAATGGGCTCTGGAGAAGAGATCGAGTGTCTGGCAATCCTTTGAGAAATATTGAAAGATTCAGCAGTCGATCACGAGTCTGTTTGACGGATTGTTATCAATGTTGGAAGTTGGCAGCTGATCAGGGTCGTTTGACGCAAGGCGGCCGTCACGGGTCGCGGAACATTCTGAATGCGGCTGGCCTTTTTGCTTATCGATAACAGGCCTCCCTCGGTGACATGTCAAGATGTCTTTTCGCGTCGCGGACTATCCTCGAGTCCCTTGCTTCAATGAGCGCCTCCTCAAATTTGTCCATCATACTGCCTCATCCTGCACCGTTTGAGGAGGGAGGACCTTTAAAGAGCTTCTTCACTGCCCACGGCGTGCTGCCATAACATCATGGCCACTAGCTTGTCTAACATATTGCCAATTCAACATGAATGGGCAGATGCTACCTCATCAAATGAACGATGACAATTTTCAGATCCACCGAGGACCCTTGGATCCCATCGAACCCCCGGAAGAGCCTGTACGAAGACGGACAATTTCCAAGGGACGGCAGGCCGCTACACAAGGCACGTGCGGGAGCGTGTCTCCTTGGGATAAGAGTCCACGGGTCAAGATGACGGTGGAGTCCAGACTCGACATGCATGGCATGGATGGTGCCACCGACGATATAAAAAAGAAAGAGCCCTCTATGGATGCGCGTCCTTACGCTGCCGCCAACGGACATATCCCCATGCCTGGCATTGAAGGCGGACCGCAGAAGTCGCTCTCGAATGCCGATGCACGCGAGCAGAGGCCGTCAGGGATTGTCTCCAGAAGGATGTCGTCCAGCGCAAAGCCTGATGTTTCCGAAGGTTTAGACTCACCGTCCAGACTCGGGAACGTGCTCAAATTGTCGAGCGAGAAACTGCAGGACCTCACCGCATCCCCAGAGTCGCTACCTCTTCGAGCTATTGATTCGATGGTGCAAGAGCATGCTATTAGACCGGATCGATCTACCACAGCTGAGGAGTCGGGAATTTCAGGGGACGATATTCTCATGCCAGCCCTGCCTGTCAATTCTCCCACTCCTTTTCCGACAGAGGAAGGCGATTCGAGAAGACCACGGAATCTCACGATCGAAACTGGCAGCCGACATAGACAATCATCTACCGGCCCCAGCCTGAGACCTGGGCTCGTCCAGCGAGCCATCTCGACACCGAGCTCAATCAGAAGTCCTTTGTCGCCACAGAAACCCGAGCGTGTGCGGCCAACTCTGGTGGTTCCTGATGCTTCGTCGCGCTTTGAGAGCAGCGACGGTAGGAGGTATTCCTCCTCTGGACGCCCATTACCTTCTCCGATGCCAAGTTCGATTCCTCTACCACCTTTGTCATTACCCACCTATCTGCAGCTTGAGCTATCTTCACAGCGACCATCGCAGCTCTACATTCATCGATCCGCTAGCAACGACTTTCCCTACGAATCTTCCCGTGCAAAAATTGAAAGACTCATGAACTTCCTCTTACTTCCTCCGCACCTTGAGAGTGTCCTCTGGTTTGGGACCCTGGCATGCCTCGATTCCTGGCTGTACATCTTCACGATCCTGCCATTACGGCTTTTGAAGTCGTTCTACATTCTTGCAAGGTCCTGGGCTATCAACTTCACAAGTGAAGTCCACTTTGTATCTAATTTCGTTTACAATGGTGCCGGTAGGATGTGGAGGAGGCGCCGAAGCAGTCTTCCGCCAAATTCGACTCGAAAGGTCTCAGAATCCAGCGCGTCGGAACACAGAACTACGCAGAGCAACAATCGCAGACAGGGGCGCCGTCACCACCGGACAAAGTCGGTCCCTTCAACGTTGCTGCCGGACGACAAAGCGGACATCTTGAGAGGCCTGTTGATTCTGAGCACTTGCCTAATTCTCCTCCGACTCGACGCCAGCAGGATGTACCACTGGGTTCGGGGGCAGGCCGCGATCAAACTCTACGTCATCTACAACATACTAGAAGTCTGCGACCGACTCTTCTCGGCAATAGGGCAGGATGTCCTCGAATGCCTGTTCTCGCGAGAAGCCCTCGAGCGCAAGCCTGACGGTCACAGCAAAGTTTTGCGACCATTTTGGCTATTCGTGCTTGCCCTCATCTACACCGTCATTCATTCCATCGCGCTCTTCTATCAGGTTATCACCCTCAACGTTGCCGTCAATTCATACTCTAACGCACTAATAACCCTCCTAATGTCGAACCAATTTGTGGAGATCAAGGGGACCGTCTTCAAGAAATTTGAAAAAGAAAACTTGTTCCAGCTGACTTGCGCCGATGTAGTCGAACGATTCCAGTTGTGGCACATGCTTGTCATTATCGCTGCCCGCAATATCGTCGAGACTGGCGGCCTGAGTTCTGGTCTGAGTGTGTTCATGAGCGCTTCTTCTCCCACAGCGTCAGCACCATCCTCGAGCAACAGCAGCGTGCCCTTGACCACAGCACTTCCTCCCCGATCAGCGAGTTCGATCCTACCTAGCTCCTTCACTCTCTTGCCTGCGGTGGTGGACTCGATCACATCGTATGCACCCGCCGTCAGTCAGGTACTTGGGCCTTTCCTTGTTGTTTTAGGATCAGAGATGCTGGTCGACTGGTTGAAACACGCCTACATCAACAAATTCAACAACACACGCCCCGCCATCTACGATCGATTTCTTGACGTACTAGCCAAGGACTACTACACGAACGCTTTCGGCGACCAGAATCTCACAAAGCGATTGGGGCTGCCTGTCATACCGTTGAGCTGTCTCTTCATCCGAGCAAGCGTACAAACGTATCAGATGTTCATGGCAGCTTGGGTACCTTCGAGTGCACCTAGCTCGTCAACCAGCCTGGCAAGCATACATGAAGATTATTCAGCAGCGCGCTCGGCCTTGCCTCTGACTACAAGCGCCGCGATTTCAAGAACTGTTGACGACATCATCAGGTCTATACCGACTTTCATCACCAAATCCAGCATTGTCACTCACATGACGACGGTCCTCATGGCCCTTCTCCTCTTTTTAATCTTGCTGGCGTGCAAACTCGTTCTTGGGATGCTTCTACTGGCCTTCGCAAGGTCGCGATATCATTCTATGAAACTACGGGAGAAGAATGCAATACATCATGTGGAAGGTGGCCGTCGGGTTGGCGGCTGGGGAGTGGTAGAAGTGGACGAAGACAAAAGACGTTGGATTTATGAGGATGACCCTGCTGGCCTGCGTGCCTTGCGAGAACGTGAGGAAAGGGATCGGCAGAAGCAGCAGAAGGACAAGGACAAAGACAAAGAGCATGGTGTTGAGGCCTTTGACAAAGTCAAGCGTTATGAAATGGTAGCTAAGCGGATATGGTAATGAGCTCGTAGAAGCCGAACTTGGCCAGTCCGTGCCGGCTCCCGGCAAAGACAAGTTCTGAAGGTCTTGCGAAAGGAAAACGCCCGCACGGGTTCCTGCATGCGTCGATCTCCCAAGACTTTGAGTGCGCGAATGAGAGGTCGGGCAGTGAAGCTAGGCGTGTTTGAGGATCTTGCCAGGGGTCCGGCATTGGGCCCTGGGGTGCCTGGCTAGGGCATTGTAGGCATAGTCTTGTCACTTCTTGTTTGAGATTCGCGGCCTCGTGTGGCTCCGTGACCCACGGCTGCTGTTTTCGGCCACCTCAATGCAGCTCCAGTTCGATCCGCCGCTCCCGTTTTCTTACACGTTACTCCTGGCCTTCTTCAATCGGCCATTCTCAGCACTCAATCACTCTCTCGACAATTGTTGCATCAAGACTCTCGCTATTCGATACTTCCGGACGTTCATTCCCTTATTCATTCGTTCTGCCACTCCTTGTATCGGATGCATTGTTCTCATTCAGTGAGCTCGGTCCACTCCGAGCCCTGTCCCTTCGTTTGGCCCAGCCTTCCTTGTTCTGCGCTTTGTCTATCTGCAGTCAACCACGCGCCAAGGTGATGACTGCTCCCTGAGGAAGACATTCCTGCATCCTCGCCAGTTGTGCAACGTTGAAGAAGGTCATCTTAGTTGCAAACAATCGAGTGTGATCGCTTGTGTCACTTAGGCAGTTCGCCTGCAAGCGATGAAATAAAGCCATTCAAGAACAGGTTCGTAACTCGAGGCAATTGAGCTGGACTCTTGTCTCTGACCGACGGCTGAGCCGTGCCACAACACCTACCACCAAACCTACCACCACCTGCGTCAACATACCCTACCGGCCACACAATTGGCCTTCCTCTCATTAAAACCTCGATCGAGCGCTGCCAGGTTGCAGATCGCCCCTAAAGTTCGACATCACTTTCATTATGGGTTGCTGCGGTGGTGAGAGAGAAAAGTTTGGTGATTTGAGTGCAGAACAAAAATGGGACTACATTGTAGGTGTTCGCAGTCAGTCGACGGGAGATCGGGTGGTCTAACAGCGATTACAGAACCTTGACGATTTTAAATCATCCTCATGCTGGACGCCCTTCGCGTATGGCTACCTACTTGTTATGATGGTTGTCTCCCTCTCCGTCTATGCAGTCGACACCTTTACCGCCATCCAGCTCCTCGCATTCGACCGATGGGCGGGCCAGATTAAGCCAGAAATTCCCTTGAACATCTCACGATGGATCTTCGCCGGATGTATCATACTTTCCTTTGTTCTCCTCGCTTACCGGTGGCTGCGCGCAATCAGAGTCATGCGGCAAGGGGGAGTTGCTAGAAATTACCTCGATCCGTTGGCGGTGCGGGTACAGTCAGTCAGATGGGGACGAGCAAGAGGATGGAAACGTTTCCTGGTGTTTGCAGAATTGACAAAGAGTCGAAAAGGTGCCGACTACGTGGCGCTTTTCACCTACTTCTCCTTTGAAGCATGGCTACGAATTGTCTTTGCCGAAGGTCCACGGCAGGTGGTTAACGCAATCACCTTGTATTCGGTCTTGAGGCTCAAGCTGATTCCCGTTGGCGAACATGCTCCCGACGATGGCCACTCACCGGTGGCACAGTTCTTTGTCAACGTTGGCATCCTGGCAGACTCAAACCACCTACAAGCTGTCATCCTCTTCGGCATGCTGTGGACACTTGTCATCTGGGTCATCTCACTCATCAGCTTTATTGTGTCTGTCATCTTATACCTGCTCTTTCTTTGGCATCATATTCCAAGTGGAGATGGAGGCTTGACCGGTTACTGCCGAAATAAAATTAATCGACGGATGGAGAGAATTGTGAAAACCAAGGTGGACAAAGCCTTAAAGAAAGAGAATCAACTTCGAGCTCGACAAGAGGCAAAAGCTGCTCGCGAAGGACTGGACATCAAGAAGCAACCTACGCTACCAAACCTCAGCACTGATGCAGTCGACGCCTTCCCAGGCTTGTCTCGACAGACGACAATGACCACTCTCCCGGAATACTCCTCCCGACCGGGGACAGGCACGAGTAGTAACGAATCACTCCCTACGCTGCCAAACATCTCTACCAGACCACCAATGCCGATGCGTACCGTGACCCATGGCTCGGCAGCGTCATGGGACAGTTATACCTCGAACGCGCCTTTAATAGGCTCTGCAGGAGAGATGGGAATGACACCAGATCGAGCACGAGATCCGAATGGTCCTTGGTATGGCAAACCCTTGCCTAACAGAAGCTTGACCGGTGTCTCCCAGTTTTCTCAACGATCTTTCAGTCCGGCTCCTCCTCGACCGGGTACAGCACAAGGAGATCGAATCTTGCCTGGCTCTTACCAAATGGATCCCCTTCCCCGTTCCGGCTCGAGCATGTCCAACAACTCTCGCCCAGGCTACTCTTCGAATAGTTCCGGTGCACTTCCCTACCCTGATGATCGCAGCTCAACATCAACGAAACCACCTTCGTGGTCAGGACCAAACGCGGACAGTCCTATGGACAGTATGGGTCGTCGTACGCCAGCTGCTGTCGGTCCATCTTTCCCTGGTATTTCTGAGGAAAGAGGTCGGATGTCACCTTTACCCGGACCTCAATTCAGGTCTCAGACTCCTACCAGAGGTCCAGAACGCACATATACGCCCAGTGGTCCTCCTCCACGAGCGATGACTGCAGGAAACGCGCCTGGTGACAGATCTTTTACGCCCAATGGTTTCCCTCCGCGAGCAATGACCCCATCAGGAGGACCAACCTTACCACGATTACAAAATCCATCACCTGCAGGATACATTCCGTATTCGGCAGAAACGCGTACGATGACACCTGTGTCTTCGCATCTCCCAAGTGCTACAATTCGTGGTGTCAACGAGCAGCCGAGAAGTTATTCACCTTTTAGGCCACAAGGGTCTGCACAATATCCACAAGGTAGAGCGCCGCCTCAAAGACAGAATAGTGGTGTGGATGATATCTTGGATCATTATTGACTGATCAATTGATGCTGCGAATTCTCCTTTTTTTTAGCCCATGACCACGAACTTAATGATGATAGTAGCTAGCGAACTTGTGTATCAAGAGTGTCACAATACAATGCTGCAAACAGTTTTCTAGCTTCTGAGAATGTGCTCTATATCGTAGGGGGTGTTGAAGTGGCCTGATATGTATGCTGCGTGCCCTGATTTGGTGCTCGACTATTGTATGCATGCTCCGATTGGTCAATTCATAAAGTATAACTCCGATGCATGATCATTCTTGAACTTTTCGACTTCTTTCAATCTCGGCGGCACACCTCTGATTCCAAGATGCTGGTTACCTCAGGCTTCGCTCGAGCCCTGCAGGAAGCGGCCCCCAGCCTGTCGAAGCGGTTCTTCGACTGTAGCAACCGCCGGAGCGGCACCATACTGAGCCGGGTACAACCTCTTGCTTCGAAGTCCACTTCGCGAACTGCCTGTACAGTACAGACTCGAGATGTTGGTGCCAAGTGGACCAGCTCGACTCGACGATATGAGCCACGGTTAATTTGTCAGTCACGCGCCGGGTCGAATGCACAGAATCGCCTCGCACGCGCCTTCTCAGCGTCTGCAATATCAAGAGCTACACAGACCGCAAGCGAGTCTACGCAGTCTAGTACAGGCAATGAAGAGACAGGAAACAAGAGCCAGAAACAGAATTCATCCTTCCCGGACACATCATCGAATGTCGTTGCATACTGGCTCCTCGGCAGCGCCGCCAGCGTTTTTGGCATCGTCGTCTTCGGCGGGCTCACGCGGCTCACTGAATCAGGGTACGTCCTCTCCTTGGGAATTTGTGTCTCCCATCTTCGTCAATAGGCGCTCACGACTACATGTCTGCTAACACAAGGGTAGATTGAGCATAACAGAATGGAAACCTGTCACCGGCTCCCTTCCACCCATGTCCGACGCCGACTGGGAGTCCGAGTTCGCCAAATACCGCTCCTCTCCCGAGTTCAAGATGCTCAATTCGCGCATGACGCTCGAAGAGTTCAAAAGCATATACTGGATGGAATGGATTCACCGGCTCTGGGGAAGGTTCATTGGCCTGTCTTTTGTCCTGCCCGCCGCATATTTCGTCGCCCGAAGACAGGTCTCTCGACCCATGGCCGTTAGATTACTCGGCATCGCCGGACTGATCGGCTTCCAAGGGTTTATAGGCTGGTGGATGGTCAAATCAGGATTGAAGGACGACCTGTTCTCGCCCGGAAGTCACCCCCGTGTGTCGCAGTACAGACTTACGGCGCACTTAGGGGCGGCTTTTGTGTGTTATCTCGCGATGCTGTGGAATGGCTTGGACATACTGCGCACGAACAAAGTGATTAGGACGGCCTCCGCAGCACCGGAAAAGGCAGCGAGTATTCTGGCCGCGCTCAGGAACCCCGCTTTGAAGCCGTTCAAGAGATCTGTGGGATTACTAGCCCTCCTGGTGTTTGTGACAGCTATGTCAGGCGGTCTCGTCGCCGGGTTGGATGCTGGCTTGATATATAATGAGTTCCCCTACATGGGCTTAGGACTCACGCCGCCGAAAAGTGAACTGTGGGATAAATTCTACAGTCGCGCCGAGGACGGGAGCGATCTGTGGTGGCGCAATATGCTGGAGAACCCGAGCCTGGTGCAGTTGGACCACCGCATTCTCGCGACGACAACGTTCACGGCTGTTATGGCGCTGTGGGCGTTCAGCAGGACCGCGGCGATGCAGAAGGTCCTGCCTGCAGCGGCGAAGAAGGGCGTGCATGGAGTCGTCGGGTTCGTGTGGTTACAGGTGATTCTGGGCATAAGCACGCTGCTGTACCTTGTCCCGACACACCTGGCGAGCGCGCATCAGGCGGGCAGTCTGGCTCTGTTGACGTGGACGGTTGTGTTGGGGAGTCGGGTATGGTTTCCTACGCAGGCGGCAAGGATACTGGCGCAACGGGCGCAGGCCGGTGTTGCCAGTGCGAAGGGCCGAGCACAGGTGGAGGCGATGAGTGGGATGGCGAAACAAAATCAGGCCCAGATGGGCACTGGGACGGTGCTGGCGGCGAGTGTGATGCCTGCTGTTGCGGCTATGGGGTTGATGTTCAGTGGAGAGGCCGAGAGTGGGTTGAGAGAACAGCTCCTGGCTGGAAAAAGAGAGCAGGTCGAGGCTGAGACGGTGGGCTAATCTAATTGATGGCCCTGGTCGTTGTACAATATATCATGCTTGTATAGACGCACATGGGGCGAGCAACTGTATAAAACAGGTCAGACCTCGAGTCCGTGGCACGGTTTGACCGGGCCGGTAGGCCCAACTCAACTCTTCTGAAGGCGCGATGCGCATCCGCTATTTTGCTTTCTTGATGAGGCCTGGCCTTCTAATTTAGCTCTCTATCTCTTTCACTCGCTTTCGATCGATATTCGTCGCAGCTGTAACCATCATGGGCAGCCTCAATCATGCACCGACAGCCCCGGTACCGTTTTCATGCACATGTCTTGTCTCATCTACTCGTTGCGCCAGTTGCCTCTTCTTTCTTGGACACCGTTTCATTGCCTAGTTCCCTGCTTTCGGTCATCAGGGAATATCAGTCTTCCCTTGTCATCTCCGCAAGTACTCGGAATCGTTTCACACACTGGTCCGATCAATGTGCCACGCTCACGTCCTCTTCAGGCATAGGCTCAATGCCGACGACCTCCGCAGCCAAGTGCTTCTCCTTTCCAGGGTTCTTCTCCTCCTTCATAAAAGGGAACGCGAGAACCTCGCGGATCGTGTAGTTGTCCGTCAAAAACATGACTATCCGATCAATGCCCATACCCCAGCCTCCTGTGGGCGGCAAGCCGAACTCCAATGAGGTGCAGAAATTCTCGTCCACCATCTGCGCCTCGTCGTCACCCTGCGCCTTTTGGCGCGCTTGTTCCTCGAATCGCAAACGCTGGTCGAAGGGGTCGTTCAACTCGGTGTACGCATTCACTATCTCCTTCTTGCACACAAAGGCCTCGAAACGCTCGCAAATGCCCGGCTGTGAGCGATGATACTTGGCCAGTGGGGACATCATTTGCGGATGGCCCGTGATGAAAGTCGGGTTGATACACTTTTCCTCGATGAACTCGCCGACCAGCTTGTCGAGCATGCGCGCGTTTGTCTCGGGAGGAGAGCACACCACGTTGCACTTCTTCAAAAGCCGTTTGAAGAACTCGTTGGTTTCTGTTGTGTGCAATTGGTCGCCAGGAGGAAACTTCTCGCCTGTGGCTTCCTCCAGGGCGGGGATCATGTCGACTCGCTTCCAGGGGCGAGACCAGTCGACGTCGTAAGTCTCTCCAGTCTGGGTATGGAAAGTCGTCTTGTGTCCACCAGTGACTTCCTTGACAAGGCCGGACACCAGCTCCTCAGTGCGGTCCATCACGTCGTAGACGTCGGCGTAAGCCTCGTAGAATTCGCAAGTGGTGAATTCAGGGTTATGAGTCAGGTCGGCACCTTCGTTACGGAACTGCTTGCCCAGTTCGTACACTCGCTCGATGCCGCCGACGACGAGCATCTTAAGGTACAATTCGGGTGCAATACGCATGAACATGTCTGTGTCGTATTCGTTGATATGTGTGATAAAGGGCTTGGCCGTGGCGCCGCCCGCGATCGAGTTCATCATGGGCGTCTCGACCTCGATGAAGCCGTTGGAATCGAAGTAATTTCGAATGTAGGAGACAATCTTGGCTCTGGTGAGGAGGATCTTGCGTGAGCGGTCATTGATGATCAAGTCGAGGTAGCGTTGGCGGAAGCGGGTTTCGACGTCCTGCAGACCGAAGTGTTCGGACGGGATTTGGTGCAGACATGGTGTGAGGAGGATGACTTCGTGTGCGAAGACAGAGAGCTCGCCTTCATTGGGTCGGTTCTTGGGTGCCGTTCGACCTGGGTAGCCCACGATGCCGATGATGTCGCCGCGACGGAGGTGTTCATGTTGGGCCTCAAAGCTGACCTCGCCCTTGACTTCTTGTGCTTGACACATGATCTGGACCTTTGTGCCGCCACCTCTGATGTCGTAGAAGACTAGCTTCGAGCCAGACGCCCGCTTGGTGTAGACTCGGCCTGCGACGCGGATCTCGACGTCCTTCTTTTGCTCGCCGGGCTTGAAACCGCCATACTCTTCGACAAACTTGCGTACGTCGGTGTTGACCTGGAACTTGTGTGGGTATGGGTTGGGGTTCTTGGTCTCTCGCATTCGATTGACTCGTCCGCTTCGGATCTCGAAATATTGCTAGGGCGAAGAGTTAGCAGGTGTGCGAATCGGCTGGATCTGCGTGTATACTGACATTTGGGTTCAGGTTGCTTTCGTCCATTTCTGCGCTGGCAGCCTTCTTCTCCGGCTTGGGAGGTGCAGCTGCTGCCCTTTCCTTCTTCTTTTCTTCTGCTTGTCTCTGCTTCTGTCTCTTCTTCAGTTCAGACTTGGAGACTCGTTCCCCCGTGACCTCGTCAAGGTGCAGGTTGGCAGTGTCCTGTGCAAGGGAGGTATTCGCGTCCGCCATGCTTGGAAACGTAGTCGGTCGAGGGTTTGGGAAGAGTTACAGGAGTAGCCAGAATTCAATGTAGTCATATACAATTACTTGAGTCATTGAGCAGTGGGATGAATTTCTTGGACCAGGGTGCGACCCAAGTTTTTGACTCGTGAATTTTTTGTGGTGTGGGTGCGGCGAAAGATTACATGACTCGGGGCCAATATCGAAAACAACTGGGGAGCTCGCTGCGGCCAAATCTGGTTTACATGCATTTGTCGACCTTCTACGAGTAGTACGCCATCGATGAACCTGCTACTTGCGGGTTGCTTCACAGCATCTTGAGAGCAGTAGGAATACACAAAGCCCATAGCCCGGCCTGCATCAGCCAGCAAGCACCACCATACATCCTTCCACTTCCATTCTCCTTCTGGCCCTGAATGTATCCGTACGCATACACGATTCTGAAAAGTAGCCAGCCCGCTCCGAGTACCGCCGTCGCCACGGGGTACTTCAAGCCTGCAAAAAGCATGTACATCATGGTCTGAGGCATGTTTTCCAAGAGATTGGCATGGGCTCGTTGGGCGCAGTTGAATTTGTACGCTGCCGGCTTTTCCTTCGCCTGTTGTGGGGTGGCATATGGATTGGGATATGGGACACCAGCCGGTTTTCGCAGACTTGTGACAACGTTGCCCTGGGCGAACGCGAGAATCGGTGACAATCCAAGTGCGATGAGAACAACGTAGCTTTGTATCGTGTTAGAAGTTTGCTGGAATCGAGCTGGTACAAGCAGAACTTACCCATATTTATCGGGGACCGTCATTGTGTAGGCCATCTTCTTCCGCGCTGAAATAGTAGACGACGATGAAGTAGTGTTAGATGTTTGACGAAGGGTGCATGAGATAGAAAAACGACTCTTGAAGGGGTTGATGGAGCTCTTGTTTGGAGCCCTTCTTCACAGACCCAGTGGCTCGCCGACGGTCTCGGGTGAATTTCTCCTCCGAGACGGCATCTGTTTTGTCTGCATATCCTCCACTCATGTCTTCGGTGCCTCATTAGACCTCTCTTCTCCCATCAATATTCCTTGCGGGTTATTGAAATAGGTAACGCCCAGTAAGCGCCCAGAGCTGGATTGTTTCTGACATGAGATCCGTCAAAACATACCTGAGGCTGAGCAGTCATTCTTTCCACTGCAAGACTGCCTTTTGGGGAATCATGTGGAGAGCAGGCCTGGTAGGACCCAGTACCTCATCAGAGAAAGCAAGTGATATGAGTAGCAGAGCAAAATCGGGGTATTCAAGATAAATTATATACCAACACGGCCCAGATCAGACCGGCCTCAATACCTAGGGTTTTAGTCTCTTTTGTGATTGATTACTGTACACAGTACTTGATATCCGGGTAGAATTGCGTGATGGGACGCCTGAACCCATCACGAAATGCATGCGATGAGAATTTCATCCAATCCGATAATTTCCTCTATTTGAGCTCTCTGAAAAAGCACCTGTTGCCACAAAGTTACAGATGGCAATTTTTCTCTATCGCCTTTGTACCTGCGTACCGTCCAGTGAAACGCCCCATCTACTGATCGCTCTGAATAGTCTCCGAGGCTTCAATCACATGATTACTTCGTTGGACACATCACGTTTCAACTCCTTGTATGGCAAGCAGATGCAGTTCTGAACTCGGACTTCATCGCCTACCTTACACTCCTTGCCCAGGATAGTGATGGCTTGGACCTTGACACCATTCTTGATGATGCTGGTAGTGTGACTGCTGACTGGAGTCGGAGTGCCTTCGACTCTAGCCCATGCTCCGACGCGACTGTTCCAGCCGATGATGGCATACAGAACACACGCATCGTGCTTGATCTCTGCCTCCTCAAGCACAATCGCTTCCTTAACACGGGCGCCTGCTCCAATAACAGCTTTCGGGCCAACGGAAACGTTAGGTCCCAATTTGGCGGTAGGGTCGACAGTGGCAGTAGGGTGGATGAAGACAGGAGGCACAATGTTGGCAGATGGCATTGCAATTTCTTCCGCTTGAGATTGGAAAGCTTTCGCGAGATAGAGTGCGTTGGCTGGGACAGCGGATCCAGCGGTTTTGATTTGACGCCAAAAGTCTTTGGTCTCGTGGACGAAGAAGCGGTTGCTGTCAGCAAGATCAGACAAGATGTCCTGCTCAAGACGAAGAACCTCGTTCCTCTCGCCATCCTCTTCTGGATCGGCAATGAAGGAGGACTCCATGTTCTCAGACGAAGGGTACGAGATCATTCTCGGTCGCTCGGTCTTGCGCTTAATGGCGGTTCTGATGGATGGGAAGATGCATTCGGTGGCAAAGAGGTAGACACCACAATTGATCAGGTTGGAGATGTGACTTTCCGGCTTCTCGACATAGTGAAGTACACGTTTGGTGTGAGCGTCGGAGACGATGCAACCGAAGTTTGTAGCAGCATCGTTGCCGACCCGCGTGCCAAGAATAACGGCCTCAGCATCCTTCTCTTCGAAAAGGCGGAGCATGGCATCAAGAGGGAATGAGCAGCAGACATCCGAGTTGAGCACAAAGAACCGATCTGGCTTCCCTTTAAGAATAGCATCACGGAAGTGGTAGAGACCTCCAGCGGTGCCAAGAGCCTGGTACTCGCGGAGATACTGGATCTTGATGTGAGAGAATTCTTTCGAAGAATCTTTGATGAAGTCGCGGAAGACACTCTCGTCGTAGTAACCGATGAGGATGACCTCCTTGATGTCTGGGACTTTGGAGACGGCTTTCAGGCAGTGCCAAATAATGGGGTGGCCGGCGACATCGAACAGAGGCTATTGGGCGTGCTTTTGTTAAAACCGGAGCAACTCATTATAGTGTAGTTCGGCTTACTTTTGGGACATCCAAGCTCAATGGTCTGAAACGAGTTCCTCTAGATGGACCTCCAACCTTCTGGACTTAGCAGGTATTCACTTGGTAAAGTGTTGACTGTACTGACCAGAATGACGGCTTTGGTCACCGCATTGGACCCAGTGGCCTTGTTGCGTGATGGAACTTTCAGCATCCTGGAGGATATGCAAGATGCAGATTCTTCGCAGATGAGCGCGACTGCCGATTTAGACAAGCTTCGGGCTCTTGATGGAATAAGAAGTGACCGTCTGATGAAGATTGTGGACAAGATACAGGTTGCTGAGGCCACGGTTCACATTCACATTCACCGCTAAGGCATCAAAAGACCCTTCGAGGCTGTCAACTCTCCTGCCAAGGCGCTATACCTTATCGGTCTTGATCACGACTTCCCCTGAGCTTCTGGCAGGCTGCGTGGCGTTTCTTCGTTTCATCTTGTCCACTTGTCCTTTGTTCTGATATTTGTCCAGCCAGCCCTCGTTGCACGTGGGCCTATCGCACATATATTGCCCAGACAAACATTCCAGCGTGTCGCAACCACATCCCAGTGACAATCCTGTCCGATATAAGAGCCTATGTTTCATACAATGCAAGATTTCACATTCTCAGCTTACTAGTTACACATCAACACCGAAACCCGAACGTCCATTTACACCCTCTCCTTTTGAATGTCGTCCTGCCCAAGCTCTCTGAGCACACCGGTCTGAGCCACGCTTCCCGTCATCGCTGCCGTGCCCACCTCCTTCAGAAACCCAAGCGAGCTTGTCTCCTTCTTCCAATACACGATATACTTACTTTGCACCTCGATCAAACTCATCCGAGGGTCCTTCCAGGTGCCGTCGTGCACGCCATCTTTCAGATCCCCAAACCACGCGCTCACACCACTACTATAAAGCTCCTTGATCCGCGGGTCGTCGTTGCTCGCAGTCATCGCGGTGCCTGAGATGCTGATCCAATCTTGCGTCTTGCTGTCTTGGAATGTAATCTGGACTTCCTTGTTCGATTCCAAGTCCTTGAATTTCTTGCTGTGCTTGTTGGCGAGGTAGAGAATGTCGGGGCCGGACCGCTTGGCTACGGCCATGGACCGACCCACGGGACCAACTCCATTGCGATATGTGGAAAACATGCTGATTTTCTTGCCGTCGATGAGCTCGTAAAGTTCTTTGAATTGCTCATCCTTGGGAGTGGCATTATCGTATTGTTTGGCCACGGATGGGTCGGTCTTGCTGTTGACTTCTTCGGCTCTGAGTTTCTCAGGCATCTTGAATGATGGGCTGGATGTGATGTCACGGGCTTGACTTGGATAGAACTTGAGCAGAGGTCGATAAGATGTGACTGAGGGTCGGCTCAGGGTGGTTGCTCTACAAAGAGTCGTGCGTATAATCGAGGGATTAAGAATGGTGGTCATTGTAGCAAGGATGTTCACGAAGTCCACCGTGTGGGATTCGTCGACTTATAGTGATTCATTCGATGAAGTCATGCTTGCCTTAACTTACCTCATATTTCAGGTGGTGTGCATGACGGGGATGAGGACAACGAAGGGATTTAGGGTATTTGCAGCCATGTGGTGCACGAACGTGCAAGCCATGACTCGTACATAGTCCTGGACTTTGAAATCCAAGCTGAGAGAGCGGAGACTCCTCCATCTCATGGTTACCTTGATGCCTGCGCCCACACTTCATCTGGTTGTCACTGGATGGGAATGTTGATCTGGGGCAAGTCGTGACGACAGAAAATTGTTGTCCAATACAGTATCTCAGAAACACCAAGCCCGTGAAACACTCGTGCCAAGTCAACCCGGAACCGGGTCTTAATGAGGCCGAGAAGGAAAACGCGGAATGGGCTCATGAAAATGTGAGGTGAGCAGGCTGGAACAAGCTTCATTCAACAAGACCATCGCACGGAGGAAGAAAGCAAGAAGAATGGCAATGGCCAAAAAAAGTCGCGTGCAAAGTAATCTTGATATAAGTCTAGCAAGGCTCCGGAGAAAAATCCATCAAATGTCCAAGAAGCCTAATCTTAAGCTCAACCTCTCGATTTTGGCTCGCACTGGGGCAGTCTACTTAAGCCCAGTTCGCTGATCCAGGTACTGATACAACCATCATACGTCGTTCATTCATATCTCCCGAAAACCATTCAACTCCAAAGCTTATCGTCCTCCGATTTGCTTCTTAGACACCGGCGGGATCCAGCAAAGAGCCAGATTCATAGCAATGGAAATAACTCCAATGATCCAGAACGGCTTGGCGTAGCTGGTTGGGTTGTAGCGGAAGATGATGGCAAAGATGATACCGCCAAAGTTTCCACAAGCACCGGTCATGCCAGAAACGACGCCGTTGGCATGGGGGTTGACGTGGGGCACCAGGGCGAAGTTGGCGCCGTTGCCTGCTTCAAGGAAGAACGCCATACCAGCAATCAACCCGAACATGGTGTTTTGGTCGTGGGGGTTAAGCACGCCAATGACAATCAGGAGAACACCTGTAATAACACCGAGGGTATGTATCCAGGTCTTCTTGATCCAGACGATGTGGAACTGCCTGTACAACAAGTCGGCGATGATGCCGCCGAGAGGACGGTAGACCGCGTTGAGCAGGCCGAACATGGCAGCCCATTGTCCAGAAGTGGTCTGTCCCAACGACTTGAAATTCTTTTGGTAGTAGGAACCAAGAATGCTGTTGATGGACAACTCGGCGCCGAAGCTGCAGAAGTAGCAGAAGGCGACCACGAGCGTTTGCGGTGAGAACATGACGCCAAAGACCTCCTTGGGCGTTGGTTTCACGACAATCTCACCGCGTGCGGTGTCGAGCATTTGCTGCTCCGTCAATTGAGCTTCGTGATCGGCATAACGAGACACTTTACGCTCTCCCGTGGCGTCGAATTGCATCTTCTCCTGTGCGTCCATGCTTGATGGTGAGGCTGTGCCGCCAGACGACGTAGGCTTGTCCATGATTCCTGCCTTTGGTGCGTCCACCAAGGTAGCGTTGACGCCATGTGCTGCAAGGTTTGCCTGAGCAATGGTGTGACGCTCACTCCATTTGCCGCTGGGGGTATCCTCGCAAAGGAAGAGAATACAGAGAGCCACGAAGACAATGATGATGCCCGGGACAACGAACGCAACACGCCAAGCAGTATGAGGAGTCAAACCTCGGTTCAATAAAGAGTCGTATATCGATGGCATGAGGAAGTACGTCACGCCACCTCCAGCATTACCGAAGCCTGCAGCGACAGCATTTGCCGTACCGACAACATTCTTGTCGAAGAACTGTTGCACGGTCAGTAAGTTTGTGGCCGATGAGTTCACGTTGTGCACTTACCCCAGTCGACCACACCTGACAGGGCACGAAGCTGCCACCCAGTACACCGATGAAGAATCGGAGAGCAAAGAGTTCACCTTTGTTATACGCTGTGCCGGATAGGAAGGTAGGAATGGCGCCGAGAAGGAGGCATCCGACGAACGTGTATCGCGGTCCGAACCTGTCGCAGGACGGTCCAGCAATCAGACGGACCAGCAGTGTGGCGGTAAGCGCAATGATGTTGGAGTTGGACACATCGATCTTGGTCAACTTGAGATCCTTTTGGATGGTGTCATGCAACTAGTTCATGTCAGTCTATGCCGCGACGTCGAGATGACCCTTTGTGACGTACCAGTGGTGGAAAAGCATACCACGACCAGAAGGCGACGAAGAAGCCGAACCACGAGAAGAAGAACACGCGACCATAGATGTTAACGAGGTTGAAGAACGGAATGGACCGAGCCTTCAGAGTGATGGGGTTGACCTCTGGAGCCTTGAAGAGTGTAGCGATGCGGAAGCCCATGGTGAAGAATGCAATCTGTCCTTGTTGGTGGGAGTGGCTGACGATGCTGTGGGCTTCAGGAAATAGGTCGTCGGTGACCTCTTCAAGAAGTTTTCGAAGGTTGATGATAGTATATTTGAAACAGGGTTTGGGCAAGATACATATACACACTTCCAAGCGTCCCCTCGGTCTTGGGCATCACTCTCCTTGGTGAATCCCAAGTACGATATGACGTTGGTATGCTTTCTCCGGGGACGCACCTCGGACTCGCTTCAAGACCAGGGTGCCTTTAGACCAGCAAATCCGCGGCAGATCTGCCTCAAGATTCGAATTCCAATGGACGAATCAAGAAGGGTAGAATCCAAGCTGCCGTCTGATTTCGGCCATGGCGTTGCTGATAACGGAACAAATATGGGTCTGAATGTTCTTAGCAAGATCCAGTCGATCGTTGTTGAGCTCCGAGGCGAAGTATCGCTGCAAGATGGCATCAAATAGCTGGACAAATACTTAAGGTCGAGCCTTTCCAACCTGTTTCCTCGGAGCTGTTATACAATTCCCACGATATTGCTTCTGGTCCAAGCCTTTGAATGTTCTGGACCGCGTGCTGGCTGTATACAAAGCTTTGGTGCTTTTACCTCCGATTGATCTCTGCGAGCATCAAGGCCGAGTGTTCCGTGACGACATGGACACTTGTCACTAACGTGAGGTGTTGCAGTGATTGTCGATCTGTATGTTGGAGGCAGATAAACACGGTCGGTGAGGCTGATCGACCTATGCACGCCTCGAAGTCGCTCGAGAGGGCAAACGAGATCGATTGGGTGAGTGGGACAGCCAACGCTGGGCAGGAGAGACGACCGACCTTTGAAAATCGACCACCGCACCTCCTTCAGCAGAATCCCATGTCTCGAGCCGCCTTGACAGTCGCTACAAGGAGGTGAAAGCGAAAATTGTAAAGATGTGGTTGGATGAGTCTTATCTGTGCAATGTGCATCTCCGTGCACCTCGGTGGATCCTTCTTATCGGTAGTCAACGATGGTCCTCTGTTTAGCGTCTGTTCACCTCTTCCCTGCTGCTGATAAGGCTTTCCATGATAAGAACGAGGCTCTGTCTGCGGGTTCATATGGCCTCTATGTTCTCCGCGGGATCTTCTGTAGCAGCAAACTTTCGTTGACATCTTCCCGCGGTGGGAAACCGGTGTCTAGCTTGGCTGATTTTCTCGATTGACAGTCCGCGGCTCTGGTCCAGACCTCTTTTAGAACTTGTTCCCTGAATGTCGACATGGAATGAGCCTCAGCAGCCGCATGCACTGAGACTGATGTTGCCACCAGAGACTGACTGTTCGCGCAATAACTTGAAGCCACAGCGACGTGAAGGCTGTCGAGATAAGGATGTCTTCCGCGGCTAGTCCGGATTCGGACGCTTCTTGGCGGTGGAAAGAGGCCAGCGTCAAGCGACCGCAACATCACGACCGGTAAATATAGTTGCCCATACAGCAAGGCTGTCTATTGGTGATTATCGCTGTCGGCCTACGGCCCTCGCCCCCTGGACTATACAACGTGTTGGTACAGGTAGATCGGACGCTGCTGAATCTCGAAATGTGAACTTGGAAACCTCAGTGCCAACGAGCATACCCTGGTCGACTTGGTTGGTCCTGTCGAAGATCCCCAAATTGCGTTCGACATCCGTGTTGTCCCAGAGCAGTATCTCATTGATGAAAGGGTTTCTTCACGACCGTTGTATCGGATTTCTACTTCATTTCAGTCTTAAGTTGAGGGAATACTTTCGAGGAAGTCAGAATGGCAGGGAACGTGATTGACAACGATCACAGAGAAAGCTAGACGGCCGACGTAGGTGCATATTCAGCCCGACCAGAAATGACCATTACTCTGCGGCGATAATCGTTTGGTCTGGAGTACAGTGCGGTCCCCCACTTCATGGACATTGAATGGATCGAGGTAGGAAAGCGCAAGGCGGATAGATCGACATCCTAGCCAACCTTGACTGAGCAGAGACCGGCTAGAAGAGGAGCAGATGGCACACGGGAAACCATCACTTCAGATATTCACCCATTCATTAAGTCGCTGAGTGATCATGAAATTGGTGGGGCAGCAATTGCCTCCACAGGCTTCACAGGCTGAAACCCCTTCCTTCTCTTCAGGCCGTCCCAGCTTGCAGGAAGGGAAGTACAATATACACAGAGTAAAAGTCAATGTGCTCCATGCGGCTGAAAAGCAAAAGAGCTGACACCTCCAACGCCGTCGCTAGGTAATCCTTTTGCGTACAGGTAAGTGTCTGTGATTTGATTGTTGTGGTATCATGGAATGTCAAAGACGTGTGCAAGTCAAAAACGACGCGGGCGCGAGGACTTCAGGTTGATAGATGGTTTGGCGGTGAGTTTAGGTCGACTCGAGTTGGCGCGTTGCGTTTCGGCTTCCTTCAATCCACGCCTGCGTAGAGGTCGACGACAATATTGATGGCACTGTAAGACCCATGTTAGCAATGGAGGTGTCAGTTCAGCGGTAGGCATGACTCACGCAACCAGAATTTCCGCCGCAATCAACACGATCACTATTACTCGTCAGCAGCCTCCCACGTAATCCAAAGTGGTCGTCCATACCAATCCATTCGAGGACTTCACCATGTCTTCTGCTTCCTTGCTCTCTCAGCACAGCTAACAAATCTAGTCTTGTCAGCGTAACTTTCGAGTGCCAAATTCCCTCTACTCACCAGCAATGACGTCTAATCTCTCCGTCAATAACCCGACTCGCTGCTCAATCTCCAAATAACTTCTGACAGCAGCATATATTGGCTCCAAATGCGGTTCCGCCCACATCAGCTCAGGACTGTCCAGCACACTTCCTTGAAGATGGATATTGATCCTCAAAATGAACAGCTCACCAATCTGCATGTTCAGCTGTCTTCTCGTGAGATTGACACTACCCGTTTGAGCGATCAACGCCGGAAGTGGACTTGTTGCATCGATCGTCTCGCTGACCAAGTCTTCGAACAAACTCGTCTTGACACTTTGCGACAAAGCGTGACTGATGGCCAGCTTGGTCATATGATTCCGCGGCTCCCGGAGACTGATAAAATCGTTGTAAATGCGCGCCTGGTATTCCTTGGTGTAGTAGAAGTTGAAGTTCTCGGTCTGAACACTTTCCGTCGGTAAAGGAGCGTCGCTGAACTTGGCCATGTCGTGCAGGAACCTCTGTTCTTGTTGCACTGTCATGCCCCAGATCACGACGGTCCCATAATCGAAGATAAAAGTCTCTGGAGTATGGACAGCAGTCGAGAACTCGGAATTTGATCGTTCGTGCAAATAATCAGCTGCTGAATGTCGAAGTTCGGTGAGGGAGTGTGGCGCGTCGATAGCCAACTCCGGGGATTCTGTGGTCATAGTTGGGTGGCCCATGTCTTCCTGCAAATCAACAAGTTCCTCTCTTCTCTGCTTCTTGTTATCTTCAACCTCCACTGCGCTGTCAGAATATCTTCTCTCCGATGCAAGCATTCTTGGACTAGCCATGACCCTTGCGAGTCTCTCCTGCACGGGACTACCACTCCTGCCATCAGACTTGTTCTTATCGTTCTTTTTAAGGTAGTCATAGTCGTACGGACTGTAAAGACATTCATCAAAGAGCTTCGGGTTTGCTCCTCTCGTCTTGGCTCTTGACTTCATGAATTTCATAATGGCGTCCAAACGGTAACCCTGCGCCACACAGTACGCCGTGACTCGAGGTAATTTGTCTCTGTCCGCCTTTCCTAGTCTTGCTGCGTCTCTCCTCGCGGTTGGATCTTTGATCCTGGTGAATTGCGCATATACATCGCGCCCACTCTCTTCGTCAGGTTCCTCATCTCCTATATCCGGATTTGGCAGTATTTTCAGCTTCTCGATAGTCTTCGTGGTCCTCTGGGCACCAGGCCGGGGCGCCCCAGTGAACGGCTGTGTTGTGGGCAATGGCGAACCATGACTATTTCTCCTTCGCAATTTCGAGTTTAGAGCACTCAGCATAGGCTGTTGTTCACGTTTCTGTTGAGATGTGCCGCCGAGGGCAGCCGAGGGACTTTGCGAAGGTCTCAATGAACCTGAAGATGTCGCTCCGGACTGTGTGCTGACAGATGTCATGGGATTGAAAGTGACGGTTCGGGTAGGTCGCAGGCCAAGACGTGAAGGAGACTCTGCTTGAGAGCGATGTTGCGGGAGGAGCGGAGAGGACTCGCTGACGGCGGCCGCCATGTTGCGGCTTCGATGAAGAAGCTGGTCGGATGAGTCTCACTGAGGGGAGCGCTGAGAGTCGATGGTATAGAAAAGCAGCCGAAACACAGATTGATGGTTGCGTGCAAAGCACCAGGACGTGTTGGCTGATTCAGGAACTTGAACATGCAGTGGTTACCTCATCGCTTCTGCAAAAGTCGAGCCGGGTCGATTATTGGCATTGGGCGCTGCTCCACTCCACCTGGACACCTGCACAGGCACCGGTACTGCTTAAGTTCAAGCCTACCATGCGCACGTTTTTGTTTGCCAAGCACCCTATGTCTACAAGGTACAGGCGGCACTCGTACAGCCATGTGCTTTGCACGGGGACGATGTCCTTTGAAGATGATCTCTGCTCAGCTTCGACAATGCAGAGGATACTGAATCATGCCTCAAGTCCGCAACTATGCTCCCGCAATAAACTAGGAATTGCTAAATATACACAGTTCCGAACCTGCTTTTCCCCAGCGCTCAGATACCCGAAAAGTCATAATCAATAGTAGTACGTCTCATCAGGCGTCCGGCCACGAAGATACTTCGGCTCGGTTCCTCGAACGTAGATATCCTCGAAGAGGATCTTTGGCACTGCATCGGGAATCGGCATCTTCTCCGCCTCAGCCACTTCGCTATCAACATCTTCCCTGGCCTTCTTATCGATCTGCTTGAGCTCATCCTCCGTGCACACACCCCAGTCCAGGATCTTCTGCTTGAGTCCTGCAATTGGATCGTTGGTAGACCTCATCCGTTGAATCTCTTCTCTGGTTCGGTAGGTGGTGCCAGGGTCCGACATGGAATGACCACCGTATCGGTAGGTGACATATTCGAAGACCAATGGACCCTTGTCTTCGCCAGTGTACTCCTTACCGTATTGCACGGCAGCCTTAACGGCCAGGACATCCATAGCATTGATCTTCAATCCAGGGATGTATTGACCTCGCTTGTAGTATTCGGTCGTGGCAGATGATCGAGCAGCTGATGTTCCCATACCATACTTGTTGTTTTCGCAGCTAAAAATGATTGGCAGGTTCCACAGCTTGGCCATGTTGAAAGCCTCGAAGACCTGCCCTTGGTTGGAAGCACCATCACCGTACAGAGCCAAGGTCGCGGTCTTGCTGTCAGTGTATTGGTGCGCGAAAGCAATGCCGGCACCGACAGGCACCTGTGCTCCGACAATACCGTTGCCGCCATAGAAGTTGGGAGCGAACATATGCATGGATCCACCTTTGCCGTAAGCGATACCCTCGCGACGACCAAGCAGTTCACCAATTATGGATTTGACTGTACCCCCTCGCATGAGAGCAAAACCATGGCAACGATAAGCGGTGATAATGGCGTCATGTTTGGTGATGGCGTGTTCAATGCCCACGGCCACAGCTTCTTGACCGGTGGAGAGATGGCAGAAACCTCGAATTTTCTTCTCCTTGTATAAGCGATCCGCAGCCATTTCCATTCGTCTTGGAAGGTCAGCCATAGTGTTTGTAGTATCTGAAGTCTCAGACTCACCGGATAGAGACCATGTCTTTGTACATCTGCTTCAGCTCCTTCTTCGTCGTATTCAGGATGTACGGAGGAGGATCGAGGTTGTAGGTTTCGAAACTCTCCTCGGAGAGCTTGACTTGGAAGGGCTCATCATCTTTCTGCAGATAGCCGTCAGCAAGATGCCAAACCGCATTCCAGTCTGTCTAATTGTACTTACATCCGGCACGTCTTCCTTCTCGGCGTGAGAGCTTGCAGCATCAGTTGTGACAGTCCTGCGAGCAAGCTGGTAAGCTTGTCTCTTTGGCAGCGACTGCAGGCCAAAGCCTCTCAGGCAAGATCTCGACAACATTCCCGGCGCGGACAAGGGGGAGAGCGAAGGGAAAGAAAGAGAGGAATGGTGAATGAGAATGCGACCGGACAATAATCGATGGGCGTACTCTTTCTTTAGCTTTGGATGTTGGGAGGCCGAAACGAGCGCTAGTCTCGCCTGCGGACCTCGAAAATTGTCCATTAATCCCGACGTAAGCAACTCCGGAAACTACCCTGTGACTGACACAAGCGCTCGTGCCTAACAAAAGGTGACAGCCTCTGGTCAGACGAGCTCTTTTTTCCTCGAAAAGGGTGCCGGCGTTCAACCAACAAGGCTCACATTTCAGTCTCGCTCTGCGCTTCAGCATTGACAGCAATGACTACATCATCTTTGCATGCTTCTCTTCAGACTTTAGTATTCCGTATGCCATACATTTTCATCATTGACGGGTATCACAACATTCGACATGCATGCACCTCCACCTTTACACAGGCATGTTTGCTTTCACTCCTGTTTGCGCCTTTTTGCGCCTAAGATCCTCATCATCCGTCCCATCTTCTCTCCTCTCCACCCATTATGAGACTGTTCTGCAAAGACGACGGACGGATAATTGTGATCTTTCGCCCCCGTGGCCTTCCCCGTCGCCGTTCCTAATAGGCTCCGGGTCCTACCATACCTGGCTGTGCCCCGTAACCTCCAACTCCGCCTCCTTGATGCGCCAGTTGTGCTGGCTGGTGCATAGTGGCACTAACCTGTGCTCTTCCTTGTCCAGCATAGTTCGGTAGATCTTGGAACCATGGGTGTCTTAGGGCGTCCTGCGCACTGATGCGGTTCTCCGGTCTGAGCTGCAGCAGCTTCCCTAACAAATCCAGGCCGAGCTGATCGACCTGCGGCAGGAGGATACTCAGAGATTGCGTGGCATAGGACGGGAAGTTGGTCTTGTATTCAGGTAGCTGGGAAATTCCTGGCCAGGTTCGTTCTGAAGGCGTGCCCATCAATCTGAATATCTTCTGCAGTTGATCCTCGTTGGTAGTGCCGGGAAACAGAGGCCGGCCGGTATACATCTCCGCCATGATGCAACCTGCAGACCATATGTCGATACTGGTGTTGTACGTCCGTGATCCCAATAGCACGTCTGGGGCTCGATACCACAGCGTCACCACCTCATTGGAGAATGTGTTCACCGGAATGCCAAATGCTCTTGCCAGCCCAAAGTCGGCCAGCTTCAGTTGTCCCTTAGTGTTGATGAGTAGGTTCTGGGGTTTCAGGTCCCGGTGCAGAACCCTATTGTCGTGGCAGAATGCCGTGCCTCTGAGCAAATCCTGCATGAATCGCTTGATCGTGACTTGGTCCAACTGTCCCCGATCACCACGGGCATCCATGTACTTCTTAAGATCCTTATCCATGTACTCAAACACCAGCATCAGTTTGTTCTCGGTGTGGATGACATCGTATAATGTGACAATGTTTTCGTGTTTCAGCTCTTTCATCAAACTTATTTCTCGGATTGCCGTTGAGGGCGTGCCTTCTTCTGAGTCCAGGTGGATCTCTTTGAGTGCGACGAGTTCGCCAGTCTGTCGGTTTCGGCCCTTGTAGACGGTTGCGTATGTCCCTTCGCCTAGCTAGCTTGCGTGTTAGCACGAGTCATTGTCTGCATTCACTGGTTATATACCTTCTCCAATTGCTGGAATGAGCTGGGGTGCTTCCGGTCCATGTCTGTGTATGACCGTCGGTCTTGGAGCCTCGAAGGCGGGGCGGCACCTGGAGGGAAAAGCACCGAGGTTGGAGAGATGACACGTTCTGCAAGTTGTTGTGCGGTGAGTCGTTGAGGCTGCTGTGGGCGGGAGAGTGAGTGCGAGGGTTGCGAAGATGTGGTGGACGATACTGAAGTTCGATGTGGTATGGACGTGGAGCGAGCAGACATGACAAGGAACGGGTGGAAATGGTAGAGGTCGAAGTAGCCTTAGTAGTGGAGGATCTTCGCCTTGAACATGAGGCCAGTCAAGGTTCCAGCATACAAAACGCGCATCATTTGCCACGAGCGGCTAATAAGTAGAGACGGCACCAGGGGGGTACAAAATGGTGCCTGGGCTCTGTTTGAAATTTCTGCAACAGGAACTCGTAAATGGCATCTGATGGTTTCTGGACTGAAGCGACAGGGCTGGTGCAGGCTTTGTGTGCCCCAAGTTAGGCGTAGTTGGGCACGCCTTCAACGAATGTAGCACCTGCGTGCACCTGCCATTATTGTTGCCCCGCCATTGCCCTGCGCCTGAGGCCGCTCTGAGTCTCTCTGACCAACCCGCGATGTCCTATGCGTCGCTTCCTTTTGACGCATTCTACTTTTGTATGACCCCCTCAGCGGCTATTGATTTCCTATGAATGGCCTTAAAACAGCCGCCTGGCGCGCAGCCTCGACTTATTCTTGGTTTCTGTGTTTGGAATTCCGTCCTCACAGTGTTGTCAGTACGCGCCATCCCCCGATTCGACCCTGGTTAAGTGTATTAAGTTCTAGATCATCTATCCTTCGGTTGGCTGCCAGCAGCCGCCGTCGGTGCAATATTCATGAGATCGTAAGCTTGCGCTTTATGGGCTCTTCACATGACCCTAGCCCATCTTGTACTCTGCATTCGTCAAACTTTTGGTGTAGTAGCAACATGCCAACTTGAAATCCAGCTCAGGGATCGATCGCTTCAAGGTCATATACTGCATGATTCGTGAGAGGGTGTCGTGCCAAATAGACTTCATATCAGCATTCTTCTCGGGTCAGGTCGTTATGAGGCGTTTTGCATGTCATCTCGGGAGGCATCCAGGGCCTGTTGGGCCATGGCCGTCATCCTCGCGCTTCACTTCAACGGGTTCTGTTCACGCTGTGCGTGATCCGCTGGATGATGCTTGGGCTTGTCTGTGAGCTCCAGCTGTAGCCAGCGTTGAAACGGCGGATTCGCTCATCGTCCGCCGTCTCCCTTCAAAAACAGGGCGTTGTGCATATGCAATCAGCATTTTGAAGCTCGAACCTCGGCTCTTGCATTCGCCCAACACATTCTTGTCCGCAAAGATGCTCTTCGCAAGGTTGCCGTCAGAAATCACACTCGCTTCAAAGCAATGTTGCCACCAAGTTCTGGCAGTTCTGGAGACAATTTTACTGATCCTCGCATCAGCATCGTCGGAGTGATCGGCAATCAGATCATTCAGAGAAAGATTGGTCTCTTTCCTCCCTTGGCCAAAAGCCATCCGAGGCGACGCGGTCACTTGTCTTGCATCTCCTAATCCAGGTTGAGTAAATCCTTCTGAGCCACCACTAGATCGAGACGATGAAGACGAGTCGGTTGACCTTGACGGGCGGCCAGCCACAGGCACTCCCACCACGCAACGACTGATGTTGGAAAATCCTCGAGCACCGAGCACGCTCTGGACATTGTCAATAATAGGCCTTAGGCTGATCTGTCGGTCGGCCGTCGTCATTCTGAATTTCAACTCGCGTACAGCCCGTCGAGTCTGGACACCCATGTTGACGATATCAAGATCGAGAAGCATGAGTTCAATGTATCCGCCAGGCAACAAGATTCGCCTGCATTCAGACATGATGTTCTTCATTTTTGCCTCCGCCATAGCGGGCGGGAATCGGACCACAACGGCACAGAAGTAAGCAGAAGGGAAGGGAAACCGCTCGTGAAAGCTGGCTATTTCCGCCCGACGATGATTTCCCGCGCCATTCTCTGATACCCTTGACCCCTTGGAGGCTCTCTTGCTTGCTTTCTCCTTGAGATCATAGACGACTGCTTTTTGTGCTTCATAGTTTACAGCACAATAGATGGCCCAGTCCTCGTTTCCTAGACCGTCGATGACAAGGATACGTCGTTCGGGTATAGTGTGAATCTCGTCATGTGCGGGAGAAAACAATACCCTTCCAAAGGAAAGCCACTTGGCGACCATCAACGAGGCATAATGTAGTTCCGACTGGCCAACAGGATCTTTATTTCGTGCAACCACATCCAAGAGATCGGCATTCTCCTGATGACTGGGCCCAATATCCGTCTCGGCAGTGCCTTTTGTTGTTGGCAAGAGCTCTAAGGAGGAAGCGGTAGCTGGAATACTCGTGCGGTCGGCCGTACTCGCGCTATTTCTCTGAGCAGTTTCATAGTCACGGAGGAAATCACGGATAGACAGTGGTGATGCCGGGTCCATTGAGTGGTGAAGGGCTGAGACAATCCTCGACCTGCGCAGTCTAATGTCTTCCGCAGCAACTCGCATTGGCGTTGAAGCTTTGTCAGCTATAGCCGTAGCTGGTTTCAATGTCATCACTGGCTTCCGAACTAGCGGCCTCTGCACACCACGGACCTCAGGTCGTGAGAGCTCGACATTGGTCTTCTTGCTTCTTGCGTGTAGAGCTTCCGTGGGTGAGGAATTTGCTTGCGATCCGTGAATGGGCCGCAGACCTGCAACTTGCCTGTCAGCGAAGCGGTTGCCGCTCATTCTTGTCCCAGAGGGTGACATGACATGGTCAATGAAATCGTCGTATTCATTCCAGACCTCATCTGTTGTGAGACTCTGAGGCATGGATGCATCAGCCGGCCGAGCGTGTCTGGCAATGTACTCTTCGGTATGCAGCATTGGAATCAGTGGTGGGCCAAGAATGCTCAATACGCCCTCAGAACTGCTGGAAGCAGACGTTTCGGAAGCCTGGCTTGAAGGAAAGCGCAGAAATTCTGGCTCTCCAAGCGCAGCAGCAACAGGTTTTGCACTTTCTAAAGGATTGAAAGTAGTGCTCGGAAGTATATCTATCCTTGGTTGGAAAGATAATGTCTGGGTCGGCTCAGCAACTGCCGACTGATCACTGACAATATCAGGGGCTGAAGATCTTGCAAAAGGCTGAGAAAATGACGACCGGCTAGGCTTGTGCTCTCTCTCAGCTCTCGGCACCACTTGTGGGATCCTTCCGACTCGAGGAAGCCTGGGTGGTCTCTGACTCGGCTGTTCCGGCCGAAGAGGGGGTTGTTCGCGTGGGCTCTGCAGCGGCACTGCCGGTAGCGGGCTCGCGAAGAAGTGGGGTGGTGAGGTAGGTGCTGTTGGCAGGTAAGGCTCCTCGTCGTAGCCTTGCTGCGCATGCTCCGTTTGCATATAGTCAGGCTCATACTCACCCATCAGAGGACTGATGGCTGGAGAATCAACGACTTGCTCCAGGAAATCTCCAACGTGCTCATTGTTGTTCACTTCACTTTCAGAATCCATCATAGCATAGTACGGCATGGAACGAGGTGCTGGGATAGTCGAAATGGTAACAGTCATTTCCTCTGGCGATGTGGAAGGTGGAATGTACGTCTTTTGTGACTCCATATCTGTGTCTTTCCTTCGGAAAATGTTCCATCTCAACCTCCGAGTCCTCTTATCCTTTGTTTTAGTGGACCCAGCATCACCGCGATTAAACTCGGTTGTGGAACTTGGAGTCGACGTCGATATTGCAACCGCAGAGGCACGTCCCTCGTCTTGACTAGTGACATATAGTGGAACAGAAATCTGATCCGTCCGGATAGATGTCGGTATGTTGAAAGTCTCTGAATCTTTTCCAAATCGTTGGGACCTGCGAACGGCTAGATTTGGCCGTCGCTCTTGATTGTAGACACGGTTGGGGAGATCTGCAGTATCCTCGAGAATTTGTACATCTGGTGAGGGTGTGGCCCCTTGAAGATCAGAATCCAGAGGCTGCAGTGTGCGGTCGGAGACATCGACGCGACTGTCAGATTCACTTCTTAAACTATTTCCAGATCCTCCAATAATCGGTACAGGCTTCATTCGGGTTGAAACAAACTCGTCCAGATCAGATTGACTGTTCCGATGGTGTCGACTGCTGCTGCGGCTGGCGCTGCCTTTGGACGAGAACAAAGGTATTCTCCTCGTACTGCTGACGGACCTCTCGCTTTCACTGTTGTTTGCAGAAGCCGTTTCCTGCGACGCTTTCCGGCCACGGCGTCCGTATCTTCCATAACCTTCGTGGCCTGTTCCAGTGGTAGGACCTCTGCGCTGCAGCTTGCGGGGACTTCTTTCAACTTCTTTCGCCGGTGACTTTCCTCGACGACCAAATATAGCCAGACGAGAGAGCTTCCCAAGACGACTTGGCGACTCCGGTACAGCTGGAATCGTCTCAGGAGGCGTGATCGGATGATGCCCAGACGGGACCAAGTCTCCTTCCCTTTCGTCAGCACCAAGAACATGCTCAACCATCCCCTGGTCTTCCGGCCGCTCAGGCCACAGACGTGCTCGATCGCGATCTGCAGCCCAGGGCACCGTCACTGGCTGACCTTGCTTGACCCATTGTGCGGCCAACGACTGCTGAAGCTCACCATGTGCCCGGGTAACAGAATCTTGATGGAGAGTATCGGCGATATTGTCCATATCTTTCTGCGTACGCCGGGGAAGCGGGCTGCCCTCGGGCTCGGAAGATGGTGGTGTAGGCTGTTGTGGTATACGACTCCTGCTGCTACTCCTACTCAGTGATTGCTTGGCAGAAGAGGTTCTAGGAGGAGGTGTCGGTGCAGGTGTGCTCAGCGGCGTCCTCTTTCTGCTAGGACTCCTCTTTACTTCCTTCGAGCTGAGCGCAGAGTTGGCCCCACTTGCGGAGAATGACTCAGGAAGGGCTGGCACTTCTGGGATGTTCCCACGGTTCGCTTGCCGTACAGGCACAGTATGTAGGCGTTTGCCCACCGTTTTAACTGGCATGTGCTGTATGACGCTTGGGGAGCTTGACGACCATGACGTTGGAGTTGTCATTGTTGTTGATTCACTCCAAGGACTTCTGGAACTGGACAGCCACGTGGATGGACTTTCTATCGAGCTCGTAGAATTGTTCAATGGTACTTGGTTCCGTGCCGGTGATGCAGCCAGAGCTTGCAGCTCAGGTATCAGTCGAGGCGGCAGGTCTGCGTGCCGAGCTGCCAATGCGGTCCTAGGCATGACTATGCCAAAGATTGCGTCGCGCTCAGTGTCTAGGGAGGACAGCGCTCTGCTGGAAGCCTCGCGCAGTCTCGCGGTTCGCACTGGAGGAGGTCTATCGTGTGTTCGACCCCCTCTTCGACCTTCTCTTCGATCAGAGTCCATTATCAAAGGTACCTCTTGCGACAACGATGGCGGTCCCCAAGTCGACTTGCTCATGGAAGATGGAGGAGCCGCAACCTTTGACGACGCAGTCGGTCTCAACGACGGCGATTTCGTGGTTGATTTAGGGATGGACGTCGGCTTCAGGCGAGGCTTTGCACTTGAAGATTTCGCTGGCTCCATAGTAAGAGCATCGGACCGATAACCAGAACCTGCGTCTGCCCCTGACCAACTGGGCTCTGACAGACTCCCAGCTTGTCCAGCCGCGGGCAATCTGGAGCCTCGTGGCACGGTAACATCCTTGGTTCTGGGAGGACCCTGTCGGGTGTCGTATGTCTGTGTTCTGTACGACATGTCCTCAATCAACAGAAGTGTTGCTTGCCCGTCCTCCTAATGCAAGCACTCGTGAATAGGACGTTAGTCATTCCGTTGTCTTTGCTTAACCACCTGACATTGAGCCCGCTTGACCGTACTGTTGTGATATGGAGCAGTGGGATGAAGGAAATAGTTTGTTTAGCGTGGAAGCTGACACTGGAAGCCGTGAAGCACAGCTAACTGATCTGTAGGTCCAGAATTCCAGGGTCCTTGAGATGTCTCTGTCAAATGTGGTACAGGTCACTCCCACCCGAGACAAGTATGTCAGTAGACTTCAATAATAGGTGTCAGAAGGTCGTGAACAATAGGACTGTCATAGCCGGATCTGCCCTCTCACGCGCCACAGTCGCTATCCAGGTTGTGTCGGCGTATCCGTGGCAAAAATAGCAGCCACGAAATTTCGGCACGTGATTATGAGGGCGAAAGACTTCTGTCAGCACAATTGCGGCAAAGAGACGCGCGGCACAGGAGAAAATGAAGAGAAATCAAGATAAAAGCAGAGTATTTCCAGGATAATAACCACCCTCAAAGGATGGCTGCATGGCATGAAGCGGATCTTGCAGGCATCTTAATGGCGGAGGGATAAGAGGGCGGGAGGGTTAGTTAGTACGAGTCATATTGCGGCACACCAAGCAACCCCAGGACTATGCTTGGAGCCTCGATGACTTCGCAGGTCTCCGTAGCTGCAACGGCGTGGGGCGCTAAAGGCTCGCGCATAATTCGTATTCCACTGATACACCCCGATACCTCTTCAGGCCAGGACGCAAGGCATCTCTGCTTTGGCATTTGGCCACTGGAGTCCCCATAAGGAACCCTCCATCGAGGCTACTCCGGTATCCAGCTCGGAGAAGTCACGCCAGGGCAACGCCTGGCTTCTGCCATGCTTTACCTGACGTCGTGGGGCCGAAGGCTTGGAATCCTAGGCCGCAGACAGTGACCCAGCCAGACGGATTAAGAGACTCTCGCTTACCATGACTTGCTGGATGTCATGCGTTGAAAGTGCTCGTCTGACACTTCTCGAAGAGTCATGTGCATGAAAAGCGGTCCAATCCGGGTGACATATGCGCGGAAGGCGGCATCATAGGCGCAATCGGTCTGCAGGCGAGGCCGATACCAGGGCTAGCAAGACAGGTTTCTGGTACAACGGTGACAGGCACCGAACAAAGAAGCTGGTGGCGAAGGGGCGGCTCGGCACTGGAGGAAGTCGACGATTTCACTCAGCCATCATTACTGGTGCATTCGTACTGATAATTAGAACGGGGGATTTTCATGGCTGCAGGGCTTGTTTGAAGGAAAGGGAACTTTGCATCGTTATTCGCAAGTCGAAAAGCCTGCTGAGTGCAGGGGCCAGAAAGTGAGAACCAGTCAATGAGGTGGAAAGAGACTTTGGGATTGAGGAGTTGCCGTCGGTGGAGTTGGCGTAAACCTTTCTGGGCGGCCCGGATGCCCACGCGGTGTTCTTTTTGGGGGGTCACTGGGGGATCATTTTGCAGGCCTTCTAGGCGTGGCAACTTCTAAGCTGAGGTCTTACCGGGCGACTCTCAGCCTTCAGTGGATTCGCAAGAAAAGGCTCGAAAAGGCCCGAGCCAGGTCTTCCGTTGGTCTTTGAGGGATAAAAGTGGGCAGGGACTTCTTGGAGACTTCTGTGCTACTTGTCGCGACATCATTGAGAATTGTAACTACCACAGTACGAGCCGTCATTGATCACGCCAAGGTAGCAGCACGGCACAGGCTTGCGAAAGAATTGTCTCATGGACTCTGTCGCTTCCATGGCTGCCTGCCCACGTTGTCTCAATCGGGCTCAGCGACTTCCATGGTCGTCTCTCTTTGGCTCGAGCTCGTGCTGAAATGTCGTTGATTCGGCTCGGTCTAGCAACAATATCAGCATCAGCCACGAAACACTCATTCTCGTGGCTGACGGTAAGTGTTTGACCATGTCCTCGTCACGTTCTGCGTCGAGCTTGCATCACAATCCTCTGGCATAATAAATGAGGACTGCCGCACAGCGAGCACATGCTCAGCACCGACTCATGACGGGCAAGCATTCTCGATTAGCGTAGCGGAAACCCCCGAGTTTCCCCTTCGATTGCCCATTTTCATGCACTTGAGTCCATCGCTTTTCTCAGAAATGGCCAATCACGCTTGATATTCAGCAAAATCCTTCTTTTCGTGGCTGATCGTGAGACCAGGGGTTTCTGGAGGAATACCGCTAACTTCGATAAGCGGGAAATCCTGGCAGGGAGCCACCTGCGCTTGACTGTCCCTGCACCGGACCAGTATGGTGGCATGGGGTGGGTTCATTAGGCTCAAAATCTCCGACCGACCCCTCATCCCACGGAGGACACATCCTCGACACGAGACGTGGTGGTACTCGGTGCCTCAACAACCACCTGATTGCGTTGTACTTGAGCTCCAAAAGACGCTGAAACCGCTCGTCGAAATTGACCAAAGCGAGCAGTCCTCAGCTCAATGCATGACGTGAGAACAACACGGACAATACCCTTGGCAAGTGATAGAGTGGTTATCTGCGACGGCATCCTCGTAAATGGCAACGCTGGAGACGGCCTTCCCCTTAGAAGGAGGATGTGATTGTGGAGACGTCCGATATGTCATGGAAGTGAAGCCAATGATTGTCCATTGCTGCCAGTAAGTAGGCTGTCGTGTAGGGATGTGTCCTCTGCTGAGATCTCACAGCTGTCGGTGGTGCCAAAGAGAGACCGGAGCATCGTTTGCCCTCAACGCCATGATAGAGACAGACAGGCTGAAACTGCTGAGACGTGAGCCCGAATGGACGACGGTGCCAAGTCAGAGCAAGGCCGGTCAAAGCATCGCACGTTGTCCCACATGCCGCATCGCTGTTTGGTCTGTGTATCTTCATAACACGGCTAATGTCCAGCAGCGCATCCGGATAGTACGGGTTGGGACTTTGGATACGCCGGATTTGCTGCCGCCTGATGTTCACATCTGGATATCGGAAAAGCAGCCATGGATCGTTCTGTCTGATGCGATTCCTGCCTTTGAGGACGCCGAATATGATGATGAAAAGGTCTGGTCAGTAGATTCGCTGCAGAGAAAGCGACGAATAGCAGAAATGGAGAGTACTCGACAGGATCCTCGAACGTGTTAGCCTGGACGGTTCCTTCGATGACATTAAACAAAAGCCAGTTTCCTGCCGGGTCGCTTGTCTATGAACACTATCTGAAGTAGATCAATACCCATCAAGCTGCCCGGCCATGCCGAGTCAACAGCAATGGTAGTATTCTTACCTGCGGTATAAGAGCCGCAGTTTTGGGCTGAATGGTTAACACAACGATGTTGGCCCATCTGAGAATCGCGTCGCTTTTCAGCCTTGCAGCAACATCCCTGTCGAGCTGAGGGTACCTCTTCGAACTTGGGACAGCTACTGTACATGACTGGATCTGTCAGCCAAGCCATAACAATGCATGAACCCGAATCTTGATCCATTTCTACTGAAATATCAAGAGCTGACAGCTAGATCTGAGGACAGGCGACCCCGTACCGCATGCGCAAACCTTGCGGATTCCATTGCTCGTGGAGCGCATTCTTTGGCTTGAGCGGACATGTCAATACTTTGGACTTGCAACAGCGCGAAAGCAACAAAAATGTAGCCTCAAGATGTAGACACGTAGCTCATCAAGAACAGAGTCAGGCTTTGCCTTGGACGCTTGCAGAAGAAGATAGGAAGTTGAGAGTTGGTGAGCTGGCTCATCGGACCAAAAGCCAGCCTCTAACTTGGAGTGAGGGATTGATTGTCAAAATTCAGACGTCCCCCAGCGAACGCGACTCCATGCACAACCATCAACATTAACGCCAGATTGTTCACACTACCAACAATCTACCCTTTTCTTATCGTGCATCTATTTCCGTTCGTTGACGCTCCTTTCCTCCTTGAATCACGACCTCAAATCAGCTTCCTTTTCCCGCCTTAAAGTGCGCATTGTGCCATTGACACGACGCTTGTGCAGTCTCAAACATGGTCGACTACGCATCGAAGACAGTGGCACAGTTGCAAGAGATACTGAGGTCACGAAGCCTGCCCCACTCAGGAAAGAAAGCAGAGCTCATTGCAAGACTTGAAGAGTCCGATCTCGCTGCAAGTCAGGCGAAGGAACATCAAGCGGCTGCAGAAGACGGTGCGTTCAGACCAGAGAATCTTCCAGCCCAGGCGCGCTTCCTTCGAGTGCAGTTTGCGCGTCCCAAGTTCACTGTCTAGAATCTCTCCAATTACTGACACTGTCTGCTTTTAGAAACAGCCTCAGCTCTCCCTGCCGACTCTACCACTGCGCCGCCCGCGCAAGTCCCTGAGCCTGTAGCACAGCCCACCTCAGAAACGTCTGCTCCTACAGAAGCTGCGCCGGCAGCAACAGAAACTGAGACGACCGGCACCACTGCCGCTAACAATGACGCTGCTGAAGCGGCCGCCGCCTCCTTCGCCTTGAGCCTGCCTTCCTCAGAGGTGGATTCAGAAATGGCTAGGCGTAAAGCACGCGCCGAACGCTTCGGCACGAGCGCGGCAGTCGCCAATGGCGAGACCGGCGCAGAAGGAGCGGATGCGGATACATCGAAGGCATTGGAACGGGCAAAGCGCTTTGGTACCGGCCAGACCGCGCTAGGCAAGCTAGATGAACCGCTGTCATCGGAGACAAAACGGGACTCGAGAAAACGCGGTCGGATGGAAGGCGACGGCCGCGGGGGCAGATTTCGTGGAAGAGGACGGGACAACTCCAGGAGGCGGCCAGGTGAGAGGCCAACCGGGGTCAGCAAGCAGAGCAGCCCTTTCTCCTCGGAAGCCGATCGCATGGCTGCAGAGGCAAGAAAGAAGAAATTTGCCAGCACAGCGTGATCTGGCCTGCGCTGTAGTCGTATTGTTTTCTTACGTGCTTCGCTGGCGGGAAAGGACGAGATCTGGGGGCCATGGGACTGCAACAAAAGTAAGGATCGATGGGATGGCCATGGGACCATGTATTTTGAAAGGCGGCTGGAATCACTTAGGAATATCGTTTTTAACAGGCTCTTCGACGGTTCTTGACTCTTTGAGCGCGTAGGAGGTCTTGATAGTCAGGTCTAGAGCAAAGAACTGTGCCTTCAGGCCTGCAGTCGTTGCCGCCCAACATGAGCTTACACTTTCGGCGCCTACAAGTCGAAAAGAAGAAAGAACACGGGAGTTTTTTTGTTCATGCTTTGCGCATTGCTAGCTACAGGAGTCACCTCGTCTGTCTGTCCCACCAAGGCCTCGTAAGGCAACCTGCTTTGCATCTCGTTCCTTCTCGGCTTCCACATGGAGACTTGGTCCCAGACCATTGACATCACCAACAACCACGTAGTCACCCAAACTCCCAGATCCATCAAACCAAACTCCATAGACCCAGTCCACTCAATCAACCAAGAAACCCATAGCCCCAACCTCCCAGACTTCCAAGACCCATGTCCTCACTCCCAGCCTGCCCCAAGATTCCAGACTCCCAAATCCCCATGATTCCCAAGCCACAAAACCCAAGACTTCAAGACTTCAAGACTCCCAGACTTTCAGACTTCCAATCTCCCAGATCTCCAGACTCCAAACCCCAGACCTTCAAACTCTCAGACACACGACAGACAGACAGACGGGTGCTCCACACAAACATTGTCATCAATCATCCTCCATTCCAGACCTTTGGGCCACATCTACCCCAGTCCAACACGTTGCTAGCTACCTGTCAAATGAAGTACATACTTGGCCATTTGTTTCTTGTTGCTGCCGTTCTTTTTTTTGCGGCTTCTTTTGTTTGTTTCTGACTCCCTCTTTTGCGGGGATGGCCTTTGTTTGTGTGATGTGTGATGTGTGATGATGTGTGCTCTGATGGGGTGAGTGAGGTGGAACGCTGGAGAAAAGCTAGCTAAAGTAATCTGAGATGTTTGTGGCCAGATGATTTCTTTTCTTTTCCTGCCGTTCTTTTTTTGCGGCTTCGTTTCTTGTTTCTTTGACTCCCTCTTTTGCGGGGATGGCCTTTTGTTTTGGTTCTGAGTGAAAAGAAAAGAAAAAAAGTGATGTGTGTTGGACTGAGGTCGAAATGCTCCCTTCCTGTACCTGCTCCAGACCATCCATCCTTCCTGTCAAATCCCGAAATTCCCAAACCATCATCTGCCAACCAGCATTGCCCTGCTCTGCTCCGATTCCTCCAAACCAAATTCCATCACAATCACACTGCCTTCCATGTCCATCTCGCTATTGGAGCTAAACTGATTTGTGGTCATGACTTCGAGGCCAAAGACCTTTTGATGGCCTTCTTTTTGGGCTCATTTTTTTGGTTTGTGTGAGCTATCCTACCGTCTTCCTCATCACGCGCCGATGATTTGGAAGAGGGGTGATTGATGGCCTTCTTTTTGGTCTCATCATGATCTTTTTTCGATGACCTTCTTTTTGGGTCATCATGATCTTCTTTTTTTGATGGCCTTCTTTTTGGGCTCATCCTTTTTTTGTGTCAGCTATTCTAACCTCTTCTCATCACCCGCCGATGATGTTGGAAGAGGGGTAATCCTCTTCGAGCTCCAAGGTGCGCCTTTGCTTGAAGGAGGATACGAAAGAAGGGTAAGAGAGAAGAGGGCGGGAGGGAAATATTTATGGTCGGTGGCAGGCGCGTCTTCCCAATCGGTCAGCGGTGTAGAGATTCCTGCCGCACCAGATGAAAACTCTGCAGAGGTGAAGTCCTTGGTGTTGCCGCTGAGAGCAGGGTGAGGTGAGGTTTGAGCAAAATTCTGCCGAACGTTCTTTCACCACAGGTGGCTAGCATCGCCGACCATTGAATTTGTTAGTGGTGATATACTCGACCCTCACAGGTAGAGAACATATTGTATTTCGGAAGCCAACTCCGCTCCTCACCATGTAATTTACTCTTGTTCAGTGACCCGGTTCTGCCTGACCCTCGTTCCCGATGCCAGCCTTATCACGTGATGGAAACCTCGCGCGAAGCAGACGGTGGACAAATCGAGGCAGGTTGGGTCGGTCGTCTGGATTGCTTCCCAAGAGGGGGAATTTCGTCCTGGCCATGGTCCATGGCACTGAAAAGGATAGGTCAGGAGATGTAGTTTTATGAAGATAGTCGAATGGTCGGTGTCAACCAGCCGCCCAAGCTTGTAACATCCTGGAATCTCCATGCCCGCTGCCTGTCCAAAGTCTACTACTTCTTTCCTGGCGCTTGTGATTGTTGCTGCATTTGAGCCATCTTCGCTCTGGCACTTCTGCTGCCTCCCAATTTGGGGCCTCTGGGTTCAGCTGCAGCCGACCCTTTGGCTTGCGTTGAGACCTTGCTCTTTTGCTGCCGTTCCGCGATGGCATCCATGAAATCCTGCCGGAACTGCTCTGCCATACGTTCATCGGCGCCACTATCGTCTGAGTATTCCTCGCCACTTTCAGCCTCGGCTTGTCGTTCTGTTCGTCCCAGCAATTCTTTCCCATCATAGATGTCCAGTTTGTTCTCCCGCATGAGCTGCTCAACAAGCGCGTCACGAGCAGCGTCGTCGCTGTTCCGCCGCTTCCGTGGCCGAGGCTTCATTGGTTTACCGTCGCGGCCGAGACGCGGCCTACGTGGCCTTGGTGGTTTTGGTTCGTCTTCAACGGGAGGTAGTCCTGCCTTTGCCCTCTCCAGTGCTGCTTGCGTTCGAGCAAGGTTTCTTTGATGTGCCGAAGAGCCGAGGTCGATCTCCGATAGTTGGCGGTTGGAGGACTGGTCTATCTGAGCAGGTGACTTTGGAGGTGCTGCTACAGATCCCTGGGGCGTTTCCGGCGTCGATTGCGTGCCATGCTGGTGTTGTCTTTGCGAGTCCTCGGGGGTGTGAGCCACAAGGGTACGTTTCTTAGCCATTTCCGAATCTACAAAAGCAACCCTTACATGGTTAGCATACTACTATTGCGGGTCCCGGGAAACAATTGGAGTTGTCCTCACATGTGCTGATCGACATTGACGACTTGTCCTGTACTGCTGACGAACCGGCCGGAAATATCAATTGGTTTCACTGGACCTTGATCGGCATTGGACACCATTGAGCTGCCATTGTCTTGCCCATTACCCGGCGCGCCTTTGGTTGTCGAGAAGTGCACGCCTCCCACGGGTCTCCGATAGTTCTTCCGAGCTCGAATCAAATCCGAAAGGTCAATCTCATCGCCGTTGTTCTTGTTCTCATTTACCTCAGTAGCTGGACCTTCGGCCGTGGCCGTGGCCGAGGTCTGGTCATTGGTCGTCTCTGATGAATCTGCAAGGCGAGGGCGTGCCACTTTTCTACGTTTTGCCGAGCGGAACACTGCGATTTCTTCCATGTTTTTCAGGTGTCTGCCTGGTGGACTTCCCCAACATCAGCCGATAATCGCGAAGAAAATTGGTTCGCTGTCAATGGAGCGGAGTTCTCGTCGCCGATCAGTCAATGCTGCATTTCCAGGCATGGGAAATACTACCTAGTTAGTGCTCATAGAATGAATGCTGCTGACCAAAGGACGTGAAAAGAAAGTCAAGTACGGTGAAGCTATCGAACCGACGCTTGTCAAAATAGTCACGTGAGTGGCGCATTGTTGACCTGCCACAACAAGATCGGCTTCTCTTGATAAAGAGCAGGTCCGTCCATGGTATGATATCTACTTTGACAATCTTCGCCATGTGCTCACAGGTCATTCAAGCACGACGAGGCAGTTACAGGGAGCCTGTCACCCTTCGGGCAGACCGGCGCTGATGCCATCTGCCGATTCTAACATGTTCATGTACGGCCTCGCCTGGCGAATGTCCATTCTTCACTCGGATTCCACGGTGGGAATCCGCCTCGCGAGCGGTTTGCCGATGCCAAAAAGATCAGTGAATATCGTACCTCGGTCAGTACCTTTGCTTCCGCTCCGAACACTGAAACTTGTTGGCAATGGCTGCCATAGCGAGTTTGGTTCATTGCTCCCCATCCATCGGCTAAGTCTGCCGCGTTTCCGCAACCATAGATAACATATCTAGGATATCCCTGTCCAACGACTCTCAGAGATTTCCATTCAAGTCTGTCTGTGATACCTAACCGCCAGAGTCCTCGAGGTGGAGAGGATGTCCCATATTCATGTCGGCGCCATGCTTGCCGAGCCGCTCGGAAACGTGTACGCGGTATTGGAAATATGCTGGCGTCTACCATGGCGTGTAGCATATGCAATAATAGGCAAAGTTACATCGTCTCAGGTGCAGCCAGAGCAAACTTCGGTTTGGCTTGCCATGGCAACGTCGATATTTGCACCATTTCTGGCATACAACTGGCATATGCTGCTTGCACGACCTACAACCATAGACCCGGCAGCAGCACTCCTATTTCCCCCGGACGTCAATGACAAGAATCCGAATAAGGACGAAACACATGGCTTCCACGGTTTCCTCTATGCCAGTGAACTTTCCCCGGCCTACGGAAAGCCGACGTTGAAGGGCGCAGATGCTGTTTGGATACACGCTCATGGAGGCGGCTTCTACGCCGGGGAAGCTCGTCAATACCATCACACATATCTACGCTGGACGAATAAGGCTTACCAAGAACTGGGGTATGATCTGAGAATCCTAGCTGTGGAGTATCGTAAGTGTGACCTGATCTACGGCACATCTAGTCGTGTAGGCTAACAAACAGTACAGCATTATCTACGGTGAAGCCATATCCTGGGGCACTTGAAGCCATGATGGCAGCGTATAAGTATCTGTTGAATGACGGCATCGCTCCATCTCACATTGTTATCGCTGGAGATTCCGCCGGTGGTAATGTCAAGCTTGCTTCAGCAAATAGCAGACCGTTCTAATGAGAATGCAGGCAATCTCGCCCTGACAACATGCTACGAAATCATGCAGAGAAAGCTCCCTATGCCAGGCGCACTTATAATGCTGTCGCCATGGCTCGATCTGACTCGCTCAACGTCAGGCAACTCCCCCAATCAGCCAACAGACTGGCTCACAACATTCGACAGCGAGGAGTGCCGCGTTGGGGCAATCGAGATGTACATGGGCACTACGATCAAATCCGCCCAGGACCCAAGGGTCTCTCCTATGTGACGGAACTCTGTTTCAGGACTGCCTAAGCAATTGCTCTCCGCTGGATGTGCTGAAGTCCTTTTCGCAGATGCAAAGAAATGGGCCCAGAAGGTCGAAGAGGAAGCAGGCTCCGGCGCGATTGAGTGCCATTTCGCCAAAGGCCAGGTGCACACTTTTGCAATCGGAGGCTGGCTGGCGGACACTGGCGTGGCAGAGCTGAGCGACTGGAGATTGCTGTCATTTGTGCGCGATCAAACTGGCGCTCAGAAGTAGTCAGACCAACTCTGGTGATTGCAGTGGAGAGGAGATGAGGCGGGAGTGCGGCTAAACCACCGGCTAAGGGTCTCCAGATGTTGCTCCCCTTTCCCCCGGGGGCTCGTTTAGCATGGCGTCGCTCTCCTTGATTGCTTCCATATATCCATGGAGCTAAGCGTTGATCAACTGTATAAAACGAGATGTCCTGGTGTATCCGAAACAGATCTCTAAACAGTACTCGCCAGCACCCGAAAACGCAGAACAACCCCATTTCCTTCGTCAATTTCTCTCCGTGAGGAGGCCAGCACAAACCAAGACGTGGTGACTCCCGACCATTGGTTGAGACCTACAGCCCAACATGTTCGGCGTGGAGCGTCTCCGTGGTCGGCCGCTGCGGGTATTGGTGACCATCGTCCGTGGCTGTTCCTTCTCATTGTTCGGATATAATCAGCACTCTACGGAGGTGTCGCCAGTGGTACTGCTTTCGTTGATCATTTCAACCACCCAAGTGCTACAATGACGGGTCAAACTGCTGCGCTGTACGACATTGGATGCTTGGTCGGCGCGGTCTTCGCGCTTTTCATAGCTTCCCGAATCGGTCACAGAAAGGCTTTGGTAAGGACATATCCCCTCTGTCTACCATCGGTGGTTCACCACACTAACACATGAGCAGCTTCTCGGGTCCAGTATCATCATTGTCGGAGCTATCATCCAGACGGCGTCAATAAAACCTCGGCATGCTGATCGCTGGACGGATCATCAGCGGGATTGGCAACGGTTTGTTACTACGCATCGACCGGATTCAGCTCATGGGTATACTAACGGCATCGGAAACAGGTCTTACCACTTCTGTTTCACCAGTTTACCACGCAGAAACGAGCCGTCCTCAGTCGCGTGGTCGGGCACTGATTAGCGAGCTCTTCATCTTGGACGTCGGCTGGCTTGTCGCGCAATTTGTGACTTTCGGTTTTAGTTTCACCAAAGGCGCCATTCAATGGATAAGTATCAATCTCCTTGACTTAGACCCGATTTGGAGGAGGAAGCAGCAGCTGACCAACGACCACAGCGTTTCCTAACCGCTTTCCAGATAGTCTATCTCATTCCCGTACGGACTTGCCTGTGCATCAGGGTGGCATGGCAATAACCGCAATCGCCACTCCCATGACCTCGTTCACGGCTGGTGCTGTAGCCATCTTTGGCATCTTCTTTTTCTATTTCAACTAGTGAGTTTTATGAATCTCTGATTCCTCTGAGTCCTCAAATTCCCCGACTAATTTCTGGTACAGTGGCGTGGGATTTCAATCTTCCCCATGGATACATGGGATCAAGGTTACTCCTTTGAAGCTTCGCCACTTTGCTGGAGGCATTGCGTCGGCTTCCGGTATCTACTATCCCGCTGCATCCGATCGCGGTCTAATGACTAATTTTCCTTTAGCATGGATCTGGAATTATGCCGTTGTGCAAATTACTCAACCAGGAATTGAAAGCATTGGATATAAGTATTTCATTGTCTGGGCAGTGTTGAACTTCACCTGGATATGGGTGATTTATTGTGAGTGTTGCCGTCTACCCCAGAACAAGTCTCTTTGTTCTTGATATAGCGCTAATTGTCCTGCCCTTCAGTCTTCTTTCCTGAAACAGCCAAGAAAACTCTTGAAGAGCTCGACTTCATTTTCATGAAGCCAGAAGACCGTCCTCCGATTGCAGTTCAAGAACTTGGAAGATCAGACAGCGTATGTTCGGAAAAAGGCGTGAAAGACAAGGGAGAGGAGATTGCGACCAAAAATATTGCACGAGATGATACGACACATATTGTGGAGGTTTAATGGGCTTTGAACTATGGTAAAATGACAGCCAACGCAGAACCCAGGAGCAACTGAAGAGAGCGAGATTCTTGGTTGGCCGCACAGCTTTGGCACTCGACGTCGGTGATACGTGTTTAGTGGAAGTTGAGGTTGGTTCGATCTTGGTTGTAAAGTCATTGAAAGCTCGTGTATTGATCCGTTAGAAGACCACCTGTTTGCTTATCATTAAGAATGAAATTATTATATTCTGAGGACTGGGCTGATACTCCATTCATGGCTCTACCACGCTGGCCAGTTCAACATTACAGTATTTGCCGATTTTGGCATGTTAAATACTATACCGCCGGGGGAGAGCAAGTTCATAAACTCATTGAGTATCGGCCTTGTCATAAATTCTCGATGCATTCCACTACACCGTCCCGTAGGTAGTGCTTCTCAAGAAATGAATCATGGTTCTCCTTTTCCGCTTTTCCGCTACCTGGCAGGGTACGGACTATGCGGATATCAATGGGACCATGATCCGCACGAACAATCCCGCCGGTCAACGTACCACAGCTAGCCACACAGCAAGGTCCTAGTTGTTCACGGAGATGAATCTTTCCAGGTGGGAATCTTGCTTCAATATCTATACCGCCCAGTTACATATAGATCGAGGTTAGACAGCAAGCGAAGAAAATATCCAAGCCGCAGTTAGCCATACCTCTATTTGTTGTCAACATGGCTACGTCTGGGAAAGAGGGTACAGTGAAAGCTGTCCGCTATCATGGTAACAAGGACATCAGAGTTGAGGACATACCTCGACAGAAGGATCTAGGAGACCATGACGTTCGACTTTCCCCAGCATGGTGCGGGATTTGCGGCACGGATGTTCACGAGTATCTTCACGGGCCAATATTCCCGCCTACACGCGAAAAGCCTCAGCCTCTCACCGGCGAGTCTATGCCCATCGTTCTGGGCCATGAGTTTGCGGGAACAATAACAGAGGTTGGGAAAGCTGTACAAGGACTCAGCATCGGGGACGAGGTCGCCGTTGAAGGGCTTTTGACTGACGACACTTGCTATTCTTGTTCCATTCACAAGAGGAATACTTGCGACAAATCAGCCTTCCTCGGTCTTTCTACCAATCCCGGAGGTCTTTGTGAAAGTATTCTAATTCCTGCCTCCACGTGTCACAAACTGCCGCCCGGACTCTCTCTGGAAGTTGGCGCTCTCGTCGAGCCGCTGTCTGTGGCATGGCACGCAGTTTCGAGCTCCGGGATCACTCCCAGGCACAGTGCCATCGTCTTTGGGGCCGGTCCAATTGGACTGGCGACGATCCTGGTCTTGAAAGCAAAAGGTATAAACCAAATCCTTGCTTCGGAGCCCTCCAAGTCGAGGCACGAGCAGGCCAAGCAGCTGGGTGCAAGTCACACCTTTAACCCTATAAATGAAGACGTGATCCAGGAAGCGAAAAGAATCTGTGATGGGTTAGTGCACAAACCCCGATAACCAAGAACAAAACTAACTCTCTCGCAGTCTTGGTCCAGATTTTGCCTTTGATGCATCGGGGGTCCAGGCGACATTGTCTTCAGGTCTCAAAACCATTCGCAAGTATGGCACGTATTATAATATTGCGCTCTGGGGCAAACAGGTATGAGCAGCCTTCGACCAAAGTTTTCAAGCTAATTCTGAATCAGCCGACCGTTGACATGAATGAATTACTGTTCAATGGCAAGACAATCAAGTCCGATCTTTCGTATTCGAGAGGTGACTATAATGCTGTCATCACGGCTATCGACGAAGGCAGAATATCCCTTCAGGAGTTGGAGTACTTTGTGACAGCTCGCATTGACATGAAGGATCTTGAGGAAAAAGGCATCAAGGAGCTGATAAACTTCAAGGACAAGCATATCAAAATCCTAGTCCGTGTGGATCCAGCACAGCCGATGACAGGCGCCCTTCGGAAGTAATTCAGACATTATCCTGAATATAAGACAATCTTTCAAATGATAGTCTCATCAATATCCGTACTTATATCAGTGTTGGAGCCATCTCAAATAGGCAGGATATTGTATGGGTTGCAAAAAAAGGGGTCTTCGGCCGCCAAGACAAATAAAATCGTACCTCAGCCTCGTCAGAAAGTTGGGTTTGCTGTCCTCGGCACTGATCACATCATTCCTGCATTCCGCACAGCAGACGAGACGGCCTGGCTAAGATCGATGTGAAAGAATGGTCGGTCAAGCGCGAAGACTGGTCGCAAAGGCGTGACTTCCTTCTGGGTTGGGTCGGCCTTTTCGCATGTTGAAGCACTCTCGTTCGGCTTCCTATCCCTCACACCAACCTCAAACCCGGCATCGTCGTCGTACCTCGCCTTTCCCCCTTTGCTCTCGCAGTCCGTCTTTGCTTGTTCCTCTCTCCTCTTCGTCTCAGCGCGAGCGTCTTCAGGTACTGCCCCGGCAAAGGAACTCGTGAGACAGTAGACAGGAGCCCAATCTCCAAGAGTCGTCTGGCTCCTTGTTGCAGGATATCCGAAGCCCGCCGTTGCAAGGGCACGTCGCGACCATCGATTCCAAAGCGCCGCGAAGTGCCAATCTACCGAAGACGGAGAAGAATGTCGATCCAACGCATTCCTTGCGTCGATGAGTCCTTGCACACTTGTAATGTCCATATTGTTCACTGATGAGCAATCTAACACGATTGCTCGCAAGAGTGGTAAGTTTGTGTCGATATCCTGCGATGCTGCTGAGTCACCAAAGAAGCTGGTGTGATCTGACATCATCTCGTTTTGTCATGCGTCGAGTGCGCCTCCGGACATAGCTAGTGAGATTGCTGAGCTGTAATGTCTGGTTGAGATAATTGAACCCCTCTGGAAATCGATACACGAATACCCCAGGATAGGGAGATTGTACCACTATCTCTGGGTTAGAGGCGTCCTTGCGATTGGCCGGGATGTAGGCATCCCGAACCTCTCTGTCAGAGTGATCTTGTCGAGGTCTCTCAGCCCGCTCATCTCCATGATCGTTGACATCGAATGTGACTTCCTGGACTGGTACACGACCAAGAAATTGTCCCGGTGTGCGAGCAATTCGAACGAGCAGCAGGAATAAAGAGAGACCGATCGTGATATAAATAGAGGTTTCCAGCCCAGTAAAGATGGCAACAATGACGCCAACGGTCCAGATCATAAATTCGAAAGGGGAAATCCGCCAGTACTTATAGCAAGTTTTGGGAGATGCCACCAGGTTCAGCACGGCGTGAATGATGAGGCCAGCGAGGGCGGCTCTGGGTATGTAGTAGAACACGGCTGTCAGCGCATAGAGGGCCAGCAAGAGAACAAGCGCGCTGAATACACCTGCCAGAGGAGTCTTGACCCCAGCTTTGACAAGGACGGCCGACGCACCGAAAGAGCCAGTACATGCGTAGCCACCCACAAAAGGTCCCAGCAGGTTTGCCGTACCCTGAGCCATGATCTCCTGCGAAGGAATAACCTGATAGCCGAACTGCTTGCCAAAATTCTTCGCAATGGCAATGTGCTCGATGACGAGTATCAGCATTATGATAGGAGCTTGAGGGAGGACGAGACCAAGTAGTTCTGCATCAAATCGAGGTACTCCAGCATGCTTGAAACCTGGTTCTCTCAGTCAGTAATGGAGAAGACACTAGCCTTGGGTGGCAGACCTTTGTCGATGTGTCCCACGATCCGAAATTTACTCTCACCCTTCGGCATACTGCGATGTACAAGCCAGCTGATGAAGGTATAGAGTAGCATGGCAAAAGACAGTCTCAAAGACGAAATTGTTACCCATAAGCGCTTCCGGGAGGGCTGCCGGACTTCCAGCTTCGCGCAAACTCTCCTAATCACATCCAACAATATGAGACAAGAGACACCGATGGCAGCATCAGAATGAGTGTGTCCAAGATTCTGCAGAGAATTGATAATCACTTTGTAAGGCGATTCTCGAGTGTTGATTCCAGGAATGCCCATCATGACTGGAAATTGTGTCGACATGATCGTGATGCTGGCTGCTGTTATAAAAGCTGAAATTGGTATATATGGAATGACCTCAACGATCCATCCCAGTCGAAAAAGGCCGATTGCCAGCAGAATAGCTCCAGCCATGAAGGACAGCGTTTTTGCAATCTCGACACGAGTATAGGCGCCAGGGTGCGACTCCTGAATGTCAGAAATCACGTTTCCCACGAGAAGCGACCCGACCGCGGTTGTCTAAGACAGGAGTCAGAGCGAACATAGATCAATGCCGATCGTGACTTACGCCGATAACGATATCTTTGGATGTGCCAAATAGCCAATAGATTGCCGCTCCTGCGAATGAAGTGTACAAACCGAAGTCAGGGGTCAAGGTGGCCAGAAGAGCGTAGGCCATGGCCTGAGGAATCACGACCAAGCCAACTGTGATACCTGCTATGCAATCGGCCAGCAGCCAATGCCAGTTATAGCGAGGTATCCAGCCGATTGAGGGGAAGAGACTTCGAAGATAGCGGTGCGCGCCCTCCTTGGTCGGAACCAGCGACGCAAGCCATTCCGATGCCGTTGGTTCGCGTTCGAGGTAGGGGTCGGGCATCAGTTGGCTTGACTTTTCTGTAAGTTCTGTAAGTTGGCTCCTGCTGCTTTCCTGTGAACTGTCGAGTAGAAGAGTCTTCATAAGACTTCCGACGCGCTGTGACAACTTCATGCTGTGGCTGGGCGAGACTGAGATCGACTCAGCGCAGCAGACTCAACAGACATACACTCTGACTTGGTCGAGGAGCTGGGGTTCGAATTCGACGGGGCCTTGTTTCGCATATATAATGATTCTCCTTGGCCCTGGAATAGGTCCATGTCTCGGGGTACGAAATGTGATGAGGGATGCACAAGGAGGCAGATTTCCTGGCTTTCCGTTGCGACATCATGCCACGTCTTGGGCGTCGGGGACCGCAGCTGCAGCGCAGACACTGTTCTGACGCAAAGTAGCAAAGAAAACCGAGCGGCGGAATGTCACTGAACAAACAATCGGGGAACTGAGGCGAACGTGTACTAGTCGCCGACCATGCCTGTGCGGATTCTCCCAATGTTCTTGGCAACTTCTCACTTAAGAGCCCAAGTACTTTTACTTACTGGCTTCGTGACAATGGCTGTGAGACTGCGCGAAGACCAAAGTGTGCGAAGAAGCTATCAGCCTGTGGTTAGTAGTCTTTTTTAGGGTCGGGGATCCGCATTTGATCAGGGGTCTTATGGCCATGAACACTTTGGAAGAGAGTGTTGCGGTATCGCAGGGCGCTACCAGTTGAGAGATTAGGTCACTCACAGGCAGTCTCTCTCTGGTCATAGTATGATAAGCGTTGTCGCGCATGACAGAGAAGGGAAACACGTAGGTAGCCACCTCGCCACGACACACCACGACCTCACGACGAGGCTCGTTCGATGTGTAGAATGCTGCTTTTACACTGAAGCGTAGGGAGCGGATCGACTATAGGGCAGCGAAACTGACTTCCTAACGAGGCTGAACTACGATTTTATTTGTCTTGGCGAGAGCCCTTTGCAACTTGACCCGATGCTCGCGCGATCTCGAAGGACATCCTCCAGCAGTCTAGGTTGACCTCCATCAGTTCGTTTCAGATTAGCATTTTCTTCTCAGCTGCCTCTCCTTCCGTACAGACAATGTCTACCCAGTTGCCTTCCGTAACCTACCGTTGCTGCCAGCTCGCGACTCGAACACAAAAGCGAAGTCTCTCTTCACAATGCCTGCGCCTATCAACCACAAGCTCCGCGAACCAGCACAGACGGCGAAATGAGCAACCTCTATCAAGACATGCAAGGAGATGGCAATCGACGGACGCGGCAGCAGCACCGAGCGATCCTAAGATCTCTGCCATAGTGGATCAAATATCACAGTTGACCCTGCTGGAGACGGCTGATTTAGTTGCGAGCCTGAAGGTACGCTTCCCATGATATGATCTTCCTAGCGTACCAAGACCTGCTATTGCATCGATGCTTGCTATTATCAAAAGCCTATAGGCTATTGAAGCTTGAGCTAATCCTGTTTCTCCCAGTCCCGATTAAATATTCCCGACATGGCCTTCGCTGCGCCCGCTGCCGCTCCAGGCGCCGCTGCTCCCGCTGCAGTTGAGGAAGAAGAAGCTGCCCCCGCCGCGGCCGAAAAGACCATGTTCGCCTTGAAACTACAGTCGTTCGATGCCGGCGCCAAACCCAAGATCATCAAGGAAGTCAAGAGCATGCTCGGCCTGAGTTTGGTGGACAGCAAGAAGTTCGTAGAAAGCGCGCCAAAGGTCCTGAAGGAGGGCGTGCCCAAAGAGGATGCCGAGAAGATTGTTGAGACAATGAAAGGTCTGGGTGCTGTAGTCACCATGGAATAGGAAGGACACAAATGAGGCAATCACCAATGCCGACTCTCCGGAAGCCAGCTTTCCTAGCCTCCGCCCGGTGACCATGAAGACAGGCTCTATGAGGTGCCGGCCGGGCAGGTGGAAGAAAGACCAAATAGATGTCGTCCTGCATCTGAGGGAGCTGGTCAGCCATCCTTAGACAATCCTCATGCTGCCTGCCTAAAAAGCTCTGGGAGGAATGGTGTAACTATATAAACATGTGGGGACAGTTGGGAATGCTTCTGAATGTACAATTCAACTTGATTTTTCTCTCCAACGAACGCTATGGTCATGAATAGCGAGGGAGCAAATCATGAACTGTCATCACAGAGCCATCTTGACATTGACCCGACTGTTTCGGTGGCTTCAGAGCAATCTCGGAGAAGCCGCAATGCCTTTTCCCTTTGACGCTGAGTCAATTGCCTGACCATTTCAACGCCGAAGCACTGTGGACAGGCACAGGCCGGGTCCGATGCTGTTGTATTCGGAACGGATGGAGTCTCGCCGTCTGCCGAACCTTTTCTGCTTCTGGGTTCTCGATACTCACCATATGTCATCGATTCCGAGGCGGCATCTCTATTGTCTCTCGAACCTCGTGCCATTAACACCACTAACACCCTCCTAATTGCGCCGCAACGACGGTCGCCTCCCTTACGCTTCTCGCAACGGTCCCTCTGACCCTTCTTTCCTCCAGCACCAGTAAACCCCCAATTGTACACCCACCGAGCGTACTAACCTTCTCTCTTACCAGGGCCGGATGCTCACCGGCCAGAACCATTCCCGCCGTCCCACGCATTGTCTAGGCGACCATCAGTTGCGCCTCGGCCCTTGGGAGACCCATGGCAACAGCCCCATCAGCGAGACTCTCCATCATCAGCGCGAGGAAGGCTGAACCCGAACCGCACAGGGCCGTTGAGATGTCCATCATGCTCGGCGGCAGGTGTACGACACGGCCTATCCGCGTGAATATCCACTCTATCACCGCCGACAAGTCACTAGGTAGGGGTGGGGAGCTGGTCGCAATCACGGTCATTCTCTCGCGCACGAGGGCTGCGGTATTGGGCATTACTCGGATGAGTCGGCATGCATCCTGCGGTATGTTCGCAGGGTATGACTCGCCGTACAGTGCCCTACCCATCTGTTCAACCGGGACTCCTGCGCAGATCGAAATAAGCAGTTTGCCGGCGAGTGCGTCCTTTATTCCTTCCTTGCGCAGAACGTCGGACACTATGTACGGTTTACAACCGAGAATGACCACGTCAGCAGCCGCATCGCCCTTGACGTTCTCATTTTGTAAAACAGTCACTTTGGGCCGGTAGTCCTGGACAGCAAGCTTGATGCGCTTGGCAGACTCGGGCGGCGGACGCAGGCGATAAAGGTACTTGGTGTGCGGGTAGGAGAGGCATCGGTGGTGGGTGTCGCGGTTCCTGAGTCGGGGTATGCTGGGGAAGGGAGGTTTGATGCTTCGGTTAGAGAGGAGAGGATTCCGGAGAGGATTGCAATGCCTAGGCTCCCTGACGACTGTTTAGGAGGAGCGTAAAGCGAGAGGAAGTCTCGCAGACCCACCGCATCCTAGGACTGTGAGAGTCATGCCGTGGTCGCTTTCCAGCCCATTGGGGACTCTTAGCTCGGCAGCCATGTCGAAGGACTAGATGGGTTTCTGATGTAGCGCGGACTTAACCAGAGGATCAGGCCGGAGTAGAATTGTCTCTTTCTCCGGCCTTAACCTCGTTTGATTCTCGTCACGGCGGGATAAAGATTGCGGAGAGAATGAATATTTAAGAGACCAGCATCCATACGGCGAAATGCGCTGCAAGGCACACCAATAGGATCCGGCTAAGTCTTTGGCAAGGCTCTGGACGATCTTCCTTCACTGTCACTTACCGTGCATGCCTTCCTCTGCGAGTCAATAAAGCAGACTTTTCCCGTTGTCGCGGGTCCCTTCTTCTTTTCCTGTATGTGGCGCTTTGTTACAGGAACACCATTCATCGACGAATTACAGATGATGTAGACTACCTCCGCACCGTCTCATGAGCAGTCAGTTCGCAAACATGGCCGACCCATTCGAGGTGCGCATGCGCTTCACGAACCTCCTCACACATCTCTCAGCGTCAGCAACGGCTTCCATCAAGACTGCCCATTATGCTCTCAAGCACCGCGACATGGACGAGGATTTGCATTCATGCATCATCGAAAACCTGGAGAGGGGGAATAATATGAACAATCGGGCGAATATCATGTACTTCCTCGAGCACCATGCAGACGTCAACATGAAAGAAGGCGGTCACGAGGCATACGTCGAGATGATAAGGCGAGATATCCAGCGTATCGTGGAGGCGGTGGCGCAAAGTGGTGCGAATGTCAAAGTGGTAAGGAGGGTTGTCACGGGCCTAGGAGACAAGGGCGTCCTAAATGCAGAGGTCATGACTGGTATCGAGACAGGCTTGAAGGAGAAAGAAGAAAATATGGGAAGACTGCTCGGCGAGGACGATGGGAAGGCCGAAGGCGACAAGGGTACTCTCGATGCTGGCGCAGAGGAAGGCCACAGACCGACTCCGAGAACGGCGCACTCTGGGAAAACGAACGGCGTGTCAAAGATGGATAAACGAGCAATCGAGCAGAGGATCGAGGAGGATAGAGAACGAAACAAGCGTCTTCGAGAGAGTGTCTGGGCAGTCTCTGGCGATGACGATCAGGAACTGGACAGAATGTGGGAAGAAGGAAGCGAAGTTGGCGAAGATGAGCATATCATTGCTGACGAAGAGGCTGATGAGCGCCTTGAATTCGTCCGCTACTACAGATCAACACTGAAGACTTGGGGATCATAGGATCGTCCTTCGCCTGTCCCACAGACTGCTACAAAGCAAATTCGACCTTAATCCGGACGCTTCAGCCCATCTCGGGTCGAGATCTGCTGTCGGGGTGCCACCCTTTCGAGTCCTGGTCTGAACGAAAACAAGCACTTGTTTGGAGGACCCGAGTCCTTTCTCGCAACAAATGTGGAAAGCTGAAATCTATGGCACCAATTGATGTGTATCCAACAAAGGGCTCCTCAAACTTTTGCCTTCTTAGAGGCAGTACCGAGATCATCCGACTCGTCCTCTTCATCCGACAGCACCATCTTCCTCTTACGGGTGGCTGTGGACGCCTCCCCGTTGCCATGACCGTTCGCCTCTCTTTCTCGCCTCAAAGCGTACGAGAGTATCAGACCTTCATATTCATCCTCTTGGGCTCGAGCACTATCCTCAATCTGCGGTATGCGTTCTTCGAGGGGGATTTGCATAAGTAAATCTTTGTTCTTCTTCATGATACGCTGCTTCAACAGGAGACGCCACCAGTAGTAACTGCGATCATCTGCATTAGGAGCTCGAGCGCCTCTAACTTTGAGACTGGTGAGGGATGCACCTCCAGCAGCACGGTGTGACAGTGGAATCTGAGCTAGCAGGTACATTTCAACCATACGTGCAAACTGTCGACTTGCGATCTTGTTCTTTGCGCGAATCTCTTGCAATGTGTCGAGAGGAAGCAGCGTTGCTGTTGGTACCGACTTCAGCCGGCCACGCTCGAGAGTTGCGAAAGGGGACGTGTTTATTTTGATGTTTGCAGCCTTGAACTGTGGCTCCAAAACGTCGAAATCATTCATGTCTCGCAATTTGTCGAACTCTTCACTTGGATCTTCCACTGTCAATTCCAAGATGGTGGGGTCGGCCATTACCTCATCATATATTGCTTGATACAAGGCCGAACCATGGCCTGCGCTCTGGTAGGGGGGTGTGATCAAGAATTGCGATATTCGCAGACGGGATGACAGTTTGTTGGGCGTGATCTTTTCTGACGGCGGAAAGGTGAGCGTTGCAATGTGCTCATTTGGATTCTGAAATTTGTAGAAACGATAGGTTGTCGCATAGCCGACAAATGAATATGGTGATGCAGTTGGGGTTGAAGGTTGCACCGACTTGTGGTATGTGAGGTATACCCTCCACCGATCCAATGTCCAGTCCACGTCGTCTAAATTGATGAATTGACCTCCTTCGATGAAGAAGACAATCAATATTTGGATGTTGTCTATCAGTGCACGCATAGGCAAGTCTAGCAAAGACCCGGCCCATACCTCGAAATCCTGGCCACCTCTTTTGTATTTTTTGACGCAAACGCCAGGGGGAGTCCAACTTGTTGCAGTTTTATCATTCTGAATTGCCTCTTCGAAACCCTGCTGGAATGCGATAGGCGGTAGAAAATTACTGAAGGTCGCGTTGAGATCGAGCGCGCTTGTTGATCCAACAGTGCTGAATTTCTTCTGGTACGAGATGTTGATGTGCGGGCGCAGGTCGTGAGCAGCGAATTTGATCTCGATGTCTAATCCTTTGTAGCCAAAGATCTGCTCGGCTTCGCCGACGATGGGGTAAGTGAACTTGGGATGGAAGTCATGTCGAGTGATGAGTTCATTGTCGGGGTCAGGTTGCACGATCGCAATATGGACAGCTTCGTTTGCATTGACCGAGACTACCTCAGGTCAGTTAAGTTGTCAGCAGGAGCTTGCCGACGCTGGTACTCACATTCTTCAGAAGGTGCCGCCATGGTAGTGTCTGGGCGCGAAAAAGAAGTATTGATCACGACTTGCGCATGACATGCGCCATAAAACTCAGGTTGACAATCAGCCAATGCATTCGGGAAAGATACACCCTTGGTTATCGTCTAATTTAGTAGCGAATGCCTTACGAGTATGTTGGCTGGATCGTGAATTTTGAAGACATCTTGCGCAGATGTTAGGTCTGCGCGAGGCACTTTACGCGTTTTCAATAAGTGAAGGTCTAGCGCGATTTGGCGGCTAAGAGTGGCAAGATTTAGTAGCTCTGAGCGGCATCCATGTCACCGATCCAATGCAAGGCTAATGGGCTTTGTGACCGTACTCCGTACTTTTGCCCTCTACCGGGATGTTGTGGTACTCCAGACGCACCTTCTGAAAGCTTTTCGGAAACACCTGAACGCGCGAAGATTGTGGTAGAGCAAGCAGCCAGCGCGCGACTTCTGACTTCCATGTCATAGGCCTTGATTGGTGCTACACTCTCGACTTCCCAGCTCGCTTTTGATTATGTCAAGCGTTGGACCTCGCTTCATTAAGCGATCATCAAAACCAGGCTGAATAAGGCGGCAAAAAGGACTCCTTGCAGAGAAGCACCTGTGTCCGCTGCATAAAGTGTGGGAATGTTCCCCGAGCATCCACTATGTACTAGTACTTTGCCCGACAACGATGTCGATGACACCACTTGAAAGTCAAAGAATACCTGCTCGACCACCTTCACCATCCACTTGCCCTTTATGCAAGACAAGGTAGGGTCAAGCGACACTACTCATCCTTGAGAACGGCTACTTCCTGCGAGAACTCCTTCCTTACTTGTACCTAAAGGGCAGTTCGCAGGGTACAGTAGGCCTGGGCTTGGGGCCCCAAGAAATGTGGCACCGCGCCGGTAGAAAGGGTTCAAAGCTATTATTGGGCCAAAGTTATAACTCCTTCGGCTAAAGCCTTGAGGCTGGAACGACATGATCTTTAAGCCAATCCTTCGACGAAGCCATTTCATTTCCAAGAGGTCGGGTGCCGGGACTCGTGGTCTCAAATCTTTCTTTGCTGAATCAGCCCTCCGCGCTGATCCCACTTTTCGAATCCCTCAAGACCCCGTCTGCCCGAATTCTGGATCCCACTGTCTTTCTCAGAACAGCACTCACCATGGAACGGTACGCAGCAGTCACTCTAACATGAAGGAGGCTCCAATGGTGGCTATTCGTGTGTCCACCAGCCTCACCACTACCTGAACGCAAGGCACCATGTTGATCACTTCTAACGAGGCGCGCTATGATGGTTGGGTGTGCGCAGGGCTCTCGTTGTTTATTTTGATCATTAGAGTCATCACAGCAAGAGTCAGGCACTGCTCGTTCGACATCAGTACCTTGATTTGTATAGTCTCTATGCTTGCTATCGGAGCTCGCATCGCCGTGAATCAGTTTATACTCAGCTACGGAACTGCGAACGACGCCCTCCATGCGAAGTCGCACTATTTCGACTCCCACAATCTCGAGACACTCAAAGTCGGCAGTATTCTTGCTCTAATAGCAAGGCTTCTAGACACCACATTTTACTGGCTCCAGACCTCGCTTTTACTGCTGTTCTATTCTCGGATCTTCGAAGTACGGGCCCATTGGATCACGATACTCATCCGAATTTCTTGGATTGCTCTTCCTCTCACCTATATCGCAGTGGTACTTGCTACCTTTTTGGAATGCCATCCTTTCAAGCTATATTGGCAAGTCGAACCCAATCCCGGACAATGTGTACGAGCATACATTCAGCTACTTACGCAATGTATCGCCAACATTCTGCTGGATCTTAGCTTACTGGCAATATCCTCGCCACTTATATTGGTCCGTAATCGAACACTCTTTGAGAAGATCAGGCTCGGCTTGTTGTATTGTCTCGGCTTCTTTTGCATCGTCGTAACCTGCGTACGGATCAGCTATATCTACGCCGAAGCATCATACCAGCCAGTACGGAGCTTCTGGGCATCGGTACAGATCTTGGTCTCGACCTTTGTCGCCAATGTCCCTACTATATATGGCTGCGTTAAGCTGATCAACAGGCGGAAGTCTGAGCAATGTGCAAGGCGTGGAAGTCGCCCTGAGGTGTGGCTGCAAGTTCAAACAAGCAGCGAGAGCAATCCATCCTCCGTCTTTCCCATTTTGAGTCGGCAGCGGACGGGCTCACCCAAGGCTTCTGAGAAAGGGTGGCCGCCGTGGATGCCCTGATGATGACCTCCACGCCCAACACATACTTCATACGCAACCGGAGCACTAACAAGCCGACGCAACCTGGCTCCAGTGTCGCGACAGTCTCGCTTTTGGCTCACAACTCGGACTCCCTGGCAATGGACAAAGATCTGTTACACTCAGGGGCATAATCGGGCTAACTTGGAATGGCACTGTCTTCCAACAGCTCATGTCGGGTCGATTGAACATACCATGATGTATCATGGCGGCCAGTTGGTTCGAGAGTCCGAGGCCTCCTTCCACCTTGAGAGGCGTGACTTTACATCTGGCAAAGGCCTTGCTGGCAATTGTGGTTGCCGCTGTTGGAACACTAGGACGGTGGACCTCGCGACATCCTATCCTATCCTATGAGATGGGGCTATCAATTGAGGAATGGCCGAATAGCAGCCTATTTTGTCAGAGACTGTATCAAGCTATCGCCTTCCACCCCGTCTGGCTGAAATCTATCCGACTTGTTAACAGCATGATGCAATTTAGAATTGCCATGAGAGCGATACGAAACTCTGCATTGAGTTGCGGCTAGTTTCGCTAGGTGTGTGTGATCTGACAACTATGCCAACATATCATGGTGAGAAAGGAGACGGGAGCACTCAGAGTTTGATTTATCCCAGCCAACTTAGCAAGGGACGCAAAAGGCACATCGTCTCCTATTTCAGGTGCAAAGGACATAGAAGAAGATACGGGAGCCAGGTCATAGGAGTTATCGTACAATGCAAACTTGTCGTTGGTAGAAGTGTGAAAATAGGACAACGCTCTTCATATGAACAATAAGCGGCGACGAGGCTGGCACGTGGATGAGGTGATAAGCATTCTTATCTGCCAGAAAGGGATGGGGTGCGGTGGCTTTTCTGGCGTCGGCTTTTGGCATCTGAACCTGCAGATTCCAGGGGGTACGCATGTGTTATTGTCTCTACTGCCTCTGTAACTCTTCGCCCACCACAGCGCTCTCGTCAAGGTCGCTGCACCATGCTAAAAATCAAACTCCTTGACCATCACTCTCGCTGACATCGCACCCTACTTCGCCGAAGCTTGTTCCGCCACGGCCGCAAGTCCAAGTCATGGACGGCCTTTTCACTCTGCTCAGTTTGAGCGCGGTCATGGCCGTGGCATCGTTCGTTGCCGGCATCCTCCCTCTGTCTCTTTCCTTATCGACGGCCAGGCTACGAATGATATCAACAATTGGCATGGGTGTTTTAGTGGGGACTTCTCTGGTAGTAATAATCCCCGAGGGTGTGGAAACATTATACAGTGCTTCTGAGGTTGGCCAGGCGCATGCGCACCCGCAAAGACACGTCTTGCTTGCGCGCTGGGAAGGAGTCCGATGGTCAATACCCTATCCTGGCCAGGAACTACACGCCTTCCCCGCCCGCAGCCCTGTTGAAGGCACCAGTCCGTTCAACGTACCTGGTCCCGTCATGCCTTCTGACTTGGAAGCGCCGCCGCATACTCCGACAGAACCTGGAGTAGTTGGCATTATGAGCGGAGAGAATGCGCACAAACCTGGATCAGACAAGACGTCCGAAAACCATGAACATTCCGACAAAAACTCCCAACATGCATGGGTTGGAGTGGCCCTCCTGGCAGGGTTTATGCTCATGTATCTGGTTGACAAAGTGCCTCAATATTCCCAGCCGACCAAACCGAAGACAAGGACACATCACATCGCTTTGAACAACCTCGGTCGCAGGTTCAACTTGACGACCTCCCTGGATCGTGACGAGGAAGGAGATGCTTTTTTGGATTCTTCGCGAGAATCTGGCATTCAGAACCGGAGCTTTGCTACCACCATTGGCTTGGTCATTCACGCAGCGGCCGATGGCATAGCCCTAGGGGCCTCATCTACGGCGACGAACTCAGGATTGAGCCTTGTGATCTTCTTTGCGATCATGATTCACAAAGCTCCGGCGGCGTTCGGGTTGACGTCTGTATTAATCAAACAAGGGCTTTCCAAAAGAGCAGCGCGAGGACATCTCGTGCTTTTCAGTTTGGCTGCACCTATTGGGGCGATTGTGACCTGGATCTTGGCGAATGTCCTCGGTAGTGGCCGCACTCACAGTGCGCAGACTACGACTTGGTGGACTGGGATGCTTCTACTGTTCTCTGCAGGGACTTTTCTCTACGTTGCCATGCACTCGATGCAGGAGACTTCAAGTTCTCATCATGAAGGCGTGAATGGGCAGCCAAATGGATATATTGACGGGCGGGAGAATACGCAGAATGAGCAGAAGCCATCTTGGAAGGATCTAGCAGCTGCATGCTTTGGGATGATATTGCCTCTTTTCCTGCAGGTCGGACATGCGCATTGAAACTTCGTGGCTTCGGGCCTGGCTGTTTGGCTCTCGAAAGTCCAGGTTACACGATATTTGTTCATTGGCTCTTCGAAGCAATGTCAGAAAGATACCTGATACGATTTGCGCCTACGATGCTGTGAATTGGCTCGATCTGCCAGTAACGCTGCATTACATCTCTACGAATTTAGAGAATCAGCCAATGAATCGATTCGAGGAGCGGGACTGGTTGACGTCCTTTTGGGCCTCCATTTGAATTGATAGTGGTTGGGCAGCGTCGTACCTGGATTTATGGAGTGTGCGACACGCGGAGAGGGATTTATACCTGTACGTCAACGGTCGATGGGGAGATCGCCGCCGACTAAGTTACAACTAGTAGGGGCTGGCGCTGAAATGTTGGACATACTTGCAGCATGTCCTGCGTTTTCGAGGTCAGATGAGATGAACTCAGCATGATCTTGCTCGTACCCATAGATGCAGAGAATCTGGATGCCCACTACATATGATGCAAGATCTGGCATTCAACGTACTCTGGGGTGTCTGGCAATGAACAAAGATACCTGGTGGAAGTAGACAGATGTACTCCGTTTTTGTACTAGGCATGCACGGCATGGTCTTGCATTGTACGGAGTAGTTCAGGCACTCCGACGTGCCTAGGCCACCTGAGATACCAATTATTGCTGCAGCAAGGATGCATGACTTCGGTGCTCTCCACTCCTCTTTCCCGCCGACCAGCACCAGTTCCGAGCCAGCCCAAGATAATCTCACTGGCTCTTTCCTCCCGCGACTCGCCCAGCCTATTCATTCCCTCCTCCCAGAAATCAATACTCGTATCATGAATGGACCATTTTGTGCCACTCAATCAATGACAGATCCATTGCTTTATATCATTCTTTGAATTCGATCTGCTCCTCAGTATTACCACTATCGAAGAAGGCATCCACCTGCTGACGAACATTCCGTGGCCTATATTGCCACCGCCATCTCCTATCTGCCTGCATCTTCACTACTACCACAGTGCATTCTCTGCATCGGCCTAGACCCATGCCAATGTCATAAGCGCTTCCGCCAACCACAAACGTGCAGCTCAAGGCCCTTTCCCCTGCCCCTCGACGCTGACATGGCCTGTTGCAAAACAATTACACATTGAAGAGCAAAGGCGTCCGCTCCTTTGTGTTGAGACTTGTTTCCGCACATTCCTTACGCCGTTCCTCTCCTTCCGCCTCCCCCTGCCAGACTGCGCCGGCGCCAGACGTCGCTCAAACGAAGAGATGGATTTGGACGATGACAATCACCCCATGTCTCTCGACAGACCGCTTTCGCCTACTCCCTCGAGATCCGTTTCAATAGATCCCAACCAGCTAGCCGGTCGATCATACAATGCTAGATCTTCCTCGATGGATCCAGAAAGCGATTATCCCTTCTCTCCCTCTCAACCCATACCAATAGATCCATTGCGCTCCTCAAAATCTCGTCATAGCATATCGCAAGTACGACCGAAACGACTGTCGACGTCGAACAAAGCCGGCATGCCGCTGAGCATATTACCTTCCGCTCCGGCCTCTCCGCCTACTCCTGCACCTTCCCCTACGCCGTATCAACGTGCTCCAAGCTGGACGTCGGCGGGGGAGAATGAAGATGCCTTTCTCCGAGATGCTAGAGGCCATTTTGCGTGCCTGAATGCCGCAGAAAGAGAAAGATATCTCGCTGAATTGTTGAACATGTGCGACAGTCACCTGCTGAGTTTTGTCCACCATTTTGTTTCCCCCAGGCTGAAAAAAGACCCCTTCGAGCACCTCCCGGATGAGTTATGTCTAAGGGTAAGTATCAACGGTGCATGCTGAATTGAATACAGACTGATTTTGTCGCAGGTCCTGTCCTATATTGATGATCCACTCAGTCTAGCCAGAGCCTCTCAAGTCTCACATAGATGGCACAAACTCCTAAATGATGACATGCTGTGGAAGAGAATGCTTGACAAGCAAAACTGGCGAAAATCGTCTAGCAGCTTGAGCGACGATATCGAACCGCTATCTCTGCCACAATCGGCTCATGGGCCATACAGCTACGGTCGATCACCCAAACGGAATCTTGATGGTTCACTCATCGGTCCCTCAAGCAGTGCGCCCAATTTGACCCATCCAGCCTCAAATAGCCTTTCGTCCAGTCCCCGAGCAAGAAAACGGCAGTCACAATCTCATTACTCTCACTTCAGACACAAGTACATGATCGAAGCGGCATGGAGAAAAGGTGGTCACAGCATCATCAAGCACATTACACCTGATCAGGGCGTGGTGACTAGTCTACATCTGACCGATAAATACATTGTCGTGGCTATGGATAATGCCAAAATCCACGTTTTCAATACTGTGGGCGAGCACCAAAAGACGCTGAAAGGCCATGTCATGGGCGTATGGGCCATGGTTCCTTGGGATGATATTCTAGTCAGTGGTGGATGTGACCGAGATGTCCGCGTTTGGGACATGTCAACCGGCCGAAGTATTCATACGCTTAGGGGGCATACTTCAACTGTCCGTTGTCTCAAGATGTCGGATGCAAATACCGCTATTTCCGGTTCGAGGGACACGACGTTACGGATATGGGATCTGCCTACGGGTATGTGCAAGAATGTCCTTGTAGGCCATCAAGCAAGTGTACGCTGTCTGGCAATTCATGGAGACTTTGTTGTTTCCGGCAGCTACGACACAACAGCACGAATTTGGAGCATCTCGGAAGGACGATGTCTTCGCACCCTGACCGGCCACTTCAGTCAGATCTATGCCATCGCATTTGATGGAAACCGCATCGCTACTGGAAGTCTTGACACTAGTGTCCGAGTCTGGGATCCGAAAACCGGTATGTGCACTGCAATCCTGCAGGGACACACATCACTTGTTGGGCAATTGCAGATGAGAGGCGACACGCTTGTCACCGGTGGATCTGACGGATCTGTCCGAGTATGGTCTTTGCTGACAAATACTCCGATTCACCGTCTGGCTGCACACGATAATAGTGTTACCAGTTTGCAGTTCGACGACAATCGGATTGTCAGTGGTGGCAGTGACGGAAGAGTCAAGATTTGGAGTGTCGAGACTGGCCAACTGGTGCGTGAACTGAGTCAACCTGCGGAGGCTGTCTGGAGAGTCGCGTTTGAGGAAGAGAAGGCTGTCATCATGGCAAGTCGGTCAAATCGTACAGTCATGGAGGTATGTGTTTCCGAATATATCTACGCAATTGGCATGCTAATTCCGGGTCAGGTATGGTCCTTCTCACCTCCCGAAGATCAGTGGGATCGCCGATCAGAGAGTCCGATCAGTCTCCCTGAACATGTCCCAACGCCAGCGGAAGACGACGAGCCGACACAGTTTCACCAGGACGTTGGTGACGGAGACGCTGCCATGAGCGACGTATAGTGCATGACGAGCCTGCGCGTCTCTCTGTGTACGGCCACGACTGCAACGGCGCCTCTCTAGCCGATACTCACTTCTTGCATGAAGTATCCTTCACCTGCGGCCCGTACTTTTCTTGTGTGGAGTCTACCCTGAATTGCAACGCGCCTTCGCGTCCCCAGACCGAAAAATGCCTGTGCACTTGAATGGCGTTCACAATCATGGATTGGCTCCATTTCGGGGGAGGCGGAAGCACAAACATTACATTGGCGCCTGACGTGGTATGTCTATATTGGTACCTTATATTTTGGGCGGCTACAGTACTCAGCATGGAGTTCTGTTTGAATCTGAACGAGGCAATGATCCCTCATAATACCCTCGCGGCCTCTTAGGAGTTTTGATCTGTTGAGCTTTGGCATTTTACACGAAGCATCGGAATTGCGATTTGCATCTTTTTGAAGGGCCCAGTATTGCTTCTGGAGCATGGGGCTTGGTGTCACGAAACTGTTCTGAGATGCACATCGATTATTTTCAACGAGCCTTGACCGGCCGTGGACAGTCACGAAGCTGATGCTAGTACCACGGACTGCTGCGTATGCTGCGGCATGACCTGGGTCAAAGGATGGGCATACCGCCGAAAATGATATAGTGTTGTCATCACATTAGGCACATTATCTACATGGGTAGCTACGATAATAAACCCTTAGGTCCAAACAGGACTGGTTGAACACCAAATTGAGTGTTTGCAGATCCACGTGTTCGATTCGCTCTGGAAAGGGCACTTTGAAAGGAGTGGCAAAATGAGTTCAGTGTCAGAAGGCGTTTGATCGTTGTGGTAGTACAAAGGAAGACTGCTGATCTACTGGCCGCCACCCTCCTGCCTCAACAACTCATTCACATCCTCATCCAGATTCCTCAACGCATCTTCATTCGCCCCATGAGCATCGCCTGCAACCGCCGCGCCCGCCTGCCCAAACCCTTCCATTCCCATCTCGCCCAAGTCAGGTACCAACTCCTCTTCCCCATGCGACAATTTACGCCGCTTCGCGCTTAGTCCGTTCGTGCCTTGCCCACTACTCGAGCGCCCACGCGTCAGTGAACCTGAAGCTGTGCCACCTCCGTACGCAGTTCCATCGAACGTGTTGCCCAGCAGACTATAATCGGTTCCAGAAAAGCCGGCCAACGCCGCTGCCACCGCTGGATTACTAGCCCGCGGCGACGCAGATGGCTGGTAAGCCGCATCCTGTTGAGGCTGCGAGGGTGACTGGAAAAAGCCGGCGTACTCGTCGGCTGCCATCTCACGCTCAGGTGTGAGCTCTTCAATTTCAGGCCGCTCGGACCGGAAACCACTTGCGTCATTCGCACTGTTGAGGTCTGGTGACAGGACAGCAGCGTTCTCAGTTGGAGACTGCTCGGCAGCTGACAGACCACGAATGATGCTGTCTTCGACCTCGCGCTTCTTAGCTTCGGTGCTGGTCTTCCTGCTTTCGAGCTGGAGGTACGTTTCTTCGTCCTTAGCTAGTGCTGATTTGTTAATTTCCAGGATACGCTCCAGATCAGCAATCAAAGCCTTGCGTGCCTTTACGCTCGCTGAGACGGAGGATTCGGCTGCTGCGAGTGACTTGATTAGGCTGGACAACCGGGCGGCGTATACTGGCGGGCTGGGCAACACCGCTGAGGGGTCGTTCAGTTTTGTGTATTCTGTCTGTGCCGTGTCGATGGCCGGACGGGCTGAGATAGTCTCCTTGGTCACTGCGATCTGAAGCGGTCCAAGAGTCTCCAGTTCCTTGGGCATCCCCGTTGATGAGGACGAGTTGAACAGAGACTGACCCATCAGGGTCTTCTTGCCGCTCGAGCCTTTGGTTTTGTCGATTTCATCGATTCGCACCTCAATCGCCTCCAAGATGGGCGTTTCGAAGACATTGCGCGTGCGCCAGACTTCGACGACACGACGGATCTTGCTTTGAGTCTCGGGTGGTGATGAGCGGTAGGCCGTTTGGATTGCTTCGGCCATTAGCGGGGAGAAGGCATCGGGAAACTCTGAGCGCTTGCGTGCTCGGGCGTTTTGGACAATGTCGTTGACTAGGTAGATGAAGTTGAGACGTTTGGCGGGTGGTGAGTCGCGGAGTCGGGTGAGCCAGTAGTTCGCGATTCGGTCTGCGTGCCTCCTGAAGGTACATTAGAAACTTGATCCCCCCATGCGTCTAGAGCGAGCCAAAGCTGCGCACAGAAGCTGAGGTTTGACGTACTTGTGAAACATGATCCATTGTGAGACTGATACAATGCTATCTTGAGTCTCATTTAAGGTTGATAGTTTGGCTTTCAAAGCCTCGTCGCTGAATGACATATTTGTTCGTAGTCGTTCTTGTAAGAGCCTGACACTCACGCGACTGGTGAATTCAATTGATTGGCGAGGACTCTTTACAGCTTTCGGGCAGTCACAGGCAGGACGAGGGTGTTGAGCTTGCAAGCCTGCGCCAGGTGCGGTCACGAGCTCGAATTATGCTACAAGCTATATATGAACAATCGTACCAATCTTTCAAGTATGAGAACAAGAAACGATTTGTTGAGCCTCAAAAGCTGGCGTGACGAGCGCGATGAAGGGTTGTACAATGTTTGGAATCGATGAAAGAGCTTCGAAGGGTCGAGCGTGTCTTGAGGTTTTGCTTCAGCCGCCAAGAAATGCGAAGCTCGAAGCTGCTTGCGGGCTCTTGTGATATTAGCGTCGGGATACTTGCCCAGCCTAGTATTCCCCCTCCTTGCGCTCAGTTACGAGTGACTACATATAGCGGCCAGTCTTTCCCTCTTAGATTAGTTAGTTAATCAATCTCTTCCGCCGCTACAACCACAGGTGGTAGCAACGAACCTACTTACAAGAGCGGCCGTATTCTCTTGTAAGGGTAGTTAGCGGGTCTTATACGCCCGCAACGATTCTAACTGCTTCGATCCTTTGTTGTCCTCTACGTCGACGATGGCCCTCGACGACGACTTTAATAACGATAGCGACCTCGATTCTAACATCTCAACGTAAGAGATTTTTACTAAAGAGGTTAGTAGAGTAGTGACGAAACTACTCGTATTATACCGTAATTACGTATATCTAGTTTCCGAAAAGGGAAGGGAGAGTCGGTAAGATAGACTTTAAGGCCCTAAAACCCCTAAAACGTACGGTAATTAGATGTAACGGCGCGGAGAAGCTAAAGTCTTATGGAAAAGAAGACTTTTTAGCTAATAAGGACATTAGGGAAGAAAGAAGAGAACAAAATAAAGGGGGGTTTATTAGATCCCCGTTGTTACGGACGGATACGCCTTAACTCTTCTTCCTTCTAGACCCTTCTATTGTAGAATAAACCTCCCTTCTTCTCTAGAGGTCGGCTATACTAATAATAGTAGTAGTGGCGACCTTAGTAGCTAAGATAAGAACCCTATACCTATTAATATTAATTCTCTTAGTGTATTATATAGTATTTCGCTTTTCATTTAGTCCAATAGTATTACTATTGAATAACTTAGCGAAATATTACGAATATATACGTATATTAGCGAATAATATTATAGCGTTATAGATAATACTTTTATTTTGTAAGGGCTAAAAATACGCGAACTATACGCATATAATAGTAATTATAGTAATAGTTAACTTAACGACTATATACGAGATATTACGAACTAGATTAACTTCTACGATTAACGAGGACACTAGATAAGTGAACGTAAGAAAGTAGAAATAGTGTCTATCTATTTTATAGGACATATATATCGGATATATACGTTAATTTACGGTTCTATACTTACTGTTACTAACTATCTTACTTAGTTACGCGAGATCTTTAAGGATAATAATAAGTAATCTTAACTACGTAACTAGTAGTATATATATATCTAAAGCGACCGCCCTACTATAGAATATACTTAAGATCTAATTTATCTTACGGCTTATATTTAGTCGGAAAAGACCGCATTAAAGATTAAGGAGTATTTTTACACTAGCCTTAATAATACTATCTAAATAGAAATAATAGAATACTCTAAATAGGACGACCTAGCCTTATTTAAATATATTAAGTATACTAATTAATAACAATAGATTAAGACTACTAAAGTATATATTCGTAAGAGAGTAAAATAATATAGGATAGATTATATTCTTACTCTCTCTAGAATACTTTATCGAGATAATATATAGAAGTCAATATATTTTACTATAGTATATACTATCGCAATATCTAGTAAAGATATAAAAGAATAGTAGGACTAGTATCGAAGAAATACTACTTACTTTAAATATAGCTCTATCGACTATTAATTTTATAGTTATACGAAATTAATATTAACTACTTATAAAGGTTCGTTCTATTGAGGCCAAGAAGGTTTTAGTACGCGATAACCTTAGTAGAGTAAAGAGGTTAAAAAATTTTAACTACAGTAAAAAAATAAAGAGAAACTAGAGAGTTCTAGAAAGTTATGTACTATTACGGGATCTTATAACGATTAAAGAGAATTATAGATAAATAAAGAAATATTGTAAACGACTAGATTAGTAATTTAATAGTAAAATTAAAAGGATTCTAACTAATTCGATTAATTACGTAAAGTAGAATAAATCTATACCCTTAAGATATATCTATAGGATACTACTACCTATTAATTACGAGATATTATAAGTATAACTTAAACTTTCGTATCTATACGAGTCCTAGTTAACTCGAGGGTTACGAAGTAATACCTTTCGATTAATATTACTCGTAAGCTATAGATAGAGATCGAAATTAATCCTTTACTATATTAGGTTTAAGTCGCTAGTGGTATATATATCGCTAATCTAGAAAGAGTTCGCTTTACGCTCTATATCTATTAGTATTCTATAGATTTAATAGCCTATATACTTAAAATTCTAGATTATAATCTAATTTTTAATTTCGAATGATTGCGAATCGCTAATCTTAAAATCGATTAGTAATAAATAAGAATTTAGGTCCGTAATAAATCTAGAATACTCTATATACTTTCTTCTATCGACGTAAATCTATCTAACTTAATTCGTACTAATATAGATACTACCTAACTATTAAGCCTTTATACGACTCTTAGAGCTCTTAAAAAGAAGATAACTAGTCTCTTTCTAGGGTATATTAAAGGATTGTATCCTCGTTAAGATCTTTCTACTACTCCTAGGGAGCTAATTTAGCTAGCGATTATAAACTAAAATAAATCGTTATATACCCTTTTAAAACGATTTAAGAGAATCTTTAAGAAAAAACTTTCTACTATCCTTTCCTCTATATATTAGGACGATTACCGTATCTTTACGAGTAATTCTACGTTAATTAATATTAATATATATCCTCTCTCCTTAATATATATCGCGGAGTAAAGTTAATAGATTATATAGATATTATAATAGAGTATTATTCGTAAATCTACGTCTCTATAGAGATTCCCTATTTTATTCGTTAAAAAATTAAGAGATAAGTAAAGAATATATATCGATTATCGAGCGTTAAATACTGTTACGATCAAAAATAGTTATCCTTTACCTTAAATTTAGGAATATCTTAATCTTATCGAGAATACTAAATTTCTATCGAAACTAGATCTTATATAAGGATACTACTAAATTTAAGTATATTCTAATAATTATAAGAAGACTATATTTAATATATAAGAAAAAAAGTTCGAATACTACGCTATACTATTTAGACTCTATAATACGCTAGCTATATTTTAGGCGTTAATAAACTATATTCTACGAAAATATATCGTAAAATTCGTAATTATATATCTTAATGATATACTTATCTACTTTAACGATCTCCTTGAGTATTTACAATATTTTACGAATATCTTTAAGATACTCGAAATATATTCCTTATATATTAAACTCTTAAAGTATTAATTTCTTATAAAAGAACTTAAATTCTATAGCTATACGATTAGAAACGAATAGATCTAATCTCTTACGATAAAGATCAATATTATTCTTTAATAGCCAATTCTAACTAACGTATATAAACTTCGATAATTTCTTAGTCTAGTTTTGTACTATCGTAGATATATATAAAGTTTTATATATACTTATATTCTATTATTTCTACTTTTATAAAAAGCGGATATTAAAGAAAGAAAACATAAGTTTCGAAAAATTAAATAAAATACTATAGCGAAGAATACTTTTTAATCCTTAAAATAAGCCCTTACGAATATCTTTATCTTAATATAGCCAAATATAATATAATTATTTTCTATTAAAATAGATACTAGTAAATAGACTATTAATAAAGTTTTACTTTAAAAGAATTATAACTTAAAATAACTTTATTCTATTACTTATAAAGAATAAAAGCTTACGTCTATAAAAATTAATTATTCTATTTATAAAAAAGAACTACTTACAATTAAATATATCTTAAATATATAGCGTATTTATATTAAAAACGACTATCTAATTATAATCTTTATAAATTATAAAAGTTTAAAATATCTCTAAATAATACGAAACCCTACGAAACGACTCGCTCATTAGATTACTAATTTCTCTAAATATAACTTAAAGATTTACTATCGAAAAGGTTCTTTAATGGTTACTTCGAATACTATTAATTAACGTTCTAATCTTATAGGATAAGGACCGCGGAACCTTACGACTTAATTCACTACATTACGCGGCCTTAAAAAGAATAAATAGACTAAAGCAATAATTAAATTACTCTAGGAAGGATAATAGTTACCTACGTATATCCGCTCGAAACTATACGAAGATCGATTCTTATTTACTATTAAGGATAATATACTCTATTGTATTAAGAACGATATTTAAAGTCCTTATATTCTAATACCTTTTCGTACGGACTTCCTCAAATAAATATATACTAAATACGAATATCTCGAATACCTTAGTATTCTTAATGTTTTTTAGGGACGAGGATAGTAGTCTTCTCTTTAAGAAGATATACGTACCTTTATACGTAGTTATCTATAGTGTTAGATTTCTTAACGTAACTATTTAGGGTAAGAGAGAGAATAACTATAAACCCTTAATAAAGAAACATTATAAATCTTTAATAGATAGACGATTAATTTAATCGATATCCTATTAAAAACACTCGTAGATAACTATTAGATTATTATAGCGATCGAATATTTTACTAGATAGCTAATAGCTCTTATTATACCTAATACTAAAGCTAAAATAATTATAAAATTTCTTTATAATTATATTACGATAATTTATAAAGTACTACGCGAGATTCTCTTAAATAATAAATAAAATCTAACGAGAGAGGTAATAATCTATTATATCTCGCTATTAAAGATAAGATATCGCGTAATAATATCGTACTATCCGCGAACGAACGAAAAGGTCGAGAACTTTAACGGATTTCTAGGGATAACGTTAATATATCTCCTTACGAACTAATCCACTATTCTATAGAACTAATATCTACCTTAAGCCTTATTTATCGTATAGATTAGAATCTACGTAATAACTAAGAAATCCTTGTATTACCTCTTATTTAGCTATTAACCAAGACTTTCTATTAACGATAATAATCCTTAATAATTAGATATCTTGAAAGATTAGGAGATAACCTTATAAAGAATCGAGATACTATAATACGCTTATATATAAGCGAATCGACGCTTAATCGATCGCGCTATCGTAACTAGTAAGATTCGAAAGGAACTCGTTAAAGAGAGTTCTCTTTTTATTAATCAATAGATTCTAGTTAGAGCCAAAGAATGCAATAAGTTCAAAGGACGCTAGTTCGGTCTATATTAAGTAGTAAAGACTATATCGTTAGGAACTTATCGTCTAGCTAACCTAAAAGATAATAAACTTAGGATATTAATTAATAGCTAGAGATTTATTCTAGCTAGATTATAAGGGGACCGAGTCGAAACGCTCTAGAATTCTTCGAAAATCTAGGGAAGATTGTATAAACAAGTTATTTAAATCAATACTACTAGTCTAGAAGTAGTTAAACTCTTTAAAAAGAAGTAAAACAATACTCCTTCTTACGACGAATTAGCCACTATTCCTTCTAATCTAGGTAAACGTCTAAAAGTACGTTTAAATTAGATAGAGAAGAAAGACTAAGATAAATAGAAAATTCTAATCTTGTAGTTCTAGCCCTTATAGTTAGATACAATTAAAATTAATTAGGATTAGGAAAATAAGACTATATTAGAAGAAAGAGAACTAATATCTAAATCTTCTCTTAAGGTTTTAGTAGAGGATATTAAATCTAATTATTATAATCCTTTAATTACAAACTTTTTTGATTTAAAACCTACTATTACAATTAATAGTATAGAGAGTATTAAAAGAGCGACGTCTATTTCAATATAATAAAAGAAATTAGTAGTAAATATTACTTAATACTAATAAAATATAACTCGTTATAGATTACGACCTTAACCTACAAAGAAAAGGCTAAAGAATAAAGAGTAAGAAAAATATAAACTATAGTCATTACTAAATCTTATAGCGTCTTATAAACGGAAATCTTATATAATTATTTTATTGCTATTTATTACGTCGTATTTTATATAGATATACACTCTTTCTAAGAAAGAAAGAGATTACTCTACGATAATAAATAAATATGCGCGATTATAGGCCCTTACGAACCTTTTTAGGCCGTTACTAATATAGGTAAGAAGTAGTTATTAATTACGCCGACCGATATACTATTGCGATTAATTACGAAAGATTTTATATAAATTACGAGTACTTACGATTTACCTTTACCTTTATCTTTACGCTTTTTTCTATAATTACTATTAATTACGAATTAATATAAAAACTAATAAAAATTTACTTAGTATATTTACGTGACTTAGTAGTATTGTAGCGTTTTAGTATATTAATATACGTAACGAAGCGAAACGGATAGTACTTACTTTGGTTAAGAGAGTAATTAGCTATACGCTAGCCCTAGTAATAATATATATAAGCTATTTCGTACGGTTACGAATAGTTACGAAGGAATATAGAGTACTTACTATTATTGAGTTTATCGACGATCGAACGATAAGAGAAGAAGAGACCTTATATATTTCTACACTAGATATAGTCTATTACTATTAGTTATTAATGGATATATAAGGAATAAAGAGGAAACTTACTAGAATTATTAACGGTTCCAATCGATTATATATAATATACCTTAGTATAATCGGTATAGTCTATTATAAGCGTTAATAAACGGTTTTAAATTAAAGGAAAAGAGTTTACTTACGATTAATTACGGACTAAGTCTAGTCGGGGGTACATTAGAATACAATGAGTTACGTATTGAAATAGTTAGTAACTAACCGACCTAAGCGACGCGAGGTCGCGATAATAGTAAAGTTAGTCGATATATTATATTGTACATTATTGCTAGCTATTACGAATTGTTGTAGATTACTACGAAAGTATTAATTAAAGATTAAAGAAAGGATTTTATCGATTTAAAGCGAAAGCTCTCGAAACGATCTACAATAACTATAAATTAGTATATCTTCTTAAAATTGCAGTATAATATAAGGGGACGAGCGTAATAGTTAATTATTAGTTAGAATTTAGCGAGTCTAATTAATAAACTATACTAATATAGTTATAGGGATATATAAAAAGGGTCTAAGATCGACGACGACGGGGTTCGAACCTCGTAGGATCTACGCGAATCTACGCGTATCGAGCTAGAAGGGATACTCTCTACGGGATATAGGGACATCTATAATATCTAACTAATCGACGAGATATTAGAGGCTAACTTAAGAGATTACTGCTCATTCCCATCTCTTTCACGAGATATATCTACTCTTTTCTAGTCGTAAGAATACGTAACGACTTAGGTTGTTATCGCGCATTAAATTTATTAGTTATAAATGGCGTAAATTAAGGAAACTATAAAAGGGCTAAAATAAGAACTTCTAAACCTTGCGAAAGGGCTAGGATTTAAGGGTTTCTATGCCTCGCGCGGTGTCGTCGTTATCGTTGCGAGCCATTCTCGATCTCAATAGACCATTACTCCCTAAAATACGATATAGTAAGAAAGACGGTATACCTTTTATATATTATAAAAGAGAGAGAAATGAGATGAAAGGAAAGAAGGGAAGATATAATGCGTTGCGAGCCCTACGGCTTAGCAGAACAACAAGAACACGTGACTCGCAGGTGCTCGTAAGGAAGTAGAGGAGGATGTGATATTAGCGTCGGGATACTTGCCCAGCCTAGTATTCCCCCTCCTTGCGCTCAGTTACGAGTGACTACATATAGCGGCCAGTCTTTCCCTCTTAGATTAGTTAGTTAATCAATCTCTTCCGCCGCTACAACCACACTCTGTCCTGCGCACGTGATGAGCTGCTGTCGGGTTTGGTGAGGAGAACGGCGAAGTAAGTAGACCACGAGCGGCCATACCACATTCCTTAGATCCGTTGGTCACATCTTCTGGGAATTCCGCCATCGGTGACATCTACGACAATGCCCAAGGACATGCTGGCTTCTGTGAAGACGAGGAAGAGGTCGTAAGGCCAGCGTTGCCGAGACTTTTCCACTGAACAATGTGAACATAGACTAGTCATGTTGTCTGTTGGCGATTTCAGCCCTAACACAGTAGGATATAGCACATGGATAAGCGGCTTACTCAGCGCCTAGTTTGTTAGTTCGAGGGGCAATCGAGTGCCGTGGATGATACTGTAATATGTGGATCGGCCACTTATGTACCAGTCATCACAGCCCGAATCTTGAGGTGCATCAAGCATCTTGAGGGACAAGACAGGCTGCCAGGGAATCTCGACTACCTGGTACGAGTACGAGGCTAAGACCTTGGCCCGTATAGCCGTGCACGTGCCGCTGCTTCGTTTCGATATCAGACAGGTTCCTGTATTTGCCGTCTCTGACCATCTGTCCCCCATCAATCCTCTTCTCAACGTCTGCTTACCATAGCTCGGATTTGCGACTTCAAAAATATCTGTACTTCAGTGTCACAGCAAGAGGGCTCGAACTTCCCTTGCATCTGGCCGCTTGGGAATCTCCTCGCAGCCTTGGTATCGTGTGGCTGTGTCTGCCCCGCTATCAAATGGTGCACATTAGGAGGTAACCCACGAGGCCATCACCGTTGCCTGTTTCACAACACTTATGAATGCCTGAGCGCCCAGATTCAACGCTAATATCACAATGGAGAAGCCACAGCCTCTTGAAGACGATGCTGCCGCGAGCGAGAAAGGTCGATTGGCAACCCAGAAAGTGCGGCGCAGAAATCGGATGATCACATCATGTTTGGAGTGTCGCCGTCGCAAGCTGAAATGCGACAAACTTCATCCTTGTACCAATTGCAACAAATTCTCGCGTGACTGTCTGTTTCTGGCTCCAGCCCTGGACTCTGTATCTCAACAGCGCCTTAATGAGATCAAGGAGAAAATGGGCTCGCTCGAGAGAGTTCTTGAGCAGGATGTTGCTCGCAGAGAAGGGAAGCCTACTCCAAGCTTTGGCGACAGGTCGCAGCGAAGAACGTCTGCAGATCTTCCAGGAGGGGAAGATAGTAGCTCTGATAATGAAGCTGCTGTCCCTGAAGACGAAAAAGGCCTCGAGCCCACACCTCTAGCAGTAATTGACGGAGCTTATGAAGATGATGCCAACGACGATGTTCTGGACCTGGGAATCAAGGTGGGGAAAATGAGGTAACGATCTTTCATCATGCGACAGCGCAACACTGACGATTCCAGGCTCACCGAGCGCCTTGGAGGCTTTTTCCGGCCGAGAATTGGCGAAGAGGTGACTTCCTGGTAATCGGCCACGGAAGTTCATGCTAACACGCCATAGGTTGCAAGTCAACTGGATGACCCAAGTGCCGACCTTCGCACGCCTGAGGAAAAGCTCTCTGCAGCCCCTCTACTTCCCGATCATGGCTATGATTTCCTGGCGCCTGGACCTACTTATATCGCTCCTGGGTCTGGCTTCTTGTTCGGCGACGTTGGCAACAAAAGATCCTTGATAAATTTCCTGCCGGCCAAAGGAGCCGCCGACGTCTTGATCCGAAAGTACTTCGAAAACGTTCATTTCCTCGCCCGGGTGGTACACTGGCCAAGTTTCCAACTGCATTACGATAATTTCTGGACGGCCGTGCTAGCTGGGCTAGAACCGCCAGCATGGCAGCAATCCATTGTGCTTTCGACACTATTTTCGGCCGTAGCCAGTATGCCGGAAGGAGATGTCGCGACTATATTTGGAAGACCGAAAAGCACCATCCTTGGAAATTTCCAAACAGGAACAGAGGTGTCGTTGAGTAAAGCCCAATTCCTCCGAGCCACGAAACTGGAGACGCTCCAGGCTCTGGTCATATACCTTATCCCTATGTGTCGAGACCAGATATCTCGTGCACATTCTGTCATAGTTGGCATGGCCATTAGATTGGCCGAGTGTATGGGGCTGCATCGCGATCCCCAAGACGTCTACGGTCTTAGCCCTGTTGACTGCCATGTCCGGCGAATGGTTTGGTTCCAGCTATGCATCTTGGATTTCCGGACTTGCGAAACTCAGGGTCCTAGACCTGGGATCAAGCGTGAAGATTACGATACACGATTTCCCCTCAACATCAATGACGCCGATTTGTTGCAGGCCAATCCTCAAGAAGCCAAGGACAGATGGACAGACATGACGGCATCACGAATCCGCTTCGAATGCATCGAGATGCAGCGCATTATCTGGTTCGATCGTATCCGGTTGGAAAAGAAGAGAGTCTCCCTGACTCACATCCTGGGGAAAATCGAATCATTCCGTCGGGCCATGGAGGCCAAGTACAACCACCTGTTTGACCTTGATGTCCCCATCCAGAAATATTCACAGCTGCTCATGACTTTACTGATCCAACGAATGTATGTCATGGTTCTGCACCGATACCTCAACAACGCCAGTAACCGAGTTCCTGAACGACTCAATCTTGTCACAGTACAAAGTGCGGTGCAAGCATGTGAGAGTGCAGTTGAAATGGAACGTTTACCGGCCCTGGAGAAGTGGAATTGGTTCAGCGGGGTGCATCAGCAATGGCACATGGCATTTCTACTACTGACAATCATCTACAATCAGCCGCGGTTGAGAGAAGCAGACCGAGTCTGGAATGTTCTCGACTACGTCTTTGAGCCTGATCTGTCGCTATCGCGGACGCAGCGAGCCCGGACTATCATTGCCGCCATCCGGGATCGGACAATGGTGTATGCCGAAATTCGCAAGATCAGGATTCCAGTCAGTATGAAAGACACCCCCGCCAATCTACCGACCGCCAAAAGCACACAGGCCATTTCAGTCGAAGCCAGTGGCTGGTCAACAAATATGTCTTCCTCTTCTGGGCCAGGAGGAACTCCTGAATCGGCGGCTTCGAGGCAGGGAATGGCGGTGGATTCGACATATGCCACTGACAGTTCCTGGGGGTTCGATAGTCCGGCCACACTCTATGTGAAGAAGATGAAGCCATCGGGAGCGACGTACAGGCGAGAAAGCGGAACCACCAAAGCCAAAAGTGCAAGCCCACAGCCAGCTCGGCAGCAGTTTCAACAGCAACCGCAGCAGCAGGCCCCTTATACGGAGCCAAACCAGACGTCTCCTGGTCAACAAATCGATTTCAACAGCCCGAGCGACTCAGGTACAAACGAGTCCTGGCCGCCATTGATCACCCCTGACCAGGTGGGCTGGCGAACAGTGCTGGGTCCAGGAAACAACTCATTGCCGCCGATTGTTACGATGCATTCATTGCCTCCAGTCACAACAACGGCGATTCCTCAAGAAGCTGGCAGCAACCCGTATGGGATTGGGTCTGGCTTTCCAAACGACCAAGTCAATATACCTCAATTTCCGGCAAGCGTTCCTCGAGGGGATTCTATCATGTCGGACATCAATTGGGTAAGTAGTCAAGTCTTTGTCGTCGCGTACGAGGCTAATGTTATATTCACAGGCGGAATGGGATCAACTATTTCCCCCGGAGACGACGGCGGGTCTATTTGGAGCTGGAAACGATTTCGGCATGGGCCAGAGGATGTAATCATTCAGCCTTAGGCGGATGGAGCTACCGTGTGAGCGTATAGTTATAGTAAACCGAGCAATTATTGGCTGAGTGAGCTGAATGTGCATGCTGAATCATCAGCGTTCTTGCGGTCCCATCCGTTCCTAGTGAGCCTCAATAGCCTGGTGGCCCCTGTCGTGCCCCCGCTGTGGCCTCCTGTTATTCCCTGTCTCGCTGTTAAGACCGGTCCGATTCAGGCTTCTCCAGCCGCATGATGTCACGGGTCGATCGACCGGAATCCTCGGCGCGAGTCCAACTTCAGCCAAATCATCCTTTCTGATGCCATCTTCCCACTGTCCTTATCACCCACTTATTTCTCAATGACATGGTCGTGCATGGTTTGGGTCGTGCACGGTTCTTGCGGCTGTCGCGGCTGACCGTGAGCCATATCTTGGAGCTACCATGTCGATCTCGTTCCTGCCTCTATTATTTTGATTTACTCTCGTGTCTTCGCTTGATTCTCCTCTCGGTGATAGAATTGCTTTGACCTTATTGTGCATCGTGTTCCTACAGATCCCTAGACGCGGGTCTATTCTCTCGTTCTGCCTCTCCCTTCACTGACCTTCGAAGCTTAACCTTGCCAGCGAAAGAAAGGCTCCAAGATGGTGTCTACAGCTTCGACTTCGCTGAAGCCTCCTTCAGCGGACACACTGAAATCACAGCCTTTTGGGAAGATTGAGCCAAACTCGGTATGTAGCCACGCTCCGATGCCCGACGGGAGGCACTGTCAAAACTAGTGGCTACAATCAATGGCAAACCATCTGCTGACACTTCTATGTATAGACCAAATACTTCGCAGCATGCATGCTCGGCGGCATAGTTGCCTGCGGTCCAACCCATACTCTCGTCACACCTCTTGATCTGGTCAAAACCCGTCGACAAGTCGATCCGAAATTGTACACCTCGAATTTCAAGGCCTGGCGTACCATTTTCGCCAGTGACGGCCTGCGCGGCGTCTTCTTTGGCTGGGCACCTACCTTCGTTGGCTACTCTTTCCAAGGCCTCGGCAAGTATGGCTTCTACGAGGTCTTCAAGCACGAGTATGGTGACAACCTGTTCCCTAACACCAACCGCACGCTCGTGTACCTTGGCGCAAGCGCGTCCGCCGAGTTCATCGCCGACATTTTCCTGTGTCCCTTCGAATCGATCAAAGTGCGCATGCAGACCACCATGCCCGCATACGCCCACAATCTGCGCGAGGGATGGAGCAAGGTCGTCGAGAAAGAAGGTATCTCTGGATTGTACAAGGGTATCGCACCCCTCTGGGCCCGTCAGATCCCGTATACCATGTGCAAATTTGCGACGTTTGAGGAGACGGTGCACCAGATCTACAAAACGCTCGGCAAGCCCAAGGAGAGTTATAACAAGCTGCAGCAGACTGGGGTAAGTTTTCTGGGTGGGTATATTGCTGGTATTGCATGTGCGGTCGTCAGTCACCCTGCCGATGTCATGGTCAGCAAGCTGAATTCGGATCGAAAACGTAAGTTGCCCTCGCTCTGGATCAGAATGTGGGAAGTGTAATGTTGACTAATATGTGCGTAGCCGGAGAGTCCGCTGGAAAGGCTATGAGCCGAATCTACGGTAACATTGGCTTTACCGGACTATGGAACGGTCTCCCAGTCAGAATTGTCATGATCGGAACTTTGACTGCGTTCCAGTGGCTCATGTACGTCCTTACTTCCCTCTACTGGATCACTGTCACAGGGATACTGACGAGTGCAATAGCTACGATTCCTTCAAGGTCTACCTCGGCCTGCCGACGACTGGTGGTCATTAGGGAGGTTAGAACCGTAACAACACGAATCAGGACGCCATAGCTCTGTGCTGTGCGGTGAGGAGGAAAGTGTTCTCGGCATCGAGCCCAAAGAGAACGCAGGCGTTTTCTTCGGTATGATGATAATATTCCTGCCTTAGTCCAAGAGGGCAGCATGGAGTATCTTTCCGCATCTGTAGGCCTATTGAGCCTCGTCTTGAAGTGTTGGACTCGGCGGGTTATGAGTTATCAGGTTTTCTAGGCTAAGTTTTATGCCGATTTGGAACCATGTCCATGGGCGGAAGAAAATACTGAGGAACTTGATATTTCGTGCCGAGGGAAGGCAGAAGCACAACCGCGAGATCATGCATTTGCGGTTGAACGGAAATGATAACGAGACGATTTGAGTACAGCAGACTTGATCGTTCATGATGGGAGGATTAGAAGGAATAGGATAGATAAGAAACAGCCTGTAGGTCCTTTCAACCTGGAATGAATCTGTTGCTTCATCACGCATGGTCATATTAACCAGGACGAGTATATTATGGGGCAGCGGACAAATTGGGCTTGCTTCTCAGCTTTCTCGCTCTTCCTAGCTATCCCCTTCCTTCCCATGCATCGTACTGCGGATGTCGACAAGGGGTTTCGCTGGAGGTAGCTGCGAAGCACGACGTCAATCATTCGCGATGCAAATCCACGGCCACGGACCTGGGGCATCTTGTATTCTTTACCAGCCCTATCGACAGTCCATAGAGGCCAGGACGGGCATGATTCTGACGTCGAGCTCTACTTTGCTTTGGTGTGATATACCGCGATCTGAGTCCCAGGTCATGCAAGTTTGAGCTTTCGATTCACCGCAGTCAATTTGGGGGATGCAGGGTATCCAAAGTCGGCCGACCTCCGTTCTGCGCCTCAGGCAGGTGGTCATCCTCGCATGGCAGACCGACATCACGAGCAATTTGGAGAGCGTTGAATGGAGTACCACTCGCTGCTTTTCCGCGGCAGTATGCAGTATGCAGATTTTGAATGCAAATGGTCTATACTGGCTCAACTTGTCGGTCTCTTGAAAGGGTGCGCCTCGGTGTTGAGCACCCACTCGTCCAAGTCGACGACCGAGGGCTCATTAAAAATGAGGTAAAAGTACTTCAACGTCTCAGCCAACCAGAAGCTCTCCATGCGATCACTTTGTTCCGGCATCTGCGCCCTCACATCGTAGATGGCAGCGTGTGCAATTGGCGTCTTTGTAGCGGTATTGATCGATTGGAACATTTTCCACGCAGCCTCCTGTAATTTCACATCACCTGTGATGCGGTACAGGATGAAAATGGATTCGATGGCCTCGGGACGAAGAATATATCGGTTATCGCCGTGGTCAGTGAAGCCAGGAAATATATGACGCTGCTTGACCAGGGTTTTCCCCAGCTCGACGGCAGTCATCTCCTTGTGGCCCATAGGTGAATGCTTCTTCGAGATCGCTTCATACCATTTATCGTCTGTCCATTCGCATCTGCCCGGCGCTGGCTCATTGATCCCGACCTGGCAGGCTGACATGTGGAAGGTCTCCGGCATCAATCCGGACGGCATGGCGTTGTAAGCCCAGATGCAGCCATCAACAAGACGGCGAGCAACGTGCAACTCATCAGGTCGACTGAAGATCTTTGCTCCGATCGCGACCATGCCACCGACGAAACAAGCGAGGTGCTGGCCTTGTGGGTCCAAACTCGATATAGGTATCGTTTCCAAAGCGGTCACTGCGGCGTTGCCACTGAGAAGAATGTCTTCCCCAGAGGGGAGCATAGGTCTGTAGAATAAATATCTCTTCGCGGCTTCGATGGCCTCTTCGTACATATGCCGATATTTTCCGTCGCGACCACCAAGCATCATATACTCTTTTGGCAGGTACTCGTAGGTCGAATCCGCCATTCCGCCCATTGTAAAATGGTTGTAATCAAATGCAAGCGTTTTCGCATTGACGATGGTCGGCCACAGGCCTGGGATCTTGGTCTGGTTCTGGGCAAAATCCATCTGCTCAGTAATCCTTTCCACAATGTCAAAGTATCTCATGTCGCCCGTAAGTTGGCTCAATCGTGTGAATTCGACGGTCAGACTCCCGATCTCGGCCAGTAGGGTGTTTGTGCTCGGCTCGATCTCACCGCCCAGAGCAGTCTTTCGCCAACTCCATCTCGCCATAGGCATGTGGTTAGGTGTATCGAATGCAGAGTATAGTATCTCGCCGAGCTCTTGCGCCTTCTCGAGCAAGACCGGATACTTTGCGTCCGATAGATCGTAGGCAGCCAGCAGGCCTCCCAGGTATCGAATCGTCGTCTCGAAGACGTTGATTGTCTCCTCTTGGCTCGTCGTAAAATCGAGCTTCTTCACCGCCTCGACGCATTTTTCAAAATCATCTTTCAGATCCATGATCCATAGCGTATCCATCGTATCGACCAAGGTCGCGCCCCAACCTCCAAAACTCGTACGCGCGGTACCACTAAGCGGTCCAACTTCATCGGCGCCCCAAGCATGATTCTTGTACCCGTTCCAAGCGTGTATGAAGGCGTCCTTGACGACTCTCAGTCTCGTCTCTCTGGTCTTCTTCTCGGCGGCGGATTCGGGCTGGGCATGGAAGTCGAACTGGATCTGAGGGATGTTTACAAGGGGCTCAGTGGGCAGTTCGCGTACGTTTGCGACCGGATATTTCTCTGGACGTTTCGTCCAATGTAGCTTTCCGTCGGGGGCATTGGCAGGATATTGGAAAGAAGGCTCGCGGGTACTGCTGGGTTGTAGGAATAGGTAATACACGACGCAGGCGATGAAGAACGCTGGGACCAGCCAGAGTCTTCGGATGCGGATCATGATCGCGCCTTGATGAGATCAAGTCAGCCGAACAGGTTGTCAAGGTGGATAGCTGATCATCCTATTTGCACGTTCTGCTCTTAGATCATCTCCAGCGAACCGGGATGCCTCGAGACAATACTCCGACGACGATTGCGCTGGTGGCCCCCGTATGCAGCAGATCATCGGGGGGTGCCTGAAGGCCATCTTGGAAATGACTCGTGTTGACACTTTCCCCCGCAGAATCCACTCACTTTTTATGACTTCAAGTCGGGGAAAGCAGTGACATCGCCCTTTGTTCTTTTTATTTGAGATACCCGTCGAGGCAGTATACGCTACGGTACCTGCAAACAAAAGAGGCTGTTGTATACCTCTTCCATCCTCCCCTGATGTCTCGAAGATGGCCTCAACAGCCCTCTTCTTCCTCCCACTCCCTCCGAACCAGCCCTCTCCTTCCTCAACGCTGATCTCGCACATCTCGCGCTCACTTCCTGCGGAGCCCTTACCACCCTTCTCCCTCGACCACCGCCTCTTCGTGGACACATCATCCCTACTCCCCACGGCCGACATCTCCCAGCGCAGGTCCACCAGTATCCTGACGCTCTCGCACAGCCCGCAGACAACATTCATCGGCACGGTCCTGCCCAAAGACAAATCCCAAGCTCAACCTACAGAGCAGCCTGTCCCGCTATCACTATCACTCACAGCCATTCCCGCTTCCACCGCCGACACATTCACCCAGCTCATCGGGACTAAATTGCAACCTCAGTGGGCTCATCGGCAATCTCTTGTCGTCGAGAACGGCACGGCGCTCGCACTGCACAATGGAGAATGGACAATCCGCCTAGGCGATCTCAAGGCGCCGCCTCGTGCGAATCAGCCCGTCAGTATAAGGGGCATGTTATTGGAAATATCGTACAACGCCGAGTCAGGACCGACCAACGAGACCAATGGTGCAACTGCGAGTGCGAGTGTGAGCAAGGAGGACGAGACACTTGTCCGCGGCGTGGTTGACGCGCTGACCGAAGGCACCGGCATATCACTAGCGAATAGTCGAGTCTTCTTTGGCCGGACCCAACGCGAAGAAAATGGCAAAGTTGCACCGGGCACGGTAGACTGGGAACTCGCCAGGCTCTACATGGACATGCTCCGAGGTTCTAGGAGTTGAAAGAGGACGCTTCATATGGTGGAAGTGCACTATGAGAACAACACCGAGTGGTCTTATCGAAAACAGGTCGTTGGGCTAGCAGGTCCTCTACCAAGCTTGGATAAAAAGTGTGGTCACGCTGTGCTTCACCAAGGATGCCTCCTATTGCCCACTTGCCAGCTCGAACACTTAAGACTCCCAAAAGGGTAACAGAGACACTGTGCCCAACCAAGGAAAAGCGAACGGCTCCCAGCCAGACAGCCAGATCCTCTCTTCCGATACACGAATTCTTTTCACCAAGCTCTCGAGTACACCATTGTCTTCCAACTTGCCACGATGGCTCTGCCCTGCCGTGCTCTGCTTGGTGTCGTGCTCCAGGCGGAACAACGGGAACGAGAACATCAGACCAGGGAATACGCATCAGGATTGGCAGCCAGGGGGATGTTTGGATGGGAAGAAGAAGGCATGAGCCTCCTACACCCATCAGGGATGAGATGATGATGAGAGGAGAATATCTTCGACAAAAGATATATCGCAAGAATTCCGCCATTTATCTTAAACATGATCAGAAGAATTAATTGTTGGAAATGACATTGTCAAGTTATCACATCCTATCGTATCCATAACTGTAATCGTGACAATCAGCCAAAAGAAAAGCTGCTGTTTCCAGGTCGTCCAAAAAAGTGTGAATATTGAATACACTTAACACTAAATAGCCTTCCTTTTCGCGCCTGACCAGGTTTCATGCCTTGCCCGGCCCGTGTATATGTTCGAACGCCAACAGTAAGCCTCCTTGGACCCTTTCTCAACGCCTTTGCCATGCCGCAGTATGTAGACAGAAAACTGTGACACACAAAAGGTAGGTACCTCATTCCTCGCCGTGAGATGCGGGCCGTACCTTTGCACAATTCGATTCGTACGATTGATCATGATGAGTGCAATTCGTTTTCAACGCTGGGACAATACCTCCTTTTCTTTTCACACGTTGTCGCTGCAAGGTTTTGCACCTCATGCTGCCCTGCCTGCGATCTTCGCTGGCTTTTTGAGATATCTTTTCGAGACCGGACGCTTTATCGTAAAGGTAATTGTTTCAGACAGCCGCTCACAACACAAAATTTTGAAACCATGTCCTCCCGACCGTGAATGTGACTCCGGTCTCTTTACCAAGTCTCCGCAATGTACTGACCGGAGGCCTTCTTCTCTGCCCAAAAACTCTTGGCCTCTTCTTGGTTCAGTTTCCCCTTGGCCATGGCGACATCAATGAGTGCCGCCTCGACACCCTCGCCCATGCCCTTGGAACTTCCACAGACGAAAATCCGTCCGTCAAGGGCATTGATGATAAACCATACCAGGTCAGCTTGGTGCCGGACTTCTTCCTGGACATACCGGCCTTCTCCACGACGCGATTGAACTACCTTCTTGACCTTGTCTTCATGCACGCCCCAATCGCCCGAGTAAAGCTCATCCAGTAGACTGTCCCGAATACCCTGCAGAACCCAGACTTTGTTGGCGCAGTTGGCCGACTTCAACCGGCGATGGACGAAGCCCCTGAAGGGAGCAATCCCGACCCCGGCACCAATCAAGAGCATTGGTCCATCGGTGACAAACTCCCGGGCAAGCGGGTTCGCCATCAGACCTCTGAACATGGGAATTCTGAGGTCAAGATCCTTAGGGTCCTTGCCTGCCTTTTCGGCTTCTATGACCTGTCGAGCTAGCCTTTCGAGAAATCCAGAGCCAACTCCCGTTCGCATGCCGGTGGCATAATCTTCGGCTTCGTGCACGGAGACTGCGATCTCGACTAATCTTCGGCGTTCTGTGCTATCTCGTTGACAAGAGACCATTGGGTCCTGAGAGAGTGAATAGAAACGTGGCATGAGTTGATTGAGAACTGATAGTAGATAGTCGAGCGGAGGCCGGGTCGAGGGGAAAGCCGTGAGAAGTTGCGGTATAGTCGTGTATGGGCCAGTTCGGAGGTCACAGAACGCTCCTTGGCCCTGGGCTGAAGACAAGTACATCAAGATCATCTTCTCGTGCTCATCTTCTGCATATTCAGCCAGAAGTCGGAAGAGCTGTTTAGTCGGAGCGTAGCTCTGAATGTCTGAGCACCATGTCAGAAGTTCTCTCCTGGTGGTGACGAGCTCTCTGGGCGCATCATCGCCCCAAATAGTCGGCCATCTTCCTGTTGTGGTCTTGAGCAACACTGGCTTGTCCCGTACGAAGCTAGGCACGCCAAGGGCATCAAAGACCTTGTTCACCATCTCGGGGGAATTTGGCGCACAAACACCAATAGCCCCTCCAACGACAAAATCGACGTCTCCACCTTCGGTAGGATAATCTGTTACATCAATGTCGAAGTGGTATGTCCTTTTCTCGGCACCAGATTTTGTCAGCTCGCGAGCGTGGAATAGAGGAGCGGAATAGACTTGGTAGGGTGGATGTGGCGTAACGAAGTTGGGAGGATGTTTGAGGACTTCGGTGGTCTTTTTCGGGGGCTGAGCGTAGGTGGTGTTTGACGATGTTGACAAGGACTCGAGCGAAACAGTCTTTGCCGGCATGTCGACGATACCAGTCAACTCGCTATCGAGGCTGAGTGCGCCTAGTTTGAGCTTCAGACTTCGATATGCGGCATTATCTGGCTCTCGAATCGGTTTGACACCCTCTGCTGCCCCTTTGAACTTCAGCTCTTGTAGCATACAGCATCCACCACCACAGCAAGCCTTTTGTACCATAGAAGTAGCGGTGCCAGCCTGTCCCAGAAATCTTCGTGCATCTTCCGAGTCCTCCGAGACCAGGACCGTCGAGGCCCTTCGCTGCTTAGGTTGGGGCTTCGAGTACGTCCGGTCCTGCTGTTCATTGAATGAATCATCTGACAAGTTGTCGGTGGGCGTGGTGGGTGTTGTGTCTATGCTCGAAGCCTCGTTGTCTGAATACGTCCCGGTGGTTGCAGTCGACATAGGCGACCGACCAAACTGTGACGTGCTTATTGATACTTTTCTCGTTCGAGTGGGATCTTCAGGTATGGGGTTATGAGGGTGGGAGTGTGCCGTGAGAGGTACTTCGTGGCCAGCAGCCATTGTGTTGAGCGAAGCCATGGTGTAACGGAAAGGTATGCCGAGGCGAGCACCTGTGGAGATATGAATATTAGTTGGCTGCAGAAAGAATGATGGGATCCGTTTCCTGAATGTCCGCAACATTGAAGTAAGGCCATTCAGTTGAAGCAATGAGGGGGATTTGGCAGCATTATGCAAGCGAGTGATTGAGCTTTGGCAATCCATGCCAGAACTTACGTTCGTGTAGATTGCTGATGATGTAACCCCGCGGGCGTTGTGCGGAATTTTGACGATGGGCGGCGCAGGCCAAAGCAAGCCACCCCGGTACGCGTCGAGACACTTTGAACCAGCAACTCCAAGGAAAGAGGTGGTCGTGTCTGTTGGTGTTACTGGATCATCGCAGGGTGGAACAAGAGCAACTTCAGTCGAAGGGCGACAGGAAAGCAGCTATGGCAAAGGGGTACACTTTGCGAGTGAGTGAGTGATGGAAATGCGGAAGGGAAAAAGCGCTGGGGGGGGCTTTGGGAGGCTCAAAAGATTAAGAATAATGGGGGAAGTCGGCAGATATCGGTGACCCGTTCAGAGTGCCATCAGCCCAATTTGGTTTGCTTCTGGACTTCTCTTGGTAACTCCAAGCCAGCCGGTGGGCTGATGGATGGACTGATCCCCATCACCTATTCACGCCCATATTTTTCCATTCACTGCTCCCTGCATTCCGACAATTCCTTATAATCTTGTGACTGTTCGTAAAGACCTGATCTTACATGTCGGTGCCGGACAACGGGTGTCCTTTCGCTCTTCGTTCCGCACTGCTCGCAATCAACACACGGTACATGGTGGCACGGCATCTCTTGCCCCACCATCGGATCCAGCGTGCCATTGATGGAGGAGATATGATTAGATCGATATCGGCTTTCATCATCTAATGAAATTTTATCTGTCAACCCCGCTGTGAGTCTCCTTCTTCCGACTTCGCTCTGGCATATCTGATCTCTGATCTCTAGAGATATGGAGGTACGGCCATCTACTGTGTATATCGTGATTTTGAGCTTTCCGATAATTCTGTGCGATTTACGAAGGGTTTCGGATATCTCATTCAAAAGTCGCCTATCTTCGTACTTGCGTACAATGCGCGTCGATGTATTGTCCAATCGTCTCGACAGCCTCCGATTACGGACAAAGCCCGATAGCCTGTTGCCGCAGTGCCGGTGCTCTCCTGGCTCGCTAGCCTTCGCCTACCTTGCCTCGCTTGGCTTCCCCGCTGCAGCCTGCATCTAGTGCAATCCAGCATGCCCAGCTGGACGATTTGATTAGATGAAGGGAGATTGGATAAGATTAGATGCCGTTATGGCTCCAACAATGGAACGTTGCGCTTGCTGGCAAGAAAACTGGGCAGACTCCTTTTTCTGCTTGGCCTTTGTTGCCTGGTTGGCAACTCCTTTTCCTTGAGCGCTTTTGCTTCACCTCAGCTCGACTGCCATCTCGTAAGCGTCTTGACCTCTCTTCTCAACTTCAAGTTGGCAGTCTCTGGTCTTGCCTGATGTATCGACCATTCGCTTGAGAGACATGGGACTGTATTCTATGGCCCCTAATCTCTACCAAGCGCGCGCTTTCCCGGGCTATTTTGGAGCAAGCTTGTGGTGGGCAGTACTACTAGTGTAGCAACAACATGTTGTTGTATTTGATGCTGACCTCTCGAACCGTAATTGGCGTTGCCCTGTTTCATTGTGTGCTCGGCGAGATACCTTTGCTTGGCTTTTTATGGCTGTCAACGTACGAGGCCGCGCAACACGCACAAGAGTTTGCGTTGGAGGTAGGAGATTTCCTGGCTGTGTCTCAATTATATATCTGAGCATCAGGCCTCCCAGGGGCCTGGAAATGCTCCGCGGCAATAAGCATGAGGCATACTAGCAAATTCTGAAATAAGACCGAGCTTTCGAGCACTGCTGGACTGAAGCACAAAAGCAAATGCCCCAAAGTTGTTACACCCTAAACAGCGCTCACCATCGAGCTGTGCTTGAGCTGACTGCTGTCCCTTATCCGTAGTCCAGCGGGCTTTTCTCTCACTGCCCGGCCGTCTATGTCATCATATACAATCCGTCGGAAGGGACATGGAGTTGACTCTTGGTAGACTCAATCAGCCAACGACGGTTGACGTCGTACCACAAGGTATAACACATGACGCTTAATTCCTCAGCTCCAGTACAGTCAAGGTTTTCTGCAAGGTATAGCCTACATAAGTTCCAATGCCTCATCATGCGCAGGCAGCTTAGATTTCAAGTCTGTATCTTTCTCGGAGAAAGGACGAATAATGTCGATGTGATTCGCTGGAAAGACACAACGGGAGAGTAAAGTCAGAGAGCCACAGTTACAGAACTTACCATCGCGTCACGGTTTCAGTAGGCTTTGCGCATGCCGTCTAATATCGTATCGTGGTCCCTTCTTGAAGGTTGCCCAAGTAGCGTATGACAATGGAAGTATAGGGAAGCGGCCCCATCTCGCGAAGCTCTCACGGGCACATAGTCGATCCATTTGAGCCGCATACACAGAAAACCGGATGGTATGCAATAAGGGTTGCAGGGGAGCTTGACGGAGTAGACGCTCTGTCCATACGATAAGCACACTTTCCCTCGCAAGAACCCAGCCATGAGCATTGAGCTCAGAGCTTCCTGCAGGCATAGAAGCAACGGTTCACAGAGACTCGCTGGTTCACTCAGCCAATATGCCAATGCGAATCGATTGCAATGTGCGTTTTCGAGCGCAGGATGGAGGCCGGTGCCCATTGTATACCCCCTTCTCTAATAGATTGCGCCCTCAAGGAGGTATACACATGGCCTGTGGCCTGAGATTTCCTTCTTTGTATGACCAAGTGCCGTAGTCATGGCTCCACAAATGCACGGTCCAGAGCCATCTATTCACTCTATCACCCTTGGGACGAGTGAAAGGAGCGGCGGAAGCCAGTGGACAAAAAGTAACAGAGTTTGAGGAGTAAACTTTGCCTGCCCTGGCAGAACTCTGTTAAGAACAGACCCAAGGAGGTCCCTTGACAATGGCACGTCCAACAAATCCATAACTCTGATAAGAGTCCAAAGGAGACTTGACTAACCACCACACCAGGAAATCCCATGGAATTCCTGTGAGGATGCGATGGCTGGCATTACGTTCTGTTTATAGGCTGGTTATTCGCCCACGAGCTCTGTCTGAACGACGCCTTGATGGACCGAACATATGCCCGCCAGAAGGAAATCATGCTCCAGGTCGATGTGTACTCCAGAACGAGATTGCAATCTCGAAGCTGGAACCGCGACCATCGCGATGATGGTTGTTCTGATGACCGTGCAGGGACAATTTTTCCTTGCTCGATTGCATGAAGTGCTCTGCAAGTGTATGCACTGCTTTGTCGAGGCCTCCGCAAACAGGTCCTTCTGGGGTCGTCCCAGGGCCGACAAATTGAAGTCACGCGCTAGAGAGGATGTTCTCTCTATTTCACCTGCTGACTCTCTTGCTGCTGGAGCAATCCAGAGGTTGGCAAGTTCAAGAATAGATACATGGAAGGATGCGTAAGGAGCATCAGAGGTACTTAATGACTTGTGTAACTGCCAAGGTTCCGATTCAGCTGAAAGAGGTGCTGACCTGGCGCATGTGAAGAGCTCTCTAGTCAGGTAGAGAACGCTTCTTTTCAGGCCCGCATCCCGATTTCCAAGGCAATGATCGTACGGAGTCTTAGTACCCACCCTCTATTGCCCTTGTTTTGGTCCAGTTACTCTTCAGCTTGAGCTGGTATTTATTGGTGTCCGCATTTGAACAAAGCGTCAGCCTCTGGTGCATCGGCTGACCCTATTGAAGCAGCCCCCCTGGGACGTTGTTGTGTTATAGAGGGCACTTCCATGGAGTTGCAAAAGAATTGCAGCACAAGCAAGATTGTCCTGCCCAACTTCTATCTGGAGCGCCACGGATCTTCTCACACCAGTTTTGCTTCCGGTAATGATTTCATTGCGCTCTCGGTACCCACTATCGCAGCCTCTAATCGCAAGATCGTTTCAGCTTCTATGGTCACTAGCACCACCTCTTCATCGGTATGAGCTAGTCCTTCAGGGCGATTCTTTGTCATTTCTGAGTTCGTCCGGTGGTGCTGAACTTCAGGAGGCACGAGGAATGGCTGGGTATTCCTGCTGCATTACATCGTCAGACTAAAGATCTCCGTGCTAGCTTAGCAGTTGAAGACCTCTCCCCAGTGAGTGGCACAGTGCCGATGCTGCAACCGTACAGCAGGACCCGTCGAGGATGTTGGCAGCTTCTGCAACTGCGTGGAAGCAGTGTCAGACATGACGATTGTTGTTCCCGAATCCTCTAGAAGAAAGCATAGGTCCCCGCAAAGTTAAAAGCTCACTATGTGTCGGCCCAGGCAAAGTCAATCAACCGTGTCCATGGCCGAAAGTCGTTGACGGCATCTAGCGGGCATTTGACACAATCAGCTTAGTATCCAAACACATAGTATATCGCTCCGAAGTAGGACTTTTGAGACCGTGGGCCAATGTCATATCGCGATGGTAGACTTTCAGAGCGAGTTCTTGCCAATTGCCAGATTCTGGAGGACGCAAGCAGGACAGTCACGGCGCTCCAGGTCCATGAGATGGGCGATTCGCGCGAATGTCCCGTGAGCAATATCTGATCGACGGACCCAGACCGTTGACACTGACTCGATGATTTACTGACATCTAAGACCATCCGTCATAGCCGAGCTGCTCGGCTGCCAACGAGGCAAAGCATGAGGCAGCAATGTGGTAAGTTGTCTATGGGAGACAGAGGCGTGTCAAATGCCTGCAAGTAGGACCCCACTTGGCTAGCACCAGGAGACGTGTCAAATGCCAACCGCCAACTGCCAACTGGCACGAGTCGTCCAAGCTTCTGCTATTTGGAGTGGAGCGCAGATGGAACCCGGACGTTGATACACTAGTATCGACGAGCGAGACAGTGTTAAAACTAGCTGCTGTAGTAACCGTTGGCTACTCCATAAGCAAGGGTTATTCAGCCAAGGGCATTTTGACTGGACAGTGGCTAGGAGGACGGCGGGGCCTCCAAACTGATTATGCACTGGTTTCGATTCATACAGCCCTTGATGTGGACCGGCAGGTGTCGTTCAAGTAGCTCTACATATCGGCATGTGGTAAGTCGACTTTTGCGTCTTATATCCAGGACTCTGAGGAAGAACTTAATGAGACCTGTGTCGTAGTTCTGGTAGTGGTTGAGCCTGAAAACAAGGAAGTTCGAGAGACGAGGAAAACATGATGGGATTGGCACGAAGCCAAGCCATGGAACATTCCTGCCTCCACAACCATAGGCAATCTGATCTGATCTGATTTTGCCGTTTGTGCTGAACTAGTAGTAGGCGAGGTTTTCCACCAGTGTCGCCTCACCGTCCATGTGACGTGTCTACTGTATGCCCGTAGGTATCATTGCGTCAGTGATCGACTTCAGACTGTGAGATTGCCGGATACACCTTGCTTCGAGCCTTCGAGGTTGTCCTCATCTGCATGTCATTCAATTCCACTGTTCATCCGAGACAGCTTGCAGATCTTTTCTGCCCATGTCGAAACCTGTCGAAACCATCAAGCGGCCAACGATATAGCATGTCACGTTTTCCATGCCTGAGTGCATCCCTCAAGCAGCCACGAAGCAATGTAATTTTCGAGAGTCCCGTCAGGTACAGATATGTCCAGGTTTGAGGCACGAGACCTTGGCAATCTCATTGATACAAGCCTTTCTGGATTGGTTAAAATCCTCCAAGGTCTTTTTAGGCTGATCAACCGACATGGATTGAATGTGGCCATCCGAATGCCACCAAACCACTATACGACTCGCTGAATCTTCTTTTCGATAGTCCTCCATTAATCAATGCAGAACGCTGATTTCCATTATATCTCCAAGCCCGCAAACCGCTTTGGCCAATTACGTTTTATTCTTGCTATGTCTGGCGTTCATAGTCTTGTTCATGCTCCCTGTGTACTGTGTCCTGTTTGCCGCCGAAAAAAAGTATCGTCAAGTTTGACGAAGTTGAGGTGGGTATCGCCAAAGATACGTTGTGACGCCCGGAATGCAGCGAAATTACATGCCATATCCGCCAGAAACTCCACGATGCAAGCCATAAGGTACCAAAGTCACAAATTACCTAGACTCGTTTCATCTGATCGCCGAATCAGATTGATGCTGTCGGCGTAGTTGGTCCTGTTCATATGCTGCAGCTGCAGCATTCTGCTCCCTTTCTCTCGCATGTCGCAGAGCGGGTAACTGTCGCCTTCTGGCGTTAATAAACCAATTGCTGATCTATCGAGTGTCAATTCAAAAGATTGTTATATTTGAGGGGAGTCCAGATCACACACCTGAGCAATTGTGAGATTTGTCCGAGCCACTAATATTTGCTTTTCATCCTCTGTAGGATATGGGTGTTCGAGGTGTTCATGAAACCAGGCACGTAATATATCAGTAATGTGCCTGGGCAGGTTACCTCTCCGTTTCCTGTTTTGGGCATTCGTGTCCATTGCCACAGTGGGCGAGGTCGGATGATGGAGTCCTGTGGGTGACGATGCATAGTCCGCCGATCCGTATGGGGATGGGTATGCCACTCCAGCACGGTAGTCGTACGGAGAAGGTGCGTATCTTCCATAGTCTAGGTGCGGATTTTGCCTGTTGGCCGGGGGATAGCCCTGACTATATCGATGTGTCGAGTCATAATAAGAGGGTCTGTCCGACCCATATGAGTAGTTGTCTTGTCCGCCGTGAGGTCCTGCTGGATTGGCAAAAGATGGATGGTATGTGTTTGAGGTTGGCGAATAAGGCGAATCAAATGTGTTCATGCGGTCGATGTCTCGAATGGGTGGCAGGCTGGGATTGTCCCTCGGGGGTCCGTAGGGCGGCTGTGGCTGGTAGGACATTCGTTGTTGTGTGCTGTAAGGACTGACCAGCTCAGGATACTGCGACGCTGGCGCCCAGGAAGAAGTGCGACGCTCATGGCAGCCAAGTGGGTAGGCTGAATCGACGCTGCGCGCAGACATGGTATCGAAACCTTCGGTGCTATTCCCAGTCTGCGAGGGATCAGGCGATTGGGGCTCTGACTTTGGTGGCAATGATGGCTCATGAAAAGTCTTCCTAGTCATAATGTCGCATTGACTGTGGGATAGCGAGTCGCCCAACGGCAACTCGGTGGTCGTGGTATTGAGAGGTGTGCCCAGAATCTGCCTTGATCAGAACCGTCTGCGAGAGTGGACTGGCCAAAATTACCTCCCGAAATGGCGGCAATTGCTGCTGTTGATGGGAAAGAACGACTTGCGAAGACTCGGGTGGGGGTTTTTTTGAGCGATGGTTCCTGGACGGTTCGAAGGTGTTAGAGCCGCAGCCATAGGGGATATAGGGATCCATGAATATTGGAAAGAAAAATAAACAGAGATTTCGGGGCCCGGATGTGCTGCCGTTTGGAAATCAAGGGGAATTTAGATAGCGGCAGTTCACAGCGTCAGACCAGGATGTCCTTCCCCCAAGCCACGAACTTTTGTGCCACCCAGAGCACGATGGAAGTAGGGCAATGAAGGGGCAAAGGTCGTGCATGACCGAGATGCCATCTGTGCATGCTTTCGAAGATGGGTGTCAAGTTCTTCGCATGACAGCCGTGACAGTGCCTTGTGAACAGGTGAAAAAGCACGTCGGGTTTGGAAGAGCAGTCTCAATGGAAGGGAAGCTGCGAAAAGCAATGGGTAGTACTTACAGAAGAAGTGATACGCTCCCAGATCGATGCCGGGCCGCTGACAGTTATGGCTTTCGAGCAAGGCTGGGCCGATTAGACTTTGACACTGCTGGCTGGCGATGGTATCGGAAAAGAGGTGATCTATGGGGCGAACATGAGAGAATGGACTCGAGTTGGCATCCAAGATGGACTTGTCACGTCAGATATAGAGGTCTCGTCTGTGGAGGTTTTAGGTTGGTGTGCGGCGATTGAGTGGCGCCGTGGTGGAGTTGCCAAATCGTTTCTGCGTCGGCTTTCTGAGGACAGGCGAGTAGTGACAATAATGTGCAACAGGCAGGGTTTTCTGGTGAAACTGAGAGGACATGAGCAGGAGGATCGGGTCAGGTCAGGACCAGGAAGCTGGACACCCTGAGCCACGGGCCTCGAAGCAGGGGTGTCGGATCTGTCTGATGTGAGGGGAGGACGAGGCAAGTTCACGATGCAGGACAGGTGTGGACTGTGTGCTTCACATAATGGCGTACAGAGGCGAGTCAAATTTCCGTATCTGGGCCAGGCCGCCAAGTGCGTCGTGGGTATGATAGGAAAGGCTCTTCCTCCACGGCAAGACTAGGGCTGTAGGGTGACGGAAGCGTAGGGACTAAGATAATCGGAACGAGGGGGACGCCTCGATCGTAGATGGGGCTTGAGATACCCTGACAGGGTTACTAAGGCGGAAGGCTGGGTCCAAGAGAGGCATGGGAGAGGGTATGTGGAAGAGGGGGCATGTTGATTGGACCAGGGAAAAGTCTGCTGGACAAGAGCGGATCGTGGAGAAGGAGGGCCAGACGGAGCATATGGGAGAAGCATGGCTTGACTGGCCAGTGACGAAGGGTCGAAAGGGACCGGTTGCCTCGCCATTCTGGTATATTGATAAACTGAGTTTCCCTTACATGAGATATGTACTAGCCGAGCGTTTCAGATGGGGTACGGATGAGCGGATTGAGAAAAACTTGTATCCAAGGATGGTGACGAGATGGTCGAAAGGCAAATGACAGTATTCAGTGAATCAGTATTGCTGCCAGTCGTTGCCAGACGCGCGGGAGGATTTAGCCGGCCGTGAGCGACAGGAAACCGCCGCATCGACATGAGGTGGTGTGAAGCTATGAACGAAGACAAAGTCAAAATTGGAAGCTGTTGATGCTGCTGGAGGATTGGAGGCGTTGGTGGAGATGACACAGATGGGTAAGGATGATTGGTGCGCGGCAATGGAGTCGTGGAGCAAGGTCGGTCGTGGTCTGTGACTCCGGTCCAGCGTAGAGATAGTACTAGACATCCGAGAAAATCCATCTTATCGCATGGGATGCAATGCAAGCAAGGGGAGGAAAGCGGGGAATGATGCAACAAGTCCCGCCTGCGTGCTGTGTGTCGTGCATGCAACATAGGTCGAATGGATCATGGATTGATGCACGAGAGACTGCGTACTGTACCGTGTTGCTGTTCGATGAGAGCATGAGCTACGAGTAGGTGGCCAGGGTGTGCTGGTGGCATGGCATTCTCTTACCAGGTAGTTTTGCATCTCTCGACGGGCTAAACCACTTCAGGGCACTCAGTTGCGTTAGCCCGCTGGCTAGTTTCCGCGGAGGAAGCTTCAAGCAAGGGTCACTATGTCATCAATGGTGGCGCGCAGGGCATTTGACTTGCAGTGACTTGATAATGTCATGCTCCTCGCTTGTCGCCGGATCGACGTTCGTTCGATACGAAAGAGGCAAAGTTTCGAAGGAGGGAACCTCGTATCTGTCCGGATAATAGCGTGAAAAAGGAGTCCAGCTTTGGATCTTTTGATCTTTTGATCTCATGTCGAGGCGGGTGGGAAGGAATATCCGCTCACCTTGTGATCACTACTTAGTACTGTGGTAAATGACCATCTACCTAGCGAGCTAGGTAGGATATTATGATTGAGCGCATCAGACCGGCTTCTCCGTAATTCACCAGCTGACTCCTACTCCTAGAGTCAGTCCTAGCCGACAATATACTTTGTCCGTTCCGAACTTGGGAAGCATTTTTCGGAGCAAGAAACTCTTTCATCTTGAGCTCCACCATTTGGCTGCATCTACTGCATCTACTGCATCTACTCACTCCATCTTCCAAAGGTTTGGTCGGTAGAAATCGCCCAATTCTGAGGGTTGTATTATTCATCAATGATCGCGCTCACTAGGCCTTGTCACCGTTGCTTTTACGGCTTTGACAACTGGCACCACGGTCCGTGTCTTCTACCCCAGGTTTCGATCTATCACATTCCCTTCGCGTTGTTTTTCCGGCGGGTTTCATGATTGCATTCCATCCCCCCTGCCCTGCCCTCCCATACTTCTCCCTCTCCCAAGCACACAGCTCGACACCGCGACCCATGATGGCGATGATCATGATGATGAGGATGATAATGATGATGATGATGCCGGTGTTATTGTTCTTATGCCTGATCGCAGCCATCTTCTTTCCGTCGCTCAATTTCGCGCTTGGTCTGGCTCCAGTCTGCGTTGTCGCCCTCGCCCTCGCCTCCCAATCGTGGCCTCCCCCCAGGTGGACAAAGTTGACGCCACTAGGCGCCGGGCATGCACACTATGCCCTTGGCGCATGATGGCGCTCTGTTTCCGAGAGGCTTTTCATGTTCGCCCAACGTTTGCCAACGTTCTCGAGACCCAACAACTTCGCCTCGCGCCAATGAACAATCTTTTCAGTCCAACTAGTAACTATTGCCTTGTGGCACAAGCATCGGCCCTTGACGTGCGCCAGCACTACCACATTATGCGTCTGGGCTTGCGTGCTAGCTGTCGCTTGCCGTAGCTCAACCAAATCCCCGGGACCCTCTCCATGGATGGCTACTTCCAGGTTCCAACTTTTCAGGGAACCGTCGATGCTTTCGTACCTGTTCGTGTTACCCTCGGTCTCATGTCACTCAGATCGCTCAATCATCCGCACCGAGATTTGCTGCTTTTTATGTCCTACTACGCCTTCGCACATTCTCTTGGTGTGACATGTCCCTGTCCTCTCATTCGCACCTCCTCCATCGCCGCATCACTCCATCTCCAAACCCCAACCAGGGGTAGGCCTGCTTGCAGTGGATCTGGATCTGACATGTCAACAGCTATCTGAGAAATGCCCCTCCCTTCAGACCGCCATCACCGCCTCCTACCCTGGCAGACTTCGGTGTCCACTCGGCCGCCGTCGCCCCCTGCGGTTTCTTCCCGACACCATGCAGTGAACTTCACCGAATTTTTCCCTCGTTGTCCAAGGCCCTTGGCTCGTGGGTTTTGACTTTCAGGATACACGTCAACATGCAATCATCGCCCGTTTTCCTTCCTTGGGAAGGAACGTGCATACACACTTGACTCCTCACCACTCGTTCTCATCCAAGACAGATCAATTCCGGCAGGTGTAACAGCTGAAAAGACCGTACTGAGATCCTCGGGAAATTGTGAAAGAGATGGCTGGAGAAACATCGTGCACGCCCAGCACCAAAGATTGCCCTCTACATAACCAACACTGGAAGGATGAGCACAAGCTACAAAAACTTGTCCGCAACCACTCGTCGGATCAGCAAAAAGCATTGACCAACACGCGACCGCCCATCAGCCATGCTTGAGCGCTGGAGACCACCTTCATCTCGAGACAGGGATCCCATTCACCCAGATCACTCACCGCATCAGTCACACTCCCTGAGCCATCTGGTGTCCTGCAAATCTACGTATGTCTTTTGTGCGCAGACAATGGCTCCCAGAGCCAATGGCTGCCACGGGGTACAATTTCCTCCGTCAGCTAGCCGAAACACGTGGAATGTCAGTCATATTGTTGGTCACAGAATCCTGTCAAGGAGTATGAAAGATCGCTGTTGTTGTGTCTACTGTCTCGGGCCAGCGGACAGCAGACAGAACCTTCTGAGTCTCCGCAGACCTGGATTTCAGCAACTGAATTATACTGATCTTCGACTTCAATCTTAGAAAGAACCACGCAGCCCAAACCAACCCACGATCCCTGGTCCGTCATGCAGCCTGAATGTGCTCAATTGCCGGTCAAGAACGATGCTGAAGGCTAACTCTAACAAATCATTGATCTGCAAAGCTAGACATCGAAGTTGAGCTCCCACCCCGCCAGTTTACCAACTTCAGCAACACTCCGCAAAGATCATCACTCCTGCCGTCAAGATTTCAAAGTGAAGCTTAGTGATAGTTCTGTCCATCTCTCCAGAAAGTACTCCTAGCGAACGTGTCACTCGAGTCTTGTGCTACCTCAAAAGATCCAGTGTACTCGGTAAGGTTACACGATTTCAGTCTCGCCAAAAGTCCCAGCACCATGGTTTTATGCTTTTCGGCTGCGAAACGTCTGCATCTCTTGCACCTCCACAGGTCTGGCCACTTATGAACTCGGTGACGGCCCGCGAGCCGCCACTCGCCCTATAAACATCCGAACCCTAATCTTGGACAAAACAAGATTTTGGCAATGTTCGTGTTTGACTAAAATTCCGCCAAAATCGACCAGGGTTGCTGTGCCCGCTTGACCAAGCATATTTCATTAACCATCGTGTCTGGTATCATCCGAACAATTCTTGCAGCCCTGTACAGACGATAATGACACCGGCCCACGGCCGGTCAACAGTGTCGTCCAGTCTCCGTCAAACCTTCCTTCGGCCTGTCGGGACATCAAATAGAATTCCTGCACGACTGCGCCTTGCTACAATGCAGGGTATTTGATACAGTCAAGTCTGCAGGTAAATTTCGGGAAAGCACGCCCAATGCGACCTGGATATGCACCTATGGTGTATGCGTCATGATTCAAAGTTTGAAACTGTACATGTCCTGGTCTCAAGTCTATACTAGAGTAATAGATAGCCCTTTTAAGGCGTCCTCTGCATTGTGCAGGGACATCTACTCGCCGCCCCAGCCTACTTGCGACCCCGTCTTTCCTTGTCGAAAGTTTTCTTTATCGTTCCTCCTCTGAGCCCTTGTCTCCCAGTCAGCTCTCCTTGCCGACTTATCATACCAGAACGGTCTTGTATACTTCTCGTCAGTCTTGACGTGACGGATCTTCTGCAATATCATCAAATCTTGCAGCTTGCTGCTGCGGCCGCTGAATATATCCGGAGGTGGAGGGGTATTCCCACCATCAACAGCACCATCAATGGCGCTGCTGTCCTCGCTTAGCTCCGCCAGTAGGGGGCTCGTTTCTTCCTCACTAGGCTGCTCTAACAGCTTGGTGAGGTTTGCGTTGGTCATTGGAAAGTGAAATCGTTCCGTTCGCGGTGCTCGCGTGCCGGCTTCGTGGTGCTGTTGATGCGGTGGGACCTTAGCATGCACTTCCTGCTTGAAAATCGTGGCATCAACCTCGTCAGTCAGCTTGGCCAGCTGCTCCATCTCCGCACGCCGCTCCGCTCGAAAGGCAGCGCTCCAGAGCAGCCGTCTGGCAACATCCTCGCCTTCGACGGTCTTGACCTGCCACATGATCCATTTCAAAAGCACCTTGCTCGTGCCGTACTCTCCGAACCCGTGCTCCGCCATACGCGCGACCCCGGCATGCCACAGTGCTTTGGTGAGTTTCGGCTCAATCGGGGCGCCGTATCGGTGCAAGAAGCGAAAGCACCAGTACACTCTCCTCAGGGCTTGCCGAGGGCTGGTAACCGGTGTAGTCGCGAACGATACGGCGAGATGGTTGATCAGAGCGAGCACCTTCCTGGGGTAACCGACCGCAGCAGGAACGTGATGCTCGGTTGATTGACTACCCGAGGGAAGAGGATCTCGAAATCGTGCTCGTTGTTCCACAGCCCGACGCTGACGGATAGTTGTCGATAAGGCGGCCTTGATAGGGATATTGCATTCGAGCATGCGGCTGAGAATCTCGAAAGATGCTTCGCTCTTTTGGATCAGACGCCGCGAAATGGTGCGAAATTCCACAAGATTGTGATTGAGACATTCTCCCAACTCCGCTAAAGCCTCGTTGAAACGCCGGCCCCGATGCTTGTAGATATCGTCGTCGAGGAAGAGAGACAAGTGGTAAGGCACACGCTCCTCGAGATGAGAGCGCGCTGAAACTTCGGGAGCTGACATTCCCGCAGCAACGAGTTTGAGCTCACGAAGTAGAACTGACTTGTCCGGAAGAGCTAGAGTCCTTAGGACAGCCTCAGCCCGTTTCAAGAAGCCTCCTTCGATGGAGTTGGGCTTGGAAATTATGGATTTCATGGTCCTGCCAAACAAGTCGAGGGCCTGAAGTCGATCCGGCACAGAAGGTGAACGCCGCCAGTGCCGAGATAGATGCAAAATAGTCCAAGCGAAGATCAGGAGACGCTGATCGTCATTGAGACCGCCAGCGCTCGATCGATAGACGGTCCAGTCCTTGCCTGTGGGCTGGAGGTTTTTCCTGGTAGCGCCCAATGTTTTCAACACACCACTCCAATGGTAGAACAGAAATTTGTAGGTATTTGTAGGGTTGTCTCGCGCGATTTCGACCAAGTTTTCGGCCGTATGCAGCAGAAGCATCCGGACAAAGCATGCAGGAGCCTGGCTTAGCCGATCCGCCATTGTCTCACCGACATCTTGACCCGGAGTGCCCTGACAACGATTCCTCAAATACCTTGTGATGAATTGACTGACCCTTGCTGCGTCATTCCTCCCACCCCAAGCTATGAGCTCCAACAGGACAGGGGCAAGCGCCATCCTTGGACCCGGGACGTCGAGATTCACTAACTTTGAGCACAGCTCAGATAAGAAGGGTCGGCCGAGGTCTGCCACGCGCAGAACTTTTGACCGCTCCAGAGACTGTAGAATGTCCCGAATCAAATAGATCCGTTCTCTCTGCACACTGATGGTCGTATGTCCTCTCTTCCGCAGAGACAGTAATTCTGAAGTGGTTATGGTATTGAGCATGGTCCGCAAGTCCTCGATACCAATAAAGCCGAGCTCTGCAGCCTTGGCAATAGAGTCGCGTAAGATCCTCCAGGAGTAGACGTCCCAGGTGAGAGCCAACATGGCAGGGAGAAGTTGAGCGATGAACGAGGTGCCGCGAGGATGAAATCCAGGGTCACTGACATATTCCGCTATTTCTTCCGCGCCAAAGGAAGCCTTCAACATATGCCGCCATATAGCTTCGCCTGTAGTTGTATCATAACGTAAATCGACATTTCCTGATTTTAACCATGCGCGTATGTCCGACAGATTCCAACATTGGGATAGCTGTTTGACCTGGCCACCCTGTATCGGTTGTGAGATCTCTTTGTGACATTCTTCAGGAGCCTGCAGCTGTTGGGGTTTTTCGGTATTGGGAAATAGCCAAGTTTGCAAGAGAGGAAAGGCGACGTCTAAAGATCACGATCAGTCTTGGAACTCAAACATCTAATCGTCCTTTCTTCAGGTGCAACTTACGCTTCGCAGGCTCTTGGCTCGTGGGAGTCTGCCACCAATTTATGTCCTTGCTGCCACCGAAGACCAGCGCAGGGTCTACTGATGGTACGCCATGACTGGCATATGCGAGGGAGGTGTTCTTGCGTCTGGCCGCTCGACGCTGAGCTTCCAAGGGTCCTGGGACGTTGCTCCCGTGTCGCTTGTGGTGACAAAATCGGGTAAAAGTGTCTGCGAGAAGGGCGTCGGAGATCCAGATGAACGGCGACCGTTGATGGGAGACGCAGGTAGCTGCGGTCAACCTCTTCCTCATGACATTTGGGCGACCGAAGTGGTGTCGAGCCTGCACGCAGCTCCAGCAGTGGTTGGTATGTGTATGGAATGCGAGCCTGAGAAACCCCAAAATTGGCGTGGGGAATTATCGAGTCATTGTCAGCTCAGAGCTTCAAGAGCCACGAGTCAGTCGGAAGATTGGTGGAAGATCCTCTGCTTCCATCACACACTTCCTCTTCACCTCATAGGCATTTACTACACGGGGCTTGAGGAATCACACAACTTGGCATATTATTCATTCAATCCTATACCACATGCCATGAAGTATTCTATACTTTCCTCCATTATTTGTACAGTGTACCAGCCCCCAAACAAAATGGACCAACCTCCCAATAGACCGTGCAACCATTACGTTCCAACGATGCTGTCAAACCCCTCTTGCCCACGAAAATGCCGTCCGATATATTGCGCGTGCTGGTGCCGTCCAGTTCCGAATACTGTCGTTCGTGGTATCGTGCTATATTCCAGAAAACGCGCCTAGAAAATTAGTATTATTCAAACAATATTCGGTCTCTACCGAATGGAAATAGACTTGATCGGTCCTGCTGCTAGAATTAGTTGCATCATCGCCGCGTGAATAGTACCTCGCGGCCCCGAATCGTGAAATATGTCGTGTTCGATGACGCCGTCGCCAGCGTGAGTGTCGTTTGCGTCGTCGAGGTCATCTCATCGGTGATCAGGTCTGTCACTGTAACGAAGGTGGTCGCTTCGCTTCCTCCCGAACTCAAGATGGACGACGTGGCGCCGCCCATGCCCGTGATCAACGACAAAGTTGTGTTGCTGCTGGCTTCGGCGGCTTGAATGCTCGGTGAGGCTGTTGGGGCGATGTTTGCGTCCGTGCTCGAAAAGGCTTCCGTACTCGAACTGGTTTGCGTGAGCAATGTCGTAGTGCTTGTGGGGGTGACCGTCACGTAGAGGGTGGTAGTGGTGAACAACGTCGTAGTCGAAGTTACTTCGTCCGTAGTGGCTGATACTGTTGCAGACTCGAAGGTGGTATACGTGCTTCCAGTAACCGTATATATGCTGCCGCCGGTACTCGCTGCACTTGCTGGTGCTGTGATAGTGCTGGCTGCGTCCGCCGCGCTTGGTGAGTTTGTTGAAGTGGCCACAGTATAGAATTCGGCTCCAGTGACGCTGCTTGAAGCTTGTCCAGAAGTGAACGTGGTGTAAGTGCTCCCAGTGATCGTGTACATGCCGTTGTCGGTAGTAGATGTGCTTGTTGACTGTATAGGAGCACTTGCTGTTGCTGTGGTCGCCTCCGCAGCAGGGTAAAACGTGGTGAATGTGCTTCCGGTAACCGTATACATGTTGTCATTGACGCTGAATATGCTCATCGTCTGCGTGACGGTGCTTGCTTCCACTGAGACCGTACTTCCTGCTACTGTGACGGGACTTCCAGTCACAGTTATAGTGATGGTGGTTTCAATATAGTTGACACGAGACCCACGATACCACGCCCCATCGCGCCACCGGAAGGTACTTGCAGGAATGGTCAGCGTGCTTCCAGATTCTGTGACTGTCGTTTCCGCTATAGTCAGAGTAGGTGCCTGACTCGTGGCGTCAATAGCTGCACCAGCCGCCGATGTAGCTGAACTGGCCACAGTTGCCGAACTTCCGGCCACATCGCCGTTGACCGTCACAGTGACGGTAACATAATCGGTGATAGTGACTGTGGTTGTTTCACTGTCATCTGTTGAGTCAGTGATAGTCGGACTGGACGTGATAGTGTCCACTGCAGTGTCCTGACTTGAGACGCCGGAATTCGGAGCATCGGTCGAGGTGCTTCCACTTGTCGGGTCCTGTGCATACACTGCATCACTGGTTAGAGTTGCGGAACTGCTCGTTGTCACATCGATCGCTGTTGTCATTGTCGTCGAAGTCGTAAGGACCGAAGGTGCTGTAGTGGAAGTACTTGACATAGTTGACAAGATAGGAGAAGTAGTAGAAACGATCGGGTCTGTAAAGCCGGACGTGGACTGCAATACGCTCGAATCACCGTATGCCGGTGATTCAGATGGTTGAATCCCAGTGGTGGAGACGGACGATACGGCAGTGTCCGTAGTCGAGGCAGCCGAGGAAGAAAATGAGCTTGAGCTTGATGTCGGGGTTGTGACGGTTTCGCCAGCTCCAATGGTCGAGGTAGTAGCATCGGTCGCGGACATTGTGGTTGCCAACGACGAGCTTGAAGTCGAGCTTGATGAAAGGGTACTTGAGGCGGTAGTAGAGCTGGTTGCACTACCGGAAGCCGACGCTGTTGTGGCATTGAGAGGCGTGACTTGGCCGACGGGACAAACGTTCTGGGGAGAGGATTCAGGGCCCCAGCTAATGGGATTGCAGCCAGGTAAGCCCGTGAGGTTGCCGTGTACAGCCTCGGTCAGCACTGACGGTTCTTCTGGACAGAGGCGAGCGAAGTCGGAAGTATCGCTGGTGACGAGATAAGGGCAAGCGGAGGGAACACCAAAATCGACATCGGTGTAGAGACAGTTGGCGACAGCGTCGTCCAGCACATCCATATCCCACCCATTCATGAAATCCGCATGGTAACCGTAGCCTGTCGGATCGCCATTCGCGAAGACAAATTCGCCACCGGCCGATTGATCAATATCGTTTGTGAAATACAACACCCTGAACGGATCAGATATATGCACAGTTCCACCGTCGTAACCGATCACTTACTCAAAGAAAAGGCCCGGGATGGGAACCGGGTGCGAGGGAGGGCAGACACCAGAGTCGATATTAGAGAGATAAGCCACATGTGCCGAGTCCTCCAGGTAAAGATTGACACCGTCCCAGCAAGATTGGAAGTTGATTTGCGCTCGTAGCCCATTGACACAGTCGGTATCATTGAGGTAGTGGGTTTCTGGAATATCGTTAGCCTCGTTTATGCAACGGAAACTTACCCGGTCTGCTACAGGTCGCGTGTTCAAGTATGTCAATGTGCTGGTGTCATACGAGCGCGCTGTAGTATCCCCCGAAATCATCTTGAGCCCTGATGGGAATGCGACAGTGTTCGATGTGTCCCCGCCACGTCCTAAATTGATACTGGTGAGCAAGGAACATAGTCAGAATGGCCCGATACTTACCAACATAGTAAACAGTCATTCCGTAATTTGGTACTTCTTCGAATACACCATCCGAGTGCGCGAAGTATAATTGAGGTGTCCAGTAGGCTGAGAGATCAGCCTGAACTTCACAAGATGAACAGGTCGACGTAAGGAGGGAACTGTGGTCGGAATTTGCGTTGACATCTGAATTCTTAGCGACAATTCAATAACTCGACGCAGCGCATTAACTGACTGTTCCCACCCGCGAACTTATGGACGTGACTGGCGACGCCACCGGGATTGAGAATCGGGTCGACTCGAGCTGTTTGAGAAATGCTGCAGGCCATGCGCCAGTAGGCAGCGGATAATTGAGGCTGCAAGGCTAGCAGCCCGAGAAAGGGAGTAAAGGGTAAGGCTTTCATGTTTGGAAGCAGCAACGATATGCTGCTCGACGGCTGTCTTGTTCTCGATAGTAGTGGAAGTGATGAAGCTCGTATGTGAAAACGATAGTATCGGTAGAGAAGGTGTCTAGACATGAATGGGACGTACCTGCGTAAACAATACTCACACTGCGTTACGAAACACGCGGTCCGTGTGTTGGTGCACGTGGAGCAGCGCGGAGCAGCACCATGGGCGGTAGATGGTACTCACTGTGCAAGGTGGACAAAACCTGAAATCTCCGGTTCGACGCCCCAGTATTGCAAAGACCAGAAATTTCACAGTCAGAGCTCGATTGCGTTATCAGGAGGGTGGCTTGAACAATTCCTCCAGGCCATGAGGCGCGGGAACCAGCGACGCCGACAGCCTTTCAGCCAGTGCAGCCAGCCTGGTGGCGAACCTCCTTTTACTAGTCTTTACCTTCGCCGGTAGCACGGTTGGGGTTGATGGTCTGGCTTCAAACAGCCTACTCATCTTGGAACCCGTAGGACAAATTCTCTGCTAAGTCAAGTGTTTGTCGCATTTCCAGAGACAGGCGTCTTCTGGTGCACATTGCACGACGGCCTGCTCTGCAACGACGCCGCTGATCACAGGATTGAGAGAGCAGCAACGACTGCAAGGCACAGCGAGTCTGATCAAGGAGAGGAGAGTAGAAGACCTGGTTTCGAGGGAGCGTCATGCGACAGCAAGCACAGATGTTCGTGTCTCGCAACGACCAAGCAATGCACCTGTCGCCATAGCAATCAGATCCACGTCGGAAATGCTTGTATCTGGTGACAGGTGTTGGCGTGGACGACATGTTGTGGCGTTGAATTAGCCTGCGTCCAAGCTTCAGGCTGGAAGCCACCCAGAAGCTGTCAGATGATGGGATTGCTCAGTCTTTTCTTGACATTCGATTGGCTAGAGTTGTCTGCACACTGCTGCCAGATGTTCACGCGCCCAGAGCAATTGTCATCTTCTTATCGTCTTTCTCGGCTTCATCAGCCAACTGTACCATCGTTATTGCTCATAGACTTGCCTCCAGGCGCGGGGGTTTTCAAGAATTTAAAAGAAATTTCAACGAGCTGAAACGATGCGCCATCTTTTCTGGGTACGCTCCCTGTGCCGGAGCAATTCCTGCTTAAAAGTTACCTCTCTTGCCCATTTGTCCCTAATCAGGAGCGCACGATATTGAGCCGTTAGTCGAATGATCTATCAACATCAGCTTGTGGTGCGACAACATCAGCCCCCGTCCGAGACTGATCTCACTAGAGAAACCGCCTGCGCTGTGCATAGGGACCGATCTCAACCATCGACAAGGAATTCTGCGGGCATTCAATAGGTCTCGGATTCACATTGTGAAGGGTCTTAGCATTGCCGGGCTCCGTATTAATGTATACATTGCTTGCTTGATCTCTTGTAGTCGTTCTTTGAGATCTGGAAGAACCGTGCGCTGGTGTGTGAGTATCGGATGAGACGCACGATGCCAACCGGAATTCTGCTGATCATGAGGAGGATTGGCTCTTGTGAAGAATGACATTAAAAACCAGAATTAGTGGATTCCACGTCAAACATATGGGCTGTGTATCAAGAAGGAATACACCTGCTTTGAAAAAGAGGTTCGCTAGGTACGGCTGGTGACCTTCTGTCAGGCCTGGACGCCGGAAAATCTTCCTGTCTTTCAGCATGCTATTCATCGTCGCAGGCAATAGCACCAGACAGATCTACGCGATTGAGGGGCCTCATTAAAGAGAGACCATTTCGCGATACTGTGAGGGAGGTGCTTTTCCATGTTGGAATGAGCAACAGAAGTACGCGTTGCACTTGTACAACGAGACTATTGTTGCTTGCGGAAAGATATTCGATTGCTGAGCTCCGTATACGGTTGTACAGGCTTCAGCGTCTGTGTCCTCTTCCTCTTTCCCCATTTTCCGATTGATTCTAGCATGAGGCATCTCGACGACCATCGAGAGGGGAGATGCGCAGAAGATCATTCACATATTGGGACGGGCAAAGGACGTTGTCTTGCAGCTCGGCGCCCGTGAAGTGGCAGCGTTAGGGTTGGTCAGAGATGACCAAGATCTTATACTCTCAACTGTTGGAGTGCAATGAAGCACAAAAAGGTGAAGAGGCAAGTTGACGATCTGTAGGGCCGAGAGAGCGGCCTCACGTAGAAAAATAGAGAAGTCTGACAGTACATATTCCTCAAAATCTGCCCCGAAAGGTTGGCGCATTCGGCGTCGGACACATCATAATGTTCCCCAAGGCCAAGTCGACCGCCAGCATTGCTCGACCTCCAAGCGCAGGCAGTACCAGCAATCTCACAAATTGCCAATCCGACACACCTCACGACTTTGCGCTACATATTCACATACAAAATCCTCCAAGAATACGATCGGTCTGTCACCTCGGCCACTCCTCCGCCAGAACGCTTTGTGAACACATTGCCTGCACCTCCGGCCCTCTCCCTGTAACTAGCTGCCCATCATGGCAGACCGTTTCCCTTCAATTGAGGACATTGATGCTGGTAAGTTCAAGATGGTGCTCCATATACTCTAGATACCTCTGTTGACGGATACTAATGCCTGGTACAGGAGAGACAGACGTCCGACCCGACTCCACAGCGCAAGGCAGCTTTCTCGAGCGAGAACGAGCCCTCTTAGGTGAAGACGCTGATCTCTTTGCTGCCAACGACAAGCCCGGCGCCGCTACCGTAGAAGACGGTGATGACGACCTTCTCGGCGGCGATGACGGCGATTACACATCTGCCCCGGCGCAGCCATCAAGCGGAGCGCAGGACGATCTGAATGACTTCGAGAGTTCTTTCCCTGCCATTGACACACGAAATGATGTATGGCTTGCCCTTTCCCTACAGGGACCCTTGGTTGTGTGGTTATGAGGACGTGGTGGCTGACACTCATGCGCGCAGAACATCGGACCCGGCGGCACCATCACAGACTCCGCAACCCCTTTTCACGGGGGCTACACGAACTACACAGCGCCTTCACAAGAGGAAGAGACCGAGCCGATTCGAGCATGGCGAGCCAAGAGAGACGCGGACATAGCCCGCCGAGACGAAGCCTCCCAGCGCAAGAAGGAAGAAACCATTTCTACGGCACAGAAAGATATTGATTCGTTCTACGAATCCTACAACCGCAAAGTCGACAAGCAGAAGGCTCAGACCGCGAAGGAGGCGGAGGAATTCCTCGCGAAGAGAGAAGACACAACGGCAGGAGGCACGGCTTGGGAACGAATTGCGAAACTTGTAGACTTGAGTGGAAAGGGTCAGCAAGGCGGCGGAGATGGCTCCTCAAAGAAGAGAATGCGCGAATTACTGTTGAGCCTGAAGGCCGACAAGGACGCGCCAGGTGCCTCGGGCGTCTAAGTTTCCGACTCACATCCATGATGAGTACTATGAGGGAGAAGAGCACTGGCCATTCGCCTACCATCAGTCATGCTTCGAACCCATAGAAGGTTGGGGAGTTGGGTCCTGCGGCTGTCGTGCTCGATATCTTTTGGGCCATTTGCCGGGACGGGCAAGCCGATCTGCGGCCTTCGAAGAGACACATTCGGATTATTATGCGGGAAAAGGTCTACACCGGCATGGTAGAGTACGATAATGACTGGTAACATTCAATGCATGGCTCTGCACTACTTGCACATCGTAAACCCAATAAGAAGCTCTGGATAACGCTGAGCCGATGCAGCTCCAAGTCCTTGAGCTGCAGGCCCTAACTCGTCATCCTCCAAGTAGAAACTCCTGAGTCATCGCCGAGACTCATGATTCGTACCTCATGCGCCGTAGAATAGATCGTGGTGCAAACTCCTAGCAGAAAATCCTGATTCCGTCTCTCCCAAACGCCTGTGGTCGGTATCTGAAGCTTCGAACAAACTGTGATCCCTAGCGATTGCGTTTTGGTAAACGTTTGCGCGGCCCGGTTGGGTGTAAGGCAGTCATGTGCGCAAAATCATCGACGAGCCGACTGAGGTTAGCCGCTGCTCGGTCGACGCGGTCAGCTGGAGACACTGGAGCTGCAACATCTTCTGTCTGCACTGCTTCGTCCTGAGATGATCTTTCCTCCTGGCCATTGGCGTCACTCTGGGTCTCCCAATTTGCTATGTTGTTATGGGCCACGCTGAGGACGCAGCCTCCACAGCTTCTGTATTTTGTGAGATCTCCAGCTTCTGAAACGTTATGCTCCAGCCAGGTCTGCAGCGCCCGATAGCCCTGCGATTCAGCGACAAGGTACGCCATTTGGATGTGGTCAACTACGAACTGGTCCAGGGGTCGTCTGATTCCAGCCAAGGTATGGGGCTCGACGACACCGAGCAGGTTCGATGCAGGGATGCCCATGCCAGGCATTCCGTCGATGAGCTTGATCAACTGATTGGCAATCGTAAGCTCACGGTCGTTCATGGTCAACAACTCGTGGATACTCTTGTCTGCGGTGCGACTTAGAGGTGGCGGCATCTTGCTGCTCGAGGCGACGGTGGGAAGGCAGGGGCTTGACACAGCGTCTGAGGCTTCGGAGGTAGTCGATAGGCGTCTGTCGTCTTGACTGATGCTGCTTCTCTCCTGCGAAGCTCTCTTCATGTGGCGGGCATAAGAGGTATCGCCTGCGATAATCTTCTGGATGCTCGGTACATTCACTGGAACCTGGGCAAGCCGCGCAAAACGCTCGAAATAACTTTCTGTATTCCCACCAGCGCCAAGCTTCTCTTTCACCATTGCCATGAATTCAGCCGGATCGCAGAGTACTTTCTCCGGGCGGTCAGAAAACATCATGGGTAGGTCGTGCAATTTGATTTCATTCTCTTCGACCCGAGCCCACAGAGACTTCGGTGGCTCCTTTCGAAGACTCAAGAAAGAGTTGAGTTCAGAGAAGTCGCGATTGAGCTGGGCTTTCAGCTTCACCAGACGCGTGGCGTGATCCTGATCTTTTTGAGCGCATTCGCATTTGCGTCCAGTGTTGCGTTTGTCCAAGCATTTGAGATGTGGGACCAACTTCAGCGCAACGTCCCAGTCACTGTCAACAAGCAAGGAGAGCTTGATGCCGCGAGGGAAGTCTTGGGATGATGTTCGGGCCATTGCATGAAGCTCCTCCATGGTGCTCAGTCTCAGCAACTGATTCTCTTTTCCAAATCGTGGGACTGGCGCAGGAAGCGGTTGCGAATTCTCTGCGTTCAGTGCTTGGATGCGAGCTTTACAGACATGTTGCGGCGAGCACCGATAACGGGAGTCCTGGCACATGTGATGGAATGGAGACAGGGTATCTTTCAGCTTGTCAATCTCGTCGGGGTCTTCATCATCGATGAGTATGCTAGAAATGAATGCTTCAAGCACACTCAAATTAGTCTCCGCCTGGGTGGGGTCTGCGATCTCGAGCACGAATGTCGATACAATACTGACAACGTCAGCAGCGATAATCGAGAGTGCCATAGGATCATCGACTGTAATCTGAAAGACAAGCACTGCAAAGAGGTCCGCGATGCTCTGGATGATGAAACTGAATGAGTGGAACCATTCACGGTTTTGGCCAGAGTCGTAATGGTCGAACAGGTTTCTGAGCGTCATCATATTGCTTTTGGTGCTTTCGAAATCGGCTCGGATCTGGTAGCTAAGACGTTGCGCTATGATGATGGCGGTCATTGCAGGACAAGCTCCAATTTGCTGGTATCTCAAGACTGTGTCTTGCAACTTGTCCTGTCCTGAGGAAGCAGCAAGCCTCATGTTGGCATGATAGAACTGTTTCCCGGCGATCCAAGGCTCAAAGCGGAACTTATGCAAGGTGTGACGGTGGGCGATCGCATGAAAAACATCCCAGATACCTTCCTCAAGGTGCTTATAGATATATCCCACTACGTGCATACGCACCTTGCCTCGATCTGCCACTTGGGGAGTGTCAAGAAATCTCAGAAAAGCATTCCAAGACTCCAAGCTTAGCTTTCTACCTGTCAATAGATAGCCAGTATCGAGCATTGCTTTTGATCCCAGTACTTGTGAGAGAGCCGGTTTGTCGGCGGCGGCGCTCTTATTCCGCTTGGCCTCGTGTGCAGCAACAAATTTAGTCATAGATTCCTCGACTTTGGCTGTTGCTTGCGCCAGGGCTTCCGGGTGATTTTTCTTCTGAATTCTCTTGATGGAGTCTTTGAACATGTCAAGAGTCACCAGATAATTTTCGGGCTTGTTGTGGGCGGTCGAGATCACAAGCGACGTGATTCTTCCGGAGACTTGAGTGACATTGTCAATACCCGCGACCTCGTCGACAAAGCACTTAACTGTGCGATGGAAGACCAGCTCATTGATCGCATTGTCGAGGATGAGATCAGATAGTGGTGGTATAGGGGACTTTAGAATAGCCTTTGTTTTGATCTTCTTCAGCGCTGCCTGAATATTTGTGGGTGTATCATTGGCCATCCTTTCAATCATCTTTGCCATATCTTTCTTCGCGGCATCTTCCACCTTGATACATTCGAGGTTCGCCTTGACGGTGTCTTCGTCCAGGTTCAATGCAGGGTCGATCGCCGCGGAAGGAGTGCTTGACGCTTGCATTTTCGATCGTAGGTTCATCATGACTTCGACAACATTGTTGCAAGGCCTAGTCTTTCCGTCTCCTGTAGTGACATCGATGGTGAATCCTCCAGCATTCTGTTTGGAGAGCATCTGTTCGAGGGCGCGCAATGACTTTTGAAGGACAGGAGACATTGGACCACTGAACTCCAGGACGGCACGAAGGTCCGCGATGGCTGTCTGGACGTCTCGAGGATCAGAGGCACCGAAGAAACCCTTCATGACGTTCATTGCTTGCGAGAAAGCATCTGAATTTGTAAAAGCCATAGTGGTTTGAAGGACACTCGATGGATTTGCAGGATTCGCATGATTTGATTGATGAAATTGTGAAAAAGCAGGGTCGACATCGAGAATCATTTTCCGGAATTCGTTATTCTTTTTCTCGGCGTCCGCCATTTCTGAATTAGCCTGGTCCAACTTTGCGCGAGCAACTGCGGGTGAGACTTTGCCTGAGTTCACGTCGTGTCGAATCTTGTCCAGTCTTCCACGTATCCGCCGGACGATATGTTCATTCTCTCTGGCAGCCTCCAGGATGGCGTTTTTCTTGGGGTCAGAAAGGGCGTCCTGCGAAGCAAGCATATCCAATGTCGCTTGCTTCACAGAACCAAGTCGGTCGGCTTTGCCTGAATGGGAGCCCTTATTACTGTTGGCCATGCCTTTGTCAGGCAAAACACACTTCCGTTCCCTTGAAGTATGTTCATCATCCTCTTTCTTGACGCGAGACAGCTCAATGTCTCTTTGTTTGCGCAACGCATTTTGCATCCTTTCCGATTTTTCCGATTTGATCCTGGTCTGATAGTATTTGATCGTATCCATCTCCATCCAAGAAACCCCCACTGTCTTTGCTCGCCGGCATATCTCATGTCGACAAGCATGTTTACGGGCGGATGCTTTCTCGGGTGTTGTTTCAAGATCTCCATCCAAGCAGCATGAGTACGTCCCGACAAATTTTTGATCGCCTCCCGATGGACCTATGAAGTAGTTGTTCACAGGCGTATCACTCTTGTCGAGAAGAGCCCGTTGTGTCTGGTGCCGGGAGGATTTTTGCTCTAGCTCGATTTTCTCTGTCTCGAGCCTCGCTCTCTCGTGTAGTAATTCATTGTAAGTCCGTATATCCTCCTCGGCCCAGCCATCGACATTGTGTCCATCTGCGGCCTTGAGAGAAGAGCTGGGTTTAGGCGCATAGAGAGCCTCCGGAAAGGTGTCACCTGCGCGGCCGCCATTTGCCGATGGTAGGCTTTTGCCTTTTGGTTTGCCCATCGTTTCAGACTGCTCCTTGCTCGGCAGTGCTGATAGCCACAATTGGCGACTGCTGTCTAGAGCTGGTGATGGCGAGTTCACCTTAAGAACAAGACGACGATGAGGTGTCCTCGATGAACGATAAGCTCAAACCGAAGAACCCTTCAGCAGCAAATCTGTTGTAGCTGGATTCTTAGCGGGGTCGTGTATATAAGGACTCTCGACACCCGCCACCCCGCCCGCTCAGTGGCTTGAACAAGATCCTCACCACAGTCAAGGAATTTGCATCACGATCTGATGGCGATAGAGAACATGGCCCGGAGCAAGGCGACTGCATCGTTATGAGAAAGAGCACTGCAAGGCCACAAGTCGAGGACAGTCTAGCAGTTAATGTTCTGAAGGGTGATGTCGTGATTCATTCGGCTGAGACGATCAGAAGGTCTGTCAAAGTTCAGGCTTCGTACAGCACAGCGGCGCCGGAAAGAAGTATTCTAACTCTACATCCCTCACGTCTCTCTTGAGACGGGGTTTGATGAAACGATTGCGACAAGAGTCACTGGAAATGAAGATCGGGCAGGAGCTGAGGCTAGAATCCAAGACAAATCAAACACCTGCCAAATTCTGAATGGTGCTTCAGGTGAGTTAGACGATCACGTGCCTATCTTGGCTCGGTGACGGTGTTTCTTTATTCCGTCCATGCACCACGAAAAATCGGCTGCTTCGTCCACAAAGGTGACAACTCAAAGACAAACGGCGTTGATGGAGTAAGCAAGCTGATGCCCGAATTCTGAGACATGGCAAGCGAGTCATCTCTTGCCACTGACGGCCAGCATCTAGACAATCAGATCGCTCAAGTAATTCAGGCTTCTTCAAAGCATGACCTCGGCGCTCTAGAAAAATGTGTTAACGAATACTCATTCCGCGACTGCAAGGTTGTGGATATCCAAGAGCCTGCCACTGGCTTCTCGCCACTCCATGCAGCCATTGCTTCGTGCAGATCATCAGCTAATGGGGAGGTTAGTGAGGTTGCATATCAACAAGACGCTGCGATCTCAGTAATTAGGTTTCTGTTGGAGAATGGAGCAATATGGAATCAGCTAGACCAGCATGATGAAACGCCAGGCTGTCTTGCATATCGTTTGGGCTTGATGGATGTCTACCAGCTCATGGTAGACGCTGGAGTACGAGCGGAAATGATACTGAGTCGACTGGAGGAGTACGAGAGGATGGAAGATGAAGAAGGAGAAGAAAGAGAAGAAGAAGAAGAAGCGGAGGGAGAGGAGGAGCGTGCGAACCTCGATGGTCAAATTGACAACGGTCAGTCTCAAGACGCCGACGGAAAGGAGGCTCTCGTCCAGCGACAAGACGTTAATGGCTCAACTTATCTGTCATCTGCACTTTCACTTACCAGCAACAGGCTCATGGACGAGCAGCAGAACGGGGTGATGATGGCATGGGAAAGTGACATCATGAAAGAGTCTGCTTCTGCTCTTCTACCGGAGCCAGGTCTCAAGATTTTGAACATTGGCTTCGGAATGGGTATCATCGATGCACACATCCAGCAAAATCCGAATAAACCAGCAAGTCACCACATTGTCGAAGCTCATCCAAATGTGCTCGAGGACATGGACAGCAAAGCATGGGCGGATAAAGCTGGCGTCGTGGTCCACCGTGGGAAATGGCAAGATGTCCTCCCACGATTGGCTGCTGAAGGTGAAATGTTCGACGCCATCTATTTCGACACGTTTGCCGAGTCCTATTCTGAATTTCGTGAATTCTTCTCCGAGCAAGTCATGGCGCTCCTGGATCAAGGGGGCAAGTGGTCCTTCTTCAATGGCATGGGCGCAGATCGCCAAATCAGCTATGATGTCTATCAGAAAGTGGTCGAAATGGATTTATTCGAGGCTGGCTTCGATGTGGAATGGAAAGATGTCGAGCTGCCTAAGCTAGACCATGAGTGGGAAGGAGTGCGGCGGAAATACTGGAATATCGATCACTATCGGCTCCCAGTCTGCAAATTCATGGAATGATCGCGCGTTCGGACACCGAGGATCGGTATCATGTCATGAACTGCAATGAGCACAGTTTCAGTCATGTTCGGTCGACATCTGTGCTTGCTTCAGTCTCACTCCGTGTGCGAGAAGGCACCTTCTGGCATCTGCAGTATCTCTTCCATGCGACTACTGAAGCGGCGTACAGCACCCGGTTGCCTCCAATTCATCTGCCGCTGCGGCATGGGAGCGATCCGAAAGACATGACAATGACGCTGGAAGACCGGTCAAGGTTCCGAGAAGGAGGACGCATTTGGCGGACAGCTTGAAAGAAATCAATCGGAAACCCCACGTTGAAGATGCCGCATCTCATTATTAGAAGCCGGCAGGACGAGTCGAGTCGCCAATCCCGAATCGCAAGAAGAGCACTAACGTCTTTCCGGACAGAAGATGATCGTATCAATGATCTTGTGCCCACTGATCTCGGACAACGATGGCAGGTTGCCCAGGGTGAGTCGATACCTCTGGCGGTCTCGGGGCTGCAGTAGAAAGAGATCGGACTTGGCTCAGGATCTGAAGTGGTGCCAGTAGCAAGGACGAACATCCGTTGAATTACCTTAAGGTACCTGGTATACCAGTATCGCATGACCATGTCCGACCTTAGCTGCAGCAGGAACGTTTTGCTCAACAAGCGGCTCTCGATTTCGGCGGAGATTCCCCCGAGCTGCATTCTATTGCCCCGCATTGGCTTTCTCCTCGTCGGGATGCTCAGTCAGTCTACTCTGTTATTCTGCTCCACACTTGCTACGATTCAAGGACAATCAAAGGATCTTACGCGTAGACTTGCGGATGCGTAGCATGCTGCTCCTCCGCGTGTCCGGAGAGGGGGCTTGCCTCGGGTATCAACAATGGCGGGACAGCCCCGGACGCAGGCACATCACGTACACATCGAAGGATAAAAGCTTCAAGATGCGTGCGATCCCCAACTCATGCTGTTAGACCGACATAGCAAGTTGACCCAGACCAGACTGTACACTCACTTCCGTCAGTCCGACATTCTAGCTCAATCTAGTCGAAGGGCCACAAGTTCGCCAAATTCCCACGAAATGGTCAAACGGACAGCGATCGTCACCGGTTCATCGCGGGGCATGTACGATTCACCACCCCTGTCCTCATGCACATTCGCTCGCTAACACTATGCAGAGGTGAAGCCATCATCCGCCGCCTCGCCACCGAAGGATATGCCGTATGCGTAAACGACGTCTCCGCGAACAAAGCTGGCATCGACAAGCTAGTGTCCGAACTGAACGAGAAGCATGGCTCCGGCTCGGCCATTGGCGTCGTCGCCGACGTAACCTCCTCCTCCGAAGTGCAGGCCATGATAAAAGAGTCGGTAGACAAACTCGGACCACTCACAGTGATGGTCGCCAACGCTGGGATAGCCCAGGTCGCACCCGCACTCGACATCTCGGATGAAGATGTACAGCGCATGTTCAATGTGAACTTTATGGGCGTTTGGCTATGCTATACGCACGCAGCGCGGCAGATGATCGCCCAAGGACCCGTGCCGGAGGGTAGTAGCGGGTACAAGATCCTAGGCGCAGCGAGCATCGTGGCATTCAAACCATTCCCGCTGCTCGCGCATTACAGCGCGTCGAAGTGGGCGGTAAGGGGTCTGACGCAGGTGTTTGCCATGGAGATGGCGAGGCACAAGATCAATGTGAATGCCTATGCGCCAGGAATCGTGGGTACGGCGATGTGGGATTTGATTGATGAGAAGCTGGGCGAGGTCGAAGGCCGAGGGAAAGGCGAGTCACTCAAGAGATATTCGTCCGACTTGACTGCGCTGGGAAGGGTGAGTGTACCAGAGGATGTGGGTAACCCGGTGGGAGGGTTTTTATGCTCGAAGGACGCCGAATTCATCACCGGCCAGACGATAGTTATAGACGGTGGAATAATATTCACCTGATTGCTTCGCAGGCAATGCAAGAAGTGGAACCTACGAAGCCAGATGTGCAATGAATGATATTAGTATGATGAATGTTGAGAGAGTGCTCAATGTCCTCTCGAGGGTAAACAGTCGCTGCCCTGGTATTCACTACTTGCAGTGTCACCGGCACGTGTCCCCCAGTGATGCCAACTCAAGGCCAACGTTGATATGGTCATGCTTAAGGTAATGAAGAGAGATGAAGAGTAGTACTGCAATTCCGCCCATTTCAATTGAGCCTGATGTGCCCGCTCCACTATCATATCACCCGTCCCTTTCTAAACTGCCTCGTACGCCTCGCTCATGCTCCTGCTCCGCTTCTATGCATCTTCACTCAACCAGACAACTCCGTGACCACTCATTCGGTAGGTAGATTAAGATCTACTACTCAGCGTGGCCTTCTCCCTGCTTTGGCGGATACGTCTTCCCATCCGCTTCGACCGTCGGCTTGCAAGTGCACAATTCATCTTTTGGGACCGAATCCAAGACAGAAGGAATATGTTTTCCGCAACCCCACCATGTTGACTTCTCTATCGAAAAGATCAGTTGCCGGCACAGAGGACGACGGTCGCGCTGAAATAACACATACGGCAATTGGGACAAGTTCTTTTCATGCACATTTTGGGCGGTGGTTTGCGTAAATTCCTGTTATGGTGTCGGTTGTTTGCTTAAAAGGCTGGTCAAGATATGAGTAGCGAAGTGGGAGTAGTGTGTCGGTCTCGATTTTATGTTCGAGGTGAAGGTGAGTGAATGTAAGAATGGTGGTGGTCCGATTTTGAGGGCTCTTATACGAGACTGCCTGACACCTAGAGGTAACTCTATCGCCAACCCAAAGCGAGTCAACGTCACCCCCCGAAGTCTTACCTAAGGCTGAAACCCGTGCCTTCCTGAACCACTGTCCAGTGAAAGGTCTTTCCGCTTGAACTAACCAAGCCGGAAGGGTCCCTCCGTACCACATCGGCAGTGGAATGCGCTGGAACTGTTCAGAGCTGAATCCCGAGGTCGCCGATATCAGATCGCTACATTTTGGTGATTACATTTATATGGAGAATAGGGATGCCTGAAGCTTAGGATGGTTAACGTTCGATTCAGAAAGACTTTGGAACACGAGAGGATCTCGTCCTGCAGAAAATCAGAGAGTCATTAAAACAAACCACGGCCGTAAACATTCATCCATCACCTAACCAACATATCATGCACTGTCTGCAAGTAATCATCGCAGCATTAAGAAGCCTTTTCTTCGTATAACGCGTGCCTCATCCAATGTAAAGGAAGAAATTCGTTCATTAATCATCATCACAGCATGACGATGCCGATCCAGGACAGAACCAAAGCCGGCGCCATCAACGTTGAACATGCCGCCGCCCTTCTGCTGTCGCTCGTCTGCTCCGCATAGACACAAGCCCAACCAGAAATCTCCCCGCCGCTGCCGCAGTCATCAGGTTCCAAAGGCGCCTGCGATCCATCACACGAAGACCCTGATGTGCCTGGAGGACAGCACTTTTGCTTCTCCCATATCGCTTGATCCAACCACAAGGACCATCCGGCGGGACAGCAAGTTCCCCAAGTTGAACCCTCGTAGCTCGAGGAGAGAAAGCAATAGCCAGTCCGACAGAATGAATCTGTTGAAGGACTGGGGCAGCCGGACTGTCGCGCGACTATTCTTTGGTTGATTTGACTGCTAGGCTCGAGGATCTTGAGACCAAATACTGGCTCCGTAGAGTTGCAACCACTTATTGTGATCTCGGAAATCGCCGGATCGATGTTTGCTGTATCTGTAGGAAAAGCGACTGCTATGCTCGAGGCGAAAAGAGGGAGAGTGAGGTCAATGACTCGGGCTAGTCTCATGGTTCCATAAATCACAAGAAATATCGCGATGCACGGCTGTAAGCATGACACCCGAAAACTGCGAATTGAAAGATGATTGCCATAGCCTCGAGGTTCATGAGCATTGGCACAAGGCACGCTTCGGCTGATGACTAAGATGCCTTTGTCTCTTCCAACCTACGCAATTGGCCGCTCAAATCTTGGTACAATCGGGGCACCCAGCAGAGTAGTCGGACGTGAGAAGCAGACCACTTTCTTACATGAGCCTTGCTTGGATACTTCGAACTTCAGGTGACACTGCTTCCGGAGACTTCAATGTCAGTACCGCGGCGTCTTGAGCGATGGGTATCACGTCTTCGAGTGTGTACCCTTTCGCAAGCCCTGCGGCAATGACGCCTAACATTGTGTCACCAATGCCATTGACCGAGACAATCTCCTCCTGCTTCACTTCTCGAGATGGAGGAAACAAGCGCATATACACTCCACCAATCTCCGAGCTGTCTGACAGATTCCTTGAGAGTATGTAGGGCGCATACTCGGGACGCGTGAGGCGTTCGTCCATACGTCGGAGCAGGCTCATCAAAAGGCAACCCCTATGCCCCAGCTTCGTCACCAGGTTCGGAATTAGTGGTAAAAGCTGTATGCACTGTTGTGGAATACCCTCGTCCACCAAATCGGATCCAGCTATGGAAGCCAGTCGATCTCGAGAACCGGTACCTGCAAGGCCAAAGCTGTCAACCACCTTCCACCACTGCTCCGACTCAAACATCATCGCATCTCTGGCAGCATTGTAGATCGCGGTTAGCTCTATGCTGTTTGGAGAGGCAAGGCTGACGACGTGATTTGGCACAACCCCGCCCGTCATCATCACGTTGTTGGCTTTGTGGAACAGTCGAGCGGCCTTTGCAGTCGAGACAGGCTCGAAGGCTAGCATAGCTTTATGCGCCTTGGCCGCGGTGGAAATCGATGAGAGAATGGCCGGAGACCAATTAGCATCAGCAACAACCCATTTTGGTTTATTCTGGCTCATGATGGTCGTCCAGTATTCTAATGACTCCATTTCTGGTCGACCCAAAATTGACATATCTGCCATTGCCAGCACAAGATCCTTACTGCTATCGTTGACTGCAACATATTGCGCAGTCCGTGCGCCCTCTGTAGTCATAAGTTGTCGAATGTTCGTGGTTGTCAAGCCGCTTTGTCCAATGTGATCAAGAAGCGACGAACCGGCCAAGTCGTCCGCTACCACACTTGCCAAGGAGACTTTCGCCCCAGCCAGGTGTGCGGCCATGGCCACATTGCGACCGACTCCACCTGCGGACTGAGAAATGCTCGAAGGGTTCGAAGTGTGTAGAACAGGCGAAGGCAGCGTCGGAAAATCATCAAAGGGTTGATAATCACAGATCGTGTCGCTAGCGAGAGATCCGGCAACCAGTATATCTATCGGCTGGGTCTCTTGTGCCTGTGCTTGCGGCGATGGACTGTCTGCCATAGCTGAAGCAGCCTGCTTTGACGCTTCCATCTTGGATGTGCTTCCGAATTTTGTGACAACATTGTTCTCTCTGGCCACGGTCAATAACTGCTGTAAGGTGAAAGGGAGAAGTCTAACATGGCTCACCGCTGAGGTGCAGCACCATCACGCCGTTCAAGCTTTGCCAGTTCGACCGCGACTTTGGTACCGCGGACCACATTTGCCTCGACGAGTGCTTTGTTCGCCTTGACACTGGAACCCTGACTCAATTCCCTGATCCTCTTCAGGATGTAAGGCGTGTTAGCATTTCCGCGGATGCTCTTTTCCTCGGCCTCAGCAACAGCTTGGGAAATGATGGAGTCGATGTCCTGCTTTGGCATTGCTGAGTGCTCCGGAACTGGGTTGGCAAACAAGAGGCCGGACTGGACGGGAAATTGCGACTGCGCGTAAACAATAGCAGCCGCATCGGCTTCGTCAAGGATGACCTTTGGGCTTTTGACGCCGCTATCCCGCGAGAAGAACGCAGGAAAATCGACGTTGCCCTCCCTGCCGTCTGCAAACGTGCCGACTCCAACACCTTGAGTCTCGAGGTATTCCAGTGTTCGTGGGATATCGAGAAAGGATTTACACCCGGAGCTGATCACAGCGACCGGTGTTCTTCCCAGCTCTGTCAGATCCGCAGAGACATCCATAGACTTCTCGCCTCCTCGATGAACACCACCAAGTCCGCCGGTTGCGAAGATCTTGATGCCCGCGAGATGCGCAAGCACCATCGTCCCAGCAATTGTAGTTCCGCCATTGAGTCGCTGTCCTCTTAGACCCAGACCACCAATGAAGCCCAGATCTCGCCTTGATATCTTCCAAGTATTTTCACTTCCAGCTGTAGAGACAAGTTCTATGAGTTCCTCAGTTTGCATGCCGATGCGAGCCGTGCCATTGAGGATGCCAATTGTCGCAGGCACGCCGCCGTTTACGCGGACCAGAGATTCGAGATGCGACGATAACGCGACATTTTCAGGGTATGGAAAGCCTGGAAAGATATGAGCCTCGAATCGGATGCGACGTAGGCTCTATGTTGGCCGTTTACCATGGGTATAGATTGTCGTCTCTAACGCTACAACGGGCTTGCCCGTAGCGAGAGCATCTTGGACCTCCTCCGAGACTTGGAAGAGCTTGTCTTTGCCAGACAGACAGCGATGTTGGGTGATTGCTAGTCGCCGACAGCTACGACTGAGACTCTTGAAGCCCCAGGCTCTGTACAGAAGAGCCATCCTCGACCCAGGAATCCCTGGAGCATCAATGGGAATTGGTGAGATGGTACGAGTGCCGGAGAATCTCTTTTTCCGTACCCGGAACTTTCACAGCCTCATGCTCTCAATGGGTCACGATACAGTCTATCAATTAGTAACGACTCCGTCATGAATTGCTATCCTCATTTGAAGATTGTCCAGCTGCGGTGAAGTGAAGTGTCATCTATCACATGTGCAAAGTATGGCTGGCTATCGCTAAGACCTACGTGACCTCACTCGGCGCCTGACCGCCTGTTCAAAAGATTAATCATTTTTCGACCCTAGACAGCATGGAACAGCCTTGTCCTTGGTAATGAAGCAAAGGTGCGACCATAGTCAACCCGAAACTGCTCTCGGAAGGGTATAGCTGCTGCGGTCATTGACCGTCGAATCCAATCTCTCAACAAATCTTGTACCATCAACTCAGGCTCGCTTTGTCTGATAAGGTAGCCTCTTGCACCATGCGTCTCTACGCCATCGCCGACCTCCACTTGAGCTACAAACACAATAGAGAAGCATTGGATGAGCTGCAGCCCCACGACGAAGACAGCTTGATCATCTGTGGCGACGTCGGAGAGCGGCTTGAGCACCTTCAGGAAGCCTTTGAAATCACGACGAAACTATTCAAACAAGTGTTCTGGGTGCCCGGCAACCACGAATTGTACACGCTCCCTGGAGTCACCACCGAAGATGATCTGGACAAAGAACTAAGAGGAGAGTACAAATATCAGGAGTGTGTGAGAGTTGCAAATGAATGCGGCGTCATCACCCCAGAGGATGAGTTCGTCAAGTGGGAAGGAGAAGGCGGACCTTGCCTGATCTGTCCAATCTTCACACTCTACGACTACAGCTTTCGACCGGCCCACGTCACCAGAGAAAAGGCTCTTGACTGGGCCATTGAGCAGAACGTATATGCAACCGACGAAGCACTATTGCATCCCGACCCGTATCAAAGCCGAGACGAGTGGTGCACAGAACTCGTGTCCAAGACGGAAGAACGGCTGGAAAAAGCTGCTGCCAGGAACATCCCGCTCATCATCATCAACCATTGGCCACTGCGTGAGGACACAATCACCATACCCAGTATTCCAAGGTTCAGTCTGTGGTGTGGAACGAAGAAAACCGAGGACTGGCACAAGAAATTCAATGCCAAGGTTGTTGTCACGGGGCATCTCCACGTTCGAAGAACCGACTGGATCGACGGAGTCAGATTCGAAGAAGTGAGCTTGGGTTACCCTCGTCAGTGGCAGGCGGCAAAGGACAGAGGGCTGGATATCAATGACCTTCTTAGAGAGATCCTGCCGGGCATGCCCGATCCTGGAGACGGAAGAACCATTTGGCGGCGGTCTGGAGTTCCTTCCGACTGGACACGAACTTGACTTCACCCTCACCCTGCCTTGACGGTTCTACATTGGCACTCCAAACAGACCAGCCCGAACACGTACGACTTATTGGCTCTACACATTCGACAATAATGCTGCCAGAGTTGAGTCCAGCCCAAAGCACTCTCTCAGGCCACGTCGCCATTCTACAGCGTACATGTCGCACACCTTGCTGAATTTGATGCCTTTGTTCTTACAATGGACCCTTCACAATCACGCCCCAGGGGTCATACTCATGCAAGGAAACGCCAACTCCGTCATCAGGTCATGATTGCCTTCGGCCCAGAGACCGACGTGTCATCTACCTAGGCCCCAATTCCACAAAACGTCAAGCTTCCACGCAGCCCTCTTGGAGACTCCGACCGTCTTCTTCCGTCCACTATGCACGTCCGGATCAGTGCAGATACTCTCAAGGTGGATCTTACTGTGGAATGTCGATGAAGCGCTCCAGATTAAAAGGCCTGTAAGTCGGCTTATGCCTCTCGAGGATAGGATAGACAGGATAGAGCAAGATCTATAGACGGAAGTACACAAGACTCTCGGGTTCACTATGCAGGAATGTCATTTCATTGCCTCGCCTCTATCGTCCCAATTCCCATCTTCTCTCACCAGATCAGTTTCCGCGATTTGCACTTCAGAAGTTTAGCCACCAAGATGGGGTCCAGAGCAACACCCCCAGCTGCCCTTGCTCCCGCCTTCGCATGTTCCCTTCACATGTTCTCTTCACTTCTTCTTTGCAGCATACTCCTCATCCGTAACTTCGTCATGCCAGATCGTCTTCCCGTGGCTGACAGCCAAATGCATCATGTACGTGTTGTCGTCGCCGCCATGCCAATGCGTCGTCCCCGCATCGCACCAGACCATGTCCCCGACATTCAATCTCCTCGGTTCGCCGCCTTTGTCGCAGATCCAGCCCGACCCGGCGAGCACCTTGAGGAATTGTCCGCTCTCATGAGTATGCCAGTGCGTCCGGGCACAGGGCTGGAACATGACGTGGTTGAGCTTGATGTTCGGTCCATCGAAAACAGGGTCCATCCAGACATCTCCTGTGAAGGTCGCTGTGACTTTGGCGCTGGGCTTCTCGGGATTGCGTGAGCCATGGATTATGGTTGACGGCATTCTTGGTTGGCCTTCGTCTGAGATTGAAATGGGTTTCGGCGAGATGATGATGATCCGATCGACAAGCAACGAGGTGTACGAGCTACCAGAACGAAACTTTTCAGATTGAAATCTTTCTTAATATCCTCGGATAGCATACTGTCTACCTACTGTGGGCTGGGAAACCCGCCCGTCAATCGTTGGAGTCAATGGCATCGCCTTTTCTCCAACTCTGGAGTCGGCGTCCACTTTCCTCCACATTCTCCTCCTCCTCCAACACAGAGATTCTGAGCACCACCACCGTACGGCGGTTTCTCGTGAACAAGGGCCGACAGATGGGCAAAGGGTGATAAGGTACTTTCAGCTGTGATGTACTTTCCTTTGGCGGAAATGACGCCGGCACGTGGCTCAGATGAACTCGACACGCAACTCCTCCTCAGCTTCAGCTTCGCCTTCGCACGCCACCACGACTCAGCTCTCAGCCGCTGCGGCTAATGAGGCTTCCTCCTCGCCTATGGAAACAAGCATTTGCTCCCCCACAAGCTTTGTAGATCATAAGAGCAACTCTTTACGCTCAAACGCTTTCCATATCCGAACCAAGCGCTTTCCATATACGAGTTCTGTAGACACCCATGGGCAAGCCACCACCGTGTTTGTCCATCCAGTTACTCTACGGTTATCATACTTAAGCTGGCAGAGGTCCTCTCTAACTGTCGCCATGACAGCTTCACATGTCTGTAAACTTTCCACACCTCTTTCTGGTCCTCCGCCTCATATTGTCTCCGTTTGCCTTCTGTGATAAAGCGATCAGTTCGACATGGCAACAGCAACAGGTCAAGTCAAAGACCACCGCAACCTCGTGCCGATCGGTCGATTCATAGAATCAAGCAGTCCTAATGGCATCCTGATGGTCATGAACCTCTTCATAGACTCGGCCAAGCTCGATGAGTACGTCAAGGTCGTAACGCCCGTTGTCAAGAAGATGCGAGCAAATGCAGAGTGTTTGTTCTGCGAAGTCTCTGTGAATCCTCATGACAAGGGCCACGTCAGGGTGCTCCACGGCTGGACAAGGGATAGCGCATGGTTCCGCGATGTCAGTTCACATTCCCGTCTTGCCTACCTTTGGCCATAAAAGATCAAATGGCAATCCTGCTGACAGCGTTGAGCACCAGAATATCGAAACGCAACCATGGTTCGGAGAGTATGTGCAAGCTCTCGTGGGTATGAAGGACCCAAACCGACAACGTAAGGCTTCCGCCTGTATCTTCACACAGAGGAGGAGGGAATGATGTGCGTCGCTGCTAACACATACACCTTGCTGCATAGGTATCATCGAGCACTTTGACCGCATTATAATTGATTAAGTGTGGAGTCGGTGCGCCTGCAGTGACCGTCACTACAACCCAAGGCGGTGGCCACATCAGCACAAAAGTCGAGGAGCGTGAGCCTGAGAATTGGTTGTGGGGTACATCAATAGTGGCACAGCCGGTGGTGGATAAAAAGCGGTGTGACAGTAGGAACACATCAAATGTACGCTCGCCCGGATGAGTATGTTCAACAGCGGTCATTGTGGTGGAACAGGAAATGTAATTCAGGCCTTTCCCGGCTGGTAACACAGTCCGTCTCTAAGTTCTTTCCGAAAATATTGATCAGCCAGTTGCATCATATCGCATCCAACGCGATTGAACAGCGTTTCCATTTGCTTGGGAGCTGGAGCTGCCTAGAACTTGCCAGTCTCGTTTGTCCAATGATGCTTCCATCACTTGGGGGCATGCGTCTCAGCCCACATGTTCATATCTCACTGGCGGCCGCCGTGATCGACCAACCAGTGGAAGGAAGAGTTAGCTTTCTATAATCTTGTAGCATTGGTCACACAGGATAGCATAACCACATGATGCGTGGTCTACATCGAGCAGGCATTCCACGGCAGGGTTGTATATGAACAAACAGTGCCCATCGACGGAGGCTGATCGTCTCTGATGGTGCTGGTGTGTTGTGGCCGTGGCCGCTCGTTTCTTTCGAAAATGACTTCTTTTGAATGCTGCAACGACCTCTGAGAGACGCTGACACATGGCCTACCTTGCCATGGTCCCGAGGCTTGGTGGTGTCGGGCCACAACGGAAGCAAGCTGGAGAGCTCCATCAGGCAGCAGTGCCGCAAAGCAGTAGAGAGCGTGCTGGGGGCAACGGGGCCAAAGCATTGGCATAGTCACAAACACACGACGTGGCACAGCGTCTGTTGTTCCTCCGTCTTTTGATGTATGTGAGCCGCTGTGGGAGAGCGGTCAATCGGAACTCGACAACACGATAAGGCAGCCCTGCAGCAGCTCCGCAGCTCGCGCTGATCAGGTGCAAGGGCAGCTGAGGGCGATGCCGAGACAAGGCGTAGGAAGAGGCCGGTGGAAGCCTGTAGGAGGAATGGATTGATGCATATGGATGGCTCGAAAAGTCCAATCAAGACCATGCGCCTTGGTAGTTGGGAGCGTTTTTCCAGGGCGACCATTCGGGAAAGAAGCTGGTGACAAGGCAGCTTCACGGTGTTCTTCTCAAGGCTGTTCAACCCGTCAAGGTGTGAATGGCCCAGATGGCCTACATGGCCCTTCTGAGAAGCTAGAGACGATGATGCTAGGCTGAAGGAGATTTCACTGAAGATGGACACGAGGAAACCTGTCGTGGAAGATCGAGAATTTGACACCCGGTTTGTGGCTTGGTTCCCGGCAGATCAACCAAGGGATCGATGGCATCACCCGCCTTGATCACAAAATTGCTTTTTCCACCCCCTCAGCCCGATCAGTAGGGATACGCTGCAGTCTCATACACCACACTGGCGAAGTGCCTCGATATGGGTCTGTGTCACTCTGTGTCTATTCGTTTGTCTCGTTGAGTCGAGACAGCTGGGCTCCTTCGCAGACGGCGCTGCTGCGCAAAAAGGCAAACATTGGTGCCGACTCGTCCTGGTTGGTCGCCTGTCCACTTGTCACAAGCTGTCAATTGCAAACAGCAAAGGTAAGAAGCGACTGTCATCAGGCAGCAGCGAGGCTTGTCGATGCATTCGGTGTCCAAAGGAAGCGGCTGCGCCCTCTAGTTTCAAGTTTACCATCTTCCAAGTTGAGTCGCTCCATTGCAATGCGACCAGTCCCGGATCAGATAGGTTGGGAAGGTTCCAGTGACAAACTGTTGCTTCACCCGTTGACGCCCGATTGATGGCAGTGTCGAAGTGCTAGCATGGCAATCGTACATGCAGTATGGACCACGACCCGATCACATGGGGTATGTGTGGTTCGTGCAAGTCAAGTACGATGATTGCCACTATGCAGAACGGCACTTGAAATTCATACATGAAGGAAGACTGCTCCCCTGGTCTGCGTGTTCCTATTCATCATTATACGACCGACGACATCATGACTCAGACATTGCGAGCCCAAATGAGAGTGCCCGGACATCGTATGTCTTCAAACGGGGAACGCGAAATAAATTCTAGAGAGCGCAGAAGGTCAACTACCGTGCTCCATCTGTATCCTGTCTAACCAGATCACAGTGCGGATACTGCTCTCCCAAACTCGACTTCCCATTCTCCTTCCACAGCATCCGAAGGGCCCGACGGACGCGCCGGAACGCATACAACTCAACAGCCAATAGCCCAGGCCCCACAACGATCAGAAACCCAGGCCGCCCTCTCGAATGCGCGACGGGCATCGCGACAGCAGTATGCAAGGGACCCAAATGGTATAACTACTTGACGCCAGAACAATTTCCACGATCGACAATGGTAACTAATCCATGACAGGAACATCTACATCTTCCGACGAGTCTTCCGAGCGAGCCTCAACGCCTCTTTCCAACCGCGACGGGCCCGAGTCTTCTGCCCTTGATCGTGGTTCGGGGAGGCAAAGGTCGACTCGACGGACAGGTAGTAGATCCCAGAGCACCGAGAGCACGCGCCTAAACGTCAATGGCTCTCCGCCTGCACGCAGTGCTCGACACTCGGGACAGTCACTAGCCGGCATGGAGGGAGATGGCTCGCTGCCCCAGACGATTCCAGAACGTATATCTTCCGAGGATGAGTTGGAATTGCACCGTCACCACCACCCGCAGGCCAATCATCATAACCCATCTCAAAACCATCGTGAGGGCAGAGAGCGGTCCTGATCATCACAGAGATCGGATGAGGATATAACTTGTCGGTTCATAGGCAGATCAACTGTGTTCAGGGAAGGATGACTGGTCACCTGGTGGGCGGCTGGGCATTGCTGTCTTTCTTCCTTTCGATTCCGGCATTAGCTTTGATAACATCTCAATTGAGCGCAATGAATGAAAACTTCTTGTTGCCAGAAACTCGGGTCGCGCGGTTGCTACATTGTCCACCCTCGCAATCGAGATCTGCACCAAATTATTGATCTCATGGTTGAAGTGATGAATACGCCTAGGTCGAGAAGCGTCTCAAAGCACATGATTGACAGTGGCGGCGGCCTGAATGAAGATATCTCCATCGTCACATCGGGTGCACTGTGGTGGCTGTGGTAGACATCTGGCGAGGAGGCATATGCCAGCCTTGTTGTTTGTACTGAAGCACCTTGCAAACACCATCAGTCGAGCAGCCTTGAAACACAACCCATGGAAACGAATTCCACCCGAGCCAATCACCGGTAGACAGCCTTCTGGAAAAATACGACGCCAGACAGACACCTTGTTCGTGTATTTCCACCGAGGAGAAGACCGGGAGTTTTCTCCGGTCTTGTCGGTGGCGCCCACAGGCAGATTATTTGCAGTGGCTTGAATAGCATCAAGACCATCCAGAAAGGGTTTGCAGCATTGCCCAATATTTCAATGGTGAGACGACAGTCTGGGCAGACAAAAGTCACTCTATGTGCGACTTTATCTTGTTCCCCAGGCACTACAACTGGAGAGGCTCCGTTCCATGGGTCTTTGAGACAGCCATGATTGGGTGAATGCCTCCGGAGATGCCACTTCCACACCACAATGAGACTACCCGATGGGCAACAGACGTGTCCCTCCCGTGGCTTCCCTGACGACCGTACAGTAACTTAGGGGTGGTTGTCAGCAATGAAGGGCAACCGAAAGTGTGTAGCAACTTGGCCTAAAGTTAGAGCATGCCTAGGCCAAAATCCCCGTCTTATCCCTCTTCTTCTCCCTCCCTCCTTGATTTCATACTGATGTGCCTGAGGATTCAGTCAACCCTGTGCACTATCCAGCCGTTCTTTTGCAAGAAGTTCCTTTTTTCGACATGTGTGGCCCTGGATGTCCGTCCAAGTCTCGTGCTTAGGAGCGCAGGCCATGTAGTGTTTCCTGCTGTTCGTTTCTGGGGGTCAAATGTCAGCCTCATAGTGCAGACGATATAGCACTCACTCTTCTAGCACAGTCCCTGATGATCAAATCCACATTGTCTGCCTTGGATGCGTGCAAACTCGTCGAGGATCCTTCAGAAGCTGTGAACAGTCAATATGCAATCACCTTATCCTGATGTATCAATGCTGACGTGGAGTGTATACAGACTTGTACCGACCTTCCTCCTGATCATTGCTTGAAGCCTGCGACCTTCCTGAAAAACAAACAACATTGCCTCTTCGTCATATCCCTGATGCTTGTGGAATTGCTCAAAATGTTTGTTATTCCGGCAGATATTGATGTCGACTTGCCTCACGCCCGACAGCCTGCTCGAAATATACTTACCGCGATGACAAGGCTTGACCGTCTCAATGCCACCAGACCGACGCCCGCTATCAATAGCGAACCATTGTCGTTGTGATTCTCCTACCAAGAAGGCTCTCAAGTCAAATCATATTGCAGTGTGAGAAACAACCATGTACAACCTCAAGCCACGCGCTCGCGACACAACACCTTTCTTCAAACCTGATTGTATTGGCCTCCAAAGAGTTGAGAGAGTTCATCTTTTTTTTCACACTGGTCCTCCCTACAAGGCGTGAACAAGAGCCTTGCATAAGAGGGTCAGTCTCTTGATCCTTGGCCCGAGCACATCTGTGACGGTTGGAAACAAATTGTTGACGGACAACCCGCGTCTCTCTGCCAAAGAAATCCCTGCGCACACATGACTCAGGAGTGAGTTACCAACCAAAAAAAGTTTGATAAGATCTGCGTCTGTGGTTCCATTTCGACATGCCATCGTCAACATGGAACCTGCAGGCTCAGCACCGTCGCTAAGAGAGACCTTAGTGTGCTCAGTTCCAGCTTTGGCAATGATACAATGATCCCTCGAAACATGTCGCAGCCTGTGGACAAAAGGACCTGCAGGCCTAGCTGGACAAGGAGCGGCTCCTGTGCTCATTCAGTCGTCCCAGAATTCTGATCTGTCGCCTACCTCAAATCATCATCCAGGCTGCTGCCATGGATACCATCGCCTTCTCTATCTCAAGCAGAAGGGCAACGCCGGACCCTCATGCCAGGAAAGCGGCCTTCCCATTAGATCTGTGCCAGACTTTTAGTTCACTGTTCTTTCTTGCCGCATCGAGCAGAGGCCATCGACTTCCGTTATGTTACAAGCGGTACACTCTACATGCCTTATGTATGCCGTGCGACGATACACAACTTTGGCGTCTCTTACCAATGAGGCTTGAGGCGTGACAGCAAATATCCAGCCCAAGAAAACTCTTGTAACAACTTCCCTTTTTTCCACTCGACCTTGTACTTACATTCTCCCCGTTGCCACCGTTGCCACTGTGGGCAGGGAAAACTCGGGAGATGATCGCTGCAAAACTCCGAACCTTCACCTCACACTTCACACCTCTCGTTTTTGATGTCGTCACCACTTATAGTATTCAAAGTCCACGATCAAAGGCACGACCATGACCATAATATGGCGCCTGTAGTCACGAATGTTCCTAGTCTTAGACAGTTCTAACGAAATCTCTACACAATGACCACTCTTAAAGACCAGAACGTGCTTGGTGCCATTGTTTTCTTTTCCTACATCGCAGCCGCCCTCGGCCTGACGGGACTGGTGACCAGCGACCTGAAAAAGGAATTCTCAGCATGGTCATCTCGCCGCGTCCGTGATCGCAATGTCCGAGTGTGCCTCTTCGCCGCCCTGTCCACCTTGAGCTTCGCAGTCCTGTCGTATCATATGCTCGATTTCCTCATACAATCATATCAGTCTTGGTCGATGTCATCTTCACTGGCACATCCTGCGCCTCCACGGACCTTCCAAACCTTTCACGCCGCTATCCTCTGGCCTCGGACATGGACATGGGCATCGACATCCATCTGGACATGGTCCATCAGTTCAAATCTCTTCCAGGACTTTGGTGAAGTCATCTGCAACGACCCGCATCGGTTCTGGTGAACTCAGCTGGCCTTGGTTTATTCCTTCGGCTGGAATATGTACATGAGCATCCAAGGTAAGCAACGGCATTCAAAAAACACTAAACATTCCCTGCTTGCCCGTCCTATTGCAAACTTACCGGGAAGCTGAAGCGGTCGTCTCACAGGGACGCGTCTGAGGATTCCCCATCACTGGGCATATTTCCTGTTGGATCAGATCCTACCGATGTCCTTTGCACAGAACTTGTTTCTGCTGGGAATGATATTGCGCGAGGAGGAGGAAGACCAACCGATCGCAACAGCGACATTATACCCGGTCACCATGTCCTTGCAGTGCGCAGTCGCTCTGACATATTTGGGAGTTGTGGCTGCGGCGCCCTACAGTGTGGCCACTCGGTACTTTTTCCCGGTCCTTTTCGCCACGAGGATCCTGCTTTTCGCACCGTATCAGGCTCTGGGTCCTGTGCGACGAGAATACCACTCAGAGCAAGTCCAGCTTGGACAGTCGGGAAGTTTGATGAAGGAATACAGTTGGTTCTTTGCCCTGGTCCTTGTTGGTGGCGTCTTGACGCAACTAGCCCAGACTGCGAGAACAAGCAGCCTCGCGAGTACTTTGGCGGCGTTGAACTGCAACCCAGCAGTCAGCGCACTTGGATACGATGTTTTTATAGGAATGGCCAGCTTAGCATGCTTCGTGAGCGTTGGCCACGAGTTGACTTCCCGTCGTCCCCAAGCACCCGGAGCTGCGTGGAAAGCGTCATCAAAACTTCTCCTAACGCCTCCTGATTCAAGGTATCTCCACGCTCGATGATTGGATGCCCAGAATCAACACCATGCGCGGTAGTTATTTCCGAGCATACCTGTCTTCATTCATCGTGTCGGTTGCCGTCGCTCTCCACGCCAGGCAAAGCTATCTGGCTGCCGGTGTGTATTTAGCTCATATCATCCTTTTAAAGTGCCGCCTTTGGTCCGCCTCGTAACCTAGAATCCAGAGATGGAATTGTCGTCATCCAAATAGAGGTTCAGGAGGTAGATTCCCTCCCCAAGCATGGCTAGCTTGAAGGATGACCCCAGGCCGCAGTTGATGTACCACGATCCATTGAGACTGACGTTGCGAGATGCGGTCAAGCGTCAAAGCTGCCTCGGTCTGGTGTCGTCGCCCCATTATTCTCCCCGTCCAATTTGATACAATGGCCATCACAGTGCTGCTTGACCTGATGCTTTCGCGAGGACTTTTGGGATGTGGCTGAGTTATCATTGGCCAATGCGGGCATTTCCGGTTCTCTCTGTATCTTGCGCCTGAGTTTCTGATACATCAATTTCATGCATCCAAAGGCTTACCTCTTCCTCTCAAGCAACGTACAAGCCCACAATTTGGAAATCTTCGATCAACGGCCAGCGCTGGAGCCACCCCGGACTTGACGTTTAAACGTTCATTGATTCGTCCCCACGCCCGAAAGTACAGTTCCTCACAGACGCACGATGACACCGAAGCTCCTCAATGACGGCGACAGCTCTTCAGTGGGTGAGGTATCCCTGACTGGCAACGGGAACGCCCCAGAAGCCAGAAGCAATTGGCAGACTCTCCTGGTCATCCAGCCAGGTTCCAAGTTTCGACAGCATATCGTGCCTGCAGCCCACGGCTATGCCTTTGAAATCAAAGCGTCCTCCCATTTCCGAATCGTTGATCTCCATGGACAGCAAGTCGTCGATTTCATGGCCTGGGCTTTGCCGTATGTGCCCAACACCGGTGGTGAACACTTTTCCGCAAGCTACACACGATACGCATTGGGGGGACTCGCTCCGCCGAAGGTTGGTGAGAGTTTGTACACGAACCGAGATCGCCGCATGTTCACGCTAGTGGCCGATACTGTGAAGACACATGATCTGCTCTTCATGGCGTGTAATCCTGGCTTCTATGCTCGCGATGGAGAACCATGTCATAGGTCCTGCGCCACCAATGTGGCAGAAGCTATGGCGCCTTGGGGTATGAAGCACTGGAGCGAGGTGATTGATCCCTTCAACGTCTTCCAAAACACCCCGTACTACACCTTGAAGGCGCTCAATTGCTCCAAGCCAGGGGACTATGTGGAAATGAAGGCGAAAATGGATGCGGTCTGTGCCGTTTCGAGTTGTCCCTTTGAGCGTGATGGCTTCAATGGCGGGAAGGCAACTGAAGTTGCTCTTGTGATGGAGATAGTTGATGATGAAGCGACTGGAGATCCGTAGTAGTCGTGACAGCGTATCCAAGGTTCAGGCATGCACATGTTGGCCTTCGATCACCCCATTTTGCTGAGAAGTCTTCCGGGTATCGTAGAAACCCTGCATAGCGCCCTAATGGGTCAGGATCGAGCGTACTACGTAGACACTACGCGCGGAAGTCTTTTTCCGCCCTTGACTGTGACAGCACGGAAAAAAAATGCGCCCCGTCTCATTGGCTGTCCAACATCACTCGAGGCTGTGATGGATGGCCCGCCAAGTTGGGATTTCAACACCATTCATGTTTGGACACCTGCATCTCGGGTGACGTGGCGTACCATTCCGGGTTTCCAGGGGTACCATTGCCACCAAGGTTACAGTCGACAAGCTTCAGTTCGGACTGGAACAAACCTTTTCGACCCGACTGTGATGTGCAACGATTGGCGAGTATGGGAAAGTTGTTGTTGCGCATCAGAACAAGGCAAACTTGTACCTTGCTGTAGCCATTTACCATTATTGAAGACACATCAGACATATATATTCACCCCCGGCCCGGTTTGAGGGTAGCCTCTGGGCCAATTGAGACTTTTTCAATCCGAAGAGGCAGCCGCTCTCTGTAGGCAGTGGAAGGAGGCTGAGCAGCAGCATTGGCTCCTGGCTCCTGCTCCTGGCTTCTGGTGACGGTCGTGCTCGTCTCATGCCAGATGTTAGCTGGCTTGCTGGGTAGCAATGACCACTAGAATCGACAATCATAGACTTGCAATGAGAGAACGACCGCATCTTGTAACATTGGGCCTGACCTCGGTATAGGTGTCCCCGACGTGAATTGAACACCTACTTCGGCTGAAGCTCGTGGCAGAGGCCATGAGAAGCCTTAGTCTGACATAATTTTACAGTCAGCCATGTTCGAAACTGACCATATAGGTGACTGAAAGGGGTCAAGTAAACTGACAGAGAACACGCCGGAGATAGATTCCGCCAACGAAAAAGACTCCTGTCCAAACTTCTTGAGGAAGTTGGCTTCAACTCGCCGTTTGAGGCGAAAGAAGACGAGGCACTCATGCTTTAGCACATCCATATCATCAGGCCACAGTCCTGAGAAAGGAGAGCACAACAAACCCAGCATTTCGTTCCTTGCGCTTCCGAAGAGCCCCGCCTTGATATTTATTCTGCCGATATTTTGGAACCATTTGTGCTGCAGATAGCAATGGATTCAGATCTTTCACTTACTGAATCTCAGCACGTCTATAGTCAAGCACTTGAGCACATAGATCGGGCTCGAGAAATAAGTGACGCTTGGTGAGGTGTGATTGCACCTGAAAAACAAGCAAATGGGTCCTTTGATCAGAATTGACTGTCCTCGAGATAGCAGGTGCCACTGGTGATTTGACTCTTCACATTGGCGGCTGGACCTGCAACATGCTGGCCTGGTTCCGGTCTCTCAGGCACGCAGATGATCAAAAGCAGTTGCAGCTGTGATTGATCATAGCATCCTGTCGCCTAGTCGCCCAATCCATTGCACGCCATATTTGCGGCGACGTTTCGAAAACCACGCGCATTCGATGATCACCGAATTCAACATAGTGGCAGGATGGGCAGGTGTTTATCACGAAAGGGCTGCATATACACTTAGCACACGCTTCGAAAATAGAGACCAGGGAGTAAGTATCCCACTTGCGCGCGACATTTGCTGGGGAGAGAGCAAACACGCGGCAAAGAATCGATACCCCTTCCGATTTCGCTTATGTCTGGACTGTCAGCCTGTCAATGCGTCGAGTATTGATTTTTGTTCACTCGTCTGCCCGATAAATGCTTTCTAATACAGATGAACCAATGCGGTGGCATGCCTTTTTTTCAACCATACTTTTCGGCTTCCTCTCCTGACGGGCCTGGTACTGTTTTGTATTGAGATGATCAGCTGAACCGAAGTGTCGACTTCTTCGGATGATCAACCGACCCCAGTCAACACCTTCAACAAGAAGATCTTTCCACAGCGGCTTTCTGGGGGATTGCGGGGGCAAAGGCATCGCATGATGTTCGTATTCTGGTCGCCACCCGCTGTCCACTGGGTGTGAACTGGCCGTCAGCTTTACGCTGTTGGGTGGCACAAATGTCCTGGGGACTCAGGAGCCAGGGACGAGGAGTCGCGTCGAACAAGCTATCATCTGTTGGAGTTCGGCCTGTTCCCGTGCTGCCGGAGTCGATCATCTCGATCACGTAGGGATTGACTCGAGCCTATAATTCCTCAAATCAAGTTTTGCTTTGTCCCTCGCCATGATCCGCTCCTGTCGGTGCGTGCTTCCTGCCCTGTACTCAACCTCTGATTTGCCCCAGCACAGCACGATGTTCCATCTCGTGTGCAAGTTATCGTCGGTATCGTCATTAACGTCGTGGATCGAGCCGTGGATCTGGAGTTAGATCACCTGAGTGGAGGGTGGTATTTGTATCGCTATTGGATTCTGATTCGTGTGACATTGAGGACGCTGACAGCATAGGTTTCCCCTGAGTTGGAATGCCGCCGAGTATTTGTGTCGGAGAAGGTAACTCTAGCGGTCCGTCAATGTTGAAGTCAATCTGGTCAAAGGCTTGTTGTATTGCAATGTTTGATCGACATTCATTTCGAACATGCGCCGCTAGCTGCGACAAGTCGACATCAGAGCGCATAACACGAGCCAGATCGTTGTTCGCGTTGTAATCGCCGGCTTTGACGATGGCAATAATGCCTCCAAGGAGCTGTCGGTGTCTCTCCAGTTGAACATGTGTGTCAGCAAGTTCTTGCACGTTGCGCTGGTTGGCGATTTTCCGACGTTGGTCCGAAGTAGCATCGTATACACAAGGACTTCTTCTACTCGCACAGGCATCGCAAGGGTTACCGCCAGTACAATTTCAGCTAGTTAGCAAGGCCCTGGTCCATCATTCCTTTTGACATACTCTGGTTTTCCTTTGCTTGCACGCTCCACATGCCGTTGATATTTTGCGAGGTCGCTGCGACGATGGGACTGTGGTCGAGTCATCGGTACCCTGTGAGGGCCGAGGGGCCAAAGGTTGAGACATGGCAATCGTGTGTCGGAGACAGCTGCATTGGATGCGTGAGTTCAAACGCGTATTCAACCCTCAGCTGATGTTTTGTACAGGTTGAACGATCTTACAAATGCGACGGTCGAGCAAATAGTGCTGTAGCCTGACGGTTTTCGAAGGAAAGAGGAGAGAGAAAAAGGTGTATAGAGGCCGAGCAAAGGCTAATAAATGCCGTTGTCGTGGCTCGATGTGGACTGGAGCGGACAAGTTATCCGAAGAGCGTTACAGGAGGTTTTGGCGTCTGCCATTGCTTGTATATAATACCTTAACCCCTCGAGATTCGTCTTTTCAAGATGCGCGGACACGCAGACCGAAGCCGACTCGATTGGTTAATTCGTCCCTTGAGTTCGATGGGTGCCAGAGACAAACAGGTGCATTACTGCCTTGTCTTTGGTAGCACTTGACCTAATCTCGCATGGGATCAACAAGCAATTCACATGAGATCCGAGTGCCATAGTGTGACGCACACCTCTGGTCCCACTTGTGCTCCCTCGACGCCAATCCTGAGGCGTCGTAAGGAGCAGCCAAAACATGATCTTTTACCCGTATATCGACTGAGATGATGATGATGATGAGAATCTGCCAATGTGGATAGGATGGCGGCATCGCTGGCCACGGAATTGGTTTTGGAATGACTCCGAGGATTGTAAAGACCGGTATATGCTGTGATTCATTGTCCATTTCTAAGACCGGGTAGAATCTCCAACGCAACATGATTGGTCGGATCATTGTGAGCGGTCTTGATGTGCTCACCAAGGAAGGCGACATATCTCCCTGCAAAAAGGTCACAGGTGGCGCTGCACTGGTGATGGCTATCTTTGTTGTCAAAGAATCAGTACGAGGGAGTGTATTTCCCCTTTCGCGCAAGGGATGAGAGGGCCATGGACAGAGTGCTCTGCAGCTGCATCAACGTTCCTTTGTTCATTTTTGAGATATGGAGAAATGCTTGCCCCGTGACCGAGATCGAGATCTGGATTGCCTTCCGAAGCTGACACGAAAGCTAGCGAGCTGACACGTGATGGTTGATGATTTTGCTTGGGCTCTCAACGCTGATCACGTGGCTAATGTGCTGGCTTGCTGGATCGGACTTGGCGAGTTTGATGGCCCGACCCAGAGGGGCACTCGGGCACGCTATACTCGAAACAGCCGGCAAATTTATGATGTCGCCAACTCATTCGGTTTTTTTATTTTGGAGGCTCCCTTGCAGCGACTCGATGCCCTTCAGTGTTCGAAATTTTTTTCTGGTCCAGTCTTGCTTCTAATATCCAGACTAGAGATCGTGCTCTGAGGGTCTGAGATAGGCACTGATTCTGCCTTGCTCTTGCACATTGGTTTCTAGCGTCCACTCTCTCCTCTTCGCTGGTCGCCATTAGCGAAACGAGGCTTCCCGACTGTCGCACCATCAATTCGTCAATTTTCACCGCCATGGATCAACAAAGATTTTTAGAGCAGCTGGCCATCGTGCTGGACCCGAAGAAGGGCAACGTCAAGACGGCCACCAACGTGTTGCAGAACGAATACTACAAGAGCCAGCAGTCATTGTTATTCCTTATCCAACTCATCATCTCCCACGACAGCCCCGAGCTCAAACAACTTGCCGCTACCCAAGCCAGACCACTAGTCTCCAAACACTGGACGAAGCTATCTCAAGACCAGCGACAACATGCAAGAAGTCAGCTCTTCTCGGCTACCCTTTCCGAACCCTCACACCTCGTCCGACATTCCTCTTCACGCCTCATCAGCTCTATCGCCAAGTTCGATCTTGATGATGGCGAATGGCCCGAGCTGCCTGGCATGTTACAGCAGGCTGCTACAAGTAGTAGCGCGGCGGAGCGTTCTGTTGGTGTCTATGTGCTCTACAGCATCCTGGAGACCATGGGTGATGGGTTCAGTTCAAAATTCAGAGAATTATTTGCGCTGTTTAGCAAGACAATCAAAGACCCCGAGTCACTCGAAGTCAGAGTCAACACCATGTTAGCAATATCAAAGATGGCTCTTGTCGTCGATCCTGAGGAGGACGAAGCCTCGATAAAAGCCTTCCAAAACATATTCCCTTCAATGGTCGCAGTCTTGAAAGACACCATCGACTCTGGCAAGGAAGAGCAGGCCATGCTATCATTCGAGGTCTTCAACACACTCCTCACGGCCGAGTATCAGCTCATGTCACAGCACTTCCAAGACTTGGTTCGGTTCATGAACGACCTTGCTACCAACACAAATATGTCGGATGAGACGCGAACGCAGGCGATTAGCTTCCTGATGCAGTGTGTCCTCTACCGACGTCTAAGAGTCCAGGGAGCAAAGATGGGAGAATCATTGACCAAGAGCATGCTGCAAATTGTCACCGAGATCGATGATGCTTCTGCAGACGACGATGATATCACGCCCGCACGTTCGGCGCTGGGTATGATTGATACAATGGCCCAGAGCCTTCCAGCCAGCCAGGTCATCGTTCCGCTGCTCGACGCTCTCCCTCAATATTCCAAGAGCTCCGATCCCAAGCACCGTCAGGCTGGTATCTTGGCTCTTGGTATGGCTGTCGAAGGTGCCCCTGACTTCTTCAGCACTCAACTCCACACAGTCATGCCTATTCTGTTCGCGCTTCTTGAGGACTCGGAGGTGACTGTCCGCCAAGCGGCCTTGCAAACCACCGCTCGACTGGCAGATGACTTGCCGGAGGATGTCACGAAGCAGCACGAGAAGTTAATGCCCTTGCTTGTAAAGAACCTGACTGCTGCCATGGGTGCTTACAAGGGTGAGGAGGAAGGACCGACCGTCGATATCATGAAATCTGCGACAAGCGCAATCGATGCAGTCGTTGATGGTATGGATGGTCAGGATGCTGTGCACTATTTGGACAAGTTGGCTCCTCTGCTGCAACGACTCTTCAAACATCCCGATTTCAAGATTAAGGCCTTGGCCGCTGGGGCGCTTGGATCGTTGGCCTCTACAGTAGAAGGGCCTTTCCTCCCTTACCTCAACGATTCTATGCATGCCATGCAGGAATATATCACCAAGAAGGAGAGCGAAGAGGAGTTGGACCTGCGAGCAAGTTGCACTGATGCAATGGGCGAGATGGCCGTAGCCGTTGGTGCTGCTGAGTTCAAGGACTATGTGCAGCCTCTTATGCAAACAAGCGAGGAAGCTCTTCAGCTCGACCATTCGCGACTCAAGGAGAGCACTTACATCCTATGGGGCTCCCTGGCTAAGGTGTACGAAGAGGACTTCGCCCCATTTCTTGGTGGTGTTGTACAGGGACTCTACTCATGTCTTGATCAGGAAGAAGCGGACTTGGAGGTTGCGCTGGGAGAGAGCGCAAAGGATCTGCTCGGAAAGGAAGTCACCATTGCCGGCCAGAAGGTCAAGGTTGCTGCCGCGGACAGTGACGACGAAGCTGAAGATGGAACTATCGAGGACATCGACATTGATGACGAAGACGATAGCGATTGGGGGGATCTTGCGACCGTCACGCCTATTGCCCAGGAGAAGGAAATCGCCATCGAAGTCATTGGAGACGTCGTCTCTAACACCAAGACAGCCTATCTCCCATACTTCGAGAAGACCATCGAGAAGCTCCTGCCTTTGGTAGAGCATTCATACGAGGCCGTCCGAAAAGCCACCATCAGCACCTTACATCGGGCATATGCTGCTCTGTACGAGGTCTCCGAGGAGTCTGGCCAAGTTGAGAAATGGAAGCCTGGTCTCCCACTTCAGGTGCAGCCTACACAGGAACTGAAGAAGTTCGGGGAGCTTCTGATGGCTGCAACGCTCAATGTCTGGCCAGAGGAAGAGGATCCGTAAGTCCAATCTTGTCTTTTTCAAGCACAATCTACCATGATGACGCACTTTCGTTAATCCCAGCTCACTCCGACACGGAAAATCCGTGGATGAAGCGAAAGCGATCTTCAACCCTCTGAACATACACTTTCCAATCTACTTCTGCTCTGTACCTTTTATATATCAGTGCTAACCTGGACAACAGTGCGACAGTGTCAGAAATTTCAAGAGCCCTCTCTGAGAACCTCAAACTCACGGGGCCATCCCTCCTCTCCTACCCTGAGTGCCTCTCCCGAATCGTGCAGACGGTGACCGAATTGATCACCAAGAAACACGCGTGCCAAGTCGACATGGACGCTGTCGACGAAGAAGATATGGAATCTACAGAAATGGAATGGCTTGTCGTTGACAGTGCCATGGACGTCATCTCTGGTCTTGCTGCATCTTTGGGCCCTAGCTTCGCCGAGCTCTGGAAGATCTTTGAGAAACAAGTCTTACGCTACGCAAGTGGTGGCGAGTCTCTCGGTCGGGCATCGGCCTGTGGTGTTCTCGCTGAAATCATCACCGGCATGGAGGGCGCAGTAACCCCCTACACATCGCAGATGATGAACGTCCTGCTCAAGCGGCTCGGCGACGAGGACGCGCAGACCAAGTCCAACGCAGCGTATGCCGTCGGCCGTCTCGTCGAAAAGTCCAACGACGATGCTACTGTGCTGAAGGCCTATCCACAAATCCTGCAGAAACTCGAGACGATTCTGCACATCACTGAGGCCCGCTGCACCGATAACGCTGCAGGCTGCGTGTCACGCTTAATCATCAAGCACAAGGACAAGGTCCCTGTCTCCCAGGTTCTACCCGCGCTGGTCGACAGCGGCATCCTGCCCTTGAAAGAAGATTACCAGGAGAATGAGCCGGTGTGGACGATGATCGTCCAGCTCTACCGCCAACAAGATCCTACTGTGCAGCAACTTACGCCGAAACTTGCGCCGATGATGATGAGTGTGCTGGGCGAGCCTGAGGATCAGCTCACCGACGAAGTGAGAGGGCAGGTCCAGGCTCTCGTCCAGCATTTGAAGAGTATGCACTGAAGATCATAAACTGCGACCGCATTGAAATGTTTGACGATTGACGATTGTTTGGGCTACCATGATGAAACATGATGCTATAATGATTGAGCAGAACAAATAGACTATTGGGATTCAAGCTTACGAGAACGAGTTCTCGAAATGTCAAGTTGTGTACGTTGGGGTCTAGATGGGGTAGACAGGATGAGGTCGGAATACCAGAGATACCCAAGATCACTTGTCCGCCTAGATGATGGAGTTGAATGCGTTCCTTGCCTGGCGGTCAGGCTGCTCATATCCAAGGCGCTCGTTTCACCGGCTTTGATACGAGCCCGAAATGCGCGACGCGACATGATACCGTTGACTTCATTGGCTATGGAGTAACTCTCCTTCCTCTTTTGTGCATTGCCTAGAATGCATGTATGTCTGCTGCCTGGCTTCTGACCTCGAAGGCTGCCTACGACGGTAGACATGTCTATGCCCGCACCCCTGCCCATGCCACATGCTGGGCACAGGTGGACACGTCGGGAAGGAGACGAATACGAGATATTTGCTCGTATGTTTCGAGTCAGGGAACACTCGTTGGATGCCTCGCAATGTTGTGTCCTGACCTCCGGAAGAATGCCAAACCGCAAAGGCTAGGGCTGTGAATGAGTGCATGCATAGCAACGATCAGAAGAGGACAAATCGATTTTCTGTCTCGACAATGAATTCAGATTTGTATATTGAGTCTTCGAACTTGTTAATCCAACAATAACCCTGCCCCTGCAAGACTTCTTCGAATTCATAAAACCAGGGGCACACCATGAAAAAGGACATACTAGCAGTGATGTACGTTCGCATTCGATGCGCCTATCCGAACACACGTTCCCTCTATGCTTCAAAGAAATGCTGGGTATATCTTCTGGTCAACATTTTTGGATCAGTGACACCAAGATTCGCACGCTCCAGTCCACAAGTATAGCCAGACGAATCCTCACCTCGAAAGGCATGCTGATCTCCTGCACCTTTCCAACAACCAAGAAAATGAAATCGAAACATGTCGTCGACTCCGTGCGATGGCGCTCTCCATGATTCGATGTCTGGAGGGACTAGAAGATCACGAAGGTCTCTGCGCACAGCAGGTCTTCGATCGTCTTTTTTGTACGAGCGTAGTAATGTGAAAATAAAAAGCTCCGTATCACAAATGAAAGATGATCCTCGAAAGATTGGACAATCACACAAAGGGAAAACTCATAGCATAGTCTCCTGGGGAACTTCCGATTGTACACTCAGCAAAACCCCTGGCTTTTCGAATTCTGGCTCAGTTGGGTCCATCCACATGTCGCAGGCTTAAAGAACAGTCACAGCTTGGACTGTGCCCATGTGGACTCTGATGTTCTCCCGACTGCTCGGAATCACTGGGCCGAACCAACATGGTGGTCTTTTCTCTGGTGACGCGAAGATCTCAGGGTTGCCATCCACAGGGTGTCATAGAACTGTTATCCTCAGGAGCCAGGCGAAGGGCGGCGCCGGCCAGCAACAGAACCAGTGAGCAATAGCCAAGTCATCCATGGTGTACCAACTGCAGAGATTGAATTTGGCTATCAGCGGCTTGACAAACAACACTATCCAGTCGCTTCTCAATACGCCCATGAGCATCCCAGTAGCATGGCCAACGACGCAAACATGACCGCCGCTTGAGGAGCCAGCTGACTTGCTGCGATTGAGTGTTGAAGCCGTAGATGTGCCTGATCTGCACCATATTTTTGTTGTCGGGCACAATGCAATTGCAGCATAGCCAATGCGCATTGGGTCTGCTCATTGGTAGTTGTGTGCCTCGACACTGCGATCGAAGCCAGTGGAGGCCAAATCATAGGCAGACACTTTCTCGGCAATAATCGAATAGTTGCATTATGGTGCTCTCCACGTCGACGGCAGTGGCCCTGCACTTGCTAGTTGCGGAAGAGTCGAACCGAAAAGCACCGCCCTCCCGGAAGGACACGAAGTTGTGTTTAAAGTTCTCACCGTGATCCTAAGGATCCGCGGTGAGGAAGGATGTTCTTACCCTCCCTGTTCGCGACTTATACATCATTGCTGCGCTCAAATCCTTATAGAGCCTTGTCTGAATGGATGGCCCGGCTGCAGTTGCGCAAAAGCAAGTACCTTGGGTAAATCAGCAAGCCACCGCGATTTTGGACATGTTTGGCATGCAGGTGGCACCCAAACGGATGCGGTGGTGGCACCCGTACGGCATGTGTGGTAGCGACGAGCTGATGCTTGATGGGGGCGTAGTGAACCCTGCGAGCATCCTTGCTAAGCCTAAAATGGCCATCTTTGGGCTATCGTGCGACTGGTGGGGGCGCACTATTGGTTCTGCCCATGCCTGCCTCGAGTCAAACACGCAATGTTGCCTTCAGGCCTGCATCAGTGTGGGCATAAGGGTCGCAGATTGCTCGCTGCCTCCTGCCGATGGCAATACTTAAGACAGCCCCTCAGCGCAGCTTGGAAAAAGGCTCGTTTTCCTTCCTCTTGTTGTCGCGAATTCTGGCCATCGACTCTGCCCAGTGTCATGGCCTGCCATACAACTTTGGCTCGAGCCTCAAGTCTTCTCTTTCTCACATTATTTTGGCCTTGTCCAAAAGGGGAAAGTTCCGCATCATCATTGCGTGGAAGCTTTCATTCTTTATCCAGCTCCGTCCGAAGTTGCATCAATGCCGACTTCATGAATGGCATGGAGCGATCCATGCTGCAAATTGAAGCATAACATCGACCATCAGGCACGAGGCTGTCGATGGAGCCTTTTGGCCGCTGCCTTTTGAGATAGATGGCTGCCTTTTTGGCCCCAAAATCTTCCAGCTCAGTCCACGTGACAGCGATCTGGCTCGACCGGATATTCTTCGGATGTCTGCCTGCGAAAGCTGCCTGGCTCAGAGAATGAGCCAGTGGCATAGGCCATTGGAATGTGAACTGATGTGGTAAGGAAAACGGATTGGTTGTGTATAATGCTGAGGTCGCTGCTGCGCCTGTTATCATTGCCAAACGCCTAAACTCCGAACTGACATGATAGGTATCGTTGTTGGTTGTTATCGTCACATGCGACATGAACAAAGGAAATGGAAACGAGTGTCTTGACAGGTATCATCAGTGAACAACTTCTCCATGAACAGATCTGACCTTACTTACCTGAAGACAAAAGAACCTCCCAACCCCACTTCCTCAAGAGGTGCCATTACCACCTCCGTTTTGCAATTGATCAAGAATGGTGTCCATTGTTGCATACAAAAGCATTTGCCGATGCCCCGGAGAGATTGTTCCCACCGGGTATACTTGATGGAGAGTGGCTTGATCCATTTGTCGTTGCATGGCCGAGATGTGTCGATCCTGGCCGGTGGTTGACCAAGAGGAGGAGGAAGAGTCAGAAAGACGAGAAGAGGACGAGGAGGAAGACGTGGAGATATGTTTGATTGAAGAGTTTGTGGACGGTGTCCGTCCTGCTTGGGGGCGGCTGTGCTGTGAGGAACTGTTGTAGCAGGTCAGTGACTGGATTACCCAGGAAATGCAGACACTGAGGTGTTGGGTGTCTGTTCTGGGTGCGTGGGCACGACATGACTACTAGTACTTGGGCATTTTGGCAGGCTCCGATTACCAATGGGTTCGCATTGTACGAAAATTGCACATACCTCATGTTGCTGCAGCGTTGCAAATAAAACGTTCGGGTGTCTACTGGAATGGCCGAAATTGTCAAGACTTGCTGTTCTCTCAAAGGTGACCCTGTTGCAGAAAGAACAAGAAATTGTAGAGAAGATAGAATTGGGAATGTCTAGATGCTCTTGAAGTGTATGTATTCTCAAAAATGTGTGAAATGTTGTGATGTTGGGCAAGATGGTGCTGTACTCTGTATAGGTCTGTCGATAAAGTTGAGAAAAGGCGGCCTGGGAACAGAAGGTGTTCAGGACTCGGGGTTCCTGCTGGCTGCAGGTGGTTGCTCTCCTCTGACTTAGCCAGTCCTTCTTCGAGTATTGAATGGGCTCTGCCAGGCAAAATGGTCCTCCGGATGAACCCCCGTATGCTTGCGGTACTGACATTGTTTAAAGACTGGATGGTACCGCAGTTACTGTGCCTTATCGCAGCTGTAGACAAAGTACTTGTTACCAGTAAAACCATCCATCCTGGCCATCTGACAACTGGTGATCTCCTCCAGGGCTCTGTGTCGGTCTCTTGTCTGACTGACTTGGTCCCAGAACACTTTTGCTCATTCGCAGTCGTGGCAAACGCGTCCTTCTGGCACTTTTGCTCCTTGGGCAGAGAGTCATCTCACTTATTACTCTGGGCATTTTCTAGATTGCGTGCATGGGATATCTTTCTTTTAATCTCCACATGGTAACATCTTTGAAGATCAAGGAAGAGAACCTGTGGCATTTTTGACAGGTCCAGAACCAGAACCATGAATGATCTCGTACGACTCCAAAAGATCCCACAGGGACTTTTGAGGCTCAAACCTTCGCCTCCAGAACTTCTTTGCAGGACAACCCCAGCAATGCGTGTAGACGTTTTCCCCCAAGATTTGACTGATCTATGTATGAGCATGGGGAGCCTGCTATCCACGATGTCGAGAATGAAAACGCCTTCAAGCCTCTAGGAAAACTTTTGCCCATTTATTCAGGTTGACTACCTAGAACAAATCAATTCTTGTAGCAATGCCACCAAAGAAATGAGCAATGAACAGTCTCGCAGTGAACAGCGTCGGAGGGGCATTCAAGCAAGTTGTGGGGGTGAAGACGCCTATCGATACGGCCACAACCCCGGGATGCTGACCTAGGACGCCCCCGCGGCACGTGAAAAATACCTTGTACTGTTCCTCGCCGACCTGAACCATCTGGTGGTCGTACTTCCTGCCATTCAGAGCAATTTCTGCCATCTGCAAGGACAAGGAGGTAAGACGACTCTAAGCTGCTTGGATATCGTATGAGCAAAAGTTTCGGTGCCCTCGACGCTGAGTCGAGAGTGAGAGTGGTGCACCTATGGATTGCTGCCTATTGCTTATCTTCTTTGGGCACAAGAGGCCGACAGTGTAAGTGCCACTTGCGGTCGAGGCCAAAGCTTCAACGAAGCATTGCCGGACAGCTCTACGATATATTACACACGAAGAGTTCAGAGCTCGCCGTCGCTTCGAGCCGGGTAGGCGAGAAATGCAATCTGGGAACGCAATTGAAAGACGCTGACCCAATCCGGAAATCTGTTTATCCAGGCGCGTCATGTCTTCGAGGCGTGTCGATTCTCGACTAATAAGCAGCCTAGTTAGTTGAGTTGATATGTCGCCTTTTCTTTGGCCGTGGAAATGCTTTCTCATTGGTCTCTCCTGTATTTCTTCAGACAACCGACACGCCTCAATGCGGTCATCCCCTGATATGTCCCGTGGTCCTTTTGTTACTGCGTAGAAAATTACGTCTGGTTTGACTGATTTGGGACGTGCGCCGGGTATCGGGCCCTGCCGCGGAGTCCACTTAATCAGCCGCCTACATTGCTACGTACCTTACGTTGGATGTATTTGTAAGCAGCTTGTGAAACAATGAGTATACAACATGCCATAGAAGCTGCGCCACGTCGGATATAAGGTCGGATCCCAGAGTGCTCCAAAGTCTCAAGCTTCCGCAAAATGCCCGCAATTCCCCGCCAGAAAGCCTGCATTGCCTGTGCAGATTCCAAGCGCCGGTGCGACAAGCAGCTTCCCGGGTGCCAGCGGTGTTTGGACAGGGACGTGGACTGCGTTTATCCGCAGCCCAAGAGACGGCGAAGAGACCGTGCTGGGCGCAACAGCCAGGTTGAAGGATTTTCCGCCCTCCAAAACTATGCTGGCGATGATGCTGTGGGGAGCAGTCTTGATCTTGGGGACTGGGGCGAATTGGGAGCCGCCGACCTCGATATTCCACTATCAGACGTGATAATCCCTTACACTGCAACACCATGGGAGACTGTCGGCAGTCTGTCAGCCCAGGGCGTTGGACTTGAGAGCCCCAATATCTCCAGCACACCATGCCCCTGGTTTCTTCAAAATGAGACCTGGGTCATGCGGCACTGTAACGAAGAACCAGCTTGCACGACCGACATCAGGCTGGACCCTTTCATCCGCACCGTAGAAGAGATGCTGCAGCATTGGGTTAGTCACGGCTATAACAGCTTCATTCATCGGCGGCTGTATGAGAAGGGCATGCCTACATGCCTTCAGGATGCCTTCACAACGCTCGCGGCATACAATGGTCGGACCCCAGCGGTGACGGAGACAATACTGCAGATCGCCGAGGAACGTTCGTCCGCTCTTGTCCGCCAGAGCCCTCCAACTGCGGCCGGAGCGCAAGGCATACGCGCCCACCTGGCACGTGTTCAGGCTCTGTTTGTCTACGAGTTTATACAGCTGTTTGATGGGTCGGTGCGTGTGCGCGCATCCGCCGAGCAACAGCTTCCAACGCTTCGGCGGTGGGTGACTCAGATGTGGGAGGCAGTGAGACAATACCGAGGGGAAGACCGCTCCCTGGGCCACTATCCACCGCAATGGACTATAACGGAGTTTGATATGGAATATGACACAGCGTCGGAGATGTGGCAGCTATGGCTTTTGACCGAAAGCGTGCGGCGCTCCCACATCATCATCAACACTATCACTAACGTTTATCAAACCATGACTAAAGGATGGGCCGATTGCGCAGGAGCCGTCATGTTTACTGCACGCCGTGGCTTATGGGAAGCTGAATCTGCAGTGAAATGGTTCGGGCTATGTTGTGCAAGCCCCCCGCTTCTGGTACCGTCTCTGCAGCCTGGACCTTTGATCTCGCAGTATGCAGCCGAGGAATTCGACGATTTCGCAAAGATGTTCTGGACATTCATAGTTGGCACAGACAAGATCCAATGTTGGATTGACAGGAGCAACAAGCCAAGCAGTACATAGCCAGCCTGAGGATTCTTGCTAATATCCGGGCTCTATGGCAATGATATCGTACCCCAGCTTCATATCATGGTTCTGCGATGTCGATATCTGGCCGGCCTGATAGGCCTGAGGAGTCAAATGTTCCTGAAATCCGAGGCGAAGGCTTATCTTACTGACATAGCGGACAACATGCGGTCAAATTGCGGGAATGCTGCGGAAGTACCATTCTGAGCCCACGCACCTTGACTCGGAAAAGTAATTTGCATCACTGCTCGATCTTTTTGATGATTTCAAAGCAATCTGAAAATTGCTGAAAGGAGGCATCATACTCCGCAAACCTTCCGCAGATCGAGATGCTGTCTGTACGTATATAGTAGACCAAATGTCGCCCAACCTTACCAAACACCTTTCATTCCACACCACCACAGCATAAATTTCCGGCACTCACGCTGTCCAAATATCTGTCTATACCTGCCATGTCTTCCAGAACGGGGGTGAAGTTCATTCTCGGTACGCACACGGTACGTATGCCCAGCCAATCACACCCGGTTGCATCTAAATGGAATGGTCACAGGTCGGCGATAGCATCAAGGACCCTGGGATTGTACACTTCGATAGTGTCAAAGATGTCCAAAATCTTTTGGATGCATTCCACAACCGTGGCTATACCCATATCGACACCGCCCGTGACTACTCTCCAAACGCTCCGGGTGCTTCTGAGGAACGCCTCGGCCAGGTTGGGGCCGCCTCTCGATTTACCATTCACACCAAAGTCCACAGTGGCCATCCCGGGGATCATGAACCCTCAAAGGTCGATCTGAGCATTGGGCAGTCGCTTGATGCTCTCAAGACTTCCGCGGTGGAGACGATGTTTCTCCATGTGCCTGATCGAAAGACGCCCTTTGAGGATACGGCAAAGGCCATGAACGACGCCATCCAGCAAGGGAAATTCAAGAAATTTGGACTCTCCAACTATACCGCCGCGGAAGTTCAGAAGTTCATCGAGATATGTGAGCAAAAGGGGTATACCAAACCCAGCGTGTATCAGGGACATTACAACGCTATTGTGAGAGGAGGCGAGAAGGAATTGTTTCCACTCTTGCGTAAACACAACATTGCCTTTTTCGCCTACAGGTAGGCTGAGATCAGAACCACGACTGGCCTCGAGCTGACCTTTGTATCAGTCCTGCAGCGGGTGGCCTTTTTTCAGGCAATGCTGCTACATCGAGACGGTGGAAGGACGATGTAAGTGGCCCAAAGCAGCAACATCTAGACCATGCTGACACGATGAGAATGTCATCGGAAATTTGTACAGTGCCGTTTATGGTCAGCCTCCCGTTCAGGCCTCGGTGACCACAGTTCGAGGTGCCGCCGAGAAGCATAGTATCGACGGACATTCAGCTGCGCTGCGATGGACGGCGTTCCATAGTGCCTTGGATGGAAAGTATGGAGACGGGGTGGTTTTTGCTGTCTCGAAAATGGAACAGCTACACAAGACTCTCGACGCTCTTGAGGCCGGGCCACTCCCTGCTGACCTAGCTGAGGCTATCACCGCCATCTACGCCACAGTTGAGGGTGCTGAACCTCCTTATCACCTCTAGAGTAGTTCGAGCAAGAAGCCTGGTTTCGTCCTTTCTCGCATGGTGTTTCAAAGAATGATCAATCCGCCAAGCCGCCAAGGCCGCCACACATCTGTGGCGTCACGGGTGTTTGCTTCCCTGTCAGTGACGTCAGAATATATTGCTAAGGCCCGCCCAGACGGCTATGAAGCTTGACCTGATTTGGCCTTTGGTCGTGCACGGTCGTGTTTCCTGTTTTCCCAGTCCCCAATTTACTCGAACAACTTGGACATCCTCTACACAATTATTCTTTTTATAAATGCTGTTCATGAAAAGCGGTGCCCTTTCCGAATGACCTAGTGCCTCTACAATCTCTTATTCTTTAATTTCTGGTCCGAGATGTCACTTGCCAAAACTCTTGCTCAATAACAATGCGTATGACCTCCTTTGCCCGGCGGCGTTCTGACTTCTAACTTCCAATCTAGATCGTGTCCGGGCCTGGGCACATTCAGCCGCCCATGAGAATAAATTCAACCCGTGGTCACAAAATGATGAAAAATCGACAGCCGCCGGCAAGACCTCTGCCCTATCGCAGCATGGCCAACCACTCGAGGAAGAGAAGCCCAAGCCGTCTCGCCTGGCGCGTTTCTTGAAAAATGTCAAGGCACCGCTCTTTCACAGCTGGGTAAATGTCCTGCTTGTATTTGTACCGGTGGGAATTGCTGTGCATTTTGCAAACGTGGACCCAAATATTGTCTTTGCTCTCAATGCCGTCGCTATTATCCCCTTGGCAGGGCTTTTGACCTTTGCCACTGAAAGCGTTGCGCATCGACTCGGCCCGACATTGGGGGCCTTGCTCAATGTGAGCTTCGGCAACGCGGTCGAACTGATCATTTTCATCATTGCACTCGTCAAGAATGAAATTCGTATTGTCCAAGCATCTTTAATCGGCTCTCTCCTCGCCAACCTTCTACTGATCCTGGGCATGGCTTTCCTTATTGGGGGCCTTGAATACCAAGAACAGATCTACGACAGTACTGTCACTCAGATGAGCGCTTGCTTGCTAGCTTTAGCAGTCCTGTCCTTATTGATCCCAGTAAGTGTTCTCTGGGGCAGCTTTGAGAATGACCAATGCTGATATGCTATTCCAATAATAGACAGCTTTCCATGCTTCCTTCAGTGACTTGGATGCCGCAGATCGTGCTGTCATCAAATTGAGTCGAGGAACGTCGGTCATTCTATTGGTGATCTACTTCCTCTACCTCCTTTTCCAACTCAAGTCGCACGCATACCTGTATCAAGGAACTCCACAGCATCTAATAGACGAGGAGTCCGCTCCTGGTTTTCTGGCACGGTTTGATTCCACGAGTTCCTCTTCTGCATCCTCCTCACGCGCGTCAACTGTCAGTTCGAGCGCGGGATCAAAACGTCGTGTACGCAAAAGGTTGAGAGCAAAACTGGGCATGAAGAGGCACTCCAAAACAGAAGAGGAGATAGAGCCAGAGATTGGGACCAATGAGGAGGCAGGCGGAGCCTCGGCGGACATATTGGAAGAAAAGACGGCTGAGCCACATGAGATCTCTTCCCTTCCACCACCATCGACAGCACCGGTCGCAACACCAGTCAACATGACAGCAACGTCTCAAGCCGGGAGCAAGCCCAAGATGCCACTTGGGGCTCGCGGCTTGTCTTTCCGAACTCCGCCAGTCTTCCGTTCGTCCACGAACCCGCCAGGACGATCTGGCGACGATGCTGCACAAAACAACCTTCGACGCTACAGATCTGACCCAAACAACCGTCAGCGCGCCAATCAGCAAAATCGTTCTCCGGCTTCGACCGGAATGGAAAGGCGCCAAACTTCCAGGAGCACGACTACCCAAGAAGATGATGAGCCTCCTATGAGCCAGACGGCCTCGATCGTCTGGCTTCTTGCTTCTACTGGCCTCGTTGCCCTTTGTGCAGAATTCTTGGTTGGTAGTATCGAGCATTTGGTCGACAACTCACCATTGTCCGAAGCTTTTGTGGGATTGATCATTCTGCCCATTGTCGGAAATGCAGCAGAGCATGTTACCGCGGTCACTGTTGCCGCCAAAAACAAGCTCGATCTCGCACTGGGAGTCGCCTTGGGCTCGTCCATCCAGATCGCACTGTTCGTCACTCCGATTGTCGTCATTCTCGGTTGGATCCTGGGCAAGGATATGTCCCTCTATTTCAGCCTCTTTGAGACGGGCTCATTGTTCGTCGCGACCTTCATTGTCAATTTTCTGGTGCTTGATGGGCGAAGTAACTACTTGGAGGGAGCACTGTTGTGTGCTTGTTATGTGATTGTTGCGTAAGTCATCATCAGCTTTTGCCCATGTGTTTCTTCATCGCTAACTGCAAATTTAGGGTTGGCGCATATTTCTTCCCAGATGGACAAGACCAAAGCTCGCTGACGAGCGGGCCAGGAAATTGATAGATGTACGATACTATTTGCTTCATAGGCGCCATCTGTAAGCTGTGCAATATTTGTCTTTCAAGTCCATGCTGTCCATGCCTGCTTCCTGTGCCGCATCGACCTTGAGATTGTTGATCCGAAAGCCGTGCACTTTCACATGCAAGCAAAAATGGCGAGATGGGTCGGTGGGTGGCCTTGGTGGGCCTCCAGGGACACTAAGCCTTCGGCCCGGATTGAAGTTGGCCGATGACGTCCAGTGTGTTGAACACGACATTTATTATTGTCAATGTACGGAGTAGTTCCTCTCAAATCTTTCTTTCCTCCTGAGTATGTCTACAATCCTCAGTTCGATATCATCGTATTGAGAATGACGTTCAGTCCGGTCTTCTGGTTGTACACTTTCATTCAATGGATACTCGCAAAAATATTCTCGCCCAATCCACCCACTCCAGGTGCTCGTCTACGACGGCCCAAGATCGCGGTTATCGGAGCTGGACTGACAGGGGTCTCTGCTGCGGCTCACTGTGTTGGTCATGGATTCGAAGTGACGCTTTTTGAAGCCGGTGATAAGGATCAGCTAGGTGGCATTTGGGCCAAAGGTAGTGGAATCCTCTGAAAAAGACGTCGATGACTGACTAAAATTATCTAGTCAACACAACATCAGGCCTGCAGATCCATAGTGTCATGTATCGATTCCATCCTTCTGTGGTATGGAACAGTGGCTATCCGAAACAAAATCAGATCGTCGGCCAAGTACGAGAGCTATGGCACCGGTATGACCTTGATGAGAGGACGAAATTCAATACCAAAGTCGAAAAGATCTACAAGGACAAGCAAGGCCGCTGGATCATCAATGACCCTTCGAATGGCCGCTTCGACGGGATAATTCCAGCTATTGGGACCTGCGGCGCACCGAAGATGCCTCACCTACCCGGCCAAGACAAGTTCAAGGGGCAGATCTTGCATTCATCTGAGTTGGACAAGCAGGGTGCAAAAGGGAAGAAGATCCTTATAGTTGGCGGAGGCGCCAGTGCTGTTGAAGCACTGGAGTGGGCAGTCAACACTGGCGCTGCGGAGATCAAGGTCCTTGCAAGGAGTGACAAATGGATCATCCCTCGAAACGCATTTGTGGATATCTTGCTGGCTTTCAACATTTTTGGTCAAGAGACACTGCTTTCGTGGATACCCGAGAACCTGCTGCGCTTTTTCTTCTACCGGGATCTTCGAGACATCGCTCCGGCTGATCAAGGCCTGTTCACTGAGACACCGATGGTGAACAGCGAGATCTTCCACCAGATCCGGGCTGGCAAAGCCTCCTGGCTACGGGGTGATATCGAAGAAGTTGAAGAGACTGGTATCTTTTTCAATCACCGGACACAAGGCGTACCGAAAGGCGGCCCCGGCCACCAGAAGTTGGTTGAAGGAGACATGATCATTATGGCAACTGGATATAAGCGCCCTAGTCTTAACTTCTTGCCAGAGCGATGCTTCGAACCTGGTTATGAGCCGCCTCGATGGTTCATCCAATGTTTCCCTCCGGCCGAGCCATCGATCTGTGCGATCAACTCGACATATGTCAACGCTATTGGGTGAGTATATTCGCCACCTTTCAAATCTGATGTTCAAGCTAACTTCTCCTTTTCAGGACTGTTGGGAACTACCATATTGGTATCTACACGCGCATGTTACTCATGTTTCTGGTCGATCCTCTGACTACTCCTCATACGTGGTGGATGAAGCGGTGGGTAGACTTCACGAGCACCGTCAAGTCGCTGGCTCCAACAAGGGCATTTGACTTCTTCACATACTCGGAACTGCTCTATTGGTTTTGCTTTGTCACGTTGATCAACCCCTTCAGATGGAAGTGGGCTTTCTTCGTGCTTTTTGGAATAGGCCAAAATCTGCCCGCCAGCATCGTGGAGCAGGAGGACAGGTTGAGGAACGGCCTCGGGTACAGAAAAAGCATCCTGGATGAATAGAGCATTTGCATAAAATGGGAATAGTTGCAGCAGCTCCCATTGCCATGATAACTTGTAGAAACACTCCCAGGACCATATCAATGATTCAGCCTTGTAGAGCCTTGCATGAAGCACATGCAGCCTCGTAATTTCCTGATTGGCTCTGACCAAGTGACGTCAATGTTGATGCAAGGCTTTCGGCCAAAAAACGAAGGCAGCGAGGCAGCTCCGACGATGGATTGTCCCTTTCACCTTCCGCGCATGATTCTCCATGGCTTCGTAGCTTCCCCTGAAGTGGTACATAGCACAAGACACCGTACTTCTCTCAAATCACGTCCGCACTCACAACCGACAGTCAACAGATACCGCATTCTCAACCTGGCTTCAGTACAAACGGATCTCAGTGGAAGTTGTTTCTGTCTCCCCATACTGGTCTTCATTCTACCGAGTTGATTCACCATGGACGATCCTGGTATGCCCTTCAACGGCGTCCTTGAAGCGATGCTCGTCATATGCTGACCATACTGTCGTGCAGTGGCCGAGATACCACATATCATACGGACGCTCTGTACGGGCCCAGCAGCTATTCAATCAGCAACAATCAAGACCTATTTCACCCCTACTGCATCTTTTACCCATCCGTTTTGCCGAACTGGAAGTTTTGCAGGATCAATATGGCTTATCATGTAAGCATTGTCGCCTCCGAAGCAGTGTGCCATTCAGGCACGAAACTCATGCTTTGATACTGACCTACTGGTACACACTTCTAACCATTTGCAGCATGATCTATCGTTGGTATAAGATCCTCAGTCCGCATATCGATGTTTTCGTCGACAGTGTCGGTAAGTGATACTTGTACCGCATCATCAGTTCTGCAAGAGCTGACAAGGCAATAGCATTCGACAAAAAAAAGCTGCTGCTTTACGTCTCAATACACCAAAACTTCAGACTTTGGGTCGTCCCCTTCTACATTGCTCCAGTCCAATTCGTCACTGTTTTGCAGCTAACCACCGATCCTTTCCCTCAACCTCCGGACGACTCCGCACCAGCCACCGAGCCCTCCTCGTCCGCAGCCGGCCAAGGCCCGAACAGGAAGAACAACGGCAGGAGGAGAAGCATCAAGTTCGAAGACGGTAAGAAAAGGAAGAGTGCCAAAGTGGACTCGTCTGATTCAGTCAAAGAAGCCGACGGGGGCACTGCAGACGACACAAAATACTACATTCAGTCGCAGGACGATCTCTATCAAACAAGCGAGTGGATCAAATTCCTGGTGCCATGGGGCATCGGTGCCTTCCTGGTCGTCTTGTGGCAGTTCTGGGCTACCATCTTCTGCGTCATCGGCACAATGCTATTCGATCTCATCATGTGGTTGCCACGAAGACTCTACTACTCGGACTTTGAGTTTTTCGAGAACAACGACAAGAAGGTGCTCGGTCCTGATTGACGGCGGATACGGTCAGTCCATGACGAAGCGGGATTTCATCATAACGGTTGCATGAACATAGGATTGTTAACGTCCGAGACGATTATTGAAAGTGTGAGTTTATCGTTGGGAAGCAAGGCGTGGATAGGGCGATTGCGTTTTATTGAGGTTCCGGGAGGCAACATTAGGCGTTGGAGCATGATACCCATGTGCATACGGGAGTACGGCGTTGTCACAAGTCAACGGCAAGTATAGATCATCAGGATAGTTGTAAATGCTGTCCTTTCATAGAATGCAACCAGCAGCTGTATGACAGTTTGGTGCAAACCAGCCATCGACTTGATCCAGCAGTCTCCTTAAACGCCAGCTGGCGTGACCTCAAGATCGATTGCCATCATCGGCCGGACACCTTGATCTGCTTTTGACAGACTATCGCACATGGCAGCCGTCGAGTCCGAGGAAACATTGTCTCGTCCCAGGTTATAGCAAGTATTGGAGATCCGCCTCTATCGATCCCATTACAAGGCTTCGCCAATCATTCCCAAGCGGAGAACTAGGTTGTGACGGTCGGTAGTCTATTGGAACCCGGTAGCTTGAAGATTGAGATGTACTTTCAAGAGGACACTGAATCCACAGCTGGACAGGCAGCATCAACAATCATGTAGCTGTATACGAGGAAGCTTGAAGCGAAACGACTGCGCATGGTCAGGCCCGTCGATTCTCTGGGATCCCGCGAAGCTTCTTCTGGTCACTTTGGGGCCACCTTTTCCACAGCTTCAACCTGCTGCCGTGGTACGGCGGCGGTGCCGGCCGATCAAATCGTCCGTAATTGCGTTTCGACGGCATCAATGGTGCGATGAAGACTGTTGTCGCTGGCATGGGGGCTTTGGTCCGTTGAGCCGGTACTGGATTAGGGACGGTTGCTTCAGGGATGGCCAGGCATGTTGTGGTTGTGGTGTGGAAGAGGAGGGCGAAAAGGAGTGAGATTCGAAGCAGGAGCATCATGGAGAATACTGGTACTCATCTTTTTTTTGTGTTTTCGATTGGAAGAAAGAAACAACGGAATTAGATACGTTAATACCTACCACCTGGTAATCGTATCTACCGTAGCAACATCAGATATTTTTCGTTTTCATTTTTCGTTTTCTTTGGACGGGCCAACGTTCTGGAATGGAATGGTGATCCATGCGCAGATGGCGCCGCGTCTGGAAAAGTCTTCGAATGTCGGGGCTGTGAAGACTCGTAAAAGTTCGAGAGAGAGCTTGGCTTGTCAATATGTGTGATGTGTTAGAACAAGGGATCTTGTCCGGTCAACTGGGTCGTTCAGGGCTTTGCTGTTGGATGGGCGGTGTTGGTCAATCTTGGGCAGTGAGCCAATCCATTTGGCAACGCTGCGGGCATTCTAGGGGCGCAGCCAAGATTACCTGGGTATTATTGCTGGCGCGTTCCAACGCCCATCATCGTCGCCCTGCCTGAAACCCCGGGGGGCTACGCTTGCCGCCATCATGCCGCGTATACCTTCCGGCCCGCAGGCCACTAAAGTTAATAAGTCGAGTTGAAACACAAGAAGACGTCACTGCTGGTGAAGTCACTCTGCCCAGTTGTCCGGGCGTTCAGTAGGCCTTTTTTATATCGTCCAGCTACGCCTACGAACATCTGGTGATTCTCACAACCGCCCAGCTCGTTCACATTGCCGACGTAACAGACCCCCAAACACTTTCGTTGCGGCCCGGAACCTCGAACCTCGAAATGCCTCCTTCATCGACCTCGTCCACCTCAAGCATCACCAAGGGCGTCAAGGGGCCCACAAAGCCTGGATGCATCCCGTGCGACTGCGGTAAGCTGAAGCTCAACTCCTTCAAGCGATGCTGCGTTGGCATCTTGTCTGGCCACGTTGGGCAATGCACTTGACTGATCATGTGACTGATCACGTGACTAGGCGACTATGAATGCGATTGCTGTATTATCCCGTGTACGGTTATGTGACAAGACGAATCATATGTCGGCCCTTCCTTCAGCTCGATTGAGCACACTCGGTGACGGTAGTCAAAGAATGGGATGCAGGAATGGGTGTTAATGACCGGAACATCCTACTGTGTTGGCCTGGGTTCACAATATGGAGCTGGAGCTGGAAGCCATTACCGATCAATGGGCGTTGGCGTATTCTATGAGACCACGAATTGCTTTTGGGAAAACACCGACGTAGCATACAAACGGAGCAAATACATTGATATGAACGATTATGACGGTGCACTACTGTGCTCTTGTTGTCCTGCCCTTTCTGGCATCGCCTCGGTCAGAGGATACGCCTGCGCCTCGTCCTCGGAGAGATCATCGATTGAGAACTCTTCATTGAGCTGCTGTTCCAAGTCTCTGCCCTTGTTGACGGATCTGGCCGAGGCATAGTCCGCCCGGCTGGGGTATGGAATATCGCATTTGGGATGCTTGAGCGAACGGTAGTATCGTCGATACGTAAAATATGCCACCGACATCCCAAGGATACTGCCACTTGTGACGTCGAATACGTCGTGCCGATAGTCGGCTAGTCGTGACATCGCGATGAGTGCTGCGCCCACGAGAGGCGCGAGCACGATCAAGACCTTGGCTAGGTCTGCGTGTGGTCGGAAAACGTGTAGTTGCCCGGCGAGAAATAGGGCCAAGTAACCTAGTCCAGAAAATGCCCAACTACTATGTCCGCTCGGGAAGCTGCGCCAGCCGTCGTGCAAAGTGTGGTGGTCTGTTTCTGTACACACTGATATAGTGACCAATTCATGCTCGGGTGTTCCCAACTTCGGCTTGCAGCGTGCAATCAAATCCGGTCGAGGGCGACCGACTGCGTTCTTTACGATATCCGTCAGGAGGGATGTGAGGAAAACGCTTATGAAGAAGCCCAGGGTCGTGACGTGGGCTTTGTGAAAGCCGGGCCGCGTGATTGTGGCCCAGAGTATAATGAAGACCAGAGGTCCTATGCCTCCATATATGATCAGTTCCCAGCTCGAGACTCGCTGGACTAGGGCGTGTGGGTATTGTTTCGCATGGTCGTCGAGCGTGAACATTCGGTGAAAAGGTTCGGCGAAGAATTGTTCCTGTTAATATTCGGTTCAGCTAGGGCAGTTCAAACAATCCGGGAGTACTGACGCATATATATGCAGCCAGGAGCAGGGCGAAGCCAACATAGTCCGGAGCATAAGATCGTTGCCAGAAGCGCGCGAAGGCTCCTGCGATTCCCGGCGAATCATGTATCGATTGCCTCATCATGGGGCACGGTTGTTTGTAGTGCCAGGGCAGCACTCCGACGTGCCTATCGGCGGTCCATGCCTACCTAGTGATAGGCAGAGAATGTTGTTGATGGGGAGAAAGGAGAATGTGAAGGGCCAGGCATTGTCACTTGCGATAGACTGATGTGCCAGCAGATGCCCGCAAATTGTGGGCTTGGATTGGTCAATCTCCAACAACATTTGCTCTCCTCCTCCTTTCCATTTGTGTTTCTCGCTGCATCTTGGTCATGTGCTCGTAGAACAGTTCCGTGGCGAGACAATGCTGCCGCTTAGGCGATGATCATATCAAGAACAATAACGGCATTCGCTCGCAATGGCGGAACAAGAAACACAATTGCCTGAAGCCCCTTTCCCTGCACCACCACCTTTTTGGCGACATTTCACAACAGCGAATGAGGAAAAGCTGAAAGAGCTCGAGTCCAGCGCAGGAGGGCCGCCTGAAAAGTTACCCATCCCACTCGCGTACCTGCGTCCACCACCTCCACCTCCTGACACCGCCGAGGTGTACACGACGTTCGGCCAGAACCAGGTCATCGATCCTACGAAGCCATCCTCCCTGCCTAGAGACCAGCTTCTTTTCAACCCCGACGATCCGAACCTCAATCATGCCGTCCTCCTGAGTCGATTGACAAAATCTCTGATGCTCAATTTCCTTGAGTTGACCGGCGTTCTGTCGCTCGATCCTACACAATACGAGGAGAAGATGGGAGATATCAGGCAATTGGTACTGAACATACATGTGGTGATCAACATGTATAGACCCCACCAAGCTCGGGAAAGCGTCAAGGAGATGCTCGAGGGGATTTTGGAAGATGGACAGAGGGAAATCGAGGAAAGCGACAGGCTGAAGCAGAGGGTCGAAGACTTCCTGGGCGATCTCGGGAAGATGGAGTCACATGCAGGATCTGAAGGCCTGGCACAGAGGAACACAACCCCAGCCAACGGAGCAAAGAGCGACGCGAAGATGGACGAACAGCGACGAATGTGGCAGATGATTCATGATATGGTCGATTGATGGGCCAGGAATCTTCACTCTACATTTGCAGTAAGTCAAGCATCGAACCCAGGGTGACCATCCCCTGGAGATAGACTTCAAGGGTAACGTGGTCCTAATCTGCACCAGTATCTCCATCAACCTTTGGACATTTGCTTATGCGAGGACATGGCCAGTCTTAAACGTTGATTTCAGCAGCCGGACCACTTGAAATGTGCTCCTTGTAGGACACCAAAGCCGGCTGGACTTCCTCCTCGACGAACTCATCCACCTGCTCAGGAGACCTGCCGATGAACTTTGCGGGGTTCAGAAGGTCATTTTCCGTCAATTCACTCCACACTGGCTCGAAGAATTTTTCTTTCCTAATCCTCTCGACCAAGTCGTTCGCTTTACCCTCTTGTTTGACGACGGCACCCGCCTGGTGCGACAACACGCGGATCTGCTCGTGCGTCTCTTGACGGCTGGCTCCTTTTTCGACCATCCGCATGATAATCGTCTCAGTGGCCATGAAGGGCAACTCCTGCTGAAGGCGGGCATTGATCACGGCCGGGTACACAACCAGTCCGGAGGATACGTTGTCGAGGAGTATGCACAGCGAATCGGCAATCAGAAACATCTCGGGGATGTCAATACGGCGGATGGCAGAGTCGTCTAAGGAACGCTCGAACCACTGGTGTGCGTATGTTTGGCCAAAGCCTTGCGTGAGGGAGGTCAATTTGCGGGCGAGACTGCACATACGCTCGCAGCGCATGGGATTGCGCTTGTACGCCATGGCGGACGAGCCGATCTGGTCCTTTTCGAATGGTTCCTCGAGTTCCTTGAGCATGGCCAGGTGGCGGATGTCGGTGCCGATGTGCTCGCAGGTCGTGCCGAAAGAGGCGAGCACGTTGGCGATGTCGAAGTCGATCTTGCGGTTGTATGTTTGTACCGACACAATGGAGCGTTTCGCAAAGCCGGCTTTCTTGGTGACCAGTTCATCGAGCTGTTTGACCTTTACATGGTCGCCGTGGAAAAGCTCCAGGAAAGACGCCTGTGTCCCGGTGGTGCCTTTGACGCCGCGAAAGCGCAGATCGGAGCGAGCTCGTTCGACGTTTCGCAAATCCATGAGCAGAGATTCGATCCATTGCGTGGCTCGGCGGCCGACGGTGATGGGCTGTGCGGGCTGCCCGTGGGTAAAGCCTAGGCAGGGCAGGGTCTTGTACTCAAGCGCGAAGTCGGAGAGTTTCTTGATGCATCTGGCCAGTTTGGGTTCGAGCATTGCTAGACCGTCTCGTAGGAAGATTAAGTCGGCATTGTCGGTCACATAGCATGATGTAGCGCCCAGATGGATCTTGCCGGCCGCAGCAGGGGCTCGGAGGCCGAAGGCATGGACGTGAGCCATCACGTCGTGTCTCCGGCGCTTCTCCTCGATGGCAGCGACGTGAAAGTCCTCGTCTGACATGGTGCTTGCAGCTTTCATCTGCGAAATCGCTTCGTCAGAGATGTCAAGGCCCAGAGTCTGCTCGGCTTCGGCCAGCCAGATCCAGAGTTGGCGCCAGGTCGAGGCACGGGTGCGAGCTGAGAAAAGTTTGAGCATGTCTTTGCTGGCGTAGCGGGCGCCCATTGGGCTTTGCCATTCGTCGTACGACATTGTAGTGGAGTGACGAGCGGAGGATGTTGTGACTAAGGTTGGTGATATTGGGAAAGGGTCTAAGGAGAACGTTCGAGTGGATTAGATGCGAATTCTTGAGGTTGAGTATTCTGTAGAGTGGGACATGGAATTTTTGATAATGCGTCAATTGTCTGAGTGCTTTGACGTGTTTGACCTAGGTGGTCTGGTGGTCTGATGAAGAGCTCGCCGCCTCGCTGCTTTTACCCCGTATTTCAATCTCGAACAAACTCCGGCAGAGCAGGAGTCTTCGAAACACATTTTGAGATTTCTGGACCATATTCTCGCCATTCCGTTCCATGCCGCGAAACTTTTTCTGACTCCAATAGCAATCTTCACAACTTGCCCTTGGGGACGAACAAGGAGTTGCAATGTCGAAGACGGCGAAGAGAAAAGTAGCCCCGGCAGGACAACTTGCGCGGAAGAAACAGAAAATTTCTGAACTTGCTGCGAAAGAACCCATCGGGCGCCCAGCAATCCGCGGCGATGCGTTAAGATGGAAAACAGTCTCATTGCCTGGCCGACTGGAAGATGCAGAGGGGTTCTTCGGGCTCGAGGAGATTGACGACGTCGATGTCGTTAGAGATGAAGTCAATAATCATGTCATGTTCCGACCGAAATCTGAGGCAGATGTGGCAGACGATGCTGCCGCAAACGAAGGGCAGGAATGGGGAGGATTCGATGATGAGGTGCAACCATCACATGCACCTGAAGGACACAAATCGACTCCTGCGACTAAGGCCTTGAAAGCGTCAAGACCCAAGAATTCTATCACAGAGCAAGCGTCGAAGACGAAATCGACCGATGACATCGAGTCTGATCTGCGTTTCGATGTCTTGCAGTCGACAACAGCCGAGTCAAAGACTGATGTATCAGCGTGGAAGGATGTCCAGTTACTCCCGACCACCCTGTCACAACTTGCTCGTATGGGCTTTGCTAAACCCACACCGATTCAAGCTGCTGCCATACCAGCGATCAGACAAGGTCATGATGTGATAGGCAAGGCCGTCACCGGATCTGGCAAGACCCTGGCATTCGGAATTCCAATCTTTGAGAATTGGCTTGCCACTCAGACCACTTATTCAGACAACCAGAAGAAGGCCAAGGATACTATCCTAGCTCTTATTCTTGCCCCTACGAGGGAACTTGCTCTTCAACTCCACAAGCATTTGAATGAATTATGCATCGGCTTGGATCACTTTCCCCGAGTCACCGCTGTGACCGGTGGATTGTCCATCCTCAAACAACAGCGACAGTTGGAATTTGCAGACATTGTGGTGGCAACTCCTGGCCGATTTTGGGAGGTCATGAACGACACCTCTACAAATCACGACACCGACATCTTGTTGGACCGCCTCAAAAAGATCAAGTTTTTGGTGGTCGATGAAGCCGATCGATTACTGAGTGAAGGACATTTCAAGGAGGTCGAAAACATACTTGATGCCCTTGATCGCGAAGTCATCGAAGAGGATGCGAAAGAACACGTCGTCAAAGGCTCGCCCAAGTCTCACCGACAAACGCTTGTTTTCTCTGCCACCTTCCATAAAGGCCTGCAGCAGAAGCTGACGGCAAAGGTCAAACCTGGAAGCCGGATGAACAATGATTTGCTCAACAATCAGCAGTCAATGGAGTATCTACTTCGAAAGCTCTCATTCCGTGAAGCTAAGCCCACTTTTATCGATGTCAATCCTGCAACTCAAATGGCATCAGCCTTGTCCGAGTCCATTGTGGAGTGCGCCGCAATGAAGAAGGATCTCTATCTTTACACTCTGCTGATGCAGAATGCCACCGCGAAGACGCTAGTCTTCACTAATAGTATCTCCGCAGTGCGAAGACTGGTTGGGTTTCTGCAAAATCTGAAACAGCCGGCAGTCGGGCTGCATTCGACCATGCCTCAGAAATCGCGGTTGCGGTCGTTGGAGAAGTTTGCTTCTCAACGTACAGTACTCGTGGCGACCGATGTTGCAGCTCGCGGTCTCGACATCAAGGGCATTGATTTGATCATCCACTACCACGTCCCGCGTACTGCAGACATGTATGTACACCGGTCTGGAAGAACTGCTCGCGCAGACACTTCTGGCCGGTCGATCCTACTTTGTTCGCCTGACGAGGTTGCTGGTGTGACAAGGCTGATTATTGAGGTGCACAAGACGGACAAGGCGCCTGAAGTTGCGGAGATAGATGGTCGGCTGACCAAGAGGCTGGTAGATCGCGTGAGTTTGGCCCATAGAATTACCGATGCGACCCTGGCCAAGGAGAAGACGAACAGCAAAGATGAATGGCTACGATCCGCTGCGGAGGAATTGGGCGTCGACTACGACAGTGACGAGTTCGAAAGTCAGGGCCAAAGAGGGCAACGTGGCAGAGGTGGAGGGAACGCCAAGAAGGAGAAAGAGAAGGCTGCTGTCAGAAAAGACCAGATCTCCCGGTGGCGGACAGAGTTACAGAGCTTGCTGGATAAAAGGATCAATCTGGGTGTCAGCGAAAGATATCTGGCTGGTGGCAGAGTTGATGTGGATGCTTTGCTGGATGGTAAAGTTGATGGAACGTTTCTGGAAGGACGATGAGTCAGGCACCCTGCTGGACCTTCTTCAAGACTGGCCGATGTCTTCAGCAACAAACCCTCAGCCTCTAGCACCAGTCCATGGCTCCCGGACAGTGTGAACATGGAAGATCATGTGTCTGACCTGTGCGACGATGACACTAGACGTACGACAGCTGAATTGAAGAAGGCGCAAATTGGTGGAGGTACCGATATGCATCTTTCCGTCGGCGGAACAACCACACGTGGGAAGGCCCAAATGGACTCGTCGCAACTCACGCTGAGCAGGCGCTACCCCCTACTGTGGGCATGACTCTATTGAACCACTCAGGTTGCTCCAGCGTGCTATTTCGAGGCTGTATCCTCCTCACCGGTTTGCATTTTTAGCATAAGGAATAACACCCACCACCTTTGTATGATTGCCTCGACAAGACCACGGCGGGACCGCTTCTTGCACATCAGCAGCACCAAACGCTCCAGTCATCCCTTTCATTATATTACCTCTTTCACAAATCAGTTCGACTCCGGCGATCACAGCAGTTCGGCGCCTCCACCACTGCCAGAGCCGAAGAAGCACAAACAGCAGAGACAACGTGGTTCGACGTCCTTGCGAGTAAATTCACGAGCAAAATCCATTAAACCCAAGAATGCCAACCAGTGGAGTCGCTACAAAGGGACCCGTGCCAAAATCCGGCACCACCGAGTCCTACAACCTTTTGGCTCTTGATGGAGGCGGTGTGAGAGGTATTTCAAGCATGATAATACTCAAAAAGATCATGGACAGAATTCAAGAAGTCGAATGCGAAAGAGCCGTAGTGAAGAACAAAGCCGTCAATCTGGAGGAACGCCGGCCGGTTGACTACTTTGACCTTGCGGCGGGAACAAGTACGGGCGGGCTGATCGCTCTAATGCTGTTCCGGCTGAACATGAAGTGCAGCGAAGTGATTGCACAGTACGACAACCTGGCCAAGCAAGTCTTCAGTCCGAAATTGGGATCGATACCACTCCACAAATTTGGTGTCCTGGGAACATTCATTGGGGATATCTGGCTCAAGTTCAAGGCTTTCACTGGCCAGTCGCAGTTCTCCCACAGGCCGCTCGAAAAGGCCATCGACGTGGTCGTTGCAGCCTTTCCACTCGATGAAGAGGACAAGGAGAAGAAAGGGGATGCTGCACTTGTCAAAGAAAGTCAAGGTCAAATGTGAATTACCAGTTCGTCTGACGCTTTTTGAACCAATGCTTACACCTGCAGGTTCATGTGTGCCACGCTCGCTGACAAAGGAGAGTCGATTCTGCTACGGAACTACGCTCCCCCTTTCCCACCGCTTCCAGTCTCGGCTGGCGCTCAGAGTCTTGACTTCAACACGATCACTATCAAAGAGGCTGCTCGGGCAACCTCAGCCGCACCAACCTATCTCAAAGAAGTCGACATTCAAGGCCTCAAATTCTGGGACGGGGGACTCCTCAACAATAACCCTATTGACCAGGTTTGGGACAACAGAGGTGATCTGGTCTCGCGCGAAGCCAAGAATCCACGAATCAAATGTATCGTGAGCCTGGGCACGACACACACTGAGCACGAAAGCAGTAAACGACCTGGTAAGGGAATCTCCAGGTTCTTCAACACGATATCCAAGACGGTGGCATTCGTGACCAATACTGAGGCCAAGCACCGCGATTTTGACCGCAACATGCGCCAGCACAACCGGCGGAGACCAGAAAAGCAAACTGCTTACTTTCGATTTAATGCCCCGACAGACAACGAGCAGATCGACCTGGGTGATTACCTCCGGATGCCCAAACTGGTCCAATATACTGAGGAGTACTTGAGAAGACCGGAAGTTAATAACTCGATCAACGATTGTGCGGAAATTCTTGCGAAGAGGATTTAGCGCTTGTGTCCTGGTGGTAACTGATTACGAGGGTGTTGGTGTGCGGCTTGGGTGGATGGTTGGTGTTTCAGGGTTCGAAGCGTGGGAAGGGTTGTGTTTGACACATGTCCTTTTCGTGTTTTTCTGGAGATGGCAAGGAGAGCGGTGTGGTCTTGCGGAACAGTCTTGTGGCATGTCACAAATGCGATGGAGGAAGCTAGACGGTCGGCTTATCTTTAATACTCATCGTTACCGATCCTAAAATGTCGAATTTGGTGTACAGTACGGAGTACGGAGTACACCTTGCGATATCGTACCCAGGTACCTTCGATTAACCAGTCAAGCTTGACCGGATAGAAGCGCCGTTCTCGTTAACACGGAGTAGCACTGACGTGGCGCAGGAGATTGAGTGCTCAGAGATAGAGATACGCGATATTAGATCATAGCAGCATACGAGTACGGAATAGATACACGGCATTGTATCTTGCCGCATGCAAATAGATGCTGAGCTCAGCATCTCATCTATGTATATTCTCCTAGTAACTTGATGTGCCCATGTGCCCATGTGCCCATTTCCCTCGATGTCCACTTAATTTTGTCTCTGATGAGTGTTCGCTTGGAGACACGGTTGCGTGTAACATATGCATATGCATATGCATTGAAAAGTCCGAGTCTTCTGATCTAATCATCATGCAGGATGGCACACCTCCTGGCGAGCCTAGAAGTGAGGAGTCGACGTAGTCGTATTTATCCCGCTTAAGACCTCGTAGCGATCAAAAACGGCATCGAGGGCAACTCTCTACGAGTAACCTTACGGATACTGTTGTAACTGTTGTAGAGGAAAATCGCCGATGGAAGAAAAGCCGCTGGATGGGTGCGTCAAGCGAGGTCTCCGACCAGTCAAAACTTACCAAGACACCCATGCGAGGAAAAAAAAATTAAGGTGGTGGGTTGGTTCAAGCCACGAGTCCGAGGCCTCGCTTCATTTTGCTTCCTCCTTCTAGGTTATTGCTTTTTGCTCCCCACAACTACTCCATACAACTAGCTGTAACTTGTTATCTCGGTCAGCCGGGTGAGATATCCACGATATCCTGCACACTGCGGGCCTGCACGTTGTTCGCGGCAGGCCAAGGCGCGATAGTCAAGCAGGATGCTCAAGTCATGGTCCTCAGTCGCTTGATCGGCATGGTTTTTGCTTTTGATGAGGTCAGGGAGAGTCGAATGGTCGAATGTGGCGTTCAAGTGGATGCCACTTTCCAGGCTTTTTGCACAAGCCGCTCCCCGCCCGTAGGTTTTAGCGGACTGAAGGCTGCTTGACGGTTGGCCCGAGAGGGGGCTGTCGCACAATACGAAAGGTCGAATTCATTTTTCCTGTCCAATCTTGCCGCGTCTTCAAATGCTCCCATTGCGCAACAAGAAGCGTGCCAATGCGATTGGGCACAATCCGCGACCTCTCCAATGCCGCCAGGGATGCCCGCGTTTCTGCATCGAGGCGATCTAAGGTGAGTATGACCTCTAGGCTCTGACTACAGCACCTCATCGTTAAGTTATTCTTTCTGCCGTCGAGGGCAGTCGCCTTGCGATCAATTCCTGCAAGGCACTTTTACTGTAAACTCCTGGCTGGGAGTCTGTCACGTTTCTTCGTCTTGCCGACCTGCTCCGCGCCCATTGGAGTTTCTTTTCTGGTTTGGACGCGTCCGGTTGGCTCGGCGGCGGGCGGAGTGTGTTGCGGTAATTTTACGGCTGACAGAATAATGTCTCAGTCACGCTCGGTTCCGGAAGTGCTGGGCACGTTCCTCTTCAGGAGATGGTCCAGGGTAGGGGACCGTGAAAAGACAGCCTAGAGGGCTAGTAGCTTCGGCACCCTCACTCAGGAGCATTAGTTTATCGAAAATCGAGTTGAAATCGCTTCCATTTCCCGCCCATGACGCCGCAGCGGGGGCAGCCGCGGCGCATCGGAGCGAATCCTGGTTGGACTGTGACGACGGGACTGCTGATGATCTGTCCCACGCAGTCGCTGCAAACGCCACAGATACACTCGGTGCAGGCAAAAGCATTCTTGAGGAGCCAGGGCCGGCTGCACGACGCACAGTAGATTTCCAGGACTTCCGATTTGCTGCCAAAGGACGAGGACTGCGAATGCTGGTAGGGATGTGAATAGTGCTGCAGCGGACTAGTGTTGTCGTTGGATGACACCGACGTCGGCAATCCAGATGCAGAAATGTGGAAGTTGTGACCGGAGCCCGCACTTTCCACCGACTCGACTGAAGGAAAGGGCTCGGGGTCGTTGGGCCCTAGCACGTCAGGAGGTGGCGGCGTCAGAGCTCGCTGCAGCGGAGAGGCATTGTACTGGCCATGCTGGTGTTGAAGGTAGTGACCGAGTGGCCGGAAGCCGGGCGGCAACGATGATCGCTTGCCTGCACCACCAGTGGCTGAGGAGTCCGCGGCGGACAGCCTACGGGCGGTGGTGGTGGTGGTGGTGGGCTGCAGGGAGGCCGCCGTAGCACTCCCACCACCCCCATGCGCGGTACCCGTAGAGGGCGGAAAGTTTGGCGACTGCGGCATCTGTGACCCAACGCCAAGGGCGTGTTAGCCAAGTTGATTATCGAGGATCTAACGCAAAAAAGAACGAAAATCGAGAGGTTGGTGTACACATTAATTAGACTGGGTGCATAAACTTTTTCTTCGTGACAGACCCCCTGGCCCGACCGCCCCAGATCTGATTTCCGACCGTAATGTGGCCTGATCCGATGGAGAAAACAGCAAAGATAGCAGGTCTTTTGATTCCGGGAACAAGTCGTCGTCTCCAGTGACTTGGGTCTTTGGGTCTCGGCTTTCATCGCGGTCCTCTGAAAAGCCATCAACGATGATTTGTCCGGGGACCAGCGAATCTTTGTCTTTGACCGGCCGACTTGTGTCAACCGAGGATTCCTCTTGTCCGAGGAGGAAGAAGATTGCGCGCTTGGCCATTTCCCTTTCGTGCGGATATCAGGCCATAACAGTCGTTCATCGTGGATTGTGGTGGTGGTAGACACAATAGTAGTAGTGACAGTAAAAGTAGTACACAAGACAGGCTCTTCCCTCCTGGGGCTGGTCTTCCATCTGGGGGGGTACATCTACAAAATTTCGATCTCTTGGCAGCAGCAAGTAAACAGAGGACAATCGAAAAATGTCGTCTGACTTACGGGAGTGAGATCGCGATCATCATCCGCCTCCGTAGCCGTCGTCGCAGCCTCAATCAGGTCTTCCCATCTCTTGCCCTGCACCCAAGCCGCCGTCGGCGGTTCGGCAGACATGGCCTTGCGGCCTTCGACGCTCAGTCGTCGGGTAAAGTCCTTGGACGAGAACTCCCTCGACTTTCCGCGTTCGTGTTTGCCCTTGCGTGCATTTTGGCCCATGGAGGTTTTCCGTGGACGCTGGAGTTTGTCGCGTCGTTGTAGGGGCGGCAAGGAGGAGTACCGGCTGCCAGGAGATTGCAAAATAGAAGGTAGTAATTCGCGTGTGCGAGAGGGTTGGAAGGGTGGCAGGGTATCTTCGCTGAATTGCGCGCGTAGAGAAGGTAATTCAAAACCAGCCGACGCATCGCGCTTGTAGTCCGAGTCAGGGAACACATCCTGGTATAGCAATGAGCACGGCTCCGGCAGTCATTCGGATACTGGTCCTGTCCAATACTTACAAAATCCGAATCCCAATTGTGTAATTGAGCAAGGGCAACAGCGGCATTGGCCGTGGCTGGAGGAGGTCCAGTGACGGCTCCAACCTGTTCCAGTAATGGAGCCAGGTCACTTGGATCCGCTGCAAGGACTCAGTATGGTACATTTGTTATGTCTTCAGGTAGCCAACATACCAGGGCCTTTTCGAGCCGAAGCGGCCACGGCTGGTTGTTGTGGTGGCTTCTGTGAGGGAGGAGTGCTGATCATCAATTGGAAACTCTCCTCGGTCGCAGGCAGTTTAGGGATGTAGTAGTCGGGATGGGCGCGTCGAATATGTTCTTGCATCGACCTATACCGCTTTTCCTGTTGGGTCGCAGTCAGTTTGCGGTTTTCCAAAACACGCAGCAAGTCGATTGGGGACAACGCACTCCAATGCACCGCTTCCGGCACTGCGATCCATCTTGGTTGGTGAGAGGACACACCACCTCAGTTTCGGTATCCGTCGACTGTAATGGGAACGAGCTCGTAAGGGCAGCTTTGGGCGGCATGGCCTACTGCGCTGCACCGCAGGAGGACAAACTCAGAAGAGAGTGACGAAGGTCGACGGCATCGATCGGACAGGTTGGCACCCAGGCTTGGCTGAGAGAGAATAGGAAAATCCCGGGTTCGACGTCGATGGGTCCTCTCACATGATTTGGCCGGTGAGACAAAGGGTGAAGATTATGATATTAGGAGTCGAGAGTGAGTGGTATACAACACCAGTTGAAGCTTGTACAGCCTGGTGGAAAGAGGGAGGAGGGGAGAAGATGACTGTGGTGGTCGGTGAGTGCAAAGGGAAGTGAAAGTGTCCAAGTGCAGGTGAATTGGAGATGCTTCTGTGCGAAGGACGAGCTTCCAGCTGCCCTGTGGGTGCGAGGGTGCCCAGGAGGGGCATCTGAGGTAAGAAGCTACGCTGGGTTTAGGCTTAGGAGCCCATCACAGCCCTTGGGATTAAGGCCACTAGGCTTAAGGTGGGCTTCCAAGCTCCATCAAGATCTACTGTATTCCTTACCCATCCGCCCGTTTGACGCTGCTGCAGCTATCTCACGACCGCCCACCAAACAATGATTTCCATTCCATCAGCCCATCCATCATCACCCGCTTCCAACAACGGCCACTTTCGTCCTTGTTCTCACTGGTTCTTTTTCTCTTGCCATGGCGCTCAGGTACTCTCCAATCATTCGGCTACTAGAAAGCTCCTGTGGGCCTCGTCTACCGCCTGTGCGGTAACTGTATCTGCAAAGCTTCTGGGCTAAGTAAGGACATGCTTCCCGTCCATTGGCATGTGCAGAGCTTCAACAGCTATCTCCCTCACGCTTCGTTCGCTCAGAGCGGTTGCAAGCTTGAGCTTCCCTCCACACAAGCTGTCAAACAAGCTGTCTGCATGTCAGGAATGTGATCATCACCTAACCTGGAAAACAGCTTCTCGACGTAACTACTGTCGTAGCCGGAGCTCTCGGTTACCCACTGGTTGATGCTAAGTCGTCAGCCAACAGGTACGCTGATGTAACAGCTGCAGCAGTCCAGCTCCGGTCTGCGGGATTGAGCTCCATCTCATCGGCAGAATTGCATCACAAACTTGTTTATGTCTGATAACAGCGCATACCTCTCACAAGCTCCGGCGTGCTCTAGTCAGAGGGCAAAAAACGTTTGTTGGCATTGCTCGTGTCAATGCATGTCCAAGCTCCTTGCTAGCTGTGCTTCTCCGCACTTTTCAGCTTTGTGAAGCTCAATCCTTTTGGGAGGCTGACAGCGGCATGTCGACGCCATCTGCCAAGCAGTCGCTCAAATGTCGCAACAATGTAGATCTCAATTGAAGCACGCAACATAGGAGGGGGCCAAGATTTCTTCCCTCTTCGGTCAGCCTGTGGAAATACCACGTTCTCACCTGACCGCCGCACCGTATTTCGAGCGTTGCTATCACCCGATACTAATGTGTGCGTCTGGTACCATGGTAAACTAACTCATTACGCTCTAGAGGCCATCACCTCCAACAGGAAGAAGAGTCTGGAAAAGCTCCAGTCAGACAATGCCACATTCCCCCTTTCCCGTCCCGAACCTCAATCGGTAACATATGCTTGTTCCGCTGGTGACAGGCACTGCAAGGCTATGTTCGATGCCTGACGGCACTCCTATATCACAGCTAAAGAGACTTCACATCTCACAGAGTAACGACTTCGTTTCTGCCCCACCCTTAAAATCCTTTGATGTACTTGTGGTCATGAGTCTCGGCCATAACCTCAAAGCGCATTCCGACGCGGACAATGCCTTCGTTCCTGGGACAACAAAGCATCCCGAAGCAAGGCTTGAACTTAATACCTTCATCAACCCTTCGGTAGCTGACAAGCAGATCCCACGGCTGATGTGGATGCTTCTCGGCTGTATCAGGGTTCACATTCGGCACTGTGCAGCGAGCACACCGCGCCACGACATCAATGTCCATCGCATCTCTGTTACCGCCAGTGAGGGTGGTGAGCAATGATGAATCTCCATTGATGCGTACTGTCTTCCACGAATCTTCGGACCACGGTTCACCACCTTTGATGATAATGTTGGGTCGGAAGCGTTCGATTGTGATTTCCGTTTCGCCCTTTTCTTTCAGTCTCGCATTCAATTCCGCAAGCGAAGACTCGGATGCAATCTGAACGGGAAGGACATCAGGAAAATTGACGGTCTCTTGCCGGCCAAGAATCTTCGGATTTCCGTTCCCGCTGCAAATTCGCGGCTCGGGACCTTTCATTACCAAACTCGCTTCTTCGCCGAAGAAGTCGGCAAATAGTTGCCTGATCTTCGGATCCGTGTATGCATACCCGTCGGTGAGATGTTCCCAGATGTCAACAGTGACTTCTTTGGTGTTTGCATCTAGCCATGCCTGCTGCGGGCGAAGAGGTACTTTCACTTGCTTGTCAGCTTCATCGCCAATGGTGATGACAAGATTGTCAGAATCGTGGTCGATGGCTGTGTTGATCAACGTCATCTGGGGTTTCTGCCGGATGGTGAGGAATTCGTGCTTGCTGTCAACAAACTGTATCAAAAGACGATTGTCAGCTTGGGTTTACAGAAGATACGCACTTCCTGGAAGCCTTCATGCCTACCATCCATCTCCTGTCAAACTCGAGTCCTTGTCTTGTCAACTTGGCTGATTTGACAGATATCCCTCGACACGATTTGATGGGATAGATGCGTAAATCTGTTATCTCTGATATAGTGTGCGTCATGTCGACTCACGCCCGACAGAACCGTCACGCTGATGCCTCGATTGCTCTCTGGATGCTCCGAGATAAGAATCTCGGAAATCCTTCGTCGATTTCAGGTCTTCTTCACAATGGCTATTCGCTAATGAGAAAGTGCAAAGGGCAGTTGACAATGTTGGCGGTGATGATTTCGCCTGCTTTCTCACTGACTCATTCGAATGGTCAATGTTTCAAGCCGGTGAACTACTATCATACAGTTTCGAGGCAACGAGAGTGAGTGGGATAAGTATTTAGGGATTTCTCCAACCTTTATGTATCAACAGTGTTCGTCGAAAGCTGCTGGTGTACGGAGTAAGAAGAGGGGCTTTTCCTCAACCGAAGTACGAAAGTACAACCAAAAAGCAGCGACTACACATGTCGGCGCTGTCTGACAATCCTCTTTTAGAGAGAATCACCGATGAATTATGCGTGTGCGCTGACGCTTCCCCCCCTCGTCTGACAGGGAAATCTTCCACCATGGGCGAGTCCTTGTACGTCACGGATGCAAAGGAGCAGGACATTTCATCCCAAATAGGAATGCTGTGTTATCGCACTATACCGGTTCCGGTGTATCAATAGCGACGTCGACCGATACTCACTTCGTGGCATAGTATTGCTTACACATTTTCCGACAAGACAGGGGCCGGTTCCTGAAAGAAGAAGTGGATACATACCGCACGGGGATATCAGGAGCGAGTATATGCTGAATAAGATCTCAGCGACTGCGTTCCATGTTGCTGCAGCCTCAGGAATGGAATTTCTGCCGCTTGCTACGCCGAGGTTCACGCCCTATGACTCTCATTCCTCACTGCAGCCATACAGCACTGCGCCTTTACGGTGAAGATGATTCGCTGAGTGCGTAGACTGGCTAGTCACAGGCACCGGAGGCTGAACTGGCAACACAATTCATCATCGAGCTCGACAATCGATCATGTCAAACAGTGCATTCGGACACGAGGGACTCCGATCTATCTGGTCCACCTATTGCAGCAAGCAATCACATCCAATCCTCGCGACATTGCACTGACTCCGTGCGACGAACATCTAACCCTTCAAATCCGTAACGATTTCCCGCGCGACCTCCTTCTCTCCCTGCCCGAGACTCGAAGCCTCCACATCCATACCCTGCCCTTCCAGCACCTGCGCCTCCTCCTCCGGACGAACGTAGTTCTTCACCTCCATCCAGCCCTCGTTGTACATGATCACAGGTGGGAACAGCTTGCACAAGACCCAGTAGGTCGCTCCAGCCACAAACAAACCGACCCAATATGCGAAGTAGTAGAACTTGGTCACGCCCATCGGTGCGTCGACACCCATGTTGTTCAAGAACCCATAGAAGTTAGGGACCACCCTGCAGGATCGTCAGAATCCGCACCACTGCAGACAGAAACAAAGCTCTGAGAAGTCTTGTGCTGGTATGGCACAAGGTTCCGAGGAGGAAATGGATTCACTCACCCAATGATGTAAGCGATATATGCTCTTATGTTCCACCCCTTGGTGTAATGGTACGCAGCGTTCTTATCCGAGGTGAAGAGGTCCGGGATATTCATATACCCGCGTGTGATGAGATAGTAGTTGCACAGCAGCACGCCGGTAATGCTGGACAGGAATATCTGATACGATGCCAGGAACGAGACAAAGATCGACGCGCTACCGAGCAAGTACCACGGGTTGATGGCAAAGGAAACCACGGCACAAATGAAGAAGCCTTTGCGGATGGTGATGTACTTGGGGAACAAGGCCGCGAGATCGTTCCCAGCTGGCAAGGAGTTCTCGAAGATCGAGGAGAAAATCGCGCAATACACGAACATGAGGGCGATGAAGAAGCACCCTGCGCGATTGGCAGGCGTGTAGTTGGATGTTTGGAGTTTGTCGAGGAAGTCGATCGGGTTCCAGATGAGCTCGCCAAAGATGACTTGCGATGAGGCACCCACAATATTGCCGACTATTGCGACGAGAAGGTTTGCGATAGGAAAGCCAACCAAATTGCCGAGAATGGGGTCTTTAGGTCGAGGCGCGTACCGCTGGAAGTCGCTGGCATTGCTAGCGAAAGTTGCACAGTTGGCCGCGCCCAGCATAAGGAAGCGAACGATCTGAATCACGCAGTTTGGGTCAGCATTCAAAATCCCCAACGATCTCGGAAGGCACAGCGCAAATTGACTCTAGGGGTATCATAGAGGAGGACTAACCAGCCAGCTCTTCTCATTCCCATGGACAGTCGATCCTTGACTAGCAATCGGACCGAGCCCACCAGCCTTGCCAACAGTCCATCCGAGCATCGACAGTGCCGAAATGACAAACATGATCAACTTCGCGTACACAAGAGACTTCATCTTCGGCACTGGAATGACCAGGAAGAAGCAAGTCACGAGCCAGAATACCGTGAAGCCGATCATGCCAGCTGATGTCAATGCCGATCCCTTGCCCATGGTGTCCTTGATATGAGCAATACTTGGGAAAATCGCATGGAGCATTACGTAGACGCATTGGCCGCCTTGGACGGCATTAACACCATTCCAGACCTGTCAAGCACCGGTCAGCGATAGTCTTTCAATTGTAACGGCGCTTCAGGGAGGATTCATACAATAGCCATGACAGCGCGATTGAAGGTTGGCCACCACGCGCCATACACGCCAAATGCGCTCCTGTTGAGAATGGGGAAGCCGACGTGATAGACTGCGCCAGCCCTGCCGTTGAGCGTAATGATCATGGCAATCAAGCATTGTCCGCCAAAGGAGCATGCCAGCGACTCCCACATGGAAAGACCGAGTGCCTGAGCTGCTGAGGCGCCATACCTGCGCTGGTGTTAGTCATTTGCCCCAGTCGAGATCGTTTTTACTTTTGCTCTAAACGCACCAGTTGCTCACTGTCGCCGTGGCACTGAACCAGAAGACGAAGTACGTCGTGGCAGTCCAGGTTCGATCCTTCAACTTGAGAGGCCGCAAGTCATCGTTATCTAGCCAGATATCCTTGCCTTTGATTTCTTCTGCGCCTTCCGCAACAAGGTGTGGTCGCCTAAACGCGAACGAAACCATGACGATGCTGAGAATCGTGAAGCACTCACTCCCTGGAAACAGCGCGTGGCGGAAAAGTGCACGTTTCTTTCTGCTGAAGGTCGCTTGCGCGCGGTGATATATCATTAAGTTAACACCTACCTAGTCTGGCTTCATCGCGAGCATGCTCTTCGCGTGCTCTCGGCAGCGCATTCTAGGCCATGCCGATCCTGTTGATAAGGTCCCTCGCTTACCGCTTACATCTCGTTGCTATTGAGTCTCTGATAGCCTAGAGGGCGTGAATACTGCACCTAAGTACCTAGACAGGTTGCTATCGCAGTAGGACAACCCCAGTTGCGGCAACCGGATGGAGATGAGCGCCAGAATCATGGCTGCAGACTTGTGGTAGAAGGAGCCTTGTTAGATAAGTGAGAAAAGTGGCAGGAAGCTCGATATGCGGCCGACGTATGATTTGTCTCCCATAGTGAGCCCGCCGTTACATTCCCCCCACTTGTCGTAGATCAGCGTCTTGTCCTCCCACGACTCCGTACAACAAGTTCGTAGTGAGTGAGTCGCAGTGGATACTATTTGGATGTCTCTTGACTTACTGATAACACCTAACTAGACACCTTCTCCTCGTCGGTCCTCGCCGAAGGCCGCTAGACTGCCAGGAATTGTTTTGTCAGCCTGGGGAGGTGACAGGAGAAGGAGTGTTGTACCACCCTTGAATCGTGCTGCCTGGGGATTGATTCCATGAGGACAAGTGAATCCGGCCATCGAAAATCATATATCACAGACAACTGATTCGGCCACGAACCAGAAGCCCTCGAAGGAAACTGCTGAAAATCAACATCAACATCAACATCAACATCAACATCAACCTCAACCACAACCACAACCACAACCACAACCACAACCACAACCACAACCACAACCACAACCCACCATGGCGACAGTCACTGAAACCGCATCATTGCCCTCTTTTGCCAAACTCCAGCTTCGCACGGCCTATGGACCAGTGTATCGGAGTGTATCGACAAACCCACCACGAGAAAGCCGCGACGATGAAATCCCCCTGATCGACATCAGCCGGATATACGGCGACCTCGATGCGCGAAAGAGTCTTGCCCAGGACATCAAGCACGCCGCGCAGAATAACGGCTTCTTCTACATCAAGAACCACGGCATCCCCGAGGCCGCCATTGAAGGTGCTCTGGACGCATCGAAGACATTCTTCGCCCAACCCGAAGAGCAGAAACAGCTCGTCTCCAAGTCCAAAGGCAAATGGTACAATGGCTACAGCGCGAAGAACACAGCCATGGCCAGTCCGACCGAGGGACGTAAGTTGAAGTCTTCTCTTCTTTCTGTCACACCAGATCATCTAGTCTTGGTTTCTCCCCCCATGCTAAAACCTTTCTGTTTCATAACAACCAGTGGACTACCGAGAGTCATTCAGCTGGCGCTACGAACCTCAATACGACCCCGACCCAAAAGATCCCGCCGCCGTCCCACCAGAAGTCAAGCCCTTCATCCGCGGAGAAGACTACGTCTGGCAAGGCACATCGCACCTCCCAGCTTTCAAGGACGGCTGCATCACATACTGGCAGGAATGCCTCAAACTGGCGCGAAGGCTCGTCCGGATCTTCGCTCTCGCACTCGATCTCCCGGAAGAATACTTCGACTCCGTCACTACGTACCCTGGAAGTGACGGCGTTTTCAACTATTACCCTGCAATGTCCGCCGAAGAAGCCGCCAGCAGCCAGGATATCGGGCTGGGCTCTCACACGGACCTCCAATGCTTCACACTACTCTGGCAAGACATGAACGGCGGTCTTCAAGTGCTCAACAAGGACGGACAGTGGATCAAGGCTTCTCCGATCCCAGGCACCTTTGTTGTCAACATCGGCGACTATCTGATGCGTCTGACAAACGACCGGCTGAAGTCGACCGTGCACAGAGTGTATAATCGCGCCACTGTTGATCGGTAAGCTCCCCTTCTTTGATCAGCACCTGAATTCGCCGATCCGGACTGACAATTTGCAAGGTATTCGATGCCCTTCTTCTTCGGCTTCAACTTCAACGAAAAGTGTGGCGTGCTGCCCAGCTGCGTGGATGAGAACAACCCGGCCAAGTACGACCCAATCTCCTGCGGTGACTGGTGTCAATTGCGATTCCAGCAAACAGATGTTGAATGCAAGGTAGCTGCCTATTAAGGAAGAACATTATGACTCTCACATCCCTTACGGCCCTCGTACAGGCCCAAAACGGGCGGTTCCTGGCGTGCGAAGTCTTGCTATCATTGTTATTACCATGGGCCAGCGGGGGTAGTCATTATTGTCTACAGGCACAGCCGAAGAGCTCTTTAACTTGGAGGAGAAGATCGCTAGTTGAAAGAGCGTAGCACGTAGAATGCCGGAGAATGCTAGCCCTTGCCTCCAGCGAGGAATTTTTTGTACATCATACACTAATTCTCGACTTCCCATCCCGTATCTCGAGATCTTGGTGTCGCTTTTCTGAGTCTTCAGCTCGAGCCCGGCATTCCCTCATGCATCAAATGTTGCAAACACGTCAACCAGCCTCCCTTTCGCCGTCGCCATGCAAATACCCCTTCCGAATACGATCCCGCCATTACACAAAAGAAAATGACACGAAGAGCCTAAGACGCTCCTTCACCGCGAATCCGCTTTCCCTGTCCGCCATCATCTGCCGCTCCTGCATCCTCACGGGCTCGCTTGTTCCCGCTGCCAGGAGTAAATTGTGCTGCTTGAGGATTCAAATTTCGCCCCGGGCTGCCAGCATTACCGCCACCTCTGGCCTGCTGTGGTATACCTGTTTGGACATGGGCGCCTCCCCGACCTCTTTGAGCACCTCGTCCACGAGGAATGCCACTACCCCTACCACCACGCACAGAGCCTCCTCTTGGGATACCGGACTGCAATTGTTGCATCAATGCAACACCGCCCCCTTGCGGTTGTCTGCCCGGTTCGACAGGTGCTGACTGCGTGGCAGGCTTCTGAGTTGGCGGTTCAGTGGCAGCTTGGGTAGGGGCAGGATGCTCGGTCTTGGTGGCCGCAGTCGGTGGCGCTCCGTTGGGCTTGCTATCTGGAGTCGCCGGAGGTTGCGCTGGGGGAGCGGCTGGCGCGACAGGTGCAACAGGCGTGGCTGGCGCTGCTGGCGCTGCCGGCTTGGGAGCGGCTGGAGGGGGCTTGGTGTCTTTAGCAACCTCCCAAACTTCTCCCACTGGCTTCTCAGGAGTCTCTTCAGCAGCCTTTTTGACGACATCGAGCTTTGCTGTCGCCGCAGCGGCTTTGTTTGTAGCCATGTTCACCTTGACGGCACTTCTTTTTTCCATCATTTGCTCTGCGTTCCTAACCTGCTCTTGAATCTTCCTCTCCGATTCCTGGTCGAATTGAAGCTTCTGAGAATTGAGCTCTTCTTGATGTTTGATGATCAAAGCTTGTTTTTCTCGCGCAATGTTGTCCTCATATCTCTTGATGAGTGCCTCCTTCTCTTCGTTGAACTCGGACTCCTTTTGCTTGATAATGGACTCCTTCTCGGCATCCAGTTTCCGTTCCAGCTCTTGAACGTCTTGAGAAGAAGGCTCACCACCCTGAGCGCCCAATTCCTGCATCATTTCCTTCCGGAGAGTGTCGCGTAACTCTTCTCTTTCTTTTTCGAGCCGCTTGCGAACGTTGTTGGCGACAATTCTGCGGAGAGATTCATGATTGTTGACCAGGAACTTCACCTTCTCCTCCGGCAGCTTTAATAGAGCTTCGTCAGGAATTTCGCCAGCACTGACAGACGACGTAGTCTCCGTAGTGGCTTCTGCAACACCTTCGGCGGCCTTCTGTAGTTCAGTAGCCACTGGCACAGAGTTTGCTCTTACAGCTTCGAGTTCCTGTTGATGCTGAGCATCGAGCTTCTGACTCAACTCTTCTAGCGCAGCAGCCTTGGCTTGCTGAGCTTCATTCTTGAATTCCTGTAATCTCTTATTCAGAATCTTCTCCATAGCCCCCACCCTCTCATTGTACTTTTGATCTTGTGCTGACTTGAGCTCTTCAAGTTCTTGCTCTTTTGCGGCCACAGCAGCTTCAAGCTCCTTGACTTTGGCTTCTAGTGCAGATACCTCGGCGTTATCAGTGGTGGTGTTGTTTGTATTTCCGGCTGTAGGTGCTTCAGCGACACCGTTCACCTGAGTTGGAGAAGAAGCAGCTTCAGTTGGAACGGCGGCTAGCTGTTCCTTGACAGAGTCCAGTTCCTCTTGCAAGGCAGCTTTCTCGGCAAGTGCAGTATCAAGCTCAGCCTTCCTCTCACTAAGGGCCGCCCGACTCTTTCTCATCACTTCTTTGAACTGAGTCTCGAGGACAGTTTTCTGTTCAGTTTTAGCATTCTTGATAGCCGTAGGCAGTCCATCGATCTGCTCCTGGAGAGAGGTTCGTGCTTCATCGCGTTCGGTAATGGCGTTTTGAAGTTCAGCTCGAGCCTCGTCTCGCTCTTCTTCGAGGGTGCTGATCTTTTCTTTGAGTGCTTCCATTTCGGCTGGATCAACTCGATCATACTTGGAAAGAATATTTTGACAACGCTGTTGCCAGTGATCACGGTCTTCCTGGCTCAGCTTCAGTTCGCCTTCGCGCAGCTCAAGGAGGTTTTCGAGTTCTGCAACACGAGCGTGTACCGTCTGAATCTCGCCCTCAAGCTCTTCCACACGTTTGGACTTCTCAGCTAAAGCTTGAGTGGCTTGTTTCGACTCTGCTCGCAGGGTGACGCTGCTTTCTCGGTAGACATTCAATTCATTTAAGGTCTCCATGAGTTTGTTGTAGTTGATGGCATTGCGCTCAGCGTCGGCCTCGGTGCGACGTTGCTGGTCGAGCTTGAGCCGAGTATCGTCAAGCTGGGATTGAGTCATTTCCAGCTGTTGCCGCAGTCTCTTGGCCTCTTGAACTGATAGCTGGTACTGAACGTCGACAATGTCCTTTTCACGTCGAAGGTATGTGATCACCTCCTGCAATTTGTCCAGTTCAGCAGACGGCTGCCCTGATGCTTCAGCGTTTTCACCTTCCGCCAAAGCAGCCCGGTCACGCTGGATAGTACTGATCTGCTGAGTGACACTCTCAAGCTGGCTGTGAAGAAGGTTGTTCTGTTGCATGACTTCCTCCCGACGCTTCTTGAGATCGGAAATCTCTCTCTCGTATCGGTCTTTCATCTCATTCCAGCTACTCTGTTTTTGTTCAAGGTCTGCTTTCATGGTCTCCGACTGGGTTCGTAGATCAACCACTTCAAGCTTAAGCTTGTTCGTCTCTTCCCGAACAGTATGTAGGGTCTTCGCGGCATCAGCATGTCTGACCAGCTCATTCTCATAGTTCTGTTGAGCTTCGGTGGCGATCTGTGCTTGCACCTTGGAAGCTTCCAGGTTGAATTGAGCTTGCTCGGCGCTCTTCTCAGCTTCCTCCTTAAGACGCTCAATTTCAGCTTCGAAGCTGGCTTTCTGGTCATCAAGCTTACGACCTGCCTCGGCTTGCTCGTCACGCAACTTGGACAATTCGGAGTTTGTAGTGTTGAGCTCCGAAGATATATCCTCAATGCGCTGTTCGAGGTCCTTGATCTTTGCATCCTTTTCGGCAATGATAGCTTCCGTCTCTTCGCGATATTGATCATTGGTGTCCCCAAGCTCTTGAAGACGTTCCTCGCTTGATTGACTGATGTTCTTGTAGACTTCAACTTGCTCATTTGCTCTTTCGAGCTCGGCAACCTTGAGCTCCAGGTCTCGTTTAAGCTCGGAAACTTCCACGGACAACTCCTGCTCCTTGGTCAGAGAGCTCTCCTCGGCGCCATTTGTTTGAGCTATTGGTTCCGAAGGTCTGGTCAGGACTTCCAAGCGTTCCTCTGCAGAGCGGAGCTCGACCGTGAGTTCATCCACTCGAGCTTGGAGATGATCTCTAGCAGTCTTAGCAGATGCCAATTCCTCCTTTGTGGCGCCTAGACTTGTGACGAGATCGTCAATTCGCTTCTGGCTCTGCTCGTGCTCGTATTCCCGTCTCAAGGAAGCCTTCTTGCTCTCTTCGATCTCGTCGTTGAGTTTTCTCTTCACGGACTGAAGCTCCGCTTCTAATGATTCAGTTTGTGCTTGAAGGCGACGTCTGCTCTCCACATCTGTCTGCTCACGCTCATTGATCATGGACTGCAAGCTTGCGTTGAGTTGATCTAGTCGACCTCGTTCGCTTCGGAGGGACTCGTTATCTTCAATCAATCTTCGCTCAACAGTCTTCCACAAATCTTTCTCGGCTTTGAGATTTGCAGAATCGCGTTGTAGACTGTCAACAAGACCTCGAGCTTCAACAAGCTCCTCAGCCACTTGCTGTGTCTTGACCTCTTGTTTCATGGCATTTTCCATGGCAACAGAAGATCTCTTCTGGATTTCACTATTTTCGGTCTTGAGGGAATTGTAATTGGCCTGCAACATCTCGTATCGTTGATTAGCAGCAGTCAATTGTCCTACTGTCCGGCTGATCTCGGTTTGCAATTGAGAGTTCTTCCTGCTCATGTCGTCCACTTGATTCTTCAAGGCAGTATGATCAGTCGCGGCCTCTTGTCGGTATGTGTCGAAATGTCGTTGAAGATCCTTGAGGAGTTTGGCGTAGTCAGATTCGCCGCCAGCTACAGAACCAGCCGGCGACTCACCACTGGGCACGGGCAGTGATCTCGAAAAGTCATGAGGTTGCAGTTGTCCACTCGACAAGTGGCCACGTCGAGTCAACATATTCCGGAACATGTCTCTCTCCTTGACAAAGCTCTTGGTTTGAGCCACCATGGTTCTTAGCTCGTCCTGGTACGAAGAGATCTGAGCACGAGCCTGCTCAAGCTCCTCCTTCAGAGCAATGGTTTGCTGTTCCTTTTCCTTTGCCACAGCGCTCTCGAGTTCGCTGACCAGGTTGCGAATTGTCTTGAGCTGAGATTCGTTCTGATGCTGAAGTTCACTGACGTTCTTGAACACAATCAAACGTTGGTTGACTAATTGCTGCGTCTCAGACAGGTTGGCCATATCTTGTGCCATGGCTTCGTTAGCTTGTCTCTCGAGATCATCGAAGTCGTCCCGGGTCATGGCGCCACCTTGCTCTCGAACATGTTGTTCGATAAGAAGGAAGCGAATCTGAGAGCCAGTATCGCGAAGTTGCTGCGTGAGGACCTCAACTTCTCTTGACTTGCTTTCAAGCTGACCTTGACATTGTCTGAGTTCTTTGACGGCAGAGTCTCGACCAGCATTAGCTTTGTCTACGATGCTTGACATCTCCACGACTTCACTTTGCAATCGGTCATGGTCCATCCGCAGCTCCTCGATTTCTGGCTTGTTGTTCTCGAGCTCTTCAACCATTGCATCCAGATTCTCGCGAAGTTGCTCATTAGCCCGTCTCTCACTGGCGAGATCACCTTCAAGTTTCTTGTATTCGGTGTATAGCTGGGTCACGGTCATCTGAGCCTTTGGTCTCGATATAGAGGACGGTGAAAAGACAACGCTGGGAGTCCCAGGCCGCATGGGTGTTGTGATGCCTGAGCCGTTCATGCCACGTTGAGGAGTGCTTGGTCGTGCTCGAGCTTGCTCAAGTTCATTGGACAGTTGTTCCAATGATCTCTCCAGCTCGACGATCCGCTCTTCGGCAGCGATGCGGTCATTGTGCTCGGTCTCAATCTCGGCACGAATGGTACCAATCTCTTCCGCAGCCTCTTCACGAGCCTCCTCTAGGGCGGCCGAAAGCTCTTGAACACGCTGTTTTGCCGTTTCAGCAGATGCAGCCTGCAGTTCGGCAAGTCGAGTTATGCTCTCGAGTTCTACTCGGTGTGACTCGTCCGCAGAGATCTTGTCCTCACGCAATTTTTGCATCTCCTCGAGGGTCTCTTCAAATCTCGCAGCTTGCTCCTGCAAGCGATGTTTAAGGGCTGTCTCTGACCGTCTCAGAGCCTCTGCCTCGGAGATGTACTGCTCGTTGGATCTTGACAATTCTGAAATCCGCGCGTTTTTCTCTTTGCGGAAATTGGTGTGTTCATCGGCCTTGATCTTTCGCTCATTCTCGAGCCACTCATTGTTCTTCTTGAGCAAGTCCACCTCCTGCAAAAGACTCTGCTCCTTGAATTTGGCGCTCGCAACCAAGGCATTGGCCGACTGAGTCGACTGTTCAAGGTTAGCAATCTGCTTTCTGAGTTCTGCTGCCTTCTGGTGCTGGGCTGCAAGATCTTGCGACAGGTTTTCGTAGGCAGTAGTCTTGGACTCAAGCAGGGCGAGAGTATCACGGTTGGTAGTTTCGAGAGAATTGATCCTCAACTTGAGGGTGTTGATTTCGGAGTTCTCATTTGCGGCAACAGACCGCATCTGGTCCAATTCAGTCTCCAATCTCGATTTCGCATTTTCTGTATCTTTGGTAAGTGAAAGTCCCTTGAGCACGGAACAGGCATGCTCACCCGTAGTCTGCAATTCAACGCGTAACTTGCTTGACTCCGCAAGTGCCTTGTCTCGCGAGTTCTGTAGAACCTTTGCTTTTGACTCGCTTGTCCTCACAAAAGTCTCTAATTCGACCTCTGTTCTGACTTGTTTTGATCTGGTCTGCTCGCACTCTTTGATCTTTGGTAGAAGGGCGCGCAGAAACTCGTCGATTTGAGCAGGCGAAGGACTTTCGCGTAGGGAGGTGATGGTGCTTTCCGGAAGCGAAGAGAAGGCCGAAACGGCTCGGATATCGATCTCGGCCGCCATGGTGGAAGCGAAGTAACGTTGACCGAAGGGGTGTTACTGAAGTAAGGCCAAGGTGAACGAGAAGTTTGCGCGCCCACCACAAGCGCCCAACAATCAAGGAAAAGTAAGAAAACTCTTGACACCCGTCACCATGGCGCGCGAAGAGCGAGTGCCAGGTGAGTCGGTGAGGTGAGGAAGTGGTTGAAGGTGGGATGTTAAAGGGTGGTTGATCTTCGAGAATGTCATAAACACAACTCCGGCGCGGGCAAGTGAAAGGAACGAAAACGTGACCATGATCTCTTTAGCATGTAGCTTTAGGCAGCCGCAGCCTATGCCCAGCCCTCTCGCCCTAATTTTTAAGCTTAAACTGGACTCTCGCTTGACCTTCCCTCCGCCTCTGGTGCATGACTGGTGTCCCCAGATAATGAGGACCTTCCTCGTTGCCTGGCCTGACATCCACTTTTCAACGAGCATCCTCTTAATCTTCTATTCTTCATTTCTGTCTTCTTATTGTCTCGAGGCTTTACTCAAAGCCGCGGCCGGGTCTTTACTCACCTTACTTTGGAAGGTCATTACTCGTCATCAGTCTTTCCTAGCCGCACAATGAACTGAGTCCTGACCGCAAACGGACGAGATTCTTTGACTCTGCCGCACAACCTTACGTCCTTCCTCCTTTAACTATGTCCTCATTGTACTCCATGCCGACCTCTGTCGCCGGCAGCGATGCGCGAACGAATGTCATCTATGCTCTTGGCCGTCTCAAAGAGAAATTTCCCGAGAGGATCAGCTGGAATGAGCTAGTAGCATACGTCCTGCCCATACACAGGCGCACAGAAGAACAAATCACATATTTTCGGACGTTTCTCAGCAAAAACCCCAAGGTAGATTACGATGAAGAGACCGATACGTACAGGTACAGACCGGAGCATAACATCGCCTCGGCAGATGATCTGCTCAGACATCTCCAAAATCAAGAATCTGCCATGGGCATCAATGTGCGAGAGCTGAAAGACACATGGCCCGATGTGGAATATGCTATAGACAAACTTGAAGCGCAACACAAGTTGTTGGTCGTGCGAAACAAGAAGGATAACCATCCACGGACAGTGTGGGTGGACGACCCGACCTTGAACGTCTCCTTGGACCCGGAGTTCAAGGACATTTGGTCGCAAATCCCTCTACCGTCTGTCGAAGATACAATCAGAGAGCTCCGCCGCATGAACCACAAATCCACTGGTGAGCCTGCACAGCTAGATGCAGTGACAAAGCCAAAGGAGAAGAAGAAGAAAACGCGACGCGGCCAGAAAGTCACCAACACCCATATGCAGGGTTTGTTCAGAGACTATTCAGAAAAAAGGCCGCAAGGGAGATAGGCATCTCCTTCAGACTGGGCCAAAGCAAAGAAGGCGACATGATGTTTTCTCACGCCCTATCATGTCGGTGTTCAAGAAATAGACATGGGTGGCAAGAAGCCAGGGACAACATGGCATCGTGAGTGGGCACACGCTGAGGCCTCCACGTTTGACGAAAAGTATTGCTATATTAGAATGATACCCCGGATAGGAAGGGCGGTTGGCGAACAGCGAGCGGCGTCAAGGGCGTATATACTACTAAGTGCTATCATTTTGGAGATATTCAGATTCAGATTTGGAATTGAGAAAAAAACCAACCCATTGTCATTTCATAATCAGCCAAACGTCCATGACACCGCAGATATCAAACTCCGTACACGATGGCGTCTTAAACCTCTCAGTCATCATCAGCACCATCATGCATGGCCACCACCATCAAGGCCTCGATCCCGTGCCCATATCCAAATCCACCATGCCCTCCTCCCGGAACCGACTCACACTCCTCCGCCTATCCCCATCCACCACCGACAGCCCACGTCCATCCCGACTCGACCGCCGTCGTTCCCTGGACGTCGACGACCGTGACCGTCCTCTCCCCCCTCCTTCTTCTTCCTCCCCATCCCCACGCATCAACGGCCGCAAACCACTATCCGAGTTCCTCCTCGCGCCACCAACAGTTATACCAGCGGCACTACCGGCAACAACCTCCTCATACCTCGGCGGCGGCGCGGCGGTCGTGATGCTCGAGAAACTCGCCACGCTCGCCGGCCTCTGGATCCCACTCCTAGTACTCCTAATACTCCTACCACCATGACCACCACCACCACTACTATACGCGAACCCATCCTGCGTACTGCCGACATGGTCCGCATCCCAGGCCACGATCGCTGGTGCTTCGGCATTCCTGAGCAGCCCTTCGTTGGCGGCATACGGGCCAGCATCTGCATCTGCATCTGCACCTGCTGTCTTGACTTCTTCACCACCACCATAGCTTTCCGTTATAGGAGCCTGTCTCGTGTTGAACCCGCCATTCGCATTGCCAGGCTGGTACGCCGCCGTCCGACGGCGCCGTGAGCGGAGACGCACGACGACAAAGGCCGCGATGGCGAGGACGACGACCGCCGCTGTGACAGCGACGCCAATTATCGCGCCCTTGGGAAGCCCCGATCTGCCGTCGTTGACGCTGTTGCTGCCGACAGGGGCCCTACTATGGCTTATCGGACCGTCATTCTGTTGCCGGAAGAACATGTTGCGGGGATCGGGTGCCATTGTGAGTATCTCGCGATGCAGCAGACCTGGACAGGCAAGTGATATGTGTGTTCTCCGGATAGACTATACTCCGCAGGCGACGAGTAGTCGAACGCTGGCCCTTGGGGCAATTTCAAGGCTTCCGTGGCGTGATAATGCCGGATCACGAAGGAGTGGCAGTGAATACCCAGAAAGAACCGAGTCGGAGACCTTTTTTCCAAGTATCGCAGTAGAAGGAATCAAAGGAAATCCAGTAAGCGGAAACAAATGAGGGACACTGGATGTGAGACAGTATGTACGCAAGACCTAAAGCACACGTTCAGGCCGACCCCCTTTGGCAGCCTTGCCTTGCCTATTTCTCGTTGCTTTGGCTCGGAGCAGTTTCACAAACACTGACAAACTCAAAGTCCGAATTTCGAGAGCAGAGGGGGACAAAAAGAGAATGTTGTACTCCGTACTCCGTACACTGATTCGGCTCTGTGAAGAACAACACCCTATGTATCCTAGATGGAGGCTGAGCGAATCCTGGGGATCCGGGCACCACATTCCGTGTTCCATCAGGCCCTTCAGTGGTCAGTAGTCCCTGCATGCGCCCCAAAGGGCCCAAAGGGGGCCGAAAAACGATGCGGTGCTGGCCTTAAGTATGAATCCCCGAACCAGGGTTGTGGGAGGATTTGTAAAATTGCTTCGAGGTTTCGTGCGTGCTGCGCCTTGTTAGGGACATCGGGACATACCGAGATAGGGGCATGATGGGACCATTCTAGCTGTTGAAGTGTTGTGACCATGGGCTTGGACTCAATCCGCGGTCGCATCTTCAGATATCTTCTTCCGAGTCTTCGCTGTCAAGACCAGCAGAAACAAACAAGACATTGCAATTATTGATCAAGCTTTCAGCGAGCCAACCATGACGCAATCAGAGTCCGAGTCGACGATGCGCAGAGTAACTAAGTTAGCGCTGATGTGAGAAGTTTCAGAGACGTTTAATGACCGAGCGAGGGAGGTGGGAGAGAGGATGCCGCCAGCCGAACGGTCACCACTCCTCAGCCCAAGCTAGTGAGGCTCAAATAGATCCTTCATGTTACGGAGTACATAAAGTACTAGAGGGGAGACACCTCCTACAATTTCTGACGCATCAGTCAACTTCCTCTCGACCCGTTGAATAGCATTGACATATGTTCTTTATCCAGCGAGACAAACACACCTGCATGTATCCACTAACCCCATGTTAAGGGAACACTCCTCGTCTTATCAATGGTGCCCATTAACTCCATTCGCAAGCCCCTTCTCGTGCTGGACATACTCGACCAATTCCTCGATCGTGCAGACCTTGAGACCCCATTTCCGTCCAAACTCCAGACAAGCGTCCCGTCTCATCATACCCGGCTCTCTCATCGCGGCCTGACCCTGGATCGGCTCTCCATCATCGACCATCTCGCAGATCACTCCCGCAGGGGCTTTCCCGGCCAACCGACAAAACTCGACAGCAGCCTCCGTATGTCCCGTACGCTCGAGGACACCGCCATCCCTCGCCTTCAATGGGAACACATGCCCAGGCCGTCTGAAGCTAGCAGCGGTAGCCTTGGGGCTTGCCAGCGTTCGACACGTCAAAGCACGATCGTGTGCTGAAATCCCCGTAGTGATGCTTGCATCATTCGAGTCGATCGAAATGGTATATGCTGTACGGTTGGGATCTTCATTGTCCACGACCATCTGCGGCAGTGCCAGCTCGTGGGCGAGCTCGGACGTGATCGGCGCGCAGATGAGACCACTGGTGTAGCGCACCATGAAAGCCATCTTCTCGGTCGTGATATCCTGAGCGGCGATGATCAAGTCGCCTTCGTTTTCACGATCCTGTGAGTCGAGGACGACGATGAACTCTCCATTGCGGAAAGCTTCGATGGTAGATTCGATCGAGTCGAACCCCTTCGGCAAAGGGCTGCGAGAGTGCATGGCTGATACTGGTACTCAACTCCAACTTCAAAGGCGATAGGTTGAAATTTCGCGACGAGTCAGCAAATAAGGACCTCCGTGTATGGTGTCAGGTATGTTCGTTCTGGGCTCGGACTTTTTTTCTCCACTCAATTTTTGGGTCTGTTCGATTCCGAGGCTTGCCGACGACCACTTCAGATATTCACCGAAGACAGTCGTTCGACGGACAGTTTTCAGGACCCCCAGAGGAGTTGATTTATTCGTGACAGAGATGCCTCCCTTTACCAAGCGGGCAAACTCCTCGCGTCGATAATCGATCTCGTGAACCGCACTCTTTTTTCTTTCTCTCGTCTGATGCTAAGGATGTAGGCGAATCTGTACCCCGCAGTTCAAAAACCTCAAGACACGAAAATGAAGATGCGTAAACCCCCGAAATAAGAGCTTTTGATCGGATTGGCAGGCCGATGTCCTGTAAATAGTTAGAAATGCGTGAGTAGGGTTGGTAAATGGTTATAATAGCGACATGAGGGCAACGGGCTGGAATTGGAAAGGGTTGAAGAAAGGTTTGGGCAATATATCTGGTACTAAGTCCTCTTGCCCGTCAGCCCACGGCACGGCGGTACATTTGTCATGTGGTCAAGAAAATTGGTCAGAGCGGAATAAAATGGAATGGTCCATCAATGGCCGCCATCAGCGGCATCCCATCCACCCAAGCTCACTAACGTTAACTACCTACCTAGGAGCATCTCGCTGCCTCGGCCGGAAGCCTTCGGGCCCGGAAAATCGCTACCTAGGTAAGCTTGACGCTCGGCCATCCTATGATAAGAATGGAGAGATGTTCATAATGGTACGGAGTAGAGAGATACTCCAGACTCTCGACTCAACCTGCAGTCACCCATGACAAGTTGTATCGTCCTTGTATCATCGTGAGTCCCCAGGCAGTCTTGTCTCTTTCATGCGACCCCTCATATGAGGCTCTTGGTCGGCTTCGTCGAGCCCAGCGACTTCCACGCCTCTTCCTGGCTTCTCATTTCGTCGCACATGGTATTACAACTTTCTAACGCGCCATACACCGCCTCCCAAGCCTGCTCTATTTTCACGGACCGATCGATTGACTGATCGAGTCGGTCCAGACGTCGTTCGATGTCTTCATACCTTTGCTTAGCGATACTCCTCTCTCTCTCTTTCTCTATCTGCGCTCTCTCTTTCTCTCGTTCGCTCTCTCGTTGTCTCTCTGCTCTCGCAAGGTAGAAGTGGGATCCCGTGAGACCGGCAGCCCAGCTCACGGGCACCACGATATTTGGCCTGGCAGGCCCTTGAAGGAGGGTGACTGAAGACCGTCAGTTCCATGACTCTTAATATTGGTCAGGTGAGCTTAGTACATATCTTGTTTCTGAACATTCTATTCTCCTTGAGATGAAGATATCGCAGCCTCAACTCTGAGAGGTACTGAGCTGTTCAAATTCTGCCGATGTGAGGTATGTCTTCCTTGTATCGTACGATGACGGGCTTGAGGTTGAATCAAAGAGTCCGTCGGCTGCAATTCTCGACACTGTTTTCGCCGGGCTGGCGCTCCTGCATCTTGAACAGCAAAGGAAGAAGGGATGCATTTATGGACGGTGCGAGAAGATTTCGAAGGCAGTATTATACTTTGAGGGATTTTGATTTTGTCTTTGGCAGCAATGGGTCGCGCGTGAAATCTTGACCAACGCCGGGTTGCAAGTGGTCTCTTATACCCAGGTTGTCGGTGCAGAAGAAGTATTGATGTAGTCTGAGGGACTTGGAATGAGGAAGAATATTGCTCGTGATCATTAACTTGTCCATCCTCATAGAAGACTGGACTGTTCCTTCTCAACCAAAATCTCAGACTCGCACCAGCGTAATGCAGGCCATTTTCATAAACCTCCAGTACCAAATGTTCTCGCACCCCAAAATGCCACAGAAAACTTTGCGACCTTTTGCAAGTCTCGGAATGCGCCGTACAATCATCATCTCATCATACAATGGCCCCTGTTATAACCCCATCCGGAATGTGCGCCTTTTCAAGTTTCCAGCACGTCAATTTTCCTTCCTCGGGGGCCTCTTGAGGGAGTTTCCACTGTGATCACACTGTCCTCTTCTTCATCGTCAAGCGAGCCTTCTGATCTCTTGAAACGATTGCTGTAGGGGAGGATCCGCCTTCCAGGGAATCTTTGCCACACCCGGGCCATGAAGTTGGATTCTGGCGGTGTGATCGCCGGGCGTTCGAACGTTTTTTCTGCATCGTCTCCGAGGGACGTTTCATCTGGGTCCACGTCGTCTTCCGACTTTTCCACAACATCGCTCACAAAGTTCTCTCCCCGATTGTCGTCGCAGAACACTTCCATCTTTAGCCTGCTCCCCGAGAGCACTCCTGGAGAAAAAGGCGAGAATGCAGGCCTCTTAGGCGTGCTTCGTTTGGCTGGCGTTAGCTGCCCTTGATCATCAGCTATCCGGACTGGACTAGACAACGGCGATACTGGAGGTCGTCTAGCCTGCGCCAAAGGTGAAAGAACAGCTCGGCCTGGATAGTTCGGCGGCAACTTGTACTTCTTTATCGGCAGTTGCTTCCTCGAAGGTGTGCTTGGGGGCGTCTGCTGGACAAACCAATCGTGAGCTGGTATGTCGACAGTGATCTTCGACTTCTTATTCGGCCTATTCTCGACGCCTTCATCCACGTCAACGGACTTTCTCTTTCGTTTGGGCTGTGCTGATTTGGTGACCGTCAAGGCAAGATCGCCCTGTCGAAGCCAGAGATCAGGACGCCGCGTCTTCAGGTCATTCACCCAATCGTCACAGTCCATCGCAACGAAGTCGTCAATAATGCCTTCCCAAGTAGTTTCCGCTGGCCGCGTACGGTTGACAAAGATTACGCGTCCCTTCCCGTCCTTGCGAGAGTGGACTGCTTTTGCAAATTCTCGCACAATTCTTTGTAATCCAAAGACTTTTAACGAAGTGCCCATGATTATCATGACTTCGGGTTGACAGCTGGCGTCAAAGGGAATCAATGGCGTCAGTAACGTATTTGAAGGATGGTCTTCCCCGTACAGCACGATATTTGGCCGAAGCGTCCCCACTGCCAGTCCTCTTTTCCCGCTTGCCTGTCTTTCCTCACTCTTTGCCTTGCATTTTTGGCAGCTAGGCGCAGCACCTTCCAAGTAGATCTCGGTCTCTTCATCTGTCCATACAAAGTGCGCGGCGCACATGCTGCAGCGCAGCTTGTCCAGATCACCATGTAGTTGCACCACTTCACAACCACCGTCGAAGTCTGTCCCGGAGGTATGTGCAGGTCGCGGTACTTCATAATGTTTCTTCATGAACCGTCGCTTGTTGCCCCTCCCGCGAGCAAGGTCAGTCACTAGGCCTTCTCTTGCTTCTAGCCCGTCTATGTTCTGGGTATAACACCGCATCAATCGACCGCCATCACGAAGAACTCGGATGAGCTTATGAACCGAACTCGTGGACCGTACTTCATCGCGTATCTTTTGACGTAGAGAAGCTATGAACTGGTAGAAGAGAGTCGTAGAAGCGGCGTTCTGAAACACTCTGGAGTCGAAAAGGTCCTGTCCTTTGAGCTTGGACGACGGACTCGAAGAGAACCGTCTACTAGCATTGGATGAGGATGAAGATTGCGAGGATGGGATATCGTGTTCGTCGACATCGACGCGATTTCTCGACGGGGTGGAAGGCTGTGATGCCGGAGGAGTTGGTAGGAGAGCTTGTTCTGGAATGATGTTGTAGAGCCCGTCCTTCGAGCGGAAATCCTGTGCGCAAGTCAGAGTCTGAATGGAAAGTTGATTAGCAACAATTACCGGTATTCCACAGCTGGTGCTGATCCCAGCACCTGTAACAACAAGGATCTTGTGCGACCCTGCAAGGCTATCTGCGATTTCCTGCAACGGCCGCTCGTCTCCAAAGGTGAGCTCGCGCAACCCCATCTTCGAGGGCGATATCGCCTGATTTGTCGCGTTTTATTTTTGATGAGTGATACCGAAGATACCAAATGAGGTAGCAATGGATGCGATGTAAGAGAGACACAGCTCTGCGTCGAGTCGTGACTTGTGCTCAAGGTCCGGGAGTCCACAGTCTTTGACCATCCGCGTCAGGTTCGCGTTAGAACATCATTCTAGGCCCACTGGACCGACAGGTGGACCTGGGGTTGTGAATAAAGACGCGTCCAAGCCCCGCAGACAGGACCGTCATCCAGACAGAGTACCAGTACCGTGATCGAAAGCGCAAGGATGTTGTGAATATTGTCAAAGACGAGGAGTTTATTCCTGCTTGACGAGGAGCTTTGGTTGTTTATGCCCTGAGCTGTCGAGCTGGCCAATCAAACCTCGCCAATGTGCCAGATCGACGACTAAAATCTTAGCAGCGGCAACAACCGAGCCAATGACAAATCTCTGCCTCGTCTTCACTCAATCCGTGGTTAGTCAGGCAAAGCTTGGAGTAAAGGCTCGTCGAGCCACGGATTGAGCCAGATGCAAGGAATAGGCGTGTCAGAGTCCTTGTGAGACCGAAGGCAAGGGCCCAAGTTAAGATGCTGCACATATCTTAACCGGCAAGCTTGGCTAGGCATCATCGAGGCCCTGGCGGAGTTGCTATTTGGACAATGATCACCTGCGACGCATCACATACCACGCTCTGTCAACAGGCAGAGGACTGTAGGAGTGGGAGCAGGAACGGGGCCGTGTCGGAAATCGTGCAAATGCCGTATTGACATGCGTTTCGGCAGGTGAGAGACTAGGACCAAATTTACAGGATTAATACCGTACGGCCTTGAAAGGCCAACGTCGGATTGATCGACGTGATCGACCAACGGAGAAGATCTTTACAGGCTTTGATACAGGTGTATTACGACTATGGGTCCTCTGGTTCATCTAGCATCCAATGATACTCTTGGACTATGGCGGGGTCACAAGAACAGGTGTATGGAAGCGTTACAACCTTCGTCACCATAACTTCCAGGAAGGCTCCCTTGGCCAATCGCCTACTTTCTCGACTGCTCTCGGTCAATTCGGCCTGCCCGCTCACTCACATTGTTGAAGATGAGATGCAACGTCTATATAAACCAGGGCGTTTCAGACCAGAAGGACAGTCTCTTCAAGCTCAAAGAGACCATCCAACTCTCTTCGCTTACATCTCTCCAAAGCCAAGCGCTATCACGCCAAACTTACCTAGGTATTTTCCCCAGACATGGCTGATCACCCACCATTCAATGCAGAAATTCCACCTAGCTCAGAGGAAATAGATCATCCGATTGTTGAGGGGAGCCAGACCGCATCGGAGCACGACGAGATTCCCTGCGAAGACCGCGATATACAGGGTCACACCCAGTGGAATTGCAACAAATGTCGCGAGCGCCTTGATCGCGACTTCGATGATCTTGTTCGTGAGGACTGGACAGCTGGGGACTGGACAGAAAGCCAAATCGCCGCGGTCGGCTTGTTCCGCCAGTTCGACAAGACGCCGTGGTCGGAATTGATGCCGGATCCCAGCCAGCCGAAGAAAGGTCCAGATCCATACCTGGGCCTGGAATTGCCTGAAGGAGTTGCAGGCTCGCATGGATGCTGCGAGGGAGTTTCACGAGGCCATGACTGCACAACACCACTTGCTGAATCAAGCCAAGGCCAACACCACCACATCGTCCGCGGACGATGTCGTGTGCAAGGACAATGACGGGAACGAACTCCATCCGGAATGGAGTTGCCACCACTGCCTCGCGCGTCGGGACGACCATTTCGACAAGCTTCTCCGTGAAGCCATGCTTTACGAGGGCTGGACCGAAGCTCGGATCAACGCCCTCGGCTCGCTGCGACAGTTCGACACGAAGCCTTGGACCGAAATGGTGCCCGACTCATCTCAGCCACAGCTCGTCCAGGTACACGCTTGGTGTTCAACTCGCCTTCAGGAGATTGAAGATAGAATGCGAAACGCAAGCGATTTTTACAAGGCAAGAATTGGAATTGAAGAAGTGGTCGACAAGGCAGAGACCGGAGAGCGTTGCAGAGATAGGGGGTGCAGGGGTCCCAGTCCATCATTGCATTGATCTCTCGACCTTCGTCCTCCATAGTTTCAATGAGATGCGAACCTGCTAGCTCCCACGTCTCCACCAGCCTGCTGTGCACAACCGGGTGACGCTCGAGCTCTTGCCAGTGCCCGGAAGAAGCCGCACAAAATGGGGCTCCTCCTATTGCGGAAACCTCATGCGTGATATTGCATTCGTCCCCTCTCCTATTCCACGACGGCTCGTGGTAGCTAATTTTGCCGGAGGAGCCCACGACTGTATCGCTCCCTTTCCCCGTTCAATGCTGTCCCAGTCACCCAAAACCAGAGCCTTGAGAGCCTTTTCAAGCCAGTTTCCTCCTTTTGCGACGGTTGTCTCTCTCCGCAAAAGCTTCTGGAGGCAGGATCGCACCGTAACGCTCCCATTCAGCTTGGTAGTTGGCCGACCAACCCGTACAATCGTCGACAGTCTTCCTCACTACTTTTGGACGAGATCCCATGTCCGGTCCCTCTTCTTCCTTGACCGGCCTCTCACTGTGATTGAGCATGTTCAGCAAGCGCGACTCTTCGTGCCGTCTAGCTTCTTGATCCAGGCGCTCCATGTATTCGTCCTCTTCTTGTCCAAGCAGTTCGAGTCTTTGCCGCCTTGACAACCGCCTACTCCGAGACTTGGCAATCGGAGAAACCTCTTCCTCTTCCTCAGCAGAAGAACTTGGCAAAGCACCATACGCGGCATCGTCATCGCTTTCATCGTCTGATAGAGATGCCGAGGATGGTAACTTTTTCCGAAAATGCTGACCTTCGCTGGCTTCCTCTTCCCCTTGAACTCCGTCCAAAGGACCCACAGATGAGCTTTGACTTTGGAGCGTCTCTTCAGAAGTGATGGATATAGACCTGGGCCGGCTGGATCTCGACAGACTGAGTTCCGCCTCATCGTATGACATTACTTCTCTTACGGTTGCGCCCTTCTTGTGCGCCCCTCCAACTACCGTTAGTCCATTTCTCCTCGCAACTTTGACCCAGAAGTTTCCCCAGCTGGACTTGACTCCTAGCACAGCGAGTGCGGCAGAAATATCTTCGTTTCTGATTAGGCCACCTCGCCTGGATTGGCCCGACCTAGATGAACGAATCCGAGATTTCGCCATGAAGATGCAAGCCTGGACCAGTCGCCTGGTAAAGCTCGTAACCAAGTTGAACATCTCCTCCACAGAATCTAAAGTCATTGCCGGACGTTGGCCATCTTCAACAACTTGATGCCACGTGGTACTGTGGACATGGCCCGAATTCATAAAGAGCCGCTCGCTAAGGGTCAGAAACTTTGAAAGGTGAAAGAGTTGACATGCCTCTCCAGCCCATGAAACGTCTTCGCCATCGGAATCATCTTCCAGATCAATGGTGGAATCTCTGCCATCGGCCTTCTCATCGAGCTTTGCAGCCGTGACGCCGTCGATCAACCATATTGGATTGTTGCGCTGCGCAACAGCAAAGTCATACTGCTCTTGGAATGCTCCTAGTGCTTCTGCGGCCTGATCAAGTACAGCTTCACAGTCAGGGCCGATCTCAAAGGAAGCGGGAATCTCAGCATGCGAGAGATTTCTTGGTTGAGCTTCAAATAATTGTCGGTCGGTTTCCTGTTGTAGAAGACTGTCCAGGTATGCCTTGACTTCGACTTCGGATTTCGAGCCGACCAGTCTTGAGATAGTTTGTAGATCATGACGACCTTTGCGGCGTAGGGCATCGAAGAGTCGGTCCTTCTCCTCTGATTCCCAGATTACGGCTCCCAGCTGTGTAGCAGTGAAATTGTCGGGCGAACTGTCCTCCTCCTTAGCCTGGAAGGTCTTCTTGAATAGCTCCAGATACTGATCATTGTAATGTCGCCGAAGCCGTTCCCACTTTCGGTCATGGAATGGAATATCCGTAGCAAGAGTCCCAGGCGTCGAGTATGGATCAGGTAGTTGCGTTGTTGTAAAGCCTTCATCGTGGCTAGCGGAAGTTGAAGTGGCACTACTTGAAGCCTCATCCTGGAGGTCCTTGTCCGAGATATCCATCTTTTATTCTGCCGTCCCCAGACATGTCACCCGGGTCTTTGAATGGCGACAGCGATTTCGCAATATGCATGTCGACCGAGACATAGGTGTTCAGTTAGTGTTGTCTGTCCATAGCCTCGCTAGTGGTCTTCCCTGACCGCCAATCGAGATGCAGATTCTGTGAGTGACAGAAGTTGAAGCGGGGCCTGAAGCCAAGAGACGTTAGCCCCTTTTGGGATTAGGCTGATGCCGCTCTGGCGGCTCGGCGGCTGCTCTGGAAACTCCCGACGACTCCCCAAACAGTGTGCTTGCCGTGGCTTGCATACAACACGAGCAACACATTGGGTTGTCAACTCTCCAGCTGAAAAGGCGATGGCTGATTCAACTAACCTACCAATAAGACAGCAGATGGTCTCTAATCACGTCCTTCATTGCATACTTCGATGACCAACTTTTTGGACGACCAGCCCTTGGCGAAATCTGAGCCTTGATCACCTGCTGACATTGGCTTCGTGGGTTATTCTTCCTCAGTGATAACCAAGGAAAACGATAGCCGGCCCCTTGAACAATGGTTTTGCCTCCGCGGCAGTTCCAGTTTAGCCACACGCTAGCAGTCCCACTGCGCCCTTTGGGTTTGGGGAGAAGAAGCCAAGTTGACTTGGAAAGAGGTCGTAATAACCTGCCTGAGAGACTTTACGAGGCTTCCGAGCCACATCTACTCTACCTCCATGGTCTGAAGAATGGTCCCGTCACGGCCGCCACGGTGTACCTCTCGACTCTACAGCGGATGTGTCTCCATGACCTACAGGCCGAGCTTGTTGATGTTGTGTCTCAAATATTTCGCGAAAAGAGGGCGACAAAACAGATGATGGACGATGCCCGCGACCTACTGCAGAAATTCAGTACGGCCTCCTCTCCAGTTCTTGTAACAGTTTGTGGGATTCGACTCATCATTTACTTCACTGAAGCAAGCTGTCTGCGCGACTACGATTACATGATCGAGCAAGAAGCCGAGGCTAGACGCAATGATCAGCCCGACCCGTTCAATATCAGCACTCAAATGGAGTTGGGCCAGTATCTCCTCCGACCACTGATCGATCAACAGCTCGCCGACCAAAACCTTACCCAGCGGCTTCGGCCCCCTCTCGATCAAGGAGAAGTCCAGAGAGGCAACAATGTATTGCCCCCCGGCGTAGCTCGAGGAGCCGCCAACGATGCCGCCAGATTGCGTCTATTGATCACGTCGTTCGTGACCGGAATAATAGCGGGATTGGCGCTTATACTGCCAATGCTGATAACGGTCTTGGTCGGTGGCTTGGCTATAACATTGATAATATCGAGTGCAGCTGCAATTCTCTTCGCTGGGGGTTTGGCCTTCTTCACAGATATGCAGCCCGAAAGTGTTATGGGAGCGGTTGCCGCTTACGCAGCAGTCTATGTTGTTTTCGTAGGTGCTAGCCTCTAGTTACGACGTTCTAAGGCTAGCGTTTCCCTGGGCTTTCTCTCAAGGTTTAGTTGGCGGTGTCGCCGTAGAGTAGGAAAGGAAGTCGAAAGGCAGAAACGACCAACGCGCTTCGATTTCAAAATCTGGGAACCTGGTTGAGCGCCAGCGCGGCATCCCAGTCTGGCGCAGGAGCAGAAGTCATTGTCGAGAGGGGAAGAGGCGGGTTGCCAGTGTGTGCAAGGTGAGTACGTGAGCAGGCGAGTACGTGAGCAGGTGAGGCGGTGTTTACAAGCACGATCGTTAGTCACAAGCTTCTTAGATACTCCCCTACAATTCCTATCCCGTCTCGCAGCAATGCTTTCCTTATGCTCTCTTGCATCTGCTGGGGAATCGCCGTCGACTCTCTGCGACTTGGAGATTCCCACTTCTCGCCCTCCACGAACATGGCAACAACAACGAGGCCGGCGAAATAGCACCACCACTTCCACTCGGCTGCGGTTTCGCGAATCCCTGTCGCAACAGTCTCAAGAATCGTATTCAGCTCAGCAGGTGTCAAGATCAATCCTTCGATAAGGCCAGCGGTGACTTCGACGTGGCGCGATTCAAGAAGGATGGGCTGTCCGAGCAGCTTCATCGAGGCTTCAATATCGCGGAACATGACTAGTGATGGGTCGTTGCTGCTAAGTGGAATGTTTTCATGCGAAATGGCCAGTCTCTGGCGACATGTAGCGATGAACAAGTTCGGTATATCGATTGTATAGTCGACAACCAGCGGCTCGAGGTCGCGGTATGGCGATCTTTCTTGTGGAAGATACTCCAGCGACAACAGCGCATAGATTCTGTCCCGCCGGTCCGAGCATTCGGCGTGCTGGAATTCGCGCGATAGCATTGATATCTCCCTCGCGCTCTTTTGTTCGACATCGCCGACTTCGTCATCCTTCTGGGCAGACCGTCGTAAGGCGATGATGATGTCCAGCATGCCAGCACCCAGCTGGCCGTGTCTGGTGTCGCCCCTTTGATGGACGACACGAGCCTCGCCCGCGGAGATCTGACCGAGCTGGTTCCTCACACCCCGTAGTCCTGCTGACGACTCGATCAGAGGCTGCCAATCAAGTGAGTCGTCCCCAGAGTACACCGTGAGACCCTGTGCCAGTGCCAGCTCCTGGATGATCCAGACGCGGCCGAAATATGGCCTGTTGATGAAGTTGATCCAAGCAAGGACATTTGATTCTTGGTCTTTCGATTTGGATGCTTTTTTGCTGGTCATCAAGCCCCTTGCCATACCCAAAACTGAAGTACGCGCCTTGATGTCCCGGAACAGCTTCTCACTGCCGTCAGCGTGTAGACCGGTCCAAACAAAAACTCGCCTAGCCGCGCCGAAGATACGGCCTATCATTTGTACTTGCTGAGCCTTCTCGTCGAGGTCTGTCTGGCTGATGCTGAGCGCATCAATCCAGATGGGCCTTCTCTGCTTCTCCCGGCGTAGCTGGAGAAGGAAGTCATGAAGATTCTTTCGGATGCGCAGTCTGTGGCCGTCGACGATGATCTCTTGCTCGTCGAGATCGGTACCCCAAGTGTACGAGACAGCGTCGAACGTTGGATATTTGTCAATGTCGATGATCGCGAGAGAGGCTGACAGTGTTTCGGAATCGGTACTGCAGGGGTATATTGTCAGAACACGGGTCGAGGTAGAGTTTGGCAGCGTCGTGTATAAAGGGGTCGACATGGCGAGAAGATTTGATCCAGATAGACGGTGCTGCTATGCTAGAAGACCTGGTATGCGAAACTTATCACCGTTAGCAGACGTCGATTTTCTTGAAGGTCATTCAGTCAAGACGTTGGACCATGGGACGCCTGACGAAAGGAGGTGGGAAATCCGGCCCCAATGTTGCTGCAAGCCACCACAATGCCAAAACTACTTCATCGGCGGTGGTGAAAAAGCGACAACCTTTACACATTCGAGTGGACAGAGCTCCAGGACATCATCATTCTCGTTCTATCCTACTTCAAATCAACAACATTGATTGAACAGCCGTCTGGTTGTCCTCATCCTCATGCTCAGCCTTCAACCGTCTTGACGCTTTCTGCAGGCAAGGGTTCAACTGGACGCGCCCTCTTGAGCGATTCTTTGACCGGATGCTTCGCTTCGAAGATGACATCCAACTCCTCCAAAGTCCGGCCCCGGGTCTCAACAAAAAAGACGTATATCCAGAGCGCCTGCACCATGTTCCAGACAGTGTAAATGATGTAGATTCTCCAGCCAATGCGTTTGAGACCGATGGGAGTTCCATACGTGTTGACAAACTCCGCGACATTGAGGCAGAAATTGTTCAAGCCCATGCCTTTGGCACGGATGTTGGTATGCAGGCACTCGACAGGATAAGCCACGACCAGTGGATTGATGCCGGCACTGTGGAATATGCCCACAAAGAAGATGAACGCTATGGTCAAGTTGGACACCGCCTCGGCCTGGCTGGAGTGGTAGTGGGAGGTCAAGCCAGTCAAGCCGACCAGGCAGCAACACATGGACAGACATCCAAACATGAGCAGCTTGCGTCGTCCGACTCGGTCACAGACGAGCGAGCCGGTGGTGGCGCCCCCGAGCGCCGACACGTAGTAGGCAAGGTTATAGGTCAAGAGCCGGGATTGGCCTTTGACCCCTATGCTGCGAAGAATATTGGCCTGGTAGTACGTGGTCAAATTGCTGCCTCCCCATTGTCCTAAAATTACGAGGCACATAACATATCAGCACATATTACGCAGCGGAAGAACAATCGCAGGCGCGCCTGCGAAATGACAGTGGCAGTGTTTGGCTTACCGATGCATGCCATTGAGACGACCAAGAAGGTGCGATAGCGGTTGGCTCTGGTGCTGACCAGTTCCGAATAGTCGTACCATCTTTTGTCCGATGCGGCCTGTCTGATGCTGGCCCGCATCTCGGCCATCTCCAAGGCGATCAATGGCGAGTGCTCGTCTCCCGCGGCATGGTATTTGACCAGCAGGGCTTTGGCCTCGTCGAAGCGATCGTTGGCCACGAGCCATCTTGGAGATTCGGGCAAAAACAAGCTAAATGCCACTACCACGCCGGCCGGGACGACCTGCAGGATGAGCGGAAGCCTCCAAGACAGGTCGGAGTCGATGGGCCCTGATGCATATGCGATGGAGCTGGCGAGGATGGCCCCGATCAGCCAGAGGGAATTGTACAATAGTGTCGCCGGTCCTCGCCATTGAGGAGGACTGATCTCCGTCACAAACGCTGGAGCTGCGGACCTCACAATGGCGACCCCAAAGCCCGCTAGGAATCGACCCGCCATGTATGCGCCGGATGTCTTTGCTGTGGCCATGACAATCGCCCCCGTCAGGACAATGACGGCGCCCACAAACATACCAATGCGTCGACCGTACCGGTCCGATGCTGGGCCGGCCACAAACGAGCCAGCGAGGTTTCCGATGGTGTAGATGGCCGTGACGATCCCCAGATATCCTCCGGTCTTGGGGATATCCAGATCTTTATGCCAGCGAGAATTCGCATTCATGGCCGACGACAAGGAGCTGTCGAATCCCGTTCCCCATGAGTCTGCGAACGCGCTGGGGTTAGTACTCGTACTCGAAGAGGCCAGAAGGGAGCCTTTTCGTAACTGAGGACTCACTGCAATAAGCAACAAAGAGGAAGAAGCACAATCGAAGTGTGGTCGTCGAAGTAAACTTCAGCTTGGTCGCCTTGACCTGCGCTGTCATTTGCTCTCGCAGTTCCTCGCTGTCAAGGGTGACGGCATGGTCGTTGAGTACGAAACTGGTGTCCACAACCATGGGCTTCACGTCGGTCTTGCTGGCTTCGTGTCCTGCCTCGAGATGCACAGCATCGGAGCTAGGTTTGTCGGCCGCCATCTCATCAGAGTCGCGTGATTATGATTGGGGAAGTATGCACTTGAATTTTTCATTCCTTTGAAAGGGGCCGCGTCGAGGTATATATATCTGCGCCTCCATCGATGTCCGTGGGGAGCGAAACGAGGGGTCGCCAGGAGTTGATTCCATTCGAATGCTTCTCTGCCGTTTACTCCGTAGGTTAGGATGGAGATGGTGTGTGCGAGGGCGAGGCCCATGTTCATCCCGCATCCCACAGATTTCATCCCTCATCCCGCACAAAACTCCACGTGGACTGACCTACCGAACGGAGCGCCAATCACCCACAGGTAACCTCAAGTTGCCGGTCTTGGATGGGTTCGTACTGTATCCACTTTGACTTGACCTCGAGTACCTGGAATATCTGAGCCTGGTACGAGTAGAACACACGTACGCTCCTTGGGAGTCGGTCTGGACGGGCTCACCACATGTATGATTACTTCTGTAGGAGCATACCGAAGTGTATTATTACTGCATTCAGTCTAGGAACGGTCTATCTGGCATCTGTCAATCCTCCATACCATAGTATACCCATTGTGGTCTCTCCTTCAGGCCTTTGGCAGTGACTGTCAGCTTCTGACCGGGCACAACATCGAGACAGTTATCGCTCCACTCGGCTCCCTCATTGGTGAAGAACAGGCCTTTGATAGGCTTCGCTGCTGAGACCTCTAAAACTCCCTCACGAGAAGTCTCGACCTGTAATTGACGGTCCGGGAAAGTGAGATGTTTGAGTGGTTGAGGCCAGTCCACCTCCTGCGAAACAAGCCTCCCATCGAGGTCGAAGAGTTCGGACACCAACACGATGGGCTCGTTTGCTTTCGGGGTGGCGCCATGCATTACTTCCGTGGTCCCAGTGGCTTTGGCTTGGATCGTCTGCTCCATGGACGGCCGCACCTCGAGTCCCGATTGTACACCAATAAATCGTACCCGGATGCTCAGTTCTGTTGACGTGGTGGTCGCATTCGCGACCCAGACGGAATACGTCGAGTCTTTAGGAGGATATATATGAGGCGTTGCATGAGCAATGACACCAGCCGCGTCGGCCTTGGTCTTTCCGGTAACGAATGCCTCGTGCTGCTGGTTGGGTCGGGGGTTGATCTTTTCTATCCTAGCAATGCCTGTCACTAGAGGCTTCAAGGCTCGTGAGATGACATAGTAGGCCATTTTTGGACGCTCAAAGTAGTCGACAATCGCCCAGCTGACCACCGGCCATGTGTCGTTCGTCTAATATCCATGTCAGCCAGACGATACAAGATGCGACACACCCACGTCGAGGGGAGGCATTTCCTTACCTGCCAGACCAGTGCTCCTCCACACTTTCTCTGCTCAAATTGCCGGCGCCACCCTCGAAAAGCATAACCCATGGCTTCGCTTTGAACCAGTTGCGTCAGATACACGTACGTGGGTAGATTGAACGACATGCGAAAGTTCTCCCCCATACAAGTAAACATCCGCTTCTCATATGAACTCGCCTTGCAGTGAAACTCGAACTCTTCGCTTTGAGGATGCAGGTCTTTGCTGCTGCCGAAAAAGGTGGACTTGACAGTTTCCAGCGCCGGGCAAGACAGCATCCCAAACTCGGACACGAAGCGACCAGCAATGTCAGGGTAACGTTGGTACGGCAGAAGCATGCCGCTCGACACGTTCCATATATGGACGTCGCCGACCGTGCGGTCACTGTTGTTATCGACCCCTCCGAACGGGGAGCCAGGCCAGTATAGTGTTCCTGCAGAATGCGCTTGAACCAGGTCGGGTAGGATCCTCTCATAGATGAAGCGGCCTCCGAACGAGGACTCCAACCACTTGTCCTCCAGCATCTTCATATCATGGGAAAGACCTTCGTTTGCGATTTGGTAGTCTTCATTGTTACCTGCCCAGATAGCAAGAGATGGGTGGTGCCTCAGGCGCCGGATTGCTTGAATGGCTTCTTGCTTGACGCTCTCCCGGAACGCCTCGTCGGATGGATATTGTCCACATGCGAAGCAGAAATCTTGCCAGACTAGAACTCCTTTTCGATCGCACTCGTCATAGAATGCGTCGTCTTCATATATGCCGCCGCCCCAGACACGAAGCATGTTCTGGTTGCCTCTGACAGCCAGATCAATCCATCTCTGGTACCTTTCAGCTGTCATCCGGGGCAGAAAGGAGTCACCCGGGATCCAGTTGCTGCCGCCCATGAATATGGGCACACCATTGCACTTGAAGTAGAACGTAGAGCCGTCTTGTAAAGGTGATTGGATCAACTCGATACGACGAACACCAAAAGTTTGTTTTCTCGAATCCAGAACTTTGTCCGACTCGGAGCGCACAATGACATTGATCTGATACAGAGGCTGAGCGCCGTGGGTGTGAGGATACCATAATTTTGGATGAGTAAGCTTGAAGTTTGCTGTGTTCGTCTGAATCTTTTGAGTATCCAGAACAGTTCCATCGGGATCTAGCAGTTTGACTTCGCTAAGTTGTGAAGGGAGGCATGGTTCGATGGTGGTTTCGACTGTGACCGATGCTTCGCTGCAGTCTTCGGATAGATCGACGTTTACCTTGACATCCTCAATTCGGTGCGTGTATCGGTCAAGGTATACAGGCTTCCAAGGGCCGCAAGTCACCAAAGATGGGCCCCAATCCCAGCCGAAATGATACTGAGCCTTGCGTACGTAGACCCGGCCATAATGTCCGTTCCAGGCCAGTAAGTGGCCTTTCTGAGACCTTGAGGCTTCACCTCGATCGTATGCAGATGCGAAGACTATCTCCAACTCGTTGTCCGATCTCAGCAAGTCTGTCACATCCACACGATGGGATATGAACATATTGTCGGTCCTGTAAAAATTCAGCTTTGAGACCTCCATATACTGTGCGTTGGGATTACTTGAGAATCTCGCGCCCATTGAGCTTTACAGTGGCGAATGTGTCCAAACCTTCGAACACCATATCCACGAACTCATGTTGGCGGGAGGGTTGGAACTCGAAAGTCGTCTTGTAGGCCCAAGTCTTGCTGTGCACCCATTGGACATCTGCTTCATTCTTGCCAATGAAGGGGTCGGGAATGGCTTCGGCTGCCAACAGATCCAGGTGGATGCTACAGTCGAGCTGTTAGTTAAGTAGATCTCTAACGAGCGCAACAGGTCAGCATCATCTTGTCGGTTGCTTACTTGGTCGGGATCTGGGTACGACCACTAAGCCCATGGCCGTCACAGTCTCGCCAGGTCCAGGTGCTAAGCGGCGTTCTGGTCCGGTGCTGTGCCATCATGGGGTGCTTACAACTTCGACTCAGCTTGGAAGTCCATTCCGACAAGTTGTCTGCCATAAATATGATGGCTACGAAATCACCAATCGCGCCATGCGACCAAATTGAGCATAGTCTGACCTCTCGGAGGGGGCGCTGCATTTTCGTGGGATGCGGGATAAGCGCTGCGGGATGGTGAAATGTCCGTTCTGCTCAATTGGGCTGGGGACGCCTGTACTGGAGATGTTTGACACTGCGGTCTTTGGCGAGGGGGACTGCAAATTGCAAGACCAGGTGACGTTCCAAACTGAGCGTGACGGAACAGTTGTTCCAAGTTTCCGGTCCATAGCCAAAGTAGAGGACAATCACCGCGTCGCCGCCAGTCTGACGATCTATAGTCTATCACCCACGCCATTACTGACTGTCTTGTCGCTTTGCTTAGCCATGCGAAGACGATCCCATTGCATCGTCCTTCTTTCAACATCCCCGACACCTTTCTGCCATGGTCTGTGCTCATACACCAGCACGGCTCCTTGTTCCAGCAGTCTTTGCTGTAGCTGATCAATGTCAACATCCTCGACAGCCAGGCCAGCTTCAATGCACAATGCAGCCGCCAACCCCGCCGCCTGGCCGAGTGCCATCCAACATGGTTCCATACGGACAGTGGAGAAGCCAACGTGTGTAGCAGACACCGGGACTGGCGCGAGAAGATTGGTCAAAGGCGCGTCTGGAACCATCACCCCGTAAGGGATGGTGTACGGCGTGCAGGGATAGCTAAAGAACCCGTCGAGATGGACTCTGCCGGGCTCTCGCTTGCGTACGGCATGCGAGTCCAAGGCATAGTGGCTTGCCGTGACGCTGGTGCTGTGGATAGCCGGACACAGTCGCCTGCTACCGTCCGTTCTGCCTTCTTTTCTCCCGTTGGCGTCCTCACCATTAGAATACACCGATCCGGCGGCAGGCACGTCATTCGCCGTGAAGATGTACTTCCCTCTCATGCGCCGTCCTTCCCGCACGTACATCTGGCGCGGAAAGTTACCGTTGTCTCGATACTCGTCGGCTGCCCAGCCCCAATTTCGACACTGGTCACGGAACCACGCTGGCAGCGCCGAATCGTTCTGCGCAAAGTACAATAACCCCTCTGTGTACTCGCGCAACCGTCTTGCAAACGCATCGCGCCATGCCCAACCCGAGGTTGGGTAAGGCCAGTTCTCCTCGGGCAAGTCTGTGGAAATGAAGGCAAAATGCTGATTATTGCCATCGACCTTGTTGTTAGGTAGTCGAACGTTGCTTAGCAAACGCCGGATGCCATCCAGCTTGTTCGGGACCGGTGGCTGGTTCAGCGAGGCTCGCTTCAAGTTCAACGCCATTTGCTCTTGTGAGAGTTCGAGAACATCTACACCGGTATGTCGACCAGTGGCGACATCGTCGATGAGCGACACAAACTCTTCTCGATTGTAGTGCTCCGGCTTTTTGATGTCAACACGGTTGCACGGATCGTCAGTCATGCACAGCCGGTAGTTGTACGCCTGCACGGCGTTGTCGCCGCAGTGGGTGCTCCCAACGTCTTCAGGTCCGTACCACAGCTTGTACACCCTGCCTGCGCCGATTTCATGGTAGACATCCTGTCCCTCTCGACCAACGAAGAATGGAACTCCAGCGGCGGCAATAAGATCGCCCTCGTACGTTGCGTCCAGGAACATCCGACCACGATACGTTTCCGTCTGCTTGGTATCGAGATTAGTCACCTGGAGGGACACAATTGCTTCCGCATTCTGTTGGACATTCTCTGGCTCGAAGTCAAATTGTCGCTTGGTCAAGACCGTGATCTGCGGATACTCTAGGAGCCATTGATGGAACACAATTTCTGCGACAGACGGCTCGAAGTGGTATCCGCCATCGCAGTCGCGCGTTTGAGCTGAGTCAGCCCCGTATGTCGAATTATAGTACGTTTTGATCCGGCGCACAAACTCCAGAAAGAGCCCGCCCGTGGCTCCTCTTGTGGCAATGTCAGTGGCACCCAGACCGTTCGCTGGCAGCCCGCCGATGTAGGGCGTTCTCTCCAGGATGATGCTGGTCTTGGAGCGACGAGCCGCCGCAATGGCAGCTGTAATCCCGGCGGGTGTTGCGCCCACGATCACGAGGTCGGCTTCGCACATGATGGAAGTTGTCTTCGTCATCGTGCAAGGATGAGGATAGCTTCAGGGGCGAGTTCGTGGTCAGTATACCATCATCATTCGGATCGAGCTCTCGACAACGAAACCCACACACCGCAACGATACAAACTCACGATGAGACTTTATCGAAAATGCATAATGTAGAAGCTGAGTCCCATTAAATGATGGAACGGGCCTGGAGATTACCATTTCCGACCAGGTAAACCAGGGAACAATTGGACGCAATTCATGTCTGCCACAAAGTGGGGCAAAGATGTAGGTTGAGTGGGATGTACGATCTCTGATCTGAAAGCTACGAAGTCGGTCCTGGTAGCTCGGTAACTCATCCCGCATGACGATGGATGGATGGATGGATGGATGGATGGAAGGATGTAGATGTTCATCCCGCACCATCGCCAGGCAGTATCCCGCACGAGGCTGGGCAGCCTGTCTCCACGTCGCACACTCTCAGTTACCTACAAGGCATAGTTCAAGCCACGCTCTGTCGCCAATTCATAGTATGCTCATGACTTGTGTCGCAGACAAGTTTCCACGGTATATCGGCATTCGTTCGCCTCACTAGTCAAGTAAGCACTGCTCCAAATCGGCACCATGATTCAAAAGACAGCTTCAAACACTACAAACGGTGCCTTCGAGCTGAACACCGGAGGACACATACCAGCCATTGGGTTTGGAACATGGAAGAGCAAGCCCGAAGATGCCTATATCTCGGTGAAGACCGCGTTGCAAGTTGGGTACAGACACATTGACACTGCTTTTGTAAGTCCCCCTACACTTCTTTCCTTACCGCACAGAACACCGGAGATTGGCAAGACCAAGGTCCCTGTTGAAATACCTTATACTGAGGCTGACATCATTTTAGAACTATGGCAATGAAGCTGAGGTTGGAAAAGCCATCAAAGATAGTGGCGTACCGCGAGACGAAATATTCCTGACCACAAAGCTGTATGTGCCGTGAAGTTCGCGTCGATCATCGTCTATCAAGGTCCGCTTGAAAGCTGATCATTGAGGACTGTGGTTGTATAGCTGGAGCACCTACCATACTCGTGTCGCAGAGAACCTTGAACTCTCCCTACAACGACTTGGAGTTGATTATATCGATCTGTATCTGGTGCACTGGTTAGTCTTGCCCCAATATTTCACTGGGTATTTGTTCGCTCCAACCTGCTCGGTCCTCAACATCGGTATCACACTTATTCAATCAGGCCCGTCGCTATGAATCCACATGGCACACCGCCTATGTTCCCTTTGCTTCCGGACGGCACTCGAGATCTGCAGCATGACCGACATTTTGCAGCGACATGGCGAGACCTCGAAGCGCTGCAGAGTACAGGCAAAGTGAGAGCCATAGGTGTCGCCAATTTCGACGTGCACAACCTCGAGGTTCTGCGTAAAGAATGCACCGTCACTCCGGCCGTGAATCAAGTCGAACTCCATCCTTACCTCCAGCAGCGGAAGCTGAAGAAGTACTGCAAAGAGAGGGGCATTCATGTCACGGCGTACTCCCCGTAAGTGCAATGACTGCTTAAGGATGCCATTCGTCCTCGAACGCGAATCCGCAATGGCTGACTGATGGACTGCGGGTTCAATCAAGGCTCGGTTCCACCGACTCTCCGCTCAAAACCGAAGGTGTTGTAAAAGACATTGCCGCGGAGCATTCGTGCGATCCTTGCGCTGTCTTGCTGGCATGGGCATTACAGTCGGGCCACAGTGTCATTCCGAAGGTAAGTGGAATGCCCCCGTCTTTCTGTGTTGTGTGCCACGAGTGCAGAAGGTCCAATCTTCCAATCGTTGCGGACACCAAGCTGATGAAATCTGCTAGTCCATCACTCCCTCGCGTATCAAAAGTAATCTGCAGGCCGACTCGCTCACACTATCCGAGGAGGACACGAGGAAGATAGATCAACTTGAAAAAGGCCAGCGTTATTGCAACCCACCATGGGGCGTTACCGTGTTTGTAAGTCGACGTGAGTCTCTGTGGTTCTTTCAACTGCTGACAAATCTATCAGCATGATGAATAAAGTTATACAGGTGTTCTGTCGACAATCATGCTTGGAATCGGCGCGCTGATCTGAAGGATTTGAATATGGAAATAAGTAGAACTTACCCTGATGGAACCGAAAACAACCAGGTTAGAGTATCTTGTAGAAACTAGATTAGCTGTGTTGGAGAGGCTGGTTTGCCATTGACAGAATGCTGGTCCGGTCAAAGGATCTATTCAGATACTGATGTTGTCGCTTAACAATCGCAGAACTTGACTGTATTCCTGAGCGTTGCTATTCCGTCTCGCCGCCAACTTTGTTGAGACATGCTGCACGAGTTTCCGCCAGTGCCGTCGACATGCATGGCCGTCTTCTTTGTCAATGGCCGCTTCGATATCCTGTAGATCCGCGGTGATCGATACGAATGGAGAAGATGATGGACCCCGGGATTGTTGAGCATGAGAGCCCGCCTCAAGCCCAGACGAATTCTCTGCCGCTTGTGTACCAGCACCTTCATCGTCATGGCTCACACGGCCGATAAGATAGGCCCAGAGTGTCAACACGCCGAAATATAGTGCCGAGGGCTCATACGGGGAATATATGGTTGGGGAAAGGATGCCGCTAGCGGCCAACAGCCCATCAACAGCACCTTGGTCGCTCGGCGGTTCTGGATTCAGTGGAGGCATCAGATAGAGCTTTAGTAGATGTACGGCATGGCGAGCCGGTTCCGCCCCGACTTTGTGTTTCGTCAAGAGCCGAATGATGGCCGCACGAGTGTGTTGCTTCGGTGTCCGGCCCGTGCGTGAAAATCCGTCATTGGCAGCCTGTTCGAGGTCATCCAAAGGTGTACACAATGCGATGACCGTAATGTGGTAGACCGCTCTGCCATGAGTTTTCATAGCTCCCTCGGGACCTGCCATGAGTCGGCTATGGATCGCGGGAAGCACAGAGCCTAAGCGCGACAGCGCATGTCGGGTCTCGAAAAAGGGTTCTTTCTGGCGCCGCAGAAAATCTAGGACACCAGAAGAGAGGCCAAGAAGAATCAGAAAGTTCGAGAGTTGAGGAAGATTGGATGGTATCGACTTGTGGCCTTCAGCTTCGGAGAGAAGTGTATGACAAATCTGGTCGTATCTTGTGCGATACCATAGCCCGCGCTGTTTCTTATTTTTTTGTGCGCCTTGGGTGAACGCTTGCCACTCTGCTTCGTCGGTGGGAAGCTCAAGCTTTATAGAATACATCGACGATCTGTTTGAAAGAGGGATTAAAAGTATGAGACTGGGCGGGAGGAGGGAGGTCTTACATGCTCCTTGAATGTCCAAAAAACAAGGCATGCTGAACATCTAGAGCGAAAACGAAGAATGCAAATCTGGGGCATATCAGTTCTCCATTGCTGTTGACCGGATCAAGAGCATTCAAAGCTCACCTTTTCGCACTTTCGTTTTGGATTGAGTTGACGCCTGCACTTCCCTCGGTTGACGATGACGCTGCAGGGCCCTGGAGATAGGTACTTTCGAAGAGCCCGAGTCGCCGGCAGAGCGTGACTAGTACGCCGTGGAAGATATCACTGAGCTCCATAGCTGCTCTGTCTGCAAGGTACATGCCAGAATATTCGACTAGCAGCCTAGACCGTCAGGTTAGCGAGTTGTACAGTTGTAGAAGGTTTGAATATGTGAATACGTACATTGCTTGAAGAGTTCCCAGATCAGCCGAATAGATTGTATTCTGTTCGACATACTAGGGGAAGGCAGTCAGTCTCACTTCTGTGCGCGATTGAAGTATAAATCTTACTCGTAGAAGCTGATCTTGAATGTACCTGAGTAAAGCACATCCTATATCATACAACCCATTCTCTTGAGAAGTGAGGAGGCCGACACAAAATATTGTAGCACAGAGCTGCCTGTGAATGAAATCGAAATTGAATGTCGGCCGATGAAAAATGGCAAGAGTTTCCATTATGTGTAGAAAGGCATGATTAAGGAGATGCGACATCCCTTGAAAATCGAAGGCGCGATTAGCCTCAATGACCTTGTACTTCGGTAAGCCAATGTTCGCGGAATCTCGGAGATGGCCTCATTGAATTACTGGTCCCAAGGTGGTCAGGAAACCATAGACTTCCTGACTGATGTAGAGATCTTGGACGATGAGAGGATCAATCCAGTCATCATAAGGAGACTAGTTTATTGGAGCAAATCAGGCCTGAAGCAATATATTAATGACTTGATCGACTTACAACTTCGAGGCCTTCCTGACTCTCATCAACCTGGCTGATTGGCTCAGCATTGCCTGGAATGACAGGCAGAGGATTTTGATGAATCCAGCCCCAGTCTTGAGCGAGATCGAGGCTGGGAGACGCGAACTGAAAGATCTCTGGAAACGCCAGAGTGGACTGGTTGTCCATGGTCACATCGTTCAGGATAGGACCATCGGTCGCAATACCTGTTTGAGAAAACTCGAAACGTTCCTCGGGTCGCTGAGCAGGAAGCGCATTGTCGGGGGCACCCGAGGGAGACACTTCATGGACGACGACTGGCGACGTGATACCAGTGGTGCTAGGTGTGCCTTTTGACGCTTTCCCATGTTTCAACGTCAAATGCCGCTGCAAGAGATCTCTTCGGTAGAAATATCGGTCACATTGAGGACATCGAATAGTAGCATTGCTGTCTGTGAAGACGATTGGGTCAACTTTACCTGTCCTCCAGGGAGAAGTATCTGATGCACATACGGTTAAGCTTGTGCCGGGTCAGGTGTTCGGCTCTTCGAAAACTCTTCCCACAGTCCGAGTAGTCGCAATAATGACGCGCGACTGGCTTGCCGTTGGACATTGATGGACGATGTGTGGGTGCTCAAGATCTGTGGCGCATAACGAACTGTGATGGGCGTCTTGGGGGAGAAGCTGGCAGCTATGGGTTGTCGATGGCGGGGGAGGAGGCTAGCGAGGCTACAAGGGCTCGAAGGCTACCTAAGGTAGTCACTAACTTAACCACGACTCGGCTGACTTGCCCAATAACGCCCCTACGAGCCCTGGACTCTCCATCCCCGTCAACGATGAACAGACTCCTTGTGCGCCTCATTCCTCTAGAAACCCTTCGGCAACGCAATGTCTACTAGGCTATTATGCTCTCACCTCCCAGATGGCTGAACAGAATCACACGTTCAGCGAGATGTGTCCTGCATCCTCGAACTGCCCATCGAACACTCGCGAGTGTTGTCAACCCTTCTCCGCCTGCGGTACGTGAGGAGGCCATCCGCCTCCGCGAATATCAAGAAGAATGCATACAATCGGTCCTCTCATATCTCAGTAAAGGCCACAAACGCTTGGGCATATCTCTCGCTACAGGAAGCGGCAAGACAGTATGTCGTTGTCTGCACACTCTCTCAAGCACAGACTGACCTTCCTTAGGTTATTTTTACACAATTGATCGACCGCGTTTCCCCTCCAAGCCGCGATGCCCAACAGACCCTCATCCTCGCCCACCGGCGCGAGCTCGTCGAGCAAGCTGCCCGGCACTGCGAACGTGCGTATCCGGATAAAAGTATAGAAATCGAAATGGGCGAGACTCGAGCCACAGGCGCAGCGGACATAACGATTGCCTCCGTCCGCAGCATGGTCTCAGGCGACCGCCTCTCAAAATACCGGCCTGACCGGTTCAAGCTGGTCCTTGTCGACGAGGCCCATCACATCGTCGCCCCAGGTTACCTCCAAGTCCTCGAGCACTTCGGCCTCGATACGAAACGCGAGACATGTCCAGCCCTGGTTGGCGTATCTGCGACATTCAGCCGCTTCGACGGGCTTCGTCTCGGCGCTGCGATTGATCATATCGTCTACCACAAAGACTACGTCGACATGATCGGCGAAAAGTGGTTGTCCGACGTGATGTTCACGACCGTCAAGTCTAAAGCGGATCTGTCCAAGGTCCGGTCAGGCCAGGACGGCGACTTCCAAACTGGCCAGCTCAGCGCGGCCGTCAATACCGAAATCACAAACGACATCACGGTCAAGGCCTGGCTGAGCGAAGCAGGCAATCGACAATCCACGCTGGTCTTCTGTGTCGACCTCGCCCACGTCGACTCTTTGACTTCGACATTCCGCAGACATGGCATCGACGCGCAATACATTACCGGCGCAACGAAGAAGCGTGTGCGCGGTGAACGATTGGAATCATTCAAAAAGCGCGAATTTCCCGTGCTACTCAACTGCGGCGTTTTCACCGAAGGCACAGACATGCCGAACATAGACTGCGTATTACTCGCCAGGCCAACCAAGTCCAGAAATCTGCTCGTGCAAATGATCGGACGCGGTATGCGCCTCTATCCTGGTAAGAAGGATTGTCACGTCATCGATATGGTAGCGAGTCTGGAGACAGGCATCGTCACGGTCCCGACGCTGTTTGGTCTCGATCCGAGTGAAATGGTCAGAGGCGCCAGGCTGGACGATCTGAAAGACCTCAAGGACAAGCCCAACGAAGAAGGGGATACATCAGTATCCCAGCTCGCACGGAGCCTGGGACCGCATATCACAGGCGACCACCGCTTAGACTTCACGCACTACGACAGTGTGCATGACTTGATCGAAGACACCTCCGGCGAGCGCCACGTGCGCGCCATGTCGCCCAACGCGTGGGTGCAGGTCGATTCGCAGAAATACATTCTAGCGGCGAAGGGAGGGGTCCTGACGCTCGAGTCTCGCGTATCGCCATCCGGACCCGAACCACAGTTCGCAGTCGTCTGGAAACACAGCCTGCCGATGACGGAGGCCAGTAAGTCGCCGTGGTCGCGGCCGCGGGTCGTCGCAACCGCAAGCACGCTCTCTGATGCACTGCATGCCGCGGACACGTTTGCATCACGCAAGTTTGATCGGGTCTTCATTGCCACGAGCACCAATTGGCGCAAGACCCCGGCGAGTGAGGGGCAGTTGACCTTTCTGAATCGTCTGCGCGACGTTTCGGAGGACGATGTCGAACCGTTGACGAAGGAAGATATTACCAAGGGTCAGGCAGGCGATATGATTACGAAGATCAAGTTCGGGGCAAGAGGCAGATTTGATGCGTTGCAGGTCAAGACACGAAAGGCCGAGAGAGAAATGGAGAAGCGGCGTAAGGCCACGGAGATGAGGGAGCGTGAGACTGTCAGGGTTGGGCCGCTGGAAGCTTGACAACGGTAAGGTGTACGAGTATCGTTTTCAAATCAATGTATTTGCAACCCGCTCTAGCATGATAAAATGGTACATACATCCCTCCATAAGCACTTGATCCACAGGCTTCACAACATCAGACAAGCAGTGACTGGCCCGACTGGGTTGGATGCTTCGACCCTGATTTGCCGCAAGTACAGAACCACACGAACAATTTCGAATCAGCTTTCATGTTGCGAACAGCCTGCCACTTATTTGAGATGACTGATAATAGCCTGTGCATATTCGTGCGTCTTAGCCTTGCCGCCTAAATCGCCGGTCAAGGTTTTGCCCTCAGCGAGCGTGTCGAAGATAGCACTCTCGATCTGAACCGCATGTTCATTGAGACCCATATGCCGTAACATCATGATACTGCTGAGAAGGAGGGCAGTTGGGTTGGCCAGTCCCTTTCCGGCAATATCCGGAGCTGAACCATGGACAGCTTCGAAGATTGAGCACTCGTCACCAATGTTGCCGGAGGGAGTAAGCCCCAAGCCACCAATCAACCCTGCGCACATGTCGGAAAGAATGTCACCGTACAGGTTCGGCATGACGAGCACCTTGTCTGAGTACGGGCCTGGATCAGTTGTGATTTTGAGGCAGGCGTTGTCCAGAAGCTCGGCGTCGAATTCAATATCAGGGAAATCCTTTGCGACATCTCTTGCCGTACTAAGGAAGAGACCGTCGGACATCTTCATGATAGTAGCTTTGTGAACAACGCGAACCTTCTTCTTGTTGACGTCGCGGGCATATTGGAATGCATATCTCAGGACTCTTTCTGAAGCTTCACGTGTGATGAGCTTGATTGACTGAACAACACCATCCACCACGACGTGCTCGATACCAGAATATTCTCCCTCAGTGTTTTCTCGGATCAACACGGTGTCCACGTTATCGTAGGCTGTCTTGTAGCCTTGAATACTTCGGCAAGGACGGACGTTGGCAAAAAGGTTGAAAGTACGACGGAGAGTGAGGTTTAGCGACACGTGCCCCTTGCCGACAGGAGTCGCCAGAGGTCCCTTCAAGGCCACATAGTTCTTCTGCACTGATTTAATAGACTCTTCTGGGATAGTCGTTCTGCCGTCGACCAAGCGAGGGGTAACATCCACGGGCTCCCACTTGATCGGGACTTTTGCAGCTGTGTAGATGTCCTTGACCGATTGCGAGATTTCGGGTCCGATGCCGTCTCCTTCTATTAATGTGACCGTGTATTTTCCGTCTGATCCTTTCGTGCCCTTGAACTTGGCAACTTTATCCTCTTCTTTCGTGGTTATGAAACGTCTGGGCTGTTCCTAAGAAACCACCATCAGCCAGTTGATCTCCGAGAAGCTTTAGAAAACCCCGGAAACCTACCTGGAAGGATGCGGCAGCCCACACTGGCTGTTGGTAGGCTTTTCGCAAGCACTGGCGAGCTGGAGTAGCGAGTACTCTCGACGCAATCATGGTGGGCGGATGCTGCTAGAATTGCTGTGTTGATGAGCCAAAAAACTTCAAGAGATACTCGTAGTCACAGCACGCAGCATCTAAAGAGTGACCGAGGGCAGAGAGGAGCTGCTATCGTGAATGCAAGGTGAGCTGGAGGTGGTGGAGCTTTGAAGAGCATGCTTTTTTATCTGCGCAGGACCAACCGAAAGCCAATTGCATCACATCTGCCCGTCGACCAATCGGCACAAGGTTCTGCTCAAGCTTTTTCACGTGATGTGCCAAGACATGCGCGTCCTTTGGTGAGACTTGAACGGGCCCCTTAGGACATCAAGGCTGACTTGGAGGCAATTCAATGTACAAGGGGAACAGCTAGAATTGTTGAGATAGGTGGAGAATATCCAGGAAGTTGGTCGGTTGATGAGCACGATGGACGACCGAGAGAGGACCGTCGTCACCCATTACAACATACCAACCGCCAACCCGTCAGAATGGCCCAAGGAGCTGGATGAGAGTGACGATGAAGCTCCGGACGCCATCGGCATCAGACGCTCTCGGTCACGTTACTCTGCTCTGGAAAGAACTGCGAGTGAGAGGAACAGTATACTGCCTGGATCTCAGCAGACCAAGGATGGTCGAGCGAACCTGGTCTCCAAGGATGAGCAGGATCCCTTGGGAGCTCATCAAAGCGTCATGAACACTCTGAGGCGCGCGGGCATGAAAGTGGATGAAGATACACGCCTGCGAAACAGATTCATGCTCTCCTCGACCACGTTTTCGCCTGGCATGTTTCTGTCAGTAGCACACCGCGAAGCTTCCACCGAGGACCTCCTGCGAGGTCTGGAATATTTGTCCAGATCCATCGACCAAAAGTCGTCATCGCTGAAAGCCTTGGTTGAAAACAATTTTGAGCGTTTTGTCCGTGCTAAAGCTACCATCGACAATGTTTACACGGAGATGCGGAATCAGGGTGTCGAACCTGCTGAAGCCGTGCCACCAACATCCCCAAGACACTCTCGCCGGACCAGTGGTATACATTTTCGAAATGTTAGTAGCGGCAGTGCAGCCGGTATGACTGCCCCCCATCCACGGCCAAGCAAAAATGCCCTTCGCAAGGAGACAGATTATGGTGTCCAAGGCATCAGAGGACCACTTTTGGAGGTCTCACAGAAAGCAGAGGATGTCTGGGGACCAGCTTTGGGTGGCAAGGAACGCGAAACGAATCTGAAAGCCATTGCGGATGCCGTAGCCAAGGATCGCGCTCTATACGACCTGGGTTCGAACCTCAACTATGCGATCAAGCAAAAAGACTACGACAAAGTTGTTGAGCTCTATGATGCTGCTCGGCGATATGTTGCCGAAGCCAAGTCCTTAAGCGAGGGAGTAGTGCAATACGGTCGCACACTCTCAGATGACCAAATACACAAAATCTTGGCCATTGGACGCATGTGGACAGATGCAGAGGAGCAAATCAAGGCTCTGAAGAGGGATGTCTGGCGAAGACTCTCTAATGTCTCTTCGGCCTTGCCACTTCCTGGTGCGTCTCAAGCGGAGGAGCACATGGAGCTCATCAGAGTCTTGCTGCATCTTGGTGTTGAAGAGAGCCCGATCTGGGTATTCCTCCTCAGCCGCTACGATTATCTCAAGAACAAGATTGCTGCGGTCGTTGAAAGATCGAAGATCGAGATTGAGATTTTGCGCCGTCGACTTGCAGCTGGAGAGGCTCCATCGTCAGAAATTGTTGCGGCGTTCCTACGACAGGCGTCCAAAGATCGGCCGGAAGCTCTTGATACCGAAGATGTCGTCGATTTCTGGAATTGTATTCTGACGTATCTGACCAAACTGCTGTCTCTGTCCAGTGGACTACTGGGAGAGGTCGTGGACTTTTGGGAGTCGGCCCAGTCGTTTCTCAATTCTACCAATCAGAATAATTTGCCGGCAGGTTGGGAGGGAGAAAGCAGAAAGCACCATCAGTTATCGGATCCAGAAATCAATGCCTTGCGCAGTGGGTTGACTGAACTCGTAGGGCAGCTCAGAGACGCTGTATTTTCACTCTTCGCCGATCCTCCGACTGAGGATATCTCGTCGCTCTTCTCCCCAGCACCTGGCTCTGCTGGAACTCCGACGACTCCTCTTACTGGAACTACTTTCTCTCCGACAGATGGTAGGATCGGCGCGCTCGATCCCCAAAACCTGCCAGCAGCCGCTGCGAAGAAGGGTGAGCCATGGGAGGACTTCGCTTTCTGGCCTCCTCACTCCAACGCACTTAGTGCGGTACAGTATCTCGAAAAGATACTTGCTCTCGTCGGTGCTGCTGCGAATGAAATGATTGCTCTCGGCCCCGTGAGCAACAACAATGCAACATGCGAGAAGATCAAACTCATGATCAGTGGAGCTCGGGAGAGATGTATGCGTGCTGTCTGTGAAGCGTGGAGCAAAGACGCAGAAAGCTGCAAATCACTCGAAGATTGGGTGCGGGCGCCCGAGAAACGAGACCAAACCCGCATGCCAGGCTATTTTCAGGCATTCGAACGGAAGATCCTGCTCGGCATGCAGCAGGTATTGTACTTTTCGAATGCGAACACAAAGCCAGGAAGCCGAGACATCATCACTCCGCCATCAACGAAGCTGTTGCAAATGGTTCGAACACAATTCGTGAGCAGCGTCTACAAAGCCGTCAGCGGCATGCTCGAAAATGCAGAAGCCTCGAGACAGGGCGACGAGGACGACTGGGTTCTTGTAACAAGCTTGGACTCTATTACTGATGGCGCGGCACCAAACGAAACGGTTACGCAAGATGCTATCAATGCATCAAGTCGGAATGTCCGCATGCTGCTGACCATGTCGAACCTGAAGGCCCTGCGCAACGAGCACGTGCCGTCTCTTATTCAAGTCTTTGAGTCATCCTTCTCCGTCAAACTCGCCGAAGAGTCCAAGACCATCAGGGATGTGTTTGGCCAAATCGACGCAAAACTGTTCCACTCATACACACGACCTATGGTAGCCACATTAACCAAGATCATCAAAGACGGCATCAATGCGCCCGACTGGGCCCCGAATACGTCTCGTCCCGATCAGGTCCGACCGTATGTCTACGCGACATTGATGACGCTAGTCATGATGCACACGGAAGTATCTACCACGGTGTCGAGCACAGGCTCGAGCAGTCCTCTCCTCAGCGAGATATTGTCGTACTTGCTTGAGAACATCTCCCAAGCCCTCCTCGACGGCTTCAAAGAGCGCAAGCCGAACACATATACCCTGCCCGCTCTCATGCAAGCCACGCTAGACACCGAGTTTATAGCGCAGACAATGACGCATTACGCCACTTCCAAGGCTGGGGAGATCCAGGGTCAAATATACACCGAGCTGGACAAGCGCACGACAAATGAAGCTAGAACAAGGCTGCAGCAGGAACTCGGCGACATGCGGATCGTGCTTAAGAAGCTTCGCGACGGAAGCAGGAATAGTTTCGGCTGTTTCAAGAAGCAGCGAACGTCGGATAAGGAGCGCGGCCGTCCGGAGAGAAAGGCGACTGGAACATAGAACGGCTCATCCAGGATCACTTTCATGAAAGTAACTCCGTATGGTGAAGGTGGAACAGATCATCTCCCCCTTCGTCCTCTCCTCCCACGTCCTCTCCTTCCACCACGCCCAGCACGCGTAGAGCCCGCTTTCTTTTCTTCTGGTTCTTGTTCTTCATCCTCCTCGCTCTCCTCTTCCTCACCAGTCGCCGGCTCTTCCTCGTTCTCATCGCCAGCGTCGTCCATAGTCTGATCCTCATCCGCGACACTATTCGCCTTACTCGTTCGTCTACTGCTCCTTTCCGTCTCGATTTCATTCTGTAGCCTTGAAGATCGCCCGGCCCGGCGTGTCGTTCTGCCCGTCCCTCTGACCGAACTCCTTGTCGACCCTCCACCCGGATTAGGTGACGACCTTGGCTCATCCGTATCCGCCACCGTACTTCCCCGTCTCGACCATTCCGGACTCTGCGTCCCGTCGGGAGCCAGGCGTTTCCGCCACATCAAGTCTTCAAAGTCTTCGTGTGGGAGCTCAAAGTCCCTGAAATACGCACTCCCTTTAGCTGGATCGTCCGAGATGTTGGCCACAGAGTCCTCACGATCGTCGAGTTTGGCCAAGTCGTACAGCGACGAGAGTTTGGCCCATATGCCTGAGATAGTTGTGTGCGCGTCTTCGGCGTTGATAACACCCTGGGACAGCAGGTGTTCGCGGATCGCGATGATGCGGAAGTGTTTGTGCATGCCGACGGGTTTCCAGCGAACCAGAGCTTGGAGGAGTGCTGATTCTTGGTCGTCGGTCCAGTGGGATGGCGACATTTGGGGGTTGGATTCCTCCGTTGTAGTCATGGTTGCCATCTTCTGAGCTTACCCCTCGTGGGACTTCGTAGCTTCTCCGACCCTTCTGCGATGGTGGTATAGTCCTCACCGGAGTGTCGATGCCCGACTCTCTGGCTAGGTACTTGGAGTCTGATTCTAACTTCAATGCTCTGCACAAAGGTTGGATTGTTCCGATGCTTCTTTGGCGCGTCAGTGGTCAATCCGAGTAGTTTCGCAGCCGGCTTCTGCGGAGCGTCCTGAGTCTTTCGCTATCTGTATCCTCAATCGTTAGTCAAATGATGCTCGATACTGTCTTCTATCCTTGGAAAAAGTGTTCGCATTTTAGTAGAGTTGCCGCTTTTAGAAACCGCTCTCGAGCGCACGGACTGGGGGCTAGGTGCACGAGACGCTTATCCCAGTTGGTCTACTCCGTAAACACCTGTCGCGCTTGCACATGTCGAGGGTAGGTAGGTAGCCCTGCAACACCCGTTGATAGACCCTCGTACCACAATTTCATGCATTTCACGCACTATTGAGGTCATGATAGTAGGTACCTAACCCTGGGCGGCTTGCCCCCAACGCACTTAGGTGCAGGGCCAGTCTTTGAATTGCAAACCATAACTACGACTCACGGGTTACGAACTGCGAACCCGAACAGAAAAGCCGTCGGATCTCGAAAAGGGTCGTAGTAAGCGGAGCACGCGGGGACGTTCACCCATTCTCGACCGAGAAGCCAGACGTCATGCTGAACCAGGCGTGCTTCCTCGTGCTGGTGTGGTCCGGGGTTACATCTGTGCCGGAAGCATTCAAGGCACAGACATCTGGATACAAATATTGTTGCTTGCGCTGATCCCCCAGGACTCGAATGTGCAAACTTTGTTAGGTCAGAAAACCATGTCACAATCCGGACAGCCTACGCACCCAGACGAGCAAATGCAACGTGTGACAGCTTCCATTTTCTCAATTCAATCCCTCCAATCTGTGGCACCTAGTACTACCAGTACTGACGAGATACTAAACACAGAGCACTGGGGCCGAGAGTCTGGAGTCAACCCACATCCGCATCCTCAGGACGGAAGATCCGGTTTACGATGGCCTTCGCGTTGACGGTGACGGGCTCTGCTCCCTCTGCAACGATGGTGTTCTACGCTCTTTCTCAGCCACGGGCCAAGTTGTGGATTATCGCAAGTTGTCGCCAGAGGAGATAAGCGGCCAGATCGACAGGTTCGCTGCTATTCCGCTATACACACAAGAAGCTATCGAGAAATTGAGATCCATCTTCAATGGGATAGATGTGTGAACACCCAGATCCGGAGGACATCCCGGGTACCAGCGTACAGAACCAGGAACAGAGCCGGGGTGAAGGAGGAAACCGCGCGTAAAGCACGATAAGACAGTGCGAGGGAGCTCCCGCTGGCTAGATCGAAAGCATCGGGTGTAGGGGCGCCAGACTTCTGAAATATGACACCACTTTTGAATACTAAAGTTCACCCCGAGTTTGTGATATAATAGACTGTGCACGTTAGAAGTTGGACATGTGAGCTGCGCGAAAGGTAAAGGAGGCAACGATAGGAACAGGGACAACTGCTTTGCCCTACCTCTCTTCCAGGATCAGAGTTGCTTTTTGTTCAGGTTGCATTACCAAAGACGACGCTGTCTTCGTACCATGTTTCGCCTCGAAGAGGGGAAACAAAGGATGATGGTGGCGATGTTACCAGACTAGTTGACCCGTCCAGTAGAACCGATTGCTACCATGGCTGTTCTCAAGGGCTTCCCGGGCTAGCTGCTGTGAAAGAGTGAAAGAAGGAATTGAACCTTGACAGTGCTCTAGTCAGGTTGTATTGCGAAGCATCTGACACCTCCAGGTGGGGTCACGGTGAGAGTAGAACTAGAAAGGACTGCATAGATGCCCCAAAACTCCACTCGTCGTCCATGTAAGGTACTTATATCAATTGCTCTTCTTCTTCTTCTTCTTCTTCTTCCTCCTCCTCAAAATTTCTTCTTTTTCTCTGCGATATGCAACCTTGTGAACAATATGAAGTTCCTCCTTACCGCAGCTTTTGCTCTTTCCATCTCCGCTTTGAAACAAGAGGTCGAAACTGTAAGTGGTTGAGACTGGATCATTTCCTCGGGTTCTTCTAGTCTTCTTGCAGGAAGGCAGAGACATTGATAGCATCTTGCTGTCTCTCCAGAGTGATCCAGATGGATTTGTCCACTCAGGGGACGACGGCGTCGTTCGGTCGTACGCTGCAAACTTCACGGTCCTCAGTTTCGCGAAACTGGATCCAGAGCAAATCTGGGCCGTGGTTGGGAAATACCCTCAGGACTATCAGGAACAACTTGGCCCACGCTGGGCAGAAGTGTATGAGAATGTTGATGGGCGTACAGTTTCCAATGTCAGTCAAATTCTCCATCCGGGGGACGAGATCCTCCCAGAAGAAGTGAAATCGACCAGCCCAAACAATGACGATTTGGAGGAAAGAGACCTGGACTCGAATCTCGATCTCGCAAAACGCCAAGGGTGCGTTGGAAGGGTTTGCATAAGGAGTCAGTACTGCGTCAATATAGGATGCCGCCTGTGTATGGTCTCAGACAGATTCATCGCTCCCAGCAAGATCTGCGTATGACTGGCCAGATGTGCGAGATGTGGAAGGACACAGTGTCTGATACAGCCGGGCGGCTGGTGGAAAACTTCGATCATTAGAGCGACGGCTTGACACTGTCCCATGCAGACAACGACCAAAAAGTCTGAGACTTCGTGCGCCGAGTTACTGCGCTGCGCTTGCTTCTTGAGCTCCTCCATACTGTGAGATTCTGAGCCAGGTTGTTCCAGCCGCGCCGATGAGCATATGCTGCTGCTGCTCATATCGAGAATAGTAATGTTCAATCGAGGTAATGCCGACATTTCTGGCTGAGACCTATAAGAGATTGATGCTAGACATAAAGTAAGTATGCAATGCAAACCCCAGTGATTAACATGATAGACGGTTCCGCTGGACGAGACCCCGTCATTCTTGGTATCTGTACCATGGGAAGGCCTGAATAACCGGTGGAAAGAATGCATATGATCCTAGGAGTGTTGGTCGTGAATACACGTGACCACCACACCCAGATATATACTAGCGCGACACGTGATATGGAGCGGTACCGTCGAGCCGTGACACGCGCGGCGCGTTCAGGAATCCTGACAATCGACATGTGGTGTTGACCTTGCCTCGAAAAGAAAGAGATGCAGTAGCGACCGTGATTGTAACCCTGAGCCTTGAAGACATAAACGGTCGGACAATTCGCGCCATCAATATGGTTCAAAACGACTCGCCATGTCCCTTACCATTCTCAATGACCCTTTCTCGAGCGATGCGATCACTGCAATCTCTCCTCTCGACGTCAACGCCGACACAGTCTGGGATGGCTTCCGCCTCAATAAAAGTCTCAACAGCGGACGCCTTCGGCTGAACGAGACGAAGTCGGAGTCACTGCCACCTTTCAAGTCAGATGTCCTCCAACTTAACCTTGAAGATGTTCCTCTGCCGGATTTGTCGAGCGCGCCCTCAATTTCCTCTTCTGGAGCCGTTAGCGAGCCAGACCACGACACACAGCGCGACCATGAGGACGATGAGGCGGCCACTGTCTGGATACTACCTGAAGTAATAGGAAAGAAGGCGAGCACCGAACTGATATCTTGGGATACGTTCTTGAACAGACAGCATGCGGAACTGCCTTCTGGATATATCAGCGAAGCAGGTCCCAGAACTTTTGCTACCATCGTCGCAGCAACGAGCTCGACCGTTGGTGCGAAGAACGTCAAGTCCGATGTCCTTCTCAATGCGTTTTTTGAACTTGGCATGGGAAGAAGTTCTGCCCTCTTTGACTGGAATGAGCAAGAGCGAAGGTTCACAAGGAGGTTGGAGGCTTTCACGGCAGAGGGATACAGTGCGCATCTTGTACAAGATCTATTCGAGACAACTGCTCGAATTGGCACGTCCAGCAAGACCCTGGCTGAGACCTTTCAAGTCTCCGTCGGCCTCTCCTCTCCATGTCAAGTGGCTTTCCTGGCAGCGTCGAAGGCCGCGCTGCATGCCGGTCACGTACACCTCGAGGCGTCAAGGCCCACCATCAAGTCCCTGCTGCAGCTGAAAGCCATGATGTCGAAAGTGGAAGGCCTGGTGGCTACGTTGAAGCAATGTAATGATGCTGTGCAGCTCTGCAGGACTGACGACGCTCTCCTGTCTGTTGTCACCAAAAGAGCAGCTCTTGCATCCTTCTCATATTCTGGTGTCGAAGGGATATTGCAGTCAATCTTTGCAAGGACATGCCGGCCGTTGCTAGAGCAGCTTAGTGTTGAAATCGGACTCAGCAGTCCACAACAAGCTGACGACGACAGTATGTCGCTAGGGATGAGCTCACCAAACGAGCGAGTATGGAACAGTATCTTTCATCCAGATGTCTCGGGGTTAATCTCCGAGACCCGACAGACCTTGGTACTGTTGAAGCTATACGCGCCAGACTGTCCTATCTTGGCCAATTCGGAATCCAGACCATCGAGCCTCTCAACTCTTGAGATCGTCTATACCATCAATGCCCTGTCAGGTCTTCAAGCTCGGTCCGCAGCATATGAGGATGCGAGAAGCTCACTGCTTACCTCAGCCAAATCCTCGACTACCACCAGCTTACTGGTAACGCCAGCTTCTGATAGCTTTGGGCTGGATGGTCCGGATCCTGTTCAATTCGATCCCGTCGACCCATTCCACCTCGACTTGAATTTCTTCGCGCCAGATAGAATTCTGCTGGGCAAAACGGAACAAGATGAGTTGCACGACAGAGTCTTGTCCTGTCTTGGAACCTCGGAATTCGACGACGCGCCTTTTCAAGTGGACATAGAGCAAGCTTTACCTCTATCTGTCACGCCTCTCATATCAGCACAACACCGCCTTCTGTCGTATTCAGTCCTCGAATTACTTTTCCAAAAGTACAATCTCGTCGAGCACATCAACATGCAGCGACAATTTCACTTTCTGAGCAATTCATCCTTCAGCTCGCGACTTGGAATAGCGCTCTTCGACCCCGATCAGAGAACCGGCGAAACCCAGAGACGGACAGGAGGCTCTACAGGACTTCGTTTGCAAGCTCGGGACACATGGCCTCCTGCAAGCTCAGAGCTGAGACTTGTGCTTATGGGCATTTTGTCGGATAGTCTTGCATCGACCAAAGGTCGCTCTATTGAAGATTCGATATCATTCGCCATCAGAGATATGTCTTCGGACGAGCTTGAGAAATGTCGAGATGTCGACTCCATCCATGCCCTGGACTTCCTTCGACTCCAATACAAGCCACCGAACGATGTTCTCGGCACAGTCCTTACTCCGGACGCGCTGGAGAAGTATGATCGAGTATTCCAGCTGCTTCTACGCATTTTAAGGGTGCACAAATTGACACAGAGCCTGCTGCGGGAAAGTGAGCCTGCAGAGCACAACGTAGTGTTCGAAATGCATCACTTTATCACGACTTTGGCAGACTATTGCCACAACACTGCGATCGAGTTGCACTGGCGTAGATTTGAGGATGTTCTGCGCAATGTCAAAGCACATCTTGTCAACAAGGACTACGACAACACGCTTTGTATGGTTAAGAGTCAAGACTATCTCCGAGTACTGCATGAGAGGACTTTGGACTGCATCCTCCATGGCGTGTTCTTGAAGAAGAGAAAATCCGGCGTTCAGCGTCTGCTGGACGATATTTTCTCGACGATTCTTCAATTCGCCGCGCACCGGCGGCCGACGCACAATACTGATGACACGACTGATGGGTTCATGATGAAACGAAAGGAATTACAGGCTCGCTTTAGAGACCAGGTTAAACGGTTCATTGATGCGCTGGGTGGTCAAAGTCGGGCAGAAGCGCCCTCTCTGCACCAGGGGTTTGCCGGAGAATATACTAACAATGATGTGAATTTGCCCGAGTATCTGCTTCTCCGGCTAGACATGTCTGGATATTGGACTAGAAGGAGCCATGGACGAGGGATATCACATATTGACTTATAATTGAACACATGTCCCAACCATTCCGAGTAGCCTGAAAGGATGTTGGCAATGATAGATGGTGGTGTATGTATTGGATTGTTCGTACGAGGCCTAACTAGCGACCTGATTTGCGCAGGAATGAGACTGGCTGCATGAGAAACAAGCAAAAAGAAGCACAACACCAAGTTAGTTCCGTTTCCAAAATGAACTACGAGCAAATCACTACTTGGTCAATAACTCGTGGCTTATGTCTGAGGATTGGGCAGATCATGGCCACTCACAGGTGGTTTCGCTGTAGATCACTGAATCACCACGGGATGAGGGTCGTCGATGATACGACGACGAGCACGGGTAGGACAGCCATTACTCGTAGTTGTTCCCTCTCGCTCCGTTGATCAGCACATGCCGTTCCGTCTATCCAGCACAACGGCTGGCCCATTCATGGGACTGGACCCTGCATCGTCTCCTCCTCCTCCTCCTCCTCCTTCTCGCCACGCCACGCCACCGGCCAGCTAGCCAACTCGCGTGCACTCGTCACACAGAGCATACAGACACGCACCCATACCGTTAGAGACAGACCCGCGCGATAAGGAAGCTGCAGTGGCTGAGCGGGGTCTGGGTGTTGCGCTGCTGAGAAGATAAAGGATCGTCATGGGAATCTTTGAATCTCGATGCTTTGCATAATGGGCATACTGTGTAGTGGTGCGGCATGCCAATTATTAGTACCATCAGTACGAGCTACCTGAGGTATATAAATAATAGCTTTGATGACTTGATTCTACCGGTAGCCACGGGAGGAAGGTGAACCAGCCAGCAACACAGCACATTGAACAAGCCAGTCCCGAGACGGACAAGGCAAGGCCTGGGATTTTTGCAAGGAAAAACAAACAGGTCTGCGCTCGAAGCACCAGGCTCTCTATCAGTACAGAAGTACCATATCAACAACATCGAGCTAACGACAACGACACAGCGACACCTTCCCCTGAGCACTCTTCGACCACCCGTCCACTATTCTACCTCCAAAGCACTCCAGCTCAAACACGACGCAACACCAGAAGCCTACCTTAGTCCCAGCAGTATCAAGCCCCCCCCCCTTGGGAGAATGTGCCGCTCCTTCACCCTAACATTCACGTGCACGCCGTCTCACCCATCGCACAAAATCTCCTTCTCCCAGCCATGTCGCAAATGCCCGTCGTCGTCGTCCCCTGACACCTCCTCACGCACGGGTCTGTCGCTGACGAAATCCCTATCCCGCGCCCTCGAGCCGAAACCCGACCCGGCCGTCCTGAGGGCGTACAAATTCGCTGCCAATCGACCTTGCGAGGAATGTGATCCGGAGCACAGACCTATAGGGGAACCGCCTGGCCTGGAGGATCTGGAGGGTGGGCTGGGCGATCGACATACATTTGGCGTGGACGAGGCGACGAAAGAGTGCGAGAGTCTGGGGGCTTGGGTTGAGAGCCTGTGATTGTGATTGTGATCTTTTCCGTGGAGAAGGGGGAGGAGTACTGTAAGCATCGGTTAGGGGTTTTGGGGTCGTTGACTAGACGAAGACGAGTAGGAACCAATACTAGTAGTCTGTGAGAATGAGATGATCATTCCTAAAACTAATGGCACTGATAAGGGGTGGATATATCCCTGAGAGAGGTTGTGGAACCCTCTCATCTAACAAACCACCCTCACCCTGTTGTCTGTCTGTCAATCACCGACACAATGAGGTGAGTTGAGTACCTTTGACTCCAACCAGGAGGTCGGGGTTGAGAAGAACTGATGCTGGGCGGAATAAGGAGTTATGACTGTGTCTAGGACTGTGGTCGGGTTTCCTTTTCAAATGCCAGTCAACTGCAGGTAGCAACACTTGACCCGCTGATGGCCGCCCTCGCGGATCGTAGAGCGTGCTGAGCGCGTTGTTGAACCAGAATGGGAAAATTTATTGTCGACATTGGAATGGGATTAAGAGAATAGCGGGACCTGATTGCGACTTGAGCGGAAGGAAGAGCTGGCGTCTTTCTGTTCCTGGTTACCAGCTCAGAGAATTCTCGAGACGATGGCAGAAGCAATCCTCGCACCCACATATCCAGCGATAGCAATACAGCCCGTAGCGATGAGCAGCGTGTTTCGATACTTCCGCTCAATCCCCACGTCTTTCATCTTCACCTCTTCATCGCCACCTTTGGCCGTGAGAACGTTGTAATCAGGAACGTACTTGAAATCAAAGACCGTCTCTTGACCGAGACCGAACTTGCCTTCCACAATAAGCGCCCAGAAGACATTGCGCAACGCCTTGACCTTCCGTCTATCAAGCGCCGGAATGGATCTGTACAAATAGGAAATCGACATGAAGAAAATGCATTGACCACCCATGAGGGCCCAGTACCACGCAGATGGCCGACCAAGACCGAGCGCATCACATAATTCATTCCCATTCAGCCAGCGTGCATTGACTTCCAAGAACGATCTCGAAGCGTAGGTCGGCGGCTGATTTTCCAGACAACGAATGACATTCGCGGCCAGGATCTTCGACGTCTCAGTCGGATTGATTTCGTTCATCAGAAGTGATTCCATCATAGCTTTGGCCCTGGCAGGCGTTTCAAACCACTCTGTCGGCGTGCCCATGTAGAGCGCTATGAGTCGCCACAGTGCGATGTAGTCGACGATTTCCTGCTCGCGCAGCCATATTCCTTGTCGTGGGAGAGAGAGCCAGATAATCGTTCCCGAGAACGTGCCGATCGTTGCGATGCAATCAAGATCATTGATCGGAATGCCGTACTCCTCGACGCTGTAGTAATCTGGCCGCGTCTTTGCAAGTTTCATAATGCGTTGGCGGACCGCGGCGTGGAGAAGTCGAACACGCAAGCTGGATGCGAAGCCACCACCGCCTGGTCTGATTGATTCGATGGATCTCGTGCATTCAAGGATATGCTGTGTCGTTTCGAACAGGCGGTGACGAGCAACTTTGACAGAAAAGCCCCCCGTTCTCGCAAGAACTTCGACGACGCGGTTTGCCCCCATGCCTCCGAGGAGTGATTGGTATGCCAGCCCGGTCAATGTCGCACCACCGTAGCGGTAGAACACGTCTTGCCCACGGGCGATTTGATCCCAGTCGACCCAGTCGGGAATCGTTGTCACTTCGTCCCATAATAGCTGGAGCTTTTCGTGTTTGTCTTTATTGTCTCGGAGGAGGACGTAAAAGTCCCTGGTCGGCTTGGGCAGGGCCGGTTTCTCATCTTTGGTTGATCGTTCTGCTTCACCTTTGGCGGAGTCCGGCCTGGTGGCTGGCGGATCAAGCTGGTTCAAAATCTGGAAGCACTCTTCTCCTAACACATCGTAGGTATATTTCATGGGATGAGCCCGTTCGGGCGTAAGATGTTCTGGAGTCAGCTGAAACGTGTAACCCCAGCATGTTCGGGTGTCCTGATCCCTTCTTCGAAAAGGATTTGGCCATGCCATCTTGTCAAGGTTGACGAAGACCTTGTCGGCAGCAACCTGCCCCGAGAGGAAGGAGATACATGTTTTGGGAGGCGAAAGTGGTACCAGGACTTCCTTCCCGTAGCGGAAGGTGTTGATGTCAACGAATGTCACGAGTCAAGATCTCCATAATTCTAGAGTCGCTTCTAGTCATGTCATGTCTTTGTCTATGGAAACGATCGCCGAATCCCTGCCTGCATCAAAATATTCTCCAGACATCGTTGAAACTACTCTTCGCGACACCTTTCATCGTGTAGCAAGTCCAGATCTCGTCACATACGATGGCATTGAATAGCCAGTCAAGCAAATTTCTTTCGCACGTCCTCCGCGGCTCCAAACAAACCCCGACTCTCCTTCGCCATGCACATTCTTTCTCCAGACCTTCCTTGCGAATGCCGCAAGTCGCAACGACGTCCACAAGTCCTTCCTCGTGTCCCTATGCCTCCTCGATCTTTTTGTTGAACGACGGTGTCCATGCTCGAAAGCGGCGTAGATACTTCTCCACTGCTCAATTAGATGCGTCCGATGACGGCCGGGTAGAAGAGACAGGAGCCACACGCGGCCAGCAATCAGCTAATGAAGGTGTCGGAGCGACTGGTCGGAAATCTAAAAAGCCAAAAGCACCGGTTGAGGTTGGAGATGATATTCTCTCATCGAAGGAGGCGGTCGGAGCAGGAAATGTCGCATCTGCAGACAGGGACGGTAGCAAGAGGAAAGGGAAGAAGCGACTGGAGTTGAAAGACCTAGCTGAATCCAGGAAGCAAAAGTCAGAGCCATGGCAAACGCAAAAAGACGCACTGAAGAGGAAATTCGGTGACGCAGGTTGGAATCCTCGAAAGAAACTGTCCCCAGACACCATGCAAGGAATTCGAGCTCTGCATGCGGAGGATTCAGAGAGATATTCCACGGCCTCACTGGCAGAGCACTTCAAAGTCTCACCTGAGGCCATTCGTCGCATACTGAAGAGCAAATGGGGGGGATCCGAGAAGGAAATGGAGAAGAGGAGAGAACGATGGGCCAAACGACACGATCGGATCTGGGATCAACAATCAGAATTGGGACTGAGACCGAAGAGAAAGACGGACAAAGCAACAGAGGAGCCTGATGAGTTTGAAGAGAATCTAAGAGCGAAGGAGATGTTGGATAATGCGCGGAGTGCTTGATGCAGCAATAACCTCCGGCTATGTTCATTGAGTTGAGAGTACAAGCTAACTCTGTTGTCTGTTCTTCACTGTAAGTACATCTCGTCGATGTCTTCTGTGTGAGCTCCTTCTTCTGTCATGCTCTTGCTGTGTGAATTCTGTTGGTCATACTCATACAATCATGATGTTGTCTTTCTCTCGTAAGCCATTCTCCTTGTAAAGCCCTCAGATGGTGACATCTGTACACAGTCATTGTGCACGACGGCATGTTGATCAACATCATGCCTCATTGTCAAAAGCCCTTATGCTGTACGCGATTGGTTCAAGCTCGTATTGATCAGTCTCGATCGGTCTCTTCCTTCTCTTCGTGTGATGAATGGATGAACTTGCTGACATCAATGTGTTGCGTGCAGTGGTGCGTCGAACGCCTTGAATTGCCAACACTCGTCATCTCATCCCAGCCTTGACTCTCACACCAAGCTGACCCAACGCTGGAAGGTCTCGGAAAAAACCCAAAGGAGGACGAACACAAGCCAGGTGCAGGACAGAACATCAGGAACTGCCAACCACCAACTTGCTGCTGTCCATTTGATGACTTTGCGCTCTGGTGCTGGACGCCACAATTGCTTTTCTTGATCGTACACCATGCACTTACGACGCTTTGGCATTGTGGGTGGGAACATGACATAGATAACTGGTGCAAGGTACAGAGGGATATTGTCGATCAAGCCAAGGCCAGGAAATCCGACACTTGTAATGATCTTGAACCAAAAGTCTGGCGTTGGATCTTGAAGCTGAGCTCCGACAACCCGCTTGACAATCCAGGCATGGAGCACGAAAAGACCACCATGGTAGAGAATACCCTCACGGAAGTGGATCGTCAAGAGTCGTCGAAGCATTCCTCTGGGGCGAAGCTTCCCGTCACGCTCTTTGATACCAGTCGAAGTCTTTTCGGCACCACTGACGTCAAAACCAAGAAGCAGATTGAATCGTCCAGGTATCATGATCTGCACGACATCACGAGTGAAGTGGTTTGCCAGCCACGCATTTGTTGCCTGACGACGACGCAAATTCCAGAAGACGCCATTGCGAATAGACTTGATATCGGACCACTTGCCAACCATGAATCGGACAGTGTAAAGGGTCACGATGATCTTCAGGGCGTTGAAAGTTGGAATTGCAACAACTTGTCCATACCGCATGGCTTGCAAGGCGCAGACCAGACCAACCATCTTGAACACGGTGTAGAAGTGGGGACGCAGACAGTGGTGGAACATGGCAATGCGTTGAACACGTGTTGCACCTTGCAGACGGCGGTCAAAGGCGAACTTCAACTTGAAGGAGTCGACAATGTGGCCAGTCCACTGCCTTTGTCAGTCACGGAAAGGTTTTCGAACCTGGATCATCACTTACCCAGCGGCGACGTTGCTTCAAGTGAGGAATCAGACCGTCTGGTTGAATACCCCATTGCATGACCTCATGTACAAGCGAAATCTTCCAGCCTTTACCATGAAGCATCCAACTGGTAATCAGGTCTTCGGTGATGGAAAACTCTGGAAAGCCTCCGATGTCAACCCAAGTAAGATGACGAATGATGAAGCCGCTTCCAGGACACCATGCAGCGTTGACACTGTCACGGATACCATCGTCAGCGCCTGGACCGGTGACATTTGCCTGATACAGAGGATCATTGTCGGGGATGTTGTAATGGTGCTATGACTTGTCAGTAAGTGCTGGGTGTAAGGTGAGGTCGGTCCAACTCACCTGAGCACAAGTGACCATGCCGACACCATCGTCGATGAGTGCATGAGGTATAAGAACACGAAGGCAGTCAGGTTCCGGAATCATGTCAGCGTCGAAGACAGCTTTGAATTCAGCCGGTTTGTCAAATCTTCTGATGACCGTGTTGAGATTGCCAGCTTTGTATCCATGGTTCTTGTCTGCCTTAACGCGAGCCCAGTAGAAGAGGTTTGGATATTTGATGGAGATTCCCTCACATGCTCTCTGGAGTCTTTCATCCTTGCCATCATCGGAAAGGATGACGCGGAACTTGTCTCGGGGGTAGTCAATCTGCAGAGCAGCCTTGACAGTGTCGAGGACAATGTCACGAGGCTCGCCGCAAGAGACAATGAATACATCAACTGTTGGGACCTTGTCACCGATGAGACGGAGGCTGGGACGGGGGACCTCGCTGCGGATGCAGTTGACCAATAGTCGCCACAAAGAGTCACAAATGCCTCCCACTATAAGGACGTTAGTTGAGACTGGTCACGACGGGAACATGGTCATTGGTCTCTCACTGTTCTCAACACATTGACCCAATGCAAACAATTTTGCAGGGAACAGCACTTCCGCAGAAGCATTGCTTGCCAGGATGTTGAACCAGAGTAAGATCTGGTAGGTGACAGTGCCCAGGAGACCCATGACAGCAAAGAAAATTGCAGTGGGGGATCTTGGGTTCAAAGGCTTATCACCCAGCTGGACAATGTTGTACAGAGGATGATTGTACAGTTTGGTGACCTTCAGGTCCTCAGGTGAGATGACGTCCAGCTCACGGGTGCCAGCATCAGAGTCAGCCATGATAAGAGGAGTGTACTGTATACCTGTATACAGTCACAGGGGAGGAGTAAAGAGTCTTTGAGGATGACTTAGGATGAGAAAAGGTTGTTGTTGTGATGAAGGTGGTTCAGGAAAGTGATGAGATGAAGACCGTTCAAGATGACAGCAGCGTACTTCGACGGCGTCCTTGTGGGGACTCACGAAGCTGCTCACGGACAACCTGATACGGCTTTCACGATGGGAAGAGAGTGCAGGATCTTATTCTGATGTATGAAAGTTGAAAGGATGGATTGTGGAGGAGAGAAAGTTGGATGAAGAAGGGAAGAGAGATGAGAAGCTTTTCACCTCAAGAGACACTTGGATTTGGCTGCAACCACCGACGAGGAAGGACAGCCGGCCCTGCCTGCGCTACTCGGTGCATTCACCAGGACCAGCACTGCAGGAAGTTCTCTATCTTGGTCTGTCAATCCTTCTCTGAGTCTTTGCTATCTGTTCCTAGCCTCCAGGCTGCTGCTGTCCACTCTTGTGCAGACTATTCATGTCAATGGCATTGTGTCGCTGTCCTGGTCAATTCAAGAGCCTGTCCTGCCCACAACCCTCCACAGACCTCGTTGACTATCCTATTCCTTTTCTTCATGTCCTCTGTCCTCCCTAGGACGCCTTCGTGCCTTGACAGCCTTGTGCTGGTGTGTTTGCAATCTAGGAATGGTGGAGCGAGTGCAGACTGCACTTTCAGAACGTCGAGCAGACAGATCACACAGCAAGAGTATCTCTCCATCCCAATCTTCTATAGACATTCAACCTTCTCTAACACAAGTTCGTCTACTAGAAGCAGCACTTTAGCCTGTCCTACCAATTCCTTTGTATCGTCTAAGCGTCGTCGAAGGTTCGGACCTCAGAGCATGCAGTCAATGCTTGAAAGTTGGCAGATACTCTTTGTCGCAATAGTCAAGAGATGTATCGTGGAATGCCGCCCTCCTCTTGTCTGCTGACACAAGGGAAGGACAAATCCTCTGCTGCGAGTCCACGCGAAGAGTGCTCAAGGAACTCGACGTCCTATCCGTCCTTTTGGAAGAACACCCCGACCAGGCTGTCTGCAACATAGTCTGCCAAAACAAGGACAGACAAGTCTTGTCTTCCGTTGAGAGAATACACTCCCATCCATACCTGGAGAAACGCCCGGATAAGTTCCAGGACTACGAGATCCCTTTGTAAGGGTGGTTTTCCCTCCAACCATATGCTCCCTCGTTCCAGGTCGTGCAGAGCAGAGCACAATGCTGACAGCTATTCCTCAAGCAGCCTCTAAAGCAGTCAAAGGATATCTTGACTACAGCACAAGGGCTGTGCTACGATGGCCGATAGCCCTTGCTGCCATCCTCGACCCTGAGCAGCAGTGCTTACAAGGATGTGTGCACTGCCACCTCTACTTTTCCACCACGTTCAGTTCATGACAGGGGACAATGTATACATAGGCTGCTTGGATTGAAGGATCCAGACAAACACTAATACAATGGGGTATGTAAAGCCCTTTGAGAAGACAAGCTGCCTACACACCAGGCCCAAGACATCATTGATGGCCAAGCTGACAGCATGAAGATCCAGGGATTTCACCAGCAGTGAACACCATGGCCTTTCCACTGCGAGTCTTTAGAGCACTGCGTGCCTATATCCAACATGCTTCTACATGTCTCCGTCCACCATCGACCTATCTACAACCACAAGCGGGTCTGCGATGCATGCTGCCCCTTTTCTTGGTGGCCTTGCCGAGCCAGTCTCCGCTTTAATACAAGATGACAAAAACGCCGAGCCTCAGCCTTGTCTCGGCATGTTTGTCCCAGGAATTCCCTCGCGCAGACGCGGTATCTTGAATTTGGGCAATTGGAGGCTTCTGTACATTGTTCTGGATCTTCTGTTGTGCGGCTGGCTTGTATGGGTGATTTGTTCGACTTGTTTTCCGGAGAAGTTATATCCTCATTTGTATTCCAGCAGATGAGATAGCTCTAGGCCAGCAGCAAAAATGGTGAATCTGGCAAAGCGCATGCGAAACTTTCAACCTGTGAGTATGGTCCCTCCGACAGCCTACTGTATTTGCTAACCAGGACTAGAAAGTGAGTGTCTTGGTGGAATTCGTTCCCTGGGTCTGTGTGACTTATTTCTATAGCTCCTAGCTGTTCAATATGGCAGAGGCGCAGCTGTTCTTCCTCCTCCTCCGGCTCCCCAGTTGACTCGACTTGTTATGCGATACCCTCGACTAAGTTGGGCCGTAAGCAATCACGGACCCAGAATCTTTGCCAAAGAGAGCCTCCCACGATTGAAATATCATAATCCTACCCTGCCGATTCGAGTCGAAGATTCAAATGCCTCGCAGATGGAGCTGACATTTGAGAGCACGGACGAAGCCTCTTTAGAGGTATTGAAAAATCAAAATGATAATAAGCAATATGGAGATGAATGGTCCGAGGTGCAATCCAAACCTCAATCCGCTGTTGACGCAAGCGCACCTTCATCGACCTCACCCTCGTTACCGATTTTCACAAGAAATGGTACGCTACCTCTGAACGACAAAGACCCCAAAGATATTTGGAGATGGTTTCAGAAGACAACAAGCTGCAAGGATGTAACAAGGACGGAGCAGGACGAGATACTCAGAAGACAGTTACAGGCTTTCTCTGTGAAGGCGGCGCACGATAGGCAACTTGTCAAAGTCGGTATGGACGATCTACGGAAACAAAAGGCAGACTTGAAGAGAGCACGGGAGGCCGCTGAAAGACTAACATCTGAAGCATAATGATTGATATGTACCACCACCGGCGTCAAAAGCAAATTATACCTTCTGTACATTACTGCCGGAAGAATCTGGTGGACGGGGGCTGTGGGACGCCTGCAGGACTGTCATCAACGTGCTTTGATATCGAGCAGATATGTGGAATTCAAAACGATACCCTATTTCCTACTCATGGAAGACGACTCTTCGGCAGCTCGCTTCGGACGATTTATATGACAAGATCCGTGTGTTTCGTGTCAACACACCAGGCTTGAGCATTGAGAGGGATTCGTCCGGCAAAGTATCCGATCGTTTGCTGGGCCGGATCAAACAGTGAATTCAGAGCTGACAATCATTAGACTGGTGACAGCCCACTCACCACTCACCACGGGTCGAGCTGGCATATTGGTCGTCAATCAAACCTCAAGCTGTCTGGTTTAGCTCACTTCTAGCCGTCTGACAGTTTATCATCTGGGGCGTTTGCCTTCTAAAAAGCTATTTATACCTTTTGCTATTCAGACCTTATTATCACAGTACGAATCTTGAAAAGACACAAAAGCATCTCTAGGCTCCTGCGCAACTAAGCATGGCTCGATCGGAAGACTCTACCGAACAGCAGAGCATATCTAGCCCTACTGTTGTGGAATGTTCAACTTTCTGGCCTCCACAAGTGACCCAAAGACCTCAAAATGCCGACAATGGTCCTCCCATTCGGGCTCCTACAGCCAGAACTCCCTCTGCCAGCGAAAGAAGCCTTGGATCGCTCACGAAACGAGTCTCTTCGGCCGGATGAACCTGCAAGCAATGAGGCCACAGTACAATCGTTCGATTCAACATCCTCGGCGGAAGATGAAGACGCTCGACATGGCACATTGATGGGAGCGCCGCGTGATGATTCAAGAGATGAGAACAGCGATCGTGCAACGGCAGACATCGCCTACAATGTCCGAAATCGCAACCAAGCCCTTCCTGCTATACGCCGCGATTTGAGTCAACTGCGCTGTCGAGTCGAGCAGCAGATTGACGGCGTTCTCCTGAGTGTGCAGAATACCTTTGATGATCTGGAACAGCGTATCGACAGAGCTTGCTGGCCTGACAACAACAACAACAGACCTCATGTATCAAAGAGCAATCATATTGATGATCGGGGAAGAGGCCGTGGCAATGTCCGTCGCAACCGTGTTGGCAGCCGCAGTCGACATCATCCATCTCGCAGGCCTCGACACAATCAAGACCCCATTGCTGGAGCAGAGCGAGACATTCAGGAGATCCAGGCACGTCTGGATCTTGTGGACCCTCACGCCCATCGTCCTCGCCATGCTCGGGCCCGCCACCATCGATATCGGCTGGAACCTCTACTCATTGTTGAACTGGACGACTCATTCGACTCCGCCTTTGGCGCTCTGGATTGGATTTCCGCTTTCAGTGCTTTGGCTCGCGAAGGCTTTCGCCGACCACCACAACGCCGGCATCCACGTCAGTGTGAGCGACGAGGCCGTTGCGTGAGTCTCGATAGGTCTCATCATCGAGGCAGACGAGACGACCCCACGTTCAATTTCCACAATGATGTGTTTGGGCAGGCATCTCATGCCCAGCTGTCTGTAGACTCTGCCAGTGACCTAGGGCCCGCAGAATCGGACAGTTCCGGGTCGGAGTGGTTGGTTCGTTCTAGGATATCCCGACGCCGAAGACAGGCGACAGCTCATCCATCCAGGAGAACTCGGCGTCCTCGTTGGGGTCAAATCGATGGGTACTTGTCTGAGTCTCCTACGAGAGATGTTGACTCTCTACGATGCTCCCCAATTCCGATACGAACTCGCAACAGCGTACCAGAATCCATGCGAACCCATCGGAATGAACAGTGCCAACTTGGCCATCGTGCGCAACCCAAAGGTCGTGGTGCCAGAGCAGGCCCGTCGAGCCACCAATGTCTGGGCTGCCTTGACTCGGAAGATGGGCATGCCTGTCAACCGTCTTCCAGCAAGAACCCTTTCGGCCGCGGAATGCCGTTGGATACTGACGACTGGGAGGAGCCTGGAGAGCCAGGTGGTAATGATGGTGCTGGTGATGATGCACTTGGTCTGTAGTGATCGATGGGACCACTTAGATGGGCGTGCTTGCGCTTGAGCCTCGAGGATGTTTCATGGTCATCGCCTGCGTCACGATGTACTGTGATGAGACCAACCAAACGGCAGTGAATCGAGTACAATTGGCTAGATACGGTGATAAAGCTATTCAACAGAGCTAGTTAAATTGTATACGGATTGTAGCCCATGTCCTTCCCACATTTATTCGCAGCCTCGTGACAGCCCGGTCGTCCTTCTGGACAAGTTATATTGATATTGCTGACCGAGTGTTGTCCTACATGCTGGGTTTTAGAAAGCTCGCAGAAAGACCTTCAGCAAGAGCATAACTGCCATGCTCAATGTTCCCGCTCCGCCATTTCAAAAGGAATAGAGACAGTGACAGTCAAGGCCTGACACCATGACTCCGCAAAATCAGTTCAAGCGCACTATCCTCGCCCGGCTCGATCCAGCCCAACCGGCCATCCATATCAGCCACTTGACCCACTACGCCCGTCCTGACGCCTTCGGTCCACGCAGCCAGATCGACCATCTCCAACGCCGTCATATGCACAAACGTCAGGGGACTTCTGGTCGAGTCGTACCCGCACCACAGCAGGTCCACGCCGGGGATATTCGGATGCCGAATCACGCTCGAAAAGCGTGTCGTTCGGCGGCCGCGACAGAGTGTTGGTATCGTTGTCGTGGTCATTGTCGAATCGTGCACATGGTCGTGATGGAGGTCGTGCTTGGTGAAGCCCTGGGCCGCGAGGATTGGCCAACTGAGTTCTGAGAAGCGTGCGCCGGGCGTGTATTGGGTCGGTGTGAGCGTCATGACGGAGACATCGAAGTTGAAGAGTTGGGTCGGGCCCGGAAGGATAGGTACGGCAATGGTGCCACTGTCGCTGGTGATGCCCATGCCGTCTGTGCTGTGTCCGGGGCGGAAGAGGCGGGCATCACAGCATTTGTGCGTGGTGCTGGCTGTGCGGAGGTTGAGAATCCAGGGGGTGTAGGTCTGCCTTGCATCGGACGGCAAGGGGGAAGAGAAGAGAGAGCCATGGGCGGATCGTCGCGAGGATGGCAGGGAGCGAGGGATGGTTGAGCGATGAGAATGATGACCATCTGGCCTGTCGCGAATGGGAGATAGAGGTAGGGGTCGTCGCCGAGTTGGAGGAGAGTGAGGACGCCGAGCTGATAGACGCCTGGACTGAGGAACGGGAAGGCGGATTTCGTCGTATTTGAGATTTGGTGGCAGACGAGGAGGCTGTGATCGAAGACTGTGCGGCCTTCTCTCGTGCGGCCGTGACATGTTGGGATTGCAGGTAGACTTGGCCCAAAATGTGTGGAAAGACGCAACAAGCAAGCAGACAGACGGGCAGACGGGGATCAGGCAAGTAGGTAAGCCAGAGAACATGGACCACAGAGATGCATGAGGAATACTACTTTTCAATCCATTAGTCGCAAGGATGAAAGTGAAACCATGTAGGAGCAAACGGCCATGCTGGAAAGCATGACTAACTCAGATTCTGTGGGCTCTACGTTTGCTCAGGTATAGAACGTCCCTTTCACACAGACAGTCATCACCGTCGCCATGAGCTCTGCCTGTCACTAAACTTATGGAATCCAACCACCATCAGCGTAGGCATGCATGCCAGCTCACTGTGAGCAAAGATAATCCAACAAAAGTTGCCGCCGGAGCATCAGCGTGCGGTCGTGGTGTTCCAAGCAGCCATTACACCAGGTTGCAGACGAGGAATGGCTCCGCACCGAACTCGGGAAGTTTGAGGCCTAACTTGCCGTTACCGACGTCCTGTGTCGTGAGGTTCGGGTACTAAGATTTCACGTCGGCCAAACTCAGTGAATTGGCGCCTGTAGATCTGTATACAACGTTCTGAAGACGAAGATAATTGATGGTCCTATTATTGTGGGGATTCAGTTGTGGGATGGGAATATGGATTGTACCATGTCCTTGGTTCGCGGTTGTACTGTGTGGATAATAGTTGATGCTTTCGAAAGCCTTTCTCCCGTTGCAGTAGCTGTGGCCCAGCGGAGTGAGATTCCAGGTCTTGGACATTGCAGCTCATGATGCAGCAAACAGGGTTGAAGTAGCGTCTGTTTGAGTTGATAGATTCGAAACGGTCTCAGATATAGTACAAAATGCTAAACGGATAGTGAGCTCTGTGTTGAGATGTTGTAGAAATGTCCAGAACATGGAGCGAACCCCTTCTTTTATATGGTCTCTTCAACGGAGCTTGAACTGTCGGTTGAGATGAATGATTGACCTGAGTAGACTGATCCAGCTATCCTTTTGCCGGGAGTCTCCCTCGAACAAGGAGAATGTACCCAACATAACCGCGCCTTCCAGTATTCGGTTGAAGTCATAGACTCAACAAGTCATGGAGCGTTTGCCGCGTTAGACACGAGACAGCTTGTGGTGAAGCACAAGCACTCGCGCCCGCTGGTGGTGTGTTGACGTCCCTGGACGCCCATCTGTCACAGAGATTCTGCCTTCATCAGCAGTTCTTTTCCTAACCTCTCCAACATGGCTTTGGTGACATCTTTCGGCAAACCATCGAGTATGGTTACAGGCCCGGCTCGTCCGTTCGTCTTGGAGTCATTGGTTTTATCAATATTCGCCTGATGCCTGGAGCATGTGAATCTTCCCAGAATCCTGTCAATATCTCGGCGCCCGTCTTCGTAAGCCGCAAGATCAATGTCGCTGGCGGGCGATGTCCGAACGACATATTCGGAGGCGTCAAGATTGCGGTACGAGACACTGACGGCTACATCCAGGTGAGAGACCCTTTCCGGCTCATTTCTATCCTGGCCACTGTCTGTTGGACCTTTGTAGCTTGGTGAGTCGCTGGCAAATTCTGAAGCACTGGATAGCGACGACGCCGAAATGTCGGACCCGGCGTGGCTAAAGCGTCTTGTCGCAATGCCATCGTGGTTCGCATGACCATTCACACTGTCAAGAGCTTGTCCTGCGCTTTTTGACCGCTCAAAATGTGGCACATGTGCATACGACCAGAATGGCGGAATAATCAAAGCTTCTCCGGCCTTCAACATTGCAAGATGAGGACCTGTCCTGGGAGGAGGGTGCAATGAGTACTTCTGGCTTGATCCGGTATTGCTGAAGACGCGCATATTGCTAATTGTTGCGCCAGCTGGGTACCCCAGCTCGTTGAGGTCGCTTGGTGGAAAGAGGACTAGCTTTTTCACGCCGCGGGCCTGGAAAAGTACAGTTCCTGTAACGTGGTACCTGGGAAACGTGCTGATACCGTTGGAAAGATGTAAAAGGGTAGAATGTATATGACTTTTCAAGCAAGTCATCTGTGTTGGTAGCTGAAAATCGGGAGCTATTGTCGGCATATCTTGCATGAGACTGGGCGCCGGCAAGGTCGAAGTTGTGGTAGTAAGACTCTGTGGGTAGAAATCGGAGGATATAACGTCGACACGTTCCAGGTGTCTATGAAGAGATGACTTGATGTTTTCAAGTTCGACCGTATGGTCTGGGTTGTCCTGCAATACGCGGCCTTCAGGTTGCGGGGATCTCTTGGGGCCCATCTTTCCCTTCAGATAATCCAGAGTCCACAGTCGAGTACACGCTCCATAATTGAGTCTCGGAATGATGATAGGTCTTAGCCGTCGCAAGACCGTTTCAAAGTCATCCGTTTTGTCCATCAAGGCTCGTTTGATAAGGAAACCATCTGGGAGATGATCGCCACTATTGACACTGGTGTCAGAGCGGCCTCCAGGTAAAATGGAAGGTCGTGTTGGGACAATAACCCAATCTGCAGAGATTCCGGCCTCCTTGTCGTGCAAGACCCAGATGCCTTTGTTGAAATAATTGCCATAGTGGAAGCATGTAGCTCCACCTCCGATGATGACGAACATTCCGGACTGCGTCCTGTGGGTTGAATGTCCGATCAAGAATGGTCGAGGGCAAGACGGCTCTCTAAGAGGCTCAAGGGATGTCACACGTAGGCTGAATTCTTTCCCTTCGTCGTGGAGAATGGAGAAGCTTCCAGTCAACGACAGGATTTCGTAAGTCTTTGGTATGCCACCACCCTTGGCTATTCCGCCGATGATGAGTAGATTATCCTGGACGAAGCCATAGGAAGCGCCAAAGCGGGAGAACCATGGATAAGCTCCAGCGCTCGCATCCAGAGCATGTGAAGGGCGAAAAGAAATGCCCATCACAACGTTGTCACGGATCACGAGTCTCCAGCGCCAGAAGTCTTGACATATCACCCCATCCTGTCGCATACCTCCAAAGAACAGTCCATGATTGAATCCCAGTCGTATGAAATTGGGACCAAATCGAGGTACAGGTTGGCTTTTCAAGGCACGAAGAACGCTCCAACCTTTACTAGGTTGCCAGAGCAATATATCAGTGGCGACCTTCGTGGGTCCGGTCTTCCCACCCAAACAGACAGCGCCGAAGACATTGTCAGGCAACGTGACTGGCACAACTCGACATCGGTAACGAGGCTCGGGCAAATCATGAATCCGGTGCCATGTGTTGCCTTTCTGTAGCCAGCAGTCTCGTAATGGCTGGCTGGGCAAGGCGCGACCACCAACAAGTATATTGTCCCCATTATTCATCGCCGTACAGACATGACAGCAACGGGCACCGACCTCAGCTGGAAGAACAGTCGGTGTTTCGTCTCGAAGATATCGTGGCCTGCATACCGCACTTGTTGCTCGACATGCTGTAGGCCCTTGTCCACCATAAACAGCAATTGCATCTTGGCCGGGTATGGGATAAGTCGAGCCATGATGGCGCTCGCAGAGGTTGCCGGGCGCTTCGTAGTAACGGAAAACGGTCAGATGAGACTCGGGATTGTTTGGCGAGGACGTCCTTGCGGACATGTCAGAATCATCACTCGCATCAGAGTTTCGACGAGACATAAGTCTCTGTGGTAGCACGGGTTCCATTTGAGTATGGGCCACAACGAGACAATGGTGGCTACCATACAAGGCAAACTCCTCCCACGCGTCGAAGGGCTCAATATGATCCAAAGCCATGCGTTGAGATGGTGACAAAAATCTTGAGTCCGCCCATAGCTGCCAAAGATTTTGATATTCGACCTGGGTGAACCCCGCCTCACGAAAACGTTGAGTATAGGTATGTTGGCCGCAATATTCGAACACAGATCTCAAAGGTGTTCCTTGCTTGGCGTAGTAGCTTGTCATTTTCGAGGTAAATGCGTTGTCGGGCTGATCAGGGCTGCGCGGCTCTAGAATGCAAAAGGTTACGTCTGCAAATAGTCAGTCCGCCTCCATGCCCTCCATCTGAGTTCACAGGAAAGATGGCATAATCACCTGCAGAGAGTCCAGAAGTCCATGATATGAGAGCATTAGCTGCTTCCATACGCATATAGCAGGTGCTGTCTTCAGCTATGCAAAGAATCATACTGTCTTCGAGGTCTACCACAGACCGTAGAAGCTTTCCGAGCTTTCGGAGGTTGCGCAAATCACAACCAAGTGCCGAGTATTCTTGACTGTCGACTATGACTGCGGATTCCCTCTCGATAGGATTGGGTACCACGCAATGCAACAAACCTCTCATGTCTGGTTGATTGAAAATGATCTCCCGCTTGGTTTCCATGAGCGGCTCGTAATCAACGTCGATAAATTTCGTGTTCGAGCATAGCGGCTTCTCTCGAGCAAGCCATTGGAAAGGTAGGGGATCACTGGTACGTGAGGATTTGGATTGTATACATAGGATGCGGCATGCTTGACTTACTACCCACAACCCAGATTGACAATGACCTTCTTCTGGCCAGATGGCTTTTCGAGGAACTGGCGTACCACCCATTCTATGGCTCGCATACGAAGCCAGTAGCCTCTATGGATCGCTGGAGAGGTCTGGATGGGTTGCTTTGCAATCAGCTTGTAGAAATGTGGTTCCGGCAAATATAGACGTTCAGTGCTGGCTTTGAATGCGATGGTTGCGTTGTTCGTCTTTGCACAATGTCAGTTGTTGCATTCGGGCAGTCTTCCATTCTCGGTCAAACGCAGCAAGGAATGACATACTGCCATCAAGAGGCCAGCGTTCCTCTCAAGTTTGATGCCATCGTCTGGCATGATGTTGTTATGATCTACGAATACACCCATAATCCCGGTCCATGAGAAATCTTCCGCATTGTTAAGCCGCACGCTGCGGACGGTTGCGCGGGTCTGATTACAGCGATTGATACCTTGACGGCCCGCTTCTTCTCAAACTGAAGCCCAAGGATCGGAACGGTCGGCGCTCTTGTGAATAATACTGGTAGTGGTGGAGAAGCCTGCCCGTGGTTATAACCTTCTCAAATCGAGGCAATGTGGTGGAAGCGATGAGTCAGACAACGGCGGGAAAATGGTCTCCTGCGCAACCGTATTCTACGGCGAAGTTCAAAAGCATGAGGCGCGGTGAAGAGAAGTCAACGACACCTCACCGATCTCATCTTCTGATGGTCTATGCAATCCGCTGTTATCAACAATATTTGACCTGCAACGCATGAAGGAGGGGATCCTACTGGTAGCTCCTTCCACACCCGTCACAAAACTCGGAAGCTACGGACTGACGATGCAAGACTACTTCTGAGCTTGCAGCGGAAATGAAACGAGCTCCAAAACCACAGAATCCTCCCGGGATGGCTTGTGATGCAGCCAGACCGGTGCCAAATCAGCAACTCCACGCACTCGTGTCATCGGCGTATCGTGCGGTGCAAAGCTAGCTACTGCATCATCAGGTAAATGTGATTTGAAGCGCCCCAAAACCGAGTACTGCACCACGTTGCCGCTCACCACAACGATCTCACTTGAATAAAGTCCACCGATCCCCACGCTTGCTCTTCTGCACCTCCTGCCGCACAGGCATACGGGTATCTCTCCCTGTACCATGCTCTGGCTTGACCGAGTCTCGCTCAATGTTCCTCATCGATCGATCTGAGGTAGGTTGAGGCTTCCGTGCGTCTCCAGACGGACGGCCGTTCTTGGTCTCTGTATCCTTGGCCTGGACCATGCTCTGCTCGATCTTCCTCAACCATGCTTCACGTCCATCCTTTAGCTTTTTCACATCCACTAACACTTCTGTACGTTCTTCCTCAACATCGTGCCCACCGGCATTGATATTTTCCACTGGGACAGCACCAACATCGACACAATATCCTTTAGGTTCTCTCACCAACCCGGCACCAATTCGGAGCGTCTCTTTATCGTTCAAGGCCGGGCCCAGGACACGCCTGAATACACACTTCGGGAATCCCTTACGCAATATTCCATAAACTACCAATCTCCCGCCCCGCGTGATGATCCAGTTATCGTATCGATCGATATGCCTTACGCACCCTGCATCCCGCAGTCGAGGCCAACTGATAACGGCGGCAGGCTCCCCAGGGCTTCCGATGCTCAAGTGAGGCGCGCACAGAACGTTGAGGAGCTTCAAGCGCACATTCTCGGCCAGCTCGATATGCACGGTCCTACGACCGGGGCTCAAGACGGTCCTTCTCTCATCGGTGTCGTACAAGGGCAGGGCTTTAAATGTCGTGAACATGCTTTTATGCTTGCAGACGTGATGGATTGACTCCTCAGAGACCATGATATTGTCCCTGGCGTCGTATATCAGATCATGGGTTAGATATTCATCCTGGCGGCGGAAGCTCACGAGGGGCATTGTGGTTTCCTGGAAGACTGTTTGGCAGTGGAAAGGAAGGTAGGTGGTCTATCTGATGCAGAGAGAGGCAGATGTTTTTGGGAAGAATCAGAGTTGAAATTGCTAACAATATAGAGCAGGGCACAAGTTTTCCGGCCTCGTATCTGGCCTTTTATACCCAGGTGACAACACCGGCGTCTTCTGTCACGGTGACATTGGCCAAATCGTGGAGGTGACAAGGACACCGATTGTCGTTTATCAGCAACCTTCGAGCTTGACTCCGAGGCATCGGAAAGTGAAGTCTTGCACAAACTTCACTATATCAACGAAGACGCGAAAGTCCGGCGCTGGCAAATACGACTGAGCGCAAATATCACCTGGACGGATCCAACATCGCTCCCACAGTCTATCGAACACGATGTGTCACTTCACAGCGATACAAGTCATGTTCTGCGTGATCTACAAACCGGCTACAGGAGGCCAATGTGGCCGAGTGATGGATTCATATTGACGATTTTCGACTGTATCTGAAAGATGACTCTGTTGTACTCCAGACGGTAGGTCCTTCAACCTGACCGGCTAACCTTCGTTTGCCTGGTGCAGTATAAATAGGTGCGACCTGAGGCATAGTTCACCAGATCCCCCGACACAGCGTACCTATTTGCATCTATATCATAGAGCTACCTTGACAACATCCTGAATCCGAATACTTACCGTGGCGAGGAACTTCGATCATACTTCCGAGGATGTCATCACCAGAAATGAAAGATTGGAAGCTCGATAAGCGACTCCAGGGGCACTACTGCAAAGACAGAGATGTCATTGAAAGATCGGTGACCTATGCGGACTCCTACAAATCCGAGGGATTCACAATCATAGGGAGAGGCAGAGTTTCATTCCCTACTTGGAAACCTGGCGAAGATCCCACCTACTTTGAGATTGAGGTCTTATACGCGCCTGATTCGGAACACAACTATCTCAGTTGGCCCCTTCTGCAGCGGTTGAAACAGCCGGAACTCGAGTTCAGGATGCTGGGACCCGGCAGGGTCGGCATTTGCCCAGGCAAGGGAAAGGATCCATTTGTCGCTGCCGAGATCTCCGGTTGATAGCCCCTTTGGCAAGGAACTCGCCGTCTGAATCAGCACACCCTGCCCGGGCTGGGCTGCAGCTGTCTCGGGCTGTCATGCTGATTGCGCCTGGCCAGCATCATCGAGCTTGGACAAGTCTTCGGAGACCTTGCTTTGTGTGAGTCTGTGCATCTCATGTATGCGGAGCGTTGGCCCGTATACGGCAATCACGCCAATTCAGAGGGCACCACATAACATGTCCAGCAATCATCAATGTCTTGAATCTATACTATGAGAATCGGGCGGGCCATTTTCCAACCTCGTCTGCTCTATCATGGGGTATCATCCCAAAATTCCCAAAAACCAGTCTAAATGATAGTCATACACACATATCCTCCTAACGCTCTTCTCATTTCTTCTCGTCGGCCATGTGCAGTCCAGACTGTCCATAGACCTTTTCTCAGATAGTACCTCCTCCACTTTCCCAGCCCTTTGTCTTTCACTTTGAGATCCTCGACTGGATCTTCCTCGCGACCTATAGATGTAGAGTTAGCCCTAATCATCTTCTGGCGCCACGACAACCACCGAACACTGCACCAGGGGAGAGGGGAGAGGGAACTTACCAGCGCCCTGAACCTCTTGCCAAACACATACATCGGCAGGGTCAGCAGACTCAACGCGCCATTCAGCGCGGCAATGGTCCAAAACACGCTTTTCGGCCCACTAGCCTCGAACCAGCCATTGATAAACGTGGTGCTCACGAACGTCAAAATGCCCTTGACCAACCCGATGGTGACAAACGCCTGATTCGCATCGCTCGGATGACAATCCGTGACATACGTGTACGCGGCCTGACTGGCAAAGGGGATCGCCATGCTATGACAGCTGATAAAGACCAAGGGCACCGCCAGCGGGGCGCCGGCACCGACCGAAGCGCCCAGGCCCAAAAACGCGACCGTGCTCAACACGGCGGCGATGGCCATGAGCGTGAGGCGGAACTCGGGCTCGTACACGCCATTGTTCCGCTTCGCCATGGACCGGATCACTTTGTCGGCCAGCCAGCCGGACACGGGGGCGCCCGCAAGCCCGGCGAACAGGAGCGGGAGGTTCGTCAGGCCGACCTGCGCGGGCGACAGGTTGTACGGCGGCGCGCTGAACATGGGCACCGACACGACGCTGACGGCCACCAGCCACGCGAAGAAGCTGCCGTAGATAAAACTGCCAAAGATGACGGCCGGGTAGAGAAACAGAGGGAAAGGCAAGATGACTTGGCGCCAGAACGACTCGTCCGACACGCGGCCGCGGAAGACGACTAGTTCTTTGCCACCCCAAAAGGAAGGGCCGCGAGCAGGAGCTTCCGGTTGTTCGTCAGCAGGCTGGATGCTCGCGATTTCCGTGGTGCTGATACTAGTAGTGGTGTCGATGTCGGTGTCGGTGCCACTGCCGGACTTGGTGGTGGCGTTGGTGGTGGTCTTGTGGAGGAGTTCGACACCCTTGGTCGTCGTGTTGCGGTGGTACACGGTCTCCGGCACGAAGAAGAACGTGGCCACCACCAAAGGTATGAAGATCAACGAGCAGATGCCGAAAGTGTACTCGACGCCGAGTTGTTGGATGATCTGGCCCGAGATCACTTGGCCCTGGGTTGGGATCAGAAGTTAGCGTGTCCCTCAGGAGCAGTATTAGTATGGTGCCTCCGAAGGCGAATGTTATGCGGCGGGTACGTACCAGCAAGACACCTGTTGTGATCATGAAGACCCACAGAGCCATCTTTTGCCCTCGCTCGTGTACGAAGAAGATATCCTGCACCGTCGATGTGACGAGCGTTTCGAACGGCGCCGAGGCGAATCCCTGCATGAGACGCATGGCGACGAATTGTGGAAAGGACTGGCCAGTTGAATGTCAGTTTTCGACGGCAGCAGCACCAGGGTACATATGCTATGCTTTTTGTGACTCGACTGGAGGTGGCTTACCTTTGCGAAAAAGCCCCAAGCATTCAAAGCCAGCAGGGCGATGCCGGACGTTATGAACATGACCCGTTTGCCCCAGACGGATGCAGCGGCCGAGGTGAAGAAGGTGAAGATACCCGTCCAGAGAATGAACAGGCCGACCAGGTATGTGGAAACGACGTCGAGACTCTTTTGGAATTGCATGGCCAACAGCGGCAGGCCGGGAGATATCATCGGTCCAAGGCTGGGAAGATATCAGGATCAGCATTGTACGCAGTGCAGATGAAGGACAACATACGCAACGGTCACGCCGGATGTCAATGTCACCACAAATAGCAGGATATGCTTTCTCCATGGCGACCTGTTATTTGCGGTCAGGTTTATTTGACATCCCAATATCGTATTTGATTCAGCTCACCAATTCAAGGGGTCGTTTGGGCTGTCGCTCGGTTGGGGGACCAAGGTGATGTCCCCAATCTTCTTCAGGTCTGCGTGGTCTTTGTAGAGGAGATCGAGTCAGAATTGGCAGAGAGTATAGGTCAACAAGCAAACTTACCCCCATCTTGATATGTCTCGGTCAGTGACACCGTTCCCGGCACGCGGGGCAGTGTATAGTCTTCAAGGACTCCGAAAGGCATCTTTTCAAAACGATATCTATCCAACCAGGGATTGTTCAAAGAAGGAAAAGGTCACAAGAATAGAATATAATATGACGACAAGAGCCAGCCTCGTCGGAAGAATTGAAAAACAATGGAATGTCCGAGGAAACTGCAATGCCATTTTGATAATCGCTGTGACCGTATATGTATAACGACATCCTCATTGCCACTGGATGCTGTAGCCAAGTAGCATACGCAATCGCGTGATGGTCGTCGCTTTCAAATTTCAAAACAACGTCCGAAACAAACCTAGGACATGTTTGACTTGGGCGTGGAACCACAGATAATACTTAGTATAGCATTCCAAGCGCGAACGCGTTCTGGAACATTTTGCTCGCCAGTCGTCCGAGCGTGGTGTTTCACGGTTGTCGGAAGTCGATCAGCCAAAGCGTGTTACCTCCACGGCCTGTAGATGTTTATAGTGGGCGACTGGGTACTCAGGGGTATATATGTGGGTACTCGTGATGATCTGCTGCAGGGATATGGTCGATCTTTAGACTTGCCCATGGGTGACCCATCTTTGATATCTTGACAGGATAGCTGCGCCGGGTTCGGAATCATTTGGAGACCGCGCGGTTCTTTTCCGTGGTAGATGTAAGGGAAGGGAACAGTGGAGAATGCCCATGAGCGTCGGGATACTGTAAACACTCACAGAAATTGTACAGTTATGAGCACGACTTTCTCAACCTAGCCAGCGTAGCTTTTCCTGCCCTGGAATCATTCCGCCTCCCGATCTCTCCTGAGATCCATTCACCGATTTCTGCCATTTTGACCATATCGACTCCCGTCTCGCAGCCCAGACTATGCAGCAGGTGGATCAGATCCTCGGACGCGACGTTCCCTGTAGCGCCAGGGCTGTATGGGCATCCACCAAGACCACCCACAGAGCTGTCGAATATCCTCACGCCATGCTCGAGACCAACAACGGTGTTGACTAGAGCCATCCCGTACGTGTCGTGGAAATGAAGAGCAAGATCTTCGTCCAGGATGCCCGCCTCCTTCAATGTTTGGAGTAGTTTCTGCGTTCGAGGCGCAGTCCCCATGCCTGTTGTGTCGGCCACCGAGACTTCGTCGCAGCCCATTTCCAATAACGTTGCAGTGATCTCGGCAACCTTATGAGGATCGACGTCTGGTCCTTCGAATGGGCAGCCCAAAGCCACCGAGACATAGCCTCTGACGCGGATGTTGTGTTGCTTTGCTAGTTCCATGATAGGTTTACTCCGTTCCAGACTTTCTGCAATGCTGCAGTTTGTGTTTTTTTGCGAGAAAGCCTCGGTCGCGGCCGCGAACAAGGAGATCTCGGTTGAATTGGCCGATGAAGATGAAGCAGGTCGGGTCGAGGACATTTCGTTTGGATTTGCCGTTGAGGTTATTGGCCCTTGACCCTGTGATTGTTCAGGTTGAGGAGAAGGAGGAGGTGTAGGGTATGCCGTCGGGTTCTTCGCGCCTTTTGCCTGGAATATCTTGACGAGACTCTCCAAACCGCGAGTGTTCGGGACGAGGTAGTTGTAGGCAATGCCTTGAGGTGCGGAAGGAGGGTCTGTGAGTATCGTCTCTAATATTTCTGCTGTCGAGGCCATCTGCACCTGTCAGTCTCGAATCATTCTCTCTTCAGCGGCTGGAACGAACCTGAGGAACCCATTTCGGAGGCACGAAAGATCCGGCTTCCATGTGCGTGACACCGGTCTGGGCAAGTCTCCGGATGAGCTCTAGCTTTGTGTCCAGAGGTATTGTGCTCTTCTCATTCTGCAGTCCATCTCTTGGCCCGACTTCTACTATTCTCACGTGGTCGGCTGCGCATCTTCTGGAGGTGCTGAAACTGCGGGCAGACCTTCGTAGGGACCGAGGGCAACGAAGCGGCAGCTTGTTCATGGTGACAGATGACGAACTGATAGAGCCGTACAAACAGCGACTCTGATGGTCAAAAGGAAAGCTTGTCGGATAGCTGTAATATGGCAAAGCAGATCAAGATGCGGGTGGTGCGACACCGCGAGACGGATTGGAGAAGGAAGGCAGGAGATTCCTCCACGGCTAAGTTCGGTTAAGTGCGGGGGACTTGGGGGGAGACAATCCATCTTCGTTAAGTGCCACTCTAGGTGTCACCGTCATCAGCCTTGCCCCAGATTCAGAGGCCGATGTCGGCAGAAGTTGAGATGCGTTCTTCATTCTTTACCTTATTCTTCGACCAGTATTGTGACCACGACCTACTGTGTACCTTAGTCGGCTCAAGCTTTCAGCTTGAATTGGCCTTTCGCCGAAGCATCAAGACCCCTCACAGCAATGACACACAGACTCGACAGCATCAGCAGCCCAAAATCGTACCATATCATGGTGATATATGCTTGGGGATGTGTTCCTCCTTTGACCAGAGCACCTCCAACCGGAGAACCCCAAAGTGCTCCTAGACCCCGAATGAAATAGATGAAGCCGTTGACGGATGCGTAGGCTTGAGCGCCGAACACTTCAATGACAGTGGTCGGAAACAATGAGTTGTATCCTCCTGCGAACAAACCATAGGTGACCACAAAAGTTATCCAGAGGTTCATATCGTCGCCGTAAGCACTGGACAACCAGAACGCCACGACGGTGATGGCACTTCCGAGGACACTGAGGACAAGCGTGTTTTGTCTTCCCGCAACATCTGCAATGAAGCCCATGGCTATCCGGCTGATGGTGTTGACAGCGTTATTGATGGAAAGCAGTGCGGCGCCACTACGACTCGTCAGCCATCCATTCTTCGTACAGAGTAGGGAAACTCACAAAGCAGCCGTATATCCCAGCCTCGTGCTGAACTCTGGCAAGAAAGTCAATGGCACAAAATTCCCCGCAGCCTGTGCCATAGCAGCCAAAGCTTGCAGGATGAACGTGAGCCTTTTCGCCAGCCTGATGTCCACAAGTGTCGGCCGCTTGACAAGGCTTCGTGATGGTGGTGTAGTTAGTACAATCGGAACGCATATGGCCAAATTGACTAGACCAAAGATCCTGAGAGTCCAGGCTGCGCCTAAACTTGCCAGCATCGCACGTGCCGCCGGAGCGTAGGCCAAACCGCCCACTCCAGCAGCGGACAAAATGAAGCCCATTGCAGAGCCACGATGAGCATCAAAGTATTCGGGTGCGACGGCCAGGACTGGGAAATACATCAATGACGTGCCGACGCCGTAGATCAAGCCTTGTGTCAAAAGAAGTTGCCATACCTGCGTGCTCGTCAGCGGGAGTATAAGTACCCGAGTAGATGGTACTGACCTTGTGGCAAAAGCTTGCAAGGACATAGCCAGCGCCAATGAGGACAGCTCCAGCTCCAGTGATCCGTCTAGGATCTTTTGATCTTGCCATGATCGGATTCACGAAGATGCTGCCTCCCCAGGTCAGGCCCGCAGCCAATGTACCAACGAATGCCAGCATCGCTTTGCTCGAGACCTCGCTTTTGGGTAAGAAAGGGTCCTTTTCACTGCTTCCATCAGTGAGATAATAGTTGAGAAAAACTCCATAAGCCTGATTCAGGCCGATTGTGACAAACACGTCCATAAAAGCGCATAACAAGATACTCGTCTGTCTTTTCCTTGACACTGGTCTCATCGCTGGCTGCGCATTTTCGGGAGGAAGACTCTGCTCGAGCACGGATTCATCCTGGACTTCCACTAGTAGTATTGACTGCTGCGATGCGCTTGTGACCTCAGCGTCCTCGCGTTGTCCGCTGCTCTGCATTCTGATGTCGCTGCCAATGCGAGCGGTGGTCGATGGCTTGACACGAGCTGGTTTGACAGGTGTTGACGCCTGGGAGACATCTATCTTCTTCGGTCTCGAGGGCAATACTGTGAGCGAGGAGGACGTTGCGAGAAGTTCGGAGTCTCGAGAAATGTAAGGAGAGATCAACTGGAGGCTAAGATGGGATACGAGCGTCACAAGGCGCCAGCAGGGAAAAACCCGGCGCTCGAAACCGGCCTTGATCGGCAGCCTGCTGACTACCAATGTGATGTTGTGACGATCGCCATATTCATGTAATTGTAGGGTCCGAATGGCGATCTAGACGACGGCAGATTCATTACAAAGGATAGAAATGGAAAATGAAAGTCATGCAAAATTCATTGCATTGTCAGATGCCTATGGCGTCTGATGCAGTCCATTCTAGACTCTCTCGTAAGATGTCCCTGGTGTCCAGGTCTCCATCAATCATTGCTCAATCACTATCGGGATAAGAGACCAGCGTGGCACGTTGAACCATCGCTTTCGCCTTTGCAAGGTCTTCCTCAGTGATCATCCTCTCAGTCGTCTTTGGAGCACCCCATTCAGTTTCAGCGAAATCTAGTGCCAGGCCACCTTGATTGGGCAATTCCTTATCCTCTGGGCGGTATCTCTCTTCTGGGTGAACGTCCCTGCCCAAGTCCCTCATGTCCGCCCATCTCTTCTTGATGGCAGCTGGGGTATGGGTCTCTCCCTCTGCTTTGTAGATACGAGCCGCGGCCTCGAAGCGCTGTTTTTCGATCTCTTTGTCTGCTTTCATCATGACTTCGCAGTCTCGGACGTACTGTTGGCGGAGGTTAGAGACGTCTTTCAACCAGAGGTCGTCAGGGTATTTCTGGTAGTATTCGTCGGGGAGCTGGCAAGGTGTTATAAGAGGAAGTTGGGAGAAGTGAGCAAGTACTTACTTCAAGAGCGCCGTTACTGGCGAAGGTTCGCTTCATCATGTGGAATCGCACGCTCAAAGTGCTGTGTCCGTAATTTTTGCCGGTGAGTTTGAGATATTCATCTTGGATTGCCGACCAACTCTTTCCCTTCAACTTCCAGGCCCACATCATGCGATCACCATCGTTGGCATCGGCGAGAGTGGCAGGAATCCGCGTCATCTTGATACGCGGGGGTTTGTAGTACTTGTCCTCGTCAGAGGTGGACTCCTCGTTGCTTTTGCTGAAATTTGACAGTCAGTTGACAGAAATTGAGAAAGATGGGGGATATTACCCCTTCTTCTTGGAGAGCTTTTGTTTTTTGCGAGGTGGTGACGGTTCGCCCTCGCTGGCGCTGTTCGGCATGAGGTCAGACGCGATGCTAACATCATCGTCGGTTTCCCACTCATCGTCCGATGGACGACGCCAGGCACTCATCTTGCGACGGCGACGTGCTGATTTCTCCACAGGTTTAGGAGCTGGGTTTTCTGGAGGATTGGTAAATGTTTCAAATCCAAGACCACGGTCTTGTGGTAGGATGGCGGATGCAGGGTAAGTGATCTGCCCAGAAACAGGAGGGAGAGGGTTTGTCTCGCTTTCGAGATTGCTAGTTGCCGGCCGACGGGTGGCTTGGCTGGAGGATGGGTTATTGGCAAAAGACAGGTATTGATTCGCGCGAGGCGCCCTACCAGTTGGTGGTGCCATGATGATCTCGTCGCCGAGAAAAAAAGGAGGAGACAGATTGGTAGAATGAATGGTCGCGCGTTTTGTAGACAGACGAATCCAGCCAAGCCGGCGACAGTGACACTCCCAGCCACACATGTTCATTCATTCACTTGTATTACTTCACCAACAATAACATGCATTTCACAATGAGCACGTGAAAAGGCCTGCTTGGCATGTGAGTATAGACAAGGGGAGGGTGGTGACAGGGAGGGTATCAGGCAAAAGGAGACCATCGAGATACTTGACCTTGGAGTGACCGTCTGGTTGGAACAGGTGTATACTACTGCGAATACGCAGCATGTATTTCACATCAATAGCCTGTTTTTCAATACATTGTATGCAAGCCTGGAGGCCGCTGTTGTGAATCTATTCTCTTTGCGGTATCAATCAACGGCTTATATCCTGCTTTGTTGATGGCCCTGTCCATTTTGATTCTGCTCTTTTGAGACACATCTGTCACATCTTTCATGACGACTCCCTGCTCTTGACACCCTCCACTCGCCCAGTCGAAGAATCTCACACATCTCAGTTGAGGTGTTCGTCAAGGGAATAGATGTCGAGCTTGGTGCAGTGGCGAGAGCACTCTTCTCGCCTACAGACTCTTGAGAAGAAGCATCACGACGAGGTCAAGAGGACGGCCACTGTATGTTCATCTCGATTGGTGTGAAGGAGTCATTGATAGTATGCAGTCGGATGAATGAGGTTGAAGCAGAAGAAGCACAAGAAGCTGCAGTTTGACTGGTGACCAATGAGGGTCCAACCAATCATATCAAGGGGGCGATGCTCGCCGCAACTTCTACCATATTTGACTTGCTTCGCCCAAAACAATTGATCCTTTGAATGCTACGCCTTGCTTCTGCGAGAAGGCCAGAGTCAGCCTCACCGTTCCTCCACTGGACCTTTTGTCTTCCGTTCATCGGAGTCCTCTACCCTGCCACGAAAGGAACCTTTACCGGCCTTGCCACACGAGCTGTCACCGTTCTAGAAGCGGGAAGGAATCAGGGCGCTTTTCGCTTCACCGACACAGCCACGATCCATGAGATCTCGACCGCCTTAAACAGTCATAGTTCTGCTCAAGTGAATCTCAGTCACATCATTGACTGTTCATCTTGATTGAGAGGTTACCGCCACCTCCTCAACCGGCAAACTTCCATCTTGATCATGCTACTAGTCGCAGGATCTGGATGTTGTGACCGAAGGAAATCTTCACGATATGATAATTGATCAACTCATCAGATGATGGCCAAATCCCAGCCTCGGTGCTCTCTGCAAGACACCATCGATCTTGGAAAATTCTTTGATCTGGATGAAACCACAATACTGACGCAAATCAAAGAGGCTTTCGAACCAGAACTGGAACGCCTCAAGTCGGCAAAGGCTGTCGAAGGCACCGATCAGCAACGTTATGCTAATGGAACATTCGACAATCCGAGCCCTTCGCAGATACTGTACGGCACGAATTATGACGAGATCAATCGGACGTTGGTAGGCGTCCTGGCTCTCAGGTGGATTCATAACGAAGACTACCAACGCTTCACTCGTGGTCAATTGCCTGAATGTCGATTGACCGAAGAATCCTTCCAATGGCTATGCAAATTGTTCTCAGAGGGATTGAAAAGTGGCAATGACTTATTTACCTTGATTTTGTCCATGGTCATTAACGATCTTGGAAAGGATCCGAATCTCGAAGAGGACTTTTTCTTTCACACTCGTCAACGCTTGACCGAGCAAAACCACGATGCTCTGCTCTTGGAGGCCGCGAAGGCGGGGATGGTACCATGTCTTGACTACCTCACACCTGAGAGGCGAGAAGACGTAATGCTAGGACTGGAACTCGGGTCGGAGTTGAATGCTGGTCAATTGGCTCAAGCCGAAAGTGTCCCGATCAACCTGGAGGGTCTTCTCACCATGAAAAACCATGAACATGCATTCGAGCTTAAGTTCATGGAGCAGGTCTTGGATGTTGCCGGTGCGGCGGGTCATCTGGATTCATCAGGTGCAAAGAATCTGATCGAGCCCGTATTTCAGGCATTCAAAACAGTTCACGAAATATCCCTAGAGATCATAGCCGGTAAGGTTACTCTTCGACAAGGCTACGATAAGATCCTGACAAAACGTGGCAATATGCTCTCCTTCAAGGGTTTCCGCAGACTGAGTGTTAGCGATCGCAAAGATCGAGCACTCTTGCGGCTGTTGACAATGGGCCGCACAGCCGATAAGGACCAAGCAGAGCTCTTTTCCAAAGCATTTGATGCACTTGACTCAGCAAGCAAGGAAAAACTCATCAAAGGCCTGAACATTGATGGGAACGTCAATGAAACAGCAGTTTTACCATATTATATGCCTGCCATAATTTCTAGAACTATGGAAAATACCCAAGACTCGGACGAAGACGGCCAACAGAAAGCACTGACAAGCCTTATGCGGTACCTTGCCAGAGTTCTCGAGAGTGGCAGTGTCGTTATCGGACTCGAAGGCGAAAGAATGACAGACGGTGAAGCACCTGGAATTGTCATTGAGCGAAATATGTCAAAAGCTCAAGATGTTATCAACAGCCCAGAATTCAAAGAGAACCCAGATATTCTTAATGGTCTAGCCATACCGGATGGGCAGGTCCTTCAACGACGGCGGACCAGCCAGTCGTGGTGAGTTGGGCACCAGAAATCTCGCACTCTAGAAAGTCTCAAGGCTCGCCTTTGGGGCTAAGAGATTTCGAGACGGTCCTCACGATTCCTCGACGCGTATTGGCGAAACCGTGGATTTCTGAGGAGCAGAGAAAAGCTTCAAGGACCAGCTTCGTCTGAACCAGTCTCTTCGCAAGGATGAACACAAATACCCTGGTAAACAGGTCCTCACCCGAGACTTTTGGGCAGCATCCGACGAAAAAGTTTCGTAAGAAACAATACATATATTCCTCCTTCGAGGTTTGCCCTCTTCTGCATTTCCAACTCCAAAATCCTACTGCTACCGCTTGCCGCCCGCCCATTCAGCCCTCTTGAACGCAGCACTAACAATATGGCGAACACCAATCTCAACCTGCACCTCGATGTTGGTCGCTATCCTGGCCAAATCGTTGTGTCTGCGCCTTCCAGTACCCCTGCCGGCATCTCCCATCAGCCACGACACCTCCTCCAGCAACAAACAAGCTGGGCGGCGTCTATAGTTGATGCGGCCTACAATAGTAACGTGCCGCAACGCCACATCCTCAACACGACAACAGGCAATGCCACCAATACAGATACCCTCCCACAGCCACCGGACATTTACATGAAAATCTTCGGCGGCATTTGCGTAGGCTTCCTCTTCCTCTTCTGCCTAGTCTGGTGTCTGCAGCAGATCTACGACTGGGGCTTTCGGCGAGGTCGCGACTCTGCATACGATGCAGATCTGGAACGTGGCCGCTCCCGAGTCCGCACTTGCGACCGCAAGACAAAGCAAAAGAAATCCGTAACCAGCGCGCCAAATCGAGCCCCGTATTCGCCTCAACGGCATTACGACACGTTCATCCCCCCGTTCAGGCCCGGATTCGAGAGAATGGGGAAAGTTCGCTTCGAGCGCATGAACACGAACGCCTGTGGGGAAGCTGAAGACTGCACAGACGGTGCCAGATGTATGGTCTGTCTGCGATGCAGGAGGATGTATGATGGTGCGGCACCCGGGATGGGGTTACAGCGTTACTGAGATCACCTTGTGCGCCTTGTGTGTGTCCAGTCTCTTTGATGACATCGCGGGACGGAATCAGTCAAGATATATATGGCCTTTTAGGGTCAGGATTTATGGAAATGAATACTATTATCAGTGAGATAAGCCTCATGCATTCGAGTATCGTCTGATACTTGCAATCTGTTCTACAATTCCACGTCTTTCTGAGGTCCGCTGTTTTGTTTCATCTAGTCGTCCAATCCATGCCAATGGTCTGTGGTATTAGCTATTATCTACATCTCCATTGCTATTGCCATCTTCCTTATTTCGTGTCGTGTCATTTTCCAGTCAATTCGGTATACGTATACACAGTACAGCCTGGATGCCAGGTCAAGGTCAAAGTTAAAGATCACGCCATCTGTCTTCCCTTCTTTCCGCCAGCCCCAAACAAATCTTTCCAGAACTGTCTAAACCCATACTCTTTGCCCTGGACCTCCTCCCTGATCCGGCCCTGGTGGCCGGCACCGGCACCGAAGCGCTCCAACACGCCGCCCTCGCGGTGCGGCATGACACTGATCCTGACGACGGGTTTCCTGCTGCGCTCGAGGATCTCGTCGGCCAAGAGGGGCGCCACGTCGGCGAAGCAGCGGTTCAGTTCGCGCGCGAGCGTGTAGTAGGGTTTCTGCGCGACTTTGGGGGCCATGAGGTTGTAGGAGCGTGTGAGCGCGTTGAGTTGTTGCACGGCGAGCGTGTGGTAGGCTAGTTCGGCTTTCTCCCATGATGGGTCGCGGAAGGGGTACGCCGCCGCGCGGATGGGCCGTTCGACGGGCCGCTCGTCAAATTGAGGTCGAGATGGTGATTGATCAACTGGTTCGAGGGGCCTGGTGGTGGTGGTGGTGGTGGCGACTACGGTGTCCGTCGCCGTCGCCGCCGCCGCAGCAGGAGCAGGAGCAGGAGATACATTCTCCGCGGGTTGCTCCGTCACTTGGATCTGCACGACGTCCTGCGCATGTTCTTCTGCAGACGCAGGCGTGGCGGCGTCAGGTTCACGCCCACGCCCGCCCTCCCCAGCAACACCAGCGGCAATGCGCTCTTCGACCGTGACACTGGTCAAAGTGCCATCGGCGGCTATCGAGGTCAAATTCTCGACCTTGCGGATCCTCGGATTGACCATCTCCTCCGCCAGCGCGTACGCCTTGGCCCTGCGCACCTGATCCTGGACACTGCCACCGGAACTCGAAATCACCCTGGCCGCATGTCTACGCCAGTCATTGCGCAAGCGTCCGCGGAAACTCGCGACGGCCTTGACGAGTTCCTGCTGCTTCTCTATCCACGGTGGCACAATCTCTTGCTTTTGTATGATCTTGTTCATGAAATACTCGGTCGTATCCAGGAAGGGGCTGTTTGCGGTATAATCCCTTTCGACGTTGATCCCTTTGCCGCGCGAAATGTTCTTGAACTGGCCCCGGGCAATCGCGTCTTCGATCCGCTCGTTGGCCAGACTCGTCAGGCCCTGTAGTGACGTCGGCATAGGTCTGGCACCCGGCGAGAAGCGTTCCTTGAGTTCCTTGCGGTACTTCTCCCGCTCTTCCTCGGACAAGTCCTCCTGCTGGCTTATCGCATATCGTGACGTCCGGTCGCGGGCATTTGCGAGTCGATCGGCGGCAGAGAGTTTCGGTTTCGGCGCAGGGCGGAGGTTGACCTTCGCCCCCAGAGAGGGCGGACGGCTCGGTGTACGTAGTCTCTTGTGGGAGTCGTCGAGCATACGGAGAGCGGAGTCGTGGAGGCTTTCGGACCCTGTCCAGGGCTGTGCGCCGGCGATGTCGCGTGTGCCTTTTCCTGCTGCACTCTACATTACATGGTCAATTCAAGGGCTCTGTTTGCCACCCGACCAAGCGAAGGGCTCTGAGCGTACTGGAAGGTTGACTTGGCTTGCAGCTCTCTGATTTTGAGCATCGAAACTGGTCTGAGCAATCCTTTGTTCTAACTGCGCCTTTAAATCTTCTGAAAAGCCGGCATCTTGCATCAGCTTGCGGTCACTTTTGCTCCCAGTGTCTATTGTCTCCTCGGCCATTTCCGCCAGTCGCCGCGACATGGCGCCCTGAGTCTGCTCATCCTGGGCCGCAGTCTGTGCAGTATTTGGTCCCGAAGGCTTCTCGTCCTGGAGGTGAAGTTTGCTGCTGAAAGAACGTCCAGAAGGTCTGACTGCCCAGGGCTCGGTACTGGGGATTTTCGGGAGACCGCCCCGCAACCGCTGGGCTCGAAGCACACAGCGGGAGCATGTCCAGACTTGGGGGCTGGGTCTACTCATCGTGCAGGGCGATGGATACAAAGGGAAATCTATACAAATACAGGACGACTAATATGAAAGGGAAAGCACAGGGAAAGAATGTGCTGGATGGCAAGATGGTCATATCGCAATGCTTCTGCTTCGCCGCAGGGACGCAACTCATTTTCTCCGCAGACTCCGTCCAATCAAGCACCTTCATCCGGTTCTGCATCCTCGAATATGGGATTCAACAACGACAGGGGACAACAGCCAAAGCTTTGTAAAACCGATTCAAACAAACGAGTGATAGATATAGGACGCCTGTCGAACGCCATAAACCAAGCAGTAAGACCAACTCAAACACCAAACACTGTGGATCATTGGCCATGATATCCCTGCACCACCTCTCCTATCGATTCAATGGCTTGCTGTAACTGCTCATCAGAACTGAACTCGATCCCTTCCGTGTGCAGTCGCGACAAGAACGAGATCGTATTGCGCAGTTGGTGTTTACTCTCCGCCCTGTGGATCTCCTCCTGTAACTGCTCGTCCTGCCAGCCCCCCGTGTCAGGCGTCTGGAAATCATGCGCGATCTGGTTCAGGACATGCATGGCTTCGATGAGGTCGCCGTCCCGCGAGACGTCGGGGTGAGAACGGGCAATACGCTGGAGGAGTTGCAGTATGTCAGTATACCCGGCCTGTTGAGCCGTATGGAGCTCTTTGTACAATTCGTAGGGGTGGAAGAGTGGCCCGTGGTCTGGTTGATGGTCGCCGTCCATGCCGCCGTCGTGCTCATCGCCCATTCCCTCGTGATACCCGTTCTCATCGCCCTGATCGTGCATGCCCATGCCGTCGTGGTCATCCATGCCACCGTCATCGTACATGCCACCGTGATCAACACCCATCATCCCATCGTGGTCACCACCCATGCCGTCGTGATCACCCCCCATGTCATCCTGATCGCCACCCATCCCGTCGTGGTCGCCATACACGTCACCGCCATGATCGTCATGATTCATGCCTTTTCCTTGGTCGTGCTGGTCCATCCCGTAGTCGCCTCCGTAGTCGCCTTGTCCATTGTCATCCATTTTCCGTGGTGTTACGCTTCGTTGCGAGAATAGAGGCAAAGGATAGTTCAGCCGGTGGTTGCAGGAGTTCGGGGTAGTTTCAAATTGACGTCTTTGGTGTTTGCTGACCTTCGCAGCACCTAATGTTACGTAGTCACCCTATTACCTTTATATACCCCTGATCCGAATCTTTCATTGCACACCTAAACCAGCACTGCCCTGGCAAGGACTATAATAGGAATTTCATTCCCCGAATTCCGGCTGCCGTTGTGACCTAAATGTAACTTACCTGGGTCAAGCAGTCGCCGTGATGGCCTTATGAGAGCCACAACCATGAATTGCCACAGCCGAGTCCTGTCTATATTGGCCACGGCGCCCCAGGACAAGCTCTCTTGAATAGCGATAGATGACACTCCGTTTGAAGAGGTTCCTGGACTGGTGCTATCTCGTTAGTATTCGTTGGACGGCCACGACGGCTCATATTCGATGCCAAGATTTGGGCTGATTCGTGGTTGATCAGGCTCAGAGAGGCCACTGTACGAGGCGGGTTGCCTGAAAGGTCGGCACAGTTGAAGGAACGCATATTTGACGGGAGGAGAATGGGCTGACACGCTCGACGAGGGCACGGGATTAGGAGCCTGGTTCACCTGAATATCATGGATCTTACAAGGTGGCTGTTCGACCGACATGTAACCTCATCCTGCGCATGATCAATGCTCGAGGATCGTAGACGGTTGCGAGTATTACCATGCAGCCAATAGCTAGGCGAGCTCATCTTCATCGGAAGTGGCTTGAGTCACCCTGAGCAACATTCTACCCGGGCTGGGCTTTTGCCTTTTTGGGAGCTGTCGCAAGTCAATGAAGCTGTGCTTGATTCGCGGATCCCGGTGCGACGCAGAACATCCTCAGTTGCCACGCTTAAAGGCAAATCTGGCTTGGTCATGGCCTCAGAGACTTTGGGATCATGGAGGATCCCGGTCACTCTACCCCAGTAGCGAAGCAGTCTGTTCATCAGACCGGCAGCAGGGTAAGCTGTACTTGTAGTATGCGTAGTCGACCTTGGGTCTCAGCCCACGACTGTCAGAAGTAGACAGTCTCCAAGCCATTGCAGCAGTGACGTGACGGTCACCCGTAGTACCTTTTCAGCGGATTTGTCTAGTCTTACGGAAGGAAGCTCAAAAGTAAGCGTTCGATCATGACCGTGGAGTGGTTGCAAAATCTCATTGCAACCAAGTATCGTTTCTTGAAGGTTCACGGAAGACAGCGATGTCTCGTAAGGAAACGTCGAATGCATCTTGAATGATGATTGCAAAGCTGAGTGGTTGTTGTCAAACATTTTGTGCAGGTAGTGGAAAACTCTTGAAGAGTAGCAGGTAAGTTACGTGCAGGTAGAGAGCCAGGGAGCTCGTCAGCTTCATATGGCACGTGACCCGAATGGTTGTTGCTGGCGAAATTTAACCGCGATTTCAACTGCATCGCGAGCATTTGATATTTCCTTAGACGAAGACCGTCATTTGCACATCAACCCGATCCGTTTCGATTCTCAACGGCCGCCGTCTCCAGCGCAACTGCCGACAGCAAGCCTGAGTTTCGCTGCAGTTCGAAACGTTCCGACTGCGACCTCGAGGCCCAACCTTCTCTGTCGCAGTCGAGCTACTGCATTGGACTCTGGGACAGCGGACCTCGAACCTAACATCGATCCCCTCCACAGCTAGGAGCTCGTCAGAGACTCCCTCAAGATGCCTCCAAAAGGCGCAAGCACCGCCATCAACCCCATCCGACTACAATCCGTATCCCGGTTAAAAATCAGACATCCTGACAAAGCAGAGCCCAATCCCTGTCTGGGCCCGATGAGCGCTATGTTGAGTATGTTTACACCCTGTTTAATAGCCGATGAAGAGATAGCCTTGCATCTCGACGGAACGGCTTTGAGAGCCCTTGCGGCACTGAACAGGCAGAAGAGTCACGCAGCTTGGGAATGGAAGCGGCTCTTTGGACGACTACTTCCACATAAATCAAGTCTTGAACTCAGCGCTAACAACTTCTTCGAACAGACTGCTGGGCCGCTGGCGCCGCAACAGGAGGCTGCGGCCACCTTGAAAAGGCTCTACGAGACTGCATGGATGCACCGGTACGTTTTCATACCCACGATTTCTAGCGATAGCAGAAACTCAACTCTCTGCACAACCCATATACCTTGTTATTGGAACCGCGTTCGATCACTAATATTGCTGGTGTCACAGAAAGCGCCTAAAAAAGACAAATCTACCATCAACCACCATCTTTCACGTTTATTCCCGAACATTGCTGGACCGAAGAGGAAGAGGTCGTAACCTGGCTCCGGTTAATATAACTCCAGGTCTTACCACCACCCAGCGAGCGCGGCACAAATCCAAACAAGATAAAATGATCAGTCTCCGGGCTGTTCAGTGACAAAATGGAAAAGCCACAAGCTTCTTGCGCAACGTGCCATGCCACAAGCACAACCACACCCACATAAGGAGGCAAGGCTGCGGGCGTACTCAGCGATGACAGCCGCCTTCGCTCTATTATATGTGTACAAGAATCAGGGCGAACCCGGCAATGAAATGCACTACTCATTCGGAGACCTATCCTCGAGATCCACGCGTTGTCCTTACGAGTTAACATGTCGTCGTTTCAGAGATGATATATCCACCAGAAGAACAAGGGCCTCGACGGCAGGGAGCCGGATCTAGTATTGCAGATGGATTGCGTGGATGATCTTCCTCGCATTAGCGTACTGTTCTGTTGATTTCTGTATAGCCCCGGGCAAACGCTTGCCTTTAATGGGCATTAGATTACATTATACAGGCACCTAGGTTTTCAGGGAGATTTATCGAGAAGCTCTACTCCTTGAGAAGCCCGGAACATGATGAAAACATTTGTTATGACTATGTATTCGTTCCTACACATGAAAAATCGTGTAGTTGCATGCTGGAATGATGGTGCCCGTGCCCGTGCTCGTGATCATCGTCAGTAATCATTACTTCGTTCAGGTATTATTCGTGACCTGTGCCAGTATGTTTTCATGAAAACCATATCCAAGCCATGCCATGCCCAAAGGAGAACCCACTTTTTTGTCCAGAGACCAAATCCTGCATGCAACGCTCAATGCTTAAACTCCCCAAATCCAGGTCCCAGTGCTCTTGTATAACGCCATGAAGCGAGAATGTCTTCCAAGGAGACGTCCACGCCTTGGTCATGAGGATGTCCCAAGCCGAACTGAAGCAAATCGAACCGAAGCGCCGAACATCCATGCCAGCTGGACTCAGAACACAGAACCGGGCAAAAATCGTAGCGAGCCCAACCATAATTTCCTGGTCTTCAAGACCGTTTGAACATGAAATAGCCATACATGCCGCCAACATCCTGCTCGACAACAGGCACCTTGCGCATCCCCCACCAGCGCGCGCCCATCTTCCAAGCGCGACTGCCGTCGTCAACGGCCACCTCGCCATCGGATTCGACGGGCTGTCTAGCAAACCACCCGCGCCGTCCCAATTCCTTAACGACCCACTCGGGCCTCTTCACGTGGGCGTTCCTTCTCTTGACCTCGCCGAGCACATCTTGACCTAGTTCCACGACCTCCAACGGCAGTGTATCCAAGTCGGTCAGACTGCTCGGACTGTAGCTGAGGCTCATCTGCGTGACCGACTTGATGTCCGTGAGATCCAAGTAGCGTACCGCATGAGGCTGCTTCAGGAGCGGCTTGATGTCGGCTCCGAGACTCAACTGTGCGCCGCGCAGGCCCAGTTCCTCCACGTGCGTCGCTAGCTTGCGCAAAGCGGGGATATGGCTTGCGTTGATACGCGCGCCGTTGAGGTTCAGAGACCGCAGTGTCGGTGGGAGAGCTGCGAGTAGTTTAGATACGTCGGCTTCGGCGAGGAGTCTGTGCCTGCTTGCATCAGCTGCGAGGTTCAAGTACACGACACTGTCCTTGACGGCGGGGTGTGTAGTGAGGAATTTGACAACTGCAGAACCGGTCAAATGTGTGCAGCGCTCGATGTTGAGATGTGTGATCCGTGCGGTGGGAGGGATCGAGAGAAGCGCCGCGTCGTTTATGAATGTGTGAGCGACATCGAGGTGTGTGAGGTTCGTGAGGCGCGGGAGGAGGGCGTCGAAGACTTCTTCTTGAAGCGTCGTACATTCATGGAGCGAAATGCGCTTCAAGTTCGGTAATGGTGCCTGTCTTGAGAGCTGCGTGACAACGCTTGTGAAGGCCTCGGTGAACGGGCGGGATGAGCAAGCACATAAGTCGAGGGCCTGCAGCCGAGGCATGCTGAACAGTTTAGTGAAGATGTTCCTATCGAGTTCGTCGTCGACATGTTCGTGGACTAAGAAGGCCCGAAGTTTAGGCACCATGTCCAGACAAGCGAGCAGGGTTTCGGGTTTGAGGAAGGGTGTTTGGTTGCGTGCCGTGCGAGCCTTTCCGAAGCCCATGTTCGAGTAGTGGGAGAAGTCGAGCCAGTGGACGAGTTCGCCTAGAGATTTGTCGTTGTTGAGGCTGCGCATGAGTTTGGAAAAGGCTCGAGACTGAGGAATCGAGACATGGCGGTACATGACTCGCACGGCTGCATCGTAGAGCTTTTTGCAGACCAGCGAGCAGGAAGCGAGGTCGACGTGTGGTCGTGCGTATGGGTCGGCTGTGTGATCCACTGTGACGCGGGATAGGATCATTTCCAGGATCTCGATGGGCATGGACTCGAGATACGAGGTCTGTCTCCAGTCTGAAGCCTGCGATAGAGTATCATCGTCGTCCAAAATCGCCGCCTCGTTGGTGCCGTCGAGAGTAAAGTCTCTGGTTCCGACAGCGTCTCTGACTTTTTCCCTCCATACATCGAGGCTGAAACTGGCTGGGCGTGGATGGACCAGGGTAATTTCTTTGGCGTCTGGAAGGTTGAAGAGTTTCTGTGCATCCCTCCTCTTGTCAAGTTCGTCCAGAATCTTCTCCAGCTTCCTTGGGTTGCTGCGAGCATAGCCTTCTAGCCTTGTCCGCACGTAATCATCATGTGTTCCACCAACATGGTATGAACAAAGGCCCTTTGTCTTGCACCATTGACTACAAGGCCACGCTATCCACTCGACTTCTTCAAGGTCTCGGCTCGACAGGGAGGATTCAAACGACTGAGGGATTCCTTGACCTACGGGAATCTGTTAGTGGTTGAAACTGCGGATGGCGTGAGATCGCGTGAGATGGCAACATACCTTGTTCTTCTTTGACCGAAGCGTAGGAGAACTTTCTCTCGGAGAGCATGTCTTCTGGAGGTACCAGTAAGTAGGGTAGGTGTACAGTGACTTCGTTGTTCTTTTCTTTCTGTGCTGTAGTATTATGGGTCGGGAGTTGTTTGATGTGTGCCCGCCTTAGAAAGGCGGAAGGTGTCATTGTCATGGCGTGCTTATGAGTGTTCAACTGAGGTGCTAAGGATACAGGTTGCTAAGCCGGCCAACTCCACAGACCAGGAAAATATGCAAGGAAAAGGCCTTGTATAGGAAAGATGAGGGTAATGGAAATAGAATGAAAGGATGAGAAGATTAGTTTTGTGTCATTGTTTTCATTTTGGGGCGGATGGCGAAGTTGCCATCAAGTAACGCGTACCACGAAAAGACTTGTCGACTAAGCAGTTAACGGCAACCTATGAATCACACCATCCCCCGGATTCTGGCGTCCATCGATATCGGATGATGTGGCCACTGGCGGCATCGGGGGCCTGGCTCCAGCAGCATTCTCTGCACGGACTGACCAGTCAAGGGAGTCATGTGGGAGCGACGAGCCATGCCCGAGCGGCGAGCGGCCTGGAAGAGATCCGAGCGCCAGGAGGAAAAATTGGAAAATCTGGATGAGAAAAGACCCCAGGAAAAAGTGAAGCAAAACGGTGGAATTGTGGTGTCAGAAAGAGGTTGAAATTACGTAGCTTGATATGATCCAAATCCGGGGAAAGGCGCTTGGCGTCGGTGCTGAAGGAGCCAAAGGGAGCGTTTTCGCCCTTGACCTGTTCACGTGCAGCCTCAGAGTTTTCCTGATGGCCACGATGGCCCATGACAAGGCGAAAAAAAGAGTACTTCTTAGTCACCGCCTCTCCTCGAGGAGAATAGCGGGAAATTCTCTCCCAGGGACATGACACACCATGTGCAACGTCAACTGTCACTTAACGTCGTCCTTCTCCGACTTCATACCACGTTCATCCATCAAAACATCTGCTCGGTTTTGACCAACAGCGGGTTCCTGTTCAATTGCGGAAGACGGGCCGGATATACAATACAAAAAGACCACAGACCAAACCCCAGCTCTTCCATCTCTGGGGAAAGCATATCACAGTAACTCCTCACTCCTCGACCCATCCTCCCTGGGTGATGTCGAATCTCCTCGTGGATCCTGCCGTCCCCTGTCGCGATGGTGGTTTCGGCGACTGTAGGGTCATAGCTTCCAGCTGCTCGTTGATGTTGAATTTCGGCTCCTTGCCCCGCAAACTCTCTCCGGCTCGGATACGTTCGCAAAGTCCTTTGAGCACTTCCCCCAGCCACTCAAAGTCCTTGAGTTCTAGATAGATCTGGCCAGAAATGCGAGTCCACACTCTGCCCTCGTACTCGTAGATCGCCACGAACGTGTTGAATTCATCCACCAACGTCTTCTCCATCCATGCCTTGTGAGTTGGAACATCGGCTTCTTGCACGATAATAGGGCCTGCCGAATAAATACTCGGAGAACCCATGGGTGAGCGTGAGACGGTCGGTTCGCCTAAAAGACCACCAGAAGTCGAAGAGAGGGTCTGCGTGTTGTTGCCTGGGTTAGGAAAGCCATACGAACTTTGCCGTAGTGCAGGTGACAGGCCGCCCGCGCTACCCGCTCCACCAGGTCCCATGCTGATGCTTCCCCGAGCAGCTGCATCAACGATCGTGATTGGCAGCAGGACATTAGCCATAGCGCAGTCTCGCAGACCGCCAGACCAACCTGTCCTCCCTCCCTCTCGTCGATCGGTGGCTTCGTAGCTTCCCATTGTTTTCAGACCGTAGCCAGCATCCAGATCATCCATAACCTCGGTTCCTAGGACCATGGCAAGCAAATCAGCTCCTCGCTGAGCAATGTCACGGATGTAGTTGTAGATGGCCTCCTCGCCACCGCAAAGGTTCTGGCGGAAGTTCAGAGCGGCCGGTACGCAATAGTAAGGCGAGCTGTCGACAGTCGCGACGAATTGGAACAGATTTACAAATTCAGACTTCTCTGTCGGAGGCAGTGGGTTGCGAATTACGGATGGTGAATTGGTGCGAGGTATGTATCCATGCGAAGTAGGGAATGTTGTTCGGATGAGGTGTTGGTTGCGCTTGGGTACGTGAAACACCGCACAGCCTCGAGGTGTGTAGAGCCATCTATGCATCGTTAGCAATGACGCATATAAGGTGAAGATCTCAACCTACTTGTGACAATTGCTCACAAAGAAGTCAGCATCGAGTTGAGCGAGGTTCAGCGGAATCATGCCAACACCATGTGCGCCATCGATCAAACTGAGTATGCCATATTCTTTGCACATTTTCGTAATCCTCTCAAACGGGAAGCGGACGCCGGGTAGAGAGACTATGGTGTCAAATATGCAAACCTTGGGTGTATATCCATCGTAAATGACGCGAGATATGGTTTGTGAAAGAGCGTTGAGAATTTCAGGATGTGTGCAGGGCAGCGAATAGCCAAAGTCTTGTCCATGGCCGACTTTTCGAAGATGAACTTGAGGGTTTGTCTCGACGATTGAAGCTAGAGTCTTCTCACAAGCTCCATAGATGGTATCAAAATAGATTATGCAGTCTTTTTCCTTGTACTGCAGGTTTCGCAGAACAGTGTTGACCCCTATTCCGTTAGCTGTGTCGTTTCAAATCAGGGACTTGCGCTCACCAGATGTCGCATTCTGGACGAACACGCATTCGTCCACCGGCACATTGAGAAGTCGTGCAATACGCTCTCTTGCTTTGTCGAGCAGATCAATGTATTGATATCTCAAGAATTTATCCGGTGCTGCTTCGGCAAGCTTCTGATAGCCCCGTAGGGCATTGCGAACAGGTAGAGAGTAGCTTCCAAACGATCCTACGGGATTATATTAGTCCTTCAGTTCACCGCAACTTCAATGGTCTGCACAATCATGACCATGCAAAAGCCTGGCGCTCGCTGACAAGCAGATATTTTCGACGGACTTGTGTCTCCCGATTTAGGAAGTGGAGTGCAGTACAACATACCATGATTTAAATTGGTATATTTGGGATCAAACAGAAAATGCGACTTGAAGCCATGACCAAATTCAGTTACTTCACCAAAAGAGCCCATTTTGATGCGGTCTGGTTGTTATCAACTGTCGTCGTCGAAGGATTCGGAGACCGAGGTTTCGGATAAGGGGGAATACTACCCCTCCGTAACTGGGTGGCCCGATGCTTTTGTCTTTGTCTTTCCGGCGTGCACTGGGAACCAGAAAACCTGTCTTCGAGATCAATGCAATGCAGTCAGCGTCGAGCTTTGAGAAGGTCAACTCTTCAATGTGCCGTGGAGAGGTGAGAAGTATCCGATTTCTTTTGCGGTGAGTCAGTATGTAGAGCTGTAGCCCCGAAATTTGATATGTTACGCATTGGGGGCGGAAAAATTGTCCAGCGCCCAAAGCCTGCCTGTCGCCTAAAGTTTTTCTGACTTTGTGATATGGAGCTTGATTTGCTGGCCAGCGAGTCTGTGCATCGAAACATGAAGATCCGGTCCACCAACCTTGCCTGTAGCGGCCTGGTTTCTTGAGGCATCTTTGCTGAGGATCCCTCGGGGCTGGAACAAGCCAATCGCTTTCGTCCCTGTTGTTCAGGATTCTAGGCAAACCAGTCTGATGATGGAGAAATACGATTCAGCTCGCGGGTTTTGCAATTTGTGGTCAGCTGTGCCTCTCAATGCTCCATGTAGGTCCGACAAGGAGGATAAGAAGAAGATACGAGGGCGATGTTGCGTTCATGCCCTCGATGAGCTGTGTTGATGGAAGGGAGCTCATCAAAGATGACTATGCACGTGACATTATCCGGGGGAACAGTTTCTCCTCGTTCCGGCACATCGCATCACCTCGGCTCATCTTTCATTCATCATTGATTCACGGCGAGGGGTCGGCGAACTCATCTGTATAATGCTGATTTGCTGCTCCGGCTATCTTATGCTGCTTAATACAATTACTCAGCGTCAAGGAAAACCGAAGACTCTGCAATCGCGAAAGAACACCGAGCTGAATATCTAAGTAGACGTCCAGTCTCTGGAAAAGCAGAACCAACGAGTCCGTGACAGAGTGCCAGTGTCAAACAGTATAGTAATTACTAGGTCCGAGGGACAGCTAGTGAAAGAGAGAGCAACACTCTTCAAAGACTGGATCGAAGCCCATAATGCCCAAATCAATCTCCATTTCCAAGGTCGAAGGCAAGCCAGGCCAGGTCTATTACCCTTTGTCACTCGACGATGTCGCTAAACCTACTCCCAAGGGTAAAGAAGTTCTGATCAAGATCCATGCTGCAGCACTAAACCATCGTGATCTGTTCATCAGACAACATCTCTACCCGGGCACTACTTTTGGCGTGCCCCTCCTGGCTGACGGTTGCGGCACTGTCATCGCTGTCGGCAGTGATGCCAATACGAAGTGGAAGGGCAAGAGAGTCGTTGTGAACCCGGGTTCAGGCTGGAAAGACAGTCCCGAAGGACCCGAGGAGAAAGGCGGCTACAAAATCCTCGGCGGCACAAAGTTGAATGCGAACGGCACATTGCAGGAGTACATGGTCATTGACGAGTCAGAGATTGAGGAGGCACCAGACCATTTGTCTACTGTTGAAGCTGCTGCCATGCCTTTGACTGGCCTTACAGCGTGGAGAGCCGTCATGAGCAAGTGCGGAGAACGCAACATCGGACCAGGAAAAAATGTTCTGGTCACGGGTATTGGTGGTGGTGTAGCTTTGTTTGCACTCGAATTTGCACGAGCCGCTGGCGCAAACGTCTACGTCAGCAGTAGCAGCGAGGAGAAGTTGCAAAAGGCTATGAAGCTTGGAGCGAAGGCGGGGATCGACTATAAAGAGGAAGGGTGGGAGAAGAAATTGTTGGGCATGTTGCCTGCAGAAAATAAGCAGCTCGATGCTGTTGTTGATGGAGCGGGCGGTGATATCGTCGACAAAAGTACGAGTCTGCTAAAGGTACGTTTCACCCGCTTTTGACATGAGATATTCGCTGACAGTCAGTTAGCCGGGTGGTGTCATCGCAGTCTACGGCATGACTACCGGACCCAAGATGCCATTTTTGATGAAGGCTGTCCTCAAGAATATCGAGGTAAAAGGCTCAACCATGGGCTCGAGGAAGGAGTTCAAAGACATGGTCGACTTCGTCAAGTCAACAAAGGCAAAGCCGGTGGTGTCGCGGGTTGTTCAAGGCTTGGACATAGATGCCATCAATGGTTTGTTCGATGACATGAAGAAAGGTAGCCAGTTCGGCAAGTTGGTGGTCGAAATCTCCAAGGAAGGCGCCGACAGTAAGTTGTGAATATAATTAGACATTGTCGACATCTGCCATTTGAACAATTCCATGTCGATGTCAATGCAAGACTGTTCTGATCAGCTTCCTTGTTTCCTCAAGCGATGCTCTCGCCTTTCTTGTTTGCATACAGTGCCAACCTGTTTTGCATCAGTTATTCTATTTTTGCGGCGTCGCGTGGGTGCTCTATGATCCCAGGACCATCGCATCGAATGGGCTGTGGAAAGGACAACAACTTCTTCAAGTCGCAAGCCACCAAAACGGGCACAGCCAACAGATCACCAGTGACCCTGCAGATGAGATCCAGGAATAGGGTACTGCCGATCACAATTCTGCGTTGGTACTCAGTGCGACCTCCAATGTCACAATCGACAGGCGCTAAGGACAGGGAGACCGGATGGGGAACACAGAACAAGCACAGGTATCCTGATCGGGTCGGCCCTGGCCTGGCCAAAAATGTGTCTCCAGCCTTCAACAAGGCCTTGGCGGGATGACTGGTTCACAGGCTGCCAAACAATTCTGCTCTGTGCCTGGTTTGAGAGATTTCGATATCGCACCGTTGTACAATTGATCATGCAGGAGTGATAGGCGCAAAAGGACTCGAAGGCCAGAATTGGGAGGGACAGACCGCAAATCGGCAGTTGGTTGCGGGCAATTGTCTGGTCGATCCTTGATGAGCTGTTGTTTTGCTGTCGATATTTTGAGCATATGGTCAATCGCAATGGATCTGCACTGTCTGGGCCCTTCGAAACGGTTTCATATCATTTCGCTGCATGAATCAGGAGCTAGGATGTTTGTGACGCAGGAAGGACGCACCCTTCCATAGTGTGATAGTCATCGATAGGATACTCGGTCCCAAGCATCGTGCGGTCCCTCTTCGAGTCGGACATATCAAGCGCGCGACGACAAGGCTAGTTACCATGTCGGTCGCCACTTGGCCTGGGGAACCAAGAAGGCGGGTGTGTCATGATGACCACAAGTCTGGTATCAATTTGGCAGGCAGGTGCGAAAAGTGAGAAGTGATGTGCTCAAAAGCAGACCCTGGTGCAACTGTAATGGGATAGCCTGCAATTAACCGAACCAGCCAGAAGGCAACGGCAAAAATAGAAAGGGGTAGTAGAGGTTTCATCCAACCACTAACCCAGTGACCAAAGATGCAGTTTTCACAGCCTCACAACGTGAAATGAGTGGCTTTCTCTTTCTTGTCTGTCCACGTCACACTCACGCGCTGGAGAATACCGCGCCGAAATAGGATTTGCTTTGGTTCTCCAGTCAAGCCACGAAAGAAGCAGACAGCTGATTTGTATACCGATAGATAGTGGCACTGTCAGCACATGTGATGACTTAGGACAGGCGCGCAAAAGGCGCCGAGTCAGGAGAGCCAGTCGAAACGTTTCCGGCGCATTGTAGAGGAAACAGATTCGGAGCTATGTTGTTGTAGCCTCACCACATGGCGAGCGTTCGAAGCCTTGGCTACCTAGAGTCGGCCGATCCCCACAAGCTAAGAAACGACCCGTGGCATGGCCCGCAAAACGAAGCCCATAAGCGTAGCGTAGGAAAATGAGGTTGCGATGCGAGCATTTTCCACGCTCCAGGACGCAGTCATCAAAGAACCTAATCTCCAGAGGTCGACCTCATGCAAGACAGATGCCGGTGAAGGCTCCAAAAGTATCCATTTTGGGTTGTGCTCAGCACAGTGCTGAAGTTGACTGAGTCAAACGTATACCGGAGCAGCACCGCGCCGTTGTCCGTGCCCCCTTGCCCGTGCATACAAAGGCTGGTCACAACCGGCTTGGGAAACGACGCCGGTGAAAAAGACGGCTCGCTGTTTCCCCAGACTTGACCAGTATCAGACACTTTAGCTTATCGTACGGAGTTGAACGTAGCGATGTTCATCCTCGCTTGAGCTGCAGCCCCAAGTCAAAAGGAGCCAGGTGAAGTTTCAAAAAGAAGTGCAACAGATAGGGAGCACAGCAGAAGAACCTTTCACGGGGCCAGGATCAATATGCAGGTCTTGCATGAGCTGGGACGATAATAATGTCAAGGCACCGGGCAATCCGAAGATCATCGGGCAGAAGCCCAAGCTGCCCAACCCATCATTGTGGCAGTGGAAGTGGCAAACCAACAAAACTCGATCCGAGAACAATTGACTTTATGTATACGTAAGGGGTTGATTGTTCGTGATTTGCGGATTGCATATCGAACAAAACAAACAATGCAAGGCCCGCGAATCATGCATTATTTAGCCGGTAGTACGCGTTTGATGGACATGTCAGAAAGGGAGGAGGCGGGAGCATCCATTTCCAACCAATTGCTCACGACCGCTGGGTCGAGTCTTCGAGTGCTGATGAAGCTGTCTTCGGCGTGTCGCTTTTGAAGAGGCGAAAAGAAAGTGAACTGTTGGTTGGGCGCTAGGGCCTCGGTTGGACGATTGGTGGGCTATACTTAGCACTTGGAGCCGGGGGGGGGGGGTGGTAAGCAGCACTGAGCTCTGAGCAGACAACAGAAGGCCCTGGGCGAGTCCATGGCGCTAGAGTAGGGGAACCGGCAGGAAGCCAAGTAGGGGAACAAAGCCTGTAACATGGGTCGATGCGGCCGGTGGAGTGACGTTAAACTCATCCAGGTTACCGGCGATGCCAGGGGACCAGCAGGGGACCACTGGAGGGAAAAGACTGGATTCCCTTTGGGCAATGACCTCACCAAACGGCATTTGATCGCTGCAGGCTTCAGGGATTGCACCCTTTCATGCCCTTTTCTTCCTCCTCCCGTGTTGCGGCTGTGCAAGCCTTTTCTAGCCCAGTGTGGCCAACCCCGATCAGACGGCCTGGTCGCTTTGGCTGCCACGCGTGTGGATCGCTCACTGGCTTTGGGTCTGTTCCTGGAGCCAGCTGTCATCGAACTCGTAACGCACCCAAACACGCTTATGGAAGACAGAGAACAACAATTCCCACTTGGGCTTGCCGCCAGCTGCCGGTCCTGCACCTCTATTGCCGTCACATTCTCGTCACAAGAGGCCCTCCAAGAGCCAACAGTGGCCAATGTACTACTCCGTAATAGTAGGCAGAAAGCAGAGGCTGTGGGATCACCAGATTGACACGGGATTTGCCTCAATAGCCTCATCGATACCTCAAAGGTAACGAGACACTGGCAGTCGTGCATCCGGCCTCATACCTGGTAGTCAAGAACATCGGCAGGACACGCAGACGGCGGGACAGTTGGACACTGGACACTGGACACTGAGTGACTGGACAGCAAAACACAGCCGACGGTTGGAGGATATTCACACCTCTCATGCTGATGTTGAGCCACTCACAACACATGTTCGAGTCCTCATGTCTCCGCTTTTCTATTTTTCTCCTTCTTCCCTCTGCCATCATCGAACCACCCAGCTTACCCACACCTCAACCCACTCACGCTGCACCCCCTCGTCGGATCCTCATCCTCGAACATCCTGTTCCCCTTGCCTTTCCTCCATTCAGCCCGCTAGTCGCTCACTGCCACTAAACTTGCCTCATCCAACTCGCCCGCCAGTGACCAGCCAGAGAGCGAAGGGGATATGCTCCCGTTAACTCGCCGAGTACGACTCCTGCGTGACCTGATTGAACACTGCCTTCTTTCTTTGAGCCCTTTTGCCATCCACCTCTCATCTGGCTGGTCGAGGCCGATATAGCCATTCCGTCCCCCTCCTCGGCTCATTCTCTTCCACCACCGCTCCACCTCTCCATCAACCCTTCTACCTGATCGACTTTTTTCCTGGTTCTGCTCGCAGACCATACTTTCGTTTATTCACACGAAACCAACACTCGCTTTCACACGCCTTTGACCTCTCGTTCGTTGGACCTTCAATCGCTCAAGTCCTTCGCTTTCGACTCATTCGCTGAAAAGCCTCAACTATCCCGCCTTCGCCTCTGTACATTCCAGCCACCTACCTGAACTTCCCGAGAAGTGCCGCTGGGTGAGAACATTCGCTACATTTGGACTTTAACAACTTCTGTACCTGAGGACTGGGTCGAAGAGTTTTACTGCGGGCATTTTTGGTTGAAGATTCGCCCATTAGCCTACCGGCATCGCAGACCACTTTCAGGCAGCTGCACTCTCCATACTGGTGGTGAATATCTGTCTGGAAATTCGGGCATATCTGTCAAAGAGTGGGAAGAACATCACCGTGACCATATTTGCGACTGGTCCACATCGAAATCCAGAGTGTCGGGTGCGTACTCTCTCGGTGTCCTCGACTGATTTGCTACCACATTTGGCTCCCGCCTTCACCTAAAAAAGGATAACCCACAACCGCCCTTGCCTTGCAAATTCAAAGTCCTTGCTTGACGCTGAAATTAACTTGTCATTCTTAACACACCGTGCCGTCCAGAAATATCTTGAATATCTCGCTAACATCCCACAGTGACAGTTGTCTCAGTCCTGGGAGAGAAAGATTCACTCTACCGACCACCCACCTATTTGGAATATTCAGAAACATCACGACATCTAACCTCTACCTCGATCTTTCATTAGAAAGGTAAGCAAGAAAACATCCTGGTCAAAGATTTCGAATCTGCCCGGCAATAGTTTGGCTGATCGGTGGCATAGTTCGTTCCATCCGTCTGGAATTCTTTGTCTTCGAGATTAGATCTGCTTCAAGATCCCGGATCTTCAACTCTTTAGGAAGCACACCACAGGTTCCCGGTCTCGATCCAAATCCTCGCAAGCTGGATACAGCGACCATCTAGGTGGTCGTCGCTAGCCTAGCCAGCCTCCTCCCACACGTCTCAGACGTCTAGGGGGCGAAATACCTGCTCAGCCATACAAGCGTCATTCGGATGTTTGTCAGGAGAACAACGATACTCGACTCGTTGTTCGGATCTCGATAACACTTTCCAGAAGTCGCTCGCTCTGATTTGAGGAAACCACGCCTCTAATCAACCACATTCGTTTAGCAACCAGTCACTCGCTTCGTGCTTTTTTCGAACATTAATTTCCATCATCATCAACATCATCAATACCGTCAATCTGGCGTCGATTACTCACAACCGTTTTCAGGTGAGTGCAATCTACGCATCCCTGGCCATGTTTTAGCCTTCGACTCGGCGCCGTCGGCCAGCGGGTTCTCCTGGGTTTCCCAAATGATTCAAATACTGACACGAATCTCAGTCCTTCCCAGACTTCCACACCCCCTTCATAGTCGACGACTCTTTCGACCCTTCGGTCTTTGCGGGAGAGCACTTTGGCAATCAATTCCAGGACGGCCTCGAGGCCAACCCTGGTCAGCTCTTCTCCATGTCTGGCTATGAGAAAGTCGGTCCAGCAGGGCTCATGAGTATGTCTTTGAAGTGATCAGAGGATGCTGTTTGCTGACTTGTTCCAGATTTTCAAGCTTCTGCCCTTCAAAGTCCGATGTTCTATGGTTCTTTCCCTCAGACGCCATATGATCATCATCCCCTTCTCCAGCCTGGACCGGGCCAGGATGCCGATTTCCAATACGTCCCTGCACAGAGCTTTGAAGAACGTAAGCCTTCCACAGTGGACATGCGAGACGTCAAGGCTTTCAGTGTGCCACATTCGAGAGCGGCGTCGACAAACAGCATCTCAACCAAATCCCTAAAGCGGAGGGTATCAAACATCGATGAGTATGATCTTCCAGCTCAAAAGAGAGCAGCAATCGCACAAGTGCAGGTCCAAGATCCCAATGGAGATTACTACGATCTCAGTGGCCAAACCTCACCTTACTCACCATTTGTGCCAACACCAACCGGCAGCACTGGAATTCCCGCGTGTGCCGGTCAAATCCCGTCACCCAGACCTTCTGGTCACCACTACTCAACCTCGACGGCCTCTCAAGTATCCTTGGCTGCTCCATCACCACACACACCTGCTTTCAGCCCCTCATTCACCACCGTGAAGAGCGAGCAAAGCCCCGGAGCACCCTTGACCCCTATTCCAAGGCCAGCCACAAGCTCTCCTCTGAAGTCATCGATACCAAAGTTGGTGAGAACCTCGACTATGCAGCAGTCTCCTCAGCAATCTTTCTCCGGCATGGCTGCTGTGCCGCAGACTCAAAACTTCAATCCCTATGCTATGCATCCTCTCAAGGCCAATCTCAAGCTAAAGGGTGATCTGGATACCATGAAGGATGGCTGGACGGCGGATGAGAAGGAGACCCGTCGCCGTCTTGTCGAATTCAAACGCAGCCAAATCAACAGCACCATCACAGCTGAATTCGGCCCAGTGACCCCTCAAGAGCGACAGCCAAGCAGCATCTGCATTTCATGCATTTGGTGGAAGGAGAGAAACGAATACTACGTTACCTCCGTCGACACCATCTACCTACTTGAGTCACTTGTTGGTGTTCGATTCACTGTTGAAGAGAAGAACCGAATCCGTCGCAACCTCGAGGGGTTCAGACCAATGACTGTTTCAAAGGCCAAGCCAGACAGCGAAGAATTCTTCAAGGTCATCATGGGCTTCCCACATCCCAAGCCTCGCAACATCGAGAAGGATGTCAAGGTGTTCCCGTGGAAGATTCTCTCAGTTGCCCTGAAAAAGATCATCTCCAAGTACTCGGCGAGCTACTCGTCGACTGCTTCTTCGCTGCTTACCCCGACTTCTTCGGTCTATTCCAATGGAGAGATTGTCGACTACCACTATGCACCATCACCTCACCCCGAGTACATGGCTGCCAGTGGTTCATACCCCGTCCACACTGAAGTGACGTATGTGCCCGGGCCGCAAGCGATGCGCATGCAAGGGCCACCACCGGTTCCCGAGCTGCAACTTCAGATGCCAGAGTATGTCCCCGGATACGACGTCAATGGTCAGTACGTCTATCAAATGGTCCAAGCTCCTCCTTCAGGAACAATGGCCATGCCACATGGTCCGATGACTGCACCAATCACCCGCATGCCATCTTGGGATTATGCCAACTTTGTCAATGACAGCCCCATCGCAACAGCACCGCAGAGCGCACCACCGACCGGCTACCCGCGCGGGTTCATCGGAACGGCCGAGTTTCTGCCTCACATGCACTACCAGCAACACTGAAGCGTGCAAGCAATCAATCTTTTCCTTTCTCAACTGTCCTTAGCATCCATCATTTGTGCATAGCACAGGGGTCTTTTGATACCTATCCACCGGAAACGGAGTTTCTTTTCTGCATTGTCACCGGCGTCAAATGGGAACAACAAGGGAAATGTTTGGGAAGAATGAGTCATGTACACAAAAATCTCTGTACACCAACATGGGTCATGTCTTAGCGATTTGATATTGGGATGGAGGGCTGATGTTGTCAACACGGAATGGTCATGGGAGTCGAGCAGTTATGGCTGATTGACTCCATTGGAGTAATACTGAGACCAAAGCCGGGGTTATGTTCGTTCATATGATTGATGACGCATAGATGATATGCCAGATGACCAGCAGACGCGACCTTGAGAGAGCGCAGCAGTAGCAGCAGCAGCAGCAGCAATACAATGAATTAGTCTATTTGATACGAGTATAAGGATTCTTCATCTGTTGAGTTGTAAGTTGTAAGTGGTGTGGGGGTGGAAGGCTGTATGAAATTAGACGTTGTCTTAGCCACTTTGGGCGGGCATCAACACAGAATTCCCGCGCGTCGCATCTTGTTTGCTTCACGACTGCAGCATCTACCAATACGCGGCAGCTGCCTATCATTATAAAACACATCATCCACCGATTGATCTCGCAATGATATACTAGACGAAAGTCGTGTGATTAGGTCTGCGAATCCGCGCCGACATTCATACCATGGCCCTCCGGATGGCGGCAACCACGCCCACACGCCAGCGACAGTCGTTAGAACCCACGCCCTTCATTCCGTCTTCCAGTCCAACAGAGAAGTCACATTGCGATGGCAGTCCTACGCGTGTACATACCGATACAAAGCGCTACACATTCACGCCGCAGCGCGTCAAAGCTCTACCGCGAGCTTGGGAGCGAAGACCTGCAACGCCGTACGTGCCACGGAACGATGCCCAGAAGATATGGAAACGTATGCCTCTAGGCGAAGTCATGACGAACTTCGGAGAACATTGGCAAAAAAAAGCAGCTAGGGGTTCGAATGGGAGATCTGTAAAAAGGTTACGAGTTGGCAGACTGGATCACGAGGAGGATAAAGAGAATATCGAGTACGTGCCTTCGAAATGGGACGAAACGGCGCCGGCGGGTAGTCCGAAGAGGAAGTGTGTCGGATTCGTGGCTGTTAATGCAGCAACGCTGAAGACGGGGAACGGGGAGGGTGGAAATGAGTGCGATGGAGGTGTACAAGAAGAATATCCTGCGACTTCACCACCTGACAGTACCGTGGCTGTCTGGCAGGCCATAAAGGAGGAGGTGGCTTCGCCGAACAGAGTTGAAGGGAATGACTTGGGGACAGAAGTGGCAGAGCTTTCACAAGATGTCTCAGACAGAGTCAATTTGCCCGGTCAGAGTGAAGAAAGTGATCGGACATTCACGCTCGAGCCTGCTCCTTCGCCATCAGATGCTGCACCTTCTGAAGCACTCCTGGAATCTGCCATACAGCAAGCAAAGCCAACAGAGAACGAAGCTGACCCTGCCTCGAGCACTCGACAGTCTACCAATCAACTGACCACTATACCAGCAGACCAAGACGACACAGCATATCTGCACGATTTCTTATCCCGAGCACGAGCACAGAAAGCAGCCAAACAGCAAGCTATGTCTCAAGAACAGGATCCAACAGCGCCAATGGACGGCATAGAAACGACTGCTACGTCTCCCGAGTGTCCGGCAGCCTGCCACATGGAGGACGTGAGCGAATCCAAATTAGACACCGCTGTTTCACAGGACGAAATTCCATCACTCGAGCCAGACCAAGAAGCCGATCCCATGATGACATCCCCACGACGAAGTTCGCGCCTCATCACGCGACTTCCTCGTCCCCAGAAATCGGTCGCATGCTTACCGAGCAATATAGCGCTCAAGAGGCTGAATGGCACGGAGTTCATTGCTATGCAGCGCGAGACACAGTCTCTGGCACTGACGACGAGGACGAATACGAAAAGGAACAAGGGCGATGCGGTCGGTGTGCAGCATAAGTTGATGCAGTTGGCTGCAGAGGAGAGGGCGAGGGTTGTGGTGGATGGAGTCGGTCAGGGAGCGGAAGTGCCAGCGAAGAAAAGGAAGAAGAAAGCCAAGGAGGTCAGTTGGGATAGCACGATTGCGAGGTATGAAGGGGGCGAGGCGGTCGTCAATGCGGATGGGGAGGAAGGGGAGCAAGAAGACGAAAATGAGACGCCCGTCGAAGCAGAAAGGGACGGGAAAGAGAACGAGGATGGACAAGAGGGAAAGAATGAGAACAAGAACGGTGAAGTGCCCAAGGAGCTTGAGAAGAATCAAGTCAGGAAAGTCAGGAGGTTGAGGAAGTTGAATGTCGGAAATGTCAATGGGACGCCGGCGCCGAAAAGGCGAATCAGTCTGGGTATCCCCGTGCCTGTTGGCTCGAGTTCGAGTTCGAGTTCGAGTTCGAGTTCGAGTTCGAGTTCGAGTTCGACGGTTGAGAAGCGAGAGGACAAGGAGGATGTCGATGCGTCGGAGGGAGGGAGGCAGAGCTCTGGGGCCGAGAAGAGGATGCAAACCAGAACGCGGACGAGCACGAGGAAACCTTGATCCTCTGCTTTTGCTTGGACCGTCAGTGGAATGAAACAGAGACCACAGGAGAATGACACATGATAAATCGTGTCATGTTCATTTTTCCTCCCTCGAAAGATCTCCATCCTGGATCGAGGGCCCTTTTGACCAGCAAAATATTTGACTGCGTCCTACCCGCTTCCGTTGAGGTTTGATAAGACCGATCCGAGCTCCAGACTTCCATCAGAGGCGCAGACCCTATGATGGTACGGGAGAATAGACAAGAGTCTGATCATCAGAAGGAGAGGACAAGAGCATCAGAAGGAGAGGACAAGAGCATCAGAAGGAGAGGACAAGAGCATCAGAAGGAGAGGACAAGAGCATCAGAAGGAGAGGACAAGAGCAAATTCATCCTGGTAAGCGGCTGGAAATGAGTCGCGCAGCATTAAGAATTTGCAAAGATGGAAAGTTTCCAGAAATACAGTCAGACCAGGAACCATCTTGCTGGAGCAGAGATCAAGCACGCAATCCGGCTTCCAAATGGAGAGAAAACGCGAGCATATATTGACGATTGACCCCTGATGACACAGGCAGCTCGTCGGGGTCATGTTGTATCATCAGCTCGTCTGAGGAAGATCCAACTTCTTCGCGAGGTATTTTGTCGTTGTCAGCCATGAGGTTCAGTGGCAGCTTCGGAAGTGTCGGTTGGGTTGGGAGCTGACATACCTTACTCGCATAGAAAAGGCGAGAGGAGAAGATGCCAAGAGGAGAGCTTGACGCGGCTAATGTGGCGGTATGAATTGAAGTGACGTTGAAAGAGCAGCATTGTTCAACCACTCACAGATTCTACTTCTTTGATTGCGCGCAATACACGAAGTCGTACACGCAGCTTTCGTTCCATGATAATTGTGTGAACTCAAAGGCATCTATGTATTCCTCTCCCAAGATTTGTTTAGTGTCATATTTCAACCCACTTTGACCGTTGGATCACCAGCACTAGCCACTGACCCTTTGGGCTCGGCCTCGACTGCGGTGACTGCGCCACGCCATCACCCAATTTCATCAGCACGCTCCACGCTCCCTGTCTCCTCGCCCATCCAGGCGCCGCGATAAAAGCACAGAGGACCACCTGTGGATACTGTGCCCTGCCCTACGCTGGCCATTCACGCCCATTCTGCCCACCTTACGTGCACCGTGACGAGCTGGCTGGGCCACTAACTTAGGCCTCTGACCTCAAGCATTTCTCCGGATCCTCATCCATCCGCCGCGCTGGCATTCTTCACCTCACCTCTTCTCTTTGCAAGTATCCCTACTCGGCGTACAGTGACCGATCAATACGGACGACGATACACGGTCACTGAGACGCCCAGCCGCTCCTTTGGATATCAGCCATCTCGACGAAACACCGTTGTTGGCATTGCGAACGAGTTAGGTTCTACCCATCCATCACGCAGCCCACAAGTCTCTACGAACATCTACAGCCGGTCTTCGCTGGAGACTGCGCCCATTGTCAAGATGTCCAAAGTCGTCAGGAGCGTCAAAAACGTCACGAAGGGTTATAGCAGTGTGCAGATCAAGGTGCGAAATGGTAAGCGACGAGCAAATGATGGCTGCCTGCGACAACAGCGCTGACGTTGTGGCTGTTAGCTACCTCTAATGACCCATGGGGCCCGACGGGCACAGACATGGCAGAAATCGCTGCCTTGACATTCAACAAGTGAGTTGTAGTTGATGACGATGCTGGGTTGAAAGTGCTGACCTTTGCCTGCGCAGCCCCAGCGACTTCTACGAGATTATGGATATGCTCGACAAGCGTCTGAACGATAAGGGCAAGAACTGGCGACACGTCCTGAAGTCTCTCAAAGTGCTTGACTACTGTCTACATGAGGGTTCCGAGCTGGTGGTGACATGGGCAAGGAAAAACATTTACATTATCAAGACATTGAGGGAATTCATGTATATTGATGAAGATGGAAAAGATGTTGGACAGAATGGTAATTTTTTCTCTCTCTCCGGAGCCCTCCTGTTGGCTAATTCACTACAGTTCGCACATCTGCGAAGGAATTGACATCGCTCATCCTTGACGAAGAGCGCCTCCGGAGTGAACGATCCGACCGGAAGTTGTGGAAGACCCGTGTACATGGCATCGACGAGTACGCACCACAGGCCATCTCAGGCCCCTCTGGCCCCTCTCACAGGCATGGCGGCCGACGTTCCAGCCAAGAGAATGACCGAGAACAGGCGGATTTGGAAGAAGCTTTGCGAAGAAGTATGATGTCTGAAGATGCGGCGATGAGCCGCCCCACGAAGCAGAACGATGACGAGACCGATCCGGAGCTGAGACGTGCAATCCAGTTGAGCAAAGAGGAAGCAGATCTCCGGGCGCGTCAACTCGAGGATGCGAATGCTGCATCCTTGTTTGATGACACTCCAGCGCCAACCCAACCCCAGCCTACAGGGTACAATCAAGGTTACCAGCAACAACCTGCTGTCGACTGGTTTGGAAATCCTCTTCAGCAGCAGCCGCAAAGTACTGGATACTTGAACAATCAATACGCCCAGCCCCAACAGACCGGTTACCAGACTGGCTTTCCGAACGGCTTCCAGCCTTCCCAACCAACAGGATACGATCAATTTGGCCAGCAGCCCTTCCTTCAGCAACAAAACACAATTCAACCACAACAGACCGCTTTCCAAACCAACAATCCTTATGGATTGCAACCATCTGGGGATATGTTTGGAGCGCAATCGCCTCAATCACAACCTACGCTCCAGCCAGGAACCAACAATCCTTGGGCGACACAATCTCCACAAGCTGCTGAACCGCTAATGCCTTTGCCAACAGGCTCAAACAATCCTTTCGCGCAAAGGACACAACAGGCTTCGCCGTCTCCATTCCAGCGCACCACTACTCAGCCTTCCTTAGGCACTTTATTCGAGTCACAACCTACCAATCAATTCAACCAGCCATCTCAGCCGAATCCTATCACGAACTATCAACCATCTCCACAGCCGTCGTTCCAGCAGCAGCAGCAGAAGCCTACCAACCCACAACATGCCAGACTCAACGCCTTACTGGCCTCCGGCGAAGGTCAGGACACGTTCGGTAATACGGGCGATCTACGTATACCGGCGCAACATACGGCACCTGGTACCTTTGTCAACTCGGCAGGCCAAGGCATCGATCGCCTTCGCGCGGCACAGACTGGCACGAATCCCTTCTTTTCGTCGCAAGCTACTGGTTTTGGTCAACAAATGCCTGCCCAGACTGGCCCTGCAAGCGGATATGGTGGGGGATTTGGTCAACAGAATAATAATCCCTTTGGAGCCAGGCCGGTTGGCCAGCAGAGCGGAAGTCTGATCGACTTGTAGGAAGAGGAGGACTAACTTTCTTCTGGAGGACGCACTATCCTGTCTCATTCACGCCAAAGTTCCTTTATGAGTTGAAATTGTCTCATGATAGCCATACCTCCTTATGTACACGCCAGCTTTGCTCGCTCGGTGTTCCAGTGGCGTTGCGGAGAGGTGATCGCTGCGTTATAATCAATTTTTTTGTACTTGATTCCTCTGCAATTCTCATTCTTGAACGAGCGCAGGGTGTCGGTCAAATGCGCAGGTATTTTGTTATCAAGTGAGAGCTTGCATTTATGTCCCCAATCATAGCCATGCCGGCGACATTGACAGAGGTCAAGGAGAGCCTGCGTGGGCGAGCACCAGCAGGAGAAGCTCCTTTCCAGTATGTCGTACCATGGGTGTTATATGCATGTTGTTTGCCGTTTTGTTTATGGTCAACTTCAATACTGCTGTCGTCTTACCTGGTTTATCACGAAGCCTGGTTGTCATATTCTCCTTATCTCTGCCAGTCGACAAGGCTGCTTGAAGCGGCAAAGGTCTGTGTTACTGGACGGACTTGACGTACAATTGGAGCCTTCATAGGTCAATATATTTGCCGATGTTTGACCAAGCGAGCCCGCATGCCTGGAGGAAGGAGCAAACAACAATTGCTCAACAAGGGTCCCTGTGTGACTATACGGGTTGCTGCAGGTCTTCGCACTCCCTGCGCTTGCCATAATGCATGGCCCTGTGGAAAATGCCTCGGGTCATTGTCCGCTGTTTGCCAGGCGCTGTTGCGCTGCCTGCTAACTCTGCACAGCCATCATTGACCAGCTGGCCGGCTGCCCTCATGGCAAAAGAAGAGTGTTTCACTCCAGTTCGCTTGGCTGCGATAGATGTCGTTGCTGCCTCCCTGTAAAGTCAGACATTTCTTGGAGAGCTCATACTCTCTACACAGGCATCCTCTTCATGACAGCCGCCACAGTCCTTTGCGAGATTCAGATCGTCGTCACCGAGCCTAACCCCCTACCGCAGAAGAATCGCTCGCGTCGTCATGCCAGCTCCGGTTCACTCACGGAAAAATGCCTCGGGCTCCTCACAGATCAAGGTCAACGGCGAACAGCGCATTCGCAAACCGGCCTTGAAGCCTGACAAGTGGGGCGAGGTTAAGAGCATCGTAAAAGAGTTGTATATCGATCAGGGGAAGACATTGGAGGAGGTGCGTGATATTATGTTGCAAGAACATAGTTTCGAGGCGAGGTTTGTGCCCAAAGTTGCTTGAGATGCGGACTGACATTTGCAGCACATCAATGTTTAAACACAGGGTCGGTATCTGGGGCTATTCTAAGAATCTGAGCAAGAGTCACCTCGAGGAGGCCGCAAGAGAGGCCAGACGCTGCTCTCACCAAGGACTAGATCCCCCGGTGGACATGACCATCAATGGTCAGCTTGTACCTTGGAACCGCGTCCGGCGCCATTTTGCAAAAGACCAACGATATACATGTCCGTGGCTGCGAAATGAGCCTCAGTCGAAAGCTAGCATTGCCCGAATCATGCTCAGACCATCCCAAGTCGATCGTGACACTGAGCTTCTTCTTCAGAATGTGGGTGCTTATTGGTCCTGCACCATCATGAAGCCAGGCAATCGTGCGTTACTCAAAGCCAAACGCGCGGCTGAGGGGGTGGAGGCTGATCCGAACGACATACTCTGTGGAATTCTTGGTGGAATGAATCTAATCCGCTGTGGCTGGGGGCAAGAAGGGAGGTTCGAGATCAACTCTGCGTGCGCAGCCATCAAAAAGGTGTTGTCGCTTGAAGAACCCGACCTTTTGATCGCGATGATTGTCCTTTTCTCGACCAGGACGGGAAGTCTTGAGAACCACGACCCCCTTTTCGAGCAAATTGGCCACTACTTCGCATCCATGGCCCGAGAGGTTCTCAAACCGCGTCATCCCATGATCACGATCTTGACCATGCTAGCGAAGCTGGAGTTGACCCGAGACTTCAAACAGGACACACTGACAGAACTCATGTTTCAATCCATGGTTGATATTGTCGAGAAAGGAAAAACCAAGGTCGAGATTGACCGTTGGTACTTGCATGTCCTGGAAATTCGTTACATCGACCACATACAAAGACGTCTGAGTCGGGCAGAGGCCAGGAAACTCTCAGAAGCGAAGATGCTCGATCTCAGTCAATCCCCTGTCGAGAGGAATGTGGGAAAGCTGCTACTGATGAGCAACCTGGCTAGATCGTACGATGCAGAAGCCAGGGAGTATGGGGAGATGAGTAAGGCGACTGCATGTGTGAGCGAAGCAGAGAGAGCGCGACTAAGGCGCCAACAGGAATGGTGTGAGACTCGAGCGGAGAAAACACGCCTTGAAATCGTGGAATTAGGGTGGAAATTCCCCGGAGATCATGGACGAAAGGGTTGTTGCATCCATGCTGCCGAGAAGCTGGCCCAGCTTTACTTCAACAAGCATGACTTTGCAAAGGCAGAGAAGTATTATGCGTTCGCACTGAAGTGGGCGTTGCAGAAATTTGGCAAAGATCATGTCTGGGTTCAGCTACTTCTGAGGCAGTGCCGTGCTCTTCGGAGGATGAAAGAGGACGGAATGTTTGAGCCAGTAGTGATTGAGATGGACGATGTGGATCGAGCGATATTAGCCGAGGCTTTGGAAGAGCCTGGTGAGCAGCAGCATATTGCGTATGAGGCTGAGTGGGATTATGGACCTGAGCCACAGTGGAACCGTCGGGGTCGTTGGGAGATGCGACCAAGACGGCCCTCCGTCTATTCCCTAGACGAGGTATCGGACACTGTGGACGATCGATTCCCAGCAGCAAGCTGCGAAGAAGCTATCGGCTTGCAGTTGGGAATGGAAGAAGTTGACGACACCCGGCTTGATGGCGCAGACTGTTTAGAGGACGCTAGTAGGCAGATGGCGTGCCACATCAGAACTCCCTGTCAGCGTGATCAAGAGCAGACATGGCTTTCGGATGACTTGGACATGGACGGACTGCCGCAGGCATATGATGACATGGACGCGGACGATATAACCTGCCCTCATGACTTGGAATGGAGTGAGGCAGTCTAGTGTCAGGCAAGGCTGCGTTCTCCTTTCCAGTCATCTCCAATCAAGCCAAATTTCTCTCAAAGGGCGCAGAAATGCATACGACGAGGACGCGATTTATATATCTACATCTATGCTGTCAGTCGCACATGCACCTGTGTCTTACTGCCAACCGCTATTCGACCTGCAAGGTATGGCAGCCTATTGTGGCTTCAAGCAGTCTGTTCTTCACTTTGACTTCACTTGCTCGATTGCCATTACTTGGATCATATCTAACATCCCAGACAGTCAAAGTCTCGAACATACCTTCATTTCGACCTTTCAATACCCTCTCCGTCCGCATCCATCATCTCCTCGTCCTTTTCACATTGTGCCACTGAGATATCATCGTCTCGGAGCCCAACAAGGCCACAGATTCAAGATGCCTACTCCGAAACGAACGAAAGTCACCACCTCCCCACGCTCTGCGGGAAAGCAACTACTGCAAATGTTCTTGGGTGCTGTTCAGATCGACCTCGATTTCATCCACCGAACTGAAGAAGAGAAAGCAATGCTTGCACGCCTCATTCTTACGACTGACATCCAGGAGGAAGATCTGGCCTGGTTGCAGCAACGACTGGAGGGTCTCAGATCTCGCACCCGGTCAGTCGCACAGGTGCTCGAGGTCTGCGTGAACTACTACCGAGGACTACTCGGACGCAACGCCAGCAGATACATGACTGTCACCGAGCGAGTTGTGCACGAAGCGAGGAAAGAAGTGGCCGATGGCTACTTGAAACTGACTGAACCGGCGGCAGCTCGACTTGGACAGTGGCTGAGAGATTATGCCGATCTTCGTGGCCGAGTCAATGACGGTGCGATCAGAGTTCGGCGCTTGAAGCATGGAAAGGAAATGGCGAGGGTGCTGGACAGTTGTATGGAATTCGAGCAGCAGGCGGAGGTCCTGGTCTCGGTCGTCTTAGCCTTGCGCGCGGAGTTCGACAGCGTTGAGCAAGTTATCAAAGAGCAGGAGAGTTTTACCGAGGAGGGAGAGGAGAAGGCGGAGGGAGGAAGTGAGAGTGCAACTAAATCGAAAGTGAAGATCCGAGGTGTCCTGAGTATGCACGGCTCTTGAGAGAAGTTGTTGTGAGAAATGCTCAGGGCGGGCTGGAGCGAGTATTTCACCTGGGGATGTACGGAGTAAAGATTGGATTCAACAGGATATCCGCTTGATGGTCTGGACATAAGGATGGAAGTGTTTCGAAGCTTGACCTCGAGGTGTGCAGTATTCGAGGCCGGTCAAACATCAATGGTTGTCCATTCAGGAAAAGTGAGTACAGAACCATTTTTCGAGAGCTTGTATTATTCCCGTCTTGTCAGACCAAGCTTCGGGTTGGTTCATGCCTTAGCCAGCGTGCCTAGGTATAGGTACCTGGACGCAAGTATGCTCGCACATATCAAAAGTGCTGAAAGCGATGCCCAGTAATGAACTGGCACAAATGATCAGGCTTGATAGTATTCGGCCGAAGTCTGGTGTCGTCCAACAAACGCTGAGAAGGCGTTGTTTCACCATATCAGTGGGCCACGAACTACAACAAATGGCGAAACAATTTCACGAACACAGCATGTTTCACTATTAGTATGAGCAGAAAAAGAAACATTTTTCATGCAGGTCACTTAACACTTCTGGAGAAGTGCATATCGAATTGTTCATATCATGCCATGCCATGCTATAGCGCTATGTTGTTACAAATGAGTGATCCGGCCATATGCATATGCAATGCACTCTCCCAACCGCTAACATGACAGTGCCAATGCTCCATCATGCTTCTGCTCAAACCATACCATCAAAGGAACGTGCCTAAGCACAAGAAGTAATAGTCATGACGATGCCGCCGGCGGCGGCGGTAGCAGTAGCGGCAGCGGCAGCGGCTGTGGTCACTGCACCGGCATCTACTGCACCCGCCCCAGCGGCGCCGATGATGCTGTTGAACGCATCAGCAGCAGCCTGATCCTGGGTCGTGGCCACCGCAGCGGCCGAGGCACTGGTACACGAGGCCTGGACGTCAGCTGGGGCGTCACAGGTCGAGCCGAGACGCTGACAAATGAAGCCGGCGACGACGCCAATGTTTAGGGCAGAGCCGTGGTTGAAGTCTGTTTGATCGGCGGCGATGAAGGCGGCAGTGTCTCGGCCGTCCAGGTTATCCTCGAACAAGATGGTCGGGTCAGCGCAGGTGCCGAAGTCTCCGGCCGCGCGTTTCATCTTCTTCGTTCCACCACCAGCGGCGTTGCATGCTGTTTCTTGTGTTTCGCATTGGCCGACGCCGCCGGCCAGGGCGCCGGAATTGGCGGCATTGGCGCATGCGTTGTGCTGCACCGCGCAGGATCGTTGGAGGGCAGCGCCAATGTTGACGAAGGTGTCGCCCTTAACTGAGAAGGGGCGGGCGCCCGAGCTGGAGATGACTGGTGGTGGTGGCCCGCCGACAGTGCCGGTAAAGGTCTGCACGTTGGTGCCGGATGCAGCGGTCGCGATGGCAGCGGCCGTGTTGAGAGTGGTAGAGACGACGTTAGCGGCGGCAATAGTGGTCGTGATCACGGTGCACGAGGCGGTGGCTGCGTCCGTGGCAACGTCTGCTGGAGCGGCGGTGGCTGTAGCTGTGTCGACGACTGAGCATTCGCTTGCAACGGCAGCGTCTGTGGCAACGGCTGCGACTGCAGCGGCAGTAGTGACGGCAATAGAGTCAGAAGCTGCGACAGCGACAGCGGCAGCGGTGGCAGAAGCAACTGTAAGAGCTGCGAAGTCGACATCGGTCGCGCTGATGCCGCCGGTACCAGTGAAAGTTGGGGTAATGCCTTGGACTGCCGAGCTGATTTCGTCTGGCGTGGCGTCGAGCACAAGGAGGTTCTCGCTCAAGATACAGCCTGGCTCATCGTCTACTGTGTCACATGTGTTGCCCGCTCCAGTAGGGTCATTGACGTCGCCTGGAGCGAAAGTGCCACTCTCAAGGGCGAGTAGTGGATCGGCACCGATGCCAGCTAATTGTTGAGCCAGAGCCAGGGTGATGCCCTTGTTGGTATCCGCAGCGCCGGCTGAGGCAGGATCTTGATGCTGCGACACAGCTGCGATCTCGGGGTTGGCAGCAGTCTCTGTGCAAAGGGCGCTGGCCTGACCAACTTTGGCGGTGTTTCTTTCCACTGCTCGATAGACCAGGGCACCAGCCATACCAGCCAGATCACCAGCGGCTTTGGCATTGGTGAAAGCCTGGTCGGCAGTGGCTTGCTGGAGACAGGCGAGATCAGTCACATCGCCGGCGCCTGCTGCGGCAGCCGCATCTCCAAGCAAACCAAAGACAGGGTCTTGAATGTTCAAGGGGTTGTCGATTTGCAAGGATACACGGACAAGGTCCAGGAATTTATTGTGCGAGTGTTCCTGGGGGACTTCTCGCGCTTTGTGGTAGTGGGCCACAGGGCTTGCTGAGGACAGGCCCAAGGCGAGGGTAACAACCGCAACTTGGTACTTCATGCTGATTGATTTATAGACTTTCGTAGATGCGTTGAATTCGTGGAAAAACTGGTTCAGAGAGTGACAATTGAGAGCAGTAGAAAAAGTAGGACCGGCCTTAAAAGAAGCAAACGAAGACTTGCTTCGAGGGAAAGAATGTAAATGGTTCTTAGAACCTGTTGCAACAACGAGAGGCTTGATGAAAGGACTGATGAAATGTGACGAGAAGAGTGGGTGACGGAGGAGTGCTTGGAATACCTTATAAAGACCAAACAGCACACCAGACATGGTGTCATCGTCATAGCCTGACCATCACAAACCCCCCTCTAGGATCAGAAACCCAGCAGCATGTTGCACTTCATGCCTCAGCTGTGCACTTGACGAAGATGAAAGGGTGTCTCAAATTAGCGATCGGATCTAGGAGGTGTGGTGGCTTGATCGATCTGGCGTCTCCCACCCTCACGAGGCTAGCTCCAGTGGTGACTAAACTCGTAACAACGCCAACCTCCTACGCAGCTTGAGGCTTTTGATGGGCTGTGTCTCAGGAAGAAGAAGAGCAAAAGCCAAGCCTAGTGTCAGACGTTGGCAATCTTGTCGACATGGCCTCTTGATCCAACTTTGGCCGGCAACGTGGTGTTGACCCGACCCCTTCCCAAAGTTTTCAGCCTCAAGTCCCCGGATGATGGGGTCATTTCACATCGCAGATTACAGCTTCCTCCAAGTTCTCGGCACATAGAATCTTGTCTCGAAGGTTCGTCTAGCCCGTGGTCGACGAAGAGCTTGACCGTTATTCAGGTTTGCAACACCAGATGAGACTCGAGTGCAGACCAACAAGCTGGGGAACGTGATAGTAACGGCCCGTACTTCGTAGTCATGTTGAGTCTTCATCAATAGGGTATCGGATGATGGCATCGATGTTAAGACATGACAGATTGAGAGAAGGAGGCAAATACCCCCGAAAGCGACATTGGAGTCCACCAAATCTCACACAAGCAAGGCTCGGAAACGTTGAAGAAGGCAGTGGACGAGGTACTCGTAGCGGAGGAAGCGGAACAGGGCATATCGAATGCAAGGACTGTCGGACCAGTGATGAACCTAGCTCTCAGGAGTTTGGCGTTGCTTTTAGCGAGGCATTTATCCTCGGCCGCGACGTTTGACGAATCCCGCTGGAGGACGAACTAAGCGAGTCACCAGGACGAGCCGAAATGCCCGAGGTTCAGGCGGACTCCTAGCCATCAAGCATGTCCTTGGGAAATCGTGCGTCCTCGTGGTACTTGAGAAGATCAGGTCGAAATCAAGGAATCTGTGAGCAACCTTTGGCGTAGCCGATCATGCCGTCCAGAGAAATGGCGATCCAGTCCAGGAATCACATTGGGGCTCTATGCAAACGATGCAAGCGTCGCCCATCGGACTGTTGTTTTGGGTCAGGAGCCAATGTTTGAGCTGTTGAGGAGGATGCCGCGGATTCTGGTACACCCGAGATTTGGCGAAAGGAGGGTTTGATGTCTGTCAGGGCATGATGCTTCCTGCCATCTAGTCAATGATGAATACTAGGTAGTGGAGACCGGTTCATCCACGCAAAGGCGCGTTGTCTCATGGAATTGTCAAGTTAAAGTGTGGTGGGAAAGGTTGAGAGACGGTTGAGAGACTGTTGACCTCTCGCCCGACACATCTGGAATCTGACGTGTTCACAATCCTCGTTCTGCCGAGGCTGCTTTTCGCGGATCAGAAGCTAGCAAAACAGCCTCCTCAAAAGATTGATTGCACCTACGTTCGTACATGAAGCCTCCTCACTGACTGACCATGATAGATGCGAAAAGACACGATGACGGAGATGGCTGGGGTGTGAGGTCAAGGAGGAGAGTGTTGCTCATTCGATTTCATCACCTCAGCCGTGGAAACTAGGAAGTCTCAATGTGCTTGAGAAGGGTTGTTGCATGAGCTCGTCATGGATAAAACAACAGCCAGCTGGCATTGATGGATCGATCGAGGATGATGCTAAGTTGAGTGAAGTGAGCAGCTGCCTGTTGCGGGTGGTGAAGATGTGATGTGAATGAGGCAGTCAATGCCCACAGAGCAAACATTTCCACTTGCAAGTACCCGATTCATTTCAGCCATCTAATGCCCTGCTCAATACTTCCCTCCCTCCTCCTTTTCATCTCTCCTCCAATCCCTCTGCCTCTTTTGTAGCATTACGACCTGTCATCTCATCACTTGCCACCCATCATGGCCGGAAATCATCTTCCCTCAGACATGGTCCTCGCCTACAAACGATACAAACGAGACACAGAAGCAGTGGCTGGCTGGCTGGCTCAGAAAGCAACACAGCTGGGCTACATTGCTGCAGCATCAGCCTCCCTGCCAAAGCAGCCTAAGCTCAAAGGAAGAGCACGCAAGCTTGCCAGAGATGCCGCCAAACAAGCCCCACCAATTGAAGCGAAATACTCCTACGCAGTCAAGACCACTGAATTCGTGGAAATGGCACGTAAAGTCGTCAATGCTCGTCCAAAGATCATTCTCAGTCGATCTCTACGAACAATGTGGGAACGAGCAATTCGAGCCAGACGACACTTCAGTGCCTGGTTCAAGTCCAGAGCCAGTACCGATCCGTTGGCCGACGAAAAACACTCACACTTCACTACTGTATTAGAAGCCGCCCTCGAGATCCTCAAGCCATGCTATGAGCAACTGGAGACCCCCAAGCAAGACTCCAAAGTGAAACAAGAGTTGGAGGAGACAAATCTTGAGCAGCTAAACAACATGTTTCAGCATCTTGATGTTGAGGACACAACGTCCGATGAAGAGTCGGAGCAAGCAGAGCCCACAACCAAAAAACCAGTGCCATCAACTGCACCACGGGCACACATCGATTTCGACGACGAAGAAGCAGAAGCCGAGTTCCTCTTCGCAATTTGGTCATTCCTTCAAGATGTCACAGCAGTCAGAGTATATGTGGCCTGCACCTGGCAACTCTATTCCGCCGGATCAGTCGAACTCATGCAGGCCGCCAGCGTCACAAATCTCGGGGTTGATCTCGTCCGAAGAGCAGAGGCTGACTTTGAGGCAACCTTACAACGTCCGCCGAAATATCCTGCCTCAAAATTCCCAACAGGGTCCCTTCCATTCCTCATTTTTAAGCTCCATCTGCCAGCTGCGAATGGAGGGAATGCACTTGACTTTGATCCTGACCAGCCGTCGACAATCATCATTTGTGGCTGTGAAATATGTGATATGCTGATGTATATGCCATGGGTAATGGCCAAAAACTGTATGTCCTGGCCCCTCCGAAGAGATGTGCTGTTGGCACAGGAGCTATATGCTTTGTCCCTGCCTTCGCCGATACAGACCTCTGACAATATGCAGATATTGAAGTCCTGCAAGAGATTCCTCCCACGTTTCCAACTTCGAACAACGACTTCCGTGTGGAGGTTCCTGGGTTCTCTCCCGGAAACATCTTCCATTCGGAATACTACCACGCAAAGAACCCTAGCCAAAAGGCCGAAACCCAGTTGCGTGAGATTTTCCCTACATGCTGCATGCTTTCCTTGATGCTCAGACGTGCTTTTATCGAGGACGAAATCCTCCATGCCGCCCGTCACATATTGGAGAACCACAATGTTCCCTTGTGGGTCAGTTTCGCATTCCAGATCCAGCTGGACGTCCAGCGACTTGATTCCCTCAAATCCATTCCGGCATTCAAAGACTTGAAAGAGACGTTCACAGAGACTAAATCAAGATACAAAGGACATCGGAAGTGGTCAAAATCTCTCGAATCCGAGATCTGGGACCCGTCTTCCGAGGACCATGTTCATAGCATCGTGAAAGAGTTTGGAGACTGGATTGAAGGGACAAGATGCGGCAGAGCTGATCCGTTGGAAATCAATTCTAGGCTTGCAGAGGGGGATGACATTGCAGCCGCCTTGAACAATTCAGGCAGGGTGCCGTTGCTCGAACTCTTCCCTTTGACCTGCGGGACGATGAAGACCGAGATGACCCTCGAATGGCACGTCTTGGGTCTCAGACTTGTCAACAACGCCGGTCATGTAATCATGATCTGCCACCTGTACAATGCGTTGAGATCGATCAATGATGAAGCTCCGATCTGGCCTGACATGGAGCTAGTTATCAGGAACCAGGACCCTGCCAGAGTCTTTGTTGGCCCGAGACCAAACAACGTAGAAGACGCGTACAAGCGAATCTTCCTTGCCATGGGCATGTCTGCAGGCAGTCTGGCTCGGGACTCCAGTGGCATGACATTCAAGAAGAAGAATGCTAAGCGACATGAATACCAGAAAGCCTCTATCGCAGGAAACCTCTTCGATCGGTGGATGGGAAAGGAGTCGCGCAAGGTTGACGAAGCAGCATACCGCCTGCAACAGATGCTGTCTGACGGCAAGTACAAGCATGATTTGCTCTACAAACTGTTTGTGCTTCCAAGATCCGAGTCGGATGATGGCGAAGCCTTGTCCAAGCTGGTTCTCCTGAACACGAAGATGGTTCGGACGCTGGTGAACTTGTCGCAGGGCTTCACTGCCGAAATGCCCGCCTTCATGTTTGACTATTTTTCCATGGAGCGTCGGTGCTTTTCAATCTTTCAACAACTGCGGGAGGCGTATCGCACGAGACTGGAAAAACATGATGGCCCTTTCTCGAAACAAGCGGATAAGGCCAACAATCCTGTATCCCTGACCCTCGCAATCATGGGCTCGGCACGTGATGCTGAACAAATGACACGTAACATGAGATCCAACAAGGCCGAGAACAAAGCTTGGGGACCAGCCCTAGCGAAGCACATCAAGTCTCAGTTGGTGGGATTCACAGATGAGAAGAGCCAGGACTTGGTAGATGAGGTCCTCCAGCTTACCAAGCAAGGCCGTGCTGCTGAGCTGCTTCAGAAGTATGTGGATATCTCTGAGCATGCCATGGCTCGAAATACCTTTCAGCCAATGCTTGCAACCCTTCAGAAATTCCTCAAAGCAGGCGATGGCGACCGAGAGATCCGGAAACTGCGACAAAGAGTCCGCGACACAAGTCACGGGATCTTCCTCTTTCGCACTGCTAGTCTTCAGGCGCTCTATGGCTCGCCCGTAAGTGACGCCTGGAAGGGCATTGCCATCCCGGAAGACCACATCAAGTCGGTGCTATCGTGCAGCGCAGACGAGCCTGCTCTTGTTGTGTTGACGATACTATGCCTACGTCAGAAAAAGGTCATGTGCGGCGAAGGGGAGGATTCTCATGCGGCGAGTCTTTTGAAAGATTTCAGTGCTCCTGAACTTGAAAAGTACGCTGCGTCGAGGAGGCGTCAGCCAAAGAGTGCGGAAGCAACCGAAGTAAAGGAGGACTGGGAGAAGATTGCCGACATCTACGGAAAGGAGGGCCGTGATGCAAAACACTGAAGATGAAATCACGTTTCGATGATGTACGGCCGTCACTGATCGATCTGTGCATGGTGAGCTGAAAGGAACGATGAAGAAACGTCACAATGGGAAAGGATGTGTGGAGTTTCAGCAACAATCGCATCGATGGTGAGAGGCTTGTGTTCTCAAAAGTTGAAGGGTCACGGAGGCCTTCTTTCTTACTAGTACATCCGCATTTCGAGAAGCATTGTATTGAGACCTCACGGTTACTTTGCCAGATGGATCTGAGCTTTCCTGGCTGCATCTCTTCAGGTCTCGGGTTGCTGTTATGATCAGCTAACACGGCGCCTCGACAATGAAAGAGCGTCTGTCATGTAGGTTTCCAGCAAGGATATGTCGTGTCGTGAACCTGGACTCTTCTCCGTGATACAAACCATCCATCCACCAAACCATCAGAGGGATGCGCTATTGGCATGAATACTTCGCCTTAGAGGCCCAGGCAACATCCCTCAACGTCCTGCTTCTCCTTCTCCTCCCGCTTGTACTGAGTCACTGAGTACTCCATATCTGATCCATCAGTCGTACTGCTGCCATCACTATAGAAGCCTACGAGATGTTTTCCATGTTTCACAGAGCCCTGCGACCTGCGGCATCTGGCGAAGCTCGCGCAGATGCAAGGGTTTGTGCAAGAAGACGACCGGAATCCGTCTCTTATTGGCCTTTCCGAAAGTCGTTATGCAGGATGAACACCAATGACAAGTGCCGCATTTGGCCGCCTGTTCATGCATCACTGCCCAATGAGCATACTGCAGGGCGACACCAGACTTAACAACTTTTGATTCAGCGTTGGAGTTCCGACCATTATATGAACGTTGAACGGTCCATGTTCATTTGCTTCCTTCAGCTTCCGGACCCGAGTTTACTGTGGTAGCATTCCTCAAACTTCCTTGCCAGTTCTGAAGATTCAGTCTTTCGGCCACTTTCCGAGAGTCAGACATCAGGCTGAGCTCTCTCAGGACAGATCTCGAGCACATCGCATATCCACTCCCTAAAGACAAGCCTTGCCAGCGGCATGGAGAAGATGAAGCGTACTCGAAAGCGTGCACCGTGCAAGGAGGAATGGGGACGAATCAGACCGTTCCTAGAGCGGCATTACATCGAAGAACGCCTACCATTGGAAAAGGTCGCTACAATAATGGAGAGGCAGCACAACTTCTACGCTACGTGAGTCCTTGTGGTCTGTACTTGAGCAGTGCTAATCTCATTAGGATACCGATGTATAAGCTCCGCTTGAATAAATGGGGTTTCAAAAAGAACTTCAAACTACCAGAACTCGCAGCGGCAGCAGATGCTATAAGGCCATTCTACAGGGCAGGACTGAATCCTCCAAAGATGCGTGTTGACAATCGCGAGCTCCCAGCGAAGCGAGTTAGACGTCATTTGGCAGAAGTTATTCAGAGATCCGGCCCTCTGCTCGAATCGTCGCGGAAACACCGCCATATACAAAAAGGTCACAATCTTCGAACAGGTCCCAGCAAAATGCACGTTCAGAAAATCGTCCCAGAAGTTCCGAAAGTCACTCTCAAACTTTCTCTTGGAATGGGTCTCTTTGAAAAGACGTTAATCCAAGTCAACCACTACTTTACTTGGCGCTCGAGCAAGGAGGACAACTATTTTCTGATGCGGAATCAACAGACTACCCGGTCTTTTGCGATAACGGACCCTTGTGAGCTACGCTTCCTGATCGGGGAGTTGACTGATGCAATGACTAGTCGGGCCTATCACTTGATAACAGACTTGTTGCGAGCAGCCCTAAATCTAGCTCCGAAAGTGATATCCGAACAGCACCCAGACCTTCTGTCAAAACTCATAACTATATGCTCCCGGCGAAGTAGTGACCCAATTGTGGAACGGATGATGAGCGCCATTCTCTCGTACCTCACCAGCATGGCCAGGAAACTACTGTCGGAAAGCCACCCTGTATCAATGTTACTTCAGCTACGCCTGCAAAGATTCAAAATGGAGATTTCTTTCCAACCCATAATGAGGCTGATATATGACATCGACCTCCGCCAGTATGGCCATTGTTGGAAGCCGTGTCTTAGTAGTGAAGTGGATATGATTTCTGTGGTTTGGGACTACGAAGGGCCCTTTGCCGCGTCTAGATTTGGTCACGATTCGTTGCTACATTATCAAGAGATCCTGGGACCGGAACACTGGTGTTGCAGCTGGCTGACGGCGGCGTTAGCGAAGATCCTTTATCATAACGGCCTGAACACTGCTGCGGAGAAGACGTGCCGAGAGCTTCTAGACGCCCAATCTTCACCCAACTCTCTTGATTTCCAGAGTCAAGAATTGACTAGGCTGTTAGTGATGGATCTCCTTGGGGATATCACTGCAGAGCGGGACAACTATGCAGAGGCAGCTTCTTGCTATCGTCAGGCGTACGATGTCTACAAGGAGTGCTGGGGCACAGAGGATACGAATACGCTGTCAGTCTTGCATAAGGCACAGCAAATGGTCAACCAAAGTGCTGGAGATGGGTCCGAGGCGGATACGGAAGAGCCCGAAACCAGCGAAGAACATTTGGTGGAACAGCTCATCATGGAGCTCGGAGAAGACATAACACGACTCGATCTGGTTGATGCCGGAAATGCGAGTGCTCCAGCCAAGCAGCCGTGGGAACCGAATAGTCTCGCATTTGAAGATCCCCAGGCCAGCCGCCGTGCTGGCGAAGCCGATTCCATCTCCCTGTTGGACATTCCCAGAACCAACGGCGAGGTCGAATTTGATGAGCAGGGAGTTGTGCGAAACGACCTGACAGGATTCGAGGCATCTCCATGGCCTTCTTCGAGCCACAATGTTGGTGAAACACAAGATGCGGACCTACAGACCATGAATCGCAACGACATGAGCGCAAATTATGCCGAGGGAACAAGCTATTTACCACTCTTTTTTGATCGATGCGCTTCAGAAATGCAGGCGTCTACCTTATGCGACATTCAGACAAACACTACGTTCGCGACTGAAGTCAATCTATCAAGTTTCTCGGAACAATCTATGCCGATCACGCCGACGACTGCCATGGCAGACTATGCTCAGAAGTCCCTCAACAACAACATCAACGCATTACCACAGCTTAATACCGAGGTCGATCTCGGTATGCTGGATTACGCTCCTTTGACGAACGCGCAATCGGACTTCAATCCAAGAATTCACGAGGTTGATATGGACTTCAACGTGGATGACCTCATCAATTGGGACGACGATATGGATTTTCAAGATCAGCTACAATGACAAAACAGAAACATTGATACATTTGATGGCTGATGAGGTTGAGTCGGCACATGATATTGCCCGGTAACAATGGTACTTCGAGATCGAGGAGGAGGCGCAGGAAGGAGCTTATTGTGATGTGGATGGGACAATATTGATGGTATAATCGTGCTTGAATTTGGGCGTGCTGGAGTACCTCCCTGTTATTCTCAAAATATATACCCATCAGTCGTGTTCCACTTTCTCTGCTTGCGGTCGTTTCGAAGCATCGTCGTTTCGAGCAAGCAATTTCGAGATGGACTGAACCAAACACATCTTTCGCCCCCGATACTGTCAATTTGAAGCCAACTGCTCACAGCACATTTGCTATGGCCCGCCTTGATTCGTACCCATCTTCTCCAAGGAAAAAAGCCATCCTGCGAAACCTGGCGTCGAGTCTCGGATGTGTGTCGTCTGGTTCTGCGTGGCAAGCATGTTCACAATGTAGTTAAATATCTGCCGGTGCTGCAATTTCTGGTCGTTCGAGAAGAGCATCGGGAGGACCACCGACTGGCATGGACAGACATGCTCTCGCCATTCCAATCGATCCCGTACACTAGGACGAGATCTCTCGACTAGAGAAGGACTTGTTCCCCACCAGACCAGATAATTTCGGCCTGATCATCCAGCTATTGATATGCTTGAGGTGTGGCGATGTCCTTGTGACGATACTCTTCCGCCTCTTGACGCCCCAGATATATTCCTGACGTATGGTTTCTTGTCGGACCACACGGTCTTCAGTCTGCCTCGTCGATAGTCCTGATCCCCAACTTTCTCTTGCTTCGTTCAGACGTTTAGCCAGAAGTTTGGACTTGGGAATGAGACTATCTGCCTCTGCCTCTGCTTCCGAACCCAGCTGTTTTCGTTCAATGCGCATCTCCCTTCACGCCCATGCTCCTCTTGGATAGCCGTGCTAGTACCTCCTCGTCCATGCCTCAGCCCACACCGGAAATAAGACCTGTTACTGCTAGACGGAAGTGCTGTTGCCGTACCCTCTGTAATACAAAGTTTTCTCATTTCTTCCACTCAATAGGCATCTCCATCCCGACACGTCTGGCCGAGAGTCGGACACGCTCCTCTTCGTCCATGCCCATGCCCGGATTGTACCGCTGGAGAAGCGTGCCGTACATGCGCTGCGCGCGGAGGTACGCGACGAACTGCTCGATTTCTTGCCTGCGGGCGAGAGCGTATTCGGCAGATGTGTCGGCCAGGGGTTGAGAGAAGTGCGACCGGATGCTGGAGTGGATGGGCGTGCGTGGGTGTCTGTGCCGGGGACCGGGGAGAGGAGGGAGTTCGCGCAGAAGGCGGCGATACAAGGAGCGTGTATGGCTTGCTGCTGAGCTGGCGGTGGACATTGTGTTTGCGGTTCCGGGGTGATGCAAGGAACACGGAGGAAAGGGTTCGCAAGGACGGAGTATACGGCACCAGCTCGTGGCAAAGGGAAGGAAAAATGATCAGTGATGGTGGACGGTGGCTTGGAGATGCAGTTTGGATAGAAAAGCATTTCGGAGATGATCGAATAGGCCTTGGCGCGGGCGAGGAGGCGCAGCCTCGTCGTGACGAGGCTGAATACTATATTTCAAGGACATGGAACAATTTACGCCACAGTTGTCGTCTAACAAGTAGTGCTTCTGCTTCGACCTTCACGAACTGAGAGACTTGCAAGCAACAGAGGCGATAGAATGATTACCATTTTACAGTTCCATCTCATCTATCCTACTACTTCCCTGGGAGCGCCCCAATCTAGATTTCGCCCCCGGGTTCTATCGTATGTTTCCAGCCGCCACCGCTCGTCCCAGCCGGGCTCTAGTTCTCCAGAGGGTCCGCTGCTATTCTTTCGATCGTGATGACTATCTCGTCTTCCACCTGTCAGGCCCAGCTGCTTCCTTAAGAGAACAGGATCTGTGCTCTCATGTCCTTGCCTAGGCCGCTCGTAGCAAGAGAAGTTGAGGACATGGTTCGACTTGTCATACAAGCCAAGAGATGGATCCACCAGACCGGGAATACCACTCCTGAAGTCATCTGTAGAGACAAAGTCAAGCTGAAGCACATGGTTCTCGATGCCGGCGTATACAGTCGGGGAGCTTGGTGAAGGGCTGGAGAGTGAATAGACGGATCCGCGGTAACGGTTGGCGCGACGTGCCGAGCGGCGTGCAAGAGGCTGCCAGAGACGCTCTCCATAGTTGATGGTTGGCGTGAGAAATATGTTGATGTCTCGCTGTGTGTTGGAGGAGTTAGATTTGGACACGTCTGAGATTTTGTGGCTCCGATGGCCTGGTCGTGCCCTCGGTGGTCTAGCGTCTAGGTATGAATAGGCTCGTGCTCCGGGCATGCGCAGGTCGAATGTCTTGAGACACCCGTTTTGATGGCTGCCAGCGAGGAAGCGTTCGTGACCAATCGGCAACAAGGACAGAATCTGTCCGTCGTCAACAGGGTCAAGATACTCTGCGACAGGCCTCTCGGGCACACGAGCGTCATGGAGCCTGGCAATCCCGTCTGACCAGCCTGACAAGAATACTTGCCCAGGTCGACGGGATGTAGTTCCCACGTCGTCTAGAGGTACAATAGTATTAGCGCTATGCCTTCCACGGACTGGATAATTCCCTTCGGAAAATGAAAAGATTTCTGCTAATGGAGTCTTTGAAAGTCCACTTGGACTGATGTCGTATATATGGATCGGTGCTCGGTCGCGTCCTTGGAGGAATTGAACGCCGATGGCTAATGTGGTGTCTGATAAGAATTTGGCACATCTGGTGCGCTTCCGTATGCTGTTTTTCTCTTGTAGGGGAGCGATATCCGTGGGTCGGACGTTGCGATCTGCGCTGTGGACGTGGTATAGGGCGATATGATGACTGTCACAGGTGGCAAGGATAGGTTGCATCATGTTGTTGATGTCTATCCTTTTGGAGCCACCATTTCTCACGGTGTATCTCGATCTCTGGGTGAAGACGTCTTGTTTTGATGACTCAAGCTTGACAACTTCTCCATTTGCTCTTCGGAGTATGATCGTCTCACCATCTCTGTTCTCGTGCTGATGCGGACGCAACAGTTTAATGTCTAGGATGTCAAGGTCCTGCCTGTGGTCGTCTGGTATTCTGAAAGAGCTCCATGACGCCACACCATCTTGGATAGTGCGCAATCTCAGCCTTCCTGCAGCCCCCCACGCCAGAACCTCTTTGCGGCTTGACCAAGTTGATCCAGGCCATGTCTCGTAGCTGTCTATGACCGGGTGATAGCCCACCGTAGTGACTGGGTTGGGCACATTTGTGCTCTCATTCTCGGGGGGCGGGCAGCATTCCCTGGCGATGAATGCCCGACGGTCCCATGCACGGGAGTGAGATGTCAAGGCACGAGCGGCATCTCGCCATAATGGTGGTGTCTTGATTGAGGGAAAGGCCCGTTGGACGAATGTTCGAAAGCAAGCATAGTCATCGGCAGAAATGATAGCATGGACCTTGTGGTTGGTGAGTGATAGATTGATGATGGAAGACGCGGTGGACAAGTGGCGGACAATCTGCTGGATTACCTCAACAGGCAGGTCTTCAAACATTTGACAGTTGTAGGTCTCATAAGGACTTGATCTTATTGTTTTGCCAGAGCGAGTCTTAAGGAAGTCAGGGTGACAGTGTGTCGCCGTCTACGAGTACTGGCGTTGAGTCATGGGAGGCAATGGTGCTGACCTTGCTGCTTTTATTGAAGACCTCATGTTGACGTCATTCTCGGCTCACAAGGCTGTGATCTCGTCTCGCGTTCCTTACATAATCCTTCCGGTGAGCTCTTGCCGTTTTTACGCAGGCGGACAGGAGGCTGAACTACAGCCGCCCGTGAGTCGCGTCTTCCACCTTGGTACAATCATGGGCTGGCATGGCCACCATCAAGGCCATCGAGGCCAAATCAGTACATCAGATCCAGTCTGGTCAAGTCATCGTTGACTTGTGTTCTGTGGCGAAAGAACTGGTTGAGAACAGCCTGGATGCGGGTGCCACTTCAATCGAAGTTCGCTTTAAGAACAATGGCCTGGATTCAATTGAGGTGCAAGATAATGGATCCGGAATTTCTCCTGCCAACTACGATAATGTCGCTCTGAAGCACTTCACCTCGAAATTGTCTAACTATGACGACCTCTCGAGCCTGCAAACTTTCGGTTTTCGAGGCGAAGCGCTTTCTTCCCTCTGTGCTCTGTCCAAATTCAATATGACTACTGCGCAATCAGACGAAGCGCCAAAGGGCAAACGCCTCGAATTTGACACCTTAGGGCGACTGACATCCACCAATATTGTGGCTTGTCAGAAAGGCACAACTGTTACCGTCGAGGGCTTGTTCGAAAGTCTGCCTGTGCGGAGGAAAGAGCTCACCAAGAACATCAAACGGGAATATGGCAAAGTCCTTGGCTTGCTGCAAGCCTATGCTTGTATCTGCGTCAACGTTAAGTTTACCGTCAAGAACACCATGCCAAAGGCCAAAAGTATGACGGTTTTCTCAACGAAGGCCAATGCCAGTACTCGAGAGAATATTGCCAACGTTTATGGTGCGAAGACTTTGGCGGCCCTGATACCCATAGACTTGGACCTAGACTTTCAACCAACGCTCACGCAACTGGCCCGCAAAGATAAGTCCAATGGCAAGATCCATGTCAGAGGTCACATCTCGAAACCTGTCTTTGGAGAGGGAAGGCAAACTCCGGATCGGCAAATGTTCTTTGTTAACGGCAGACCTTGTGGCCTGCCACAGATCGCTAAAGCCATCAATGAGGTATACAAGTCGTTTAATGTTTCTCAATCACCTTTTGTCTTTGCAGATTTCCAAATGGACACGAACGCCTACGACGTCAATGTGTCACCAGACAAGCGGACTATACTACTACACGATGCAGCGGCTCTTGTCGAGAACCTGAAGACTGCACTGGATGATATGTTTGAACAACAGGATCAAACCATACCACAATCTCAGCTGCAAGCGCCTAGGCTACCAGCTTTCCAGAAGCTGAACTTTCAAAGTCGTCCTCCCTCAGATTCGCCAGAGTCCGAAAGCCGGCAGGGGTCAGTACGAGAAAGATCTTTACTCAGTGATGACAGCTCCATCGACCACGGAGCGGAAGGCGGCGATGACGATGGTTCAGCTTCCCTCTTGCGTGAACACTTTCGAAACTTCACCAGCACAAGAGATGAGAGCGAAGTGCATGGAAAGATGCCAGAAAGCCTTCTTAAAGACCGGGAAAGGCGAGCTGAGAAGGTGGCTCGAAGAGTCGCAGAGCAACACGAGAAATTTGAGGAGCAGGACGAGTATGATGATGTACTTGAAATTCAGGAGACGGCGCCAACCCAAGAGACAGAGCAGTCGCAGGACGATCCTGTCAAGATCCATGTTCGGGACTTCAACGAGCGAATGGCGGAGCAAGGATCTAGATCGGCAAGTAGAAATCATTCCGCGTCCTCCAGCGACGTCGAGAGGGCTTCTGAAATCCGATCACTGAGCCAACAGGCCAGCAAGGAAGACAAAGGCGTGGTACCAAATGCATTTGACAGGATGAGGCCGAAGAGGGTGCCCGCGGAAATTGCTACAGTGACAATTGGTGACAAGACCATTACGACTGTCATCGGATCTCAGTTGCCTAGATTTCCTGAAATCAAGGGGAAGCGAAACGGTCAGGGCGGCGAGACTCCGTCAGGGGCACAGCGTACGAAATCCGCAGCAGCATTCCAGTTCTCTCAAAAGCTACGCAATTTTGGTGCTCAGAGCACTCCGGACGAGGAGGGAGATTTAGAGACACGCGTAGAGCAATCTGACTCTTCAGATGATGATTCAGAAGAGGTCGAAGAGAGAAGTTTGGATCAAAATGCTACTACCAAGCAGACGGACGTCGATGAAGACGAGGTAGAGATGGAAGCAGTGACTCCGAAAGAAGACCTGGACAATGGATCAGATCCTGATTACATTGACGAACAAGAGAAGAAAAGGTTTGAAGAAGCCCGGGTTGCTGAACTCATCCGGATTGCTGAAGAAAGTTCTGCCCTACCCAGCAAAGAGAACCTGAAGCGAGCTACAAAAGCACTTTCTGGTGGTCGGGTCAAGGATTCCACGACCAGCCTTTTGACGGCTATTGACTTCTCTATGGAGTCCGTGACTCTGGGCATGCGGCAGCTTACAGAAATGGGCATGGCGACTGAGGCATTACGAGTCCAACAAGACTACAATCCTGTTGCTCAAGATCCTGAAGCCCAATTGTCTCTTACTGTCTCCAAAGGGGACTTTGCAAACATGGACATTGTGGGGCAATTCAATCTCGGCTTCATTCTGGCAGTGAGAGCCTCTAGCGAAGGAGACAATGGCATGTCTAGATCCAAACGGAACGAATTGTTCATCATTGACCAGCATGCATCAGACGAGAAGTACAACTTTGAACGACTCCAGGCAGAGACCGTCGTCGGAAATCAGAGGCTAGTCCAACCTGTGACGCTCGATCTGACAGCAGTGGAGGAAGAGATTGTTCTCGAGAACAACGTCGCGCTAGAAAAGAACGGCTTCGTTGTCGAGATTGACACGAGCGGACAAAGCGTTGTAGGGCGGAGATGCAGACTTGTCAGCTTACCCTTGAGCAAGGAGGTCGTCTTCAACACACGAGACCTGGAGGAGCTCATTCAGCTGCTTGCGGAAGCACCTGGTCTGGGTACACAAAGCAGGCATGGCGTTCCTCGGCCAGGCAAGGTCAGGAAGATGTTTGCCATGAGAGCATGCCGGTCGAGCATCATGATTGGCAAGACATTATCGAGAAAGCAGATGGAGAAGGTCGTGTCGCATATGGGAACCATTGATAAGCCCTGGAATTGTCCTCATGGTCGGCCAACGATGAGACACCTATGCAGTCTGAATACCTTGCAGCCGTGGATAGAGGGTGATATGGAGGATGGCGATGAACCTGTATCATTGGGAGAGGCACTGCAAAGATATGCAACCGAGTAGTATATAAGTATAATTTGGTGTTACACGTCCACGACCGTCTCACTCCATCGCCACTCTGCTCGTACGCATGCCAAACCCCATGGTATCCGGGCGGGCGGCGTGGTGTTCGCTCCGGAATTTCCCATCCATCACAGTAGCTCGTCCTGTGGCCAAGGCCGGAGACTCGACAGACCCAATGTGGGATGCGATGAAGACTAAGCCCTTTTCGGCCGGTACCGTCCGTGATTTGCCTCGGCTCAACGGGGATTCCCAAGCTGCAGTTGCTCCTCATGCGTACCACAGTCCTGCAACAGTACCCTTGCTTCTCTACCGTCTCTGTTACCCTTTGGCCGCGGTTATCGCATCTTCTATTCTCGTGCCCTTTTTCATTTTGGCTACGTCCTATTTTGCCGAATCCCGTCCGATCTAAAAAGTCCCTTGAGCCTCGTTGCTGCTTGTTCTGCCAGCTACATACTTTCCATTCCTTTCCTCATTCTTGCTCTTCCCTCCATTGCTGTGTTGATCTGGTAATGTTGTCCTCCATTGGGCGAGCCACCTCAACTCTCTCGACAATCTCACGCAACTCACGAACTTCCCTCGCGGTCAAGGTACGTAGCTGCTGTTCTCCAACAACTGACGTCAGTTTCTGATCATGCTCGATAGGCATTCGCAATGGCTCCCGCAAATAAGAGGAAAGCCTCCACCACAAATCAATTCTGGGTTACTGAGGGTAACAATGTTCGAGGATTATACAAGGGGCAGTGCTGAGACATGGCAGAATACCGAGAAGACAAGTCCAAGGGGCCCATGCTCCGATTCGAAGAATCCCTTCCCAGATTACCAGTTCCCTCTCTCGAAGAGACCTCCGCCCGCTACCTGAAGAGTCTACACCCTCTCCTGTCCAAAGAGGAATTTTCTGCTTCCGAAAAGGCAGTCGCTGCTTTCAATCAGCCAGGCAGCCTAGGACAGAAACTGCAAGACAGATTAATAGCAAGAGCACGAGATCCCAAGGTCAAGAACTGGATAGCAGACTGGTGGAACGAGGCCGCATACTTGGCCTATAAAGACCCGGTTGTGCCCTATGTCTCCTACTTCTACTCCTTCCGTGATGACCGAAAACGAAGAAACCCTGCCAAGCGTGCCGCAGCCATCACAACAGCCGCTCTCGAATTCAAGCGTCAAGTGGATGAGAAGACTTTGGAGCCGGAATACATGCGGAAGAAGCCAATGGCCATGAGCAGCTACCAGTACATGTTCAACACCTCCCGGGTTGCCGCCGAGCCAGCCGACTATCCTGTCCAATACCCAGCTGAAGGCAATGAGCACATCATTGTCATACGGAACAACCAATTCTTCAAGGTCAAAACGCATGTCAACGGAAAACAGCTGAACACTTCCGAGCTGGAACAGCAGTTCAACAAGGTCTACAAAACCGCTCAGATGTCCGATCCCATTGGTGCCCTCACATCCATGCCTCGAGACCAGGGCGCAAAAGCCCGAGAGAACCTTCTCTCAGCCTCTCCTGTGAATGCTGATGTCCTCAAAGAAATTGAAGCCTCCTCTTTCATTGTCTGCCTCGATTCCTCTACACCTGTGACCCTCGAGGAACGAGCGCACGTGTACTGGCACGGCGATGGTGCCAACAGATGGTACGATAAGCCCATTCAGTTCATCGTGAACGACAACGGCACAGCAGGTTTCATGGGCGAACACAGCATGATGGACGGCACCCCGACGCACCGTCTCTGCGACACTGTCAACGCCTACATCGTGCACAACAAGCTGGATTTCGACAACCCAAGTGTCCGCTCCGAATTGCCCGATCCTGTTCCTATCAAATTTGAGACCAACTCAGCTGTCCTCGAAGACGTGGCTAGTGCACAGAGTCAGTTTCGTCAGACCATTGCCGCTCACGATCTGCGTGTCCAAGCCTATCAGGGCTACGGAAAGGGCATGATCAAGAAATTCAAGTGCTCGCCTGATGCGTACGTCCAGATGATCATTCAACTCGCGTATCACAAGATGCACGGCAAGAACAGGCCTACGTACGAATCTGCCGCCACGAGAAAATACCAGCTCGGCCGGACAGAAACCACCCGAACAGTTTCTGACGAATCGGTCGCTTTCTGTGACGCCATGGCTGACCCCTCCATCTCGAGGGAAGAAACTGAACGGCTCTTCCGCGACGCCGTCAAGGCACACGTGCAATATACCGCTGACGCGAGTGACGGGTACGGTGTGGACCGACACCTCTTCGGGCTGAAAAAGCTCATTCAGGAGGGTGAGGAAGTCCCCGAACTTTTCAAGGATCCTGCGTACACGTATTCCTCGTCATGGTATATTAGCTCGAGTCAATTGAGTTCAGAGTACTTCAACGGGTACGGCTGGAGTCAAGTCATTGACCAGGGTTGGGGTATCGCCTACATGATTAATGAGAACAGGTATGTGTTTGCTCTCTCTCCGGTCCTCCGGATCTCCTGGTCTCAATGCTAATGACGAAACAGTTTGCAATTCAATATTGTTTCGAAGAAGCTCGGCTGTGAGAGAATGAGCTTCTACCTCAATGAGGCCGCGAATGATATTCGCGATATGCTCTTACCATCGCTCGAGCCGCCAAAGGCGAAGTTGTAATTTTGCTGTCGCACAAACTAAATCGGCGAGGATGGTTGGCATGGAACATGGCTCATCTTCGGATAAGTCGGTGCAGTCAGCTAGGAGGATGTATGATACATTTTACCGCCAGCATGTCGAGTTCTAGGCGAGGGAAGGGTCAGTAACTGATGCGGCAATTTACTTGGTCCCTCAAAGGGCGGTGCCTTGATCTGTATATAGCCTCTATATCTAGACATTTTCTCGTTCATCAAAGACGAGAGATAAGTTTGGACGGCTTGTTCGGCCTCATTTAATCACTGTCATCATGCAGCTCATTCTGGGGACTAAGCTCGAAATGCAGCGGTCTAGGACCTTAGTCTCATGCCGCACTGCAATTGAGTAAGAGGTGACTGATAAATCATGACCCTCCCCAGACTCGTCCGCCACGCATGAGCACCACCTCCTCTCGCCCTGAAGCGTCGTAGCGCGAGACGACATTGACGTCTTCGAGGCCCAGATTGCGTGCCGCTTGGTTCCAGAGGATCTGCTTGATGCGGCCATGCGGCTCAGAATTGGGGATCGCCTGGGACGGAGAAGCATCATGTGAAGCGGCCGGATCTGCTTCTGTGGTGGAGTCTGACTCGATGGCTGATTCTGAAGCCGGGGGCGTCGTGTTGCCCAAACAGGATTCGGGAGAAGGCGTTCCTTCTTTTGTAACGACCTCGTTGTCCGCATCCTCGTCACATGAATGGCCTCGGTTGGGCGCAGATGGCACTTCTTCCATCATTATCCAGACCAGGGCCCTGGCCGACCGCCTCATTCCCTCGATGACGCCCTTCGTCGCCGGTCGTGTGCCCACGAGAACACCGATCGTCGGTCCAGTCATCGCTTTTGTCCTTTCCATCTCTTCACTGTCCACCGCCGCCCCGGAGGTTTCAGTTTGTGTTTGTGCAAAGACCCTGTCGAACAATGCACCCAGTCTCGCTCCTCTTACGGCGCCATCTAGCTCGCGCACCAGGTTCGGTCCGATCTTTGCATGTTTGCCGACGAGCCGCTTACACTGTACCAGGACGCGGAAGGTGTCTGTTTCGACCTCGGTCTCGCCGGTAGATGGATTGGTGTATTCTTTCCATTCGCCAGTGGTGTGTGACAGCAGGCGCGGAATGTGCCAGAGGCCTATGAGGTCGACGCCGCGGTCACCACGGCCGCCGACGCGGTGCAGGTCGAAGCCGTAGCTGCGTAGCGTGGTGGAGGTTGAGTATTCGTAGAGCGTACCGGTGTAGACGGTGCTCGTTGGCGAGAGGCCGGTGCGCGCGACGTAGGCGAGGAATGAGGGGAGGTCGTGGTGTGCGGAGGATGGGTCACGGGCTGCTGCGCTGGACGAGGATGGAGGGTTGAAGCTGGAGGTTGGTTGGGGTGGTGGTTCGTTTTCGGATTGGACGGTGTCGGGGTTGGAAGAGGGATCGGGTTGGTCGTGCTGGTTGTGCAGTTCGTCGTGTGACGGAGCTGGCTTGTTCTGCTCATGGCGGGATGCGGAAGAATGCGTGTACCATCGTGTAGCCCGTTCCTGTAAAGACGGAATTCTTCCGGCACAGATGGTCGAACTACGGGAGGCAGGGCGTCTTGTGCTGACGTAGACACTGCTGCTGCTCGTCGAGATCCATCTCCTTGCCTGTACGGAGCATTGGGAATCTGACCTTGCGAGCCGGGCTAAATGTTGAGTCGATGGTATCCTTGCCACACGTCGGAGAGGGAGACAGGTGCTGCTGTTGCCATGTCCAAGATTATAGACATGGCGGAGGACCATCAGCATAGGCTGGAGCGACGACTTCCGCACGCAGGGAGGGACAACATGGAGAAGTGTGATGGTCGGACTGAGATAATGGCGCACGAGGCTGAAGTGGATCCATGGAGTGCCGAGACGATCTAATCCAAAACCGACTAGCTAGTTAGTGCGAGGCATGTCTATCAAAGTGCGGCGCTCATGACTCTGTATATTCAAACAACAAACTCCGTGATCAATTCAAAGATCCTGCCTGGGCTTCTCACGAGCAAATATTAGTTGCACTTCTGTTTCGATGGGCCCGTAGCAGCGACGCGTCACGATTGCAGCTCTCTGTTGTTCTGTTCGTAGACATGATATGACATTGTCTACGGAAGTGTCTTCTCGACTTCTCGACTTTCTCGTGATGGTGCATCCCACCCGCACCACTTTCTTCTGTCCCTAGATTTTCCCTTCTCCAAAAAACTCCTCAATTTTCGACGGACTTTAGGTCTCTGATCTTCCAAAGGCGAGGGTTTTCAATTGTAGCACATGTCTGGCAAGGGGCACCTAGGGAGCACACCTTCCTCAGCATCCGGCAATGCACACATCGCTTTGGTTTATGGTGGCGACTCTTGAACATGACCTTTTCCTCGACGAAATGGTTCGCCTCGACCCTCGCCAAAGGACTCCTCGCTGACGCCGTGGGCTCCTTTGAGCTCTTTTTGCTCTTCGAGGAGATGAACTGCGTATGGTGTAGCAAAATATGCGGCAAAGACATCCAGCAGTTTCTTGCGGATGCTTGTATTCTTCCAAAGGCGAGGGGTTTCAATTGCAACACAAGTCTGGCAAGAGGCATCTAGGAAGCACACCGTCCTCAGCATCCGGCAACGCATACAAGCGCCCATCTTCCGAACCTCAAGGACTTCCTTTCGACGTTCTGGGCCGAATTTGCGACGGACCTTAGGTCTTTGCGGTGTGGCTGTCCCAGTCTCGGTGACAAACTGGATGAGTGACTATCTGGATCCATAACGACCGGTGGTCGAGTCCTGGTGAAAGAATCGTAAGCCAGCATGTCCGGGCTGGTCACGCAATCCCAGTAAAGGCCTCTTCTGACACATGCATATCAGGCATGAAACCATGCACTGATGGGTCTTCTCCGCCAGCAGTGGTCATCTCGAAAGCAAGCAAGAGCGCTGTCGCTGATTGCTTTCTGGTGGCGAACTTTGTCGACAGTCGCATGCTCTTCTCCAGTTGTGCGAGGCGATGTTGGCGATGTTTCGACTTGTCGAAGTCTACATATATCGCCTTGTCCGCCTCTCAGTGACGGTTGCTCTGCGAGCCCTGTTCGGACGCCAACAGTGCTCGGCACCTCTGGTGAGAGTACGTCGTTGCAGGCAGCTCATATGATTCTTCATCAGTGGCCTCACTCTTGAGCTCCCCAACCAGCAGCAGCCTGCGCCTCAAAGGCGGCAGCAAGCCTTTCGTCGAATGCCTCGAGGGCGGCATCGGCCGCGGCATCTTGGTCCATGCCAGCTTCTGACGCTGGTGGCGAGGGCGTTCCAGTTCTTTGGCGGTCTGGAGAGGGAAGAATTGGCTCAGAGCTGAGCGAGAGCAATCGGAGAGACCGAGAGCGACCCACACGCCTATGGCGAGGTGTTGGGCGAGGTTGAGGTGAGGCAGTCGCCTCTGGAGAGCCTGGACGGGCAGCCGTATGTGGCATGCCGTTGATGTTGTAAACCGGCGAGGAGGAGCCAGAGGGCGGAGGTTGCCTTCCTCCCCCCTCAGGGAATCCACCTCCCGGCGGGCGGCGACCAAAGCGTGAAAACCGGCACGAAGCCGGGCAGCGACACCATCCTCCTCAAAAGGAGGCCTCGAGGGCGTCCCAGTGACCAGATTTCATTTCATATATATTTTTTTCAACCTCTGGCGAGGTATGTGTCAACTGCTTCTGAGCAGTGACAGCCCTGTGCATTGACGGGGCGGGGAAAGATCAAGTGATGTGGCCTTTGCAGGTATCTCAGGTCGTGTTGATGGTCTTGGCAAATACCACACGAGTTGATTGATTGATGAGATCGAGAAGGAGAGCTGTGATCACTGAAGTTGTTCTTTCATTCACACGGTCGTGTAGACCGAGCGGGTTGTTCAGGTGGTTCAGGTGGTTCAGGATTTCGTGAAGCTCCGATTGAAGGTTGCTGCAGAGCTCTTGACTGTCCGTCTGTGTGCAGGAGACCTTATTGAGGTGATGCAGTATTGATCAAGCTGTTATGTCAATTTGTTGATGTCGAAATCTGACTGTGGAACACCGTCCTGGTTGATTGATGAGATCAAGGTGCAGAGCAGCGATCACCGAGGTTGTTCTTTCATTCATGTGACTGTGTAGACTGGGTGGATTGTTCAGGGTTTTGTGAAGCTTCGATCAGAGGTTGTTGCAGAGCTCTTGACTCTGTATGTGCAGGAGACCTTTTTGAATGTGATGAAGTGTTGATCAAGCTGTTGTGTCGATCTGTTGATGTTGGAATCTGAATGTGAAGTTGTGAAAAGAGCAAGATCCACAGGGAAAGGGGGTTGAAGCCAAACTCAGCCTCGTCGTGATGTGAAAGGAAGGTGAAGCGAGGGTGAGCTGTTCGGTGAGGTGTGCGACGGCCATCCATCGTCGTGTCTTGGTGTCATGACGGTCGCCATTTCCAGAGGTGTGACTGTCGCCAGGGTGAGACTCCCTGTCATCGACCATGAAATATCACGGCCAACAACAGAGAATCTCACCCTGCTGATGCCAGAGGGAGGACGGTCTCTCAAGACAAAAAAGAAGGATGATGATCACGGACGACAAGCTGCTGATGTTGCAACTGTGATCCCGAGAAAAGAAAAAGAAAGAAGAATCGAAAAAGGGGAGAAGCTCAATATTTATGCTCTGAGAATTAATGCGTCTGGGAATGCTCGGCGGCCTCAGAACCGCAGTGCGGTCCTGAGAACAGCGGCAGAAAACTCCAGGATAGAAGGCCCAGCGAATTGCGTCGTCCGAAACACAAAGACTCGCCCTGGGGACTAGGCAACGACGATGACATGGGGTCCACGGAAGCTTCCGGCAAGTATCTGGACTGAGAATCGCACAGCGGTCCTGAGCACTGGAGAAGCATACGATATGGGACGAGAGACAGTGACAGTGCCTTGTGGCTGGAGGTCCACAGCGCAGGTGGTCGACAGAGTACTTGGAGGGACATTGGGAAGACCTAGGGACAGTATCACACGACGCAGACAGGAGACCCAATTCTACAGAGCAGGTCACAAGGGGTGGAATAGCAGCTTTGTCTCACATCACGACCAGCATCAGGTCAGGGCATGGCCTAAGGCGGCTTAGGCATTTTCACGAAGTGCACACTGGCTTGACATGAAGAACACTATGCTTCTGCTGGGATGCAGAGATACAGGGATGCGGAACGAGTGCTAGATCTTCCTTTCTCGATATATTCATTACGATACAGGAGTACATCGTCTCAAACATAAAGAAGACTAGGTACTTGATGAGACCATTGTATTCCTGGTCCGACAATCCCATTTTTTGTGCCCAAGGGGTTCGGTCCAATAACACTATTTTCTCTCCCTTATGATACCCTTTTGACCCAACAAGTCCCTATGCAAAGTCCAGCTTGCTAGTACTTCAAGCACTTATCCTTGCCAGGCATTCCCGTGCATAAAACCCCATGGCCATCCATAGCGCCGCAAATGCCTTGGGTATCTCAAATCGGACCAGCTCGCAACATACAATTTATCTCCTCAAAAATTCCTCCACCTCAAATCCGACTCTACGCTTCGCCTTCTCCCAATTCTCCATCTCTTTTGCCTGGTGAGCAGCATTAACCGGCACCACACTCCCAGCATTTTTCAACGTTTTATCTCCTTGGTTTCTTTCCGCGGCCGCCGGCCCCCTGGAAGTCGTTGACATATCAAGGATAGCCGTCTTAACAATAACCGCATGACAGTCATTCAATCTGATGTCGACACCGGAATGGCCGCTAGCGGCGGTCAAACCCGCACTGGAAGTTCTGTCCCGTCCAAGCATTGGTGTGTTGCCCGGAGCACTGACTGATGCTCGTGCCGCCTCTCCTCCGTCGACTTCGTCGTCAACACCTTTGATGACAATGGTAATGTCCGGCCCAATGCTGCCACGCCACAGGGTAGCGAACCATTGCCAGTGTGCTGGTGGAGAAAAGCCGTCGCTGATTGGCATGGCGATGGAGGATGCGTCGATGGTCGTAAGTTGGAAATGCGGAACAAGAGCGATGGGGATTGCGTTGCTACATGGTCGTGGCAACTGCGGTCCCTCCTGGGGCTTTGGGTCCATCGCCGCTGGTGCAGGCGTTCCCTGAGGGGTCCGAGCAGATGGAATTCTGGAGGAAGGCTTCGAGGCTGGTGGCGGCGGTGGGGGCGGCGAAGCAGGAGGAGGCGTTGGCGGAGGTGGAGGGATGCGGGTCGAATTGTGTGGCCGTGGAAATGTCAGTGGCGGCGGGCGAATACTGTACTCGCTTGTACTTTGACTTCGTCCTTTAGCGGGAGGTGAAATTATCGACAATTCGGCAGCTTTGTCCATTGTCGTGGGACTGATCGCGGAGTCATTATGGGCATCTGATTTGCCTTGATATATCCGGAGAGTCTTTTCTGGAGTGCTAGGACCCTCTGCATCAGCCATTGGGTGATCAGGATCACTGTGGCAAGGTTCTACCAGCATAGATGATGACTTGAGTCCAGATCCACGATTACCTTTGAGTTCGGATCCTCCAGGCCGCATGCTGATGTACTCAACCATTTCCTTGTTGATCTTGTGCCATTCGCTCAGCATGCTCAAGTAGACTTCAGTTGTCATCGGACGACCTCGTGCATTTGAGTCATTTCGAGCATTCTGAATCGTGGTAAATGGATCTGGACCGCCAAAGATCCTGACGGCGAATTTCCCTTCTTTTTCCAGCTGCTCGGCAAGCGAATTGGTCATGCTGTTCACGGTTGTAGGATCCATACCTTCAACTGCAATAATGGCGCCACGAACTTCCGGCTTAGGGGACAAGGGACCAGGTGCTGGAAGAGGAGAGGATATCTGAGAGAGAACCTTGATCTTGTTCAGGACAGGTATTGACATGATCATAGCCTCTACACCAGAGCCTTGGGAATGAACTGAAGAAGACTTGATCGGAGTCTGTGACACCATTGTTTCAATTGGTGGCAATGCGACAGTTGATCTGTTTCGCTGATGTGGATGAGGTGGTCGAACAGGTTGAAGCTGTGGTGGGCGCGGATAGACTGCTCGGGGAGGAGAGACGATTGCAGGTTTGGCGCCTTGCTGGACATGTTGAACGTGCACAACCTCTGGACGAGAATATGGGCCGTTTAGAATAGGAGAATGAGCATAAGCGTATGCTGCTTCAGGGTATGTTTCGCGAGCTGGCATATAGACCCCGCTGCTATTGAAACGCCGTCTCTTCACATCTTGCGAATCCGACGATGGAGGAGTCGGGAGAGGTTGGTTGGCAGGTACCGCGTATATCAGTCGAGGATCGACTCGTTGGTAGGGATAAGCTTCGACAAAAGCCTTCTGCTGAGCCCTATGTTCGGGAGAGGTAGGAGGCAGCCTCTGACCAGGTGCATTGCTGACGACGTAGCTGCGTTTGGCAGGAACTTGCATGGCCATGGATTGCTGTGCAGCAGAAGCTGGCGGAGTGTATATTGGACTTGGATTATTATAATAACTCATCGGTTTCCCGCCGCACTTGCTGCAAGGCTCCTGTGGTTCAGCAGTAGAAGGTCCGGATATCGAAGATTGGTTGCTAGCTTTGGCGTTGCGTCGTGGTTGATAGCGATAACCGGGATATTGCTGCTGATGACGGGCTTTCTCTTCCTAAAGAGAAGCAGGTTAGAACAAGGACCTTTGTTGATGAACATAGTTTTCTTTAACTCACTTCCGCAAGCAAATTCCATTCCTCTTTGGCCTCGGCTGATAGACGCCTCCATTGTTCTCCGATAATCTTTGACACGTCCGGAATAGGCAATCCTGGATTCTGTGCCATGATACTGGATTGTTGATGTTGACGAAACAACATGAACGCTATCTGAGCGTTAGTCCTGGCGCTCATGGCAAGGGAGTGGAATAGCAGCATGCTCACAATTTCTGGGTCGTGGTATCTTGGGTTCAGACGGACACAAACACAAATGGTCCCTGGCATTAGTACTACCGTGGGCTGATTCGGCTTGAGAGTGGTCCTCCTCAATGTCCATAGACCGAGCTCTCTTGGAAGGCGAAGCAGATCTGGAACCATTATTGAATGCTGTCTGCTGTCCTCCTGGAGCTATCCCGTCCATGGAGCGAGATGTCTCTGGAACATGAATTGTACTTCTCCGCAAAGCATCCTCTCCTGTACGTCGATCTGAAGAGGGCTCATGGAATATATGATGCTGCGAGAGCAAGGAGGTGCGATGTAATGCGGGATTATGCTCGGTTGGAGGTTTGGGCAGACGACGGTACCATGCTGGTGCAGGAGGTTCATTGGTGAGTGGAGTCATAGCGCAGAGAAAGGAATTCTTTGTTCATAGCCATCCAAATTCCTGAACCGTGGAATTGGACGAAGGGCCGAGGGGAAAGAGCATCGGCTTTTGTAAGGGGAAAAGCATACCTACCATCCTCGGATCACTTTCTATCATGTCTCTTTGTTTCCTTGAGGCGAGTGCTTCGTCGCAAGGTGAGCCATGACAAGCGTTCAGGCACGAGGCTGGAGCCGGTCGTGTTGGCTTCCTTTGTTCTCTCCTAGCCCCAAGGCGGGAAAATGCGGTACCAATCACCGTGCACCCGAAACAATATCAGCAGGAATGCAGGGCAGACAAAGAATGAACTTCGTCGAAGTATGACGAGGTGGAGCAGAGTTCATGAAACTGGAAACGCTGGAGCCTTGAACAGTCAATCATCGAACCATAAGATGTCAGAGTGATTGCTTCAAGGCTGGTCCGATTCATGATCAGGTGGAATAGCTGCGGATCAATTCCTGCATTTCATATAGAACTGAATCCGACAAAGAAGACTGCGTTCGATGAAGCCGGGGGGCTCAGTCGCCTAGGTCACCAGTAGATCGCTCTTGATTTCCCTTGTTGCCAGGAGACCGCGTCGATCCAAGATGGCGCTTGAAGCCGTTGGACGGCTTTCCACCGGTAGGAAGACAGAGTAGCATGATTGAGCTGGTCTTCATTGAACAGGTGTTGACGACGAGAGACTCCGAGGCAGGCATAGTGACAGGTATCTTCCTTTATCCTCAGCAGAGGCTGGCACGCGGCACTTGGCCTTCCGACGGGAACAGTTGTTTGGCTCATCTTGAAAAACACAACGACCTGTTTCAGCGCAGCGTTCATTTTCCGTTACAGAATAGGACAGCTAGCAATCGAAGCAGACCGTTGGTGTAGCAACTGGTGGTGCGTGAAGTTCAGTAAAACCTAGAAGGTGGTGATGGTGGCATCAATGGGCTTTACTGTGTAGACAATTTTTATTTGAACCTGTGGTCTGAGCACCAAACCACCTACCCTCGTGTTGGCCACATAATTCATAATTCATACTCGTACAATCATGGCTATCTATCCCCTTTTATGTCGCTATGATCCAATGATTCCAGGAATGCACATGCTCGAGAAAGATCTGAATCTCTTACATGTTACATTTTTAGCCAGCAAAGACCCGAACATTCAGATCTACACTTGCGGTCGCAATAACACAGCGAATTTTTCCTCCTACACCGCTGTCTTCTTTCTTGCTGGCTGTTGATACACCATTGCTCTCTCCATTCGTGACCGGCTGTACTGGAACATCAGGTGCCCATCTGATGCTGCTGATGAAATGTTGATGAGCTTCGTCCACCACCTTGATACATTTGCATTCCTGCGACAGGTCCCAACATCGAATGGTCTTGTCGTCCGAGATTGAAAGTAAGTATCGTCCGCCAGGATGAAACACAAGGCCTCGCACCCAGTTGTCATGGCCAACAAGCGTCTTGTGGCATGTACCCCGATTGTCCCAGATTTTGATGATCTTGTCTCTGCCTCCGGTTGCCAAAAACTCTCCACAACTGCTTGCTGGAGGTGGCTTTTTGTACCCTGCAATGCTGGACAGGTGTACATAGGATGAGCCGGGTGCAAATGCAACGCACTCAACCACATGTTCATGTCCCAAAAAAGTGATCTTGACCTCGCCCGAGCTAGCATCCCACAGTCGAGGGATTTGATCATTGCCCGCGCTCAACAGGAACCTGCCGTCAATGGAGGGTGTTACTGTCCTGACCCAGTCTGTATGCCCTTTTAATGTCTTCAAACAGTACCCCGTTGTCACGTCCCATATTCGCAGGGTCTTATCTCTCGACGCAGACACCAACGTGTTCCCCGAAAGGGGCGCACCGGCAGCCCCCGAGGGGATGAAGCGAATGCAGGAGATGGAATGATCATGACCTGGTAACGTTCGAATGTTCTTGTATTCGTCGCTGGGATCCCATAGCCTAATTGTCAGGTCACTACTGCAACTCGCAAGAAGTGTGGCTCCTCTAGGACCGCCAAAATCCACGTCTAAGACCGACTTGGTGTGACCTTTTAACGTCCTCTCCAACTCACCCAACTCCCAGTCCCATATCTTGATAGTGGAGTCTTCTGAAGCGGATGCTAGTGAGGAGAATATCGGATGGAATGCGACTGAGGTGACTGGGAGTCGGTGACCTTGTAGCGTGTGTCTTGCAGGGTTTCTAGGAAGCCAGGTTACCGGGTCGATCTTGCGGTGGGAGGAAAGTGGTGTTGCCGTTTCGATTTCATGCTGAAGCGTAGCGTTCTTTGCCTCAAGGTCCATGATTTTCTTTTGCAGACGAACCACTGACGTCCATTTCTTCTCCAGTAAGGTCTCATACTTCTTGGCTGTGGCATCGTCAAAGGTGTCTGGTAGATTCGATTCTCGTCGGAGGGCCGCAGCACTATCGTTCATGCCAACGGAGAGGAAGTAGGCGATCATAGATTTGTGCCTGGAACAGTCAATAACCGAGTCAACATTCCTGTCCTCACAACGTACAGTTCTTCTGCTTGTCGAGTGGTGAGGAGTTGGCTCATATTGAGAGAATGGGCTTGAAGCCCTCAGAACCGGATTACACGCTCATGCGATAGCTAGATGGCTTCCTGAGGTAGCGCTTGTTCCCTAGGAATTCTGGGAAACGCAAGAATGGTGCCTCGTCGAGGACTCGTGCGCAGTTGAGAGTGGAGAGGAGCAAGGGCGTCTTTTCCGGGTTGACTAGGAGAAGAAGTAGGAGTCCCTCAGAAGATTCCAGAAACAGAGAAAGCACAGCTTTTTAGCCAGTGATCTTTGTATTGGGCGTCGTCGAGGCTTGTGTCGAGGCCGCATGTAGGGAATAAAGAAGGGGATGGGCGAACTGATTTGGTGTTGTCATGCAAAAAGCCAATGTTTATGCCCGAACCCTGACACCAACACCCGCCCTCCAATATCTCCACCATCCACTTCTTTGCAGATGAACCACCAACATCTCTTCCAATTCGTGTTTGCGACCGTGGGGTTGTGTTTGTACGCGCATTCTGATCTTTGGACGTGCTTGGAGACCCTTGGGAGAATTCCGGATTGTTCTGTCCAGCTGTGACTGCTTTGTCCCTGCGCGCAACGACATCACCGACAGCGCCTACCATATGAACGCACAATAACAAAGGTAAGTGCTCGTCCATTTTCTGTCCACCTTGTCCATGCCTTGCTGCTTTCGTCTAGCTTGCCTGTGCCCTGCGATATCTGCAGATGCGACCTCAGTACTGATGTTTTCGAACAGCCCGCTTGCGCGTCCCTCTCAAAAGAAACCCTCGGCCAAGTTCCTCTCTATCCGCCGCATCTTCTCCCCTGCTGCCATGGCCGACCAGGAGGAGGACTATTCGCAACTCCCGCTGCCGGATAGATTTACGCACAAGGTTTGGAAAGTCCGCAAGGAGGGGTATGAAGCCGCCGCAAAACAATTCGAATTGACGCCAGACGAGTCAGACCCAGCCTTCAGGCCGTTCCTACAAGATCCCGGGCTGTGGAAGTCAGCTGCTGGAGACTCCAACGTCGCCGCACAACAAGAAGGTCTGGCTGCTTTATGCGCTTTTCTGAAATATGGAGGCCAACAAGCTGCGGTCAAATCACGCAATTATACCCTACAGCCAATCTATGAGAAAGGTCTATCCTCGACCCGGCCCCAAGCCAAAGCGAGCGCTCTGGAAGCCCTGTTATTATACGTCGAATTGGACAAGTCAGAACCAGTCATCGAAGAATTGCTCCCAGCGCTCTCTCACAAGCAGCCAAAGGTTATCGCGGCTACACTGAACGCCATTACTGCCATTTACCACAATTTTGGTGTCAAAATTGTTGAGCCAAAGCCAGTATTGAAGGCGTTGCCAAAAGTCTTTGGACATGCTGATAAGAATGTTCGTGCGGAGGCACAAAACCTCACAGTGGAATTATACCGATGGTTGAAAGAGGCGATGAAACCGGTGTTTTGGGGCGAACTGAAGCCTGTGCAGCAACAAGACCTTGAGAAACTGTTCGAGAAGGTGAAAGAAGAGCCGGCGCCAAAACAAGAGCGACTGACGAGAGCACAACAAGCTGCACGGGCAACAGCACCAACAGCGTCTGCCGGTGGATACGACGCAGACGAAGGTGCAGCTCCTGACGAAGAAGAAGAAGTTGAAGTGGACGCCTTCGACCTTGCTGAACCAGTCGATGTCTACTCGAAGATACCAGCGAATTTCTATGAATTGGTCGGCTCGACGAAGTGGAAAGAGCGCAAAGAAGCCCTTGATGCCCTTTTCAACGACCTAAACACTCCGAGAATCAAAGAAGCGCCATTCGATGAATTGGTACGGACATTTGCGAAATGCATGAAAGATGCCAACATCGCAGTCGTGACAGTTGCGGCAAATTGTGTGGAGAAATTAGCGCTGGGCCTCAAGAGAGGATTTGCAAAATACCGATCTACCATCATGTCGCCGATGATGGAGAGGTTCAAAGAAAAGAAACAATCGGTTGCAGACGCCCTCGGTGCGGCTCTGGATGCAGTCTTTGCTTCTACGTCTCTGTCCGAATGCCTCGAGGAGACCTTGAGTTTTCTACCGAACAAAAATCCCAATGTCAAGGCCGAAACCATCAAGTTCCTTGTCAGGTGTCTACGAAACACTCGAGATGTGCCGTCAAAAGCAGAGCAGAAACTCATCGCGGATGCAGCAACCAAATTGTTGACAGAGTCTACTGAGGCAATTCGATCTGGTGGTGCAGAGATACTAGGTACACTAATGAAGATCATCGGCGAGCGGGCAATGAACCCATATCTAGACGGACTGGATGATATACGCAAAGCTAAAATCAAGGAATTCTTTGATGCTGCTGAAGTCAAAGCGAAAGAAAAGCTGAAGGCGGCCCCTCCACCAACCAAAGCGGCCTCTGCCCCTGGTAAGAAGCCTGCGCTCGGTGCGAAGAAACCTGTTGCGAAGAAAATGGCACCGGCAGCCGCTCCATCCGAAGATCCTGCACCTCTCCAAGCAAGACCGACAGCTAAAGCCCTTCCAAAGCCCGGAGGCGTGGTACGTCCGGGTTCGGCACAGCCTTCAGCTCTCAAGCTTGGTGGACTCAAAAAGCCTGCAGCTGGCCCTCCATCAAGTGGTATTGGAACTCCCAGCCGGCGAGTGATATCTCCACCGATGAGCACAGATGAGGAAGAGGCTGCTGCTCCTTCTCCGTCAAAATTTGGTATGGGTCGTGGTGGACTAGCTGGCCGGCCATTGTCTAGACCTGCGGCAGCTCCTTTATCACCTCCGACAGCGCCACCTGTATCAAACGGTCTCTCAGCCATCGAACGTGCAGAGTTGGAAGAACTACGAGCCGAAAAAGAACGTTTGACAGTACTTAGCGACGGCCTCAGAAGCAGCAATGCCAAGCTGACCGCCGAGATTTCAGAATTACAGAACCAGAACGCGCAACTCATAGAAGACCACACACGAGATGTGCTACAGATCAAAGCCAAGGAAACGCAGCTAGTGAGAGCTCGAGGAGAGATTGATGTTCTCAAGGCCGAGATAGACAGTGTGCGGAAAGAAAGTGAACGATACAAGCGAGAAGTGTCAAGATTAGGCCGTGAAAGCATCGGTCGAGAAAGGGAAGATATGATGCGCGGGCGGAACGACGACGCGCCCAGTTTTGGCAACGAAGGTGGTGGTATCTATGAAGACGCTACCGTACACAGATATCCTGCGAACGGCAACGCGTCAAGACCTACCAGCAGCAATTTGCAAAGAACTGGTAGCACTGCTAGCTCGCAAAGCAGTCGCGCACCGAGCAGCAAGCCGAGACCTCAAAGCGGATACACGCTGAGTCCAACCGAGGAGAAGGAGAACGGTGGTCTCGACCCGCTTGCAGCTCGACGAAAGATCAGCCCGCCTGTCGGCAATATGGCGAACGGCAGTGGTCGAAGTAGTCCTCAGCGACCGACATTTGCCAGCAGGGAAGCGAGCGAATCCGGAAGTGTCGGGTCAAGGGAACCACGTGCAGAGGAGAACTGGAAAAGAGCCGCTGAGGTGACGAGTCAACTCAAGGCGCGGATCGAGGCCATGAAGGTAAGCGCTCCCAAGTGGTGTGTATCTATCACTCAATACTGACCGACTGTTATGCAGGCACGCCAAGGTTTGACTCGACACTGATCACGACATGCCTCTCCTCAAGGGACCCAAGACCCAGGGATACTTCCACTTTTTCAGGAAGTCCGCTATTGCCTTTTCCAGCGTTTCCTTTGTACAGCGTTCAGAGTAATACCAGGGCTGGCTCACGGTTGAATGCTTCTCACCTGTGAAAGGTATCACACCTCGAAGGTGAACGGGGTTGCAATCTTGTATGGCGTTTTGATTCGAGATACCACTCTGTTGTATGGTGTTGTTCAAAGGGCACAGGGCGCGAGCAGAAGAAAGCCCCGAGTCGTCGGAAGCAGGCGGCATTGTATATGTACCTTGGAAATGATGATGGCAATGAACAAAGTGCGTTCTCATTGTGTCTATCTTGTTGAAGCTTCCATTCTCCTTCGAGAGGTCATTTGCTCTCGTGGGATACTGACTGCAATCCATCACCATGGTCAGGACGCCTGCCGTTTCCGGAAGGCGTCAGGCGTGCGTAGGACTTGCTGAGCCGGTGGTGAGTGTTCGGCAGATGGTCGTCTCCCAAGGCACGCCGGCCAGGCTGAAGCAGAGGATCTTCTCAAGCAGAAGAGTTTCTGGGGGCGCCAACCACAGGAAGTACTCTTTTTATACCTCTGAGCAGCATAGGGTCTTCTTCCTCGTCCTGAGACAATGTCTCAAAACCGTGGGGACTGTCACCCTCTAAGAATCTCTGTCTGGACGGGTATGTACGGAGTACCCAAGAGTGATCAACCTTGCAACCTACTCCGAGTTGATCTACGAAATGTGGTGAGCACGTGGGTAAGGCTGGCAAGGCTGGCCAGCACGTGAGCACAGCAACTTCCTGAGCTAGCTAGTCGCTTACTCTTTTCGGCTCGAATCTCGTTTTTCCATCGTCCAGCATCGAGTTGAGGACCTGTTTGGGACGCTGAGTCTCGTAGAGTCAAGATACAGGACGACCGTGGTTTTATGCGATTTTGGGCAGCCGAGACAGCCGAGGGTCATCGCGTGCGCCCGATCACGGAGCATGAGCTTCTTCAGAGCAAGAAAGCGGCGCTGCTGTGGATTGCATGATTCCAAATATGCGCCCTGGGGCCTGATGCCTGTTCAGGACAAGGGAAACGGGTTCCTGTTGAGAATAGAATATTTAAGGAGTATAGTATAGTACTCCGTATAGATGTCACAGCCTTGTCCTCAGGCCCAGGACCATGGCTCGCATGGCTGTGAACCTTGGGGAAATGTTTAACTTAAAAAGGTTACCATAATGTCAGGCCTGCCTGTCCCCACGACGTCCTCAGGCTCGAGTACCAGGTAACTGATTTTCTTGTGACATGTAATACTTACCTAGGTAGGTAGATTCTAGGAGGAGAAGTCGAGACGAGACGAGACGCTTCACGTGTAAAGGGTGCATGTATGTATGTGTAGATCTCTGGGCAGGAGGGATCGCACGAGGGAACATACCAGTGCATACCTCAAGGGGGAAGCAAAGAAAAGAATACTAAAGAACAGAAGCACGGCGGGCTAGTTGCAGTGTTTGGTATCATTTCCGTTCGTTTTGCGCGACGGAGCGGCTTTCATGCCCCTCACTGGCCTTGCATGCTACCCCTTTGGAGCCGAATGTGCTCAGTATGCTGGCCACTCACTCCTTGTTGCGGCCGAAGAGCTTGTACGTCTCGCTGACATAGCTTTGATGCAGTCAACCTTTTGCCGGGCATGATAAGCCCCCAGCAACAAGAATTCTAGTACGCCAGCTTTGCTGCCATCTTGACGACCATCCACACCAAGTTTTGGTCATCCACCCAGGCCCAACCAGAGATGATTCTCATCGTGAAAAGGGAGAGATTGTTTTAGATCTTGATAGCACTCTCAATGGCCTTCCGCTTCTTCTCCTGCTTGGCAACGGCCTTTGCACCCATGATACCGCCACCCCAGTGTCGTCGGTGCTCCTCGTACTTCTTAGTGTATCCCTCACTGATGGTGTTGACAAGCTTGCTCAGCTCAGATTTGTCCTCGCTCTTGACTTCTGTCAAAGCCAGCACAGCAGCAGTCTTCTTGTGCACGACCGTACCAAGACGAGCTTTGCCCTTGATAATGGCGTAAGGCACACCCATCTTGCGGCACAGAGCGGGCAGGAAAACCACCAGCTCGATCGGGTCGACATCATGAGCGATCAGGACCATGGAGGCCTTCTTCGATTCGATCAATCCGACCACGTGGTTCAGACCGTATTTCACGGTGTATGGTTTCTGTCATTCAAATGTCAGTCACTAGCACAACATCTTCGCGCCCGTGCGGAGTGTAGATTGAGCGGCGCATACCTTGGAAACATCCTCCTTCTTCTTGCCCTCCTCCACAGCGGTAGCTTCCTGGTGCAGACGCTCCTTCTTCTGCGCCTTCGTCTCAGGTCTGTACTTGTTGAGCAGCTTGAATGTCTCGGCGGCGGTGTTTCTATCGAGGGTGTTGGAGAATTGGGCGATCGCAGGAGGAACCTTCAGGCGCATGTTCAGGATCTTCTTCTGGCGTTGGAGGCGGACGTATTCTGGCCATCTACACAAGCAGAACATGTCAGACACTTTCTCTTATTTCCACCTCAACTATTCTGCAGATGGGGTATAAGACTCACTTCACCATACGCGACAGGTTGCGCTTGGGCTGTATATCTTGACCGATGCCGAAGTTTCGGGGTCTCTTCTCGAGGAGGGGGTTCTGAGGAGCGTCAGCATGGTCAACACACTTTGGAGCGGAGCGAACTCACCTTTGCAGCCTTCTTGGTCGAGCCGGCCTTTCCCTGAGGGAAAGGCGCAGGCGCAGGTTTCTTTCCTTTGGGTGGCTATCATTGAGAAAAAGAAAGATCATCAGCACATCGTGTTCATGTCCAGGATGATGATCAAGTTCTTTTTGACTCTAAGGAGCTGATCAGAGACGTCTCGTTGTTACACGCAACGCCTCGATCATGTTCCAGCCAGGTCATCACCAACTAGGACAGTGGTTGTCATGCAGAGGCCTCAATGAAGAGTTCACACATGGACCGCAGATTCCATTGCTGGCGGTAGTTTTCTACGCAGTCGAGGCCGCGTTTCACGGCAACGACTCGACTGCGAGAGATGTAGTTGGTGAGGAGGTCGGAATCCTTCTAGCTTACCATTTTGATTGAGGAAAGGGTATTGACCGTGATCAAGTAAGAAGCCTTGAGAGTTGTGCGAACAGTCAAAGTCCGCAATTCGAGTCGGAAAATGTTTGAGTGTGGAAAAGATCTCGAAGCGGTAACGCCTGTCTTGGCGCAACGCTCTTTTGAAGGCCGGGGCTCGGCACAGGGAAGTGACTGACACGTGACCAGACATCTGGGCTCGCCCGCTGAAAGCCATACAGTACGGAGATGCATGGCTGCGATCGCTAAAGGCGACTCCAATTATGATTCCTTGTGGCTTGTTGTAGCGTAGAAGCCAGCTTGTTCTGATGCATTGTTCACTAGCTAAGCTATCTATGCGGGATGACCCATAAAGAAGAATCGTGACTCCGAATCCGAGATCTGCACATCTCGTTCCAGGAGTACTTCCAGCTCAGTTCATGTTGCTACCCTGGGACCATACCAGTGGCCATAACCATTCTCAACTTTTGGTAAACCCGCTGTCCTTGCTAGCCTCTTTTCACGCTCCTGTTGCCTCTCTCTAGCAACATGTTTGCCCATAAACGCCGGTACCACACAAGACCGCCCCTTCGGGAACTTTCTCCCGATTTTTACCACCAAGACTGTGGCCAGCATACCCCGAAACATATGGCAATCAAGCAAAACCGAAATAGTCAGCACCAAGATTGATCGCTGTCATCAAGTTGCTCTTGAGCGTGTCGAAATCATCGTAAGCTGGTAGATCAAGCTGGTTGAAGCAAGTATGACTAGTAGGAAGCCGGTTTTGGCTTGGATCCCTGCAAACATGTTAGTGGCTGTCTAGACAAAATGGGATGGAGTCGACTCACTTGTGAATACTGAACAAGGTATTTCCTTGCATCCCTTCCAAGTCCTTAAAACCATTCAAGGGGACTTTGCTTGTACCAGTGACGAATTGCAACAACTTCGCACGTTCTTCATTGCTCATGCCTCGAACGATGCGCCAGAACCAGGTGATCTGAGGACTGTTGGCGGTGTAGTTATGGTACTCGGTATGACCACGCCAATCGTCGACATCGATTTCTGGAAGACCAGAGATCAACAACTCGAGTTCTTGTTCGTCGAAAATGGCAACCAATTCGGCAGGGATAATGTCGTGGAAACCTCGAACGAAGCTCTCCAGCTGTTCTTGAACCGATGTTGTTAGACGATAGCGAACTTGGGCATTGACGTATTCCCGCTTGTTTTGATCGGTGACAGGAATGTTTCGTCCGTTGGGAATCAGATCGACCACCTTTTCTTCACCAAATTGTTCTTCGATGACTGAGAAATCTTCTGTAATGACATCGGTAATGTCGTTCTCAAGGATCCAGACCAGACTCTTATAGTAGTCGAGGTCCATTGACTCAAGATCCTTGAGGTTAGGTTCTTTTCCAAGAAGGCGTTTGTAAACAGCCCTGCTGAAGTGACAATCGAGGACACGACCTTCGTGTAGTGCTTTGCCGATGATGCGACCAATGAACTTGAAGTACAGAAGATGCTCCCCATTGATCCAGCTCAGAGGATTGGGGTGGAAAGTCGTGCGATCAGCTGCGACAGGTTGCCACAAAGCCCAATCAGGATTGAACATGCCTCGAGCAAGAACCTGAAACCATTCTCGCGTGACACCACCAGCATCGACGCCTTCTTCGCCGTTGAATCGGATATTGAGTTTGCCATATTTCATCTCGTCAGCAGTCTTATAATACAAGGCCTTGTACGAGTCCAAGAACACCTGGTCACGACGGACATTGAGTTGCAATGGAGGTTGGATGTGCCGCTGTTGATGGAGGCGAGAATGAATCTGTTTGGTGAAGTAAGTGCGTTTGTTGTCAAAGTCCAACACCTTGGAATTCTTCACAAGTAGACTGAAGCTGCCATTGCCTTGCATCAACTTGGGAGACTGACGGACGATGTCGTTGAGGATCTTGCGATGCTCTGTGGTAAAATTGAAGAAAAGTTCCTGGATCTCGTCCATGGTCTCCGGGGCCGGACTTCCTGGCAACTGCTCCCGAACTTGCCGGGCCAGCATGGAGTCCTTAAGAGAAGTGTTCTTGCAAACCACCATGAGTGATTCGATGAGAGGCAGAAGAATCGTAGCAAACCCGGTAATGTTGTCTTTATCTCGGACTGTCGTCAAGCACTCGCTCAGTTTGTCCCACAGAGGCCTCAAGGCAAGACTGTCGTACGAATTGGCGACTACACTCTTGGCAACGCTCTTGTCTTCTGTCTCTTCCTCATCTGTCTTGAAGGCAGAGAGGTAATCCAAGGCCTGAAGAACCCGCAGCAACTTGACTTGGTCAGATCCTCCATGGGAGAATTTCGTAGAGGACACCGCATGCAGATCTGTGATTGACTGCGCTTCTTTCAGTTGTGGGAGTAGCTCGTCGAGATCGGCGCAGATCGACTGACACAGATGCTCGACATGATTGATCAGTTTTTTGCTGAAGATTACAGCCGTGCCTGGAATGCATGAAAGGCTTGAAAGCGTCTCCAGAGTCGAATGGAAAGTGTCGCTGTTGCACTCAGGAGCGACGAAAATGCTGACGATGAGCTGCAAGTTGTGCTCTGATATGACCGGTGGCTCGAACGGTTTCTTCGACTTCGCTTCATCGCCATTTGTGTCTTCATTGTCAGCCTTAGCGGAGGATTCACCCAGGTCCGATTGCTGAGCTACACCACTTGCGGTTCCAGACTCATTACCATCATGAGCTGCGGCCGGGGCGTCTCTAATCTCAACGTCTCGTGTCTCTCCGCCTTGTGCGGCTTCGGTTTGTTCTGCCTGGCCTGAGGGCTGTTCCGTCTGGCTACCTTCAGCATGCTTCTGTTCTTCTGATGCCTTCTCTTTGTCTTTACGCAGCAGGACAGCTAACGGTTGAGTTACCGCGGAAAGTAGTTCCGCAAGCGATTGGAGACAAGACGAGCTCTCCGCAATCAGTTTGCGGTCCAAAAGGCTGATCAAGTCGTTGAGGGGATATTTGACATTTTTGACCTGCTTGGCCTTTTCTTTGCCCTTCTTCGAAGCTTGATTAATATCAACTTCACGCAGGAAAATAGTGCGGGTGTGAACACTGTTCTGGCAGAGTTGTTTCAATGCCGAGAGACACTGTTGCACAACAACCAGAGGCGTGACCCCTTCACTAATGCCACCAGCGGGCTGCATCGAAAGCGTACGCTTCAGAGGTTGCGGGGTCTTTTGTCCAACAGTTGCTTTGGCACGCAAAGATAGATTGGCAAGGCTGCGTTCAACCGCACTCACATCTGTTGATCCTTCCTTGAGAACCACGAGAAGAAGGTTGATGACCTCGAAACGTGTCTGGCGATTTCCGCATATATTTCGAAGAATGTGCCATAGATTGGTCCGCAGAGACCCTTGTTGAGGTATGAACATGAGCCGAAGTAGAGTGGCAACGCCAGATTTGTCAGCCATCTGAATGATCTGGCGCTTGTTGTCGCGCTGAGCGCCATCCTCATTTGTTCGAGCTTCGCGGCCGTCGCGCTCTCCCATGTTGGTATACTGGAAAAGGCGCCTAGCATGAGCCCGGCCTTCGGCAGCATGTCTTGGATCAAGCTGACGCAGAATCTCAGGCGGCTGTTCGGCCAGGATGACACGACGGAAAGCTGGGTCGAGTGTCGCAAGAAACGTGTCGTTATCCATTTCCTCTGCCTGTGCTACAGCACCAGAGCTTGCAGCTTGTCGACGGGCAGTTTCTCGTTCACGTCGGCGTATGGCATGGGCTTCTTGCTGTCGAATTTCCTCTCGAATGTCTTCAGGAAGAGCATTGAGGAAGTCTGGATCGATGGCTGTAGACTCATTGCCTTGTTCACGGGCCTGTTCGCGTCGAGTCGCATATTGTTGCATGATTACTTCTTCCCGCAACTCTTCTGGCAGAGCTTCGAGGTATTCATTGTCAATGTCGAGCCCAGTAATGTCAAGCCGGCGCCCTCTGATGGTAGTGAAGACGCGAGGTTGCGATTCGGCGGAGTCACCTTCTGCATGTTCTTCACCAGTTTCGGCTTCGTGGGCCTGAACATCTTCCATAGGCTCTGTATCGCCATCATCATGTTCTGAGCCACTTTCATCATGACCTCTGGCTACGGTTGCAGCTTCTTCCTCGGCGCGTAAACGTTCTTCGTCAGCCTTTGCTGCGGCTTCACGCTCCTCTTCTTCTTTCTGCCGGCGTTCTGCTTCCACCCGCAGTCGTTCGATTTCCTCACGTTCGGCCTTTTGCTCCTCTTCCCGCTTGCGGCGACGTTCTTTCTCTTCTTGTTGAGCAAGAGGAACCAAAAGTGACATGATTAGGCACTGGACACGCTGGATCTTCTCGACGTAGGTGTTGCCGAAAAGAAGACGGGCTTCTTCCTGCCATCTTGTCATGGTGAGTGCTGGCACGAAATTTCCAGCACGTGAAGAATCCTCCGGAGCGCGATGGCGGTGGCCAATTGTCGGTTGTAGGACGTGCTGGATTTCCGTGAGAGGTGCATTCATGGCAATCGAGAACCGACCATCAGGTCCACGATCACCACGGTGCAGCGCTTGAAGTATGGCGTCAAGCATAGCACCATGACCGCCTGCTTCGATTGTCTCACCCGGGCGGACAAATGTCCGGACAGCGGCGCCAAAAGGAGGGAAACCGGCCAGTCCACCAGCATCCCCCATTCCGGGTGCAATGAAAAAGTTTGGTCCCAACGGCTGGACTCGCGCCTGGCGAAAATGGTCTTGTTGAGGTCTCCTCAATAGAGGGTTTGTTCCATCATCAGCTCCAGATCTGCCGTGCTGTGGAAGTCGACCTGCGGCTCTCATGGCCAGCAACTCCTCTCGGGTTTCCGTTCCCGGGACGCGACCGACGAAATTACGCAGATGCGTCGGGCCGCGGAAATGTCGAGGGAGGCGGCGTGTGGGTGGGAATTGAGCACCTTCCCAGATGACCCGTTCACTGTCATCTCCGCCACCGGCTAAGAAGTGGTCAAAGTCGCCGTAATCCATTTCGTCGTTCTCGTCCATCTCGTCACCGTCCTCGTCATCTTCGTCTTCCTCATCCTCATCACCAGGTTCTCCATTGTCTGCAGCAGGAACGATGAGATCTGGGGGAATGTGGTGGGCATGGCCAGGCGGTCCATCCATATCGTGATCACCAAGCACACGTAGAAGGTTGCTGAGAACGCCGGGTGCAGGGAGGTTGCCTTGCCCCTGGAGACGCATGTCGTCGCCTTCGAAGGTGATTCCTGCCATCTCTTCTTGTCCCTGGCTGATATCATCTTCGTCACCCTCGTCCTCGTCTTCCCACTCGCCCTCATTCCTGTGAGTATCATTGAGGCTGTCATTATCATCATCGCCATTAATCTCACCATGCTCGTCGTCATCATCTTCTTCGATGATAATGTCTTCGTCTTCATCGTCCTCATCTTCATCGTCCTCGTCCTCGTCGCCATCTTCGTCTGTGTCGACGTCCATGTGAGGATCATTGACAACGAATTCGATGTCCATGGGCACATCGCCTGGAAGGCCTTCGATCTCGCCCTCCGGGCCCATGCCCTCATCTACCTCCTCATCACTGACGGCTTCGTCGTCATTGGGGCCTGCAACGCCATCATCGTACTCCATCTCGTCGTCGTATTCTTCGTCGTACATCTCCTCATCCTCGTCTTCGTCGTCATCTTCGGAATCTGATTCCGACTCTCGGTCGCGATCAAGCATACCGAGAGCAGAATTTCTGAAGAGGTCTGGAGTCTCTTCACGTTCCTCGTTAACATCGGAGACAGAAGAGGCAGAAGAAATAACGTCTTCTTCAGTACTCGCACTAACGGAATTGACAAAGTCCGGTTCATTGAGGCTAAGATTGGTGGCCAGAGTGGTGAGTTCCTGTAGTGGTCGGAGAATGAATTTCACAACTCTCTTTGATCCTGGGAATGAGAGATCAATCTCGGCAAGCGAGCTCATCAAAACTGCTGTAAGATTCTTTTCGAACATCATCCGTGCCAGGACCTTGTACGAGGTATTCTGAGATCCAGCAGAACCTTCGGGCACAGCTGGCTTTGTCAGGAGTCGATTGAACATATCTGCCAGACAGAGAAGCTTGCTGTACTTCATCTGCAGGGGCTCGCTCGATGAGATGGCGTCCTTGTAAGATCTGATCGCATGTTCGAGAACGAAGCGCCGCACATATTGTAAATCCGGTTCATTGTTCACATCGTCAATTTGTGGCTGCACGGAGAAGCGTTGCGCTGGTCCTGTCGTTCCCGATTCGCCAGTCTTGGAGCATAGCGCAACGATGACCCTGATGGCCCAATCACTGGTGAGCAATTTCTTCCTGAACAACAGCGAGTCCTCTTTGTCGACATAACCGGAGGGGATAAGGCCGTCCAAGAAATAATTGAGGAGGTTTGCTCGAGGTTTGGAAGGCGTCGCCGCCTTTGGATCCGCTTTCTGATTGAAAGTGATGAATTCAACTTTCGTACGATTGTAGGAATGCAGGAGCTCGGTCAGGGAATACATTAAAAAACATCGATAGGAGAAAATCGGGTGCTCTTCGGGCTTGAACTTCGCCTTTTCGGATTTTGATTGAGCTTGGAGTATCCGTACCGGCGCCGGATCATCAGATGTTTCTGACAGGGTAGCCTGCTCCGGGGTCGGCTCCGTTTTCGTTACCGTTTCAAGGGGAGTTTCCTTGTCTTCGACATTTCTGTATGTTAGAATCTCTGAAAGAATGAAGTGAACGACTCCATCTGGATGCTCGACCACGGGAGGTTTGGTCTCTGGGGCCTTGCTCTTGTTCTGCGTCTCGGGCGATTCGTTGGGTGCCTCAACAGTCGCTGTAGGTTGCATAGAGACATCTTCGGTCTCATTCGAAGATTCACCTGGCTTAGCTTTCTGCTCCTCGCTTGACTTGGCATCCGCATTTTCTCTGAGCGCAAGGCCGACAGCGCCACCTCCATGGGGCTGCCATGATGATAGTTTGACCATTTCGTTTGTGACTTGGACGAACAGATCTGGAGAGCGCAGAACGAGATGGTAAAGTTCTCGAACATAAGTCGTAGTATCGAGTTGGCTTCTTGTGTTTCGAGAATTGAACAGCGCTTTAATCTCACTCCGGATGATTTGCTTCAAGGTATCATCGTCCTCGACAATATGCCGCAAGACAATCATGAAAGAGCTCTGAAGTCGGTGACCAACTCCATTGGCAAGTTGCTTTATCATCAGGAACAGTCTTTGGAGGTTACGCTTTTCAGCGAGTCGAGTGGCGATTTCGCGAGATCTAGTCAGAATGACTAGCACACGTGTTATCGCCAGAGCCATTGCCTTATCCTTCCCAACACGTGGCAGTATGCTCACAAGGATCTCGAACAGCTCTAGCTTCGCATCGAGGTCAAGCACAGTGACAGGAGCAAGCTCTGCTTTGCTGCTGGAGTCGAGGTCGATGGGAGGATCCCACTTGACCTCGGCAGGCTCGGAATCTCTCGAAAGCATTTTCTCGACAATCAACAAGACTGGCGCGACCCAGGGGTAAGAGTCCTCACCAGGTTGTCCATTCGACGCTGGCAGTCGCAGATACGACAAGAGACCCTCAAACGATTCCTGGAAGATGCTAAGTGTCTCTTCGAAAACCTCATTTTCTTGAATGAGCAAGGCAACGAGGTGAGCAGCAGCAGCAATCTTCTTCCCACGGACCTCATTGATGTCTTCTCCGACTTCCATTGAGAGGAGCGCGCCGAACAGGATATCAATTGTTATTCTCCAGTAACCTTTGGCGTGTTCGGACCGCATGTCCTTATAGGTGCTGATGATCAGGTCCGACAACTCAAAAGTCAAGTCTGGGTGATTGCTGAGGATATTGTTGCATCGATCGGCCAGATCTTCCCTAATCTCCGACCTGATTTCAGTAAGTGTCTCGACTGAGTAGGGTGCGGTGTCCGCGCGATCAGGGCTCTCGGATTGAGCATCTTCAACATTCAATATATTGCTAATGTCCATGGCAGACGACCCCGTCAGTGCGGGACCGCCTGGATGTGTAGACGCGGATGACATTTGAGGCCCAGAACTCACAACGTCCTCCATGTCGTTCGGATCGGACGCACTATTCGTGACCTCCGCAAGAGTCGCCTCAACGAGCCCGCTGGAAGGAGAGCCCACCAATGCGGCAGCCAAACTGTGAGGATTCGACGGAGGGCTCATGACGCCTGGCGTGTCCCGTGCGGTCGCAGAAAGGTCGACGTCCTCATTCGGTATCGGCAGTCTTCTGCGCCAGGGATTCGACTTGAAAGCTTTGCAGTAGTCTTCCGCCGAGCTGAGAGTGTTGTTTGGCTGATTGTTGGCGCGATACAGTGCTTCTCGAGCAAGGTCTTCGTCATAACCTTTATCCTTGAGAATGCTGACTTTTTGGGGATCAATGACCAATTTTCTGGGCGAAAATGGTGCCAAAACAGGAACATTATTATCCTTCTGAACTGCCTCGCCTTCATGGTCGCCCAAAAGAACGTGTTTTAGGATAGAGATCAGTTTTTGAACCACATCTCTCGAGGCTTGATCCGCGTAGTCACTGTCCCAGATCAGCCGGGTTAATGGCAGAGCCTCCATGCGCAGATTGACCAGAACCTGGGCCGGGATGAACCAGACCTGCTTGGTTGGATCCGTAACCTTCATGGCGTTTGACTGAGCCGAATCCATGATACTTTTTGAGTTGGTGAATTCATCCAGGATATCAAGGCAGATCTTGAGACCGGTGTTGGCCGCGAACATGGAATGATCTACCTTGCACGACTTCAACTGGTCAAAAAAATCTGTTCCAATCGAGGTCAAGCTCTTAATACCCCCAGCTTCGCGGAAGGCCTCGATAACGAAGCTTTGTCTAGCTGGATGTGGTATCGGCACTGAATTCGAATGGCTGTCGTCATAGAAACTGCGGCGGACGCTATCTAGTGCGATCACAAGATAGCCAAATCGAGACACGGTATTCTTTTCAGAAGCCATGGGACCGAGGAAATATGGCTGCATCTGAGTCAGGTAAGCCGAGGCAAGTGCCTTTGCTACCAAAGCAGTCTTCTGACGAGAGAATGTGTCAGGTCGTCGCCGGCCAGTGATGGCACGTCCCAAGCGACAGAAAAATTCTGTGATGGCCGCTGGAGTTTCAACAAGAAGATACCGAAGAGTCTGGACATTCTTGAAAGCCGGCGTCTCCTTCTCTTGAGCCAGTTTTGAGCTTTCAACAGCTGCATTGACATTGTTCTCTGATGTGCTAGAAGTTGAGTCTTCGTGGAGCAGTGTGCCGTTCCCACGGACGCTCAGGATCTTATCCACTTCGTCATCACCTGTAGAGAAATGCTCAGGTCGAGTCTCCGAAGCCCAGCCTTCAGGTAAGTCAATTTGGATGGCGATATCCTCCCGGTAGCAAGCAGCGGAAATGCCGCCCATCATCTTTGCAATATCAGCAAGGATATCCGCAAGGTTGACCTGAGTGAAGAGCATATTCTGAGGAGATCTCGCGTTGTATATAGGAGCATTGAAAACCTCAGCTAGAACTTGAGCCAGGCTAAAGACAGCCATCAGAGCTTTCACTATTCTTGTACCGTTTGCTCCAACGCCTGAGTGTTCAGAATTGGAAGCGGATGAGGACTCATCAAGCGCGGAAGTCGGTTTGACCAGTGTACCGAAGTAGCTTGACCAATCTTTTGGTTGACACTGGCTGAAGTGCTTCAATTCGGTGCAGGCGAAATGTGTACGATCTGATAATGTAGGTAAGACGATGGAAGGCTTGCATTCTGCCATCACGTGAATGGCCGCGGCCAATTCCTGGAACATGCCCGTAGTCCTATCGAAAGGGATGTTCGAAACCGGCAAGCTTGGTAGCGTCGCGAAGTCCAAAACCAAATCGCAACCTCCGTGGTCGAGAAAGCTGTTGCACAGACTCTGATTCTCGAAAAATGTAACCAAGAACCCAATGGCAGGTCTGGCATAATCGTTTGCTGTGAGGCCGTGGTTGTCTTCATCGCGAGGGGTTCCAGACGCAATGCTCGGTGGCAAAATCGGGTCTTTCAGGCTCAACTTGTCTCCATTGGGAAGCTCGAGCACCTGAGGTGGCGGAGAGCCCCCAGCATTCATTGATGGTGGCGGTACGACTTCGAGAGAAAGAGCAGCTTGTCCACCGCAGGGCGTAAGTCCATCCTCAGAACCAAGCCATAACTTGGGACCAGCACCGTAATCGACGGCGAGCGATCTGCTGATGTGACGGACACGAGACAGCATGACGATGACAGCGCTTAAAACTGCATTCCGCATGTTTGGATGATGGCGGACAAGTTCATCGAAAGTCGACCCAAGGAGCGCGAATACAGTGGCATCCCCCAATATCTTGACATGTGCCGGCGACTCGAAAATTTCAAAGAACTTCTCTAGAGCACCAGATGCCTTGAAATAATCGAAACCAGTACTTGTCAGGCAGATGGCGCCAAAGATCTGGGACACATTGATGATTGCGTCCTGTACCGGCGGGATACCCTGCGGCCGATTCTCGGGTTCCGACGACACCAATCTTGGGTGTTGTGTATCTGCAGGCTTCTGACCGGCGGTTACAGTTTCCAATAGGCTCTGTATGATACCTGCTTCTGAAATGACAGTGTAGCTGGTTGGCTCATTGTGGAGGAATCCACAGATGGCTTTGACAACTTCGCTCCAGGTGTGTGCACCGAAAGCGGCCAAATGATCGATGACGAGACGGAAGGCACGAAGCAAAGCTTGAGAGTCGACTAAACTTCTCAGAACTCGATCTGCTTGGGTACCCTGATGGGTGCTAATGTCGTTGATCATGTCGACAACTGATCTGATGATCTGCTGATGCATGTATGGAATCTCATAGTCGGTTGCACGAGTCTTGTACTGCACCGGGATACCCTCACCCGCCTGAAGCATAGTCCATGCGCTATTCACCAACTTGCCGAGAAGATTACTAATATTTTCGAAAGCGTTGCTTGCTAGGAGAGTGGTTAGGCCATCCTTGAAATGGTGAAAGAACATCTTGATGAAATCAAGCATCCGCAAGTGGACACGGAGAGCTTTGCCAGTCGTGACATCGAAGCCAGACAAGTATGTGGTGATGAAGCTGGAAGCTATGACAGCCTCACTAGATCGGCCGTGGTGACCAGTCACTTCGATCAGAGTTCGCGGCATAGAAAAGATCGCCTCTCGCCAATCATCTCCAACAGGCGTATCTGTACTGTCATTGTCCTGCGCGATGTCGTTCAGGCCTTTCATGATCAATTGAGATAGAAGGCCTTGAGAAGAGCCAGCTCCTAAGGCGGCATTGATGTCTGAACCGAATGATCTGAAATGAGCCAGCTGGGCCATTGTTTCCATGGCGAGGGTTTGCAGGTACAGAGAAACGGACGAGTGACCCTTCTTCGTGTCGTGGACTAGACTGACGAGTTGCTGAATTAATTCGTAAGTCTTCACTCCATGCTCGATGGGAAGGATTGTCCGAGAGAACTCAGCCTCCACCAATACGTTCGCCAGGCTGATGATTGCGAGGAGCCGAATGGCGAGCAATTCTTTTCGAGTCTTGGGTGAGGTCATCAAACCATAGGCGACACGAAGCTGGTGCAGCAGCTCGTATCGTGCTTTTGGTGGCATGTCCACTGGTTGGTCACGCAGTATGGACTCGATCGAAGTACTTGCTAATTCTGTCGGCGAGAGCTCGACATGCTTCATGATGTCCTCTGAGTCATGTTGCATAGGACTCTGGTGACTAGCATTTCCGTTGGGTGAACCGCTGGTGTCAATTCTGCCAAGTGCAGACGATTGTCTGATTGGGGTGGGAGTTGAAGGAGTCTCCGAGATCTGGGAGGGTTCTTCGCTCGTAGATTTCTGCTGCTCGGAGCTCTGGGACGACCAGGAGACTTTGACGTGTGCCCATGCTTGCCAATCCCGCTCAGGCGCAGGTGTTGCCTTGCCCCCGTCCTTGTGATTGGATATGTCCTTGCAGAGAGAACGAAAGTCATTCGGGTTGACGGTAGACGAGCCTCGTCTGGCTTTGGCCCCATGCTGAACCTTCTCTTTTGACTTTGTGGTCTTCACCGGGGATAATGTTCCACGTTTGCTGGATGACATCTGTGGTCCAAGAGGGGCCGCAAGTTTCTTCAAGCGTTCATGGTCAAAGTCATAGAACTTGTTCGTCATCGGTTGTTGAGCAATTGACCGATCCGCGAATCGCTGTGCCAGGTAGAAGGTGATGCGCAGAGTGGTGTGCAGGAGCGAAAGAGAGGTGGTGTTCAATAGATCGTTCAACCGATCGGTGCTGTTGTAGACAGCTCGGTTGGCACATTTTTCCACCAGCAACTTTGAAAAGACCAGAATCGCCTCGACCAGCTCTCTGTCACCTTCTGGACCAAACCCCAGCTCTTTCAGTCTCTTTTCATCGACACCGGGGCTTCCTTCAAGGAGCAGGGATATGCCGAACGGGATTGTCTGCGGACCTTTATCCAGGCCATATTTTGCATTGAAGGATTCCAGGATAGTGTCGAAGCGATCAAGAGGCTCAATCCAGTTGTTCAGGTCGCCACGAGGATAAGGCCATCTCTGCGACCATCCGCTGAAGAGTGCGGGTAATTCTGCGAGTGGGACGGTGGAAACTTGCTGGACGAGCTCTGATACCGCAGGCGACTGTCACAGCAAGGTCAGCGAGATGCCTGTGTGAATTTCAAGTTGACTTACCAGAGACACCTTGTGCTTCTCCTGTGCCTTCCTCGTTACCCTTCCCATCTTCGCTAACCGCCGTAATGTTGCAGCATACGCCGCATCAGCGGAGAGCAGCCTTGTTCAGCCTCGGAATCCCACCTGCGTTGTGGCCAGGTTTTGGAGGTATTGATCTTGAGAATTTGCCTTTGGAATCCGAATATGTAAAGCTGTCAGGACGGGCCCAGATCGTGCAAGATGTTGTTCTGATAGTTTCGCAGCAACAGAGCTGTTCCCGAAACAGGAAGATCTCTAGGTCGTGGTCAAGGTGATGGTGAAAGATCGACTGTCCCGGAACTCCTTGCTTTTCGAAGGGTATCGGTATTAGTACTGCAGATCAAGTAGTGTACAAGAGCAATGAGAAGAGAGTCAAGGAGAAAAGGACAAGTTGTTGCTCGTGGAAGTGAGCGGTTGATTGATTAGATGATTTAGTAAAGAGGATGGATGAAATGAAGCGCATGCAAGTAATGTGGAGTCGCTTTCCGGCGCGTTTTTAAAGATATGACGTCCACCCACGTCCTCTCTTTAACGCTGCTTCAGGCGGCGACTGTGGCTGTTGCCTCGTCGGTGCTCGTCATTTCACGTCGAAAATGCTACGCCTTCACTCAGGTTCGCTCAGATCTCAAGATAAAAAGTGGCCTTGCACTGCTCGATCTGGCCGAAGGGGTCCTTACTTTTCTTCTGGATTGTAAGGATGATTAAGAACACAGTATTCAGCACCGCTCGAAGTCACGACTATTATATATCGTCTCGCCAGTGAGCCCCGATTCCGATATAGCCAATCTCATTTCGAGGCGTCTCAATCAGCTGCTCAGCCATGCACCTTCTGGCCCGATGGATTACCCATAGAAGACTTTTGCTGTTTCTTTTCGAGTTAGCCAAGGATGTTGCCTGCTCTGAGCTCACGGGACGCTCACCATGACGGCGCCGCTTTTAAAAACAGTCACTCGCGACTCATCGTCTTCTGACCCCCTTTTGGGGCACACACAACGGGATGGGAGGAGAATCCAAAACAGTGCTGCCAGAGCGGCTGTCGTCAACACCAGCAGATGTGTTGCGCTACCTCAACATGCGACTCCTAATTGCCCACCATTGCAACGCTGAGTCGGCTTTCCGGTAGCAGGCGAGACGTATAGGACGCATAAGACGGGGACAGACCATCCGCGTACCATCTCCGGGACGGCGTTGATGCCAAAAGACAAAACGCTTCCAGAACACGGTAAATAGCTAGAGAATTTTTTCTGCTCGTCTTGACACCTTCGACACAACTTTTTTGCGCCCTGCACGGACGAGAGTTGAGCTCGCTTACTTTGCTGAACACATGGCCGTTGGAATACATAAGCGAGGAGCAGCATATTTACGGTTTGTTTCCCCTAGTCGGGGCGATGGACTGTTGTAGCTACAAGTACTATGTCTGGACAGTCCAACTGAATCCGAATTCCACCATGTTTCGCAGACTCAGGATCGGTGGAGGCTCACATTGGCAAATGGCCAGCCAACACCACAAAATGGTCCCGGGAATGAACGATTGCCCGGATCAAATAAATATCACGGTCCCTTGAGTTCATGGATCGTACAGTTCCGGCCTCGCCTTTCTAGCATTTCAAGCCCTCGGGCCATTCAAGAAGAATCTTGTCTCCTTTGATGTGCACGTTGAACCATTCGTGCCACTCCAGTTCCTCCTGGCACATTTTCGCCCCGTGCAAAACCCTACTTTCGACCAACTTCTCAAGAAGCATGTGCAGGTTCGATGTGGCCAAGTTCCGAGCGATGCACATGCGGCTGCCGACGCCAAACGGGAAGAATTGCTTGTGCATCTGTTCCCGATGGGCGTCGTCTGCCGTGCTCCAGCGCTCGGGCTTGAACTTCTCGGGCTCGGGGAAAACGTCGGGATCCAACCCCATCACAAACGCAGTACATCCTACCTCGACACCGGGCGGGAAATAATGGCCTTTGAATGTCCAGCCGCCAGGCGGCATCTGGCGAGGGAGACGGCCGGAACTGGCCATGCTGAGGCGGAAGGACTCCTTGACCGCTCCAGAGAGATAGGGCAGGCTTTGGATGTCCACGGGATTTGCTGACTTCTTGTTCTCTTCGAGTTCCTTTTCGAGGATCGTGAGTCTGTACGCATAGCATCAGTCAGTGCTGTTCCTCCAGCCGTCCTCTGCGAACAGAATACCCGCTGTTCGGGGTCGGGTCATACTCACTTTGACTGGTCCATCACCAAAGCTCGTACCAGATAGCCAATATTGGTGCCCGTGGAATCGGTCCCCGCAAGCATCAAGTCCTTGACCTGTGCCCGAAGCTCGCCCACTGATATATCTGTATCCATCAGTCTCCCTGCATAAGTTGCATCTCCCTTCTTTGTGTTCGCCAAGATGAGGTTGATGAACTGATCCATCATGTCACTGCTAGTTTTTATGTGGTCGGTTGGCATGATCTTCCTGATCGTCCACGTCAAGGCCTTGAACACTTCTGGCGGCAGATAGAAGAATCGCCCGACGGCGATGATCGAATCCACGAACGCACTGGCGCTCAACCGTGGAAGCTCCTTCTCGTGTGTGCCGTCATAGTTGTGCTGGAGCAAGTGCGTGGTCACCAGGTCGATCGCCAGCGACCGTCCTGTGTTGAGGATATTGACTGGTTGCCCGCTGTTTATTTCGTTTTTCAGCCGCAGGATGAACTGGTCGCAACACCCGTAGAGTTTGCTGGTGCTTGCTCGTATGGCGCTGGTCGAGAAGAGAGGCATGACGGCCTTGACCCGGGGCGCTCTCTTGGCCATATCCACCGTGGAGAAAATGGTCAAATGGCCATCAATGGCGAAATTCTCGTAGCAACGGTCTTTCAGGAAGCCACCTTGCGTGATGTACAGAGGAGCTATCGCGTCGGCGTCCGAGATGTCAACCTTGGACGAAGAGATTCGAACGACCGGACCGTATTCAAAGTGGAGTCGACGGACGGTGGTGAGTTCGTCTCCAATGTAGCAATGGTAAAGCAACCAAAAGGGAGAGATTTTGGCCACCAGCGGTCCCGGAATGCGCGCAAGGGGGTGCCAGAGGATCAGATAGGCTTCATAAGCTACCAGAGCGGCGATGGCCAAGGCCAAACCTGCGGTAAATGGATTACTGGCGGCAAAGACCACCAAGCCATTGTAGAACGCCATGGTCGTCGGGGTTGCTGCAGAAGAGGCTTCTGTGGTTTGTGCCTGAAATGTCAGGGTCACTTGGGATTCCTGCTCGACGACGACAAGGCTAGTGGCGGAGCTTTATAACCCCCATCAGATCGTGGGGTCTGAGGGAGGCATAGATATCTACCCGAACAAGTGAACCGAGCGCGAGTTCCGGCAGGAATAGTTCTCACGCGGCAGAGAACGGGAGCTGGATTAGATCCCCTACCCACCCAAGGTGGAAAGTAGGGAAGTACACAAGATAACATGCCGAAGAGATCGCATGCTTATCAAAGATGCGGATGCTGACTGGGCCAGAATCGTGGATAGAATATGGAGTAGTGGAGTGTATTTCTAAGACGGGCATCGGGGTCGTTGAAATTCCTCTAATTGTCTGGGAGCGGCGACCGGGCGCGCGATGTTCTCGGTTACGGCGAGCCGGTTTCGAAAAAGGGTGGCACTTCTGACGGCAGGAGTTCGTCGGCTTCACATGGACGTCCTTGACGTGGTACTCGTTGTGTATCCGGAATCCTTCGTATATAACGTTATAGCGTAAGTCGTTGACCCACGGGAAGGCCGTTAGTACCATATTACCATAACCACAACTCCAGTGATTTACCATTAGCAGACTCTCTATCTTCAAGCTGGAGTTATATGCTCCATATCAGACGATGCCTTTTTTGCTGGAAACCGGCTCGGCCGTTCTTATCAAGGCTCCACAGTCGCTCAAGGAGAGTGAACAGCCGCATTTGCATCCAGTTCGAGATGGCTTTCGAGGTATTGGAGACTCTCGGGTGACCGTGAACGTGACCATCAAAATCTACGCTCTTGAAGTCCCCCATGCCAAATGGAAACGCTAGATGTTGTTACCAAGTACATCGATTCTCAGGAAGTATTGTTTACTGCTCTCACACTCGTACTCACTTACAACCCAGTTCCCTACTAAGTATTCGCAACAACACCGACTCGTGTATGGGTGAAACAATGGCAGTATTCGAAGTTGTAGAGACTGAGTTATCTTCTTCCATGTGACTTCGATGCCTCGTCACGTCCGCCCCATCCGAGGGGTCACTTCATCCTGCAAGCCGACATTCCAGCCAAACCACATAGACGTCCGTCTACTTTCTGGTAACTCTCCTCTCGATGGTCCTGAGGATAGGGTACGATACACAAGTGAAACCGAATGAAAGAAAAGTGCCAACGTCACCGCCCATGCCTCCAAACGACTTTGCAATAGGTCCAACGTACCAAGTCTGATCCATTCCCGGAAGACCACCGGCACAGTATCCGATGAAGAGTGAAGTAACAGCGGCCGCGCCCACTGGTAGCCGTTTCGCATCGTCCCAGACTCTCAGATCGTACCCGCTACGCCTTCTGAACACCTGATCTTCAATAAAGACAATAGTGGCAAAGGCGATTGTCCAGTATCCGAGGAGACCGACAAAGTCGGTAATAATATCAGAGAGATGCGCTCGTCCGATAAGACCCAGAAGGAGTACTGCACATATGACCACAAAGGACCAGACAAAGCGTGGAACGGCGTGGAAGTAATCCCCCAGAAGCTGTGCAGCCAAGCCGTTGGAGTAGATCATGACGGTGTTTTGGCTGATCACCGTGAATGAGAACACGACCAGGGCAAACTTGGACCAGCCGACAGGATGGTAAACGGTGGCAATAAGCGCGCCAAAGCCATGCTCGTTGTAGGCGTCACCGTATGGAGCATACGCCATGGCAGCGCTCCCGACACAAGCGCCTATGGAAATTGGGAGAGTGCATGCTGTCACAAGGCCCGAATGCGTCAGGATGAAGATCTTCCATTGTGGCGTCGTCGAGGGATAGCTGCAGGTATAGTCGGCTGCGATCGGGGCCCACCCAGAAGCGTACGCAAAGACGATGGCCATGTATGACAGGAAAGTCCCGGCAAGCTCCAGGCCTTCGACCGACGATGGCGTAGACGGGGACACATGGGGACTCGCTTGGCCCACAAGGACAAGGAATAGAATGAGGGAGGGGATCCAGGCGTATCTCTCAAATATGTGGATGAAGTGTAAGCCGAGCACCGTCACCAGATAGGAGAGGATGCTGCTAATCAGAATACCAACGCTGAGCGTCATGCGATAGTCGGAAACCGCACTGAGGATTTGTCCCGCGACGACAACTCCGATCACAGTAAATCCGACGTTGACGAGAATCGTGATGCAAGCACAGAGTTTGGCACCATAGAACCCGAATGAATATCGAGCCGCAGCAATGGTTCTGAGGCCAAGCTGGGAAGATGGTCAGCTTATGCTCGTCGTCGATCCATTTGAGGAATTGGGCAATAACTTACTTTTGGTCCCAGTGAGGAGGTGAATGCTGTACACGCACCACCGAGCAATGAACCCACCACAATGGCAGCGATCGACAGGTGAAGAGATAGACCGAGTTCAGGACCGAGCACTCCAAATGGCAGAGTCTGGACACAAATGTTGGCCCCACACCAGAGGACGAACACGTTCCACATCGGCGGAGGCCGTCTTTCGTCCTCTGCCATGCGATCGATGCCCTGGGTCTCCATGCCGACTTTCTTGTCGAGGAATGTTTCAATGCCATGAGCAAACCGCAACACGGCGAATCTCTCGCGGATAGATTCAACCTTGGTCTTGTGCTGCTCCTCCACCGAGCCGAGTACAACATCTTCGGTTGCCAGAGACTTGCTCGCCTCGATATCTGTCATCTGCATTTTTTCGTCTGGCAGAGTCTCCATTGTGAAAGCCTTGGAAGCCCAGAGGGTTAGAATTGAAAGAGCAAAGAAGATGTGTGTAAAGGGATCTATCCCAGTCCGAAGTGCAGAAATGTCGTTGAAGAAATATCAGATGGTTCTATCGCCAGCTTTATTGCCAGCCGGTATACCGTGGCACCTGCAGAGAGATCCTTCGTGGAGAGCACTTCCAACCTCATAAACGGATATCGCGGTCCATTTACTTCTATCAAAAGACAGCCAAGTCGTCGTTCCGTGGTGAGAGATAAGAAGGAGTTCTCTGTCAACCTGAGACTAGAAGATACGAAAGACAAGGTAGATAGTTTTGCGAGTGGCCGGGGTCGATAACGAACATCCAAGGAGGTTGAGGAGCGTTCGCACCAAGAAGGTCCAGACACACTGCTGGCAACTACATTGAGCTTCCGGCAGGATAGAGTGGACGGCCATATCTTTGCGAGTGGGATAATTGACCAAGTTCCTATTCGTCAGAGCGTCGTCGGCTGGAGCGTTTGGCCGACCCACATTCCCAAAGCGAGCCGCCCTCGCTTAGTCTTTGAGCGTTGTACTAGGAATTGATCGTATTTGGGTAGGCATGCGTCAAAACTACAGAGCAGGCAGTTCATGCCAGTTGAGCGTCCGTCGCAACTTTTGGCTCTAGGATGCTCAAGGATCTCCCCTGCAAATACTGAAAGGACTTCACAAAATGTCTCAGCTTCTCAAGAAGGCCGTTAGGCTGGCATTGGTCCAGCTTGCCAGTGGTGAGTTTCGGTTTGGCGGGTGTGTCATCCAGGGGATGGCCCTTGCTAACACGTATGCTTAGGGATGGACAAGGCTCAGAACCTCTCGAACGCTCGGGCAAGGGTTCTGGAGGCTGCTTCCGCAGGAGCAAACATCATTGTCCTCCCGGAATGTTTCAATAGCCCTTATGGGTGCCAATATTTTGCGTCTTATGCAGAGACGCTCTTGCCGTCTCCTCCGACGGTAGACCAGTCATCGTCCTTCCACGCGCTTTCGACCATGGCCAGAGAAGCGAATGTCTATCTCGTAGGAGGTTCGATCCCCGAACTCGATCCTGTCTCCGGAAAGTACTACAACACGTCGTTGACGTTCGGGCCCGACGGGACTTTGCTCGCCACGCATCGCAAAATCCATCTTTTTGACATCGACATTCCAGGCAAGATTCTTTTCAGGGAGTCGGAGGTTCTTTCACCGGGTGACCAGATTACGATTGCTGATTTCAAAGGGTATGGAAAAGTCGGGATCGCAATATGCTACGATGTGCGGTTCCCCGAGCTGTCGATGATAGCGGCACGGAAGGGGTGCTTCTTGCTGGTTTACCCCGGAGCGTTCGGTCTAACAACTGGAGCAATGCACTGGAAGTTGCAGGGCCAGGTGCGCGCGATGGACAATCAGCTGTATGTGGGCATGTGCAGCCCGGCCAGAGATGTGAATGCGGGTTACGTAGCTTGGGGCCACAGTTTCGTGGCGGATGCTATGGGACGCGTGGTGACCGAAGCGGGAGAGAAAGAAGAGATCACATATGCGGATCTAGTGGGTGAAGAGATTGAGGAGGCTAGGAAGGGCATTCCTTTGTACCAGCAGAGGAGATTCGATGTATACATGGACGTTAGTACTAGTAGTGTGAGAAAACAAGACCTACTGTTATAGAGGGGGCATCAAGGAAGCACCATGTGCACCCAGGAAATAACAATCTGCAATCGAGCTATGCAATGGTGCGGCAAACGTGTCGATGCGCTGCGCTCTTTGTGCCATAGTAGAAAACATAGGAAATAAAACGCGAAGGCACAGGAATGTCGTTGACGGCTATTCTCAAGTTCGCAAGATGTTTGTTATACCTCTTCTATGTGCATGTTGTTTTTACCTATCTGCCAGTTCCATGCCATGTTGATACCACTGACATCTGAGGCTCTCATTCCATGCATCAGTAGGCTAGCACTGAAATCTCTCCCACAACGGTATGAGTCGACAGCAAGAGAAACTTCAACTCCTTCCTTTCGGAGAATCATTGAACGGCAAAAGACCTGTGTGATCTATCTAGAAGACGACCCAATCATACCGAGCCCTTTCCGAGGTTGGGAAGTCCCAATGAGCTCAGACTTTTGTTAATTTCGGGGACATGGTTGAAGAAGTCGCCTTTGAAGTCATCCCAGAATCCTATTCGAGGTGCTAGAGATAAAGTGTTAGCCAGTACATCTTACGTCGTGCAAGAAGGGCCTGGGTCCTTACGGTAAGGATTCTCATGTCTCTCCATTGCAAACTTTGTCATGGCTAGGTGGGAGCTCATGTGCATCATGAAACCTAGCCTTGTCAGTCCTGCCCAATCTCGGATCTTTCGGTGGGATATATGACTTACTGACTGTGCCTGCACTGGTGAGCTTGGGCGTTTGTTCCTCTGTAATGGCGACTTGCCATGCTTTGTAGCTTTCTGAAAACGCAGACGTCAGGACCAGATTGAAGTTCGGCTTGCAAAGAATTCCACATACCTCCATGAGCCACATAACTGTTGTCGCACGTAAGACCGCCTGGCTTTAAAATCTTTGCACTGCCGCCATAGGTGCCGGTTATGAGCCCCATCATCTCGGTTGCCATAGTCCTGTGATAGTACTAGACCGGCGAAGTTAGAACATGTTTGATTAACAAGTGAGAGTGGCTCTTACTGGAGGACGAATCGTGTCGAATGCGGTAATGTATTTTGGTGTAAAGGCGCACACTTCTGTCAAGGAGACTCCTTCAATCTTGGATTTGGCCTGGAGGATACAATATGCACTTGGGTCCAGTTGTTCCTTCATGGAACAGACAACGGCGACCAACTTCTCGATCTCGTACTTGTAGGGAACATAGCTGTGACTTGTGTTCAGCAGGAGTACCAACCGTCTATTCAGCTTCCTTGACTTACTTTCCGTGCCATGCGACAACATCAAAGGGTGTGCCAGGTTGTTCGTAGCAGTAGAGTTCGCCAGCAAGTTTTGTGACAACTGTTTGGGATGTTAGCATGACACTTGGCCGCATGCGATGGTGACATCTTGACTAACTTTCCCATGTGGAAGTATCCATGTCAAAACTGGCGACTGGATATTCGAAGTCCCTTGGATGCGCGAGACAGTTGGACCCCAACGGACCCAATTCTGGCAGTTCGTAATGGCTCCCAAATACTTCTTGAACGTCTATGACGCAGTCAGTATATCAATTTACAAACTATGCGGGCATTTCAATAGTGCATACAGCCATTAGAAATCCCATCTGGTAGGGAGACTTTGAATCGGAGTCCAGCTTGGATCACGAATAGTTCGCCGGGGCGAACCATGATCCTGGGGTCCATCAGTAAGGCCGTTAAACATTGGTTAGGGGCGACGCTGACCTTCCAGATTCAGTCTGGATATCTAAGCGACCCGTTTGAGGAATGATCAAAAGGTCACCGTCGTTGTTGCAAAAGGCTTGGTTCCCCATCGATGTATTCGCCATGTATTGATGGACAGCAAGACCTTCTTTCGTAGTTGGATCGCCATGGCCTGCAATCGTCTTGAGGCCTTGAATGAAGGTGACCTTTTCATTCTCAGCAGGGGGGTTGAGTGGGCCCCACTCATACGAAAGTGGTGTAAACTTGACTTTGTCGTTGTGTGATTGAAAGCAGGCGATAAGCTAGTCTCATGTCAGTATGATTTCCAGCGTCTTGGAGGTCCTTGGTAAGATCTCACGTCGGGATTTGCTCTGGGTGGTGGAAGGGGGGTCATGGGCGAATGTGCTACGCTCGGACGAATTCGATAGAACCAACTGTTTGTGAAATTATCAGCTCGCGAAGGTCGGTAAAGCGGGGAGGCCTTACATGTTTAGCATAGAGGATCTGACGTGAATGAAAGAGGTGCCGTTGAACTAGTATTCCCGTCAGCAAGACTCCCAGATGCGTCTCAGCGTAAAGTATTGTACTTGTTCTGGATACAGGTCGTATGCGCAACGCTGGGGGAGATTGCGTCCACTCTCAGGCAAGGCACCCGGACTGGAACACTTTGTCAGCCTCATTCACGAACCCAAAAGTTAACGGCTAAACACACACTGCCTCTGAAGCAAACCTATTGCCCCATCCTATCTGGTATCGGTACGGATCATCAGGCCTGGGGGTGGTCGAGAAGGTTTGCACGGCTGCCGCCCCAAAATTGCAAGGCTTTTCCATCAGGGGTAGTTCTTGTGCAATGGGTGCTCTGGTCAGGAAGGAAGGAATCTGCATTCTTTCAGTCTGGAGGACAGCAATTCAAATGTGTAGAGCTCGAGGATGTAAAAGAGAGCAAGAGATGAGAAAGGCGTTTAAATTTCAATGCTTCGTTGTCTTCTCAATACTCCGTATTGACATCCACACTTTGCATGCCTAATATCCTGACTGCCGGCTGGGATGAACGTGGGGTCATGCTATCTAAACCTCTGGAGAGCCAGGTTCCAGAGTCCCAGATGGACTTGCCATTGCCAATGTAGGCCCTAGACGGGTGTGGCTGCGCCTTAGCCTCTAGCAAGTGTGAGATGGGACCCGTACCTTATCTTCCGGCAGAATAAAACAATTCTCCTATCTCGAATAACGATATCTGGTTCTCCACTTGGACAGATTATGTATTTCATTCAGTTTGCCGGCCGACCTCGCCTGCTTCGCATTTCGTTCTGAACAGGCACAACACATCCGCGATTCGAAGATGGAAGCATACGATTCTATGGATCGACAAGCACCGCTCAACTCGGCCCCACAGGAAAGCCAGACCCGGTCTGCGAAGCTGAAAAGAGCCTCAGTGGCTTGTACAAGGTCGGTCACCGTTGTTGAATCAAGCGCGAACCCACCTCCAGCGCATTGCCGGACAAAGGTCTCGTTGGCGCTTCGTACCCTACTTCGGTCTCATGGGAAATCGTCTAATGAAACTCGCTTGACCGGGGTACAAAACAGCTGCCGCTTGAATCGGCGAAGCAGCACTTGGGCACCGCTTGAGCAGGAGGCCCTCCTACTACACAACTTGTCCTTCCTGCTGTTTGTCATCGACTGGCACCCTACCGCTAAAGCAGTTGAGCCTCACATTGAACAGGAGGTCCTCCTGCCACACAAATTGTCCTCGCTGCTGTTTGTCCTCGAATGGCACCTTGGCGCCAAATTACACGATTTACCCATGAGACCATAGTAGATACCTGTGATTCAGGAGAAGGACCTGCTGATGTATACTCCTGACAACTTTACAGATGTCGTCGACTTCGCACAAAATGCGTACACAATCAAGCGATTGCTCCATGCAACGGCTGTCGCGATGCAGGTCCTGCCGTGGCCGCGAACTGGTGAGTTGCAGTTTGCAATGGTTCCATCATCAGAATGAGACTGAAAACCAGGCCAGCAATTTTCTGGGGCGTGGGCGAGCCCAGAACGATCGAGAGGTACAGTACAGGTCTAGATCCGATCTGAGCAACCCAGAAGAAGCTTACTGCCCCAAAGTATAGAAGTCCGCGTCATGCACGCCGGAACCGTTCGAGTACCAGTGATGACCCACAGCCCGGCAGTCATGAACTGCCTACCAGTATGGCCATGCCATCAGACAGGCGTGCTTCACCGGACCTCCAATCTCACCATCCACGCACAGAAGCATTGCGCTGGTCCGGCCCGAGGCCGACGAGCTACGGCTTGATTCCAGCTCTGCCTGGTGTGCCTTCCTTGCCGACGCACGAAAATGAAATAGGATCTCTTACATTTTCGGAAATGGTAGAGGGCTGTAAGATATTCATGTCCTCTTATTATCAACTTGGTAGGCAACCCCTAGCTTCTTTCCTGGTGGTCCTGTCTCGTCACGTAGATCAAACTGTCAGACACATCCGGGATAGTCCTCACGATACACGTTAACGCTTCGCTCTAGGATTCATACCGAAGGCGTTGTTCTTGGAGCGTCTGAAGCAGCAACCAAAATCAGAAGAAATGTTTCTACTGTATAGTATGCTCAGCGTCTCTGCCAGGTTCACACCCAGCCTCGTGCGGCGCTTCAAAGGAGGCCTCAAAGCAACAGGGATATTTGCAGACATTGCTGCTGTTTATGGCCTGCATGCTCTTCACGATCCTTCCGTCGAGCATACGCAAGCATTTTTCCTCCTAGGACTTGCGGAATGGGGAAGTGGAAATAGGAACCGCGGCTCAGTCTGTCCGCCCCGTCCCTGTAGCAAAATGAGGTGATGATACTGACATTTCCACGAAAGGTGCACATGGGAATTGCTGTAAGAAGTGAGTTGCGATTCCCAGTGTATGATTGGAAACATGCGGCTGATCTGAATTCAGTGGCCGCAATCCTGCATTTGCATCGGGAGGACTCATATACCCTGGCGCCTGGCCATTCCGCCGCAGATGTGATAAATGCAGAGGTGGCCAGACGCACATTCTGGACTCTACAGGGTAAGTAACGGCATTGCCTTTGATGATGGATCGCATCTCATTTCTCTCGACCAGGTCAAGAAGTTCTTCATTCGGCGAACGACGTGCCTGCCTCTTTCTGTCTCCATGACATTACGGCCTTGCTGCCGTGTGATGAAAGTGAATTTGCTTTTGGCGAGGTACGTAACAAAAGGCTAGCTCTGAGGGGAACACAACCTGCTATTGAAGACCCGACTTTGTGCAATCTACCCTCACGTTCAATCTACGCCGGTCTCATACAGGTACAAAATCTGTGGGGACGTGTCGCACGTCACCCTCATAATGGTGAAGGAAAACCTATCGACAAACCCTGGCGACCCACCAGCTATTACTCACAAATGTGTGAAGAACTCAATTCGTGGGGAGGGCAGTTAAATCCCAGGCATACATGGTCAATCTGGAATTTCCGCGGCTTCAAAACCGAAGGGTTGCACCTGGTAAGCGCACCTGGCCTGCGATGCTGTCGATGTGCCTCGATTATATATATATTAACATCCACGAGGGATATTTATCCATGGTGATGACCTACAGTTTGTGCAAGGTCGTCCTTCGCCGAAGATATCTAAAATGGTACATTCCGCATTGTCTCCCATTATCGCAACCCTCTCTGACGCGGCTTAGGATCATGGAATATGTTCTACCTAGTCCAGACAGCCAGAACCTTGAGCACCGCAAATATTGGGAAACCATGTCTCACGAGTTGTTCCACGAGGTGGTGACACTTTACGAGCAAATCGATGCCTTCATGTCCCAAAGGTCACCGGATGAAGGGTTTCCAACTGAAATTGTGAGCAAGAACCCCCCATTTGGGATGGCGCGAGAAGTTGACGTTTCCGAGGTATTTTTCGTCTACATCTGTGGCTCGCTCTCTTGCTACTTGTCAAAGTGGCCTAGGTGTAAGTGAGCTCAACACATGGTTTATTTTGACGAGCAAAGCTGATTTGCACTTCTAAGTATGTCCGGAGCTCGGTGGCCATGCGGATACGATGTTGAATCGGTCCTTGGAAGTTTTGAAGCAACTTCACTATGACTGGCCCATGGCAGAGCGTTGGAGAGTCGCTCTACAGAACATGACATCGTCACCGTCCAACAGATTTCCCCTGTCGCCAGAGGCGAGAACGACGTGGGAGCAGACCCAACTTGTGAACCCGGCTGTCAGTTTTTGTCCATCGATTGCAGAGTGTGACCTCGCTGACAGAAAGCCAGAGTCCACTGGATGGCCCATGTTCAAGAGAGCCGTCAGATCAGGATGCTCCAGATCTTGCAGCACCCATCGCGCCCCCGACATCGATGTCCATAATCAACCAACAACAGGCCACAGAAAGTGGTCATGTCCAAGACCCTCCTCAACTTGGATATGGCCACCTGCCAACCACGAACACAAGCTTCTATCAATGTGACGATTTTGATCCCGACCTTTGGATGGTCTTTGCAGACGAAGATTCTCATTTCAATGTGATGGAGGCGTATCCGGCATACGATATTTGAGCATTTGCTTCGCTCTAGGATTCATACCGAAGGCGTTGTTCTTGGAGCGTCTGAAGCAGCAACCAAAATCAGAAGAAATGTTTCTACTGTATAGTATGCTCAGCGTCTCAGCCAGGTTCACACCCAGCCTCGTGCGCCGCTTCAAAGGAGGATTTGCGAAAGGATTAGACGCGATCGACAAACATAGTCCTGTATAGCGCACAATTCAGGAATCTAACTTCACCGGGCAAACGTACGGGGAAGCCAGTACCTGATGGAATTGCTGGCCCAGTGCCACCTCGCAGCGATAGTACTGTACGAGCTCGTATCCATTGGAAGATTGGCAGGATAACCAAGCGCGTAGACCGGCAGGTTAAAAATCCCTCACAGACGATTGGGAGCTAAAGAACGGAACCCCACTCAGACAATGAACACGACTACTAGTACTGTAACGATTGATCCCGTAGGCTGGGGGATCGCATGATAAAATGAGACTTAACGAGTAGTAGCAACCAGATCTCCCTCCACAGTCTTTTGATGTTCATAGATTGGACGTTGTTCAGTGAGAAATGCCTCCAGTGACGCCGTCGAGTACCGCAGAGCGAGGGTTGACCGAAGCATCGATCAAGCGCAACCCATCCAATTTCAAAGAAATCGAAGCGAAGAGGCCTGAGTGGGACAGGGACACGAAATTCAGGCTCACAAAATGCCCCGATCCAGACTGGACTTTCGGAAAGGGGGAAAGAAAGAAGAGCAAGAGTTCGGACGAACGCATGGTCGAAATTGATCCTCATGAATGTGGACGTAAGCATAGATCTCCCTCACTTACCAGCATCAACCATTCGGCCTGGGCTGTCTCTACGAGAACGAGCTCGAAGATTTAACACGAAAGCTGAGCTCTCTGTGTTTCCAAAGGGTCTGACGTCTTCAACTACAAACTACTGATATCCGGGTTCTCACCTCGACCCATCTCCTTGCTGAGTACAAAATCACTAGACGGTACGCCGTCAACCCCGGTCCCCGAGGGAGGGCGACCCAGCATTCCAGGACAAATCGCTCATCACGGGCTAGGAACATGCACAAATCTTGCACCTTTCAGCTATTCGCAGCTCGTCAATCACGATCCACCCATTTTCGTCATTGGATTCAGCTGTGGCCTGCAGAATGCAAAGGACAGCTTGAAAAACTTGGTCGAGAGCAAGGAATGTAAGTCTCACACCGGAGAGTTCAAAGGGCCTCTATGGCCCTAGTCCGTTTCTATCAGCCACATATGCAGTGTTGACGGTTCCTAGGCGTCATCAACATGGTCTCCGAGCACTTTGTAGAGGCCGCAAACGCAACTTCCATCAATGCCGCCTACGGCGAATCCGAATGGCCGATATCAGGCTTGACACCTGTACCTTGCTCGACAGTAAAAGCGGACCGCGTAGGAGAAGCGGTTTTCTCCATTGAAGGTAAGCTCTTGAGCACTCAAGAATTCCCAAGCAGAGCATTCCCGGGTCAAGTTGGGGGCACCCTTGCCATAATCGAGGGAACAAGGTTCTGGGTCAGGGGTGATGCACTCAACAAAGAGCAAAGCATGATTGATTTCTCGGTAAGCGGTTTCCCGGGGGTGTTTTTGGGGCTCCCAATCCATGCACATTCTGATGAAGAACAGGTCCTCGCTCCCGTCAGTCGACTTGGAGGAAACATGTATGGGAGGACTACCACAGCTTTTGAGATATTGCGACCTAATAGAGTATAATCCACTCATAAGAGAGAAGAGTGTCAACAGTGCTGTAATTCAGGCTCTCTTGACAAGGAATCAGACGTGATCACATGAAGCGGCTGTAATCTCATACTTGGTCGCGGCTTGAACTGCCATTAGGAATCCTTTCGATATCACGTGCGCGACAAGGCTACCCCAAGTTAGGGCTTCGCGGCGCATCCTATACAACTTCAGTTCACTCCAAGTCTTGAAGTGTTGCTAGCAATAGCTCCACACCTTAGCGGACCCAAGGTTGAAGGTACCTGGTAACCAGACCACTTCTCCCCTTGTCAAATCACCCCTTGTGGGTGCCTTGCCTCAGCCGTTCTTGCCACCTGACCTTCATAGAAACTGGACGCGAAGAAGTTGTACTCTCCTCGTCATTCAAATATTTGATCATATGGCCCTGCGTCAGACGTCGGAGCGTGCCCGTTGGCCCGACTGCTCGGCTCAATCCTTTGAGTTGACCAAGAACCTGGAGAGTTGCAGAATAGGCAGAATCGCTCAAAAGACGACACAGCGCTATTTCGCCTCCAGCATCAACCGGCAAATCGTCCTTTTGTTCCTATAAAGATCATTAGCCGATGACAATCGAACCCTTGTCCAAACTTACCATAATACAAACAACACGCTGGCCTGGAGAGACTTCAACTTGGCGTCCTCCATCGACGACGGTGATCGATGATAAGGCTTCTCTTGTGTAAGTCGGGGGCGAGATGTCAGTCCTCGTTCGGTGCACAAATTCTTTCAGCTTGTCTTCAGAGGAAGCATTCGCAAGATCTGCAACCTGTTGGATTTCTCGAAGCAGGCCTTGTCCTTGACCGAGAAGATAGTCAAGGCTCTCGGCGAAAATTCGAGATTGATTGACATAGACTGTGGCCGCCAGCGGAATGATCTCATCCCAAACAATTTGCTCATATGGTAGTCCCTTCCGGGCGCATGCCTGTACTGCACTCGTCATATACTTTTGAAGCTCGTTGTTGGGTCGTGAATGACCGGATTTGAACTTTTCGATTTGGGTTTGAAGGAATTCTGCAAGTTGCCGAACCGCCTTCTGCCGCTCTGCTGTAAGGGCAAATTGACGGGCTGGGCCTTGCGCGGTGCTGGAACAGGTGTATACAGCAGACAGCAAGGATCCAATCCCATCAATTGGAAGGTGGAAGAGGTCCGAAACAAACTGTGCGTGGGCTACGTTGAAGACGTCGTCCACCATATCCACTTGTGAATTCCCAGCAAGCTCGTAATGCTCGCTATTGACGAGATTGGAGACAGCTTCCTTGTAGAACACCGTTGTGGCTGTTGACAGTCCTTCGCTCCCTGAAAGCTTCAGAGCCAACATACTCGATTGCTTGGAGATCCAACCGACACGACGGCCAGGCATAAAGCAATCTGGACGCCATAGGGACCGGAAGCCATCGACATCGTTGATCACTGTTTTGCAAGCATCCAGAGATGTCACGATCACGTCTGGTGCACGTTCGGTGGGCTTGTCAAAGTTGTAAAGATGTGCTTTCTTAAGGCCGTTCAAGATGACTCTGTTCTCTTCGGGAATCACCAGTGGATAGTGTGCGTAGACCGAATCCTGCCGGTAGCTGTTGGGCAAGGCGTTCAGGACCAGCTTGTACAAGACACAACCGTAGTTGACTTGAGCATCAGAGTCAGCTGCGTGGAAACCCCAGTTAGTCAAATTAGCAGGTGTATAATCGACAGTATAGAACCTGTCCCCTCTGACAAGAGCAACCGCATCCGAAAGGATCGCGCGTGAGGTGGTAAAATTGGTGCACAGTCCGCTTCCGGGTTGTTTGGGTTCTTTGGCCGCCTCGACGACAACACCAGGATATATTTCGACGTTGTCTGGGTGTCCGTAGAGGCGTCGTAATTGCTCTGCAATCACAGGGTCGGGGTTGATCTCTTCAAACTTCTCATACGGTTTCAACTTGAAGTACTCACGGAATTCATTCAAACTTGCCAGGTTCCAGGACCGGCTCTGTATGATTCCGAGAATCTCGACATTCTTGAGGACGTCAGGTACGTGGGCAGAACCATATCTTCCTGCCACGTCCGACACTGCAGCAGTCCAGATTGCAGCTAAATCGCCGTCGGCATACCTACCATCTGGCAAGCGCTTGAGATCAGCGAAAGGGCGCTCCGCGGGATCTTTACTCAAACTTTGTGCCCACCCATTAAGCGCCGAGAGGAAGACACCCATATTGGTGGAGTCTTGGTCACCGAAGAGTTTGTGGTAGATTTGTTTGGTCCATTCCTCGTCGCGCTGTGAGACGCACGAGTGCCAGCGATATACGAGGTTGAACTCGGCAGAAACCGAGTTTCCAGTCGCCTCAGGTATCCGGTGCCCAAATATGGCCTTGCCCTCCTCGGATCGAGGATCAAGATTCCAGGCACTGTCGACACGGTTGAGGTTTAGAATAGTCCTCACGTAATCCTTCAACACGATGTTGACATACAACCCAGTTGTGATGAGCCTTGCTGTCTGGAATAGAGCTTCATCGTAATCCTTTTCTGGGTCTGCGTCCGCTTTTCGGGGACCACGTGGATTCAGGACCCTTGAAAAGCGGCCACCTTCGTCGATGAGAGCAAGGGTTTCCGCAACATGATTATGAAATCGGTTGAACATGATGAGGAGGACGCCAACACCGGGAGGGAAACCGAGAATCCGGATATCAGAGAAACAGTCTGGCTTCAGCTTGCCATCGCGCATTGTTCGAACAGCGTGTTGCTGAGCATCAGAACTACCGTAGAGCGGTGCCAGATCCAGGTAAGAATCGACCTGGGAGATGTTGTAGTCGTCGTGGCTGGTGTGGAAGATGTCGTGGATGATGATACTGGCAACGTAAAACAGCACACTGGAGATCTTGTTCGGATGAGGCTCGAATTTCTTGCGCGCCAGAACGCTATCGAAGATGACACCAGGGTCCGGACGAGCAACAGGTCGCAACGACCGTGGACGGACCGTTCGAGCGTAGGGCTGACCGGCTGCCCCAAGATGAGGCCATAATATGTTGTTTCCAGACCCGTCAGCATTACGGAAAATGAAGTCGTTGCCGAGGTAAGACTGAGGAGGGTGCTGGAGATCAGTCCATAGTTCATTGAGAAAGGCGTTCGTAAGTGTGGCGCTTGTTCTGGTGGTGACGGGAAGGTCTGCAGCCAACTGAATAATGCGTTCCATAAGATAGGTTTTGTCATCGATGGGCTCGCCGTCGACACCGACAAGAGCAACATCTTTAATGGTCTCCAGGTGCTTGATCTTGAAAGCTTTGAGGACATTCAAGACCCAGTTCGATCGCTTGGTCTCGGTTGTTGACACTGAGCTGCTCGAGTCACTGGAGCCTCGCCGCTCATTTTCGTCGTGCTTCAAGGCAACACCCGCTTGTTTCTTAGACTTGGTAGTTACTCTCTCTGTACGGGACTCTGGATCTCCAGGGATGCATAGCATACCCTTCAGCCTCGAGAATGGGGACGACATCCTTGTTGTTGTGATTTACCCCTGAATGGCAGCAGTTTCGGGACTTAAATCGGTAAAGACGAAGAACCCTGGGTTAGCCCCGTATGGCACAAGGATACGTTTTATACAGCTATGGTCGACAACGTCGTTTGTCGCAAACACTGCTTGAAGGTGATGAAAGACAGTTGAAAGCAATGCAGGTTAAGACAAATGGTCAAGCAGAAAAAGCCAGGCAACCAAAGTGAATATTTACCTCTCAAGCTGAGGTTCGCAGCCAGCCCCTTTGCAGCTGAGGGCCCGGGGAAAGCGCCACCAAATAGTGCCTACCTCAGCTGCAAGCCTCTGGAGAAGGCTCACGCCACGAACAGGTCGCTTCTGAGAAGGTTTGACTTAATGATAGGCCAGCACGCGCTCGGTGTCCATGATACTGTACAACGTAAGGTACCTAGGTAAGGATACTGTACCAGTCAGGCCGACAAGTGAAGGGATATTGGGGGACGCTTTTGTCAAGCTGCGAACCCCTTGGAGGTCTACCCGCCTGGACGGCTCCTTCCGCCAGAGGCGCCTAGAGGGAGAGCGGCAAGGCGGGCGGGTACGAGGCGACGTCACAAGCTGTCACGCTCAGCCTCAACAAATAGTTTCGACTCTGCTGACGATTTTGCATATTCATCCGTAGCGAGCTCACATCACAGCTGCTTCTTGTCGTATATGCTCTCGGCTTGCTCCTGAACATCCGTGCAGTCTTCAGCTTCTTCCTTATCCTGTCATCATGGCGTCCAAGCCGGCCACTCTGCAGGTGCGCCCTCGAGGTAGGCTTTCCATCGACGTTGTGAATATCAGTGCTAACAAATCTCCCAGGCAAACCGATCAAGTCACTGCCCGAGACTCTCGAATTAGGCCCCAATGCCACCGCTGCCGACATTTACTCTGAACTTGCACATCGAAGCAATTTTCCCATCCATCAGTTGCGTGTCACCAAAGGATCCGACGGCAGTGTCGTCCCCAATGCAAAAGACACAACAGTCCATGACACTGGCTTGCGAGATCAAAGCACGATATATGTCAAAGATTTGGGAACACAAATTGGATGGCGAACAGTCTTCATCATCGAGTATCTTGGACCGATCATAATACATCCTCTGTGGCTAGCCATTCGACCATACATCTACCCCTCGGCGCCTAAGAATGCATCCCGAGTACAGACACTATTATGCTGGCTTATCTGTCTGCATTTTGTCAAGCGAGAGCTGGAGACACTGTTCGTTCATCGATTCTCGGCTGCCACTATGCCGTTCAGGAACGTTTTCAAGAACAGTTTCCACTACTGGGCTCTTTCCGGAGCCCTGATCGCAGCCTTCATTTACTCACCATCATCTACGGCCGCACAAGATCCGAATCCTTTGTTCTTGTATCCAGGATTGGCTCTTTTCACCATCGGAGAGCTTGGAAATCTTCAGTCCCATCTCACTCTAATGGGGCTTCGGTCCTCGGGAGGATCAGAACGCGGAATACCCCAGGGTCCTTTCTTTAGCCTCGTCACCTGTCCAAACTACCTTTTCGAGGCCATATCATGGATCGGCGTATATCTTGTCAGCGGTCTGAGCTGGGGTGTTCTAATTTTCACCATCGTCAGTGTGGCCCAGATGGCGCAATGGGCAAAAAAGAAGGAGCGGAGGTATCGCAAAGAATTTGGTGACAAGTACAAGAAGAAGCGATACACTATGTTGCCGGGCATATGGTAGAAGGGGACGGTCTGGCTAGCTGGATGATAGCTTTTTATGTTGCCGGGCATATGGTAGAAGGGGACGGTCTGGCTAGCTGGATGATAGCTTTGTCCTGGACAGGACCAGACCTTGAATATTGTTGGGACTCGAGAATGCAACACATGTCGCGATTTGTTTGTGCTAGTACATAGAGTCCAGGTGCTGCCCTAACTTAGTCCACGCCGATCCGTTGGAGTTGATATCGAAATACATGGTACCCGGTCGTCAGGAAGAATGAACCTTTTATGAGGACAGTTCGTGCTAGGTTGAGAACCTTGCTTTCTCTTCGAATGCCGAGACCGGCGTCGTGGCTTGGGTACGGCGGCCCACGTGGACCACTGTCTCATGCAACTTGATTTTTGAGAAAATCGATCATTGCACCACCAGCACATCCATGGAACATCGACTTAACCTTTTACATATTGATTTGTATGTCAGATTGAAGGGCTGTATCTCAGGAATCTAGTTACTATGGGGCATTTCTAGATCTGACGCTATCCTATTGTACGTCGACAGTCTAAAATCTACCTCTTTGAGTGAGAGTTCTTTTATCTTTTTGATATTTCAAGTGCCAAGACCATCGCCTATAAGCTCTTAACTAAAGACGCCTAAAATTTAGGCTATCTCATTACCTAAGATACCTATAAGTTTAGACGTCTTTAGTTAAGAGCTTATAGGCGATGGTCTTAGCACTCAAAAGATCAAAAAAAAAAAGAACTCTCACTCAAAGAGGTAGATTTTAGACTGTCAGCGCATATTAGAACAGCGTTAAATCTAGAAATGCCCCATAGTAACTAAATTCCTGAGATGCAGCCCTTCAATCTGATATACAGATCAATATATAAAAGGTCGAGTCGATATCACGCATTGTGGCAGTGTTGGTGCAATGATCGATTTTCTCAAAAACCAAGTTGCATGAGACAGTGGTCCACGTGGGCCGCCGTACTTGGGACTTGTCCGCCAGACAGTGAACACCTTTTTGGAGAACTCGCCTTGAAATCGTAAACATCTCAAATCTGCCGCAGGCTTCACAAGTTTCAACAACTGCACGCTCTTGGACCAATTGGTGGTTCAGGCCGTGTGAAGAGATGCATGCCTTGCATACAACCTGAACAACCTGTCCCTTGAGCTGCTCGAAATGCACTTCGCGCTGCCACCACGCAAGACCTCACAGCCTCCTCCTTATGCACGCGCCAATGCCAGTGCATCCGCTGCCCTCAGGCGACGAAAGCAGCTGCAACTTCTAGGCTACGTCGTGCTCGGACTCCTGACGTTCTATTTGGCCCTAAGGTACATATTCTCCAACTGGGTCGAAGATGCCGAAGACGGACCAGGTGCGATCGAGGGTCACCAGGATATCGTCCTTGTCACGGTCTTCAATAATAACACTATGAGCGAGAACTACATGCGGATGGTGACGGCGAACAGGGAAGACTACGCTGCTCGTCATGGTAGGTCTGATACTGTGAACAGACAGTAGGGATGCTAAGATCCGTAGGGTACAAGAACTTCTACACCAACATATCTGCCTACAGCGACCTTGTTGACCCTGCCCCTTCATCGTGGACAGTTGTACCGGCACTTCGACATGCCTTGACAGAACACCGGTCGAGTACCTGGTTCTGGCTGCTGTCCGCCGACGCCTTCATTACAAGTCCTTCGTTGTCGCTCGAATCCCATATCCTCCAGCCCCTGGAATCTTTAATGCAGAAAGACATACCCGTTGTACCACCGGATTCAGTCATACACACCTTTTCCCACCTGAAACCCTCCCGGACACACCTCGTCCTCTCTCAAGACATGGACAACCTTGCTCACACATCTTTCCTCCTCCGCAATACCCCTTTCACGCCGGCAACTCCGGACAACTGGTCGCAGTATTTCCTAGACGCCTGGTTCGATCCCTTGTACCGAGCATACTTATTCCAGAAAGCAGAAAACCATGCCTTGGAGCACATCGTTCAGTGGCATCCTACTATCCTAGCAAAGCTCGTGCTAATTGAACAACGGCGCTTCAATTCGTACAACTATGCAACCCCACCGATCCGTGATGGCGACGACAACCTTCGGACACATGATAGTATGTGGCAAGACGGAGATTTCGTTGTCAACTTGAAAGGCTGCAGAGAAAGTGACAAGCGGAACTGTGAAGAAGAGATGAGACACTATTTTGCAGTGTGGGAGAAACAGGTCGAAAAACTAGATGGAAAGAGGTCAGAGCATAATATTGTACCTGCAAAGCCCATGCAGCCTCAGGAGACAAAGGAGAAACCTCCTGTCGCTGCTTGAGCATATCCACTGAATGAGCAAAGGAATGAATGATGGTGATACAGAACAGTTCCAAGGGTCGCAGAGAAGACATTTCGTACAACGCAGCATCTTTCGAGCCAGTGCCACTAATGACTGCTGGGAGTACTTTCAGTGCTCAGCATAGTGATGCGGAACTCGGTTTCTTTTGCTGGCTACCAAAGTCAGGGTGCTGTCCTCTGTCACAATATCTTTTCGTTGGTCTTGAAGTATCCTCGATGCAACGTTGAATGTCCAAACGCGAGGTCAGCGTCCCTCGCTATGATTCCATTGCTCGAAGTGACACCCAGAAGCTTGCTTTCAAGGAAACTGCTCCGCATATCGCTGCTCCGTCAAAGTCTTTGGTTCGACATACAAACCCAGGGTAGGCTTCAAGCAAGGTCGCCCCTTTCGGCACGCATCTTGTCATATCTCAACACCGCCCCTAGCAGGACTTGCGCGCCAATGGCACTATACAGCTGTGAGCAAGGAGATATCGCATTACCAGGAATCACTTACCAATCCTCAGGGCTGCAATACTCTTGAGGGTTGTGGCTAATGCCGTCTTTTGTCGGCGTAAAGATCATACTTGTCGGACAACGGCGGTTCGTATAGCAGCTGTCATGGCCAGCGCCACTGATCATATATCTCCAAAGCTGTCCATCGTCCGCCGTCATGGGTAAGTCCTGCACAATCTCCTTTGCGCTGGCCTCAACAGCGGCAATACAGTCAGGATGGAAGTTTACCGCTGGACTGTCGACCAACTCCTTCCATTCGACTTTACAACCCTTTTCACTCTCCTTCTCTGCAATTCTCGAAAATGAGGCTCGACATGCCTTCTCGATCTCGGCGAGCTTCTCATCTTGGGTATGCCGGACATCGAGGGTGAAAGTGACCGTGTGAGCCATGGTATTGATCGAACCAGGCTGGCCATTCACGATGCCCGTTGTCGAGAGACCACCATGCTCTTTGGCAATCTTATTCGACTCGACAATCAGTTTTGCTGCACAGAGCATGGAATCCATTCGAGCGTGGAACGGTGTTGTTCCAGCATGAGTGTCCCGCCCCTTCACCGTGATTTCGAACCATTTGAATGCTTGCACGCCTTCTCATTGTCAGCAGATGATTTACAAGTAACTGCCGTCGACATACCTTTGACCACGCCAACCCTCCGCTTCTCAATCTCAAGACTCGGGCCCTGCTCGATATGCACTTCAAAGTGACAGGCCATTGGGAAAGCTTTGTACGACGCGGGCTGTTCACCCAGATACCCGATCCTCTCGAGCTCTTGCTTCATCGTCCGTTTCTCTCCATCCTCTCCCGATGGTGAGACCTCTGCCAGATTCCACGCCGTCTCCAGTGGTACGGCTTCAGCCCAGACACCTGATGCTACAGCCATCATGGGGAATCTTGCGCCTTCTTCGTTGGTCCAATTTACGACGCCGATACTCCCCTCGGTTTCGACGTTGTTCTCGTGCAAGACCTTAAGGACTTCAAGACCAGAATTGACGCCTAGAATCCCGTCGTACCGTCCACCCGTAGGCTGCGTGTCGAGATGCGAACCCATCATGATCGGCGGTGCTGTCGAGTTCTTGCCCGGCCGCACAGCGAAGAGGTTGCCCATCTGGTCAACGCTGGTTTTGCAATTCAACTTCTCGGCGGTCGAGATGAACCAGTCACGGACTTGTTTGTCCGCGTCGTTCAAACTGAGTCGGGCCATGCCGGTTTCAGTGGGATGGCTGCTAGTATTTAGTGAGTGCTGGGAAAATGCCTGGATGCAAGACATACTCTCCATATCGATGCGCTGCGCCATATTTGCAGCCGGTATGGATAGCGTCCATCAGCCGTGACTGATTGACCTTGAGTGAAGAGAAATCATGGTGTGAGCGTGTGCCATTGACACCATTCGCGCCGTTGGCGGACATTGTTGTGATACGGCTTGTCTTGCTCCTATTTGTCAGTGCTCCGGCAGCTTCCAAGATCGATTTTGATACAGCACAGGGTCCGAGTAACAAGGACGTACGAATGCTCGGTATGGACATGTGGGAAAGGGTAGCCTTGATAGATTTTGCGCAACAAGAAGAACTATGAAAGCTTCTATACCTGTCGGCACCCAAGTCGGCTTGCCGTCCCCCACAAGAGTGATCCAAGCAGTATGCTTCACGCCGACTAATGACCAACATCGAAGGAGTTGTCCGCCTGACTGTTTGCCTCCATGCTGGACTTGAGCGCTGGGAGGAAGGCCGAGGTCGGATCCGCTCACATTCAAAATCAATCTCTAGGCAGTCCAAGCTTAGACCCCAGATTCTATGAGCACCCAGATGGGCAAAGAAAGCGGCATGCGCCTGACAAAAGCCCGACGCACTGTTGGATCCCAACAGTGATCCCTGTTTTCTTCAATGTCTCCCCAAACGAGGGCCTGAGGTTCTCTATGATGATTTTGTAGCCCCTGTCAAGACCACGAGTCAATGGTGTCATGGCACGTTGCCGGATTCTTGAGCCACGGCTTTAGGAACCAGAACTGAACTTTTCAAAGTTGGCCGTTTCTCCTCTTTGACCCAGTTGCACAGTCCTAGAGGCTGTCGCTAACCAGCCGTTAATCGAGGACAACTTCTCCTTCGCGGGCAGTCTGGCATTTCCCTGCCTGAATGCGTGCAAGCTGCTCGACTGTGGTCAGAATAACACTGACATAGATCTATGCAGCCCTTGAATGCTGGGACCGCGGACACCGACGTGGGAGGCTTGGGCCAGCAAACGTCAAAACACCCTGCAGCAAACTCCGGAGACAAATAAAATCCACACAAAATATTCATCTACATCCAGTTCACTCACCCACCGACCACAGGTGAAATGAATATCACAGCGCGACGGCTACAGCTTTGACCCACTTTGACTTGACTTGTTCATTTTGATTTTCCTGGTCGCTCCTTCACTATTATCATTAATGTGCTTGATTTGGTTCGGCGCTTTCAATCGGCTGTACTTATCAGAAGGGCCTGGCGCATTGGGGTTCATTCGCGTGGAAACATCTGACGTTACAGCTAGTAATGGAGCCTGATGAGACCGAGTTGGATCAAAATGTTCTCAAGACGAGAGTCGAAAGCTCATCTCCGCCTCTGCACATGAACGAGCAAGTGGTCGCCAATGCAGACGTCTTCCGCAACCATCGTCGTCTTGTTGACTGGGTACTTGCCAACGACGGTTACTTTCATCCCCATGCTCAGATCGCCTTCAGCCAACGCAAAGGATTTCATGCTGTGGTTGTCGAAGGTCAACGCGCCGTCAGCGGCACCCGCATTGCAAGTTGTCCAATATCAACCACCATCTCGGTGCTCAATGCTCTTGATATCAAACCATTCTCAAGTCATGGATCTCGGTTTCCAGAGTCTTTCCTTCACAGTCTAAGCAAAAACCCAGAGTCCTTACAAGCATTCTTCCTTATGGATCAGTTGGCGCTCGGAGACAAGTCATGGTGGGCTCCATATATCAATACGTTGCCTACTGTTCAGGAGGTTACAGATTTGCAGTTTGAAGAGGAGGCAGACCGAATCTGGCTGGAAGGCACCAATCTCAAAGGTGGTCTTTCCGAGCAGACCGCAAAATGGAAAGAAATGTATCTCCAAGGCGTCGGACAGCTGAAGCAATTGCGGTGGCATAACGCCCTTAACGGAGCGTACACATGGTATGATAGCATCACACGTCAGGAAAAGCAGCGAAGCTAAAATTAAGTACAGGCCGAAGTTCCGATGGGCTGCAACGATATTCGGTAGCCGATCTTTCACCTCACAAGTCCTGGATGACACTCCACCAGCAGACGAGGCTCGCCATCAGTATCGCCAGACCCATGATGATTCTAGCTTACTGGTCAGACTATTCTCTCAGCGATTCGCAGTACTACTTCCGTTAATGGACTTGCTCAATCACAAACCGGGTGCAAAGGTCGAATGGCAGGCTAGGTATGGCTTTGTTGGCCTTCAGGTACTGGAGGATTACGAGTCCGGCGAGGAACTTTGCAACAACTACGGTCCACGCGAGAACGAAGGCCTTCTGTTGGCGTACGGCTTCACCATTCATGACAACCCTTATGATCATCTTGTAATTGGCATCAAATCCCCTCCAGGCTCGCCATTAGCGATCGCTCGTACATGGCAACCTGATCTACGTTCAGATCCAGAGCGCAGATGTTTCATCTTCGGCCCCCATCATCCTCGATCGACATCAGCTACGTTCCTGGAAACATCGTTATTCTCATTCGATCTACTAGACACTATCTCAGTCCTCTGCGCCAACGAGCGTGAGCTCCAGATGATGCTCTCCCGCAAGCAGACGCTCATGAGCTATTGTCTTGGCCAGGAGTCCAGGTTTGAAGACGGACGCATCGTCCTAGCCACTCTGAGCCAGTTGTTGACAGAGTGTATTGCAAGAGCATCCAGGCTCAAAGCTACCGATCCCTCACATTGGGATCCTCCTTTCACACCCATGAACTCGAAACAGCACCATGCCAAGGTCTATCGCGACAGTCAGCTTAGCATCGTGGAAACAGCCGCGGCTGTCTGCAGATACGTGCTCATGGTCTCAACAAGCGAAGAGATCGAGGAGATTATCATTGCCAAACTACGTCCCGCCCTGTCAGCTAGTAGCTTCAGCAATTTAGAACAGCTGCTGGGGCGCCATCAGAAGCAGCTAACACATTCATTCGAACTTCTGACTCCCGAGACCATCCTCGAGATGCTCCCCAAAGAGTTGTCTGCCTCGTTGCAGAGATGCCTGTCTGAAGTGGAAGCCAATCTTATCAGCATCGAATCTGAATTTAAGCCGCAAGCAAGTTCCGACAAGACTCGTCTTGCAGTCATCCTTGCTGCATTGTATGGTGACTACACTCACGGAGTCAAATTACCACGCAGAATCACTGAATGGCTCAAACAGTTGGCTGAGTGGTATCCGCTAGACCCAGAATCATGGGCATACGTGCCTACACCTGGCCCTTGGACACCAGGAGAGGAACCGCCTGAAGAGTTGATGGCGCTGCTTACGGCCCGAGCAGCTTTATCGCCTGCGTTTCCTGCTGAATCAGCTGTCAAGAGGTGGTTGAGGCCGGAGAGGTTGTGCTGGGGGTGGAATATTATGGAGGAAGAGAAGGTCAGAATTCCCGCGAGCGTCTTGGATCTAGAGAACAACATAGCCGGTACGCAAGGTGACAGCAGAGTTGTGATCTACTGGCGAAAATACTAGAGATGATACCCCGGAATGATATCTTTCCATATTGACTGATCGTATGAGACTCTGGTCACCATTCCACCTTGAAATACAAATAACCATGAAGCAGTCGACGCTGCAATATGCATGGAAAGATGCATTCGATATCAGCCAGTCCAATATTCGAGATCCAGCGGAAGGTACCTGATGCGTGGCTGTGTGGGTACTCGTGGTACTCATATGCTGCAGTGAAAAGCTCCGGCGAAGCATTTATCTCTCCGGCGGGCCACTTACCCATATCTGTTGGCACAAGCTTCCGCCCAATCAGCAAACTGCAATTCCACACCAAGACGACATCGACATTGAGTTGAATTCCCGCATACACCTTCTTTGCCTTGCTCTCCTCTCTTCGCGCTGGTCCTTCACCATCTCCCTCGTCACCATCTCCTCCTATACACCTATCCTCAGATACCAGCCGTCATGATCATTCGGCCCAGCGCCGCGAAAAGCGTGGCCCAAGCGGCCAGCAAAACAGCTTCAGCTTCACGACCTCTCGCCGCCACCAGCTCCTATTCCCTACAAACCCGCACATATGCCACCGTCCAAGAGGGACAACCCCAACAGCGCCGATATGGCGGGCTCAAAGACCAAGACAGAATATTCACAAACCTCTACGGCCATCATGGCGCGGACCTCAAGTCGGCAATGAAATATGGCGACTGGTACAAGACGAAGGAGATTATACTCAAAGGCCACGACTGGCTGATCAACGAGATCAAAGCCTCCGGTCTCCGAGGAAGAGGAGGCGCCGGCTTCCCGTCCGGACTCAAATTTGTACGTCCCACATGTACTGTTTTCTTGTCTTTTGCATACTAACCTGCGCAGTCGTTCATGAACTTCAAAGGCTGGGAAAACGACAAACGACCACGCTACCTCGTGGTCAACGCCGACGAAGGCGAACCCGGAACCTGCAAGGACCGCGAGATCATGCGAAAAGATCCGCAGAAGCTCGTCGAGGGGTGCCTGGTCGTGGGCCGCGCCATGAACGCCACAGCTGCGTACATTTACATCCGAGGCGAATTCTACCACGAAGCCACCATCCTGCAGCGCGCGATCCAAGAAGCTTACAAGGAGGGTCTGATTGGCAAAAACGCTTGTGGTTCTGGATACGATTTCGACGTCTACCTGCACCGCGGTATGGGCGCATACGTGTGCGGCGAAGAGACGTCGCTTATTGAATCGCTCGAAGGCAAAGCAGGCAAACCGCGCCTGAAGCCTCCCTTCCCGGCTGCGGTCGGCCTGTTCGGCTGCCCGTCGACCGTGACAAACGTCGAGACCGTGGCCGTTTGTCCGACCATTGCCCGCCGTGGGGGCAAGTGGTTCGCTGGTTTTGGCCGTGAGCGCAACCAGGGCACCAAGTTGTTTTGTATCTCGGGCCACGTCAACAACCCATGTACGGTCGAGGAGGAGATGTCGATCCCGCTACGTGAATTGATCGAGAAGCACTGCGGTGGTGTCCGTGGAGGGTGGGACAATCTTCAGGCTATCATCCCCGGTGGCTCATCGACGCCAATCCTGCCCAAGCACGTCTGTGACGATCAGCTCATGGACTTTGACGCGCTCAAAGACAGTCAATCCGGTCTGGGCACGGCGGCGGTGATTGTCATGGACAAGTCGGCCGATGTGGTCAGGATGATTGCACGGTTGAGCCAGTTCTACAAGCACGAGAGTTGCGGGCAGTGCACGCCGTGTCGGGAAGGTAGTGCATGGACGGCAAAGATGATGGAAAGATTCGAAAAGGGCCAAGCAAGAGCCAGGGAGATCGACATGATTCAGGAATTGACCAAGCAGGTCGAAGGCCATAGTATTTGTGGTAAGTCTACATTTCCCTTCCTCCTTCAACGACAAAAGCAGGCTTGCTTGCGTTGTTGGACTGGAGGCGACTTGTTCTTTTCGTGAATGTCTTGACTGACAAAGTAACATGGTTACAGCACTCGGTGAAGCATTCGCATGGCCTATCCAGGGCTTGATCAGACATTTCCGACCACAACTCGAGGCCAAAGTCAAAGATTATGCCAAGCAGCACGGCGCCGAGCCGTTGGCTGGTGGATGGGAGCCCGATTCCGCGAAGAAGGGTATTCTGGTTTCTCCCGGCATGTAGATTGGGCCGCTTGTGCTTGCGCTTGCGCAATCGAAGCGACGATTTGTTTGTTTGAAGAGGATGACGATGCTCGATAGAAGGGTGGATTGACTGTCCTGTCTGGATCGTATCCTCGTCATCCGCATCGTCCCATCTTCATCTTCATCTTCAAATCAACCGATCAGGCAATTCATTCATTCATGCGGACTCAGCTGGACACGGTATGGCGTGGGCCGATCAAGTTCGAAATCTTTAAAGAGGAAAGAAAGACAGTCTCAAGGAGAGCAGAAAGCCTCCATCCATCGCAGTTGTTGAATGGTGCACTCCCCTCGTGGGAGGTGGGCTGTAACGCAAATGCAGCCTGCATTTGCATATATGAATCGTCTTCGTCTCCATTGGGATTGAGGGGAGTGAGGGTGTGAAAGACGGGAGAAAGAAAATATTCCTTGATGTCTTGATGTTTGTGCGAGGCATGGCGTCCATGGCCCTTTCTACGTTCTGCGCAACGCACTTCCTCCTGTTTGCTATACGAGACAGAACTCATCAATGCAAGAACTTGTACATATCACGCAGCCTGCCCCGGCCTGCCACACGTTTCCGCTTGCATTGATTGCCTCCCTCCATTGCTGCTGAACAACCTAAGACCCTAAGCAGGTCAATTCTCACCGCATACTACTGTTGCTTGGTAACTAAAGTCGCCAGTCACTGGGTGCCGGCCACATCGTCTAAGTCCACGCCGACCACAACTAGGATACATTATCGATCATTGAGGCCAAAGATTGATCAAATTGGAGTTCATGAGATGGGTCATTATTATACAAAAATGTTGCCTGCAAAAGATTAGACTTCATCGCCGGTCATTGACCCAGAGCTGTTGGCCTTCTGGCACTGTGCTTCATGCAGCAGCGACAGCGAGCTGCCGAATCCAATCTCCCGGACTCTGTCCAACGTCCGATTCTGGCACTTTCTGAGGATCGTGTTTCGCGCGATTTTCACCTTCAGCGGCATCGCTGACTGGCTTCTTCTCCCCGTCGCCACCCTCATGGACTCCCAGACTGCTAAAACTCTTCTGCAAGGCCGTCGCCCCTGTTTTCTTAGCACGCTTCATCTCCTCTTTCCTGTCTCTTGCGTGAAGCGCGGCTCTTGCAAGTCTCTCCTTCTCAAGCTCAAACCCACGCTTACGCTCCATCAATTCTCGATACAGTCGTTCACGTTTCTCCTTGCCTGTGCGGCCAACACGTTTGACCTCAACACCATCATCGACGGCCTCGCACTTGAGCACCATGAAACTCACGCCATCGTGTGGCGTCTTGCTTGATTGAACTGTACTTGGTGAGGAGGGGCCTGCTTCTGGTTCCTCCGACCAAGCACGGGATTTGATCCCGAATCGTGCACTTTCGACATAATTCTCCAACTGGGGCAATACCAAGAGCGTAATGTGCAGATCCTTGTTCTCATCAATGGGTTTGGGTCGATCAGGTGCGGGGCTGCCTTCAATCCTGGGAGTCTGCTCTTCAAGGACTTTCTCCAGCAAGGCTTCGTCGACACTCGCCGGGTGTACCGAGGTGATAAATCCAGAATGCATAGCTGCGGCCACAGGATCGGAGTCATCTGTGTATATTCCGGAGCCCCAAAGATACCTCTCAGCGCAGATCAATCCTCTTTCCCGCTCTTGTAGCCATATTCGAGGTACACGGACGGTATAAGTACAGTTGACGTGTTCTGCATCAGTAAAGGAGGGGAGTAGATTGGGTTTAATAGAGATATCGAACTTCTGAGAGATTGGCTTGTTGACGTCGACAGGAGTGACTTCAGGGTCGTACTTGAAGAATCCCAGATGCCGTCGTTTGCTCCTTCGGGCCAAAGCGACGACATTTGAAATCCTGATGACTTTCTTTGGCCTAAAAAGTGAAGGATGATCTGCTGCGGAGGTCTGACGTTGGATTCGGTGATGAGGATGCAGAGAAGGATGAGAGGTTGGAGTGCCGGTCCGGCGGATTGTGCTGAGGCCGTTCTTCCGTGTGGACTCCTCTAAATCCAGTTTGTAGGAGTGCTGATATTTGCTCCTCTTGCCTCGGCCTGGTGCCGATTTCTTGACATCCCCTACTTCACTTTCAGCCCGAACTTCATCGTCAAAGGCCTTGCGATTCCGTTTGCCCACTCCAGAGGCACTTCGAGACATCTTCATCAGGTTCTCTTCACTCAAGCGGGCACCACCCTCGTTCTGCTTGAACGGACTTGCAGGTAGGGGCTGTGGTGTAGGTGTTGGGTTTGCAGATGTGGTACTCAAGCTGCTTCCGATGCCAGAGAACACACGACCGTGTTCAGTTTTGATGCCTGCATCCGGTGCCGGGGTTTGCGCTTGGGCTCCTTGCACAGCCTGGGGAAGAGGAGAGTATCTTCCTCGCTTGGATTCATTTGCCAAGCCTAGAATGGCTCTGTGCTGCGACAACTCATCGCTGCCTTTACGGGCTTGTTCCTCCAATCCACCCGATTGTGAGGCGACGGACCCAGCGAAAGGAGAGTAAGCTCGGTTACGTAGTCGGTCTCCAAATACTGATCGATCGCTTTGTGATTGAACCGAGTCTTGTCGCATCATATTCTGTGCACCAAACCCAGGGTCAGCCTGAGGGCCAAAAAGACTTGCATATGGTCGACTGTCATTGCCATTCAACTGTGGGCGTCGCAATTCAGGGGATTGTGATTGCTTGAAAGGTCGTTCTGCCGGAGCGGATGTAGGCTGGGAGAGAGGCGCATTGTGCAGGGGTCGCGGCAGACTTGGTGGACGTGTATCATATGGTCCGACAAAACCATTGTGGCGTGGAGGCTCAGGGCCGTTCATTGATGACTGTCCGTGTCGGTCCAGGTGCGCGAGAGATGGAGGAATACTCTCTGGACGGGTTGGCGGAGGAGGCGCGGGAGGAAAGGCCGTCGCAAGGCTTGGTTGTGGTTGACTCTCAGGTCTTTGTAGGATGCCACTTATGCTTGTACGACGAGTGCGCTCGTCGAACTCATCTTTCGGAGGCATCGCAGGCCCAAAGGAAGGTGACGGGTACGCGTTTGTTGATGGTCCGGTTCGTGCTTGCGTCTCGTAGAAAGGGCCGGGTCTTTGTGTCATTGTGCCCGAACTCGAACGATGCTGTCTTGACCCAAATACTGTGTTCCCAACTCGGTCCGGTGTTTTCGACCGTGGTCTGTAGGAGTATTCACCAACGTTTGGTTTGGAGGGGTATTGTGGAGGGGACATGACTGCGCCGAGTGACATAGGCGGGCCGGAGGTCGATGGTTGTCGCGAAGGTGTTCTCGATGGTTGGCCATGACCGTGGTAATGGTCATGTGCCGGTTTTTCTGGTTCTCCACCCAACATGGACGATATCGACATACTACTTCCCGGTCTCTTGTGGGGTGGCGGAGGACCATTGTTTGTGGTCACCGCAGGTGAAGGATGAGGTAGAGGAGGTTGAGAAAATCTGGGAGGAGGATAATGCTGTGGTGAGGGCGGCAACATTGGTCGCGAAGAAGGGCCGTACATGGGGTGTGAGTTCTGGGGGTCTGGGTAGCCTGCAACGGAGTATTAGATCTTTGCATTTACGTGCTTTTGATGTCGCGAAAGCACCAAAAGAGATGCGTGTAGCGCAGTGATAACTAGCGCAGGCACTTTCCTTCCGAGCCGCAGTCAAGGCAGGAATGATGGATGTACGTACCTGTGAACGATCGTGGCGGACTAGAAGGAGTGTTGTAAGGAGGAGAATGACCTGGCATCGCCATTACGGCAGATACCTGTTGTTGCGGATGTACAAGGGGATGGGAAGGGTGATGGTCGTCAACCGGGAAGGGGTATGGAGGGTAGTGATGATGCGGAGGCAGTTGCGTAAATTCGAGGGTGGATACTGCCGCAACTGTAGGAGGAAAAATCCGAGGTTAGCTTGGATTGTCAAGGACTGGAGAGGAGAAGATCGAAGCATCAACGTGCTTGCAGCAGCATTGAAGCCAGTATGTTGTCAACAGTGCAAATACGAATGCAAAGTGACGAGGGTAAGGGGAGGCGACGTGGATTGAGGATGCAGAAAGTGTGGATTCATGCGGATGCGATGCGATAGTCGACCGACGTGGACAGCATTCGCTTTCCGGGGAGCAGGGGAGCCGCCAACAAGCAGGAACCAGCAGCAGCAGGTATGACACAGAGACTTGCTGCAGCCACTCGCGGCCACGAACAGGGATGGCCACAGACAGCACGACCAAAAAGAGCCTTGGAGCTGGGGCCAGATGCGCCAGGGATGCCAGTGAGTGGATGGTGGGTGATAGGCGGGATTCGATCATGGTGTGGAAATCTGCGTTTTCGGGAACAAGCATCGACAAGGCCCATCAGGCATCAACAATGCCCCATAGGGCGCCCTTTTCTTGCGCATGGTTTCGGGAAGAGCTGAAGCTGTAGAGAGCTGACCTGCAGCATGCTCATCAGCATCAGCATCACACCATTCTTCACCCGCCAAGGACAAGCCCGCAAGCTGATGTTGTCGCTGTTTGTGTGGTCTGGACGGGACAAGGGTCTTTACTTAGCTAAGACGACGCCTCCCCGGCCGCCAAAAAGGGCCACAAGAAGCCTAAAATGTGGTCGGTGAAAAAGTGACGTCGATCCACCCGGAAATGGTACCTGGCTTGATGGTCCGGGTCTCTTCGCTGATCTGGCTATTGGCCCTGACCTCGGTCATTTTTCTGATCTGTGCCCACAACAATTTCTTGTATAGCTTCGGCTCCTCGAGAAGTGTCGCAAATTGTGCGGGTCGAGTCAACTGGCTGCCTTGTGCTCACCGTCTGCTCTTTCTGTTGCTGGCTCTGCTATTGTTGCCCCCATCATCGCTCGTAGGTGGCATGACCGCATATGCTAACGCATGCTGACAACAAGGGATCGGCGTTTCTTGCGTTCAAGATCGTCGCCATCTGGTCGGTACCAGAAATTGCCCGGATGGACGTATCATACGCACCCGCTGGTATGAGATGATGATGATGCTGCTGCTGCTGCTGCTGGCACCGTTGCCATACCTGGCATCGCTTTACACGTACCTGGTTCCATATGTCTTGCTTCCCTCCAGACTTGTTCGCCCTCTCCATTCCACGCTCCTTGCCATTGGGGTGGCTGCTGCTCATAGCCAGGGTGCGGTTGATAGGGACCCTGAACTTCCTCCTGGTATTGACTGAGAGCACTTCCTCTTGCAGGGTATATCATTCTCTGTCGATCTTCGGGCTCTTTTTGACGTCGTTGCTTGGACTTCATGGCTGTACTGAAACCGAAAAGGCTCGTTTCGTCGCGCCGGCTCCTCGTATGTGCCTTTTTGGCCAGGAATGATCGCGTTTGATAGTTGTGATATGCGCAATGAGGCTTCTCTTGTCGATATGCAATCGGCTTGAATCTTCAAGTATTCTTCATTGAAATCTTTCTTCGTTCGGAACATGGGCGGTATGTGCACGTGCTGGCGCCGTTGAAGACTTGCTCGATCTTCACTTTATCCGAGACTGGGGTCGATCGTCGTTGGTTGATTCACGGCTCGCTTAGCGGTTACTGGATGGATCGATTCGGGTTCCAAGGGTTTGGAACAGCAAGCATATCCAAAGATCTGGCGCCGGTATGCAGTTGTTTTACAGGAAGAAAAAGTAAAGACAGTGCAAACAAATGACTCGAGAATCTCAGAAGAGAACACGAAGCCAGTGGATGCATGCTCCTGTGGCTCCATTGTGGCTCTGGCTTTGCATCAATGAGTACTCGTGCTTTTTCTCCAGCTGCTTGCTGCATGCAAGACACGCTTGTAGGACCGCCGTAGTCCAAACTAAAACTCTCAAACTTTGTGTCACCGCTTCCTCCCACCTCCCACCAGCCGCAAGGGTGCCTATTTATGCGGGCCTTGCTGTCAGGGACGTGAGGGACCTAGAATGCATGCATCTTGACTGGGCACGTCGCCTCTTGTCCATCCGCAATGGCGTCGGCTTCGGAGGCTTCGGTGCACGCGGTTGGGATCGCCTGGCTCTCCTCGCAAATAAACATAATGTTACTGTCATGATTTCCGCTTTTATCAAAGGCACTGTCATTCCCGCTACTGATACATTGACACATGTCGCCCAAAAAAGACATATAGCATCGGGCAAGTCACCGAATTCCATTGCTTCATCACAATATGCATGATAAGCATGCCTTCGGTCAGCGAAGCTCCATTTCCGGTAGCCGTCAATTGACCAGCATCTGTCAGTTTCAAATTGAGACAGCCATGCCTGCATGCTTCTATCCGTGGTGGACACGGTCTCAACAAGTGTTGACACGATCCTTCGACAACTTGCAGACCAGATGACCAAAGAGAGGTCGTACCTATAACTCCCGTCACAATTTCTTACAATAATTCCTCCCATGACGGACCTGCCAATTGCATAGCCAAACCTCGAATCCCATACTTATGAAACCAGCAATACATATACCGCCTGAGTCGCTCACTGTCGTCGCCGATAGCGAAAACTCGCGGTCTTCCTTGAGGACGTTGTCACTGATTTCTGCAAAAGTATTGACATAGACCACTCCACCCAATAGCCCTTCCCAAAATATGATAGCGAAGATAATGTAGACGTTTGGAACGAAGTTGAAGATTGCGTGCGATGCTAACAAGACCAGATTGGCCACCTGCAAGAATGAAGGTAGGTAAAGGTTGTGGATTCGCAGAAACGGTGTCGAAGATCTCGATATAAAAACCCCTGCCTGGTAGATTGCATTGTAAGTCGGATAGAATGCCCGGAAGTGCTTGAACGGAGATTCTTTCAAGGGAAACAGGAGCGTCGGTGCTACGCCCTGGTTGATGGTGTATTCTGCCACATACACAAGCAGCAATGGCAGCATGTAAGGGAAGAAGAGGCCTCGGGCTCGTCTCAAGTTGTGTTTGAACGCTACCCAAACCGAAGGACGGCCATGTTTTGAAGTGAATGCCGGTTTGGTTCCATCAGGTGTTGACAGAAGTCCTTGTCTCTGTTCTTGTTCAATGTCCTCATTCTCCACGTCTTCAATCAGACTGTCTTGGTGCTTCTTGGTATGTGTTCGGAGCGGTCCAAGTGGGAGGATCAGAAAGAAGCTGATCAACATCACGACCGGCAGGCAGGCAGAGGCCAGCAGTGTCGTCCGGACACCGAGTCCCAAAGACGTAGTGGCTATCGCATATGCGCCTGCGCCTATTAGCCCGGCACCACCTGTTCCACTCCCCCAAGCGGCGAGACTGAACGGTCCATAATAATGTACCAATCCGAGGAAGCTTAGTTCTCCGCCACCACTGCTCAGAGAAGCGAGCATAACTCCCGCCATCTTGGCTGTTATTGTTCCTCCATCACTGTAGCCTGGGGTAAGGGCAATAAACAGCATGCCCATCACGGACAACGCCACGAAGATGAGGATTCGACCGGAGTACGGTATTGTATGGATGAAGTAGGGCGCACATAGCTTAGTCAAGAAGGAGGGAATGACATCGGCTAAAAGGACGACTCCTTTAGGAACATCTGGTCCGACCAGATCGAGTGCCGCAGATAAAATGATCACATAGAGGACGTTATTGATCAATCCTGTCTATGGCTTAGCAGGGATTGACGGCACCGAATGAGGATGAGCCTGAGAAAGCAACGACATGGCACTGAACTTACCAAATAGCCAGAAAGCCACGCAGACTCTCGTTTCTGCACCCTTGAAAGCAAGCTTCAGCCGCCCACGGAACATGGCCCAGGATGATGAAGGAGATCCTGGTAGAGGCAATGCCATATTCTGCACGGCCGATGCCTACCTTGTCGATGATTTAGCGTTCAGCATGATCGAGACGAATGTATAGATTCGTGAATTGAATGATTCCCTAGTACGGCGATAGAGATAAGTATGCGAATCCGAGTGCAACGAGATGGAAGGTGGAATTACGCAGGCAACTCCAATGGCACGTGCCTGCTACATGAACACAAATGACGAACCTACCTACGGAGTACCCTCGGTACCCACCACCTTTTCATCGTCAACAACAACGAACCACTTTCCCTTCACCTTTATATCTTGCCTTTCATACGGCGTACAACGGCGATGCCTTAAAAAGGGAGCTATGATGCTCCAACAATGCTACGGGGCAGCCCCATGACTTCTCCATCACGACCGGACAGACCTTGCGACGTGTCGCAAGAGGAAGATAAGACCAAGCCAGGCGCTGCTTGATCTCACTGTAGAATGTCAGCAAGGCAAATATCAAAGTTCTGCCTGGGGTCCCGATGTTCGTCGGGTTGTTAAGAATGGCTATTTCATCATGCTTGCAGATGAGCAGAATATCATACACGAGCACACGTGGAGTGACAGATCAACGACCGCCCTTTAGTAGCGGGCTTAGCCTTTAGTGTCGGGCTAGTGAGGCTAGTGGGCTAGTGGGCTAGTGAGGCACTAAAATAGGTGTCCGTCTCGCCGTCAGGTACTCCGTACCTGGCGAGCTGGTAACTTTCCCAGCTCCGGGGATGCTCAAGTACCACAAGTACTTGTCGCTCAGTCCCTCATCTTCCAATTTCATCCAGATCATTTCACCACGCCTATTCCGGTCAATGCATGCTCGACTCTTCCTTCGAGTCATCCCGAAGCCATCCAGTCCGCTCTTCCGCGCAGCTCGCCGTTCATTCTTCGGCACCCCAAAGCCTGCCACACCCTTTCGTGCTCACCACCCGCCGAGAGCAATGGACTGGCTTCTCGGCAATCATCGATCGTCTAGCCCTGTTGGCAATGCAGGGGGACGGCTCAACGATTTCAAAAGCGACCTCCACGATGCCTACCGCTCGATGAATACTCTAGAGCGCCAGCTCTGGAACGAGGCGTATTCCACCACGGTGCATCAACTAGGGTTGCGCCCCAATATGCAGTGGAATCGCGGCATCATGTGGACATGTAAGTGGCCGGCTGCAGCTCTCACTGTTACTGCCGGAACGTCGGTCCAGCTGACACTTTCAGGTATGGGAGCATGCGGTGTCGTTTTCCTCGTGTGGCAGTTCGCTCAAAAGGACGTGACAGTGCCAGGTATCCCGGCGGAATACCAGACCTTTCGAGCACGAATGCGTCTACGGGACTGGATGATTAGCAATTTCACTAGTAAAACCGACGATATACAGTCTGGCCGATGGTGGAACATGGTCACATCGGCGTTCAGTCACATCCAGCCCTGGCATTTGATCGCCAACCTCATAACGTTCAAAACGTTTTCACATTATCTGATCTACAGTGGGATCCCACCCCTTCGGTACATATCGCTGATACTGGGGTCCGCTGTTGCGGGTAGTCTGGTTTTCACGTTGCAACAAGGCCAGCTGGAACGGCGTGACCACATCAAACGCCTCGGTCTTGGTCTTTCTGGAGTGTGTATGGGACTTGGTGTTGCGGCAGCCGCAGTCGTACCCAGAGCTCAAGTGGCCATCATGGGCGTCGTCCCGGTACCACTCTGGGCACTAGTGTTGGGATATGTGGCCTTCGACAGCTACATGTTGGACAGCCCGGCGTCCAAGACTGGCCACGGAGCGCATATTGGAGGTGCTGCTTTTGGGGGTCTTTATTTCCTCCTCATGTTACGGGGAAAGCTGCCTTTGGCCAAGTGGTTTTGAGCAGAAGGTCCCCCCCTCAAGCAGCTTGAAGGGCACCGCATTCCTTTCTGGGCTGGAGACCGTCTGAGTATTCGACCTCTCGCTTGGGATCAGGGATAGGCCCGAGAGGGCGAATACTGGGAGATGCCTAGCTCAGAGAGGAACGCAACGGATGTGCAATCGCCATGACAGGAACAGCTCGCGAAATCTCGTCAGGACTGCCTATGTCTCTGAATGCATGTTGGCTCCCCCTTTGCTCTGGAAAAGTCTTCCAAGGCACGATCCTTCAAAGTCCATTCCATTTCTGTCGAGGGGCATTGCCTCTGTACCAGAAACGCTACTACGTATTCTTGTTCCTCTTCACAATCCGGACTTCAAAGGATACAAGCTTCGGCTAGACTGCAGTTTTCGAAGATCATGGAAACCAGAATTCCGAATGTTTTCATCATGTTCAACCCCACCATCATCCACTGAGGGGCGATGATGGCCGCACATCACGAATGATATCAACGTCACTCCACACCAATTAGTAATTGACGGCAGTACACAAGACTGCATCAGAATAAACCCGACCTCGCCGGCAGTTCATCATTGACGGAGGTATATCAAATCCCAGAAGTTCGCATGTTTCAATACTTCCCAGACACCATTTGTTTGCCAAAGTACACCGTGCATATCCCAAAATGTCGACTTCGCAGAAGGACGTGTTCCTGATCGGTCCAGGATTTGTAAGTTGGCGTTCTCAATATCTTCGTGCTTCATCGCAGTGGGCCATTTTCCTGACGATTGCAGATTGGACGCAACGTCGTTGATTTGCTCCTAGCCGAAGGCTACACAGTCACCACGCTCGTCCGTCGCGAATCATATGCCAAAGAATTGCAGAATGATGGTATTCAAACCGTCATTGGCAATCTCAACGACGACGCAACCATCACCAAGCAGACCATTGCTAGCGATATCGTCTTCCATACGGCCACCGCCGACGACTTACCATCAGTGGAGGCCGTGATCGAAGGCATCAAAGCCCGTGCCAAAGACGGCAAACAGACCATCTACATCCACACCAGCGGCACCAGCCTCGTCAGCGATGACTCGAAAGGCCAATACAAGGGCGAAAAGATTTACTCGGACGACAAACCCGAAGATATTGACGCTTTGCCGGACACGGCTTCTCATCGCCTAATCGATTTGGCAATCCTCAAGGCTCGCAAAGAACTCGGCACGAAGGCGAAACTGGCGATCATGATCCCACCGCTTATCTACGGCGTGAATCCGAAGTACAAGCGGCTGAGCATCCAATTGCCCACACTGACACGGTTCGCCCTTAAGCACGGCTATGCCGGACAAGTCGGCAAAGGGGCGTCGGTGTGGTCCACGGTCCACGTCCTCGATCTCGCGAGAGGGTACATCACACTGTTACACTGGCTCGAGCAGACACCCCCCGAAAAGGTGCTGGAGAATCCGTACTTCTTCTGCGAAAACGGTCAAGACTGCGCATGGACGGAGTTCGTGGAGACGATAGGACAAGCTTTGCATGACGCTGGACGGATCACGGATGCTAAGCCACAGACGATTCCGGAGAAGGATTATGGCGACCTCTTTGGCGAGTTCACGGCGTGGGTGGTTGGGAGTAATTCACGAAGTCGTGCGAAGAGGTTGAGGGGATTGGGATGGAAACCAAAAGAGAAGGATGTTTTTGCGAGTCTAAAGCAGGATGAGATTCCCATCTTGCTGGAGGAGAAGGCGGAGTTTAGTGGATATGCTGGTGTCGCGGCTTCAGGGGCGCCGTCTTGATCGTGGTATAGTAATCCATCAGAGTCTAGATCTTATATCTGGTTTCGCGGTCTCGTCTTCAAGTTCGGCAAGTAACACGCCCTCGGCGACATCGTCGCCTTCTTCATTGTCGAGTTCAATTGCCCATTTGATCGTGCCAGCTCTTGGGGCTCGGATTTCCAGTTCCATCTTCATTTGCTTCACAAAGGCGATCACCTGGTTCTCTTCGACGGTGTCGCCTTCCTCGACGAGCACTTCAATCAGCTTCCCGCTCATGGGAAGGACAATGTGTGCTTTGTTGTTGGGATCGCCTCGCCTGTGAGTGGAAGAAGTGGCATCCGCCGACGCCGTTGTGCTGTTTAGGGTCATCTTGTAGGACTGTGGTTTGGCGCCAGGGATGGTGTATGATACATCTGCGACGAGCGCTTCGGGAAACTCGTTGCACGTTATGCGGTCGATGGAGAGATGGTGAGCTGGTGGCTTCGTGGAGGATGATTGTCCGGGGGTTTCGAGCACAACGGTCCAGGCGTCACCCTTTCTGAATGTCGTGCCCGATGAGCCCATGCTGGAGGATTGAGTGCTGTTCATTGGTAGCGATGGCAGGTCATTGTCGAGTCTTGCGGTTTCAGCAGCGATCATCTCGCCGCTCTGCACTAGAACGTCGATGTTTTGTTCCAGCCAGCTCGTATCTGAGTCTCCCGAGGCGAATGTCTCATCTGCGACAATCGCTTTGAGGAGATTCAAATTCGTCTTGACACCGTTGACCTTAATCTCTTCCAACGCCCTTCTCGCCTTGACAACACAGTCTTCCCATGTCGATGCCGTGACAATGATCTTTGCCATCATATTGTCAAAATCCGCACCTACCACCCCACCTCGGGACAAATGACTGTCCACTCTGATCCCATTGCCAGTCGGGAACTGCACGTCGCTGACTTTCCCTATACTCAGCGCGAAGCCAGACAAGGGATCCTCTGCACACAGCCTCAATTGGATCGACGCTGATTTTGGCGCTTCCTCCACGTCGCCCGGCGACTCTCCCATCCTGGAGGTTGTGTTTGCTTCCATCTTCTGTAACCCCTGCGCAATGAGCAACTGCTCCTTCACCAAATCCACACCCGTGATACACTCGCTAATCGTATGCTCAACCTGCAGCCGCGGATTGATCTCGAGGAAATAGAACTTGCCCTGCCTCACATTGACGAGATATTCCCACGTCCCAAGGCCGAGATATTTCAACTGTCTCGCCATCCTCCCCGCCGACTCGATCACAGAAACAACGATTTTTCTGTCTCTTACAGGCGCCGGCGCAACCTCAACGATCTTCTGAAAACGTCTTTGCACACTACAATCACGCTCCCAGATATGTTTGATCCCACCTTTCCCGTCACCAATGATTTGGACTTCAATGTGCTTGTACCCGTCCACGGCCGCCTGTTCTGCGAAGACCGTCCGGCTTGGTGATTCGCCTATACACCTCTGTACGGCGTTCTCGAGGGCACTTTCATCCTTGACAAGCCTGATACCGCGCCCGCCGCCACCGTCGACGGCTTTGATCATGATCGGATACCCGACCTGGCCAGCGAACTGACGGATATCGGCGGCAGATCCGGTCGGGCGAGTCATGGCTTTCAGAACAGGCACACCGCATTCCGTTGCGAGCTGCTTGGCCTTGAGTTTGTCGCCTGTGCGGTCGAGAACGTCCCAGCCCGGTCCGACGACGAGGCACGATGCTTCGGTCCACATGCGCCGACTGAACTCGGGACTTTCGCTAAGGAAGCCGTAGCCTGGGTGTACGGCGTCGATGTCGTGCTGTTTGACCAGTTCAATGAGGTGGTCTACGTTCATGTATGACGAGGGGCTGGGGAGTTTGATGGCGTGATGTGGGCGGCCCAGGGAGACATGTGTAGCATCATTGTCGGTGTATAGGGCGAATGTTATGGGTGGGCTGGAGAGTTCGTGACAGGCTTGTAGGATCCGAATGGCGATTTCACCGCGGTTGGCGACGAGTATGCGTGATATGGGCCGCTGGGGATGTGGCATTGTCACGGCAGTTGATGAGCCGTTCTGTCTGTGGACGGGATCGTAGTTGTCTGCTCCTTTAGGCAGTGCTTCTATTTGTGAGGAAGCTGTCTATACCTGAAGCAGCTCTCCAGGTCGAGAGACGTTGATATGGTGGGGAGTTGTTCTATGGCTAATAAGTCTCGGCTCGACGTTGATGCGCCATGCCATGACTCCAACTTGGAAAAGAGCCGAGGCCTGAACTCGGATTTGACATCGGCTGTGCTGTGGAGGACTCTGTCAGCTTGTTCCCTGAATTTCGACGCCTGTGAGATATCTTCATCAAAGACTATCCAGAAGAGACGACGTCGTCGGCTGGGAGCACGCGGAAGCAGAGACTGTTATCACCCCGAATGAATGGTCAGAATCCCGCACTTTTCGCGAGGCCAGCTCGAGACTCACTCGGCAGCATTATTTGGCCAACAGTATCACGTCCGCCAACTGAAAGGCCACCATACCAGCTATGGGCTCAAAGAAATCGATACCGAGTCGGTCATCTGGGGTCGACGATTCAAAGGGACCGTCAGGGTCGTTGGTTGATGATCCAGTCTACTCCCAGCAATCGACATCTGAAACCAATCACAAACCTCCGAGCCATGAGAAGCCTCTAGGGAAAGACGATCCCGTCTATTCTCAAGCAGCAGCTGTAGGCGATGATTCGGAAGGGCAGAGCGAGATCAATGATCCAGTCTACGCACAGCCAGCGATGGCCAAGGCACAACCAGGGCAGAATATGACCATTGGCGAGGGAGAAGGCAAGCCCGACGCTGGGGGTGATCCTGTGTATTCTCAATCTACAAGCCAGAAGTCTCTGAACACATCTCAAATCAACGATCCAGTCTACGCACAGCCAGCAAGCTCCGAAGCACAGCCAGGGCAGGAAGTCGCTCAATCGGAAGGCAAAGGATCAATCGACGCAGCGAGTGACCCCGTCTATTCTCAACCTCAACCATCTGCCTCAAACACCCCAACAGACTCACAAATCAACGACCCCGTCTACGGACAGCAAAACAGCGCCAAATCTCAGCCACACCGGCATGTCGCGACGGGGCCAGGCAAAGGATTTGTTGACGCCGCCAACGACCCTGTCTACTCGCAGTCGTCCTCCCGTCAGCCCTCTGTCTCTCAGATTAACGATCCAGTCTATGCCCAACCTCAAACACCCCCGTCCATCCCCAGCAGGCCATCCCCGGGCCCCGGTCAAGGCAACATCCCACCGTCCGATGACTCCGTCTACTCCCAATCGCGCACAGCGAGTTCCCGCCTCTCTCAATTGTCCTCCCAGCTTTCAATGAGCCAATCCGAAGCCGAACCGGGCACGGTACACACCAAACGTCCCCGCGCACGCGCACGCTCGTCGAAATCCAGCAAAACCTCCCACGACGCCTCCGCCGACCTCCCGTCCGACTACTCCGACATCCTTTCTCAAATCTCGACCCTCCAACACATGGCGCAGACGCCCGACCCAAACAACAGAGGCTACATACGTCAAAAGTCCTCTGGCAAACTGTGGTCGCGCGAACGCATCTCCGCGCTTCTCGACCCGCACACCTTCCGCGAACTCGGCTCCATCACAGGCACGGCGACCTGGCAACGCGACGCTCTCCACCCGCAGCGCGAACACATCACATCCTTCACGCCATCCAACAACCCGCAAGGTTTCGGCCGCGTGACATGTCCACGCACAGCAAAAACGCGGCAGATCTACCTAACGTCCGACGACTTCTCGATCCGGTCCGGCCACGCCGACGGCTCCGTGGCCCTCAAGACACTTTACGGCGAAAAACTCGCGCTCCGCCTGAAAGTGCCCGTGGTCAAACTCGTCGACGGCAGCTCCGGCGGCGGCAGCGTCTCGACCATCATGACGCAGGGCTACAGCTACATCCCGCACCTGAACGTTCTGTCAGTTGTCGTCCAGCAACTGAACATGGGCATCCCGAACTTGGGTGCCGTGCTGGGCCCCGCCATTGGCTTGGGCGCCGCGCGCGTCGTGTCCACCCACTTCTCCGTCATGGCCGCGAACATCGGCAGCCTGTTCAACGCCGGACCAAAAGTCGTCGAGGGCGCCACCTTCGAAGAAGGCTTGTCGTTCGCCGACCTTGGAGGTCCCAACGTGCACTGCACAAACGGGACCATCGACAACATGGCCCGCGACGAGCAGGACTGTTTCGACCAGATCCGCACCGTGCTCGGCTATCTGCCCGATTGTGGCATGTTTCAGGCTCCCCCCTGCATCGAGTGTGTGCATGATGATGTCAACCGCGAGGATATAGGCTTGCGAAGCGTCATTCCCAGGCGGAAAAACAGGATGTACAATCCGTACACGATCATCGAGAGCGTTGCCGACAACGGGTCGTGGTTTGAGATTGGGAGGATGTGGGGACGCACGAGTATAACAGGTCTGGCACGAATGGGTGGGAGACCCGTGGGAATACTTAGCTTGAATTGCGAGGTCAATTCGGGCGCGCTGGATGCGTTGGGAAGCCAGAAGTTGATGAAGATGATCAAGTTTTGTGATGTGTTCAATTTGCCCATTGTGCAGTTTGTGGACGTTCGTAAGTTACTCCTGTCCTCTCTTCGAGACTCTTGGTCTCTGTATGCTCTGTAGTGACACTCATTATCTGTCTAGCTGGATACGCCATCGGCACTGTCGCCGAACGTTCTGCCACGATGAAGTGGGGTGTCGAACTCGGCAAGGCTTATTATTCAACCACCACCCCTATCTTCTCCGTCATCACCCGCCGTGTCTACGGAGTCGCCGGAGGTATCATGCTCGACTCGCGCGAGCCGTGGATGAGAATTGCCTGGCCAAGCGGGAATTGGGGGAGTCTGCCTCTCGACGGAGGCATTGAGGTCGGTCATCGTCACGAATTAAAGCAGATCGGCGAAAAGCATGGTTCTGAGGCTGTCAAAAAGCGATATAAGGAGCTTGAGGACGAATATATCCGACTCATGAACCCGGTGAGGTCTGCTCAACCGTTCAATGTCGAGGAGATTGTGGACCCCAAGGATACCAGAAAGATTGTGTGTCGCTGGGTGAGGGAGATGTATGGCGTCGTAATGCAGGAGAGGCTGGCGGATCGTGCGGCAGGAAGGATTCATGCTGTCTTCACCTAATCGAGGGTGACGGGCTTCTCACTCGTTGCCGTTCTCGGCCTGCAGCTTCTCGAATCCGGTCTTAGCCTTCTTCGTTTCTTCCATCTTGCCGATGCCCTGGAGTGTCAGATATACGTCCGTGCCCCAACCGTACATACTTTGAACAGCAATTGCTCCACCAAAATACTCGGCGTAAGCTCGTCCCAAAGGCAGACCGTATCCAAGGCCTGCAATAGAGCTCTGATCTGTTCCACTGTGGGAAATGGCATTCAGACCTGCACTTCCTCCCGTGTCATCGCTCGCTTCATCGACTTCATCCTTGTTGAATGTGGTGAAGCTGTAAGACCATATGTTTGCAAGTGCCTCCGGCGGAATCCCTCCACCTCTGTCTCGAATCCTCAAAGTGATGCAAGGAGCAGCAGCATTCAGTGGTCCGATATCCGCATCTGGAGAAGAACAGTATTCGTCGAGACCTTCTTGCGAGAAATCGAAAGCGTTCGCTTCGGTCACAGAAAGCTTCTTCAGCGAGTCAAGTTTGGTCGTCGTCACATCCGGAGCCGATGCGATCGTCACTTCGATGGGCTCACCTTCTTTGCCAGATTCAATTGTTGCTCTCATGGCGTTCTTGAGCAGCTCTGTGATGATATATTCGAGATGCATGGGGATGTGAGCAAACTCTGCATCAACCTCGCCATTGATCACCAACGACGGCCGGACACCGTATTTCAGCTCACAGACTTCCCCCACAAATCCTTCGCATTGTCTTACTATATCCGCCGGTCGCAATGCCAGGTCAATAACCCCGACGTGGTGCGAATCAGGCGGCTGGGTGGCTGCGTCACCAGTCGAAGCCATATGGAGTGCTAGATGTTGTTCCGCGACAAGTCTGGTTCCTATTCTTGCACGGAGGTGTTGATCCAAGAATGTTGTCACCTCGGCTGGTTCGATGTACTTTCGACACTGTAGGAAGCCTTGGGCTAGCGTGGGGATTGTATTGGAGTGCGTCCTGACTAGATCTGCCATGACGTCTGTGAATTTCATTTCTTCTTCTATCGTCTCTATAGGCTTCTTGTAGAATGGCTCCAAGGTGGATAGGGAGTGCAGGTAGTTATTGTAGATCTTGGAGACATGAGGATTCGCAACAACGATGAACGGTAGATTTCGAAGCGCTTGAATCCGATGAGCTAGGCGCGCGGGCAGGAGTGATAACGTAAAGTTCGCCGAGTCCAAAAGAGCAGCATCTCGCAATGGAGGCTTGCCATGTCTGTCGTAGTCAATAAAGGTCGAGCTTGGTCGAGTGACGTACTAACCTGACCAGATCCGCGAGTGTGAGAGGCCGACGAGGCTTTGCTGCAAGTCTGTATATTTCTTCATCTGATATAGTCGCGTTCGATGGAGGATGCGACCATTCGTTGATGTCTGGGGGAAACGGTTGCTGAGTGGTTTGACTGGTCCATCTGCGCTGGAGCAGCGGAAGAGCACGCCGCGAGAAGGCAGTCTTCAGCATTCTGCAGAAGCGGAGGAGCTATAGAGCATGACGCGGAGCACTGCAGGTCAGCTTGAGTCTGCAAGGACCTCATCAATCATGTATTTTCACCTCTCGTCCAGCACAGAGTCGGAGGCATTGAGTCACGTCACATGCGGTGTCTTGTGAGACTGACTATGGACTGAAGTGCTGGGAAACTATGCCGAGACTTACCCCGCACTCTGGAGAGAAGATAACGATAACGCAACGAATGGGGTGTCAGGGACACAAGGGAGCAAACAGCCCTGGCGTGCCCCGGGTAGGTGCCGGGGGCAGCCCAATGTCAACCGTGGTCAATGCAGTGGACCGACGTAACTCACGGCAAATGGCCGGCTGAAATCATAAACCTACTCAATTGATTGGCAACCCATTTGATCCCGCTCGTCGCACACCAGTTGTCAATTCAGAAAATGGAGAGACTTGGACAGGAACTATGCCAGCCAGTCCCTACTCCTTCTCCTTTCCGCGTCGATTGTATTGGAGGGCCGCGGATTGAACGCGAGAACATGGCTCCTTTGACGAACCCTTAGCCATCGAAGCTGTTTTCCGGGAGCTCGGTGCGACCGCAGAAATCGTTGGCCTCCCTGATGGCGCTGCTGGGGAGGTTCCCGTTGCTATTGTGCAGCAGAGGAGTAGTGATTGCACCGACGCAAGATTGAGACAGACTTTGCTGCGGACACTCGGCGCGACATCTATGGTCGAGCATATCATCGACCTCCGAGACCTTGGTCTGAATGACTACCCGCGCATAAGTTCCGGCAAGCCAAGGAAAAATGAACTGTGTACAATAATCAAAGAGCATTTTGCTTCAAGGGGCAGCTCTCTGTTAGAGCCTCACATTGATCCGCAGCACACATTTTCTCTGCCTGATTTCTGCGCATTGTGGCAGAAGTTGCTGCACGTCGAACCTGGCATGAGCCTCACCCCGGCCTCGTCTGTGTTCGAGTTCGCAGACTCACTACTGCTTTCCCGACTTCCCAAGTTGCTGAAGGAAGAAAGAGGCTTGACTCTCGGACTGCATGATGTCGTTCGAAACTCGGTCATCAAGGACCAGCTTACTCTTTTGAGCACCACTACACGTGTCGGCCAGGCAGTACTGCCGCCGACGGGCGCCCAGCGAGCAGGTCAACCGGGAGTCGAAGACATGAAATTCGTCCAGGGCGATGCGAATTTCGCCAAGCAAGCACAACAAGCGATTCAGAACATCCTATCGCCGCTAAATCTCTCCTGGGACAACAATGTCGAGGATGTCATCCCGGTGTACAGTTTGATGGAGCTCTGGCTGCGTCAACGGAGGCAATTGAGCGGATATATGCGTAGTGAGTGGCTCTGTGCAGCGTCCGTTCAAGACGTCTCTCGTGCCCTCCGACTCGCACTGACAGAACACGCGATATTGCAAAGTATGGCAGCGTATGTTCCGGGCGTGGCGCTGCCTGCCCACGAGCATCAGGCCGTCTTCGTAGTCATGCGGCCAACGGACTCGTGGTTCGACGAGACCATTGTCCTTCGTGATGAGGTTGTGGAAAAGACTGGAGATCTGATGCAGCTTTTCATGGATGACTTAACAATCGATTTTGTTTCACGTCCTGGGCCTTTGTGCGCTTTATGCTGTTCAAAATGATTGACGGTGGCACTGGGCTGATATGGCACGGTCATCACAGCTTGTTCGATGCCAGCAGTATGCCTTCATTCTTCGATGCGGTTGAAAGAACCCTCTCGGGAAAGCCGGATACGAATACTTCGCTTGTGCCACACAAGTTATGGGCCGACAGCTTGTACAACCTCTCCTCGTCACAATCAAAATGCTCAGACTTCGATCGACTGGCATATGAAGCGGCTTCTCAATGCGCCGATCAATCTCACCTCACGAGGGGACGCTCTCTTTTCCGCAACGCACGCCAGAATGGTCCAAATGCCGATCGACGGGATGGGTTGATTGGAAAACTTGGGTGCCTGGTCCAGAGCGCAAAGCGATGGACGATCCTCCTGCGGATGGGGTCGAGGGTATTGTGCACGTTTGTAACTTGCCCTCGGGAGTCCGGCAGTTGCTCAAGTCGCTGCATCGAGTGGACGTGACACAGATCTTCAAAGCCGCAGTGGCACTTGTCAATGTGTGTATGACGAAGGAGCCCATAGCCCTGTTCGAGTAAGTTGTTGCCGCTCGTAGTTGGCCCTTCCTGCCTGATTGGCAGGCACATGTGCTGCCAGCTGCCACTGAGGCGGACGGTCCCACTATTCAATTCGTCTTTTGCGCAGTGGTGCTGGACAACTTGGAGGATACGACCTTGAGTCTTATGCAGAGGCTGCAGAGGAACAACAGGAGCTGGCGCAGCATGGTGCTGCTCCGAAAGACGGTATATTCTCTGCGTTGGCGAGAGCCAGTCCCGGTGCTGGAGAGATTGCGTATCAAGTCTTTCGGAGGCAATGCTGGAACTGGGTGATTTTGGATGATGATGATAAAGACGATGAACAACGAAGGAAGACGAACCTGATCCATCTCATTGATCGCGCTGATCATGGGTTTGTTTGGCAGTGTACCACCACCACAAAGCATCTGGACCGGCTCACTGTCAATCCCAGGTAGGATGCTGCGCAGTTGAGCCTGGCCGAGGTGCAGAAAATGTTGAGCATGCTTGATGATGCTGTCGCCATGCTGGCGAGCCAGGATGGTTGGAAGAGGAGTATACAGGATGTGATACCGAGGATGGGGTCAACTCTCTGATGACCACGGTAGTAGCGAACAACAAACAAGCAGGAAGGGTGTCAACGAGGAAGGTACCTACCTAGGTACAGATTGATCAGATCCAGCAGATCCAACAGAGACGGCTCTTGGCTGCGGCAATGGCCTCGAAGTGAACAGGTTTCGTTGACCTCGAATTATCTACCTGGTATTCATCTGCCTCTTGTTCTCACCTCACTTTTCACTCTCGTCTTCAAAAATTGCAACTCACCTCAACTCCTCACATGTCCCACGGAGCACTCAGATCTATCAGCCACAACCCGCACCACTATCCTACCCCTCTTTAATGTCTCGACAAGCCGGTGCCTCACCCAATGCTGGCACCATGGGTTAGGATCCCGTGGACGACGCGTCAGGGAGTCTCGAATATGAAGGCAGACAAATCCACCCTCGGTTTCCTCACACTCCTCCTCCGTCAATAGAATCCACTCCTCTGTGCAATGTCGATTCAGTGGATTTGGAAGATCCGGCTGCATATACCCATTGCGATCAATCCGACGTTGCAATACCTGCTTCGGGGGGATCGACACCGCGGAATGAAACTGCTCATACTGTCCAAGTGCTCCGAGTCACATCACTTCTCCGAAGCAATACAATCTTACAGAGCAACCATTCTCCCGTCCACCTGAAACGTTAATCACAGGAGCGAACCTCACGCCACTAGGCGCAAGATCTCTAAGCTTAATAGTCAACTCCCCGCCAACTGGTCCGAGTGACCGCAGCTCATACATTGACTTCACCCTCTTGAGACCATGGAGATCGAGCAAACAAATCTTTCGAGCCGTGCCTTCATGGCCAGAAGAACGCATCAAGAAGGGTGAAGTTAGTCCGCCACCAGAGCCGGGGAAGTGCAACAGTATATGTGCAAGAGATCCATTTCAGCCACCGACTTGGGAAAATGTCCGAAAGCACCTGACATGGGCGGTGACGGGTTCGCCTTTCATTTCATTCTTCACAAGTTTCGAATGTGCATGGCGGTGGAAAGAGAGGTACATCAGAGAGGGCGCCTGTCGAGTCCGCATTTTCTGCTTCAACGCCCAAAATGTCGCCACACTGCTGGATGGGAATACGCTGGCTAATGAACTTGGGATCACGACTGACAAAGTCGGAACCCGGCACGCTTTCGAGTACCTTGTTTGGGGATGGATATCTGGAGCCGAGTGTGCAGGCGTGTTCGATATGACATGTTGATCCGAAGTGTACCAAACTGCCGGCTTTGCCCTGTGCTACGACGTCTGTGTGATGCCCTTGTGGATGTTCAGATGATGAAGTGTACAGGTGTTTCTCTGAGTCCGCAAGTCGATGAAGACATTGTGAGAGCTATGAAGCACAATGACGGCGACCGGAATACTGAACGAGGGTCCTATCCGATGTCCTCAGCCGACATTATTTCCTTTTTCACTTCTTAGAGGTGGTCTTGGGAAGATCTTTCGACCTACGGCTTCAGCAACACGAACCCATCACTCCCAACGTGTTCCGCTTCTTCAAACGCCTTCTCCCACTCCTCCAGCCCATACGTCCCAAAACATTTCGCGCCCATTGGCGACATCTGCTGTTGCTGATACAGACTCACCACCCCCGTTTCCACCAGATTGATCATCCTCCTCACATCCACCGCTTCAAACATCCACTTCCCTTTGATCATTATCCCCCAATGCATGATGCGACTATGCGGCAGTGCCACGTCGCCCATGATTCCACCCATAAGCACACACCGTCCGCCTTTCTTCAACGCCATGATGCCCGCTTTGATATGCCCCGAAGATGCAGCCGCAGGTGGACTTGTATCGAAAAACACATCAATGGACCCTCCTAGGTTTTCCAACCTCTTCAAATCCTCCTCCCACTCACCGCTGAGTCTCACACACTCTACCCTCGACCCCTTCGCGCCAGCAGCAATCTTGACTTTGTCCAGCGTTGCCATATTCCGACCCATTGCGATCACCCTCCCTGCGCCCAACGACAAAGCAACATGCACCGCCGCACTTCCAAAGCTGCCCGTCGCCGGAGCCACTACCACCGTCTCACCGGGCTTGATGTCAATACCCCCTGGTCCCAATCCGCCGTACGGGACCATCATTTTGGGGATGAACATCAGGTCTTCCATGCTATACCCCAATTTGTCGAACAACTTGAGCTCGTCGACACGGTGGCAGTTCTCCAGCGGCCAGCGCACGTATTCCGCGTACGTCCCGTCACGCCACACCTCGCTCATGAGCTTCTTGCTCGCTGGACTGTACCCGTCGTGGATGGCCGATAGGAATGTGCTCGTGGAGGCGCTGTAGCCGTTGGTGTCGTCGCGGCTGGAGATGGTCACATCGAGAAAGCACAGGTCGCCGGCCTTGAGACCAATGGCATCGGGACCCAGTGCGACGATACGGCCGAGGGCGCTGGAACCGAGGGTCAAGGGCGTTGGGTATGGGTATTTCCGAGCGCCGTTGTAGATGTCCTTGGTGTAGGAGAGGATGTTGGCGAGTTCGACTCTGAGAACGGCGGATCCAGGGGTGGGCTGCGGCGTGGGTATGGTCTGGACAATGGGTTGGGAGGCATAGGTGTCCTGGCGCAGCGCGCGATGGGTATGCGGGATGAGAGTATACATTGTAATTGAAAGGCGACTTCGTCGACGTTCTTGGGCTCTTGGACGGGAAGAAGAACTCTCCTATCCATCTCGTTGCCTTCAGTCCTTTTATACCTTACTTTCCATATCCCGTTCGCTCCATCCATCGCCATGCTCCCGTCTTGCGGACCCCATGTCTGTCACCGAGACTGGCTTCCGGCCGGTGCAATCCTTGCACTCTGCACGTTCGTCGGACTTCATGCTGTATCTCCGTCGAAAGCCACGCTTGCGACTCCTTAACCACCATCCTAAGATATGTAGTGGTCTAACTATACCCTTTCAGAAGGAAAGGGTTTAGCGCGTCGACTTGCCCCAATCTCACAACTTTGGTTAAGTCCGCCAATGAAATCACTACGACAGGGCCAGAACGGCTGGCATTGTCGAGGACGGAGCAACTGTTCAGCCGGCTATCCTTGACCTAGCGAAAGAAATAATTGAAGGTGGAAGGGAGCAGGAGTGTGCGTGTAGAGTCGTTGGTATTGGGTAAAGGCCCGTAGACCTAAACTACCTACGTACTCTACACAGGTCACCATGAGCTAGGAACAAAGTGGTTCCTCCATACTCTTACATGATCCCAAAAGTTGACAATGCGAAAAAGTCTTCTTGCAAACCCACGAAACTGGGGTGCCATTTGGCTCTCGGGTGGTTCATGCCATACTCATGGATGATTCAAGAATGATCTTCAGAGTACAACATGACCGTATTAGCACACCAAAGCTGCGCAAAGGCGGTGCTTACCTCGTTGATACTACTCGAACTCAACGTAGTCGATGAGATCTTCAATATCCGTGCCTGCCAGAAGGTACTTTTCTTCCTGGGTCAATTCCGGAAAGGAGGCTGTGGCGGCTAGGTCCTGCAGCATGTGCGCATCAACCAGCTTATCTCCATCCTGCTCTTTGGGAGAGGATGAGATTGATGCTGGCGTACCCGTGACCGGAGTCCGAGTCTGTGGCAGTTTAGTGGGAGCAATACCCCCCTTGAACGCCAACTCAAGCTGCGTCACAGGACATACCAGCGTATTGGTAGCCTTGAGACCATTGTCATTCTTGAGATGCTCCTTGACTCGATCGTCGACGCCGACGCTATCGACTGCAACAGACTGCATAGCCAACGGATTAGGTTTTGCAGTTGCCAATCGATCCTGAGGCCTGGACACAGGAGGATCATAGAACGAGAACATCGGGACCGGTGGACGTGGAGCACGCTGTTGACCCATCCCGTTTTTGGGTGGGCCAGTGTCCATAATGTCAGAGTTCCCTTTCGCCATTTGCTCTTGAGCATTGCGTTGGCGGAAATATTCATAGACATCAGTCCATTCTCCCATACCTCTAGGTGGGGGCGGTTGATAGTCAATCACAGGTGGGACTGTGGTCCCATTCCTGGCAAAGGCCATCGCCTCCCTGAAGTCTCTTGTATGGCGAGGTACCGGATCTCTGGGTGTGACATCTCTGGGTTGACCAGCTCGTCGCTGGTCGTCTCGGGGAATGGCACTGATGGGTCCCGAAGGACCTCCGCCATTGTCTCTGTAAGTCTTTGAGACTCGATTTTGACGTTTCGATGGCTCACCATGGTGATAAATCGTGAACTATGTTCACGTTATCGCATGAGAGATTGTGGTTGTGGTGGGTGAGGAAGAGGGCGCAGTTTGCAGAAATTAAAACTTGTGAAATTCTGCCAACAACACTCAGGGCAGTCACCAGCATGTCTCACTTAACTGCTCAAGGCCATCAACAAACTCACTACTATTCACTTACTTTCTTACGAATGCCAGTGCCATCTTCCAATCTTAATCCATAAGCTCACCATGAATCTTCTTATCCACTCTTCTTCTCATCTCACCGCAGCCACTCATCCACCTTTCAACACGAGGCATGCGAACGCCGAGCCCCTCCCATATCTACATCTCCTTCAGATCTAACGATCGAGCGAGTGAGTCCTTCATATGGAAATGATTCCGAGCGAACATTCGTCTCCATGAAGTTTTATATCGATGAAAAGTTGGCACTTGAGAAGAGAAGTGCAAGCGAATCACACTGGCCCACATATTTGCTGCTTGTCGACGTCAACAACGCTAAGATTGTTACCCCATTCGACAGAGCACAAGCTCTCCATCATCGGATAACTACAGTAGAGCTGAGAAGATTGGATAGAACCCGGACGAGCGAGTTCAGAGCTTAGAGATGGGTTGATATCTAGATACTACCTACGCCCTTGCAACTGATTCTCCTGAACGCACATCACTCGACAAAGAGCCGAATATGGACATTGCTAGAAAGAAAAGGGTCAAGGTAGGGAACGGATCGGCTAAGTCTGATAGCGATGGTGAGGAAAGCTCTGGCAAGGATGACGATAACCATCAACCATCCATGCCATCTCGAGCTTTGAACGGTATGCCCCGGTCAGAGCCCACATCGATTGTTGCCATGCAGGGGTTGGTCAGAGGGTAAGCTGGATCTGGAGTTTGCACACGCGTTTCCGCGAACAGAGGCTCCTACTTTGTGATGAGTTGCTAGCTGACACGTCGGACTCTTCAGTAATCAAGGAGTCCCAAACGATGCGCACGAAAAGTGCATGAGCAGGACAGGCGCACCAGTGGATTCGACGTTCGCTCAGCGTCTCAATCGATCCTCAGCCTTTACCAGCGAAACTTTGCGCGACGCTTTGGGCTGTTATTTCGAATCTCTACTTCAATTGGATGTGGTATCCATCATCAACGCTTGAAAGACAGCATTGCCGCTCATACAGCGAAAGCAAATTGGAGTAATTGACAAATGTCAAGCTGGCATGGCGCAAAGGAAGCCATGATTTGGTGATCCTTCAAGGCAACGCTCATCGAGAAGGAACGTACATGTTCGGCTTTTTGTTGAAGCGAAAGGCGTTGAGGGAGTCATCATGGAAGCTTCTCCTAGGAACAGATCGGAGAAGGCTGATGGCCAAGTTAGCGGACCTGATAGAGGAGCGTAAGGAGCTCCTCGTCTCTATTTATGCCTGGGATCATCATCTTCTAAGACAATGCTCCACTGAACTCGAGTCCGGCGAATCATTCGCGCTATCGCGTTCCAGCGTCGCCAACTGACATTTCGACGTCGTCTGCACCGGACTTCTTCAGCATCTATCCTACCAAATGCAAGGACCACCGGGATTGTTTCAAGTGGCTTTCGCATCCTGGGCTGATCTCCAAAGATAAGATCCGAACACCCATTACATTAGATAGGTAGATTGTCATCCCGAAACCCAATACCGAAACTCGTCTCCGCACCTTTTTCGCCAGGCCGAGTGTGTTTCCAGGATTTCAGAGGTCTCCTGCTCTCGGCAGCTCTCAGCGTATATTCCCCCCCTGTGCGAAGGTGAGTTAGTTAAGTAACAACGTCACAATGTGATATTGGAGTCTTCGGAGCAATGGCCAGTTTGGATTATACTAGCTCATTACAGTCGATCATATGTCCCGGAGCCAGTCTTCAAAGCACGCAAGCCTTGGCAAGAATCACGTCTCATATGCCAATACTTCTCATGCTTGGGAAATTTCATTCTACAACACATCATTTGTTTGATCATTATCGTGCCCAGAAAGTCCAAGCAAATTCCGAGTCCTGGGTCCGTCAATGGGTTCATCAGACAACATATTTTCGCACAGATTCAACACTTCCAAGTCCTTTAGTTGCAGTGGATTCATGGCGCACCGCGTATGCCTCTTGTGTGATTGAAGCAAATACATGATGTTATCATAAGAAACTTTGCGGTAGGTACCTCGAAGATGGATCTGGGCTTGTATAAGAAAAGGACGGCGCCCCAGGAATATTGAATGACCACCACCGAGAGGTTTGAACTGCGTTCTCCTACGTCTCTTTGATTCGGCTCTTCCACTTCCACTCGAGCCAGCCCCATAGATAATATGTCTTCGCCCAGCACTTCTCAGACCAAGGTTCTCGATGAACTCGGATGTACTGACAAGGAGGGTGCGACGGCAGCTACAGTAGCTACTTCAGGAGGCCAAGATAACGATATAACTCAAGACATTGATGGCGATTACGGCTCATACGGAGGCCATGTCTTTTCTGATCCCAAAGTCGCAGATTACTGGAAAGATGTTTACGAGAACGCTCGCTATGAGGGCAGACACCGGTTTGATCCTAGCTTTACCTGGTCTGCCGCCGAAGAAAAGCGTCTGAAGCGGAAGGCATGATCCCCACAGCTGTCCTTCCACCGTGATAGCATTGACCGGTCATCTAGGTTGACTATCGCATTATGGCGTGGTGTTGGATGATGTTTCTCGCACTGGATCTCAATCGCCGTAACATTAACAGAGGTATTCAACTAGATCCAAGCTTTCTACATTTGCTAATAGTCGGACAAGCAATCAGTGACAACATGCTAGAGGAATTGGGCATGAACACGAACGACTTCAATTACGGTCAAACTATCTTTTTGGTGTCATTCCTCTCAGCCGAACTGCCCTCTGGTCTAATTTCAAAGAAGCTAGGCCCCGACGTGTAAGATTACTTTTGCTGAACGAGACTGGAGCTGACATTAAGCAGTTGGATACCTTTTATTATTACTGCATGGTCCATTATCTCCGCTGCACAAGCAGGCCTCACTGGCAAGATAGGCTATTATATCTGCCGGTGTCTTCTGGGCCTACTCATGGGAGGTTTCATTGTAAGCCTGGCGCTTGCTGTCTTAGCAGAAACTAACCTAACCATAGCCCGACACTGTTTTGTATATCACATACTGGTACAAATCCCGCGAGCTTCCCATTCGGTTAAGCTGGTTCTGGACAGTCCTTAGCACTTGTAATGTCCTCGGCTCTCTCCTTGCAGCTGGGATACTTCAAATGAGGGGCATCCATGGTTGGGCCGGCTGGCAGTTCTTGTTCCTGATTGAAGGTGTCATTACTGGCGCTGTTGGTGTTGCAAGCTGGATTCTCATGCCTGCAAGTCCGTGTCAAACTGCTAGTAGGTTCCGAGGGAGGAAGGGATGGTTCAATGAACGCGAGGAGAAGATCCTAGTCAACCGATTGCTGCGAGATGACCCGTCCAAAGGTGATATGCACAACCGCCAGGCCGTCGGGCTTGAACGTCTCTGGAAATGCCTGAAAGATTACGACCTCTGGCCTCTTTACCTCATTGGGCTAACGACCTACATACCACCAAATCCGCCGCAGAACTATCTCGCCTTCATCCTGAGGCAAATGGGTTTCAGCACCTTTGATGCCAACTTATTGACGATTCCTTCACAATTTCTCTTCGGGGTCAATCTTCTCATTATTTCCCGTATTAGCGAATGGGTTAATGAGAGGTCGCTTATATCCTCGACCTCCAATATCTGGATCTTCCCTTGGCTGGTGGCTCTTGTGACTCTTGGGGAAAACGCTAGTCCTTGGGTCCGATATGCTCTCCTTACTGGACTTCTCTCATATCCATACTGTCACGCAATTCTTGTGGCATGGAATTCTCGAAACTCGAATACTGTTCGCACCCGTGCTGTGTCTGCAGCACTATACAATATGTTTGTTCAAGCTGGAAATATCGTGGGCTCCAACATTTACCGAGAGGATGATCGACCCTTGTGTATGTTTTTCTTCTTTCGCCTTCCTCTCCACATGCTGACACCAATCTAGACAGACGTGGCAACAAGATCTTGCTCGGCATTTGCTGTTTCAACATTGCCCTGTTCTTCTTTGTGAAATACTATTATTTACATCGCAACAAATCGAGGGAAGAAGCCTGGAGCAAAATGTCTGGAGAGGAGAAGATCGAATACATTCACAATACCAACGACGAAGGTTCTAAGAGGCTCGATTTTAGATTTGTCCACTAAGGCTTTGACAACCTGGCGGAGGGGGAAGATCGCCATGTATCGCGACCTTCAAGGTTTATTCCTTGACGCAGTTTGTTGGCACTTCCAGGATGGATGTTGGAACATTACATCGGAAAGAAACAAAAATTGAGTGGACTTTTTAGGTATGGACTGTCCAATCGATACGACTGAAGAGGACGTCTTCATGACGACCAGCTAACTTCACGAGGGAGAGAGAAACCTGATGTGTTCTATCGAAACCACTAGTGGAGAGCACCGCATTGTGCCATGCCGTCTACAACGCAAGGGCTAGTTACAAATCCAGAACATCATGACTAGGGAATGCGTACCTACTAGGACAGGCAACAGAAGCTGTGTACATACCTTTGAAACATACCTTAGATAATCATTTGATCAAAGTCGGGTCACCGTGTGGTCACCCTAACTCGCCGCCAGCCTTGCCTACCAGGTAATTTGGGCTACGGTAGAAGTCATGCCTCGAACGTAAACGTGGATTTGCACGACTGTGAGCTGCAACATATTTGACAAGCTCCATCTATCTTGTGTAAGTGGCTACATCGGCTCTGAGGACCAATGTGTACGCTCATACCATCGTAGCCTCGTGGGATACTGCGCCTGGGGCCTTTATACTTCTCCGCACCGAGCAGCTCCTCCGGCGCTTTCCCCAGTTTTGTTCACCGTCTTGCTCAGGTCGCACAATCACAAACCACTACAGGATTGCAGAGCCTTTAGCAAGATGGATGCGCGGAAAAGAAAGAAACAGGCGCTCTTGATGGGCAAGAGCGGCTCGGGAAAGTCATCGAGATCCGAAATCTAAAAACGGCGACGTATACCCAAAAGATTTCCCGGTTTATGGTCCAAGATTCGTCTAGCCCTAGTAAACGTCTTCAACCCCTTAGCGTTTATAGTCTAATAGCGCTTATTATTCTATAGCGGCTATGATTAAAGAGTCGAATAATTGTTTCGCGATATTAATACACTTAATATATATGTCAGAGTACTCTCGGGTGGAACCGTCAGATAATAGCGAGAGTAAGCGAGCGAACAGCACGAGAACAGCAAGAACTTGGAAGGTATCAGATGGTTTTGGTTCAAAATAGCCCCTATTGACATCGACTACTCCTGTCGTTACAGCAGATCTTTGAGAATGATCTGGTTAACGAGATGCTGCGCCGAAGGCCCTGCCACCAATCTGAGCGCCTAGATAAAAGAGTCTATTGCGCCTGGGGCTCTCGCAACCCTGAGGAATGCCTCGCAGCCGCGCCGGCATCGGATAGAGATAAGAGACAGCCATCAGGCGAGATCTCTGGCAATGAAATGGTTCTCGGTCTAGCAGACAAGCCAGATGTGTTATTACAGGTTGCAGCAGTCCCTCGACTCAGCCTTGGCCTTGTCACATTCTGGCTGTGACGAACGAGTGACTTACTGGACAGGATCGGAACACCCGGCCCCTGCAATTTTCTCAGTGACTGACTGGAGATATTCCATGGATATGTTTACCATTGTGAGAGACTGCCCTAGAGGGACGTCGCTTGCCGCTCTGTTCCACTTTTTGCTCGCCTTTTTCGGGGCGGACAGTGGTTTGTAACGTGGCTCCTCTCTCTGGGCAGTGTTTCTGTGGTAGTTACAAGGAGAGTGATCGTAGTAAAATATGCGGCAGAGGATATAGGCAAACTTAAAGTCTTCTCTTGATTTTCTCATGGTGTGACTTGCATGTTGCCCATGTGATGCGAGGATTAGGTCGGGATGTAGATTCGGCGTTATTGTCCATCCTTGCGTTCAACTTGAACTTGTGATAGCGGTATCGATTACTCCGTATACCATGCCGGTGTGCTTTGCCTGAGTCAGGACTCAAATTATATACATGCTCGTGTGTGCAACTTCATCAGACATTATGTATAATCCACTTCCGTAATCGCGGCTCCGTCGGCGACTCCTCATGACCGAAGCAAGAACATTTACTTCGATCCGGACCTCACAGAGCCCGGAGTCATCTCATAGTACCACAAGGCACCCTTGGCCTTCGCACAGCTTGAGTTGGGCGTCGTCGCGTTGACCGGAAGCGAATTTCCCTCCTGAGGGCGGCCCACAACGTGGCTATAATACCACACCTCGCTCACCACCGTGCGACCAGTGTCGGTACTGTTCTTCCCTGCCTCGGTCGTGTTGTACCGGGGCCCGGAGCACCCTATGTAGGGTGTGGCGCCGTACTTCTTCGTCAGTTGGCCTTGAATGTCCGACAAGGTATACTGAGTGCTGTTACTGGGCGTGATCTTCGCCTCGCTCAGCCACGACCAGGTCGGAAGGCGCTTGTAGTATTGGATCGCGGTCTCGAAGAAGTCGACGACCTCCTCGTGCTGGCGATACTCAGGTCCATAGCACGGGACATCAAAGGTCGAGAAGCAGGTCGCATGCTTGGAGAACTCGTGGGCCCAGAAGTCGGTGTTGGGCGCACCCTGGTTGATCCAATACGTATTCATCCAGCTGAGGAGGTCGTACTTGCCGAATGGGGTGAGGAAGGTGTCGATACTTGGGCCCTTATAGGCTGGTACGGCGGTGCCGTTGGGAAGACCAGTCGTGGTGTTGGGGCTGGGAGCTGGGTCGTATTGGCGGGTCAGGTCGCAGTATTGGGTGTAGCTGCCATTGCAGAAGTCAGGCCACAGGCCGTGCAACGTCCAGGTATTTGCGGGGAGAAGTTGGCCCTCAGATTCGAGGCCGGTGTAGGTGGACCAAAATTGCGTGGACAGTAAGAGGCCCCCAAAGGTCTCGGTGCAGCAGGTGTCGGCCTTTAAAGGGTTGGCGCCTGCGGAGCAAGAGAGGATCGATGGTTCTGCATATTGGTCAGTGGATGGCCAGCGGCTTGCTCGTCTGAGGACTTACCTAGTACGCAAGTGTGGTTGGCATTGGATTCGCCGTACAGCGAGGCGTGTGCCACGGACGTGAGAAGGGCCGCAGCGAAGGCTGCGTGCTTGGGGGCCATGCTGGCGATGCGAGGTTCAAAGTTAAAGGAGAGTTGCGGGATAGCCACCGCACAAGATAGACATTCAAAGACAATAAAAATGTGACGCGAGAAGACGGTTTTATAGCTGTAACTTACCTAGAGCTCCTTGCAGCTCCGCGTTCTCACTCCAGGCACGTTTTTTGAGCTTCATCGCTTAAAAGATAGATCCTCGATCCTGGTTGTGGAGAACAGAACACAAGTACTGGCGAGTCGGAGGGCGTGCATCAAGCACCTGCCTGAAAGTTCTTGAAGCTCCAAGCCTTGGACAAGCGGATGATGATATAGCTCGTAGGTAGTTCAAGGATATGGTAGCAATGAAAGAGAAACTAAAGGTGTACCTGCACGACAGGGTCTGCTCGTGCCGAAGTGATTGGAGAGCGAGATAAGCCAAGAGCGAAAGACGAATGGAAGATCTGGAGGACTTTTACACGATCTCGTTGTTGGAATGACAGATGGGAGTGCTCGATGTAACGTGGGGGTAAGCATCGTATTGTGTAAGTCTGTGGCAGACAGATTAGGCCTGCGCCAAGCTATCTAATAGGGAAGGTGTGACGAAGACACAGCAATGGCCCAACATCGTACAATCGAGACATCAATCATTTGTGGGTTCATCGACCATCGACGGCCCTCGCCGAACCCTTGGAACAAAAGTAAAATAATACCTGGACTCCAGACAGTTCCGAGATTGGAGCAATACCAGCGCCATACCAATAACCACGGAGAAATGCATCGTCGTGATGCAGGGCTTTAAATTATGGTATCCAGGTTGCACACTTTCTCTCGTTACTGGACGCTGGCCGTTGGCCGTTTTCCTCTTTCTCTGCTTCCTGAGCGATCCTTGAGAGCTCCCGGAGTCCTTCTCAGCATTGATCTTCCCTTTTTAGGATCCGTAACGACAGGAGGGGATTCTGATCTGGCTCCCTCCGCGTTCTAAAGCGCGCCGAACGATTAACTCTCCTAACCGCCAGACCGCCAGGACCTGTACGTGACCTGTACCATGTGCCGCAGCTCCGATAAAGCAGTACTAGGATTAGGTCGACCTCTCTCATGGCCTTCTTTCTTCCTGTTCGGTTGACGCTCTCTTCGAAGATGACCATTAAAGGCCTCGTCCTAGCTGGGGCAGCGAGGCGCATTGGGCTTCTTCCGCCAGACTGCACATACATTGGGAGTAAGTACTAGTTATGTGGTTCAAACTGGGCTGGTGGCTCTCATCTACTCCTTCAGCCTGTCCCTCCAACCTCAGTCACCCATTTCATTTATTCGTGTACCTATCTGCTGTTGCTTTCTCACAGCATCTTCCTTCAATCTGCTCAATCAGTCGTCGGAGAAAGATGGTGTGCAACTCAGTCGACCCTTCCGAGAGCACGAGCCGAGAACGAGATGCATATTGGGTTGCTTCCTACTATCCTCTGCTCATCATGCTGTTCAGCGTCCTCTGCCAGTCGAACATGCAGGAGATGAAGGAGAGTCTGGCACCGAACTCAGCATCGACATCTGCTCCAAACGAATATGACTCCTCGGGAGCCAGGGATTTATCTGTACATATTTGCTCAAGATGCTCCGCGCCGTACAGTGCAGATACTGCGGAGCGACGAAGAGCAAGGCCTAGGGTCGACGACTAACAAGTATAGCACTACCAAGTCCGAAAGTCCTTCGCCACCGAATGCTACCTCAAGTCCTCATCAAAACGCTCTCGTCGACGACACCTCAACTGCGGCCCAAGACCGGCGAATTGCCATTGCTTCGGTATGGCAAGTCCTCCAACTTTATCTGGTCCACCGCATGGGGGCGCTGGCGACGAGACTCACCCGCGAAACGGAGAGGCCCAAAGATTAGCGGTGATAATGCTTGGGGTCTGCACCTACATGGTTATTTTGTCTCTCGCGGTGTTGGAAAGAGCGTGGAACGCTGCCCTTGCGCTCCGTACCACTGGGAGAGCAGAATCGAGTGGAAGTTGTTTCCAGATAGTGAATAGTGTTGCGTTATTCTCATTGCTGATACCTTGGTATACACTGATTCGGGCCTAAAGGAAGATGGCTTCAGGGCAGGCGTGACCACCCAAGGTCCATTCTCTCCAGAAACACAAATGACTTTCCCTTGTCTCTCAAAACCAGAAAGCCGCACATGACACACCAGGTATGGACAAAGACGGCGCCTCCACCACGCTTTCAAGGTCTTCCTCCTTGTGATGTGATGTGGATGGAATTGGCCAGTTTCACTGAGTTTGGCTGAAACGGATGTCTAGCTGGCAGGCAAGTTTTGGCGTTCTCAGGGGTTGTCACTGAGCCTCAGTTGAATGCTTCGGCAAAGCACAGGTTAGCGCGGCCTTCGCTCTCCCTCTAGGATTGAACCATATACGGCAATTAGGTTTTTCCTTCTCGAATACTAAATCTAGGTTAGCATCACGCCAAAAGCCTGTCGCTCACCTTCCTCCCATGAACCAAACCGCTCGGCACTTTGCTCCTTGCAGCGCTCATTAAGCGTTACCGTGCCTCTGATTGCTGGAAGACGCCTAGTAAGAACAACCTAAACATGATGTGGTGATGAGGAGCACTAAGTCCAGCGAAGTATCTATTGAGCTGATGCGAGGGCTATGGAAGTTATGAATCATTAGCCCAGCTATATAGACCGATGTTACCGAGTAATCGAGCGAGTCTGCTAACATCCAATTTGAAGTACGTACTGTGTATCGACAGGCCAAGCACCAACCAATCATCAGGGAAGAAGTCTTCAAGCATCTGGTCGATAATCTGTTTGACCCAACATCTCCTGCCCCTGGGGTAGATTAGGTGCGCTAGTTGCGTTGTGCTGGGTTGCAGCTCGAGTACTGGCTGCATTCAGTCTCTCGTCCAACGCTTTCAGAGCCAATGCACGTCGTCGCTCCGCTTCGTCCCGCTTGGTCATTCCTCGCGCTCCTCGCGCTTGTCTGTTGAAACTAGGTAGACCGGCTTCGCCTCTAGCAGCGGCCTGTTCGTTGCCTGTTGCAATGTCGTCATCGGAGAACGGCGTACATATCTTGAGGTTGCAAAGCAAGACGAACACATGGTTGCAAAACGCCGCAATTGGCGGCTGGATAATATCAGGAAAGAATGTCGCAAATGCAAATGTCTCGCTTGCATCGCCTTTCAACCCTCCACTGTCGGAGTTCGTCGATGCCAGATCCGGTTGACGTTTATAGAAGCGCAGGTAGGTCCAGGTCGTAATGAGTCCGTACCAAGCCAATATGAGTGCAGTGTCCGTTCCGAGAAGGAGACCAGATAGCGTGTTTACGGCAAGGAAGACAGCCGGGAAATGTTTGACCCTCATCTTGATCATGCCTTTGTATATGCTCACAGTGTGCTCAGGAACCAGCTGCTTGAATGCGACAAGGAAGGCGGCCTGCAAGGTGATACCGCCATTGAGAGGAGTCGAGGTTCTTTCAGGGTTGCCGGTTATCGCAGCCCACAGGATATAGGTGGGAACGGCCAATAGGTTTGGTATTATTGAAGCAATGAGTATAACATAGATGAATCCTCGAGAACCCCATGCTCTTTCTAGATATTTCCCACCGAAAAACAAGGCCCCTCCTTGAAACAGCAGTGTAAAGATATTCTGCTCGACAAACGCGGCGCTCAGGAGCGTCCAAGGATACCAAATACAATGGGACGGTATGAGGGCCAAGTAGGGGACAATCCGTCGCGGAGAAGGTTCTGTTTCTCCAGTGGTAGGGCTAGGATCGGCTTGCAGGAGCCGCCATCGTGCAAAATTGTAGAGAAGCGTCAAGGCGACGGTCACCGCGAGGAGCGCTCGAGTGACTGGTGGAAGGTTGACTCTGAATGCCATTGCGCAAAGAGATGGTGAAGACGCATATCCTGCGGCAATGTTGTAGCCTGTGATTTATAGAAAAGCATACAGCGAGTGAACTGAGCAAAAGTCACTCGCGGAAATCGTGCTTTTCCTTGCTGAAATGCGCTGGCTACAGGGAGAGGGAAGCAGACGCGGCGGGATTGGAGTGGTGAGGTAACTTTCCAAAGCTTAGCCACGCAGCGGCCGCTCTAAGCAGGGTGAACAACTCACATTTGCGCCACAGACACCTACAAACACCAAAGATACTGATTTCCGGGTTGCAATGGATCAATTATACCAGCTATTTCGATTCAAGAAGACCGATGGCTGCATGGACTCAACAATCCAGCGGATCTTGATGCCGATAATGCGGATGCCTGGAAATGATGGATTTATTCGCATCACAAGACTTGTATGCTCGGTGTTGTCAAAGGTGAGGCTGACCTTGGATCTGTGGTGACCCTAGTCAGGAATAGGGTAGAAACTTAGGCACGAGATCTATGAAAGAAGTTAGCCTTATGGCTTCAAGCCTTAAAATGCAAGCCCCAAAGAGCCAGATGGCACAGGGTTTAGGCGCAGTGCATCGCCTATGAAAACCCTGAAACTGAAGCCCGCTCTTGGCTGTTTTGGCGGGCTAGTAGGCTAGTGATCTCTCCACCAGACCTGCTACGTGATGTGCGCTATCGACCCATCCACGCATCTCTTCTCTTACATGTCACCACTCGATTCAAGTTGTTTCCCAGATTCACCTCCATCGTCAATCCCAATCAAAGTACTATTCTGTCACTATCACTCCGACCTCACCGTCGCTTTGATCTGGCAAGCTCCTTCGAAACTCCCACTGTTGACAACCCAACCCGTGTTTCGCCAACTTTACAGCTCGCGCCGGATCGACCCCCAGCTTTTTTCCCTTCTAGATCCAATCTGCCATTTTCTGACGACCTAAAACTCCCGTACCAAACATTCTGCGCGACCTGTTCACCAGCCTTGACTAGCCCGCCATTCTATCAGCTACTTCATTCACACGACCAACCGCCCGCGCTTGCGCTTGAAGTCCTGTTTTCCGGCTTGACATTCACCAAGACTTTTCACTCGGTGTGCGAACGACCCCTGCTGGCTGTCTCTTGAGCGGAATGTCGGCATGGAGGCCGACAATGCCTCGACTTTCAATGCTAAGCCGCCACCATTGAATTCTGATCAACTCAACTATCTCATATGGAGGTGCGCAAACCATTAAACCTCCCCATTGAGAGACGCTGACCAGATTTTGTAGATATCTTCAAGAATCTGGTAGGCTGCCACGCGCCCGATCCACATTTTCTCTGTTCTAACCAACTTATCTAGGTTATGCTGAAGCAGCCGTCAAACTCCAGCGCGACTGGAAAGTTGACGCAGAGAGTCTACCATTCGCGAAGTCTATCAAAGGCCATGCACTCGTTCATCTCGTCCAGAAGGGACTTCGGTACCATCACCTGTCACTAACAATTGATGAGGTATTCCACTCATGTTTGCACGATCCCCAAACTGGCGCTAATCCTGTTTAAGAATGGTCGACCGTCGAAACAGCTCAACCCGTCAATGTTTTTCTTTGGTCCAGAAAGTAACGAACCACCGCCAGAGTTACGCGAAGAGTCTATACCAGCGGCATCGCCCGCGCCATCGAGTACTACCGCTCCGAAGTTATGCCGCGAAAGCGTTCCCAACGGCCTTCCTGAAACTCTTGCACATCCAGCATCTAAGCGAAGCCGGAAGACGGCAGCCGGCTCAGATCGTAATGGAGGCGTTGCGCGTAAGTCTTCCGGCGCAGCGCACCAAGTTGGACTTGATGTCGACATGACGAATGGCCACCCTCCCTCGGTGACAGATGCAAGATCCCCATCAGCCACCGAAGGAGGAGTCGACGAGCATGGTCCCATGGCTAATGGTGATCGCATGGACGTTGACGAGGAGTCATTGACTGCTGACCAGCCGAACCACGATATCAAGTCCGAGGCTGTACCGCCGCTGATTCATACCCTGAGCAACGGAGCAAGCGTAGGTATTCAGGTTGCGCCTGCCAAGGTGGCAAATCTAGCGCCTTCAACAACATATCTACAAATTCAAGATATTGTTCCAAGCCCAGAAGCCAAATCTCTGACGCGGGTATCATGGCGTCCAACGGACAATAATATTGTGACAGCCATTGGCGACAACTTTTGTGGAACATGGAACCTTGCCTCCGACTCTAAGCAGCAGCCTCCGTTTCAGGAGCTTCTCGAGTCGTCCACGTCAACTTTGGTCAGCGCTGTTGCCTGGGAGCCGAGTGGAGAGATGCTTGCCATTGCAACATATAGCAATCAATCTGGCCAGATACACTTGTTTGACGGACAAGAACTTGCCCTTATGGAGTCGTTACCAGCTTCGCAACGGGCAATCACGTCTCTGAGATGGCAAAGCCAGGGCTTGCGCTTGCTAGGCATCGCACCATACGACTCGGAGTCATCAGGTTCTCCACAGCATAGTGGTTCATCCATTCTTCTTTGGGATTTATCACGGTCTCCCAATTTTACCGGGCCATTGTCTGTGTCAGTTCCAGAGGTTCTTGTGGACATGGACTGTGCATTGTTCGACGGCAATGGCATTGTATGCGCAACTGGCCAGCGCGCAGTATATCACTGTCAGGCATTCTCGGACCTGGTGTTACAGCAGAAATGGATGTCCGACGCAACTGAAGGCGATCAATGGACTTTTGTCAGATGTGCCTGGCATGAACCATCCAGTGCTACTCTGGTCACTGCTTCGGCTGATACAGGGTCTCTGTGGATGCCGGTCCAGAATGTGTTCAAGAAGGGAGCCCACGAGGCAGCCATCACAGGTCTTGAGCTCCGTCCGCGGCAACCTGGCACAGGTCCGTCGATGAAGCAAGAATTCGCTACTTCATCAATGGATGGTACTGTCAAAGTGTGGGTATTGGACCCGGAAAGCAACGCTATTGTCTCGATTCGCAAGCTCATAATTGGAAATGCTTCGCCGATCATGACGCTTTCCTATTCTCCCGACGGCTTCTGTATGACAGGGGCGAGTTACGACACCATCCGCATCTGGAACGCCGAACATAATTATCATCACATGGCGACGTGGAAGGGAGAAGAAGAGTCCTGGAATGGGGCGCGACTCAGAGACGACGACATGATGAGTATTGGTGGCGCTTCGAGTATAAATGGAGACGGACTTCAGGCTAGCGCCGATCATTCTTTGAGTTGGGATGCTGACAGCAAGAAGCTGGCCTTTGGTCTTGGAGTTCAGGTGAGCGCTGCTCTCTCCTTTTCGTCGGGGCTTTGTACTGACATATCTAGGTCGCTGTGATTGACTTCCAGCGTTGAAACAATCAGGATCCTTGCCTGGTCCTCGAGGAGCGTCATCGAACTTTCTTGTAGGCATCGCCCTTCCGTAACATGTTGGGCTATACGATGCCAATTCAGGTCAATTATGGCTAGATAAGACCAGCGCCATTACCATTGGGTTGTTTGGTGGTCGAAGGATAGGAAGAGTCATTTGTGTTATCCAAAGCTGTATGATATCCGCCTGGATTGGAAATACAACCATTAATCATGTCGCAGGAGCGTTCTCGAAATCACCCCATTCATCCTCATCGGTGTACTCTAGAGCGTTATTCTTTGCGTTCGATAGAGGGGTTTGTGAACCCTTGGACACTCTCAGCTCCTCCTCGACATCTCGAAAGCCGCGAAGCCACGCAGTGACGCCCTCATGTAGAGCCTTCGCATCCGATGTACCATCTAGACCATTCTTCGGCGACACGCCAATCGGTTCTTCCACGTAATACCGGCCGCGAAACCTTCCACGACCCCTCGTTACAACTCTCCGCATAGTGCGAGCTGGCGTCGGAGAGCCATTGATCCATCCTTCGAGACCTGCAACGGCGCTCGACATAGCATCGACCGCGACCTCTTTCTTTGCAGATTCTGTATGAGCTCGACTCAGATCTGCGTAAATCCGGTCATTTTCCTGCCTCAGAAGCAGATTCTCTTGCTTCAACATCACCATATCTTCCGCAAAGGTGCGCAGTCTATTCTCTTGTTGCAGACATCGCTGGGCGACCGCCTCCAACTTCTCAACGGTCAATCGATGAAGATGTTTCTGCTCTTGCTGTCGCATGCGCATCGATTCAACGGTATTTGCCAAGCTTACTCGGACAGCTTCGAGATCTTGCTGTGAGACGGTCGCAGGCGGTGTCGCACGTTGCGGGGTGGATTCTTCTGAATCGCCTTCTTCCGACAAATCCTCTTCTAGAGCGACTTCGATGTCGCGAATCGCTTTCTCCAGTTTCCTCCTCTTCCCACTGCGGATTGTACCATCTTGTTCACTAGCCCAGATCTCTGACACCAAACCGTTGAGACGAGTTGCGATTTCGGAAGGAGGTGGTGTGTCAGATAGATTGGGAGACTCTGGTGACTTTTCGACGGGGCCAGGTGTGTTTGTTCGCAGGCTGATGGCTGAATCTGCGAAGAGCGAGTTGCTGGTCCAGGCCGAACCTGGGCGGATGGGGGAGATGGGCGCGGTGTGCTCCATCGACGAGATATATCACGAGTTTGTGTGTTTATTTGTAATATTAGGCCATATGCGATTTCATTGTGAGTGAGAGGTGATAAATGGCAGTCGTCTTGGGAGCGATTGGAGTGCGGGCTGGGCTGGGCTGGATGAGCATTAACATGTGGCTGGTAACATCACGGTCACGGATTGATCACATTGGTGGAGAAAATTATGCGCAGCGAGGCTGCACTGTGCCTGAACGAGTGTCTCCGAGTCTTTCGCGGATCTCTGACTCAAAATATATCGCGCGCTTCTAGGTCCTCACAGGAAAGTCGCCGGCCCGTACATTGACCAGTGATCAACCCTCATGACCATAAGGTGAGCTCCGGTCTCCCCAGAGACACAGAGAGCCGCTTATTTCTCACCTCCTGCGACTCTCTCTCCCACGATGGTAACCACTCGTTCCCCGTTTACAATATGGCGATTCCTGACAAGATACAGGCACAAATCCAACCATCTTTGGAGGAGGTGACCTCCATACTCTCAAAGTCAAAGTCTTCGCGATTCCCACCTAATCTAGTACCTCTCTGCGCCCAGATCCCAGCCGACCTCTTCACGCCTACGCAAGCATACCTCAAAGTATCCGAAGGCTCAAAATTGTCGTTTCTGTATGAAAGTGCCGCCACGACTGGGACCATAGGACGGTACAGTTTCGTGGGAGCAAACCCTCTCAAAGTTCTCAAGAGCGGTCCTGGTCATGGACCTGAGGAAGACCCCCTGCCACGCCTGGAAAAGGAATTGTCGCAATACCGTGTTGCAAGCGTGCCATCCCTACGACTACCACCGCTGACAGGCGGTGTGATCGGATACGTTGGTTATGATTGTGTACGGTACTTTGAGCCCAAGACGGCTCGACCCATGAAAGATGTCCTCAAGCTGCCTGAGAGCTTCTTCATGCTCTACGATACAATCGTGGCATTCGACCACTTCTTCAACGTCTGCAAAGTCATCACATATTTACGAGTCCCAACTTCGCCGTCAGAAGCAGAGCTTAAAGTGGCATACGAGGAAGCGTCCGAAATTCTGCAAAAGACTGTCTCTAAGCTCCAGTCCGAACACATCCCACTGCCCCATCAACCTCCGATTGCAGAGAATCAGCCCTCAAAGTCGAATTTCGGAAAAGAAGGATATGAAGCTCATGTAACACAGTTGAAGAAGCACGTATGCAAAGGCGATATCATCCAAGCAGTCCCGTCACACCGAATAGCTCGACCGACCACCCTCCATCCGTTCAACGTCTACCGTCACTTACGGACAGTGAACCCTTCTCCTTATCTATTCTACATTGACTGCGAGGATTTTAGCATTGTGGGTGCTTCGCCAGAGTTGCTGGTGAAGGAAGAAGCAGGCAGAATCATCACGCACCCCATTGCAGGCACGATCAAAAGAGGCCAAGACCCAGAAGAGGACGAAAAATTGGCCGAAGAGCTCCGCAATAGCCTCAAGGATAGGGCCGAGCATGTTATGTTAGTTGACTTGGCAAGAAACGACATCAACAGGGTTTGCGATCCATTGTCCACGAGGGTCGATAGACTCATGACCGTCGAACGGTTCAGTCACGTCCAGCACCTGGTGAGTCAGGTTTCTGGCATCTTAAGGCCAGGTGAGAATAGATTTACAGCATTTCGAAGCATCTTTCCTGCAGGCACTGTGTCTGGCGCACCAAAAGTCAAGGCCATGGAGCTTATTGCGGAGTTGGAAGGAGAGAAGCGAGGCGTCTACGCTGGTGCTGTTGGGTATTTTGGATTCTCGCGCGTGTCCATGGACGGGTCCAAGGTGGAAGATGAGGGCGCCATGGACACATGTATAGCTTTGCGAACTATGGTCGTCAAAGATGGAGTGGCCTACTTACAGGCGGGAGGCGGTATCGTCTTCGATAGCGTCGAAGAGGACGAGTGGATAGAAACGATGAACAAGTCCCGGGCCAACATCAGGACTATCGAGGAAGCCGAGAAGAAGTATCTGGCCTCGGAAAGGGCGGTTGCCAATCGTGCCAACGGGACTACCAGATAGTAGTGCAGCATCTCTGAATTGAAAAGAAGTAGAGGTAGCCTGCATCAGGCACACAGAAACAGAACTGGTGCTCTTGTCTGAAGCAGACCTGGAACGATATCCAGCCAATGGGCCACAGATGTACGCTAGGCTGTACTAGGGTTAGATCCGTAAATTCTTGGCTACCGTCCGCACTTTGATTTTTCGAAAGTCCCCTTCAACTGCGAACCACTCCAACTCATCATCGACAACATCCTCAATTTGCTGATACCTGTCGAGACTTCACACCAGTCTTGACGGCCTTAATCAGCGCACTTCGACAAGATGAAGTTGAACATTTCCTACCCGGCCCACGGGTCGCAGAAGCTTTTCGAAATTGAAGATGAGCGCAAGCTGCGCGTCTTCATGGACAAGCGTATGGGCAATGAAGTCCCAGCCGACAGTCTTGGTGATGAGTGGAAGGGTTATGTATGGCCTCCTATACCTACTGCCTGAAGATATGTGAGAGATGTCAATACTGATGAATTTTGTTTACAGATCTTCCGCATCACCGGCGGCAATGACAAGCAAGGCTTTCCCATGAAGCAGGGCGTTGTATGTACTATACCTACACTCTCCTCTGGCTGAAAGCGCCAGCAAAAATTCCCCGAGAAAATTTTGCTGAGACTTGTTCTGCTCTAGATGCTTCCTACCCGTGTCCGACTCCTCCTGTCTGAAGGCCACTCCTGCTATCGACCTCGCCGAACCGGTGAACGCAAGCGCAAGTCTGTCCGTGGCTGCATCGTCGCTCAAGATTTGTCGGTTCTGGCTTTGTCCATTGTCAAACAGGGCGATGGCGACATCCCTGGTCTCACCGACGTTGTCAACCCTAAGCGCCTCGGTCCCAAACGCGCCACCAAGATCCGACGATTCTTTGGTCTGACCAAGCAAGATGATGTCCGGTACGTGAAAACTACACATTAATAAACATTACACATGAGGGACGCCCATTCTGACTTGTGGTCTAGCAAATTCGTCATCCGACGAGAAGTCGTCCCCAAGAAGGAGGGCGCCAAGCCATACACGAAGGCACCAAAGATCCAGAGACTCGTCACCCCTCAACGCATGCAACACAAGAGACACCGCATCGCACTTAAGAGAAGACGGGCTGAGGCTTCCAAGGATGCTGCGAACGAGTACGCTCAATTGTTGGCCAAGCGTGTCCACGAGGAGCGTGAGAAGAGAACTGAGCTCAGAAAGAGACGTGCTTCTTCGATGAGAAAGTGAACGGATTGGGACATGCGTACTGGATTGCACAAAGGAAAGATCACAGCGACCAATTTGCACTCAAGACAGGTCACGGACAACTGATGCGGCTATCGGTGATGGCAGCACAGGTGACAGAGCAGGTTCAGCCAGCCGTCCAGCCCACTCGCCCCTTCGCGGCGTTGTGACTGGATGAGCGAAGGAATGTGTGCGCTGTGTCACGACGCGATTTGGTGGCACCAAGAAGACGCTCCACGTGCGTGTTGCAAGGTGGCATGGACAGATAGCAAGACAAAATCATACCACTTTTGCTACTTTTGCTAAACTGCGCCTACTCTAGCTCTTGCTGAATCTACCTTCCCGTCGCCTATCTGATCTGCAAACATCACGTCTTTTGAGTCCGCTATTCTGGTCTGTTCATTGCCGCAGCCAAGCCTAGTGTGTTTTTCGGGACTGTGGCCTGTCTCAGCCAGTGAGAGTGAAGGCTCCGCAAAAAAATTGAGGCCTCCCCGAACCGAAGTTGTTGGCCTGGGCCTGGTGCGCGGGGCCCTTTATCCGTCATAATTATATTTTTTAATCTTCAGACTTTATGACTGGCAATGGATTTCTCTCTTCTCTATCTCATGGCAGATCCTCTTCGGTAACCACTTCTGCCCTCGGGTTCTCAGGAATGGCGTCCAACTCCATCAAGCTGTTGACTGGCAACAGCCACCCTGAGCTGGCCAAAGCCGTGGCCAACAGGTTCGTATCTTTTGGCGTCGGAGAGAGAGACCACGTACCTGACTTGCACCGACTGCTAGGCTGGGTATCGAGCTCACAAAGATTATGGTCCTGCAATATTCGAACCAAGAGACTAGTGTGACAATTGGCGAGTCGGTCAGAGACGAAGATGGTACAGATACCTTGCAACCCTTCCTACCTGCATAGGCATCTGAGCGTATTGTGGCAGTTTCAGAACGCGCCTGACATTTGATACTGTGCAGTATTCATCCTCCAATCCACGCGACCGAATGACATCAACGATGGCCTCATGGAACTCCTGATCATCTGCAATGCTTGCAAAACAGCATCCGCTCGACGAGTCACCGCAATCCTACCGAACTTCCCTTATGCTCGGCAAGACAAGAAAGACAAATCGCGAGCGCCGATCACTGCGAAATTGATGGCGAACATGCTACAGACTGCTGGCTGCAATCATGTTATTACCATGGACTTGCACGCATCCCAGATCCAAGGTTTCTTCAATGTACCAGTAGACAACCTGTACGCCGAGCCAAATTCCGTCAAGTGGGTTCGAGAGAACCTCATGCACGCCACCGAAAACCACGCTGAGATCAACGGCGCGAAAGAGGATTGTGTCATAGTGAGCCCGGACGCTGGTGGTGCGAAAAGAGCCACGTCCATTGCCGACAAGCTGGACCTTCCTTTCGCCCTGATTCACAAGGAGCGATCCCGGCCTAACGAAGTCAGCCGAATGACGCTCGTAGGTACAGTCCAGGGCAAGGTCGCTATTTTGGTCGACGACATGGCCGACACCTGCGGAACCCTGGCCAAAGCGGCGGACACTCTGATCAAGCATGGCGCCAAAGACGTAGTCGCACTGGTCACCCATGGGATCTTGTCAGGCAGAGCCGTCGAGATCTTGAAGGGCTCTTCGCTTTCGAGACTTGTCATCACAAACACCGTGCCTGTGCCCGAGGAGAAGATCGAGGCTCTGAAAGTCGAAGAGGGTCAGAAGGGATGCAGGCTCGAGTTCATCGACATTGCTCCAGTGCTAGCGGAAGCCATACGACGAACGCACAATGGTGAAAGTGTCAGCTATCTATTCAGCCATCCTGTGTCATAGGTGGCTGCAATTGTATAAGACACCGATCCAAGGCATGGCTCACTTCTGGGTCGCGAGAATCTAGGTGATAGCATCGGGTACATACTCGGGTCACTACCTGTGTCCTTGCCATGCTCCGTCTGCAGTCGGCGGCAGAAGCATGAGGCATTCATTGCATAGGCCACCAGCCTCCCCAAGGCGACTTGAATGGTAGTCCACAGATCTCGGCACATACCGTTTGGAGGTCCGGTCCCTGTGGAATCCATACCAGTCAGAACATTGCGTCCGCCCCTAACATGCCTCAGTTGTGGCCGTGTTGCATAAGTTTATTCGAGCGATGCCAGTAGCCGCTGGCTTCGGCACGACCTCCTCTCCATGAAGAGTTCGAAAGCATGTAGCGTTAGGGACTCCCAGATGAAGTCTGAATATTCACTGCCCCTTGTATCTCCGGCAGTCCAATTCACACGGTTGACTTGGCAGAAGATCCATCATCTGCCCCGAGGCGCAAGGGGGAAGGTGGAGGAGTTCTGCTTCATAGAAGCAAGAGCGAAGGAGATGTCGAGAGAAGCTTCTGCAACGTATGTAAAATATTTGTTTGGATTCTCATTTAGATAGAGTCAAATCTTTCTCTTCTACGGTTCTGTTGCAATTCCGCTTCGACACTGTTTTACAATGTGCTGCGGAATACAGCATAACACAAGTCATCACTTTCAGCACGTGACAACACGAATCGAACGTGACCGGGTCTTACCGGCTGAACTACCGTCAAACTTCTGCTGCCATTAATTCGCGTTCCCTCACGCAGCGCCAGGGACATCCAGGGGATGATCTTTCCTCTGCCGTCCGTATTGAAGACCGCCACCCTCTGAGGACTTACCATACCAGTACCGGGATAGATTGTCGCATACCGGATCATATATCCATTCGGCTAAACCGCCTGTGGCTGAACCCAATGAGATCATTCCACCCGTGACGGAAAATGATTCCGACGAGATCTAAATGGTATGCTTGATGCAGAGGCAAATTTGACGGTCTTGAAACGCTTCGCTAGACCGGTATTCACTTTCTCGAAGAAAACTTGGAATGTCTTCCCCAGACGGTCATACGACCTCCAAGTCGCCCACCGATCCGTCTGTATGAACGTCTTTTCAACACTTTGTGGGATCTCGATGGCGAAGATGCGCAGACGAAAGGTCTTCGCCTAACGCCAGTTGACCAGCGATATCCGTTCTTTCAAGAGAGTCCACAATGTCACGTCTGGGTTGAGTGGGTGGTGAGTCACCCAGTTCCCTGATGGCAAGATTCACCTCCCATGGCATGCATGGCCAAGCCGTGGTTGATCGTACGCTGACGACGGTGGCATCTGCCTTTTGATCTTCCCTTCCCTTCGAGAACACCGATGACACGCAGCTCAGGTCAGCTCGCTTCAAATTGGCCGCCGTATGCTGTATTCCACTTTTGCAAGGGTGAAAGAGGTTAAGCTCCGAATCGATGCTGCGAATCAGATCCTGTGGAAACCTAGTTCCTGGCACAGTCGCCTGGAATCGGTCTGAGCATTGCCCACAGTCTGGCCGCCATCACGCCTGGAGGCGATATCTAAAGTCTTCTGGTCGCGAATTTCATTGCCCTTCTTAGCAACCACCCAAAGCGTCTCCTGCTTCCGACCCACTGCAAAACGGACAGCTCGACATCTACTATCGTTAGCAGTGCCCCAGCTCGGTCAGACCTTCCCACCAGCCACATTCTCGAATATGTGTTTTTGTATGTGACCCGAAATGCCGGAAAGATTTTCCCAGAGTCCTCATTGACGAATTCTCACCGGCAATCATCTTGCGTCACGTGTGGGCGTGAATATAATTTCTTTCCCTGCTTCCAGTGTCTCTGCTGGCACAGGCCAATATGAGATTCGGGCTGCAATCCTTCTGGAGCAGATGGCAGTGTCACATTCGTTGGATCCAAACACTTTCCCTGGCTGTTGGTACTTTTCAGAGTCGTCACTTCCTTGGCTCGAGTTAACGCTCGAATAGTCCTTGTTGCCTGCCCATCAGTCTTGCGACTGACTGTTCAGGCGATATCTCGAGAGCCGTCAAGGCTTCCGCTCAATCATGTCGCAGAAGCCTCCAAGACCTCTAGCGCCCGCGACTCCTATGTATCCGGCTGCCTTGCCCGGCCCGAGCATACTCCAGTCGCCTGCGAAACAGAGGCGGAATATCACAACGGCTTGCAGAGCCTGCCGAAAACGTCGTACGAAGGTACGTACCTTCAAAGAGGTTTAAACCCACCTTGCCCTCAGCGGAAGGTGACAGAGTCTGACTGGGAGCATCCTTTGTAGGAAATCAGGAAATCAGCACGTCTTCTGCTTTTTCCGGGGGAGGAGCTTCCAGTCAGGCTGTGTCACTCTCCGTTGACCTTGGGCCAGCTGTCTCCCAGTCGAAGCAGCCCTTACCATGGACGACGCTCACGAACTGCGGTTTTCAATAGTGTGACGATAACACTCCTTGTGCAGCATGTGTCGCGAAACGGACAGACTGTATCCGCGAGGCCGGGGAAGACGGGCGCAGAAGAATGGCATGGAAGAGAAAAGTCGAGGAGTTGGAATCGGACCAAAGACTGCTCCCTGACTTGATGGAGGCGATTCGTAATGGTGAACAAGGTCAAGTGGAAAGTCTGATCAGGATGATCCGAGCCACCACATCGAACCAAGAGGTGTCGGACTATCTTGCCACCAACTTTCCCCGGCCAGCCGTTGATGGCGAGGACGATGAAGGTCGCAGCAAGACATCGACACGGCAACAGTCGCCACAGTCACTGCAAAGTCGCTTTTCAAGATCCATGTCGGTGTCCATCACCCCCATGTTCTCGGTGCCCGCCAAACCGTGGACCACAGTTACCGACGATGACTGGCTGGTGTCGCACCTGGTCTCTTTGTGGTTCACATGGCGCCACTGGTGTTATCCATTTGTGGACCGGGAAACCCTCATTGCAGCTATGCGGTCTGGGGATGAAGATGGTGGGGTGTGTTCTCCAGCCTTGGTCAACATGATTCTTGCGGATGCATGTGTGAGTGGCAAATGACCTCGGATCACGTGACCCTTCCGTCACTGACCTTGACCTAACAAGTTCGACTATGACAATGAAGAGGATGACAATGGCAATCCGTCCATCGAAAAACCCTTACAAGATCTCTTCTACGAAGAAGCAAAGAGACATGCAGAAGCTACGGTGCAAAAGAGATCTCTGACCTCAATACAGTTCCTGGCTGTCCAATGGATGTAGTAAGCAATCTCGTCCCCTCTTGTCACAGAGCCTCTCCTCATTGTGACGCAGCTTGGAGAATCGCGGTATCGACAGACTCGCTGTCTCCATCATGCAAGAAATGATACATCAACTCAAGCAGTTTGACAAGCCTGGTCGAGCTCAGAAGCCGCGGACACGACATGGAAAGGAACGAGTCTCTGGTGCTCAACGGCATCTGGGATACACAAGTTGGGCCGCTTTTGTCACGACGACAGCCGCCACTTTCGCTATGCGCACTCGTCCGATGATGAAACCACCTACCAAGGATAAGCCGCCTCTTTGCAAGGGTGAACTTGGTGAGGCTTGGTTGCCATATCCTCGCGACAACCCACCGGTCTTTGCACATCCCAACTGTCATCTTCATCATCTAGGCGCCTTGTACGAAATATGCTACAGCATCAGCCAATGTCTCTTCGTGGACGACAAGCCGCAGACTAACTCCGTCACGCGTGATACGCTGGAAGATCTCCACCGTGACTTGACCATTTGGTACAACAGCCTTTCCAGTTGTGTCGAAGTCTCAGGGGTCAAAGCACCTCATACCCTGAGTGTGCAGTATGTCTACTCGACTGTCTCTCTCCGCGTGACCGACTGACTGATCATAGTGCTCAATATCACTGGGCTGTCCTGGTCTTGTCCGAATTAAATTTCACATTACAGGCCGACGACGAGGACGATGCCACAGTTGCACTCCTGGTCCCTGTTGTCCGGGCGCAGCACACGACGTCCGCCCTTGCCATTGCCGATCTCGTCCATTTGCAGTCGGTATATTGGGGAGTCGACCACATTCCGATCAGCTTCCTCCAACCCGTCAACGCAGCGCTGTCCGTTGTTATTTACGACCTCGACGCCGCCGAGCGCAAGTCTTCTTTCGTCAAGCTCGCCGTCGCCCTACACGGTCTTGCACGCCGTTCTGTTTCAGCCGAGAGCATGCTCCGCATATTACGGCTCAAGTTACGCCAACTTCGGCTTATGTCTGCTGATGATAGCGAGAAATTGTTCAAAGACGCCAACGACCACTTCCAAGCAAGTCTTCTTTCACCTACCGTGGGTGTGGCTGCTGCTGGAGAGGCCGCCGCCTTCAATGAGTCTGGAGGGCTCGAGGAGACTTACGACATGTTGTTGGAGAAGTGGAATACGTTTCATTTGGGAGCGCCTTCTTCATCCGGATCGTCGTCGAGTTGATGAAGTGACTGATGCTGCTGTTCTGGAGATGCCACCGTTTGAGAAAGAATGGTTCCTGGGCATATCCTGGTCTTCGACGAAGCAGCCAAAGCACTCTGGAAGAAGCAATGCTGTCACTTCTCAGCCTTGAATGTTCACGTACGACGGCTCGCCGTCCTCACCAGGAGCACGCGGCTGGATTCGAACTTGCTCACGACCAGGGCACATCCGGGTGGCTACAAATCTACCCTGCCTGACAGTCCTGGAATATAATACACTACACCTTCCTTCGATCGCGACCGATCCACCACTTGACGATACGTTCGTACTGCACGGAATGATGCAATGATATCTGTCATGTCTTACGAGGAACGATGCTGATGGAGCAAGACTACGTTAGTGACGATACAGCAACGACTACATGAACATGTGTGCCTGTCGTCGGCCCCAAGGCAATTCCTGGGTACCTAGATGCTCAGGGCACACGGGATCGTTGCCTAGTATAGTACACGGTTCTACAAAATCAAGAATCAAGACTATCCTAAATCCAATGCCTGCTCATCCTCTTCGCAAAACGTATTGCTTTGGTGACCAACGGCTGCGCGTGTTTAGGTATGCGCTCTACCTGAATTGTTCGCCTTACTACTTCAAGCACAAGGACCAAAAATATAATCTCTAAGACCGGTTTGACCTGCTGCTGCCAGCAGTGTCCGTACCGTCTCTGCACCGCCCGCGTCAAAGGCTTGTCGTAAGGCCAAACCGCAATGGTGCTCTTGGACCGTACCTAGGTATGTGTCAACTAAAACCAAATACCAACCATATTCTCCTTATCCTTGAGCAAGCCAGCCTCTCGCTGACTACCGGCCTTGACAAGCAAAAGATCTTTTCTCGGCCAGGGGATGGGTTCGGCGTTCCACAGCGCGCACGTAAATACGGTCGCATACCCGTTGGCAGCCTCGTAGAAGGCGCTCTTGACCGCATCCAGGAGACTGTAGTTGATGACGAGTTTCCGGGTTGCTTCGCCGTCGCGGCCCTCGACGATGGACACCCATTTCATCAGCGGGCCGTCTTCGGTGGCCTCGTTGGCCGTGGACTCGGCGTTGCTCCGGTTGATGGCTATCTTGGGGATGTGGAGCGGTTCGGGGGCGGCAGAGACGTGCTTGGCCGGTTTGGATTCCAGGTCCATTTCGGCGACCAGGCGGCCGTTCTTAGTTGGCGGGTCTTGTCGGATCCAGACGCCCGGGACGCCTTGGAGGAAGGTGTTTGTGTACTTTTGGAAGTCGTAGGGGTTGTTGATCGTCGAGGCGTCGAGGAGGACAAAGCGGCCTGTCGATTCGATCGTGGCGAGGGAGACGGTGCCCGGTTCGATGTAGAGGAGATCTTCGTAGCTGCGGAGGATGATCATCTTTTTGTTTTTGCTTTTGGTTGGTTTATGGTTGGTTTATGGTTGGTGTCTTGTTGGTGTTGGCGGTGGTGGTGGTGGTGGGTTGTTGATGAGATATGATGAGCTGTGAGCTGTGAGCTGTGTGAATTGGGCTTGTGAAATTTAGGTTTTTGGATTTGGATTTGTATTCGTGGGAAAGGATTGAGGTACTTGGGTCAGTACTAGTATCGGTGCTTGGAGGGGAGCGATTTGTGCACGTTGGTCTCGTGCGAGACACCGTTACCTTGGCTCGATACAGGCACAGGTCCTTCGAGTTCCAGGGGATGCTCGATGACCTGACCTACCTGGTGCTAGAGAGCGTCTTCTGGGCTGCGCATGGCTAGGATAACGCGACATTCATCTGACGGTGGTGTGATGAAGCTTGTCTTGGGGTCAGTTCGGTCCCAGTTCGAGGCAGATCTCTTTCCTGACGATGTCCTGAGCAGTCCGCGCAAATGCCACGCACGAAGGCGCTGGACACTGCCTGACACTGAAGTTGGTCATCTCTAGTTCTGGAGCAACGTGGAAAGGTCAAGGTCGGAGCTCCAAAAGGCACTTGAGGTTGACCCCCCTTTGGCCCCTATTCTTAGGTAAGCGCCCATGGCTTGGATCATCGCCTTCTCATTGATCTCTTCCAAGGGCTCTTTTGTATTTTAGACTCTGATTATTCATGACGATTCAGTGAATTCACCAGCCTAACTAATATCATTTGCGCAACATGCAATTCCATGTGAGTCCGTTAGGAGCTGGATCAGGAAGGGAGCTGCCTGGGTTGAAGATGCGGCAAGTGCCTTGCTGTTAACTGGGCTCTTATTTTCTCCTGTCTCCGGTCAAAAAGCATCACTATCCTGGCTTCAAGCGTACTTCCCCACGAAAGCAATCAGAGCATCATCAACTTCCTTAGGATGCGACGCCGACAGGAAATGAGCGCCTCCATCAACAGTGACAAGCTCCGTGGAAGGCGCGTTAACGAAGAGCTTGATTTCCTGCTCAGCGTTGGCGATGGTGTACACAACGTCGTCGGTGCCCTGGCGAAAGCAAAGTCAGCATGGAATTCTCGTAATACTGTCCCCGGGTTTGACCGGATCCATCCACTCACATGCAACCACATCACAGGACATTTGACATCAAACAGTCTCCCATGCAGACCATCTCTCTCGCGCAAGTTGATTGCTGCCATGCGAGCACGCCTTCTTCCATCGTCACCTTGATAATTGGCTTGAATTGTCTTGCGCCAGAATTCGCGGGTCGCTTGATCACAGTTCTTGCCAAAGCCGATGTCGATCAAAAAGTCGCAATAGTCGAGGTCAGGTTGGAAGTCGGGCGTGGCTGACTTGGTGGTCCATTTGTCGATGGGCCCAGTGCATGCTGCGACACCGTCCCAGCAACCGAGTTTGCGTGTACGCTCAGACTCATAGTCCATGGACGTTCCCAGGGGGATGATGCCTTGGATCTGCACCAGTCAGCTCTACTCATTCGGCCGTCCCTTGAAAAGCAGCATAGTCCAAACACGACAAAGATGGGCAACCAGTTCTGCAGGGAGAGGACGAGTGCCAAAGAAGGTAGATAACAGCACGACTCAACCACCTTTTGAGGCACATGCCCTTTGATGTTCTGGGCCACAGCACATGGGAAGATGATATTCAGGTCAACATACCTTTTCCGGAGCCAACAGCGCCATCCTTACGGTAATCCAACCACCCTGACTCGTTCCTAGGACGAACGCCTTCGGAATACCCAAGGCTTCCATGACCTGAATGTTCATGATCGCAGTGTCCCAGTACGTGAAGTTCTCTGCCTTGGTCCGGGTCTGTCCATGACCTAGCAACTCGATTGCTAGGAGATTCATCTTGTCTGTCAACGCCTTGTTGGCATACTGCTTACGATACAGCTCGGAGGATGTCGTGAAGCTATTGACCAGGATCAATGTCGGCTTGGACGAGTCATATGGATGCGGCATCTGGTAAGCGGCGTCGATGCCGCCCAAGTGAGGGACATGCACGGTTTTGGTGTTGGGCATGTTGGATGTGTATGTCGTTTTTTGTCAACAGGGAGGAATGAGAAGACAATAGGAGGCCAAGGTACGCTCTTTATTCTGATGCTACAGGATTGTTTCAGACTGTCAGATATACGTCGATGGCCAGAACAGCTGCTCGAGGGGGTCTTCTTTAATGCTCACAGCCCGTCATCTCTCCCCTCCCCGCCTCTGCCATTCTTACCACAACTCCACAGATTTTCTTCCACTAGGACAACCGGCAAGCTATATCCTCGGATAGCAAGTCATAATTTGTTGCTCCTCTATCGGAATCTTGAGACGTGACGCAAGGATTACCAGGTCAACGTGATCGACAGTGGAGCCACGAGTAGAAGAACATACGAGCTACTGCGTAGTACTCGTACTTGCCGTGAGGGGAGTCACCACAACCCCGGGAAAATGCCGCTCCTGGCGAGGTAAGCGAGCAACAGGAGAGCCGTGGGGAGCCACGGAGAGCCCACCACCCACTCACCATGCGGATGAGATCTGGCCGAAGCGGTTCCGAAGGGCAAGAGGACACCTCATCACCGCCGGCTACCATAATGTGCTGCGTACAACAAGAGATTTCGAAACTGGGGAAGACGGGTCGAAGGCATGAGTAGGACTAACTGAGAACAAGGAGAACTGTCGGCGCCCGTTCGAATGCTCTGGCGGTTTGTTCGATAGATCGTGCGGAAAGCCGGCGAGGAGTTGAGGTAAGAATTGCTGTCTCCTTCTCGAGTCTTTGTTCCAATGACTCTCAACGCTCCTTTTTTAACCCCTGGAGAGGAATGGGGAGTGTCGAGACGCACGACGGACCGACTTCCATACTCGCGTCTGGTATGAGTCCCTACACTATCGAACAAGGCGAGACTCAGCCATCAGAGTCTCGTCGAAGGGAGGTACACCGTATGCACTGTACGCAAAAAAGGAGGCCGCGCCTGGTAGCTCGAACCGTCTCTGCTGAGTTCAAGACGGATGGATATTTGGATTTGGTTATACGTCCTTTTGATTCTCCTTTATATACAATACTACACAGTAGTCTTCACGGCGGAAGATCATCGTTTTTTTGACGGGCTGGAGGCAGACTGCTGCCGACCCTCTCATCTGGGGCATTTCCGTTCGCTGTCTCTGTGTAAGAGCTATCTCAGACTCTTCACGACGTGACATTCCCATTTCACTGATCGAATCTCTTCCCCAAGTCCTCAACTGAGGCCCACTGATCATTTCTTTCTCTTAATTCTTCTTCCACTCATTCCGGCCTTAATGTTTGCCCTGGCACTGATCGCCAATTTATGCACACGTTGTCTTCGTTCCCAGGCGCCACTCCTCCCCTCGGCCACATTGATGATCTCCTTGGCCACGCGCTCGGACAGCGCCAACTCTCTTCGGCTCTCCGCGGCAGTCAGGATCCATTGGATCGCCGCGCGTCGACGCTGGCGCAGACTGAGCGGCACGGGGATGGGCATGGATGCACCGCCTCCCAGGAGACCTTTTTGCTGGCGGATCTTGACGAGCGGGGCGACACTGTCGATCACAGCGGTCAGATACTTGACCGGTTCGAGAGGCAGGGCTTCACGAGGTACGTCCACGAGCAGCGCGCGGTCGGTGGCGGATGTGGATGGGACGGGCGCGGTACGTAGAGTGTCGAGGATAGCGGCCATATTCTGCCCTTTCCAAAAAGCCTCATCGTTAGCCGGCTGAGAGCTGCGAGAGGCAAAGGGAAGACAAGGTGCCAGGCGGAGGGGGGAAAAGGCAGTAAAATAAAGAAGAAGGAACCCCGAGAACGTACAGATTGTGCCTTGCTCAGCTTCCCATCTCTCATAATGCTCTTGGTGACTTGATCCACGACCGGATCATAGCGTTTCTTGAAGTTGTCCAGCTTCGTCATCGATCGTATATCTGGGAGGGCGAATTTATGTCCGAATCCAGCGTCCGGGTACTCGAGGCCGATTATCTCTGTTCCTCTGAACTGGGCCAGCTCTTGTCCTTGTGCTTGTGTTTCTACAGGTCGTCGTGCGCTTGTGGAGAACGATCGTGTGCCGGATGGTGCAGAAGACCTCTTGATGTCTTCCTTGAGGACTTTGGGCGCTTTCTCTTGGGCCTCTTTGTCTCGCTGGAGGATCTAACCACGATGATTTCTGTTAGTTGCTTCTCGCCCACGGCGGTATAACAGGTGTAGGAGAGTGCGGAGGTGGATGGGTGTATACCTCTTGCACCGGCGTGCCCTGCTCGATGTCGGGCGGTGTGTTTCCCATAGACTTGTCCATCGCGGCTTGTTCTTCTGTTACGTGCGGGAGCTGGTCCTCATTGCCCACCTCCGTCCCAGGGGCGACTGGGGTGACTGCTGGTTTCTTCGTCGAGGCATCGTCACTCGCTAGCCGCTGCTGGATGGCCGAGGGAGAGGGAGAAAATCGTTTCTGAGGTCTTGAGGGCCTCGACCGAAAAGCCAACGACCGGGCCGTGAAGAGCGTCAGTCTAGGAGGCATTGTGGCGGGTTATGTTGTATGGTTGAATTGAGGTCCAAAACCCGCATTGGAGCGTCATACAAATCTACAGACGAACTCAAGTTGCAGGTGAATTTCCCGCCGAGTTCGGTGGTTGCCGTCGCCGCTTTTGAAGGCGGTTCGCACTCGATGCCAAGAACGCTACTCCTACTCGTACTCGTAGCCTCGCGTGCCTCGCCTTTCCCTTTCCACCACAGGCATGCAAGGTTGAACCCTGAAATGATCATTTGCCTTGCATCCCTGACAGGACTGTCTGTTCCAGTCCGAATGAGAATTGTAACTATTCCTGAATTAGCTCAGCCATTCGGGTATGGCGCGTCCAGACGCAGGCTAGGCAGGTACCGTAAGAGTCGCTTCCTCCACCCATGCTTCGATTTTGACGACGAAAACGACGTCAAGGGATAGCTAATACATTGTCACCTGCATGAGACCTACCTTTGAATTCGGCTGATTCACACTAGAACTCTTCTTAACAGAAACATAAAGTTAGAATCCGTCAAAGAATCTTGTGAGTATTCACATACGAGAACCTTGTCGCCTTCTACATCTCACTACGGAGTATCATCTCCTGCATTAGTCAAGATCCTTGTCAGCCAGTCATATGCAAGTACAACGCCTCCTAGGCTATGCAGCAGCATCCTTGCCATGGGTGTGCTCGCCAATCTGCTCGCCAATCGCACATGAAAGGGAAATTACTATGTAGGGGATTGGCCAAGTCAACAGCAATCAGCCTTGCTCTGCCTCAGTAGCACTGCGATCCCGAAGCGTCCGAGCTGAACCTGAAACGGCGTTCCTCATCGATAGAGGGCAGGGATTCCCGAAGTTCAACGTTATTTGGTTGATATCACCTCGTATACGGGCCTCAGTCAAAGCCGGCCTGCCTGTCCTGGGTATCCACCTGGGTAGATTTCCATTTGGCGTTCCCGCATGCAGAGTCGTTTACGGTGAGTAGCATAAAAAGGGGAGTCCCCCCTCTAGATGCTTCTGTTCATCATGTTCCTGAATCCCACGATGAACGCCACGCAGTGCCGCGAAAACACCCAAGCTCTGTCGGTCGCCGATGTGGCGGCGAATGGGGTAAGTCCACTGTTGAAAGCGCGAATCACGGTCCTGACTCATGGCAATCATAGGTCCTCAGCGATTTCCTTGTCGGGGTTGTCCTCGTTGTCCTGCATCTACTCCCACCTCTCCATGTGCTTGAAAATATGGAGAGGCGCCTTGGCGAAACGTCGCTGCCGCTCTTCCAAACCGCAGCAATTCTCGGTCTATCCTGGAACGTAGCAAGTGTATACCTGCTCGCGTCCAGCCCTCGAACAAACCATAGTGCGGAGGCGACTTGGTTAACCTCAAGTTCGTCCTTGTCGATCGGCTTCGGGGCCTTACACACACGCTGGACCCACAAACGTCCTGAATGGACGTGGCTTGTGGTGTTCTTTGTCTCCTTTCCCCTGTGTGCAGGGGTGAACGTGCTGGCCGCCCGCCGAGTCTTTGGCGAGGAAATCCCGGTTGAGAGTTGCCTCAAATTCTTTCAAGACTATCGAGAAGCAATACGGCACACGTTCATAGTACACTCTGTTTTGTTCTGGGCAAGCTCTTTCGTCATGCTGTTTCTCCTGCTTTTAAGGCCGGTTGTGGACGGCAACACCAGACATCGGGACGCGGACGTTGACACCGAACATCAGAACACTAAGCGCAATACCAACAAGGGTATCCGAGCTTGGGGACGTTGGTGGGCATGGACCATCCTTGCCATCTTCTCTTTGCAACTCGTCCTCTTCATCTTGATCTTTCACCACTTCGTACCCGAACAGGTCCTGCGAAAAGAGGCGGGGGGCCAGCTCGACGAAGGCAAGATGACGTTCGGGCAGATCCTCACCATATTCATGTGGGCTTCCGTCCTCGTCGATGTCGCTTCGAAAGATCGAGCGGGCACGCGAATGTCTTGACCAAATTTGCGAAACGCATCATCTGGGGGACAATACTCGCTCATGATTCATCAAGAAGGGGGAAGCTGGGGCATTGCTGACCACGCCCAGACGAGTTTTTGGCACATCTCGAAGGTGGAAGACTGATCATTGCGAGGGTATCCGTGGGTATCCTATCCCGGCGAGGGCGGAAGGAGGGAAAGAAACATTTCGGAATCTTACAGTTGAGATATGTTGGCTACACACCTGTACAATTACTGGCGTATATCAGATGCTTTTCCTCTATTATTCGTCTACCGCGTGACTGTCGTTACAGATCTCCTTTCTCTCGCTCAAGCAATTAGAACAGGTGGCAGACTTTCTTTGGGTGGGAAACGAGAGTCCCAAGGGGCAATATCCAAGGGATTCCCGCTATTTCCTCATTTTCTTAGCGACCGGTCTATATATGATGAGACAAAAATGTGTCCAACGAACAAGTTACCACATACGGTCATCTTGGGGAATAAGGACTGCTGATTAGCTATGTCCGTAGTGGAGGTTGCCTAGGCTTTCGAACGATCCAATATCCAACTCGGCGGCAGTGTGGGGCTCGGGAGTAGACGACGATCACGTGCTAGAAGGGACTGTCTACCGTGCTGTATGCTTCGCAGGACTTTCTACGGCGTAGGGTGGTTAGAATACTCCGCCGTCGTGCCCACGTGAGATCACTCAAGCTTCCTGTAAACGCTGCAATATGAGAGCTGGTTGTCCAGACTCAGTGCTCCGACAGGGACATGGTTGGTATAGAGCTGCCACGGCAGCGCATGCGAACGCGCCAAAATCGTTTGTATCGCCAGCAGTACCAGAACAACCTCCTGTATTTTCAAGTACGCTTTTCATTCACTTTTGTACGAGTATCAATACAAGCCAAACTACATGATGGATGTCTCCAGGGTATCAAGATATTTCTGAAAAGGAGCATCGGCATCCGAGTCCGTACTCCATCCCAAAGAAACAATTTTGTTAATTGCTTGGATCTGATGATATCCTCCTTCCAAGCAGTCTTCAATCTGATCACTGACTCTTGATCCCCACCACAAAAAGCAGAATTTATACAAACGAGAATTGCCAACTTTCGTCACTAATCGAGGTAGCTCGATCGCACGCTCAATTTCCACCGTTCCCATGGAACAGCTTCCCCAGGTTCACCCCAGTTCCTGCATCGTCCGGCAGCACATAAAACGCTAGAGCAATGATGGTATACATGCCTAAGCACAGGAGTCCCTCGAGGTAATTTGACTTGCCGTCCTGGATGAGCAATACCACCACCAGACTCGCCAAGAAGAACGAGACTGTCTCGAACGTCTCAAAGTGCAGTGTCATCGGCCGGTCCATGATCCATCCAAGCACCACAAGGAAGGGGGTCACGAAGATGGCAATCTGCAGACTCGACCCGATAGCCACACCGATCGCCAAATCCATCTTGTTCTTGTAAGCGACAACCACAGCGGTTACATGCTCGGCCGCATTGCCAACTATGGGAATCAGAATCAGACCGATGAAAGTCTTGCTGATATGGGCCTTCTCCACGATCGAATCGATGCTGCCGACCAGATACTCGGCGCACACGGCGACCAGGAGCGTGACGACGACGAGGAGCACGCCGGCAGACCAGGGTCCGAGCAATTGCTCGTCTTCTCCCGCTGCCTCCTGCGCCTCGGCATCATCAAACAGGTCCGCATGCGACTTGAGCTGGAAGTACAAGTAGGCGACGTAGATGACCAACAGGATAATCGAAGTTCCTCTTGACAAGATCATGATGTTATCATCCTGCGATTTGTTGTCGGACATGACGGCGTACAAGGTGGCGGGAATGATCAAGCTCGAGGTCGCAACCGTCATGAGCGAGGACATGGTGGAAGCTACCGTCGAGTTGAACGTTTGTTCCTTGAATCGCAATCCGCCAGCGAAGAAGCAGCAGCCCAGCACGAGCAGGATGTTGGACAAGATGCTGCCCAGCATACTGGCCTGGACAATGCGGATCTCGTTCTTTTGCAGGGCAATAATGCTGACCTAGACATTGATTCATGTTAGCCTCATGGTCCTCCATTTATATATTCGCTTGTTGTAGTGAACGTACGATAAGTTCCACCGCGTTCCCAAACGTAGCATTCAACAGCCCACCGATAGTCTGGCCCAGCGGCACCGCAAGCTCTTCCGTCGCAAAGGCAAGCAGACTTGCCAGCGGTATGATGGCAATGAAGTTCAGCACAAACTGCAGCACAGGCGACCAACCTGCCAGTCCCGCGACGATTCCGATCGGAACAAAAACCAGCAACACATTCACGTAGTTTGTCTTGAGTATCTCCCATGTCAGGTGTAGGACGAGGAATGGGTAACGGATCGCCTTCTTGTCATGCTTGTGGTAGGGAGTACCCGAGTGCGTCGAGGCCCATCTGTTCAGCAGACTTGTCCGCTCATCTGGATCAACTGTACGACCGTTGGGACCGCCAGGGTTGGTAGTCGCAGGCATGGAGGACTCTTCCCGTTGATCTCCCTCTCGTTCTCGCTCTCGTTCTCGGTCGTTAGTAAGTGTCCGGTAGAAGGCCTGACGTATCTTGGTAGCAGCTATAGGATTTGCAGACGGCGCCGTCATGGCGACATCCAGAAATGTCAGTACTTGTAACGGAACAGTAACCGATGATGAAGAATAACAAGAAAAGTGAAGGGAGGGATTGGGCCGCTATTGAGGGTGAAATTGTGTCTTGTATACATACCCATTCGCCAGAGGGCCTAAGCAAAATGCAATGCCAGTACCGAGGGAGAAAGAAGAAGAGAAAAGGTCCGGGTGGTGATACAGTGCAAAGTGGTAGATGGGCAAATTGAGGTCCCCAGTGCTGGGCAACCCGTCCGGTTGCGGATAGCTCTATTCAGTGTTCAGGCCAAGCACCCGCCAAGCGCTGGTAGATCTGTCAGTGATAGAGGGTGGCAGGGTCGAGCAGGGTGTGCAGTGTGCGATGGAACGAGTTGGCACGCCGAGAAAAGCCTGACAGACCACGGCGACAAATAGATGGTTCTCATTCAAGAAGGTGAGAAGGATACGGTACTGGTAACGAGAGGCGCGCCACTTGCAGTTGACAGCGATACGTTGGACGATGAAGAGCTTGTCGCGAGCTTTGAATTCCCCAGGGACCATAGGCACATGATGGCCCCGAGGTGATAGGCCCGGGATACGTAGGTTGGGTGCCACTAGTGATAGGAACCATGCCTGGGACCCATTAGCATCAAGCACTAAGCAGCACTGCCACACTTGGCTTCTTGGTCTTGCAAATGATTTTCATCGGCCTCATTGGATCCACGACTGCTGCTTCAGACTTCATGAGCGCATAGCACACTATTCTGTTGCCGCGGTTCTTGCTTGCCGTGCTTGCTCACCCGGGAATCGACCTCTGAGCGGCTTGTTGCTTCAACGGACGATTTCTGTGTATAGCACATGATGGCACTAAGCGCCCACAAGCATCTAGACAAGCATCTAGACAAGCATACTTATGCAGAGGACAACCACCTCGTACGGAGTAAACCATGACGTCAATCAGCCGGGCGCTACGGCGGGTGATGGCAGCTTAATTATTTCCACGGCCACATCACCACGATGGTGAGCGTGGGCGATGCTGTACTAGCTTACGGCAACCACATCTACATATGAATAGCCAAACGTGCTCAAAATGGTATCGTACTTAGGTACCTTACTCAGATCCAAGAACAGACCACCGAAGGAAGCTTAGGGCCCACGTTTGCACGTTCTTCTTACAGTACAAGTACGCCTGAGCGCATCGCATACTGCATCAGCCTCGTAGACGCGACTCCTATACCTGCTGTGCGGCCGGCCAAGCACAAGGCGTCCTTTGGCAAAATTGACCCTATCCTCCTACATTCCATACCCCCGGAAGGCCCGGATACACTCAGCCTCGCCTCCCTTCGCACAGTGTAGCTGGCACCAGAGGTTGCTTTCGTGCCGACCAATCCAGGATGCCTGCATCCACTCTGCTGAATAAGAATGGCGCGATTGCGCCTTCAATAACAGATACCAACCGAATGCTTATCATAGCAAAAGCCTCATCCATGAAAACGCCATTCCAAAATTTCCAGTTGAGTATCGTTGTTCATGAAACGTATTCGCTTTTGTTGTACACCACTTTTGCATTCCGTTCAAAGCCAGCTTTGGCTTCAAGCACATCCCGCCCTGGCATATGCTGTCATACCTCCTCTTGTGCCACATTCCTCTCAAGATTCTTGCTATAGGCAGCCTTCAATTGAGACATGGTGATGCCGACTGGGATAACTCCCCCGGATTCTGACGTCCCTTCTGTTGTTGGATTGCTGTGTTTCTTCATTTCCGGCGTCGCCACAAACGAGGGTTGCCGATTGCATGATGACTCTCGCGAGGAGCTGTGCAACAGCCAGGGAGAGATCAGGTTCACTAACGGTTTCAACGTGGGCAAGCACGCGCATATAATTCCCGTGTTCACCTCGATCGAAGACCACAGTAACGGACCGACTACATCATAGCTGACGTCCACCGACTTGTACAGCTCGTAGAGCTTAATTAACCGCAATACTGATGTGACGCAGCCACTGTCGTGTCATGTCAGCCCTGGTAAGCTGCCTCAGAGAGGGTGTTCACTTACAACCCGCCCAGCAGAAAGACGCAAATCAAGCCGTATTTTTGCTTACGCGGTAATTGCAGCGTCACGAGTGTCGGTATTGGTAGAATACAGAGGGCGATATCCGTGACGATATTGAACCCGGCTGAGAAAAACCAAAATGCATAGATATCAAAACAGTGTCCATTCTGCCGCGCAGTCCAATACAGACTCAGTGGCCGGCAAGCCAGCAATGAACAAATCCAGTTTATTACGCAATACGTAGTGACAAGCCCGATCAGACTCCAGGCCATGAATCGGGATGTTTTGGTCTGGAAGAAGCGCAAGTACTGATATGCAATCGAGTCTTTCACACAAGTCAAGCCAGCAATGTAGACAAGCGTGCAGGCAAAACAGGTCTGAAAGTCTCCGTTAGCGCTTGCGCAGAGCGATCATGGTAAGGAGAACATCCTACTTTGAAAAGCCCCTCATATTGAGCTAGGGTGAGCTCCGTAGTGTGTTCACCGAAGCCATTTCCTCGCTCTGTCTTTTCGTCAATACATGTGGCAAGGGACGCGAAACAGCTTTCACTTACGGACTTCAATCATGGCCGAGAGGCCAATACTAAAGCACACCGCCGCCAAAATCAAGCCATCATCCAGACCGAATCGTTTGACCAGGAAGATCCGACTGATCAATCTAATACCGACAAACAAGAAAGCCAAGGCAGTGACGACAAGGGAGACAATGGCAGCATGAGATCCACGGTCCGTCATCTTTACCTGCTGAATATCACAAAAAGCGTCTGTCCCATAAGTGAAAGAGAAGAAAGTTGACAGCCGCAGTCAGGAGGGATACGAGAGAGAATGCCGGGGCACTCCATAGTAGATGTCATAATGAAGGACATGAGAGCAATGGCCACAGCCCGACGAGGTCTCGGATCTCTTCCACGTTGAAGGTCCACGAAGACGACAGTGGAAACAGTGGAAACCATGAAAACCCTGCAACAAGCAATAGGAGGCGAAAGCCGGCAAGTGAATGAACGTCGGAGCTCATCGGGGGAGGAGGCCTAACAAATTGAGAAATGTCCCAGCTAGGTGCACAGACATGATCCTCGAGGATGTTGCGCAGCTCGTGGCGCAGATCACGACCCAGCAGGATGGTTCGGCCATTGAGCGCGAGATCCATTGGACTGGGAACAAAGGCGGATACATGCATCTCGGAGTGGTTGCCAGAAAGGCTCCGTCCAAGGTTCGATAGTGTATGAAGAAATTCTGCAACGACCGCCCAGTCGCGGATTTGGGTAGCGGGCATCACAAGCTTTGACCTGTACAAACCAGGCACAAAAGTCATCTTTCAACAGTACATGCGGTCCTGGGTTTCAGTGCTTGTTCAAGGGAATCGAGAAACTGGGCAAGGTGGTCTCTACAACGCGCCGCTGCAGCCTAGAAAGGCTATCGCATACGAGATGTAAGATGGCATGAGGTGGCCGCCAAAAACTCCCTTTAAGTCGATTATCGATGTCTCTCGGTTGCCGGATGCTGTAGATGCACTCGCTAGGGACAGATGTCGCACCATTCGTCACAGTTCCATACTTGCAGTTTTGCTACTGGTTGATATTCGTGGCCTGCCGAATGTCGCCGTAGTTACGCATTGCTCTCAGCAGCAAAGCAAAGGCGGGTGGCATCTTGGTAGAGTGCGCCGAGACGTAGACCTGACGTACTGCAGCGGAAAGATATCCATTTCTGCAACCGTCAACTTGTTCGAGAGACTGTAAGCGAGAAGCTTCAATAGTAAAAGGAGCATGGGGAAAGCCGATGGCCAAAGCGTGAAAAAGGCCATTTCCCGGCTGCTGGACTGTGCTTCTTATCGTGAGATCCCTGATCCGGCAAGCAGAAGCTCGAAGATAAGGTTCGACGCAAAGACTCATAGCTGTCGCGTGTCCCTCAAGCTCGCAATGTTGTCCCCCTTGTCGTTGGCACGCTCGGGCTTGACGGAACACCGGCCAAATTCACAAGCTGCGGTGACAAACGCAAGCAACAACGAGAACAGGAGAAACTCCAAGAACTCCCAGTCGAGATACAACATGACTCTGTGCACAAAGATAGATAGGGATCAAGTCGAAGGAGAACACGGAGACCGAGAGGGACGTTCGTAACAATGGGGAGGAAAATCTCCAGATGATGCGCGTCCCACGGGCCTGTCGATCTGCGTCGCTGCCCACTTTTGGGCACGAGATCAAATTTATATCGCAACATTCGGTAGTAGTCCAAAGCCCGGAGTCTTCCAGGGTAACTTGTCCTTTCGCCCAAACCCGCTTCCACCTGCTCATCCGAGTCTGTGCTCCTGGCACAAAAAGTAGGTAATACATTCGGCCCAAGGCGGATCCTTAAACACCAGCTCCTGGCCGACCTCCTTCAGTTTCAATGTTGAACAATGCGTACTACGTCCCTGGAGGGCTCCAAGGTCTTTCCATTGACATCCAAGATTTGGGGCTTCGCAGGGCCTGTATATCGATGTCGTGAAGGCCGCGCTACGATTTTCGCCCGTTTGACCAAGTCGTCTTTCATCTCATTCCACCGCTCAAGCTCTTCTTTCCGCTGAAGGATCTGGTACGACATCGTGGTCGACCGGGCCCTCCATGTAGACACGGAGCCAGGGTTGCCTTGCACCTGTGGGGATTTTGGAGCCAACCTAACGGGTTTGGAGGTCTTGGCCAACTCGATAAGATCTGTGAACACCTCCATCGACTCTGCCCAAAGCCCCCTTGCCTTGTCGCCTTTGTGTCCCACCTTGAGCAGACTTGGATCGAGCCATGCACGACCAATGGCATCCTGGCCAACTTTGTCGACAGGCACCCGAAGCCGCGTATTTTCGGATTTGAGGAAGCGCACAGAGGCCTCCAGACCGGCGATTTCCACCTTGAGGAGTTCGGTTTCAGCCTTGAAGCGCAAAGATGTGGTCTCATCCACAGGACCACTCGGCAGACCTTGTCCGTCTGCAGGTACTCTCTGTTTCATGGCATCAAGCTCCATTCTCTGGTTCTCGCGTGTCTCGAGCAGATTTCGATGATCAGCTTCGAGTCGTTGTAGATTTTCGGATGCTACTGCGTTCTCGGCCCGTAATTTGTCGATTTCTTCCTGCATCGATTTTACGCCGTCGTCCTTTAACTTGGTCTCCTTGGCTCGGGACTCAAGTAATTCGACCTTGACTTGCTGCTCCTCAATCTGCCTGTCTCTCTCGCTGATCCTGATAGTCTGCTCTTGAATCCTCAACTTCAAGCGGGCCATCTCTTCTTGCATGTCTTGCGAAAGGAGTTTTTGTGCCTTGACTTCCTTGGCTCTCACAATCCAAGGTGCTGGGCCCTTCTCGAATTCAACGGCGCCTGACAGATCGGCAGACTTCGTGTGCAAATCATCGATCATTGCTTGAAGGACCGACAGCTGCTTCGCAAGGATGTCGAAGACATCTTCTGGGCCTGTCTGCGATGTAGTTTGCTCTGCTTGTTGCCGAGCGACTAAGGTCATTTTGTCGATTAAACCTGAGTAAGAGAGTGGTTCATCCCGGTCGATCTTGTTGAGTTCTTCAATGGCTGCATGTCCAACCCGCTGGGTCAGCTGAGACAAGGCCGAAGCAATATTCTCGGCTTCTGCAAACGAATGCCACATTGACTCATTAAGACACATCGAGCGAGCTCGGAGATCGTTGAGAGCATGTAGTAGCTTCCCAGAGATGTATTTCACAGTCCGAGACTTGACACCAACTTGATCCACTCTCTTCCGGAAGGCCATTGCATCTTCATCATCAGCGGTGGGGGCTCCCAATCTACCTTGTACCACTTTGTCCAGGATCTGGGCTTGACCTGCAATGCTGTCGGTGTACGTCTCTGTCATGGAGACGTTTGCCAGCAGCTCCATTGTCTTGGATTCGAGGCTATCAGGAAGTAGTTTCTCCGCCATATCCGTCAGTATGCCAGCCATGCGTTGCAAGTGATCTGGTCCATCTGGAGCCAGCTCATCATGTCGCAGGGCCTCGACCCAGCCGGATACTGCAAGTTCCACAGGCTCAAGTTCAAACGGTGCTCCAGCATATTTCATGAAGTCGTCCAGTGAGCAAGTCGACATGAATTGCACGAATCTGTCGCACATGTTGGCGATGAAACTCATCTTCTCCATCACAGCAAATGTGGATATTGCGCTATCCTGGACCAGGTCTGGTCGATCTCGTATTCTGTCCGCCAAAATACTTCTGCTCAATTGCGCTTTTGACCGGATTCTCTTGAGACATAAAAGAGCCGAGATGGGCTTCTTATCGACGTCGAATGTCTCCGGGACAAAGTATAATAAGATTTCCAGATGCGAACTCGCTTGTTCAGCTCTCATCTTCCCAAGTTCGAGGTCTATCGCCTTGAGCTGTGTCTTCGCGGCTGAGCTTTGTAATCTCAGATTCAAGTCCATCATGGCCCGTGATTTACTGCTCATCTCGTTCGCTTCAGTCTCACTTATGTCTCGTGAACGACGGAGCTCGTCAATATCGCTTTGAAGCCCTTGGACGACTTCTCGAAATTTGGTCAAGGTATACTCCATGTCTTCAATTGTCTTCTGCTGCTCGAGGTTCTGGCGTTGTTTGTCGTTGATCATTGCCTCGCTCTCATCCAATTGGTAATGCAAACGCTTTTCTTCTTCGACGTGGAATGCTTCCAGTTCATCAGTAACTTGGATGTGCTCTTCGAAATCCTGGATCTGTCTTTTCAGTATTTCGATCTCATGACGAGTCTGGTCTCGTTCTGCTCCCATAGCTTCCAGAATGTCGTCGTTGGCTTCTGCCGCCTCAAGTTGTTCCTTCAGGTGCTGGACGGTCTCTTCAGACTTGCTGAGCTTGGCCGCAGCTTCTTCGTACTTGGTAGCTGACTGCTCCAACTCATCAAGCGTCTCATGAAGCTCTTTGATCTCGTTCTTCATGTCGGCTTCGTTCTGTTGGGACATATCACGCAACATGACCAGTGCCTGGCGTAGTCTTTCCGTCTCACGTTCCAACTGGAGCCAGCCGGCACTCGCCTTTTCTTCAGGACTCATGACCGAAGTTAGCTCCCGATTTTCCTCCCTCAGGATTTCAGCTTCAAGTTCCAATTCCTCATGCTTGAGTTTGAGCGCCTCTAATTCAGTCTCGAACATATCAGCACGTTCTTCGGCCATTTCCTTGTCAAGTGTGGCCAGCTCCAACTCCGATTCATGTTCGGCACTCTGATCAGGGACATTTCTTGCGCGGCTCTCGGCTTCATCATACTTGACTTTAAGGTCCATCATTTCTTGCTGGTTGGTCTTGAGCTTCTTTTGCAACGCTTGGATGATTCCTTCATATCTTGTATTTTGATTCCGAAGGTCTTGGACGTTCTGTAATTGGCTCTGCTCCTCCTGCCTCTGTTTTTGTAGACTGCGAACCTTTGTCTCTAGAGCCTTAATAACCTGCGCCTGCCTAGATCTGTCCTCTGGGGGAGCGCCCAAGCCATCTCGAGGCGACGAGACAGAGTATTGTCGCGTAGAAACAGATCCCGGGGGTGTATTTTGCGACTCTGCTGGCTCACGTAGCCCAGTATGGTCTGCGTCCGTCGATGCTGGAGCAACGGGCTCCTCCTCCTCTTCCAAAAGTGGCGACGAGATCTCGTCTACCGAGGCCGGAGGTGAGATGACACGCTCGCTTTTGGCAACGGGTTTCGAAGACATAGACAGACGGGAACCAGCCAGAGACTGCCGTGATTGTATGGAAGTCGACCTCACGGAAACTGGCTTCACAGCCCCGCCAACCAGGGACTGTCTATTCGCGGTTGCGCTGCTGCGGCTTGCTGTGCTAGGCGGAGCCATCGAGAGCCTCCCGGCTGTACTGAGTCTCGATCTCGTGCTGGAATCAGACGTTCGTGCAGTAGTGGCCGGCGTTCCTGTTCGCGGAGTCGATCCTGTGGAGCTGGCGATGGAGGGTGTAGGTTTGGTGGGAGACTTGGTGGGAGACTTGGTGGGAGACTGTGAGTGAGGAGTCAGTTAGAAGCCTCGACGAGATGGTTCCTTGCATACTCTTAACGATGCCCGGGATCCATGGACAGACCCGGCTCCTGAGCCCATGAGACTCTGTCGCTTTCTCGCAACATCAGCGGTCATCCCGCTGGATGGTCTCGGTTTCGTGGACAGGCCGCTTGAGGACGATGTACCATTGGCTTTGGAATTCTGTGAAGCCTGCCTTGCAATTCTGACCGCGGACTCTTTGCGGACAAAGATACCATAACCAGGGGGGCATTGAAAGTAGCGCTGGCCTTTGACCGAACCATCGTTTTTCCCCGAGTTATCTGGCAGTTCGAGACCTAGCCATTCTCCCGCTGCAATATGCAGTGGTCCAATGTACCGGACAGCCCCTTCTCTTCCATCCTGGGTCACGATTGTATGGCCAATCTTGATGTCGAGGTCGGCCATGTCTGGCGATTGGCAAGTCTCCGTCTAATGGCATGACCGAGGGTAACGTAGGGGCATCAGGAATGAGGTGAAGCTAATCTGGTGATCATGAGCGAGAATTAGGGATGCGCAACGGTTTGTTTGCTTGAGGCTGGGCCGGACGCGCATCGCCTGCACATAGTCGCGCCCGGCATGCATGCAAGTTCTCCAATCATTCGGTCGATAATGCCTTAGTCAGCGACATTTCACGTGATAATTATTTTGATGATTGCGACCAGGACGGAGCATCATGGACCTAAAATCTTTCATTCGCATACACAATTTTCTAAAAAGCTTGCTGGGGTATAGTATCTTGTTCTTTGGCATGGCCGTCTGAAGCAATCATAGCTTTTCCATCGCATGGCTATCAAGTAGCAAGAAGTTGCAACAACCGCCTGAAGAAGAACGTGCTGGGTATCTCATCTTCCAAACGCAAGAACATAAGGAGTGTTATTGAATGCACCAAGATCCTGTTCGGTGCATTCCATCACCAACAATAACCAAGTAACAGACATAGTCAAATCACGCTTGATTTGCATCACGAGCGACACACCAAAAATCGCTGGCTTCCACCTTTTAGTTTTCGTTGAAGCATAGAGGGTATCGTATCTTGCTGCACATAAGAACAGATAAATCATGATCTCCGTATCCATGTTGGGTATCATAGTCGTTTTCCGAGCATCACAGACTTGTCTAGCGCAGCGGAAGATTCAAATGGTTGTTCGATCCGTTGGTGCCACTCAACATCGGGTTGTGATGATGTGGCCCCATGGGACCTTGGTAGGAAGAGAACGAGTGCGACGTTGGAGGTCTTCCCGAGTCAAAACTAGCACGAGGGTGCTCATGCTTGGGTGTCCTGTCTCCCGGCGCAGCACTGCCTGTTCCGAACGGGAATTTATTTTCGTATCGCGATGGCCAGCCACCACTGAGCGAAGAAGCAGAGACGTCTTCTTCGGGGAGATTGACACCGCTGTCATTCCAGAAATTCCGATAGCCACTTTCACGGCTCTCCATAGAGATCAGTGACGCCTTGCTCGCATTGGAGGAAGCGTGTTTGAAGAAGGTTCCTGGAGAGTTATTCTGGTTTTTGCGGCTCATGAAGGATGAGAAGGACGTAATGCTGCCTGGCTTGCGGAGGCGGTCAAACAGAGACGCTCGCTCAGACACCGGCGTACTGTCTCCGTCGGCAAAACTTGATCGCGTTGGGGAGTCGGTCGAGTGGAGGGACGGCGCATTCTGCAGGAGCTTCGAGTCGAAGAAGGGGAGCGAATCCTCAAAGGAGTCTGACTTGGGACGAGGAATCGCCCCTTTCACTGTGGAGGCATCGAGGCCGTGTGGCACGAGTTGAGAGATGAGGTAGTCAATGGCGTCCTTGAGTCCACCAGCATTATTCCGAGTGTAAGTCAGAACGAGGCGGCCTTCAGAAGGACTGACAATGCGCTCGACAGATGCGGTGGCGGACTTTGGCAGGCTATTGACTTCTGGATTGGCATGGACGTCCACTTCATATTGGTCTCTCAACTTCTGCCGTAGCTCGTTGTAGAATTCCGGAGTGGTGAAGAAGTTGTCCAGGTCGTCCGCCTTTTGGAAGGCAATCTCATGGCTTTCAGGCACCATGCCGAGGAATGCGTCTACTGCTTGTGGTACTTGATATTCAGGACCGGATATGGTGACAATGTCACTGGCTTGTTCAGTGTTAGGAAAGTCAATCTTGCAGTTCCATTTCTTCTCCAGATCCTCGATTTCCGGCAGCCGACCGATCAATTCGCGGTGATAGAGACGATTTATGACTACCGTCTCGGAGACAAACTCGGCATCCTAAAAGGTTCATCTGATAAGGACATGGGCTTGTCAGTTGGGGAGTCATCTTCGCTTACAACTTTCTCCACCATATCCATAATCTCCTGCTTCACCATATCCAAGCTCTGCGCGTTACGGGCAGGCGTACGACAAATGACATTATCAACCTTGATATCATCGTCGTCCTTTCCGGCCCCACCGCGATCCATGGCATTGGAGAACTTGACGAATACTGAATATTTTTTCATGATGCGTTGAATGTGCTGTCCACCAATACCAATGATACGCTTGTGATATTGGTCAGGCACATGGAAAGAGATGGAGGCCGGCATTTCTTGTTCGACAAGGTCGAGCCCGTTTTTGGTGGCCTCGTACTGACTGCCTACAACGTCAATGTAGAAGTTGTATTCGTTGAAGCCATCAAAGATGATCTGGACGTTGCCTAAGAAATGCGTCAGTGATATCGAGATCTTCAGAGAGGATTAGCTCACTTTGGCCCATGATCTTATTGATTTTGCCGTTCTTCTTGCCGCTCACGAACTCCTTGTGCTCATTCGCCAGTTCGATTTTGACTCGCATTTGGTACGGTGTGCGCTTGACAAACGGGATTTGGTTAATGACCATCATTGCTGCTTTGACAGCGTCGTCGGAGCCATTGATCGTGAAGGTGAACTTCTCAAAGCTAATATCTGCGCCTGAGTTGGTACAAATATCACTCAGCATGACACGAATGTCGTCTGGAGACGGCGCTCGAATAGCAGGACCTTGTGCTGGATCGGGCATCATAATCCACCATGAAGCACTGAAGAATTGGCCGGCCTATGAAATCGTCAGTACATCGAAGTTGGCCGTAATGTCCGTTCTAGCATTGTAAACATACTAGAGCCATGATCTCCTTCACCGTTCTCTCCACATGTAGTACTTCGGTGCCCTGGACGCGCACAATACCACGCTGGCTAGCCAATTGTGGGAAGAGTACGTGAGAACCATTTGTCTCCATGATCTTTCGCACTTTGTCCAATCGATCAAGCAATATGCTGTCAATCTTGCTCGCAGAGACCACGGCATCCTTCGAGTACAGTTTAATGCCTATGACCAGCTCTTTCAACCTCTGTTTTGCCTGGTTGATGCGTTCCTGTGTCTCGCCTGTGATGAAGATTTCGTCCGCGGCTCGGCGTGTGGCATGTGGTGGGACGTATCCGAAGACTCCGGGAAATGGTGGTGGGAAATAAATCGCGGTCTTTGTGGCTGACTCGATCATCTTGATGTTCTTGCCCGTCCGCCCGGAAACTAAAGTATGCATTGTCACTTCCAGCTTGATGACATCGATTTTGTGCTTGAGCTGTACATGCGTTAGCTATGTGTACTTGTAGACTTGACTCTGGAATCTTCACAATCTGATCGATCATCATCAAAGCTCTGGTTTTGGCATGTTCCACACTTTCCATGTCTCCGAAGATATTCACTCGATATCGTTGGTCGAGTCCGCTATCCACGCCATTGCCGTACGACGCACCGGCCGACGATGTCTCGCCATTTCTAGGCTTCAGAAGAAAGATGTCGGTCCCGGTATATTTGGCACAGAGATCGATATGGTTGAGCACGCTAGATCGGACTCCAGTTTCGGCGCTGTCAAGTATCAAACCTGGGTCAATGTCGACAATTGCAGAACGCTAAACTATTAGTACTGAGCACTGGGTCACAAGCTATTCACGTACCATCAGGATTGGAGTCTCGTTGAGAATCTTGGACCTCATCTTGTAGACTAGGTCTCCTTCACCTGAAATGCAAACATTGGTCACCAATCCTTGTGACTTCCTGTGCAATGCGGGACCAGCCTTGGGCTCGGATGAAGTGACTGTTGCTTGTATCCGACCTCCACTCTGATCACTTATGTACGCACATAACGAGCGCAGTCTCTCTTCATTTTGTACATGCACAGGCAGCTGGTGAATGGGCGTGCCCTCGGGCGTCTCTGCGGGAAATGTCCACCGCTGACAGGCACCAGGACTTGAATGCAGTATCTCTTCGGGATCAGGGCCAGCCAGGTTCGAGGCAAAAGGTACATTGAAGGAGAGATTGACTGGGGTGGATTCGGCGGATTGCTGCGAGACGATTGCAGGTGAGCCTTGAGGACGTCTCAATGGCTGCGGCGTGGACATGTCCTGGTGAAACCTAGACATGCCAAACGCTGCTGGAGTCATCCGTTCCCAGCCATGGCGAGCCTGGCCAGTGAAGTTGCTGATCTTATGCATCTTCGACTCGGATGACTCCCCAGGTCATCGACGTTAAAAAGGGAATTAAGGCTGATAGGCTATGATTGTTGCATGAGGAAGTCGTCGAACGAAGGTCAAGATTTGCAAGGACCACGAAGAAAGGAGGACGGAAGAGGACGGCACGTAGAGACCAGTTTCGAGTTGTGCGTATCGACGTGATGGAGTCGAAGTCAAAGGTCGAGTGAGGTGCCAGTCTGCAGTGCCGCGCAGTCAGTGCAAGCCATGAGCTGAGACTGGGCGGCGGATCATAATTTAGGGCGGGCACGGCGGGTTGTAGTCCAAGTTCTGTTGGCTCGGCCTGCCTCTTTGATCATCACTTATCCGTCAGCTCCTCTCGCCCCTTTCGATGCTTAAGCGGCCGGTGGCAGCCGCGTCGCGAATGGTCACTGGGCTCATGTGCGAGCTCGGATGGTGATCTGCGTATCTTAGTGGCTGTGTCCATCTAGGCTGCGGCTTTGCTAATGACGAATGGCCGTTGCTAGCTGCCAACACCCTTCCAATGGTCAGGACGCCCTCGCCAGACCAAGGTACGAGTATTACTGCTGAAGCTCCTAAGTACTGTGTAGAATTCTTCCGCCATGACGGTTACAAGGACTCCAAAGGCACGTTAAGACATAAAGATACATGACGATAGATACGAATATGTGTATCTGTTCTCATATGGTAACTACGAAATTCCCGTGTGTGGCCGAAGGGGTATCCATGTGATGCAATGTCCATCCAGTACGCCGCTACAAATAAATCGTCATAACCAAAATCTATAGGATCGTCTCTCAAGCACTTCAGGGCCCCATGAGATCAGTGTGGCTTGCAACACGACCAGCACTCAATTCTCGCAACTTTCGAGAAATCAGCCCATCTCCAGCCTCTACAGGTGCAGGGGAGAAACCGCGAGTGATGGTCATACTACGAGGGTCACACCATGGAACGGGTGAACTCCGCGAAGATGTAGAGGGCAAGAAGCCTTGGACTGGCGAGACGGTGCGACCGGGTTCGAAGGGTGTCTGCTCATGGTGAATAATGCTGGGACCTGTACTCGAGGTGTGCTGGGCCAAAGTACCGTTGAACATGTTTGATGGATGCGGCCGTTTCGTGGCCTGGTCTTGGATCGCATTTTGGTCTAGGATATCGTCCAAGCTTCCAAAATCCGGAGAGACACTGTCCGGTAGCAAGGAGGAAAGCTTCGGCGCAGAAACACTTGGGCTTCGGCATCCGGTCTCAGCGGGTTTGTATGGGCTGAATCGTGGTTCAGGCAACTGAACTTCGTTCCTTAGCCCTTCCTTGCCATCAGGGACCCGGTTGGCGAAAACAACACGGATGTTGTCGTAGAGATAGAAGCGGCCCTTGCCAGTTGAACAAAATTTGAGATGGATCAAATACCGAAGGATATCTTTGTTGCTGAGAGGGTCACGGCTTGCTAGGCTGACCTTGTCATCTGTTATTGCACTCTCCACGATGGGGCCGGAGGTAAAGCTTCGCTGTCGAACAAAGGTCTTTGTTCCTGGTAACATGCCGTTGAGATCGTAAGGCACTAAAAACAGCTTCACGGCGGTCTTGTTGGGGTTCTTGATGATAATTTGAAGTTGTCCTTTCTGTGGCACCCGATACGCTCCTCCTGTAGGCACCTTGGACAGATCTGCCTTTTTACCTTTCTTTTCTTGCACATCCCGGGCGAGCGCCCTGCCAATAGCCGTGTTCTCGGGACTTGTGATTTCGGCCACTAGTTCTTGGGTATCAACAGGACCTTCAGCACGACGCGGCCGCCGAGCTGGAGATTCAGGGGTTTTCAAGTTTCGTTCCAGATCAATAGTACCGACATAAGGACTGGGATTATCGTCCGAGATAGACCTCGACTCAGTTGTAGATGGATAGTTGTAGAACACCGCAGGAAAGGGAACCGTAACATGCGCCGGGCACTTCAAGCTGGGGGGACAATTGCCTTTTGCAACCACGCCAATCTGCGCAACGAAGTCAAGTGGTCTCGAAGGCGGCGTTGACATTCGGCCTCGTAGAATAGACTCCTCAAAAGACCCCACCATGGATGCTCGATGGCGAGGAGAAACATCGCAAGCCAGCGACGGGCGCCTTGGCTTGGCCACGAAGGGTAGCTGTGGGTTGCTCGCTGGGTGATATGTAAAAGAACTCAATGAGCGGCGAGGCCGACACGCAAAAGCACTACCTTCATGTTGTGCATCAGACGTTGGTAGGTTAGGAACAGTATTGGATGTTCCGCCATCGATGGGTGACATACGAAAAGCCCCAAAAGCGTTTGGAGGCATAGTCCTCCTTCGAGCACTCTTGGTTCCATCGTTAGCCAATGGATTCCGTGGCGAAAAATCGAGGGAAGGGTTGTTGGTAGCATGAACAAGCGGGCTGGTTGGAACTCGCATGACGAAGCTCGATGTTAGACTACTACCCAAAGAAGGCGCTCGTGATCGCCTCATCGGTTCTGACGAAGGTGCCGAGGGAGAGGGAGGTTTTGCAACGCCTGTTGACTCTGAAAGCCATGTCGGAGGTGAATTGCCATAATCTAATGAAAAATATTGTCTTGTCGGTGTAGAAGTGGTTGCTGGATTGGAAGGTTCCCATGCGTAATCGCTTCCAAAGTCACCAGTATGGAAAGCAGACAACGATCGTCTCAAAGATTCCGTGGCAGAGCCTTGGGGGGAGGAAGTCGGTAGTGGCCCTGCTTGTTCGTGTACACGTTGAGTATGTGATGATTGGATATCTCCTTCAGAATGAAACATGTCCGGACGAAGATCTTTCTGCTCAGCATTGACTTCAGCACACAAAGCTTCCAGCCCTGGTCTGGGTACCCAAGTTGGCCGTTGGCCTCTTTTGATGCACTGAATCAATTCGTCTCGATCGCTCGTCGTGACCGTCCTTTGTTCGAGGCTTGGGGCATACCGCTCTTCCGATCCATGTGTCTCCTCTGATTCTGATCCTTGGCCGTGAGGCACCTCCTCACAATGATAATATGCCTGTCCTGAATATCGAGTCATGTCCGATAACGATGTAAGTTTCCGTCTCTTGGCTGATCTCTCATCTAAGGCTTCAACATCCAGGACAAAGGGCATGCTCTCCTGCACCACTTCCTGAGAGATAGGACAGATGTACGGGTTGTGCAGGCTTTTTGCTCTCACGACAAGCCTTCGTCAAAGAACTCGCACAGGGTGGAAACATAGCGGACGAGTCGCCGGACGCTAGGGAGGCAACGAGGATACGGGACACCGTATATCACCGCATGTGCGATAGCAAGTGGGGGCACAATAAGGAAGACGAGGTATATTGGTGTGGATGCAGAAGAATACTGTGCAGTAGAGAGTAGAAGTTGTCTGTGAGGGATATGCCGGGAGATGAATGACTCCTCTGGACGGAGTCATGCGATGTCATGACCGTTAACCGGCGGTTCCTTCCCCGGGACTCCGGAGTTTCAAGCAGCGATTTATTTTCATCCAGCCTTGCCAGCAAGCCAGTCTCGCGGCCTTTCCATCAGACTTTTGTAGCAGCACATATTCCGTCTTTGCGGTGACAGCACGGCCTCCAGTCAGGCTAGATAAACATGGGTGCGAAAAGAAAGAACGATGATTCTCTGGCCGGCGCAGACGAACCAGGCAAGAAGAAGCGAAAAGGATTTTCTGTTGGACCAGCCAATCTACCAGATGGCACCTACAGACGGAAAGGTGAGCGCTAGTGCCAGATGTTGCAGGGTTTGCTAATTATCCTTAGCACAAAAGATCAAAAAGGACCTCATCCAGAAAGCCAAAGTGAAGAAGGCTTACGCTAAAGTCAAGGCGCAGGAGGAAGCTGCACACGGCACGTCATTGACAGAGCGGCCGGACGGCAGCGCACGAGATGAGCCCACAGATGCTACACCTGCGAGCCTTGAACTACATCCAGACCGACAAGCTATGGTTGACGCTGCAGAGACACGAGGGGTGGAGCGACCGGAGCTAGAATCTCAAGAAAATCAATACCAAAACGCCAGAAGCCAGCCTCGTCAGCGCAGACCAAAGGATTCACGCTACAAAAAAGAGTTGGAATTAGCCACTCAACACAAGGCAAATATTGAGGCAAAGCAGAAAGCCAGGGAAGCGAGGGAAAAGGAACGCAAGGCCATGACTAAGGCAAAACGACCTGGACAAGATGGAAAGGTGAAACTAGGCAGGCAAGGGACGGTCTTGTTGAGCCGAATACAGAGAATGACCCAAGAGGGCAAGATCTGATACGGAAAGGGCTGGCCACTCGACCTCGTTCAAGAGGAGTGTACGCAGTCTGGCAATACCCGGGGTTTTCTGGACGCAGCGGCTTCTGGTGCACAACCTTAGCTGGCGAAGCATCAGCGGACCCAAGGCCTCTCAACTGCACGCGATCGGGCAATAATAGCAGATTATGGCTTCCACAGTGGTTGACTTGTATCCCACCTTGAGAGACTGGACTGGCCACATACCAATGGAGCTCAGGGGTTTCCAAATCCGAGTTCTTTGTCCTGAGAGGTCGAAGACAAGCGGTCAGACGTTCATTGCCCACCAGAATCGGAGGAATATCTGAAGGAGCTCATTGACGCCCTGGCTCTGGCCACTGTACGAGACGGACTCGGCAGGACAAGTGCTTCTCTATACGATTGCAGCTGGCCGTCTGAGTGTTGCTACATTCTTGGTGGTGTCTGTGGCTGACGCCAGCAACACTAGCAACGTCCATCGGACCATCTGGCCCATATGTGACATAAAGAGATTCCTGGGGACAAAGGGCAATATATGCTTACCGAAATTCTCAATGGCTGTGGTCGGTTGTGAAAGGGATTTGGACAATGACGACCGGTTTCAAGACCTTACAAAGACGGGAGTCACAAAGACACGAATCGGCGTTCTGATACATGAAATACTGTTGCTGCTCGTGAACCGACCAAAACATGCAAATTTGCGTTCCAACAGAATTCTGGACTTTTCACCCTCGCATTCAAATACACGGCAGGATTCAAGCGATGTTTCACCAAAGTATTGCATTCGACCACGAAATGGCCGACCCGCTTGACGAAGTAGCGGAATGGTGGCGTTTCCAGACTAGAGAGCTGTGGTTTCTCTATGAAAATTATGCTTGTTGGGCAGACACCTGGCGAGAGCAAAACAAAATTCTCATACAACATCTTCGCCAACATCAAGATCGCCTATGTCCCTACCCCTGGTGCCCTTCCGAGGCCTGGCTTGTTTCCTGGGCTATTAAAAATGGGGACCCGCCCATGCAAGAGTTTCTAAGTTGGTCACTTCACGAAGAAGAACCCAGAGAGGGTCATGTGACCATTAAAATGCTGGAAGAGCATCTCAAGGTCTGGGCCGACCTTTTCGAAAGTCCAAGAGCAAGCCACTTCAAGGAAGCTGTTGTTGATGAAGATACCCCATTGTTCCGGCAACAGCAACATGTAGGTGCTCCCTGGATTGCCCATCTTTTGGTCTCGCAGAACTTGTACTGGGAGTGGACATGCAGTCATTGGAAGAAACTCTGGCGGCAACATTTACTATCGAAAGACGCCATGGAGATCGACAGTATGGGAGCAGAACCACTGATCTTGTACAGTGATAGACCACAGGTACCGGTCAGTCACAGTCACCCAGTGGAACTCTCCGTCGACTACGATCAAGGAGCAGAAGCCGTGGTGAACTATATGAACAGAAGACAGGGGGGAATGGTCACGCATCGTCATCCTACCCACTCCAAGCACTCGAAGCCTTTCAAGCATTCCAAGAAGCGTGAGCATGTCAAACAACCCAAGCATGCCAAGAACCTCGTTCAACCTCAGCTCGAACGATTCAAACTCCGCCTCCACGGGAAGAGAATACGCAGCGGGCGCGCGCAGCGCTGATAACGACTTTCGCGTGAGTACAGCTATGTATCGTTCTGCCCATATTTCAAGTTGTCAATGCAATGAGTGTACTTTCCAGGTAGGTGGTACTCAGGTAAGCCTCGAGGTGACCTACCATACTTTGACGTATCCTTTCACTCACTCAGTGGCCCGCTCACCGTCGTAGCGATCATTTCGACTCGATAGCATCTCATGCCGCTCCTTTGTATTTGTTTATGGTCAATTGCCAATTTACTTCGCGGCCATCAACTCCTTCGCAGCTTGAGTGACGAATTGCCTTCCTGGACGATTCCCAGCACACCATTCCTCCTCCAACAGACTTTTTTTTGATCCTATGATGCGTATTGAGAATCGCTTCGACGGGCTTTCTTTTCGTCACGGATGCTGCAGCAAGTGTCAAACAGTTCTTCGTGCTAATGGCGGCCACATTTTCAGGCACGGCTGGGAGCACTGTCACTCCTCCGTGCTCTGTCGTATCTCAGGTACAGCTCTCCTCTCAAGAACACAGGGCGCCGAGTGTCCAATTGAGAAATAGTAACGCGTCAGACGAAATGCTTGGCAAAAGCATAGTCGACAGGAAATTTTTGTGTGGAATTTTGAGATAATTCTTTTGTCGTGACCAGGGAATTATGGAGTCCAGGCTGGCTTTTGCGCAGAACCCATCGAGCCAGGACGATCGAGCTCACCCGACGGTGCTCCGTTGAGCAAAGGCCTTGCATTTCTTGTCCTTGAGAGTCGGCACTCAAACGAACCATGCAGCGGCACCCCGTGCAAGACGGATGCGTCCGTCATTGTCAAAAGGTCCAAAAGCGTCATTTAACCATTTAACGCACTTCGCCACAAAAGTTCTCAATAGCCTCCGAATTGGATTGGTGTGTGCATAGGATCCTGGACGAGGTGAGAGTCGACCCCATGCCCTCCGCCAGTGGCGGCACTACTGCATGAGCTCACTGCCAGCTGGCAAACTCGTCCATGAATCGAGATGACTATAAGCTTGCAGAGTTGCACCTCCGTCGAGCCATTTGCATCTCATACCAACAGTATCTCCATCGCGGCCCTTCAACGAGATCTTTGCCTGGCGGCTTACAGTCATGTTTGAGTCAACAAGGCCCGTGATGTGGAGATTGGCACGATCTGTGAGGAAATGGGCCTGCAGCTGGCCTTGGTGGATGGATAAAAAACCGTCTGAAGCCATCGGTATCGGCCGTGACATTCCGGACCTGGCCAAACAGCCTGGCTTTTAGCAATATCATCGACCTGACGGGTCTGTCTTTAACGGTCTCGTCAGTCTGTCGACGGCGCAGGAGAGAGCTTTTGGATGGTAGGTCTCGATAATGTCTTGAATTTGCTTCCCATCCAATTCCGGTATGTTTTGCAATTCCGAGACCAACATCATATTTGGAACGGTACCAGGAGGAATTAATGTCAAGCCATGCACAAATATCAAGGGTCGTTCTTCTCTTTTCTTCCCCCTCAATTGCTTTCTTATTAACTCATCCACGCGGCACGATGAATATCATCGACATCTACCCTGACACTGCCGTTTCTGCCCACTCATCCTTCAAGTCTCTTTCCTTTCCGCCTATCCTCTCGATCGACCAATTACTCGGCAAGTCCAACTTCAAGTCATGGCGCTCTTCAATTGAACCTGTCCTTCTTGCCAATACTCTCTCATCGAAGCTCGTCCTCGGAGACTGGCCCGAACCTTCTAGAGAACGAGCAGCCTCGTCGGCGTTTGCGTTTGACAATCCAACAGTCGGAGTCGCACAGATCGAACAGGAACGAAGTGAATGGCACACAGCAAACGCAGCGACATGTCGCTTCATTCGCGCCACTTTGGCGTTGAATGTAGCCCCCTTCGTCCGCCAGCACAACACTGCCAAAGCCCTGTATTTGAACATCATCTGGCTCTACGGTGACGAAGCCGGTATCGATACCCAGGGTGGACCACCAGTGCCGGCGGATGCGCATTTTCAAAACACCATGCAGCAAAAGACTCGGGCAGGCTTGCTGGCAGCGTTGGAGAACAGCAGCTGCAGCATCACGCCGTATGGCCAGGTCGCAGCTGCTGCTGGGGGAAGACTATCTCTATCTCCAAATGTCAGCTCCAATAACTCGAGTACGTTGTCATTGCTCGCGGGACCTTCTTCGAGCCCGGCGGCGTCGCGCAGTGTCCTCGATGTCAGCAGGCCTGACTCCCAAGCTCTTCCAGCCAGAGACATCCCCATGATCGCTCCGCCACCACCGGCTCTGGTCCACATCTACGAACGCACACGACAGTCGCCGGACCCGAGTCTCGATACCATCCATGAGCATGAGGAACCTCATCCGGGTCGGAGAGTCTCGTTTGGTCATTGCAGTCGCAGTCGCAGTGGCACCGCAGGGTCTGGCAGCGAAGAGGATATCAGTCCGCTCAGTTTGTCGGAGATGAGTGTGGAAGACGATGACGATGATGATCATGATCATGATGTTGTGAGTATTGCCTTCCCTTTCCTCGTCCATGTCCACTGAAAGGACGAACATCTACGAAGAAGGCAACTGACCAAATGGTAGGACCTGAGTCCGAGAGATGACGTCCAAGGGCATACTCGACAGGCCGATAGGAACAGGGACAAGGACAATGCTAATGCCAACAACAACGGCCAGTCTGGATCCAAGTCCAAATCGATCTTCGGCCGAAATTTTGGAAGAGAACCGACCAAGACGCGCAAGCTATCCTTCTCCTTCCCGCTCCGGAGGCTGGACAAAGACAAAGAGAAAGCAAAAGAGGAAGGCAAAACTAAAGCTAGAGGATAGAAGACAGGGGATGGACTATCTCAGTGGTGACGCCCTTGGGAGATGGGTCTTGTTAAGCGCTGGCCATGATGGGCCCATTGAAATGCTGTACAACGCTTGTGCTGTGAAAGACTATCGTCTGCTGGACGAGCCTACTGGTTCTGCTTGGTATATCGTATCTCATGTGTATTTCTCTTGGTGTATCTCATGTATGTCCCTCTTGTTGTTGTGTATCGTAAGTCATAATAATACTGGTGGTAGATGATGCATCTTCACACTCTAAAGGTGTTGTGTAGCGGTTCCTCGATGCTTGTTTCGCTCATCACTCATCACTCATGATACCCAGCTCCATCCGCCATGGCCATTCACCATATTGCGGCGGCTTTGCTGGCAATCAGTTTCCGCCGTTCGTAAAGCACAGCTCATAGCAACGCCGCTCTCAGCCCCCTACCAATCCATTCTCCTCTCTGCGTCGTCCTCCTGCCTCTCCTTCCCCACAAAGAGTCCCAACAATCCGCCGCCGACATTATTCCTCACTGCCTTCCACCCACCACCAGGCACGCCCTCATGCTCCTTCATATAGTGACTCAAATCCGGTGAGAGCATGTCCACCGACACCGTCACGGGCTTCGTATATCTCGCGCCAAAGTAACTTACACCGTCATCATCCTCGCCTCCCGCCCAGTCTGACCTGGCCACACGACTCTTCGACCGCCTGATCTCCTCCTTGCCGTCCGCGTTGTGTCCCTTGCCTTCAGCCTTCGGCCTCGGTCTTCGATCAATCCTGACACCCTGCCTCGATGCCCTCGACATGTCGTCATCAAAATAATTGAACGGCACAAACACCACCGAACTCGCACTCGTGTGCATCAAGGTGTTCGGCACGTCCTGGGAGCTCGGTACATGGTGCCCGCCCAAGTTGAAGTACAGCACAAGGTCCTCCTCCTCGATCTCCTCGCCGTTGACCATCTTCTCAAAGTCGACCAGGGGATCCAGAGGTTCCAGGTAGTTCAGATGGTGTGCCGAACTAGGTTCGCTGTCCGGATGGTTCTTCAACACCCACAAATCCGCGCTCGACCACGCTGCCGATTTGCCCAATGTCGTCGAGTTGAGGATTGTAAGGTGCGATGGGTTGCCCATGCCGGTGCCTCCGAGGATTCGATATGCTCGAGTCTCGCCCCATTTGTTTGTTGAGTTCGGTGCAGTGACGAGGTACATCTCCTTACCGTTCTGGGGCCAGTTCAATCCTGTCTCGTGATGGACGGTGTTGTGGACCATGTGCATTGTATTGCGGACAAGAGGAACCTCGGGCTTATCCCAGTCGTACTCGCGCTGGAGCGGTTCGATGGAGGTGCGGACCATCGTGTTGGCTGTCCCGCAGATGTCGAGGTCCGCTTTGAAGGAGACGACATGGTCGTGCATGGATGTGTGGAGGGCCGGATGAATGCGGTAGCCGTATTCGTTGGTGTATGCGTCGCGCGGTTGACTGGAGGAGCGCGGCTCGGCGTGGAAGGCGCCAAAGATGTAGCCTGAAGCACGGAGTTTGATCTCGATGGAGCCGTCGAGGTAGAAGATATAATCAATCTGAATGTGTTAGACAAGATGTGACCGTAAATCATGCTGGGTGGTAACGTGAGGTTTGGTGGGAATGTCAGGAGGAGGGAAAGTGAGACTCGACTGAGCTTTGAGGAATAGCGAAGGTCATGCAAGGACTAAGGTTGGCAGAGGAGGGCACCGTACCGTATAATCATAATTTCCAACCGTACTCACGCTTCGGACCACAAGGTAAGTATTCCTGCTCACAGTCGCACTAAACGTCGAGGTATGTCGTTGCAAGGGCGCGTCAGAAGTGTACTCGAAGATGCAGATGGCGTTCTTGTTCGTGTACATCTTGCCTCCTTTGTGGTACGACATGTCGAGGTACTCGGCATGGCCAGGACAGTCGAGGCCAGGTACGAGGCTGAACATCATGCTTCCCATGCCGAAAAAAGTATCGAGGAACTCCAGGCCAGACTGCAAAGGCTCGACACCCGCGTAGTGAGCTAGCGCTTCTTGCAGGCCCAGCTGGTAGATGATTCGGGTAGAGTCATAGCGGATGTCGAACAAAGAGAGCCCGTTTGCTTGGGTGGTCGACAAATAGAATGAGAAACGCATCCAGGAAATGTAGTTCTGGTCGCGGTCGAGGTGGTAGCGCGGACCGTAAGGCTGGATCGACAGTGGAGGAGGCATGTCTCGTTCGGGAAAGGAGGTGCTGAAATCCTCAGTGTCGGTCCACGAGCCGTCGTGGTTGAGTTCCAGCTTGACAAAATCTGGTAATTTGAAGGCTTCACGGAGAGCAGTGTCGTTGTCGTAGAGAAATCCATTATAGAACCACTGGCCTGTTTTCCAGGTCGCAGGGTTGGCGCTGGGAGTGTCGAGTTTGACGTACAGTCCTTGGGGAAGAAGGCTGCGGCTATCAGACTCGATGCCAGAGCCAAAGAATTCTAGCCAGTGAACCATGTGGCCCTGGTCGATGAGGGCCGGCCGAGAGCCCATAACAAGCGCATCAGGATCGGCCGGGTCATTGCGGTTGACTTTGGCGCCGAGAAGCTCTTGCGTGATATCTGATGCATTTTCACCGATGCTGAGCGCCCAGTCGAGAAGAGCGAAGACATCCGAGATCGGACTCTGAACGTAGTTGCGGCCGGAGTTGTAAGGGTAAGTCAGCGGCAAGATTTGGGTGTCATTGGATGGTGGTAGAGGTCCGACCATATAGTCGACGATGTATGGATTGTCCTTGCGGATTTCGAGGTTGGATACTCGAGCCCATCGCTCCGGGACCGGGCCATTGTTGTCGAGATATTTGACGACATCGGATTTATTTGGTCGCAGTAATTCAATCAGATAGTTCAGATTCCTGCTTTCAGCATCTTTGCTCAGATCGATAGAGGAGGACTCCTGAAGAAAAGTGTATATCTGTGAGGCCTCACGGTCGTCGATCTCGGCGAAGGGATTCTCTGCTGGAGCTCGAAAGTGACTGTGATAAGAAGTGGAAGACGAAGAGGACAAAACATGCTGCTCCCTGGTTGGATAGGAGAACAAGAAGAAGAGAAAAACGGCACTTGAGAAGATGATGGGTACCGAGATGGTAATGCCCAAAAGCGTCCACTGCGCCATTGAGAACCGAGACAAGCCTTTGGAGCAGAGCGTGCGAATGTAGGTTGAGTCCCTGGAATGATACCAGACGCGATAGATGACCATGTACAATGAAGGCTTTGACCGCGGGGATTTCCCAAGTCTATGCCAGGCACGTAGCCAATGACATGGTTGACGGAGATGACCTGATGAAGCAGTCAAAGTCACGGTTACAATCGCCTCGTATGGCATAAGTCGGGGATTTGGCAGCGATGCCCTGCATAACACCGGATTGGAGTTGAAGCGATATAGGATTTGCAGAATTCCAACTCATGCCTTGACGGACTACAAACAATATAAAGTATACTACTTAGCATTTCGGTTCTTCAAGTAGTAGGTATCCCATCCGGGACTCGAAACTCCTCAGCAATCTCTCCCTTCTGCACGCCCTCATCCGCATGCTTCACCACTTTGTCCTCGGTCACCACCAGCTTCTCTTCCTTTCCAAGGGGCTCATGCGTGAATCTGGTACCGTTGAGATACCATGACAGACCTTCCACATGGCCTGACCTTTCTGCAACTGCCCATCCATCTCCAAACCATCCAAATTCATTCCCATCCACTGTCGTCATCTCAAAATCATCGAACCTCACCCTCTCGAGCGCTTTGATCGCATGTATACTGCTACCAGGCCAAAGAGCCGTAACTCGCCCCCTCTTTCGCTCCTCTGGTGTTGCATTGGGCGGTGCAGACTTATACCATGAACCACAAGTAGCGGAGAACACTGTCCGCTTGAAGTAGGCATCGCAGTAATTCGTAAAGTTTTCGACTTGCGTTCTTTTCGGCTCAATGGTCTTGACGTTCCCTTGAGCCAATCGCTGCAAGATTTGGGCCACATACAGTGCGATAGCTTCAGCAATGATCAACAGATTGCCATTGCCCACACCTGCATTGGGACCCAAAGACTGGAAGAAGTTGGGGAACTTGTCGACAGTGACGGTCAGATACGTCTCTGGCCGGACTTTGTATCGGTCTTGAAGATTGACCCCTCCACGACCATAGATCGGGAACCGGCCTTGGAACGAAGTGTCAAAGCCTGTCGCACATATGATTGTGTCGACAGGCCGGTGCTTGCCGTCGGTAGTCGTAATGCCCGTCTCGTCGACGTGAGATATCTTCTCATACACAACATTGACATTGTCCGCTGTCAACGCCTCAAGGTAGCCAGGTCCTGGAGTAAGACGTTTGCAAAGCGGCGGAAAGTCCGGGATCAGATGGTCAGCAATCTCCTTCTTCTTAGCGAGCCGCTTGCCCATGTCCTCTTTGAATTGGACCGTTGCTCCCTCGTGCTCTTTCGTTCCGCGATGGGTTAGAGCAAAGTTGCCTTGCATTCCAACTTCGAGTGCTTTCCGGTACTTGATGTATGACTCTGGATCCTTCTTCCAATTTTCCACTTCTTCTTTGGTGTATTCGAAATTGCCGTCTTGTCCGTCGTTTCGTTCCCGCACAAGCTCATTGCCGAAAGTCGCAGCAATCCATGTACGCCCACGGATGTAGCAGTCCATAGACTTGACCTTGGGTTGCAGAGTTGGAACAATCTGGATGCCACTCGAGCCCGCACCAATGACGGCAATGCTTTGACCCTGTAAAACTTAGCAAGGTGTAGTCCGGGAAGAGGAGAAGCAGGCATACCGTTGCATCATAGCTAGTGTCCCAATTCGCGCTGTGCATCAGTTTGCCTCTGAAATCATGCAGTCCTTTGATATCGGGCCACTTCCATTCGTTTAACACCCCACTGCCCGTCATAAAGACGTCGCCAACATCCTCGATAATCTCATCCGAGCCCACTTTCTGGAACTTGGCATGCCATTTGCATGTTTCCTCGTTCCATCTAGCTTCTATGCATTTCTGGTTGAATTTCATGTACTTTCGGATATCGTACTTATCGGCCACTTTCCGCCAATACTCCAAGATTTCCGGCGCTCCGGCATAGAACTTGCTCCATTCCACGTTCGACTCGAAACTCAACTGGTACGAATGTGCGGGAATATCTGTGTTTGAGTAAGTACAGACAACCGGCTCTGGACCCAAATTACTATACCGCAAGCGCAGCCTGGATATCTGGAAACGGTAAGTACACGACCCAAGCATTGACTGTTGAAACTCACCTATTCTCGAACCACGTCCCACCCACATCTGCATTCTTCTCATAGATGGCAAGCTCTAGGTTGGGGACAGCCTTGGGGAATTGGATTGCGGCGCATATCCCTGATACACCGGCGCCGACATAGATGACCTTCAACGGCCTCGGTTCGTCAATCGCCCGTTCTGAAATCAAAGGATGGGCGTAATCATCGCCTGTGACTTTGTAGCCAATGGAGCCCATCCTGACAAGGGCACTAAGCCGAGAGATATGAAGCAGTGGTGATCGGAGTTGGTGGAGACACACGTGTGTCAAAAATATCAAGAGCTCTCACTGACGACGTCTGAGGGGACCTTTTCGTGCAAGATAACAAGGAGTGACACCGGAAGACTTCGTGCACAAACCAGAGGACTGAAGAATGGAGAAAACAGAACCGAGTAAGGGTACCCCAGGATATCGCACTCGCGACGGCGTGAGCCAAGCATCATGGAATCCCTTCAGCTCTTCGCACTACCTTGGAGATTTGCCGAAAAGCAAGGACAACGGCCAGAAGGTCCGGCCCTTCATCCTGCGGTGCGGGAGCCCAGATGTACAGTAGCAAGGAGAATATGCCCCAAGTGCCCCGCAACCTTGTCTGGAAAACCTCCACCTTGGCACAATCGAAGCAACGGGTAACAGAGCATGTGGGCGCATGATCCGGAGGGGTGAGGTGGTTACCGTGGCACTTGTGGTAAGTCTCAATATGGGGAACAAACCAGGAGAAATTGGGATTATCCCCGCCATCGATACGCGTGGGAAAATCCCGAGAAGCCTAGAATGCTGTGAATGCTGTGAATGCCTCGGCTAATTGTCAGGAATTGACCATGGAGGTGTTGATATCATAGGAAACCAGTACTCAAGCACCAAATACTCATCTCAAGATTAACAAGTTTTTGATGGCGATTTGAGCTCCTGCTCCAAGCAGCTCTGTCGAGTTGTCGAGTCTAAACTCTGGACGACGGGTGAGACAACCATCCTGACCCGCTCCTGAAGTCCGCACCCACCGAATTGAGATACAACTTGATCATTCACACATGCAGACCATCCAGGATATGGTCGGAAGTCCAACATAATTTCGCCCTTGTCGACGGACATTCTCTTCCCAATGTTGCCCGATCTTACAACGCAGGCTATCGCCTCCTTGCGCGCATGGCAGGCCGTAAGCGTGACCAGCGCCGAAACAGCCCAAGCCGCATTGCATGCTTCTCACTCACGCCACTAATCAGGCCTTCAGAGTGTTTCTCATTCTTTCCTCGTACTCCGCAAACGTTTCGGTGGTGCCCCTCCATAGATCAATGAGCATCCCATTTTCCTTCCGATATCTCTCGCCGTCTTCTTTCTCGGCCCTGCTCTTCAACTCCACCTTCCATTGCTCGATGATTTCTCTCTGTCTGTTGAGCGCCCTGATAGCATGCGTTCGGGCCTTGATACTGCGAGCCGGTCCCTGAGGCGGCAGCGGATCCTCGAGTGAATAGCAGAAGCAGAGGAAGTCAAGTTGTCTGTCGATCGGGCCAGGGCGGGCACGTGTCAAGTCAAACTTGACCTTGGATTTTCTCATCCCGATCCCCAACACGTGGTCGAACAGTTGCCGAATGTAATCGTTAGCGATCCTGCCGCACTGACTCCAGGGCACCTTCTCCATTCCTGGCCGGCGGCAGACGAGACGCACGCACAGAATGTGGATTCTCTTGAAGGACCGGTCAAGCCATGCTTGATGATTTTTCTGGACTTGAGCGAAAAGCTTAGGATTCTTCGCGACTTGTCGGATCTGCCACCCAGGAATACTGCGCATGGTGCGGATGGTCTCAGTATGATGGGGCACGTTCGCTCCTTCGGCGGTTTCGTTGCCAGCTGTTGAGACGGCGGAGTCGTGGGCTAGGAGACGCGGGTCGGTGATCGAAGTGTCGTTGGTGGAGATCGCAGGTGCATCCTTGCGCACAGGTGACGAGGTCAGTGGTATTTGCGTGTCCGAATGCTCAGGGGATGAGACCATAGCCAGAGTGGTATCATGCTCCAGTAGGTCAAAGTTGAGGTTTATCTCTTGAGATCCATTATTTTGTGCGTAAAGCTTGATGTTTCCTTCGATGACCTGGCCGATTGTTTTTCCTGTCTTATGGCAGATCCGAGCCAACCCGGCACCTTCATGGAATTCCATTTTGGAGTAGATCTCGAGCGCGGTAGCGGGGAGGACTGGGACTGTCTCAATTGTCAATACTGCCGTCCAACGGATCGCAAAACTCAGCTGAGCTACCTGTCAGACTCGCGCTCGGCCCATACGCCTTGATCATGTCGTCGTACTCGATATTGGCCATGACAAAAGATGTCCATTCCAGTTGCTGCAAGGAGCCAGGCCAATGCTTGACCTCGTGGAAGGCATAGAGTTGTGTGACTTCGATCTTATCTGGTCGTGATTTGCTCTGATGTGGCATGAAGCTGTAGAAGCAGCGGTCCTTTCCAAATCGAGTCTCAATGGAATGGATTAGTACCTGGACGCGAGCGTGGTCGTTCTGATCATGGTGCAGGAATTGCGGAACTGGAAGGTTGATGACCCAATCTTTGTATCCGAATTCTCGCGGAGGATTGAGCGCGAAGCGACTCGGTGGCGAGGGAGGCATCTTGCTTGTTTACGAGATGATGACTGCGACGCCACGTATGGGGACGATTCTCGGATTCGTGGGGATGATGTAGCAGATAAAAGTGGTCGACAATGAGATGGGAGGGGCCTGAGAGTGCGTTTGGTGCTCGAGGCGATGGCTCCCTGGACCGGTGAATTGCAGATGCAACGGCAGAACTCACCTTTAGGAATTATTGTCGGAACACCAATGCCTTCCTCACGCTTTGCCAGCCTACCTCTCTCTTGCGCCGGCTTACTTCGGTACTAAATGTTCCTCCAACATTGCTCTCGACTTCAACAGCTCCTATCTGCTGTATCAGCCGAACACGAATTTGATCCAGTTCCGTTTGAGCTTTTGAGCGCCTTCCTCAAGGGACCATTCCTTGATAACACACACTTTGTGCACGATCTCCTTCAGTAATTTGTCCATTGTCTCTCCAGCACAGTGGAGATCACTCTCGATCAGGATCCTATCGTCTGGTACGGCCTTGATGACGCTAATGACCTTTGCCGAGGATGCACTTGAGAAATTGATGGCCGTCGAGAAGGAAAAGTAAATCTCAGCAGGAACGGTATGGTTGAGATATTGTTTGAGGGCATCTGGTGGACCAGAGTAAGAATGCATGCATATCCGTGGCGGGAACGGTAGAATCTGCTTGATTTCAGGTCCATCGTTGTCTTTGTCTTCCGATGCGTGAGCATTAGTGATATCAGCTTTCTTCTTTCTTTCGCGCTTCGATGGTTTCTCGTGGCCTTTCCACATACTTTGCATCAGTTCGAACACCAAACCATGGGCCTGTACGCTGTGGACAGAAACGGGTCGCCTCAGCTTTGCGGCGAGTTCAAATTGAGCTTTCAGCACGATTTTCTGGTGATCCATGTTCACCCGGTATGGCGTCAAAGGTCTCCCCTCACGGGATCCTGGAGTATACTCTCCTTCGGATCCTCCTGTTTTGCTGCTCATATCGCCAGTCACGGCACTTGGGCCCTCAGGCAGTCGGAACGAGCGATCCAGGCCTACCTCACCGACCAGGGAAAATGGAAACTCATTGAGTCTTGCTTCGGTCTGCTGTAAGAACTCCTGAAGCGAGTAAGGAGCAGGCAGAGTTCTCAGAAAGTCCTCATCTTCTGGAGCAGGAACGAGGACAGACTTATAGTGTTCCACTGGGTCTGGTTGACATTGTTTGTCTCGGTCATCAAACAATTGGTGGGAAAACCATGGATGCCAACCAAAAGCTGGAACAACGTATCTTGACTGTGGATCCAAAGGATCATGACTCGAATGAATCGGATACATTCTTGCTGTCTTCTCAACCTTTTCCTGGTCTTGAGATCGCGTGGCCATGACCGTCAAAACTCTAGCCTTCATGTCGGCAAAGTCTTTGACTGACGCCATGATATCGGTTGGATGGCAATGGGAGTCAAATACTCCAATTTGCCATATACGATCATCGTCATTCCCGTTGTCAACCATTGCTTTCCAATGATACGAGATAAAGTCTCACAGAGAACAATGAAAGTAGAAACACGGATGCAAGATGGATTGAAGTGAAAGGTGAAAACATCAGCGTCATTGGCTTGTGTGTGATGGACAACTACGGTGGAACATGGACACTGTATAGCCTGGTACGGTGGAGGATCAGACCACAAACGAACCATCCTTGCCATTAAGACACCGTGGACATCCTTTGAGAAGGAGGAAGTTTTCTATAAGCTACATGTTGCGCCCTGAGTCTATAGCACGGGGTGAGCGGTTTTCGGATTGTTGAAGAGAAGTTCTGATCAAGCATTCCAATGTACCCCTATAACATAGCTTTGACAAGCTCCTGTTCCAGCAGGAAATACTGAACAAGGGAACATGGTCGATGCGACACGAAGCAAACTACGTAGTAGATTCAACAGTAGGACGTTGAGGACATGTTTTCATGAGACACCATATAAGATTCATTCATTTGCATTAATACCAGGCGGCTGCTGTGGACTAGCCACAACCGCAAGTCGACCTAAGTAAGGCTCTGTCTGACACATATTTCGAGAAAGACCGATCATTTCGTGCTCCTGGGCATTCGTTCATGTCCGCATAACAAGTCCTCAGATGGCCAGGAAGAGCCGAGAACAACCCTTTGACCCAATGTGGACACTTGTTCAAACCACAAATTCATGCCTCAACGCCGGCGAGACTTGCTCGCTTGAATATCTCTCAAAATCCCATGAAGATATAGAGTCATCTTGGCTTTCATAACCAGTGTCGTTCGACTGATTACTGTAACTGCTGTGCCGCCTCGGCTTGCTTTGCACAGACGCGTCAGCCGTAGAATAAGGACCGTATGGGAGGAGGCGGACCTCGTCTACACCAGTAATGGGCACTGGTGCTTGGATTTGAGGTAGCCGTCGTTGCAGGTAGGTCAACGAAGCCTTTGCCAACAAATCATCGCTTGCATCCCAGGAACCCCTGGAGTGGAAGTAAGCTATAGCTCTCTCCTGATCCTGCTCGAAATCTAGTATTTGCAGAGTTTTGGCACAGTGTAAGCAATTTGCAATGTCACTTCTGGCCGATAGAGGTGTGGACGAGTCAATGATATAAGGGGGTCGCTCAAGGTGCGCATTTGGTGAAGGGGCGTCCATGGCCTCAGAGGCGCGGACAAAACAAGCACTCCGAGCGGTAGCACTGAAGACCGAGCTTGCTGCTAAAGCCCGTGTTTCAGCCGCCGAGCCGGGCGGAGCTAGCCTCAACGCATCGGTGAGGTGCTTCTGCATTGTCTCAGTTGGCTCAGGGTAGTGCAAGGCCGACTCCAGAGCTTGTGTCAAGGAATATGTTGACCGCCATGCGGCGATGGCGTCGAGCGGTGAACGAACAGCATGATCTTCGACGACCACGTCCATCAAGGCATTGGAAGAATCTTCCTGAGTGGGTCGGTCATACATCAAATTGTAGGCCCTCTGACAAACTGTGTCGAGAAAGACTTCGTCGCACGGCAGGTCAAGCATTTCCGATAAATACGGTGGAAGCCGATCTGTGTGACGCAGGGGTAATTTGTCGTGCAACCCTTTCGCTCTTGTCCATTGCCAGTTGGCGAAAAACTTCCCGACGCGGTTAGCGATCCGGTGGGTGGCCGTTCCGAGTGAGCCCACGTTCCACAAGAGCACCCGGCAATGGAGCGCTTTCAGAAGTAAGCGCAAGGGCGTTTTAGGCAGTGTGCCTGAGCCGAAGATAGTTAAAACAACTCTGCTGCGGCTCACTTCGACGTCTCCGCCTGCCAATTGAGCGTCGATTGCAATATCCCAGGCTTTGATCCGAGCCACGTCATCTTCTGCGGTTCGACCAGTGAGCCAAGCGTAGGCACGGGTGCCGAAAAGGTAGCCGACAGTATACCTGAGCCACTCGGAAGTAAGGGCAAGCCATTCCGGAAAGAAGCTGTGGTGAGGGAGGTGCAGCTCTTGCATGCTTGTGCTCCAAGCTCGACGTCTGACCTGAATGGGGGAGGCTGGAGCTGGCGCCTGCCGGGAAGTCGGGGCAGCCTCTTCGATATCCTCCTTTGGTGCAGGCTTGGAGTTGAACAGGTATGAGAAGACAAGGAAGGCAAGTATTGTCAAAGCCACAAATCCTTTGATCAACGGAATGGCACCGCCTGTTTGACAGAATTGGCTGAAGGCTGCCAGATAGATCCTTGGAGACCGAAGAAACTTCCAGCCATCGAGAAGTTCCAGAGGAATGCCAAATAGACCCTTTTCTCGTGACTCTGTGCCTGTATCAGATTCGCTGAGACCGTCCATAATCATGAGCCCAGCCAGCGAGCCCAGCAATACTCGGGTTGGCCATTTCCCTCTGAACTTGGACCGGTCGGTGTCGTAGATATGGCCATAGTGCTCCTGTGATTGATTTTGTCGTAGACGTCGCCAACTTTCAGGCATAGGAATAAGACCGGATGGAGGACCTGAGGTGCTAGGCTTGGTATCTGACAGTGACTCGCCAGGAGACTCGGCAGCGGACGATTCTATGATGGTGTCGCTGGTGAAAGCGGCAGCCCTCTGGGCATCGTGACCACCTTGGGCAATAACTTTGTCCAGTGTATCGAGCCGTTCTTTCAGGGATTTGTTCTCCTCCTCAAGCCTCTTCGTACGAAACTCGAGATGTCGGATGTACTCGACAGCTTTCGTCAAGATGGACGCTTTGTTGAGTTTGTTACTGGGGACGAGGCCATCCAGTTCTTCTTCATCCGAGTCTGCATCTGGGACTTCCTTCGTCTTTTTCTTTGTGATGCGCAGGCTCGGTACACTGTCCCTCAGCTCCGCAATTTTCTCGTTGAGGTTCGCGCGATATCTCTTCTCGATCACGTTGTGCGGGCGCTTCTTAGCAGCTGGAATGGCTTCGGTCCGCTGATCCGGGGTCGGCACATCCGAGGGGGATAACTTCCTCTTCAACATTGGACGTTCATTGGGAGAAGTTTGTTCTCGTAGAGTATCTCCACTCAATCGCAGATCCAGGCTTGAACGTGATTCTGGCGAAGAGGAACTGTGTTGAGGCGTCAGGAGGTCGTGTTGTGAAGGAGCGGTCAGGAAGTTGGCCTTGAAGGGGTGATGCGCGTCGCCGTTGGTGGTCGAGGAAGGAGAAATAGGGAACTGAAAGACTTGGTCGGGCTGGACAGTGGTTTTATCAGCGGGGGCCATGCCAGCCGTCGTGGTTGCGGCATTCCAGTCAAGCCATTTATCGAAATCGCGGCCTGCCGAGTCAATGTCAAGTTGCGATTCCATGGCAGATAGGGAGCGGATTGACGTTTATGGAACGCGCCGGATGAAGAGCATTGTCGTGAGTGCAGCGGTCGAGACGTGTCAGGTTGTCAAATATTTAAGTGTTTTCTTCGACAGGTGTAGAGAGGATTGAAGGAGGCGACAAGTACAAGAAAGACATTATGATGTTGGAGGGATTGAGCATGCATGAGTCCCTGACTAGCCTAGCCGAGATAGCATGATAGGACAGTAATCCGGCTCTCGACATTCCGGTGCGCAGCATAGCCACGATAATACGAAGCCACAACCAGCACCAGAGAGACTATGGTACTTGGGACTCCCGCCTTTTTATTGTTGATATTGTGTACCTTCGTACGCTAAACCCTTCACACCCTTCAATGCGCCCAAAGTTGGTTGTGGCTGAGGTGAAGATCGTAGCTGTACATCAGAAGCGATGGTAAGGCTCTTTGTCCCGCCCAGCTCGGCTAGAAAGCGAAGCGAGTGAACGTCCTCCGCATTATCATCCTCCTCGCCTTCCAGTGGTTATCATCAATGCCAGGTCAAGCCTCGCGGTTTACTGGAACGCTCTGAATAGCTCACAACGCAGGCAGACAGGCACCCATCAAAGAACCCGGCCAAACCTGGCCAGACTCGCCTTTCAAATTCGCCTCGAGCCATTCTTCCATCAAGACAATGCCATTTGTGCTCACCACCAGCAGGGATGGGACAGGTTCTTGCAGTTTTCATCGACGAACCAGGGTTGACTCCGTCGCCATGTACTCTATGAGCCTTTTGGAAGAGACAGCTGGAACAGTATCACAGCCTGGGGATCTTCAACTGATGGACTGAAAAATATAGCCAACATCTGGTAGGCTGCTTGGCTTCTTCACAAAACACATCTCTTGGCTGCCTCTCGGATGGAGGCGGGCAAGTTTGTAATCGTCTTCTGAAGGACGTGCGTGCTCCAAGTCAGATTGTCATTCATGTCATTCCTGTCGACGGGTTTCCTGTTCGCGGTTGATGGATGCTTCATCCACTTTTCGTCCTTTCCCAAACGCCAGATCATCTATCCTCCTATCGTACAAGATGGTAGGCAGTAGAACTATGGTGAAGGACTGACACAAAACAGGCAGAATTTTCACATCAGGACGATCAAGCCCTCATCATTTGTCCAGGACATCATTACTTACGAGTACAAGCACTGTCCAACTCTGGCAGCAAGCAGTGTTCTTTGGCCGAACATCAAGGTCCGCGGGGATCCGAGCCGTCGTTTGCTCCAAATATGGTCGAGCTTTTTCTCCAAGCGTAACCTTTGTGTGTCTATCCTATCAATTCAATCGAGTACGGATCAATCGGATAGAGTCACAGCAGATCGGCGCAGTCAGCTGGACTGTGGTCGTAATGGCCATAACGGTCATATTATCGCATGCAGCGCAATCTGCCCGTGTCGTGCAATTCCATGACAACCTCCAAGCAAAAGAGGAGGGTGAGACTAAGCAGGCTATGGGCTGCGAATGTGGAGCGGTTCATGCGACTCCAGAGGACGAGACTGAAGCCGAACAATGCATCAGGACCGGTACGAGTAAACAAGTGACTGATCGGTCGCCTGTGTGAGGCCGTCTGTCTGGCTGACCATCAAGAGGCAATGAGTACGAGTACTTGCAGCGAAGTGATGACATGGACTCACAGCCACCCATGACGAGGCCTCCCAATGTCATCCTATCTTATGCAGTCTTGCTTGGTGGACATGATATACAATATGCGTGCGGCATGGTCACCAGATTCTTATGCATGCCATGTGCCACACAGTGTCTCGTACGAAAATGTACTGTGTACCAGCTTCTAGCTATTAAGCGGATTGGCTTGTTGCGTTTCAGGAAGCTGTGGCCAACTCTCTTTTCCGCGTTTTCGGCTTTAGGTGAGGTCATATTGTACGGCACGAATCGCGTGTAATCATACAGCTGCACGTCTATCGTACAGTATGTCACTTCGGGCCCACAGACAGAACAATTTTTCGTTGTTGGTATGTAAGAGGTGCAGTGGAAGTCCAAGCCGGCATCACGGCAGTCAGCAGTCCACTGATCGCACTCGGTGAACAGGTGGATGTTCCGGCATAGTACGGAGCACCGTATCGGCTCTGAAGTCGTCTAACGAGATAAGTGTCCCATAAATAACAGGTTGGCAGGAAGCGATATCACTGCTTATCCCGTGGCACCTGGCATACTGATCAATCACGACACGGACTCGTGATCTAGCTGGAAGTCTCCATTCTACGCGAGGCACGTCGACCAGCACTACTGATGACGGCGTCTTCAGACACCGGTGACAGATTGGTCTTCCGGGTGGGGAATTGGGATGGATAGGCCTTCAAGACACAAACTACGCCTTCAAGTCACAGCATACACAAGTACCCTACCGTCTTGCCTGACAGGCTTCCGGACTTCGGTACCAACGTCAAAGTTTCCTGTTTGTTGGGCTCGTATCTCCTCGACAAGCCATTCGATACCAGACCCTTCGCAACCCATCAGTTGGGCTTGATAGGTGTTGTACCTGGGAGATTTGGCTGCTCCATTGTGCGGAATCCCTCGGGTAATCCTCTGAATGCTCCGAACCCCAGTTTTTCCTGTCGGAGCCATCAATCAGATCCCTTGTATTGCTGGTCCGAGCAACCCTTGTTAATCATCGCACGGCTGTGGCGCCTATTCGCAACGTCATCAGGCCATTGGGGGCGTTTTCCTTCTCGCGTGGCTTTCTCGTCCCACACGAACCATGTCTTCCTGACCCTGTGCCGTATCTTCTCCAGGTCTGCTGGCCGTCATCATTTGCCCTGCATCACCAAGACTCTGACACCCTGCACAGAACATTCTCGGCGACGACCCAGGGAGTGGCACTGAAGGACTAATCAGAGCGGTCCTGGGTACTATGACGACTTCCTCAGTATATTTCTCTGGAGCCCTTTCCTGTACCGGTACTTTGTCAACTCCAAGGCTGATCAGCAACCCTTAAAACCAGGCAAATCCCTTGCAGAGCTGTTGATCCTGTCTGATCCACTCCCGAGTTGTTGGTTCCATAATCTACTTTCATGTGCTGTCTCCTCAAATATCATGTGATGTTTCAGGCTGTGCAACACTGACAGTCCCGGAAATCAAACCTGTTGATCAGTCCCAGTCAACCCAAGCTGCTGATCAACGGCCCCGGCAACGCATTTGTGCTCTACCAACGAGGACCAAGAAAAACAACCTGGGATCAGAAATACAGTCCGCCTAGCCTAGCGCGTGTGTTCAAATTTTGTGAATACTGTGTGGACTGTGGTACAAAGTGGGATATCCCCTCTTTCACATTTTCCTTTACCAGACCTTTTACGTCCGTGTCTTCCTTGACTCCAAGGCCCTACAGAAACAAGAAAGAATATCCAATCGCCACTATCTGCCACTTTGTCACACCAACTGAAGCCATGTTGAGCTTCCACAAAAAGCGGTGATATCTGCTACATATACGAGTACTCGTATCCCACCAAGCCGAAGGCGCCGCGATTTGGCCCCCCTACTTGGCCGAGATCCGGATTTCCACTTCTCCCTACTACAGGACAGGATATTCCAATTTCACCTCACGCAAGAGCCGACTATCCGTCTGTGCAGTTGCCGCATGCATACAACACCTCTCTTTCCAGTCGAAGAGCGTCGCAGAAATACAGCAAGACAACCTGCGACGTTCCTCCCCTTTCCGCTAGTCATCAATCATCTCTTCCACAATGGGCCACAAGATGAATTCCGAATCCTTTTCAGGACGTTATACACCCACCTCACCGCTGTCTCCAAGACTCCCACAAGGCCATCGCCCTCTGTCACCTCAGCCATCGCGTTCTCGGACAGCTCAACACGGTCGGCAAGCCTCACGAAACATGCACATGAACCTCCCAAGATTTCATCCAGCCAACTTCACGAACCTAGACTCACCCGCCACCCCGTCGTCAGCGGTCCAGTCTCCAGCTATCACCATCAATCGAGTGGTGCCACCGATACAACTTGAGTCACCGAGACTGATGCGCGAAAAACAGCGTGAATTTCTGGAGCGTGCTCACCTATCATCCAAGATCGCAGCCTCATCCATGGGTGTCAAGCCTGGTGCTCCGCGGCTGGATCCCTTGGGCAGCCCCAAGGGTCCTGTGACTCCTTTGGCCTTGGACGAAGCCGGTGACTATTTTCAGGTTGGCGGAGGCGGGAAGATATCACCAGCAGGAAGTCCAGGCACCCGCAGTCCAAGAAGTGACGCTTCCTCAGACAAGGAGGAGTCGAAGAAATCAATAAAGAGACAAGCCGACGTCTATCAATGATGAAAATGATGGCTGGCCCAAGTCCGGGCAACCACAGCAAGTTGACGACTTCATGATCAACCAATGACGCCTTTTCGTCACGACGGAAACGAATTCCCTTTGTTATTATATGCATTGATGCCGAAGGATTGCAGGCAAGCATTTACCAGAGATTTCATCCAGCAATCTCTATGTGAGGTTGCTGGCTCTGTAAATATTTCTATTTCTTTCAAGTCCCCAGGATCCGGGACGCTGGCTGGAAAGCCCTTTTCATGCATTCAAAGCGGGATATTGCAGCATTACCACTATTCGTTCAGGCTGCCTGGTGCAACTCAAGGCGACATTGGATATGGCTTCGATTCATTTCTTACACCTTGCATAGCGATCTGGATTACCATGTAAAAAGAAGCGACGAAAGGGACAAATCCTCATAGCATGTTTTGGATGCATCCTGAAGGTCGCTAGATATTTCTGGGATCACTCGTCCCATCGAGATCAACAAAGATACCATAGTTACAATTTCTTGAATCATGCACCATGGTTATGACTACTTCAATGTCTTGCGTGTCTGGTGGTTTGATGAGACGATGTGGTGTGGCGGTGCACAACCCCCTCCCTCGCCTCCTGAGCCTCACCTAAGCCTCCCCAAATACTCAATACTACCTACGTTTCAAGTTTGGGGAACCTTGCTGGCCGCAGGAGTATCATGTCTTTGTCACCATGCAAGACAGTGCACTGCTAACACGACGACATTCTTTAACGTCTGTCCTGTGAGAATCTCATCCGTCCTGCTCATCCGACTTCCAGTCTTTCGTTTGGATGACCTTCGTTCAACCATGCCTGTCTCTCACCAAGGTCCTACGTAGCACCCTTTCAGGAGTCCATCGACCAGTAAGGCCATGCCCTACTTCGACACCATGCGTCAACCACGCAGCAATCACCGGACACTAGCCTTGGGTCTCCTTCTCGGCGTTGTCTTCGTCTATTTCATCTACAGCATCAACACCACTTCCGTAAATCCCTCCGAACTGCGCCAGCGGGCGTCCGACGCTGCCGCAGACAATCCGCTTTCACCTCCTACCTCTGCATTCCGCAAGCAACCCGACTCTCTCAAATCCCATGGCGGTGTACGGCGTCCTCCTCCAGTCGTCCACTACCAACTCAATAACCTGACCGCCACCTCAGACCCCGCGTCGAAGAAGGAGAAAGTCCTGATCCTCACACCGCTTGCCCGCTTCTACCCGGAATACTGGGACAACCTCCTACGCCTGAGCTACCCTCACGAACACATCAGCCTGGGCTTCATTACGCCCAAGAACAAAGAAGGAAATGCTGCAACAGCGGCTCTACAAGAAGCCATCAAGATAACCCAATCTGGGCCTGAAGAGAAACGTTTCCAGTCCATAACCATCCTGCGGCAAGATTTCGAGCCCCCACTCATCTCCCAAGATGAAAAGGAGCGGCATAAGATGGAGAATCAGAAGGCTCGACGAGCAGCCATGGCCCGCGCAAGAAACAGTCTACTCTTCACCACCATCGGCCCTCATACCTCCTGGGTGCTCTGGCTCGACTCTGACATTGTCGAAAGCCCTCCAACCTTGATTCAAGACCTGGCGAGCCATAACAAGGCAATCATCGTTCCTAACTGCTATCAGCGGTTCGTCAACGCAAAAGGAGAATCTGATATCCGGCCCTACGATTACAACTCGTGGCGCGATAGTGACGTGGCACAAGAGCTGGCTTCACAAATGGGACCGGACGATATTCTGCTTGAAGGCTACGTGGAAATTCCTACGTATAGAACACTCATGGCGATGCTCGCCAAGACTGGTGCAGACCGGGACGAACGTCGACTCATGCCTCTCGATGGCGTTGGGGGAACAGCACTTCTAGTCAAGGCAGAAGTCCACAGAGATGGAGCCATGTTTCCGGCTTTTCCTTTCTACCATCTTATTGAGACAGAAGGGTTCGCTAAGATGGCACGGCGGCTCGGGTTTGAGGCATGGGGTCTGCCTGATTATCTTGTGAGTGTTCAGTCTTGGGCTGTAATGGCCAAGACATGATGAGATCGCTAACATGCATGCATTAGGTGTACCACTACAACGAGTGATAGATCGCTCATTTCAGCGGGCACACCTGTCGAGACATAACTCTCGAATTCTCTTTTGCAAGGAGAGGAACACCTATGCTAGACACTACATCTTCCGGCGCAACCGAATGGTTTTTCGCTGCGTGGTGACCACAAGCTGTCTTGTCTGGTACCAAAGCACTGGAAGTAGACGGGTCGTTTCGCCTTGCCGTCGAAGCACTTTCCAGGTGTACGAAGCTACTGTACAAGTATGGGACGACCAAGCTGTTTTCCGGGCTTACGATTACAATGGGATCAAAAAATAATGATACAGGGAATGGGAAGCAAGGAAGGGAAAAGAACATTCACATCATACTATGCAACTTGTTTATTGCCTGCAGCAAGCAAGCGGAGTTCAAGACAATGGATTCGACCGGAGTTTGACAACGTCTCGGTAGAACACTTTCAGCGACATAGAATCATGCATGCGTGGAGTTTGACAGCGGCTACCAGTATTGCTCTTTGTTCGGGGATGCTCAGTCGCAGAGCTCAGGTTCGCCGGCCCGCTTCATACCAAGAAGAACAGAGGCTCAAAATGAACAAGACACTATTCAGGACTTATGAAGCGAATCCATCTGGTCCGTTTGACACACCACAATGTCTTCAAGAGTGCGTTCTTCCGGAGCCATTTCTTTCCTTAGGTGCATCCGTGTCCGTGTCTGAATCCCTGTCAGCTGCTTCTTGCTGTCGATATATCGTGAGTGTCTGAACCATGCTGAGGGGACATATCGCGTTGGCGGAGCTGCCAGAGAGACTGATGTTGTGAGATCAGGAAAGCCCTGACATCGTCTTAAAGCGCACACGACGCCCCCGTTGTCTTTCTTTCCTAGCCATCGTGTAGGAACGTTCCGAAATGAAAGCAAAGGAAGGAGCATTATACATCACGATCTCAAGAGCTGCATTGTCCGTACCGTCCCATCGCCGACCACCTTTTTGCGTTCTTTTTGTCCTTTGGCCCAGGGCAGGCCGGGGCCAGTCAAGTCAGTCAGTATGTCTCTGAACACTCCTGGGCCCTGTGATACGGTGACCACGCGCACAATGTCTCTGTTGCGAGCTGGATGCTGGGCAATGGCGCTCCTGCGTGGGGCCCCTGCGCAGAATTTCCTGATTTGGCATCTTGATTTCCTATGTCGGTCGTTTCGCTGGGTTTTGATCAGTCGACGCGCGCAGGGCCGCGCAGACTGCGCACAGAAAGCTGACCTGACCTCTCTGTGCAGACACCTACTAGTATTTGTAGGTAAGTTCACAGACTGATATTAAAGATCAAACGGTTCGTCTTCGCAGACTCAGAAGTTCTTTGACACAGTGTTCACGGTCATGCATCCGTTCACGACATTTAGTGTACTTTCTTTCTATTCCTGTTTACTCACCCTCGTTATTCATATCATGACATACATCGTCCTGGCCAAGGTTCAACAACAGACCGTCCAGTCCAGTCCAGCCCAACCCAGCGTCTCTGGCCTTTTCCCCTAAAGTCTGCTCATCGGCTCCCGCCCTTCGAGGATCAGCAAAATCACTGCTCATCCATCAACACCCACCGGCCTCCCTTGACCGTCATAAAATCTCTCTTTGTCCTCTTTCTTCGTGCCTTCTGCTTCTGCTTCTGCTTCTGCTTCCTCTTCTCTCCTCTACCACTCCCCGTCTTCGTCGTCGTCCCGTTCTGCGGCATCGCCGTCGTAACATTATACACCGCATCCTCAGGCACAACCTCAAACTGCACCGTCGCATTGCCCTCCTGATACGTACTCACCTTGGGCCCGCTTGTCTTATACCCACTCCCAACCTTCGTCTTCCCGGTCGCGATATCCACCCCATGCATAGTCCTATTCAACAACTCCAACGACACCAACGGCTGGTAGAACGGCACTTCATGCCCACTCTCATAGATTCGCACAAACGCAAATTTCCCACTCTGCCTCACCTGCCCGTGCACCACGCCATCACTGCTGCTGATATTCACGAACCCCGCGCCCGCGTACCCGGGAGCATTGACGTGCTCCGCGACCACCTGCCCGCCGAGCCAGTTGCAATTATAATCCGCATCGCCGAAGTACATGACCACCTTGATGCCCTGGGCAAGGAGTTTCTTCAACGCCTCGACAGTCCCGATCTCGCGGTCGTCGTCGCCCGTCGTGCCGAACGCGCTGCCCACGGCCGAATTGCTCTCCGTGAAATTCACGTACGCACCGATGGCGGCCTGCACGGGCGCACTGTTCAGATAGTCGACGTAATACGTCGGCGGGAACGGATCGGGCATGAGGTACCGGAAATCATACTCGTCACGGCCTAGGTAGATATCGTAGAGGTTTTCGACCTGGGCGAGGCAGAAGTTATCTGCCGCCGTGCAGATTTCGTTGATGCCCCGCTCGTTGCAGTCCACCGTCTGGTTGTAGCAGTTACCTGGGCCGTAGAGGTTGTTGTACCATTGATCTGAAAGTGAGTGTCAGCGGGAGTCATAATAGGGCCTCAATGTCTGGAAAAGCGAGAGGATGCGCTGATATTCGTATGATCTCGCAACCGCCGTTTTACCACGCTGCATTTTGCATGAAGACATGATATGACAGAAAAGCTCACCTTTGACAGACTGGTTGAACGGATCATAGCCGTACGTATTTCCCGGAGACACGCTGAAGTTGTAATACGCTTGATACTGGATGAGCGGATCGTACCATCCATTCCCGATCAAGACGCCCTCGAGACTGATATTATGCGCGCCCTTGATATTCTTCGCATTCTGCTCCTCGAAGTATTCGCTAAAGATGGGGCCATAGTGTCCACCATACGACTCTGTCGTGAAGTACACACCTTCCCGCGCGTACTGGGGGAACGCACCCATAAAGCCCTGGAGCGTTTTCCAGAAGTTGGGCGCCGCCGCTGGTGTCGAGTTCGCTGTCAAACTCTGATTGAAGTACGAATACGTCCCGCAGTCCCAGTCGGCAGCGTAGCCCGGGCACTTGTTGTGCGGCAGCTCGACGAGGTTCGAGGACTCGGGATCGAGGTACGCGGGCACAGGGCTGCTGTAGCTCAACCCGACTTGCGTGGGCTGGTCGATGAAGATCATGTTACTGACCTCCGACCAGGAGTAGGGATTGTTCACAGCGTTGCCGTCACTGTCGACGCTGCAGGGCCCGAGCTCTTGAAACAAGCCGATCATCGAAGAGCTGCCGGGCCCGCCATTAATCCAGATTGTCAAGGGCGCTTCGGACGCGTTGCCGTGTCGCGCTTCGAAGAACCACCAGAAAATGTGTTGGCCAGGGGCGACATCGGCATATCCTGAGTAGGATTTGACCTTGGGGTTTTGTTCGCATATGCCTGCGGGAACCGACTTGTAGCGAACGTTCACGCCGGCGTAGCCTTCTTTCGAGGTGAGATTCTTAGGAGGCGTGACAAATTGAGCGACGACACTCTGACTGGCACATACCAGCAGCAAAGCTGCAGAGAGCAGAGGGTACATCTTGACGCAGCCGTCCACCAGAGAGTGAGAGCTAGGTCGGAGTCCTCGCCTGAGGAGGGGACGCATTTGCTTTTGTAACTAGGTAGCTTTCCGCCGCAAAACCTGTCATCCGTGCAACCTAGCGGACCTACCTTCGGTTGAACAGTTTAATGCTCAGGAACAAGCTGCATGCAGCGTAGCTTCTCAAGGATGGTTCTTGGGCCATGGCGGAGCATCGCACGCCCCGCGTGGCCAACACTGGTCGAGGTAGCAGAAAGAGGGACAATCACTAGACCAGGGACAGACCCAGTCGATGACGATGGAGATGTAGAGCTGCCTGTTGTGGACAGCTTTGTCACCTTGTGATAGAGATAAGAAGCAACAGAAGCTTCGTCAAGCACGAGTGCCATACCCAGATTGATATTAGTCGTAGGAGTACATCCGTGCACATCCAATACCAAACGAGGCGAAGGATGGTTGTTGTGGAGAAGGGTAGCATTGAGAGTCGTGCCTATCGTGGGTGATGATCCCCATCCTTCATCCATAGCATTGGCAATCCTCTGCGGCGACTGCGCATGGTCTGGTTCGCCTAAAATAGAATCCATAAGAATTGTCATGCTCTGTCCTCTTCACCGAGAGTCCTGGGGAAGAGCGCTATCGCCAAATACCTACTGTAAGTCTGTAGGTGGCTGATATTTCGATACGCACGGGCGGAAGGCCGCCCAAAATATGGCTGTCTGACACGGCGTCTACCGTCCTTGACCTGCAGGGAGATTTTTGGTAATATGGAATATGAGAGGAAAACACTGGTCTGACATGTCTAATTTGGCACTTGATAGATGTAAGAGAAGGCAATGTTTTGGGGCGGAAGAATCCTTGATCATTATCAAAGCAGAACAGGTAGGTGACAGGCATCAAATTCCCCTTGAAATTCCCCTTGAAATTCCCCTTGATGCTCATAATAGTAAAAGCAGTACTCCGTAAACTCCGAAAAGACTTTTCTAAATACATGCTTGATGCATCAACTCGCGCCATTCCGCAACGTCAAATTGTACTGCAACTAAGTGCAGACTCCATGCGATCTCAAAATTTGGCAGAAATAACAATCTCCTCCTCAATGCACTCCGAGCAGGTGACTTCCACCTTCTCAACTATACCATCATCCACCATGCTGTAGTCTTTGACCCAAACCGTACGCATGACCCCAGTGCCTCCCTCAACCGCGTCAAAATCATCGTCCAGCATGTATTCCATCTTGATCAACCCTTTCGCGAGTTGAGCCTCCTCAGTCGGCTCTTTCTTGGGTGTAGTCTTCTTGGGAGCAGCTTGTGGCTTCTTGACGGTCGCTTTTTTACCATCATCCGCCGCAGCTTTCTCCACCACGGGTCTCTTGATCAGGTGTTCCAGCACACAGCTAGAATTCTCCCATGCCCAACCTCCCTGTTTGCTGCGACCACTGCAGCGAACACAGGTGCGACGATGACGCCAAAAGTCTTGGTGGAGGAGAAGTTTCTGCTCATTGTCGGGCATGATGCTGTCCAGGTGTGAACACATGTTATTCTCATTGGAGCAATCTTCTGGCACCTAACCAAGAAGCTTGGCCATGTTCGCGACATGTGTATCGACGGCAAAGACAGGTAAGCGCATGTGAAAACCCATCAGACAACAGACCGACTTCACTCCCATGAGTGGAAGTTCGACAAGACTGTCGAAGGCTGCCTGTTTGCCACCCTCCTTGTAGATGTCGTATATGTAGTCCATGGACAACAAGCCGGGGACGAAGTCGGTCGATATGGGGTCGTTGAGCGTATACTCAACTTCTCCTGGCTGAAGCAGAGCGACGTTTTTCTGAAAGACTGCGTTCAGGCAATCTTTAATCTTCTGGGCCTTGAAGATTAGGCCACCCTTCTTGATCACGCTCTCCAACTTCTTCACACTTCCCACGCGCACATCATGGTAATTTGGCTTCTCACCAACCACCTTCTTGCCGTCCACGTAGTAAGGATAAGCCAGCCTCATTGTTTGCTGGACTTCAGTGGCCACCTCGTTTGTGCAGGCCTGCGCAATAATGACGCGGACTAGGGCGTCGACCGTAAGCCGGCTGCCAGCATGGAAAGGTGTGAACGCTTCTGCTGTGACTAGGGCTCCGTTCGTCAAAGTCATGCGCTCCTTCTCCAAGATCTCAGCAACCTCTTTGAGGCTCTGTGGTGTCGGTTCACTGTGAGAGGGCAGACGGTCTTCACCAAACTCGAAGCGATATTTGTTGGTATACGGATTGGAGCGACTTCGACGGAAGATGGTTCTCTTCTTTTTCGGCGGAGAAGGACGGGTAAGGAATGCTCTGAGGCGCTCGGCATTGATTTTGAGGATGACAATGCCTGTTGGCAGGCTCTGAGTAGCGGCCTGGACCTCTTTCAGTGCAACACTGACTCTACCGTTGCTTCCTCGCTGGCGCAGCACACGGCGTTCGGAGGAGACTGGCTCATCGGAAGTTGCGATGATCGGAGACTGGAAATCAGCATTGGCTTCTTCCTTGACCTTGACCGTCTTTGTCTTGGAAGTTTTGAACTTCTTCGTCACAGAAGGAGTGGCTTCCAAATGTTAGCAACTCTTGCTTCAACACTGAGAGAGATAGACATACCTGCATCAGCAGCCTTGCGCTTCTTGGCGCGGCCATTCGTGAGTGCCTCAGACGGCTGTTGCTCTGCCAGTTTCTCTTCAGTGGAGCTCTCTGGAGCAGTTGGTTCAGACGAGGAAGCATTGGACGTAGGACTAGTCGAAGCCTCCGTCACGACAACACCAGTCATAGTAGTAGTCTCTGTGACGACATCGTTCGTACGCTTGACCGAGGAAAGAAAGAAGCTCGTGATCGTTGTCTGTTTGGTCCCAGTGCTGGCACAAGCTTCATCGATGGCCGCAACTTGTGCCTTGATGTCACCTGATGTCCGAGAGCGGGTCGACACCATCTTGGTTGTTGACGAGAGAAGTAGTAACAGGGTATATTGAGTCGTTTACTGAGATCGCCATGTCAGCAGATGAATCAAGGCCGACATTCGGAGGTAACAGGGAGATGAGCATGGTGTGAGGGAGTCTTGCAATGTATGAGAGGGAAGGGGACAAAGGGGTGGAAGGATGCTGGCCAACAAGGCATCGCCCAAAATGTTCAAGACAAGAGACAGGCACATATCGAACGACAATATGGGCAACCCCTGGCAACCCCGGATAGGACCCGTATTTCGTGCCGGCGGAGTGCTTCACATGTCGACGACATCATCGCAGCCCCTGCTAACCCCGGACAGGGACCCGCATATTGGACGCGCGGAGTGTAGTGGGCAGCCCTGGCCCCTTTACGTGCATAGCCTTGCAGGTCTCGGCGTAGGTCTCGGCGCAGATCCGCTTCCAGAATAGGAAGGCACTGGACTGCACATCTCCGCAGAAGACAAGGCTGGATTGCCCCTTGAACCATTGCACATGAGAATTCGTGTTCTAATGCTTCAGGTACATACAGTGTTTCCCGAAGACATCAGATCGAGGCTGATCAGCAATTTGATCGAACCGATCTCAAAAGGACATTTCAGCAGCAGCCACTCAGTTGCTAGCAGCTGGGATATTTATGCACAGAGGCACATTGGGAAATTGGAGAGTATGTGATGCAGATTTGTGTGAGACTCAGTCTTCCATTCATGATGCTCTGAGGTGGTGATCCTTTGTGCTTGTGCAGAACAGGTTGATTGCTGTGCGGATTGATTGACTTACTGATATTTTTGTAGCAGGCTGATGTCAGAAAAACAGATCTGCAGGTCAAAGAGTTCAGAAGCAATGAAAGGGCAAAAGCGTAGATCGAGGAGTGTCGATCTTGAAAATCTCTCAAAGTCGGAATGTGTTCGTGACTGTCGTTATCATGACCTCTGGAGAATGTATGTCGTGTGAATAAGGGTGATCACTGATCTTAGAGGAGATCTTTTGATCTATATCAATGTAAGAAGAGGCAACCAAGTTGGGATCTGGGTTGAGGATGGTGGAGGATGGAAATAAGATGGAGGGTGGAGGAGGAGATATATATAGACCAGGAGAAAGGGCATAGGGAGATGAGCACATGTCGCCAGCCACCGGGACTGTCCATGTGACATCATGTAGGTGCATCCCATGTGTATCCAGGCATTGCCGATGATATCCTGTCGGAAGGAGGTGGAGACCACCGTTCGCTTGGAGACGGCATGTGCAAGACGACAGAGATCGGTAGACTCACAGCGAAGAGTGAACCGAAGCTGCAGCATGGTCAGTATTACAAACAAAGTAACTAGTTATTGACAGTAATGCCTACTGGAATGGTTAACAGCTGGAAGTACCCTGTCGGAAAGGATGACAGTCGCCTTGCTCGAGCAGAGTTTAGGAGCTGGTTCAAGACCCAGAAGGTTTGGGTTGTCTCAAATTATCGATCTGTATCTGTATATAGTCGTCATTGTCAGCGTGTGTGGTGGACAAGAGAGCTCGTAATTGTCCGAAAGATAATCCTGCTACTGGCTATACCTAGCCTTATATGCCACTGCGATGTCCACGAATAAAGTTTGCCTGCTTGTACGAAGCAACATATCTCTTTGCCATGGTTTGTACAATCGCAAAGCACAGCAGCAGGCAATCAAGGTGCCACATGCAAACAAACATCATTGTCCAGACTCTTTCAGTGTGTCTTACTTACCGAGAAAGGGTGTCTTCGTGTGATCGTCATTCAGGGACTTCAGATATTGTGGTATGTAGGTTCCTGCTTGGCCGACGTCAGTCTTCGCAATTCCAGGTTTGGTTGGTCGAGCGAAACAAGAGTTCTTGACATCAGGGGAGACAAGTCAACGTACCTTGTATGATAGAGACCGATTTTCTTTTAGGAGAAGCTGTCTTGGTAGTGAGGATGTTCGAAGAAAGGAGGAAAAGGAGAAGCCCCTTATAAGGGTGACTCTGTCGGAGAAGGCCGCGCTGTGACGAGGCTGTCACGATTTTGTGACGGAAGTATGGGGCAGGATAGCAGGAGGGAGAGACAAAACAGAGAGGCCTCAACGAATAGTACTTCGATGGAAGATGGCCGACTTTGACGGTCCGCCAACGAAGCAGTGACGGAAAAGTAACGTGAAAAAATGCTTCAGTCGAGAGAAGAACAACGAGAAGGAAAGGGAGGAGAAAGAGCCTCTGACAGTAGGAGACTCAAGATAGAAGCCCGTCTTTAACGGTCAGGTAACGAGTCGATAACGGAGAGGTAACATGTACAATCGCTCACTGTCAAGGAGGGAAGTAACGGGGCAACGACGTTTTGGCAAGGCTGCAGAGTCGTAAATCCGACGAAACCAGTGTCGCAGAAATCAGGACACAATGACGGTCCGATAACGGCAAGTAGAAATAATTTTCATCAATGTGCGAAGTGTGCAGAGGAATAGAAAATGAGGAAAGAGACGTGCAAGTGAGTTAAAAAATCCGGAAGATGTGTAGAGAGGCATCATGAGGGGTGTGTGGAGGAGAAAAATAAGCTTATTCCTGGTTGCCGATGTCAGACCGGCCCAGGGAAGAGCATCTTTCCCAGCATTTGAACCAGGCACAACATACCTCCAATCTGCAAGCCTCTGCAAGCGATAAAAACCATCAGCCTGACAAAAGCATTCAAGGGAAGAAATGGGGAGAAGGGGAAATTCGTCTGCCGAGCCTCGAGCATCTGTGCGCAGTATCTCGTGGTCAGCCTGCAGCAGAATGGCCGCCTCTGGATTCTGAGGCCTCACCATGCAGACCTGTCTTCTCTGCTCCTGCTTTCCAACGAAAGAATGTCTTGCTGTACAGCAGCTCGTGATCCAGCATTGCATACAAGCAGGACAATGGCAGCTCCGTCTCTTGTCCATTCATAAACCAACCGGTCCGATTTCAACGCCAGGCGCTATGCAAAAAGATCTTCGGCAGGCCCTCCGATTAGTTCTTCAATACTTCTTGGACTTTCCAGCGTGTGGGTCCGTATCCTTCAGTGCCAGGTTCTTGATTGCCTCCTCATTGTTTGCTTTCCAGATAACATACTCCTCCTTGTGTCTAACGCCGTCCTTTTCGTAGATGCTGTATTCCAGCCGCCGCCATAATTGCAGTTGCGCTTCGAAGCCAGGATTGGGTTTCACCTTTGAGCGGCCCTGACGGACATAGCGCAAGGCTGTGTCATATTCAAGGTCCATGTCTTCCATAACGAATCCAATAACAACAGACGCAGACCGAGAGACGCCCTTGGCACAATGCACGAGTACTCCACCATCGTTGCTCTTCAGACTGTCTCTAATGAAGTCGCAAGCCTCTTCTAGCACCTCTAGAAGATCGTCGGTGACGCTGTCACGCAGACTGACAAATTTGAGCACAAATTTTGACTCATCTCCCGGGGTGACTTTTGGTTGCCGATCAGGTTTGTCGATCACAGACAGGACATATTTGATTTCTGGTCGATTGGGTGACGGGTAATTGGGACTCAACACTGCACGAGCGGTGTGGATGCTATCGCGGTGTTAGGCACTCTGTGCAGAGATCGCCACTGCGCGAATTTCACTCACTCGGAGACATATAAACCAGGCATGATTTTGTCTGGGATAAGCGGTGCGGTGGTAGTCGAAGGCGCTGAAGCCTGCTCAGGATTGCTCATCCTCTTAGGCTTTGTAGGCGGAAGGAGTCTCGACTTGGAACACACTTTGCCCATCCCATTTGTTATGTTGTCGTGTCGTGAGCGACGCGTCGTGGGTGTGAGTGCTAGAGCCAACATTTTGAACACCTACCGCACAAGGCGGACAGCAATTACAGCCACGCTAGTATAGAGGTACGGCAACAGTCACCTTGGATGGTTTTGCCCTTTTGTTGCTCGAGCAGCTTTCATGACGAATTTGCACTATCCACGACATCTTGAACGTGTTGTAGCTGAAGCATGGAAACAAACCCGGCAGCATCATCATTTAAGATCAAGATTGCACCGACCGCTTCCTGGGCCAATGTATCTTGGAACGATGAAACGTCGTAGTGAAAGCATGTTTGCTGAGGTCATATCCTACGGTCTCCGACAATGCTAGAAAAGAGCACGAGGAGGTTCAAAGAAAGACGCTTGGTTATTGACGACAGAAGCTAATTCTTGGGGTTATGGGGCGCAGCCACAGAAACCTATCACGGACCCCACCAGTTCACAACAGGCTCCTCCCAGCTTCCACCCAGAGAACCAGATGATTGGCTCTACACGGCCATCCGGGTGCTATCAGGCGTATGCAGTCCCTGAACAGTGGGCAGCAGCACCTTGACCATTGTTGCTTGAGAGGCATAGTGCTCACAATACCCAGGCAGGAAGAAGTTTCGGAGCTCCTTCAGACGTCGCCATGTGTTCAAGATCATCACTCAGGTCCGACAGAATGCTGCTGGCTTTGCCACTGTTGTCGAAGTCGTGAAAGCTCAACTGTGCACGTCTGACGGATGGCCAACGTAGATGGATTGACCTGACAAGAGTCTGGGCATGGCAGTATTGCTTCTGACGCTGCATGTTCGAAATGGCCTTAGCAGAAAGGCATTGTCCAACGGCTCGGAATGCAGTACTCAGTCAAACTTTTCAGCTACCGAGAGCCTCGAGCGGATCTGCCATCTGTGTAATCCCAAGGACAGCCCAGGTGGCCACAACGCTCGGAGGCTGTGTGGTTGTAGGGTTCAGTTGGTCATCTGATATTCATTCTTTCATGTCGCAGCTTCTTGTTTCGCTTTCCACTTCTTGACCCTTCTGGAAATGTCTCCCTCTGTTTGTTGCATGGAATTGAACTTCCGGTCTCTTACCATAGCTTTGATGTCGTCGCCATGTTTCTCAACCAGTCTGGCAATCCATTCCTCTTCGCGCTGACTCTGCTTCCGCGGTTGTTTCTTCTTGGCTAGAGACTCTTCCTCTTCTGCCACTTCAGCTTCTAATTGAGCAACAACATCGGTCTGCGGGCTTTCTGTCTGCTTGTCGTCAATGTCCATGATATCATTTAAGGGATCATTCAAAGGGTTGTCGTTTTCGTTGGTTTCTGGCCGAATAACTCGGATAATGCGTCCTGTTTCAGGGTCTCTTTCGACTTGAACCTCCTGAGTCGTCGATTTGCGGGCAGCTCGTGGTCCGGCAATGGCAAGCGAGTCCTGCCTGTTGCTTTCAAGGTTGTCGCCATCACCGGCCTTTTTCTTCTCAGTGCCACCGGTTGCAGCGTTCAATCTCGATGTGAGACCTAGGCGCTTGTAGTTTTGTGAAACAGTAAGCTTACGATCCCTGCGCTTGTTAACTCATAATCAGGCAAAGAGGTGTGGGAAGGCATACCAATTTTTTGCTATTGTGGCATTTCCCAGGAAGTTGACCTTTTTCTTTCCAGCCTTTGTCCTGTTGGATTTTGGCTTGACCTTGGATAACGACGAGCGGTTCTTCTTTTTCTGTCTTTCTCGACCCATTCTGGCAGACTATCCTTCCGAGATGACTGCTGCACCAAACAGTGCCTGGTGACAATGGAACTGGCTGGTCCAGACTGAAAACCGCAGACAAATTTCCTTATCGATAGACGGGGTCGCCAGACCTGCTTCATACAATGTGTGCTGTCAGACAGCAGCTGAGGTACATCAAATGCACCACCTAGCAGGCGTCTATTGTGCACCGGACAAGTAAATACTATTGACAGACCTTCCCTTTCCTGGTCCGTGATATCCTCTGCCCGCAGCCGGACTCCTTACATCTCCATTGACCAAGTCGCGTGCCAGCAGCAACCACGACATTCCCAGACACAACCAGCATCATGGCTTTCCCGAGGCTCAAACCTTCCAGTATGCTAAGGTACAGTCTATACGCTCTGTTTCTAGGCCTCACAGCCTCGGTCTGCGCTGAGGCATTACTCAACAAAGCCCCAGGCAAACTGACCCTGGACGAGATCGAGGAGAACCTCCAGGTACGTCTTGACACCCAGGGTTTGCCATCCCTGACTGACAGACATGCAGAAATGCGCTTTTGTCGAGTCGCTCGCGGAGCACAAAACCCGCACATCACCCTCTCAGACTTCCTGGACGAGCCAACTATTTACAATCCTCTTCCCGTCTTCCTCTCCGGCCATCAACTCACTTCTGGCGACTGCCTACATCTCTGGCCCACCCAACTTCCTTCTAGCATTATGTCCTCCGAATATCGACCCATCGAGCCTCAGCGTCATGGTAGCATTTGCCGTGGGCGGCCTGCTGGGTGACACCCTCTTCCACCTCCTCCCAGAGATTTTCCTCGGGGAAGACGAGCACGACCGCGTCAAGTTCGTAATGCTCGAACCGAACCGCAACCTCCTCCTAGGCGTGGGCATAATCGTCGGTCTTGTCACGTTCATGGCCATGGACAAAGCGTTACGCATTGCAACAGGAGGGGATGGCGGACACAGCCATTCTCACTCCCACGAACACACTGCAAATGGCACCGCATCTGCATCTGCATCTACCACCAGTGCTCAGAGCAAGTCGAATGGCGACCTCCGTAAACGCAAAGGCCAAAAGGAAGAAGACAAGTCCACCAAACCACAGTCTGTCGAACCCATCAACCCCTCCGTCAAACTCGCCGGCCTGCTCAACCTAATCGCCGACTTCACGCACAACATCACCGACGGCCTTGCCTTGTCTTCCTCATTCTACGCCTCCCCGGCTCTCGGCGCAACGACCACCATGGCCGTCTTCTTCCACGAGATTCCCCACGAGGTCGGCGACTTCGCACTGCTCATCCAGTCCGGCTTCTCGAAACGCAAAGCCATGGGCGCGCAATTCGTCACCGCAGTCGGTGCTTTTCTAGGCACATGCATCGGCATATTCGTGCAGGAGTACGGCGGTAACTCTTCTTCCGCTGCCGCCACTGGACTGACTGGCGGCATCTGGGGCACGAGTCTGCAATGGGGCGATATGCTTCTTCCTTTTACCGCGGGTACGTTCTTGTACGTCGGCACGGTGGCTGTCATTCCCGAATTACTAGAGACAGGGCCCAATAAGAGCGAGGAATTGAAAAAGACGGCGCTGCAGTTTGGCGCCATGTTCGTGGGTGCGGCGATCATGTTGGGCATTTCGTGGTCATGAGATTGGATAGAGAAAAGAAAGGCTTGTATATTCTTTGACAGGATTGAATACATACCTAGGCGCTGTACAAGTACAGAGGCTAAGGAGCCTATGCTGTAATGGGATTTTCACGTCTTGACGCGTCCTCGTGGACCATGATCATGACCGACGTGAGGAACGATCCCCATAGAGGCTTGCGGCGATGTCTTGAGAACACCATGACAGAGACAAAAGCCATTTTTACTCAACTGAGCCATTCGCTGTGCTCTGATCCTCGACGCCGTCCCTCCTCATCAGGTTCCTTACCAAGCCATACACACTCCACACCCATTCCGACCACTGCAACGCATAGCCCGTCCCGATCACCCCTTTACACACCTCCCAACCACTCCGACTTACAGGATACTGTAGTTTCGGTGGTATCCTCGTCTGGATCGAGAGCGTCTTCGCCCACCACACATCCTGGCACACACTCTTCACATTAGACACCGCCCGTAGCCCTTCCTCGCCGCCGAACCGGCCGTATCCTGAACCCTTCACGCCGCCAAACGGCATCGAACATGCATAATAAGCGCCAAAATCATTCACTGCGACCATACCGGCCTTGATGCCCTGCACACACTTTGACACGTCTTGTGAGTCGTGTCCGAAAACACTCGCGCCGAGCGCATACTCGGTCGAGTTTGCAATGGCAATGGCATCGTTAACGTCGAGGGCTTTCATGAGCAGGAATACTGGCGCAAAGAGCTCCGTTTGTGCGATCTGCATATCCTTTGTGACACCGCTGAGCATGGTCGGCTGGAAATAAGTCCCCTGCGGATACTTCGGATGCCGGTATCTCCTCCCACCACAATGGAGTGTTGCGCCTTGCTCGACCGCATTAGCAATGAGGCCCTCCAACTTGTCAAAACTCCGACTTGAAATCATCGAGCCCATATCTGGTGTGTGATTGTCCAGCAGGACTGAACCCAGGCGCAAATTTCTAACCTTCTGGCGCACGCTGTGGAGAATCTTATCGTGAACGGCTGGTAGGGCAATGACACGCTCGATTCCTATGCAGTTCTGTCCAGCAGACTGGAATACGCCGCGCATGAGGATCGATATCACATCGTCAACATTTCTGACAGTCTTAGGATCGTCGAGCACAATGGCCGGATCTTTGCCGCCTAGCTCGACTGTCACAGGCGACAATGCTTTCGCAGCGGACGAGCATACCTTATGTGCGACCTCTCTGCTGCCTATGAAGGTAATATGGCTCAAGCCAGCATGGCTCGTCAAGTGGTCTGCAACGTCCGGCAAGCAAATGATATTCTGCACCAGGTCCGGACTGTGGCCACACGCCTGGAGCGCTCCTCGTACAATGTCTGTAAAGTAGAATGTGCTCCAACAGGTTTGTTCGCTAGGTTTGACAATGATTGCGTTGCCTGCGAATAGACCAGATATGATGGGTGATATGAAGTTGTGGAAGGGGTAGTTCCAGCTCACGCAAGCTGCCACTACGCCCAATGGCTCGTAGGCGACGGTATTTGCCTTATAGCACATCAACAGGTTTGTCGGTCGTCTTGTCGGCCGTAATGCTTTCTCGCCATGCTTGATTGTCCATTGTAATTTCTCGACCGTGACTAGGATTTCTCCGAAGCACGCGTCGATCTTGGTTTTACCGCTATCGAGACAGCATGCTGCGACGATTTCGTCTTGATGGTCAAGAATATATCGAAGAAGGGTACGCAGGACTCGACGTCGTTCCGGGAAAGAGGTTTGCGCCCAACGTAACTGAGCTCGAGTTGCGCTCGATATGGCAGAGTCGACAGCGGAGTCAGTCGCAGGGTCAATGGGCGGTCCTAGAGGGCGTCCATCTGCGGGACATTGAGGGTATATGCGACCATTGCGGATCTATCTAGGTCTCAGTGCTAGATCTACACGAACGTGTCTCTCACCTACTATGTCTTCATGAGAAGACTGCTCTGCTGGCTCGTTCTTCCGTCCCCAGCCGCTTCGCAGTTGAGGAGGGACTTGGAAAGTGAAGCGAACCGCGAGTTCCTTCCTTGCCCTCAAGAAAGTGCTCGTCACGCAGAGTGTCACGATCGACAGAACTCCGATCGGCAGCAGAGATGCCCACGCGTCTTCACTCTCGAAGAACGAGGATATCGACTCGGCGAGGGAGTTGACTCTCACTGACATGCTTGTTGAACTCGGTCACCTTGTCATTGGCCAAAGAAAACAATCGTCCCGAACGCATTCGATGCACCGCCACAGCGTCTGCGGCTCAAATTTGTGGCTGCAAAGATCGTCAAAGCCAGCCACAGCAAGAACGGGAAATCGGGTGGAAAGGCGAAGGAGATTGGAGGCCAGCGCCACAGCAACGTCATTCTTTCTCCGATCGACAAGGATTGATGCATGGATCACCCAGCGTGACGTAGAATGGCGCTGGGATTCTCTCTGTGATGTTCCAGGATTTCCTTGTTTTTCCTCCTGTATCAATCTCCAATGGGACGACAACCTGGTTTCTTACTGGTCTCTTGCCCACATCCCTGTCATGCCAGACCTCAAGGCGCCCTTTTCCGTCGATGGCGTAACGGGACACCAGAAAATGGCTGGCGGAGAAGTCGAGATTCTTGCCACGATGCAAACGATGGTCAAGCCTTGTGACCAGTCCTGGAACGAGATTGCTCACCACCCTGCAGCGTCATCGACGATGGGGTCACCACGGGACACCCAAGTCTGGTTGTCTAGACGAAAATCAGAATTAGATCAAGTGCCAGATGAGGTCAAGCGGAAGCCGGTGTGATATGATGTAGTTGCCCATTTTCTGCCGTGTCAGGGTAATACAAAGGGCAACCGCCAGCCTCCCCTCCTGCAGGTTCATTCTTGTGAACATTCTAGACACTCTCGTATCTCAAGATAAAAATCCTTTTCCTCTTGCGACTACCCATCCAACTTCCACAAAGACACAGAAACCATCAGTCTCCCACATACAACCACACAGTCTTACTCCAAAGCTACCACACACAGACATCATGGGTGCCGTCGTCTCTTGTGTAAGTCATGCTTGCTCATCCCTCTCGCATCATCACAGCTACTAACATGCCTTGCAGTTCGAATCCATCTGCCGCACGATCGGCTCCGTGCTGATGGCCATCGTCAACGGCATCGGCTCAATCATTACCGCCATCGTCAACGGAATCGTTTCCCTCTTCGACATCATCATCTCATGCCTCACTTGCGGCCGCACCAGACGAAGCCATAGGTCAAGAACGCATACAACGACGACGAGTAGGGTCTGATCCCTCGACCCTCTCCATCTTGGAGAGGAGAGCGAGGTAAAGCCCGGGACAGCAGTGAGAAGCTGAATGGATGAGCGGCGCGCCTGGAGATGGAGAAGAAGCCACAGATCCCAGGACATACCACAGTTGCAGCAGCGCATTGTCTTGACAGTGCCGGGTTGGAGACAGGCACTTTGTACTTTTACGACCGTTTTTATGCTTGATACCCTCAGCAATCCCTACAGGAGCTGCTAGCCGTTTAATGCAAGATTGAATGAAGAGACATTACAAACTTGGAATCCATCTGCGTCCATTTCTATAGACATTACTTGCCTTTGGTCTATCCAAGATATGCCTGATTCAACTTCCAAAACAAAACCCGCCAACCCGCAGCAAGTCAAACCTTTTCTAGCTCGTCAACGAAACCATCTCGCCCTCCCACTTGCCCTTGCCCTTGTCACTAATCACATTCTCAAAGACCCAGTGTCCCACGTCCGCTCTCTTGATACTATACCCCAAAGCCGGCTTACTCTCCGTGCCGACCTTGACTCCCTCCAAGCCCGCGGCATCTGTATAACTCACAGTGCCGGCCAACAATGTCGGCCTGATCCCGACGATGTTCCTGAACACACTTTCCTGCTGTCCCTTCTCCATCTCCCCGCGGTACACATTCTCCATCGCCTTCTTATCCTTGTGCGGCACCGCAAGGGACTGGTGGTACAAGAAGCGCATCGCCAAGGGGACGTCCTCGGGTCCGCGGCTGACGCCCGTCGTGCTGATGAACGTGAGCAATGGCTTGTGCGCTTTCAAGGCGGGTTGTTCGGCGTAGATTTCGCGCAGGCCTGTGACCAGTGTTCGGGCCGCGGTCTCGCAGATGGTCGGATTATCCAACGTAGCGATGTGTCCTGGATGGCGCCAGTTGAAGGTGAGCGCTGGGCTGCCGCCCAGACCGGTCACAATGTATTGTGGGAGACTGCCTTGAGCGTGGGCGAGGAGGGTCTTTTTCACGCTCGCGACGTCGAGTGCGTTCCCTTCGATCATGGTCAGATTCGAATCGAGCAGCGCCGAGTCGAGGCCCTGGGATTCCAGTTGTTTTCGGAGTTTGGATGGGGTCCGGACCAGCGCCGTTGCGTGCATGCCGGCCAGAAGAGTGTGTACGAGGATCGCGTTGGTGACGCCGCCTGTTGCGCCGAAGAATGCGACGTGGTTGGACATCTTTTTTGGTAAAGTTTCGTGGGAGTTTGGTTTGGGCGTGTCGATAGAGCTTGCTTGCGCGAGAATGGTTGGCTTGATGTCTACGCCTTTGGAGATGGGACGTATTCGTGGAGTCGTTGTTCTTAGGTCTGTTGGAACGCGATGTGATGGTCTGATCGAGTCGTCTGCTGGTTTGTATGCTATATATTCAAGTCAAGGTGGTCTGTTGTCTGGTGATCAGCATCGTCAGGTCGTGTTAGCCAGCATCTTTATACATTGTTGCCTGTCGCATGTACGCGCGAGAAGGCATTGCATCGACAGCCATGATTTACAGCGACGGCGCAATTGTTGGCCTAACATTCAATGATGCGCGAAGGGCACCGATACCGAATGCGAGACGTTGGAGTCTGGGAAGGCTGTGTTTAAGAACGAAACGGAACAATTGTCGAACTGTCAGGCCAATTCGGTGTCCCATCATGCCGTTTCATGGAGATATGCCCAATCAAAACCGCCCGCGGAGCGTTGTTGGCCCGACTGCAAGGATTATCGGCACAACGAGGTGTGGATCAATTGGTTCTTTCGCTTTCGGCGTGGGGATGGAACTGGTGGCCCACGCGGATACCATACTACGTAGTCTTCGTGGTATAGAGTACTGTGGACTCCATATTCACCGATTTTGCAGGAAAGGACCTGTACTACGGACACAGTACGAGTGAGACTCCTCCCAGTCAATCATACAGTCCGAATCCGAGTATTGATTCTCCACGGCAGCTATCTTGAAAGCATCCATTGGGGTGCAATATGCCTTTGGCTCTACGGCCACATTACCTATACCCAGCAGCTGGTCTTGTTCTTGTTCATACCTTACGCATACAAATTGGCTCTAGCAGAATTCCCATATACCTCAAGATCATGTTCATCCGAGACGCGCTGGGACAGTGGCACAAACCATGCCGGCCGGTGTTGTCTTGGCCGTCGAGGTGATTCTGCCTGCCGTTAGCTTGGGTTCCCGTGGAAGACGCTTTGAATACCTACGTCGCCATGATTGTACTGGTGGTCCACGTGGTCTCATAGACCCTGGCTGTACGAGTTCGTGTTGGAGTTGGCGCTGTGATGGTAGTTGTGGTCTTGACGACACCAGAGTATGCGGTCACTGGAGCCGGTGTGCTACGCAAATTAGCACAGCTTCTCGGGGAGTCTGCTTTTGGATATACATACACAGTAGCAGTTGATGTCGCAATTTCTGTGTCGATCTCGGTGCTTGTGGGGGCGGTCACTGTCACGTATGACGACACTACCTTGGTAGTCTCGAGGACAGTCGTCGTGCAGACGTCTCGAAGAGGTCAGCGTGAGTTCTCAGGATCAAGATAGACGGTACTCACCTGCTCCTCGCTTGGCAAGTAGGCCATTCCGTGGTTCAATGAGTGCATGCTTGGGTATGTCCCTAGGTCTATCCCGTCGTGGTGCACCACGGAACCGTTGACGAGGTACAGGGTCCGCCGTGTTGCTTGCAGCTGCAAGCGTCGCCTTGGTTGGACGGATGGTGCAAGTCGGATCTCTCTTGGGTGGTTGCGTTTTACAGGTCGTAGTGACTGTCGTGGTAGAAACAGTTGACGACCATACCCTTGTAGTGCGAGTCCGCGTGGAAGTCGACGTCCAGTATACAGTCACCTGAGCTGGCGTGGTTGTTATTGTCCTCGTCGATGTGCTGGATGGCACCGTAATCGTCGAAGGGGCCAATGTTGTCGAGTACACGTTGGTGGTTGTTGTCGTGATCGTTGTCGACGGAACATTTGTGATAGTGAATGTGGCGGTAGGAGTGGAGGTTACTGTTACTGGCGGACCGGCGACGATGTCGAAAGTTCTCATCCAAGCAAAAGTCAAACCCTCCATGACAATCATCCAGTTTCCAGAAAACATCTGGCTCTTCTCCAGTTCATTGCCCGGTACATTGCTGCCAGAAGTTAGCATCGACGTGACGGACGCGGTTGAAAGCCTCTTACCAGGTAGATGTCATGTCCACATCGTCAGGCATTGTGGGAACATCGGAGCAGAAGTATTCATCTCCGTTGGGGTCGATCAAAATTGGTGTGATATCACCTTGACTGTCGCTGGGATGACAGCCTTATCATGATTAGTGCACGACCCTGTTTACACAGCCAACGACATACCTTGAAAGTCTGATACAAAGGAGAAGAAGTCTGTGGAGGTGGTGTTAATACAGTAAGGACCTCCGCCATCGACATAATCGACACCATAGGAATAACAGTCTGCACTTGTCCAACGCGACAATGTCAGCAGGATAAAAACAGAAGAGCAGATCCAATACATCTTGCAGGTCAGTATGGCAGAAACAAGCTGAAGACCAACTTCCGTGGATAGGACGGGCAGCATATATGAAGACCCTCCATCAGGAAATGCAGAGTCGAATCTTGGTCGGCTCTTCGGCAGCAACGATCATCAAGACGTGAGACAAATTACCCTTTCCCTGCCCTTGCACCCTATAGCTTCCTTGGTGAGAAGAGCCACGATTTGGAAGCTAGAAGGTAAGACATAAACAGAAGCCACTCCAGGTATGCCCTTCAGAAATAGAAACATCTTTGGATGTTGATAGAGCGGAACGAATGCAAGGACAGGATTGTCTCAGATAATCAAGCCATCGCCGGCTTGAAAATCAGCATGAGCATGGTTGGCATGCTGGAAAAAGGGTCTTGCCATCCGACAATTTGGTACCGGAGGACAAAATGTCAAGCTGTGCAACCCGGCCTAGGCGAAGGCGACCGAGAAGGGCCTGGAGTGGGGTGAAGAAACGCGAGGCTGGAGCTCGGCAGCCCAGAAGCAAGGTTCATACAGCGCAAGGAGATGCAAAGCAGTTCAATATCAAAGACAACTGGGGATGTGGAAAGAGAAACAAGGGACATTGGGCGTGGTAAGGGGGTCGAGATGCCAGGTCGGGAATAAACTAGGCTGGATTCGGTGGCAACAACATCCCTCACTCTTGTCCGAAGGTACTTTTGGCCTTATTCTCACGCATGGAACCATTATTCCACTCTAGACCAATACTTGCGGCAACAGCATCAATACCTCCTGGACGAATTGCGAATGGTAATGTTAGGCATACCTCGCAGGAGATTGCGTTGAGCGTCCTGTCTCGGTTTCAACATATGACTTTATCCCGGTGTCTTCGTATTTCGGTAATCATCATCATTGAGTCGCTGATCTTGTGCCTCGAGAAACATTTCCATCCCTTGGTGGTACCACAATGCAGTGCAGACAGATCTGAGCGTCCAAGACATGCACCGTGTGTGTGCCACGTTCTCAAGCTATGGCAAATCTCCCCTGCATATGGACTCAAGGTAGGATTCCAGATACGAGCTGCTCCGGATCATATCTAGGTGACAATCCCTTCTACCTGGAAGCTTCAGTTTAAGCCGCTTTCTATTCCTTACTTGTTGGAAACTATCGGCTAAACCCAAGTCATTCGCTATGCTTTTCTTCTTGTCACTCGCTTTACTTCTGTTTGGCCAGTCTCTGGCGGCCTTCGTTCCCAGCGCTGAGCTTGTCCAAGTCCCCAACGACTTCGTTCGAAGACAAGCTTCCCAAACCAGTATCAGCTCAGCTACTACGACGAAGAAAGCAGACTCACAATGCACGAACGGGCCGCAGACCCGTCAATGCTGGGGCAATGGCTTTAGCATTGCTACCAACTACGACAGCACATGGCCCAACACTGGTGTGGTCGTCCCATATCACTTGGAAATTACGAACACCACAATGGCTCCAGATGGTGTTCCCAGAAGAGTTTATTCAATCAACAATCAATACCCTGGCCCTACAATTCGAGCGAATTGGGGAGATACTCTCCAAATCACCGTCAAGAACAGCCTTACCACCAATGGCACCAGCATCCATTGGCATGGTGTACGACAATGGTATTCGAACCATATGGACGGCACGAACGGCGTGACGGAGTGCCCTCTTGCTCCTGGAGAAACTCGCACATACACATTTCTCTGCACCCAGTTTGGTTCAACCTGGTATCACAGCCACTATAGCGACCAATATTCTGATGGAGTCGTGGGCACATTGATCATCGACGGCCCTACAACCTCGAATTATGATGTTGATCTCGGTGCCTTTCCAATCAACGACTGGTTCTACCGACCTGCTTTCGAGATTGCTCCATTGATCCAGAACGCCGTCTTGCGTGGGCCCCCACCGGGAGACAATATCCTCATCAACGGGACAAACGTCAAAGTCAACGGCACTGTAGGCCAATACAGTAGGACCACTCTGACCAAGGGTAAGAAATACAAGCTACGCCTCGTTAATATGTCCACCAACGACAACTTCAAGGTCGGCCTAGATGGGCACAACTTCACCGTTGTCACGGCAGACTTCGTTCCCATCGTGCCCTACAGCACACAATGGCTTCCCATAGCGATCGGACAGCGCTACGACGTCGTTATCAATGCCAACCAACCGATCGACAGCTATTGGTTCCACGTTGTCCCTCAAGCCGGCTGCAGTAACAACCTGAACAAGAACGCACTTGCGATCTTCACCTACAGCGGCGCCGCGTCGAGCACGCCGTCCAACGCGACACGCTCCAACGCACCCGCCGGCGCCCCCGACTGCAATGACCCGAACAAGAATCTGATGCCGTACGTCAAGCTCGACGTGCCGGACAACTACACGATCCCGCAATCCTCAGTACTCGATGTCGGCTTTGCCATTGTCCAGAACACCGCCAACCAGACAAAAGTCCAATGGAACCTGAACTTCACAGCTATCCAGGTCCCCTGGGGCGCCCCTACGCTGCAGTACGTGCTGAACAACAACACCAACTACCCACCGAACATGAATCTGATCTCGCTGCCCAACGCAAACGCCTGGAGCTACTGGGTCATCCAGGCAGTGCCGACCGTCGCGCCGGCCCAGCCTCATCCGATCCATTTGCATGGGCACGACTTTTACGTCCTAGGCGCGGATTCGGGAATTTTCAACAACTCACAGACATTGAATTATAAGAACCCTCCCAGGCGCGATGTTGCCATGCTGCCGGCGTCAGGGTATTTGGTTCTCGCATTCATAACCGACAATCCGGGTGCGTGGCTGATGCATTGTCACATTGCGTTCCATGTAAGTCTCGGTTTCGGGGCGCAGTTCCTCGAGCAGCCGGATTATATCAGGAATAAACTGCCCATTGGGCAGGATTTCAGTAATCAGTGCGCGAGTTGGAATAAGTACTATGCCACTGCCACGTATCAGCAGGAGGATTCGGGATTGTGAGGCGGAAGGAGGCACGGAGCCGCTGTATGCAGTATATTCTTGATTCGGAGAGTCTGTTGTGTGTACCAAGTAGCTTGTTGGCAATCGTTTGTGGCAGGATTCAACGGGAAAGGTTCGAGGCAGGACTTGTATTAGCATCATCCTCTTGCGATGAGACTAGGATATGCAATGAGCACATGATCTCACCTAGGAGTTTCAGCTTTTCTTTCGAAATGATCAATTCCTGCGCGGATGCCGGACTACCGTTTTTTAGACCAGGCGAGACGCAAACTGAAGTACGATGGACGATAGCGCAAGAGGGCATAGTCTGAATGATTCTTGATTGATCTAAACCACTATACACAAATCCCCATGTGGAAAGAGGACGATTTTCTGCAGTTTGAAAAGCCCCACGAATCGCCCCGTCTTTCTCTTTAAACCGCCACTTACAGCATCGACAAGTTGGGGAATCTCTCCTGTAAATCAGACATCTGTTAGCAACCGCACACCCAGACACAATGACAATTCCCAACTGAGGAAGATCCCAATACGTACCAAGTACCCAGGAGGCATCCATCGTCCCTTCTTAACCAGCCGTGCCGTGTACTCGTCAATTTCTGGCGCCGCAGCTGTGACCTCGTCAACGGTAAGTTCATCCCACGGTCTCGCACCCTCGATGTCGTTCAGGGCCTTCTCCAAGCTCTTCAACTCGACTTCGACCTTGGACTTTGTCTCCTCGGCATTCTTGATCGCGACCTGCTCGAAGCTCTCGATGGCCTTGATCTGCTTGTTGACGTCGTACGTCTTGGGCTGGAACGTCTTAAAATACTGCTCGATCTCGTCGATGACGGCCGTGTTCTTGAGCACGCTGCGGTAGTGGCCGAAGTCGACGGTTGTGGGGTGCTCAGAGAGGACCTGCACTCGGCGCCGGGCCTCGTCGTTGCGTTTCTTGAAGTTGGCGAGCGCGGTTGCTGTGCTGCCTCGGAGGCCGAGTTGGGTGCCGACTTTGCTCCAGTCGAGCTTCATCGCTGCGCGGGACTAGAACGTGAGAAGAAAATAAGGGTTAGTGGGCGTTTCTAACTTGAGCCAGGCTGGAGAGCTGGTGCATGGAGAAGCTAGAGCATGGACGACAGGAGCTCGGGAACGTACCGTAGCAGCCATTGTGGCGGTGTTGGCGTGGTGTTGCTGGAGGGGAGAGTCAGTCGATTGAGCTTTTGTGAGTGATGTTTGAAGTCCGGCTGCGAACTGGTCCCTGGTTCGGCTAGCCTTCCCGAAAGGTAGCAAATATGTCACGTGATGCGAAATCGGTCCTAGGAAATGGAGACCTCGAGCTTCATGCACAAGAAGCTAAGTAGAACGGATACAGCCAGAGGAGAATCCAAGGTCGAAGAATATGGATTTTGAGCACAAAGCATTTCTGTATTTCGGCCCATCTACAGGCATATCTGAGTATGCAAGTTGTTCGCAAAGCAACGTGACATGGTGAAAGACCGGTAATCAACCGCTACCCCAGTCCCTTTGCCGGCAATGCAGACTCTCAACTTTTGGTGTGCCTTTTTGATCATACACTTAGCGCCATAATGGAGTTGACTATGTCATTGCCATTCTCTTTGAGAGCCTTGACAGCCTTCTTTCGAGACACGGATGCCTGCGTCATGACGAGCTCGATGTCTTTGGCCTCCAGACCGCTGTCGTCGACTTCCTCGTCGTCATCTTCCTCTTCTTCAGCCTTCTTCTCGGGTTCTTTGCCCTTGCCATTCTCGGTGGAGTGATCATGGCCAGCGTGATCGCCACTGGCGGCTTCAGCGGCAGCGAGCTGTTGAGCGGCGGCGGCCTGGGACTGAGAGTTGAGATCTTCAATCTTGGCTTCACCGAAGATGCTGATGTGTGTTAGGTGATATTCATGACAACGAGGGAAACAGAAACTCACATCCAGGTGTTGCTGGTTGGGGAGCGGTAGACGTCAGGGTTAGAGATGACGAAGAGAACCTGTAACAACCACATCAGATTCTGCTTCTTTGCATACAATACAGCTCCCTCCAGGACAGGTCCCGGCACATTTTCTGTCCTGGAGTATGCCAGAGAGTACTCACTCCTTTCGGTCTTCTCAAGGTGACTCGTGTGATGCCTGGAACATGCTTCAAGCCCAACTTGCCAATGGCCTTTCGTGCCTTCTTCTCGTTTCGGCTGTGGACTGCGACGGCAGAACCAGCTGGGATGGTGGCCTCGCCTTCTCCGGCAGCTTCAGGTTCGGAATCGGATGAGCTGGATGCGTCCTCTGCTGTGGTGTTCTTGGTGGGCTCCTCATCGGGGAGTTCTTCTATTCTTGGGTTCGCCATGATGGTAGAGTGGCAATGTGAGGGACACGAAGCGAAGACCTGCGCCAATGCGTGGGTTAGCTGGTGCGGCACACGATGTCAAAATGCAGGGAGCTGTTGTCGGTACTGCGCAAGCAGAATATGTGACTTTTTCCTCCCAGCCTCTTGTGCAGCACTTGGATCGACAGCTGGGAGCCTTACAGATATACCCCAGGTGTCGGATGTTGCGCGAATGGATTTTGTGTGCCTTACCTGTCGAAGGTGCTTGCGATGTGCATCGAGGCAGTCTACCTGAAGCTTGGCATGATTCATATCACGTGACGCCTCTATACAGCTTGACAGCTAAATTGAATACCTTAACTATAACGCTGCTGGAGATCGAGATATTTCGTCTTGAAGATGCTTATAGAGTAAGATGTCTATGGAGCTCAGTCACAGCCTCCCTGGCTGCATGTTATGCCTACCTTACTGTGGGGAGGACTCTAGAACGCGTGCTTCTGCGGGCGAGGACGTAGGGTCGCCAATATGAGATGACATCCGAGGAAGGCAAGGGAAGACGGAGGGTACCTGGAGTATCGACATGGACCTGCCATGTATACGCAGGGAGGTGGCAAAGCCAGACGGAAAGCGAATGCAGTATGACTGTCATCGGCGGTTCACGAATCATGGCACAGAGCAAAGCCGAAAAGAGCGAGGAGGAATGCTGCAGGAGAACTCGGTTCACAAAGACAGGGTGTATCGGACTGCCCGGTGTGAGACAAAGCGCAAATCTTCAAGCCATCTTTGTATGCAAGCTCTGAAGCGCGGAGCATCTCGCTGAACTATATGTTCCAATCGAGCTTTCGGTGGTCTGCAATCATTCGAGTTTCATGAATTTATTGAATCATGCTCTGGAAAATCCGTGCGGGCGCGAAAGAGGAGAAAAGCCGCAGCCACGAATGATTCCTGCCACATCCTCAGCACGGAGGCTTTGTCGATACGCCCACAGCCCGCATGCCTTCTCTTCGTTGATTGATTTTGAACCTGGTGAATCTTCATATGACGCCTGAAACAATGCCCGAATCTATGCCTTTGCGGTCGCTCGAACCTTTGCTTGCGCCTTCATGGTCTCGAATCGTTGCTATCATCCTATTCGTCAGCCGGCTTGTCCATTGGCATGGGCTTGAACGTCCCAGAAACAGGACAATGCCCTAATCAGTGTGAAATATGGCTCACCTGCTTCTTCAACCTCATAACCTTGAATCGCTCAAAGTCTGTCAGGTTCTTCCTCCTCTCAAATTGTTCTCTCTTCTTAGCCCACGAGGACTCGGCCCACTTCTTGTCGATCTCGTTCTTCTCCCACAGCTTCTTGACGGCACCAGTACCGGCGGCTTTGGGCAGGTTGGGAATGACCCAGGGTGTTAGAGAGACTGTGCTGGTGTGAATGGCTTGACGAGGGACGGCTGCGCCTTCTTTCGTTGAAGGACCATCGATCAGGATCTGAGAAGTCAAGTTAGCAATTGGTTTGCTCCTGACAGCCTCGCAAGCATACTCTTCCAGCATCGATGATCTCGACTATCGTAGCGAGTTTGCCTTCAAAAGGTCCTGATCGGAGAGTGACCACTCGTCCGACCTCAATCAACTTCCACCCGGCCGGCTTGATATCGACGTTAGACATTTTGTCGGAGAAAACTGTGCGCCGTCAGTCACAATGAATGTCAAAAGTAAGAGAAGACGGTATGCATACAAAAATCTGCGGAATATTATTGTCGCCTTGATTGTGTTCGCCCGACGAGATCCAAAGTGCCGTTCGCAATTCTGTTGCGCGCTTAGTGTGTGGAATGCCAAGGCCAGCACTTTGCCAAGACTGGTTTCTTGGCCAGCAGGGGTTCTTCAAGCTCGAACAGAAAGTTTTCTCAACCGCCAACGTGCGACTTTTCACGTCGTGCAGAATCACTACTTTTCATCATGATATGTGTTTGCATGGCTGCAAGACGCCTGTGATATCCAGATTGATGCTTAGACCGATGCTACTGATCCAGCAACAGGATGACAGGGTCATATCGTATGAGAAGTAAGCAACCTACTCCTCGAGCCACCATTTCCTTGTTTTCATGATGTTATAATTTGCGATTGAATTCGGCGCTGGAGACTCTCGCCGGAGTCTCTCAACAGCGGTGAAGATATGATATTTAACTTCTTACATATGCTGAATGTCCTCAACAAACACTATCTTGTCGGAATGTCTCTGGCTTGAAACGCGACTGACCGATGTTCTAGTTCTTGCCGAACCCCATATTCTACATGACTGAACTGAATCCAACCCCGAAGCATGCCAATGCGTGCTCGCGTTCTCTCAGGTACGAAGGCCTCCACGCTCACTCCCTTCCGATGATTACACAACCACGCACTAGATAGTAACTGATCAACCGAAATGATCGTACCCTTTTCACCAAGATCTCTGAGGAACTCCTTCTTGAACAACTTCAAACGCAATTTTGTTGTGACGTTGCTGACCGATCCATAGGTAGGCTTTTCATCGAATTACTACGGCCAGATCAGATTTTCCACCCTTTCTGACTGGTTCGGATCCTTGTCGTGTTGTTGGAGCGCCACAGTCAGGTATTCTGTGGGTTGGACATCAACGGGTAGCCAGTGTTTCCCCTGCAAACAGCGGTCACGGTGTTACACAACAATAGTATGGTTGGACTATTCTCATAGGCATCGGTTGCATCTGACCATGGGGCTGAAGCTCGGGTACTCTCCTGTGTCAGCTATCTGCCAGACTGATATCATGCACTGAATGTTCATTGGGAATCAATATCACCTGAAGCACTTGGTCTACGAGCTCTTTGTCCTATGAGCCGTTTTCCACACTTCGCATACTTGAACTTATCTCTGGAAACAGCTGCTGTGAAATCATGACATAGTCTGTGGTTTTTGCTGGAATTCTCGTGCTACAATTGCTACTTCTCGCCTCCTGTGCTTTCCACGGGCCCATTTGTTGCATAACGTGTTCTACGATACACGTTCAATCATTCTACTGGTATCACACCTGACGAACATGCGGATGTGCAAGGTGACACAGGTGATGCTCCGCCAACGGCATCATCAATTACGCTATCGTGATGACATGCAGCGACGAGACGTTCGTAGAACATGTGGCTGAATTCCGTGCGTCCTTGTCCTTGACTTCCTATGTGTCGCTAGAATATTGAGATGATCGATGCAGCGTGTCTTCCTGGATATCCTGATGCCGAACCATGAAACGGCGGCCCAGGCTGATAAGCTTGCAACTTCAGTCTCGCCTTACGCACCCGAAACCGCCTATTTCGCAAACGCCAAGAGCCTGATTGGCTGGGCCTGGAAAAAACCGTCTTGCCGTCTCGTGTGGCACACAGCCCTGTCACTGCCCTGTCCTGGCACGCCTGGTCAACGCTTGCGGGGAAGCGAAATAAAGGGACACTGAGCCGAAGATGACTCCAGTCCCACCTCAGAAGCGTTCTGACTTCTCAGGAGATCTTCAACATGGGTCACACAAGAACGGGTGAGGGAAGGGAAATGGAAGGACGATGCAGATGTTGACCAGGGTGCCGAACTCCGCAGTCGATGGCGTTTCTCTTTGTTCCCCTTGGGCCAAGGCTGAAAATCTGCAAGGCTTGCGTTGACGCTGTCTGTCCTTTTCCCCCATGCTGAATTGCAGCTCGCGGTCAAAACATGAACTGGCATTGTGCTCTGGCAGTCAGTAAAAAGAGGGAAACAGGAACACAAGTACATTCCTGGGTAAGTGGTGATCTTACTGTAGACACGCGGCGAGACATTAAACAGTGAAGGCAAGTGCATCCCACTGAAACAGCACATAAAACCCATTGCGTGCCGTACCCAAGGCTCGCGATCCCATGGTGAAATACAGACAAGGCCAGGTTGATCAGACAGAGAACTTCAAACCGTTCGTCTATCATGAGTTGACGACATTGCTTGTCTTCTCGACTATCTCAACCATCTCATCCGCTGCTCTCACACGGCTTCATCATCTCCGTCTCCTGCCTTCGTTACCTACTTCCCGTCTTCGTGCAACCTGCTCACCTCTTTCATTCCCTCACTTACACCTTTCACTTCACCTTGAGCAACACACATCGTGTCTCTGCATCAACTTCCATTCGTCTTACTTCTCTCATTCTTTCTGCAACTCATCTCCCCTTTCAACCTTCCTGTACCCTGACAACCTGCCAACTTACCGCTATTGCAAATCTCATATCAACTTCGCTACCCGCTGGTACGGATGGCTTCACCTCCTCCGTGTTCTGGGGCTCTGCCTCGAAAAGTTGATAATGGCCTTGATCGAGGTACCGACAATGTGTCTTCTGCGCCCTTTGCACTCAAGTACGACATGGCCTTCAGATACAACACAGACGGACTCGGCTTCACTTACGTTGGCATTGTCATAGCATGGACTTGTCTATTGCTTCCAGCCTCCATCTTCCTCATCCGCAACAGACGTCTCCCGTTCCTCCGCATGCGCAACATCCCATTGGCGATCAGTGCTGTCGCAGTACTCCACGTGTATTGGGTATTGTGCATGATCGCATATGTCTTGAACGGATTCTTCCCATGTTCGACTGAGTACTGGATCATGAGCATTTATCTCCCTCTCGGTATCGCCTTGTTCCAAGCATCAAATTCCCAATTGTTTTCAATTGCGACTGCACAAAAGAGATATCTCAAAGGCGATGTCGCAGTTGAGGCAAGACCAGCCCAGGCAAGAGGATGGCGCAAATACTGGCAGAAGCTGAAGACTTACAATGCCACAAAGAACACAATGGCGTGCATTGGTATCGCTATGATGGTCCAGGTGAGTCAGGGCCCTGGGAGGCGAAGAACTGCTCTGACCGTATTAGCTTGTTGTCTCCCTGATTGTCTTTCTTGTTTCCAGGAAGTTCCATCCAAATTTTGGCGTCACGGGTGTTGTCACAACTAGGGCTGGCTGTCGACGAGGTTGGGAATGGTAAGTTGTCCGGGAGCATGGCAGGTTTCCTTACTGACGAGCTCACAGGTGGCCGTCCATTGTCTGGCAGATATTCTGGTCTTGGATCTATGCTCCAGTCCTTCTGTGGCGCGTTCGAAATATTCATGACGTGCATGGATGGCGGAAACAGACTATTGCATGCATTGTTGCTGGGTACGGCGGTATTTTTGGTTGCCATCAATACAACTACTGACGAAGGCAGGTTGCCCGCATCTCCAATGTGGATGATTGCACTGTATGCCAAAGGTATGCAAAAGGTCGACACGTATCTCGTGCCTCCTCTTTGGTGAGTACTGTTGCGATATCGTTCTCAAACTAGACTGACAAACGATAGGTTCTCGGCCTCCATTGTGATTATGCAAGGTTCGGTCGTGTTTGTTCCCTTCTTTCACATCTTCAAGAATCGAAAACTCGAAACAGAAACACGAGAGATCATTGCAGAGTGGGAAGAGAAGCAAAAAGGAGGAGGCTCATTCACATCGTCTGGTTCGACCAAGGCTGCGGCTCGATCTAGATTCTCGACCCGTGCATCAATGAAGAGCACTACCAGTGCAACGGCTCGACAGGGCGAAATGTACACCATGGGCGCTCTCGAGAAGACTCTGCAACTCAATCCTCAACCCTTGCTCATCTTCTCGGCACTCAAGGACTTTTCAGGAGAGAACATCAGTTTCTTGATCCATGTGCGGGAATGGAAGGCCAAATGGAATTCGGAGAAACAAAAACCGAACATGCTTCGCAAACAAAGCCCGGTCAAAACCTATGATCAAGCTCTCATCCGACAACAATTCAAGCAGGCGGTTGGCATCTACGCGTCGTTTGTGAGCTTGAAGTATTCCGACTTCCCAATCAACATCTCATCTGCGCACCTTCGAGAACTGGAGGCCATGTTCGAACAGTATGCTGCGCTGGTATGTGCTGAGCCAGCCTCAAATGCCGCCACACCCTTCGAAAACTACTGGTCCTCTACTTTCTCTGACGATTTGGAGAGTCAGGCAGGCAGAGATCAACTCTCGGTCGTATCAACTGTTGTCTTGGATGGCGAGAAGAATGAGTCGAGGCCTGAGTCGGCCCAAGCTCGTCAATTGCGAGAGCTCACAATGACCAACTTCGGGGAGAGACTTCCTGCCAACATTGGTATTCCCGATATCTTCGACCCCACTGTCTTTGACAGAGCCGAATTGAGCATCAAGGAACTAGTCCTCACCAATACATGGGCCAAATTCGTCAAGGCCGGATTTGCACACCACGCCGAAAATCCCAGCTTTGCCTCTCAATTCCGAGCAGCTATGGATACTTGTCGTCAGAGACTCCCCAAGCTCACCGGTAAATGGCGCAAATGAGAGATACCCAACTACGTTCGTGAATGAGATGGCTTGATGACGGTGGGAGACTCGTGTAGCAATGGCGTTTGAAGGATACCCAAAAAGATGATTGATGTGGAGTCATGCCACAGGAACTTCACGGATGTGTTTGCTCATGCTAGAATATTCAGAATTCCTCACAAGATGGTTGTATTGAAAAGTGGAAACAGAACTGGGTATCAAGACCAGAACGAGGACATCTTGAGCTGGACTCGATCTCCAATATCGGAGCAATATGACGAGTCTGAAGGGCTCAAATGTGGGAAAAGTCAATATTGGCATGAATAGCATGGCATCAAGATGGGCGCGAGCTTTGCTGAGCAGAGTAGAATGATTCGAAGATTGGACCAGGAGGTTTCTTCCTCGAGATATTCTATCAAAATAATACTCATACCCAGCATAAAAGACACATAATACCTTTTCTGTTACATTTCAAGTGTCACAATACTGCTTTCTTTTGGCCTTCATATTCCCATCCGCCACCCTTTGGCCTACCGGCTTCGTAGCGACGAACCACCAGCAGGGCGAGAAGATGCCTTCCCTCCCCGCATCCGCCGCACTGTCCACACAATACGCCATCGTGTCCATCGCCTCACACACGCCCTGGGCACGAGAGTATCCTAGGTGCTCAAGCGTCCAGACCAGAGCGTACCATGCCCGCCGGGCGAAGCGAGACATCTTCCACGCCGTCCAGTAATCGGCCCACGTCGTCGCGAGATGGGTCTTGCCTTCGAGCAGCCACCACCAGTCACGGTGTGGAGAGGGTGTGACCAGTAGAGGGCCGGAGGCGGGCGCGCAACGCCAATCCAGGTTCGAACGAGGATCTGGGTATGTGTCGGAAGAGTAGGGGATAAGGACAGGAGACGTGATCTTGATCTGCGTCTCTTCGGTGCTCCCTACTTTTCCTACCACAGCAGCTCCTAACGAGTTGTTGCCAGTTTGGCCTTTGGTGTGGCTGCTGCTGTTGTTGTTCTTGAGATAGTCGAAGTACCGTGCAAAGTCCTCTTCGTGCAGGATGTCGAAGCCGGCCGCGGTCATGGCCCCGCGCGCCTCGTCGCTCGTGTGCAGGTTACTGATCCCGTTCCCTCTTTCCATGCGGTTGCGCATGTCGATGTGTTTGGCGTTGCTGGGGTCGAAAGCGGGTGTCAGGACCCATTCACTCACGCCGAACACGCCGCCGGGTTTGAGGACGCGGCAGATGTTGGTGTAGACGGTGCGCAGCGAGGATGCGTGGCAGGTGGCTTCGATGGCGAAGGCGGCGTCGAAGCTGTTGTCGGCGAAGGGCAGGTCCTGTTTTCCAAGGGGTTGAGTGAGTCTGAAGGGGTCTGATGAGGGTATATTTTGGGACAAAAGGCCTTTTAGGGGCTTTAGCAATGTGATGGGGCTGAGGGAAGCGTTGGCCACCACAGGGCCATGGCGAGCTGCTTTGTTTCGTAGGTCTAACTCAAGACCAATTGATTGGGTAGATAAGGAGGCCATGGGTAAAATGCTAGGAGGAGTTCCGCAGGCATATGGGAAGTGGGTGGTACGGAGTAGACGTACATGCCAATCCGCCTTGATAAATGTACACATCCCCGTGAGACCCTCCTGGGCGGTCAATTGGACTGCGCGATCGACTTGGTTTTGGTTGATAGTTATGCCGATAACTTCACAGCCGACGAGTTTCGCCATCTCCCTGGCAGGTCCGCCGACGCCGCATCCCACGTCGAGGACTTTCATGCCAGGCTTGAGGCCCATGAACAGCGCGAGCCGGTGCTCGCAGAAACATTGGGCCGAGTGCAGGGTGTCGGTGGGTGAGAAGGGCGCGTAGTGGAAGCGTGTGCTCCAGTTGTTTTCGTAGGCGGCGGTCGCGAATTCGTAGTACCTATGATGCTTATTATTCTCGCGGTCGTGCACTAATTCGGAGCACGTTCAAAACAGAGATCAGAGATCAGAGATCAGAAAAGTCTGGAGGGAGGAGAGCCCTTCAAGGGGCCGACTTACGAGTCGGTAACTTGAGCTGCTTTACCTTGTCTCTTTTGTCGCTGGTCTTCGGTCACGGCGTCGGCGGGTTCGTCGTCGTCAACCTGGGCCTGGTCGAAGTGAGCGGTGTATGTGCCGACGACGGCTGTAAAGTCTTGCTTTTGCCGTGGTGGAGGGCTTGTGCCAGTCATGGTTTCTTCACGGATCTCAATTCCCCCAAGTGCGCTGAAGGAAGCAGCAGCGTCATGCTGCGAAGTAGCCCAAATGGACTCGATGTGGATGGATCAAGAAGACGGCAACTTGCATCATGTGAGAGGCTCACCGGGCAAACCGTGCCCGCTTTCGCAGTAAGGGGCCATTGGCATTCACATTCAGTCGCATTGTTGAAGAACAATAGTAAGCGTTGTTGACTAAATGCTGCGAGAAACCCGTAGGTCAACAAGAGAAGACCTCAAGGTGGGTTGTCTCAAGTCTTCTCCGTTGGTACAGCGTCTTAAATCCTTGTATATTAATCACCAAGACTTGGTTCGGACAGCCGTTCGTAATTTTTCATCATTCTTGAAAGGAAAGAGTAGGTGGGCAGAGCACTTGTAGAATAGCAGAAGTCAAACTCCTGTTACGGTGCAAAACAGCAAAACACCCTAGTCACGTGCTAGCGGCCGCGACCAAAATACCAGGTATTCATCAGTGCATCAATTGTCATCTACTTGTTCAAGATCTTTCTATCTGCACACCTCATGGAGGAAGAGCTTTCTGTATGACAAGACAGGAAAGTTCAGTCCCAAGGGACATGCCAGCCTTCGAGATCAATTAGACCACCCGTCGGCCTCCGTCTTGTTATGCCCCCCAGCATTCCAATGCTCGACAACCTTCTAGAGTCAGAATCTCTGCTTCAAGCATATGTTGGTGTCGAAACAGTGCTTTTGTTGCCATCGTACCATGCGTCAAGACCGTAAAACCGGGTATGCGAGCCGTAAGGATTTGGCCTTGTCTATCAATGCTCGCAAGCTGAATGCTCTACAACTTGTCTGTTTTAAGGAGTTAGCAAAATTGCTTCCGTCGTTGTCGTGGAGAACATACCATAGTAGTTGTCATAACTTGGAACTTGAGGCTTGAGACCCTTTCTCGTACGCGTCTGCTCAACGATCTTGCCAGGCATTGTGTTGGCGTCAAGTGGCGAACCGCCAGGAAGAATCTGCCAGTGGTCGAAAACCATCTGTGGGAAGGCTTGGCCACCGGTAGCGGCACGGAGATCAGCGTTGAAGCCGAAGGACTCCATGACAGGAAGATAGGCCTTGACGGTGAACAGAGGGGTTCCCATGCGTTGCTCTTCATAGAAAACGTGACCTCTTCTTCTGGTGAGGACACCGTAGATACCACCCATGGCTTGTTCTGGAACTTGGATTTCGACCAAGAAGACGGGCTCTTGGAGAGCAGGCTCAGCCAGCAGAGTAGCAGCGTAGAGCACACGTCTGGCAGTTGGAATGATCTGACCACCACCACGGTGAATAGCATCAGCGTGAAGGGTAACATCCATGACATTAAATCGGACCGATCGCAGTGGCTCTTCGGCGATGGGACCTTCGCGAGTGGCCCATTGGAAACCAGAGACGAAGGAATCCTTAATTTCGTTGAGGTACTGAACGGCCTTGGTCTGGTCAACCAACAAGTTAGGGCCAGTAGTGTCGGGACCGAAAGCCCAAATCTTTCGAGCATCGGTAACATCCCAGCCGTGGTCGTCGGCAAGGACTCGAGCACGAGCCTTGAAGTCGTCACGAGGATTGATCTTGCCATCCTCAATCTCCTTGGAGACTTCTTCGCTAAGCGGCTCAGCAATAACATACAGACGGTTGTGCTTGTTGGGCGACTTGGAGAGGGCAGTCATGCTAGAAGTACCACCGACAGTCTCACGGTAAGAGACGACAGGGTCGCTGATCTTTAGAGGAACACCAGCGTGGTCTTCTTCCAAATCCTTCAAGCAAATCTCCAAATGAAGTTCGCCAGCACCGGCGACAACGTGCTCACCGGATTCGGTGATCATGGTCAACACGCAAGGATCGGACTTGGAGAGACGTTTGAGACCTTCGACAAGTTTAGGCAAGTCGTTGGCGTTCTTGACCTCGACTGAGCGTCGGACGACGGGCGAGACGGAGAACTTCATGACCTTCAAGTTGTGGGCGGTCTCGGAAGTGGTGAGAGTACCAGACTTGAGCAAGAATTGATCGATGCCAACCAAACCGATGATGTTGCCGGCAGGCATGTCGTCAATTGGCTCGGTAGAGCGACCCATCATGAGCACAGTTCGCTGAATGGCCTTGATGAATAGATCGTCCTTCTTGCCAGGGACGTAGTTGGGACCCTGGATTCTGACCTTCATACCGGAGCGGACGGTTCCAGCAAAGACACGACCGAAAGCGTAGAAACGACCCTTATCAGAGGTTGGCACCATCTTGGAGACGTAAAGCATAAGATCGGCCTTGGGGTCGCAGTCGCGGATGGCAATGCAGGCGGCATCGTCCGAAGGGCCTTCGTACAGAGTCTCAGCACGGTACTTCTGGGCAGTGACGGGAGATGGCAAGTGGATAACCATCATCTCCAGAAGAGCATCGGCAGCCGGCAGGAATTTTCGCATGGCGGCCTTGAGGAGACCCTTTCCGGGAAGTTCTTTCTCCTCATTGGTGATCTTGATCTCGAGCTTGCCACAGAGCGCAACGAGGTCATCAACCTTGCCCTTCATGAAAGCATCGAAGATCTTGAAAATAGGATCCAGAATGAACTGGTTGAAAGCACGTTCAAGGGGCTGGCCTTCATGGTTACCAACCTTGGTCCACTTCTTGGTCTTTGGGTTGAAGTAGTTGTCACCCCAGAGACGTTCCATCATCTTGGACTTGTCGACACCGAATTTCTTGGCGTATCTGATGGCGAATTGTCGGACAGTGAAAGCCCAGCCATGAAGACCGGAGCCGAAAGCGATGGTACCCTTCTCAGGCCAGACCTGAACATCACCAAGAGCCTTGTCGAAGTAGGTCGAGATAATGACGTTAACTGACTCGATGGTTCGGAGGAAAGATTGGTAGAGATCTTCCTTGGAGACCTGGAGTTCAAGGAGAGCGCGGTCGACCTTGTTGATGATGACAACAGGCTTGATACGCTCACCAAGAGCTTGTCGGAGCACAGTCTCGGTCTGGACACAGACACCTTCAATGGTGTCGACGACCACCAAGGCACCATCAGTGACACGGAGAGCAGCAGTAACTTCAGATGAGAAATCAACGTGACCGGGAGAGTCGATCAAGTTGATCAAGAACTCGTTACCATTCACTTTCTGATATATTGTAAGCATGTAAATTTTGAGGTCCGTGCATCAATCCTTACCTGGGGAATGTCCTTTAGATCTTCTGGGTCGGGCAGATGTGCGTACAGGGAGATGGCGGTGGACTTGATGGTGATACCTCGCTCTTGCTCGTCCTTTCGTGTATCCGTAAACCGACTGCCATACTTGTTATTATTTTCCAACTCATTTTTTCTCGGGGCATAACGCACGCTTCACCAGCTTTGGCTGCGGAAATGATACCAGCTCTCTGGACAAGGGAGTCGGTCAAAGTCGATTTTCCGTGGTCGACTGCGGGTTGCGTTAGTCCTTGCTACCAGCCAGAGGGATTCCAATCGACCTACCGTGTGCAATGACGGACATGTTACGGATGTTGGCGGGTCGGTCTTGGATTGATGTCAGTATGTTGCCAGATTTCGAGTCTTGTCCAAATCTTACCCATCAACGCCCGGCTGTAAGCGCATCTTGTTAGCAAAATGAGAGACGATGATGGGAACATTGGCAACTTGCATCTCTTCGACTGTCTAAAGAGATAGTTAGCATTTTTGATATACATAGAAAAGCTTTGGAGGACGTACAAAGTTGACCATTTTCGCAGACTTCTAGACGACTAAACGGCCCTAGAACGGCTGGATAATGCGCTCCCTTGAGCTTGAAAGTTCGAAAAAGCAGGATCGACCTGCTTGAGTGATCGATGGAATTGTCGTCGCAGACGATGAGGGAGTGGGATGAGTTTTGAAGAAAGGCGAGAAAGATTGCAAATCCGCAAGAGGTTTTGCCCCTCAGTGCTTCCTTGGCAACTAGGTTTAGTGCGCAAGTCATATTCAGAGGAACTAGTCTGTAACAGGATTAGACTATCCTTAGCCTGGTATGAAAGCTGCTTAACTCCGAGTCATCAGCTGCCGGAGTCCTTCTCATACCTCGTCCACAAGTCATCTCGAGGTCAGAGTCATCCAAATAGCCGTTGAGAAACAGTCATAAGTACCATCACCAATATCGAAATCAAGTAGGTAGGTACCTCCTATTTCCTGTTTTCGCATTGTCGCAATACGCCAGCGCTATGCAACAACCATGAACAGAATGAACAGACCATCCTCAACTAGCTCCCAGAATTCTCGCATACGCATCCTCCACCTCCCTTGCAACCTCCAATAGACTCACAATTGCAATACTGTGCGTCGCCTCCGGCAATTTATCTCGGTGCAACCCAATCCACTCCAACGGCGGTGTCGCCTCACCCATATCCCTGAGCTGCGGCGTATCAATCACTGGAGGTTCGAGTGCGACATACGTGAATCGTGATTGAGGCACGTTCACCACGGCCGTGATCTTCTCCTGTCCGCCTTCTTCATTACCCTGGGGCTCCGCCGTGACTTTGATAGCTGAGGGCGCAAGTGGCTTTCCGAGTCGCTGAGCCAGCGCCCTCGAATGTGACTGCCACATACTTCTGATGAAGCTGATTCGTGCATAGTTCCAGCCCACATCGACTTTGCCTTCGAATGTGCTGCGAAAGATGTATTCGATGATATTGGAGTCCGGGACTTGCCATGTCTCCATCGAAGAGACGAGTCGTGGCACCTTCACGATAGTACCTCCTCGAGACGATGTAGCGCGATCGATAACATCCGGCACCGACACCTCGCTCAATGCCTTGGTGGTTGTGCGGTTGACATTTGACAGCGCCACTCCCAGTTGACCAAGAGTCATTCCCAATCCGCTATGGGTTTTGCCTTCAGTCGTTGCCACAGCGAATCTTGCCTGGACTTCAGTCGCGTCAATCTTCAGAAGTTGGTTGTCGAAGAAAGTATTCGGGAAGGCTCCAATATCAACTTCATTCAGCGTCACCACGACATCTGTATGCAGAGCGAATGTCCGCTTCGAGAGCGCCTTTTCTTTGAACTCCGGGTCAGGAGCAGGTGCTACCCAACTGCTAGATGGGAAGACTGATTTCCGGCGGAGGAATTTGTCCAAATCGTGTAACGACGTCTCATATGCTTCCTGCTTCTCTTGCGCCAACCGCTCAAATGCCTGGACAAGGGCAAGCCCTTGTGCTGCTGTTCCGGTGGTCACGAAAACTTGCACTTTACCACCATCGACAATACCAACCAAACGATCACTATCCCATTGTTGACCCTGACGTACATTGTACATCAGGAATTCGAAGAACGAGATATCTGCAACAGCAAATGGTTGATAATCGAATGCAGCTTTGACCCGGAAGTGCTCGAACCCGATAGATGCTTGCACAAGCGGCGCTCGCGCTTTTCTTGATGAATCTTCCGGCCAGCGAATCGAAGTACGAAGCCGCATATTGTCCAACTCCACGAAGCCGCTCATTCTTCCGGTAGCATCAACACCAATTCTGTCGAAACCTATGCAAAGGTTCTGTTCGGAATCATTGTTTTTCTTTGACGAGGCCCACAGTTTTGATACGATGAACACTGACTTGCCCAGGCCTTGTCCGAAATCAACAGCAAGTTTTATTTCCTCCATGGATAAGATGGCGTGCCATGGCAAGGTACCTCTTGCGGAGAGTTCCTGATATCGCTGCATTGCATATGCATGCTGATCTTGCGCCGTCCCCACAGGCGCACTAGGCTTGGAGCTACCCCGAAGTTCGGCGGGATACCATATCTCCCGGAACAAGAGGAAATCCTGCAGTTGCTTTGCGTTGATGTCCATCTTCATCGGACTGACATTGAGCACTGCCGAAATGCCGGTGTTGGCGCTGACGTGCTTACTGTTCATCAAAGAGAGGACGATTGAGTCGACTTCAAAATTAGCAGTGGATTCTCTTGAATAGACATGCTGAACGGAAGCCTCGAGTTTGTTGAAAGTCGTCACTATGGCAAAGAAACGTTCCTGATCGGGTGCTGACACTGTATTGATCCGAACCAAAATATCCGCAAATCTGGCTGTAGCAGCAACTCGTGCTATTGGTTGGCAACTGAGACTGAACTCTTGTCGCTGAATATACAGGCCTGCATTCAATTTGCAGCGACCCAGAATAGCCGTAGGGTTCGCATTATTGATGGTCTCCTCGGATAGATAAGTGCTTGCGTCTCCGCCTGTTTTGGTCTCTGTATCCTCGGCCCTCTCGTCACCCATTATTTCCTTGATGCTGGACGAAATTTCCAAGATCAAGGGAACAACGGTGGGATAGAGAGTATTTGAAGAGGCGGCCACTTTGATCTCGGTGCTGAGATAGGGATCATCAGAGCCGGTATCCTTATACTCAACTTTGAGAGCAACGCCGGGCGACTGGAGTCTCACTGTGGCCGCATTGTCACCCTGCACGGCTTGCCCGTATCGACCAGCCCGGGATCGTTTTCCGCCCTTAAGGAAGCTGAATGCTGAGCTTTGGGGTCGAACCTCCGTCCACGGAGTGATATGCACCACAGCACCAGCAAAGTCTGCATCAACAAGCAGAGAGGCTAGGCGTTTTCCTCCCAAGAAGTCGACCTTCCCAGGCTGTACAGCTTGAGGGCTCGTCTCATAGATGTTCTTTGCGTTGCGTAGCTCCTCACTTGCGTGTGCAAGCGACTTTTGCAAAGCATGTGCCGGAACTGCAAAGTCAGTGGCAAGTCGGATGTCCACTGCCTTGCCTTTGGCCTGAAACGCAAAACGGCGGTCACGCTTAGTTGAGAGATAGGCGCTTCCGAAGACGACTTCTGGAAGGAGAGCCGAGTTGGCTGTGCGTTGCGTGGGATTGGCGGCCTGAGACTGAGGGACAATCTGTAATTGTGTGTCCAAAATTGAAAGCCGAGCAGTACCTTCTTGTCGTGTCTGGAGGTCCACCTTCCGAATAGAAAAGACCAGATCCTGCAGTTCACGTGTAGGCGACAAAATGGAACTTCTCGTCAAATTCCAGCGAATATGGATGTTATCGACGTCCACAGCATAGGTAGAGCCATAGAGCGCTGATGAGGACGACTCGTGAGTCGATACAGCTTCCAGTGCTGCTTCTATTTGTTCCTTCGGTTTCAGGCGGTCGGCGATGCCAGCAGTTGTCATCCTTCGAAGCCGACGAATGCTCTCCGGATTCTCGGCGAGTTTGATGGACTTGATCCTGTCTTGTATGAATGCTGCAATGTCCACTGCTAGGGTAGCGGTATCCTCGTAGAGCTCAACTGCAATCGCGTCGCTCCAAGCCCTGTACATATGAACTTTACCAAGCCTACCATCGGTCTCTGTTTTCCCTGATGCCTTAAGCCCGATAGTGCACTTTCCGACATTGGTCTTGCCGTACTTCGTTGCCCGGTAGATGCCAAGTCCTACTCCTTGGGAATTCAGGATGAATTGTGGTTGCTCGTGGATTGTATCGGGGTTCTCCGTTTCATTGTGAACAAACAATGAAGTCGCTTCAAGCTTGAGCTCCATGTCGGCCTGGTAGGTCTGGTCTTCACGGAATGTCGGAGCCCTCATATGTACCTTGATGCCGGCAAGCGTTCCATGCACAGCATATCGAAGTGATAGGGTTGTTTCGGGGGACGCCGCTTTTTCAGGCTTGACCCTGCTGCCTGAAATATTTTTGACCGAGTTCTGCACGTCTTCCACGGTTTGCCTAGCATCCAAGATCAGCTGGACCACACCGGGTCGATTCAATGCTTCGAAGCAAGCTCGTATGCCGGCAGCTTCAAGGTTGATTTGCTCGGTGGTAACGCGAGCACCGATCGAGATGACGCTCGCAGTCTGGGCAATCGAGACTCGGCCATTGACGGGAGGCATTTTGAGAATAGAAGATGTTTCCATGCTCTCGTCTTGAGGTGCTTCAAATAAGTGCTCGTGCTCTTTGATGTCGAAGTTGACATCGAGACCGCCATCTTTCCGCGGCACGATGGATGTTCTGGCGACATTTCCCGCTATTGTGTAATGCAGAGATGGGACGACCGCAAAACTCAATCGATAGTTGTCCATGAACAAAGCGGTGCGAAGTTGGATAGAAGTATTCAAAGGCCGGGGCACTTTCTTTACTTCGTTGCTGGGGTTCTTTGGGATTAGCTCGATCAATTTATAGATTGCAGAAACTTCGTCCCGAACAACGCTGTCTACCACAGTCAGTAGCTTGACAACGTCCTCCCTCATCTGGAAGCGATACCTGCGTGAAGCAGCGCAGATATGGATAACCTGTGTAGGAGCTTGAGACTCCTCAGATGACTGTGGCCATACCGATCCGTAGAGCTTGGGTGATCGTAGTCTCCATGTAAGCAGAGTATGAGAATGCCCCTTGAACTTGGCCATGGCAGTGTTAGCTGCGATTGTCCAAGAGTGAATGGCAGGAAGGGACCCGCCCGAGTCGAAGGAGACAGCACTTCGGAAGCTTTCAGCTGCCCACTTGAGTTTGAGATTCACTGTTGTAAGGTAGATTGCTGCCGCATCAGATCCTACTACAACACTGAACTGTCTCCTTACGGCAGTCCGATCAATGTCGACCTTGTTATTCGAGCCTGTCCTGGTAGGCAGCATAGCAAGGGGATTACCAAGCTCTATAATCTGTCGAGCTAGCTGTACCAGCGCCCAGTTGAGATGTAGAGAGGCATCTGCAAGGTAGGCTTGGAGTATAACCCTCTCATTGATGCTGTCGATGCCTGATGAAGCTGTTGCAGGACGTACAGCGACGTTGAAATCCAGGCCCACGAGGGTGAAGTCGCTCTGCCGCGGACCAGGATCCAAGATGATGTCTGACTTGCCGATTATAATTTCAGCTTGAGAAGCAAGTCTGCTTGGTCGCTTTTCTGAGGTGCCGGGACGTTGACCTTCGAATAGGGTAGTCATGATAGGGACCGTGTCCCGTCGGTAGTCCCAGCCTCGCCACTGCTCAAAGGACGTCAGGACCCTTTTCAGCGCTGGCCCCTTTAGCTCGAGCCCTTCACACTCGCAGCTGTTTACGAAGTCCGAGCCTTTCTTCTTTTCCAGAGTCGAAAATATGTGCCTCAGACGAGACATAATCTTCCAGGAATCCGTAAGACGCACGTGTTTGTCGGCGCTGCGGAGGACATACGAAGGTCTGGTCAAGAAGATGGGCTCGGAGATTGAAGACCCTGCTTGGGTGAGATGATATATCAGGTGCCTTGACTTGTGACTCTGATCCAAGCCCGTGAATGCAGCTGCGATGCGATCAATCATTGAGACAGTCCTCTGTATGAGTCCAGCCATGTCGACCAATTGTTCCGCCCAGAGGACGACATCAAAATTACCCAGCTGCAGTTTCGAAGTGATTTCCTCCTTCAGGTAAAACCAGGCACCCAAGTTTGACAGAGAAACTTCCGCCTGCGTTGCTGGCTTAACTGCGAATGCGTCGTCTCTGGCAGACACGGTCAGCTTTTCGATGGATCCATAGGCCAAGTGACTGGGTGAAGGAGTGCCGCTGCGCCTAGAGTCAGATTGCGGATGCAATGAGCGGTACATGGCCTGAGTGCCGAGGATTTTCACATCATATTGATCATGCGACGAAGCCTGCGTCTGCATTCCACTTTGTAGGCTATTGACGAGCTTTATGTGCGCAAATGGCACTTGGACTGCGAAATCCATGGCATGGCCCTTGTCGTCGTGCCTTTGATTCTCCAAAATCTTCTTTGTCAAGGTAATCTGGACTTTGTCCAACTGGTCCACAGCATGGTCGTTATTCAGTTCTTGAATCAGACCACCAATGCAAAGGAACAAAGTTGGGGTACAGAAACCAGTCAGACCATTTTCAATCATGCAGACAACGCCGTTGTGAGGTGTGTTCTCGAAGTCTTCCATCCGGGGGCCAGGCTCGTTGGTAGTGAACTGCATTAATGAGGCTGCTTCAGTAAGCTCTGACTTTGTTATAGGCGGCATATTCTTCGTATCAGGCCGAACATTCTGCAGCGTGAAATGTGGAGGCGACCAAGGGCTGGCGAAAGTTACCAATGCTGGATTGAGGTCCTGTTCCTGGGAGGGGAAGCGCTTCGCTGAAGCAGGGGATTGCTCTTTAGATCCTTCGTAGGGCCCCAGCAACGTCGAACGGCTCTGAGGATTGCGGCTTGACCTCTTGGCCAGGTCAGTTTGTCTAGGAGCTGGCCTTGTTGGTACTGATGACGCTGTTGAGAGGAACGAGCTCGTGCGACCAACAGCACGTCCCCGTAGAGGACGATCCGCTGTCTGCGCTAAAGTTCCCTCCCCAGTGCTGGCAATGGGCTCAGGCATTGCCGGCAAAGGCATTGCAGGGGGTTCACGAGCCCATTCAGGAGGCTTGTGGTTGGGCGGGTATTGTTTCTGAGCTCCCAGAAGCCACTGCGTTCGGTGACTTCTTTGATCATGATACCTAATGTGCTGTTGTTGTAAGGCGCGTGTCTGGGAGAGGTTGTCGCTCTTGTCTAGAGACCCAACTCGAAGAGCAGTCTCGAGACAAGCAAGTGTTTCCACCGTAGCCGATCCTTTGCCGCGGTGTCGTAAAGCGCTCTTATGGTCTACAGCTGCGACGAGGATCCGTGGTACGCTTGCTTGCACCGTCTTGAAGAAGCTAGAGTTGGCCCAGTCAGAAAGGGACACTTCTACTGTGGAGAGCTCCAGCAGAAATGCTGCTCCGCCACCGACAAGCCAAAGCCGTAAACCCGCGACCGTGGCTCTCAAAAAGGTCACATCGTAGACTTTTGTCGTGAGTAATTCAGGTAGGGAGTTTTCGTAATCGTCCAGGGTGTAGGTGAAAGTCATGATAGAGTTGATGAGAGTCTGGACGAATTTCGTACTGACTTCGCCTGTTGCTTCACCAATGTCTATATCCCAATTGCACACATAGGTTGGTTCTGTCGGAGGTGCTCCGAAAAGTCGATGACCATATATTTCAGCACCGTCTATGAACAATTGACAATTGGTGATATCCTCCGAAAAGCCAGTTTCGGTTTTGGCTATCGTTTCAATTGAAGCTTCGAGTGGACTTGAACTAACCTGCAGATCCATGTAATAATTCGTAAAACGCATGTCTGCTTCAACGAGAAGCACATCTACTCGAAGATTCTCCCTTCGGGAGTAAATGTTGGCAGGAAGGAGGACGGATGAACTGTCTGCTCGTACAGTCAAGATGACGTCCAGATCGTTTTCTCTTTTTGCCGTTGGACGTGGTGTCCTGACTTGGTTGCCTGCAAGTATATCTTGGTACTCCTCCAGAGTCCTGAAGTGGAGGTCTTCTCCGAAATAGTTCTCCTTGACGTTCATGAAGTAGCGGATCAAGTAGCCATGCAGGTAGAATTTCGGAGCATATCCGGTAATCGTCATAAAAAGCGAGTCGGTCAATTTTGGCGACACAGTTGGATAGTAGTTATAAGAACCTTCAAGATCAAGACGTTTGAGAGTGGCCATATTCTTGTCTTCGGCGAGTGTATGTAAGGTATTCCATGCTGGTGTGTTGAGATCCAGAAACGCGTTGTGGCCTTCAGCTAGGAATTTCACGCTGCTTTGGCGCGGTGCGAAATCCTGCATTGGAATATCGACATTGCCATCCAGCTGCTGAAACCCAAGGATCAAAAAAGCATTCTCTTCCAAGTCGCACGGACTGTCAATGATATTGTAATCATTTGCATTGAGATAGAGCTTTAGGACTGGAAACGTCAGATGGAGTTGATAGAGGAAAGGCACAAAGGTCATGTAATCAGGCTTCTGGCCTTCGGTGAAATCGCTGATGAGATCTGTTAGGAGGAACATGTGGTCTCTCAACAGGAACATTTCCATGGCGTTATTCTCGATGTCAAAGGTCCATGTATGCAGACTATTCCACACGAGCGGATTGGATATGTCACAGGAGACCTTCTGCGATCGGCAACGCCACAAAAGAGCGTGATTGACACTTGACGTTGCTTTTGTATCCTTGAGGTCGAGCCTCAACTGATTTCGGTATCCCACCTCATTGGCAACCATATCCATCTCATACCGTACCGTTGAGTCCTTTCCGGCAGAGACGGTGAGCCATCCAAAAGGCCGGACTTCAGGTCCAAGGTTGGGTTTTTGAGACCTTCGAAAGCGAAAATGTCTCCTTTCCCGTTGTTTCCGGATAGCAGCTGCTTCTCGCACTACATGTGCTCGGCCTCTCCATTGCCAGTCCTTCGAACGTTCTCTGGTGGGGACGCGAAGGCTGACCTCATCGTCTATATCAACACGAATTGTCATCACTGTGTTTTGCCGTGCTTGTCCGGCCTGAAGTGCAGCAGCGGGAGAGGGTGTTCGGTAAGGGTTCGGGAAAAATGCTGCTTGGAGTTCGAGGCGCAGGCGATCTGCCCATGGACCGTAGTTGACAATTCCTCCTTGCACAGTCAAGTCGAGACCATAGGCTGGGGGCGTCGACAAGTTGATGTCTCCAAACCTCCACTTCTCGGGCGAGTCAGCATGTTCCTCAGTCACCTGACCTGGGAGATCCCAATAGAAGTTCAAATGGACTTTAGGGCAGTCCAGAATTTGGGAAAACCTCGCATAGTCCACTTGAGACCATCCTTCGTGGTCATCTCGTTCGTCTTCGTCCATGTAGCGGCCAAGACCGTGCCATGATCTGTCGTCTTCCGGAAACCCTTCATACAGATAGTGCCTTTCCTTCTGGTCATCTTGAGAGGCAGTAGTCTTCAATGATCCTCTAGAGCTCCGAAGACCTGGAAGAAGCCGCCTCAAGCGACGAGTAGCCCTGCCAATCCGGTGGCCTAGGCGAAGGTTAAGCTGCCACCATCGCCGGCGACGAGCTTCCGATTCCGCTGCTAGGATAATCCTTTCGGCAGTTGTAAGCTGCGACGCTCGAAAGTCGGGGTTAGGTCTCATTTCGACTTTCGGCTGTTCGATGTCGAAGTCGAAGACTTGCCGAAATATGTCTGATGGTCCGGCGGCAGCTGCATCAATGTGACCTTCTGCTGCTGTGAACGTCGAGACGACGATTGCCCTTGTCGTCTCGTTTCCCAGAATAATAGCACCCTTCGAGACTTCGACACCGATGGGCAGAAAGCGCAGGATGAAGGAGTAGAAGGAGGAAACGTGAGTTGCAGGCAAGTGCGCATCTGAGGTGACACTGGTACTCGTGTTGATCCGGTTGATAGGGACAGCAGCCTCATCCCCGGTAAGAACACGGTCGGCCTTCTCTGTGAAGTCGTCGCTAGAGAGGTCGCTGGCGGATTCGGCCTGATGTTGTTGTCTCTTAGCATCTTTGCGACAGGAAAGGTCTTCATGAGGCAGGTCTGGCTTGTGTCCGCTAGCGTACACTTTGCACTCTTCATTTTTTGAATCGATCTTGACAGCATCATTGATCATAGCATCGTAGACAGGTGTTCGGTTGTAGACAAACCATTCCAGGCCAGTCACATTGATGGCAATTCGAGCGTCTGAGGTGTCGGCTTTCTTTGCCCGTCCCAGTTCTTGATCTGCTGTTGGTGACTCGGACCTTTCCGAGTCATCTAGATTCGCATCCAGTTTCTCTTTCAGGCCATCCTCGTTGTCCGAATCAATCGTAGTAAGATCGACTTGTCGTGATGTCCGCTGCCAGTACCTCCAAGTAATGTGGCCATTTTGAATCAAGACCGTCTCGTTCTCACCGTGATACCGTATGCCCTTGAAGAAGATCCTTCCAGCCAGGAAAGACAGCTGTAGTGCCTGTATATCGATCCATACCCGGTACTTGTGCCACGTCCACGCCCGTACACCGTAGGAAACGAGAGTTGCGAATAGGCGGTTGAAGTAAAAGAGAAAGAATAGCGCAAGACAGGCGCAGGTCACTATTTCAATGAACCATGTCCTGACAGCGGTCAGTATGTCTTGATCATAAGCTCTTAGAGTGCATACCAATTGAAAGATGTGTCCCTCGAGATGGGCTGCCCGACAAGGTCATTCAGGTCGGACATTGTAGGTGTCGCAGCTTCCCTGCGAAGTCTCGTTCATGGCTTCAGAGAAAAGCCATCCCAACATGCTGACGATGACATTACCCAGCAAGCCCATAAAAGAAGAAAGAAGTGAAGGTGGTGCTCGCTCGAGATAAATTCCGACTCGTTGTAGCTGGAGAGCGCGTCGAATGTACGGAGCAAAGTACTTGGTCGCAGCGTGAACAATTTCCCCGCAAAATGTCCCATGCACCATGATGCTCCCTATCAACCTCGATTGATCGACGTAATTTTCCTGGTCGCGCTTTCGACTCTGCATCATGCGCACCACCGCAGGCATCAATTACAACAATCCCTCTACCAATACCTCGCGCGATAAACCTTCTCATCTTCCGATACCCGCACTACCGAGTCGAATCGCTGTCCTCTTGCTCGCGAAATGTGCCATTCCGACAGCAGGTAGCCTGAGCAGCAGCTGCACCTCCGTCTCCCTCGCCACGAGGTCGACTCGTCTGGCACCATGATAGACATAACCAGCACCGGTGGTACGGGCAGCAGGCTCACGAGGATCACCATCATCCTCGCAGGAGTAGCTGCGCTGGTTGCTACGCTCATATCCTTCGTGTGAGTAGGAGTCCAGACTCGGCGTGCACTTCCTCTGACATCGCATAGATCAATATGGCTGCAGACGAAGAATTACAGGAAACCGTTGTTGCAACGATACGTTATCCGGATACTGCTCATGGTTCCAATATACTCTGCGTCATCATGGAGCTCCATCGTTTCTCTTAAAGCCGCTTTCTACATCGATCCCCTCCGCGACATATATGAAGCATTCACCATATACACCTTCCTTCAACTCCTCGTCAACTTCCTCGGAGGCGAGCGTTCCCTTATCATTATGATGCACGGACGGCCACCAGTGTCCCACCCGTGGCCCATCAATCTCTACTTCTCAAAAGTCGACATCTCTGATCCACACACTTTCCTGGCAATCAAGAGAGGCATCCTGCAATACACGTGGCTGAAGCCAATCTTGAGCGTCCTCACCATTGTTCTCAAGCTTACTGGAACGTATCATGAAGGCTACATTGCCTTGAACTCGGGTTATCTTTGGCTAGGCATTGTCTACAACCTCAGTGTGACTTTGAGCTTGTACTCTCTGGCAATGTTTTGGGTTTGCATGCACCAAGATTTGAAACCCTTTCGACCTATGCCGAAGTTTCTGTGTATCAAGCTCATCATTTTTGCCTCCTATTGGCAAGGATTCTTTCTTTCTATCCTGCAATTTTTGGGAGCTATTCCCAGTGACGTTCCAGGTTACAGCGCAGACAACTTGGCTGCGGCTATTCAAGATGCATTAATATGTTTCGAAATGCCTATCTTCGCAGTCTCGCATTGGTATGCGTTCTCATGGCACGACTATGCAGACGTAACTATTTCGGCAGCTCGCATGCCGGTCAAATATGCTCTTAGAGACGCCTTTGGCCCGCGGGACCTGATCGAGGACACGAAAGAGACATTCCGTGGCAAGAAGTATGACTATCGGACTTTCGACTCTGGCGATAACGTTATCGCCCATGAGGACTCTCACTCCCGTGTAGCAAGGATGATGGACGGCATGAGATATGAACGAGGAGGTAAAGCGAAGTATTGGATCCCCAAACCACAAGCACCTACTGCCCGGACACCGCTACTGGCCAATGACGGCTCTTCTCGACCTCCAGCACCAGAAGCAAGAGGAAAGGCTCACGAATACCGAGCTGCCGACCCAGACATCGAAGTAGGCATGGATGCAGAGGACGAGAGGCTCTACACCAATGCAAGAGCATTAGAGTTTGGTGATTGGAACGTAAGTGGTACTACTTGTGCGGATTCTTCCAGCTACTGATCTCTCTTGTCATAGTATCCCGTGGTAACCGCACATCAAGCTCGTCGAGAAGACTGGCTGCGTCGCGACCCGAATCTCCTCACGACCTCTACGAACCGAAATCTTTTTCAACCAACACGAGACAACAAGAACCGCCGCCGCAGCGAGATCCAGCACAGCATTCAAAAAGGAAAGAACCGCAGCACTTCGCCCTCGGGTCATTCTTCGGACGAGCCGCCTGCTCAGGGCTCCATTGAAGCCAAGCTGAAACGTGACCGCTCGCAGTCATCCGCCAAGTCCGACCGAAGCCAGCTTGTCGACCTGATTGTCGAAGACGTCGAAGCCGAAGAAGCAGAGCGCGTGCGTGCCCGAAAAGAGGGCGGAGACACCTGGAATCGTGGTCCGAATAAGCATTATGTCCGCACCTATAGTATCGATGAGGAACATCCAGAGGGACAGGAGATCCGCGAAGGATTTGATCCAAGCGAAGTTCCCGCACGGCATCCACCTCCTGAGCACGCTGTCGAGGAGGATGAAGAAGAAGCTCAGGATGATGAGCACATTGGAAACTCGGGACGATACGGGAGCCTTGTTGGAGAAGACAACGTCTGGGGCAGATGATGCGGTTGTTCTCCTGTGGTGTTCAATCAGTGACTGGGTCGTGTACAGACTCTCTGTACAACTTCCCACCTCGCCCACACATTGGTGAGTGAGGTGTCACAAGGGTTGCAACTTCTTGGGCGGTGTGGTCGGGTTCAGCTTCCTTGATGGTCACCAGACCTCGGTCTGAATTGGTTTGCATTATTTTTTCTGGGCAATGAGAGCGTTCAAGCGAGGAATATTGCTGATACCACTTCAACACTTTCATCTTTCTATTACGGTCTCTATGGGTAAATCGTGTAATAAAATTCGCTTAACCGGGGTGCAAAACAGCTGCCGCTTGAATTGGCGAAGCAGCAGTTGGCCACCGCTTGAACAGGAGGCCCGCCTGCCACACAAATTGTCCTCGCTGCTGCTTGTCGTCGAATGACACCCTAGCGCTATATTACACGATTTACCCATGAGACCGTAGTACTTTTCATCCGATGCGTTTCAGTATTACGCGAGACGGTTGACAGAGAACTTGGGCTCGGGAGGACTTGGAATCTCGAAGGTCAGGATGGGCGGCGCCCAGCTTTCACTCGTCCTCATCGCTTTCGTGTATCCCCCTCGTGACCAGCGAACGATCGAGCCTCAGCAGCGCCAAACTCATGAGCACATTTCCTGCGCTCCCACCTCCTGTACGCAACGCCCATCTCCAGCGTCGTATTAGGGCGTTGATCTCATCCACCTCGATCGCCTTGTCGCTGGTGATGAGCAATCGTATCATCAAGGAAGAAACCATGGCGAACCCGGCACGTGACCAGGAATGCCAGAAAGCGTCCCAGACATTGCGTTGGAGTGACTCGACAAACGCCACTGCTTCGACACAGCATGTCTTGGCTCCTGCACGTACAGCATCGCGACCTGCTCGCGGTTGCTGGTTGGTGGAAGGCAAATTGGACTCGACGGGTCGGAGAAGTGCTCGGAAGAGGATGATGTTCGCAACGAGGTACGACAGCCCTAAGGAGGCGTTGCCATCGAGACCGGAGCGAAGAGAACGTGACTGATCTCTACTCGCTGCTTGTGTAGCGATGAAGGAGTCATAAGAAGTCTTCCACTCCTTCAAGTCCTGTCTGAATGGCTTGGCCAGTTCAATCGACAATGCGAAATCTCGTTGGGTCCGTTTTGAGGCTGCTACGGTGAAGAAGGCAACCTGGATGTCACTGAGTATCGCGGTCAACCGGGTAAGGTGATAGAAATGTGCCGACGTATTGTCAGAGGAGGTTGGTTCGGGGGTCTCGGCGTAGCCAAAATCTGCAGTTGTAAGCGGCGAGACGTCGTAGTTGTCTTTATGAATGTGGCTCGTCAGGCCTGCAGACATGAAGGCCCATTTGTCCATAACGAAGACCGCCCACCACAGTCTACGACGTAGCCGCTTTTCCCAGTCTGGAATCCCGTTCCAGTCGAGACAATCGATTGATAGTCCGAAGCTTTGTGCGAGAGCGACGGTCCACCCTAAAAGACTCCAGCGAAAGACCGTGTCCATCACATAGCGATCGTCATTGACCCTCTGCAGAAGGAGCAAGCATGATTGAAGCGTGGATAAGTGGGGAGTATGTACCTCGTGCGTGACAGCCAGCCAAGCGATGCGATACAGACGCTGACTTGAAGGCGGGGAGTGAACGAGCGTCGTAGCAAGAACATCATCATATGTGACGAATGCCAGGGCTGATGCATAGATGGCAGACTTGAGAGAAAGTGGCAGCTCCCTCAGCCGGGCCGGCAGCTCTGTCAATGGATAGAGAAGGCGCGTTCTAGAAAGGATGGGGAAGTAAGGATAGATATATCGGAAGAACAGCTTGATCAGCCGCACGCCGGTCTCCTCGGAGACCATCCGCGACACCTCGTCTGCCGCCTCGTCTAGTGCGCGCTGGTCGAGCCGCGGCTCTCCACGATCATAGAGCGAGTGGTCGGCCATTGACATGATCAAAGGTCTCCCCATGCTATGCATGACATCTGGATCCGACGCCCGCAGAATATGCCGTGACGTGACTTTGGCAATATCATCGCTGGAGTCGAGACACTCGGAGGAGAAATGCCGCAGGAGATAAGGGTCAGATTCACCTGTGTCCCCCAGTAGGAACGTGGTCGTTGCAGGCCAACCGTCCAAAGTCTCTGAAGTATTGCCGCGACCTTGGAGCCTGCGTGGCAAGTCTGTATTGTCGTTGGATTCTAGAGAGGCCTGCGACGCTACAGATCCACCAGCTTCAGCAGGAGACCGATGCGGAGAGCCGTCATTATTGGACTGAGGAGAGAACAACAGAGCCAAATCGAAGTCATTGACCGGAGGCGGAGCACTTTGTGTGTCTGGTGCTCATTATTAGTCAGAAGAAGAACAACGGCACTGAGGCTGGCGCACTTGGAGCACTGTCCTCATTGCTGCCCGCCGGCACAGCGATGATGGACTTTTGCCTCTTCCGTGGCGGTCTTTCACTGATGACGCATTCACGAGCGTACAGTCGGCATGCATAGCAAGGTGGTCCTTGATCCAGCCTACACGCGCTTTTGCGAGACCGACAGAAGTCACAAGACCTTCGTGTCCTGGGCCGTGGAGTCGTTACAGTGGGAAGGGCGGGGTTAGGTCGCGGAGGCGGGTAGGTCTGGTCGTGTAAGGACCTCGAGGAGAGCATTCTTGAGAAGAACCATGACAATTGACTAGGATGATACTATGGAGCTCTCTAACTCACACGTTCATGTGTCATAAGGATATGATTACTAGTCCAAGAGTATGGGAAAGATACAAGAAGTTGGCCTGACGGACGACCGTTGGATTTATATCTGGATAAAGCGGCATCTCTTGACCGGGGTACCTGTGTTGAGCGTTGTTGAGGTCACCCGAACGGGCTCGACGGGCACTCCTAAGCAGGACGCCGCCTTAACCGGAGGAGGGTTTTCCGGGAACCACTATGTGCGGTACTTCACAGCTATTACCCAGGCTATTACTTGGAACCTCACAGCGATTTCGCAGGTACAATGATTCCAGTACAAATCCCAAATCCAACTCTGCCTCCTGCTAACTTGGGATCTCCCTTCTTAGCAGCCCATCCAGTAAAGACCACTTCGTCTCCGTCCTGGACATAACACCGTCTGTTCCCGGCAGGAGTCTGGATCTGCTGGGTTCCGTTGCGCGTCCGCTCTACGAGTGAGCAGATGGAACCATCATCCTGGTTCCACTAAGTCAATGAATCGTCTCAAAACGGAATACATTAAGCTCACCTCTCCAGTTATCGTGCCCGTCCCTATCAGGTCTCCTGTTCGCATTTCACAGCCTCCAAAAGCGTGATGGGTCAACATCTGTGTGAAACTCCAGTATGCGTTTGTCAGGTTACTGGTGGAGACATTGAAGATTTCTCCTTCCGGTGACAACTTCCAACTCATGTTGATGGATATATCAAAGGTTGAAAGTGCCCTGCTGTCCGTCAAATACGGCAGGAGGTCCGATGGATCCTGTGGCGCCGCCTTCGTACGGTAATGCTCCAAAGCGTCCAAGGAAACCACCCAGGGGCTTATTGTTGATGCAAATGATTTGGCGTTGAAGGCTGCAAACGGGTGATCTTCAAATGCCTGCACATCCCGTGCTTGAGATACCCCGTGTCAGCTCCTGTATAGCATCTCAATGATCGGTATGCATACTTGACCAGTCATTCAGCAGTACCACTCCAAAGATATGGTCTTCAGCTTCAGCAATCGATACCCGCTGATATCGCTTGATGGCCTTGCCGAGGAAGAAAGCAAACTCCATTTCCACGTCGAGCTGTTGCGATGGTCCAACATACGCTTTACCATCCGAGTCGACCATATGGCCCATTGGCCGAACGATTGGAGTTCCTGACGGCACAACACTGGATACACGAGCGGTAAATGCTCGAGGAGGGTTGAACCTGACTAACACATGAGCCCAGCTTCGTCAACTTGTTGTGATATGCCACCAACATATTTACCGGCGCTGCCGAGGTTGAATGAGTGTTTTTGGCGTGCTATTACGGAGTCCAGATCAGCATCAGTTTCAGTACACACGGGCAACTCTGGACGGTCTCACTGTTCTGGAGTTGAGAAAGTCCGTGAAGTCTCCAATCTGCATTGGCAGATGCATTTCTACACGGACAGCCTCGGTGTCGACGATACAATTTGCCCTCAGCGCCTTGTCGTCTCGTAGGATCGGTGTCATCTCCACCAGGAGATATTTGACAAATATTCGGACTGCATTGACAGTCTCTCGGCCGAGGGCAGCGAACTCGTTCAAGGTGGACTACATGAAGGTCAGCCTCGACGGCTTGTCACTACCCTTTTCTTCATCCCCCGGAGAACCATCACTATCGGCAGCAGCATTTGCGTACCTGCTTGAGAACGGAATGCGGGAACTGGCATGTACAATACATGCTGAACGCTTCCGTCTCCACCAGCGCATCGAGGTCGACAATGAACCTGCCAATGGCAATCCCAGGACGTGGACGTGTCTCCGTTGGGTCAGCAAGATTTACGGAAGACAATGCTGCCGAGGTTTGTATCTCGACTCACATTAGCAGCAGTTGAGAATATGCCAAAAGGCAAATTCTCGACAGAGAAGTCATGCTCGTCCGGTACGTCTAACCAGGTCTTCAGCACCATGATGGCAAGGCTTCAATTGCGTTTCAGTCCTCGAAGAAGGGGGCGTTTATTCGTGACAGACTATTGAAGCCAGAATGCATTTATGACCCTTTGACTTACTTATTCTCAGTCCATATTTTTCGCTACGGGAGGTGTGGACGATCGGGCGATCCTACCATCTTAGATAGTCGCTTGGTCGCTATTTGGAAGGAGGTATTCCCGGATGATAAGGTTGATCGGCCAAATCCGAGGGGTCGAGAAGGTCTGCACCCAGCCGATCGATATCTGACCCATGGATCGCGCATTCACGGGAGCAAATCCACCCTGTTGAAACCGTCTGTCTGACTCTCTCCTTAGGCCCAGGGGACCGAGGCCGAGATTGCCAGAACAAGCAACGAGTGAGGGTTAGGACTAGGCAAAACCGATTCCTTGAGCCACGTATCCAAGATGTGACTAGGCTAGGCCTGTCTACTATAGTATGCTATAGATGCTAATTCATCGCATATACAGGCCTCCATTCACTGAGGAATTGGTTTCTCGGCGCACTCAATGTACTTTTGGTCCGCCGCTGGTACTTTCCATAGCCCAACTTGCCAACAACATCTCCTTCTTTGAACACCACCTTCCCCCTTACAAGAGTGTACCTGGGCCAATTCTTGAACTCTACACCCTCGAAGGGTGTGTAGTCAATGGCATGGTGCAACATTTCATTTGTCAGTTTGAAGGGCTTGAACTTTTCTTGAGGATACCATATCACCAAATCTGCATCGAAGCCGGGGCCGATGGTCCCCTTGTTAGGCAACCCGTACAACTTGGCCGGATTGGTCGCGGTGACTTCGACGAATTTCTGAGGAGTGATGCGGCCTGCGAGCACACCTCCTGACCAAAGCAACGGAACCCTCGTTTCGACGCCAGGAAGCCCATTGGGAATATATTGGAACTTGCCCTGGGGCCCGCCTCCGTGCTCCAAACCGCGAAGCTTACCTAGGGGATGGTCAAACTTGATGGGCGCATGGTCTGACGACAACGTTGTAAATGTGCCGTTCTTGATCCCAGTCCAAATAGCGTCCTGATCGGCAGGTTCTTCTCTGATTGGAGGTGAACAGACACATTTTGCGCCTTCAAAACCCTCCTGCTTCATGCTTTCGGCCAGCAAAAAGAGATATTGAGGACATGTCTCCCCGTGTACGGGTAAGAGTCGGGTCTGCGCTTCCCGAATGACCCGGGTTGCTTGGCCGCCCGAGATATGAACAAGCAAGATTGGCGTGTCCATCAGCTCTGCGAGAACAATGGCTCGATTCTGCGGACAGCTTTCAGTACTAGTACCGGATTCCTACCACGGATCCCCGGGGGACATCAACTTACTGTTGCCTCCGCTTCCACGACCGGCGGTCTCGACGTACCATGGTGGTACGGGGCGGTCATATTCTGGGCTTCCAGGTGTTCGGTCATCCAGTCAATAACGTCGGCGTTCTCGGCGTGGACCATGGTTGTGATCCCGAGTCTCCTGGCGGCATGCATGACGTCCAAGATCTCGTAATCTCGCAGCTGAAAGGCTTTGTATGTCATGTATATCTTGACACTGGTGATGCCATACTTGTCCACCATCATGGGAAGGTCCACCTCAAGGACATGTTTTGTCGGATTGGACAGGATCATGTGGAAGCCATAGTCGCAGTACGATTGACCGTCTGCGAGCTTAGAATACTCTTCCAGCACCGGCACCAGACTCTCATCGTTGCGAAGCTGGCTTGCGAAAGTAATGACCGTGGTCGTGCCTCCAGCGACGGCACTGCGTGTCCCGGTATCGTAAGTGTCGTTCGTGTAATTCGCCAGGTCTGGGATCTTTCCGTTTGTGATCTGTGTCCTCATGAGGCTATCCACCGACGCCTCGTACAGCTGACTGAGATGGACATGCGTGTCGATACCGCCGGGTGTGATATATGCTCCCTCAGCATCGAGGATTTCTGTACCGTCATGCGTGGGAAGAAGACCATGTCCAACGGCCAGTATTTTCCCATCCTAGATGTGCAGGCTTCATTCAGCATTGAGATACTGTCACCGAGAGCGGGGGCGTTACCGTCTTACCTTGATGCCGATGTCGCATTCGTACCAAATATCCGAGGCTGTGACCATGTTGCCGTTGCGGACAATGAGATCGAAGTCCATTCTTCAAGCAAGGCGGTCATGCAGTCGAACGTGGCCGTAGAAAGACACACACCTTGCAAAAATCCAAAGACCAGGGTGTTTACGCGTGTTCGACAAAAACCGATCAACTTCATCCCGCCATTTTGTCAGCGCCAGCCTCGTCGCATTGAGAGGACTAAGAGTTCCCGCATCTTTAGGAGTAAAACAGGTATCCTTATCCGGAAGACGGGCTCGATTAAAGAATGGCCGGATAGCCAATGGCCGTTGAACATTCCGAGCAGATAGGCACTTGATTTGAATTTCCGGACATCAGCGACAGCCGGATAGGCGCATGCAGTGTTGTCCTGGCAATATTGCGGCACCAATATCGTGACCGGATACCACCAATCTCACAGAACAGTATGTCAAGCATTTTCTTAGCAGCGCAGACTACAGTTGAGGGGGCGCCGAGATCGATGTCCTGGGAACTCCATGCTGACTCGCCCCCTCAATGCGCACACTGAACCACTGAGGCAAAGGGAAGGGGGGCCGCAGCCTTGTCACGTGCGTGAGCTCGCGACGAACGCTTGGCCCAAGGCCTGTCTGGCAGATGGAAGGAACAGAGCACGGAATCCAATTTTTGTGCTCAGAGGCTCGCCGTGCCAGACAATCAAGATCGCAGCAAGACGGGGGTGGAGTGCGACAACACTAAGTCGGGAGAAAGGGGAACATAGTATATCGCAATAGAATTGTGTTCTAAGGAAGGACTATTGAACGCCTGCCGTACAAGGGAAAGACATCATTTATCATCTGAGTGTAGCCACTTATCGACACCTTGGGCCATTCATCGCTTCGCTCTCTATTAACGAACCCACCATACCATACATATTCTAGCACATCACCTCCCCCTCTTACAGTCAATCCGCCTTCGATGTGATGACTGTACTTTCTCCTACCGTCTTTTCCACGGGCGAGAGCGTCTCGTCTTCAGCCTTCACTTCTTGCCCATGGATCAAAGTCGAGTGGAAGTTCGGCAGTGTTGTCGGATCAAGCTCCTCACTCGCCATCTGCTCGAATTTCAGGCCCATGCTCTTGATCAGCTTCTGGTTCTTGGTGGGCCAGAAATAGCACAGCGGAACGTACACGGCGATCGACACCACAAAGGACAGACACCAGCCAAGATGACCGATGTTCATGGCCGTTTCCGAGACGTTTGCTCCGAGAGAGCCGCAGAATCCGGGGAAGGGAATCACAACGGCCACGATGTAGGCAATGTACGCTTGGATGTTCCAGCCCCTGTGGTAGTAGTAGTGTGGATTGGACTTGTCGCCGTCGTATAGATGCTTAAGAAAGATGTTGCCCTTGGTGAGGATGAAGTAATCGGCTACCATGATGCCCACGGCAGACGCCATGAAGATGATGTAGCCGCCGAGGAAGTTCAAAAAGACTAGCCAAACCCGTCAGTACTAGTACTAGTATTGCTAACTCTCGAAACAAGGGAGGGAGCATTAGGTAGTCAGGCTCTCACCTGCAGCAGATTGGAGGATTTTCCAGGGGTTGACAGCCCATGCGAGGCACAGACCTAAAAACTGGCCCCTCGTCATATTGATGTATCGCGGAAGAAGCATGGTGCTGTCCGACCCGAACGGAACCATGTTGGCAGCGATGTTTGTGCCGAGGACCAACAATGCCCAGAAGGTTGCGCAAAGAAACACTGCAAATCGCACAGACGATGAGGGATATCTCGTCAAGATGGCGTCGAGAAGGTCCCATGGATTCCACAGCTGAAGACCCCAGGAATGATTGATAGCCGAAGTGGCCAGAATACCGAGTGAGGCATTGATCGTAACGCTGATTGGGTTTGCGATCAGCTGCGACCACATGGAAGCATACTTATACTTGGCCCAGCGGCTGAAGTCAGGTTGATTCGTGATGATATTTGCCTCGAAGGAAGTCAGTGGTGTTTTGGGTGCCACGCCGTGCTCAAAGGGTTCGAAATCGACTTACAGTATTCCCAAGCCCGCTGTTGAAAGCGTACACAACAAACCATGCAAAGCTCGTGGATGTTGATGCCGGAGCTCCGGGTAGGCCTCCACCGATATTTCCTTTGGTTTTTACCATGCAGAAGATAAACAGGCCGAAGCATGCTGGGACCACCGTGACCATCTTGAGAGTGAAGATCCAGCGCATCTGATACGGTCTCAGAAGCGTGAAAGGGATGTGGACGAGCCAGTAAAGAAAGAAGGCAATGAACTGCTTAGTGCTCATGCCGACAGATGCCGGGACGGAATTATGGATATTCCTGTACGAATCTCCAAAGACTATCATCACGATCAGTTAGACATGGGGCCCAGGGGTGTGAAACATCAGACTCACCAGCAGTCAGCATGATGACAACGAAGGACGACCCCACGTAAAGCTTGATTGCATAGTAGACAATGGCCAGGACAGATCTTGCAAACACAACATAGTATGCGCCCCAAGTCCCAAACACTGCTCTTGAGATGATCGGGTAGCCGACATGGTAGACTTCTCCAGACCGAGAATTGATGACCATGGCAACGGAGCTGACGAGTTGACTGGAGAAGACGATGATAATAGACTGCCACCAATTCAGACCGCACCCGATCATGACTGAGCCAAGTGTCCAATTGTCCATGGATAGACTGAAGTAGAAGAAAAAGTAATTCCACCATGCCCAGGTCCGGGCGTAGAGTGGCGTGGGCAACAAGTCTGTATGTCGTTAGCATCATTCAATCACGGTTCTTGCAACGTACCATCATTGATCCATGAATATGACCCAGTGGGGTCCGCGTTCGAGCCAGGAGTGCGCAGATATTGCTTGAAGTTCTCCTTACTCTTGATACCATGCTTGAAATTGGCTTTCTTGATTCTGAAGTTGGCGACAAGGTTCTTGGGGTGGAAGGCATTGATGCCCGTGACCGTTGGCTTGCGAGGAGTCTCCATTGCTCTTTTCCAAATTCAGAGGAAGAGCTGGCAGAATGGTATGTTCGAAATAGCAAGACAGACGTTAAAGTATTCAGTTGTTGCCGCCGCATATCAGAACCCTGAAGTCGAGACCAAGCCTATCTTTACTTCGCGCTGCAACCCTATCAGGCATATCGGCAAGGATGCGGAGACCTGCACCAGCTGAGTTGGTTACACTGGATTTAGTGCACGACTACGGATAATCCCAAGATATTGAGCCGTGGTGGTATCGAGCCAGTGCGAGCCTCATTCTGGAGCAGGATAGGGTTGATCCTGGCTTGATAAGTCCAAAGGCCCTGATGCCCCACAACAAAGCGGAGATCGGCCGTGGTCCTTATCTTGCGTTGCCTATCAATGGCAACACCTTCAGGATGCTGGGGTATACTTCGGAGACGTGGCCCTTAAGAGGCCGCATACACACATAAAGAGGTAGGACCAGAAAAGCTGTCGCTACAGAAACCCTTGCCGAAAACAACCATGCCATCCGCAATCTTGAAAGAAGCAAAACCAGATGGTCCGCGAAGGGTACCATTGCGGGAAGCAGACCTCAAGAATGGGACTTATTCGGCCCCAGCGCTGCAGATGGCCCTTGAAGGTCTGCACCAAGATGGCATGGTCATCCTCAAGGATGTGGTGAACAGAGAGCATTGCGACATCTTGCACGAGCATATGAGTGCTGATCGAGATCGGATTCTCCGAGAACGCCACGCCGGTGCAAAGGTATACAATCAAGGAGTTAAGTGTATGTCGACCTGTACATACCTGATGAAAGAATGGCGCTGAGAACGCAGCCAATATTCTGCAGGCACCCCCTTTCACGAGGCCGGAGTTGCTATTCGATGACGTTCACTTCAACCCCTTCGTGGTCCAAGTGATGAATGCGTGAGTCTTCTTCGATGTCTCTCTGCTGAAGGCTAACGTGGAGTCAGTTATCTTGGAGCGAATCCCAAATGGATAATGTCGACAGGCAACAATGCGCTCGCAGGAACCGGTGGTCTTCGACAACCCGTACACAAGGACACCAGGTTCCGTCACCCAAAGTGTCCGTTCGTGATTGTTGCCAACACTGCACTGAATGACTTCACCCTTGAAAACGGTGCAACAGAATTCTGGCTTGGCTCCCATGCGTTTACCGATGAGCGTGACCAGACTACTGCCACACCAGAGACAGTGTTCGGTAAGCAGAAAGTTGGCACGCCTTCATGTCCGGTTCGCGAGGATGTTGTCGAGGCACGTCGGGCCATCCGGCCACCCGTAAGGGCAACAATGTCAAAGGGCGACGTGATGTTGCGAGACTTCCGATGTTGGCATGCAGGAATGCCTAATGCAACTGAGCAAGATCGCATCATGGTGGCACAGATATGGATGGTAAGAAGAACGTTGTGCTTGACTTCAATGATTGCTGACTTTGCCGAGGCGCCGTGGTACCCGAATTTTGTTACACGCCTAAACTTGCCTCTATCACAGGCCGAGTTCTTCCAGAGTCATGCCAACAAGTTGCCGATGGAGATCATGGCAAACTACGTGAGCGATGATGCTGTGGAGTTTGACCAACACCGGGACAATTTCTCTATGGAACCAAGTCACTATCTTGACTACTATGATACGGCCCCTGAGAATTATAGGTACGAGTGAGACGGAGAGTACTATGGTCTCATGGGTATATCGTGTAATTTGGCGCTATGGTGCCATTCGACGATAAACAGCAGCGAGGACGGTTTGTGTGGCAGGAGGGCCTCCTGTTCAATGCGGTGCTAGAACGTTATTCTGTACGTATTGGAACATTTGAGGTTGATGGATGCTGATGGTGAGGGAGGTGAGGGAATGGCGAGAGAAGTTCAAAGTGGCCCAACACAGGAATAAGAAGACACGATTTTTGTGTTATATCAGTTAATGTACATTGGTCGTCGACTATTATTTACAAAGCATTTGATAAAGTGGCTACCTCGCTCGAGCACCGCTCAAGAGCAAAGGGGCAAGGGTCCTCCCTCTGCCCGACGCCGTTATGCTACCCGCTCGAGCACCGCTCAACAGCAAGGTCCCTCCTTCTGCTCAACGCCGTGATGCTACCCGCCCGAGCAGCGCTCGAGAGCAACGCCCTCCCTCTGCCCGACGCGGCGAGGTAGTCGCGCATCGTGGTCATCCTGGTCGGGCATAAGACCTCTTGAAGAGGTCCAGTCCAGGTGGGGCCACGGTAGGGTCCTTGTCCCTAGAGGTTAAGTAAAACCATATCAATAACGCTCCTCTTATGCATGCTCCTGCCCAATGCGCAGTTGGAAGAGGACTGTTCCCACAGCATCTCAGTCTCCAGAGAACCCACCTCACACCTTCACACCAACATTCACTCCCTCGTCGTCGTCGGCGAATGCGAATTTCGAGTGCTTTCTGATACTCGCACCCTTGAAGTAGAAGACATAAGGAATCAAACAGCAAGCCAGAGCAATAAAGGCCAACAGCGTACTCGCCCAGCGGTCGTTCAAGGTATGGTACATCTGCTCGGTAAACAGCACGACGCTGGCACCCCAGAAACTCCGGATGCATGTCTTGGCCGCTAATGCGCTGGCGGCTTGGTGCTGGTACGTGTCGACGAGATAGTTGTTCGCCGAGTTATACAGGAAAATGAAGCCGAAGCCAACGGGGAAACCACCTGCAATCTATTGTCAGCACAAACAAATCCAGATATCTGGCCTCCCAAGAACTCGGCGTTCTTGGGATCGACGACTTTGACTTACCCATCATAGGACCCCAGTACGACATGTCCGGATATGAAGTCCAGGCAAAAATGAAAAGCCCGATTGGAATGAGCCAGCAACTGAACATCATAGGGATCAACCTCGCCTCGGCAGGCGGCTTGCCGTCCGGGTAGCGGGCACAAATGCTCAGATAGTGCTTGTTGACGAACGGCGCACACGCGGCCGAGAGCACCACACCCACCGCCAAGGGGATGAACATCAACCCGGTACTTCCCTCGGACCAGCCCTTCCCTTCGACATAGACGATGGGATACGCGACGAAGAACATGTACAACAGGCCATACAGCACCGACATGTAAAGACTGATCAGGAAGACAATGGGCTCCAAGAAGAGCAGCTGCAGAGGCCGGAGAAGGAAAATCTTCAACTGCTCGCCAAACGGACGTTTGTCGATGTCCTTTTCCGTCACGTACCTAGCGTCGCCGGTTTCTTTGCGGAGTTTCTTGGCCCGCTTGTCGAGGATCGCGGGGGCGTAGGTCTCGGGAACAGTGAGCGTGAGCAATGCCCATGACAGGCCGGCCAGGATCAGCTGGATCCAATAAAGCCATCTCCATCCCGCAGCGTCACCGAGGAATCCACCTGCAAGAGGACCGATGGCGGGGCCGATAAAGGGAGCGGCGCTGAACACGGCCATCGGCACGCCACGCTCCTCATTGCGCCAGAGATCGGCGAGCGTGCCGCCGACAAGGGTCATGGGCGCGGAAAACGCGATCCCGTCGATCAGTCGGCATACCAGGAGCGTGCCGATGTTTTGAGCCACGGCGCAGGGAATCTCGAAGATGACGGCCACGGCGATAGTAAGGATATAGACGGGTTTTCGGCCGAAGAGTTCGCTGGCGGGTGCGAATACCAAGGGTCCGACACCGAAGCCAACGACGAACATGGTGATTGTGAGCAGAGACACTTCGCGCGAGACATTGAAGGTCTCCGAGACGCCTTCGAGGTCGGCGGTGATGACGGCGCTGTTGAATGCCACGACGAAGCAGGTGAAGGCGACGACCATGGTGCACCACCATTTGTACGGCTTGGACCAGTTCTTGGGGTTCTCCGGGTCGTTCAGAGTGAAGGTGACTAGTTCGTGCTCTTCTTCGAGGCCGGTGACGCGGGAAATTGTTCGCTTGGGGATGATACCTTGGGCTGTTTCTTCCGTGTACTCGGCCATGTTGGCATCATCGCTGAGGATGTCATATGGCAGGTCCAGCACCTCGGCAGCATCTTGTGTAGGTCGTGTTTCGTAGCGTTCGAGGGTGCGGCGTGTGGACGCCCTGGTCAAACGTGTGTCTTGTTTCTCGAGGCTCTGGTGGGTGGGCATGTGCGTCATCGTGTCGCCAGCGCCAGAGGCGCCGGATGTTGGGGTCGTCATCGTGAATGAAAATGCAACAACCACTTCCCTAAATTGTTTTTGAGAGCTATAAAGGAAATAAAAGGCCGAGTCGGAAGGGGGCTAGGTGTCACAGGGGATGTGCTTTTTCAGCTGCTCAGAAAGCAGATTCCTTGTTGATGTGTGCACTGTGTATATGCAAGCGAAAAGGCCCAAGCTGCAACGACACCCGGGCGCAAGTGCTTTCCTTTATACCATGATGTAAAAATGAGGTCGGACTTCTCGCGGCCACCTGATAAGACCATGTTTGGCATATTTGGCTCATAAGCGAACCAACGCCCTTCGATAGAGTGACCCTGGCCATTTTAGCACTGCTAGTTACAGGCATGTGAATCTACTACTCCGTAGTTGGGAAAAGAATAACAGATTGATTCAACACTGAGCAATAAAATTTGCCTCATGGAAGCTTAGACAGCCACGGATTGCAGCAATTCGGGCGTGTCAAGGCGAGATAATGGCGAGACAAGTCTCCTTCGGAGGTTTCTCAACCAATGGGGGATCCTGTTGGCGTTTAAGAATGCACTGGTCTGTACATTTGAAGGAAAAGTCGGCACCGAAACCGATTGACGTTGATGGTCAAAGTGGAGGACTGGACTCCAGTAGAATGCCGGAACAGTTTCCGGGAGTGATGAAGGAGGCCGTGTGAGGTTCAATGAGCAAATGGTAAGATGCCGTAAGAGTACTGCGTAGGTGGATGGCGGGAAGAAGAGAGAAAAAAGGGTCGACCGAGAGAAGGCCGAAAAATGCCAAGACTAATTTTTCTTCAGTCTTACCAAAGAAGTAGGTTAGACGAGTCACGTGGACGGAGTTTTGTCGGAGGCCTCACACTCACCACGTGACTCGCCGGCCACGCGGCTGGAAAGGCTCACAAGAATCTCAATCCATGGACAATTCTTCGTCTACACAGTAACCGGTCAACAGAATTCTCTCATCTGCCTAAGATTTTGAGGATCTCTTGTGGCTGAAGGATGAAGTCATCTCACATGGCTTGACGACTAGTCTGATAGTCTGATAGTCATCCCGCTGCTGCCCGAAACGACGCGCCCCGTCTTACCTTGTGCGACATGAGCATGACTAAGCCATCAGGCACATGATACGGCGAGATGGATGCAGCTAAGTGTAGATGCTTCCTCGTTCTGCCTCGTATCTTCCTACCACAGTAGGCCATCATTCTTGTCCTCGTTTTCTGATCGATCACATTCTGCAAAGAGTCCAACATGGCAGATTACTACAACCCCAGCGGATATCCTCCTCCTCCTCGGACAGGTAGTGGTCAGAACTCGTATCCGCCGCCGCCGAGACCACAGCAATACGAGGGCAGTCATGGCTACAGCTCTCCAGCACCGCAGGTACGAATCTTTTTGCCGGGTACTCTCTTTTCTTCCTTGTGGGTTGCGACTGATACGCCCTGTAGAGTTCATATGGCTATCGCCCACCGCGAGAAGACCAGTACAACTACTCCCCGCGTTCATCCGGAATGCAGGTAGGCCAATATGCTGGCACCGAATACGAGCACGGTCGGCAGCGTCGCAATTCCGGCCCGTATGCTGCCAGCCAGTATCGTGGAACTGAAGCATCTTACTATGCGCCTCCTTCAGAATATGACGATCGCCCGGGTTCGAGAGGTTCGCGGGGTTCGCGAAGAGAAAGAGAGGGATCCAGAGGAAGAGGCGAGAAACACGGAAATCACGATGGCGCGAAGGAATTAGGTGCAACACTTGCCGGTGGCGCCATTGGTGGCTGTAAGTAGTGCTTCAGCGAAGGTGGTCCTGTTCAGTGCTGATACAAACCTAGGGGCTGGCCACGAGCTTGGTCATAGCAATCCTCTTGTGACGGTCGCCACGGCTATTGCCGGTGCTTATGCCGGACATAAATTGGAGGACAAACATGAGAAGGATAAGGCAAAGAAGCGGGAACGACGAGCAAGCCAGGGCGGAGGATATGATGACTATCGTGAAGGCCGACGCAGTCGCAGCCGCAGTCGCAGCCGCAGCATAACCCAAAGACTTAGGAGATCCCTCAGCAGGAAGAGAAGCAGCAGCGAGAGCAGCAGCGATAGCGATAGTAGCAGGCGCCGACGACACCACCGCCATTGAGCGGGCTCTCCCACTGGCGGTTGTTTCGAACGACATTGATGACCCGTTTTTCCCTTTCCGGCTCCCATTCTGTTTCATAAATTATTGTTTTTGCAATATATATTTCAATCTCAGCTGGTGCTTGCATGCTCTTGTATCATTATATTCTCGGAGAGATCTTTCTCCATTCGTGGGCCTCAAGACGACGTTAGAGGTGTGGGCATGCCAGGTCTGGAGGTCCTCAGTTCTGGTTGTGACGAGCTGTGCCGAAATGTCAGCGCACAATGGGATAACGTCGACGATTAAGCATCTCCAGCAGAATCTCCGCTTTGCTCAGAACTTTGTTGTTATGCAAGGCTCTCGCTCAGGCAAACGGGATGCTGTAGATGTTATGGCACGAGCTTCGTCCAAAGAATGAGTGAAGCCTAGATCTCTGAGGGACAACTGCGGAGCTATTAAAGGCCGAAACGGGCTTCGGCGCTTGTTCTCGAATTCTTCGGCCAAATGTCACAAACCCAGGGATAGATGGACGACCACTCAGAAGGTGCGTGGTCAGCACAAGCCCACCAGATCGACCATTATCGGTTGGTTGTCCAGGACGAGCAGGACCACACCGCCTCATCCGGCACGGCCGTCCGAACACTAAGGTTGATCCGTGCCCTGCGAGTGCCCTGCAGCCAAAAAGTCATCCTTATCATGGCGATATCGATAGTAGTGGCGGAATCTTTTTTTTTCTGAGCTGCTGTCTAGGCGACAAAAACATACCTGCCCCTCCTTTCCCACATTCCCCATGGATATGTGTATGGTGAAGCAAAAGCCTCTTTCCCTGCCACTGTTGAAGACGCTTGAGGAGGGCCGATGCTGGCAGACTGGATCAATTGAAAACGAAGGAGGAAAGGAGGCGAAGTACATAATGGCTGATAACGGTGCATGTCGATTTAGATCTGACGTGGTAGGCATGCCGAAGTAGCCTGTAGCATCAACGGTTCTCCCGCCCATCCCGCATATTGAGTGTTACAGAATGACCGGGGGGTCGGGTAATCGCCCAGGTCTTGGTTGACCCAAGGCTGGTGACGGTGACATGGATGGATCCTACGGAACCATCAAGAGGGAGATAGAAGGAAGATGATGATCGATTATTGAAAACTCACACGCTGAATCTCCAGGCTCTTCCAGACAACAGCACAAGAAAAGATCGGCAGCCCAATTCCGGTGACATTTTGATTGGTAAAGGGCGAGAACCAGAGCGTTGCAGCCATAGAGATGATGGGGATTTGACAAGAAAGGTCTGGTTGACTGGGTTGAAACCGTTCCTTGGGCGTGCCTGGGTTGGGTTCGGCGGCGAGAGCGAGGATGGTCCAGCGGTCAGCCTGAGAGTCGAAACGATGAGACGCTAAGGGAAAAATTTTTGGGGCCTTTCAAATTTAATAAAATTCGCCTTCGCCCTTTGCATCGACTTGTCTCTTTTCTTTCACACTCATCTCTTCTCTCTTACCATCCTCCTCCTCCTTTGCATTGTCTCTATCTACAGAGCCTTTGCACCGTCTTTTTTCTCTGTTCTAATAGACGCCGCTAGAGCGAGATTTGCGTGTGAGCGCAGTCCGTGGGCAACACCTTTCCCATAGACCGCTGTTTTCAGCTTCTCCTGAAAAATTCACAACCACCCCAATCCAATCCGATTTAATACTCCTACCAACCGCCAAAACCGATCTTCCACGAAATGCCAGCGGTCGACGCCATGACTTCTACACCAGTTTCCTCCGCAAAGGAGACCAAGTCCTCCATCCACACCCTCGAGCAGATGATGCAAAATCTGTCTGTCTCAAAAACTCAGGATGAGATCAACTCGGCCGCCAACAACCTTGCCATCCTCATGAACGGCCCCATCGAGGAGCACGCAATGCCCTTGAAGGCTGTTGAGACCTTTAAAAAGCAGCTTGCGAATAAAAAAGATGCGGCTGTCAGAGAGCGAGCCGTCGATGGCATCAAAGCCATTGCCGCTCACTCGACAATTTCTCCAGCCGTCGAGCCATACCTGATTTCCCTCCTCCCGCTCACTCTTGCTGCCGTGGGCGACAAGATGACTTCTGTCAAGAACGCTGCGCAGGCCGCATCTCAAGCCATCGTCCGAGCCATCAACCCCAACGCCGTCAAGGCAGCTCTTCCTCACATCCGAAACTCCATCATCACCGCCCAGAAATGGCCCGAGAAGATGAACGGCCTCGACTGCATCGAAACCCTGGTTGAAACTGCGCCCACTCAATTGTCCTTCCTCGTTCCTACTCTTATCCCCATTGTTTCCGAGTCGATGTGGGACACCAAGCCCGAAGTCAAGAAGAAGGCTTATGGCACAATGGAGAAGATTTGCAAATTGATCGAAAACAAGGATATCGAGAAATTTATCCCTGAGCTGATCAAGTGTGTTGCTAAGCCTGAGAACGTCCCCGAGACTATTCACTTGCTCGGTGCTACCACTTTCGTCACCGACGTCCATGAGCCAACTCTGGCCATCATGGTTCCTCTACTTGAGCGTGGTCTGGCCGAGCGCGAGACTGCCATCAAGCGAAAGGCTGCCGTGATTGTCGACAACATGTGTAAATTGGTCGAGGATCCTCAGATTGTCGCAGCTTTCCTGCCAAAACTGATGCCTGCTCTTACCAAGAACTACGAGAACATGGCCGATCCTGAGGCCCGTGAGAAGACCAAGCAGGGTCTTGACACCCTCAAGCGTGTTGGTGCTGTCAAGGAGGACGGCAGCTTCCCCAAAGTCTCTACTGCCGGTGAGGTCTCCACTGTTGTGGGCATACTAAAGTCCATTTTGGAGCCAAAGCACAAGGATGCTTTGAAATCCGAGGCAGTCATTGAGTACGTTGCGGCTATTGCTGGTCAGTTGATCGATGAGAAGGTCGTCGACGCTCCTGACTGGGTTTCCAACACTCAGGAATACCTTAAGACCATTGTTGGCGAGCAAGACGCGTCAGCGATTGCTGACCAGCTTAGAAAGAAGGCCTCTCCAGGTGCCGAGGAAGAAGCCGAGGGCGAACCTGATGATGAAGAGGGCGAGGACCTCTGCAACTGCCAGTTTAACTTGGCCTACGGTGCTAAGATTCTCCTCAACCAGACTCATCTTCGCCTGAAGCGCGGTCAGCGCTACGGTCTTCTGGGCCCCAATGGTTCCGGCAAATCTACACTCATGCGTGCCATCAACAACGAGCAGGTTGAGGGCTTTCCCAAGAAGGATGAAGTCAAGACTGTGTTCGTCGAGCACGATCTTGATGCTGCCGACACCGAACTTACCGTCATTGGCTGGACCATGATGAAGTTGGAGCAGGTCGGCATTACCACATCACGAGAAGAGATTGAAAAGCAGCTTCTCGAGTTCGGCTTCCTCGAATCCCAATACGATGGCCCCATCACCTCTCTTTCTGGTGGCTGGAAGATGAAGCTTGCCCTTGCCCGTGCCGTGTTCGAATCGCCCGACATCCTGCTCCTCGACGAGCCTACCAATCACTTGGACGTCAAGAACGTGAAGTGGCTCGAGGATTACCTGATCAACTCTCCTTGCACATCCATCATCGTCTCTCACGACTCCAAATTCTTGAACAACGTCATTCAACACGTTATCCATTACGAGCGCTTCAAGCTCCGACGGTACCGTGGTAACCTGACCGAGTTTGCCAAGCGAGTCCCAGCTGCTCGATCCTACTTCGAGCTTGGAGCCTCCGAGATGGAGTTCAAGTTCCCCGAGCCAGGTTTCCTTGAAGGTGTTAAGACCAAGGCCAAGGCCATTGTCCGTGTCAACAAGATGTCCTTCCAATACCCAGGTACCGACAAGCCTCAAATCTCCGATATCACCTTCCAGGTTTCTCTTGGCTCTCGTATTGCCGTCATTGGTCCCAACGGTGCCGGTAAATCGACTCTCGTCAACGTCCTCACTGGTGAATTGATCCCTACCTCTGGTGAAGTCTACCAGCACGAGAACATCCGTATCGCCTACATCAAGCAACACGCTTTTGCTCACATCGATAACCACTTGGACAAGACTCCATCCGAATACATCCAATGGCGTTTCCAGACTGGTGAAGATCGTGAGACCATGGATCGCGCCAACAAGATCGTCACCGAGGATGATGAGAAAGCCATGGACAAGATCTACAAGATTGAAGGCTCCCAGCGACGTGTCATTGGCATTCACGCCCGAAGAAAGTTCAAGAACTCGTACGAATACGAGTGTTCGTTCGCTCTCGGTGAGAACGTTGGCCAGAAGAACGAGAAGTGGATCCCTATGATGACTGCCGACAACGCCTGGATTCCTCGTTCTGAGATCATGGCTTCCCATCAGAAGATGGTTGCCGATGTCGATCAGAAGGAGGCCCTCGCCAGCGGTCAATTCCGACCCCTGGTTCGACGTGAAATCGAGCAACACGGTGCCAACTTCGGTCTGGATGCCGAACTCATTTCCCACTCCCGCATGCGTGGGTTGTCGGGTGGTCAACGTGTCAAGGTCGTGCTTGCTGCTTGCACATGGCAACGTCCTCACTTGATCGTCCTTGACGAGCCTACCAACTATCTTGACCGTGACTCCCTTGGTGCCCTGTCCAAGGCTCTCAAGTCTTTCGAGGGTGGTGTCGTCATCATCTCTCACAACGCTGAGTTCACCGAGAGCTTGACCAACGAAGTGTGGTCGGTCGTGAACGGAAAGATGACTCCTTCTGGACACAACGTAAGTGTTACTGTTCCCTCCGCTTGTGAGCTCTGTACTGATATGACTTTATAGTGGGTCCAAGGACAAGGTGCTGGTCCTCGATTGACCGACAAGGGTGACGACGAAGAGGACAAGTTCGACGCCATGGGCAACAAGATTGAAGGCAACAAGAAGGCTAAGAAGTTGACTTCATCTGAGTTGAGAAAGAAGAAGAAGGACGTATGTATTCCCTCTGTCTCGAAGCTCACACTGTAGATACTGACAATTCTTACAGCGAATGGCCCGACGCAAGCGTGGCGAGGAAGTCTTCACCGATGAGGACGAGTAGACGACTCGCAGCATCTGACGATTAGCACGACTTTGCCCATTCTTTTCGACTGCATACGAGGAGACTGGCGCTTATTGCATACCACCTATGAATGCCAGACATTGTCACGGATTTTCGAGTTAATGAACATTCATGGTGAATTCAGTCCGGAGTTTGGGGTTCCAAAACGCAATGCGGTGCCTTGTTGTTCATATCGAAGCGGTACCTCGTCTCGCCTTTTGAGATGGTGAGGTGAGCCTCCGTTTTTTTGCGGAAAGGATAGACCAGGCCTATGAGAGATAGATCATAGAATGTTATCAATGATCATGGACAGTTTAAGAGTTGAAGACATTCCCGTTTTGTTTCCTTAGTAGCTGATCCCTGCATTTAGCCAGAGTCCTTGTTGCGAACCACTCGTTGGCTTGGTTACCTGGGGTCCCTCCTGTCATACAGAGGGCACAGAGGTAGCTTGAACCATTCATCACCACGAACGTTCACACTTTAGAGCCCAAGACTACCGCTGTCGGCGCATCAGAGTGTCCTTAGGGTCAGTGACAGCGAAGTAGGAGCCTGCCTCAGGAAAGTTGCAAGCACAATGCGTTTTGGTACTCGTACGTACTACTGTATATTAGTACTGTACCTGCACGATGACCACTGTACTAGTACTAGTAGTACACTTTGCAGAGAGCCTGTGAGTGCCGTGCCGTGCGTGCCTCGACGCTCGCCAGCAACTACTACTCGTAGTGGTATTCATAGTTTAGTACCCGGCGAGGCCGGCAATTTCTTCCTTCCCAGGCCTGAGAAGGACTTGAACGTGAAGCGATTTCTCTTGCCGTCGTTCCAGACTCGGCCGACCTTTCCGATCTGCTCCTCTGTGGTGGACGAGAGCTGCATGAGTGTCTCCTTGTCGCCTTCGTTTTCGTTTTCGTTTTCGTTTGCCGTTGCCGTTACAGTTGCGACGAATCTATGTCCCATTTTACTAGGACTAGTACTAGGACTTGTACTACTATACTTCAGACGGCCGACGATGTATGCTTCTCGGGGTGTGTTGTCGCGGTTGAATTCGACTGTGTATGTCTGGGAGGCGAGCGGATTAGTGTTAGGGGCCTGGAACGGTGGAAGGTAAAGAAAGGGCAGTGGAGTGGAGTTGTCAAGAAGAGCGAAACTAAGTTAGGCCTGGAAGCGCAAAGACATTGGAGTGTGCGAGCAGAGCGAAATTGCTTAACCCTAAGGTTCTTGGACAGCAAGCACTCACCTCAATCACCGCATCTTGCTCACCCTCGACCTTGACATCGACTGGCGGGACAGGAACGTCGGTGAGTCTATCCGGCAAAGGCGCCTTGTCCGGGTAAGCAGCGCCGCCTCGACGGCGCATGGTCGAGAGACATATGACATGCTGGTACGTTACCCAGCCGCCGTTTGCGAGGATCAGGCCGTTTCGCCCTTTCCCTTGCCGGAGTTGCCGCGTCATCTCTGTGATGGCCTGTGGTAGAAATTTCGTCAGATATGTTCTTTGTACCACAGTAATGTAACGCCCGTTGCCAGCAGGGCCAAAAAGAGTGGGTGTTCGAATCTCCGTGCCGGTGAGCTGCAGACAGACATACATGCATCGAGTAGTTGTTGCCCGCTCCACCGAAGCTGGTCAGGCCACCGAGGAGAGTCAGAGGTTTGGGCCCGCCATTTATGGGCAGATTGAGATGTGTGGCTGCAAGTTTGGGTACGATGGGGAAGCACCTACAACCCAGGTCAAGAAATAATGGTTAGCTTGTACTGTACTTTCGGCAGGCTGGTTTGCAGGAGCGTGACCACTCTTGCACGGCTGTGGTGGGTTCGGACTTACGAGTAAAAGTCATACAGGTCGATCTCCTCCTTGTCGAGACCGGACACCTGCAACCCGGCGTCAAGAGATCGCTCAATGGCTGGACTTGAATAGTAATTAGGTCGTTCCCAGACTGACGAGCGAGATAAGTGTTAGCAAAGCAAACCATACTTCACACATATATTCTGGGAGCGATGCAGGAGTCTCACAATTGTCAGCGTCCTGTGTGCCAGCGCCGCCAAGGGCATAGATCCATTTTGTCTTCGGTATGCCCAGTTGTTCAGCGTATATCGTTGAGGTCAGGATACATGCTGCGGCTAGGTTGACGGTGTTGAAGGCGTTCATCAGGAGCGGATCTAGCATCAACGGCGATCAGCACTGTATGCAGCATTCACCAAAAGCGCCCGGGGGCGAGAATAGGATCGTAAAGTACTATCCGTACACGGTAAACAAATCATTCTGTTGCGCTTAGTGACCGTGGCAATTTCTTCTTTCGTCTTCGTCGGTTTCCCATAGTTCCATGCATACACCTGTTTCTCGGCCACCTTGGCGAAGTCGGCATATAGCTGTGCGGACTCGTCGGTATTGTCGGATAATGTCTGACCACGATGGGCTCGAAAGCCGTTCTCGTAGAGCGGGTATATCTGGATCGGGTCGGTGATACCTTGGACTTGACCGAGATCTGGTTCAATGCATTTGTCAATAAAGACTTCCTGACATAGCCCGAAAGCTTTTGGAGAGGGGTTTGTCTCACGCGTGCCACGATCTCTGCCAGTGGCTTTGAAGACTTGTGTCAGATTCTCTTTGGTCTGGGTCCAGCTGGGTGGTGGAAGCTGTTTCGCCGCAGCACATGCCGTCACTAACGTAAGCATCGCATCGAGTTAGCCAGCCCCAAGCTTGAATGATCAAGACCGCTGGCAAGTACTGTACTCACATGATGCTAGAGCCTCTCCGCCCGTTAGGATAGCGACTTTCGTTTGTCCTTTGGATATTCTTCTTGCTGCCTCGTCGAGGAGCTTGGCTGGCTTGTTCCCACCATGGTCGGTGTAGAGCTTGTGTCGTGGATTGACGCCTAGTTTGCGGGCAATATCCCCCGGTAAATCATCATATGGCCAAGTCCAGGTCTTGACGACGTCGAGACTGTCGATGGCCGCTTGGAATAATTTCTGCTTCTCTCCATCGAGACCGGTATCTTCGAGAGCTTTCGCAATGGACTCAGTGATTAGTTGTAATGGCTCAAATGCGCTTTCGATCGACGTTGATCGATTGACAATGTCGCCTACACCGACAATGATGGGTATCTCGGCCATGGACGGATATGCTCTGGGACTGTCTGCTGTTGTCGCTGATGTGAACATGAACAAGGGCCTTCGAAACGAGGGCGTCTAGCAGATTGTGAAGTTGAGGATATTCAATCACTGCCGGACCTCATTATTCTCCTCATACAGCGAGTCAACAAATACACGCCCGTTGATTGGATATTTCTCTCAACAGCCGAAGTTGTGAATTGCTGACACGTACGTGATACCGTAAGCCGAGGTTGAAGTTGCTATTGTACTGTACGAGGCCCCCGGCGGAACTGCCATTGCCGAATGTCCACGTTCTTCATCTCAAGAGAAAACTAACCACCTCGACCAGTCGGTCAAGTGGTTGCTAGACCATCGCCACCCGTACTCACCTAAATGGACGACACCGTTACTGGAGTACAGCCGTTGTGGCTGCAAGGCTGACACTTTCAAGCAGAATGGGATTTCGGCTTGGAACAACATGCCTCCGACCTCCTGAATTCCACAGAGCTTTCTTTCTCGGAGCATGTCGAGTGGGAAGACTCTCACCGACGAGTGTACCTGCTAATGATCCATGGACATGGTTTTCATGACTGTCATCATTTCAAGAATCAGCAAGCTCCTCTCCACAACTATGGCTGAAACGGAAAACCTCTCCGGATCTCCTCCATGCCCATCGGGCTAGATTGTTTATCCGGCTTCTGCTTCGATGCTGATCACATGGGAGTCTCTTCTCATGTATCTGCCGTCCATGGAGATCTGTGGAGTTGGACGATCCAGCGAGATCAGCGAGATGCGGAGACTGAGCTCGGTATTTGGGACCTATGCATATGCCATAGCCATGTCCCTGACCCCAGCCCGCCTCCAGGCCGAGCTTTATATTTTACCCGCGCCAGAGGCCCACTAGTCGTACTCCAGGCTTGCTTCATGGAGAGGACCCGTGGGGGGAAGGCAGAGCTGAAGACAGATAGCCGAGTACATAGCGCACTAGATACCCAAGCAGTATTACCTGCTATGGTTGGTAAGCCACGAGTCGCACAGTCACAAAGATTTTGTGTTCTCTACTCTACTCATTCTACAGCCGCTGACATCAAGTTGTATCCAGCATGCCACGACAAAAGAACAGCAGCACCAGCCTCATCACGCACATCCCGACCATGGACGACGACTCAGTCGAGGCTCTTCGCAAGAACAAGAAATCCCGCATGTCAAGCTGGAAAGACCACCTCTCCGCCGACGTCGACGAGTCCTGGGCCGACCTCATCCTGCTCGTGACATGCTTCATATCCGGGCTCGTCGACAGCGCCGTGTTCAACGTCTGGTCCTGCTTCGTGAGCATGCAAACTGGTCAGTCTCAGCCTTTACCTTACTCCGTATCCTCCCATTCCTTTTAAGTTTTGCTCTCTGTCTCTCTTTACCAACCACCCACACCCACCGCCACGCCATCCACCGTTTGGCCTTCTGGCAGTCCCTGTGTTAAACTGCTAAACTGACTCTCTTCCTCACTGCGCAGGAAACACCGTCTACGTCGGGCTCGGCATGTCCGGACAACCGCTCTCCCAACCCTACCGCTGGGTCAAATCCGGCACGGCCATCCTCTCCTTCAGCGTGGGCACGTACTTCTTCAGCCGTGCGGCGCGGTACCTGGGTCCTCTCCGGCGCAGCACCATGAGCAGCTCTTTTTTGTTTCAAGCGCTCCTGTGTTTCACCGCGGCGCTTCTCGTGGTCAGCGACGTGGTCGAGAGCGACGCGGGCAACCAGCTCCCGCGGAACTTCATCGTCTTGCTGCCGCTCGGTCTGCTCTCGTTCCAATCCGCGGGCCAGATCGTGATGAGCAGGATGCTGGCTTACAATGAATTGCCCACCGTCGTGCTCACGAGCACGTATTGCGACCTGATGTTCGACCCGGCCTTGTTTACGGCCCCTCTGCGTCAGAACTCGAAGCGGAATCGTAGGTTCCTCTCCGCCGTGGCGTTGCTGCTGGGCGCCGTGCTAGGAGGGTTCCTGACAAAAGGCGGCGACATCGCGGATCCGTTGTGGATTGCCGGGGCGATCAAAGTGGTGTTGGCTGTGGTGTGGCTGTGTTGGCATGGCAAGGGCTCGATTCGGCTGGAATGACATTCATGAGCGTTCAGCCCAGTCTCTGCTTGGGTAGGACGTTGTTCATCGTATGATGGGGTGGGTGTGGTTGCCACACTCTTCCCAGGTTATGGCCAGTCCCTTGGCTTTTGCTCTGCAGGTTACGGAGTTTCAAAAGGGAGTCAACGTCCGTCGAAAAGCCCAGCCTCGCCTCGCCTCGCCTCGCGTGCGATCCTCCTTTTACATACAGCTAGTCGCAAAGCAAGCATCCGGCGCCCTTAGTCAGAGACGAGTTGAATGAAAGGCCTCTGTGCCTCTTAGTCCGAATGACCTCAATGATATACTGTGTGCACACATGAAACTCAAAGCCATCAACATAGCCATGACTCCTGTCCCCGGACCCGGACCTTTGAGGACCTTTGAGGACATCTTCGCAGTGCAAGGCACAGCACCAACAGGCTGAAGGATTTCAGCAATCGCATATACTTTCTTCCGTAGAAGTCCTGGACCTGAGTCAGGCACTTCTACTCGAGTCCTCCGTACTCTGTATTCCGCGGATACTGGACACTGCAAGTCCGGCCGGAACAGGCAGCTGAAACCTGGAATATGTATTCGCGTTTCAGACGTTCAACCGAAGCAGGCAGCTCTACCACGTGCGGGAGCTGATTGTTGCCGTGCGTCTCCTTCATCTTCACATGTCATATCTATATCGATACGCCCGGCGCCGACTTGGAGATACATGAAGAATTCCCATGCCATGATAAGGGTGATTACGGGCCAGGCTCGCCATGCACGCCCCGGCTAAACGTTTCACCCGGCATGTACCTCCGTACTCTATATACCATAGTACTATGTAGGAGAAGTGGATAGCCCGAAGACACCCGAAGTGTTTATAAGGGCCAGGGTATATCCCCTTCGAGGCCTGGATATTGCGAAGTACCTGCTGGATGTGTCTGCGCGGAAGCCGTCAAAGGGAGGTGGAAGTTGAAGATTGTTTACATTTCCATTTGTCCTATTCAAAAAGCAATATTTCACTGGGGCTTCATGCTTCAGGCTTCATACCACATGAGCTGGCCTATCCAAAGCCCATTCCCTGGTCACCACCGACGTCGTCATCCATCCGTCATACAATCATCACGCACATAAAGAAACAACTCGAAGTTCGATTCAACGAGTCTCAACCAAAGAACAACCGCCCTCCTTCATGACAACTTGACAAAAGTCTGTACAAACCCCTAGATACATCATACTGCGGCCCCCAGGATCTGGCCTACTGTTTCTCCCGGTGAGTGATCGTGGCACTCTGCTCCTCCTCGTCCGCCTTCACCTTGACCTCCAAAAACTCATCACTCATGCTCCGTCTCGGAGCCCTGACTGCGTCGGCGATACTATTGAACATGCCTATCGAGGTCGTGCTGAACGGCTCGTTCGGCGTGCCTCCCTCCTCGAACCTCCACCCAGCCCGTTCGAACCTCTCGCGGACACTGTCGGACATACCCACAAAACGAACGTCGACCTGGTCGCCGGCATACTTGATCAATTCGGCAAAGAAGTTCTTCAAGGCCGTCACGGCACTGACATCAACAAAATTAACCTTTGTGAAATCCAGAATGACGACCTTGATGGGTGGCAAGTTCTCTCCGTTGGTCTTGGCCTTCCTGCGGAGACGCCTAATGCGCCTCTCGCCCTCGACGGACCACACGCGGTCGGCTTCTTCGCCATGTGCGCTGCTGTACTCGGCGGCATGATATGTCTGAATGACGTCGAGCACCTTGGTCTTGTTCCTGAGTGCGTTGGGGAAGAAGAGCGACTCGCTGAAGCGGAAAACTCTGGCATCCGCCGGAAGTCTTGCCGGCATGCCTCGCGCGGCATCCAAGGAAGCAGCCAATTCCGATTCCGAGTCGGAGCCAATCGTTCTGATCCGGGCGAAAACTTGACGAAGGAGCACATACACAATGTTGAAGCCGACGGCAGAGGCGATGCCAATTTCCGTACTGACAAACAGAGAAACCCAGAAGGCGACCATGGAAGCAATAAAGTCGGCCAAAGACGTCTTCCAGAAGTGGTAGTAAGTTCTCCATGTGCCGATCAGGGGAATGACGGCGGTAATGACAATGGCGGCGAGCGTGGCCTTTGGAACCCAGTAAAGCGCTCCTGTGAACTTGTAGATCGACAAGATGATGAAGGCTGTTGTGACCAACCCAGAGAGTGGTGACTTGACCTTGCATCCAGAGTTGACGGCTGTTCTGGACATGGCTCCGCCCACGCCCATGACGGTGAAAGCGCTGTTGAAGAAGTTGGTCACGCCCAGGTAACACAATTCCTGACTTGCGTCGATCACGTAATTGTTCCTCAAGCCGAATGCACGAGCAATGGCCAGATGCTCGAGCGCGGCAGCGATGAATGGAGCAATTGCTCGACCAGCAACCTTTCCAACGAGGGTGGAACTTTGCAGCTTTGGAGATGAAATGCTGATGGCTTTAACCTTGCTGACATCGAACAGGAAATCGTCCGAATCCCGTCCTTTGTTGACCGCATAGCTGATGCCAGTAAACAACACGAGTGCCATGAAGGCACGAGTGATGGACAAAAGCCAGACGATCTTGTACTTGCTTCCCCATTTTTCTCCCGCCTTCTGAAGTCCGACCAGAAGGACAATGCTGCCAAACCCCACGCCCACGGCACGTGGGTTGCAAGTCGCCAAATGGCTGAAGACATCATGGATGATGTGTGCGGTGCCGGAGCCGACGTTATCCTCACCAAGAAGATTGGCTACCTGGCCAAGGCCGATGGTGATTGCAGCAGCAGAAATGAACCCGTTGAGCACTGGATAAGAAATGAAGTCCAGGAGGAATCCCAATTTCAGGAATCCGAGGCCCATTCCGTACACGCCCATCATCAGAGCAACTGCAGATGATACTTGCTGCGCTGTGTAGCCCTCTGTGATGAGATCCTTGACAATATCTGAGGTGAGGAGACCGATCAAGGAAGTTGGTCCAGTCGATAGATCTGGGTCATAAGTCAGCAAATTGCGGCGTGTGGACCCAGGCGTATAGAGTGACGTTACCTTTTGAAGTGCCCATGAACATGTAGATGATGGCCGGAAGCCAGCAGGACATGAGGCCATATTGCACGGGGATGGTGGCAATCTTGGCGTATGCCAGCCCTTGAGGAATGAGCATGATGGCCAGCGTCAAGCCAGCCACGACGTCGTTGAGAAGCCATCGATAGTCATATCGAGGAAGCCACCCGATGATCGGGAATTTCTCGACGACGTACAACGCCCCTGCTGCAGGAGCAGCCCTGATACCTTGCTTACCAAGACGACCGACACGGTTCCATGTCACATCTGTCCTGATATCGTCCTTGATCCTTTCGTAAATCTTCATGATGCTTTATCTCAACGATGTCTAGTAAAGTGAAAAGTAAGAGGAAGTCTTAAGGGACCGGAGTGAGTGGCGGGACACTTGATACCACATAGGAATGAAAGATCAGTTCCAGATAAGCTGGGGATGGGATCAGCAATATCAATGCATGGAGAGGCTGCGAGACAGGTTTATCCCCCCTCTGATCTCGGCATTGTAGGGAGCCTATCATGTCAATGGCGGCAAGTGTTGCGTTCCAGGTTGTCAATTATCGACGAAAAGGATGCAAAGAGCTGAGCAACCAGAAGTGCAGCACGTGGAAGTGGCTGCCGGAGACCTGCCTTTAGTGGTATATCGACCTGGCCTTTGGGGGAGAAGGACAGGGCATGCCTGCTAGTCCCTAGGGAAGCCTTTGGCCCAGCCAGCCGATCCCAGGCTTAACCCTGCCGAGGAATGCATTGTGTCAAAGTTAGCCACTTCTGACAATTCCTGGGGACGAATCAATGCGGAGTGATCCCCATCTACCTCCCGGACGTAGTATGATGCGGGGGTGGAGTTGTAGAGAATGGCCGTCGACTGGCACTGGAATATTTAGTAGCCTTGAGCTGGACACCTGCCGTTGCCCCGTCTAAGACAGAGACGGAAGGTCTGTTCGCTTAAACAATCTCCCATACACCGTCAGGCAGTCCTCGTTCTTGCATGCTTGACAGGATCGACATTGGAGAAGTCGTCGGTTTGTCTTGTGTCTTTCATGCTTGAACACAAGATAATGCGTGCGACTCCTCGTTTTCGTAGGAGTGCCATAGTGTTTGTAATGTTTGGCCTTCTCCCTTGATACGCACGTTTACGCTGTAACCATGACTAGGTTTATTTGCCCTCATTTCCGTACAGAACGTGGCCTATACCGGCTGAACGAATAACCAGAACCTGGAGAAACCTGGAGTACTTTCGTGGCAAGACATCTTTCAGATCCATAGTGCTTGCCTCGTGATATAGATCTGTGAGGCCCTTGCACCTCGCTTCGGTGAGCAGGTTCAAGCTTGCGTCAACATCAAACAGGACGAACCACCTTTGGCTCATCTAATCGAGCATCGTGGGAGGGTTCTTTTGGGGTGTAATTGGACATCAAGTTCACAGATGTGCAGAACTCGTATCGCGGCTCTAGATCATTGAGCAGCGTAGTTGCGCTGATCAGCGGCGATATTGGAGAAAATCTCCAGTCCGCGCCAACGACACGGTTGCATTGTAGTGGCGAATGCTTCCATGCCTTTGCTTGGATGGTCGGACGCAAGAGAAGCAACGGCGGCTGCTTGAGGTTAAGATATCGAATCTTTATACCAGCCCCTGCGGCCATCTGTCGGGCAGAGTAGGGGGGCCCTCTATTATGAGCTTCCGAACGAAAGCCGTAAAACAAGGCTGAATATTCTAGCCTGTCCGTGGCGTGCAGATAAGCAGTTCAAGAGGCAGTATAATATTGCTCAGCTGTATACAATGTTACCGGCTGCTGGCTCCTTGATGCCTTGCACTGCAGACTGGCAAGTATCATAACGAGTGGACCCATCGCTGCACAATCCTAGGCAGCCATTGAGCCAGATTGACAAGTCAACAGTGCTGTTTGTACTGGTCTTGTTGGTTAGAAAGAAACCGTCCTGCACTTGCTGGCGTACAGAATCATACTTTGAAGATTCAAGCCCATGTGGCTGGGGCTCTTCGGCCGTCAGGATGTCTGATTTGATGGGTAAATAATTATCCAGACACGAAGCCGGTTGTATAACAGAAGCTCCCAGGATACAGATAGGTTAGAGGTACATCGAGATGCCCGGAAATAACCACGCTCGGCAACAACAGACCTCTTCACAGAAAGGCGACGTCCTTATCAGATTGCCTTGCAGTAGTCGCATAAATCTTGTAGAGAGATTGAGGATCGATGATGCTCTGGTGAGAATTCTCTGTCCTAGTGCCGCAATCGTGGCGTCCTCTTTGGCATGCTCGCCAGGCCTCTTTGGCGGCCGGCTTCTTTGTATAAAGGTAGATCGATTAACCGTGGCGAGTGGCTTCGAGAGTGACGCCCATAGTTTCGGCTCCTTTATCTTTAATACCGTATACAAGCTTGACTTGGACAGACGTCAGGCACCAAGGCCGATGTAGTCCGTGCAATACTGCAGGCATCGCGACATCCTGTCATGCACGCTTCTGCTGCCAGAGTTGGCCATGGGGAGATGCAGAGGTATCATTGTAGACAGCTAGGGGCGCCGTCAAGAGCCACATCCGGACCCTGCATTGACCTCAACACTGCGACAGTCCAGGTGACTCTGGACATGGATGTCGGGCCTAACAGGTTCCCCACATGGGCATTCCAGGTGGACGACGACGAGCAGACTTGCAGCCTTCGCATGCCCGACTCGTGAGGTTCTGAGTCCAGCCCTTGGTCGTTCTTATCTCGATGACTCTTGAAGGTGGCGATTTCATGGTGAAACGGTCACCTTCCGGCTGAGCCGTGCTTTCGGGCCACGCATCGGCTTTGACTTGGACCTGCTAAAGAAGGCTCATGATAGTTTTGCCGGCCCGTAATGGGTCGAACGAAGGCTCCTACTCACACTTTCCGTGGACCGCTTTGTGACTTCTGCCCGAGAAGCGCGCCACAACACGCCCAGAGGTGCCTTCGTAGCGTAGACTCTGAAAGCCTTTTTTGGCATATGCGGCTGGGATAGCCCCTTGACCGTGTCAGAACAAGGAGGTGTGATGCACAAACTCGGCCACGACATGTTGCGGAGGCGGCGATACACAGGGTGAAACGTGTGTTCTTTGGACGTGTTATTGCCAGTACCATCGATGCGGCGGCCACGACCTTCAGCGCATGCTTGAAATCTCAGAAAAAAAGACCCCTGTGAGACAAGTAGTTGCGCAGTTTCACTTCACTTTGTTGGTGCTTTCTTGATGGTACCAGTAATTCTTACAATTGTCGCGATCAAGCAGGAAGATGCGAAGAGAAGATGGGTGCTGAAGTTAGAGGAGGGACTAAATGCCGTTTAGCTACATTAGTACTAGCATCAACAGTTAAATCACTTGTACTACAATATTAACCACGAAAGTAAGCCTATCGCCATCGTTCTGCTGACGCAGCATCTCTGGCTAAAGGAAAGGCGACGTCCTAACTACCTCGAAGGTCAATGACCTCCAGGCTGATAGAAACTACTAGTATCCGTTGCGAAGAAGGCTCTTACTTCACACAGCAGACTGTAGCGTCTCAATCTTCAGCCTGTACATTGGCAGGTAAAGTGCTTAGCCTCAACAACACAGACAGCCCGTCCCGAAAATGTCAATAGCATACACAGTAGGTTGAGGACCGTTGACCGACAGGCAGATAGATTCAAGGAGGTGCTTCAGCTCAGGTTTTCGGGAAAACGTTGTCCTTTAGCCTCTGTAAAAGACTGCCGATTAGCCTAATGTTTCATGCTCTCTGTCTGATGTCAACTATGGCTCGTATGTGTCGACAAGAATACACTATCATCAAGGTGCGTGCGCTCGAAGTTACGGGTGTCGACTGAGCACTTTTCTCCTCGCACGAGCTATCTGAGCAGACCGGGTATTCGGCACTAAACACCCTTCATGAAAGCATGAAGTTCTGCCTGAACTATGTTCCAGAAAGAAACCTGCTTCACTGTCTTCTTTGATGGCATCGATCGACCCATTACCTTCCAACCTCGTCAGAACCGAGAAGTCCAGACATGCTCTCCCTCTTTAGAAACCGTTCCTGACGGTCGAATGCACATGGAATGCACATTACCCTCATTAGTCGAGTCCACGGTACATAGTATCAGACTCGCTCAAAGACAGGCATAACGGCCAACGGACACTCAACCTCGACCGTCTTCCCTCCTTCAACCTCTTCCGCGTCCTTGACCTCTCCGTCATCGAACCTCCGCCACTTCGCACCCTTTGGTAGATAAACTTCTCTTTTCTCCATGCCCTTGTACAGCACGGGCGCCACCAGATACTTGCTCCCAAAGAGATACTGATCCTCTATTTCCCAACATTTCTCGTCCTCTGGGAATTCGAAGAACAGTGTCCTGATAACTGGTGTCCCCTTCTCGTGCGCTTGAGTCATGAGCTCGCGAACATAAGGCCGGAGCCTCTCGCGCAGGAAGAGGTATTTCTTCATGATCTCGTAACATTCCGCGCCGTACGACCACACTTCATTCGGTGCCCCGGAGATGCAAGTTGCACCGCCAGTGGTGCCATGCTGAGGCTGCATTGGTTCGCGGTGACCATGCAGACGGAAGACAGGACAGAAGCAGCCTAATGACTTGTCAGTTCTCCTAGAGTGTTGCCAGCAATTGTATGCAAATGTCAGCCCACCGTATTGAAACCACCTTGTGCACAACTCTCGGAACTCGGGATGCTTAGGATTACCGCCGTGGAAACCGCCTTCAAAGGTCAGCTTGGTAAATATCGGAGCACATGATAATTCAAGGAGAAATACCAATATCGGTTGTCCACCATGGTATTCCAGCAATGCCCACGTTCAAGCCAGCCGCAAATTGATCCCGGAAACTACCCCAACTGCTTGCGATATCACCGCTCCAGAGTAGCGTCCCAAACCTCTGGCTTCCAGCCCAGGCACAACGGATGAGGTTACAGACATCCTTCTGCTTGCCGTCCTTGACCATTCCCTCATAGAACGCTCGAGCATAGTCAACAGGGTATGCATTTCCTGTGCTCAGTACCGTGCCGCTGTGGTAGCGGTAGATGTCGAAGTCGTAGACATTGTATTCTGGTTCTGCTTCGTCGAGCCAGAAAAGTTTGACACCTTTATCGTAGTAATTTTTCTTCGCCGTCTTCCACACAAACTCTCTAGCTGCAGGATTTGTGAAGTCGGCATGCACAGTATCACCCTGGAAATCCATGGCGACTCTCAGTCCTCGGTCCTGGCGAATCAGCATCCCATGCTCCAGCATATAGTCGTAATTCTCGGATCGCTTATCGACAGTCGGCCAGATCGACACGAGGAGTTCAATGTTCATTGATTGCAATTCTTTGATCATGGCATCTGTAGATCATGACGAATTTACGGTGTCAGATTCACGGTCACGCTACTTGAGAACTCAAATGGTGGAGGCGCTGCTGGGAAGATCTCTTTCAGGCCAACAACAGCCAACACACTGCAGACTCACCTGGGTCTTCCCAATACGTAGGATCAAATTTCCATTCTCCTTGCTTTGGCCCTACATAGAGTCAGTGTCGAAAGCGTCCACCTCAAACAACCACCGCGGCTTTGGGGAGGGTCCTACAGTGAAAGAAGTCTACCACAATGACATCGAGAGGCAGATTCCTCTTCCGATATTCTCTTGCGACGTCCAGCAGTTCTTCCTGCGTCTGATATCGAAGCTTGCATTGCCAGAACCCGAGCCCATACTCTGGCATCATCGGCACCTTGCCGGTAACATCTGCGTAAGCTTCGACGATCTGAGCGGGAGTGTCGCCGGCCACGATCCAATAATCCAGCACCTTGGTGGACTGTGCCTCGAAGCTCATGATGTTCTTGCCGAGCACGGCGCGCCCAACGGCAGGGTTGTTCCACAGCATGCCATATCCCAAACTGGAGAGCATGAAAGGAACGCTGGCCTGGGAGTTGCGCTGGGCCATCTCTAGGTCAAGACCCTTCAGGTCCAGAAAAGACTGCTGGTACTGGCCCATGCCATAGATTTTCTCCTTTCGGTCCACGGACTCCAGTCGATAAGTCAAATGATAGTCACCTCCAAGCAATGGCTTGAACTCTCTTGCGTCGACTAACAGAGCAGAGCATTTGGGATCTTCAACGTCGACCCGATTGCGTTGGTACTCCTCTAGGATACGCTCTCCTTTGGCATTTTGAATGATGATCTTGCCGCGTGACGATACGGTCGCCGTGATGCTGCCGTTGGCGATTTCGGCATGGTCATCGTGGATTGAAATGGACGGGCTTGAATTTGGGGGTGTTATGGTCAAGGCCCAATTCTCGGCCGGCAATATATGCCATTTGGTTGCACGGACTCTTAGAGCATTTGGACCCCATGGTTCGATCTGCACATGCTCCGAATCATAGGTGAAATGAAGGGCGTTGTCCTTGGAGAATAACATGGCTTCGGAAAGACAATCTGTACCTTGCTGCAAGATCCTTTGGGTCAATAGCAGAACAAGTACTCTCTCTCAGTCTCGCACTGGCGAGTGGCTTGTATGTCTTTCCAGGAAAGCCATTGACGCTGTTGGCCTGGGTTGCAGTGAGCAACATGATGAATGGCACCGGGATATTTCCCTTCGGGGCATCCGGCCCGGCTGAATAGTGGATGAATCGTCTATATCAGGCACAATTACATTACGGAGATCGTGGGGACTTGCGGGAAACTCGTCAATTCCGCCTGGGGCGAAGATCATGGACATGTCGCTGCCGCCATCTGCCAATCAATGTGTCTGGGAAACGTGGACTCCGCATTGCAGGGTGGAATTGGTAAGGCCGCGATTTGAGAACCGAGTGATATCGGGCTGATATACAGCGTACTCCGTACTGACAACCGGGTCATGCTCAGCTATCCAACGCGCCTGTACCTTCAATGCCTTCCAATGTCCGTCGCTACACAAAACCAATTGCTCCCATCACCCGAGCATCAAACCGTCTCATCCTTTACTCCTGACCGTCAAGTCATCAAGCACGTCTCCACTCCTCTTGGTCTCTGCGACCTTGAACACCTGTCCCTCGCCACCAACATCCAATCCACGTTCCGCGCGCTCATACGCCTCATCGCTCCGATCCGTCAATATCCTCAGTTCCTCTTCACTCAATATCTTCCCTCCCTCCTTGCCCTCAACATCGTACTTCTCAAACTCATCGCCCTCCAAAACCGCCCGAACATCTTCCCCGTCCGCTCCCTCGTTCAGCAAACTTTTAAACTTGCCTTTCTGTATGATCAGCTTCTCCAACTTCCTTTTCGCATCTGCCTTGAACAACAACGTCTCCTCGACCGTCCCCCTCGTCGCCAGCCTATACACAATAACCGGCTTGGTCTGCCCAATCCGATGCGCCCGGTCCATTGCCTGCAGATCCTGCTGCGGATTCCAGTCGCTATCGAACAATATGACGGTATCCGCCGCTGTGAGATTGATACCTTGGCCACCAGCCCGAGTACTCAGCAGAAACAAATTGAACGTCTTGTCTTTGTTGAAACTGGTAATCTGCTCGTACCTCTCCTCTTGGCCCACGCTGCCGTCAATCCTGCAGCATTTCCAACCGCGCAGTTCAGCTGCATACGTCTCCAAAATATCCAAGGTAGTCTTGAATTGGCTGAATATCAGGACCTTGTGACCCAGCTTAAACAGCCGCGGAAGTAGCGTGTCCAGAAGTATTATCTTGCCACTTGCGGTGACAAGGCTCTCATCGACACGTGGGTAATCACCTGACTCCTCCTCCGCACTGGTCGCGGGCTTCCACGGCCAGTAGAAGTTGTGCGGACTGTTACACGCCAGTCTCGCTTGCATGATCGGGTTCTGTAACTTCTTGGTCGCGATCTCCTTCTTCGCGAGCCTGAGTGTTTGAGCACGTTCAAACTCTTCTGCCTCCTCAGATGAGAACCCCGGCGTGTCCGGAACGGGAGACGCAGTGTCAAGATTGACACCCTCCTCGCCGCGCTCCAGCTGGCGCAGTCGAGCGTTGAACTCTCGATCCGTCACGTCGCGGTAGCTCGTGCGCGTTGCCTTCCTGCCCCTTCGAGTCGAGCCGGTCGAGGCAACCGACGCAGGTGTCGACGCGCGGCTGATCTTCCGACTCTTCACTGGCGTGCTGCGCCCACTCTCGTTGGATTTCCGCTTCACGCTCGCCGCTCGACTGCGTGCTTCGATACGTTCGACGGCTTTGTCTTCAAGGTAGGATCTGCTCGTGCCGGCGAGAATTTCTCTGTAGAGGTCTTTCTGCTCAGACGTCAGCGGCGCGTAGAGGATGTATTCTCGTTTCTTCGGCAGGGTGGACTCGACGTCCGTCTTCACCCTTCGAAGGAGGAAGGGTTTGAGAATAGCATGCATCGTCGAGACTAGGTTGTTCTTGCGCTTGAGTGTCTTGCCGGACTCATCGTCCTTGTCCTCGAGCACGCTGGAGAAGTCAAACCAGCGCTCGAAGCTATCGAGGTCGTTGAATACTTCGGGCAGAAGGAAATGGAGCAGGGACCAGAGTTCAGCGATATTGTTCTGCAGCGGCGTGCCTGTGATAAGGAGTCGGTTGGCGCTGTTGTATGTCATCAGGTCCTTGATCAAGCGGCAATTCATGTTCTTCAGACGATGGCCCTCGTCGACGATGATGTAGCGCCACTGGTAGTTTGCCAGAACTTTCTTGTCATTCATGCAGATTTCGTAGCTGGTCACGACGATAGGGAAGTCGGGTTTGGCTTGGTCTTGCATTTTCATCTTTCGGCGCCGCATGGCGTCCCGTTCGTCTTTGCTGCCGTGGTAAAGGATCGTATTGATGGAAGGGGACCAGTACTTGAACTCTTCAACCCAATTTCGAACTGTACTGAGTGGAGCGACAATGAGAAATGGGCCGGAGATGTTGTTCTCCTTGAAGAAGGCGATTAGGGAGATGGCTTGCAGAGTCTTGCCCAGACCCATCTCGTCGGCCAAGATACCAGAGAGACCATTCATCCAAAGCGTCTTCATCCATTCGAGACCTTCGAGCTGGTATTTCTTCATCTGCCCGCCAGTCACCAGGCTGGGTTGTTCCGTGGCCACGAGCTCTTGTGTCCCGAGTCCCTCCCCTTTATATTCCTCCGCAGCCTCTGCAAGGGCTTGCTGGACTGAAGGGCCCTCTTCAGCCGCCTTGACCGTCTTCGAATCGAAATACTGTGTAATGTTCTTCTTTGCAGCATTAGTCTTCTTAGCTGGCTGACCTCGACCTCGACCACGACCGCCCTTCTTCTCTGACTCAGCCACCTGTTCCGGTTCCGCTGCCTCCTCTGTGTCATGAGTCCTCGTTGACTTTCTTGTCGGGCCTTTGGGTTCTGTTTGCTTTGCTGCTTCGTGCTCCTGCTTGACTGCAGACCGTCTGGCTTGCTCCTGATTGCGCCTCTGCTGCTCCTTCATCTTGTCTGCCATGATAGCAACGAAGACCGAGCTTGTCTTGAGCAAGTTTGTAAGGGCGCGAGATTTCATGTCCATCTCTTCTTCATCCTCCTCGTTGGCCACAATTTTGTTTTCCTCTTTCACCATTGGTTCCTCCTTCGCCTCTGCATTGACCTCGGCATCGGAGCCGTGCACTGGAGAAGAGGGAGGTGTGGTTCTCGAGGGAGACATTGTGGCTGTTACGGTGCCCGAACTGGCTGAGCTTCTAGCCATAGTCCTGGTGGATTCGCCAGCCAAAAGGACGGTTGTGAGCACGCAAATTGGATTGTTCAGCAAACGGCCTTCGTCGTCGCACGCAGGCTTTATGAAGACTCACACAAGCGTCGAGTGTATTGACAAAGGCCTACACATGTGCCTGAGGGACCACATTCTCCTGCTACAGAGTAGGGGCTTTTCTTCGAGTTCTAGCCTCCCTTCATCCTTACCAAAAAAGTAGTGACGCAGTGGAAAGACGCGCTTTGGCACGATCTCTTTACGCGCGGATCGCGATCTCGTGTCAATCGAGCGCACAGACCACCTATTATTATCTGGCAAAGAATGATCATTATTGCTTCAGCCATAGTACGGATACACGCCCAGGCCAATACTGTACATATACCGTGAGCCAGAAGCCTTGGACGAGTACTACAATGACAGTATTTTATATTACAACCGCAGCTCATGAAGCACGGGCCCAGTCAGTGTCTCGATAGCTATGGCCATCCACATACAAAAGCAAACATCAAGGTATCGTTGAACTCATTACTCCATCATACCATGCAGAGATTATGCAGACACTGTTCCCACACTGTTGGCACTCCTGCCTGCCCCAGCTACTCGAGTCCGTTGACGTTCTGGACGCTTCAAGGTATATCTGCAAAAGGGTGTTAGTCCAGACGATTCTGCAGAGAACAATTTGACCTACTTCGCAAATGCTCTGGCAAGAGCTTTCTTGCAGCTGATTTTCTGGCTGGCAACAAACGAATCGACGGTCACTGCGATTGCACGATCAATGTCCTGAGAGGTGCAAAAGTCCGACAAACGCATCTTGCAGAATGCTTCGGCGATTCTCATAATTGCTTCAAGATGACGGACCTACAGAATCAGTCAGCTCCGAATTCCATGTCTGGAATGGATCCCACTTACGGTGATAGGATATGCACCCGTTGCCAGAGACTCTCTTCTCATATCCGCAAACAGACGCGCAACCTTGTCCTGGTCGATCTGGTACAATTTGGGTCGGCACTTCTCCCGGGCGTAGAGAATATATTTGCGCAGCAGTTCTTGCGGAATCGCTCCTTCTTGTTTTGGCTCGCCGTTGTTGACGTCGTCGGTATCCTCATTCTCCATGGCGACGGTGTCACCTGTATCGACGCTGAGTCTGGCAGGATGTGCTCGACCGTGACTGTGGACAACGAACTTTGCCAGCCGTTCGTCTTCGGCTGGGTCAACGGTGTCTCTGACGACGCAGAGGATATCAAAACGAGACAAGATGGGCTCCGTTAATTCGACATTCTGACTGAATGGGATAGTGCTGTTGTAGCGTCCTCCGATAGGGTTTGCAGCTGCCACAATGGCGCAGCGTGCCTGAAGAGTAGTGACAATGCCAGCTTTGCTGATTGAGATCGTCTGCTGTTCCATAGCCTCGTGGATGGAAGTCCGATCTTGATCGTTCATCTTGTCGAACTCGTCAATCAAACAAGTGCCCCGGTCAGCGAGCACCAGAGCACCGCCTTCAAGCGTCCATTCTGCAGTGAGCGGGTCTCGGCGGACGGAAGCAGTCAAACCCACGGCCGATGCACCTTGACCAGTGGCAAAGACAGCTCGATGAGCCGTCTTCTCAATATATTTCAGGACTTGAGACTTGGCTGTACCAGGATCACCAAGCAAAAGAACGTTAATGTCGCCGCGGATCTTGTGCTTGCCTTGTGCTTCTTTGCTCACACCGCCGAAAAGCGAAAGAGCCACTGCAGTTTTGATGTCTCTGTGGCCGTATATAGATGGTGCTATTGAGTCGACAATCTTTTCGACAATCGACGGATCCTTCGATAGTGCTCTGATTTGTCTCTCGTCCTCTTCAGTCAGTCTGAAACCAGCAAGCTGATCATGTGTCTTGATGATGTGGTTGGCTTCAAGCATGGTTGCAAAAACGGGAAAGCCATTCTTGTTATTGAGCTGACCGCTGTAGTTGTTGCGGTAAATTGCAGTAACTTCGATCTCCTCGCCAGGCTTTGCTTTGTCGATGAGATCAGCAAGAAGGATGACCTCCCGATGCCGTGGCAGCCGACCAGCGGGCACGGTTCCTGGGGATTCCTGCAGGGTCAGTTTTTGGTAATTGCGGTAAATGGTCTTCTCGCTGTTTAACGTGAAGGGGCCTCGCGATTGACATTCCGTACAAAATGTCAATTTGACTTCGGCAGAAGTTGATTCTTGGGCAAAAGGTCCGAGTGTGACACCGCACTTTGTACAAGTGAACTTGACCATTTGAAGCTGTGGGAAGACACCTGTTCGTCTGGTAACGACACCCGAGACACGAACGAGGCAATTGAGATGCGACTGTCGGAGTTGGCGCAAGGTGTATTGGACTGGCAAGTCCGAGATGCGCACATGGATCTCTGGGTGGATCAGTTCGTAGTTCGGATAGTGGAGGCGGACGACTTCGAAAGCTGCCTTATCGAAAATCTTGAGCATCTCTGCGGGCGCATTTGCCAGGAAGTAGGCCAGAATGGCTTTCGTTGAGGACAAATGGTCATACGAGACCTCGAGAGTCTCCGAGTTGACTTCACCCAGAGTTCGAATTCGCGTTCCGTAGACTGAAGTGCCGTTGGCATCAATATATTCTGTTAGGAATGACTTGAACTCTCTTGCGATGGTCTTCATGACAGAGGGTAGAGTCACCCATTCCGTGATGTTGGATGCTTTGACGTCTTGCAAGGTCTCCAAAGAGAGCTCTTCTTCCATGATGTTTTCATCAAGGTCCATATCTTCTTGGTCTTCATCGTAATGATGTCGGCGTCTTCGGGGTTGCTTTGTGAGGTCGATGCCATCATCTTCGTCATCATCTGGCATGAAAGCGGCCGGCATTCGACGTCTTTGAGCCAGCTCCCGATCGCGCTTGTTCAGACGAGCTTCCAGTTGCCGACGGGTGGCCAGGTCGAGGTCGTCGTAGTCACCATCATCATCAATCATACGACCCTGGTATGTTTCCTGGTTGCCGCGTTCGCGCTCGTCGTTCATGAAATTGTCTCCAAACAAGTCGATGCCGTCTTCGTCTTCGGCCATCTCGTCCAGATCGTCAACGTCGCCAATCAGATCGTCTTCGGCGTCTAGGTCGTCATCTTCCAGCTCGTCGTTCTCGTTGGTGGGGAGTAGAGGGGGCGACGAGGGTAGTGCTGGAGATGTTAGTGGGTGTGTCAAGTGCCGGGGAAGCCATGCAGACCTGCTGGCGACGACGACATGATCTCGTCTTCGTCGTCTCTCGCTCTTTTCCGCCGACCGGCGTTACCTGGGCCTCTGTTTGCGGCAGACATGCTTGGTCGTAGGGGTGAGCTTGATAGTGTTAGTGTGAAATGCAATGCAGATCCATCAAAATGCACTGAAGGATCGCATACCTCATGATTGTGTCTATATCGTGGTGCTGCAGTAGTTGTCCTGTTTGCAGCCCTCGACATGGAGCAGAGACAGCCCCCCTTTCATTTTCAAGTGAAAACCACTTAACGCGGGTCGCGTCACGAACATCACGCGCTAAGGTAAAAGGCCCAGAAAGTGGAGAAGCATCTCATCATTCTCGAGTCCCAAGTGTTGCGACTACTCGTGCCACTGTATCGACCATCTGACTGCGCCTGGATTGGTCTTGGTACGGGCAACCATTATTCTTTCGTACACTACGGAGTATCCGTGCATTGGATATCTCGAACGGCCCTTTCTGAATCTAAATCATCAAATATTCTCCAACTGCCCGATACAACCCACGCCGCAATGGAAACTGTCGCCGAGCATGAAAAAGCCAATCATCCCGTTCAGACCAACACCCAGCGAACACAAGAATCACAGACGGCTTCAGAGTACATATCACCCTCAACGTCCCCTCAAAGTCCTCGAAGCTGTAATACTAAGCATTCATTCACAGTTTCATAGACCAACAACTAGCCCTCGAAGCCGATGCGCGAGAAGCCCTACCCTACGTACGCACCTAACCCGCCCATCACCGTGCCTTGACTGACCATCCCAGAAATTCGACAAATGCACAAACGTCCTAGGCCCTCTGCGACAGACCGTCTTCGCTTGCCTGACATGCAGCCCTCCACCTGCATCCGCCGCGCAGGTCTACACTCCAGCCGGAGTATGCTACGCCTGCTCCATCTCCTGCCACGGCGAACACAGCCTCGTTGAACTCTTCAGCAGGCGCAACTTCGTCTGCGACTGCGGTACGAAAAGACTGCCGTCAACATCATCGTGCATACTACGCTCCGATCCCGACACAGGCAACCGGGGCGTGCACTCTCAAGAACCCGCGCCGGACAACCATTACAACCACAACTTCCAGAACCGCTTCTGCGCCTGCGGGGAGGAATATGATGCCGAGACAGAAAAGGGGACAATGTTCCAATGCCTTGGCCTCGGGACGGTGGAGACGGGCGGATGCGGCGAGGACTGGTATCATCCTGAATGCCTCCTAGGCCTGGGGAGAGATTGGTACAAAACGGCAAAAGAACAGAAGAAAGAGGAGGAAAGCGAGCCGCCGAGTCATCCTATACCGCCGGGCTTTCCCAACGAAGACGATTTCGAATATCTCCTATGCTACAAATGCGTCGACTCCAACCCCTGGATCAAGCAGTACGCCGGCACCCCAGGCTTCCTTAAACCTGTCTACCGCCGGGAGACACCACCAGCCCAGAATGATACTGCAACCCAACAAGACACCGTAGACTCAAACGGCACAGCTCTCAAACGGAAAGCCTCTGACGCCGATCTTGACGTCGAAAACCGACCCGCCAGCTCATCGAAGCGCGTTAAGGACGAACTTGACCCTCCCTCTTTTACAACCGTTGTTGCGCCATCTAATCCTCCCCAACCAACAGCCTCAACCTCAACCTCAGCCTCCACCGACGCCAAACCAACCCACAAGCACGACGACCTTCCGCCTACTCCCCCCACCGGCACATTCTCCATGTTCCTCACTTCCTCCTTCCGCGACGAAATCTGCCACTGCCCCCAGTGCTATCCTAACCTGATCCCACACCCACAACTCGTCGAGGAAGAAGACACCTACGAGCCATCGTTATCTTCTGCCTCAGATGACTCCCATGCCGCTCCCGGCTCGGGAACCCGGTCCCACGGCACCGCCGCGAGCCTTCTCGACCGCGGGGAAGCCGCCTTGTCCACCATGGACCGCGTCAAAGCCATTGAGGGCGTCATGGTGTACAATCACCTGCGCGACAAGGTCAAGGAGTTCCTCAAGCCGTACGCGGAAAGCGGGCAGGCCGTGTCCGCCGACGATATCAAGGCGTATTTTGAAAAATTGCGTGGTGACGAGAGTGCCATCAAAGAGGCCAGCGGCAAGCCGGTCGACTCTGCTGGAGGTGGCGGTGGCGGTGGCAGTGGTGATGCAGATATGGATGGTGCGGGTGGTAATAGGAGGGAGCAATCTGGATATTAGGCTTCTTCCTTGTCAAAGACGAAAGTGAGGCTCGTTCCTCTGTGTAGAGTATAGGGAAAAAGGGCTCCTGCAGGGACCGTGCGAGCACCATGCCATTTCCTTCCCTTCCATTCAAACACAGCTCGAAGCATGGCAGAGAATAAGACTATGTCAACTCGCATATCTCCTTCAGCACCTTTGGTAATACTATTGACCCCTTTTCAACTCATGCATCCCCCGTTTCCATCTCTGCTCGAAGAGGCATGCTGCTCATCTTCTCCATTGTGGTCCACTGTCCTATGCACCTTCCCATCACTGTCCAAACACTGGATCAAAGTAGTCGCCACATCCAAAACTCGCCTGGCTCGCTAGCAGTGTCCTCTTGCAAAGTCCATTATCATAATCGTACAGCGGAAGAACATTCCTCACAAACCTCCTCCAGCACAGCCGCGCTTCTCCCAAATCATAAGACCTTGTCCTGCCAGCTCTTACAAAAACATTTCTCCATCCATGCGAAGCCTTTCCGCAGCACATCCTCAGCGACGCCACTGTCGCGCTATCGTTGTCTCATGTCTTGTCATCCCAAGTAATCTTACCAGATCACATCTTGCCCTGTTGTTTCTTCTTTCTCCCTTGCTGGGTCTTCTCTCCCTCTAGCTTGCCTTTTGCCTGTAAGGTGGCCTCTTCTCGAGGCATAGCCTGTGCACGTTGCATTTGCTCGATTTCCCGCTGTTGTGCCTGCCGTTCTTGTTCCTCTCTCGCCAGTTTTTCTCTAGTCTTTCGGTATGGTCCTCGGCGACCTCTTGGGGGGCCCCGGGGTCTCGGCTGCTGCGTCTTTTCTGGAGTTCCGCTGTCACTTTGTGCCATATCATCTTTCGTTACCTGATTAACAGTCGCTTTGATGGAGGCTTTTGAAATTGCTTTTGGTTTCGGAGTCGCTTTCGGAATCGCTTTTAAAGACCGTTTGCCAGTCTGTTTCGTAGTCTCGTTCCGTAGCTGACTCAGCCCTTCTGACGGGATTCTGTCCTCTGCACCTCGAACCGTGTCGACTTCGACCCGAGGCTTAGTATCCTTGCGTCCGTCGACATCTCCATTATTTGGATCAGCAGAGTTGCCTACTGCGGCTTGCTGTTTGTCTTGGGAAGCGTTTTCGGCTACTACCGATGTGCCTTTGAGACCCTTTAAGACCAGTTTAATTCTTGGCTTTTGAGGGTTGCTTGTTTCGGGAGTCTCAAGGGACATGGGTGACATGTTTGCGCCAGTGTTCGAGGCTGCCATACCAGGAAATGTGGTAGATGTATGAGTATTTCTGTCATCCTTCTCGTCATGTCGAAGCCCTGCTTGAGAGTCAACGTTCAAGCCGCGCTGGATCTGCATGATGAGAGGAGATGTCGATGTTGGAGACGTCGCGAGTGGCATGTCGACTTGGGTATTGAGATCTGGAACTTTGATCCTCAGATTCTTTCTCGCAGGTCCACGAAGCAATGCTTGAAATTCCTCGAGGTCTTCATTTTCAGAAATCGGCGAATAAGTAGGCGACCTCGGAGTCTCTCTAGACTTTCCTTGATGGTCTGATGCTTGCGACGGGACTTGAAGTCCTGGCGCTTGGCGTGTGATCTTAGAAGGAGTGCTGATGTCGCTAGACTCGCGTGTCCGGACCGGACCAAGATTCCAGGAAGATTTTGATTCTGTGTGAAGGAGTTGCTCGTTGCCGATATTTTTCGAAGCAATGCTAGTTGGAGGCGTCTCATGATTTACCTCAATTGTTCTCTGCATCTTGGTAGGGCTTGGACAGACAGTTTCTTTGGAAGCTTTTCGTTTGTGAGGTGGAATAGGCAACAACCGAGGAGAGTCCCGGACTGCCAACGAACCTCGTAGAGCTAGACAACTGCCTGGGTCTCTCCCCTTGGTTACGGTTGCTTCGCTCGTGGCACTGTCTATGATCAAGCCTCTGCTGAAAGATGACATACTAGTGTCGAGCTTCGTCAGAGCAGGCACAGCTGGCTGACTCATATTTTGGAAGTCAAGGATTGGGCTGATTGGAGGTAAAGCAGGCGGTAAAGAAGCGATGGGCGAAACGCTCCCGTTTGATTTCGGTCGTTTCTTAAGGATCCGAGCAAATCCGTCCTTGTTTTGGATTCTGAGCACCAAACGCGATGGGTTCGAAGTGGGCGTCACAGTCGGATCGGCCAAACATTCTTCTTCTCCTGCTGCTGGAAGGTTTTCAGCATCATCGATAGCAAACGGTGGTTCAGAAACCGAGCCAGAGTAGCTGCCATCTGCCGGTATTACGCCAACAGCAGATTGCGCATCTGCGACAATTTGCTTCTGTTCCCTTAGTATCAGTGGTAATGCGCGGGAATTTGCTTCCGCGTCCGCGGCATCTTTGCTTTCCCCTGGCGATTCGCCTGGTTTCGTAACGATGGCAAGCGGATGGCGAGCCGGTTTGGCAGGCCCTGAGCCACCTGGAGTAATCGAGCGCCGCTGACTCGTGGACTCGTTGCCGGCCAGTGTTCTTGGACGACCCTTTCCTCGACGCGCGTTTGCCTTTTCGTTGATGCTTCTGCTCACAAGGGCATCTGTGTCTGCTATTTCGTGCCTCGTAGTTCGACGGCTCGCAGCCCGGTCGATCTCTGCTTCAGACAGTGACGAGTAGCCAGAGTCAATGTGAATATCATGACTTGGAGTAAGTCGCATTGGATCGATCCCAGGAATGTGAACGAAGTACGAGCTCCCATCTGGTTCAGAAGGATCTGGTAACCACGTCCCCAGCAATTCAGACGGGATCTCCCGCGACGATAGGAAGTCTTCGGCATTTCGAATCTCGGACTCAAAGGCGAACTCATAATTGCTTGCGAAAATCATGTAATCCGAGAAGTTGTTGAATCTCTGAACGTCAATGGAATGGCCCCTTGAAATCCCGGGCACTTCTGCCGTGGCATGACTGGCGTGTTGCCATATCTCAGCAAGTGACGCCGGATGCAGAATACGAAGTCTCACAGCCTTTTGGATGTCGCTCAGTTCTTGGTCTGTCAAGCTTAGAGCCTGCCTTAGAGATCTCGTGGGATAAAACGATGTTAACGTCGTGTAGATATGATATTGCAAAGACAATGGGAGGGCATTCCACGTTGTGGCGGACTCCTATAGCGCATCAGTCACGAAGGACCTCCAACAGACAACTCATTGCCAACTCACCCCCCGAATATTGTTGGCGTGCAGGCCATCCGTGGCGGGTTGGATGGCATCTGGGTCTGACACATCACGTCGGTTGGCCCGAGTAGTTCGTTCGCTAACAACCAGATCGGTGGCTTGGCCACTCATTGTGACTCTTCCCAAGCTGTCTGTGTGTGACAACGCGTCCGTTGGATGAACGGACTCATCTTGAGGAGTGATAGGGGAAGTCGCGAGAGGAGAGTTGCATTGACTATAGCTGGCACAGCTTTCGGACGCGACCTGCTCCTCTTCGGCGGGGGAGGCTTGGGAATTACTTGCGTTGACCAATGAAATGCCGACACCCTCCTGGCAGGATGAAGTGTCATTGGAAGGGGTCTCAGAGCCATTTTGAGCATCACCGTAGTTGTGAGGATGCCGACCGATTAGTGGGAGTGATGGGAACGCTGCGGGAAGCTGGTCCGGGTTGAACGCAACCACCTGCTTCTGGAGCAAGGCAGGATAAGTGGGCTTCGTGCCATTGCGCGACTTCGTAGGTAGGGGTTCTTCATCCTCATATCGACTCGGCAATCTGATAGTCTTCCGAAGTCGCATGTTGATCGGAGACGAATTTGAACATAGGGATAGATGAGTAGGGAGCAACGTAAGAATAAGCTTGTATGTTTAGTAGCCAACAAAGAGTGGAGTCTGAGAAAAGAGCAGAAGTCAATTATCCAAGATGTAGGAGAGTGAAGGAAGGCAGTGTAAGAGAGGTACGAAAAATGTTTTCTTTGTTGTGTTGGTGTGGCAGAACTGTGGTGCAAGGGCAGGGCTCGATCAATCATCTGTTCATAAAGAAGGAACGACACCAAGTCAGTTCTTGCTCACTAGACCCTCGGAAAATATGTAGGCGTAACTTACGTGACAAAGCCAAACAGTGAATGGCTGTAAAACGTGAATTCCTACAACCAGTACGTGTCCTGCCTTCTAGCTTCACCATGGATGAACGCGAAGTCCTTCCTGCTATGAAAAGCCGTCCATGGATGTGATGCAGAACCCTTCGCGCGGCCCTTGGTATTAGTAGACGAGAGAAGTTTTCATACGGTGAAACTGTTTGATTGCCAAGTGCCATAAAGTCTTCAGAGGGCGCCTCGGACAACAGAGGAGGTGGATGTTGGAATGACCTGGTAGCCACCTTGTTGGCATCTGGTGCGGCAGGAGAGCGGCGATGTCCTCTCGTCAAAATCATGGGATATGACATCTCAGAAGGACAATTCGCCGTCTCCTTTTGTCTGTCTGGGATGGGTGCATCGTTGCACCGAAAAATCTTTTCTCTCAATCAAGCATATCTGCAAATGGGGCAACACCGTGTCTGTTTCTATCAGGAGGCCCTTCTAGTTCATATTCCATATCCACGTCTGAATCATACACATCGTCGATGCCTCGCTTCGCAGGCTGGGCAAGAGGAGTCGAAGGGTCCCCCTGCACGTTGAGTTGCCTGGCGGAGAGAGCTTCTGAGGCGTTCGAAGCAGAAACTTCATATTCGGCCTGGACAAGATCGTAGAAGTCCGCCAGCATTTTCTTACCTCTATCATCCATCGTAAGAGAGAAACGCTGCGATTGAATCAGATGTATCGCCGAAATGGCACTGACACCAAACACTGCTATCAAGTAGGCTGCAACAACGATAGCCGACCTCTCGTTTCCTGTTTCACAAAAAATGAAGACTTTGCCTCGTACGTCTGACACATCCTGAATAGGCACCCTGGAACAAGTATTCAGCAAGTGTTCGTTGATGGCCTTGATTGTCAGACGCAGTTTTGGAAACAAGTCGTGCGAGCCTTCGAAATCGCAAGTCATTGTTACTAGTCCTGCGGTGGTGGAAATTCTGTCTGGATGGAGGAGGCTTGGCCTGGCTTTGGCGGCGTTGCCGCTTCGTGCAGCGATCATGAGGGTGATGCCAGCACATTTGATGAAGGAGGGATCTTTCGCAGCGCTGACGGGGCCTAGGAAGAGGAAGGGAAGTATAGCTTGTGCATCCCTTCGCATCTCATATGCCCACGTACTCATCTTGTGGTGCATTTCGAGTTTGAGCAAGTCATTCAAAGTGTTCAAGAAGGCGTGGTTTCCATACGCGTCCGATGTTCGTTGGAAGTCGTTACGGCCCACACAAACAGTCGGCTTAAACCCATTTTCATCACGGAAAATGACGGTTGGGGGTGGAAGAGAGTATCGAGGTAGATCTAACAGGCGTTGTTTATCGCTGAAAGGAACCGTGCGAACGTAAGGTACGTCCTGGCCCAGGGGTGTATCGTTCGCCTTCTCCGCCATGCCCGATTACAGATGCCGAGATTGGGAAATGCAGACTACAGCTGTTGATAGTTGAAGTAGTGACAGAGAGATCTTGTTGTCCGAAGGAATGATTTTGGTGATGCAAAGGCGATTGCTCCCGGCAGGAAGCCACGATCCGGTCCTGGCTTGTCGAGGTGAAGGAAGGAGCGCTTCTTGTTCATTGCATCTTGGATGGAAGCAAGCCAAGAGGTGTGTGAAGAGGACAACAATGTCGACAGCCTTAGGTAACACTCATTCGACTGTGGACAAGGCAGGGTGGGAAAGCAGTGGTGATGCACACGCTGGTTGAAGGCAGGGCCATCTCACGTTCACACACCACTGTTGGCTTCTTGCAGTGTGCCTTGAGATTTGGTACTTGCAAACACCGCCTTCATATTCATGCAGGCATCAAGAAATCCAACAAAAGTGGCCACTTAAGGCAGTTGGTAAGACTGGAATTCTTTGCTGGTGACTTTTGTCTGCCGTGCCTGCCAAGGGCGGGAGAACTGCGGCAATTCTACAAGAGCCTCACCTGGGAAGACAACCGTGGGCACGAGAAGGGTATGAGGAGACAGATCACAAGCAGGTTGCCCTTGAACTACCAAGTTAGAGGACTGGGCTGGCAGAAGAAAGCAATGGAAACAGGTGTTCTTTCATTTAGATGGAGGTTCATTTGATTGTGTATTGTACACAGCGCCGGCAATGCAGGAGCTGCGGTACACATGGTGAGGGAGACTTCCCATCATTGCCTGTTCTGCAGATATCGCAAACGCCCCAGCGCGCCTCTACATGCCTTTATCGTCTTTTTCCGGCTTCGTACCAGCTTTCTCGGACTGCTTTGCTGCTTGCTGGGACTTTTCTCGCTCAAACTGCCGCTGAATTTGCCATACCGCTCGTTCTACCTCGCCACTCAGCTCTGGAACCCCGGTTACTTTAGCCACGAGATCGTGACTGTCCGCAGGCAGTATGATCTGTTCTGGAGGCACACTGTCGTCCAGGACCTGGGTTCGGGTCACGAATTTGAAGTCGGGTGCATCAGGGGCCACTTGTTCATACAAATCCTCCACTTCTGGAGGCGATATCGGTCGGTATAATCGGTGGTCGAGGATGAAATCTAGATGATCGGAGCCTTTCAAAGCTGCATGGAATCAGCCAACGATGTTCGATGCATAGAATAGAAACGATTTCCTACCTCTCCAATGCGACCAACACCGGTAAGCGAGGTAGAAGAAGGGTATATTGGGTATCCTGGGAAGGACTCAGTGATCATGTCTGACGGATTGGAGATCGAGATGCCTTACACTGGCACCAGAGCAAAAGGAACTGTAAATGGCATAGCTACCATGCTTCCAATGAAACGATTCCAGTGCAGTTGTTTCCTTTCCCGCGCCAGTCTTGCCATGACTTTGGGAACATCGCCTGAGTGCATCACATTGCTTGGGTATATCACGTCAAACTTCTCGTTGTTCGCGATCTGTTCTGCTTGGAGCTTGGGATTCGAAGGAGGAAAGCTCTTCAAGCCCCATTCCTGGTATGGGATCCGCTGAAGGCCTCGGTTGCCGTACGTCACGATCTGTTTCCTCCATCCTCCTTTAGCAGCCTCCCATTGTGCCCATGTTTCGGCTGCCTTCTTCGTGATGCGGTCAGGAATGCTCAATTTGCCCTGAGGATTCGGCGTGGCGCGTTGGCAGAAGATCAAGGCTTGACGTGTCGTGAGCGGGAGGAGGAAGATCCGCATAGCAATGGCCGTGAGGGTGAGACTGGTGGAATTGTGCAAGGCACACTGCTTCTAGAAACGTCGCACTCTGTTCATGACTAGGCTGGGAGGAGGAAAGAAAGACTGATCGTAAGGAGACCTGGTCGAGAGCGGTCCTCAGGATAGAGTCAAGTCACCCTGCAACGAATGAAGCAGTAGCTTCGTCCCATGCGCTCAAGATTTTTGAGGCAAAGTTGTTATGGTCCTGTACGTCATAAGAGAGCAGTACAAAACTGGTGTCTGCGCTCTGCCGTGCCAGATGGTACAGCGGAACATAACTCGCAGTAAGTGCTGTCCACCTTCCGGAAACTCGTCCATCTCTCTGTTACCACTAGTGGCACGGCAGCAGTTCCTACGGTGGCTTCGCATCGCAAGGACCTTCTATCAGCCGACGTTGCCTAGTGTGAGGGCAATCTGCAAGAAGGACACAGAAGTTGTCACACGGTATCGACTATCGGGAGGCATGACGACAATCTTGTAGCGGTGCTTGCCTCAATGGACCCTCCAGAGCGGCCGTCGAAAAGGGACCAACCTAGACTGCAGCATCCCGACTCAAGTGTGGTGCCTTCGAGAGAAGACGAGGTTGCAAGACCCCGCAAGAAGCGAAGACTGACAATAGATGAGCGGCAACGGGCCGTTCGAGCGTAAGTCTCTGTGGCTTAGGATACGAGGAAATTCTCAAGTAAATACAGGTGTGACGGATGCCGGCGCGTGAAGGAGAAATGTGAGGGAGGAGTTCCCTGCCGAAGATGTGCTCACTTCCAGAGACCTTGCGAGTTTACCTCCCTGCTTTCGAGACACAACAACGGCGTTACCGGCCGCCAAAGGTATGTCTTCCGCTGTGCTTCCTGGTGACCTCCGGATGGCTTAGAACGAGATCAGTCCCCGTCCCTCTGAGCCCTTTGTCAACGAGCTTGTTGAGCGTTGTATGTGCATGGAGCGCATCCTGAAACACAAAATCCCTCAACTGGACCTCAGCACTCGGAGCCTTCAGCAAGAATCGCAAGCCCTTTCCGCTGCAAACGTCTCCCGCCACGAGAACATCGAAGGCTCCACATCTCAGGATGAAGGCGACATGGAGATCGAGGACGAGAGGTGCACAATTGATCCCATCACGGATAATGTCGCGCGTGAGTAAGGCGGCCTGACTATTGGCATCTTCTGACGTCTGCAGACTATTCTGGAGAGTTCTCTTACTGGAATTTCTCCATGCGTATTAAGGACCATGTGAAAGACCTTATGGCTACAGCTAATGATCCGGTAAATCATCCATCTCTTACGCAGAGTCCCTCTGGCGCACTACATCTAACACCAATCAATCCAGGGTTCGAATCAGGTTCCACACTACTGGCGCGAAGGGCTTCTCTCAGATGTACACAACGTCCGAGAAGCCCTTTCGTACTGTCCACCACGACAGATTGCGGACTTTCTGATGCACGTCTTCTTCAAACATGCGGCCACCAATTACTTCTACGTTGACAAATCTTGGCTTGTTGACAAAATGAACCAAGTGTACGAACGACCCTCGACTTTGTCCCCCAAGGATGCCAGTATCGCAGGTATTATCTTGATGGTACTTGCCGTTGGAACTCAATACGCGCATCTGGAATCCACCCAGGAAGGAGATGGCGGATGGGACACCCATGACCACGAAGCAGGCAACATGTTTTACCGGCAAGCAGCAAAATTACTTACTGATATTATCCACCTGGGTTCTCTGGAGAGCGTTCAAGCTTGCCTACTTTTCGGACTTTATGCACTTCCGATTGATGCCTCTGGGCTTGCTTACGTATATTTGAACATGGCTCTCAAAATCGCGATGCAAAACGGTATGCATCGTAAGCCTCCAGCCACTGCTTTCACCCCGACAGTGATCGAGACAAGAAATCGGGTGTGGTGGACATCATATTGCACGGAGAAGAAAATAGGAATCTTCCACGGACGCCCAACGTCGGTACTGCCTTCGGATACCGACGCAACTCTCCCTCGCGATGATCGAGCTGATATGTCAAGGATTCCGCACATGCTAGTATCGAAACAACTGATGGATCGTCTCGGAGAAATCTCGAAAGACATCATGTCGCTTCGCAAATGCCAGAAGAACGAATTGCCCAGCATACTGAACCGTCTGCTGGCGATGAAAGACAACCTCAGGATGTGGTGGGAAAGCCTGCCGGCTGGACCAGCCGGCCAGAAGTTGTCGCCTCAATCGCAGCATTTCCGCCCCAATACTCACCTGCAGCTCGAATATTGTTTAGTGCGCATGTTTGCTGGAAGACCATTCCTGCTTACTCGTAAAACGACGGCACTCACGCCAACGAGCGCCTCGGAGAGCGGAAATTCTCCCATCGGAAGGGCAAGCCTGAGAAGCAGACGACCGTCGACAAATTCAAGGAACAGTTCTCGCACTTCTGTTCTCGTCGAAGACTGTGCTCAAGCTGCAAAGGAGGCGATCGATATCTGCTCTTCTCTACGAGAGTCAGGCGTCGGCCTCGCCAGGGCATCGTACGTCGAATACAGTGCTTGTCGCGCTTCTCTTCTGGTTCTCATCGCGTATTGCATACAAAATCAGACGGACGAATTCTACGAGACTCTGGAGAAAGGTCTCGATATAATCCGCGAAATGTCAACGGTTGGCGAGTCCGCAAGGAGTGAAGTCTTCTTAATCGAGGCTCTAGAGCAAGCGCTAAAGCGTTTGCACTTCTTCGGCGACAAGACAAAAGGACCGAAATCTTCCGACCTCCATCCGACTGCCGCTGGATATGAAAAGTTCAGGCAATGGACGAGAAGCACGACATCCAGAGATAGAGCGGATGCTTCAAGTCATGACTCGGCTGGTACGAATCTGCTCGAAGAGTCGTCGCTTCGCACAATACCGACGGACGTGCTGGGGTGGAGGACATCTCGTGGCAACGGCCATGCTATGCAGGAAGGCCTGTTATTTGCTGGCAGTGACGCTGATACGAATGGACTGGGCAATCTACAGTCTGCCGCAGGCTCCGCCTTCTTCACTATGGAGAACTTTGCCCAAGCTCCCGACGGCTTTGTGCACCCGGAGAGTCAACTCCTGGAAAACTTCTTGGCTATTCCTGATTACGAGTTCCCTTTCGAGGTTGAATGAGCAATGCGCGAACAGCCAAGCCGTCGAAGCTGGGACATGGGTACCCGCGGCAGAGGCAGAGGAGCATACAGTGGGGTCATTTCCGGAGAGACGGTGGGCCCACCATTGTATGAGTGACTGTTTGCAACAAGGACCGGCCTGCCCGAGATCCATTCTCCTTCTGCAGCACATTATCATTCTCGTCACCGTCAACAATGCATCATCTGGGTCGAGCGACGCCCTCTTTCAAGTGAAAGTCTATCTAAAAGCAGGCTGCTGCTTACTGACGATCTCGCTTACCAACCCGACGCCGTCTCGATTATGGTAACAAGATCTACGGCCTAGTCATGAACGCCTGCAATCCGCCGAAATCATTTGCTACCATCAGCGCCGCCCGTTAATGCTCTTTCGAAAGTCTCCACCAATCTAGGAATATGACCCTCCTCGAAAACAAGCATCGGTCTCAGGCGGACCGTTCTCGTCCCACAGGTGCCAATGTTGACTCCGAAGCTCCTCATTTTGCCGACAAGGGCAGCAGGATTCTCTGTGTCGAAGGCAATATATGTGCCATTGCCCTTGCCTCGAAGGTTCTGGATGTTGTCCGGATACTTTGTCGCAAGCTTCTCCAGTGCGGCGTAAAGCTTGTCGCCCACTTGGGCGGTGTGCTCGACGAGCTTGTTATCCAAGATTTCGCTTATCACGGCGTTGGACATGATGATGCGTGCAGGATCCCCGATCCAGGTGTTAAATTGCCGATATGCTTTATCAGGAGTGAGTTGATCATCTCCGAAAAAGTAGCCGGCCGTCTGCGCTTTCTTGGAAAATGTCACCATGTCTGGAGGGCTTGCGAGGTTCCAGTGCTCGTGGCCCCAGAACTTGCCGGTGGCTCCGAATCCTGTTGCAAGTGCGTCAGTATATGTGCAAATGCAACACATTGGATTCTTTCATACCTGTCTGCACTTCGTCAGCAATGAGCATGACGTCGTGCTCCTGGGTGATCTTGCGGAGGCCTTGGAAAAAGGCTGGGGAGGCATGGTTGTCGCCACCCTCACTTTGAATCGGCTCTACAATGACTGCAGCCACAGGACAGTGCCTATTGCACAGGTCAATGCATCGTTATACAAGACTTTCGAGGACGACTTACCATGAGGTGATGAGTTCCTCGACCTTCTTGAGGCAAGCTTCCTCCTCGGCCTTGTTTGCCTCGACGTTGTCCTCGAGGGGATACTTCAATGCAGGGAAAGGTGCCTGAGGCCAGTTGAAAGCAGGGATATCGAGTTTATGGACGGCCTTTGATCGGGTGGTGGACAAGCTACCAAAACCCCGACCGTGGAAGGAGTTCTTGAAGCTGAGGATAGCCAGATCAGGAGATCCTGGAGCAGCGTTGTTCATGCAAGAGTCGATTTCCTCTTGAGTCCATTCGACTCCTTCTCCTCGCTGCCGGCGTCTGTAGCGCATAAACGCGGCTTTATATGCGAGTTCATTCGCTTCCGATCCAGACTGGGCGGTGAAGACCTTGTTGTGACCTTTGGGTGCTACTCGGAGCAAACCGTCCTTCAGCTGGGTGAGCCAGTTCTCGCCGGGAAAATTACCAACAGCCGGACGATTGACGAGCGCGAGGATCATCTGTGGAGACTTGGCGGCCTCGATCAACCTGGCATTGTTATAGCCAACCGGGATAGAAGCAATCTGCGAGTACACGTCCAAGAATTCGTTTCCATCAACGTCGACGATGAAGTTGTCATGGCTTTTGGCATAGTCGACGACAAAATACACAGCTCGGGAATCCCAGACTGGATTCAACTTCTCGACCGCCTTCTTTGACACGGGCCCAGGCACCTGCCTGTGTGTGAAGGTGCACTCTTCGATGATACGACCTGGCATGATGGACCAACAGTGGGAGGAGCGTGTGTGATTTCAATGTTTTGGTGAGAAGTACGGATACCGAGCTCCTGGCATGGGTGGGCTGGGGGCATCCATATATTTATACCCATTTCAAGCATCGCTTGCACTTTCCTCGTCAGATGTCTGTGGTGAGATTACTGTTGTGTAAAGTCTTGAGGTAAAAAGGCTCAATCTCTTCTCGAACACTGGTTGCCATTGCCTCGCGTTGCCGGTTTGATATGCGAGGACCTGGTTTGATTTGCTGCTCGAGGCTGAGGAGATCCACACACCGGCTGACCGCAGCCGGTATCAGACCGGGTAGAGTATGCGGTTGATCGACTTCCATTGGGACACATTGGGACAGGCATCCAACAGGTTTGGCAGAGGCGTCCGTCGTACTGTGGCATTCTTGTCTTCGCTCCTGGCATCATAAAAGTACTTAAGGTATCTGTGTGATGTGCGTCTCGAGGACATCTAGACCTTCAACCGGCGCGACTGGCTGCTGAGTCATCAGCTTCGCATTTGGATTCCCACGTGACCGCGTCGTGAGCCTCAACTTTATCCTGCGGACAACCAAAATCACTTTTAAAAAATTTACAACTACTCACATGGAGGGCAGCCGTCCTTGCTGACTTCGAATGGAGAAAACAGAGCTATGCGGCATGATGTCTCACCAAAATGCCAGGCGCAAGCAATAATGAAAAGCCTTCGGCTACTCTGAGAATCACATCCAGTGGTCATGAGGCTGCGTTGGGCGTCAAGTAACGGTAAGGCTGAGATCCAGGAAAAGTTCCGTGCCTAGACCCCCCAATATCCCATCAGTTGATTTCGTTCCCTTTTCACCTCAGATTTCACACAATTGATTGCTCCGCTTGTGTACCTCCTCAAGGAGGATGCCACCTCTCTGCATAGATTGCGAGAAATTGTCTCTTGACGCCCTGCGAGATCATGACGTTCCCCTCAAGGAAAACCTAGCCGCTTTGATCGATTCGGCAACGAACGGTTGCTCATTCTGCTCCTTGTGCTGGACCCAATTCCAGAAAGATTGCACATCCGACAAAATCCAGAGACACCTTCGAGGCGAATTCGTATCCAGCGAGAAAAGTGCTGATTGGAGGATCTACCTGAATGCAGAGTTGCACGAACATGCTGCGTGGCATTGGTCCAACGGTGAGGGCAGTCACATTCAGATAAGCTCTGGTCGATTTCCTCACTATGGGAACGAACCTGGCACGGGTACAACATTGTATACCCATCTGAGCGTATTTGCGGATCCAGGGATGAAATGAGAAGCCCCCGAAATCTCCTTGAAGATAGGCTAATTTTACCCAGGCACTGGAGCAGCTGCGCACCTACTGGACAGATTCTCCACAGAATCTAGAAACCCTGATCTGCGCATCTCGTGGACAAAGCGAATGTTGTCAAAATGTCAACAATGGCATCCCCGTTGCGGGACGTCACTTGATCGGACCATGCCAACAAGGGTCATCGACGTAGGTTGCCCACCAGACGAAAGTGCGGCTTTCCTCGTTGCGACAGAAGGCCGTGCTGGCAAATATATCGCGCTATCATATTGTTGGGGAGACGGTGTGAAGCCGGAGGTAAAACTCATGAAATCCACGTACGACGCTCTGCTCAGACGCATAGATGAAGAGAGAATGTTCAGGACTCATCAAGAAGCTTTGCAAGTTGCTCGCGAACTAGGATTTCAATACTTGTGGATCGATGCCATTTGCATCATCCAAGACAGCCTTGAAGACTGGCAAATTGAAAGTGCGAAGATGACACAGGTTTACGGCAATGCGGAGCTAACTTTGGTGGCCGGGAGAAATGGTGATAGCACTAAGGGATTCATCAACAACCCCGTTGTTCCAGCGATGCCACCACATCAACTCGAATACACCAACCCAGCTTATCCGCGGGAAGAACAAAGCGTATGCTACGTCACCCTCCCTAGAAGCTTGGACAGGGGCCGAGTTGAAGATCGTGCGTGGTGTTTTCAGGAATCGATCCTAAGCCGACGCAGTATCGTGTATGGTGTCGAGCAACTGTCCTTCCAATGCCAGGAAGGCTTGTTCTGTGAAGATGGTACTATCCGGCTCAAAGAAGCCAACCAGGAAGGACGCTATATCCTGAGCGAGCCTCTAGCTAACGAGACCGAATCCATTGCTGCAAAAGAAACTATGCTACGCCGCTGGTATCATATGGTTGACCAATACTCCATGCGAGGCATCTACGAGCCTCACGATATCTTCGCTGCATTAGCGGGCATCGCAAAAGCGGTCCAGAACACTCTACGCTGTCGGTATCTTGCTGGAATTTGGGAAGTTGACTTGATTAGGGGGCTTCTGTGGCATAGCCGAAACGATACGCTGCCCTTTCCCCCAGGAGGACGATATCAAGCTTTGAAACGTCCAACGGAGAGAAACGCCAACAAACCTCATGTACTCGGCCAAGTTGCACTGCGAGCGCCATCTTGGTCCTGGGCTTCGGTAGAGGGACCAGTATTTACAAGCTCGGTCCATCAGCTGGGGAAATACGTACAGAAGTACCGCACAGCCGCCAATTTTCGCGTCAGACCGGCACTCGAGCATCCACGGAGATGGACCGACAATGAGAGTTGTGATGTGCAACAGATGTGGATGCCAGAGTGTGAGCTGGAGGTGTTTGGAGCACTCGTAAGCGTCCGGTGCTCAGACCAAAAGGTCCCAGACTACGCGAAGCGCACGAAGTGGTGGTATTCACCTGCGAAAATCGCGAAGCACGGCGTTCTTCTGGTAGCAACTGACCATCAACCAGAACGAGCTGTAGGCGTCGGTCTGTTTGATGTGCCTGATGAAAAGAATTCGCCATTAAGTTGCATGCGTATCATTAAGGAGGAAGGACTGATGCTGCAGCGGGATGAGTGCGGAAAGTATCATCGACTCGGCATCTTCGTGGTTGAGGACGAGGACTGGTTTGACGCTGCGCCAGAGAGAAAGGTCTCGCTTGTGTGAGACCTTCACCAGGCGAGGTACTTGATGATGCTGCCGGCCATTTCAATCTCGAGCTGCCCACCTCTTCAGGCCTGTCATTCGTGGTCTCTTGCCCACGTTTTCCGTCGACCAATCAGACGTACAGATGGACGAATGAATGTCTCCAACCTTCGATGTGATCGAAGAAACCGTCTCTGACACTTTCCTATTCTTATCCGCTTTCATCGACAACGTGCTTCTTGAGCTTCTTCGTAGCGATTCAATTGGGCTGATGATTGTTTGGCGTCATAACCGAGATGCCCCAACATGGGAGGTTCAAATTCTGCTGTTACACGCCTCGTCACTGACTCTTTGACCTCCTTCAACATCTTCGGACAACTGTGGCAGAACAACATGTTTATCAGGCTTCGAGATCTGCTCTTCTTCGGGTCGTTGGGTTTTCAGGCTGCGGCCCAATGCGCACAACCGAACGGCACCGTTGATCTCAGCTGGCATCCTCCAAATCTGACCAACATCAACAGCCTCAGCTTCGTCATCAACGGCACAGGTGCCAATGGCTTTTACAATACCTCCGTAACACCAGCAAAGACTGCGTACAGCACCTACAATTGGTGTAATATGCCTCATGTCCGACAGCAGGAATACGTCAAAGCGCCTCAAGGCTACAAGTTGGAATATGTCGAACTGGTACGTTATTGAGCTGTGGGACCCTCGGACACGACTGACAGAAGCAAGATTCACCGGCATCACAAGCGTACACCATACGCCGCTAACACTTTCCCCCATGAGACGTATACCTGGGACTGTGATGACGAGGCTTTGTTTTACTATGGCACGCCTCGACCTGATGGCACTTCCGCGCAAGTCAACTGGCAAGTCTACACGTCTGACTCCAACCCGCTCGCGCCAGAAGGCTTCAATGGGACCTGCCAATTCCCGCAGATCACCGGCTCAGGACTCAACGATAGCCGACAACACGGTAAAGATCTATTCGAAGTCTACCACGGCCTTTTGGGCTTCCTGCCCAGCACCTACGACTCCCAGAAATCAAAATATAGGGTCACTAATAATCAGATGTATGTACTCGTACCCTCCTCGCCGGGAGGCTGTGCCAGTCAAGCACGGGTCTTATATTTTGCCCTTTCTTCATTGATCACGGCTTTTTCTGACAAGAGTTGCAGAACATCCCAGGTTGCTGGTCAGATCATCAAAGGCCAGTACACTTCACTCACGAACCAACCTGTCAGCGTGGCCATTCAACCGGATTCCATCGATTCTCTCGAACCAGCATACACCTGCGACGCGGCCAGCGACTTGTACTCCACTTACGGCGTCGGCAGTTCCGTGGCCAACTGGACCCTCCACCTCAACGACTCGGTGTCGCTGTTTGCAAAGCTCGACTCCGTCTCCGGCGTCAATTCCAGCGACCCAGATTGGCATAATTGGTTCGACCACTATTTTGACAACTTGTCGGCACGCTTGTGCCATCAGAAGCCCCTGCCGTGCGAAGCGGGGAATTCTTCAAACTGCATCACCCAGACTGACGCCGATGCCGTCTTCCGTCGCGGTCAGTACGAGTATTCCTTCATCTATCGAGATTCGCCAGCCTCTCTGCCCGCGTCCACCGCCAGCTTTGGCATCTGGATGGCTGAACTCGCCAGCAATCTCCGTGCTGCGATGAATGGATCGTCACCCACGATCTACAGACACAATGTCGCACACGACGGCTCCGTGTCGCGTCTATTGTCTATCCTGCAGGTCGACGTTATGGTCTGGCCGGGGATGGGCTCTGAAGTCGTTTTCGAACTGTACAGCAAATCGGGCTGCTATTATTTGCGGATTCTCTGGGGTGGACAAGTCCTGCGCAGCTCGAATCCAAGTCTCGGTCTTGCGGATATGATTCCCGTCCAGACGTTTTTGAGTTACGTGGATGGCCTGGTGGGCGTCAAAGCGGCGAAGGTTCCAGGCTTGTGCTCGAGCAGCTAGTCGAGCATAGGACCGAAGACATACGAGCTCGTCTATTGATGTACATAGGGGCCAGGAGCAATTACCTGGTAGTAATTGACGACAAAGCGTCCGACAAGCAGATACAGTAAGTAAATGTTCGCAAAAAAGCTGCTGGTCCCATCCTCATTCTTACATACGAAATTTAAGCTCTGCCTGCAGCGCTTCCAAACTGGCCCTGTCCCAGTCCTGCGCCTTTTCAGGAGGGATGGGCTGATGGTACGGCTTTCCAGCTTTGCACAACAAGTCCATGATCCCGGCGCCGCTGATGAAGGCGTATACCTTTGCATATCGGCTCTTGATTCTGACGCTGAACGACGTTCCGGCCGGTATGTAAATGGTCTCGCCGACATTCAAGTTTGCAGAATCGCTGCCATTGTTCAATGCGAACGTCATGCTACCGTCTGCCACTTGGAATGCATGATGGACGTCGTTGAAGGTGAACGTTTCGGATACGGGGCTACTAGTAAGTTTTTCGTGCCACGAAGAACCCTCGATACTCCCGATCGAGAACCTGTTGTTCGACTCCGGGGTTGTTATCAACGGACTGGCGACAATGCCACCTAGAAGATACCGCGGCCCAGATCCCGCACGAAGGAAATACGGTTCCAACGCGCCTGGCAGTGTGTTGTCTGTACTAGTATTAGTATTAGTACTAACTAGTACTGGCATCACCCAGACTGGTACTGCTGCTCGTACCTCCATCGTCAACAACTTCCCACGGTTGCGGCTCCACGCCAGGATGATCCGGCACGGGGACCATGTCGAATTTCTCGGCGGCAGCTTTTAGTTTGGGAATCAACACCTCAAACACATTCCGGTCGTCGGTCAAAGGGTACAAAGGCCCGTCGTTGTAAGGCTCGCCAATGAATCTGAAGAACTCCTCCCAACCACCTGGCACGATGAGGCCCACAAACTCGGTGTAGTTGCCCAGGATCTGGTACTGGTGGACGACGCCGGGCGGGACACTTGCGAAATCCCCCTGCCCAAGAGTCCGGCATTGGTCGTTGGCCCAGACATTCACGTGGCCCTTCAGACACAAAAAGACGTCGTGTGCTTCGCGGTGGAAGTGGAAGCCTATGGGCGCGGATTGCGAGCCGACGCTGCCCACGACGGCGAACGCGTTGTCGCTTTCTTTGCCCGTCACCAAAAGGCGAGTCGCGGATCGAGAGCAAGGGATGTAGATCGTCTCGCCGCAGGAGGATTCGAGAACGTATGCTTGTCCTGGGCGGCCTGGTGCTGTCGTGAGGGCTTCCAGGGTCTTGTGAGGGCCGCCGAAGCTGTCAGGACCAGGACTGGGATTGCGATGGTGCTCGACGGTCATGGTTCTGACGACTCGTGTCTCGTGCTTCGTACCTCATATGTACCTAGGTACCCGTCTTCGGGGATCCTGTAGCTGGGACTTGTCGATACTAGTAGTCGCCTGACCTAAAGACCTTCGAGGTGGAGCGGGCTTTCAATTGGCTTTTCAAATTGTGCATCCGTAGGAACGGACAGAGTAGTAACCATTCCGACAGCCCAGACTTGTCGCCAGTACTTTATACTTATCAACACAAGTCCTTGCGGGGAGATGATTCCCCATACTACCTACCAAGGTAAGCTACTCCGTAACGGTACCCCGAACTTGCCGACAACTGATCCCGTCCAGTGACCAGCCTCTCTCGGATATCCCGAGCGAGAGCAACCTCGACCCTGTCAACGCATACTACTGTATGAACCACCTACCACCTTATCAGGGTCAATGTGGAGGTCCAAGTCCAATGAATGAAAGCATCGCCCACATTCTCGGCCACATACGATTCCGATCTGAGTTGACTATCCTCTACTCGTACCGTCCCACCTATGGGAATATCCTTCTCCTTCTCCTTCTCCTTCTCCTTCTCCATTTCACAGTAAGTGAAGATACTACAGTACATAACCTCCATCGCCCTTGAAACGGAGGCCTCCGACTTCATTCCTGCTGTATATCAAACCGCCCTCAAATACCCCTCAAACCCTTCAGTAGACATACTTATCTCACTCAGCAATTCACCAACACCTCAAAGAAGCCTACTATAAGTCCAATAATACAAAAATGGACCACCTCCCCTCCTTCGGCAAGGCCATCTCCCAAGTCATGCTCCCAACCTTCAAAGCCTACGCGCCCCTCCTATCCCAACACGCCGGCTCCATCAAATCCACACGGCGCGAAACATTCTCCTACGGTCCTCACCCTCGTCAACAACTCGACGTCTACACACCTTCATCTTCACCTCCAGCATCATCACCTTCTGGAGAGGGCGGTGGCGGCGGCGGAAGGTCAATCACCACCGCCAACCCCAACTCGGTCTTCATATTCCTGTACGGCGGCGGCTTCGTCAACGGCGCCAAAATCCTACCGAATTACCCGAAAGAAGGACAGGAAAGTCTTGTCTACGCCAATCTAGGCCACTTCTTCGCCGAGAATCTGGCTCTGAAGACCGTCATTGTTGATTACAGACTGATATCGCACGGCGCCAAATTCCCTTCTGGCGGTCACGATCTCGAGCTCGCGATCGACTGGGTCGTCGACAACTTGGACCTCAACCACGACCGCAACCACAACCACAACCACAACCACAATAGTAACTCCCCCCGTGAACAACACGAGCACGCACCGCTTGACCTGTACGTCATGGGCAACTCGGCCGGCGGCGTGCATCTAGCCACCTACCTCCTCGCGCCGGATTTTGCCGAGAGTCGACGGCGCCTTCTGAAACCCTCGCTCACACCCGCACCAGCACCCACCCTGGGGACCTCGTCCAGGTCCAACACCGGCTCCAGCTCCGGCACCAGAGCGGCCGACGGCAAACCGAATACTAGTACCAACGCCAGCCTGAAAGGCGTGATATTTCTCTCCGTCCCCTTCCATTTCGACCGCGCCCTCCCCGAACGCAAAAACACGCTGGCAACGTACTATGGCGACCACGACGACGCTGTATCGACCCGATCGCCGCTCGGCCTTCTCCGGGCCGCGAAAAGATCGAAGTCCCCGGTGGGTGATGGCTCTGGCTCTAGCTCTACCTCTGGCTCCGGCTCTGGCTCCGGCTCCGGCTCAGCCATTATCGACGACGTCAACGACCTTGCCGCAAACATATCAGTCCTAGTATTGAAAGGGTCGCTGGACCCCGAGGACGAGATCTTGGGCCCCATCACGGATTTCGTCGACGAGTGGCAGGGGCACGCGCAAGAGCAAGAAAACACGGAGGGCAAGGACGTGGAAGCCGGACTCGGACGGAATACCACTGCTACTACCACTAGTTCAAAATTGCAATTGGAATGCCTACCGGGCCAGCATAATCATATCAGCCCCGTATTGAGCCTGGGCACGAGAATACCGGCCGAAGAGGCCTGGGGACGGCGCGTGGTGGATTTTGTGGCTACGACTTCGACTTCACGCTCGTAACTTGAATGGACCATGGTATGATACGAGATACAGATACAAAGACAAATACGAGGACCATTGGACTAAGACTACGAAATTGGGATACCAGCTAGGTAACTACTTGGCAACTAGACTCCCGAATCTAAAACGGGTTCTGTCTGGCTATCTGCCACAGTCGGATGAGTATGATCGAGTCATTCGTTCGGTAGTGTCAATGACGACCAGTACTAGTAGTAGAAGCAGTGGACGGCATTGAAAATAGCACAAAACCATAGACATTCAACGGTAGTGCTGTTCTGTTCTGTCCCGTGCCTTGGTCCAACATACGTCCTGTGGATACTCCTTACTGGTATGTGAATCGCCAGCAGATGACAAGAAGGCAGGCCACGGAAGATGTATCACGACCGCTCCTTCACTCGAACAAGCAATGGAGTCTCCATCCTCGCGAAGAAAAACGATTTCGACCTTGGAATCTCACTCCGTTTCTCGTCCCCGTCGCCACCCCGTCCTTCAACCAACTCGACATCAAAGTACAAGAGCAATGTCCCCACTAGCTTGATCAACTACCCGTAAACAAACAAACACAATGTCAGTATCAAAAACTACCAGTCGAAAACCAGGGGGGAACAGGAAATAAAAGGGAAACCCACCTCCATCATGGCAACATTCTTTCCAATGCATTGCCGAGATCCGTGCCCAAAGGGTATCCAGTAGCGCTGCATCTCTTCAGGAGTGATACCGCCAGACCCTTCGATCCATCGGCTAGGGTTGAATACCGCTGCGTCTGGTCCGAAGCTCTGCGGTTCCAGATGGACTGGCAAGGCCGACATTCCCACAATGGTCTGCGAAGAGACTTATTAGAATCGTGTGGTGTCCGCTGTTGTGAATTTGCAAAACCAATAAGCACTTACCTTGGCCGGGAAAAAGGTGCCTGCCACGACTCTTCCACCCTCCGGGACGTAGCGTGGAAGGTTGATTGTTGCCGGTGGTGTTAAGCGCAAGCTCTCTTTGATAACAGCCTGAAGGTATGGCAGTCTGCCCAAGTCGGCGTACGTTGGCGGGAGTTCATCTGTCCCATAACGACGTCGAGGGAAGGCTTCACGGATTTCCGCCGTGAGCACCTCGTAGGCTTCGGGATGGCCCAGGATATGGTAGAATGTATAACTGAGAGCGGATGAGGTGGAATCGCTTCCTGCTACGCTGTTGATGTGTGTTAGTAACCTGGTTGGTTCAGGTAGCAAGCAACATACATGCTTGAAAAAGCCTCCGTCCGTAGATCAATCGCATCCAACATTTGTCCAGTGACCGGATCCTTGGCCTCGATCAATCTACCAAGAAGGTCTTTGCGGTCACTGACCTTCTCCTGTCGCCGCTCAACGCGAGACCGGGTAAGCTGGAGTTTGGTGTTAGTACATTTCATCACTTCCTCGGTGTGTATGAATGTTCCTTACCTCCTTAAGCCGCTCGCGACCGGCTTGTAGGTTTTGAAGCCAAGGGATAGGCAGAGATGTCCATTTGGTGTAAGGAATCAAGGACGGCACCATGCCAATGGTCGACCCAAACTCCATCTGCTTTTCTATGAGAGCAATATGTTCATCTTCCACCCCACTCTCGAGCATGCCAAAGCCTTCGCTGAATGCCTGCTCCGGAATCAGCATGAATAATTCACACGTCACTTCGTTCCATAAACAAACTCACCAGCTCCCCAATCACGTCAAATGCAAAGAAGTGGCACCATTTGCCCAGATTGACTTTTGCATTTGTCTTTGCGAACTCGGAGAACTTGTGCATGAATATCTGGAGCCGCTCTTGTACGAAACTTTCCATGGCCTGAAGAGCATTCATGGAATATCCGTGGGATACGATGCGTTTTCGCTGAGCGTGCAAATGCGGGTCTCGTTGTCCGAAAATTGTCGGCCTGAAAGCGGTAAAAGCGTCATAATAGTCCGTCTTCAAATAGTCTCTAGCCTGAACGGTGTTGTAGATTTCCCGGATCGCGGATCTGTCAGAGACGATGACCTCAGTTGGGGCAATGCGAACAATTGGTCCATAACGATGGTGGAGTGTCAACATCGTCTCATGGAAATCACCCCTTTTAAATAAGATCAGCTTCCAGATTGGCGTCAGAGAAGCCCAGAATGGTCCCGGAACCCTGGCCAAAGGTGAGAAGAATCGTTGACACACGACATAGATGAGGCCAAAAGTGAGAATGCCCGTGATGCACAAAGCCAATGCCGGAGGCAGAGCAGCGCATACGGTTCTCAGAGGACCCGTGTTTACAACTTCTCTGAACATCATGATGTCTCAGTAAGCCGCTTAAATCCGCTTGAAAGCCTTTGTAACTTTTCACCTTTATATCGATGAGCCATAAGGCTCAACCGCAGCCAAAGGGAGGCAGCCGCGGCATGAGCCGTCCTCCAGAGCACAGGCATGGGGAGAAGCAGCCACGCAGAGACCCGGGGTCAACCCCTCACGAGATCCGGCCAGTTGCCGGCTCACCTCGGGTCTGGCGTTGGTCCCTATGGGTAACAATACGCCAGCCAATTCGAAAGGCCTCATGGAGTCGTCCAATACGTGACATAAGTCCTCGTACTTCGACCCACTACTCTCGACCACGGACCTTTCAACACGATGCTCTCAATTTCGTGACTGCAGCAGCAAGGACACGAGAGCAGTGTCATGTCTCAAAACCTGACCAGTCCTGCCCGAGCCAGTCTCGAGGGAGACCGGTGCCATAGAGCAAGTCGTCGAAGTCCAGGAAGTCAAGATTGAGGCCGCTTTCGAGCTCATTCTGGCCTCGATCAAGCCACAAATCTCCCTCAGGAAGCGCTGGGAGCGAGGGATCAGCACCGATTCCATCCTGAATGGGGATAATATTGTCTCGCGGCGCAGTATGGGTTGAATATTGGTCGTTTGGTCGTTTCCGGATACGCTGCAGCAGATCGACGTATCGAGCAGCTAAATTACTCTTGCTGCTTGCTGCTCTCAAAAAAGCCATGCCCATTTCCAGAGTGTCGTCTTGATAGGTGTCGCCGAGCAATTCTAGTCTCGTTCTATCCATTGCCTGGAGCGCAAGCAGAACACCCATTGCAGTGAAGACATCTGACATTGTCAGCTCAGCATTTTTAGCAACCTCATACAATCACCTACAGTGGAGGTTGTACCACAAAGAGTTCAGTAACCGACGACTGTATTCCCTGTGTATGGTTTTGATGGTGTCCCGAGCAGCGGCAATGCAGCAGCGACTGGATGCCACCGCAACAGCCTGGTGGAATTCATCTTCAATACGTTGCCGACAGAAAATCAAAAATGCATGTCGATGCAAGAGCAAGCGGATGTTGAGATACCTAGAAGTAGAGTCAGCTCTGTAGGATGGAGGAATCGGGATACCCTTGCCTGATGTAAATGACGTTGCGTTGTCGCCGAAAATCAGGCCCATCAGGAAGGTCCGGCTCATACTTCAGATGGGCTGGCAGGTTGTCCCACCATGAAAGAAGTTCGTCATCCAGGACGACCAGTTGTCCAAGGCTGCGCAAAGGCTTCACATTTGGAGCGCTTGAGGGGCAACCGTTATAAAGATTGTTGAGGATGTTCTCGATCACCCTTTGTTGCTTGATCGTCTGGATGAAAAACACAATCAACGATGGTCGTCCCTCGGGTTGTCGTGGCTGTGTCGAACTTTCGGTAATGTACTGGTCGTCAACCTCCAGTGGTAGATCAACCTTGTAGAGATGAGCTCCTTGTGTAGAGATGGGGCGACCAAATTTCATGCTCAGAGTTCGGTCGATGATATAGCAGCCCCACCAGACTCTTTTCCTCATCTCCTGTTCCACCACAGAGTGCACCGACTCGGGAGGGTTCATGTGAAAGCCAAGGCTCACTGAAGTGCGAATCATCAAACCAACGAGGCTCCAACATTCGTTCAGCTCCATTGTCCCCTGCAGGTAGTGTGACATTAGCAGAAGGGCTTGGATCAGTTCCAAACTTCCTTCGCGGAAAACGTGGGCATATACAATCTTTCTCGTCCGGTTGAGAAACTCTGATGCGACCGCTGGACTGCCCTCTTGCGGAAGCGAATGGCAGAACTCGCAACCATGGGCAAAAACAATGTTCAGTAACCCCATCCACCTAGGCTCAGGCTCGACATGCTCGTTGGAAGCCTGCGCCCACATCTGATCGTATCTCGACCTAAAGCTTGGCTCGTGCACGAAAGGGTAGAGGCGATGCACATGGAGAAAGTATGCGTCTATCAAGCTGTCTGCAAGCTGCTTGGGTGGCAAAATCGAAAAATCTCGTCTTTCTGGTGGAGAGTGTCCCAAGGCACTCAAGGTGGCCTCACTTCCACCAGTGGACAAGCGGCGTCTTGCAGGATCTTGCGGGGTATGGTCTGCGCCTCTGGCGCCCATCTTGAGAACGAAGTTGAAGGTTGATGATTCTCCGAAATAGCCAGCAGGGTGTTCGACAGAGTCTGCGGCCGTAGATAATGGCGGGGTGTCACTTATGTCAGGGTGGCCAACAACCTCGTCAATGCCTTCCATTGCAGAGTTCTCACAGGGAGCGTGCTCGCGGCGAGCAGGAATGGGTCCAGATGAGTTCCGAGAAAAGACGCGTCTTGACTCCGAGTGACTGGTCAATGGTTTGTGCGCTTGGTGTGTCGCTTCATCTTGGTGCCCAATGTTGGTTTCCGGGTTGGCCTGCTGTTTGTTGCTTGCGACGGCATCATCTTCTAGTTTTGAGTCTATGAGAGCTTGTAACCTGGCAAGAGGGATCAGCAAAGTAACAAGAAAAGTATGATTCAAGACCAGTGCCAGGTGCAAATCAAAGAAAGGCCAGTCACAACTCACTCACTCGTCAACCGTAAGATTCCCTACCAAAGAGCCCGCGTAATCACAATCAAGCCCGCGGCTCCGACATGGGCCGCATTGAGGCCTTCCACCATCACAGCGATTTTTGCGCCGTTTACAATGCGTGCACGCATTGCCCGCCGTCAGCCTCTTTTTGATGATCGAAGAAGGACTCGGACTCGGCATCGTATCTTGGATTAGAGCGGTTCCGCCATCATAAGGCGCAGACGACACAAGTCTGACGAAAGGCGGAGGCAATGGGATGAAAGTGAAGGAGGAAAGAAATGGATGAAATAGATGTAGTGGATGAAGTGGATGGGATCGTGGATGTGGTCAAGTTGAAGTCTGCAAATTCCCACAACGCCAAGAGCTTGGGGATGATGATGATGATGATGGGGAAGCTGCAAAACAACGACAACACCACCACCACCACCACCACCACCACCACACGGCCTCAATACTAGTATGTCATCACAGGTGCAATACGTAGTACGTTGTCAACTCCTAGGAACTAGTAGTAGTAAGGCTAGCTGATGTCTGGGGGGTTGGGCACTAATAAGGACTACCAAGATCTCAAGTGCTTGCTATAGGCTGGGTTGGGCTGGGCTTCTGCTCTGCGAATCAAGGCAGGGGTGTGTTGGTACAAACGCAGTCGTTGAGTATGTGATATAACGGTCTATCTCATGTGGAATATTTCTCAACGAAGTCGCTACGCATTCCCTTGAAATCCGTCGCAGCGGCTCAGAGATTGGAAGAACATGTCCCAACACGATCCGATAGTACACAGTACATGTTCGACATGTCATATATCCTTGTGAAACTGCGGCTGTCCCAATCTTGCCCTCCACTGCTGGCCCTTGAATATCAGAACCACCGGACCAACAGAGGTCAGCGCCATGATGAGTGCGAGCGTTATCCAGGCCCACTGGATCGAAATCTCGTTGGCAAAGGGTAACCTGCAAGCAACACAACAACTTCGTTAGCACACGCCATACTCTCTCAAATGTACTATAGTACCTCACGGTACATATTCCAGGGGAAACGCAGGGGAAACGCAGAGCAAACGCAGAGCAAACGCGAGTAATACGTACGCGTAAAATCCCAAGGGAAACGCAAAGATCTGGCGGCCAAAGTTGTACAGGCTGCTGATTTCTCCTGACTGGGGCTTGTAGCAGTCACTGCAATAAGCGTAGCTGACGGTTGTCACAAGCTGCAGGCCGAAACTCGAAATTGCCATGCCCATGACCGGTCCTATCCAGTGAGTCTTGTGCTGGAGGCAGACGCCGTAGATGATGATGCCGGCCGGACACAGCAAGATGCTGCCGAGCGCTGCCGGAAGACGTGCCTCGGGCTTGCGCTCACCGTCGTGGCGTTTCGCGTATCTGTACATGAACCAGTCCGACAATGGTCCCGAAAGGAATTCGCCCAACGCTGAGCCGATCAACAAGGGAAGCCCTAGCATAAGACCAATGGCGCCGGACTTGAAGTGGTAGGTCTTCGTAAACAGGATGGCCACAGTGACAGCCGGCAGGATGCTTGCAAAGGCGAACGTAACAGTATAGCAGATAAACGTGAGGGTGACCGACGGGTATTGGAGCATCTCGAACGGCCGTGCCATGTCTCGCAAGCGGAATCGCCGGTCAAGCAAGGCATTCCGCCGGAAGCTGAAAAGCATCTCGAAATAAGTCCGTTCTTGGTGTTGGGCAAGATGTCTCTCGGCGCGAGAGAACAATGACTCTGGAAGGGCAAATATCATGAAGACGAAAATGGTCGCGTTGACAATGGCCGGAAGAAAGTAGCACCACCGCACGCTTGCTGCCTGTGCAAGATAGCCGCCGATGCTGTACAGAGTCAGAAAGCTGATCATTTGGGACTGGTCGCAGAGCACAAGGCTCGTGCTCGAACGGCACAGTCTTTGAGAGAGGGAAAGTACTTACACAGGGGCCCTGCAAAGCATCAGAAAGCTGCACACACAAGATAGTAGGGGATAGAGAAGATTGTTTTCTCGACTTACACATGCGCACCGTTGGTCAAAAAAACGGTGTATATCCCCATCTTGGTTCCTCTCTGTTCTCAATTGTCAGCGTGCTGGACGCACAGTGTGAAGTTCTCTATATTGTCCGTACCTCGTGGAGAAAGAACATATCATTCACACTTGCCGCTCCCAGCGCCATCGCTGCACCGACTCCAAGTCCACTAAACACACGGCCGACGATCAACGTGCCCCATGACTTTGAGACTCCTGATCCGACGGTTGCGACGATTCCAATGAGCGTCGAAAGTAGGTAGACAGGGCGCCTCCCATAGATGTTTGCCAATGGGGTCCAAAACAGCGGCGCAACGCCCACTACGATGATGACGGTTGTGGTCTGATAGGGCGCGTGGCTGACGGGGATGTGGTACAATTTTGCCAAAGGCACCAAGGCCGGATTGACCACGGCAGAGTTGAAAGGGCCGAGGAAAGCCAGGAAGGATGTTTGGAGCAGGACAAGCCACTTCAGCCAGGCCGGCCAATTCTGGTATAGCAAAAATAGTCAGCACTGTGATGACTGGGTAAATGGTCTTTTCGCATAGATGATTCTTACCAAAGGGTCGTCTCGATAACCAGTTGGTTGTGGAACAAGAGCAAATCCGTGGCTGTCACGGTAGACTGGAGCCTCCTTCTCAGGATGCTGTTCGACGTCCTTCGCTGCTGCAGAGGCGCCGGGGAATGCCTCGACGTGGTCGGCGTCGCGACCTTTTCCGTCCTCAGGTAGGAAAGCCATGTTGAACAACGCAATGGGGAGTAGTAGTTTCGACCTTGTATCCAGGCATCGTCCAAACGTCCTGTGAAGTAATAATAAATATGGCTTCTTGGACAGTATCTCCGTCGCAATGAGCCGCGGCTCAGCCCGTTTCTTTCTCCGGGATTATCTTCGATCTCTGATCATGGTGGATGGTGGTGAAGCGGGGTTGAGTGTCTGATTCGCCAGCCTCGCCATGTTCCCCAGCTAGCCCTGGCACGCAATGACCAGCTCTTGTCGGCTCCGAGCCGTAGGGGCTTTACCTGGTCCTGAGGCACGGTACCCAGGCCTTGGCCGTTCTCCTCGAAGTCAAGTCAACAACACTCCTCGCTAGCCCTCATATCGAACTCGTCGCCAAGGTCAAGAAAGGTCAAGATGGTCCTCAAGTTGTCCTTTGCTTGTTGGGACTATGACCGTATGAAAGCCATTGAAGATGGCAGGGTGCGCGCCGATGGTATTGAGATCACATTCCTCAACTATCGGGTGGAAGAAACGTCAGTCAACTTACCTACCTTGGTCACCAGTGTCGAGAAAGAAGCGTGGGAGCTGACAGTTCTGGAACAGCTTCTTTCGCCAGCTCCGCTTCCAGGAGTTTGATCTATCCGAGTTGTCGCTGTCCTCATACGTTCTCACCTTGAACCAAGAGCGTCCTCCCTTTATTGCGCTGCCTGTATTCCCTTCTCGCTTCTTCCGCCATCAATCAATGTACATCAATAGTAACGCGGGAATTTCCAAGCCAGAGGACCTCCGAGGCAAGCGTATCGGAATCCCGGAGTACCAAAGTAAGCATGAGGTCGAAGCCTGAGCCTGACGAGAACCCCTTAAGAATATTCTGACTTGTCGGCTTCTAACATGCATGACCTCACAGTGACGGCCGCTGTCTGGCAACGTGGGCTCTTGTCGGAAGAGTTCCATGTCCCATTGTCAAGCGTACATTTCTTCACCGGAGCGATCGAGCACTCTGAAAAGCTACGTGTCAGCAAGGTCCCCCACGACATACCGGCCGATATCAAGATAACGTCGATATCTCTGGGGAAGAACTTATCTCAAATGCTCGCGGATGGCGAGATCGATGCCATCTTCAGCGCCACCAAACCCTCGTCGTTCGGCACTTCAGCAAACGTCACCCGTCTCTTCCCCGACTTCAAACGTGTCGAGGCCGAATACTACGCCCGCACAGGAATTTTCCCAATCATGCATGTCGTGGCTTTGAGACGTAGCGTGTACGAGGCAAACCCGTGGATCGCGAAGAATCTGACAAAGGCCTTTGCAAAGGCATTGGACATGGCGTATGAGCCGCTGAAGGAGCGAGCCGCTCTGCGATATATGTTGCCCTGGCTGGAGGATCATGTTGATGAAACCAGAAGCCTGATGGGTGGCAATGAGAAGTGGTGGCAGGACGGATTCGAAGCAAACAAACACGTTCTAGAGAAGTTCTTAGAGTACTCTTTTGACCAAGGTCTGGCGGCGAGGAGATACAAGGCAGAGGAACTTTTTGCGCCAAGTACGTTAGAAGATTTCGTGGTGTAGGAGGATTGGAGCCACGGAAAAGGCCATAGAGCAGGCATCTTCTGTCGTCGAATTGTTTCCTATTTTCTCTGACCGTAGGGAGACTGATCACAAGATGCCGACGCCTGCGAGTAATGAGCGTGGTGTTTTCTACGTGCTCAACGAGTGTGATGATGTACAGAAATTCCCGGAAAGCAGACCTCCACACCCCAATCATCACATGAGTTGTCCAAATACCACTTTGAGTCGAACCATATGCAATTCTTTTTCCTAGCTGTGGCCGCCCATAGACTGATACAGCCCCCAACCCCCCAAACATCTGTTGCTGCAGCCCGGTAAGGCCATCGAGCACTTGTGCCACCAGCTCGTCTCGCAGCTTGCTCACTCCATACTCACACCATGTCTTTCTCGCCCAAGCGAGCGTTCACATCCGAGAAAGTGATACGCTGCTGAGCGTTATCTTTGCGGTAGTACTGGGCTGAACCATCATCGTACCCATTCCCATACACATTCTGCTGCGGCCAGCCCACAGCTCCATGCTGTACCATTGGACCAGAGATATCGATCGGCCCAGCACGGCTAAACCGATTGTTGACGACGATACTGCGTCTCTTTGGATCACTTGAGCGGCGGGCGTTCTTAGGTAAAGGCTCATGCGTGCTGAGGACATCGACCTCAACAGGGCCTTCCTGGTCGTCCTGGATCGGCGGGACGCCGCGCCACTTGAGAAACGCGTTGAGCGCCGGAATGGAGAGGCCGTGGACGACGATGCTGAACAAGACGAGCCAGTAGACCACAGGAATCATGACACGAGTAAGCAAATTCTCTTCGACTGTCAACGCCTCGCCAGACTCGGGAAATAAATGCCGTGTGTGTTCGACGTAAAAGACAGCGCCGATGCCGATGGGACCAAAATAGCCCATGAACAGTGCTTCCTTCCAGTCTTTGCAGCAACCCGGGAACAGCTTGTATGTGGCGAAGATGGCTGGTATACGGCGGAAGATAAGGACCAAAATTCCCAGGCCGATGAGTCGAGGATATGTGAGGCCCGTTCCATTGGGATCGTTGAAGTCGGACCATGGGATGATTGTACCAATGTACATAAATCCGCCGAAATTCAGCAGGACGTCGACGCACGAGTTTACTTCATCATGTCGGGCGGTAGTTTCAGCAAGGTATTGGCCGTCCCAGTTCATAGCATTGCCGGCAACGAAGCAGGCTAGGAGGTCATCAGTGCCCAGAGCTCCACATGTGCCGACAATGAACAGCCCTAATGCTGTCGGCCAGAGCAAGTAGGATTCGGTGTCGATCCAATTCCTGGTAGCAGGCGGGTTAGCACCATTTCGACGGAAATGGAAATCAGCGTGGGCCGACTCACTTGCGGAGAGCAATTCTCGTCAGGTACATGCTCCCAAACCCACAGACAGCACCATAGGCCACGGACATCAAGACGATGTAAAGCCAAGTCTCGACGCCCCATTCAGCAAGAGCTTTACCAACACCTCCACCCAGACGGCCGACTTCCTCGCCGCCTTCCTCTCGAGCTACCAACATCGACACGCCACGCACTAGCAGATGTACTGCAGCTTCCGTCGCATTGGTGGCACTTCCATCGGCGCGTTCAACTCCTTCTTTCGCCAACAACGCAGCCGAGTGATCTGCCATCTCCTTTTCTAAGCCTGGATACTCTGCATGTCGAATGAGGTAGACGGCCAACATGAGGAAGGGGAAGCCGAATCCGTCATTTGCACCCGCTTCTGAAGAGATGAGTTCTCGCAAGGGTCGACGGACATATTTGTCGGCGAAGGGGCCCTTGGCAACAGCTTGGGAAAGGATAGGGTCGGTGCAAGTGACACAGGACCCGATGACAAGGGCAGCCAGCAAGGTTATCTTAGGCACCGTGGCGAGCATACAGGCTGTCGTGCATAGCCACATGATGGTCATTACCGGTAGGAGACAAATGAGCATCTCTTTCCATCTGTACAACTGGTACTTCGCGGGCAGCTGAAATCCAGCAATGACAAGCTGCACGCCAATCACGATGCGAGCGACTCCGAGGGTGATTGCGTTCTGCTGGCCCTGTGCTGCAGAGCCCCATCGCTCAGCATCAAGGAATTTGGCTGCGATTGGGCCCAAGAGTATCCCGAACACGACGGCCGGCACTTTCGATGATCAGTCAGCAAATCGACCAAGCCTGAGGAGAGGGCAGGGGAGAGAGGTGTCCTCACGTGCTTCGCCGAGATACCAGACTTGCTTGATCTTGACGGACTGGAAGCCATAGCTGATGATAAAGAAGCCTAGGATGGCAATGACGATGTTGAGCTCGCTCACATCAAGGGAAGGCATGTTGAAATGATGCGAGCGCAGCTCATACCAAAGTGCCGAGGGATTGAAAGAATGTGCGTAACGATCAGGACATCGGTGATTTGTGAGCGTTGAGCAATGCCAGGAGAGAGAGTGTGTCAAATCAAGACGCAAACACCGAAAGACAAACGTAAAAGGAACCGAAAATCGAAAGTAAAGCCCGCCAGCGGGAAAAGCGTCTATGCTTGAGTCTATGGTTGAGTCTGAATGAGAGGAAAGAGATTGAGTGTCCTCAGGAGCCAGGTCCGCTATGGCGATGAAGGATTGATATGTCGAAAACAAGCACCAGCGCGGCGCATCGATCGACACTCACTTGTGCCAATGGAGTCCAGATCAACCACTGCCAGCCGACATGTATGTTCTCCCTCTGAAACGGCCAGGAAACCTGATCGACAGGGCGTGGGTATGTTTGTGATGGCCAACAGCCAGAACTGGTTGCCCATGTTTGTAGTCCACCGACGCAGCCAAGAATGACATTGATTTCAGCATTTGTTGGCACTGAGCTTGAGACACTCCTTGACTGGCTCCGATTTGCCGACTGTCCCCATGCCAAGGTGTGAGGGAAAGGGGGCAAGCGACCTAGTGGCGATCCGCTCCAATGGTAGCGTCGAGATCAGACGCTGCCCAGCCTTGCCCAGCCCTGTCCCATTCTCGGCAAGGCTTCGCCGTTGATTCGTGTCTCGAGACGCGTCAGTTAGGCACACTTGGCTTCTGAGTATTTCAAACAGAGTTGAGCCCTTAGATGTCCCAGAATGAGGAAGTGCTTTCATCCCATGGGAAGAGCTGCGACATAAAGTCGAGGTTGACATCGCCGAAAGAGTCCAAGAACAAATCAGGAGCAGGAGACTCACTTGCCTCGGTTGCAGCGTTCGCGCTCCGGCCGTTCAAGATCCGGCTGCCATGCTCGCCGTTTCCTAGTTGTTGAGGTGGCTCCTGATCGGCATCCTCCTCCCGGCGCTGCATATGAGCGGAAGCCTGTTGCAAGATTGCGGAAGCCTTCTTGGCAACAACATGTTCGTCCATGGCATTGAGTATCTCAATACTCATGCTGATCAGTCCCAGTAATTCGCTTCTTTCGGTCTCACTAGCCAATTTGTTCAAATAGCCAACGATAATGGTCGCTGCGTAGAGTGTGTAATTTAGGTTATACCACCATGTACGAAAGTAAGTGGCGGAACAGTACATGTGATGCATGAACCTGATGGTGCTCCTGGCGGCCGACACACATTTGGAAACGGGCTGGTCTAGTTCGGCTGCCCATTCTGTGCTTGAGCGCTGAGTACGCGCGGCGTACAAGAGGAACGGCCTGAAGAGCACCATCTTGACGTTGAAATAGCGAAACTGCAGTGTGTGTCTTTGCTTCTTGGCCCAGTTGGCGTCAGTCATTGTGCCCAATGAGTCCGACAGATCATGAAGTTGAGGACGTATCAAGTCGGGCAACGAATTTACCCATTGCTCCATCCCCCCCTCGATTTCATCAGCATGCTTGATCCTCTGCGATATGGGTCTTGCTGGAAGAAAGACGAAGCTGGAGACCTCCCTGACAATCCTGGCGAACTCCACCATAGGCGTTATGATTCCTGTTCCGGTGTCGTCGATGGGTGGCATGGCTCGGTTGTGATACAGATCTGGCCCCAATGAATCTGGTCGACCGAGAGCGAAGCTCATCTCGACTTCTAGGGAATAGAGTCCCCACCAAGTCTTAGAGATCGACAAACCTTCTGTGGGTGGTGATGATACTGAGTCATGGACAGCCTGAGACTGTCGGTTATGTCCGGCTGACAGGCTTGTCCGCACAGCGATACCAAGATACATGTAAGCCAAGTGGGGATTCAACTCGTTCTGGCAAACCTTTGCCATGATAATGCTCGCCTGGACAGTCTCTATGTCGGTCTGAAATGGAGAACCTCCCATAGTAAGCGAGGCTTGCTCAAACATTTTCCTGGACCATCCGAATCGACCCAGTCCATCCAGCAAGGCTGCATCCCACTCCCGTGTCAAGGCGCCCAGTGCCATTACCGCGAAATACAGTGCCACAAAACTTTGGGGTTGCTTTGCTGATCGTTCAAACCACAGATCCTCGCATCGTGAGAGGAACTCTGCGCGATCAATGATCGGATGAATGTAATGGAGGTTTTGAAAGTATGCATCAAGGAAGAATTGAGACTGTCGAAAATAGTATCTGTGCTGACGAAGGGATTGGTTCCCAGCATCTGCAATTGTCTGAGGAAGGAAACTGTCGTTGTGAAATGCGGACACCAGTGACTGCTGCCTACCGTCTGTTAGACCGTCGAACTCATCTGGCACACGCCGTTGTAGCGCCGCCAAGAATGCGAGGGACGATGTTGGTCCATGGAACTCCCTGTTCAGGGTGTGAGGGTTGATTTCACTCAACTCACCCACTTGATTGCTGGAGGGACCGTCGTTGTCATCGTTGCAGGGATTTGGACAGGGGTCGACTCGGACGGTTACACGGCCATCTTTCGCAAATCGGCCCAGGCGACCTGTACTTTGCTTGGGCGCCGCAAGCCGACTTTGGGATACCGAGTTGATCCGCTCACGCAAGGAGGCCGCGTTCTCATAGACGCAGGGCTTATTTGACTCTGCAAGCAAGCGAAGTTAGAAAGTGAAGCCCGATACCTTGTGAGTTGACGACCTGGTAAGAGCCAGGTTCTTACTCTTGCATTTGCCGCATGGCTCCAGCTCATCACATCGATATTTCTTCTCCCTGCAAAAGACACATGCTCGTGCCGCTCTAGGCCTTTTTCGTCGGGTTGCTTCAAGAGTCTCTGATCCCGACATGGTGCAGCTTGAAGTTCGGATGGAAGAGCGTACGTAAACGCATCACCTGTGTGCTTGAGGCGTGGTACTCTCTGGCTCCGACAAAGGTGCATGGTCGGAAAAGCCGACCTGTCAAAAGCGCAAAGCTGCAATGTCGTAGCAGAAGTTGAATCGAAGGGCGGCACGTCAACCCCAGATCGTGTGGACCGTGAAAAGAAATGAGGGGCTCTCGGCAAATGCGAACGGGAGCGCACGGCCAACTTTCCGAGCCGAATCTTCTCGGAAAAGCCAATGGTCTGTCAACAGGCGTGTAAGCATCTAACCCATGCTTTTAAGTTGCAGTTTGCGAGCGTTCCAAAGAAAGCAGTATAACTGTCGTTTCGTGAGAAGAGTCTGTAAATTGCCGACCAAGCAATCAAGATGGTTGCAGAAACACATCAATTAGACATCATAATTGTGGGCGCCGGTTTGGCAGGACTCGCTGCATCGATATCATGTGCACTCGCCAACCACAAAGTCATTGTGTTCGAAGCGGCGAAAGAGCTAGCGGAAATCGGGGCAGGCCTGCAAATAACGCCAAACGCGTCAAGACTGTTTCGAGAATGGGGTTTGGAATCCGCGACCCAGGCTGTGGCTGCAGAGCCTACGGTGTTGGCTGTTCACAGATATAGTGATGGGAAAATACTGGCGGAAGAACCAGACTTCAACAAGAAGATTCGACAAAAATATGGCGCTCCTTTCATCGACATGCATCGTGTCGATTTGCAGAAAATATTGTACAGCAGAGCAGTATCATTGGGTGTGAAGGTGGAGCTCAACACCAAGATTTCCAGGGTAGACAGCACACCGTCGGGAGCAGAAGTTGTCTTTGACTCTGGTCGAAGACACAGAGGGGATCTAGTGGTTGGAGCCGATGGTCTCTGGTCGAAGTGCCGGGAAAGTATGCTGGGTGAGACAGACCAGCCGTTGCCAACTGGGGATTTGGCGTACAGGATCGTCCTAGAGCTCAACGAGATAAGTGACCCAGAGTTGAGGCAGTGGATCGCGAATCCACAGGTACATTTCTGGATTGGACCACACTCTCACGCAGTTGCCTATTCAATTCGCTCGGGAACAATGTACAATATCGTCCTCCTCTGCCCAGATGACCTGCCTGACGGACTGGCAAGGTCGAAGGGGTCCGTCGAAGAAATGAGAAAGCTGTTTTCAGGATGGGATCCTATACTCACACGGTTTCTCGACCAGGTCGATCAGGTGGACAAATGGAAATTGATGCACCGCGAAGAAGTGGAATCTTGGACGAACCCTGCGAAGAACTTCGTACTTATTGGCGATTCTTGTCATCCAATGCTCCCATACCTTGCTCAAGGCGCAAATTCGAGTTTGGAAGACGGAGCTGTTCTTGGCCGATTGTTGTCGTACGTCACATCGAGGGAGCAAATATCTTGGGCAGTAACACTGTATGAAAGTCTGCGGAAGTCGCGCAGTGAGCAGATCGTTCGAGAGACATTCAACCAGAGGGATGCTTTCCACATGCCCGACGGCGAGGCACAAGAGCAGAGGGATTTGCTATTTGCCTCGCAACTTGGCAAAGAAATATCTTGCAAATTTCCAAGTCGATGGTGAGCGAAGCCATTCCTTCGTTGATGACGGAAGACCTGACCGACCCATAGGACTTGTCCGGAAATCCAGCCTTTTCTGTATGGGTATGATGCCTACGAACAAGCGGACGAGGCTGCGAATTCACGCCCTTTTACCCATTTCAGCGCGGACGAGGGGCTGTGAATGTAACATCATCGGCTTAACGTGGTGAACGAATCGTCACATCATTTCTCGGCCTGGGATGGCTTGATGCCGCTTCCAGGGATGACATTCTGGCGTCGAGTGTCTCACGAACGGATTGTTTGATTGAGGTCAATTCCAGACCTATAGGAGACGATTGTTTCGTGAAGAAGATTCGAGAGAGTCTGGAAAAGTACGGATGACGCCCTCGACGCGTTCGAGATGGGCACGTGTTCACGTGATGCGGTCTATGCCAATTATGAAATAGCGCGTTTTCGCTCCAGCTCTAATCACGTGAGCTCGCTTTGACCTTCCTTATCATCGAAGCCCTCGGCCTGCATCTTCTAATTCCATCCATTTCTGCCACAATACACCACAGCTCGAGAGCAAAAAGACTCCTAGTGGACTCAATGATTGTTGTCTTACTGCTTCCCAACTCCACTTGGAACGAACGGTTGCCGTGCATCATCATGGGAGCAAATTTTCATGATGGAAGCAACCCCCGTGGCGAAAACCTATATTATCCGGCATGAACCACAGTTTCTCTGCCACTCGCGGCTAAATTCTAGTGTTGCATATCCGGTGGCCCATCCAAGCAAAGCATTGACGTCGACGCCGGTCTAGACATATATAAAGCCTATTTCATCACCTCTGATGTCTTCTCGTGCTGCTCAAATCTTGCATCACCTCACCTCCCAACCACAATCACATCCAGCAAACACCACAACCATGTCTGTTGAAAACGTGACCCTGGCCTCTGGCCACAAGATGCCATTGGTCGGATTTGGATTGTGGAAAGTCCCCGCCGACAAGGCTGCCGATATTGTCTACAATGTATGATCATAGTCCTGCTCGAAAAATCTGATCCTCAATTTTCACAATTAACACGGACTACAGGCCATCAAGCAAGGCTACCGACTCTTTGACGGTGCTTATGACTACCAGAACGAGAAAGAGGCCGGCCAAGGAATCAAGCGAGCCATCGATGAAGGCCTCGTCAAGCGTGAAGATATTTTCGTCACCACCAAACTGTGGAACAACTACCACAAGCGCGAGCACGCCTTGCAAATGGCGAAGGCCCAAAACGAGGCCTGGGGATTGGGTTACATCGACTTGTACCTGATTCACTTCCCCATCGCGCTTCCTTACATCGAGCCGGAAAAACTTCGGTATCCCGTAAGATGCAGCTCCAGCTCCTTAGATATCTTCCTTTAGAAATACTCTGGACTAACCGTACTTTAGGGATGGTGGATGGACGCCGAGCAAAAGACCATCGAGACCGCCAAGGTGCCCATTCACGAGACATGGCAAGCTCTCGAGGAGGTTGTTGACAGCGGTATCGCCAAGTCAATCGGCATTTCCAACGCCCAAGCCCAAACAATCTACGACATTATGACATACGCCCGCCACCCCATCTCCGCGCTTCAGATCGAGCACCACCCATACCTCGTCCAGCCAAGCTTGATCGACCTCGCACAGGAGAATAAGATCGTCGTCACGGCGTACTCGTCCTTCGGCCCCCAGAGCTTCCTGGAACTCCCGCCCGCCTTCCGAGCACGCCCACAGCAAGTGCCACTCCTGTTCGAGGTCGAGCCCGTCAAGAAGGCCGCACAACGCACCGGCAAGACCCCAGCCCAAGTCCTGCTCCGGTGGTCCACGCAGCGACACATCGCCGTCATCCCCAAGTCAAACAACGTCGACCGCCTGCAGCAGAACCTCGAAGTCACGAACTTCGACCTGACAGACGAGGAGATCAAGGCCATCAGCGCGCTTGACAAGGGTCTGCGCTTCAACGACCCCGGCTTCTATCTGCATAAGCCGCTTCGCATTTTCGCATAAAGCTTTTGCCATGTGGTAGCACAACGTGCGTGGAAGTTTTGTCCGACCGAACATTATGAACGCGGATATGCAGAAAAGCTACGTAGTACAAAAATGTGAATGATTTACAGAAGCATGAAGTCTTGCCAAACGTGATGCCTATGCAGAATTGTTCCGAAGATGGCGGTGGTGCCCAATAGGGTGGTGCCGAATAAGCGAAGGAGCAAGGCTGTTTTGCTGCGAGGCTGTACCCCTTTTGTCTCTCTCGTTCTCCTAGAAGACAGCCGAGTACTAGTATACTGTATCCCGTGGGCAAACAATGGAATGGTTTAGTGCCAGAGCACACGCTGATCACCATCGGCCATGCTCGTTCTGTACCCAGGTATGTTTGCTTTGGTCTATGCAGTTCGGCCGATCAAGAAAGACGCTTGTGGTTAGCTTACATTCCAGGCTTCTTCCACTTTTTTAACCATGTTGCCACTATCAAAATGCATCCAGCATCCATTTTCTTTGTGCCATTTGGGACATGAAAACTCCGTTTTCGACGACATGTCTTTGTATCTCGAGCCTCCATCATATCCCGGTACGGAGCGACCGGACTTCTTTGTGCCTTGTGCTTTGGAACAGCTACTTGAGCGACTCGAGGCCATGTTTCCCACCATGGCCGCCACTACATCTCCTACGCAAGCCATTGCAGGCGAATTCGTAAGACCCAGTAGCCCTTCAACATGGCGCCAAAGCGTAAGTGACCAGATTTCGTCCTGCGAAGAACATTCCTAACATTGCTCCAGGAGCAAGACACGAGAGACCAGCACCTGTGCGGGTGCCTGGAACAGCAGGGACCACACACGACTCTTCTTCGAGCAGTTGGACCGGCAGCGATCCACGCTCATTCTCTGATCCATCATCCGACAATACTAGTATTCAGTCCTTTGGGCAAGTGCGCTGCTGGGAGAAGACCCCTGAAGTGCCATACAGGGTGGATCCCGCCACTGTCTGGGGGCGCGAACACGAGATTCCTATCAAGCGTGCTCGCAACGACTCGCCAGTGTACAAGACTACTAGTCAATCATCGTATATGAGAACACCATTGTCGGATCTATATTCCCCTCCTTTTTATTGGAATCTGCCCCAGTCCAACGTCCAGCTGACCTTCGGCGTCGAACTGGAGCACGTCTTCGCATACTCAATGGTACCAAGAGAAGGGTATGAATTCATGTTCAATGAAGACGAAGATAATCTTCTGAATAAGTATTGGAATGAGACGCATAACGGAGTCTGGGCCGAACGCGTCGATGAGGGTTCAGCGAACAGAGAACGAATCCATGCAGCTTCCAAAGACGTCCACCAGCGCATCCTCAAACACAAGGGTCTTGGTTGCAGTCAACAGCACAAGCCCACAGATTGCTCTGGCTGGACACTTACCGATGTATGTTCTGCTGACCATGTTTGTGCAGACACCGCCACTGACTCGTATCTAGGACGGGTCCGTTGGCACAGAATCCGACACGAAAAAGTGGCCAAGCTTGCTTCCAGGAAAAATCAAGGAGAACGAGGAAATAGAGTGGACAATGAGCTCTCACGAACTGGTATCTCGAGTCCTGGATGTTCCCCTCGTATATTCTTTATTCCCTGGATTCAAGTTGGGCGCAGGCTTGCAGGAGATCGAGAAGTACATCACTGCCACGGTCGGACAGCCGTCGGATCCCTGGGGAGCTTTCACCAATCCCACATGTGGTCTACACGTGCATGTAGCACACAAGCCTGAAAAGGGTGACGACGTGGGCTTACCACTGCCAATACTGCAACATCTCTGTTACATCATCGTCCAATTCGAGGGTATCATCTCAAGTCTGCATCCGGTGGGAAGACGGAGCACAACAAAGAGCAGTGACGAGAGCGGACGTTACATCAAGACAAATCTGGAGGGCTTCCACAGTTCACCTCATATCTGCCAACGCATCCCGAACACAGAGTCGGCCGAGAAAAAGATTTTTACCAAAGACATGACAGCTGCTAGATTGGCAGAACTCATGTCAGTAACTTATAGCTCCTGGCCCTTTGATTCTCACCACGCCGAGAGATTCAAATTCGTCAATTTCCAGAGGCTCACCTTCGACTGGGGTATACCTCACACCGTCGAATTCCGTCAACATGCTGGTTCACTCGATTTCGACACGATTGCGCATTGGATACATTTCATAGTCAGCCTGGTCAGAGCGGCAGAACGCCAGGCACATCGGAGCCAGCCAGCGACACCCGGCAGCCCCAAGACACCCAACTCGTTAGCCAAGCAGTTGGAGATAAACTTGAGATTGCCTTTCCCTCGCAGACAGGGAAACAAATACAAGATTCGTTGCGCCAGACTCGCAGACGAGCTCGATCGACTATTCGGTCTCCTCGACTTCGACAGAGAGACCCGGAGGTATTGGCATAACCGCTTTGTCGAGTTTAACCCCAACGAAGTCGTGTCTCTCGATCCCACCGATTATGGAGTCAATAGAGGCTCCATGTACTCTCAGGAAGAGTGTCCAGGTTGTCAGGCGGAAACCCGTTACAACCAAGATTCGACACAGTATGGAATGAATGAATGGGGCGAATCGCCAGCTCCTCACAAAAAATGGCCGAAAAGCAATCTTTTCAACCACGACAAAGACAACTCATTTTGGTGACGCTTATATGATTAAATTTGATAGGTCAATGGATAACTGCTCAAAGTTATATTGCTTTTCTCCCAGGCGGAGGCAAGAACTGAACGGCCATGACCAGGGACCGAGGCCGTGTATCATCACAAGGACTTGTTGAATGAGACCTTAGACTGCCATCCTTCCGCCTGTAGCCACCAGGGACCTCACAGGGGCTGTAAGGCGTGCTCTTGTCCTTTTTCGGAGACCTAGCCCCAGACAACTGCGTCTGGAATTCAGTTCATTATGGGAAAATGGAAATAGGAGCCCATAATCAAACGTCTTTGTTGGAATTCGACCTAATTTGCTTTCTAGGTCATGACTTCCAAGCGAGAAGCTGATCAGTTATTGAAGTCGACCAGGGCAAAAGTAGTCAGGCTGTGCACGGGTCTTGGGCCGTCGCTTTTCTCGGTTCAAGGCTATACTTCCTGTCGGGAATATGCCTGACTACTGATCGTGGTGTGGATATGTGTGGAATATATTCAGCCACCAACATGGTACTCCCGGACCCGGTCTACGGTTTCGTCTTCCACTATCTATACTTTTATCACGCTACTAGTACTATACTATGTCTTCGCCGCCTCTAATGCTATATGCCTATAGTTCTGGCTAGCACTATAACGATAAGAATCACGGTACGCAGAACGCCTATCTTCCTACGACGGTCGGAGGCCGCTCATCGACCTCTCGGTCCCTTCGTTCGTGATTCCTCTCCAACGGAACCAATGGAGACCGTCCGCCCTCACGAGGTACCGCCGCACCCGCTGTCATCTACGACGTGGACAACCCCGATTCTTCTTCGGCGCAGCCTCGAATGCTGTCGTTGAGTCAGAAGCTTGGGGTGAAGAACAAGAGCTGGAGAGGGTACGCAGGAAGAGCGTGGCCGACAGCCACTACGAGAAGTTTGTCAACGACCAATTGACCAAACAAGACGGAAGAAAGCACTGGTGTCTACAAAGACGAATTTGAGGCGCGTTGGATTAAACGTTTTGGCTAGAAGAGTAGCCCTATCGGAGTAGCGCATACGAGCTTGGAAAGAAAGCCTGCACCAACATTTCCCTTAACTATCTGCCTTGGGTGCATCCGAAGCTCGAACAGGCCGTGAGCGTATATCTCCGAGAGCTGTAGATGGACCAGCAGAAGTTGCATCTACGCTTTCGCGTGCCTGTTCTCTGTCCGCCTCTGGCTGGGCGTCATCAACCACGGCCCGCACAATACCCTCGATCAGTGTCCGGTACTTGATCTGATGTTCGTCGAAGTGTTGACCTCGGTTAAAACCTCGAAATGAACTCCGTATGGGCCGGCAGCGTGGAACATCCATTGTGATGAACAGCCAATGAAACATTCCGCCACCTGCGACTACCACTGGTGCTAGCTGTCCCCATTGCATCAAGGCGCCGTTCGCCGGACTGCACTGCTTCAGCAACGCGGCGGTCGAAAGGAATGATGCCCCGATGTGGAATATATGCTCCCAGGGAGCTAGTGAAGTCGTTGCTATGCACTCCTTGTAGTTGAGCTTCATTGCCTTTGCAGCTGTCCAGACGAAGGGCTTCGGGATGACACCGTAATATTTCTCAGGCACGAGGTTCTTGTCTCGGCCTTCCGGTTGCGTCGGCGATGGCGGTGGCGTTGGAGGCTGGTGCTTGGCATCGTGAAAGATACCAGTAAACGCCAGGCTATCGGCGAGGGTCCGAAGGATGCTGAAAGTCCTGGCGGCGAAGAAATACCATAGTACCATGCTGACCTTGTCAAAGTTGAGATCGGAGGAAGAATCCACGTAACCACCCCACCAGACGATTCGAAATTTGCATATGTTGGGAAGTTCAGTTCTAGAAAAATGGCTCATGGCGTACGCCGCCGCTCCAAGGGCCACCAGCTGGGCAACACACGTCGAATAAACGAGTTTTCGGGCAGCGAGAGCTTCCTTATCCGCAAGCATGATCGATAGCCCAGAGGAAGCAGAATCGATAGCAATCAGAGCTACAAGCAGCTCGGGAAGCTTTAAAGTTGGCCCCCAAATGCACAAGCCAATGGCGAACCATAGCAAATCTGCTCGACGTCAGCCTCGAAGGTAAAGATTCGAGTTCATCACTTACTAGGGAGTAGGACCAGACCGAATTCTTTTGCGCCGGACGCAGAGACATGGAAATATCCCAGTATCGACGAAACACAGAGTCCTGCGGTAGGAAGGAAGATGCTTAGCCTGGGCCCAAACCCAACGATAGCCAGATCCAGATCAGCTGTGTGACGAGGCTGCCGTGGCACATTCAAAAGGCCAACTATCTGACCACATCCCCATACGGGTCCAAAGCGCTGCGCGATTCGAGCAATTCTGAGTTTATTGGGGGTTGTCTGCAAGCGCCCATTAGCCGGAGTCTCGCTTGCATGCACGGGTGATCTTGTATGCGACCGTGAAAGGATATAAAAGGAATCTTAATTCAACTGCGAAACCGAGACTGAAAATAAACAAAACGGACGCAGCAGGTGTAGCCAAAATGATATTGACGACTGCGTCTGAACCTGAGTAATCCGAGGCGTCTGATGTCTGATCCATGATCTCTCAAGCGAGTGGGAATGGAAAACTGTGCAGAGCTTGATGAAGCAGAGGTGATCGTAACCAAAGGGCTTTTGCGGCTGAAAGGAAGTGAAATGGCGCACATTCTTATAGGTCGCGGAGTGTTGTTGCAGCTATCATCGACGCAGTACGGAAGGAGAAAAGAAATATGGCTGTTCATGGCTGAGCGCAAGATGCGAACCAGCCGACGCCTGCTGAGGCTCATCAGGCTGAGGCAGATGCAGGGCGTCTTCAGGCAAAGGCGGATCGAGACCACGATTGCCTTATCCGGATAAGTGATCCACCGTGGACATCTACGGGGAAGTATATCGTCATCGTATTGCAACTATAGAGGCGATGAGTCTGGCGCTTTTATATGCCAATGCGGTCCTGGACGGTAGACGGAAGCAGAACTGAGTAACCCGTGATGAGAACATGAGGAGGGTGAGCAGCGGCCTAAGCAGGCTGAGCAGCTATATCAACAAGTGGCTCGTCTTGGGCTTGACTTGGCCGGCCCTTCTCATCCCCACGGATTTTTCTTACAGCCCGACCCTTCGTTACATTGGGATCAAGTTCTCCGGACGCTGATCAGCTCTTCTTTTCGACCACGAAGGGCTACAAGAGCCATGTGCTCGGTAGCCCTGCCGAGCCTCGTCGGTACGTACGTGGGGAAGGATGGGGTGGTGGATGGGGCTCCATTATTCAGTCTCTTCAGTGTGGTCCTCGGTTAATATTGATTTTCGAGTTCGAGGGCCTCTTACATTTTACCGAGCAACTTTTCAATCCTTGTTTCAGTCTTTTACCGTTCGTTCCAAAGTATTGACTCGGGATTATTCCTGATACTAACCGACATCACGGTTAACATCGATTATCAGTCAGTCGCACTTAGACGATGAGCCCCACCAGTGTACTTAGCACGGCTGCTCAATTTCTCGGGCGTGGTTCAGTCTCGTTCAACCGAGACGACGTCGAGATACCGTCGGGTGGCCAACACTCACCATCTGCTCGGACCCCGGGTGATCCCAGAAAGAGACAGAGGATATCGCGCGCCTGCGATATCTGCCATAGGCGACGTGTCAAATGTGATGTTAGTCCGACACGCTCGAGAATCCGTGGTGATTCTAGGCTCATTTATGTTTAGGGCAATACTCCGTGTACAAGATGTCTAGGTACTGAAGGCAGACGCCCTTGTCCCTACCTATGCTTCGCTTACAAACGCCGTAGATCCTGCTGTATGCACCTATATTCGAGGAGCGCGCAAACGGGGTAAACCAGTGCGGAACGGCCGTGGCGACTCCCAACAGCTGTCGCCTAGCTCGCCGTCGGACAACGACACCCAGCTTCATGCTGATCTGCGATCCTTACCATCTCCAAACCAAATACCGAGCGCAAATGGCACTGACCAGCATCGATGGGAACGAGACTTCCAACCTTCCAACAACCCAGGGCAAGCCAGCGCTGGTGACAGGTTCGACTCGTCACGATATGCAGCCCCGGACCTCGTCACCCGCCTGGGACAACAGCCACCTGCTATGAACTCGAACTTTCTCTGTAAGTCCACTCCTGGGATTCAATCCAACGTATCATTTCGACCTTCTTTCCTGACATTTTTGCCCAGCGGGCCTTGCAGCACCGGGCATAAATCTAAGCGACACATTACAAGAATCTTCCGGATCAACCACGCTTCGCGATCTCTTTCCCGACCAACATGTGAACCAGGATCAACCAAATTGGGAATCATTCGTACCGAGTACAGCAGCACCCGGCCAGCAGAACGTCGAGCAAAACAACACTATTTCCCAAGGTCTTAGGTACCCGGTGTTGAAACCTCTCTTACCATACATCAGATCATTCCTCACCGCTTCAGAGACTTGCAGTCTCTTGGAGTGCTACTTCACGAGCACGTTTGAGGACGTTTTCCACCCGGCCTGCGCACATATCCACGCCTTCATCTTCCGCAAAAGCTCTGTCCTCGACAGTAAGAACCCGCGCAAAAGTTCACCAGCGCTTTTGGCCAGCATGTTGTGTGTGGCAGCCGCGACAGACTGCGACGAGATGTTGTCCTGGCCCCACCGGAGATTACAAAGCGTCCGGAGCAAGCTCTACACGCTCACTATCCAGCTGCTGAAGCCTCTCGTTCACGTCGACTACGGCCACCCTGCAGTCTCTCAGGAAGACGGCAGCAGCACTGGCGATTGCGGCGGCACGGTACCCGAATGTGCGCCTACGAAGAATAACAAAGACTATCTGATAACGGATGCCACGTCGCTTCATGAGCAAGGCACGCTTGACGATATCGTCACGTACATACATATTGCGGCCGTGACTTCGGCGAGCGAGCGAAAAGCTGCGAGCATGAGATGGTGGCATGCAGCCTTCACTTTGGCAAGAGAATTGAAACTGCATGTAGAAGTGTCCCCAAAAGCCACCTTCTTTCCCCAGCAACGGAGTACAGGTGCCACCATCGACCCTTGGACGGACTGGGAATCCTTTGACTTCAACACCTTTACGATGGACTACACGGATGCTGCTGCCAGTGGGTCTTCGCCACACGGGTCTGTTGCTCGCCAGTACAACGTTCTCGGTGAGGAGGAACAAGAAGAGCGAAGAAGAACTTGGTGGCTTCTATATATTCATGACAGGCACCTCGCTCTGTGCTACAACCGACACCTTGCCCTGACCGATGCCGAATGCTCAGAGCTCCTTCTCCCATTGGACGAAGCAGCGTGGCAGTCTGGTCGTTTTCTGACCTCTGTCGACCCTTACGCAGACAGGCCGGGGTTTCCTTCAGTCAGGTGTACCGGCTATACCGCGTTTGGGTTTCTCTTGCCTCTCATGACCATCATGGGCGAAATCATCGACCACAACCATGGCAAACAACATCCCTTCCTGGGTGAACAATACCGGATGGGACCGCACGCAGATGCGCTGGAGCATCAGATCAGACAACAGCTAGTCGCCTACAAGGAGAGCTTAGAAGGACTTGAGTCTACTCAGCCTGCATCTCAACTTCGGGATGATGCCGGTATACAGCCAGGTCAACAGCAGCAGCAACATCGTCTCCACGTCAGGACCGTTGCCCGGTATGCCGATTTTATCATCCACGTTTGCTACATTCTCTTGGCGGGCAAATGCGATCCCGTATCAATGTTCGACGACAAGGATTTTTGGATGCTGTCCCCTGCCTTCGGATCGACCAAGAACCATGCCATCGAAGCTGCGGAAGCCTTGAATCAGATCTTGGACGTCGACCCAGACCTGAGCTTTCTACCCTACTTCATGGGTATCTTGCTGCTGCAAGGCAGCTTTGTGCTATTGTTGGTCATTGACCGACTGCAGGGACAGACGGAACCACGGATTATCAGTGCCTGTGAGATGGTGATCAGAGCGACAGAAGCGTGCGTGGCTACATTGGACGCAGATTACCAGGTCAGTAGTGATGCTGCTATGCGTTGTACTGGAAGTCTTGCAAAGTTCTCGCTAACTTTGTCATAGCGGAAATATCGACAGATTCTTCGGTCGGCAGTGATGCAGGCCCGAGGACGCAGCATTCCAGAAAGGATATCCAAAGATCGCCGACGAGCGGTTTTGGCACTGTACCGTTGGACCCGAAATGGCACTGGATTGGCCATTTAGAGGTATTGCCTTCCCACTTATTCTGAGCCCTTGTTCTCGTGACGGTCAGTGAATCGGAGGGTAGTTGGATAGGTACATAAAAATGGCGGCTCACTTACGAACGACACTTCGGTTAAAATGCTTTACAAAGCTCGGTTAAAGTCCACGGTCAGGATTCAAGGCGGAGTAGAACAATAGCCGCCGACCTCCTCATCTTCTTCTTCCTCCCTCCCCCTCCCCCTGAGCGCGGTTGTGGCAGGATTTCGGCATAGAACCTAACCTCAGCCCCTCCTATGCAAGGTTTAGACGAGGCCTTGACTTTGAAAGGAGTCTCCTACCAATTTCCATAACGCAAGCCATGAGGTTCACTCCGCTTGTCGGGTAAAAAGGGCCCGAGCACGAGTGATGAATAGTAGTAACTATGGTACCCGAGTTAGTATCTCACAGTCCTTTACGATAAACCTCTTGAGAACTTTGTGCTTGCTTCACAGGAGTGACTGTCGAAAGATTTCGTTCTCCTTAAGACACACCAACCATACCCTCCCGTACATAAGTTAGGATCCAAGCACAATGACCAGCCAGCTCGTGCCCGTACCTGTGCAGAATGTCAATGTCAGTTCGCCGTTCTGGTCCTGGTATCAACAATGCTCCCGGGAGAAGGTGATTCCCGCCATCATCCACGCTCAAAAATCAACCGGACATTGGTCCTGCCTGACCTGGAAGGCCGGCCACCCCGTCAAACCCCATGTAAGTACCTTACTCCTGTAGTAGTCCTAGGTGCTCCAGTTATCATTTTTCGAGAGAGATCGGGGAGTCCACACACCAAACAATTTCCCGCAGATGGTGGCCTGAAAGAAGAAAGAGTCGCAGAGTATAAAAACGGGTCGCTAACTCGTATGCTGTTTTCCAAAACAGCCGTTCTGGGATAGCGATATCTACAAGGTCGTCGAGGCATCATGCTATTTCCTCATGACGCAACCAGACGAGGCCATGATGGAAACGGTCGAAGAGGCCGTCGACATGATCATAGCCGCGCAGCATCCGGACGGCTACATCAACTCGTACTACACCGTCCGCGGCCTCGACCAACGGTGGACCAACGTCCGGGACATGCACGAGCTGTACTGCCTCGGACACCTTATCGAAGCGTGCGTCGCCTACGAGACGCTGACGCACAACGGGCGACTCCTTACGCCCGTGATGAAGGCCATCCGCCATGTCGACGGCGTATTCGGCGTCGAGCCGGGCAAGAAACGAGGATACCCCGGCCACCAAGAGATCGAAATCGGCCTGCTCCGGCTGTACGAGTTGACCGGGCGCCGCGACGACCTGCTCTTAAAACTGGCAAAGTATTTCATCCACGAGCGAGGCCAGCGCGACGAGGCCGGCGAGATCTATTTCGACCATGAGGCCCGAGCCCGCGGAGGCGATCCGTACGACCACATGGACCTCGAAATGCGCGTGTGCTACCAAGTTCCGCGAGACTACGGCTACCACCAAGCGGACTGCCCCATCGAAGAAGCCACCGAAGCCAAGGGTCACGCCGTGCGAGCCATGTACTTCTACACCGCCGCGACCGATCTGTGCCGCTTGACCGGTGATGCTGATGCCGACGGCAACAACAACAACAACAACCAGAACCAGAACCAACAAATAAAAGCCGCCCTCGACCGGCTGTGGAGAGACGTCGTCGGCCACAAGATCTACATCACAGGCGGTCTGGGTGCGATCCGCCAGTGGGAAGGCTTCGGTCCCGCCTATCTTCTCCACGACACCGAGGAAGGCGGGACATGCTACGCCGAGACGTGTGCATCGTTCGCCTTGATCGTTTGGTGCCGCCAGATGAACCTGCTCGGATCAGGTTTGGGCTGCTTGAACTCCGAATACGCGGATATCATGGAAGTCGCGCTCTACAACGGCTTTCTGGGCGCCGTGGGCCTCGACGGCGCCTCTTTCTACTACGAAAACCCATTGCGGACGTACACTCACCGCCCGAAACACCGGAGTACCTCGTTCGAAGTGGCGTGTTGCCCGCCCAACACGGCGAAGCTGCTCGGACAGCTAGGCACGCTGATCTACTCGTTCCAGCCCGGCGTTGTCGTCATCCATCTCTTCATTCAGAGCGAAGTGCGCGTTCCAGACACTGACGACGTGACCGTCTCTATGACGACTGACATGCCTTGGTCGGGAGACGTGACTGTCAGTGTAACCGGCACCACTGCTCTTGCGATACGCATCCCGAGCTGGGCGGAGGAGTACACCTGCTCAGTCGGTGGCGATGTCAAGGGCGGATATCTCTTCATTCCCAGCTCGAAGGATGCGTCGATCAGCCTGAAATTCGCATTGGCGCCGCGCAAGGTGTACGCGAACCCGAAGACGGACAAGGATGAGGTCTGCGTCATGATGGGTCCGCTGGTGTACTGCCTTGAGGACGTTGACAACCCGGGCATTGACGTCGATAATGTGGCCTTTGTGGATGGGCCGATTCGCTTAGGCGAGAAAATGAGGGTAGGGCCACTTGAACGAGTCGTTCCAATCTTGGCTACCGGGAAAGAGCTGGACACGGGTGGGTGGGATTCGTTGTATGGTTCGAAGCCGTGGAAGTACAAGGAAGAGGAACGGCAACTCGTTTTCATCCCCTACTTTCTGAGGGCAAACAGAGGCGGCAATGGGGGGATGAGGGTCTGGACGAAACGTTTACCACAATCATAGACTGAAATCGCTTTTCAGGATACCTCAATCTAAGTATCTAGGTTTCCAACTGATTTATATCTACGTGCACCAATATCCAGCAAAACCAAAAAGCAGCGTCTAAGCATTTGCCGCAAGTCTATTCAGGAATTCTAGCCAACTCTTCCCCCTTTCTTTGTGTGATTCCAATGTAGCTCACAATCAATCTAATTTGAAACTTGACTGCATTTCAACCAGACCCTCAAACCCTCGCCCGTCCTTCGGTTCGAACAAGCGAAGTACGGCACCATTCGGAAGTCTTTCGCTTGTAGCCCGACGACTTCAACATCTGCAATTTGCATCTTCGCTTCCTCGAATTCGTCGCGAAGGTCAATGGTTACTGAGTCCAGGGGCTGTGTCGTGTCCATGCTCTCCAGACAGTAAAGCAGCGGCCCCCGCTCCACAGCCACCATACCCTGCGTGGCCTGCACAAGCGGATTCGATCTGACCAGTTTCGGAGCGACATTGAAGGACAGTGTGATCGTCTCGTTCCACCGCTTCGGACCAAAGTGTATGTATCCATCCTTGGCCGAACCCTCAATAGAGGCGGAGAGGGTATAAGCCTGCTCAGGCTCCCGAACGGCAAAGCCGACCTCCCTCTGTCCGGACTGGATGGAAACTTCCACGTAGCCTTCCCAGGGATACCTCGTAACGACCTTAACATGCAGCTCTCCGTCATCGCTCTTGTACTCAGATCCGATGTACAAGTTCAGCGCGATGTTTTGGTCCCCAACCGTAAACACATACTCCTCCAGCGAGTTCAAGAACCGTGACAAATTCGGCGGGCAGCAGCATACTTCGAACCAAGTATGGCGCACCGAGCAATCCGTTGCGAGGGGTTGGTCATAAAAGAAACTCGTCCCGTCCAGCGAGACTCCGGCGAGGACATCGTTATACAGCGCTCTTTCCATGGTCAGGGCGATTTTGCGTGAAAGCCGCCTCTGCAACATACGCTTGCCAAGGAAGAGAATGCCGATGGATGCACAAGTCTCTGCGTACCCGTCGAGAGGAAGCTCGTAGTTCTCGCCGAAGCCTTCCCACTGATGGATGGCCCCGATGCCCCCGTGAACATAAAGATGGCAGTCGACCATATTGTCGAATAACCGGTCCACTGCTGCATCTAGCGATTTGTCGCCTTTGAGGGATGCCAAATCCTGAACGGCGGACAGATAGTACGTGACGCGGACGCTGTGGCCGCGAACCTTTTGAGTCTCTCGGATTTGTTCGTCGGCTTGCATGTACCAGTACGCTCTAGGTCCCGTGAAATACGGAATTGTCACACCCGGTGGAGGTGGAGGGATCCAAGTTTCTGGGTCATCACCTCGCGCTCGCGCCTCCATGTCGAAAAATTCACCCTGTCGGTATCCTCGCTGTTCGATAAAATAGTCCGCAAGGTCAAGATATCTTTGTTCGGGGCGGACACGGTACATCCTAAGAAGGGCCAGTTCGATCTCCTGGTGGCCTGGGTAGCCGTGGATTTTGCCCGGCTCAGGCCCGAAGATCGTGCAAATGTAGTCCACGTAGCGTGTCATTATATCGAGGAAACGGGTCGACTTCGTCACCTCATAGTGAGTGATGGCAGCTTCAAGGAGGTGGCCGGCATCGTACAGCTCGATGTTGTGCGCGACATTGGTCCAGCGGGCTTCGGGTGCCACGACCGTATGGTAGGTGTTGATGTACCCATCTGGGCCTTGAGCTGCTTCTATCATGTCGATAGCGTCATCCACCCAGGACTCAAACGTAGCGTGCTGAGGGTCTTTGACCGGAATCCACTTCAATGCGCAACAGACGGCTTCCACGAACTTGGCCACGTCCGAGTCCCAATCCATGTGAGGTCGAAGATGTTGGGGATCTCCGTGTTTCCAAGTGTGCTTCAGAGAGTCCCATCTAGGGCTTTCTTTCAACTGTTTGTACATAGTCGGGATGGTCACCTCTTGGTTGGCCTTGATCCGAGGGGTCCAGAACGCGTCATCAATCTTCGCTCGTCCAAAGTTTGACCGGGCCTTCGCCCTTCCGTTGAGTGCAACAGGAGAGGTCCATTCCTGCTCGAGTTCTGGTGCAATGGAACCCATATCTGCGACGTAGACAACCAAGTATCAAAGGAGTACGACAAATGATGGAACGAAAGTGTGTGAGTGGTGTCGATTGCGTAGCTTGCTCGAGGGAGGAGAGAAAAATAATGGGCGCTGGTAAGTGTGCTCTCTCGGAATCGAAGGAACCATGTGTCAGAACAAATTTCCCTGCATGCCGTGCTTTCAACCGACTAGAAGTCAGGCGGAATGTCTGATCGCTCGGTCGTCTCGGCACGGCATTTGCAGCACAACATCTTCCTCAAATGCTTCCACCTCGTATGTCAGTGGGAAGGAGACCATCGTTGTCTCTGTCCGGTGCATTCTCCGCCTCGGTTAATCTCATCGATCCGAACCATTGCACGGGCCCTCACAGAGAAGCGGCTCGGTTAATGAGCCTGTCCTCTTTAGCCGTGCATACTCCATATGTTCGTTTAATATCCAGATCAGGTTTATTCGCCTCCACAGCCATGCCGAATCCCGCTGTAAACCCCAGTCACGATTGGTGCTTATTTGAGGAGGCCCGCCGCCCCCAGGTTCTCTTCCAGATCTGATGATAACCAAAAGCATTGCAACTGATCATCCCAGCTCAAGGTCTGGGTCAGTGAACAACACATCAGTTTTGCAGTATGTCCGAGTTGCACACAATACCCCTGGAGACAGGGACCAAGACCGCCGGTGGACACCAGCACCAAGAGATCGAGCAAATCGTCGACAGCCTCGGGCCTGGGCTTACTGGCTCAAAAGAAGAGCTTGAAAATGCCAGGAATGCGACGGAGCGTGAACACGGTCTGTCAATCTGGCAAGGTTTCCGAAAATACCCCAAAGCTGTCGCATGGTCACTGGTCATATCTGGAACGATTATCATGGAAGGATATGACCAGATCTTCATCGGTTCCCTGTACGCGCAAGGAGCTTTTCAGAAGCGTTACGGCATCCCTTTCAACGGCGGATATCAGATTCCTGCCAAATGGCAGACGGCTCTCGGCATGGTGCAATTCGTTGGCTCCATCGTTGGGAACTTGATCCAGCCACTGTTGACAGAACGATTCGGATTGAGGCGCGTCATCCTTGCAGCCCTCGCCTACCTGGCTGGCGTGGTCTTCATTACCTTCTTCGCAACTTCTCTGGGCATGTTGACTGCAGGCATATTCCTCTGTGCAGTCGCCTATGGTATCTTTAGCACAGCCGGAGCCATTTATGCGTCAGAAGTGTGTCCAGTGGTGCTTCGAGGCTACTTGACCTCGTATATCCTCCTTTGTTTCGTCATTGGGCAGCTTGTTTCCGCCGGCATCACATACAGTGTGCAGGGCATGACCTCTCAGTGGGCTTACCGTATCCCCTTTGCAGTTCAGTGGGCCTGGTTCCCACCGCTTGCGGTGGGTATCTTCTTGGCCCCAGAATCTCCATGGTACGAACACTCCCTCCGTAGATTCCGCTGAACAAGTTACGGCTGACACTCGATGTATAGGTGGCTTGTTCGTAAAGGTCGCTTGGCAGAAGCAGAAAGATCTGTCAACCGACTCAGCAACGAAGGCAATGCTCGCGAACAAGTGGCTCTGATGGTCCATACAAACCGGATTGAACAGGAGCTCGTGTCAGGTTCGACTTACAAGGATTGCTTCACTGGGTTCGACCTGCGCCGAACCGAGATCGCCTGTGGTGCATTCATAGTCCAGGCAGCCTGTGGTTCAATCGTTGCTGGCCAGTTGGTTTTCTTCTTCGAGCAGGCCGGACTGGCCAACAGGTTGTCCTTCCAACTCGGCTTGGGCTGCACAGCGTTCTCCTTTGTTGCCACCGTGGCAGGTTGGTTCATGCTCAGCTACATGGGTCGTCGTGCACTCTACCTTTGGGGCCTCTTCTTCCTAGGAATCGTGCTTTTCCTCATGGGGTTCCTCGCTCTGGCACCCTCGTCGAACTCCGGTGCGAAGTGGGCAACCGCATCCTGTGTCTTCCTATACGACATGTTTTTCTTCCCAATGATAGCTGGACCTTGCTACATTATTTCGGCGGAAGTTTCATCGACAAGACTTCGATCCAGGACTGTGGGTTTGGCGCGAAATGCATACAATCTCATCTATATCATCATCAATGTGATCAACCCACAAATGATCAATCCGACAGCAGGAAATTGGAAGGGAAAAATCGGCTTCTTCTGGGGAGGTGTCACTATTCTCTGTTTTGTATGGACATATTACAGGTTGCCTGAATGCAAAGGCCGAACATATGAGGAACTGGATTTGATGTTCGCACAGAAAGTGGATGCGCGGAAGTTCAAGACTTGTGAGGTGCATCCTTACGCCGAGGGTGAAAAGGTCCACGTTCAGTGAGATTGCCACACTTTGTGAATGTGCACAAGTTCTTGAGAGTTGGGACATGGAGATGGGTGAAGAATGGCGGAGATCATACTGTACGAGAGGGAGGACAGGCATCATGTAGAGCGTGGCAATGATAGTCAAGCGTAGAAGCTTAACGTAACACTGAGTACTATCGTCAATATCACGACCTTGTAAGCATTATGATTCGAGAGTAAATATAAGGAAGAGGAGGAAAGTTAACTGAAGGACAGGAACGATAATTGGACTATCGCTATACCTTCCTTATTTACCTAGCTTAGTCATCCCATCTACTCCCCCCACTTACATAATCCTTTGCTCGTGTATGCTCAACCCCTACGTTACGAGATCACTTACTGTCATTGTCAACTCTAAGGCATCACTTAATAAGAGTATAATAAAGAAGAAAGTCAAGGTTATCAACGTAAACGTAAGCCTACGTTTAATCTTTGATTACTTATCGCAAGTACTTTCCCGTCATACTCAACCAGTATACCACGATAAGGGAACCTGCTCTTCGACTCAAGTCATTAAGCATACTAGACTTCCTCTGCCCTATTGCTGCAAGGTCTCGCTCAGCGAAGGTCCATGGAAGGAAACCACTTCTTCAATCCTACTCTTTCGTTGCAGATCGGGTCGATGCATCCGCAAACGTGATTGCAATTTGTCCGCTCACTGGCCGAATCCAGATCGGAACTTCCCAGCTTTGGCTTCTGGTCCTGCATCGACATGCCCTCGGGCACCATTCTCAATGCTTGATAGGGTTGAGAACCGGGGTCATAGTAAAGACCATCAATCTCGCCCGTAAGCCTATTGAGAGCGATATAGTAGAATCCCGAGATGGTCAAACCCCAGGACGTGCCAGTACCAGTGCCGCTCCAAGCATTTGTGCCCGGGTCAGGGGAACGTCCAGCATACGGCGAGTATGAGGAGGATGTGGTCGTCAGAATTCTTCTTGTCTGACTATGATTCTGCGGCGACTGGCCGGTCGGGTTGACAAAGCACCGCTCTTTCCATCTCATAAGTATCCACTCCTTGCCGACTTTCTCATCGAGCCATCTCGCGCTTCCTAGACAGCGAGCCATGATCTTATCATCCTCAATTTCCGGGCTGTCTTCATTTTCCGTCATCAAAGGCCCAGCTTGGCTATCGCCCACAGTCATGGCCGTGTCGGGGTGGTCATTGTGTTGTGTATTCGACTCCTTGTAGTCGCCCTCGTCTCCGGCAGTCTTGCGGAAGGCGTTCCAAAGATTGCTGTCCTGCTGGTATTCATTCCTAGCCCTGCCGCGCAGGTTCCTGACATATTCGATCTCCTTTCTGAACGGACCTAGCCGGGCCCAGTAGCTTGCATCAATGTCGAGGCCGCCTACCCGGTAGTTTCGGCCGTCAGGTTCAGTTTCTAGGGGTTGCCTTCGGAAATCAATGATTTCGCCCGTAAAATATGAGGACATACTGGTCGCCGACTGGGGTGACTCCGTAGTGGATAGGTGTGAAGGTGATATTTTCTCGGGCATGTGGCTCGCCGACATTGTCCCCGTTAGGGTCATTGTATCGTAATCCACTGAGTGAATGGTCACCTTGACCGGCCAGTGATCGGACTCGGAGGACTGAGGGGGCGACAACGCAGATCGAGGTGATGGTGATTCTTGAGAAAAGCCCCATCGACCATTGCTGTCTTGCAGCAGGTCAGATAAGTATCGTTCAGAGTCCATCAGAGAGCCTGGTAATCCCTCGATTTCTTCTTGAATTGCTTCCCTTCTCCGAGCGAGGGTATGACGGAAGATGGCTCGCTGCCTGTCTCGACGAGCTTGCGATGCCCAAGTGGCTGTGCCCTGAGTAGGATCCCTGTCTGTCGACTGTAGACCATTCCAGACCATTCCCGGCGCTAGCCATGAGCTGTACTGTGGAATGGGCAAGCTGTTAACGTGCATTGGTAGGTCGCAGGGTGTGTTTGATTCAGGAGACTCATACAAGGAGTCCAAGTCGAGCTGTCTGGCCAATTGCAGACCACCTTCTACCCCAGTGTGTCTCAGCTGAGAGAGATATCGGATAGAGTTCCGTACTCGATCAAACGCCCCAGTCTTCTTGTGTCGGTCCTGCCTTGGGGGATTGCTGTGGGAGATAGTATAGGCTTCGTCGTATAGTCGGGTGTATTCGTCATTTCGCCATTCTTGAGCCGAGATGCGGTCTTGATGTTGAGACGCTGTTGTGGTTGAAGACCCGCTGTTGTCATTGCTGTTAGGTTCCTCGTGCCAATACGCTCTTAGGGCGCTGGCAGTGGGCACAACACCTAATTCGGCTGCCCTTCCGGTCCTCACGAGGCCATTCCTGGCTGCGCGTTGACGGGCGAGGGCTCTTTCTAAACGCTCTAGATCTCGTCTTGCGACGAGGTAGTCATCGGTGCCTGCAGTGCTCGTTCGGCCAAAGTCATCTTCGGTCTCGTCACTTTCTCTCGTCGGCGTCTGGTCCTGCATGATGGCTGGATGTTGGTCCTCGGCAGAGGTGTTCCGATGCTCCCCCTCTGCCAGCCACCTTGCTCTGGCCAATATTTGGTCTCCTCCTGGGCCCAAGTTGGCATTGTTCTCCCCTCCAGCAGGCGGTCGTCGGGCTTCATCGGGCTGCCTAGAAAGGGTAACCGCAGCGGCAAGTGCGGCGAAAAGTCCGGACGACCCGTTCTGTCGAGATGGGCCGCTCCCAACTTGTTGAGTATTATGCCGGTGCCTCGCGGTAGCGGCCAAATGAGCGGCGTCTCTGGAGATGGCTTGTTGGATTTCAAGTATGCGCTCAAGAGAAGAAGGAGGACTCGATGGGCGGGATTCCTGCAGGATGGTAAGTAAGTCAAGTCATCAGGATGTCTGCTAAAGACTGCTGAGACAATGTCTAGAAGGGTAGAAGGACTGGCCGTAGCGAGATGGATGACGAGGGGGAAGGTGGTGTGTGTCGCGGCTGGGTATCTCGAACCAAGACGTATGCCTTTTTAACCACTGATAGAGCTAAATTGAGAGAAATGGTGTTCTTACAGACGGAGGGTGTGCTGGCGGCATTGATCAAGCCTGTCCAAGGAGGATGGTGGGTGGAATCGAGGTCGACGTCGACGTCGAGGCGAGGTGCAGTTGTCCCTCAGTCGCCGAACGAGATTGAGCTGTGTTCCACCACGGTCTGGAGGAGGGTTCGTAACAGCTGCGAAGATGCCTTATCCAAGATATGTTAGTTGTACGGTACATGGAGAGACTGATAGAAATACATGAGTCGTCGACTCGGGCAGCTCACAGTCTCGATGCGTCCAATGACGTTGCAGACAGTGCCTACCGTGGTCATCCAAGACTCTGGAATGCGATGAAATTGTTCCTCAAGCAAAGGTGTCTGCATGCGCCACGGACAGAAAAAGGCCTATACTGTGGTAAACATATACACGCCGATTGCACAGCCGATAATGGCTCGTGAAGCCAAGGTAAAGAGTTGAATAGGCGAGTTGCCATGGGCCTAGCGAGCCTGGTGCAGCCTAACCAGTGTGCCTCGCGTGCGGCGTCCGTAGAGACACGATGAACCCTGTCCTTGTTTGGCTCAGGCGCAGGCACATCTTCTTCGCGCGTAGAGCCGTGCCACAGTGAACAATTCTGCCATTCACAACATTCGTGCAAACACAATAGAATATCCACGGACTCTGACCATCACCCGAGACACCTTTCATCCAGCCTTTGGCACCTCCCGTCGTCGACCTTGCCGCCATCATCCGCCCTGATGTTATCTCCGATCTCATAGGCGTGTCTCCACAAGGCAAAGGCGACTGTTGGCATCCATTCCGCTACGCTGCTCCCGCGGCTCATCGCAGATTACTATGGCCTTTTCCCTTTCCGAATTACTTAATCCTGCTCCCTTGGCTGGCGCAGAGTCGTCGAATGTGAATACAAGCGAGTAAGTCCATATGAATCGCCCTCTGGTCAATCTATTCCTGACTCCCTTTTCTAGCATGGACGCGACCGATCCCTCTGCAAACTTCTTTGCGCCCGAACTCTTCCAGCAGGACGACGACGCGCCCATGGCCCAAGATGCGCTCCTTCCTGTATCGCAAGACGTGGAGATGACCATGGTCGATGACACCATGATGGACACAGCAATGCCCAACGGTGATAGTGTGGTTGACCCAGGGTTGGTCAAGGAGGAGGTGGTTGACAGTGGCTATCCGCCTCTCGAAGATGAAAATCTTCCTGCTGGAGATATTTCCGTCATGGATATGGGTGAAGGATCTCTGCTCGGCGACAGTTCGTCTCTTCGTGGCTCTCCCGAACAGAGCGCCAAAAAGCCAAAACACTCAGGAAAGTCCAGAAAATCCGACGCGAACGCGGCGCCCAAATCATCAATACATTCTTCCAAGAACGAGGGGCAGCACACCGACCGCAGATATCTGTGCTATCTATGCAACAAATTATTCACAAGACGCCGTTCGGTGAGAGATCACATCTCAAAAATACACAACACCAAGACGTGGGAACCGGTGCGTAGTTTGGAAATTATAGTTGAACCTCTAAGCGGCGAGCCTATTGAACCTCTTGAAGATATCATCGCAAGAGGACCGCCTCCTCCACCTCCGAGACCGTCCAAGGCGCAAAGAGCCGAAAAGGCGGCAAAGCATGACGGAGACGAGGAGAATGAGGACGAGCCTCAAGAGGAGCACCAGGTCGAGGAAGAAGATAGGACCGATGACCTAGAAAACAAGTCCACGTTCGAGTCTCGACCTACTCAAGTATCTACACCACAACCTTCGCATCCGGTTGCGACACTGAAGAAAGAGCCGTCGATCGCAGGATCCAGAGCGTCCTCAACCGAGCCGTTCGCGACACCTGCGCCCGTCGCAGGCAAGAAACGACCAGCACCCGACGATTCGGCAAAGTCCTCTGCGGCAGCCAAGAAGAAGGGAACAGCAAAGATCAAAGGCTCTACGGCACCCAACAAGCGATCGAAACTGAGCGAGTCCGAGCAGAGTCCACCAGCACGGTCGGCCTACCGATCTCCCAGCGCCACTCCTGCGTCGACACACCTCAAACCCATACCGTCCAAACTCAAGAAACAAACCTCGGCCGCCAGTGTCAAATCCTCACCCACACCAGCCTCTTCGCGTGCTGCGTCGATCGAAGCAAGATCCCGCTCAAGTTCAGTCGCCGACACACCGACGAGCTCCAACGACGATGGAGAGGTATTTTGCATCTGTAGAAAAGGTGACAATCATACTTGGATGATCGCGTGTGACGGTGGCTGCGAGGAGTGGTTCCATGGCAACTGCGTCAACATCAGGGAAAGAGACGGCGAACTGATCGACAAATACATCTGTCCGACGTGCGTCAAACCTGGCCTGCAAACCACGTGGAAGAGAATGTGCAGACGGAAGGATTGCAGAAAGCCGGCCAGAGTGATGCAGGATCCTCCAAGCAAATACTGTTCCGATGCATGCGGGCGCATGTTCTTTGTGGAATTGGTCCAAAGAGGCGATCCCGATGTACAAATCAGTAAGGACGGTCAGTATATTGTGGAAGCCGAGAAACCGAAAAAGTTGCGGAAGAAGCACAAGAAATTCGAAGGTCGAAGCAAGGCGCCCAAACCACTCAACAACGTCAATGGCGACGTGGGTACCCCCATCAACGACGAGAGCCGGCTTGCAACACCTGCGTACAGCGAAGAAGAGAAGACCGATTACGAGACGGACAGCAGTTTGGACGACGATATGCTACCCAATCGTGGCTCGGCCCTGCGAGCAGGTGAGGTCAAGGCCCTGCTCGAGAAGTGTAAGGACATTGAAGAATGGCGCGGTCTCGGCCGCAAACCCGACACGCCGCCTCGCGACGTTGTCGACATGTCCAATGCAGACTCCGAGTCCAAACCGGTCCCGCTCGAATTCGACGAACTGGAAACCGCCAAGATGGCCAGCATCGAAGAGGAGAAGCGCAACCTCCATGAGCACAATGACATACTCAGCGCGCGCGAACTCGTGCTCGATCTAGTCAAGGCCCGATCGACGAGTATAACAGATGAAGTGAAAAAGGCGCATCCTAAAATGAAAGACGTCTGCGGTTTCGATCCACGCATGGCCTGGTCGGACGAGGAATTTCACAACTGGTATACCAAGCGCGGCGGGAAAGAACTGCTCGAGGCCGGCATGAAAGCCAAGATCGGCCCTCCCGAAGACGCCGAGACGAATGTTGTTAATGGTGTTGGCGATCATGAACGTGAACACCACCAAACGGAAGGCGATACCAATACCGATACCAATGCCGACGCCGATGCAGAAGAGAGCATGCCCAAAAAGGGTGGCGTGTGTGTCAAGAATCGGTGTCCCCGGCATAGAAACTGGGCAAAGGGCCAGTTGGCCGAGCTGAGGTTCGAGCAGGATCTGGTGAGGAGGCAGCTTGCGCGTTGCGAGGCTCAGCAGAGAAAGATCAGGGAGAGAGCGACGGTGAGGGCGTGGGAGAGTAGAGCGACCCACGGCGGCGGCGGCGGCGGTTCTACAGTTCTAGATACTAGTACGGTAGCTTGATCGTGGGGAGTGGTAAACTGCAATGCCAGTACCGAGTACTACACAGAGTATCTTGCACTATACCTAGGTAAATGATGGCTCTCGCGCTGAATGCCTTATGCACACGCGACAGTCGTTGCGGAAATGGTATCGTCTTCTTGGTCTTTGGTGCAGGAGAACGAACGAACGGAATCCGATTCCAACTTGATCGTGACTGCGACTTGGATTTTGGACTCGGTACAGAGTATACGACCAAAATTGCCGAGCAGCGAGGACTGAGGGCTATGTCCCGGTGTACTCCGTATGTATTAAATGAAGACGAAGATGAGAATGAGAATGAGAATGAGAATGAGAATGAGAATGAAAATGAAAATGAACAAGAAAATGAAAATGAACAATGCACCCAAGTCTGCGCACCAGTGTGCAGGTGGCTATGGCCTGTGTCCCATGTCCCTACCATATCACCTACCCAGTACTTCGAGCTTCACTACACTGCCGTGACTGCGTATCAACCTCATACTTTGAGAGTCCGAACCTCAATCCATACCAAACCACAGCATACAATCGCAACCGCAACCGCAATCGCAATCGCAATCTCGACAAAATGTTTTTTGGGCGTCGGAGGTAGAAAAGTAATACGTACGAGACCCATCCCGATTCTCTACTACGCGAGGCGGGCACCCCTTCTGAAAAAGTCCAGCCCAATTTGAAGCTCGTGCGATTTCACAACTCTCTCAACGCCAACTATACTCCCATAAAACCCTCGCCGTGTCAGCCCGTCGGCCGTTAGCGATCATCCAGACACAGAAACTCCGACCCCCGTTTTGGACACCCCGAAGTCGTAGCACATCATTCACCCTTACAATATTCGGCATACTATGGATAGCGATGCCGCCATGTGCGAAGAAGCTCCTCTCAAGCGCTCTCCTCAACATGTCTCAGCACCGGGTAGAGTTGCTCCTCCTCAGACCGATGCTTGTGATCATCCGTGCCAGTCATCTCGTGGTCCAGGCCGCCCTCGGCCTTTGGTGTGACAGTCTTGTCATCATCGTCGAATTGTTCGGTGTCGAGCCGTTTCTTGATCAGGTCACGCATCCACTCGATCAGTCGCATGTTCTGGACCCAGACCTCACCCGGTTCAGGATCCTTGGAGTCGCTCTTGGGTGTACCAACCTCGGCAGCGGACAAAGCCGGGTCGATGACACTATCTTCTGGAGAGCCGGCCTTCTTCTTGCCCTTGGCTTGCTTGTTCATCGCTGATGCAGGCGGAGTCACGGAGCCGTCAGTGACAATGTCCATATCATCCTTATCCTTGGCGGGAGCTGCGCGCTGAAGCATGCCACCGCTGTATCGGCGACGCTCGTCGTTGTCGAACATGCCGCTCAGGGTGGCAGAGTTGGCAGCAGCATAGGCCATGTCGCTGGCATTGGATGGCAAACTGGGGTACATGGCGCTGCTGGTTGGCGCTGCGTGGCCTTGCAACGGGCTCTGACCTGAAGTATAGCTCTGAGCAGATGATGGTGGTGTCAGACCTGGAGTGCTGGCATCCGTGGCGCTGGCGATACTGCCTTGATGCTGATGTTGAAGGAGAGCGGTGGGATTGCTGTGAGCTGCGGTGGTTGGAACTTGAGCAGCGCCGGGTGGACTGTTGCTGGTGCGGTAGGCGACATATCCAGGGCCGGCTTGGCCGACACCAGAAGACCCAAGGTGAGTATCGTTTTCGTAGATGGTAGCTTGCATTTGTTCGAGGATCTGGTCAATCGAGGTCAAATCGCCACGAGTCTTTGCGTTCCCCATGGGTGGTAGACTGTAGGCTTGGATGGGATCTTCGGACTCGTAGCCGCCACCAACCGAGACAGGCTGGTAGGCAGGGACTGCAAGACTGGTCGGAATGATCTGGGGGAGTTGAAGACCCTGGAGCTCAAAGAGGCGACGGCTGATATTCTGGAAATTAGCAGGATCAAGCTCTCTACGTCTGACCTGCCCGAAGAAATGGTCAAGCGCATCATAGCCACGCTTGCGAGTTTCGTAGTCATAAGTGGTCGGAGGCACGGTGCTGTAGTAAGTCACGGGGCCATAGCCGGGGTGCTGTCCGGTCTGTTAGTTCCCTGGGCATTGAAAGAACAGCTCAAGATTCAAAGGTACTTACCTGAACCGGTGGATGTGGCTGGTAATATTGGTTGGGGTGATGCTGGCCAGTGTAATCACCTGGACCAGGCATCGCAGGAGCATAATAGTTTTGACCGACTTGTCCTGTCAAAGCGTGACCATAGTATGAGGCGTTGTAGTCCCCACCTGAAGGCATGCCGTTTTGTGAACGTTGTCCTCCATTGGAATCTAGGTTGGGAGAGCGCATGATGACGCTGTCGTCAGCGTGAGTCTTGACATGTTTCTTCAGATCTTGCGGTCGCTTGAATGCCTTGCCGCAGAATTCGCACTTGTGAGGCTTCAAGGGGACGTGGACTCGGATGTGGGAGGTGATGTGGTCACGTTTGACGGTGGTGGTACGGCACTGACCCCAGGCGCAGGTCAAGTTGAGGTTGTTGGTTGACTTGCGACCAACATGACGTTCGCAGACGTGCTCCTAAAACAAAAGATTAGAACTGCGAAAACGAGTAAGAGGCGCAGGCGGGATCAAAGACTCACGTAGAGAGCTTCTGCAGATGGGCTGCGCTCGCCGCATCCTTGCCACTGGCACTGCAGGTTCTCGCCGGCAGCGTTGACACTGGGTGCGGGTTGTTGAGGAGTTTGGGTCAAAGGCTGTTGAGGCAGTTGACCTTGTTGCTGCTGTGGTTGTGAGGTGGCGGTCACATCCTGAGGCGCAGGGAGGTTTGAAGTGGTGCTGGTTTCGCCTAGTTCAGACATTGTTGTTTCGTCGTCGCGCCAAGCTTGAGCCCAAGTCACGGTGAGAGCCAAGAGATATGTTCAAGTCGACCTTGGCAAAGATTTCAGGTGAACGCCGACAAGAGATACCACGACCCCGGGAATCTGGTGCTCGATGCTGACAAAAGTTCGTGGATGGATGGAAAGCGGAAGAAGGCCAAGTTGAGAGTCGGGTCAGTGAAATTTTCCGAGTGAGCCTCACTCTCGGACCAGAAGTGAAGAAATTTTGCGTGAGTAACGAAGTACAGGCGGGCGGCGGGTGAGTCTGGCAAGACTACCTAGGTAAAGGGATTTGATCACGCCGTCCTGATGATTTGTTTCGACACTGAATAAGAGGGTGAAAGGAGTTGGTTCTTGAGTTCTACTGTGTACAGGAGACGGAGAGGAAGAAGAGGGTGGCTGCTGCTATCGGAGGAAGATGGGTCGGTTAAGTCAGGTCAGGTCAGGCGTGGTCAGGTCATCTCAGATGCGGCGGGAAAGGGAGACACGGAGACTACGGATTAGGCGTGGGTAGTAGGGGCAATGCTCTGAGAGGAGAGCCAGAGGGAGAGAGGAGGCAGAGCCATAGCCAGTGGTGGGAGCGTGTGTGGTCTGGTCTCTTCTCCTTCACACAGTAGGTGGCATCCAGGTGGCATCCCCCTCCAGCGCTGGGAACGTGAAAGACGCCCGTTTTTCGTCAGATGGCCTTGGCACTGCCTTCTGATACGCTCTGCCAAGCCACTAATTCCAAGAGGAAATGCACCAAGCCCCACCTCTCGCACTCACGCTCCTCCCTCTCCCTCTTCCCTCTCGCCCACTCATCTTGTTCCCTCTGATCCGAATCGCTCATCTTACACCGTCACTCACCGTGATACGAGTCTGCGCCCGTCGATTCGTAAAACGGCGAAACGCTGCTAAGCAAATTCTCAAATTCCCATGCTTCAGCCAACCCTCTGTCGCGTCCGGTGCACGCAGGGGATTGATAACCTTGCACGGAGTATTGCTTTTGACTTTATCCCACCGTTCAGGAAAGCTCCCGTCCAATTTTTCCGAAGTCTTGGACTTTCTTGGATTTCTCTTGGAGTCTTGGGAGCGGGACAAGAATGAGTCCAAGACCCAAGACTTGGAAGGAGGCGCAGCACAGACAGGAAACTCTGGGCTGACAGATCTTGGGGCAAAATTGGTGGCAAATATCGGGTGACAAACTGGCCTCTTGCGTGCCTCTGCTTTGGGTGCCAAATCTCCTCCTGCTGCATCGTGCGAGGCCTGCTCATCCTCGGCACGATGGAACAGTGAACACAAAGCACATGCCCAGCGATTTCAGCTCGGTGCTTCATGCTTTCTCCTAGGTGTCTCCCTACAAGTTGTTGACCTTTGCTCTTTATGGCGTAATTGCTTGTACCCTCGTGATTCCTGCTGCTGGGGTCTGTGTGGCTCGTCGGACCTTCCACCCCAATTGTGGGATCATTCCCCATTAGTGAGCAGTAAGAACACGAGGACTGTCGCCCAGATATGTACCTCCCGTACTCGGACAGTTACTGTGGTTTGATTATTGACGAGGATAATCCACCTACGAGATCAGTAGTCGTAGAGCGTAGAGATAAGAACAGTATTACTCCTTGATCACGAGCAGTAGCATACCGCCCAATAACACATTCCACGTGGATTGCAGGAGAGAGACCCGGTGATTACGTTGTACTCGCACTGTATTTCTTCCGACATCGACCTCGCCGTGTCATGGAATAGCTCCTCTCTCGCCGCGATCGGTTTCGACTCCATTCTCAGTCTGTCGCGCGAACGGTATTATTGGTGAATTCATCTCACTGACGGCCCATAGTCGACGTCAGAAAGAAGTTCTCAGTCGTATCAAGGTTTGCGGACGACTTGGCACAAAATTTCCTCTCTTTCTGCCCAGTGCCGAGCCTTGCCACGACATCCCTCCCGCCAAGTATCTTCAAACCTCTTGGAAATTCCGCGGGATCACAAGGTCTGGGCACACGCAGCGGAATTGCTTGGACCACGAAAGGGAGATGGAACGCAGTGAATGGCCGAAAACACAATTTGGTGATCTTCTATACTTTTGGAACATTGTCAGCTATCCGTGCTCCCGGACTCCTACTGAGCATTGTGTGGGGCACGCATAGCCGTGTCGGATCTTATGACTCGTTATAGTCTTCCTGGCCATCTTTTCGCCCATCTCTCGCACACTTCAGCACCCGGAAACAGTCCTCAAACGAACGCCACCCTGATGCGCATGCCACGCCCCGTGAGTATCATGCATGATGACCCTTATTTCCCATGGTATCGTCTCAACAACATCCCAGGTTACCTAAGGCCGGCCGTGATCCTTCCTGGTAAACAAACCCCCTCGATGCAGTCATATAGAACTTCCGTGGTCAGTCATTTCTTCAACATCAATGGCTATGTATTCATGTGATAACGATGATCGCCCCAGCTCGAGTCCCATGCTAGGCGCTCATTGTTGAAATAGTCCTCCAGTCCCGGAGGTGGGACAGGATTCGTGCCTGTCGAGCCCTTCCAGAATTCATCGTGCCGTGAAGAACCTGGCACATCATTCCCAGCCGTCGTCAAAGGGTCGTGGAAATGCGGCAGGCCACTGAGATTCATATGCTCCCCACCTATTGCGTTCTGCATAAGTAAATCCGTGATTGGAGCACCGAAGTGTCGGCCATGAGCCGCAAATGCTTGTGCTGATGCTGGATTCTCACTCAGCGCATGCTGGAAAGAAAACCCATTGTCGTAGTGTGGCGTCGGTATCGACATATGTGTGCTACCGCCCGTCGGGGTTCCAGACATGCTGTGATCATTGTACCCGAGATTCGGGTCAGGAAATGAGTAGCTCGCATCGCCAGACTCCAACGTGCTGATAGACTGATTGGGATATGCGAAAGGATTATCGCTCGGAAACATGACGTTCTTCAGGTCGGGTATCTGTGCATTTCCCAATTGCGGAGTGAAGTCAAAGTGCCCTGACATCGGCGACGCAGTTGACGGGCTTTGGTAGCCAAACATCTGTTGACTTTGCATTTGCGCCGCGGCACCCTCAGAGAGACCTGTCAGTAGGTGAGGATCAGGCATTGAATTTCTCTTTGCCAACTTGGCAAGGAAATCCGAAGGATGAGTCCTTGTTCGACTCGGTGTGGCTGCAGCTTCCTTCAAGCTACTGGGGGTCGAAGAGCTTTGAGCAGCTTGTCTGTCTTGTGTTGAGAAACCTTCTGTGACCACGGGTGGAGGTCTCTTGCGGGACGTTGAAGGGGTGGCATTCAGAGAACTTCGTCGTTCTTTGAGCTTCTCGGGCAAAACCTCAAAGAGGCCCTGGATTACAAGAATTAGACATTGCAACCCCTCCGCTGGGTGTCGCACTTACCGCCAGGCTGGCACTACACCTGTCAGCTGCCATGCTTCGTTTTGCAAGAGCAGCCAACGTGTCTCTTCCTTCCACCGCGTCCTTCAGGATATCCTGGCCCGTGGGACTGTTCGGATTCTCGATAACGAAAAATACCAGGGAAAGAATCGCAAAGTAGGTGGTGTACATGACAAACCAGTAGGACCCGACCAATAGTCCCCGTCTTTTCATCTCGGTGGTGATATGCACAATATTCCTGGCGACACTTATGCACGCCGCAGCGCAGGCAAAACTCCTTTTGTCCACATTTCGCGATTGACATGCCTGTGTCACATAGTGGACAAAAGGTCGATATACCATCATCTGAACATGCGCGTACGACATTCGAAGAAGTTGTTGAACCCTTGAATCGGTCAGTTCGGCAGACTCGAGAAGGTCCATGTGTTAACTCACCTCGAAAGATCCCTTCCGGCGTTATCAGAAGGCCTCAGCTCTGTCGGCAATTGATCCATCCATGTTTGAAGGTCTCGTTCCAGCTCGCGTATCCGCTTGTGACTGATACTGTACCTGGAATCGGCTTTTCCGCCACCCGTGACACCTTTGACCGGGTAGATGTAGCGGACAACTTTTCTCAGAATGTTTGTTAATCTGGTATGTGCATTGGTTGCTTTCAGAAGAGGGAAGGTGCCGGGTGGCATAGGTCGGATACCCTCTGCGGTTATGTATTCGTCATCAACCTCGATCGGTAGTTCTTGATCGATATCATCGTCACTCAACATCTGGGGAAGGCCAAGCACAGCTCCCACATACGAGTCCAACTTTCGAACGAGCCAGAATATCCGCTTCCTTTCCTCTAGTTCGATGGGGTTGAATCTGTTTGGAATGTTTCGATGCAAGCCTAACCGACAGCACGCTCGCAGTGCAATACCGATATATGCATAGCACACTGGTAGTTTGGCAGTCGACTGCAGGAATATGATCATGAATACGATGGCTTGAATTGTCACTAAATCTCTGCAATCAGTAATGTCGAGCATCTGTTTGGCCGTGTTGAAGTATTGATATCTGCCAGGAAAAGACGTTAGCACGATACATCTGCAAAGCCAAGTTGGCGTACCCTTGCTCAATCGCCTCTTTATAGCCTCTGAGATCAAGTGTGGTGTTGTCGTCCTCGGACTTGGAGAACAAGCCTCCCACTGCCATGACGAGGTAAATCAAGGGCAAAAATTGCACATGGTCGTTGTTCCAATGCTCAGGATCAGTATCGTAAACAGCATGCAAGCGTGTAAAATATGTCGGTTTGTGTATAGGACGCATCAAGGCGCAACAATCATCGAGGGCATTCAGCGAGAGTTCAATGGCCACTTCTTTCGGTGGTAAATCGACACCTGGAGGGAGATTGAACTCATAGGGAGACGACTGTGCTGATTTTGGAGACTCGAGAATCTGTGAGATCGTCTTGTTTCTGTTGGGATGACGATATTCGGAAAGATATGACTCTCCGAACTGGGCACGGAATTTCCGCATGAAGACATAACCAGAGGAATGGCCATGAAAATCCCAATGTCCATCATGATCCAAATCCAAAGCACCAATTCGGTCGACCATGGACTGGAGCTGGGCATCATCCTCCGGTTTCGACGCATCCGCAACAGGTGCGGCATGGCCATTAAGATTGTTGGAACTAGCAGTTGCTCGCGAGGTGTCGATCAACTGTTCCACGCTCCGCGCATCGAATTTGGGATCATCGAGGTCGATTCCTGGAAGGACAGAACGTAGAATTGACTCGGCTTTCTGTAACCTCTGCTCTAGAGCTTCAATGTATTGTGGCGCCGGATTTCGCCTTCGGTTAGAAGGTTGATCGTAAGTACATTCTGCAGCAGGAAGTGAGCGACTTTGTGACGGGCTTCCATACCATGGCATGATTCCAACTCACCATAGCTGTAGACAGTACAATGCGTACAGGGTTGCTTGCCATCACACTTTATCTTTTTCCGTCGGCATTCGTCGCACGCTCTGGTGACTCTTCGCCTTTTCTGCATTGGCGCGAGCGGTTTAGTATTGCCATCTTCATCTGTGGCGATCTCAGCCGAGGGTGATCCTGGTTGCGAATCCGGAGCCGTAGAATCATTGCGGCCCGCGGATTCAATGACCTGAACAGAAGGTTGGCCTGAAGCCTCCTGAGCCGGACTCTCCGTGGAGGGAGAGAGCACCGTCACATCGTCGGCCATGATGCTTTGGAGCGTGAAAAGATCAGGAAGACAGCAAAGAAGTTGACAGCGTCCTGACGTGCATCGGTTCAAAGGGTCGAGGTTCGCTTTGAAATGCTCCGGACTCGGTGACGCATAGAAAAAGTCAGGGTTACAAAAACAAATTTGGCCTTTGAAAGAGCAACCCCGCAATGCCAGGCGGCGTGATCTCGCAAATGGCTGTGACGAGATTTATTGGGACAGAAACATAAGAAAAAGTGAAGCGTGAAAATGAAGGAAGTACGTTGTACGATTCTGCCAGGGACAAGAATAGGACATGACATGAACGGACCAGCCGATTTCGCGCCTCTCGATCCCTCTCTGCATGCTCTTTGCGAAGCCAAAGGGAGCCCAATTATTAAGACCCTGGACCTTTTGTCGGTAACCATGCCGTCATTGGGATGATAAGTAACTTAATCTGGTGGGTGGAACTGCAAGCAAACGCGCGGACGCATGGGCGAGCACCGGCTTTCCTGCTTTGGGCGTCTGTGGGCAGTCGAATGTTGATGGTGCCCGTCGGGCAAGAGCCATTGAGGAGCAGGCATCTCGTATATTCTCCACGCTGTCGAGGGTTTGTGACTGGCGGGCACACGCCGGTCCTCTGGGATACGCTGTTCAAGGGTTGGTGCTTCGCTGTCATGGGTCATTTAGGTGCAGGCTTTGCCCACACAGTGGCACTCTGTTAACCCCGTATCCTTCGCCTATCGTCGAATGGCCAAACTCGTATTCGTCAATTGCGAGCTCAGGGCTCTGGTCGTAACGGATTTAACAGCCTAGCTCGCGCCCAAAAGACCCGCAGCTTGCAGGGTTCCAGGGCTCAAGGCAGTCGCAGTGTTCTTCTCTGGGTACGGAGTACTCGTAGTTCCAATATGCTTGGAGTGACTTCCCACTCCAATAGACGTGTACTCGACCTTGAGATCGACACTCTTTCTTGTGCTTGGTGGCGTCGGGTGGACTTGTGAACCTCGCGTGGCTTCCAGCGCTACATAGAATTCGTGGGGCCCAGCAGGCCATACGCCCTAGCACAAGGCACTATTTCAAGGTCTCAGAAAGTCCGTCGACCATCAAGCAAGCCTCTCAAACAAGTCAGGAAGACAAGCGCCTCAGCCTGAAGCGAATGACTTGTGATACAGAACAGAGGGCGACACGATGCTGGAATGTGAATACAAAGTATATAATGTCATGACGTGGGTTAAAGACACAAAAGTGACGCAGGATGCCACAACCACATAGGTGACAACGCTTGTTGGGCTCAATCTTCCAGTGTCACGCTGCGCCCATCTCCAGACCCACTGCAGGCTCGCTGATGCACGGCAGACTGCATGGAGAGGCTGCTCAGATGCTGAGTGTAGTGCGGCCACGCGTGGGTGACTTCCTGTCCTATTACGCCTTTTGTTATTGACATGCCTGTTCCTCTCGTATCATGATCCATGGGCAACACGCCTCATGAGCAACTGGCTGCCTCCGGCTATCAATCTCAAGGGTTGTACGAAGTTGTCAGCCTCGTTGGTACGCTTCGCCTGCAGATGAAGTCCGAGAGCTTTCAGCAAAGCAATGCAGATGGTTCGCCAACACTAAACGTAGTGTCATCTCAGAGGCACCGGCTGAATGATTCTGAATGACCTCTCCCGATTCGAAGACAGCGGCGACGGAAGCGGAGAAATGCAGTCGAATCTTGCATTCATTCTTCCTATTGATGGCATCCTCTTTCACACTTGCGCGAGGTGCTAATGGCAGGCTTCGGCGTAGGGACAGTATTTCCGTCGAGACGCTTCTTTTCTTCTCGAAAATGTTGCAAATCCGAACAAGGTTTGACGTAGGTGCAGCTTTCTAGGTCCATGAGTGTCCAGCGGTACTGGTGCGCTGTAAATGACAATACTACCTCCTTCTTCATCGACGTTAAGGCGAGTCCAGCATGAACCTTGAGTGGTAGCTCATGAGTGGTGCTTGTAGGATCTCCTCGCGTAGGTCATCTTCCCAGTCTGCCACGACCGGCTTGAGACCCGGTCCTAGCGTGAGGAATCGAAGGAGCACATAGTTTAACCTGTCGAAGTTGGGCCGCGACAACCTATTCGCGACCTTCAGCATTCTTCCCACAAACCATGGTCTCTCGGTGTTCCGCAGAGGAGGATCGCCACTGCCACTCAGTAATATCTGTAGGAGCGCTTCTACTGATTGGTGCCGCTCTAGCCCATTCTGCTTGACGCTCTCGGCCAGTTCATGGAAGAATTGTTCGCTGAGTTCTGTCGAGTGTCGATATTCCCAAATGGCAAGATTGATGGTCATCAAAACGGCCAGTCTAGCAATGATCTGCTCATATTTGCAGGCCTCTGTGTACCGGGGGGCATCTTCGCTTGCCAGAAGAGTATAGAAGGATTCTCCTGGCAGGAAGGCCGAATATCGCAATGCTTGCTTACTTTTTGTTATAGCGTTTCGCTGCATACCAGCCTGAACAAGAGCAAGGTGTTCCGTGCATTTGAGAAACGTGATGAATTCAGTCCACTGCTCGAAAACTTCTGCCCGAGCGATAGTCTCAGCTTCCTGATCGTTTCCATGATTGGGAGATAGCTGCGGATCACTGTAGAAGGTGGCACCGTAAGCGCGATACCCCGGGAACATATAATCGCACCAGTTGATCAACAGCTGCAGTCTTTTGTGCTGGATCAAGGCTGCAGGCCCGCCTCGATCGCGGATCTTTTGCAAAGCAGCTTCCCAATGCATCCACCCGTACCTGCGGCGCTCGATATGAGGATCGATGAGTTCCAGGGCAGCCGCGAAGATGGTTGCTGATATCGTGGCGTCAGAGGTGTCGTTTGGGAACTGTTGATAGTGTCGGAGGAGCAGTCGAGAAGCCCTGCTTCGGTGCTCAATTGTCAAACGTGTCTCCGACATTCCTTCCAATCGAGCTCGTGTGATTGCAGCATGAGCAAGGATAGCATTCTCGAAGCAAACCGCTCCTGACATGGCCTCTGGTATGAAAACAGAAAAGTACCAATTCTGTGCGTGGGGCTTTTCCAGTCCGTACGAGCATGCTGGCATAACCGTGGCATAAAAGTCGAATAGTAGTTGATCTTCTAGGCTGAGTTTCAACGGCAGAGAATCGAAAGGATCGGTTCGAGCAGCACTCAGAATAGATTGAGGTTCCGGAAACTGTTTCGTCTTTACACAATAGCGACATGGCCGATTCGTTGGGGCCAAGGCGCTGGACGTAATCGAAGAAGAAGAGTGTCGGTCTGGCATCATATCTGCAAGCCTAGCAAATGCGGCAGAGCCCACACGAAATCCCCCTCTTGCTGGTTTTGTTTCTGCCGGCCGCTTATGGAGGTGCGGTGCAATCTCTTGGACAGGTTCAGATGAGCGACCTCGCAGGTCCTCAAGCTCCTGTGAACTTCCCCTCGAGGACGGTGCAGTAATGGAGCTAGGTGATTCGAAACGAGCCGAGGGCTTGCTCCTAGACGGTCGCTGTCTTGCTCGTGACTGCGACCGGACTTTCTCCTGTCTTCTGCGTTCGGGCAACTCGGATTCGCCGTTATGGTCAACCCTTGTACGGGCTTCCCAACGCTTTTCCCTCATGTACTCCTGCATGACATGTCGGCGCACCTGGGTTGAGTTAACTCTTGTTGAGGCGACATTGTTGTTGTCAATGAACTGGAACCGCCGCGGCGGTCTTTTATGAGCTGGAGACATCATCGGCGCAATCGATATACATTCAAGGCTTCTGGGTCCTTGGGAGTCTGACATCAAGACGATGAGTGGCGCTGGCAAGATCAAAAGTCAATAGATCTGATGAGCGGCGCTGACCCAGGGACGTTGATAGAAGTGTATTTCGGCCCCAAGAGGGGGGACAAGGGTCCCATGGAGGTTAGAAAGAATGGAGCGCGGGAGCCTTGCTGCCGAATGCGCAATGCCCTTCCGAGAGCGTTGCTTTTCGAGTGTCGGTTCCACTGAGCATTAGAAAGGCAATGTCCCAGATTGTGAATTACTTACCTTACTGGGTTGCCTTTGGTCCCCTGATGATAGCAAGAGGCCGTTGGACTTTGATCATCCCTGTGATCGAGTCTTCGAGTATCGAAATCGGAAAACTGAAGCATCTTTCTAGCAAAAGCACTGAGCGAGCATTCAGCCCAGGGATCACTCTTATGTCAGAATCATGAGAGCTAGTTGGACAGGTTGACAACACCGCTCCTTCTTTGGGGACAAGGCTAACGGACGGCGACAGCCTCCGTGCTATACTGGTCCCTGTGGAAGATGATACGACAAAACGAAAGTGAGAGCCAAATAATCTAACTCGTTGTGGTTGTTCGCGAGTCGGGATGCATGGCCACCGAGGTTGGATGAATTGCCTCTGAATTCGCTAGGTTGGAGTGAATTCGGCTTCGTCAGGCGTTCTGCACTATTCTCGAAGACCACCATCGATCGCGTTTGGCCCGTGGGGACTTTGATAGCGTCGCCTCGCAGCGCCGGTTCGCATTTGGCATGCAGTATCTCAGGCTTTCGTTTCCAACTTGAGCTTGGCCTGTTCTGGGCCGTGGTCCAACGGATTATACCATCGTTTATAGGTAATGGTCGTCGCTTGTTGGGACAGACGAAGGACATTGAAATGGAAAGACGTGTGTTCAGCCGGCAATCTGTGTTTATCACCATACACGCCATCGATCGTAGTTGGGCTGCCAAGTAAACAACGAAGAGAGTATTGAGCATTTTCCCGTTGAGGAAAGCTCTGTACTTACCGCACTCGAGGCTTTTGTTCGAGACTGATCCTTGGTTCGGCCAGGCCAGAAACGGGCGAGCCAGTAGAAGACACGTCGTTAAATTTGAAGCCAGAGGCTGGCTTCCATGATTGGACTTGCCTTTGCAAACTGAGCCTGGCAAGGACTTCAGCAAATCCTGATCCCACATTTCGAAGATGCAGGTACACAGTCTGGCCCAGGTGGCCGCCCTTTGAATGAGGCGAAGATGGTTCCGTTGTCTGGTAGCATATTAGATATCAACCACAGGGGGCAACATAGACCCGACGGGGGCTGACAAAGACGATGCTTCCACTTGCAGCACAGCGAATACTTTGGAGAAAGCAAACGACACAGACCTCACTGACGTCGACGAGAAAAGGCTGATAGCGGCTATTTCATGATGACCAAACGAAGGGGAAGACTCTCCCGCCAAGGCTTGATGATAGGGTCTGGCACTGGTCACCGTGGGTGCGTGTGGGTGAAACGGTGATGCTTCAGAGCCGACAAGAAACGGCCATGCAAAACGCCGAAGTTGGATGCTCCCACTTACCATCATCTACCAATCGTTCGCAGCTCCCAGCGTCTCAGAAAGTGCATCAGTCTGAAAGAAACCCCCATCCGACGGCCATCACCCACTCGTCCATCCCTTGCCACTGCCATATCGCAAACTTGAAGTGTCTTGCCGCCACGGGCGTATCCGAACCCCCTTTGAGAGAACGACCAGACCCTGAAAATCTGTTCCTTTGACCCCATTCCGGCATTGGCGTTGGCCTTGTACTCCTGCAGTCTGCGCTCTGCACCACCATCATCTGCGCCTACTGCTAACTACCTAGTCCTTGCCACCTGTTGTCCAGCTCATTCCCTTTTCGAGCTGCTGGACCTGCATAACTCCGGTGCAACAATCGCCCTGTGGGCATCTTCAATTGTGCACAAGACGCGCCGACTGCTGGACACGGTTCGCGTTGTCGATCGACACTTACCGCCGGCTCAAAGCTAAGACGCGGCATCGACAGCAGCACCACGGTCCGATCACAAAGAACAACGACCGCCTGTGGGAGAGCAGTCATCCGTGTACAAAGATATGGCACAAGGAACACAATCCATAAAATGTGTGGTGACGGGTGACGGTGCGGTGGGAAAGACATGTTTGCTGATATCCTACACAACCAATGCCTTTCCTGGCGAATATATCCCCACAGTCTTCGACAACTACTCTGCTAGTGTCATGGTAGATGGAAAGCCTGTGTCTCTTGGACTCTGGGATACCGCCGGTCAGGAAGATTACGACAGACTACGACCTCTCTCATACCCCCAGACGGATGTCTTCCTGATATGCTTCTCCATTGTTTCTCCCCCCAGTTTCGACAACGTCAAGGCCAAGGTGAGCAAGACACTAGGCTTCGCAAGCTGCGTCGAGACTGACGGTCATGCACAGTGGTACCCCGAGATCGAACATCATGCCCCTGGCGTACCTATCATCCTCGTCGGGACCAAGTTGGATCTGAGAGAAGACAAAGCCACGGCCGATAACCTGAGGTCGAAGAAAATGGAGCCTGTATCTTACGAACAGGCTCTCATGGTGGCCAAAGAGATCAAGGCTGTCAAATACCTCGAATGTTCAGCACTCACACAACGGAATCTGAAGAGTGTCTTTGATGAGGCCATCAGGTGAGGAGAAGCCGCTGTTGAGCATGACTGCGGCCTATGCTGATGACACTTGCAGAGCCGTCCTCAACCCTCGACCGACAACCACCAAGAAGAAGTCGCGATGCACCATTCTCTAGCAGTTTTTGAGCGAGCTTCTGATTTTTAGGGCTGCGAGGGGTGTATATGGGATGCATTGCAAGAGGTGGACATAGACTTCCCGGCTTCACTGCTTGCACCTTCTCACAGTCTAGCTTGTTGTTTTCTTGCAACAGATACAGTCAACGGAGGGACTGCAAAGTCGTGTCCATCATACGACTAATAACGTGCAATCTAACTGGGATGGGGGCGTTCATATAGGAAGCGATCCAAGGGCTTGTGTGATCAAAACATGTGCTTCAGAAATTTCATTCCATGTAAATGCTCATGCGCCAATGCCAGCGGAGCACAACCATCAATCAGTGCTGGACACGAGAAAGTCGGCTGGGATGGACTACACCCCGGTTGTCCTGAGGTGCCTCGCCCGACTCGGCATTTGCACCTGTGCCAGGAGCTCCCCTGCTCTTGCGAGCAGCTTTCTCTTTATCAGCTTTGTCTTTGATTCTCTGCCTCTCTCTTTCCTCTTCCAGCTTCTTGTTTTTGGTGATGATCTTAGCCTTGCGATCCTTGCTCTTCCCTCCTCCGCCACCAGCTGTCAACTCAACATTGATTCTCCTCCCCTTTCTCTTGTCATCCGGCGCCTCGGCACCGTCTTTGTGGTGAGGATCAAAGATGGAATGGTGATACAATTTCAGGCACGTCTTCATTTTATCGTAGACATCAAACTCCAGGAAGGCAAAACCTTTCCCTCGTCCAGTAGCTTTGTCCGTCGACATTCGAACACTGGTCGGCGCAAGTTTGGAGAAGTGCTGCTTGACTTGAGCAGCTGTAGCATCGAAGGGTAGATTGCCCACGAAGACAATGAATCTCGATGGTGTCTTGGACTCTTTCTGTTCGCTTGTCTTCTGCGCCTTTTTGGGTTTGTGTTCGATTGCCTCTTCTTCGACAGCAGCAGTGTCTTGTTGCTTTGCTCGCTCATCTGTTGTTACTGTCCCGGCCTCGTTTTGCGCGGTTGAAATATCGTCCAGGTCGTTCGTCGTCTGCGAAGGCTCTGCTTTTGACCTTTTCTGCTTCTTGGATCTCCTCTCTGACCTCTCTTGCCGTGACTTTCCTTTCGATTTTGGTGGCTGCGTAGAGTCGACTGCCTGGGCTGGTGCGCCTGCCGAAGAATTTTGAGAATTTCCAGCGCCGGCGTCAGATTCGACCTGATCGTGCTTCCTCTTCTTAGACATGCTGCTGCACAGTTTATTGAAAGGTCGTTTGTTCCGTGAATGCCGGCTGAGAAAGGCGCAAATATTCAGCCTCGTCAAAGGTATGGTTGTTGCTTTTCTCTGGTTGTATGAAAAAATATCTGCGGACGGGGCACGTCATGGGCGCCCCGACAAGGAGGGTATTGGATTGCAGGCCGTGGTGCTTGGAGATGGGCTAGGGTGGCTCGGGTGGCTAGGATCCCTAGGCGTGCATCATCAGTGCTTGTGAGGGTGTCAGTGGCGGCGCTAGGCCAAGTCCCAGGGTTGGAGGCGCTACCGGAGTGCACCTGAACTGAAATCCGCCTAAGAACCACTTGACCAGCATCCTCCGGACAGCTTTCAGGGCTGCCTTGAGCAGTTCTAGAGGTCTACGTGTTGTTCCAACTGCTGTTCGAAGACTTACCTCCCCCTACGATCGAGTTCCTGTGAAGAATCCAGTTACCATGAACAGATAACCCGCAGGTCAACCCTCGACGACCGAGAGCTGTCCCTCCTCCATCATGGCCGTCTACGCCTCGCAACTCGGGGCCAAAGGTCCATTCGCCAACAGTGCTCCCCCTTCGATACCTACTCATGCAGCGCCTTCGGGCACCTTCCTGCCAGGAACCAAAGTGCAGGTGGGACATCACCGAGTCATCATTGACCGCTATCTGTCGGAGGGCGGCTTTGCCCATGTCTATGTTGTCCAACTACCAACTCCCGTGGATGGTAATCAGAAGGCGGTCTTGAAGAGAGTGGCTGTTCCCGACAAGGACCACCTGGCAAATATGAGGACGGAGGTCGAGACAATGAAGAGATTAAGAGGCCAGAAGCATATTGTGAAATACATCGATTCTCATGCATCCCAGCTGAAGGGAGGAGGCTACGAGGTCTTCCTGCTCATGGAATTCTGCCAGGGTGGGGGGCTAATCGACTTTATGAATACACGACTGCAAAACAGACTGACAGAGCCTGAAATCTTGAAGATATTCACCGATGTCGCCGAAGGAGTGGCATGTATGCACTATCTCAAACCGCCGCTAATGCACCGAGACCTCAAAGTCGAGAACGTTCTTATATCCACGTCAGGGTCGTCCAAGATATACAAACTTTGCGACTTTGGGTCAGCAGCTCCTTCGCGACCAGCCGCGACATCGGCTGCTGAGGGCCGTTTGATCGAAGACGACATAAATCGGCATACAACTCTCCAATACCGAAGTCCAGAGATGATCGATGTTTACAGAAAACAGCCGATCGACGAGAAAGCAGACATATGGGCTTTGGGAGTATTTCTGTATAAGCTCTGTTATTATACGACCCCTTTCGAAGAAGCTGGACAGATGGCAATTCTGAACGCCAGGTTCAAATTTCCAGGATATCCGCGGTTTTCAGACCAGCTGAAGCTATTGATTGCTTCAATGCTCCGGGAGCGGCCTTCAGACCGTCCCAACATATACCAGGTTTTACAAAAAGCATGTCAGATGGATGGCCGAGAATTGGCTCTTGAAGACATCTACTCAAGACGAACGCAATCAGAGAGTCGCAAGGATCAAGCCCTGCCTGCACTCCCTTCGAGCTCCCAGTCCAGAGCCGGTGCGGCCTTATCTCCACCGAGACAAGAACCGGCTCCCAGCGTTCCGCAAATTGAACCTATGCGCCGAGGACGACCGACCAAGCCCGTTTCTCACCATGGTTCAGCTAAGCCAAGTCCGTCACCGCTGCGGATGATGGACAGCACGGACCCTTTCGCTGCACTAGATGGGAACAAGGTACCTGTTGAAGACGAGCTGTCTTCGAGATTCCCGACCTTGGATCATTTCTCTCTGATGGCCGACAAAGGCAAGAAATTCGCGTTCGAACCCCAACCGGAAAAGCAGCAGGAAAATGCTGAGACAGGTCTCGCCCAAAGAGTTACAATGGCGCTGGCCGATGACGCTTTCGCCAGAGCACCGAGCCCTATCAAGGCCCCTACGATCGCAGAGAGGCCAACTACTGCAATCACGTCAGAGACTGTTCTGAAGCACAAGAAGTCTCTAGACAGTAAGGAAACCCAGGCAAGAGCAGATCCGCCTCTGATCACCGCTCCAAAACCGTCCGTCGTGTCTACTGGAACGATGACATCCCCCTCTCCACCACCAACGAGCTCTAAATCATTTTCTGATCGGGCGATTCGTCGATTCCCTCCCAACAATCACCCACCTCGAGCTTCCAGTCTTACCCAGCCTGTGTCTGACGCTGAGAAAAAGGGGTCAAGGCTTGCCAGCCTTCTACGGGAAGATGCATATAGGTCGCAACTTGCTGATGATTACGAGCCACGGTCTCCAACCTCATCTCGTCCGTCACTAGAAGGCGGGCGGCCGACGACAAGAGATGTCAATTCCGGCGTAAGTCGTTCTCGGTCACTGAACTTTCGAAATCGACCGGCAAGTGTCAATATTGGGTCAAGGCCAACACATATAAAAGACAAGGAAATCAAAAGGCTCGACTACGAGACGACGTTCACCAGTGCGGAGCCTGAAATGCCTCCTTTGACACATTCGGAATCCGCAACAAACATTACATCGGACGTTGATTTCTTAAAGGCTAGAGAAGAAGAAGAGAAGGAACGAAAACATCATCATCGACGTTTAGGCAGTGGTTCTGGGCACCTCAAACGTGCCAGCTTGCCGTCGATGGGAATCGCTGGGACCACTAGATTATTGGCTGGCAAGTTTGGGGATGCATTCAAGATGTTTGAGAACAACAATGACTCGCATCATCAGCGGCGACGCAGTGACTCTCCTTCTCGAGATCCCATTAACATCTTGACCCCCATTGCTGGATCCGAGGCTACCGATCTCAGCAACGATCGGGAACCATTCGATGAAGCAGAAGATCTGTCACCTGAGATGAGACGCGAACTGGAAAAGCGAAAACTCGAGGCAGAAGAGCGAAGAGTTGCCAACGCGGCTGCGGAATACAGACAACGAATAGCAGCAAAAAGTGGGACTACAGGAACGGGAGGAACAGTGAAAGCCGCTTCTATTCAGAACAGGGTGAAATCATTGTTAAGCGAACATGATAGGCCTGCTCAGAAGACTGCAACTGGTTACGGTCGCTTTACCGGATCTCCAACGCCACAGGAAGAGTCACAGAGGCAGATATCTCAACCTGTCGAGGTACCTTCGCGGGTCGAGAGGCATCCTCCACACACCATGTCGGCCCCTGCATCTGCTGTTGACCTGACAAAATCACAAAGGCCAACAGCACCCCCCAAACCAAAGATATTGCGATCCACCATGCCGGACGCAACCAGCCCAGCGGTGAGCGAAGAGCCTCCTGTGCCTCATCTCGATGACGACTGGGAGGCGAATTTCAGCAAGAAATATCCCAGTCTGGCTGGGCTCGAGATGGTGGAAACATCCATCAGTGGGCCGAAGTCGACAGCGACGGTGAGAACGAAGGAGATATGATCGAGTCTTGTTACGACAATATAGACGTAGATTTGAAAACCCTTGCTTCACCCATAGACATCAAGGCTGGTGAATGAACGTAGAGAAGTGAAGTAAATGTGAAAGTGCTCGCTCAAGCAGCCGCTTCTGCCTGTACATGCGGTTTGGAATCACCACCTAAATCCCATCCTTTCCACTTTCATCCCGCTACCCATCAAAGGCGTCTTCATCTGGCTATTACTGCTCGATTTCTGTCTCGCAAACATCGAGCATTGTAAGCAGCTATAAGGTAATCTACGGCCAGCATGCCGCCGAGACTCATCTTGAATGCCCGGGGCGCGCGTGGGCGTGGGCGTGGGCGTGGGCGCGGGCAACGTGGGGCTGCGACAACAGCAGGCGGCTCTGCAATTGCCAACCACAATACGGGCTCTGTGCCACCAAACGACCAGGATCAGGGCCAATCAAGCCCAAGCACAGGTCGGGAAGAAAGACCACCAGGCTCGAGGAGTCAAAATGTCGCCCAACGACAACATTCCAACCTCAACCTAGACAGAACAACCTCCACGAGCCTTCGACTTGCTCCGGATCGATTGAGACAGTTCCCCCCTGGTTCCAGCAGTCTCCACATCACTCTCAGAATTCGCACAAGAAGTTCTGAAGCGACTGGAACAAATTCTGACGCTCCCTCGGCGGCATCACGACCCTCGTTGGTTCCTGATGCATCCTTGTCACCTGAGTTAGAGGGCGAATCGTCTGAACTTACTCCTGCAGCAGATGGGCCATCTCCCGAAGTATATCATCCAGCGGATCATTCGGGCCGGAATCCAGCAGACCCTGGAAGATATCTAGCTGCTGGTATAGTCCCTGACAACTACGAAGCACTTCTTCCAATTCCTCGCCATCATCAAGAGCTTCCGAGTGTTCCAGACGCCTCCTCTTCTAGAGCTACCAGTTTTCCTGCCAATCTTCCAGGTCCCCAAGAAAGCTCTACCCACGACGACATGGCGCCCGTCAAAGATACCTCGAGCGTCCATGTAACGCTCAAGGACATTATTCAGTACTTGTCCGAGATACAAATGCAGACTCATGGCTATGTACCAGAGACGCAGAACCTCATGGTCGACAAGATGACTGATCTTGCCGAGTCCTTGTCTCGTCTGCAAACGCTCACATCACCGCGAGAGTCGCCCAACAATCCTATCCACAATGTTCAAGTAGCTCCGGAGATTATCGATTATGTGGATGATGGACGAAACCCGGATATCTTCACCCGCGACTTTGTCGAGAATGTCCAGCGAGGCAATGCTGTCATCAACGGGAAGCAGCAGGCTTTCAGGGACTTTACCGAGATCTATGCTCAAGCGCTGAAGGAGGGAATCCCCGGCACAAGTCGACAGGTTGATAAAGTCATGGAGAATCTCGGATTCGGGAAGGCTACTGGCGAGTCTGCGAACGGGTCACAGCCGGCTGATGCGAGTGTGTCGTCGGCGTAGGGGGACGGCCGGCTTTCAGGCGTTGATGCTATTATGGAAGGATTGTTACTGCCAAAGAGGTTTGATTTGACTATGTCCCTGTCAAGACCGCAGCAAGTGTGAGGGTCTTTAGGCCGTGGCCGGCAATGTGTCTGTAGCCATATACTCTCTCGAAATGAGCTGCGAGGTATTATCACTGGCTGGCTGAAGAAGTTGGCAGTCCGCAGTGTACTGTCCTAGGTTCACCGGGTACAGTACACTGCAAAGATGCCCTCGCACGGGGTGGACCAACGGATCCCTCTACTGCTTCCTGTGGTGGGTGTATGGGTCGGAATCTACTAAAGCGGCCTCAGCCTCCGCCCAAAGCAGGATGATCTCGGGCAGATTCACTCACCTTGGCGGCATCATCGAGCTTCACTGCTCTCTGGTAGAGAAACACGGATCTCTACCCATCGTTTTATGCTGCTGTCAATGTGTGCCTGTTAGACTTCGACCAATTCATCATGAATCCATCACCGCTCCGTACACTCATATCCCGTCGATCCTGCAGTTGCAGAGCCTCACATCACCACCCGTCTATCACCCGCTTGCTCTCCACCAGCACCAGATCCGATGCCTCTCACGCTTCGCCTGTCCCTGCCTATGGCTCCTCCGAGCTCCTCAAGCGCCGCTATCAGAAAACAACGACACCAGCAAATGACGTGAAAACCGAAAGAGCAAGAACAATCAAGCGCATGAAACTATCCGGCTACGGAATCGCAGCCTGCACCATCGCCATCATTGGCACAATCGCGCTGTATCCTCAAGACGGACAAAACAAACAAGACAGGTCGAAGACTGTACAGCTCGACGCGCCGCCATCTATAGCTGGCACGCTCGACCCCGGCTCTAAAGTAGCAGACGTTGAACAAGTCCCGACGGGAACATCCACCATCCCAACCTTCCCTCGTGTAATCCATATCTCAACCGACGCTCCTAGCTCGACGCCCGCCGCAGCCAACGAAGGGACACAAAGCGATGTCGAGTACCAGCTAGTCGGGCTCGGTATCCGCACAGTCTCACTCCTCAGTATCCAAGTATACGTCGTCGGCATGTACATTGCGACATCCGACATTGCGGCATTGCAGGCACGACTGGTCCACGCCGTTGCTGACCCCGTGGCCACGACCCTTGTGCCCGCCGAGAAAGACAAGTTGAAGGAGCTGTTGCTGGATCCGGAGCGCGGCGAGGACGTGTGGAACGACATCGTCAAGGACGCCGGCATCAGGACTGCTTTCCGCATCGTGCCCACACGCAACACGGATTTCATGCATCTACGGGACGGCTTTGTGAGAGGCATCACGGCCAAGAGTTCGCATTTCGCCAAGGACAAAGGCGACGCGACGTTCCAGGACGAATCGTTCGGCCAGGCGCTCGGGGAGTTTAAGAGTGCGTTTGGTGGAGGTGCCAGGCGGAAGTTGGCCAAGGGCGAAGTGTTGCTTCTTGCGAGGGATGCGCAGGGGAAAATGGCGGTTTGGGAAGAGGACAAGGCTGGCAATAGGGTCAAGATGGGCAATGTGGTGGACGAAAGGGTGGGACGGTTGCTCTGGCTGAACTATCTCGCTGGGAAGAACGTGAGTAGTGAGCCGGCACGACAGAATGTGATTGATGGGGTCATGGGGTTTGTGGAAAGACCGGTGGGCACGGTAGCGACGCAAGTTTTATAGGGTAACAGTCCAAGAAGTGAATGACGGTAGGTGCTGCTGTGTCAAATTAGGTGGCAACGGTTGCGAGAGACCACAGTCTGACGTCCGGCAAGCTGCTCTTGTCAAGTGTCGGAAAGGTGCGAATGTATTTCTGGTCGTCCTGTATAATATGTTGGTATGTCATGATGGGGCGATATCCCGACATCGTCTCGAACGCCACTCATTGATACATTACATATAAGAGTAACTCGACAAGATCAAAGCTTGAACGACAATGTATCTTCCCAACATTGCTCCGTTGGTTGTTGTTTCCGTATCATGCTTCTCCCGACTCAATGCCTCGACCATGGGATAATAGCTTTGATTACGGGTTCACACCTATTCAAGCCCCCGAAAAGGTCAGCCCTTGCTCTGCGACTGTGCAGGATGAAATGAGATGCCCATGCAGGACACTTTCCCGGCGTCGGTTCAGAAAAGGCTGGCACTTTCTGCACACAACATAATGAAACAGGCCACGTATGTGCCTCTATCTAAGGTAGGTATGGAGAAAGAACGAGGGCAGGGGTGGCAGCCGGAACTCAAACTCACCAGTTGTGCTGTCCTGTGTACTGACCCAGTCTCCGCCCGCAATGCCACCGCCTTGTTTGCGGTATATGGCCTCCGTGGCCTCCTTGTGCTGGGCGAGGTATGCTTTGAACTCGGCGGGAGGCATGGATTGGGCTTTGGACATGAGAGCGCCGAGATTGTTGTGGTCCGCGGATGTAGATGTCGTTGAGGTTTGTTGCGTGGGTGGGGAAGAAGACGCTTGTTGGTGGTTTCGGTTTGGATTGACCAAGGTCGCGCCGGACACTGTTGATGCTGTGTCTGGTTGGGTTTGAGTATCGGCGTCGGCGGGGGCAGAGGACGACGACGAGGACTGGGAGTTGGATTGTTTGTCCTTGCGGTTGAAGATTTTGGAGAAGAGGTTGGTGTTGGTGTTGGAGGAGGCATTACCGTCGGTGTTGGAAGACATGATGAATGCTGCTTTCTTCAGCTGAAGTTGATTCCTTCGAAGTGAGATCTGGCCTTGGTTGGGGGCGAACTGACAAACTGTATGAAGCGATGGCTGGCCGATTAGATGCTGGGAGTGACTGCGATGAGAGTGAACTTCGCTCGACAATCTGTCATTTGATATGTTGCGACACATCATTTACCTGACCTGTGATGATATGCACCTTTGTAGCCGGATGAGGCGCAGCTACACGCCATGGCAACGACAGGTAGTGATCATCCCGCCTTGCGGGCATTGTGAATGTCTGTATATAGCCGTCTAGGTGAGGGGTTTTCCATCAGGGTCTCTTCTCATGCACGCACTGCCCCTTCGAAGTTTGAGGTGGGCGAATTACAGTACTGCTGTACCTGCAAGACACGGGTCGACGGAACAAGGGATACTGTGTACTTACAGGCCGTACTCACATATGGCCAACCCTCTTCAGGCCGGGAGTGTGCTGATCGTGGGCAATCCACGCCGTGAGGCCCGTCTCTAAAGCAAGCGAATCAGACACTTGACTTCCAGCACAAGCTTCGTCAAGCTTCAACAAGCGATTCTAGCGAGGTCACTCCTGGGTTCGCCAGTATTGTAGCTGCCTTCTTGCCTCCTGTGCTGTTGGTGGTCGTGTTTCGTGACCTTCAGGCCATCGTTCACTGCTGTGGAAGCACATATTCGACACGAGATAACTCTTGATAGTCGTGTAGCTCCGTACAGCACCGGGAGTCTCGTGGGTCGAGGTGTCACAGCTATGAGTATGACCGCTCCGACTAAAACAGGCAAGTATGCCGAGCAAACCCCCTATTCCTTCGCACCCGACAAAGCAATCCAAGATCATAGCCCTTTCGTATTGCAATTGATCTACCGAACAATACTCATCATCCCAAGGTTCGTGATCCGGAAAGCTGCGGCGAGACTCGTAAACCTCTTCTCAAAAGATTTGGAACTGGGTCAGAGACCGCAAGGACACCGGAACTGGACGACGAAGCTGAATGGTTCGCACGGGTTCGTTCGTGCCATCATTCAGTACTAGAAAGCCCTCACTGGAGCTCTACCGTGGTGTTGCGAGCCAGGGCCCTCAGAAAGAATCTGATGGAATATTGATTAATCACTTGCGGACGCCATCCAACGCTGTACGACGAATGGCTGGTGGCCAGAGGATAAGACAGTCGGGGTCCTTGCATTGCTGGTCCTCACATGAACTCAAAACGACCTTGCCACCACCACTCGGTGAGTTCAGGCACGATATCTGCTACGAAGGCTGTTATCGATTGCAGCCGAAGCACCAAGAAGACTGCGTATAGGGCTGTATCGCATGTTCCCGTGTTCCCATGTTCGCTGATGGTCTGCCGCCGCTTAGCTCAAGCACATGGCTCGAAGTTGAACGGATCGAAAATGTGTGCAGGTGAGTGATCTCTTGAGGTAGGCGATCCTCAGTTCATGCTTGCAGAGACGATGGGACCGCAGGACCCTGAAGTCTATTGCTTTAGGAGACGGTCTCAAGGCTTGGTTCTAGGTTTTACTGAGTCAATGCTCGTTCCATCTGATCCATGAGGACCACCCCCTGAAGGTGGTCGATCTCTGGAACACGGCTCTTCCGTCGTTGATCTCTAGAAGATGACTCTTCGATGGTTGATCTCGATGTTCGGACATCTGGCATCTTCGCAGTTCTCCCAGTTCTCCCAGGATACAAATACCTGCCCTCTCCCCCGTTCACTCTCTCTTTTCTTTTCTTTTCTCTTCTCTTGTCCTTCAGAACCACAAATCACTTGATACTTGATTGACACCAGACAAACACCCGATACAACACACATACACTTCACTTGACAGACACCAAACAACCTTCCAGCACAAGAAGTAAGTTACACACAGCGTCCTCTTGCACCACAATGTTGCTAACATCTTCAGCACCCTCTTCAGACCACAACACCACTCGACACTTCTTTCTCCACCACATACACCAGACACACACTACACCGACAAGATGGGTTGCCGCGGTTCCAAGTCTGCTGGCCGCCAAGAACCTCGCCGACCACGTATTGTCCAGACTACGCCACAACCACCACCACCACCTCCTCCTCCACAAACACTTGCCAGCACCAGCACCAGCACCAGCACCCGTACCCGCACGACTCAAACTCGGCAGTGCTTCAACCCCAACCCCAGACTAGTAGTCTACACTCCATACAAGGGCGCCCAACCAGTTGTCTACGCACGAGTACCTAGCAACAACCACCACCTCCTCCGCACCAGGCCCAGCAGCTCCTTCCCGGGCCGAGTAGTCTACAGTCCAGTCGTCCACCGGCGCGGACCACACACCCCCGACATATATCCAGACTTCTACAGAAGCCGCTACGACAACGCATGATCGGAGAACGTCTTCTGGAATTTCGGAGTTTTGCATGGGATGGGCTTCAGGGAACGCCTCAAGGGCATTGGGACTACCCTAGGTTTGGGATATTCGCCTTAAGGAAGGCATCGGGCACAACTTTTGGGATTTGGTATTTTTGGGAATCGGGGAGTATATCTTGGGCATTTTGGCGTGTTCGGGAACGTGGCATCAAGTCAGGCTTGAAGCCAAGGACAAATGGTTTTCGGGTTTGAGCATTGGCGTTTGCGGAAGGCATCAGGGACACTGGGTTTAGGTTTGGGTATGGGATATGGGCCTCAAAGGAGGCACCAGGCACATCTTTGCCTACTCAATGGAGACAAACCCTTGAACAACATTCTTTGTGCATCATTCTTGTTCCAACTGTCTGCTGAGTGCTCTTTCTCGTAAACCATCTTCTTCGTGGTCGTATTTATCGGACTCGGTCCAGTCACGAAGTTAACTCTCGTTTTGCCCGCTTTTCAACCCAACGCCGAGGCCCCTCAGATTACGAACAAACACGAGAATTCAGCGTTCAGCTGGAAAACCCATCCCCAGGTATACGAGGTTAATGACTAACTCAGCAGGGATGGGCAATGCTGCACGAGGGAAACCTTCGAGCTGAACCAAGCAAGCAAGCCACTACGCTTTCGCTGATATATGGCCACGGTCTTGTCCCCCTCTCGAGCCGGTCCTGACGTTCCTCTCTATTCTCCCACGTCAGTCATCGCACAGCTAGGGGTGAGTGTGTGAACTTCTTGAATTGAACATTTGCCCATTACCAAATCCACTGACTCAAGCGCTTCGTGATCATTCCTCAACCTCAACCATGACCACCCCAAACGTCTTCGTCCGCGTCTCGCCCAAACCGGGCAAAGAAGCCCGCGTCGCCGAGTTGGCAGACTTTGTCCTCGAGCAAGTCAAAGCCAATGAGCCGTGGGTATCCATGTACCGCGTCTATACGGCCAAAAGCCTCAAGGGCAATGATGTTGTTCATTACTTCATCGAGTTTCGGTAGAAAATTCCCCCCTCTCGATCCATGCAAACACTACCTAGGTAGTTTCATATCGTCGGGGTATGGGTGTTTGTTACTGACGGCCGAAAACAAAAACAGGATCGACGACATGAGCAAATTGGCCACGCGCAGGGAAATGCCACATCATCAGACCATTGCCAAGGCATTTGAAGAGGAAGACTTGCTCAGCGAACCGTTGGGATATTCGCTCTTGGAGGAGAAGGGTGCTTGGGTGAGATGAGATGAGAACGGACTCGCTAGGCCAGTATGGCTTGCATCCACAGACACGATACTTGCTGTTAAGATGCCATGATACTGTCACTGCCAGTTATGTTCATGTAACTTACCATCTGGATTTTGATGTCCTTATGTCGTCCCTCATATATCTCCCATTTTCTGTCTTTCCAGCATAGCTCCTCGTTCTCCCGCCTCGGTCCACTTTACGCCTCACGAAGCAAATAGCCCACCTCCCATACCTATTTCAGCATGTCCAAGTCGATCAAGCAAGATAGAAAACCTCCTCAACTTCCTTCCACCACCCCGGCGTCCCATCGATACCCGCCCTTTCCGAACTCACCGCTCCCGGGTTCAAACTCTCCTGATACCCATCCGTCATGGCCCACCACTCGCGCGTCTTGTCGTGCTCGCGCATAAGCGCCATGTCCGCATCAAAGTCTTGCCCGGTGTACTTGAAGCTCGCGAACAAGATCGATGTCGACGGGTCGTAGGAGATGGAGTCTGGCACCACGACAATCACGATCAGCCACTGTGAGTGTGACACCAAGACGGAGTGGTAGGGACGGCTTGCTGCAAAGGGATGAGAGTGATGGTAGGGTAATGCAAACGTACAGTCTTCAATGTGACATTTCTTGATTTGTTCAATCACTTCAGGCCAAACGGCGGCATGGCATTTCTTGTATGCCTCGTAGTGCTCGGGCCTGAGTTTGATGATTTGGTGGATGCGTTTCGGAGCGGGTTGGTTCGACATTTTCGTATGTCCTGTTTGGAAAGTGGGAGAGTGGAGGGTGAAGGTGCAGACAAGATGAGGGGGAGGAGGGAGAAGGGCAGGAGCGGAAGGAGGATGGAGATATGGAGGCAGTGGAATGAGATTCTGCTTGAGACGTGTTGGATTTATTGAGAGGATCGTGGAGGATTCGACGAAGTATATTCACCTCGGCGCCGGGGGGAATCGTGGCCGATAAAGTGATGTTTGTTGGAGTGTGGAGACTTCTCTGTTGAGACTGCACATCGAGACATATATGTTCTTTGCCTTGACTCGGGAGTGTTTGATTTGGACTGCTCTACTGCGTAGTCACTAGCAGTGAGAAGCACGGAAGGTCTACATGTCTAGTCTGATCATGAAGTAGCTTTTATGCTGGAAGATTGTCTTTGGCTCATTGTGGAAAGAAGCCTCGCCTGTGAATCTCTCGACTCCTGGCAGGACGCTGGAGTGAACGGGGCAGTAAGAATACGAAGAGCTTGATCCTCACGTAGCCGGGTATAGATTGAATTGCATTGAAGATGATACTGTCTTGGATCAGAAGGAAGTACAGCTAGTTGAGCGTTAGCTGCTAAAGAAAGTCCCATGCATTGGCCTTCCAAGGTTAGACTGTCCGACTGGAAGATAGTCCTCTGTTCTTCTCCGCTACTTGCTTCTTTCGAATTCCAGAAATATCCAAATAGACTCTGTTGAAGGATCGACCTTGTTCTCCTGACCTTGTCTCCCAATAAGCTAGTAAGCCATTCATCTTGCAGAATGCCCAGCTAATGTTACCGTCTAGAAAGTAAGCCAGGGTTGCCGGATAACCTTCGAAGCAACGTCATATTCTTCTGTGTTGTCGTCCACTTCTCTCTTTCACTTTGCCGCGTTGGTCGAAGTTGTACCACCAATTTGTGAATTTGTCGGAACGTGATATTTTTGTGGCGATTCTGCTGGAGCCTCTTCATCGTCTGGCGCGTGGATCGATTTCCATAATAATCTGGTCGACAGAATTGGTCGAGCAAGAACTTTTTCGAGGTCGCCCTCGAAATTACAATGACCGAGATCATCACCGCCATTCTTGAGTTCGTACGCCATCTGATCCATAACAAGTCGATACAAAGGACTCTTATCATCCGTATGGTCTGCCACCCATGATAGGTAACTAGGGTGGACGTAGTGTCTTTTCCAGAAAGATCCAAGTTCATCGATGAGACCATTCTGTAGGTTTGGCATGCAATATTTGTCGGCCAGTACCCATGCGCGCATCACCAACCGGACATCGGAGTCGTCCCCAGATAAGACAGCTTTAGCTGTATTACGACCTCTCGAGTACACCCCTGCCGCGACGATCTCGAATGCGCGGCTCGAGTCTTCTGGCAGAACGACCTCATTGGTTTGCTGTTCAATCATCCCGGATGTGAGACATTTCTGAAAGAATGGACTCTTTTTCATGAGTATATGACTATGGAACTTGAACACAGTGCGTTTCTTGCCGACAATCACGCTGACTATATCGGAAGCTGTAAAGCTGCAGGACTGGTTAGCATTTTGAGGAAAAGGAGTATCCTGGAATGGAGGAACGGTACGTTTTAGGCTCACACTCGCTGTCAGTATCTGAATCGAGCGTACTATCCTCGTTGGTCGAGGAGGAGTTGGCCACGCTGTCTGCAGGTCAGGTTGATCCAATGACTGGGAAGGCAGACAGTGAGTCGACTTTACCTTAGAGGCGAGTCTTCGCGCTCGGGTCTCAATGCTTCTTTCGTAGCCGCCATCGCCCATGAATGATGGTAAAGAAGAAGGATTTCTGACTTGACAGAATGATGCGATGTACCGGGAAGAAATGGCTCGATCGATGGGGTTTGGCGTCAGAACCACATTCACTGCGTGTTACCAAGCGCCTCAGTGATCGCAACGTTGAAGTGAGAGTGAAGTAAGAGTGAAGTTGCTCACGGCCTTGGAGGGCCCGACAACACTCAAGGGCATCACTGTAATACAGGTCAGTGCAACATAACTCGACTCTAGGCTTTGAGTCGCAGCGCCCTTGACGGTCAACGTGAGTAATGAGGTTTTCCAGAACAGAACTTGACCAGCAACAAAGCACATGAAAGGTACCGGGTGCTGTATTGACACTGCTGGAGAGTCATGTTGGTATCTAGCCCATGCTGTATGTACCTCGTCTATCCTGTCTCAAAGTCGGGCGTGCTCAATTTGAAACTTCTTCTCTCGGTGCCTACGCATGGCGCCTGACTGTCGCTTCCGCCCTCAGAGTCCATGCACACCTCTAACTGCAAGTCACTGAATGACTGGTATCTTATCTCAAATAGCACCCGCGCTCTTCAACAGATCATCAAGTTGTCCCTTCTTGCTCTGCAGATCCGAGTTGCCACCAATATGCTTCTGAGCGATGAAGATGTTAGGCACGCTACGTTGGCCGGTTATTTCCTCGAGCGCATCTTGGATCGCGGCGCCGTCATCTAAACGCAATGTGTCAGTCAAATTCGCCGCAGCCGCAGGCCCTTAAGACCCAACAACAAAGATTTGAAGTTGTTCTCAAACGTACCGACTTCATCCAACTCCATCAAAAAATACTTGGCATGCTTCTCGTTCAACAAACTCTTGCTGGCTCGACAGTAGGGACAGTACGACTTGGAGAACACGACCACCGAGTTGTCGTCGATGATCTGTTGGGCTTTCTGCTTCGCGGCCGACATGCTGGCGGGAGACGTTGATCGTGCGGACCCAAAGAATGAGCGGGTGATGTTGCGCAGTGGGGTGAAGATTGAGGAAGCTATGGTTGCGGTGTTGTTTTTTTGGGTTGTTGTGCCTTGTTCGGACTGTTGTGGCAAAGGGAAGAAAGGGAGGAGAGTTCGACCTTTGGATATATACGAACGAAGGCGAGACAGTATGTGACTAGTTGAGTACCAGAGAAAGACAGGATTCACTTACAAGCAGTGACAAATCATTGAAGTCTGGAGGCGCGATGACGATTGATGGCATTCAATTGAGCCGCCGAGTGGCTATAGAGGCGATGGGGGCGATGATGTGATCAATCTCGCTGCATTGACGTCCCTTGATTAGTTATCCAGACCGCACCAATCAAGACAGTTACACGTGATGGAATAGTCATTCTCATCTTATAGTGGCGATGCGAGATAATAACAGTGCTGAGGCAGGGCAGCTTTGAAGATAGGTACAGACAGGAAGACTTGAACCTTTGCAGCCTTCCTTCCAGACTCGACTCAGAAGAGCGCAGTGATGGTTTCTCGCCAATATTCTCGGCAGCTCGATACTGTAGCCATTGCGTATTCCTCCTTTCACAAGGCAAGTCGATGATTCCATGCCCTAGCCAACTTCACCTCGCCAGCGATGCATTCTTCTCTCCTCCTCAACCCTCCACAAAATGGTCACGTTCTCCAATCCTCTTCCAGTCTCGGTATTGACAGACAAGAAGAAAAATTCAAGACTGGACTCCAAGCCTCGCTCCGCTCAACCCGGACACCAAATTCACTCCCGCTAAAATTGCATCAAGAAACAAAACAGCTACTGAATTCCATCCTCGAACAAATGAAAAAAGGGGGTATTGTCATGTAGAGAAGCATTCTTGCTATTCCCGACGTCACCTGCAAGGAGCCTGAGTTACATGACAATGCAACAACCGCAACTCTTATCCTTCACTTTCTCGTCCATGTCGTTGTGTTCTATACGCTGCACCCTCGTAGGCTGAGCTGGCACCGTCGAAATATTTCCCATTCGCGGGCTATGCATGATGGCGGGACTCGCCACTCTCGGCATGGTGCTGTATCCGCCATTCGTGCTGCCGCCCGTGCCAGGTCTGGGACTTGCGGGGCCTCTCAAATTGGGACTTGGGACTGGTTTGAGCGGCCACGATGCTTCATCATCATCATCATCACCATCCCTGCCGGGTGCGAGAGACGGAGAGGAATGTAGGATCGGAGATGCTCCTTTCGAGATCGACCCCGTATGGATAGCTAGTGGGGAGAAGTTGCGGTCATATGTGCTGGGGACAGCACCAGACCCCTCCCATTGAGCCTGTTGCTGCCGTCGAGCATGTGTTGGGATAATCTGTTGATCAGGTGGTAGCATCGGGTCTGGTTTGTACATGGTTGCCAGCCACGGAGGATCTCCCTCAGGTCTATTCACAGCAGTCCGAGGCCGATCTAGTTCTCCCGACCTTGTTCCAGGTCTTTGGCCGGGTGAGGGAGTTGCGCCATTCTTCGCGTTTGCTGTCGCTTTCCTCGCCCCACTGTTGCTGGAAACTTTCCTTCCTGCGGAGGTGCCTGGTGGTGATGACTGGCCGGTTTTCGATTTCATCTTGGTTGGAGAAGACTGTTTGGGAGTAGGTAGCCTTGTCCCGTTGGCGAAGACCGGTGTTGCACCCAAGGACTCACCCTCGTCCAGCAGGGCGGCGCTCCCGGTACTCCCTCGTCGCATTCGTATCTTGAGCACGGGTATGCCATCTTCAGGACTCATACTATTACTAATAGTGCGTTTCCTGACCAAAGGTGTATCCCTTTCAATCCTCTCGTGCGGTATAGGGAGCGGACTCGAAGTTAGAACCGGTATTTTCGACCCTGACTTCTTCAACACCGGGTTGGAGTATATGGGAGAAGGTGTTTGTTCAGCTGAAATCTCCTCCGGTGTGCGGAAATCCCAGTTGGCTTGTTCATCCTCCTCTTCTAGGGGCTGTGGTCTGGTGTCTTCTGGTTCGCCTCTCGCAGGAACATTGCGCTCCTCACTTAGTCGACCTCGACTTGTCTCCCTTCTGGCGGGCTTGTTCCCAGTGCGCCGTGCAGTTGCCAGGTTGATCCCTGCAGCTTGTAGTTCTTCGCTCTCGATTTTAGCGAGCTTATCTCGATGAATCCATCCTTCAGGATCGTCCTCCTGCGGCCGGTACATATTCTCGGGGATGTCATTGTCGCCGTCTTTGTTTTGTTGACTGACATTCCCACTACTTTGGTTGTAGAGATCGAGTAAACTGTCCGGCTCACTCCCACTCCGTATTAATTTCCCTTCCGACTGTCCTAGCTCTTCCACACGGTGGTTGGAGATGCGACCCGTGCCACTGCTATCCTTGCGATTGGGCGCGAGGCTCGAGAGTGGTGTACGCGTAGAGCTCGCAGAGTTCTGGCGGAGGCCGGAAGGACGTGTCTTGCTTGATGCCGAGTTCTGGCGCAGTCACGTCAGTGGTTGTCTGTAATGCGCGTGTACGTTTTGCTCGGTATCTCACCTCCTGACTCACAGAGCCCACCGCATCATAAGCATTCTGAGAGCCATTCACGACGGCGGGGGTTGGTCCCGCCGAAGCAACTCCTGCCATTTCCAAGGCTACCTGGTTCCCAACGCGCTTGATGGGCTTCCCCTCAACTCAGGGTGAAAGCGCCATGTACCACGAAGCGCACCAGCCATGCAAGTCCAAACGCGATCGTCGCTGATTTGATGTACCGGGGATCTTTTCTTTGCTAGTCTCGATGGCAGCAATGCGATTCTGACCTGAGACAGGTTCGCAGCAGGGGCTAATGTCGTACCGAGGGGCGTGCAGAAGAGCGGTCACAGCAGAAGGGGCGATGAGAAATGCGAGAGGCTCTGTTGGATTAGGCCAAAGACCACAAATCCACGTCGTATGCTACTAAGTATGATCATAGAACAATGCAAGCGGGAAAGGATTGAGCAGTATCGACTGACAAAGGGAACTGCATTGAGACAAGCCGGCGAAGATTGCACGCTGCTACAGATTTCCGACCCGTTTCGCTTAATCCAAACCCATGTCAACAAACCACTTGGCAGAGATTCGAGCATTGCAATACACCAGACGCTGGTACATCGACAATCTAGACCGTAGGATAGATATTTGAAGTCTAGCAATGAATTAGAGGGCAAGGATGTGATTTTGACGTGCGCCGATCAGTAAGCTCGACAGCGTGCATGGATTGACCATATTCTGGTTCTGGCTTTATTTGATTGCATTTCGTTAGTCGTCAATTCCAGATAGGAATGGTATATGGGCTGTACAATGCTGTGTCTCGACTAAATGAGACAGTTCATCCTGATCGCTGATCATGAGAAGCCATACACTCTTGCGTCGGTTCGAAATGTCCTGTCGACCTGGGCTTTGGATTTCCTTTCGACCTCAGATGCATAAATATTAGTTATCCCATCCCCAATCCCGCAAACAACATCCGTCCCTGATTCAGACCTCCCTACTCGCCATTGAATGCATATCCTGAAGCCCGTCATCGTCGGACCTCAGACTGGTAAAACAGAGTCGAAATGGACGGTGAATGGCCGTCCAACGTATGTACTTGAAGCCGGCGGCAGCAAACAATCTGAGTGATGAAAAGAGTGAGGGGATTGTTATCAAACAGCCAGGACCCAAGCACCAAACCCAATCGAAAATGTCATCAATATCCTCCCACACTCACCGAGGGCCGTCTTGTGGTTCGCGGTGACTCCCGAAAACGTGGGCTATATTCGTTCTCGCGGTAGTCGGTCGGTTCCCGATAGTTAGCATAAACCGGTTCCCGTCTAGAGGCAACGTTGATCTTGTCGGACGAGTACGGTCGACTCTGGCGAGGCGGCTCTCGAGGAGGTTCTCGTTCATCCGGCGACAGCTCCGGAAACAATTTGTCTCGTCCGCTATTGTGCCGTGACACATGGGGCGTGTCCCGTGGGGAGCGAGGTGAGGGCAAGTCATCATACCGTCCTGAGCCGCTTCTTCGAACAGGATTGGGCACAATTCCTGACATCAATGAAGCGCCACGGGACGACTTTGAGCGAGAATTGGTGTCGACCTTGGGATGTTCGGGCTTCTCCTTGCGACGATCAGATTCACGAGGCAACGGTTCTCTGATGACGGACTCTGGACTCCGGTGGTATCGTCTGTCAAATCGTGGATCATCATGATCGTCGTAGATCTTGTTGACACGATGGCTTCGCATCGCTTCTTCCCCATCGACCTCCGGCTCGACACGGTACTTGGTGCGAGTCTTGGCCGACCTGGATGGGCTTTCCTCCCTCATGTCAGGAGTGTGTGGGCTGGAGCTGCTCCCATAGCCCGAATCATGCAACTGAGTCTCGCTATGCTTGAGGTTGGAACCTTTGGCGGGTACCGCTTCTTTCTTAGAAGTACCCTTGGGCACAGGTGCCGTTTGAGAACGGTGTAGACTTGGTGGCATCATCTTTCGATGATCACGATCTCTGTCCCGTTCCCGCTCTCTTTCACGATCCCTATCTCTCTCTCTGTCCCTGTCACGGTCTCGGTCGCGTGTCGTGCCGACAGTAGATCTAGGTGCCCGCTCTTCGACACGAGCACGAAGCTCGCTGGGAGACGACGTCGACTTGGTGAATGACGGGGAGAAGTAGTCGTCAGTTCTGCGTCCCTTGGACGAATCAGGCCTCCTCTCATTATCACTCCCACTGCGCCTGCCGCCATTTGAACGCCAATACTGGTAGGCATCTGAGCCGGTGCGGTCAAGACTGGGACGATTCGTGGCTTTGGCCATGTAGATCTTGCTCTCTTCGTGATGTCTCTCCCACTTTTCATCATAGCTGTCATCATCGTAATCACGAGCTCTCGCAGTTCTTGCCGAAGCTTTTCGTGCAGTCTCGGCCGTAGGTTCGAAGTGAGACGTAGTTTTGGAACGGGAAGTGGCCTTCAACGACGGCCTGATTTCTTCCACTTCATACTCGCTGTCAGTGTCTTCGACGTATGCAGTCTTCCTGGTATGCATCTTGTCGCTTCTGTCTCGTTTTTTCTCCTTATCTGTTCTCCGCTCATCCGCTCTGCTATTTCTGGACTTCTCTGTTTGAGCCCTCCACTTGGCGGCGAAGGCCGTGGCCATCATGCCGGCGCCCACTGTCGCAGACTTCTTCGCCTTCTCAGCTGGTCTAGGAGGTGGTGGAGTGCGTTTCTCATAGTCACTGTATTTCCGGCCAGTCGGGCGTGGCGCAGGTTCATCGTAGGGATCTCGATAGTCGTAGGCCGAAGCATTTCTAGGTTGGCGAACTTCTTCGTAGAAATTGCCGTCTTCTCGATACTCTCTCGTAGACGCAGGTGCCGGTTGCTGAGCAGGTCTCATCGGATATGCTCTTGTAGTAGATGGGGGTGGTTCTCTCATCATAGCTTCTTTTCGGAGCTCTGCCAATCGGACCTTGTCATCGTACCGTTGTCTTCGAACAGGATCGTTCAGGATTTCGTAGGCTTGTTGAATCTTTTGGAACTCATCTTTACCCTTTTCCCGCAGTGACTCGTCCTTTATTCGATCTGGGTGATGTTTGAGGGCAAGTTTTCGGTGAGCGCTGCGAATTGCTGAAAGCTCAGCATCTTTGCTCACGCCCAAAGTCTGATAAGGATCTGGAGGTATTGGTGAAGCCATTATGGTAATCTAATACAGAAGAGAAGAAGGGAAAAATTCAAGGTGGCGGGTTTGGTTGTTGTTTTGTACAGGCGGTCAACAGGGCGTGATGGCCGTGGCGTGCATACTGGTTGGCCTCTCGGTGGTCGGGACTTTGTTGGCTGGAGGTTGGTGGACAGCAAAGAGACGCGAATCAATCGAGGGACTCGAAAAGTCGAGAGTAAAGTTGGCCACAAAAGAAATGCTTTGGGAGTCAAGGTCTTTGGACAGATGCAGCGTAAAAGCCGCTGACGTCTGGTGTTGAGCAACGAAAAGAGTGAGCAGAAGAAATGCTGATTGCTTCTGCGGTAGCCCGATCGTCGATAGGATTCCTTTCGATCCCCGAGATTATGTAACCTGGCCTAGGACAAGCGCAGCAACGAGCAGGTTTGCGGCAATTTTCCAGTCGGTCTGTCGCAAGGCATTGGCACCAGGCCAAGGCAGTGCTGTTTCGATTTGGTTTGTCGAGACAAACGGGAGAATGAGAATGTTTGAGGACGGATGGTGAGGGTCCTTTGACGGTTATTGAATGGGTGATCTCGGATTTGAAGTCTCTAAGCGACAGGTGGACTTTGCCCCCCATGGAAACTCCTTCTAGGCCTGAAGCGGGAAGCGTCCGTGTTGCCGTTGGGAGGCTGTGATGCTGTGATGGAAATTACGGGCACCTAGCCATCACTTATCCTATCACCTACCTGGCTGTCGTCATGTTTAGGTACCACCCAGGGGACTACGTTTTGAAGCCTAAAACGAGTGCTGCTCCAGGCACCCGCGCCCGAACCGAGTCACTAACTCGCTCGCCTCTTCCTTGATGGTTGACATCCTTTAGGCTTGTTAGCCACGGCTAGGCTCCCCTGCTCCGGCTGTCCCTGACTGCCCGTTTGTTTGTTCTCCTGTTCTTCTCGTGTCTTCCCGCTTCCGGTCAACGTGGCGTGGTCGATCATACTTCTCGCAGGCCCGTGTGGTACCACCCTCATCTGTTTCAGATCCTATGTTTATGTCGTCGACCGAGGGACTACAGCGACACTCACTGACAGAGTTGTGCCTCATCAGACATCCCGACAATCCCCAGTCTGAGCCTCATGTCGCGTGAACCAACATTGTAAGCATCACTCCCAACCAGTGTCGACCTAACGCAGTCCCACACCTGAGGTTAAACATAGCATATCAGTTGGGTCTAAAATGTTCTGTCGTCACAGCCAGCTGACTCTATGTTTCCTACCTCTTCTGAGTCGTTTGGTTCAACTGTGATTGTGGTCGAACTATTGCAGTGATTCGGCAGACGTCCCTTCAACGCATGTCGAGCCAAACTGGCATCCAGTCATCGAGAGCTCTGTCCCGCCTATCTCACGACGCCAGGCACAAAATAGCCATGTACAGTGACCGTTGACAGGTTTCGACTTGCCCACCTGCATCGACGTGTCACGCTTCACCTCGATCAACTTCATCTACTGGTGTGCTTCCCCACAATGGCACATCTGGAAAATGCATATGGTAGACTTCTGCCATCGAATGCCAATCAAGGAGGTCAGCGACTTGATTCTTACTCGCCCACGTTGTGCCACGGGCAGCATGCGGTCCTCATCTGGCCACTAAGCCAAGTCATCCAGGTCGCGAAGGCTGCATAAGTTTCCAACCCACTCAAGTGTCCGGGGTGTCGCATTGGATCGAGACCTTACTGGAAAGTCACTTGGAAAACTACATTAGATCTAGCTCGAGAGGCGCAGCCAACCTTGTCCTGGTTCGAGTGATGGCAAAGATGCATTGCATGAACAGAGGTCGGAGCATTTTTCAGACAAATCTCAATGTTTCCAGTGTGTGTTCTTGCGACCTTCTTTACGCGAACAAGAGTTCAGCGCGTAACAACGCAGAGCCAATCCAATGAACAAGTTATCACGGTTCTCACACCACTCACAATGCTTGACTGTTCTCACTCCACCACAAGCCAACCGAAGCCACGGGCCGCCCCCAGACCTGATGGGAGATCTACCGAACGAAAAGCCAATACCAGCACATCCCCCTCATTGACGATTGGTGGGGTGCCCTTTTCCAACACCACACTCTTTCTCTGAACCAAAGCAAAAGCAATAATGACGGGATCCGTTTCCACTGAGCTGCAGAACACAAGACCTGTTCCAGGGTACGCTCAACCTACGAATCGATCTATGGTCACAACCTCCAAGAGGCGAGCCAAAAGGTGCCCTCCGTCCATCACAGCTATTTGTCCGACCCAATGTGTCCTAGACATATTCACATATTCTGAACATATTTTGGGTATGCCGGACACGGCCGGAATAATATGCTCTGCCAATGGACGGTCACGATAGTCGGTCTCTTGCCGCCCTGTCCTTCCCTACCGTCAGCCTTCCCCTGCATGGCTAAAAATCTGTGCAATGCCTACCTTTGACATCCAGCAACGTCTATCACGAACGTCTGGTGGCGCTATGGCCCAAGGAGGGTGTGAATTTTGGACGTCCATCATGAAAACGTATGACGACCAGGAGTTTCTGACAGCATGGCGGGGCTACGCATTTATTGGGCACTATCAAGCGGCTCTCTTCTCCTCCCATTGGCAATCATTGGTCCCAAAGACGCGAACACTCCGCATGTCGCGCAAACATTAACGTTTGGGCACGAAGCTCACTCGTATGCTCGGTCTGATGTTCATTGTTCTCCATACCTTTTTGCGGAGAATGACCGCCTGGAGTGTTGATTCGTCCAGCCTCAACAGACTCTCCCAGGCAACAATGCATTTTGGGTGGACTACATGCCGACGTATTGAGACTCGCTTCCGACGACATCCTGCACGCGTGGGTGAGGCGTGTTCTTGAACCACCTCGGCGTCTGCCTTATTAGGCTACACAGATCGTCAGTCCTACCCAAAGCAAAGCCCGCCCATGTTATCACTCCAGATGTTGTACGTGGCTGTTGCCTGTGCCTGCCTGAGCCGACCTCTTCCCTTGCGAGTTCGAGGCAATTTTTTGGCGGTTGCTTTTGATTTGGTAGAGTAGAAAACTCTCCGCTGATCCGTGTGGCTGATCCGGGGGCACGTACACCCTCGCGTTCGGCTTCGCCCTCGCTCTCGCAACAAAGGCAGACTCGCGGTAGGTGTACGGCGGACATAATAGCCGCTCGTGCCACCACCGAGCACAGCACGGCATCGCGGTCCTTGCCAATGCTACGAGGTAATACTGGCTCACGAATCAGGGTTGTCGAGTCTACTGTGTAATAAGTGTCCGGTTTGATGAGATATCGCTCAGAGTACATTTAATCACCAGTGGCGCTGAAAATGCGATGGCAACAGCCTGCAGCGTGGGGGCGGCAAACCGAAGAGCAGTCACTCTGCAGTTGGACAACCAAGATCTACCATGTCCTATGGTCTTGATCCACTTCATCACGACCAATGCAACCCTTTATGAATACCGCATACGCTCCCGTATACGTCCACACCTGGACGCCTTGTTCGGCGGCTACTTATCCTGTGAGCCTTCTCTGCCTGACCACCGCGGGAGTCCGGGGTAAGTGGAAGAGTTTCCTCATCGTGGTCAGCAGCGTATTCGGCGGGTGTTGACCGTTTTCCCTCTGTCACCAGGATGTCGAGCCCAAAATGCACCGACTCTCTCTGACTGAACATGGCCATACCTGGTCGCGGAACGGCCTGTCACTCGTCCATCCAAGTGTCTTCTGTACACATTCTGCAGTTGACAACTTGCAGCAGCGGCATCTGCAAACAGCGAACGACATGAACGGTGAGTGAGATCAATTCGCCTCGTTCAGGCCAGCTTGACCTAGCACGAGCAGCCTTGAACGAGCATCGGTCTACGAGCTTCGCGCCAACAGTATCATGAAACCCTGAACTCAAAAGCAGCTTGCTCGAAGGTCGCTCGCACCAAGTATACTTGGTCTTCCATATCTTGTCGGCTGCCCCGGATAGCTCGTGGCGAACAGATCCTGTTGTTCGAGCCGACGACCCTTTGATGTCAGCAACCGCTACAATACTCTATACAGAAAGCGAGTAAACGATGCACCCATGTACCATGTACCACGCACAGACTTGATTGCTGGTCATACTGTACATAGTACACAGTAAGGAAGGTATCTAAGTTAGCCGAGGCTGCGACGATCAGGGGTTGGCCAATAATCAACTCATAACCCCTCTCAGCCTACCCCTCGTGCTCATCGAGCAAAGGGGGTTGACTAAGGTAAGGTAGTTACTACGTACTACGTACTCCATACTCGTAAGATCGATCATGTCCTCCATTCAACCAGACGTCCCCTTCAAAGCGAAACAGAACCTCGACAGGGGCCCAGGACTCGCCAAAAATACAGGCTGCAATGGGACACATAAAATGGCATTCTTAATAATAGCGTCTACCTCCCGGTCAAATCAATGAACACAATGACTGTTAACAGATACCGTTTTGAGTGGGGTGGGTGACATGGTCTCATCAATATCGTTTCTCAATACAATCCGTGGGTGCCAGGGCTATGCTAAAGGTACAGTACAGTAGTATGCTATGCCATGCCATAGGGGCTAGCTATGCCAATTCATCATCACTTCATGAGCATCTCCAACTGCTCTCTCCGTCTCTGCCTCGACTGTGGCGCCATGTCCTTGACATCTCCAATGCCCAAGGGGTCCAAATCTCCGGCCAGATCCTCGTCGCCAACAGCGTCATCTTTCGTCTCCACCGATTCGTCGCCGACGGACTCATCCGGTCCAGCAGGCTCCACAGGCTGCACAGGCTCTTCATCCGGAGTGTGCACTTGCCTCGACTCCTCCTCGACCTCTAACACTGATACTGGGACTGGCACCGACGTCCTTGACCCGGCGGCAACTCCCTCCTTCGTCCGCGGTGAAGCTGTTCCAGATACCGGCGTTCTCGCCCTGCTCACCGGCTCCTGCGCCTTCGGACTCGCCGTCAATCCCACAGTGGCCTCGTGAGTCTCAACGCCAACGAGCACAGGGGTCCTAGCCCTGCTCACCGGCACGGACGCTGATCCCGATTGACTCTGCGATCCGCCAACAGATGTCCACATCTCACTCGCATCGCCATCACTCAGGCCATTAAGCTGAGTCTTTATGGCTGGCTTCCCATTCATCTCGTCGTCCGTCCGGCCAAAAACCTCATTCCACCACCGCACCTCCCCGGATCTTGGAAATATCAACCTCTCCTTCCCACGCACATTATCATCCACAACAGGGTCGTATTTCGGGTTGAGAAATTCTTTCCTTCTCGCCAGGAAATAGTCCCAGACACTCTTGGTTCGCTCACTCAGCCTCGCCTCTTTTCTTTCTCTCTCGCTGTCTCCAAGGAATGTCCCATACTGACACGAGTAAAGATGATACAACAGTCGCCGTAGGAACCGTTCCGTGAACTCAAACCGCGTTGGATGCTGGTACATCAGCTGGTATGTCGCATCGAGGAACTGGTGAAAAATAGGACTCGTCTCCTTGACTTTCGTAGCGAGTTTCTCTTTCTCCTTGGCACTTCGAGACACGATCCGCCGGCCAGCCTGAGACTCCGAATCATAATTGCCAGCGGCATCCGCGTCTGACTCGACGTTGATGCTCTCTCTCGAATCATTGTGCTTCGCGTTCGAGAAGAACCCCTTCGCGCTCAAGAAAGCATTCTCAAACGCCTTCTGCGCGCCAGACATGGCTCCGGCCTGATCTTTCCCTTCCGTATCGTCAGTGCTGCGACTGACCCGCTCGTTCTCGATGTGGAACCATTTTTCGGAACTGAGGAATCCAGAGCGGTGCTTGAACATATGACCAAAACTCAACCAGTCTTTCTCGACAAGGACGATAAATCCCTCCATGGTCCTATAGTACGGGTCCAGACACAGTTGACTCAGAGACGAAAGCTGACTCGTCCTATCCCATCCGTCGCTGCAATGGATAAGGACATGACTATGCTGAAGCGCGACCTGGCGCGCAATCAGACCGGTCCCGTCCAACACGTTGGCGATATGTTTTAGCCAGTCGCTTTTCTGCAACAGCTCCCTATTGGGGCCCAGGGGTGTCAAATCTGAATCTTTGAGCGCATCGACAACCTTGGCCAAGCTATCGCGCATAACGTGAATGTTGTCAATACCCAAGTACACCTTTGTCGCGAACTTGTAGTTACTCATGTCCTCTGATCCCATACCAGTAGCATGGTTCGCCAGCGCGTTGATACTGGGCCGAGCGTCGACGATCATGTTCCGTTGCTGAGCACCATAGATCATCGGTTTTTTCTCATCCGCATCTGGTGCCATATCTTCGTCTCGTCGGAGGCTCGAAATCACAGCATCCTCGATGGCTTCGGCATCAGTCGCTTGCAGGTCTCCGTCCGCGTTCGACGTTGTCATCGTAGACATACTCGACGCGCCCGAGTCCTCTCTTTCCGGGGGAGGTGAATTGTACGCACTCAATGGCCGTTCGGCTCTTGTTGTGTTGAATATCGCCGCCAGCAACTTCTCGTCCTGGATGCTCCTATTGCCTCTCACACCCACGAGGGGCTGCGAGCAACGTGTGATCGAACAATCATTCACTGGATGTAAGTAAGTGAGCACCGGTATCCTCGCTCGCGAGCGGTAGCTTTTCGCGTAGTTCAACGTCGCGTCGGATATCGGGGCTGGAACAGGTAGCAGAGCAGGATACGTCGGGCTGAACGAGTAATCTGTGTTGATCTTCGAGATTCTCCATTTTCTCTCCTTGCCAGGATCATCGACCCCCATTCTGCGCCACTCCCGCATAGGATCGTACAGCGCCCACCCACTGGGTTGCACATCCCGCTCAGGCCCTGTCGGAACATAGCTGAACGCATACAACTTCTCGATCCCACTTATTTTGCAGGTCCACGCTCTGATGCTGTCATATAAGTCCCGCGCCTTTTCTTTGCAGCCTTCATCATGGAACAGGAAACATACGAATGTGAAGTCGCGACAGCGTAGGCGGATGCTGCTGGGCTGTCGGGATGCGAGGGGTGAGGGCCGGAAGGTGCATTGTTGAATGATCGGGTATGTTATCCACAACTCTCTGGGTCGGGCTGGCTTGGTGTTGTTGCTGGCCTCATCTGCAGATGTTGTAGTCGTCGTTGTTGGGGTAGGAGGAGCAGGAGGGGTGTGGACGAAGATAAGGTGGTGAGGTGTGAGATGTAAAGTCCCGCTGACTTGTTCGCCGCGTCGGGAAAGGGTTACGTTGTCGACCTGCGGCGACATCATTAGCTGCGTCCCAGGGTCGTCGTCGTGTCGCGCAAACCGGCACTAAACTAACCTTTGCGATGCGAGTGCGTTCCATCGCCATGGTGTCGAGGGTCCGGACAGCCAATGCCTTAGCCTGCGCAAGACAGGCGCACCTACAACATCATTGATGTCGACGACTGTCTGGGGTTGTGAACGGAAGCAAAATACTCGACGAGAAGGCTTGATGTGGCTACCAGAGCAAGAAGACCTGTTCAGCGATTGGAGGTTGATATTTATCACTCATGGCGAGAAGGCATGTCTACATCTAAATTTATCGGCTGTCAACCGAAATTCCTTAGCGCAGCCTCGTCAGCCTTGTCATGTTGAACGGTGATATGCAGTCTGCGACCTTGTCATCATCGATCGAACAGTTTGACGGGTGAAGAACGTATCAGAGTCCCATTTGCTGACAGTATGGAAACTAACATGGATAATTCCCATGAGTCAAGCCCATAGACTTTGTTTGTCACCTATCTCGGAAGCAGACGAGACACCACCATCTTCTTCTCATCCATCTGAACATTAAACTCAGCAGATCGCATCCTCACTTTCAATCATCATGCACCCTCAGATGCACGTTTGCTCTTCGCCAATGCTGAGCAGTCTGGGACATTCATTCATGGCTAATTGTACAAATACAAAGCGCCGTCCCTGTCACTGCAAGGACATGTCGTCTTTTGATGCGTGGCCCTGCCCAATCCCATGAATTTTTACTCCACTTTGACCCTGAACGCCATGCTATTTTCGAAAAATGCCTCACAATATCCATCTATTTTGGACATGATTCCAATGTCATGCCCCAACATGCATCTGTGAACGGAATAGTTTCTTTACAAAAAGTCATCAATGTTTCGCAATATCTCGGGAGCTTCTCCTTGTTGATGTGGACTTCTCGGGTCAATTGCTGTAGGAATCTGATCGCCTGACGACTCGGCAGGTGAAGCGAATATGTGGTGTGGAAGTAGCAGTCCCTTTGTCTTGGGAGGCTGTGGTGTCTGGCGGACTACAGCCAGATCTCCTGCGGTTGTGATCCCAAAAGGTGACGCCATGAACTCTGTTGCTCGCGGCGAAAAGAGCGATGGAGTGTCCGGTACGTCCTGCGCAGCAACATCCATGATGGGAGAACTCGTCATAAGTCCCAATTTGGGAGTCTTGGAAGGCTCAGGTGACAATGACGCAGGCGGTACATCGTCGAAACGCTCTCGAAATGGTAGAGGCCGCGGCGATACACTTTGAGGAGGGCTCCGTGACTCAGGAACGGCTGCAGCTGCACTTGACGTTTCCGACTTTGGAGGCGTAGCAATCTTACTCAAGATCTGACTCAGCTTCACAGGTGTCTCGATGATATCCACAGGATCGTTCCTGGGGAAGAGCGGAACCGGGGGAAGAGCTTTGTTTAGGCGTAGTGAGGGTCGACTAGGCGCGGTGGAAGTTGCATCAGCGTTACCGGGAGCAAATACCATTGCTGGTCTCTCCCATGGTTGTGAAGGCAGTTGCTGGAAAGGCTTTTTCGCGATCGGGGTGTCCATGACCGGAGAAGGCGAAGCTTGCACCTTCCACCACGTCGGCTTGGGGTTGAAGGTGTGGTCGCCATACACGCCTTTGACCACCTTTGATCTGAAGTCTGTCAACTGATAGATCAGACTCATATTAGGTCCCACCCATTCACTTCGTTGCTTGACCGACATGTACATGGAGTGGAAGTCCGGCTGATAACCCTTGTACAGACCGTAAGCGATTACCAGCGAAGCTGATCGAGAAACACCCAGTTGACAATGTACTAGAACCTTCTTTCCAGCCTGCACTCGCTCGTCAATAACCCGGCATAGATTATACAAGTCCTCCAATATTTCCGAATTGTGGTCCCATGGTATATGCAGGTACTCAGGCTGTTTCTTTTGTAGGAATGACGTCGGTCTCGGCGTGGTAGGTGTTGGTGTTTCGCTGGCTCGTGGCCATTCCCAAGCCGACTTGAATGATATCTCAGAAATGGCGGTTTGAGGTTCCGAAATCTCCAGCATAGGAGCGTCGGCCTCGAACTCGAACGGCGTCTTGATCTCTTTCGCTACATTAATGACTGTGTCAAAATTGCTTGCTTCGTCGGCAGTCGGTTCGAGGTACAGATACACGCCGCTATCGTAGATGAGGACAGGACCTGTTGGGTACCCCTTTTCTTGGGTTTCCTGTGATCTTTGAGGATGGAATTCATCTTCCTCTTTCAACTCTGGAAGCGCGCTGTTCCCCGATTGAGCCGAATTGCTCGAGTCAGAGCCCGATCCAGAATGGATGGTCCCGCTTGCGGGTAGATGCAGGAACAGTCCTTGAGAGGGTGGTTTGGTAGGAGATGCCAGAGAAGCTAATGACGGGGAAGATTGCATATGATGCAATGAAGGTCTTGAGCTGGGCGTTGGCGGTACGTCCAGTGTCCGCGAAAACGACAGCTGCTGAAAGCCTGGGGTTCTGATGGTCAGATTCGTGGGCTTTTTTCGTCCCGTCCGTGGCGTGTCCTTCAGAGGTGATGTAGGAGCGGAAAACGCGTGGGAGCTTTCAAACCCAGGTGCAGTTGATGGCCGAGGTAGAGCGACTGCGTTCATGTTCAGCGACAAGTTCTTGACGTTTTTCGTCGTGTCTATTGGCAGCTGCGGCTGTATTGAGGGAGCATGTGGAATTATGATGGGGGGTCCCTTTTGAGGCTCAGATTCACATTGCTGCTCTTGTAGCGACCTGCCCATTATATTTCGGAATGGTGATACAGGAGGTATTGAGGTTGCTGACTCGGGTGAAGAGGAGGGGGAAGGATCGGTCAATAAGGGCGAGTCAAAGGTAGAGTTGGTAGTGGTCGGTGAAGAATCCGTCGATGTGGTCGTCATAGAGGTGACACTGTCTCGGTGATGTAGAGGTTGACCAGACGGCTGAAAAGAAGTAGAAGGAGGTTTGGCGTCGGTGACCAGAATCTGCGTGTCGCTTTGTATCGAGTCCGGCATGGACAACTCTTCAAGATCCTTCGGTATGCTTGCGTCTGTTTCCCCAACTACTGTCATGAACGACGGGAAAGGTGTGGACATGATCGAGCCGACTCCGATTGGCATGTTCGAAGATGGCGGAAGTGGAGGCCGTCTCTTCTTGGAGGATGAGGTAGATAGTTGGTGGTCTATCGACGAGACTGAGGTCGTTGGACCATGGCGGGTGGAGGGGCGTGTGGTAGAATAGTCGTTGGCCAAGTCGAAGGACCTTTTGCGGTGGTGACAGTCAGCACTGCCTGGAGAGTACGGTAACATTTTGGCTTGCGACTGATGACGGTCGAAAGGGCCATGGTACAATCGAGGTCTTGGTTCACAAGAGGACAACGGAGGATTGGGCCTGACGTACTGAGATCAAAACAAACCACGATGGAGATGTCGCAGAGCATGCGACAAGATGAGAAAGAAGCCTGACGACCCGGGGCTCCTCTCACAGTTTCAGATTCAGCGCGTATCCAAAGTGCGGCGCAGCAAGTCGCCTGAGGCTTTCTCACGAGTCAAACCTCCACTGGAAGAGAATTGGGACGTAAGACGGAGTTTGGTTGAGAAGCAATAACTCCCTCCTCTTGAGCCCTGTGCGCGCGCACGCTTTGACCTCGACTTTGCACAAAGAGGAAGCGCAAAGTGAAAGTTGTTCGGCACCTGACGAGGACTACTGCAGGTGGTGGATGGCTTCTGCGACAAGCGAAGGAGGAGTCGGAGGTGGGAACGTCCAGGAACGTGGAGTTGGAGCAGGAAGAGGGAGCAAATAGAAAGGCCCTGAGAGGCGCGGGATATGGCGCAATGGGGGACCGATGGATGAAGCAGGAGGCCCGCGAGCAATCAGTAGCAGTAGGGGACTCGTACACAGAGGATTGATACAGGTAGATCCTGGTTGTGTTGGTTGTTGGTTGCTGGAGCGAAAGTCGTAGTAAGAAACGAGTCTCCCCTCAGCACCGACTGCCCTTCTCACTACTCAGTCTTGCACCTTGCAGGCGCTTGGACAGTTACTCTACACTTCTCGGCTTGTGCCTCCAGCATTGGTCGCAGGCATCTGAAGGGGGCTGCATCTTGACGCTGCGATTGGCAAATCACCTCAAGCCCCTCCATCCTGAAACCGTGCCAATGATGCTATAAAAAGATCTTTGGCTGGCTGGAAATTTGCCGCGCGCATCCACGCGACCATCAGCAGCCCATGGACCAACAGATGATCCCAACCAGCTGCCACCGCTGGCCTGTCTTGCCCTGTCCTTCCCGAAAGCGGCCAGATCCTCGAAGCTGTGGAATCTGACAGCCTAGGCCTTGGTGCAGCTTTTGCCTTTGCCTTGAATTCAGAGTCTGCCTCAGATACCAATATATTGAAAGTGCATCCATACCCGAAGCCAGACACGAGAACCAGTACAAAGTAACACAGCATAATGACAATTGTTCGTCGCTGTTCTCTTCGCCGCTGAGTTACTCCTACTGTCATACACAGTGAGCGGATTGGGCAAATTGCGCGGCGTTTCAGATTGCTACGAGCCAAACACCAGACAACCAGACATCCGTGCGCCACCCATGTCCATCCTCAAAGAAAAAGGGATCAAAAGGGACTTCTTCCCCCCAGAAATAACCATCTGGCCCCCAGCCACGCCTTTCTCCTCTCGCGTCTTTGATCCTTCTGGGATGCCCGGTCCCGAACGTGGTCACCATGACACGATAGGATCTGCAGAACGAGATTAACCATCATCACCATCATTGTCATCAGCTTACACTATCATAGTAGGGAGCAACGTCTCGTGTCCGTATCCCACAATGTACTATGTATGTAGGAAGAGCTAAGATGTGTTTGTATTTTGAAATCCAACTGCCCAGAGGCAACAAAGGTAAAGCTGTCCTATCCATGCTATTCATGCGAGCATGCTATCCGCCATTTTGATCAGTATGCCACGTCCTCCCATTGGTATCCCAAAATAATTTTATGCCTGTCTGCCAGCAAGGCATGTTCCTGAACGCCAAAACTTTTGGTGTGAATTGTCATGTTCACATTTCTCTCCTGTACGCCTTGCCCGAAATCTGTCAATTAAAGTGGTGTACCGTCTACGGTGAAAATGTCGAGCAATAGTGAGGCTGAGCTGAGTGGACCGGTAGGTTCCTCCCTACTCGCATCGGCCTGCACCATTGCTGGGGAAATAAAGGAATGAATCAAAGCGGCCGTGAAAATCATGTCCCGACCTCAAGTTGAGGCGAGCCTGCCCTTTCCGGTCAATATTTCTTTGCCTCGACCCGGTTCTTCATGTACAGCTCTCCGATGCCAGTCTTCTGCCTATTCACTTTATTGCGAGCACTGATGGCGGCCGAGTAATGACTGAAGGAGAAATTCGACCAATCTCGATAATCTCGCGTCGGTCTGGACACTTCAACCACTTTGGTTAACTTTTTCTGAGGCTTGTCGTAGGTGAAGATGTCTTCGAACTCAAAGTCTTGGGATGACAAGTCTAGGGCGTCGAAATTGGTGTTTCTCAGCAACTCCCGTTCGACATCCGAGAAGGCCACATCAAAACTCGCCGTCCGGGCGTATGGGACGAGTTGGACTTTGGGGGTGTGACCAGGAGAGACTGCCTGAATTGACTTGGAGGAGACGCAGGATGATTTTCTTTCCCCAGTTGATCGACCGGAATCTGAGTCCACGGACCGAGGACTGTGGGGAGGGGACTCCAAGTTGTGTTTCTCGTACGAAGGCATGGTCGACTCGAGGATGGCCTGGCTTGACTCGACTACCGCTTCGATGAAGACCTGCTTGAGCGTGCTTGAGCTAGATATGGCCGTAGCTGATGTATCGAAAAGGTCGAAATCATCCAAGACCACAAGTCACACAGGGAAGCCGAGTGTCGAAAGTTGAAGCGTTAATACCCGTTCGATGCCTGCCCGTGATCAATTGTGCACGCAGATGTATTGGGTAGCCCGAGACAACAACCCGGGTTGATGTCACTGATGTTTCGAATTCTTCTGCAAGCCAACCACAATTGTACTTGTAAATGGCTCCTCCCAGTCTTACGTGTGCAGCGGTACTTGGATTTTTACATGGACAGGGAATCGGAGTCATTGTGGAAATGCCTCGTCCCTTATATCATGGCAAGAACAGAATTCCAGAGGACACACATGCCATCTTGATTGGCAATTGCGACATATTGAGGACCAATTAGCACCAATCAACGTCCTCGTCTGGGTCAAGGTGCTCATTGTTCATCTTTCATGGCAGATGGCGTGTCCAGGCACATACGTTCCCACAGCGGGCAAAACACAGTGACCCAGAGGTGAGCCATAGACCTTGCGAGTTTCCGCAACGCTGTGCAGTTGTTTAGTCATTGGAATCCTCGGGATGCGGTCGTGGCATGATGCAGCCCCTACCACTAGCAGGTGGAGCAGCACTCGCGGTGGAAATTTTCGACTGCACGTGGGATAGGCACCATCAAGCACTGATCGGCCACCAGCATGGCCGCAAATGTTCGATTGGACCAGCCGGCATCAAATCAGAACAGACATCTGCCACGCTCTGTCTCTTGCCAATCAATACAGCAAAGGAGGACAAGTCGACACCATACACATCACTCAGAAGTGCCACGCAACGAACGCGGCATACCGTCTACTCGACTAAAAATTCTGGTTCAGACCGAGTGGTGGTCCTCACATCGCTTTTTGGAGGACAACAATGACCCGATCACCAAGAAGGACTGCCCTCTCGACGGAAAAGGTTCTTGGTACACAATATGATACAAATCTTGACAGAAACGTCGTGATTACGACCCAACACTCTGACCTGAACTCTGTCTCTCTAACGCCATATTATCCAATTCTTGCCCTGATGGTGCGATATCCCGAAGTGGCGGTGTGTCTGGGCTGTCTTTCCCACTTCCATTGCGTTCCGCTTTGACTGCTCGTAGTCGACTGCTAACACTGCTGATCCTGCTGGCAAACCCTAGGCTTCTTCTTGAGTTCGATGGACGAAGCCCTCCCTGACTTTCCGGTGTGACCTCGATGGGACTTGACATGGCGGCGGGAATGATTGATATCCGACCCCATGCTTCCTTTGGCGTCATTCGATTCGCTTCTGGCGTGCTTACATTACTCGTCGGGGATGCATATTTGCGTCTTGATACCAGATTGGTGCTCACGTTGGCCGGCATCGCACTCCTCGTGGCATTGCTTGCCTCATGCGGTGACGGTCTCGCATGTTGTGGCATGGGATGCTGAGCGGTGTATTCCCTTGAATATGCGGCGCGATCCTTGGCCATTTGCCGATATGTACTCACCTCCGTCATCGCTCGGCTGACTGGTCGTACAGAAGGACTGCCTTCTTCATCATCAGTGGTTCCGTCTAGCTGCCCAGGTGTTCTTCTGCTGCGCAAAGATGCAGACGTTCGCGCAAGCCTCGACGATGAAGTTGTCTGGATCTGCGGCAGTGCTGTAGGCGGCGTCTGATAGCCATGTTCAGTGGTGCTTCCTTGTTGGTTCAACGTGCCACCGAGCGCAATGCTGGTTCGTCGACTTTCTAGCCGAGACTGCACTCTCGACGCGACTGGAGGGCGATCATTCAGCTCGTTGCTATACCGACGGCTACGCAGACCTATAGAAGAGGGAGCATACGCATCTCGACTGGCCGGTCGGGTCGCTGACGTTGGTACTTGCTTGTTGTCTGCCAGAAGTGCAATGACCAATTCTGTAAGACTTCTGCACATGCTCTCCGTTCGCCTACGCACTTGACGTTCGGAAACCGACGAGACGCCAATGGTGCTACCGGCGCCTGTATATCCTTCTGGGGTCATCATCATGGAAAGCTGTAAGGCGTCTTGCGCAGTGGCCTGCAGTTTTTGATACAACTCATTACTGATCACGGATTTGGCATTGCCCAGGGCCTCATGTAGGGTGGGATGGATGGTGGACGGTATGCCTTCGATTGCGGACTGTAGCTGAGTCACCGCAGCCTTGGGCTTTGGTGAGGAAGAAAGAGTCGTCGCAGCAGTTGTGGCCGTCTTTGGTCTGTCAGAAGTCGTCATTGCGGCTGCGGACGATGGAGGAAGTTTTCCGGTCAATTCCAATTTCCGGATCCTCGACTTGAGGTCGTCCAGCTCGTCCCACACGGTTGAAGGCGCAGTCGTGGATATCGTCGACTCGGTCGCATTGTGGTCCGGCATTCTTGGACGATCTACGAATCCAGACTCGGACGCCAATCGACTATTGCGCGCAGTACTAGGTCGCGGAAGATGACGACCAGGCTCACCAGTCACATTTGTGTTCGTATTCGAGAATCGTCTGGACATGCTTCGTCGAGGGAAGTCACCATTTTGAATGCTTCCAATCTCTTCTCGAGCACTAAGCGCTTCGGGTCGGAGTGTGTCTTCGGTATATGCTCGTGACAACGCTCCCGGCACATGCTGTCCGAGGGACGCCCGCTTGTTGTAGTAATTCAGAGCCTCCGACCGACCGGAAACACTTGCTGTATCGAATCGATCTTGTATCGGTGACGACTTGTACCCCGTAGCCGGCCGCGCGCTGGAAAAGAAAGGTAACGAGATACGAGATCGCCTCTTATCGATCTGGGAAGACAGCTGGCCTCCACGGGACGCGCCAGTTTTGGCGATATTAAGAAATAAATCCTCGCTCTTTCTCTCGTCACTACTCGAACCTTTACTGTCTTCGTCGGTAGCGATGGGCTTCAACCGGTCTGATGTGTCCCGTTCTGTATACCGGGCAGATTCAGCTGCCATTGCTGTAGGCTCGGTGGGGGCTGAGACTGAATTGAATAGATCTGGTGTGACGGGAGTGTCAGGGCTGGATCCCTCTTGTGTATTGGCCTCGTCTGCCGAAGACTCTGTGCTGGAGGGAGCAGCAGCGTCTTGCTTTACCGGCGAGGCGTGTGTGACAATATACCCAGGCTCTTGCCGCAGCTCATTGGACTTCTGAGGTAACGTCGACTCGCGTGTCGTGGTGTTTGTTCTCTGTGGGCTGAGGTTGCGATCAGTGACTCGTATTTTATCCTGCGAACGCGTTCGCTGAGTACTGTATGAAGGTGGCGGGCCACAGATCGTCTCGACAGGATAGCTGCTGTGCGACGCAGGCGGCTTCTTCTGAGAAGATGATCGCTGAACGAGGTTCGAATTTGTCCGCTGCAAGGGGGTGGTCGGTTGACTGGCACCCGATGATGAGGGTCGACGGTTATTGGGGTCGGCGAGGTCTTGAGAACAGAGGCTGAAGGAAGGGACACTTGAAGTTTTCTGAACGCCAACGGGCTTCAGCATGCCAGAGTACGGCAGTGAAGGTTTCTGTGGGCTGACGTCGGAGGTCGCGGTGGTCAATCTGGGCTTCTTCCGTAGTGGTGGGCGCCAGGATGTCAAGTCATCTTTGACAGTTGTGCTTGTATCGATGATGCGGACGTTGTAGCTATGCGGGTCCTGGAGGCGCGTTGGACGTGCATCTGTGACGCGAAGGGCAAGATCATGACGGCCCGGAACGTGATCAATCGAATAGTAGGGAAGAGTCCTTTTGTTGATACATGTAGGAGAAGTGAAGACGCGATCGGAGGCCGGAGATGGAGGTGAAGCAGATATTGTCCTCGACGTGTCTTCCATGTGCTGATTTGATACATGGATCACTCCCCCCTGCTAGTGCTTTCTCGCTTGTGAGATGGTGAGGGACAAGCACCCAGAAACAGGCCTGTTTACAACAGGTCGTCTCCCCTTTGATCTCAGATCAGAGGGCCAAAGGGCTATCAGACTAGGGATTGGAACGAGGTTGGATATTTGCTATACTTTATCTACGCATGGTTGATGGGGTTCGGGTGTTGTGTGATCAGCTTCTGCTTTCCTGCTAGCTCACGAAATACCGGGGCGATGCGAGGAAATGTGACGCCCACGGGCATAGGCGCGCCTTCAACGAATGTGATTCTTGGTTCCTGTGAGGCAAGAGAAAGGGAGGGGAGATCTGCAGTGGGTGATTTGACTCGTCCCAAAGGAACAAGCTGTGGCGGCATGGCCTCGTGCATGGATTTCGAGCCTTGACGGCACCCCGACGGCGCTACGGTTACAGGTTTTGGGCACTATCAACCCTTAAAGCATGGGGCAAAAACAAGCCAGGGCTTGGGAAATGGGGATCGATGGCCCCATTAGGCCCATCATGGCCCCTTATCATTCTTTGCGGAGTCCGGCTCGTCTCGCTGTCCTTCCCCCAACGGATTCCATCACACTTGACGATTCAGGTCTGAAAGATCTCCTCTTTACCTACTCTATGCGTTCTTCCTCGTTGCATCACTGTCTTGAGAGTGTTCACAGTGCTTGTTGCATCTTTACTAAAGATCCGGCAGACGACGTAAAGTTTCTCGAGACCTACTAGCGGTTGTTTCTGCATACGTCTGGGACTCAGGGTTTGGTGGCCCTAACAGTCATCTAATGCAAGGTCCCCAAAGCAAAGCATCAGGGCGATCACATAACTTCCCCTCCTCTTTGCCGCTCGGTTGTCAGCTTCGTGTGGGCAAGGCGATAACCAGAGTAGGAGGTTCAGGTCGAGCAACAGCCGAAGGCTTCAATGGCAGGATCCCTCGCAGGTCCTACACAAGGAAGGAGCCATCTGTGCAGGACACTATAACCATCATGCGACCGACCGGCATACCCTTTACTCACAGGACAGTATCCGTTGAAGAACATATCGATCGTGTATAGAGAATGGCTACCAGACGTATTCGAATAGTCTGCATTTCCGATACCCATAATCAGACTCCCAAGCTGCCTGCTGGAGACATACTCATCCATGCAGGCGACCTTACTAATCAGGGCAGCATGTCCGAACTTAAGAAGACCGTCAGCTGGTTGGCAAATGCAGATTTCAAAGCCAAGATCATTGTTTGTGGGAATCACGATGTGACTGCCGACGTGGACTTCTACCGCGAGTATGGAGCTTACTTCCATAATAAAAATATGGAAGATCCCCAGAAATGCCTAGCTTTGTTGCAGGCGGATCCTTCCATCATATACCTGAACCATGAGCCGAAGCAGATCCCAATCACTCATAGTGACGGTGCAGTTACTTCGCTGAGGGTCTTTGGATCTCCATATTCTCCTGCAAGAGGATTCTGGGCCTTTGGCTACCCACCAGAAAAGGCCGCTCAGCTGTGGGCTCAAATTCCTTTGGACTCGGATATCGTGGTAACTCACACGCCAGCTAAATTTCATCGAGACGAATGTGGCACACGGGGAACCGCGGGCTGTGAGAGGCTTCGCCAGACATTATGGAGGGTTCGTCCACGGATGTTTGTTTGTGGACATATTCACGAAGCATACGGCGTCGAGGTGGTGACTTGGGATCTGTCTTGTCCCAACATCAAGTTCAAGGAGGAAAGTGTTCGATACTGGCAGGATCCGCAACCCGAAAGCAGAAAGCAGTACACTGTCGACCTGTCTTCCCGAGCCAAAGCCATGGCTTTGCGGAATGACGGAAGCGTTGGGAACCTAGTCGGATCCAGACAACTGACTCGTCTTCGGGGAGCTGAAGTTGACGGTCCCAGCGATGAGATGTCGACAGTTGAATCGGGAGACCAGAATTTCCACCTACCACGTCCTCCGACTGCTGGCCCGCCTCCCTTTCCTGACTTCGACAAGGCTCAACGCCCAATATCACCAGCGGCAAGCTCAATCAGTATCAACGAGCTTGCGTCCCGGGGTCAAGGAGGGCAAGCATCAAGCGCTCGGTCAGACCAAGAAGCAATCTCTGGTCGTGAAGGCAGACTGGAAACGTGCATTGTGAACGCAGCGTACATGGCAACGAATTGGCCGCACAAAACGGGCAAGAAGTTCCACAAACCGATCGTCGTTGATATTGACCTCCCAGTTGAACCTGGACCGTCACCTAGTTCAGCGTCAATCTGACTCATTTGCATCGGAAGGTTAATCTGCTGTATCACTAGCCTGGATTGAGGATGGTCATTTGGACTTTCCCAGCCTCAAGAGCAATGATAATGGATTGGATGGGCTCTTGTGGTTAAATCCTTTACGAAGTGCGCCTTATGTATCGAGAACGCTCGCTCCAGCGTTATGGATTGAAACACAGACATCACGGTGGCTCTTAAGAGTATGAGATGCCCAGCATCACCTAGTGAAACCTACTTATCTTGTGCCGTGGCTAGTGTGGCGCCAGTGCCCATTAATTCTCGGGGCTGCGAGGGACGTCTTCAGGCATAATCACGTGACTCAAACCAGTGCCTGAATTTTCGTCACCTAAAATTCTTTGCCCTGATCCCAATTCCTACGAATTCCACAGCTTGAAAGGATCCATTGCTATGGCACCATCAGAACCGACGGCCTATAAAGGAGCAGCTAGATTGACCCATGACATTCTCAGCGAATCCTTCATTGAGCATGTTTTACACTTATCACCATATCCAACCTATCCGTGACTTTCCGTTCGGTGTTGCGCGCTGATCTTTGGTCCCCGACAAGCCCGATAACCACATCAAATCCTGTCAAGCCTTTACCCTTGATCTGGATAAATCAGTACGAGGTCACCTGGTCGAAAAATTGTCCTCGTGCCTATCAAACAGACCATTGTGAGTCAAGATAGACATATTCTTACGTTGGAAGTATTGGAACCATTGGAGGAGGCCCAGATCTTGAATCGCCTGCCACCGCACTGACGGCTGCTCTGCGCAACCTCGGTGTGAGCACGCTCTCTCCTTTGACACAGGGCGGTGCACACCGCTTGACGCGTGGCTGCTTTGCTTGACCTCTACTCGGGAGCTGCATACCATCGACCTTTCTTTCCTTTTCACTCCTTGTCGAGACTCTCTCTCTGTTCGCTTCCTGTTACTTGGCCAAATATCAATATCAGCCCAAAATGCTATCTTATCAGCGACCAATCACCACCAGTGAGCCTCAGCTACGGCGCGATAGACCTGAAGCCTACCCTCCACAGCATCATGAAAAGTATCACTCAATCGACCTGTCCGATGACTTCCATCAACTCGTTCGGGCACTGTCAGATGTCTTGGGTGAATCTTCCGGCATCAACTCGGATGACGTTGATGAGAACGATCTGATCCGACTGATGGAGCAATATACCTCCCAAGAAGGCCAATGGTGCCAGTACGCCTTTGCCGACCCCAGTCGAAACTACACCCGGAATCTTGTTGACGAAGGGAATGGCAAGTCGAATCTGCTGTTGCTCGTCTGGAACCCGGGCAAAGCTAGCCCGATCCACGACCACGCGGACGCGCATTGTGTGATGAAGATACTCAAGGGCACTCTCCAGGAGACATTGTATTCCGTGCCACCATGCTCCAGTGACAATGGAAGTGAAAGCTCATCTGGCTCAATCACACCGCCTCAGATAAGGAAGGAGACACTCTACCACGAGAATCAAGTCACATACATTTCGGACAAGATTGGTGTGCACAAAATCTCGAATCCATCACCAACCGAAGTCGCCGTGTCACTGCATCTCTACACGCCACCCCACGCCGCCAATTTCGGCTTCAATCTTTTTGATGAGAAGACAGGGAAGCCGACACATATTCATCAAGCTGGCTTCTACTCTGATCGAGGAAAATTGATCGAGAAATGCAAGTTTGGATCGTTTTAGACGCTGTTCTCGAAAGCCTTGGCGCTTTGATATCAGACTGCTTTCATCAAGAGCTTCAGCCCAGCGACGATCATAGGACTTGTAAGCGTATATGAGCTTACGACATCCACTGAGGCATCTGGCTGCCCGTTGCAGACCTCCCACAAGTCGGGACTGGGCTATTGTTGGCGACTGGCGACTGGTGATTGTTGGATGAGCCCTTCACCACGGGCTGTGACCAAACCAACTTCTCAATTCATCACGCAAATGGTAATGCATGCTTCACAGGATGGCCATGAGAAACTGGCTCGTGGTGGCCGGCGTATGGCGTCATGGCATGGCACTTTGATTTTCTCTACAGATACCCGGCAGGAATACACCTTGTTGCTCAAGAATCAAATACCGTCCCCTTGCGTTGCTAACCCCTTCATATCTTTCCACTTATATTTGCTATTTGTTGTGGGAGTGCTGCCCGTTGACGGTATTGAACCGACTCCCCTTATAATGGGGGATTCATCTATTTCAGTTCATGCCGACATGTGCCTGGGCTACATTCTCCCCCAGCAAAGCAGATAGCAACTCGCACTTCGGTTGAACTACGCTATCTACAGAGTCCTGTGCCCCCTGTTCGGTCCAATAGGATACAGAAGCGCCGTGGGCTCTTGGGAATACTACTCCATCAATGGAGATGTGCGACGCGGAGACGGGCCGGTTGAACAACGTTCGAGTAATAAAAACGAATCGCTTCCACGAGGTTAGCATGTTGCTTGCACCACCTCAGCCTTTCTCTTTGCTCTCCGGGTCATATACAGTACCTGCGGTTGCCTAGAAATATCCATAGCGCAGGGCTATCAATCCACGTTTCTCATCCGCCGTTCCTCTGTATAACTCGCTGTGGACCGCAACCGAACAGAAACAGAACACGCCCCCCAGACAAACCTATCAGCAAGACGAGCAGGTTTCATAGGCAAAGCGAACAAACAAAGCCGTGCAACATGCCTCCTCTGAACCCCGACCAAGTCGCCGCCATCAGGCAATCCGTCCACGACAACTTCGCTACGCAACTCGCTTACACGCAGGAGCTCATCCGGTTCGGCGGGCAGCGTGGCGAGGAAAGTCCTGTACAGGACTTTGTCTTCGATGCGTTCGCCAGCCGCGGCTACTCCCCGATCAAATTCGAGATGGATGAGAGTCAACTGTCACAGCACGAAGGGGCCGGCAAGTTCAGTCCCACGCATAGTCACGCCCCAGTTGTCGTTGGTACGCACAAGCCCAAGGCCCAGTGCGAAGGCGGCAAGAGTTTGATTTTGAATGGGCATATTGATGTCGTGCCGCTGGGGCCGACCGATATGTAAGTGAACTTTCTTTCTCCTCTCTCTATGTGGGCCGCTTTCCCTTGCCGACGCGGAAGGCTGTAACCAGTCTACGCGAGGATTCATCGTCGATTGGAAGAAAGGGCGGAGGAGAAGATATTCTACTGGGCTGGCCAGGATGATGTTGACGGATTCATTAAAATGTAGGTGGGCGGATGACCCGTACAGTGCGAAGATTGAAGGAGATAGGCTTTATGGGCGTATGTAACCCCCTTCCTTTCCGCGCCTCGTCTTGCCTCCGTGCCGGTTTAGCCAGAAGCTCGACTGGTCTGGATTCGAATCGCTTGCGAATCATGCCGAGTATATGCTGATCACTTACAGGTGGTGCGGGCGATATGCGTTCCGGCCATGCGGCGAACATCTTCGCTCTTGACGCACTTCGCCGGATCGGTCTTCAACCTGCATCGGAAGTCATCATCCAGTCCGTTCCCGAGGAGGAGTCAACGGGCAACGGGACGATGATGACGCATCTGAAGGGCTACAAGGCGGACGCTGCACTCATCCCAGAACCGGTTCACGAACAGCTTGTGCGGGCGAATGTTGGTGTCTTGTGGTTCCAGGTCGAAGTCCGCGGGAAACCCGTGCATGTTAGGACCATGGGCACGGGTGTGAATGCGATTGATGCGTGCTGGAAGGTCGTTGGGGCCTTGAGGGAGCTTGAGGCCGAGTGGAATGAGCGACATGCAAAGACGAGGTATTTTGAGGAGGAGAAGCATCCCTTGAGTAAGTCCGGTTCCCTTTATCCTACGCAGGACATCGAGCGGCGGAAGAGCGACTGACATTGTTTCCGACCAGACCTGAACATTGCCATAGTCAATGCCGGCGACTGGGCCAGCTCGGTTCCTGCCTGGTGCCGCATCGACTGCCGAATAGCAATTACCCCCGGCACCACAGCGAAATCGGCTGCCGACGAGATCGAGAAGAAGGTGGCAGACTTCGCTCGTAGCGACCCGTCCATGAGCCAGAATCCTCCCAAAATCACATGGAACGGCTTCTTCGCGGAAGGATACACCCTCGAGCCGGGGAGCGAAGCAGAGAATGTTCTGCGCAAGGCGCACAAGCAGGCGACAGGCGAGGAGCTCACCACTCAAACATCGACGGCCTATCTCGATGCCAGGGTGCATTCCTTGTATGACAAGATCCCGGCACTGGTTTACGGCCCGATCTCAGGTGATGTACACGGGTTCGATGAATGGGTAAGCATCGAGAGCGTGAAGAGGACGACAGTAGCAATGGCTTTGTTCATTGCGGAGTGGTGTGGTGTTGAAAAGATAGAGTGATACTCCGTACAAAAGTCCAATTCCACATCCCTGTCGCCGAACCTGGTTACTGTACAGTCAGGGAGGTGCGGGGCATCATGGGGCAAATTCCATACCCACGAAAATCATCGACTGCAACAATCTCCATCGTCATACTCCGTAATCTTTCATCTTCACCATCATCCCAGAAACTGCTTGTGGATTTACCAGGCCTCTCTCACGTCGCACAAGAATCACAAAGACGGGTGACACAGCGTCTAGTTATTGACACCTGTTTTCTCCTGGAGCCTAAACACGTCCCCGAATAGCGATCGTCACGACCCTCAATCCATCGAAAAATTCCTCGCCTGCCTATACTTGCCGTCTCCTTCCTCTTCGTATTCTGTCCGCGAGCGGTAATTCCCCCTTCCGGACAAGATGGCGACCACCGTGGACAAGATCAAGGAGATTGAGTCCGAAATGGCTCGGACACAAAAGAACAAAGCCACATCTTTCCATCTGGGCCAACTCAAGGCCAAACTGGCAAAGTTAAAGAGAGAGTTGTTGACCCCCTCGTCATCAGGAGGCGGTGGTGGCAGTGGATTTGATGTTGCAAGGACGGGTGTCGCTTCAGTGGGATTCATCGGGTTCCCTTCAGTGGGCAAGTCGACTCTCATGAGTCGATTGACTGGCCAACATTCCGAAGCCGCAGCCTACGAATTCACCACCCTGACCACAGTTCCCGGCCAAGTCATGTATAACGGCGCGGCCATCCAAATGCTCGATTTGCCCGGTATCATTCAAGGCGCCAAAGACGGCAAGGGTCGAGGCCGCCAAGTCATCGCCGTTGCAAAGACATGCCATTTGATCTTCATCGTCCTCGATGTGAACAAACCACTAACCGACAAACGTGTCATTGAGAACGAACTGGAGGGATTCGGCATCCGCATCAACAAGGAGCCTCCCAATATAGTCTTTAAGAAAAAAGACAAGGGCGGATTGAACATCACGAGCACCGTTCCTCTCTCCCACATTGACCATGACGAGATCAAGGCCGTCATGAACGAGTACCGCATCAACTCGGCCGACATTGCGATTCGATGCGACGCCACCATCGATGACTTGATTGACGTTTTGGAAGCCAAGAGTAGAAGTTACATACCGGTCATTTATGCTCTCAACAAGATTGACTCCATTTCAATTGAAGAGTTGGATCTGTTATATCGCATTCCTAACGCTTGCCCCATCAGCTCCGAACACGGCTGGAACATCGATGAACTGCTCGAGCTGATGTGGGAGAAGCTTCAGCTCAAACGGGTGTATACCAAGCCAAAGGGCAAGCAGCCAGATTACTCTACCCCGGTGGTTTTGAGAAGGAATGCCTCAACTGTCGAAGATTTCGTAAGCGCGCTCATTAAAGATGTGCTATCTTTAACTTGCTGACCTTCCCTAGTGCAACTCCATCCACAAGTCCATTCTTGAGCAGTTCAAACACGCCATTGTCTATGGCCGTTCAGTCAAGCATCAACCTCAACGGGTTGGCCTGCAACATGAACTGGCGGATGAGGACATCGGTACGTTTTTCCAATTCACTTTACTCCACCTAGGTTTCACTTGCTGATCTACTCGTCCAGTCACTATTGTTAAAAAGTGATGCGTTAGACCGACCACAGCATCTGCCTATCACCTGATGTCGTCTCGAATGCTGCACCATGGCTAGACTGAGGCATGTTCGAGGTTTGAGATCGTCCGCCATGGGTCCATATTCCGCTCGATGAGGCTAGATGGCTGGACTTCCGCTCATCCCCCCGCGCCGGATTTCGACCCTTTATCCGTCGCCTGTGATCAGCACTAGGGTCTGCGTCCGTTACAGTACCCACGAGTACCTCAAAAAGGACATGTTCGAAAGGACCATGCTTGAACAGTCTGGACTCTGGGCTCTTCTTGCTTGGCTTGGGCTCCACGCTTCTCTCGTCTCAGCATTCTTTTCCTGGTCGAGAGTACGGGCGTATCCTGGTCGTCGCTTTGAAGCGCCACTGAAAGCGTGCGTACGACGCTCATCTCTCCGGAAACCAGTCTGCATGAGATCAAGCGGACGTGTCTCAGTGTGACCACGGCGAGTTGGAACAAAGTTCCAGCCGTACTCCGAAAAACACAATACTCCGTAGAATCGCTGCGAATCTGTGGTGGAACCCCTCGGTTGGCTCAAGGTGGTTGTGGAGCAGGCAAGGATGAGGAAAATGTCTCTTTGTTGCGCCTCAGACAGAGAATGATATACAAACGCCGCCATTGCCAGACCTCGTTGGAGAGACTTGGACGTATCTGGGAAGCTGTGTGAATTCAAGAGCTGCACAAGCCGGATCGTCGAAAGCACCCTCAACAGGTCCAAGTATTCCCGTTACACGAGCGTAAGCCTCGACAAATTCAAGAGCGCGCGACAACACTTTGAGTGTAGAGCGAGCAACGTTGGGGAGATTTGACGAGAATCTGAAACAGCCATTGGCTGCCACGAGGCGCCGTTTTCGTGTACAGGCTGCATGATTGACAACGTCCTGCAGCCGTACACGAGCAGCCAAAACGCTACCACAGTGCAGGTGCAGGATCTTCGATGCATACAGTACCGCGTACATGCAGATGTCAAACTCGTGGACCTGGATTTTGACAGTTCCATCCCCCGCAGCTCCTTGTCTGTGCATCCTCCGCTCCAGCTGGAAGTGGCTTGAACAGGGCACTACAGCTGCACTCAAGGTCTAGGGATCTCAACCGACGCTCCGAGCCACAAGGCCCACAGAGAGACATCCCTGGCTTGGATACAACACCCCTGCTGAAGTTCGCAGAAGCACCCTCCCGCAGCCGCCCGAAGGAACCCCCGTCATAGTCTCAACGTTTCTGGCTAGGATTATACAAAGTCTCTCTTTGCCAGCAGAGGAGGTTCTGGTTTTGAGGATACTGTTGACTGCTGAGGCCAAACCACAGTTCACCAGGCCAGGATCAGCACCCAGCAGCTGTAGGCCGACATGTGAAAACGCCGGAAATTCAGTGAAAGCCATGAACACGAACGAAGCGGGGAACCACCGTTGCAGATGAACGCATTGAGCGACGCTGCTCACCCTGCTGCTTATTTCCGTCTAAACGTCACGTAACAGGGACTCACATCTTGCATATTCTCAACAGGCAATTGCCCAGCTACCAGTTTGTGGAGAAAATGCAAAGGTCCCTCGCGCAAGCCCCAATGAGCTTCACTGATCATTTTCCTTGCCTCATCATAAAGCATTAATGATTGATCTTGTCCTTCCCTTTGTGAGCAACGAATAGCTTTGCCATGCTCACACATGTCCCTGTGGTGGCACCTCTAGCTTCAGAGCTCCGAGTTCGCTGCCTGCTGGAATGGGGATTCTCGACGGGGACAGATAATATCTGTCCGTTATTCTCTGCCCTCTGGCGCGCTGATTTGTCGCTTGCTCATGTTTTTGCCGCCGAGCTCACCCATCGGACCAACCATGCTCAAAAGGCGTGTTTCAACTCGCTCGTTGGCTCTCTTCATGCTCTCCACCATGTTCCTGATGTCGCCAGGTTCGGACGACAAGCCTACAACCAGTCCTAACAAGGTGGCTTGCTCGCCAGGCACGGTTTCGAGCAAGCCATGAAGGCTAGCCTGTGAAGGGAGACGCACTGCCTCGAACGCTTCAACTCACCTTTCCCCATTCATTGAAGTCGCCGTGTCAGCCAGTCTCAACTTTCCTTCAGCGACCCACGCGTCGGTTGCACAAGCACATTGGATGGGCATTTGTTGAAGACTGGCACTTGACCAGTTGGGCTGCCCCCCACGGGCTCAATAATACCACCCCTTCAGTCGAATGGTACCGTTATCCTGTCGAGCCGTACTGTACAATACATGACTCTCCCATCGCATACCTGGAATGACCGAGGACGATGCCCCCAGGCCATCCGCTTTATGACACAAAGGCCACTCAGCAGAAGTCGAATAGTATCCAGTCATTACTGGCCATGCGATTGAGCAGCTTGAAGATCTGTGGGCCGAATGATCGCTGTCCTTCTAAGATCGCCCGCGTCATTGTTCGGCTGCGGGCGGTCCGTCCAAAGGCTAGACACCCGCCCGAAGCCTGTACGGGCTATAGCTAGGTCTTTGTCGACCCCGTGAGAAAAATGCTTAAGGCTTCTCTCTGGCATTGCATTATCATTCGACGCTTCCCCATTGCGATTTTCTGTTCGCGTGGGGCATTCTGGCCTGCAGAACAAGTTCGACCTAACGCAGCGTGATAAAAAGCCAGGGAAAGGCCCAGCAGGGGCTTGGACGCAAAAAGGCAGTTCTCACGGAGTAGTACTTGAACAAACGCCCGCGCTTCGTTTCGACCCCCGTCTCTCTCACTGCACGTCTACTTTCCTATCTGGTCTCGAATGACCTTGCCACCTGTGATCGGATTTTCGACCTGCTTATAGGAATCTCGAGAATCCCGACGACCAAGAACCGGTCCACCTCCCCAGAGGACGATCTCGACCAGAGAGGCCAATTTCTGCCGAAAATATTTGAGCCACCGCGACGCCCAGTGGCTTTTCAGGGATCTTGCAAAGAGCGGGTCCGGATTCGAAAAGAGGAATAAACTGAACAAGGACGAGTATGGCGACCCGACGCATTATTGCATATGCCCGACAGTGAATATCATTACCCAAGCTAACCGAGGTGCTTTTAGGCCCATCAGGGCCCGTTCCTTCAAGGTGCCGCCCGCTAGCCTTCCCTAAGCTTTCCGCTTTATAGGCCCTACTGCCGCCCACTGTACTTAGCACCCACACCTCGCAATCGAAGAGCTCTGTCTCTTCAGGATCACGACACCTCGAGAAGCACGTCCTTGCAAGCAGTTGAAGGTTTTCGCCGGACTACTAGTCGCTTCGAAGCAGGGGAAGGAGCGCAGCACTCTTGACGCAACCTACATCCCGATCCAGCTTTCAAGTTCCATCCAAGAAAGACTACCTGTATGCTGCAAAGGAACCCTGTCTCGGCCATCTACAGCCTATTTCACCTTAGGAGACACCCCTCACACACTGACCTAAGCCCTGGTCGCAGCCTCCTTTGCGTCCTGTCCTGGCCCTAGTCGACCAGCGACCCTGGTCCGACATTGTCTCCTTCAAGTCGACTAATTCGGCTTGCCCAGTGTCTTTTGGTTTGTCCTCAGAGGTCCGTCGTGCATCCCACACTCATCTGCACCTCCACAACGCCGCCCACCATCGAGACGACCTCGCTCTTTCATATGCTCCCTACCTCCCTCCAAGCCACGACTCCAGTTTGACAGACTGTACATCCCATACAGTCTGGCTGCTCACCCATCTGAGGATCTGGTAGACGTCTGCCGGTGCGAGCGGAATCTTGGGGCCTTGCGGATACTTGCATCCTGACCCGCCAACGTCGGTACGGAGTACATTGGCATGCATCGCCATAGCAGCATAACATCCACACCACCAGATCATTATTTGGAAACCTGAAGCTCGATGCAGGCCTTGATGAACATGCCGTCGGAGCACCAGGACTCTCACCATTCTGGCTACGGCCAAAGTGGCTGGATGAACGTCCATGGAGCATACTCTGCCAGTCCTCAAACATCCATGTCACCAATGCACGAGCTTTCTTCATTCGACTACCAAACGACAGCCCCGATGCCCATGGAACCGGCTTACAATATGCACCGACCATCACCTTTCGCAGCGTCACACCCGCAGATGCTACCGCCTCTGATGACACCGCACAGCGGACTATGGCCCAGCATGTTAGCAAGTCAACCTGGCTCAGCCTACCATGCTCCTATTCAGCCTGCTGGACCACTTCAGACACCATTGTCGGCGAGCACTGCATCTGACATGACGCCAACCAGCGCAAAAACCACCACGTCTCGGCGCAAGTTAACGGACGAGGAGCGTCGTCAGATGTGCATCGAAGCTGAGCAGAATCCCAACATGAAGCAGACTCAGATAGGAGGTATGTGGCCTTGCAACTTACAGCGATGTGCTCTAACGGTTCATAGCCAAATTTAATGTCGAGAGGAGGTACGCTGTCCGCGTCGGTAGTCTGACTGGTCTACTAACCTGTGATAGCACAGTGTCGAAGATCCTGCGGCAGCGGGACAAGTATATGAATCCACCACCGAAGGAAGAGAGCATAAGCCCAACGGGCAAGAAATCCAAGGCGAAGCTACCAGATTTTGAGAAGACCCTAACCAACTGGGTCAAAAACCAGCAGAACAAGGCACTACCAATCACTGATGAGGACCTTCGCAAGCAAGCCCAGGTGTTCTCCTTCAGCAGAAGCGATCAGGCTGTAGTATCGAGTGCGGCGTGGCTCGAGGCATTTAAACGCAAGAATCACCTGGTCGCTGCTGATAGAGGCGACGGGGAGTCCACTCTGGTGAATTCCAGTACCACTTCTGTGACGCAGACGCCAGTGAACGGCTCGCCTACATCATCCGATGGTCTGGTCTCGCCTCCAATGTGCGCCATTGACGAGTTGGGACACGACGCAGGCCTGAAAACAGAAGACGCGAACGACTTTTTCGACTTTGAAGGAGGTAAAGGCACATTCGATCATTCTCCTGCTCTGGACCACGATCTTGGGGAACCGGCGCTGGCGGACGACCCGTCGCCCATGTCATCAGCTTTGGCACGCGGCGATCACGGTAGCATGGCCATGATAGACAGCCCGGGAGATACCACCGCGAGCTCAAGTCGCCAGAGGAGTCAGACCTTTCCTCACGTCCCCAGTATCAGCACGGGTACTCGACCATCATCATCTGATCAAAGAACTCCATCCTTACCAGTAAGATCATTATCATCTACCAATAACACTGGACCGTCGGCCATCGACCCGCGGCAGATGATGAAGAGACACAAAAGCGTGCCCGACATCCACTACCCCGAACAGGCACGTTTCTCACCCATGCCACCACCGCCGTTACCTAGATCTGCCGACACGTCGCCAGTCAGCCATCCCGCAACACCTGCCGAAGATGACAATATTCGCGCTCTTCACGCCATCAAGGCGCTTTTGGAGCAGCATCCCAATGTTGCGGAACCGGATGACTACCTGGCGATTGGGAAGTTGATGGAGAAGCTGAAGCTGTTGCGAGCTCCATCTACAACATTACTTCCCGGCGGAATGCACCCGATTGATATTGTGGACAGCCCCAGAATCTCCAAGAAAAGAACCATTCTTGGTATTTCGACATAGTTCTGGGCCACATGTCTTATTTTTCTTTCGACTTTTGGCGTGTTTCCTTGCAACTTTCTCTGAAGCATTCACCACCATTGATATGCAAGCACAGTTTTTGAAATATTGGACAATCCTTTGACCATGAGCGAGGAGCACGGGATCAAATTGGGAGCACAGACACGCAAGCGAACATTTACTTATCAGCTATTTCAACGACCCAGCCGACGTCCAGGGCAGAGGGTGTATAGCAGGAGCCGGGAGTCGCACGTTTTCATTTCCTCGTTACCACGATACCAGTCCCGGAATGCGAAAGAGCAGGCTGCCTTTACGAATTTTTCAGGTACAGCTACAGTAACAGTCTACGCCTGCAGATGACGAGACCCTTAGACATACCCCAAGCCTCACCGCGAAATCTCCTTTTTCATCTACGGGGGCATGTTTGCATGGGGAGAAAGGGATGGGGAACGCAAACGAGCAGGGGAATTGTTTCGACCGGGGAATTTGGTTTTTTCCTGGCTTTTCTTTCTTTCTTCGCAGTGGGAGACTGCGCCGATGTGTAGGATCAGATGGATTTCCTTTTTCTCTTTCGCGTGGACCTTGAGTCAAGAGGCAAGAGGGTCTCGTGAGGACATTGACAAGGGACAGGGACGACCGAGACTGTCGATATGGAGGACATGAACATATAGCTTTTTCTTCTATCTCTCCTTTGCAAAGGTATTTCGGTGAACGATAATTGTTTCTGTGTATGCATGCAGCGGCTTGATAACGACGACCCTTAAAGATAGGATATGAAGAAACATTCCCACACTCCAGATGTACATGTTGTGCGATTTCGCCCTCGGCTCATCTGGCCCTCAAGATCATGGGCGCAGATGGCATCGTGTGGTGTTTCGATCTTGTGATGGCTTCACAAAAGGGACACGAAGGAATCGTTACAAAGGACAATGCAGAAGGGTGTCGTTGTCGAGGCGAGACATATCGAAGATCGTGTCGATCTTTCTCCTCTCCTATCATCATGTTTCCGGGGTTGGTACAGATAGAGTGAGGCTCGACTACGGTGCGAGATCGACGTCAAGAACCCTGAACGTTCCTGCCGATCAGTAGAGACAAATGTCAGCGACCGCCTCGACAGAAAATCTTTTCTCTCAGAGAATCAAACGTTATGTTGCCGTCTCCTACATTGCAGTCCGTCTGTACTCGTACAATCGACGCTCAGTCTCCACCATCCTGTCCTAGCCTCGGGGACCGAGAGGATCCGTGGGCAGAGTTTTGGGCTGACTTGCAGTTTCATCTTGCTGCCCAACCACATTCATCACAGGGTAAGTCGCAGAAAAAGATGGCGTTGTGATGGAGAACCAGAATCGCCTTGGGATCGAGATCATTTCCCTATTCCTCCCTCTGAAGCCTAACCTTCCATTACTGGAAAACACTGCCGTTCCACGTTGCCAGACTATCGACGCAGGTGCCAATGGCGTCGCTCACAGAACTGGGCATCACTCTACTCGTATCTTCTTGGTTGACAACCGACTGCACGAGCCTGTTTGCTGCACCCTCATACGAACTACTAGGACCATGTCTGTACCCTGGCCCTGCTCTCCATAACGCCTTTGCATGAGTTCCACGGTCGAGAATCCCCCAAAAGCTCCGTGACTACTACCCTGCCCCAGCGATATCACCGTTTGTGGACCCTGTGCCCTGCAGGAAGATGACCGGATTCACGCTTCCGCTGCGCCTGTGGAGGGTCTAGAAGAGCCGGAACGCAAAGACAAGGCCAGGAATGAGTGGGTTGATGTGTGCCGGAGGTGCCAGATTGAAATGAGGGTACCGGGGAAGGGAGGCCGTCCCAGGGATGCTGTGGGAACCTCACAGGGCCCTAAACTAGGGACAGTATCAGTCAGTGAAGCCATTGTATACGACCTATATGGCTTCTATAACGTGGGGGCGCATCGACTCTGATGTCCGGTCGAGTGCCTCGAACGGTGGCAGATCCATTGACCGACAAGATACCTGCTCCAGAACATTCTCCATCGGAGTGCTGATCTGTATTGACCACACAGCAACGCAGTTGACATTGAGTCACGAGGTTTACACATGTTGTAATGGCACTGTTTCACCAAGGAGAGCCACAGGTCAGAGAAGAGCTGCGGGTGGACGGGGAAATACTTTTACAATTCGATAGAGTATGAGGGTAAAGTGGCCTCGAACATCCGGTCCACGCGACAAACTATTGCCACCGATGCCTGATCATCAGCCAGGCTTGTGGTTTGAGGCGTTCGGAGGGAAAAGATGCGTCAACGGCTATTATCTCGCTGACCCGCACTGCTCCGTTACAGAAGCGAAACAGGATATTCTGGGCTGTCTAAGGAGTTTGACGAAAGTTGCCTCCTTGATTTATTGCAGGGGATGGTTTGGACACCAACAAGTGCCACTGTTGTATGATCTGCTAGCTGACGGCGAAAGATGAGAGATCAGATGGTGAGCTTCAAGGTGAATGGTTTTGCAACCACATTTCGCTTGCCAAACTGTGCCTGAATGAATGCGATATGAATTCCATCCATCTGACCTATTCAGTACTGTTTTTCTTAGTCAACCTTGACAGCACCGTTGGATCTCTGGTGATCCCAAAATGACAAACCTGGGAGCGCACCTCTTGCGGTTTTGCTGTGATGAGTCCTAAGCCTCTCTCATCGGTTCTTACGCATTTTTGCTTCCTTATCCACTTCGACTACGATCCGCAAGCATACACTTTCACAAGATAAGAGGAGGGGAGGACCATATATATCACTCAAGGGCATTCATGTCTGTCTCAAGCCATTCTCTCTGCAGCTCGACGCTCATGGATTTTAGATGAGTTTCGCCACTGTGTCTGCAAGAAGAGTCTCCGTGAAGCCATCTGTGTATGGCCTTCTGTTGACTGACGTTGTCCATATCATCTTGAGTACTATACGTATCATGGAAGAACCGAGTCTTCGAGTCGTTTACCGGCTACCTAGGTATGCGTTATGTTTGTTCATGTTTTCTACAATGTGCCATGTTTATCTGTGCTGTGCTCATTCTGTCCGTGACTCTACTTTTCCACCATCTTCTTCCTGTGTTTTTCTTCCTATTCTTGCTAGTACCACGCGATTGTTGCCGCGACGAGACTTCTCTTTCCTTCGTCTGGTTCTACTGTCCGCGGATATGAGGAAGTGCTTTGTGTTGTGCTTTCAAACATACAACATCAGCATCGGCTTGTGCTACACCCTGCCAGGATATTCACAGAGCTCCACACATGGACTTGGCCCTTGTACGAAAGACAATCGTTCCAAGCAGAAGAATGAAGGAGTATGAAGACTGAGCCAACGCTAATGAGCAGGAGACTGTCACTAACTACCATTAGTCAATCCATCCCAGCAAACGTTGAAAGTATGGCTTGTTGGAGCTCTTTCGCCGGCCTCGACGAACCTCAAAATGCTAGGGGCTTCGTCCATGCACACATGGTGAGTATGTCAACACAGCTCTATCTGGAATAAATTCGGGATATCGTGAAACTGCATGTTGAATACTGTACAAACACAGGTGGATCGACGGCAAACAGTGACGGACCCGAGACGTGTGTGTTCTGCGGCAGCTGGGGAACGTTGCTAGTACCCTCTTACAGTAACATCCATGGGTATTCATTCACTCATTCACTCACTCCTTCGACTTTCAAAACTGACACTCGTACAGTTCAAGCATGCCCCTACTGTACTGTACTGTGCTACGCTTAGGCTAGGCTTTGGACACTGAACAGAACTCAAGGAACACAGCAAAAGCTTTTGAGAACGAGCTTACCCAGAAGCCAGGGTGGTCGTGAAGTCCACCCGCAAGTCACGAAATCGCAAGGCTGTTGCCCGAAAAGGAACCTACTTCCGTGTCTAAGTCTTAAGTCTACTAAGACCTGCCTTAGGGGGAATACATGTCAAGGACCAAACGAAGATACCTTATGAAGGCTCCAAGAGTCTAGTCCCGCTGGCAATGGGCTGCTCGAGGCAAAGCAAAGCAAAACACTACCTGCAGTGGCTAGCCATTCATCGGCATCTCAGCAGAAGACACGAATCAATCCCACAAGGAGCGGGAAAAACGAGATCGGAATCGGAATCGGAATCAGAATCCACCGACGCACAAACTCACAACTCGCACCCGTACTCGCACTCGCACAGGCATCGTCAGAGAAGGGGGAAAAGATAATTGAATCACGACTCGGATGGTATACTATACCTAGCTCTTGATCGCAACATGCCAAGAACCAAAGAAAGCAAAAGACCATAAAGACAAGAAAAGATTGGCTGCTCGTTGAACCGTTTGCTTGCTTGCTTGCTTGCTTGCTGGCCAGTGGGCAAAAAGGGCAACGAAGGGGATTTGGGGAAAGGAACAGAGAAGAGAAACTCCCTCGCGTGTTCTAAGTTGTTCAGTGGGCGCTGCATGGCGCCAGGGTGAAATGTACCAGTCCTCGCTACCTATATGCACAGCCGTTCTCGTGCCAGCAGGAAGGATGGAGTAAAGGTAGAAAGACTACCTAGGTAAGATGCGATCGGCTGTTGTCATCGAGGAAACACTGAAACACCAAAGGCCCATAAAGCAAGTACAGAAACCCGGCGTTATTTTCAGATTCGATCAGACACAGCAAATTTATTGTGATGCAATGGCAAAGTATGGCCAGCCGGGGTATACTGTGCAGGACCGGGCGCTTCTGGCCTACGACACTCGACAGTGAGGACAATTCGAATAGGCCCCAGTTTCACGGATCACAATGCTTCTTTCTCTTCATTCAGGTCCACCAGAAGCTCCTCGCCATCCGCCTCACCGCTGAGAACAACTCCTCTCTCAGCCAGAAGTTCAATGGGCGTCTTGCCTTGCATCTCCGGCACCAGTCTGAGCAGGATGAGATCCAGGATCGAGTAGATCAGGTGCTTGTTCAACTCCGCGTCATCTGTCCAACATAGCATGCTTTCCTCAATCTGTGCCCGCATAGATTCCTGGTTCTCCTCATCGTTGGCACCTGAAACGGCAAAGAACTTCCGAGCCACCGGTCTGGGGACAAGAGAGAGGATGTCGCTTGCGGCTTTTGACCTGATGAGGCGAGCTTCTTCGGCTGAAGGAGGTGGAGGAGCTGGCGGACCCATGGAGTTGTTCGGAAAGATTATTGCTCTTACTTGCAGTAAAAGGGGCGGAAGTAGAGAAGGTGAAAAAACACGCGTGGAAATCGTGTGGTAGAGGAATCTGTCACAGTTTGGTCATCTGTCAGCTAATCTTCTCGATCCCAGTAAAGGTTTTGGCGTATTACGAGCGGGCAGGCAAAAGGGAAGGAAGAAATGGTCATAACGAAATCAATGGTTCCGAATGGCCGCTGCGTCCCATTGCATCCGATGGTCGAACGTTGGACGTGGATTTTGCAGCCGTCCGAGTATCGGAGCGACTTCCAATCCCTTCAGGCTCCAAAGGGCGTCGGATCGAGTATCAAAACTGCCCGAGGAGCTTCATCGCTGGCCCTGGGCGCTCATCATCAGATTGAGCATTGCTACATTCTGATCTTCGCACGTGACTGATGTCGTCGGTTCGAAGAAGCGGAACCAAACCAGGCAATTGAAGCAGAAGTGCGCTAGGCAGCATCGTGCAGTGGTTCGGCGAGCATGTGTTCATAGGACTGGTGATGGCATGGTCCTTCGCGCAAATGCGAAAGTTGAGGGAAACAAGCCTGCAGAGTCCTCTAAAGCTGCCCAAAAATGACGAGGCGCGTTCTGGGCCTCAGGGGTCCACGTCCCGCTCTACGGAGTAGCTTGGTATGCAAATGCAGCCTTTCCCAACAGGTTTGCAGAATTCAGATAGTCAGCTTTCCAGGATCAGGGCCCATCAAGCCCGAATAAAGGAAAATGTGCAGAATTCAGGGATTGTGGTGTGGAATGTCCACTTCAAGGATGATCAGCGAGTAGAGTCAATCCTCGAAGCGCCACCTGCGAGGACAATAGGTTTGGAGTTGCAGCAGGTTGCGGAAACATGCCCAACCCGAAGTAGGCAACTTTTAGGGCGTCGAAATTGGAGTTCGAACTAGAGTCGTCTGAGCATGTTCTTTGCGAGTGACACAAGGACCCGTCCGAGCGAGCCGTTTGACATGTCGTGTCGGGTCGAATTCGCTCACTGACAGATAACGGCTCAGTGAAAGGATGGAATGTTGTCGTGAACATAATCTAACACTTTGGTGACGTAAAAGATAATGCTGGATGACCATTATCTTCGAGGGCCGAGTGCTCCTCTTCCCTTATCGGCGGGCGCCGAGACAGCCGATGATGACCGGTAACGAGGTGGGGGCACAGGCTGCACCATCAGAACCAGGGCTGAATCCTCAAACAGCGTCAGCGACCAATAGTGCGGCAGAACTGGTCGAAATTCCAAGAAATGCAACAGAAATAGTTGTTTCATTGGCTCGAGCGATGAAAATCGCCTCTTCTCCGAGACTTTTGTGCTGGTTGGGCCCTTTTTTCCGGTCGATAGTCGATGAAGAAGTGCCACCTTGTGAAGAGTACCATCGTTTCAAAGTAATTGGTTTACGACTGATCTCATGATCCGTGGATACAAGATGTGCAAGTACTCTGTCCTTGATGGGGCCAGAAGGAAACGAGGGCGGGGCCGACCCATGTTCCTCCGTGTTGACAGTTTGGCATGATATCGAGGAAGCGAGAAAGCCCAATGAAGACAACGTGCTGATTGGCCACATTTAACCATTTTTATTCCTCTTCTCGCTTCGTCATTTCTGGTGGTCTCCCGGTAGATCACCAAGAAGGTCGAGCTCAGACATAGGGTTTCTGATAGCGAATCGACGTCAGAAGTCGAGGGCATGTCTCTTTCGACAGAGTCCACCCGCGACCGTGGATACCGGGGGCGTGACCGTCCTGAGTCCGGGTTGGGGGGACAAAACCGGTCGTATGTGGGAAGGCGTGAAGTAGGACTTCGTCCAATCAGATGTCATAACGGGCGGCCTGACAATACATCGTTCGTATTGTCATGACATGTAACGGCTGTCATTGGTCGCCAGCGGTATCGTGGTATTCGAGGTCCACATCCCACACCCTCCTGACTCAAATGGTGCATGAACAACCGAAAGCAGTCAATCCAGCACATGCCTGAAACATGGCTGATATCAACCATCATTGGCCGAGCACCATCTGATTCATATCAGATGACCACACTCTGATGCGACTTCATCCATAATATGGCCGCGAGCCTCCACCAGAACCTCGGGAGCCTGGGAAAAGATAGGGCGACATCGAAGTTGCAAAGTACTGAGAAGACAACAGAAGGAAAGAGTATCACTTACTTGTCCAGAATGGAACTTGCAGCACCATACCTCCCGGGTCCTTGAGCCAGGATGTGCTGCCAGAAACTCAAAGAAGCCGCTAGCCACGGCATGCGAACCGACAAATCGAGAATGGTAGAGATGCAGGAGAATAACCCGTAGTTGATCACGGCTTGCGCGGGATGACCGTCGACGTCCGATTTGCCGCGCGTTGACGAAGGGGAAGTGTTCTGCGACGGTGAGGACACGGCGGGGGCATTGGCGAGTCGGCCGGGGACTCTTGGTGGAAGAGTTTGCGCGTGCGCCATGCCGACGAGGATGAATCGCACGGACTGGTATGCGATGAAGGCGTACTGAAGAAGTGTCCAAAACCACGCGCTAAGCAATGATTGGTCTTGTGCTGGCGAATGATTCCGTTGATTCGCAGCATTGGCCGATAATAGGCCAAACTTTTCCAGACGGCTTCGGCGACCCTCTTGCTGAATGATTTCCTTGTTGATGGTGGCCTTTGACGGAGGCGTTTTCACTATCTCCACCACCTTGGAGACAGTCCCGTGCAGAAACCATGGCTGGCATATTCTCTCGGCCAGTGCTTGTCCGAGGATCAGGTCCGCAATGATGTCCGTCACCAAAGTTCTGAGACATGCGTTCGCCAGATCCTCGGTTGGTAGAAGCACGGCAAGAGCCCCTTGGATGAGTAACTGTCGGTAGGCAGATTCGTAACGTCTCTGTTCCTCGGCGGTGAGGGAAGGGTCGAGCGCCGGATGTGGATTGAGAGAGTGGTAGATTCTGCGGGGGCTTTCCCCGTATTGCACAGTGGCTGGGGCCGTCGTAGCGGTCCTGTAGGCTTAGAGAGTGTCCGTCAACATAGAAGTTCAACCCTCTTTCTCATCAGCACCTACCATCGATGTGTCTTTCGACCAGGACTGGCACTTCATCCAACAACAGTTCTGTTATGTCAATCTGTCGTAGTCTCTGTTCAAGCGCTCGAGTGCAGTGTGCGATGATCTGGATCACCTCGTCCACAAAAGTACGGTCTGGTGTTATCTTGGAGTACCACGAATTGACAAAATCTTTGATGACGATGGCGACAATTGCATAGAGCTGCACGTCCACCTCGTTCGAGCTGGTAAGGGGAGGTAAGATTCCTTCAATCGGTCCCGGTGATGCCCTCAAGTCTGTTCCCTGACTTCCATCGGACACCAAAGTTCTCCTGATCAGGGACAAAGTCGTTCTTTGAGAGGTAGGATCCTGGCTTGGGCCATCTTGGCGAGCCGTGAGAGGAGCGCGAGAGGAGGTATGAGTACGAGGAGCCGAAGTGGTCTTGCTGCTAGCTACAGCGCCCAACTGTGAGAGCGAGGCAGTAGAGGAAGACTTGGTGGCTATACTGGGCGGCAGAGGTGGTCTCGAAGGGGAGGTAGCGGTCATTTCAGGACCACGACGGAGAGGAGCATTGCGCAAGTCTTTGTAGTCGTCGCTGGGCGTCTCCCTTTGCCACGCTGGCAATGCAGGGGCAGTAGACGACTCTCACCGGTTTGGTTGACTACGAGAGTGTCTAGCGGTGTGTCAACGTATGATTGGTCGAGATGGAAATTCATCAAGATGCGACGATGCATGAAAAACAATCCCTCGGCATACCTGCCCATTTCGGCTGATAGGTAGGTATTGACATAGTGAGATAGAGATATCGGTAGGAGTAGATTGATACGCGTCTCTCCGGCCTCTGGCAAGACAGGAAGAACAGGACTACTTGCAAATATGGTCGAGTATAAACAGACATCCTCAAAGATCCCCATATGGCTGGACTGTGACCCAGGTAGGTCAGCATCAGTCACCCTTCTGCCCTCATCAGCTTACTCATGGCTCTGGCTCCAGGTCATGATGTGAGTCTGCCCCCAGACCTGTCTCTGATGTCCGAGCTCACTGCCCTTAGGATGCTTGTGCCATCCTCATTGCTGCCTATCACCCGGCTCTTGAGCTTCTAGGAATATCTACTGTACACGGCAATGCCTCATTACAAAAGTGCACCAACAACGCCTTGAGTGTGCTGGAAGCAATCGGGAAACCTCAAATTGCAGTCGTTCCCGGCTCGTCTCGGCCATTCTGCCGCATAGTGCATACTGCTTCCGATATACACGGCGAGAGTGGTCTAGCGGGGACATCTCTTCTCCCTCACCCATCACGCCGGCCATTAACGCATTGCAGTGCCGTCCTGGAGATGAGAGATGCGCTTCTTGCCCAACCCAAGGGGACAGCGTATCTGGTGACTTGCGGTCCGCTGACCAATGCAGCCCTGCTCTTCTCTCTTTTTCCTGATGTCGCCACCCACATCGCTGGCTTCTCAGCAATGGGCGGCGCCATCGGATCCGACTTCACGCACGTCTCAATGGGTCAACCATATCTAGACTCGTCAGGCGTCTCGCACCAGCGCAGCGGCAACAAGACGCCCTTTGCCGAGTTCAACATCTGGGCCGATCCGGAATCGGCTCGTGCTGTTCTCCAGAACCCAGTCCTACAACCCAAGACGACGCTCATACCATTAGACCTTACGCATCAAGCCTACGCGACTCCGAAGATTCAAGACATGCTACTCAACCATGGGAATCCCACTCGATTACGTACCATGTTCAATGAACTGCTCATGTTCTTCGCACATACGTACGATCAAGTCTTCGGCCTGAACGAGGGTCCTCCTCTACACGACCCACTGGCCATTGCCATACTCCTAGATCATCACCCTGACCCAGAACATAGAATAGCATTCGACGACAAAGGTGGTGAGAGATGGGACGTAGACGTCATCCTTGAAGGTCAGCAGATAGGTCGCACTGTTATCAGTCCCGCTCCAACAGGCAAGGGCATACGGATACCCAGAGCTCTGGAGTCTGAGAAGTTTTGGCACACGCTTGAACTCTGCATGAACATGGCCGACCAAGCTACAGGCTTTGCAATGTAGGCTCACAAGAACAGAGTCACATATGCTTTATGACACCACGACACCCGAACGCCAGGCTACTGGGTTACGTGTAGATAGAGTTCAATATGCATTTCAAATCGACGGAGAGGATATGGATATATATAATACTTCCTGTAACGCGCGTACGAATATCGGCATCGGCCTCCAGAGCTGAGTCGTCATTCGGATCGGTCTTTGCACGTATTTTCGTAGTCGGCTTCTAGGTTGTAGTCGATTAGTCATTCTGCCGTCGCGCTTGCTTGACGGCTGGGCGACACGACGTGGAGAATGGCGCAAGATCTCGTCGAATGTCTCGTGTCGAGGGTACGGGACAAGGTGCCAGCAACGCTTTCTTTGTGATCCAGCACGCCGCGCCTTTCTGACCGACCATGCAATGGCTCTGTCATGCGCGTGCTCCCCGAGCTGTGCTCTGAGTCCTCGACGTTTCGCATTAGCTGATCCACTGTAGACGAGAGGATGAAAGTCGAGCTGTTCGAGTACCAGGGCAGATACACCCCAGACAGGAGAGGTACGTGGTTCGGTAGAGACTTGGGCAAAGCACGGGTTAGTGTAGTTGGACCTTCTCGTATGTTCCTGCCCATGCAGCTTGTCTAGGAGTGATGCCGCGCTTGGTCCAGAGGGTTTGAACGTACTGGAGGCGCGTTTCGAGGTCTCCGACTTCGTAGTCAAGGGGCGTAGTCTTGGGTTTGGCAGCATTTGGGTCGACCGATATTCGAAAGCCTGCAAGGCTGCGGCCCCCTTTCGACAGGATGTTAGCTTCTTTGTGCACTCGTACGTGCGATTGTCGTTCGTGACATTAGAGAATCGATCTTCTTCTAAGATTGCCTTGCAGCAGCCGACCAAGCTCTTCGAGTGCCACAACTTGGTTCCCGTAATCGGTGTGTCCTCGAAAGACATCACTCAGTGAATCTGACCATGTGGTATGATGAGAGTACCTTCGGGCATTAAAAAAAGCGCAAAAGTGGTCGAGATAGTCCTCTCCCAGGTCATGATATCGAGTACGATAGTCTTCTTCTTCTCTTCACTATCGTACGCCTTAAGCAAGACGTCCTTGACGGCGCACTTATACATTGCCAGCATATGCGAGGTAATCGGCGACACCTTTCTAGTTTTTGTTTCGCAGCGTTAAGTCTGCGAAGTTCAGAGCCTGCTTGAGGCGGTCTTCCGTATATGCTGACGCTTCCTTCTCGACAGGGAGGGGATTCGGTGCGTCAGTCACGTCTTCAACATGATGATTGCCGAGGATAGCTCTAGTTGTCGCCCGCCGGCGATTGACATACTTGTGAAGGCCCATGTTGACCAAAGACAGTACAGAGGAGCGCTATGCTTGCGGAAGTAGTCGGTACGTTTGCGTTGGACACGTCACACGCTACCAGGTTTCTTCTGTGTAAACGTCTTCACCCTTGTTGGCGAGGGCAAGGTCGTCCAAGTCTTCCTTGAATTCCCCTCGCCACCACAAGGCGAGATAGCCGGTAAAGTCGGAGGACTTATTGGGGGCGGTTGTGGCCGGTTGGTTGTATCCAGGCGATAGGATCGAAGAGCTTCGCTACTGCCAGGTGAAGCTGTGAGTTCGGATTCTTGACTTTATTCCTTTCATCACACACGACAACGGCAAATAGGTGCCTAAAGCAACTACCGTAAATCAAGCGCTGGTCCATACTAGTGCCATCTTCTTCATCGAGATTGAGCCCGAAATCCTGGTTCGTAGTCGCGCCGTATTGTACTTCCAAGTGGGAAGCGGTGCTGGATGGTGCAGTGGCGAGAGGCAAGCTGTAGTCGTGCCTTGCCTTGTGTTGGTGGTAATTTCTTCAACGCGTTGCTCCCTTGTCGAGGGTTTTCCGCAATGGATTCAACTAAAGGGAAGGTTGTTTGCCCTCGTCACAAACGACAACAGCAAACAAGTGCTTGAAGCAACTGCCGTAGATTCCAACGAATCAGGTAGATACAATGAGATTTACATTGTGCACATCGATTAGATTGCCCCGGATTCCATTGTGCTCTTGACTCGAATCGATGGGTCACTGGTACCGTGTTTGGGATGAGCTTTTGTAGTGCCCAGATAGTGGTGTGTCTCGATTTGCGGTAGGCTCGGCAGGTCTGCTCAAGGTAGATGGTAGCGTCTTGCTAGCGACATTCTTGTTTATGCCTCTGGTGAAGACTTCCCACCGCACCTTACGATGAGCGACGTCGCTAGACTTGTGGACGTCAAGAAGGCTAACACTTACTCCCAACTTTTGGTTGTGCGATTCTCGGGGCATGAGAAGATCAGTACGCGGCTTGCTCCTTGCAGGTTTACACCAAAAGCGTTGGCTTTGATATTGCAGACTAAAACCTGACTCGGGTGATCCGGGTCATTAAAGTCACGCATCAGTCTTTCTCTGTCGATGGGTGTTGTCTCGGGCCAGGGATGATGACATTGAGGCCCAAATTCTGGAGAAACATTTCGGCCTGGCCTGCTCGAAGGGCCAGGCGACATAGCAGATCAGTTTCTTGGGGACGCCATTTTCAACCTCCGGAAAGAGGACCTTATCCAAGACTTCACCAGAGTACCTAAGCTTTGGTGACTGACCGGCTTGGTACTTCGTCTGCTTAGCCCGCGACGGGTACACGTGTTCTGTCGGATCGTCTTGAGTATTCTCAAAGTACTCATCAAAGGCGTTGAATCTGGCAGAATTGATCGAGGAATATTCTTTTTGCCACTTTTGCTTACCAGCCTCTTTCTCGCGATTGTTCCTCGCGATCTCTTTGTCTACCTATTTACTCAATCGCTGGTCGAATATCGACGGCGACAGGTACCCATAGGTCCTCGAGTCAAGGAGGCCTGAACTCTTGGCCATATTGGCCGCGGGCCCACCTCCATGGCGGCGGAGAACGGGGTGTTCGCGGTGCCAAAGCGAGGTAGCGCTTGCGCTCTTCGCGAGTCCAATTCAGCTCTACCATGACAACTTCGTACGGGTCCACCGAGGCGCCGGGCATGATCGTTCGGCCCTGGCCGACATCGACCTTGGAGGCCACGTTGAATCTCACTTGGACGTGTTCGAGTAGGTAGCGAAGGACCACATTGGCCAAATTCCCTTGATATATGTGTAAATCGTGGCCCAAGAACTTCTCCGGCCCGTGGCCAAGAGTTGGAGTTGCCAGTTGCCCACAAAGCAGCCTCTATGCCACTCGTGGGTCGGGTGGGAAATGCTGCATGCGCTTCCATGCGCCATTTGTCTGATGCACACAACAACGTCCAAGCAGTGCTCAGCCACGGAGAGATTCGAGTGGACTAGGTACTAGTAGGTCGGCCACAAGAGGGACCTTAGGTACATAGTGTCGATTGGAGGCCGCGGTCTGACGGCACTTTAGTAGCACCAATCCTGCAAGACAAGTTGAACGATATCCCGATTCGTGATAGATCTGAGGTTAACCGCACTTCCAATCATGGTCGCCTTCGTTCTTGGTCCAGTTTCCAAGGGCGGCGGTGATGTTATCTTTGTTCACCCTCCGGCTCCGCCTCAAATGAGTGGCTTTCGCTGTGCCGTATGTATTTGCTGAAAGCGCGTGGTGTAGGGCAAGCAACCATGAATCGTCCATTAGTCGTGGGGAGTTGACGGCATGGTTGGCTTCGGGACGTTCTGCAGAATGTGTAATAGTGATGCGAAGCGCAAGTTGCAAGAGCTTGTAACGAGAGATGGAACTCGCTTTTGCGGATCTCGAATCCCATTGTTTGAAACCTTGCTTGACTCCATTTATCAGAACTTCGACCACGTCGGCTGCATCTGATGGAGAACCTTTTATCCACAAGGCTGAGATGTTGCTCGCCTTTGGTTTCATGTTGTCGCTGAGCGGGTCAGGAGTGCTCTCGTATGAGAACCTTGGAAATGATCTCGGCAAGGGCAGGACATTGAAGAACCGTCCTAAATCGACAACGTTGGACAGCCTCCCAGATGGGCCGAATGCTCGCTGATAGCTGGTGGCATCGTGTTGATGGGCGTATACTATTAGATTTTGGATATAGGCGTTTGTAGTTTGTTGGATGAAGAGGTCGGCTGGATACGAAAGGGCGCTGGTAAACTGCTTGACAGCCAATTTGTCAGTGCAGGACTTGGAGTGGCTTGGCTCAGCATCTGCTCGAGCAGGTTTCCGGCGGACATATCCTAAGAGCGAGAAATGACCTCTGCCTTGTAGAGCCGTGAGGGCATTATCATCAACAGGCCAGGGTTCCGTCTCCTCCAAAGGCATGGAACTCATCAAGATTTCCATGGATGCATCGCCGCAAGGAGCTTCGGTGGTGAAGAAGTGAATGGACACGTCTTGCTTCAATCTTAAGGGTGGGCAAAAAGTCGACAGGGGGGTGTCCGGATTGTGATCAGATTCTGGGCCGCCAGCAAGTTCCAGGAAAGGTGATTGATAGGCCGGGCGATGGAGAATATTTTGAACTTCGGTCAGCAACCAGTAGTTGAAACCTCGCAAAGCAAGAATTTCTGCATGGGAATCATGGAGAACCATGCCATGGCATTTGGGCAATGCAGAAGCGGAAAGGCATTTTGTCCCCGTGGCGAGGGATATGCAGGTCAGGTCATCTTCGTCTCCGTCCTTTGCAAGGACGACCGCTGACAACGGAGTCCATTCTCTCCTCCCTTCGGCCAGTGTTCTGGGTTTGCATTTTAAAGGTAGAGTCTCAAATTTCGACTGCACAAGACGAGCGATACGTTCAGGTAGGGAAGTCATGAAGAGGGAGGGAGAAAGATAGATGACGGGCCAGGGAAGAGGCCAATGGCAACTGTCATTGCCAAGGATGCTGATAGCACTTTTCGAATTCCTGTACCGGAGATCTCTTGACGCAGGTGCCGTGCAAAGTGATCGATCGTGAGGGTATCTGCATGAGAGGAGAGAGAAAGAGCTTTGGGATTCAGATCGAAGGGACGCAAGGTGTGAGGCGCGAACGGAAGGTGGGCCGAAGCTGGCCAAAACAGCCAGAGCTGGTTGTAAAGAGCCTTCAACGGGTCTCGAACAAGTCTCACCCTTCACGGAAATATACATGTTCTGAATCATGCCATGACAGTCAAGCATGAGACACCGAAAGTCGAGGAGGTGAAGCAAACTTGCTCTGCAAAAGAACAATACCTGAAACTGGAACAGCCCCACAGATCACGTGCTCATATCACGTACGAGCCTAAACTCGCAGGAGTCAAATTTCGTTCGTGGCAGTCTTAGACATCAGAAAGCAATTCAATCGTGCCTTGGGATGAGAGCCAAAGGAGTAGGGCATCGCCTGAAGCAACAGGAAATGAAGGAGTCAGACCCATGATGGCCCTTGAAATTCCACGTCATCGGCAAAAGGCGAAAGGGCAGGGCGGCCCAAAACACCACAGCTCTCCTGGCAAATAGCTGTAAGAGAGCTAAGCGGTCGAGGTCGAGAACTCTGCTTATCGACTGAGGGCCCTTTGAATATTCAAGTAACTGTAGCTTTTATTATCTGTTGCAGTCGCGAGCATCAAACTTCTGGCTCTGCCTCGAACCTTGCGCTTTGACCCCATCATACCCTTGGACGAGGAGCTGTTTGCACGGCAACTAATGCAAGCTCCAGGTAGTCTCGCCCGGGAAGCTCGCACTTCGATGCCGGAAGAGGCAGGTCGTTAGCACCTCCGCCCCTCCACTCTCCCTTTTGCTTAGCACCACGAGCACCACTGCCACCACCCAGCACCCAGCGGGCATCAACCTCCTCGTGCTGCCTAACGTTAGTAGCCTCGTGTAGCACTAGCCTCTACTTTTACCCGGTTAACAGGCCTGGAGCAGCCTGGAGATTTTCTCCTTGACGTCGCTTAGGTTCTCCTCGTGTCCTCTATCTGACCCTGCCACACCCTGCATCACTACTGGGCGTTTGTTGGTGTTCCTCCATCAAACTTCTTGTCCTCCTCCTATTCCCCAGATCGCCGCCAAAACTTACTGACTTTTACCATTCGCCTCCCTGTGGATGACATCGCGCCTCTCATCATTCGCCGGGATGATCGTTGGCTGGCTGGATACCCTGTAGTGCCTGTCACCACTGGCTGTCTAAAGCTTCCCATCACTGCACCCCGGCCTTTTTCCGCCTCTTGCTGCCCACATTCGTGGCACCTTGGCACCAACTACTGGTGCCTTACTACTCCGTACACCAACCTCAACTCCAAACGCTTGCCACCTCGCCGTCACCACCCACAGCCTTGTCGTACGTCTTCTTCTCTGGTCGACGACGCCATTGCGAAGGTAGCACGAGTTCCTATGCATGCTTTCATCGCCTGCATATCCATCCCCGCATTGTGCTGTCATCCAATCGCCGCACAAAGCAGCTCTCGCGCGACAGCCTTCGGTCCGGTTCGCTCCACAATCCTCATCATCCCCAACTCTGATATTCAGCTGTCATCAATCTCGAGGGTATGAGGTCGCCGTCGGCTTGTCAGCATTGACCGACTTTACAGTATGACCAGCTCATCCAGTCAACCTGGATTTGGTCTGGGTGACAATCGCAGAGCTTCTCTCTCGAATCCGGGATACATGGTTCCAGATGCGCGTAATCCCCGCATCGATACGCTGATGAATTCTCAACAACCGGGATCGTCGAATCCATCTGCATTCGACACTTCATCTCCCGGCTCGCTCGACTTCAATTTTCCCTTCACAGGGAGTCCGCACGGCAGCAGCAATAGCGGCATCGACGTCCCACCGGATTTTCGGACAAGCAACAGTCAAGGTTTTGCCAACCGAGGCAAAATCCCCTACCCTCCTGGTAAGGTACCCAGTCCACAGCACCGCGCCAGCCTTGCCAGCATTGACTCTGCTTTCGACCACGATCTTTTCGGAGCAGCAGCGCTCAATCAGTGGACGTCAAACACCCCGGCCAATCAAGCGGTTAGTAATGCAGACTCTTCGCCCCCAAAGCCTGCCAGTGCGGCCGAGCTGGACAGGAAACCGGATAAAGACAACGACAACATACCAGCTTGGAGCGAGTTGAAAACTAAAGCGGGCAAAGAAAGGAAGCGCTTACCTCTGGCCTGCATAGCATGTCGACGCAAAAAGATCAAATGTTCGGGTGAAAAGCCTGCTTGCAAGCACTGTCTACGGGCCAGAATCCCTTGTGTCTATAAAGTCACCACGAGGAAGGCCGCGCCACGAACAGATTACATGGCCATGCTCGATAAGAGGCTCAAGCGCATGGAAGATCGAGTCATACGTGTCATTCCCAAAGATGAACTCCCCGATCTCAATGCCACCGGCCGCGCTTCTGTCCGTCCCCCAATCCCCGGACAAGCACCGAAGAAAGACAAGATTCAACCCAAGAAACGTTCCGCAGATGAAGCGTTCACCCAAGAACTCAATGACTGGCGAAATCCTAGAGAGAAAACCACGCTCCTCGATCCTACTGCAGGCCTCAGAAAACAACGAGAAGGCGAAAACAAGCTCTTCATCGAAGGCTCCGAATCACTTCCACCACAACATATCCAAGAACATCTCGCGGAAGTCTTTTTCGACTGCGTATATGGCCAATCATACCTGCTCCTCCACAAACCCAGCTTCATGCGCAAACTCAAAGCTGGCACCATCCCTCCCGTCCTCATCCTCGCCGTGTGCGCCATCTCCGCGCGCTTCTCGACCCATCCTCAAGTCAGCACCGAACCAGCATTCTTGCGTGGTGAACAATGGGCCACACCCGCCCGCCGCATCGTCGAGAAACGCCACTACGAGCCCAACATCACCATCCTGACGGCCATGCTAATGCTGGGCTTGCACTACTTTGGCACCTGCGAGGGCGGTCTGTCATGGTCGTTCGGCGGCCAAGCCATGCGCATGGGCTACGCACTCCAACTGCACCGAGAACTCGACCATGACCCTCTCGGACGCAATCAAATCGCCAACGATTCAACCAAGAAGGGTCTCAAACCACCTGAGCTATCTTTCACCGACCGCGAGATCCGCCGCCGCACAATGTGGGCCTGCTACCTCATGGACACATTCAACTCCTCCGGCACCGAACGCCCTTCCTTCCTGAATGAAGAATACTACCAGATCCAACTGCCCATCAAAGAGTCGCACTTCCAGATGGAAGTGCCCGGTCCAACAGAGGACCTCTACGGGAACGTGCCCATGTCTTCGTCCAAACCTTCCTCTTCGCTCGAGACCAACACGACGACCGACCTTGCCGCCGAGGCGAAATCCAACATGGGCGTGTCCGCGTACATCGTCCGAGGCGTCGTGCTCTGGAAGCGCATCGTCAAATACCTCAACCTCGGCGGGAAGGACAAAGATCCGCATCCGATATGGGACACACTGTCCCAATTCGCGACGCTGCAACGACAAATCACGCAACTCAAATCCTCTCTGCCCGCCGAGTTGACATACACACCGGACAACCTCGCAACGCACGCGTCCGAACGTCTCGCTAACCAATTCCTCTTCCTGCACATCGTCCTGGCCCAGACGTCGCTTTTCCTGCACCGCTTCGCCATCCCCACCGTGCCATCGACCTCGCGCCGGCCACACCACCACGCCTACACGGCCGCCGGCATGCCGCGCAGTTTCCTCAGCAACAGCGCGAACACGGTCATCGAGTCCGCGGCCCTGATCTCCAAGATCATCGCCGACTCCGCGGGCCACACCCTCACGGTCCCGTTCGCGGGGTACTGCGCCTACGCAGCGGCCACGGTCCACGTCTGGGGCATATTCAGCAAGAACGCCGCGCTGGAAAGTGCGTCCAAAGAGAACCTGCGGCACAACTACAAGTACCTCACCCGCATGAAAAGGTACTGGGGTATGTTCCACTACATGGCGGAGAGCGTCAAGGACAACTATCGCGCCTTCGCAGACGCCGCGCTCCGCATGAGTTCCTCCTCGGCAAACGCAAACGCAAACGGCCTGCTGATGGCGAATATGCTGCGCCGCCAAGGCTCCAGCCAGGGTCTTGAAGGCAATAATAGCAATAGCGGGATCCAAATCCCAATGGACCTCGACGTCACAGGGACGAGCGCGCCGCCGTCGCGCGCCGAGACGCCCGGTGGTGACTCGAAAAGTGGTGCGCACGGCGCCAGCTCGTCCGCGGGCTCGGGCAAGGCCATGTTCCAGTACGGAGATTGGTTCGACAAGTACCCGCACGGGGTGAGCGAGAGCGACTGGGAGAAGTCGCATCTCGAGTATAGGCGCGAAGCCGGCACCGCAGAAGCCGTCATGTCGCAACGCAGCGATCTGCAATCTGTCGAGGAGTTCTTCGCGAGTTTAAGTCCGCCGAGTAAAGCGGACGACGGGCCGAGTGGACAGAGAGGCAAGAAGATCGCACGAAGGCGCGGCAAAAGCGTGGCGGAGAACAAGAAGGACGGGAAAGGTGGAGGAAATAATGCCTCTGTTTCTGTTTCTGCTTCCGGAGCACCAGCCGGCTCTATTCAATCTACGACGGCTGCACAGCAAGCACAACCTGCACCGCAGCAAGGAAGGCCGCGACTGTCAAGCAATGCGGGAGAACTCCATGTCAATCAACCATTCAACCCAGCCGACTTCGACACCACGTCACCCTCGCTATACCAGACACCACAGATGGGCGGGCAGTCCCAGGGTCCTGACCCTTATAGCTTTGACAATTTGCCCCATGTCAACATGAACTGGATAAATACCCTTCCAGCAATTGACAGACAAATGGTCTTTGGCGCGTACACCGGCATCGACCCTTCCAACGACACCAACCATGGTACTCCCAGCCTTGCGAATCTGAACAATGATTCGACTTCGATGGAGACCTTTGGCAATACCAATCCTTGGGAACAACTGGATCTGAATGGATTTGGGTACAACGACCCTCTTGCTGGCGGAAATGGCATGATGGACACAGGTTCTTCGGCGTGGTTGTTGCCCTTCAACATTGAGCCGCCGAATTATGGTGGCGGTCTGGATGAATTTGGCAATACCGCTCTTGACGGTATGGATTTCGGTGACATGCCTGCTGCTGGTGCTGGTATGGGAAGTGACAGTGGCTCTCAATTCCCCGATCACAAGCCTCCTGCTTAACAGTTGTGGCATCGGATCAATAGCTGGGAAGATCCTGCGTGGATTGAGTCACTTGGGATTTACGTTGGCTTGAAATTCAAGTCCAAAGTGCCATTCGCTCAGCCATATAATGTTCCCTGGTATAGCAACAAATTGCTGCGAGCCTCATCTTATCTCCGGGGCTGTGAATTTCAATCTTCCCACTCTTCGTCGAGCTGATCAATCAGTCTGTTCTCATCGTCTGGCGTACGTCCTCGGCCCACTCGCTCGTCGGTTCCGACACGATGGTATCCTCGACGGCCCGCAAAGAGTTGAGTCACTCCGCCGGGCATTCGCTGCGTGCAAGAAGAGAAAAGGATGACGAACATGTCCTAGATTGTGAAGTAACATGATGTCAGCGCAGCTATGGTAAGTTGGACTTGAAGTCGTAGATCCCGATCCTTGGACTTGGCGCTTGTCGGCTGGGGCGACGGAGAAGAAAAGGCCTCTATGAGTAGCACAGTGTGTAAGGGAAAATGGCCCAATATCCACGAAATACTAAACAAAGAGAGGGGATGGACTTACTGAGATAAAGCTGAACAAGCCAGCCCACACACTGTAGTTGGGTAATTGTTTCCATCCTCTCTGGTGCATCACGTTGCGCTGGTAAACGACGCCACCGATCAAGTACACCAGCAACGCAATACCGAGTATGACACCGAAGACGGCGCCCGGACCCAATGTGCCCTTCTCTTCAGATTGCGTGGTTCCGCCGCAGGCGTATCTCGAGCGCACTTCGAAGATGTAAGAGCAGTGGTCAGGAGAGCCGAGAAATGATATGGCCGGACGAGTCGAGAGACTTGGAGAGGTGTCACAGATGAAGGACAAGAGTGTTGATTTCCTTCTCTTGTGATCTTTGCTCGCCATGACATCCTCGTCGATGGGAATGCCATCCTCGTCGAGTTCCGGGCAAGGCGAGCCCATTGTATAGTTTAGGAGCAACTTCTTGCCCCGAAAGATGAGCTCATCGTTCTGCTGTCCAATGCTGTAGATATCTCCTCTTTGATTTTTGTAGAATGCCGACACATTGGCGACTTTTGAAGAAGGAATTCCTTCGACATCGTCCAGAGGTTCCACGACCGGGCCACAAAAGTTCATTGTGAAGTTGGCAGGATAGTCAAATCCTCGAGCATGGAAGGACTCATTAGTTGCAGTCTGATATTTTGTGCCATCTAGGGCTAGTTGTAATGGACGCAAGTCGAAGAAGGAACCGGTGGCTGTGGAATGTATGGTACATGGCTTGGGAGGTGGCTTTGGCTTTGCTTCGGAGGAAGCTACACTCGAAGGTATAAAGGAGAGGAGAAGTAACGATATCGTGGCAGGAATATACATGATTCTTTCCGCCCGAGTAGTTCTTTCAGCGAGTTCGTTGATGAGTGAAGTTGCGGCGATGATGATGAGAACGAACGTGAGAAGATGGGGCAGAGCAAGTGAATGCTGCGCCTGGACGATCAGTAAATGTACAGTGGGATATACCTGATCCAGGAGAGATGGGACTTTTTGTAGAAATCCGGGATCGAGATAGGAACATTAAGATACGATATAGAGTGACGGCGGCGCAGTTTCAGCTACGAGTACTCCCGTATCACCGGCCGCTATCGTTTGGTGGCGCCAGTCGTGCTTACCTGTATGGTTTCTGCAGGGGGGAACCGGAAGATACCAGGCGGCCCAGGTGAACTTTAGGGGTGCGCTTTACACAAACTGCTGCCCTGAGCAGCCCAGGAAAGCCCCCCGGACCGGACATGCAGGACGAAGCAGCACCCGTGCGAGCCGTGCATCTTAGCGTGCCCGGATTACCCACATGCAGCCGCCATATTGATTTTTCCTCGACGACGCGAACTGAAACGCGACGGCAACGTGCATGATGATCTCATTCGGCAACAGGACTTCCCGAACAATTTTTACAGTACTCTGTACTATTTAGAGATCCACGGAGATCTTAACAAACAGACGAGTCTTCGTGCTACAAGTCTACGGTTCTGACTGCGGACTCTTTCCAGACTCACTCGTTACATTCTGCTGCACTTTTGGTTTATGCGACGATTCTTGTGGTTCACGAAGCTCAATAACACGGCAACATGGGGGTCAAGTCGGCTGAGAAGCCGCAATACGAGTTTCTAGGACCGTACGTGTTCAAACACCATCAGGCACTCATGTCCTTGACTGCTAATTCTCGCTCAGTCCAGGTGCTGCATTTATAGTTTTCGGACTGCCGCTCCTTACCTACGCCAGCGTTTTTCTTTGCAACGATGTCTCGGGTTGTCCTGCACCGGCCCTCCTGGATCCCAAGAGCTTGACTCTTGCAAAACTCAAGGCACAAATCCCATGGCCAGAAGAAGGTCTTATCGGCCTGTTCGATGCAGGAGTCATGGCGTGGACTTTGGGATACTATGCAGTCAGTCTGGTATTGCAGCTATGTCTACCAGGTGAAGAAGTATACGGGTCAACACTTGCAACAGGGGGAAGGCACCACTACAAATTCAATGCGTTCAACTCTGCAGTTCTTATATTTGCCGGTCTAGCTGTCGGTACCGCAATCCAGGGTGCGGATTTTGTGGTCTGGACCTTCATCTGGGACAAGTTCCCCCAATTGCTCACGGCGAATCTGGTCATCTCCTACGTCTTATCCGCATATGTCTACCTGGCTTCCTTCGGCGTCCCTCGAGCTGGGCAGCCCAACCCGCAGCACCGCGAATTGGCCCATGGTGGGCATACTGGCAACATGCTCTATGACTTCTTCATTGGTCGAGAGCTAAACCCCCGACTCACGGTGCCTAGCTGGGTTCCTGTTGCGGGAGGCCAGGTCTTCGACATCAAAGTCTTCATGGAGATGAGGCCCGGCTTGCTGGGTTATATCATACTCGATCTTGCATTCATTGCTCATCAATACAAGGAACATGGACATGTGACGGATTCCATCATATTGATCACCTTTTTCCAAGCACTGTACGTCCTTGACGCTCTCTACATGGAGCCGGCAATCCTCACCACAATTGACATTATCCGCGACGGGTTTGGGTTCATGCTTGCCTTTGGAGATCTCGTATGGGTGCCATTCATTTACAGTCTTCCAGCACGTTATCTGGCCGTCTATCCGTTCTCCCTGGGAATCACTGGTATTGTAGGCGTCCTGGCGGTCCAGTTCCTTGGTTATTACATCTTCCGTTCAGCCAACAACGAGAAGAACCGTTTTCGTACGAATCCCAGCGATCCGCGAGTCTCACATCTCGAAACCATCTCCACGGAATCAGGTTCGAAACTGCTTGTTTCTGGCTGGTGGGGTCGTGCTCGTCATATCAATTACTGCGGCGATTGGATCATGTCTTTTAGTTACTGTTTGCCCACCGGTATTGCTGGTTATGTTATCCACACATACACCAACCCGGTTACTGGAGCGGTGACGAGGGAAGTGAAGCAAGGGGCGGCAAGAGGCTGGGGGATGATCTTTACCTACTTCTACATCGTCTACTTTGGTGTCTTGCTAGTCCACAGAGAGTTAAGAGACGAGGAGAAATGCCGACAAAAGTACGGCAAAGATTGGGAACGCTACTGCAAGCGGGTCAAATGGAGAATCATCCCAGGCAGTAAGTGCCGTCGGAATCCGCAGCGGCTTTACAGTGCTAACACCACGAGTAGTCTATTGATCGAGCAGGGTCCCCCGGCGATCGAAACCATGCGAGCCAGGATATGCGTGGGCATGCCATGTGGGAAGTGGGAATACACCTTAGCGGGCAAGTTGTGCAGCGTGCCTGGGTATAGAAAGAACTCTCAATCAACCTCGCGCAGAAAACCTTAGCACGTCAGGCAGGGCTGCGGCTCTGTTACTGCATGATTTTGACGTTATTGCCGGCTGCCAGTTCGCCTCCAAAGAGTCCTGGGTATCGAGGAGATCATCACAATCCTGCAGCCTGGCCATTGCGCACTCGAAGGAGTCGCGGACTACAACTATGGAAGAGTGTAATCGTGTGAAGAGCTCTCTGTGTGCGGTGTGCCGGTCATCACACATTTCCCCCAAACTCGACACAACCAGTGCATTATAGAACCCCACCCTACCGATATCGAACCTGGGTGTTTGCTCCTGGCTGAGACTACACTGCCAGCTCAGAGGATGGAAACCTGCATTGCGACGACTGCTTGAATCCTGGACTGTTCTCCTGTCTTCTCCAAGATATCCCCCAACGTCCCCAGGAGTTTGTTGCCTTTTACCTTTCGGTTCCAAACTTCGTGAATGCCCTCGCTTGACCAATTCACAAGGCTGGACTGGCCCAAGGAGAGGCCATTATCCAGAAAGGGCAATATGGGGGTACTCCAGGGCTCACTAGGCTGTAACCAGACAGGGGCCCATGCATATGTCAGGTGGCATTGCCCCAAATTTCCCAGGTTTCCGGGGGAGTCCCACTCATGGACCACGTTCTCCGCAAGCTTGGTTCTTTTGCTACATAAGGAACGGTCCTGCCACACGCTCCTGGCTCCTGATTCCTGGTTCCGCGTCGCAATCTTCTACAACATCATCGATATCGCACCACAATGGGTCTCGGAGTCCTTGAACCTGCCAACGCAGGCCATGTTTCAGGAACTGTCCTGCTCGACCAGCAGGCCGCTCATTCCGAACAGCAGACTGGCCGCCTGAAGCATGGCACCGGAAAGAACTCGCACATTGTGCTAGCCCCTCAACCGTCTGAAGATCCTAATGATCCTCTGAATTGGTCATCTGCCAAGAAGCACTTCGTGCTCTCTGTTATATTCTTTGGAGTCATTATCCGTAAGTCTCTTTTACTGAAAATAGGAGCATCTACAAGGAGATCTTTTTGACATTTCGCAGATGGCTGCGTTCCTTCACCTTTGCTCAACGCTGGAGTCGTCAATGTCGCCTTGGACCTCCACCGAACCCCAACCGCCATCGCACAGCTCTCCGGCTACATGTTGCTTTGCACTGGCGCTTGTGGTCCATTTGTCTCTGCTCTCGGTCGAAAATATGGCAAGCGTCCGGTGTACGTTGCCTCTTCTATCTTTGGGACCGTCGGTATCATCATTTCGGAATCAGCTTCTGGCTACAGCACTCTGCTCGCTGGTCGTATCCTTCAAGGTGTTGGACTGGCTGCTTATGAAGCTTTGGCCATCGCTACCATCGGCGACCTCTTTTTCGTCCATGAGCGAGGACCTCGAGTTGCCGTTGCCATGTTCCTTCTGGCCGCCATTTCAAACGGGGTCTCCATCATTGCTGGTGTTATCACGGCCAATCTAGGTACGTTTGCTCTCACGAAGCCTTTAAATCACTGCTGACGATGGTCTCTTCCAGGCTGGCGATACAACTTCTACGTCTGCCTACCATTCGGAGCTTTGCAAACGATCTTGGTCATTCTGTTTGGGCCTGAGACACAATACAGGCGAAAGGCGATTTACGAGACCGATACCGCTGGCTCCGAGGAGAATCTTGAGAAGCTTGCCTCTATCGAAGTGCGAGCAGCGCGCCACGTTGAGAATCCCTCCAAGTCCGCGGAAGCTTCAACAGACGACATTGAACGGACAACTACCCTCGCATCGGTCGACTCCGTTCCTCCTAAGAGATCATTCGTCAAAGAACTCGCGTTGTACAGCGGAATCTATACGGAGGACAATTTTCTCAAAATGGTTGTAGCCTCCGTCGCCATCCTCTTAAACGTTGGCTGTAAGTATATGTCCTTCTCAAATTCGGGGTCCATCCATCCTGGGACAATTTTTCCAAGTTCTTGGACTTTCGCATTACAATTGTCTGACGGGTCACAGGCTTATATCAAATCGTTATGACTGGTATTATCATCGCTTTCTACGTCGTGGTGGCCATCACCTCTGGTGTCATTTTTGCCTCGCCACCTTATCTCCTCGGTGCATCCACCATAGGTAAGTCTTCTCCTTACAGACTTGGAAACCCTCGCGGTTTTGGCTTTACCTCTATCCCACGTGCTTCTAACGATATGCAGGATACATGTCAGCAGGTCCGCTCATTGGGGGCTTCTTCGGCGCACTATTCCCCTTCTTTGTGGCCGAACCCTTTGCCAAATTCATGACCCGCAAGAATAAGGGCGTTTATGAGCCGGAGTTCTGCCTCGTTCCAGTATTTACCATCGGCATGGTGTGTGCAGTCGCTGGTCTTGCTGGCTGGGGACGAGTTGTCGAGAACGGCGACTCTATCTACCTCGTCTGCTTCTTGTGGGGCCTGATGCTCTTCGGCATGACCGCCATTGCCTCCTTCTGTACGCAATGGGCACTTGATGCCTATCGGCAACACAGCACCGAGCTTTTCATCATGAACATGGTCTTCAAGAACTTTGTAAGCAAGACCTCCGTCTCAGTGTATCGCACCTCGTTTCTAACCATCCACAGTTCTTCTACGGCTTGACAAACTATGTCATTAACTGGTGGGGTACGACTATCTTCCTTCCCTTTGCAGGTCATTTTACTGACAAGCAGCAGCTACAGATGGTGCACTCGACATGGCAGGGACAATGGCAGGTATCACAGCCATTCTCTGCCTCCTGGGTATTCCGATCTACGTCTGGGGAAAGAAATACCGCAACTACTGGCACCACCACAACCTCCTGAAAAAGCTGCGTCTTGAGACGGATCAAACCTTTGGAGAAGGCGGTACTCACTAGGCCAATGAGAATGTGGTAATGGAACAGGATTCGGATTTAAGGAGGACCCCTCGAGAAACGGGTGGGAGCAGTTGATGCTACTGTGGTTTGTCTATGAGCCCTCAGCCTCGTAGCCTTGTCACGGTGTGAGGTCTTGGCATTAGTACATAATATGTTTGGAATATTTCTACCAAATCTTCGAAATGCCTCACTCTCTCTCACCCCTCCGCGTACACTGCCAACTCAATCATGGTTGGTCGACACGCCGTCTTCATTTGGGCAGTCCCCTGCACCATACCCTGGGCTTTCATTTCTACTCGATCCCGAGTGTCATGGACGATCGTAACTTTTCGTGGCCCATGTTTGGTTTGCACTATCAACCATGGCACCGATGTTGAGGGAATCTCTAGGGGAAAAGTCCGATTTCAAGAATACTCCATTGGCAAATGGCGAGCGATACATCATAAACTACTTTTATTCCCGGCTCTAGTCTGGTCTGATGGCACGACCGATGACATCGACCTCAAGGCTCGTTGTTATACCCTTCCAAAAACTTCATCGTCAGAGTATACAGTCCATCCTGCTGCAACTTCTCTCGTCCTGCGGCCTGCAGTCTTTGTATATCTTGTCTGCAGTCTATATACATTCCTCTGAGTTCTTTGGCCTTACCGGTCGCGAGATACGCACATGTGGCACTACAAAACGTCAGCCGTGCGCGATTATGAAAACGATGCTCAAGAGTCTGCAAGGAGCACCGTGGTCTTCCGAAGGCAAATAAGGGGCTCTCCACTTACCCACAAAGCTCCGGGGGATCCTTGAACAGACTTCTGAAGTCTGTGCCATGTGACGTGAGTTGGGGGTACTTTTCCACCATTTCCGGCCGTACTTCCTCTGCCACACTGTCAGATCCGACTTGGAAGGAGAGAGTTCAACCTTACTGGCTGCCATGGCTGTGTATACACCGCCTGGATGCAGGGCATAAGTCTGAATGTCCAGGTTGTCAAGATCCAGTTCCTCCTGCAATGTCGAAATGGCTCGTGTGTCTGCGCACTTGCTCGAGTTGTACCCTATCGCAAAGGGGAAGTCAACCGTCGCAGCGCGAGAAGCGATGTTGATTATCACGCCGGACTTGCGCTCTCGCATGCTTGGTAACACCGCCCATATTGTGAGCATATGCTGAGGACTCGAATATCAGCATCCGGCCATCTGAATGCCCGCATAGAATGAGGTGGGGAGATTTACACTCTTGAAATTGATCTCAATCGTTTTCCAAAAGTCCTCGAAACTTTCCATCCATTGTGGCTTGCCGGGCGATACTCCAGCATTGTTGACTAGAATGCTGAAGGACAGTCAGATTGATGACACTGCCCAACGCCTACGAAGCGCAGGGAGCATGGAGACACACTCAATGGGACCAAAATCCTTCACGATTTCATCCAACACGGCTCTGACACGCGGCACGTCCGTCACATCGCAAGGGTAAGTCTTGACCTTGACACCGTATTTCTCGCAGATTGCCTTTGTCTCCTGCAAAGGCTCGGCGAGGAGGTCGATGATGGCAAGATTCGCACCAGAGTTCGCCAAGTTTTCGGATATGGCTCGTCCGATCCCACGAGCAGCACCCGTCACCACGGCGACCTTATCCTTGTTGGCGCCTTTTAGCACCTCAGGCTTGATTGGGCCATATGGTTCGTGGTTCAGAGGGATAGTGCTGATGCCGTATTTCGCGGGGTCCATATTTCCAGGTCTTTCGTTGTCCAAGCTGCGAAAACAATGATGAGATGCCGACCGAAGCTTCCTGGATCTGATATCGTTACTTTACTGACTGGCTGGTTTTATGAATCATTTGCGAGGCTCGAGCCACATTTGCAGGCTCGATGGCACGTCCTCCACAATGCAGGCTTCATGCATACCCCACATTCACCTCGGAATCGAGATTGTGGGGTATGAAGACCAGCAGAGAAGCGAGGTGTGATGCCAGGCACGACAGCCTTGTTTCTCCAAATCTACACCGGGAGACAAGACAGCCTTGCCGGTTATCCCACCCATGGCAACCCACCATGGGCATGCAAGCCACACAAGAGCCCTAAGCAAAGTCCAGGCGTTATCCAGGAGTCTGACCCTGCGCATGGATTGCGTCGCCGCCCGAGGTCTACTGCCATTACAGCTTTGCTCTAGGGCTACCTGTTCCATCCTTCTCCACCCACTCCTTCAGCACGTTCCGCATGATCTTCGCGTTATGGTTCCGTGGAATCTCATTGACAAAGACAACACCACCGCGCAGCCTCTTGTATACACTGACCTTTGGGTTCAAGAACTCATGGATATCCTTTTCCGATACCGAGGCTGAGGTGACAATGTACGCCCGCGGCAGATCGTTGCCATTGCCGTCGGGTACACCAATGACTCCAACATCTGCCACGCCTGGGCACTGGCTTAGAATGGCCTCGACTTCTGTCGGGGAGATCTGATGGGACTTGTACTTGAGAAGTTCCTGCGTGCGGCAGTCAGCAACAATTTCCTGATTGATAGCCTAACTGGCATATCGTGATGAGATGAATTTCCGGGGGCCTATCGTCGTCGAGGCCGTCTCGCACCCGGTTGAGGTGATGGCGCTTACCTTTGATCGCCCCACGATGAACAGCTTCCCGTCCTGAGAGAAAGATGCAATGTCACCCGTACGGAACCATCCGTCCGGGGTGAATGCAGCTTTCGTGGCCTCTGGATTCTTAAAGTATTCGCGTATGATGTTTGGGCCTACAGCACGTCAGCAAAGCATCAGACCTCACGGAATCCCTAGGATTTTACCTCTGACACACAACTCGCCAGCCTGATTGACGCCCAGCTTCCTCTCCTCGTTGTCGATAATAACAGCTTGCAGATTCGGTAACAGCCTTCCCGAGCTTCCCTCAGTATCAACCTCCGTAGGCGCCGGCTGTGCTGCCGCAGTGGTCGTCTCTGTCATTCCCCAATTGACTCTCAGCATCACGCCCTGAGGCAGCATTTTCTGTACCTTCAACTGGAGAGCATGCGGCAACGGCGATGCGCCACTCATGCAGAACCGGAAATTCGCCAGATCCTCTTTGGTGCCTTCGTTTGAAATCCTATTCCAGATGGCAGGAACCATGAAGAAGGCGGATAATTTGTAGTTGTGTATACACTCGATCAGGTAATTGAAGTCAAATTTCTCGAACATGTACACCTGCATGCCGCACTGCATGGCCATCATGGTTTGCACCGTGATGCCGAGCACCACAGCGTTCTGCATGATGCCGGGCATACGGAGGTACTCGCCGTCGGAGATGGCCTTGAGCGCAAAGTGGTCGAAGTGGAACGCCATTTGACATAAGTTAGATACTATGTTGAAGTGGGTGATTCGGACACCTATCCAGGAAAAGAATGAGCCGTCACATCGTTTGCGATGAGATGGTGAAGCTGCTTACCTTTCGGAACACCGGTCGTGCCACTTGAATACACTAAACACGCTGTGGTGGTTTCGAGTTCAGTCTGATCCGTCATTCTCCGCCACTGCAGATGTCTATCGCTGACGATAGACTTGCCGCTGGCGTCGCTGATGTCCAGGGTCTCGGACATCATAACGAGGAGTCGGATGCTCGAAAGCCCCGACTGTGCAATGGACTCCTCGGCCACTTTCCTCGTCTGTGGAGAGCAGACAAGGATCTTCGGACTGCTGAGCTTGATTTGTCGGGTGAGCTCAAACGTCGTTGCTGTCATGGGACATGTGGCGTGAATGCCTCCGGCGCACAAGACTCCCAAAAGCGTCGGGGCAACCATGACTTGATTTTCGATAAATGACAGAACAATGTCCTCCGCACCATGTTGTGCGCCAATGCCCAAGTCTCGAAGCCCTTGACCGATACGGTGAGTTAGCTCCCTGGCTTTGGACAGTGTGACATGCAAGTCTGGATTCACTGCATCGAGCCATATCGGATCGCTGCCCCGGAACCGTGTCCGGTTGAACAGGAAGGTAAGTATGTCCTCATTCGGGATATCTATGTGATACTCGGAGTTGAATATCATGTTGCTTCTCTAGGTGGACTTGATGCTCAAAATCAATAGATTCGGATTGTCGTGAAGTCAGTTCGGCCCGAAGCTGGGGACAAGGCTGCGGCTCGGCAGGACGTTCGTGTTGGATTCTCAGCTTGGTCGTTCTCATCTCACCTCTCCTCCAGGGCTTCCTTGATGAAAGCTGTGTTCGTGTGAGTGCCCTCCATTTCGGACATGGCTCCAATCTCCAATCAAGAACGGGCAAGGGATCAGCTACTCCATGCCTCCACGTTTCCTGGTGAGCTGGGGCTTTCGGGGAAAAGCCTCACTAGCAGTGGAGTAAACATGTGGGGCAATACGGAGTACTGTATCCATGGTCAATGGCCTGGCGACTGCTCGAACGTTAGGTAAGCCTACACAGATTGAGACTGGTATGGAGTACGGACTTGTAGGATTGATGCATCACGTTTTGCGGCACGAACGACGGATCAAAAAAGCTTCGACGATCTCGAAAATATAGGATCAAGAAGAGATGGCGTCCACTGCCCCCTTGAGTGGATTGAAAGGTAAGCACACCACAGTCCGCGGTCCATGAAATGCAACAGAGCTGGCATTGCGACCCTGTCTCGCCATTCCCAACTACTCCAGTCTAGTCCCGGCAACACCTGAGGCTCAGCCTTGCTAACATTTGTCTCTCACCATAGTCCTCGAACTCGGCGGGCTCGCGCCCTCCCCTTTCGCTGGGTATGTTACATGTCCATACATTCATTCCTTGCCTCTCCTGACCCTAAATGTTGATTTTCATATTCTTTTTCCTGCCCCCTCCAGCACATCTATACTCATTGATACTCATTTATACTAAATAACTCCAGGCTCATCCTGGCCGACTACGGCGCCGACGTGGTGCGCATCGACCGACTCATCACGCCCTTCGGCCCGCCTCGCGACACCCTGTGCCGGCGCAAACGCAGTATCGTCATCGACTTCAAACGCCCCGCCTCGCGCGATGCCTTTCTCGAACTCGTCCGCGCCGCCGATGTCCTGATCGACCCGTACCGTCCGGGGGTCATGACGCGCCTGGGTCTGGGCCCGGACACCCTTCTCCGTCTCAACCCGCGCCTAATATACGCACACCTCCACGGGTTCCGACCGGACGGGTTCTACGGACACCGCGCGGGCCATGACATCAATTATCTCGCGGTATCGGGCATCCTGAGCATTCTGGGCCGCATGGGCGAGAAGCCAAGCCCGCCTGCCAACATCCTGGGCGACTTTGCGGGCGGCGGCCTCGTCTGTGTTACGGGGATATTGATGGCGCTGATGCACAGAGAGCGCGCAGGCGGCAGGGGCCAGGTCGTCACGGCGAACATGGTGGACGGCAGCGCTTATCTGGCGACCTTTCCCAGACAGCAGCACGGACGGCAGAACATGGACCGACCGAGGGGGGAGAATTTGTTGGACGGTGCGGCGCCGTTTTACGAGGTCTACGAGACGAAAGATGGACGCTTTGTCGCGGTCGGCGCCCAGGAGCCGCAGTTCTATGCGCAACTGCTGGCTGGGCTGGGTCTGGACGACCGAAAAATGCCGGGACAGGGACAATGGGATAGAGAGCACTGGAGTGAGACCAAGGAGACTTTTGCGCGTGTTTTTCGAAGCAAGACCATGAACGAATGGAGGCAAGTGTTCGATGGGACGGATGCGTGTGTCAGTCCCGTGCTGGAATTCGACGAGGTGGAAATGCCGTATAAGCCGCTCGTCGAGCTGAGCGAGAGTCCCAGTCTGGATGTCAGTATGCAAGAGGACTTTCCCGAGTTGAAGAAAGGGGAGGGAAGTCTCGAGGTGCTGAAGGAGTGGGTGCCGGAAATGGAGAGGAATATGGTTATTGACGAGGCCTCCAAGTTGTTGACACTGAAGCGCAAAACTACTACTACCTCGCACCTAGGTACGTCGAAGTTATAGTTACGTTAAGATAGTATTGTGTCTGGTGAACCCTGCCTAGTACTACTTAGTAGTAACTTTGCATTATCATGACAAGGAGAGCCTTATGACTAGTATTCCGTCCTGCCAGTACTACTCTTAGTAGTTCAGCATGGCTTTACGGTTACCAAGGGAAAATTCTGCTCGGTGCATCACTATCACTATCCTCTTCGACCTCAAAATACTCCAGTGCAAGCACCCCACGCAAGTGGCAAATCTGACCACATTCTTTGAGTGTTGGAAATTGTCATGTCGATCGACGATATCAAGGCACATTCTCCATGGTCAATCTAGTCTCGCCATCAAACACAGTCAATTCCCTCCTTGCACGAGTGGCCTCGTCGCGAATAATCTGCTCCACCTCCTTCGACCTCGGGATGAAGCGTGCCTTGAACGGTTCGGGCCTCATATTCTCGCTCTTGGTGAACGCATCGATGCTGGTGTCGAGCTTGAGTTCATTGCCCTAACATGGGAAAAAGGTGGTGTGTTAGTACTGTACACGGCATGCCCAAAACACCCGAGGCTGGCACACCCAGGTAGGTCAAGTGTGTGTGTTTGGGTGTGTGTGTGTGCGAATACATGGGACACAAAAGAACGGGGACAATTAATGGCAAACTCACATTCTCATCCAACCCAGGCCGCATATCAAACGCCCACAACAGTGTGGCGATGGTCATGAACAGACCCTGTTCAGCCAATGGCTGACCACTGCACGCCCGACGACCCCAGCCAAAGGCGTTGTGGCCCTGCTTATTCGGGTACGGCCGCTCCAGACGACCGCCATAGTACCGCTCTGGCCTGAAGGTATCCGGGTCCGGGAACTCGCGGGGATTGCGGTGGATGGCCCACACGTTGCCCGTGATGGCGGTGCCTTTGGGGATGAAATACCCACGATACTCGTCGTCTTGGATCGGTGCGTGTGGAATGCCGCCCAAAATCGTGACGGTTCTCCATCGGAGCACTTCGCTGATGATGGCCTTGACGTAGGGCAAGGAGCTCTCGTCGGCCCAATCGGGCACTCTGTTCTGGCCGACCACGCTGTCCAGCTCTTCGTGGGCCTTTTGCTGCACGTCGCGGAAGACGCACATAGCCAGAATGAAGGCTATCGTGGTGCCGCTGGTAGTGTCGACGCCTCCACCGATCAGGTTCGAGGTCAGCGTGGCGATTTCCGCATCACTCAGACCGCTTTGGTCTTGCTCCTTGTACAGCCGTTTGACGAAGTTGTCTTCTGGCATTTGGGCGCCTTCCTTGGACAGTGCAGCGAAGTACCGCTGCATATGTCTTGACATATCAAGTGTTGCCCGCGGCCAGGGATACAGCCAGTTCAGCAGCTTTGGGAGACGGGCCAGCAAGGGGATGGACTCCACGATGAATAGACCAGGAATGATCAGGTCGACACCTTCCATGACTTGCAGGGCCAATTGGCCAACGTAGTCGTTGATCTTGTCAATACGTCTACCCCAACCGATGATGGAAACGACCGATGTGGAGTACCGCTCGATCGACAGGACGAAATCATCAGGCTTGTCCATGAGGTCTCGGACCAGGATCTTCGATTCATTGGCTTGGATGTGGCGAAGTGGCCGGACTGCCTGGGTCCCGACGGCGGTGTGCTGAGAAATTGGTCAGTGAGAAGAACGGCAGCGACAGGTTCTTCACAGCAGCAATGCGTACCATGAGTCGTCTGTGCAGACGCCAGCGGTCGCCATAGACAAGGCAGACCTGGTTGTTTTCTGTGCCGTCGACCATGTCGCCTGCAGACGGACAAAACGACGTATCAGCTCAAAGAATCGGGGCAGAAGGTAATCGTGCGGCTCCTTCGGAAGGAGAAGACGTACCCATCGCAATCATGTGAGGACGACTCGAGTAGATGCTCGCTTTCTTGTCGAGCAAATCTGAGATCGTCCAGATATCATTGCACATGATAGTTGGTCGATGACCTTGCCAGATCGTGATCATCGGGTCATTGTACTGCTTGGCCCATCTTTCGAATTGGAGCCACGGCTTGTACTTCTCGATGGCGAAGAAGTTGCCGAAGAGGGGAAGGGGGAAGGGTCCGGGAGGCATCTTTCGACGCAGACGGAGGACTTTGACATAGTCGACCAGGATCCAGAGGATGGGTATGGCAACTATGCCGATGACGGAGAGCTTGAGGACATCAAGAGTGGAAGGGGTCAGGTTCATGTTCCCATGAGCGTTGAGGGTTTGAAGGACACCCATTGTTGCCCGTCGAATGAATGTCACGTCTCAGGAACGAACTATCTCAGACGTTGTCAAGACCTGAAGATCCTTTGGGACGGAAACTGATTATATCCGAGATGGTCACTAAGGCTGTTGCTCAAGTGTGACAACATATCAAGGGTAAGAGACTGTATAAAGTTCCTCCAAGACGTCTCTCCGTCCCAAACCTGGGGCATGGTGGGTTCTTGCGGGTCCTTTCCCCGTCCCATCTTTCGTGTTGGAGTAACACCCAAGCTTCGAAGGCTGGAGATATCCGAGGAAGCCCATGATCACAGACCCGGATGTCTCCGGTCGGAATATATGAGGCTAAAGTGCCTGGAGGGAGGAGAGCGTGTGGGGAGGAAGGACACTACATTCGGCTAGTGCGGCCGTCGCAGCAGAGCTTGTGGGGAGAGAGTTCAGATTACCGAAGACATGGTCGGCTCTCGTGGTCCAAGGAAGGTAGGTAGAAAGGCAGAGAAAACGCCGCTCATCTTCTTGAAACCGCTCAAAATACTACTGTCGCGAACCAAGGCTGTGGGCACGACTGCAAAAATGGCTCAATTGCATAGCCTCGTCGATCAAGCAAGATCCATTTCTCCCTTCATCGTAGCTAGCAGTCTTCTGGGACTTTGGGTCTTGTACCAGCTGTTCTCTTATCTTCGCGACCCATTGAGGGACGTTCCAGGTCCCTTGTTGGCACGGTTCACCAGGCTGTGGTATCTGAGGGAGGTTGCAAGCGGTCGTTTCGAGAAGACCAACATCGCGTTACACAAGAAATATGGACCGATCGTGCGAATTGCCCCGCGCTACTATTCGGTTGATGATATGAATGCCATATCCGTGATCTACGGCCATGGAACACACTTTGTCAAGGTAGGTGTGCACGTCCGTGCCGCGGGATGCTGAAGAGGAGACGAATTGACAGCTGGCCAGGGCAAATGGTACATCGCCTCGAACAATCCCAGGAACAAGGTGTCGGACCTTTTCACCGAGCTCGATCCAGACGTGCATGCCGCGACTCGGCGAAAGGTGGCTTCTTTGTACTCGATGACAAGTCTGATCGCAATGGAGTCCAACGCTGTCGAATGCGCCCAGCTGCTTGTCAAGAAGTTCGCCGAGTTTGCAGAAAAGGGAATGCCGATCAATTTGCAGGTGTGGCTGCAGTATTTTGCCTTTGACACAATTGCGCTCATCACGGTACATTGCAACATCTTCTCCCCTCCTGACGAAGGCGCTACTGACCTTCTGCTGTGCAGCTTAGCAAGAGATTCGGCTTTCTCGACACGGGCAAGGACAACGGCGGGATGATAACCGCCTTGCACTCGTACCTTTCGTATCTCTCCAAAGTTGGCGTCATCCATGAATGGCATAGAACATTCACTTGGATTCTCTCCTTCCTTCCTTCAGGCGGAATGCATTATATGGGTGGTTTCATGCAAGAGCAAGTCTCCGAAGGACAGAGGCAAAAGACAAAAGGCAGTCTTGAAAAGGACGAATCGAAGCCGACTGACGATTTCTTAACCAAGTTGCTGCGCATGCACGCTCTTCAGCCGGACAAGTTCTCCATGGCAGACGTCTATGCGACTTGTGGGACCAATATTGGCGCCGGCTCGGACACGACTTCAGTCAGTCTGGCAGGTATAATGTATTGCCTGATGAGAAACCCACAGCCCTTGCAGAAGGTGAGACCGCGCTTCGAGTTTCCAGAAATCGTAACTTGCTGACAGGGGACAGTTGAGACAAGAGATTGACCGGGCAATTGAAGAGCGCGGCTCTGATGACATGCTCACTTTCCAGGAAGCACAAAAATTGCCGTATCTTCAGGCCTGCATCAAAGAGGGCTTGCGTATGCATCCTGCTACCGGATTGCCCATGGTTCGAGTTGTGCCTAAAGGGGGAGCAACGATTGCAGGACGCTATTTCCCCGAAAAGGTCAGTTCTTCGAAGTGTGCTCAGGACCACTACTAACTCGACACACAGACCGAAGTTGGTGTCAACAGCTGGGTTGCCCACGCCAATCAAAGTATCTTCGGCGTGGATGCCGAGGAATTCAAACCAGAGCGTTGGCTTGAGTCGGCCGAAAGGTCATCGGAGATGAACAGGTACATCATGACAGTAAGTATGGCAATTAATGCGAGCAGGAATTGGCTGACAAGTCTTCTTAGTTTGGAGCAGGCTCTCGAACATGCATTGGCAAGAATATCTCATTGCTCGAAATCTCCGTCTTGGTCCCGGAGTTGGTGAGAAAGTTCGACTTCACGCTGGTACATCCAGAACGGCCACTGGAGACTGAGAACGTATGGTTCGTGAAGCAGAAGAACTTGGACTGTTATGTCTCATTGAGGAAGGCAATATGAGTTCACAAGTTCTGAAAAACTGAACAGGGGCGATGCCAATAGGTAAACGCAGAGCAAGCCTGGCATGCCGCCAGCCGTATTTTGTCGATATTCAATGTACATATGGCGCTCTTCATGCCTTCGCATGTGCTTCCGATTCCGGCAACATACCGAGTAAGAATTGCAGAACCCACTCTTGCATTGCTAAAGAGTCGTGCTCGCCCTTGGTGCTTTCCGCCCATGTGCCGATCTCCTCACGGGAAAACCCCTTCTCGGGCGTGAACAAATATTTGAAGGACTCTGACATTATGAACGAGTCACATTCCCAATGAGGTTGAGTGGTGAGAACCCTGCCTGGCTCGTAGAGCCCTTGCACATGACAATGCTGGGTGCTGCCGACCGGCAACCAGCGGCCTGGTAGGGCTTGCGGAGGTTTTGGGAGGACAACGTGATCCCCATGGCCTAACTGGAGCCGTACTTGCGGAGCAGCACGTGTGCCATCCGGGCTTGAGGTTGTGGAGATGTACTTCTGAAGTCCAGGGAAGTATCCAAGTAGCTTGGGATTGAGAACCACTGTTTGCAAGCCGAACTCAAATCCATCAGGGTGCTTCTCGACCACAACACCATGTGGTTCCAGCAAAGTCTGACAGATGATCTGATGACCGAAGCAGACTCCTGCTATTCGGACATGAGGATACTTTGTGTAGATGAGCTTGATGAAGTCGGCGAGCGGCTTGATCCAAGGATAAGTGTCGTACGCACCAGCCATTGACCCGGTGACGATAATGGCGTCCACAGCGCTTGGATCGGGAAATTGCCCCTTCATAGCATCCCAGCCGGTGATTTCCACTGGAGAAAGCAGAGCAAGTCGCTGGGCGGCATTCTCTAGAACCGACACGAAGATGCCGCTGAAGTAGGGACCGTATACTTCTCTCACAGCTGGGACATTGCGTTCGCAGTCTAGGATTGCAATATGTTGTGTTCGGCGGACTGGCTGCACAGGACCGTGCATCTCCGGCTAGACTTGTAGGATATTAAAATTCTTTCCTCTCCTCCTCTCGGGTACTGGCAGGCCTTCTGCTTGTTGTAAAATTTGCACAGAGAGGTACCGTAAATGCCATTGAGACTGCCAGGTGCATCGTCAGAGTCGCTTGTCGAGTTCATATACCGTGAGTGCTGGAAGTCTTTATCTATTCTCTCCGGCATTTCCTCATTAGGAAGGAAAGATAGTGGAGGCCATTTCAGCCTTAAGGCGATACTACGCCATACCTGTCCCTGCAGAGTCCAGACTCCCTGTGTGGTGAGTCGAATTCATTGATTAGGAGGGTGACAAAGTATTGCTCCTTCGAAGGATTAATGAGGTGTGTGAGTGATTGCAGGGATTGCAGATCGTATCATTTGTGCAGGCCCCTAGCAGGGGTCTCGGGCACAGCCACAGACCGTCCGTGGCATGAGTGAAAAAGCCGAAGCAGGAGGATGGCACTCACAAAGGTCGTTGTGGCCAGGTGACCAGGAAGGAGCCTCGTCCAGCAGCTGAATCCGTTGATACTACACAGTACCGAGTACGTAGTCAAAAGTTGGTGCGAGTACGAGAGCAGAGAGGCGGCTTCTCGTCGCGTTGTGTCGTGCCTTCGGAAGCCTGGAGATCCTTGACCGTGCTTCCTCTTCCGCGTCCCAGATCCTAGCCAAAGGTGCCTGTTCGGAGCGCCACGAAAGGCCAGGCCGACACACTGTGCTGAAATAGGTTAAATGCCAATGCGAGAAGGAATCACTCTGGGCTGAAATGAGTTTCGTTCACGCTGGCCAGTGGCGATCGAGGGAGAGTCCGCGAGACTGTGCGGCTCAGAACATCATCCCCGTTGTGTCTAATCGACGATGACCGGGCGAGATTAACTGAAGGACGTTGTGACGGTCAAGGATCCAGCCAATACCAGAAGATTTTCATAATGCTCTTCGAGCGATTGAGCATCACGAAGAGGTCACATACGAGGTCAGATAAAAAGGTTGGCCTTTTTACAACACTAGACTCTTTGACAACCTAGACTTCTTACAACATGTAGACTTCTTACAACATGTAGACTTCTTACAACATGTAGACTTCTT